TTTGGGTGATATTGTAACTGGAACCACGATTTCCTTAAACTGTAGTTCTGCTGGACCAATATAAATGAAAAATATGTCATTTTCTAATGCTTCTGTTTGGTATGCAATAATATAATCTCGGTTGGCTTCAAAGAGAGAGTTGCATAATTTAACCCTCTTGGTATTAGTCTGGTGTTCAATAGTGAGATCATTGGGATGTAAAGTATAACTTTCCATTGACGATCTGTCAGTCACTCTAATAGCAACCGTGTCATTAATTCCTTGAAAAGAGTCAAAGCTTATTTTCCCGTCTTCTACGCAAGGCGTATGTTGAATTATGGAAGTAAAGCTGGGAACATTGTCACCACGAGCCATTCCTCGTATAGTGTATTGTTCCGTTGGAATAATGAAATGATCAAAAATTGTCAATACTTTGTGGTGAGGATCATATATAACATCTCTTAGCATGTCCGTTCTGCGTAACGGTGGTACGGTGTTGGGCGATCCGATGTCGACGTAGATTTTCATTTGTCTAGGTGTGTTACCGTAAATTGGATCATAACGTTTCTGCAACGTCGATGATATGCCCGATTGCATCATGTGACGCCATTCTATGACCGCAAAAAGTCGTTGATACAATGGCACACGACACGTCATCCCATATCCATACCTTTCAGTTTTGGTATCATGAACAATATCTAAAGCACGTTCTTCTGTTACAGCGGATGGCGAGGACTCAATTTTCTTAGCTTCTGTGTTATTGTCGGTGCACTCCACATTGCCCGTTTGAGTGGGCACCGTGCGTCCGGAATCATGGTCCGGAATATCCTCTCCGTACGAAAATGGCTGTATATGTCCAGATTCTGTACTTGTACGCATCTGCAAATCCACACAATGTGGACATTGATCTCTGCTAACATTTTGCATTGTTTCAATTTCTGCACCATGTATTTCATATGTGGGGATGAAGTCCTCGAAATGAACATTCACAGATGGATGGAAGAAGGTGTTTCTCGTAAAAATGATCGAATTTCCTAATCTATATGTGTTTTTGAACTTATCTGCAATGCGCAAATCAAGGATACAAACTGGTATAGCTCGTGGACTTGAATGAGATCGCATTCTCTGCATGCCTATGCTTTTGCCTGTTATGAGAGACCGAAGAGACGCAAAGCGTTTTGAGTACCAGATAAGTTTAAAACACAACTGGTACCTTAAAAACTTATATACGGATATGGCATAGTAGTAGCAGGTCAGTGCTCTCCTGCGTGAAAGTTTAAAGGAATCCAACGATAATCTAACACGGAGATCAGGCAAATTTGTCGTAAAGGCGCAACTAACTAAGAAGCATTTGATAATCGTTACCCATGTTGGGGTTTCAACACTTCTATAAATGTGTTGTACTACAAACAAGACTATTAAAGCAACAATCCTACTGCACTTGTTGACTAGCCCTAGTAGCAGGGAGTCGCCTTTCACCAAATTTTGCAATGATGCTGATTCCTCCATTCTCGCATTATGCATTTCGTATTTTACTTCGTTGTACCTGAGGTAGAGGGCGATTGCGATGATGGCCATCTTAAAGGCCAGCTGGCATAATACCAGTGCAATTCCTTGGATTGAGAATCTTGCCAAGATCAATGAAAGCAGAGCAAAACAGCAATTAATCCATGTCGTACACACATATAGGCAATTAATATAATTCTTTTCATCTACAGACTTCGTATTTTTCTTTATGTGACACCACACGGTTATTTTTTTTTTCATCAGAGACATCGCTTCCAGATCTCTCAGTGTAATTACACTGGTCAGAGGTATACCTTGAAATTCTTTGAATACTTTGTTCATCGTAAATAAGGATGCCACTCTCACATTACGGTTTCCACTTAAGGTAACCGAAGCAACCTTTGTTACCTCCATCTCAAATGAATTGCTATCTTTGGAGGCCTCATTCACAGGCATTTTGGTTTGGATTAAGTTAAAATACAACTTGTAAAGTTTACCATCTTCCATAAAGTAGTCATACGCCGCTGTCCCCTTCAGCCCTTCCATAAGCTGTTGTCTGAGATTGGGGAACCGACTTTGGGGATTCCCCGCGTGAACTGAACATGCAATTCCCACGGTGTATAATAGCCACCATGTAATGGCTGTGTGCGCTGTCAAATTAGCTAGCGATGCAAGTCTTAAAAATTCACGGGGTATCTGATGCCCGAGGATATAGATATTTCCCGCCTTTTCAGCGAACACTCTAGAATGCAGCGTCACCGCAGATACACAAAGGAAGCCGTAAATCATTCCAATAAGTGATAAGTACCTTTTATATCGACCACGGATGTTGGCAAAACATGGGGGGTAAGCAAGTATTACTACGGCAACAATACTAAATAATACAACGATGTTAAGCAAAAGCAACTCTGCAAAAGCAGTTGTTGTATACATATCTTTGAAGAACAATAACATTGGCCGAACAAAAAGTCCGCCCCATGGAATGTTGTCGTTCATGTCAAAGAGGAAAGCTGAAAGTTTGTACGAGACCAATGAATCCACAAAACCGCGCAGATCACTTAACATCAGATGGCTATATATATAGAAACACCACGCCACAGCATATAAGTTGCAATAACTGGTTGCGGATGTATATGAGAGTACAATGGTCTTTTGATAAAATGGATCCCTCAGAAGCACTACCAATTTCCCAGTACCCATAAGCAGGTCATACTCTTTAGATTTAACTTTGATGTCGTTTACAAACGCTTCCACTTCGTCACTGTTTCTAGTTAGAGTTATCACTGCCTGCTTGTCGTTGTTTATTAGTAAGCGCATTTCCGTGATCATGTCTCTAATGATATAAAGGTGTGGTTTCCTATGACGGTAATCCCTTTCATACACTAAGCCAGTAGCATGTGACCCCTCAACTTTCACAAAGCTTGCCTCTCCACTACTACTGTAAATGGCGGCCATTTGATTGTTATCCGCTTCACCTCTAACAAAACGGATCTGAATAAAGTTTACCTGCCCAGATTCTTCATTGAATGTGCTGAGATCCATTGAACGATATTTCTTTCTACCTTCTATGTTGTCACTCATGTTTTTAGATATGTCTATCTCCCTTGGCAATGCACCAATCCTTACCCCGTCTAAAAATACAATAATTTTCCTCCTCACTCCCCCGATAGTTTCTCTGTTGTGTATCTTCATCAACAATGTTTTCGTACCACTATTGGGAGTATCATGAACCTGTATCCATATTAGAGAATGATAAGGTTCGAAAGGATAACTTAGTGTTGCATCGCCAACCACCTCGATATCGCATATACGGGCACTACTGTTACTAATCATACAACCGACGTTCTTTTCCACACTACTGTATGCTACGTCGGATTTCTGCCTTATGGTTCGCCTTTTAAGAATGCCCATTTCCGTGTTCGTATTGGCGTATTTTGAATTCCATATCTGCACCAACTGCTTCCCGATATGTTTGAGAAGGTAACATATACTTCTTTGAGTATTGAAGTGCTTTACATAAAACGTTATTGTAATCTTTTTGCACGACAAGGTTTTCTCTATGTTTTCGTCTAACCGGTGCAAGCATAATGCAATGTCTTCGGGAACGCCAGGTAGCAGGTCGATGAACGTGGATAGTGATTTAGCTGAACCAGAGACTTTGTATATGGAACAATATAAAATGCTGAAGCGTTTCCATGGGGAATAGTTTTGACACGAGAAATTCAACGTCAAATGTACCCCTTTTACAGCTTCTTCGCTAGCACATAGCAACGTTAGGTTGGAGGCATTCTTGTAATCGTAAGGATACACAGTACATGAAGAACCAATCTGAAAGTCGCATTTGATTTTGATGGGTGATTGGAACGATTGTTTTAGCCCTAATGCTTTTGGAGTTAGTGTCTCCGGTAAATAACTGCCCCACTCTACTTCCGCATTAAAGTCTTCGCATCCGACGTTTACGATACGTAAGAACAAAACAGCATTGCATATGCTTTGTATTTTCAACGTATTAAATGACTTCATTTTAAGATAACGGTGACATTGCCTGCCTCCGGCTTCTCTACTAATTTGATAATTGGAATACGCTACTATGGGGAATGTACCATCATTACATCACATATGCTCTAGCCTGTTTAATAATTAAGATTGATGCATGAATTACGAGTAGAGACACAGGCACCTTTAAGGCTCACATTATGTTTTTCTACAAACTCAATTAAATATCGTTCGGCAATATTATTTGGCGTCTGGCAAATAAATACGAACAAAATAAACACGCACGCGTTAAAGTTATGGTAGGCATAGTGAAATACTATGGTATACTTAGATGCAAGCCTGGACAAACGTAACATTGACCAGAGGACGCGCAAATTTTAAATGAGTGGTTTCATATTACACTTTAGGGTATATATTAACTGGTAAAGACAATAGATCACATTTTATTAAGTTTAACGTATGGAAGCATCGCCTAATAAGACATCCATTGTGGATTCCACACTTAGAACGCAGCGGAGACATGGTATTTTGTCGTTAACAGATTGATTCCCTGCGTTAATCTGCGATGTGTACACATTGCATCACTGTAGAGTCAGTGTTATCCATAAAACAGGCGACCGATCTGTTGACCTCTATTATTGGAACCGCGTTGTCGTGCGATCCATTCTTCCGCCCCGGCTTTCTTACACATCATAATAACTAGCAGTAACCTGTGTAGTGGAGTCGTTTTTAGTTTTAGTTAAAATGTTGGGATGTAACGACCCGGATGTGTATACGTTACGTTGTGGTGAAACAATCTTCACATAATACAGTGCATTTCTTCAACACATTATCTGCTAAGGTTACAAATTAAGGGTATTGTTTGAAGTAGGAAGGCATACTCCACGCCACGTCGACCTTCATCACGTTTTATTTAACTAAACTATGTAGACGGATGGCCTGTACCGGTATCGTCTTCAGTAGGGATCGCACCTGGGCAATACAGCCACTTTTTAATTGCTAACAAAGGTGGATACGCGATGGGTGAACTTCCCATGAATGAGTTGCGTTTCCGTCGCGCTCTGTATCGCATATCCTCAGGTGTCCTTTGCCGGGCGGACCTCTGTATTATTGAAGGCATCGTTGATGATTTGCTGCGTAGATCCTCCGGAGATGGGGATGATGCGCTATCGGCACGCGATTGTGCCCTGGAGGTGGCAAGTTCGTTCAATAAGTTAATGTATAGTAGGGTAGTCCTTACCCTAGTACAGAAGTTGGGACGTCGCATTCGGAGTATCGTGAACAAACTTAAACGCCTTTTGGAGATTCACAAAGATATGATTAAACCAATAAACCTTCTGCAGTCGAAAGGTGTTGGTTTGTTTCATCTGGCACTTGTCCAACATGATGAGTACCGTTCCGAACAGATGTCCGTCCTCAAGACGCTCCTTGCCGATTCGCAATTTGTTCTATCACCTCTTTTCGCTAGATTAATTGCAAATCTACTGGCGTCTATTACTTCCGATGAGTTCGAGACTTACATTTCACCGGACATTCTAAGGCTGTTGAAGCGAGGGCACAAAGGGATAGTTTTTACTCTCTTCACACTACAGAGGTATCTGATGCCCCACGTCACCCTTCGCAGTGTTGTCGATATAACGGATAACCTGAAGCAGTTCCTTATGCAGCAAGACGGAACAACCATTTTCGGGGCTGAGAAGGTGCCATTTGATGAGGTGAAGCGCAAGGGGCCATACGGCCAGGTAGTAAGCGAATTGATTCACTGGTTCTCAGCGGCAGCGTTTCGGACTTCGGATTGCTCTGTCGCTAAATACCTTCGAGGTGTTCTGGACAGCTTTTCAGGCAGTTCTCGCCTTAGCGCATCAAATCAGGAAATCAATGCGCACCTATTACTGTTGCTGCTACCGATTAGGCTCGAGGAGTCTATCGATGCAACCCAAGTTTCGAATGTAGTTGAATCGTATAGGTCGACTATAAAGAGCATAGCACAATCGCACCCTTTGGAGTCAGTCCAGGTATACTTCATCCAAATAGTTGGACGTCTGCTCGCGCTCCTCCCTGACTCGGATTTTGAAAACTTACTGATGGATATTTTGTCGGAGCAGCTGAAACCGTTAGAAAAGTTAAATCCAAAAACAAAGGATGTTAGAATAAACGACGCCATTTTGTCTGCCACTCTCTACAGTTTCAGATACGTTGTAGGAGCCAATCTCATGCATGGTGGCCCGAGGACATTTGAGGGAACAGCGAAGTTGAGAGGATACTTGACCACTATAATCCAGTTTTGTAACGACAAACCAGTATATAAGAGTTGCCTGTTCGAAGCAATGTTTGTAATGTTGCACTTGGAACCCGACGATGCAACTTACCTTCCTGAATCTTCTACCATTACGCCTGTACGTGTTTCAGAACAAATGAAGTTGTCTAACGTGTTAGAAGCGATGCAGATAAACAACCGTGATCCACTAGCTCATCTGGCCATGTGTGAACGGGCATTAAAAAGACAGGATATCACGCCACAGAACGGCAAAATAGCAGCTCTGATGGGGACGAACAGTATTTCAAATATGGTGGAGGCTGCTACCGAAACTATGGGTAGCCAGCTATATGCGACCATGGTAGACTTGTGTGAAGAACTTTGTAACAGCAAGGATAATGTGAAAGACCCAGTGTTAGCTTGTGTTTACACACGAAACCATGTGGAAAAACGTCTTCATGACTTTGGTGATGCGCTGCGAGAGCATCACATTTATAACATGCTCCACACCATCTTACATTCCCCAACCAGAGTAAAGTATAAAAAAACGTTCCGCATGCTGCGAGATTCCTGGATGCGTTACAACAGTGATGGTCATTTGTTCACAGTTCTGTCTCATTGCATTCTTTTTAGATATCCGTTGGAGGAGCTCCAGAATTGGTCGGATTTATCACGCCTAATTAACTCACGCCCATGCAAAATGGCACGAGTTTTGGCACCAGTTCAATTGGACAAAATGGTTGTTTCCGGTATTGTGTACCACGCCGTGGAAGAGGGAACAGTGCCTTTAATTTTGGATCACTATTTGGCAACTCAAGATGCAGATGCTTCAGAACTCATTGGTTCATTATTATCGGCCGTGGACAAGACCCTGAACAAACTAAGGTCTTTTGAAAAAGAGGACTTTGAGATATATCTCGCTCCCGGGGACAAGCTGTACTTGGATTCAAGGCAATATCAACCTAACATTCACCAAAGCGACAAGAAAAAGTTTAGCAACCTGACAAAGCAACAATTGGACGACATGCGATATAAGGACCAATGTGCGACAAGGCGTGAGATAGCAAGTCTTGTTAAGAGAGTTAATATAACCTTGTATGCAATATCTCGCGCATTGGCACAGAAGCGTGATTACGTGAAGACCTTCCTTCGTGATTTTCTGGTTAGCTGTAGAATAGCACTAGGTGTTAATGTGTTGCACGATTCTTTCTCCCTGTTCATGGATATAATTTGTCAACAGTGTCTTATTGGTGTTCCCGCTAACACTGCAGGGCGCATTTCATTCATACTACAGTCGATATATGCGGAGCGGGCCTATCGTATTAATTACGATCATCTGACCCTTGTGCTTGATGGTTTGAATGACTGCTGTGTTACGAGCAGAGAAAGCGGTATTCTCGTTACAGAGATAACGACGTACATGTTGAGCAGTTGTGATACGCATATTGACATAAAGGAGGCTTGCCTGCGGCTTATATTGAAGTTTCTCAGAGATAGGGTTGACATAGGCCAACATAGTATTATTGACGTAGTCGCGGCAAATTTGCGGAATGAGGCATTATATCCATCCATGATAGCGACCCTCAAAGAGGCGGTTAAGTATATGTTCAATCTCGAGGGGATCACATTAATATGCAGGATAGGTCTCTCCAGCACGATAAACCTGGTAAAGGATGTTGTAGCGTTTTACGTGCACAATCACGAATCAGATTCGCTAGACTCTATCGCAAAGTATCTGATGATCCTGGGGATTGAAGTAGGTGGGTTATCATGTTCTGTTAAGCTCATCTTCGATCTTTTACCGCAATTTGTTGAGTCCAACCCTGAATTGTTGGACTTGGCACCGAGGGTCTTTTTGCGGTACTCTGTCGATGAGGTAATGGAGTCCTTTCAAACATGCTATCTGGAAGTAGACCGGATGGGGCGTCGCTCCCTGCTCATGGTACTGATTCGCTATTTCAGCATATTGAATGAAAGTGTTGTTCATGCAGATATTTTCGATCGATTTGTGTTGATGTCCAGTGATTCCTCCCACGTACACCAGACACTGGATTGTTGTAAGGCCCTTTCCAAGACGGTTCCAACGCAAACAGTGGGGACAATTATCGCGCATGTGAAGGCGTGGGTGGACAACAATTATCCACATGCTTTGGATGCCCTGCCATCAGGCTGTTTTGAAGCATCTGAGATTGTGACTCTTGGGGTATGTGCCACATTTATGGGATATTTACAAGAGAAGATGAAGTATGATACTCAGCTAAAATGGAACTTGGAATTGCTGTTAAGAATTCTATCCTTTGAGAATGAATTTTCTAAGGTGGAGGCTGGTCATCATAGCGCAGCGATTATCGCGTCCCTAGCTAGAATCTGCGCTCTCGAAGGAGAAGAGGATTTTCTGAACACAAAAATTTCAATGTTGATCTCATCTGTCTCCAACAACGACTTTGCTACTGTGCCATGCGTTTCTCTACTTAAGGGTGGTGGCCTTCTTTATCTCAAAAAACACGATGTAGTGGCCAGGCTTAAAGATTCTTTGAGCGTAAGGGGTACACCCAGGGAATTGTCATTTGTAACAGAGCTGGCCAATCAGTTCGGACGCCTATTTGAACCCTACGTGAAAGACATTTTTTCGACGTTGCTCCGTTGCTTCCCCGACAGCTTTGATGCATGCTTAAAGACATGCTTCACAGTGGTTGGTATACTTACAACGGTTGGATTTAAAAGCATATTGCCAGTGATAACCGAATCATTGGGCACATATTCCTCGAACATTAAGTTGGGGTGCCTGCTTGTTTTGTCCCAAGTGATAAAAGACTCGAAGCTACAGTCCGTTATAATAAAAAATGTCTGTGACGTTGTTAAGGTCGTTTTTCCGTGTACAACCGATACTCAGAAGCCTGTAAAAGATGCTGCCGAGCATGTGTTGGATTCTATTGTTGGGCTGGCTGGAACGGAATCAATTCTTTATCCGACTATGGGCAATATACTGAAAGTGTTATCCCATCCGTCAGATATTAACATAACGTCAACGATGCAGTCGCTGTCTGCTTATGCTCGTGATCATCCAAATGATGAGGCAAATTCGGATGCACCCATTGGTGTGGTTGAGCTTGGTCTGTTGGAACCTGTTTTATCTCGAGCATTGAAGTCAAGAAATGGCTTGTGCCGACAGTCTGCAATTGTGTTCTCTTCATGGCTCGTATATCGTTGCGGCAGCTACCGTGAAGTGGAGCTCTTCTTCACTACATTTATGCCCAACTTGACTGATCATCTCAAGGATACACTGCCGGAAATTCGCCGCGAAGCCGCAAAAGCGATTGGTTGTTGTGCGAATGCTTTTAAAAAGTTTGGCTGTGATACATCCAAGGTTCTCATGGTTGATTTAATAAATCGTCTCATGAAGTGTTTAATGGAGTCTATAACGAGCCTTGAGCGTTGTTCGGCAGCCGCTGGCCTTGCGGAGGCTCTTTGGGCCGTTGATGACGTTTTTGTAGAGGGGATTGTCACGAAGGTGCTGAAAATATTGGATTCTACAGACAGTACCCCTCAGATGCGTGAGGGTTGTTTGGCCCTTTTCAGGCACCTACCTCTCACTTGTCACGATTACATGCTAGCAAATCTTGACACCATACTGTCGCGAGTAATGAGCATTCTTTGCGACGAGGATGAACGAGTGCGCGATATGGCGTCTAATGTTATTCGCACGGTAATCGAGAAGTACCATGTAAGCAGTGGTGATATTGTGTTCAACAATTTGAGGCTGGCATCGCGGTCAAAGGAATGGCAAACGCGTAATATTGTGCTGTCCCTGCTGCAGTATTTGAATTCGCTGAAGGAGGATAATAGAGTGACTGTTGAGCTATATATCGGACGTTACGACCAGAACCCTACCGTGAAAACTACTGCAATGGATATCTGGAAAGGCATGAATGTCACTCGCTCCCTTCGCACAATTTTCCCTCTTGTGCTTCATAGCGTGATAGAACTGTTGGAACAGGATGACGAAGATATGAGGGTGCAGGCTGGGGAATGCATAACTGACGCAATCTCCCGTCTGGGTTCCGGCACAGTTAACGATTTCATTGAAGCTATTCTTAACTGTGATGGTGCCTTCCGCGGTCGTTGCATCGGCATTGCATCCCTGGCATCCAGTGGTAAGGCCGGTATAGAGAAACACCTACCCCGTATATTGCAGTTTTTAAAGGAATGCTTGTGCAAACCGTGCTCTTGCCACGAGGCTTCAAAAGCGCTTGCAACATTGGCTGGATACTTTCCTGCGGTCGTGTCAGAAGTGTTACCTTCTTTGGTAAATGATCTCTTCTCCAAAGATGAGAAGGATGCTTACTTGGTGGGCATAACTCTGCTGATAGAGTCTCATTCAGAGTGTTACAGTGTTATTCTCCAGGAGGTGCTGAATCCTGAATTAGATGTCACCCGACTGGCCCTTCTAGAAAGAATGCTTTGCGCTAAACGGACTAAGGTTGTTTTTTCACAGCAGAACGTTCTGTCACGCTGCCTTAACCAGATGATGCTCTATCACCGCGCATTCCCCAAGGAAACCATGGCATCCTTTTCGACTTTCGTCTCCATGGTTAGGCCAGAGTCAGTTATGCGCTTGATTCACATTTTGATCGAGATGTTGGACGATTTGGCTGCTGGGTCCAATGACGACTGCAAAAAGTCAACTCTGATCATATTCGTATCACGAATACTGGAGTTACGTGAGTGTGATGTTGATAGCCATTATGGGAATGTGGCCGATTCATTGGCCCGTTACATCTTCGCCGACCCCGGTACAATAGAAGCGTCTATTTTAGTCTTAGACCAGCTTATTAAGAGCGCAGAGAGGCGTACTGAACTGGATAATCTGATTGGAGCGTTTTCGAGACACTTCAGCGCGTTCAGCGTTGCCAATGGCCAGCTACCACAAACTTCGCTGACCACAACTCTTCCGCTCATGATGTCGCTTATACAGAAGGGGCTGGTCAAGTCCAATGCAAAGATTGAAGCAGCTAAGTGTGTGACTGCACTGCACAAGTTAGTTGGAACTGAACATATGGGCCCTTTTATTTTGAAGACTATTGGCGCCATAATTCGATGCCTCAACGATAAGTGCCCATCGCTGCTAAAGATCGCCTTATTAGAGGCAATCCACTCGCTGCTTCACTGCGAAATGGCACATGTGCGCGTCATTTTGTACCAGTTGCAATCGGCTCTCTTCAAGTGTTTGAGCGACGTTAACAGCGAAGTCAACTTGCTCATAGGCCCAACCTTGCGCCTCTATGTGCGGCTAGCGCCAACAAAATCAGATTCAGTGCTTTCTGACCTGTTACAACTGGCCTCTGACAAGGTGGGTAAGCCGAGTGTAAAAACTGCATCGTTGCATGCAATCACCGAGGTATTGAGTGCGCCGCCGAATTTGAGCGCACCTCCATTCGAGGAGTTACTGCGGTTGCTGCAAGATTGCAGCGGTACAGACAAACAATTGGTATGTCAAGCCATAGGTTTGGCGGCTCAGTTGGAGGGAAATTATGGATCCGATTGGTTGCCGAATTTGTTTGTAATAATCCACGCGGATACATCGGCACTGTCGGCACTTTCTTCCATCGTGATGAGCGATAGAGGTTTCACCAGACTATATCAGAGTACGCCGAAGGATTTCGTCGACGTGTTGCGCCAGAGTTTGAAATCTGATATGCCAAGTGTAAACCTTTGCGCGTTAAATATATTCTGTCGAATATCAAAGCTCACTCGATCATCTCCGCTGGCCCGGGAGTTCGTTAAGTCTTACCTGAGCATCCTGCCCCCAGGCGCTAAGCTGCCTCCTAGTGGGCAGTCTCAGATACTTCAGATTTACAAGCGACTCCTCCGTTTTGAACAGAACGTGTCCAACTTTGGTTCGCAGCTTACGTATATCAGCGAAGCGATTTACGGTGTCCCATTAGTGAAGTTGGAGGTAAGTTGCTGTTAGGCAATCATTTCGTTACATTGCGTCATCCGCATTCAGGCTGAGAAGGTGCTTCTGGTGCTACTTGGACCATCGCGTGACATTGACAACTTGTTGTCATTCGTCAAACAGCATTCACCATCGGAGAAGGTTACGAAGTTATTGTCCGAATACGCACTTCGGGTTTTGGTAAAGGGTAATAAGAACGACCAGCTAAGCGACAGTGACGCGTGAACTATTTACTCAATGCTAGCAAATTAGCTGGCTCATGTTGCTATGTTTAACTAATGTACGCCTTCCCGCTAGTCTTACTTGGCGTTATGTAACTTTCTACGGAACCGCTTTTCGTTCCTAGTAGGGACCCACTCTGAATGCACAAGATGTCTACGAATCACCGTGTATTTCCAATGCTAACGTCTCCCTAAGAACGCACGGCTCGCTCTCTTATTTGCAGCCCCAGTCGACCGCGCCATACTCGTCTATCTCTCCACCAGGTCGTATTGGTTCGCTACATCAAATCTACACAATGCTGAAGTTACACCGTTGACCCACCAGAATTGTCTGGTTGGTTGGATTCCTTGGTCTTCCTAGCTTCGAATTGGTTCTACGCGATCCGTGCTTTCTTTCCATGCACTTCACTGCCGATCCGGCGGCTATCAATAGTTACCGTGGGCATTTTTACCTGCTCTCCGAGAGCCGAATGTATTCTTAGATATCCCGCTTTGGTGCCGAGAGAAGCGGAAACGGGTCGACCATTGTAGGAAAGTGCGGTGAACCACGGGAAACAGCGCAACAGTGATTGTCATGAATTAGACAGTGTTATTACACTTCGAACGCCACGCTCGAGTCTACTATGTTGCCGTGTGCTTCAACCATGAGCGCCTTACGCTTAGGTTGCACGTAAATGGGCGCTAGCTCTTGGGCGAATGCGCGTGCACCTGCACCACTGGGCAACAGGTGTGCCTTGACACCCCAGGTCAGCTGCAGCCTACGCGCAAGCTCCACATTACGGGTTATCAGAATAATGGGGATTGTGTGACGCTTCGTGGACACCCATTGCAGAAGCTCACCGCGGTCCTCGGCATGCACGAATACTGCATCCACGCCTTCAGTCACAATATCGTTAGAGATTTGCTCGCAGGCCGCTAGCAGGTCGCTGTGCTTGGAATTCCATTCCCTCGCAAATTTCAGGTCCATCTGCACCAGAGCGTCGATGCTCTCCACATCGCTAGCACGTGCGCCCTTAAGGTTGTCCAACATGTTGTCATGCAGCAGCATCTCCTGCGTGATTTGCAAAGCGCGGAAGTAGGGGTCGCGCTCGGTGTTGTACAGGATAGTGCGCTGCACCAATACCGTGTGCGTTGGGTACTGTCCCGCCGCGGACTCCGCAGAAAGCATGACGGCGTCTGCACCGTCGTAAACGGCATTAGCGCAATCCGTCGTTTCGGCGCGGGTAGGCTTGGGGTTGGTGCGCATGCTCTCCAACATCTGGGTGGCCACTATGACGGGCTTGCGGTACACGAGACGGCAGAGTTGAACCAGACGCTTCTGGATGATGGGTAGGTTTGTGATTTCAGTTTCCACGCCTAGATCGCCACGGGCGACCATTAGGCCATCGGACACCTCCAAAATACCGGTAATGTCATCCAACGCCGGCTGAGTCTCAATCTTGGGGATAAGGCCTATCCCTACCTCCTCTTGCTTAGGCACCTTCGTCATCATCGCCTGCTTGTTGGGCAAGAAGCGCTCCGTGTAGTACTGCTCAAGAATGCGCTCTATCTCTGCGTCCTCCTGGTCAGCATCCAATGCAGGCGCATCTATCAGTTCCATGCGCTTGCGCAGTGCCCCGTAAAACGGGCTCTCAGCGAAGTCTAGCAATATGTTCTTCAGATAGAGCATATCCTGCTTTCTCTGCACGAAACTCACGCCTATAAAGTCCATACCAGCTGCATAGGAAAACACGGCATCCTTCACGTCCTTGGCGCTGAACAGGTCAACCGGCAGCGCCACGTTGGGCACAGAAAAGCCCTTACGGCTTGACAACACGCCATCATTCAGCACCTCTGCCTGTACAGAAGGGCCTAGCCTATTCACGTTGACCACGCGCATGGAGATGTTGCCGTCGTCCAGCGCAATAACATTTCCCACCTCCAGTTGTCGCAGTATATCGGGGAAGTCAAACTGAACGCGGCGTGAATCACCCCTAACATCCGAAGTGTCAAAGGTAAACAGGTCGCCCTTCTTCAGGTTAACGAACTCCGCTTTCGCACTGTTGGGACTAATGCCCTTGGCGTCCGCATTTGGCACGAACTTGCCAATGCGTAACTTTGGCCCTTGCACATCGCCTAACAGAGCTTTAGCGCGAACCACAGCTCCGCCAATGCGACCGTCCGCGTCTGAAGCACTCGTTTGCTCCAACTGCCTCACAATCTTCGCAAGTCGCAGCTTGGATATGCGGGTGCCATGGGCGAAGTTCAGCCTAAACACATCTGTGCCCGCGTCGAAGAGCTCGTTAAGGGAATCTACGTCGTTAGTCGATGGTCCAAGCGTCGACACCTGCTTTGTGAACGTAGGAAAGCTCCCCACGGGTGTCTCAACTGGAGCCAACGCCGGTGTTGCCGCTACCTGTAACGCCTGGGAGAAGAAAGTAGCCAGCAAAACCGTCATTACTGTAAATGATGCATTTCTAAGACAGGCACGTTTCCCGGCAACAGCATTCGAGCCACCCTGAAAACTGCCGGTGCCGCACGCAGTGCTGCGTCCAGCACACATGAACGATGCCACCGCAGACATCCTCACTTACTAGAAGCAATCCAACGGGAAAAGCAATAAGAAACGTGCCACAGCTGGAAGGTTGAAGCTCTGCAGGCTCCTGAAGTTAATATACACCACCCTTAACGTCCTGAAGTGCACACGCCGCCGGGATTCCTTGGCGAACGTGGATTCGCTTGTCGGTAAGAGAATTTACCACCAACAGCCACTGCAGCGCAATACTACTGCAGCCCGAAATCACGTGATGAGATATCGTGCCCAAGTATCCGTGCATGTCTGCTTGGAATCTTGGTCGCGTCATGACGCGGTGTGCAGGACCAGCAGCGCCGCACAGCAAAAACGCCGTTTCACGAATAACACCCTAAATGCTGCGTGACACAATTCTCCGAGACTGAAATATGCCGCATATGCTGCACACGCCGCCTTCTGAGTAATTATTCATAGAGAAGAAGGTTGTGCAATTTAGGCAAGTGGAACGTGTTAAAAGGACAAGGCTCGTTGAGCGTATAATTGCAGCCTTAAGCGTCGCGGCGTTTTTAGTCTGTTTTCTCGCGATCATCATTTCGTGTCTATTCATTCGCTTCGTGCAACCACCAGTAGACGAAATTACTTGGTGGTCCCGTAATTTCTAGAGAGATTACAAGCGGTGTTACCCCATGCCTGCCAAAAGCTTATCACAGCCATCTCGCATCCACACTGTTACCATAATCTTTCCTCGCCTGCTCCTCCAACCCAATCACTGCCTGACGTAGCATGGCATTCCCACGATTCCGACTTTGATCGCCCACATTGGACCGCAAAATGAATAATACAATGCGCTCCTGCTACATTACTTTTCAGTTGCCATCAGTGGGTGTGCTACGTGACTTGTTACTGGGAGGAAGCGTAGAGAATGGCTGAAGCGTACATAGATGTTGATGTTTTCATGAATATTTTACCGCCGTATTTCTTCTACATAGACACGGTCAAAGTGAGTTCCCGTGCCACCACTTTGATGCAACTGTTCCCGCGCCGTTGACCACGCAGGCACTTGTCAACCCGCTAGCAGCGTTGCCGCTGGATGCGGTGGGAAGGTGGTGACATAAGCTGGCGGAATCACGCTCCTCTGAAATTAAAGTTTGCTTGTATTGGAATAAAGTAACGCTGTACGGGAATGCGGGCATTTGTAGTTCAGGAATCCCGGTGTTTACGCCGACGGCAAAATCCGGGATTCTGTTAGGCCGTATGATAGGCGGTCTGGTAGCTAGAAAGCTTGGGACAAGACATCGGTAAATTGAACACGTAAAAAGGATGCACAATCCATTAAATTAGTCCAAAATGGCTGCATATGGTAGCGACGCACATACACACAACATCATCCGCATACACACAGTGGCCACAAACACGGTAGTCCGCCAGATTCCTCGGCAAGCACCCATCACAGCTTAAAACCTGACTGCTTCACGATTAAAGTGAATCAACGTGTCGTAATGTGCAGCGGTTATGAGCCGATGTACGCCCGAAACGCAACGTCGCCGCAATCACCCAAAGCAGAAAACAATTATGCTAATAGAGGAAGCTAGTAGAAATATTGTCTGAATTCCTCACCGTATTACTGGTGTGTTTATAGCAAGCAGGCCCCGCAATAGGCCCTGGGCGCTGCAAAATAGCCCCGCAAAGGATCGTAACACAGCGAATCCGACGTTCCCTCAAAATTATACTACCACATATAGGTTTCGGACGTGCTATTCCCGTCTGAAATGCTGATAGACAGTGACTCACGTTTCGCATACCGTGCGGCACGTTGATTGCGTCGAGCTAGCAGCGATAGGGCTGCTAGTTCATCATCATATATTGACCTTCCACATATTTGGTGTATCGAGCGAGTGATATATTACAATTAAATACGTACGCATTAGGGGTCTGTGGCGCTTGTGCTTCTACGCGATTACGACAATGATGTTTGCGAACTGGCCTTCAAATAGACCCCGAATTTCACACCTTTATCTGTCGCCTAATGTAACGAATCTTAATAGAAGGGTCTACCATTCGTTGACTGAGCCTCCCCGAAATGTCAAGGAGTGCATTGACTGGTTGATAGCCCTGAAGGGGAAGGATGGTGAGAAGAACTTGAAGGCTTTGGGTGCCGCACTTCACAAAATTCTCGCAGATAAGCCTGTTGGCAAGATGAAGGTGCCAGCTCTCGAGAAAATTAAAGTTATTACCAAGAAGTTCCTGGAGAAACCAGAGAATACGCGTCTGCTGTCTTCAAACGAGCTGAAGTGGAGATTCCAGGAGCCTCTGGATAAGGGGTTCGGAGCCGCTCAAGCCTTTGGTCTTGTCCCGAAAAGCAACTACAAGAACGTCATACAGACCAAAGGTGTCACTGCTAAAACCGTGTCAAAGAACTTAATTAAAGTTGTGGATGGTTGTGAACAATTCCTGGAAAATATAAAAGTCCCTGACCATTATAAATCCGCTTACAGTCCAGAAGCGACGTGGGATGCATCATGCGCGAAGGACGTGGAAGCATATGCGATCATTTTCATGGGGGTTGCGCCGATGTTATACGCAGGCCTACATTGTTTTCGGTTGATGTCTCTATATGCGTGGTGGGGAGGACCTGATTCTGAGGCTGCTAAGAATATGCCAGAGGTTTTGAAAGCTGTGGGTTACGTAGAGCCGGAATACCGAGCTGGCATGAGTGCTGCCAATGTCCGCAGGGCGTTGAGACCCGTGGATTACGAGATATTGGGTATAATCTACGACCTCTGTGGCTTTTGGGCTTTCTATTGAGTGGCGTGGCAGATGAACTGAGCAAGCAGTTCGAAACAACAGATGAGGATTCTAATTTACCAGTCGGCACCCTTTAACGAACCCCAACGAAGCATTTCTAATTTATGAGGTGTATTTAAAACCATAGTTGTCTATACACTCGTCATCCACTGCAGTGTGTCAGATGAGGCAAATCATAGTTCCTGGTGTCCCTCGAATCGTATTCAGGATACAGGATGGACAGTCGCTTTTCAGCGTCGAACGCACGTTGTCCTCTTCGTCCATCAGGCGGATTCCGAGCACGTCATTGGTGTGGGTTAAGTGTTACACGCCGTCCTTTTGCAGCGCGTTACCGGTGTCATCCACGATGGCATACATCATGCCTGCGTATGATCGTATAGAGAGCTGCAGTAATATCTAGCAACCATCTTGCTCATAGAAAACATAGATCGTCCAACTCGCGTTAATTAATTAAATGGTGTTCAGGATAGTGAAATGTGCTGTTCAATCATGATGAATTCCGTTCGATTGCTAAAGGCTGCAGATGGCACTTAGTTTACGGTAATAACATCCGTCTTTTAAAAAGATGACCTTTAAATACCGGTGTTTGTTGTATGATGTAACTGACGTGTTCAACCTATCGTCTGTGACGGGATTACCTTCCATGAGGTTACGGCACACCGCTAGACGGCCGGGGGTTTCACTTTGGTGGCTTAAAACCGGGACCATCAAACTGAAGCTGACATTTACATAGTCAGCAAGGTTTGCGGTTTCGGGTCAAAGTTTCGTAAAGAACAGGTATTTGGTAGGGCTGCGACTCGGTTTGCTGTTCTCGGGTTTTCGTTATCGGCCAATGAAATAACTATAGATTTAAAGATGACCGAATAACCACACATCATCCCTTAACTCCCAACAGGGGACACAAATCGATTGGGCACCCTAAGAGTGAATCGATATTAACATTCCAGCCCTGTTATGTAATCGTCGCACTAACAGCCCCTCGGTGGAGAGTAGACGAATGGAAGTAATTGGCACGGCATGCCTTACGGAAAGGCGATAATATACGTTTATAGGCATAAACCGTATGTAAAGGGTGAGAGCACGTTATGGCCCATTAAAGCAAGTACTTCGCATAACACTGGCTCACTACAAAAGACGCTTACGCACCAAATTTAATAGGCCAAACAGCCAAGATACAATCGGGCACTTTATTCATGTGCTAGTGGCATTTACCATATGTGCAGACGGAAGAGAGCCCTAGTTGCTCAAGCCATTGGTGGCTGGAACAAATGTACGGCCCAAAGCCTCCCGTACGGCGTCAAACAACATTTATTAGTAACATCCCGACGACACACATACAACAAAAGAGCATGAACGTCTATATCGCTTAAACATGAGCGAAATCTATGCAATTTCTTTGTTGTAGCCAAATCGGCTTGCTGACGCATTGCGCGCTCCCGAAGGGAAACAAAGCAGAAAATAACAAAATAACAGCAAATAATGACGCAGTATTGCAAAATGCTGTGATGTGTAGGATTGACATTGAGCAGCAGTGGGCAGCTGAAATGTGTAGTGCCGTCTTCTGTACCCCGCGCGAGTTACCTGTATTCGAGACGTAGTACGATTGCCAACACTTTTGTTCCACCATGGCATCCGAATCTGTGAATCCGGAGCCAGATGGCGAGAATCGAGAGGTTATTCGCCAGTTCGTCAAAAAGGTCAGGGAACACAGAGAAATCGACAACCGTTTGAAAAAACGTATGTTTTAGCACGTTGGCCACATTTTGTTATCGTCTATTTTGTGCGACATCAGTGTATTGGCTCAATGTGTCGGCGCTAGGCGTCTGTTTCACTGTTGAAGAGTTTTACTACATATCAACACTTTAGCTCATTTGATCTTCATGATTTTTCAGTACGAGCGGACATTAAAGCTCTGGGCATTAAGGATGACCAAACAGAAGACGATCTGAAAGCCTTGCAAAGTATCGGTCAGATCGTGGGCCACGTATTGCGTGCCATAGACCACGGAAAGTGTAAGTTTACGTTGTCTTGCACTAATATGACATCCAGTTCTTGTCAAAGCATCTAGTGGACCCCGATATGTAGTATACTGTAAGACCAAGATCGACCCTTCGACGTTGGTTCCTGGATCACGTGTGGCGTTGGATATGACTACCCTGACGATAATGCGAAAGCTCCCCAGAGAAGTAAACCCAGTGGTTTTCAACATGTTAAATGAATCCATAAGCGCGAAAGAGGAGAAGCAGACCCTGGGATACCACAGCATCGGCGGTCTTGACAAACAGATCCGTGAGATGCGTGAGTCCATCGAGTTGCCTCTTAGGAATCCGTTCCTTTTCAAGCGTGTGGGCGTAAAACCGCCGAAAGGGGTTTTGCTGTACGGACCTCCTGGAACGGGCAAAACACTGATGGCTAAGGCTCTTGCGGCGTCCATGGATTGCCACTTTTTGAAGGTTGTGGCGTCTGCTGTCGTTGACAAATATATTGGAGAGTCTGCAAGGATCATTAGAGAGATGTTTGGTACGTTGCGGCGCTCATAGTACTTATCCGCTTGTAAATATAGCGTTTGAAATGTTTGTTTTGCGCAGTGCCGTGATTATTCGTATTTCTGTGATTTTCACTTCTTGTCATTGTCTTCACAAACCTAATGATGGGCCGTGGCTTCAGCTGTAACAGCCGTGCCACATTTAGTGCACAAAATATTGCTTGGATTCCATGTGGATGCGGTTGCTATTGCACTCTATTGTACATGTTATGGAGTGTTGTAAGTTTGCCATTGAGGTTTCAGGTTACGCAAAGGACCATCAACCGTGCATCATATTCATGGACGAGATCGATGCCATCGGAGGAAAGCGTTTTTCGCAGGGAACATCGGCAGATCGTGAAATCCAGCGCACGTTGATGGAGTTACTCACCCATCTCGACGGCTTTGACGATCTTGGCCAGGTCAAGATAATCATGGCCACCAATAGACCTGACGTGTTGGATCCCGCACTCATGCGTCCAGGGCGCATAGATCGCAAGATAGAAATCCCCCTTCCCAATGAGTCTTCTCGGGTGGATATTCTGAAAATCCACAGCAGCAAGCTGAACAAAAAGGGCAGTATTGACTATGTAGCTGTCTGCCGCCTTTGTGACGGATTTAATGGCGCTGACATGCGGAACATATGTACGGAGGCTGGCATTTTTGCCATTCGTGCAATGCGAGATTACGTAGTCGAGGAAGACTTCTTCAAGGCTGCCAGAAAGCTGACGGAGACAAAGAAGTTGGAGGGCACTTTGAACTACGAGAAGGTGTGAAACATTTTCCTAAGCTGTTATATGAAAATAATGTGAACAGCCGCATCATTACGTGTCTGGCCGACTGTTGTCAGGGTTCCTCGTATTGTTACTCTGCGCCACTGTAAATGTGCAGCCTCACTGCCTATACTATAATCGCCGCTATGAGATGTAATGTACATTACGACATTTAAATCTTAAAGCCATGCAATAGGAGTAGATTTATGCCTCCTGTTGCACCGCGATGTTGTGGCCTGCTTGGCATTGGGGTGTATTACTAACACACGCATAACCATAGGATTCCAGCCGCAAAACTCGTCATCAGGTTAATATATAGTCGACACACCAGCCTGTTATATGGATTCTTTTACTTTTTGACACATCTGCCACTTGCGTAATCCATATACGGCTCCTGATATATTTTTTGGCCTACAGTATTATGAATATGCGGGAGAAATGATTTAAACATATATTCAAGTTAAATTATAGGCCAGTATTGAACTGCAGTGCACGTTGTTGAGAGGTTTGGTAGACAGCCCATCTACCACCAAGTCTCAAATTTTGTAAATGTGATTTGGACAATGGGCGACGTGGTGGAGCGACGGACGTCAGGTCTCAAGGCCCCAATTCTACTCCTGACGGGTCACGAAGGTGAAGTCTACTGTTTGGAGTTCTCCTCAGATGGTCAACTCCTGGCCTCTGGCGGCAAGGACAAGAATATCTTTTTGTTCGAGGTCTACGGGGAGTGCCGTAATATCGGTGTACTGAGTGGCCACAAAAATGCTATCCTAGAGCTGCATTGGAGCGCAAATGGAGAAAATTTGTACTGCTGTTCCGCTGATCATTGCGCATCTCTCTGGGATGTTGAGTACCAGAAGCGCCTCATAAAATATGGTTGGTGACCAATGTTTACCATATATGCGCGTCAGTGGGCCACACCGGCATTGTAAACAGTTGTTACCCTGCACGTGGCGTCGTGGGGGGCATGTTAGTCACTGGCGCAGATGACGGAACTGTGAAGGTCTGGGACCACCGCAGCAAGCGCCCGGTAAAATCCTTGGAGCATGATTTCCAAATTCTCTCTGTCTGCTGCGAGCCTTCGGGAGAGCGCTTATTTTGCGGCAGTCTCGACAACACAATTCGGGTACGTCTTTTCTGACAACCTGCTCACCCGGTATTAGGTTTACGACAATCGCAGCGACAAAGAGCTCTTCAAATTAGAAGGCTGCACAGACTCAGTCACTAGTCTCGATCTGAATCATGATGGGTACGTGGTAGATTTTGGTCTTGTATTGGTTGCAGTACCCTATTGCTATCAAACTCCATGGACTCCCGCCTGGTAGTGTGGGACGTCCAACCGTTTTGTAGCGAGAGTAGTCGTGTAAAGACGGCACTTTTCGGACCTACGGTGAGCGCCTAACCGCGTTGTTAAATATGATCGCAGCACTCGGCGGAGAAGAACCTCATTCGTGCCCGTTGGGGTCACGGCACTATTATAAGCAGTGGTTCCGCCGATCGCTTCGTATACATCTTGGACACGAAAGACAACAAGCTGCTGTACCAGTTGCCTGGTCACTTGGGTTCAGTTAATGAAGTGGTGCTTCATCCAACTGAACCCATTGTCGCTTCAGCGTCCTCTGACAAATGCGTGTACCTAGGGGAGTTACTTTAGCGACATTCGGCGTATCCCTAATGCCCTTTATCGCACAACCGTACTATCTTACGTGATGCATTTAGTATATGAGGTAACTCAACGGTGTTAACATGTGTTCTGAGGTTTACAACATAATCTGAGACGCTGCTCGAGTCGATCGTAACTCATGTTGCGCTAAAGCTTCTGGTTACGTCTTCGCGGACTGGCGCATACTCTTCAACTTCTTTTTTATTGCGTCCACAACATCGTCTCGTTTTGTTTTCGCCGTTTCATCTGTGGGCGCCGCGTCCCGCTGGTCTGCATTGTCTCCTTGGACTCCATGCTGAATTTGCGTTCCCCTCGACTCAACATATGCCTTCAATTCTTCAGCGTAGAGCGTGTAATCGGCGCTCAGATAAGATCCATTCCTGTTCGACAGAATGTCGCTAATTTCAAGTTCTATGCGGTCCACCAAGATGTTGTGTTCCACCGTCGTCCTTATGTGTTGCGTGAAAGCAAGAAGTATTTGCAAAGTCCTGGGGTGCTTCGAACAGCCTGAGTTTATATTGGGTTATTGTTGTGCGTGGTCTCACCCCTTGAAAGGTGCCTGTGAATCAGGCGTAGTGTTGCATGGGTTAGCGATGCATCAGCCCAATGTATCTCGTTGATTTCGACAAGCCTGAGAATCAAGTTTTCGACCTTGTGCCCAACGCTTTCCCCGTTTACGTGCGAAATTATACCGATCAATCTATGCGCGTCCTGAAGATTAGAGCGGTCGATTTTGCTGATCAGTGTCTCAATCAGCCGACCGGCATTTTCGCTGGCCAGCAGATAGAAATCGGGACACAGCTCGTTCATTACAGTAAGTAGGCCTTCGATACTCTCGCTGTGTTTCACAAGAGTGTCCACATGGTGATCGAAAATCCTTGCGATAATTCCCCCCAGGTATGGTATATTCACCAACACCAGATCAGGACAGAGCCATTTCGCCACAACCGATAGCAAATCAAATGCTTGCTGGGTTGTTTGACTGTCATATGTGTGCATTTGTTCGAAGAACGCCTCAAACATTTTCCAAAGTGGCACGAGGTCGATAACCACGTTAGCATCGGACCTTCTACATGCGTCAAAAGTCGCCTTCATGAGATGAAATGGTCTCACCAGGTTCTCCGTCGCACCCAACTCAATTTCTGCACGCATGTAATGTCATTCGCCATAGCGTAATCCTCACCTTTTGCTAGGTGTTTCATGTTGGAGTTGATGAATGCAGGCAACGCCTTCAAATCCCTTTTCGACAATGTTTTAACATTTTTCAGCATGAGATCCGATGCATCCTACAAGCATGTTTCTCATTGTTATCTAATCTTACTTTGCTTGTGCGATCGTTTGCGGAGCTCTGCAGCATCCGCAATTGGTTGAGATATACGGCATCTTCAGACTTTTCGCTGTCAAACGTTCGAGTTGAGCACATCCATCGAATTAGACGCAGTGTAAGCTGCTCCGTATTTTCGGTACTTGCCGTTTGCAGCACGAATTTAAAGGCACGGTTAGCGAGCCGTCTGTGGCATTTGACCACTGCAGCAACGTCAGGTATCAAGATAAACTCGAAGGATTCTTTTAAAGTGCGCCACAAGTCCTCTTTGACGATGGAAGGCTTATCCTATTCAGAATTTAGACTGTTCCAATAACGCTCACCTCCAATGCTTCCAAAGTGTCCAATATCTTGGCGATTACACCATCGAAGAACTCAGAAGCAGATTCAGGCACAGTTAGCCCCCTTTGATACCGCAAAGTCTCTGATTTGATGACAAAAGCTATCGCGAGGAGCCACTTTTGAGCGTTTTGCATGTCTTCGCCCGCGACTGCGATAAGCATCTCGTCGTACAGCGGACCGAGGAATATGGAAGACGGGGTATCGAAACCATTTTCCGCCTCCTGCAGTATATGAAACGGTCCGATTCAACTGCCTACCTGTCTAATACCGTCAATTTTATTGTCGAGCGCGTTCTTTAGTTTCGTGACGTTTTGGGCGTCATTGACAGCCCGAGCCAAAAATTCGGCCATGGAAGCATCTGTTGACGCGTGGTTTATTTTTGTACGATTGCTTCCGCAGCTTATATTACTCCCGGCGACGTCTATGCCGCATTTTCGATGGGGGATTGTCGCACAGCTACGGCGGATTCCTACCGACACATTGCCATTTAGTTAAGATGTCCGGGTATTACAACGGTATGCCACCTTATGGTGGTCAAGGCATGCCATATGGAGGCTATATCAGCAATGGAGGTTACACAGCTGGAGCGTACTACACCCCTGGGACGCAACTCCCTTATTACGCCTACTACGGGCAGCCTGTACCGTCATACGGCCAGATCCAGCCCCCCAGCACTCGCCAGCATCAACCTAGTCGCCGAGGCAACTACGGTGGGCAGCGCCGTCCGCAGTCGGCCGGAGATGGGCGTCCCACCTCGACTCGTAAGCCGGCAGCTGTTGCAGCGACTAGCGTCAACGTTGCGTGTGAGATATGCAACCTCACGTTTAATAACTCTGCCGAATTGGCAGATCATGTGGATGGGATGCACGTGCATTGCGAGGTGGAAGGCTGCGGATATTCGGCGCCCGTGGACCTGATGTCGGTACACGCCTTGAAGCACGTCAAGAATCAGCAAGGCGAATACGTTCTCGAGTCTGTAGATGAAACTCGCAAATGGATAAACAACCGGCGGAACCGTCACCCTTTGAATCGTCACCGTGACTTGTCTGCGACGGAAGACTCAACGCTAGAGCGTTTGTTACGTGATGCTTATCGCAAGGTGCGAAGAGACGCACCTACCAAAAGCGTGCTATATCCAGTGATTTCTAAGGTACGACCGCGTCCTAGTGCGTTGCTCTATCTCAGCGATCCCGTGAAGTACCAAAATCTTCTGCGCCAGTCCACGGGATTGTATTCGTACAGGGCGTCGCTTTCTATGGGCCGAGCGCAGTGCCAAAGCTTTAAGCGAACACGGACGTGCAAGTTCGGGGATAATTGTAATTTCTCGCACAATGTCCAGGGTGGGTTGTCCCGTGATCTTTCGGTAACGAAGCGTCCTCCAACGTTGCTGCATGTACTGAAAAATGACATATTCAAGGCGGACCAGGTTCTGGTGAGCGCTATAAAGACTCTCGTATCGCTGGATTTCTTCAATATTCCTGAAGAAGAGTTATGCGCTGCCGATTCGACGCAAGGGAAAAGGGACTGCCCACTTCCGCCGGAAGAACCTCCCGCATGTCAAACATGACTTTAAATAAATGTTAGCCCTCAAAAATCCATTAATTGAAGGATTCATTGACAGTTACACACCGTGTTAAACTGCTATCGCTCTCTGGAGTCGAATGGATGGTGGGATCCAGCCGCCGTTGTTTTGTTATCTTAGGCAATGGCATATTCGCTGTTCTGGGATTTCGCCACCAGATCACAGAAATATATCTTAAATCATCTTACACATATAAAATCATAGAAGGCGGTCAAAGCGATGCGTTTGGTCGCAGTTTTACCGTAGCTAGTGTGACTTGCGGTGTGTATAACGTTGTACGCTACGACAGCATCACCCTCACTCATCGTAGCCTACACACACCTTCAACATTAGATCTAGCAAACGTCTTAACCGAATTAGACACGCAATATACAGATACAACATTTTCCTGGTGAGAGGGTTTATGTGGTAGCCGTGGTTGCCGCCCACGGTGCTACCCATCAATTGAACGTAGATCCTCCACGTCTACGTAGTCACTTCACAGCAGCTTTCCACTACGGAACACATTTTTCGCATGATTGGGAGATGAATACGTAATTAGTGGCCAACATCGTTTCTTGAGACGATCCGAACTAGTTTTGGCGTTGCGTTCTTCTTATCGCATCGATACATCTGTTTGGTACCATCGCAATTTACGCTCGGCTGCATCTACGTATATACTGTCTTGAAACTTTCTTTGCCAAGTGCGCCAAGTTGTTTGTGTGTGTCGTCGTAGAAGTTGTTGCCAAGATGGGTATTACGAACCTTTTGGTAGGTCTAATATACCGGCTTTCACATATTTTCAGCAATTCTTGCGCCCTATGCAGAAGTGTGTGGGTATCAAGAACTATGCGGGATCCGTGGTTGCCGTTGATGCCATGTGCTGGATCCATCGAGGAATGATTTCGTCCGCGGTTGCCAATGTGACGGGAGAGCCGTGTGATAAATACCTCAAGTTTATAATATCGATTCTGTCTGTTCTTCTGTCTCACAACATCACTCCTATCATGGGTAAGTTTGTTCTCGTCTGGTTTCACTCTATCCCTTTAAATACCCTGCCCCTATTGTTAGAACCGTTGTACACCATCATTGATTTCTTTCGGCTGTCTACCGTATATACATATCTGTCTACCACGCTACGATGCTAATGCTTCGGTGCGGCGGCTACCGATTTCCCCCTTAGTCGCAGCCTTTTGTGTAAAACAGCGCAAAACCGATGATTGCTCTCAGATAGCATACATTTTGAATTTGATTTCGACTAAGTGGACACTTTTAGATGATGCTTTTGTGTTCGCAGTTGCAAAATTGAACGTTGCCTCCGTATTCATACGTGACACCTTTGCAGTCTTCGACGGCTATGAGATGCCTTCCAAGGAACGTGAGAACCAGAGCCGTCGCATACGCAGGGACAAGGCCCGCGAAGAGGCTCTTGCAATGATAAAGAAGAACCGTGGGACCATAAATACTGAGATTATGAGGAGGTGCATGCAAGCCATTTCCATAACTCCAGAGATAATCGCCAGGGTCATGGCCATCTGCCGTGAGATGAACGTGCGTGTTGTAGTAGCGCCGTACGAGGCTGATGCTCAAGTTGCATACCTCTGTCGGGCAGGCATAGCCCACTGCGCTATTTCTGAGGACTCGGATCTGCTGGCGTATGGCTGCCCTCGCGTGTGGTACAAACTTGAGCGTGACGGCAAGGCCGATGAGGTGAACCTGGGGTTCAGCAGTGACCCTGATGTCAAGTGTACCAAGGGTATGCTAAAGGGCCTAAGTCATCGCATGTTCATCGCCATGTGCGTTCTCAGCGGATCTGATTACGACGATGGCTGCCACATCAACGGCATGGGCATAAAGCTGGCCCACCGTTTCATCTTGCAATACGGCAACATTCCTGCCGTTTTGGCTGAGCTCGAGGAAAATGCTTCTTGGGCCAAGAAGTTGCCTGCTCACGTGACCCGACAGCAGTTGGAGGCGCACTACTTGAACGTGTCACAAATTTTTCTGCACAACGTGGTGTACGACATCCGCTGCGACAAATTGACCCACGTCACTCCGATTTCGCAGGGCGAATCCAATATGGACATAATCGTCGACATCACCCACCGCTTGCGTGATAAGGAGGCAAACTTCCGGGCCGTCTCCGCGGGCCACGTTAATCCGCGCAACGGCGAGCCACTGCAGTACACTGTGACTGACAAGGACCGTGAATTGCTCGATGGGATGCGTTTTGCTGACCTTGAGTTTTTGTCCTCCATCCCATCCCCAGATGCATCAGATGCCACTACCGACGCGTTGCTGCAAGAGTTTGATTCCGCATCTCCTAAGGTACACCGCGTTGTGACAGTTACGGAGGCGCCCCAGGAAGCCGCGGCGGGTGCAGCTGCAGTTACCGTGACCACGATGATGGTGCCCACTGGTAGTGGCGATTTAGTCGAGCGGCTTACTGGCAGGTTGCATACCAACGAATCGAATGCCTCCGTCTCCACTTGCGACGAGTTTGATGAGGTTACTAGCTCGCAGAAGTGTAAGCTACGTGCTTTGATCGACTCATCGGAGCGGGTGGTGACTGTTCGTCCCAAGCGTAGGATGTCCGCGCGGTTAAACAAGTGACTACACTTCACCCCGTATGATCGCTTATAGAACTAGGTGGCTTAAACGCCAGAGGGTTGTTTAATTTTCGAATTATTTAAAAGTTGTTTGCTTGAAAATTCTGTATGCATTATCTGCACCGCCCGGCGTCTTCACGTACAGAACGCTTTTTTATTTATTGACGCAATAACACGCTCAATTCGTCTTCGCACGACATCTTTATAATGTGTCGATGCCGCTCGCCGTCGAAACCGATATGACGTTTTAACGCAGAATGTACCAGAACCCCGTTGACGGCGTAGGCCTGCCATTCGGCGATTGGCAGCCGAAAGGTGTTATCAGCGTGCTCATACGTTCATTTGAACATTGGAATTCGACTTTATACGATAGAGTCATACGCATAAAGATCGAAGTTAAATGACTTGTGCCTTGCGCCCATCGCCTGCGTTTTACTCGAAGCGTGCAGAGGGGCGCTGTGACAGGAGATTGCGCTTTTGCTGCTTGATCCTGCGCTGTATGGCGTCTACATCCAGAGCTCTTTGCCTTCTACTGAGCATGGGGGACTCAATTGCCTCCTTTTCCACCTCTACGAAATTGCGCTTCCCACCAGAGTCATCGGAGTCGCTGAACAATGCCCGGTTTCGTATGCGTTTGATATTGTCAATTATTCGGGTAAGAGCGCTCTTTGGTTTTTCCGGTTCTGAAAGTTCGCGCTTCCTGTAGGCGTCATCAACTGACGACGTGAAGGTCGACTTGCCGAGGTGCACTCTGTTGCGGTAATTTGGGGCGTCGCTGCCTCTACTGGTAAACAAATTGTCCGCTAACGCCCTCGGGAACACGCGTTCGCTGTAATCCGTATTAGGTTGCTGTGCACGTTTCGTCCCGTATTGCTTGTCCAGCCGTTTGGATATGCTTTCGCACTCGGAGAGGCTGCGTTTGATGCGATTAAGTATGTCGTCGGTGGCATGTATGTTTATGCGTTCCCTGTTTGGAGTTATCCGGTATGTTTCGAGTGCATCCGTATGGCGTTCTGGGCGGTAAGGCGGGTTGACGCTACGCGCATCCGGCACGTAGGGAGCGTAAGATCCAATCCTAAGGTCCGAGAGCGATGTCCTACTGCGCCTCTTGAGACGGCTTTTACCGGACAATAAAGGTGACCTGAAGCTGAACCCTCCGTCATCACCCAGGAGGTCGCCGCTGCGTCTGGGCGACAACGCCGTCCTTGCGAACGTGGCGCGCTTTGGAGTATGCGACAACTTTCTGTTATCGACGCTCCTCAGGTAGGGGGGCACGTCTATCGTCCCCAGGTGCCCAGGCGAATCCATGATGCGTGATCTCAGCGCTCTGATATCCGGCGTAGTCCCGTGGAGCGAGTCGGAAGGCCTGCGGAACACATCTGGTCGACTGCTCCAAGGCTGCGTCGTGCCTGAACGCAGCGATCCTTTCTCCAGACCTCTACTCCTGGAACGCAGCCATGCGCCATCGCTCCTATCAAACCCGTCCGCTAATCCGTGGCGCGGGCCATTGTGAGACCACCTAGCGGGACTCAAGACAGGGCTGGTGCCAACGCCAAACGCTGCACTGCCGTCGCGGGCGAAGAGGGACATCGCGCGTCGTATATAACGCAGGCGCGAAATTCCACTCCGTAGCGCGGAGCTATGCTACATGTGAAATTGTGACGCCTGCCGGCGGCGCCCACAACATGGTCATGGTGAATCGCAGTAGCTCGGCGTAGACACCGAAGTATCACGCACTTTTATTTTTATATACGTGATTACATTCGTTTTAGGCAGAGTGTGTGAGTGCAGAGCAAATCTGCGCCTATACATCCATTGCCACGCGCAGTCGGCTCTGCCGGCACGTGTCTTTGATGTATTATTGCATTCCATGATTGGATTTTGCAAACAATCTGGCCCACAATGACACACAACTAAGGAAATGTCCCATCCTTGCGTGCATTGCCACGTGCGCCGTAGCACTGTCCAGTTAGCGGACCCATCAGGTTGCTCACAGTAGATCCATGGTAACGATCAATGCGCCATGTACGACGATTGCAACCTCGACTTGAGGTTCTTGTACGCGTCTTTGGTGGCATTGGCAGCTTTAGAAACAAGAACGGGAGGTTCCGTGCTCTTCACATATCGTGAAAATTCGGCACTTAGGTCTTTGTGCACCTGCATAGACTCGTTTATATCTTGCCTGTCATACATGCTGAACGCTTCCAAAGGCGTGAGCTTCATCTTCTTTCGCTTACTCGAGCACGTGCAGCGATCACACAATCTATTTGCGATATAGTCGTCCCCGAATCCAAGCTGTTTTAGAAGTTGGCGCTTCTCCGCGTATCCGAGCGTCTTTACATCGAGGTCGCGCGGTATAATGTCTTTGTGTTCTTCGAGAAGCTCCTCTACAACTTGTAGTCTCTTTTTCTGCGACTCTTCTGACGCCTTTTCGGGAGTTGACGTGATGGCCGAGTCGGCCATTGGGCTGAGTACACCTCGAGTACGCTTTGCACTTGATAGGTCAACATCGGAATCAGCACTTTCCATCATAGGTCCAATTGTTAACTCATTTTCTGAGAGCTGGTCATCAGTCAGTGGCGATTTCGTGTGTTCGCTCCACTGAGCCTGCGTTGCGAATGGGCTGCTAGCGTTGTAAGCAAAATTGCTGTTGCTCCTCATTGGCGAGTAGTAATCACCATCTGCATTTTCCGGGTTCGGATCGAATCCATTTTTCCCGAGGCCGCCGAGCAGTACCTCGTCTGGTGTCCTGGGTTTTCCCGCATGTGTTTTGCGATTGCCAAAGAACGGTTCCTCCGATTTATCAAACGGCCCGTCTCCCTGAGACGCTTTGGGCTTCCAGGATAATATGTGGAAGCAGCGTTCTCTGAATTCCTTGGCATCCTTTTGCGCCAGTATGTACGAGGTGAGTCCAACGGTGGAGTAGTCCCTTCCGACCTTCTGTATGTACTCCTTCCTAGCGCCCTCGACGTCTACATCTGGCACCTTCATAGCCCTGAGCACGTTTTTTGCCCTGTATACGCTCTCGTCGATGCGCGAGTATATCACATCGCTGGACCTCCGGGGCGACCATCTAGCAGGACTCCGATAGCTCGAGCTAGGTCTGCCGAGATTGCCATTTTTATATTTCTTATCAGTCTTTTTTGCGATGTCTCTTTGACGGAGGTCAGTGGCCAGGTTGCTCCCTAGGTCGAACACAGCCTTGCTGCTCGGCTTGTAAAGAAGTTCCACCCCCGCCATCCCTACTCACACCCTGATGTAGGCTTAATATATCCGCCTATAATTTAATTTCCACTTCATACAGAATTTCACGCGTACAGCTCATTCTAGTGCGCTCTCATCACAATCTCCCTCATAGAGTGCCTCGTTGTTCCAGAACACATTTTCGTTTTCTGAGAAGCAATGACAGTTTTGAGTGTGCACCATACCGTCTATATCGAGAACGACTGATTTAGACTCGAATATTTCCCTCCCGGTCATTTGCCCCTTGCTACGTCCCGCGTCAATATCGCGCCATATGCCCTTCTTGATCATATTCTGTCTAAACGTTCTGCTCCACTCGTCGAACATTTCTTTCGTCACTCGGTCCTATTGTCGTAATGTGTGTCCCGATGAACCGTTATCACATACCTGTTCCTTGCACAGTTGCTTGAGGAAAAGCCCGGTCTCCATGCCGTCGCGCCCATTCGAATCATCGCCGGTTGCGCCGTCTTCAACTTCACCGTCCGCATTGTCACTTTCCGCTTCGCCGTTTTCGGCGTTCGTAGCAAACATTGCGAGTTGTTCCTGCACGCTGTTACCCATTGTCTACGTCCACCTACATTGACAGCCTCTACGATCGGATAGAGCATTGGCATGCCTCGATTCTGCTCTATTGCCTCCTCTATCACTGCTAGGATTCTTTCCCTGTCTTCATAGCTGATTCCAACCTCTGCAAACGATAAATCCTCTTGGAGCGTTGCCTACCGTCTACGATTTCGTAGGATGGAGATTCTTCGGCTGGATAGCTCTCCGGGAGAACAAACTTGAGCTTCATAGAGCAGCCGTGAGACCCATCTTGACGTCTTGGGTCGCATGTGATCACTACTTCATTTTCGTTGATTATCTGTAGCTCCTCTCCTTCTATGAAGATGGCGGAGAGTGCTTCTATTTCCATAGCCCTCTCGCTTTCATCCATTTTGCTAATTTCTCGATTGTCTATTTGTTTTGTGCAGTATGCAATTGACATTTATGGTCATCTGACTCCGTCCGCCCTGCTGTACCTCTGCCTTCGTGGAGCTGAGTCTCGGGCGGGTTCGTCACACACTGACACTCTGATCTCAGGATACACTTTATACCGGTGTCAATGGGATTGTTAACGCGTAATGTGTTATCTCCCAACAACTTCTATGTGATTTTCGGTTAGATGTGTAAAGATGTCTGATAGCGATTTATTGATATCGCATAGCAGCCATGGCTCTCTTCCCGAGTCCGCATATGTCGGTATGAGCGAATTAGGCGACGTCGGCCGCACGACTGTGTTGCGTAACACCTCTAACTACAGTCCTCCCATTACCATGTCTACCAGCGACACGGTGCCAATGGACTCGAACCATACGTTTCGTCAATCGTCTCATCCTGGTGCGTTCTGCCGTTTCGCGGCATTACCTTCATTTTTTTACAGTTCGTTCCGATGGATTTTCTGGGCGTGACCTGTTTCTAGTTCACGATGTGTTGCCTGAAAAGGAGGCAAACGACCGTCGATTTCAAGGCGGAACGAAATCGAAGCTGATGATTTTGAGTGAGAAGTTGCAGGGATTCGAGCGTCAGATGGAATTCCATGCTAAGCAGCGTAGAATGCACGAGGAGCAGCGTTTTTTGAATATCAGCGAATCGCTGAACAAGCTGGATGAAGCCATTTCTCAGGAGTCCAAACGCCGCATGGAGACGATAAAAGCTCTGCACGGTGTAAGTTGGCTACCGTGTTTTCTGAATGCAACGTTGATTGTTGTGCTATTATGCACGTACTACGCTAAATGTGTTTTTTCAATCCGATGTTTTAGTTAATACTGCATGTTTCCGTTCTATTCCCTGATTGCCATTTATGACATTTGACGCATACCCAGATATTCGAGAGCCAAATAGGCGCCGTGCAAACCAAGGTGGAGACTTTTTTCAATGATAAGTTGGATCAGCTCGACGGCGTGGTGAGCTCGCTTTCTGAGCGCATCGACGCCATCAGCGCTCGGTGCGAGGACAACGAAAAGCTTCTGCAAGATAACCTGGAAAACAACTGCGTCGCTTTAGAGAAGAACCTCGCTACGGTACAGGTAGGTGTAGAACTGTGTTGTACTGCATTTTGGTGTTTCTGCCGTATTCCCGTAATGCGATGGAGATTGCATTCTGCTTTTTGGACACATTGCGCGCAGAAACTGTTCGAGTGCGAGCGACTGTCGCGCCAGGAGCGCGAGGAGCACATTCTGAAGCGCATTTCGGATGTTGAGCTTCAGAGTGAGAGCGCGTTCGGGAAGGAGATGCAGAACACTGAGGGTCAGTACCAGCAGCTAAAGGCCGAGTTTGAGAAGATCAAGCAGCAGAACGAGGAGCGCGAGAAGGTGATAAAGTCTTCCGTGTTGGACGAGATCGCGGCTCTGAGCAACGGCTTGGCCGTGGAATCGTGCGCACGCGAGAGTGCGGACAGCGACCTGACCCAGGCCCTACATAGCTTCATGAAAGTCATCGCAGACGTTTCCAAGCTGCCCATCAGCAGCTAGAGCGTTCAACAACACGCCCAACTGGCATGAATTTATAGTTATCGGTGCCATGCATCGTTTGGAACTGGTCGGGGAGTCTCGGGAGCACTCGGGTAGGTATTTGACCTCTCCGAATCATCTATGCGTGCTCTACGTTATGGCCGCATGAGATTAAGTGTGCTGCGAGCGAAATCTGACGAATGTGTATCGCTTGTCGCTCGGATCGTGCAGCAGCGGTCATCCACTGAGTGTGTTATACAAGAAAAAAGCATGTCTATATACATATAACAGCCTATTGTTATCAAATGATATATATACTGCGTTGTCACGTACTATACTTGAGTTGTCAAGCTCTAAGCACCTTCATATCTATGTAATGTGTTATGGTTTGTGGATTCTTCGCTTAGCGCAGCAATCCGTCGACTCAATGGCATATTCATCACGCTGTAGGTTGCATAAACGCTATTGAGTTTGATTCTACTGGGATATACTGCCTCACTGCCGGCAACGACCGCAGCGTGCGTCTTTGGAATCCCGCCCGGCAGCTTCACATTAAACGCTTTTTCGGTAAGCGTCCCCGCTAGGTGACTAAATGAGTTCAGGACCGCACAACTATCACGTTAATGATGTCTGCCTGAGCAGCGACAGTGCCCATTTCGTCTCTGCAGGAGCGGAACATTTGGCCTTCTACTGGGACACTGCGGAAGGGAAGGTCATTAGGAAATTCAACCATGGGGGTAAGTTGCTGACAGCTTTCGTGCACTCTTGCTCAGGTAGCGTTACATGCTGCAACTACGTGGCTGACGGAAGCCTGATCTGCACTGGCAGCGAAGATAGGAGCGTCCGCTTTTGGGACCACCGTAGCCGCGGTGCAGTGTCAGTTTTCAAAGATGCCAAGGACGGCATTTCGAGCGTCTGCGAGCGGGAGTGCGTCGTAGTTGCCTCTTCAGTCGACGGGGCAGTGAGATTGTACGATTTGCGAAAAGGCTTGTTGAAGACCGATTACTTCGAAAAGCCCGTAGTGAAGTGGGTTTCTATTTTCTTTCCCCTGTGCATGTTTCTACAGCGTTTGCGTCTCTACTGCCGTAGAAGACTGTTATATCGCATCGGTGCTGGACGACACGGTGGCACTTGTCGAGCACGGGGATGTGCTCACACGCTACCGAGGGCACACATGCGAGAATTATCGCATTCACTGCACATTTGACCCCTGTGAGGAGTTCGTGTTGTGCGGCAGCAGCTCTGGCACCATATACTGCTGGTCCCTCTCCAACAACCGTTCCTCGTCAACGGTGCCCGGCGCCCACAGCGGCCCCTTGACAGCACTCGCTTTTTCTAACCCATCACTGCTGAAGGATGGGCGTCTGGTGCGTGACCTGGAGAAGAACGTGATCGACTCGCTGCGCGAGAAGGGCAGCCTGTTGGTGACCGGCGGAAAGGACGGTTACATGCGCGTGTGGCGCTTCTACGGCGCGTAGTGCGCACCGCCCCAACTGTCACATTTTAGTATACTACATTAGTGTTACTTTGTCAAAATAGCCACGAGAAGGGGTACCTAGATCCGGCGGAGTCGTAGTTCGACTCGTCCTCCACGCTCGCATCCTCGTCATCCGTGTACTCCACGTCGTCGCCCCGCCTGGCGCTTTCGCAGCGCAGGACGTACTTGAGCGGGTCGCGGCATATTCGGTCCTTTATCGCTAACGCCACATTGAGGTCATCGGGGTCGTACTGCACGCCATGTGCCAAAATTCGTTGCCTTAACTCACGCTGAAAGGCTGGAAGAAGTCAAGGAAGCTGACGCGAGAGAATTCGTCGTCGCTAATGTCGTTGAAATCGCCATCTGAGCTGAATGACGGCAGCTCCTCGGCTAACTTCTCCTGCAACTCAATATAACTTGGTATCACAACGGTGCGCCTACCGCGTTGTCCTTCCATGCCACCGAGGCAGAATACGTCTCGTCGAAATACCCGTTGACGTTGAATCGCCTTTTCAGCATCGCGTTGGAGAAAAACGGGTTCTCCGCAAAGTAGAACTCGACATCGAATGTATCGCCGGAATTCGGTACTTGTACCGTTCGACATCTAATGTCGCGGAGGTATCCCAGCAGGCGTTTGTCAAGGCATGACACCCGTTTTTTAGTTACCTGGCATCCCATGAGCGCATGTAGCCAGAACATCGGCCATGCCACGGTGCCATGTGCCTGATACCTTTCGTCTACAGGCCTGTTAACTCCCGAAATTTCGCTCAGTGACAGTTCGCTGTAGCATCGCTCCACATCCGACATTCGCGTCCTTGCCAGCGTGTCTACCATGGTCGGATCGGTAAGCAATTTGACCCTCTTGTCCGCTAGTTCGTTTAACGTATCGCTGAACTGTGCGATGATCTCATTGATGCGTTCATTGAACTGCTCGACGGCGTCAGCCTCCTGGAGCTGTATTTCTTGCAGCTCCGTGCATAGCATCTCGTGTTGTTTCGCCATGGTGTGTGCGATATTTCGACGTCATTTACAGGTTCACGTCGGCGCCGCGCGGCTCATCTCAGGATTTTTGGCACATTCTGGCTCGCTCTCCATCCACACTGTAGCCACAGCGCAAGCATTTTTGGCGGCTGCAAATGATTATACACAGAGTAGTTATCGCGCCTACCTCCTGTCAACATGAGCCCAGAATACACATTTGGATGCATGTCCACTGTGTGTACCCGGTCGACGATGTCCGTGGTGACTCTCCGTGACTCTTTACCCGTCTTCGCGTCAATAAACAACACTTTGGCACCGTTTCGGTTGTTGAGGGTGGGTATGATGACACTTGTACCGTGGGTGCATGGTTTGCGCCATCTGTCGAAGGCGCCGACGGTGTTGATGTCGTCGTCTTCGAATTCGATCTGTACCATGTCATGCTGATCCGGCTCGCTGGTCCCCCAGAAGTCTTTAGTGTGGAACGCCCATACGTCCGTGGACTGCCCTACCACTACCGCTCTGTCTAGCGGCCGGTTGTATGCGATATCCCATATACCCAGGGCGGTTCCGTAGCTCCGTATGGTGGCAATAACAGTTTTTTGCGTATTGTCCCATAACCTTATGTTTTCATCAACTCCAGCTGTAAGCATAAGGCTCTTTTCTGGGAAACAGATGGCGGATACTGCATTTTTGTGAGCCCACATTTCATGCACCGGCTTCGTGGAGGCCGGATGTGCTCCCTGCTCCGTGGCCCCACCCTGCGCGAATTTTAACATAGGGTTCCCATTTCCCATGAACCTGAGATCCCAGAGTCGCACCATCCCATCGCCGCCTCCCGTATAAAGGAGGAATTCGTAGGCCGGGGATGGCACGATGGTAAACACGCCTCCATCGTGGGCGCTTTCAATGGAGATGAGGTGCTTATGCACCCTCGACAAGTGATTCCCGATGTCATTCACGGCGTCTAGAGACACATTGCCGCCGGAATCCGCCACAAACATCAGACGCCCATCGGAGCTGAAAGCGAAATCTAGCGGTGAGTGGGTCGCCTGCGAAAAAGGACCAGCCTTTACCGCGTACCAATTGCTCGTGGCATACTTTAAGCTTGGTAGGTCAATCAACGTGATTGTCCCCTCAGTCTCTACAGATACCGCCCTGTGATCCGCCGGGGCGGGAGAGAACCGCGCACGTGTTACTATGCCAGTCCTCTGACCCGCCACGCTGAAAACCGGAATCATTTTTCATTTCTCGCGTATTATATAAGCACACATTTCCTGTTATTCGCCGGTAGCGCCCGATGTCCTCAGTTCTTTATCGTAGTGTGTTAGAATCTCCTCCGGCTCCATGGGAGCAAGTCTCAGCGCGCTGAAGCGTGTTTACTAATTTGTCGTAAGTAAACCAACTCGAGGAGCATGTCTACGTACTTCTGCTCAACTTTCGTGCGTTTCCTAGACTTGAGCAAATCGAGAGACTTAACTATGATTCCAAAATCGTTGCAGCCCAGGCTACAGCAACACCTACAGACCGTTAGCATTTATGTTTAGTCGCTTTGTAGAGTGTCTGACTCACCATGCGACCTGGGTTACGATTTGCGTGGAGCACTGCGGCATGACCTCGATGTACCTCGGCAACAGTGCTTTTATAACATCTGCGTACGCATCAGTATCGAACTGCGACATCGCCAAGCTTACATGTTTTGTGCACTGCGTGGTAGCATCTAAGCGCCTCGAAAATCTGTGCGAATGACATCTTGTCTATTTGTGGGTACTGCGCGCATTTATCTGCGTAGTGTGAGCATCAAAGGAGCAAATGCAGGCTCACCTATCATATCGTCAACCAGCTCCTCGTCGCTATGCCTCAGCTTTGCAAATCCCCAAAGGATGTTGCCTGCGTGGTCGTGAAACATCGCCCTTCATTGCGCCTACTCATTTCGCGCACGTGCATGTCTGGCATGAGCTCTCTTGTGCGTCTTGCCATTTCCCTCAGCAGCAGCGAGTGTCTAAACTTGAGTTTAGCCAATGAACACACTGTGCCAGAGACATTTTCTGGTTGCATGTTGTTGGCGACCTTAATTGCGTGGTTTGCAATTGTTTCCAGCACATTTCGGTCACAGTTGCCGAACCTCGCAAGCGCGTGCAGTGCAATGGGAATCAGGTGCGGCTGAAAGTCATCATGGTCCATTTTGGTGATTATTCGCGTCATACATTCATAGAGTTGCTTATGCTTGATTCCCATTTGACCAAAGGAGTATAATATCAATACAGCATTGGTTGTCGAGATTTCCTCGAGTATAGATTCTGTTGTTGCTACGTTGGCGACGGCGTTCATAAGTTCTTCTACTTCCCGATTTCTTTTTAATAACGTTGCCGTTTGTGCTATGGTTGCAAGGTCGATAGAATTGGCCTCAGATATACGTTCTCGGCACACGGAGAGCATTTGGTCGATGGGTATATCCCTTTGCTGTTTAGACATCCTGCAGAGACCTGTAGTCGTTTAAATACATTTTAAAGTTGCACCAACTGTTGACTATTGGATATAGGAGATACACCGGCATCATGTTAGCACGTTTTAGTGCAAATGTCGCTATGGCCTGCAACCAGGCGCTGCTGATATCCGTCCCGAATATAATTGGCATTCCGTGCGCCACAGCCCTAACTTCCATAGCCGTATACTGCGTTATATTTCTACACATGGCGTCCACAAGTTGAGCGCATTGTGATAGGTGTTTTTTGCGTTCATCTGCTCCAAGTTCCTTCGCCACCTTCTCTACATAAAGTTGCTTATAGTTACCTTCCTGACATACCTATGTATCTAGCTACATCGGAAGGCTTCTCTATGTGTTTTCCGCTGACGGCAGACCCTTGGCGCACGATGAAGCCTAACCATCTACGCTGCAGCGTTGTTACGGCTCCGGGGATGTTCATCGCCATTGTCTGGAATGGCTTCCGTCACTGAATTATATGCTGGCAAATTAGTTTAGTAGACATCTTAAATCATAATAACGGCTACTAATGTAGCCGTATTGGTGACACATCTCATTAATCAGCTTGGTAACTCCGCATCGACCTTTCCGATCCTTCATACATTTCATAATTCTACAGAGATATGCCAATGGTACGTGGAACAACTACAAACGCCATTATTGGAAGGTTTGTTTCTGTTAGGAATATATGTGTAGCTTCGCTCTGTAATTACGAAGGCTGTTGTTCGGGTGGTGTGATGTCGGCACAGCACAACGGCACTGCCAAGCATTCTATTACTTATTTCCAGCCACCCATAGCGCTGTCATCACATGTATATATGATATAAACACGGATGTGTAAGGTATTGGAGCTCGTACAGCTGCTCTGGCATCTCTTTTCTTTACGTGTCTAAACAACAGCGATGTTGCATCTTGGCAGGCATATGTGGAATATTTGCAAACGATTCAACCATACATACATCATCTCATTGTTTATGACAGCACGTTGTAGAATATTGGCACTCTAATATTGCACATTGCCTGAGTTCATCTGGATGGCATTTTTCCAGCTCACTCATATTTTGCAGTAGGTGTGACCTTCACATCTCACAGATGACTCTTAAGACATGATATGATGCCATATTTGTTGCATAATTTCGCACATAATCACGGCAAAACACATCTTCGTTTTCCATGCAGCGTTATAAGTCATCTAGCATGTGAATTTATCACATCGCTTTTGGATGCTGTAGATCTGATTATTTATTTTCCTAACACTACTGGGACACATATTAGCCATAGACACATCGGTATTTCCTTGATTGGCGGAATTTTCCTATGCGAGGAAGGCAGAGCTGACGAAAATTCTCACAGCACTAGAATTCGCCTGCTTAGGAAAGTGAGAACAAAGTTTACACGATACACTCGTAAACTACGTACGTCTTAGAGTAACAATGGAGGAGGTAATATGTGGTGGTGTCACACTTTCATGCCTGCGCAGTACAGTACGGTGGAATACTGGAACCAGCGGTATGCGGAGTGGGTTTCACAAAGCTGCAGATATAAAAGTGTAGAGTTGATGGGACGTACGACTGGTATGTCGATTGGCATTCGTTGAAGGCGCACTTGCCAATTGAGGTGGGCGCCGATTCGCGTATTTTGCACGTGGGATGCGGGACATCGAGTGGGTTTATATAGCGTCTCATATGTAGAAATTCACATCAGAACTTGCACAGGATCTATATGAGGCCGGCATACACGGCGTAAAAAGCGTTGATATATCTGTGCCTTGCATAAATGCCATGAAAGAAATGTTCCCCCATCTCGCTTGTATGTTTGCCCAATGATCGGTTTTGCCAACCGTAAAACGATACACCGTCATTATCTCTATTAGATTCTGTACTGGATGCCACCCACGTGGCTTCGTACTTTCCTGCCGAATCGTTCGATCTTGTCATCGACAAAGGCTGCCTCGACACCATGCTGGTAGGTGGTGTGAATACCTCTTTATCAGTGTTCAGTGCAACAAGAACTTTGATGAGGCCGTGCCTGCAATGCTGAAGGGACTACATACAATTCTCAGGTACGAGTCTTCCACTTTTCCCATCTCATCCCAGTGAGACATCACTACCTCACGTTACAGTGTCTTTCATGCACATTACTCTATTTTAAGACCATTATATGGTTACAATTGCTTGAAATAGACTTATATTGCTATTGCAGGAATACGGGTACTTTGGTTATCGTCTCGGTTGGGTGCCCCGACAACCGCATGATGTACATCGAGGTGGTTGAATCAGTTAGCTCGTGGATACTGTTTCAGCCGAGTGGATTGTGGAAAATTAGCGTTGTTAAGGTACCTAAACGTCACGTCGAGTACCTCGAAGAGGCGTGTCCAACCGCAGCGCTTCAAAGTTTTGGTACGTTTATTCGTGCGTGCATCTAGCTTGTGTCAGGTAACATTTCTGGCACATCCCCTGAAGCGAGAGCCACGTCAGTTGCGAGTTCGTCTATGAGTGAAGAACGCTTGAACAACTTCATTTACGTCTGTCGCAAGGTGATGTGATGCACACCGATATTCGTGGCTCATCAATTTTTTTGGATCGCTGGTGCTCCGGCTGAACTTGGCGCAGCTCCATTCATTGAACACAGACTTAAAAAAATGTCACCGTCTTACATTACCCTTCCGATAGGTGCGATGCATCAGTGTGGCGACGACGATAACGAGGAGGTTGACTTTGAAGGTTGGTTACAGGTCGGTTCGCAGAACCGCTGTATGGGCGGGGAGAGTGTCATGAAGTGCCATTCTGGATCTGGGGGCGCGAAGGCGTGTAATAGCTGCGTTGAGACCGTATGCTGCCGTAAACATGGTGTAGAGAGCACTCACGTGGTCGCAAGGGGTGATCGCTCATGTACCCCGCGCAGCTGTGTGAATATAGTGAAGCGCCAAGGCGGCAAGGTTTGCCGCTGCAAGGGGATCGAGGTGTCGCAGCCCGAACAAGATGATGTATTTTACGTGAACAACAAGCAACATGCGCCGAAGATATTGGTTCAGAAGCCGCAGACTGTGATCGTTAGGAACCATTCTCGGCCGCCGATCGTCGTCCAGCAGCCCCCGCCAAACGTAATCGTCAAAAACGACCCTCCACAGCCCGTGTACGTCCAGAACTGCCCTCCCAATGTGGTGGTGAAGAACGAGCGCCCATCTTCGGTGTTAAAAACCCCAGTGATGCCTATGAAGTTCCCGCAAGTGTACCAGAGCGGATACCCTCCAAACTACATGAAGCAGTGCAACTGTTCGAGGCACACTTACCAATAAGTGTCGCGACAGCACGATATTTGTGGTAGCAGGAAGAAGCATCGCCGAACGCACAGTTCACGATGCGTGTCCTCTCTGCCAGCTATCCGCAGATGACTATTTTCTGTAAAAACGGTTCACGTTTTTACGTAAGCGATGTAAATGAGTCAACAATTCTAACGTGTAATTGTGTTTCGTTTTGTTTACGTGTTTGGTGTCAGGTTGGATTAATGATGTATGGGCGTCGTTCTCCAAACAATCTGAAGATTAATCGCCGCCGTCAAAGGTAAAAGGTGATGACGCTATCAGCTGCCAAATTTCCTTTTAATGCGGCAGTCATGTCTTATATATGCTTATAAGTCGGAGATCCATGTTCCATGGCAACTACAAGGCATTGCCTTAAGGGTTGTATCTGATATAAATGCCAATGCATACACGTACATAAGCCACCAACAACGACTATGTCTGTTAAGAAGTTGAGGCAGTTAATATCGTGGTCTTTAATGTGCCCATCTGAAACGAATACTACATAAAGACAATAGAGCGCGCCACAAAACATTACTGTTAGCTACACCACTCTCAAAGGCAACATCAATGTCATGTTGACGCAGAAGCATCGCCGAAATGGATTCCGTAAAATTGGAGCGCTTATGCCGCGAAGGCATAATGAACTGTAACCACGCGAATGAAACAAGCACATAACCTGTTTGGCACAACAATACGATATCATATAACGAATACTATACCTTTGATAAACGTAAAATTTTGAAATGTGCTGGATCGAAGCGCCAGCAGCTCGAATCTAATGTAGAGAAGGAACAATGCCCTCTCGCAGCTGCGCCGTCGAAGCAACCGCCGCACACACCGAGAGCCGGTCGATATTACTGCCCAAAGAAAGCTCAATTACACCGCCATTTAAGCAGACGGCGAATGATACGCGACCACCCCGCCTAGCGACAGCAACGGCAGGGGACGCGGCGGTTCCCAATCGAAACCGGTGAATACAACTCAGATGGCAAACATATAAATCAGTCACCCTTAGAAGTGAAGAACATTGCGTAAAAGAATGATACCACGGCGGAAAAGGCGACGCCGCCGGAAGGGGCGGCGGTGATACATCGCCGTGAATCGCGACGCACAAAAGATAGAACGGTGCAGTATATCGCCGAAACGCAGTACAAAAACACAGAGTTTGAAGAATAGGATAGTGGTTGATGACAACAAATCTGGTAACAGCCAGCCTTGGAAGCGGGGCATGCGGCACGGCCTAAAGTCGAATGTCCTACTGCTGATGTAACCTCATGTGACGTATCACCAGTATCGCAATAAAGTTAAAGCGCAATTAAAAGTCACAAAAGTTGATGCCGCCGTCTTTTTTTATACATGGTAGTTGTAGGGCCTCAGTCTACCGGGAAGCATGCCTTCTCCAACTTATATTGGCAACTTCGGACACATGGCATATCACCGAAAATAAAAAAGATTTCATTCATAGAAATCAAAGCAATTTAATCTCTATATTTTGTTGTATATATTCGTCAAAAAGGCACCATACTACCCACATGACGCGGGCTGCATGACCCTTCCAGATCCGCTTTTGGCTCTGCATGTCTGCGTTGTCCGTGGGACGGAGCTCGGGCAGGTAATCCAGGTCACAGTAGGAAGCATTACGGTGGTCGTGGTTAAGTTCTCGCAAAATTTAGGTGTATAAATATACACCTCTCCGCGGCCACGGGATTTCGTGTTTCCGGCGGGTGGGTCAGTTCGCTGCCGTATCGGATTACGCCTGCCATTGCTTTCGGCACGTATTCCAGCTAACATTTCATATTTCTCGCGGCTTAATATTGTTGTATTGCGCCTGCACGGAGCGTTATTTGCAGGCATTTTCATTTGTCAGTTCGGCGCCTTGAAGATTGGAGGTCGTCGATTATATCGCTCGTTACCTGGGGGAGTATCTGGGCTACTGGAGCTGCATACAGGTTCCTTTTTACAAGTGGATTGTGCTTTTGGATTACTTCTTTTTTAACCATGGGCGGAATCGATGAAGTTTACAAGCCTCAGTGGCACGCTAGGTTCAAGCCACTTTTCAAAACTAACACCTTTGAGAAGGCGGTTGTTTTCATCATGGGTGTTAGTATCATGCAGCCGCTGCACGTCACCGTGGCTGGTGGTTCCTTCTCAGTTAGGCGTTTCGGTCTTGGTCCGGAGAGTATTGGTCCTTTTATGGGTATTACTTACTCCTTCCAGCAGCTGTTTTGCCTTATGGGTTCTCTTACATCAACCGTCCTGAGTCAAACTTGTGAAAAGAACTACGCCCAATATTGGGTTTACATTAATGGGACGTACTCTATGGTTCTGTGCACCTTCATCACCATGCTTAACACGAGGCTTTTGCTGCTGTGTGCCACTAGCATTGGTGACTCCAATCTGACGGCGTACTACTGGACTCTTGCGTTTACGGGATATTTGTTCGGAGCCCTCGACTCGCCGGTGCGTACACTTAGTGCTGGTAACGGTATGTGGTTCAATCTTGGGATGGCGTTCAATGGATTCTGTGTTAACATTATCCACGCCTTGGTGCCTAAGTTCCTTCCTCCTTCCGGGGATCTGCACTACTGGACAATCTACTGGCAGATTCTCTTTACTACCTTGCTTTCTATGGCGGTTGGTATTCTGTGGACTATCCTTATCATTTTCGACAAGTTCGGTCCTCCTAAGCCAGATTACAGCTGTCGTAGGGGTAAGGGCGCTGGCTTGGAGGATGCCTTGAGTGGTGGAATGATTCACATATTCCTGGTTTGTGGTAGTCTGGGTACTCAGTTCTGTGTTTACCCAAGTGTTGCACCTTTCTCTATTGTTACCCCCGACAAAGCGCAGAACGTTATCAGAGCGTGCCTGTACCTCAACGCTCTCGTTGGTGTCGCGGGTGTGCTGTTAAAGGATTACTGCAAGTTGGGTATGCCATGGACTTCGGAAAATGGTAACGAGTTCTACAAGGCTTCGCTGTTCCTCTTTGTTCCCTACTTTGTGCTCTTCTGGTTGTTCATCTACGTCTTGCATCACCCCAAGAGTTTCATTGGTAGCATGATCTACATGAAGCCAACTGCGGTCTTCGTTCTCACTGTGGTTTACTTCCTCGTCGGTGGTTTGCTGAAGACGGCTGGTTTCGGTGGTGCCTACAGCAATATGGCTTACGGTAACGGTAAATCTGGAGATGGTAGTGGTGCGGGTAAGGCGATGACAATTCTCGGTACCAGTGTCATGGTTACTCTGGTCACTACAAAGTTCATTTCTGCAGGTTATCTGAGAGCGTTCCGTGCTGCCAAGAAGGGTTTGGACTCTGGTCTCCCATGGCCTACTGAGGACATGAGTGAGGTCAGGGCTTTCTTCTACTGGCTGAAGTGTGGTCTCGTTGGTGCGGGTAAGACCTTCCGTGATGTCTTCACGACGGACATCCGTACCAAGGTTTTGGTTTGAGAACATTGTTCGAGCTTGCGGCTGTTTATGTGTTTTAGATTCTGATGGCCATGGGTTTTCGCATCGCAGGCTTTCCCTTCGCAGTGTCATGTTAGGAATTTACACGCATTATATGTGTGAGTTGTGTATCATGCACTGCTATCGTTTCGGGTTTTTCGGATGGATGTTGGCCGCTCTCGGGTCCTACCTGTTTTCGTCTCCGGCTGCGTCGTGAGCCAGTCGCGTGTGATCAGCGTCACGCCGTGATCACCTACCCGCATAATCCACACGGATGCTCACTTCGGGTAGATGTGATCCGGTACGCCTGCGTCGCTGCGGTGGCTACTTAAATATTATTAACGAAGTTCGTAATTTTGTGATTTCCCACAAAGGTGGTTACTAGCGCCATTGCGCAGCAGAGGTGAAATATCTCGTGGAATCCGAAGTAGTGGGGCGAGGGGTTTGGCGCCTCCTTGGCGTATATGATCCCTCCCGACATGTAGATTACAAGAGTCGAGCACGCAGAAAGGAGACCAGTGAAGCACTTCATGTTGTAAAGGGCGTAGCATAGATAGACGTAGGGTGATCCTACTGCGAAGTAGACCAATACCCTGTACGACGGCGGTGCGGCGACGAAGCTGAAAGCTAGCGCTCCTACTGTGCCTGCAAGACAATGGTGCTCTTGTAATGTATCCAATCATTAAAGTTTCAAAATCCCAAAGGGGATGAACAATGATGTAAATAGTAGCGTTAATTTCACACTCACCTAGAGAGATGCCGGTCCACTGTATCAGGGTTGCCAGTATGCCCAGGTCATCGCTGATTGCGGCGAATGACGACGGTACCGCGGAGCCTCCAATCATGAGGAAGATAACTGCGTGTTGTTGGTTCGTTATTGCGGCAGATCACGTACAGGCGTAGTCCAGCTTCAGGCACACATCATACGACTGCATGTTCCACGGCATATGGTGGAGCATGGAACTGGCCGTAAAGTTGAGAATACAGCATACGAACGCGATGTTGTACTCTGCAATGTAGTTCTTGTCCACCACCCCTAATGTAAGCCATATTATCAGCACCGGCGACATGAGGGCCAGGAGGAGGTGTATACATCCTCTGAGGATGGGAACGTAACGCGGGGATGATATCGTCTCATGCACTGCATCATCAATCCTGGATTTTTCTGCACTGATACGTTTGAAGGCGTCCGACATTATGCGCGAGTCGCGCAATAACCTCTGCTCCGGGCCGCCTATCATCGGTTCAGCGCCGGACAGGCTGATACCCGTCTGCTGCAGTTGTAAACCCATTACTGGTTTCTATTTCATGGCACGTTGGTGTACGTTGCGCTTGCATCTAAAGCGCCGCCCTGGATCACCGGTTGATGGTTGAGGCGTTCAACGGTATCTGTCTTTCTGATACTAGGTGTATTTTGGAAAGACGTTATTTTACGTGACGGTAGGTCGTCGTGCTGTATGCCGGTGTGTCCTCGCTGTGGACAAGGGCGTGCACATGTGTGATGGACATCCGTTGTTTCTGTGTAGGGTCGTAAAAAATTACGTGCTTCATCTTTCAGATTCGGTGTCGAAAAAATTTGTTCTGACGATCGCTATCGCACTTGTCTGTTCTCCGCGCAGTCTTTTGCGCTTCAGCGGACGTGCCGCCATAAGCGGTGGTCTTCTACTTTACACATCACCCCATGGTATGTGATAGATTACCGCTATTTTCCACGTGTCCAGTACCCAATCAAACACCATTCACCATTTTCTACGCAAGGGGGGAAATTCGCAAATATATATACTTTGTGTGTTAGATCAGAGTTTTAGTGTACATGACGTCGCAGTCGGCGGTGTTCCACAGCCTCGGCGTGTTGAAAAATGATTGGCTGAGCATCATGGCTCGTTTTGCGATTTGGAAGTCCGGGAATGCGGCGATTTTAGCCAATTTTTCGTCCCCCTGGTTATCCAGGAACAGCCTTCCGTAGGGGTTGTCCAGCAGCCTGTGTGACTTTGCCTCCGTGTCGCCTACGTTGAGTATGTTCTCCAGCGCGCTGAGGACCACTCGGCATAGCCTGATGTTCCCCTCGCTCCGCGGGTCGCTCTTGCAGACGAAGTCAATCACATCGCACATTAGCGCCATGCAACTGTTGCTCCCTGCACAGTGTGTCAGACGGAATGGGCGTACACTTACCTATTGCACATGATCTTGAGGTGCACGAGACGATATAGCCGACCTGTTTTCGGTTGGCGCGGGACGCACAGGCGCAAATTGCGTACGCCGCCTCCACCTTCGTATCCTGCTCGAGCACCTCACGATAGGTCCTCACGAGCGTCGGTAACGCATCCGCTTCTATGATGGTCTGTACCTCGGTCTCCGATTCGCACCCTAAGTTGCCCAGGGTGTTCGCCGCTCGTGTTCGGAGCATAACTGACGAGATGGGACAGTTGAGCATCTTGACGATCGCCTCAGCCACACCCATGTCAAGCAGCGCTGCAGCTTGCCTGCGATTCGCGGTAAATGCAATTTTGCTTATAACCGATAGTGCGTCGAATGTGAGCTGGTGCATCTGCGGGGTGACGCTGTCCCTCATCTGCGATATCGCTGACCCGTCATAGACGTCCTTGTCCATGAGTGTGCTGAGAAATTCCTCATGTTTAGTAACTACAGATAGTGCGATCTTTAATACTCCAGGCAGGCAGTTTGCCTCCAGGAGCATGTCTACTCCGAACCGATGTTCGCCTAAGCAGACAAGCGTTGCGCATGTTCTGCTGAGCACCTGGTAGTCAACGCTGTTGGCGATCACGTCTGCAAAGTACTTCACTGCCCGTCTGCACATGCTTGACAGGCTTGTTTGCATGTGTAGGCGTACGCCGGTTGTCACGTTTTCGACAAGCTTCGGCAAGAGCACCTTTGCGACGAGCACGTGACAGAACTCTGTGGAGGCCGCGTCGGACTTGCCGCACACGCAGGTGAGCGCCTGATCAACCACATCGTACGGCATTTGGACGACAGTGAGCAGGTTCTTGAGGATCGACACGGCCGCATTCCACATCTCGTCTTCCAGCCTGCTGTTGTTGCGACTGCCGCATGCATACTCCATCAGCAGTATGACACTTCGCAGCGCGTCGCCGGTGAACAACCGTGAATAGCTTTTAGACGGCATGTGTGTCGTGATTTCGTTGAGAATCTTTGCGCACTCGCATTTTATGGCATTATCGGCGTTGAAGGCTCCCGCCCCGAGAGGCCTGACAACATACAGTTCCAGCATATTTCTCGTTGTCAGCTTCTGGGTGTCTTCTTCCGTGAGTATCTTGCCTCCCAGGTCGTCCCCGTCGCCGTTGTGCGCCTGTATCGACTTGCGCAGCACGGCCAGTGCCTGCAGCTTCGCTCCCACATGTGCGTCATTTTGCAGCCCTCCCAAGACCTCGTCGAATAGAGAATCCCTTACTTGGCAGCCACTTGCCAGGTGCGGCAAAAGTTCGCTGAGTGCCGTGTCTTGTGTTTCTCCTTGGTCGTGTTTTGTGTAGGTCGCGGTGGTCCATGGTCTGCCGTCGCTCACCATCCGTTCAAGCGACACTGTTGGCGCACATACATCCGGTTCGTCAGTTCCTGGCCCTCCTATTCGCATCGGAGCGGCCTCTTCCAGGGGTTGTCCAGTCACATCCGGGGTGTGTTGGTGTGCGGGGTGTCTGCCGCCGTGGTCAGGTGGGGGTGTTTGTCGTATCTTTTTGCCTATGTGCAACTACACATGCCTCATTAATCATGCAGTTATAGAATATACCGACTGAGTTGCCGGCTGTGGTGTCACGTCTCGCTTCGTTCGTGTCTATAATGCGTTCGTCCGCCACTTTTGGCGTTGCGCGTAATGGCAATCCTTCTTGAAACGAGTTTTGCACGAAAACGTGCCCACAATGCATGTATATAACGGGCTATGCCGATGCTAGGCTAGTGTGTAAATTCACTGGCCGACCTTCCAGCGGCAACATGTTCTGCGGGCCTTGCGCATTGAACTTGGTCGCCACAATCATTCACTTATACTTCACGGCGATGAAATATTCATATCGCATTTCGTTTAATCGTCTGTGACCTTCACGCACCGTGATGGTCGTTTTACTCCAACCCGGTTAGGGTAGGCATCTAGGACAGGGTCTCGATGTCGCGCGCCGAGGCTTCTCTGGCCTCCGGCAGCGGCTTCGACGAGGAGCTCAGCCGCTTCCTGTCGGCTGCTCACGGCGAGAGCTTCGTGGAGCTACTGCGCAAGAAATGCGCGATCGGCAAAACCATCAGCGAGTCGTTCACTTGTTCTGACGCCGATGCGTTCACTTTCGCTCAATCGCTATCATATCGCAAACCATGGCAGATCGCCGTGGACGAGTTCGAGGTCAAGATGCGCCGCAATGGCGATCGTCAGAGTGCGAGCTTGTACTGCATATTCCATCAGCAGTTGTGCAAGGATTGGCAGGTCCGTGAATGTCTGTTGGACCGCAGCTTCCGCATCTTCGAGATCCTACCACATCGCAAAACCTTGCTGCACCTGTCAGACCCCAAGACTGCGTGTCTAGTGCTGCTGTCCTTTTGTTTTGGCCTGGATAATGTGATATTCGTCGGACTGCACAACGTGCCTCACAGCAGCTGTTTACCCGGGCCGTACCTGGGCCTGCTTCATCCGGGATCTCGGGAATCATTTTTGGATGCAACATGTCACCTAGAGAAACTGCACCGTGACAAATCACCTTCTGCTGGCAATGATGCTGAAGACGATAGGCTGGAGTGCAATGGGCGTTTGGCAGAGATATCGTATTTGGCCTCCGAATTCGACGATCTGTTTGCCTACGTATTGTGCGAGCCAGAATGTTACAGCGCGTTCACTGAACCGCTACTGCGACGCATGTACACCAATAGGCTCTACGGAAGACTGGCGCTGTCGGTGTTCATGCGTGGCTACCGCGAGCGCTACCGGGAGCAGCCGCTGGTTTCTATTTTGAAGCGTTTCAACGATCTGTTGCGCATTGTTTGTCGGATACTGAACGACGTTTACCACAATCGCGGCGGCAGGGGCGCGTCGGACAACCGAAACTTCGGGACGATGGCGGTCATCACGCTGATATACTCATACCTCTATGCCATACTGAGTATCCCAGTCCGCCTCACTCCGTGGAACAAGACTGAAAAGGGGGAAGCATGTACGTGTAAAAGTGTTGTTAGGAGTGATGACGTGGACTCAGGAGCGCAGGTCCACGTCGCTGGCTCGTCACATTCAAGCAACGCAGCCTCACCCACCGCCGCTAATGACGCATCAGCCGGTCTGCCATCTCACCATAATGTTGGTCTCATTGGTGCGGACTTCGCATCAGCTGCAGCTGATGCTGCGTGCGTTGAAAGCACACGCCGGAAGGATGTGATCATGTCGCACGCCATAGGTTTGCTGGGCGACGATGTCACTTGGTTGCGCCGTTCGGAACGTTACGTGGACGTGATCGACAACTACAAGCTGAGTTTGTGCTGGTACCGCCGTCCCATGTACAGCAACTGTTTACACACGAACTTCAAGGTACTGTGTCCATGGGCGATAATGTACCACCAAGCGTGCGTTGGACCCTGCGCATCCGCGTGGCTGGAATGGCAGGGGAAATCGATCGAATCGTGGTCTTCATTGCCGCTTTGGCGCAATGCAGCCCCCGCAGACAGTAAGACTGCAAAGACGGGTGGTGATTGCCTGCGTTGCCTCAAGCGCTTGGTATGCTTGCGTGTTCGGGACTGCGTCTCCTTCATCTTCGACCTCGAAACAGACATTAAACGCACCATACGAAGACACTACGGCGCCTAGCAGACTTCTGAAATTGAAACACATAATTTATCGCTGAATAAGCAGTTCACGACTCAGTTGTCTCTTCCCTCCGTTTGCCAGCTGTCATTGCCGCTGATTGCTGAGGCACTTTTAGCGATTTGACATTCCGGCCGCATATTCACGCATATTGTGGCATGGTGTTTTGGTTGAAATGACTCTGCGTAATAGCGAACTATGACGAGATAGGTGGTGTGATACCGATACAGATCCTGGCGTCGCAAAACCGCCAGTGCCCATCCATTGAAACAGCATACCACCTATCACGTCACGAATGAATGAGGGACGAACTGCATTAGAAATTACAACCTCTTAGTCTATTTTCGAGATTACGCTAAATTGCCGTTGTGATTGGCTGCAGCAGAAGCCTATATAAGCCGCCGCCTTTTATTCAGGCACGGACATGTATTCGTTCAATGTATCCTGAAGGTAGGCCTTCTTCAGCACCCGATTTATTGAACGCCAGAGCTGGAAGTTAACGGAGTGCACCTGCACTCCGGACCGCTTGAGCAAGTTGTGTATAATCAGGTCCACGCCTATCGGCTTTGAAGGGTCGTTGCGGCAACTGGTTTCGTTGACGACAATTTGCAACATCTCTCCATCGATATTGATTTCCAGGGCCGATATAGCTTCAATGGCATCGGCGGATCCCTTGCCCTCTGAGGCAGTGTAGTTAGTAGGCCTATGTGTCGTAGTCTGAGGTGTGACGTTCTTAAGCTGCATCGTAATGTACATCAGCCATAATACACTTACCCCAAGTTCGTTTTGCAGTATATCCGCCATCTCCTCAATTTCCGCCCCGAATTGTGTGCCATTTCCGTGCCTCAACAGCCATTCCCTCATACCAGCAGTGATGCATCTTTTTGGCATGTTCACGTTTAATTCGGGAAACCTGACGACCTGGTAGAGCCATATTGCAAACACACGATATTTGTATTGCTCCCAGACCGTACCGCTGCCTATCTTCCGCAGCAGGAATGAGAGGATGTATGGGTTGGTGTCTGCAGCGCGGTTGTGGCTACTCTACCGGTAAATCTTACCATGGGCACTGGTGGCACATACTGCGAAAGCTAGCATTATTGCCGACTTCTCGTCCAAATCATCGATGTGCTCTTCAAGGTAGGTCATAAGGCCTCGCACGAGCGCTTGAGTTTCTTCTGCGTGCTGGGCGAAATTTGCAACATGATACGCTACGACAGCCATTTGAGGTATTGTAAGCTGCGTCTTGGTATACACATGTGTTGCCGTTTCGAGTTCATCAATAAGTCGCTGAGCGAGGCTGCTGTAGGCCGGACCGAAGTATAGCCTCATGGAGGCAAATGCATGTACGCACCTGGCCAATTCCAACGTGCCAAACTCATTCTGCCTTTCCTGTATCTGCTTTGCTATCCACACCAGCACATCGTCGTGCATCTTGCTGTAGTTCTGATGCGCCGCGTAGGCCATAGCAACATGGCTGAGGTCGTTAACGGTTAGTGGCAGCCGTGGCAGTAGCGCAGCTGCTCGCGAGAAGACTTCGTGGTCGTATACGTCGACTTTGGCAAAGATTTTTAGCGTATCCATGACCATTATGGCATTTGCATGAGCTTCAGTATGCTCCATCGGCAGTTTGTATATCTCCCTGCATACCTTCGAATACAGTGGTATATCATAGAATCCGGCTCGGACGTAGCATTGACACGCCTTCAACAACAGTTTACCGCTGTCATGGGCGACATCGTATTCCAGACGATCTAGCGGCAATCGCAAAAGGTGCCGCAAGATCCCGTTGTACAGTCTGAAGTATCTGTGTTCGAGCGCGTCCAACGCTATGATGATGTGGCATGCCGACTCCACGTCGAGTTTGTGGCGGTTTTCGTAGAGATCGTGTAGCAACAAGTCGTACCTTTCGTCTCTCACTATTATCTCCGCTACCGGCCTACTGTGCTGCCTGCAGCTGAGGTAATGTCTGTTGGCCGGGTTGGTGAAGTGCGTTAGAATCTCATCGGTGGCCTTCTTCAGGATGCTTTGCTGCGTTTCCGTCAACGCATCTGGATCATATTTAAGGTTTTCCGTCACCCCCAGATGCTCATTCTGGGCAGTCAATTGATTCGGTTGCATATTATTAGTTACGACGTTCGCACCATGCGTTTCGTCTTGGCCGTAAGCACCAACGGTCGGTTTCGCTGCGCCCTCATTTGGAGTCGACTGCGCAGCGTACACGACACCTTGTGAGCTATCCAGATCCACATCACTGCTGAATACTTCTTTGTATCCTGAGAAAAGGTCATCGGCGTCTGGTTGCGTTCTCTCCAGGCGGTCACGTTCTGCGAACCCCTGCAGCATCCTTATTGCAGTCACCAGGTTGTGGAGATACATGACACCTGACGCAACGTTAAAGTTGGGGAAGCAGTAATCTCTTACCTCTGTGGGTCACCAGTAGAACGAGCAAGTCTTCGTGGTCCTCGCATCGTGAGAGTAACTGGTCAGTCTGCATACAGACCTCATTCACGTATATCGATCGGTCCTGTATCTCGTGATATGGCACACCTGAGGTCGACGAAGGGGTTTCCGGCGGCCAAATAGACGCATTCCTTGCCGGTGCCTGGGTGGAAGCATGGCCGCTAACATCGTGGAATCTCGCTCGGCTCTGGCGCACCCAAAGACACCAGCAACATGCCTTCTCCCAGGCCCGGAGACCTGCAGGGGTCACACGGTTAGCTTTGAGTATACATTTAAACAGATGGGTGACGTGACTCATTTTTTAAGTGTGGTCATAAGTGTGTAGGTGTTTCACGTGTCCCCTGTACAACTGCGTTTGTGACATTGCTGATTTATGCCGCTGCACGCCTGGCAAATATACAGCAAATAACATGTGCGCTCACTTGCGCGAGCGTTTCGTTTTCTTGGCACGGCCTTCGTCGTCGTCGTCGTCGTCCGCTGCCGCTACAACACCCTGGTCGATTTCGTTGTCATATTCGTTTTCCTGCGGTACATTAGCTGGGTCAAACAATCCTAGCAGTATACTGAAGTATGCAATGTCTCACCTCGCCAGTCGGTACCAGGAAGTCCCAGACGTAGTCGGAGAAGAATCCCTTCCTGAGGTGCGTGCCGAACCCTGATGAGCTATATTCTAGCTTTCCGCCCTGGCCGTTTTCGGCATCTCGGGCCTGGAGGCGTCTAGATTTCGTTCTCGTCCCGTAGACGTGGCCGCCTTCCGGCACGACGTCCGCCGTGACCTCGGCTGCCGGCCGCCTCTGGACCGTTTGTCTCTTAACCGGAGGCTTAGGCCTTATCGCACTGGTATCTTTGCCCAGCATGTTCTCAACGTTGTACTGCTCGAACGTCTCGTCGCGTTCCTTCCTACGGCTGTCGAGTCGCATGATCAGTTCGACGGCGTTCTGCGCCGCAATTCCATCGCCCTTGGATTCCACCATCTCACGGAGCGTTTCCTTGTAAAATTCAAGTGTTTCCCGCTCCTGTTCATTTCCCTTTGTGGTCGAGGAGAGGATCTCTCTCCAGTGGTAGTGGAAGTTGTCCTGAGCGTCGCTCCATGCCGGAAAAATGCTCTTGAGGTCGAGCAGCGCCTCGTAGCACTCGTTGGCTGCATGTTCAGGCTTTTCCTCGGCCATTATCTCCGTCTCAGAATATGCTTGTACATCGTGAGGTGTGTGCTCAACGCGCATACGTCCTGCGACCGCACGCTGGATGTGCCGCATGGACACGAATCTTCACAATCACAAAATGACACCCGTCATTGAAGCATTAGTAAACCTATTTTTCATATCATCCGGATTTCTGTGTATATTGAGTTGCGAAAATGCCGTCCTCCATAGTTGGTCGGTCCACGGTAAGCGGATTTCTGCGCTTAACGCCAAGGATTCCACCCGCTCCTCTCGTTTTCTCGTCTCGAAGCAGCTATTCATTCACTTCTACGTGGTAGCGCTGCTAGTCAATGCAGTCGTCTTATTCTGGGTTTGTCTCTGAATGTGTAAGCGAAAATGCCGCTCAGGAACTCATATTTCGCAAGCAGTTCAACATTTTCCGCGTTATGTTTGGCATCCACGTTGCTAGACGGTACCTGGAGCAGTTACGGTTGTTTAATAGACTTCCATGTTCGAATATGCACTTCACGGCCTACCTTTTCGGGGTGAGGTGAGTTATGTCCGTTCTCGTGATGGATGGCGCCTTTTCGCACATATGTCGCCTAATGGCATGCTTATATTGCTGTCTATAGGCTGTATAAGCAGTCGTTTGGTATATGGTTATTAACGATGTCGTTTACCTACATGTAGATGGGTGATATCCATGTTCATGCACCCTAATTGATTTCAAACGTCATTTATAATGTCGACGCCGCATAATGTGCAGCTACTATCTGATGGTGCCTTTCGCACTTTGCAATCCAACATATTCTTTTACGATGCTACACGTGGTTGGATTTGCACTATCGCAGTACATTCAGGTAGGTGATGACAGATAGTAAACCATTAGGCGCACGAACGCAATATGGTTTAGTTTCGTGTCTATATCTTTATATACGCCACTGTCACGTAGTGGTGCTGCATAGTGTTCGCAGCAACCGTGTTTCGTGCCCTGTCCGTCGGTACGCTCCAAACCGGTTGCATACCCCAATATATACACACGAACTCATTGATGTACAGTTCAAGTCGCATTACATTTTGTACGCGACAAAGCGGGCCTCCACACGCTACGGTGAGATGACCTATGCTGTGCCCACCGGTGGCCCTTTCAACTACGTTTTGTGTCCGCACTACTGCTCCGAGATCCTGGCGTATGTGGTGCTTTCCTGCAACCTGGAAATGTAGGTTACACGCTGATTGGCGTATATAATCACAGGCTATCGTGTCTCCTCTTCGTTGCCATCGCGTTGACGGTGCAGTGTGGGTTTTTCCGTTCTCATGCCGATTATAGTCGTCAGCTCTTGCGAACCGAAACTGGTACAAGTCGCTGTTTCTACCGTCAGAATTGCACACCGTTTATACTATGGTGCCGTATGTCCTGTGAGTTACGCCCTGCAAAGGCCGCGGCAGCGTGACTGTGCTGCGCTGTTCACGCTGGCAGGTACTCCCTCCACGAAGAGGCTCGAATCGCAACACAGTTGGCAATTGCTAACCCTATCTTCAATGCTTAGTTTTTCATCACCAGCATCGGTGTCTGCACGTTGTTCTGTTGTTCGCAAATCGTTGGACTCACCTGGAGTGCCTGATTTCCCCCGCTGCACCAGGTGCGTGGCGCAGTTGCGCCACAGGTTATCTGCCACCTTTTGCAACATAACCACCACATGGTCCATATTGCGGCACTGTTTGTAGCAGGCATCTTGCAGATCGGGTGCGTCTTCGTGCTTTCGCTCGCAGCAGACTGCGCAGTAGTTGGCCTCACAGAAGCCGACGCTGCTCGGCGCAATCACCTTGCAGTGTTCCAGCCTGTCCACAGCTAGACAGTTTTCACCACGCGTCGGTTCTGGCCGTAGCGGCTCACTGTCCAGGTCTCGCTCGAAGGCTCCGTGCTTGTGCGCCGCGTAATTTGGGACGAGGCTCACGTCGGCAAATGCGCATCCGGCACAGCCTACGCTCAATAGACCAACAGTGCCTCCCAGATGCACTGCATCTGGTATCGGCGTGTTTATGAACACTGCTTCCAGTGTCTGCTCACCGATTGACGCCGTGATGGCATCGGGCTTGAACACCAGTTCAACGTAGTTCCATATTCCCGTCTTGATACCCTTTAGGTCGGTTTCCGCAAGAACGTTGCGAGTTCCCTTGTGCATCTGTATAATGCTGCAAGCACGAGCGCTACACTCGAATGCCACGTAGTTTCCAGCGTCTCCGAAATGTACCAGGAGCCCCAATACCCCCCTTGCGTCGCACTGTGGGAACATCGACGCTCGGAATATACCAGATTTGCAGCTGCGTCCACCCTTTAGCAGCGCCATGGAGGGTTCTATCGACCCGTCTATGGCCTCGAAGGCCCTGTGGGCGATCACCCTGTCCTGTCCGGCGATATTGTTCTCCACGCTCCAGTGCTGCACAGTTTTTAGTGCACCGAGACTGCTATTCACATACCCCTGCATTGTCGAGGACGCGCCAATTGGCGTTGAATCCGACCGCGAAGCTCTCCTTGTACACGCCTGGTGGTATTTAAATGCTCATGGCAATTAACCTACTGCAGATGGGCGGCTTTGGAGGAGTCGGGGGCTTGTCGTATCTCATACACGGCAGCGTTTCTACGTGCAGTCGTGCGAAGTGAACCAGGTTGATCTGGCCGCTGAAGAGTCCCACGCTGCCACTGGCATGTGTGCAGTCGATGATATCGATTGCACTTGGTGGAACGTCAAATACGGGTTCCAAACCCTGCACAATTGCGATTGATATTCTACACTGCTGCGCTTCTATACGCACTGTATACCACACTGCAGGAACATTGCCGGAGATACATGAGCAACCTCACCTCCGTCGACGAATCCTCCGTCTTCGATTTTCGCTATTTCGTAAGGGTCGCCGTTGACAACGCGGATCAAACGTTTGTACCCGCCATTCATCTGAACCATTTGCAGGAGATAGTAATTGAGGTCATCGAGCACCCGGAAGGTCAGTCCCATTGTCCCGCTGCTGCCGGCAAAGATGGAAGCGGAGTATACAAAATCGTAGTATTGCGCGTTTGACAGATGCAAAAACGCACCGCTCACGGAGCCGCGTGCGCCAAATTCGCTGGTCTGCGATATCACAGTTTCGGAAGCGCCCTTCAACGACAAGCTGGAAACGGTCCACTTGGGGACCCCCTGAAGCTCCCCAGCGGTGACCGCATGGAAAGTTTCGAAAAGGCTGCTTTGGGTGACACCATCCCCTGACCACGACTCGAAAGATTTTTGTATCGCCTCCTCCCTTTGCAGCGCTTTTATGCCGTTGATCAGCGGTTCCTTTTTGTACGTGACCCTCGCAGCTAGCCATTCGATCTTCTGTTGCATCATCTTGACACCGTCATCGAGTTTGTCCAAGATTTCCTGCAACCGCATAGCAGTTTTGTACGTCACAATCATACCTCTATGGGCTCCCTCTGGATGTCGGCGCTTTTGATGAGATGGATTGCGTGCGCAATTGTTTCCGAGGTATGGTGGTGAAACATGTCGAGAAACACCGGCGCAGACTTTCCGCTTTGCTGGTTAACCTGAGCCACTAGCGTGCCTATAGCCTCGCCCGTAGCGGCGTCAAGCGTCAGAGCTTGGTTAAAGAGTCGTGCAGGCTGCGGTTTGTCCTCACCCGGCCTTCTGACCGTTAGCGTAGGCTCTTGCTCTGCAAGTGCTTCCGCTTTCCTGTCGATGAGAGGCTCCACTTTATGCACGCTGCAGGCGTCCTTGCTGCGCGTGACCTTAAATGCCAAATCGCCCACAAGGGATGGCACGCTCGTGCTTTGGATACCATTTTGGTAGAACCCCTCGAATTCTGCCGGGGCAGTCGCCTTTTGCACCTCCAAAGTCACATTTTTGCCGTATTCGCCTGCATGTATGGCAGCTATGCATATCGGCGTTTTGAGTGAATAGAGCCCGTCGTTTCCACCCTCTACTTCGACGCTGTCGTCATCTGTAAACATATATCGACGTGACTCGAGCCGCTTACAATTTTGAAGGCAGTTTTGCGGACAAGAGGCTTTTACCACCCTGCCCACGGGTGCCTCATTGAATTTGTCGTGTTCCCCCAGCAGAGTGTGGCAACCCAGTTTCACAACCTCCGGGGGGAGCCTGATGCTTGAGTAGTTGCTCGAGCATATGATGCCGGTCATGTCGTTTTCTCTGCCATCGACGTATTGCATCCCCTCCGCCGCAATCACAATGATGTTGTTCTCCTCATCCGTCTTGAAGGGAACCATCCCGGTCACATCTTCCCTCAGGTCTAGCGACTTGAACTTCTTCCCAACCTTGACGGCGATGGGATAGAGGCAGTCCGGTGTGACGTCCATAGTTTTAAGCATGACCCTCAGAGCGTCCGTTTGCGACTCGTGATGCAGTTGTATGGGATCCAGGCCGTATTTGCGGCATGTTTCATAGACCTCAGAGAGCGGTATGCGACCGCTTTCAACAGCTGAGAGCGTTGTCATATCCGATGCAAATGAACTTACATGTCACGTAATACGAGGCGCCAGTGTACATGTCGCAATAAACCCTGATGCTGTGATTGGCGCATGGTGGGTGAATATGGTAGAACCCGCTGGGGTTGCTTTCAGCTCGATTTTTGATTTCTATGCAATCTGCCGGGAGGTGCTCTTCGAAACCAAATTGCTCTTCTAGTTCTAGTTTGGCCTCGAATCTGTATGTGGCATTCGAAATGCGCTGAAAGGTGCTCTCCAGCTCCTGTGCTCGCTTGAGGGTATTGACCTGCTTCCTTTTGCACTGCTCCATCTTCCCATGCAGCGTTTCTATATGTGCTATTTTGCGCCCAATGTTTTCCACCAGTGTGTCTATCGCCTTTTCCGCCGCTATAAGCGGCTCACCGCCGTGCAGATCCACCTCGTAGACGGAGTTGAGGAAGTATTTGTCTCTTGCATCCTTCGAAAGCTTGGCGCGTTCGCACGGCTCTACTATGGTTCTAAGCTTGTTGCTGTAGGCCGCAAAGCTGTGGATGCCGTAGTGAATCTGCCCCGCTGAATTGGCGAATTCTGGATTCGGCCGTATCAATTCAAGCTTGATAAAACGCACAACTGTATTGCGCATATCGTTCACCGACGACTTCAGGGTGTTGGCGTCTACCCTTTCTATGAGGTGCCAGTCTTCGTCGTCTTTTCTCCCGAGTACGTTGTAGGAGAGTGCTGGCGACTCCCACTCAATCACGATTTTGCGGACCTTATAGTCCTCCTGCAGGTTAACAACGAATTCCACCTTTTCGGGCACAGTGCCCAGCGTGAACTGGTCAGAGGCCCAGCAGGACTGGAGATTGCCATCCAAAGCACGCTCAGCGTTGCATTTGTTATCATTTCTCCGAGGCAGACTGCTCGATGCAATCTTATTCAGCGCTACATTAGCCAATCCAGCGCCACTGCCAGCTTGCGATAGGCACATATTGCCCGGCCTTCTGAGTTTGATTTGGTTGTTCGGCAGGAGATCCCAGGAGTTGACACCGGATTCTGGCGGCTGGTCGCACGGCAACATCATTACCCGCCCTCCGTCGGTATCAACGTTATCTTGCAGCGTCATGCAGAGATTGGTCGCCGGGTTGTACAGCTGCCGCTTTTCGTTATATCTCCATATGTCGTTGAACTTGAAGCTGGCGATTGCAGATACGCACGAATCCAGCACGACCTCCCCGCTGTCGTCTGCCTGCAGGCACAGGTCTTCGATTGACGTGATACCTCCCTGAATCGTGAAGACAGGGTTGGGCTCCCCGTGGAACTGCACAAACTCTATCCCGAAGTAGCCGTTTATTTGTCGTTTCATGGCAATTTTGACGAATTGAGCGTCAACCTTGCGTTTGAATTCGATTTTTTGCGTAGTTTCGGTGGAGTCCACAGCTTTGTATGGCGCCACCTCCTCGAAAGCGCCATCACGCTGCCGCTTTGCCAGGACGGCCACTGCATGTTCTGATACGAGAAACATTACCACATACCATATTGAGGTGCGTAAACCCATGTTATGGTCACACCAGTCAGCACTCGCGGTCCTCTGAGTTCGGCTACCCACGACACTTCCTTATCTGGCAGCAGGTTAGCCTCGCTGCACCAGTAGCCGCCTCCTCGGGTGATCGCATTGCTGGCGTCATACTTGCGATAACCGGCGGCACCGAGAGCCTTGTACGTAGAGTCCGCTGTGGCGCGCAACGCTCCAAATAGGGTCTTCTTGCCCGTGCCCTCAGTGGTAGGTGGGAGGGCAGTGGGTAGATTCGGCGCTCCATCCTTTGCAGGCAGCGCAGTCACACCCTGAGAATCCGATTGATTGGTTGTTGCTTGAAGCGGATTCTTCCCATCTTTCGATGCATCTGTCGGTTTGTTTGAACCGTCTGTTGCGATAGCATCCCCTGTGGCTTTCTTCCCGGCGGACGCATTTTCTGTTAAGAGGTGTGTATGCACTGGTGTCTTTACCTACCCTTCGGCGCCTCTAAATACCTAATGGCACCACCCAATCTTGCACACAGCAGTAAAGCTGCCACCAACGGTAGAACAGCTACCATATTAACCTTTGCGCTGAGGAATCCATCAGGTGTGTCTGACGGCCACGTCTGTCTACACACCGCATGGAACCTCGCAGAATAAAACAGTATGACCCATTATTTTCCAAGCTGATCCTAATTTGGGCATTCTTCGTCCAATACGCGCAACAGCGCACACATCTGCCATCACTTCACGACATCCACCTGGGTGGGGAGCCAGAGCAGCCTTCCGTACAGCGACATCGCTCATCACCAGTTATCAATGCTTATAAATTAATCACGTAATATCATTAGTATCTCTAGGAATATATCTGAATCTACATGAGAAGATTCCATTTTCATATTGGTAGGATGCACACTTATGAGTGGCGCGGTGATAAATTGCCTTCCGAGATACCGTTTTAACATGTAATACCATATACGTCCCACATTTCATCACGATTGGCATGATTTGCACGTCATTTTAGGGTGGAATCCGACGAGGAAATTGGCGTCTCTCTAGTGACCATGATGCTCATGTACTTGAGTGAGCTCTATCTGACCATTATATGTACCATAATATATTCCCATTTACTTTAGAAACATCAAATGTTAAATGACAAATTGCTCCTCTACGATGAAATTATGACAAATATTATTTCGAAAATACAGCTAGGCTCACAGCAGTGAATTTACGCCCGCAATGCAGTCTTTACACACTAAAGGGTCAGCCAGGGGGCGACAACGCATCGAAGTTATTCGTGACATTGTTGCATGTGCATTGCCCAGTCACAGTTCGCACATGCCTCGCTTTTTTAGGACGGATTCCACTCCACTTGACGTTATCGTTGCAATGAGTTGCGCGGCTAGACTATCGTTGGGAGGCCGTACAATGGTGTCTGAGCCAGGCAGCCTATATGAATCAAGGCCTGATGCGCGTAACGTGGACGGCATTACAAGAATGTGCGTGTCGCTGGAAAAGGTGTAGATATTTTTTGCAGCGTTGAACTTCACTAGCACAAAACAAAGTCAGACCCGGTGCAATGAAACGGATTCGTTCGCTTCATGCACATGCCTCGTTGAGGTGTTTGGACATCATTAACTGGTGGTCGTATTGCGGATTCCATTGATGAGTCCATGCAAACACGCATCCACCAATTCGTCGCAGTGAAGTAAAATAAACGCCAAAGTCCTCTTCAAACTCCCAGCGTGACAAATATACACAATCGTCAGCATCGGGAATTTAACGTTGCGTCTTAGCGAGATAATCTCGTAATCGTTAGGACGGTCAACGAATTGTAACATAACCTGTATTCTCACAAATGAACAGTTACTGTTAACGCAGTCTTAATTATTTAACATTTGAATCAAACTAAGCGTCGTGCGCGTTCATCAATTAATGCTCCTTTTACGTTGTGTCTTAACTTATAACAAAAACTATTTTTTCCTCATGGGCAATGTAGGCGTCTTATGACATAGCCAGCAAAGATATAATATTGCACGTGATACACATACAATACTCTTGATTTTATATAAATGCCAAATTAAATTTGTATGCGTAATACCATTTTAACCATGGCATGCCAGATTCCTAGCGGCAAAGCCGCAGATCACGCTCTGTGGACACCAAATGCTACATACATAACTGCGATTAACACTACCTAGTAAATACACACAATGAATACTAATTCGCAATGCTGTAAATTAAACGAATGCTTATGTAACAGTTCGTCGTTTCCGTGATGGGGAAAGAGGAGGCTTAACAAACGAATTTTCATTGTATATCGATACCATAATCATTATACAATATTATACTCATATGGATGATATCTATATTGTCGTGTGAAGTTACACATTGGTCATGTTTCTCATAATGACCAGGCTCCGTATTCGATGCGTTATTATGCATTAAGTGGTATGTATTAATATTTTGGAAGCCGGATACTACATTTACGTTATCATACACACTGTTGTATATTATTAGATATCGATATTATGCGTGTCTATGGAGGTGTTCAGTTGCGGTGCCTAGGACGACTTGCTCCTAAAGCATGTGAGCAACCCTGATCTGCTCCACTGAGGAAATGCGGCCGTGATGAAGATCCACTATGCCGCGATACAGCGTGAGCTGCACGGTTCACGAGGCGCTACTGCCTCAACAACCGGGCGGCACGCCGGTGGATCCGCTCGTGGTCATGCGCTGCTTCGGTTCAGAGCGCACGACCACCGTGAAGAGCGGCAAGACGACAGTAGCATGCTGGGATGAGAGTTTCAACTGGTCCAACTTTGAGCTGTCGCAGTCTGCGTGGAATGTCGGAGTCCTGGAGTTTGAGCTGCAGGCTGCCAATGCCTTTTGGCGCAACTCCACGCTGGGTATGGGCGCACTGCAGCTACGTTTGGTCTGTGCCACCAGAGATGGCTCATACGTGGGCCAGCTGCCGCTGACTGCCCCCAACTCCGTGCGTGTGATTGGGAAGCTTTCGGTAACTGTCAATGTTTGTGACTCGCTGCGCGTCGGCGGTGGTACCACAGCACCGCTTCCGTTGCCGGCTACCGATGCAGAATCGAATACAGATGAACGCACTTCGTTGCATGTGCCGCCGCTACTGAGCCCTGCAGTGTACAGGAGCGCCATCTTGGATATGTCCAACGAGGAGTATAATTACTACCATCTGTACATCAACATCTACACTTTGGAGCATGTAGAGGTTGGAATGTTTGCTGGCAGCCCCTCGGTCACTGTGGAGTACGGCGGCTGTCGACTGCAATCGACAAAGCCGATACGTTCGCGCTGCGAGGGTTCCAGTACTGGGGGTGGCGGTATATCTGGCATCATATCTGGCTTCTTCTCTTCGTCTGATGACAGTGGGTTTCGTGACCGCTCCAATTTTGCGTTCAACCAGTGCTTCTTGGTGCCGATACGCACGGCTGTAGGCAAATCCATTCTGGAGGATAATATCGTAGTGCGGGTGTGGATGGGCATGGAACTCAACGCCAACCTTTCATCTACCGATCGGCCGGCGATAGCGCCCAAGATGCTGGCGGAGGGCGTGTTCTCACTAGCAAAGCTGCGATCGCGTCGGCAGCCTCCGCGGTGGTTCAACTTCTACGCAGGGACGGCGGGCTCTAGGCGTCGCGATGAAGTGCGCAATAACTACGTGAGTAAAACAGATGGGAAGGATCCGGATAGGGATAACGCATTTCAAAATAGGAGTCGTGGTGCCGGCAGCGACGTTTACCGCAGCCACGACAGCATCGGTAGTGCTAGTACCTCCGACTCGCTTGTGGATGGCACGCCTGGCGGCAGCGATAACACGTTCGACGACCGCGATGACCACTATATCGGCCGGATGCTGATGAGCGCAAGCGTCAAGCGGTTGGCGAAGCCTAGCGACGTTCTGGTTGCCCACGTACAGGCGTGCCACCCTTTGGAGGCTCCAGTGGTCAACCCAACCAGGCTCTTTGGGGACGCCTACTGCATTGAGTCGCGTTGCACCTTCGGTTTCGAAGGTGACTTCGAAATCATGCTAGAGATATCGTGCGGACCTCACGAGACTCGTTCGGAGTGGCTGCCTGCCCAAAGGCGGTTGGCTACCGGTGGCACTTATGCTGAGGAACTAGGCATATTCGGCAGCAATACAGACTCCGGCCTCAAGCGGCGCGTATCTCGAAGTGGTTGGAAGGTCACGCTGAATTCTATGAATGGACGGTTGGCGCCTATCGACCTTTTGGTCTCCCACACTGCGGAGGAGCAGTGGCTAGTCTTCGTGCGAATTAATGCACGAGGCACTGTTTCCGGTCGCCTTCAGCACCGAGTGATTGGCTGTGCCAGTTTCCCGTTCGACCACATACCGGAGCACTCTTCAAAGGTACAGGTCATGCCGCTGTGGATCCCTCTTTGCTGCCCCGGCTCCACGTCGACAATTACGTCCGCAGACAGCTCCTCGATTGGGTTCACAGACCCCACCGGGATTGTTGACGCCGTTTCGTCTATCAAAGCGGAGGATATTATCGACCAAGCTGCCGCATTAGATCCTACTGGGTTGATCGGCGCGGCTGCCAATGAGGTCTTAGGTCGTCAGGCTATATTACCAAAATCATATCAGGAAGCAGTATCGGCTGCAAAAAGCGTCAAAGTACCGCCTCCCGGCAATAGCCATCATGTAGATATATTTGGAAGCTCTATATCCGGTATACCAGGTCGAAATGGCCCCCAAAAAGGCACAACATCGCAAAACAATGCCATCGAACAGTGGATCGCATCCAGGCGACCATCGCAAGACAAGAATCGCTCAACATCTGACGCTGGACATGTGACGCATAAAATGCGGTCCTTGGAGAGACCAAACACACAAAAAACGGTTACAATGGGCACAAGAAGGGACAGTACATTGCGGAACAAATCTACAAGCGATCAGTCGGACGCTCGGGAGCCCACAGATGACGCCAATGGGCCAACCCGCGGTGATATGTGCGACCCCGGGGCAACCGTCAATGTGCTTATGACCCTACATAAGCATTCATTCTACACGAGCATGTCTCGCAGCATCGGGGTTGGAAACGACATCCGCACTGCGTCACGCCCGCGCATGGTGTCGATGCTGAAGCAGGACTACGAGCTCCGTTGTTACGTCTACTGCGCGCATCTGAGCACAGCACCGCACTCAGGCGTCGCAGTCATGGTATCGTGTGACTGCGGAGTCGCAGTTACGCGGGTGCAGCGTAACTTCACGCGCTTTCCCGTCTTCTCGGAGTGCTGCACCATACCGGTGGAGGTGCCCACGTTGACCTCAAGCAGGATGGTGCCTCCGCCTCCCATCACCGTTTCACTACTGTTCTTCGACAGGCGGCGGAAATTGTTAAGGATTGAGTCTGCGGTGACCGTGTACAACAGGTTGGTCAAGTCGGCATCTGGTCATGCGGAGGCAAAAGACACTGCCACCCCAACGTGGCTGCACCTGTCTGGTGGCAGCAAGGTTGTCATGTTCACGGAGCTAGTGGTGAGCCAGGATGCGCCCAAGGTGGCCAAGCGTCAAATGGCGCATTTAACCACCCGATGCGTGGTTACCCTCGGCTTGATGGGATTGCGGCAGCTGATGGTTGGCGCCATATACCCGCTGGACGGGCTACTCCTGAGGCTCACATCGCAGTCTTACGGAGCCAACGTGGAGTGCGAGCAGATATTCGAGCGGCAGTGCCCTCTCGGTCAATCCAAGTGGGAACGTGGAGGCCGGCTGAATGTAGACCTGTTCACGGTCCTGGAAGGATCCTTCCACATACCCATTGACCCTTTGTTCGATCCACATGTCGAATTCTATTGCTACGCGATGTCAGGCGGTGCAATTGGTAAACTGATTGGTTACCAGAGCTTCCGGTGCTACGCAGGCTCGGGGGGAACGGTAATCGAACCGGAGTTGCCCATGGCATTAGATATGCGTTGCGCGCTAATCCCGCGGAGAATGACAAGGCTGTTGGACGATCTGGCGCTGCGGTCTTCGCATGACGTGTTGAACTTGCAGGACACCTGCCCTCTGGGCGGCGCCACACGGCCTCTGGATGGAGTACCGCCTGTGATCTGCGATTTCGAGTCGTCGCGTGCGTACGCAAGACTTCTACGGTCAATGACATTCGAACGCGTTGGTATGCAGGTACCGCCCCGTTTTGTCGTGGCGTGTGATGGAAAGGAAGCGGAAGCTGGTGCTGCCTCAGCATCGGTTGGAGGATCCGCCGAGTACCTCGACGCTGTTCTCCGCGACATACCGTTCACCGTGAAATCTATTCATCCGGTGACCCCCGTTGGCAGCCGCGTAATCGATGGAAAGGCTGCGAACCATGGCTTCATGGAGAACGTCACGATGAAGTACTTCCTTACGGTCCGGCATGCCAAGGAGGGGCAGGTGCAACGGTCGTACCCGGAGGCACTATCGGGGGTGGCAACCAGCGCCTCGAAGATGCTACGTGTTTTCAGAGGTGGGCTGCGCAATGCGTTGCATAAGCTGCGTTTCTGTGTCGTGGCCGCCATCAACACGGTGCCCGACTGCGACGCGCTGGGGTCGCTGTCTCTGCTGGTTGAGATCGGCAAGTCCGAGTCCCGCGAGCCTTTGTCCTGCGATCGCAGCGCCATCTCCAAAGAGGTCCACCGCACCTGGGAGCAGGAAATATTTCTGCCGGAGGACAGCGTGATCCGCCTGCGCGTGGTCAACTCCTTCGAGCGCCTCGACAACAGCCTGGAAGACGAGTTGATCGCCTCGGCGCAAATCGACCTGGAGAACCGGTGGTACAGCAAAGTGTGGCAGCGCATGCTGCGCAACGACATGGTCCCGGTTGAGCGTGTGCTTCTGCGCGACCGGAACAACAACGTGCATGGATCCCTGGATGTCATCGTGCAACTGGGGCCCATTGAGCTGTTCTCCACACTGCGTCCACTCTCGTTCGCCAAGAGCTCGCCGTCGGTGGCCGAGCTGCGTGTGGTGGTTTGGTCGACTTCCGGTGTTCGCCTGGCGGCGACGCCTGAGGATGCCCGCAAGAAGGACCAGCTGGATCTGTACGTCGTCTCCACGCTGGACTGCCAAGGCTACCGCGGCGAGTGTGCGCTGGAACAGCGCACCGACATTCACTACAATTGCGATTCTGGCGCGAGCCAGTTCAACTGGCGACTCGTATATCCGGAAATACACTCGCCCGTGGGAGCATGCCAGCTGCAACTAGCGGTGTTCGACTTTTGGAAGGTGGGACCACCGACATTTGTGGGAGAAGCGACCTTGGAGCTACGTCAGTACGTGGAGATTGTATCGGCGACGTCCACACGTGTGGAGCTGTCTGGAAACCTGCCGCTGGTGCACTCGTCAAGCTCCCGTCCCGTCGGCAGCCTGAAAGTGACTGTTCAGGTGATGACCCAGGCCGAGGCGTCATGCAGTCCGGTAAGATTCCGCACACTAACCATATAGTGACTGTGTTTCAGGTAGGACTAGGTCGAAGTCAGCCGAACTGCAAGCCCTTCCTGCCCACCCCGCGTGAGGGTCGGCAGTGGAACGACTGGTTCGCCCACACGTCGCTCGGGTTCGACTTCGGCGCGCTGTCTTTATATGTGAGTTTATATTACGAAAATGTTATGTCGCTATCAGATTAACGCGGCAATATGTGTTCTGCTAGCACTGTGGTTGTTCATCATCGGATTTGTCTACCCCGCGCTGCTCATGTAGTTCCTTGTTTAAAACGGGTCGAACTGCCCGAACTCATCGTTACCCTTGGTAGTTTTGTCAGCGTTCGTGTTGTAGTCGAATGATACAAAGTCCAGCGTTTCCAGCTGGTTTTTCGATTGCGTTTTTGGCGACGGCAGCTGCGTGAGACCCAGCAGGTCGTCGGTGGCGCCGCGTGACTGCACAGCCTCGCGCGGCAGCAGCAACTCTGCGGCCGAGGTCGTAACATCCACAGAAGGAGTGTAGAGCGTGTCCGGTATTTTACTGCCATCGATGCCCAGCACCATCGGCAGAGCACCAAGTTCACACATAACGTCCATTTCGCACGCCCTCTGCTGCAACTCGGTCTTGGGGTGTTTCTTGAACTTGCGTATTAGGCGGAGTACCCTTTCACTCTGCGAAGGCAGCCTGCAGCTCAGCCAGGCAGCGCAGGTGAGCAGGTATTCCCCGTTGGTGCAGGATTCGGTTGCTGCCGCCGAGCACGTAAGCACATGTTTCCCAACCGCTTCCACAGCCGTAACAATGTTGGCCGCAGTGCTGGCGCATTCCTCTCCACTGCTTACGGGATCCGATGTTGCCTTCACTGGCTCAGTCGCCGGGATGCTGTCGAACACGTCGATGAGATTGTCGCTCACTGGCTTGCTCTCTTCGGGCGTCTCTGTTGTCGGCCTTACAGAGGATGTCGGTGTCACGTCGACCTTATCCAGTTCAGGCAAGAGGTGCGCGTATTCGCCGAAGCACCAGAGCGCGGCACGCACAAGCGCATCCTGCCCCAGGTTGTTCGACAGGAGGTAGTAAAGCTTGGTTGTGATACGAATCTGCGTATCAGCTGTCGCGGATCCCACCGCTGCGATAAATGAATGTAAAATCGTGTCAGGTACGCAGTTTCCGGCGATGGAAAAAATCTTGACCATGATTTCTAGTCGGTAGAAGTCGGATTCGGCGTGCTTCTCCAGCGCAGCCGCGATCTTCGTTATGCTCTCTCGCTTCAGATCGCTGTTGGCGGCGATGAGGAAGTCGTATAGATGCTGCATCAGCGGTTTCAGCGTTTCCCTCGACAGGAGTTTGAGCGCCACTTCTAGGGCCCGGCGGCGAATCGATACGTCCGGCTGGCGCAGCGACTGGACGAGGATCGTCCAGTAATTGTCGCCGACCGTAAGCGACACGTCAACCAGGTTATTCAGTATACCTAGCGCGATATACTTGACGTTGTTATCGTTGGTTGAGATGAACTTCTGCACCACGTCCTTACCCAGCTGGTTGAACTTGGGGTCGTGCACCTCGCTGTAGATGGTCCGAACGCATTCGTACAACAACGAGTTGGACGCATTGTTCGAAATGGATGTAGTTTTGACGACCTGTGCAACTATGTCGTAGAGCTGCTGGTTCCCCGGCACCTGATCACGGCACTTGGCGAAGACCCGCTTAATTAGCGCCAACAGCTTCACCTTGAGGAACGGATCGTTTACCCCGTTGATCTCGTATTCCCTGCCCCCTCCAAACATCATACCGAACCCTCCAGTGCTCTCGTTGCACAGCACATGCAGTGTCTTGATGAGCAGCTCGTATATCGAGGGGAAGTTGCAACACTGTGGGAAGTAGTCAATAAGCACCGACAATATGGACAGCCCCGCCGCAACCACGCCATGATTAGCGTCACCGAGCAACGAAGGTATGACGTGTACGTAATTTGTAGCCACCTCCAGTGCCTCCGGGCCTGGTATGAGGTTGGCCTGTCCCAGCTTCCTTAGCATGCGCGCCGCACACACCACTGCCTTCTTGCGTACGTTCACAGCAGGTGACTTCATTAACCGCTCCAGGTCGTAAAACAGTTCCTGGAACATCTCCTGGCTGCCGATGTTCGACAGCGCCGTCAGCGCTGCCTCCGCGGCGTAGGAGTTGGTGCCGTTGAGGTCCATCTTGATGGAGTTGATGGCCAAAGTCAGCACATCCGTATCCTCGGTGAGCAGCAGGCTCAGCGCGAGATACCCCAGCCGTTTGTCGACGAATTTGTTAGACGCAACCAATTTTATGCATTCCACCTGTCCGAAGTTGGTCGAGTAGCCCATGAGGTGTATCAGCAGCAGTTTGGCGATATTCTTCCGCCGATCTGACGAGGAGCTGCTGCTCAGGGCGCTGCGAATGTCTGCACACTCGCGTGCGATCACTGCCCGCTCTTCTCCGGGCGTCTTGCAGCTCCGGATGGAGCGGATCATGTCTTTGACCGAGCCCGTCATGTTTGCCGGCGTGTTCGGTTTTGGCTCGGCCCCTTGGCCGTAATTGAGGCGCCTTAGGCGAGCGCTCGAAATGCGCGCGTTTCAAGGACCGTTCCGGCGCCTAAAATGCCGTATGGGCGTGTCGCACATCGCGCCGTCGTACACACCCAGACGCCATGGGGTACGCCTTCCACCGAGGAAAGCTCCTCGCCCGCGTCGCTGCGGTCATTTCTGATGTACGGAAGGCGCACACTTGATACTCAGCCTGCGGCGTCATCCTCAGCGCTCAGATTGCGCTGAGAACGAACACTGCTCATACCGTACCGCGAGTGTCTACTCGTCTTCTTTGCCTTTAGGCGGAGCATCTGAGGGTGAAATTCCGCGCACAATGGCGGGTACTCGTACATATACGGTTGCCCGGCCGACGGAGATCACCATCAGCGCGAGCTCCGACGACGACTCTAATGACGAAGACTACTCCGACACCGCCGTTTCGCGCCGTCGTCGCGTTCGTCCGGTACAACAGACGCGTGTGACAGAGATGAATACCGATATTCCTGTGACTTCGCGACTTTTCGAGATTGTAATACTTCGTAAACATGCCAAACTCTCCACGTGTCTTCAGCGGCTGCTGCTCACGTTGAGCTCAGCCGAACGCCAGCTTGCAATCGCCGACATTCTGAGCTTTATCTGCGAGTGCGCCGGTTTCAAGCACTCGTCCATTACCTCCGAGGTTGTGGAGGCTCATGACGTTCCCGCTAAGGTTACCGGTAGGGGGGCCCGCAGGAAGTCGCATGTTAACGGCAAAGAATCTGACAAACGTCGTAAAGAACGCACTTCCATTTTTATGGATATTGCGTCTCCTGACGGATTTGTGGATAGTGATGATTCGGCGAGAGGTCTCAACGGATCCCATCAGACCATTCTCGCCACCCCTGTGAGAACGCGGCGTAATGCCCAGGCAGTTGGCGCTTCCCCGATTTGTGACCCTGATAACGCTAAAGCCGCTAGTAGTTCAACACACGACGCAATGAACGGTACGGATCCGTGCGAAACAGTCGGTTTTGACCAAGAAAAAGACCTGAAGTTGACATACGACAACTTTAGTTGGTGGAGTTTCAGGAACATGTTTGCATCGCTGCCAACCGACGCGAATTACTCGGATATTGTACAGCACTGCTCCACACCGTGCCATTCGCCTGTTAGTGAGCCCGATGGTCTCTTTTTCCCCAAGATCAACGACCTGTTTTGCGACAGGCGTTCCACGTGCATCTCAAGCAAGTTCTATCAGCTCTGCGTGGAGCGCGTGGTGCCACTAACAACAGCTCTGGAAGCCCAGGATGGTTGGACCATTGGCTTCGGAAAACACAACGGGGCATACATGCTTTTTAAGGAGTTTTTCCAGCAGCTGGTTCTGGAGGCCGAGGCCGTATCTGTGGGTGAGCTGCTGCACGCGTTGCAATGGATCTGCGCACTCAGCATGATAGGTTTCCGCGCCGTGCGCCAGTTCGCGGTAATAGCGTGCAACGATGTGGTAAGCAGCCTGCTCGTTAAGCTGAACTCGTTGGCAAAGAACGAGCGAGTCTTCGCCAGGCAGCTGCAGGTTGAGATAGAGATGGACCAGCGGACGCACGAACGTGTACACGGGCCGGACTCTCGTGTGACACTTACGGTCAGCAAGTCAAGTTTGGAACTCTACAAAAAGCTGCTGTTGGCGCAACGTGGTCAGAAGGCGATTATGAGCTTCCTCAAGTGCCTGTACAATGTGAACTTCGCATCAAAGCTGCAAGATGTCCTGGTTGATATACGTGTCGCTGCTGCCTTCTCGATTGGAAACCACGTGCTGCTGAATCCCCAGATTTTTTCGAGTCCTGCATACGTCGATTTTGCCTACAGGTTGCTCCCACTCACGGATGACTGCACCAGGCTATTGCTGCTTCGGTTCCTCTGTCTGGTTGAGCGCAGGTTAGGCGAAGAGGAGTTTGGAATTTTGCTGGCGCTACACGAATCGTGCGTGAACAACTGCCTGCCGGACAGCTGTGAGGCTATCGAGGCGCTGCTGCTGCGCGACGTCCACTTCAATTACGACCGCAGTGCGGTCTTCAGCCATCGCAGCGAGAAGTTGTTCTTACGCCTTGTCGAGTCTCTATCAAGGAACAAAAACTCCACGTTGGGGGTGCTCATAGCCTCCGTATTTTTGCCTTCCGTCCCCATCCACGGTTTCACGTTGGTCTTCCAGGTCCGAACTGATGGTCTCCGCTCCAAATATCGCAACATGCTCATACCTCATCCCGCCGTTTTAGGGCGGCAAACCAAGCTCGTTATATCGGATGAGTCCGCTTCAAAGGTACGCAACTTCTACCAGTGCTTCATGGAGCTATCACGTTTGGCGTCGTCCATAGACGCCTCGGAGGCTTTTGTCACAAACCTCATCAGCAGTCTCTGGAACCACAACCATCTCTTCGAAGACGTTGCGGGAATCGTTCGGTTCCTGTGTCAAGGGGGTGACGTGGCCAGTGTTAAGGCTCGCCTCGATGGGAATGGCCAGCAGCTGTTGCTGCACATAACGCTTGCCAGCTTCGAACATCTGCTGGCGGATGCCACTGCCTTCACGGAGCAGCAATTGGAAGTTGTTGGTACGGTGATATCGTACGCACCCGTTTTCTTGCGTCTCTACCGTGCAAGCACCTCGCATATGAAGACCGCTCTCCAGCTGCTCGAGCAGGCTACTTCCCTGTTGCAACGCACCGGATTATCGCTCGATGTTTCACTCATTAAATCTTTGAGTGATGTCGTTAAGTATCTCGTGGACAACGAAAATGGCTGCGAGCATACGATAGATTCCTTACGACTTGCTGTGCGCTGTCTGTACAACGTGTACGGTCAAAGCGAGGAAGCCAAGTTACATGTGTCCTCGCTGTACAGGATGGTCTCCAAGCATCTATCGTCCGAATCTGAAACAGGGATGAACGTTCTACACTGTGCTATGAACCTTTTGCACTACCTTCCGCTGGAGTTGGATGTTCCTGAGCTTTTGATTTCCCTCATAATGAAGAATTTGCAGTCCCAATCTGCCGACGAGCGTATGATATGGTGCACGATCGGATATGTCCTATTCGAAGCTGAACTGTACAAATGCGTGAAGACGTCTCAGCCGTCAGCCGACGGCGCTTTCGGAGAGCTGCGTGACATGCTGCTGAAGTCGATTGCCGCTGTGGCGCACAACTCCTGTTCGGACTTTACGATGTTCGTGTGTTTCCACTCTATGGCATCCCTCGTGCAAATATCGGCGCTGGCAGGAGGTTTGGAAGAGGTGCCACACGAAGCGGAGCTCGAAATGTATAGGATATTCCTCCACTTTTTGCAACGGGTTAAGCCGTCGCACATGCGAAATTCCATGGGGTCCCTTGAGGGCGCTGAGAAGGGGTACACGATTGCTGACGTTTACGTCGCTGGATATTGCGAGTCGTATTTCGTGATGAACCCTTTGGAGTGCGTGCTTTCCATGGTGGCGCTGTTCACAAAGGTGCTTTCAGCACGGTTGTACTGCAGCGGGCTATCGGTGTTGGTTCTATTACAGGCCATTTCTTTGTGCCCACCCATCGCGGCTGCGTCGGGGGTATATCTGCGGTTCCTTGCTAATTTTGATGACCAGATTTTGACGTCGTTGCTACTATTTGCCATGATAGGACTCTATGAATCCGGCGCCCGTGACTCCGCTTCCGAGCTCAGACACCGTTTTGTGGGCATCGTAATGGACAATAGAGATAAAGTTCCAGTGGATCGCAAGAAGCTAAATATTGACTCGTTGCTGCTCTCTGGCATGCGTTATGCACTCCAGGGACCTAGCAATTGGGATTTCATAACGGAATTGGTCGAACTGACAAAGACCTTCCGCAGTTACGATGGGCAAATCAACAGCACGCTGCTTCACGCGCAGATAGGAGCCCTGTTGACGCCGCTCGACGTACCGGAAGAGCTGCGCGCAAAAGTCTTCGAATTCCTACAAGTTGTTGGTTTGGGCGGCGCCATCACAATCCGAGCGATGGCGGGTTGCCAAGACATTGAGGGCATCGATAGGTGCCTCAACATTATCCGGCGCAAGTGTTCCCATGTGGATTTCGTGTCTTTGACCGGTGGTGCAGTCGCTCGAAAGGAGCGCCACCAGCCGTCGTCAACGTGTATAGTGACGCGTCAGCGTTCAGTCAAGGCTGTAGACCGCCTGGTGTCATCGGAGACCCGAGCTACCTCGGCAGGGTCACCCGAGTCGCACCTGGACGTGTCGCCTATTGTCGTTCGCACTTTCACCAAGTCAAATGTGCGGGCATTACCTCCCAGCGTGGGATTAATGCGACCACGCTCCACCACCAGCGCCAAGATCGACATAGACAAAGTCTCGCAGACCGTGGAGGTCGAACCGGATGTATTGACCGAGTCTCCGGAATTTCACGCCTCCACGGCTACTCCGATGACGGAACGGAGCTACGGGATGAGGTCGACGCCCAGTTTCGGGCTGTTGTCGCCTTCCTCGTCGCTTCTATCGCCACTCCTGTTTCCTTAACGAACTAATTATGCGTAATATGTTTGTGTATGGGGTGGAAAGTCTTGCTGCGGCGTCTGACGGACTTGCCGTGGGGGCCGCCGCCTCCTCGCGCTCCGCCCTTGCGGTACGCTCCTTGCATGTCCACGTCTACGTGCGCCGCGTCGAATCCGGTTGCACGGCCTGCCGTAAATGATCCAAGCATCATTCTTGTGACGTACCTAGACGGCGGCGGAATTCTTCCTCACGACCCTCTTGTTTCCACCACAGGTCTAGCTTCCTAGCATCAGCGCCTGCTCCGGAGTTGCTATCTGGTGTGTCCGTAGGATCCGTGGAATCCGGATAATTATCTGTTCCTGGGGTGCGGAACTTCTGCCGCTCCGGCATGAGACCTGAACTCGATGGAATTGGGGAGAGTAGAAACTTACCATGGGATGGTGGTAGGTAGAAGGGCGAGAATCGGCGTCGGTCACGCTCAGCCTTCTCCTCGCTGCGCTGCTTAGCCATGGTATGCTTGTATATGGCGAACGCAGGGTCAGCCCTGCTGCGCTCGGAGTAAAACACCTTCCACGGCAGCTGCATGGCCCTGATGTCAGGGAATTGCTTGTAGAAGTACGCCACACTCCGCATCCTCTCACCGAGCTGCGATCTCATGTGCTCCGGAGAAGTGTCTAGTATATAATTGTCGAATCCTCCGGCTGATGTCATGGCGTGTATAGCTGTATGAGGTCAGTCAAACATCGGTAGCACCCACCGCTGGTGGTCACCCGTACGTTTGGAATGGTGACGTTGAGAAGCTTCGACTCGATATCCTTCTTGAATACGTTAGGTTTCAGCTTGACGCGCGTGCGCTTGAGCGAGAACGCGACCTTTGAGTAGTAGTTGTAGTCCTCATCGTGGTAGAGGCCTGGATTCACGTGTCGCACAAGACTGGCCAAGTTTACCTGTCTGCGATGCTGCCGACGGCACACGACCGTATGCTTTTACGGGAATCGGATGTATGATCTGATTTTTCTTGAACCCCTTGCGGATAGCCTGGCCTGCAACGAATGTGTAACACTGGATGCGTAACCAGAGATTACCTTTCAGCCTGAGGTATTTTCCGAAGAAAGCCGCGTGTCGAGGCATCTCGCTGGTTCGGCTAGAAGTAAATCATGTGATTGACATGCCTAACTCGGTTAGCTCTACAATGGTTAACAGCGAGTAGCAGAGAGCATTGTTGAGCGTTGCATTAACGTGGACATCTCACAGTTCACGTAAGTGCCTATATCTAAGACATCATCAAGTTGACATCACAGCAATTGTCTGGATATATAACAGAAATGTGCAGCCCACACCTCTTCGAGGTGGCGAAGCGTTGCTGGCGCTGTAAAGGATAGCAGACGGTGAATCACACGACTATAAGGATCAACTAATTACAAACATAAATTCGTTCGACATTGTGCTATTATACTTTGTCAATGTGTAGCGTTCCACATCGCCATTACGCTATGCTTAGGATGTGATGTATTGCCGTAACCTTCCAATGTTTTCAACGCACTACTAGGAACTGTCTTCGCGCAAAACGCAACATACACATCATTATATGATAATGTTGGATTAAGCATGTGCAAACATTATTTCGCTTGTTCGATAACGGTGTCGTTTCTCGGCTGTGTTTTGAAAACTGTCTATTTGTACCCCAACGGAGTGTAATGACGACATTTATTGGATCGGACCTTACTTATGCAGTTTATAAATTTGATTTATCAGCGTAAAGTGGGCTGTGATTAAAGGATCCACTGAACGGTTCGCTAAGCATTATCGCACATCAGAAGAGATACATTTCTGGCGAGCCTGATTTTTCGTACAGCATCTTAGCGGCAGGTCTGAGGCGTTGCGGCTTCAAATCTAGATGATAATATCGCGCCCAGTTGCCTGGATTACTTGGAACGCTGTTGCCATTGCGGGCCTGTCAAGACACGCATGTCTAATGGGTGCCAAAAAATCCGTTGTACCGGCCCCGGAGTCTGATCAGGTAGGCGTTGTGCTGATACTTGTGCAGCAATGTTCATTTATATTTGTGATATCTTGTTGCAGAGTCCGTCGCCGCTGGCTGCGGGACAGAATGGCAGCCTGCTTCTAAAGGTGCGGGTTAAGCCCGGAGCAAAGTTCACTCAGCTCGTCGGCAGTAAGTAGTGTGCAACGACAGTTTATTATAGTGTCTGACTATATGAGAGTGTTTTGTATTCTTAGTAACACTATTTTGTAGTTACAACATCCATACCATTCCATGAATTACGTTTGTGTCATCCACACTGCATGTTTATTGACGAATCCGTGAAATAACAACTGTTGTGTTTACATGTTACCCTTTGACTGTACTATCGATGACATGGCACTTGTGATGGAGTTGAGTTATTGTCTATGCAGATTTCGAGGATCCGCTCGCAGTACAGGTCGCAGCGCCGCCGAGAGAGGGGGAGTGCAACGAAGCTCTCGTGGAATTCATCGGTGATGTTTGTAAGTTATACAAAACAGGTTGCTAATACACCGCGTAGTGAAACTAAAGAAACGAGACGTGTCTTTGATATCTGGCCACAAGTCTAGAGACAAGGTCTTAGCTATCACCGGTATTGCAATGTCATCAGCGGAAGAGCTCCTACAACGGCAGCTACAGCTTGATGCGTGAACGTGCGCTGAGTTTCAAAATGCGGGAAAGCGCAGAATAAGACTGACAATGTGCTTGAATGCAACGTATCTACTACGGCACGCCGGCAAGCATAATTCCATGGATGGACGGTTTCGCAGCTGTCAACTAGTTTCACCTAGTCATCGAACACCAAATAACACTTGTATAATCGTCCATGTGAACACAAAGAGTTCTGAAAGGACCCATAAAGGTCACGTTACTAGGAGGAGACTACACCGCAACACACGGGCATCAGCATAAGCCACAGTAATGGATATATTCCCACAGATATGGCAACAGAACTCACAATAGATGTACAATGGACGCATCAATGAATAGTATGGCCATATATCGTTATGCAATGTGCTTACTGCTTCAGAGGTAAGCACATGCTGTCACTGGTACTGCTGGTATGCGAAAATTATAAAATGACTGTTATCATATGAACCGAACGTTAGTAATATAGCTCGATCAATTCATAACCTGTAAGCTACACATGTTTACAAGTTCTTCTCGATGGCGTTCCTGTACACATTTCGGACGCAGGTGGCAGAAACTCACTTCAGGTTGATGCCGCTTGCGCCGACAACCTCCGCAACGACCTCGCCGTTCTTGAAAAGCTTGAACGCGGGGATGCTGGTGATGGCGTACTTGGTCTGCAGCTCGGGGACATCGGAGATGTCAACCTTCACGAAGCTAGCCGAGGGGTAATCCTTGGACATGGCCTCGAATTTGGGGGCGAAGCTCATGCAAGGCCCTGTAGCTGGTTTAGAGATGGCATTATCGGCACTTACCACACCACGTGGCAAAGAAGTCCACGACGACAAGGCTAGGGCTAGCGATCAGGGTCTGGAATTCTGCGCCACCTATGAAAGTACGAGGCAGCACACATACCGTCAACGGAAGCCACCTGCTTCACCATTTTTATAGTTTATATATGTGATGTTGTTTAGAAAATTGATTGGCGGATATACACCCAAATTCACAAGACGATTATGTTGTGTGACGACTCAGATTGTGGTGTTGTCCCCTAGGGGAACACAGCAGCTTGTGCGGCAGTATCCAGCACTGTCGGTGTACGTGCCACACACCGTCACCTTTCTGAGTTGCCTGAGGAGATGCTAGACACGCTTGCTTCTTTCGCTTGCCTGGAATCCAGCACCGACATGAAGTGTGTAACTCGGGCACATCTTTTAATATTTCTTTATCGGGTTATTTTTGTGCGCTAGCAGCGCAATTACAGCACAGACGAAAGAAATCATAAAAATGGCGAGCAACCATGAGATGCAACATCGTGACCTCGGTCGATGAGGCTCCACTGTAATCGGCACAGTCGGTACCATCAGCTGCGGCGGCGCTTCCAAAGAATGCCAGCCGGAATTAACGCGTGGCGTCGGTGGGCGCGATGTTGGTGGCGCAGCACTGGTAACCGGATCGACGTAACACATAACCACCTTGCGCTCCGGGTCCTGCAGCACAGCTTGTCCCCCTACGTCAGCAAACTCGATTTCAAAATCGCCTTCGTTGTGCGCGACGAATTGCGGAGCGGTAGCATCCTTGTATAGGTGCGACACATTTTCGATCGGTGTGACTCGAACCGCGACGGACGGCCTGTTCTTATCTTCCATCCTTCCCGCAACCATGATTTATGACACCAAACAATTGGTTATTACATATCACTCGTCCTTAATCCGGTGTCTATACCATACATATTCCAACTTAGTGACCTAAAGGTTCATATGTACTGGGACATAGACACCGCTCTCCCTATGGATTTTGACGTACCAGAATGACTCACTTCACCGTATGTATAAGGCAACTTGGATACGTTTCAGATATCGGTCTTGAACATTTGTATTTAACCGTCATTGGCGAGACGTCCACTCGTGCACGTCAAAGATTAGGTGCCACACGACGTCGTAGGACAGGTGTATTTCATTACTTTATTCGAATTATCGTCTATAAAAGTGTGTGTATAACCATTCTCTGACGATATATGTGTCAGTCTATCCTTTTATCATCATGGAAGCCGCAATACGCTCCAGCGGCGTATTCTAAACGGCTATGCGGGTATCAGCTTTTCGTCCACTAAGTAACATCTAATATATTGTGACATTAAAAGTATCCACTGCGCATAATATTCGTGCGTGGAATCTTATAGTGAAGCAGTATTTCCGTCCATATATACTACAGTGTTTCGTTGGCACGGCGCAGCCTTCTATAGAAAAAACAACTGACATGGCTCCATCAGTGACGCACAGAGCTACCGCAGTTGTTATATGTAAACAATTACGACGACTCAGCTGTAATATATAAGCCCTTTTTGTCTTTCGTCGACCCCATTGAACGGCATGACCTACGCTCTCGACAGCCCAGCAGATAAAATTTTCTAGACCTCAACACGCAGTGTTATCTGCCTTCTGGAATTTTAAATAGTTCCCGCACGTTGTCGGAGGTGCGGAGACGTGGTAGGCGGAACGCTCGTGTGACACTGTGGTTCCTATGATTCCTCTAGAACGGAGCCCGTGGCTGCTAAAACACCATGTCGTTCGCGGGCGATGCTGCCTATGCGCAGCTCATCGCAGTGCTGGAGAAATCTGACCAGCCCGATACGCAGACACAGAAGGATGTCGCGGATTTCATCACACACTTCGAGTCATCGCAGCGCTACAGCGCGCTCTACTTCCTAGAGGCGGCGCTGACAGCGCCGTCGCTGCACGTTCGCCAAATGGCGGCGCTGTGCCTCAAGAGGGCAATCAACGTGCGTTGGGCAGACATGGAGCCAGACGTGAAAAGCCACCTGAAGAACGGGCTTGTGCGAGGTATCCAAATTGACGACTCCGATGTAAGGACAGTATTCGGCTCCGCATTTGTGGCGCTTTTTGCCGTGGAGGGCTTCGAAAACTGGTCGGAGGCCCCAGCCCTGCTGTTGAAGCTCGCTAGCGAATCCCCCAACCGCATTGTTAGAGACACTGCGGCGGGGACGTTGCTGATGCTGATTGAAGACATGACTGCCAACGAAAACATGCGCGAAAATGCGTACTATGATGCCGCTGGAAATGAGCGGCTAACTGTATTTGTCACCAAGGAATTGCTTCCGCGAGTCTTGGAACTAGGTACAAAGATGCCAGAGGCTTTAGTCTTCACCTGCAGGCTGCTTTACACATTGATGGACCACAGAAACCTGTCCACACCGCTATTTGAAGAGTATTTCTCAACGTTCTGGGGGCTATTGGGATCTGTGGCACATAGCCGCGACCCCTCGGTGCGCAAATGCGTCATTAAGGGCATGATTGAAACATGGGACCGCCAACCTATGACAATACTGGACTCTAGCACAGCTGTTTTTTCCTTCCTCACAGAGTGCAGTGAAGATGTGAGTGACAACACGGTGCAGATTGAGGCACTCGGTTTCTGGGCTCACATTCTCAAAAACAGGGCGGAGGAGCCCGTGCGGACACACCTGCATAACGCCCTGCGCGCTGTGCTACCGAGACTCATCCCCGTGCTCATAGAGCACACTAAATATACGTCCTGGGACTACATGTCAATGGATGAGTCACACCTCGAGGAGGATAATGCAAGTGTCCCGGACAGAGTGGAGGACGTGCCTCCCCGCCCCGAAGGGGAGATGGGCGCGGACGAGGATGAAGAGTCCGCAACCTGGGGTACAAACTGGACTACCAGAAAAGGCGCTGCGCTGGCACTTGACTATATCGCACAGGTCTTCGGGCAGGACCAGGAAATTTTGCAGTTCATGCTTGACCTCATCGAAAAGCGCCTCGCGAACGAAACGGACTGGGAAGTACGTGAGTCAGCCGTATTAGTTCTTGGCGCAATTGCACGAGGATCGGCGTATGCGATGGCGCCATTGCTGCCTAAGGTAGTGCAGTATCTGATTGACCTGACGCAACACCCGAAACCACTGATGAGGAGCATTGCCTGCTGGACGCTCTCCAGGTTCGCCGACTGGCTTTGCCAGCCAGAGGCTGACGACTCGGAACAGCCCTGGCTTCAGCCCGTGATGAACGCGATTTTAAGTCGTGTGCTAGATCGCAACAAACGAGTGCAAGAGGCTGCGTGCTCGGCACTAGCTTCCTTCATCGAAGGCGGCGGCTGCCAGTTGGTACCCTACATTCAGCCGATTGTGCAGACGGTGGTCAAGGCATTCGACTGCTACCAGGCGCGCAACCTGATGATGCTATACGATGCTGTTAGTACATTAGCACAGGTGTTCGGTGAAGCGCTTCCGCAGTCGCCTTGCGGCACGTATTTGTTGCAGCCGATCATTCAGCGGATGGGTACCACGGAGACGCATAGTCCGCAGTTCCTGGCTTTGATGGATTGTGTGAACTCGTTGGTGCAGTGCTGGGAGTTGATGTATGCGCCTCACGCCGAGGTTACTGTCAGACGCGCCATGACAGCGGTGTTCGAGATTCTCAATGACGGGAAAAACTTCGAACTGTCAGACGGAGCGACAGAGGTACCACGTTGGGATGTCATCGGTTGCTCCGCCGAGGTTATATCCACCGTTGTCGCAGCTCTGCAGGAGCAGGCTGCCACCCTAATGCAGCAATCCTTCGTCACACTGGAACCGTCGGTTGCCAAAACTTTTGGATTAGACCGTCAGCAAGTGGGAATCGTGGATATGATTACGCTATGCTGTCAGTGCCAAGCTCCGAGTGTGCTGCAAAGCATCTTCGCGTTGGTGGGAGACCTCGCGTGGCATTGCAGCGCGCTGGTGGCCACTGACGCTATTATCGCATATCTAAGCGTCCACATGCTGAGCCCGTCACGACTTGTGTGCAACAACGTATGTTGGGCGCTGGGTGTCCTGACGGAAACGCCGTTGGGCAAGCAGCGCCTAGAGCCACATTTCCATGAGACATTCATGAAGATGGCGGAACTGGTTAACCGAGAAAACGAGCATATTCTCATGCAGAATTTATGTGTAGCTATGGGTAAGTTCGCCAATACGTTCCCGCAGCTCACTGCGCCGTTAATACCGCACTTCATTAAGCCGTGGTTGGATTTTGTCTCGCAAACCAGAAACGACCGCGAAAAGGCGGTCGCTCTATCGGGCGTCGTGAATGCGTCATGCCTCAGCACAGATGCGTCGGCGGGCGATGTGCAGCTGGCTCTCGCCAGGGTGACTATGGACTTCCCGCCATGCTGCCCTGAGCTTGAAGCGTCACTGCGGGCTTTGGCTCACAGGCTCTCCCAGAATCCAGAGAAGTGGCAGGTACTGGGCGAAGCCGGGCAGCAACGCCTGCTTGAGCGCGCATCAGCTGGTCAATAGACTCATGTGCACTAATTTTTTGCCATGCAGGCGTTCAAACTTGCCATGTACTTGTCTAGCGCATCCCTGCAAATCCCCACGAGACCCTCCACAACAGACGGGTCGGCGAGCGTCGAAATGTCGCCAAGTTCGTCGGCTTGGTTGCTGACGAGCTTTCGTAAAATGCGGCGCATGATCTTCCCGCTGCGTGTTTTCGGCATGTTCGGGGTGGCGGTGATGATGTCGGGTGTCGCGAACGGCCCTACAAGCCGGCGCACCGACTGGCGTAACTCTTGCACCATCTGGTCTCCCGTGACATTACAGGAGTCCTTAAGTGTCACGAAACAGAAAATGGCCTGGCCCTTGATGGGGTGGGGGAAGGCAACCGCGGCGGCCTCCGCCACGTAGTCCACCTGCACCAGCGCATGCTCGATATCAGCCGAACCTATGCGGTGACCGGAGACGTTGAGTGTGTCGTCTACGCGGCCGTTGATCCAGATGTAGCCATCATCGTCACGATAGGCAGCGTCTCCGGTGAGGTAGCAACCTGGTACCTTTGTGAAGTACACGTCCAGCCCGCGCTGATGATTGCCAGATAGTGTGCGAAATAGACCAGGCCACGGCCTACGCAGTACCAGAAGTCCGCTGGTACCGTTGCCAAGGATCTCCTGGCCTGTTTTGGCGTCGACTAGACCGACATCAATGCCGAAGAACGGCAGTGTAGCCGATCCAGCTTTGGTTCTTATGGCGCCGGGAATGGGCGCAATCACGATGCCTCCAGTCTCCGTTTGCCAATACGTGTCAACAATCGTGCTGCGGGCGCGACCTACGACGTTGTAGTACCACAACCAAGCTTCGGGGTTAATGGGTTCGCCAACTGTGCCGAGGACCCGCGCAGAACTCACATCGTAACGCGCCGGATAATCATCGCCGAAACGCATAAGTAGACGGATGGCGGTTGGCGCGGTATAGAATTGCGTTATGCGGTACTGCTCTATCATGCGCCAGTAGCGCCCGGGATCAGGGTAGTTCGGCAGTGACGAGAACATGAATGTTGTGACTCCGTTCAACAATGGGCCATAAACGACGTAGGTGTGCCCGGTAATCCAACCCAGGTCCGCCATGCAGCCGAAGATGTCACCCTGCCTTGTGTCAAAGATGTACTTTGTTGTCGCAAGGGCGTACAGCAAGTATCCTCCCGTCGTGTGAGCCACACCCTTCGGTTTGCCAGTAGAACCCGAAGTGTACAGATAGAACAGTGTGTCTTCGCTGTCCATCATCTCCGGCGGACAGTACGGCCTCTCTCTGGTGAGTGCTTCCTCAAGCCAGATGTCACGACCCTTCACAAAATACGCCTCGTCACCCGTTTTAGAGTACACGAAACAGCATCTCACATCTGGGCAGTCCCTAAGCGCCTCGTCCACAATGCTTTTCATGGGAATGCGCTTGCCCCCACGCGTGGTCTCGTCAACTGTGACCACTACCTGGCAGTTGGCGTCTCTGATTCGTTCGCCGACACTGGCAGCTGAAAATCCGCCGAAAATCACGTTGTGTATCGCCCCAATGCGGGCGCAAGCCAGCATGGCGAAGGCGAGCTCCGGAACACATGCCATGTAGAGCGTGACGGTGTCACCCTTCCTCACGCCATACCGCTTTAGCACATTAGCCACCCGACAGACATTTTGTTTGAGCTCGTAGAAGGTCACCGTCCGGTTATCCTTCGGGTCGTCACCTTCGAAAATGATGGCAGCAACGTCGGGTCTTTCTTCGGCCCAGCGGTCGACACAGTTGTCGCACGCGTTCAGCTTTCCGCCCAGGAACCAACTGAAGTCAGCCGCTTGGAACCCGCCGCTGAACACGCGGTAGAAGGGGCTCATCCAACGGAGTTCACGACGCGCCATGTCACCCCAGAACCCTTCGGGGTCGACCATGCTACGACGGTACATTTCCTGATACTCAGCCTGCATGACGTATGACACTATAAAATTAGTCACCTACCAGCCCATTGACGTGGTAACGGTGGCCCTCTCTGGCTATGATGTCGTAGGACTTGCCCAGAAGGCTCACGTCACGCTCAACGCCGCCATCGAACTGAGGGAGAAACTCGTCAGCGGAGCTCATCGCGTCGGGCCCGCTACCGGACGCGGGTGTAACACCGTGCTCAGGGATCATAGTTGCGTCAGAGTTATCTTTCTTGCGTCGTTTCGAGTCTTCCGTCAGTGACTGCGACATAATAAAAATTAATAAGTGTCCGAAATATAAGCGCCACCCAGGCTAAAACAATGCAGCGAGCAGCGTCTCGCTGTACACATCAATTGGACCGCGACGCAACCAAGACGCCGGTACAGTTTCTGGACAACTCTAGCCAGCTGTCCAGGGGCCTATTGCACGCCAATTGGTCGGCAGACGCTCGGTACCGGCACGGCGCCGATAGGGGCGGGCCGAAGGCACACCAGCCCGTGTCCGTGTGCTGTCTGCGGGGCGACAAAGCTCGAGACAGAAATTTAAAACCGTAGGTTGCGAGCAACCCCGTGAAGCATAGCTACGGGGTTTATTTGGAAAGCCAGGAAGCGGTGTGCAATGGGGTCTGGCGTCGCTCCGTGTCTACCACTTACGGCGACGGAGGCGGGAAAACTGGGCGCTGCGAACAGAATGGCCGTAAAACCGTTCTGCCAGCAGTAGCGAGTTGTGTGTGTGAATGATGGCGAAACAAATTAATGTGTACCATCCATATATGGGCACTATATCACAGCCCTCAAAAAGCCATTACTAATTAGTTAAGTGCGTTATAAACCGTGGTAACTGGAAATAATGCTATGCTATTTTCCGGAATACTGCAATACGCAGCGCCAGAAGACTTGCCCCTTCATGTCAAACACTGCCTACGTTACGAGATGTGTTTTCACGTGGGTTCATTGACGCATACGCCTAGTAGTAGACCAAATGTTAGCCATTGTACAGCAACGTGTAATAACTGGTAAATTGCCCAGCCCAACAGCATACCATACCTGTAGGCACCCGTGTGGCGGGTGTGTAGGCCGACCGAGGCATTCGCTCACCACGTCGTGAGAGAGCGTGCGGAACCCGGGAAATTAGCTAAGCGGGTTTTGAAAACCAAGCGATAAACGTAGCGATATTTCACCGGTAACGCGAGTTATCTGACAGGCACGCATTATGCAGAGAACGCGCTTCATCGTATGAGGTTGTGAACTAGCGCCTCGAGGGTGGCGCGCGGCTTTTTAATTTACCACTAAGAAATTGCATCGTTCGGGCCCTACATACCAGCGTACCCGCCCTATCGCAACAATGAGGCTGGATGGGCTTATGTTGCAGCGGCTGCCGACCGACTGGCAACAAAAGATTCACCGCGAGTTCCAGACCAAGCTGCAGCTATGTATAGCGAACCCTGAGGAAGTGCGCAAGACAGCCGACTTCACGTGGCAGACACTCCTCCACGGAGTCGAGGACAGGGACAAGTTGGCGCAACGCTTCGGACCTCATCTGGGTCAATATGTAGGTTGATGTTATAATTCGTTACACGAATCAGGCTGGGGACTTTGCGGATTGGGTGTTGGATTTCGTCGCCCAAGCGATTCACCACTTCCAGACGACGGACTCCACTGTTGACGCAGCGGCAGGGTTCCCGAAGAGTTCGATGAGGTCGACGCGACCGTTCACTTCTGCTGGAGTTCATAGGGAAAGTGATCGAATGGACACCTCTGCCTATCTTGGACCTACCGTGTCGATAGGATCCGGAGCTTCTGACGACAGTTTCTTCAACGACGTCAACCCACCGTCGTCGAGTAATGCTGGTAGAACAGGTAAGCTTTGAGGAGTCCCGACATGTAATTGTTGTGCAGTGCCACCCCGTGTGGAGCCTGTTCGTCCAGAACCAAGAATGGTTGGCGGGCTACCTAGCATGCGCCGCGATGTACCGCCGATGGATCCACCAAGTAACCGGCTTGGACCCGGGCCGTTTGGATACGACCCCCGGGCCGAGAGCTTCGGGCCAAGCAGTGGGAGTAGCCGTAGTGGGACGGTTCATGCGCCCAGCATGGTCTCCAGAAGCGGCAGCTTCCGCAGCCCAACTCATATGGCAACGCCCGAACCTAGGATGCATGATCCCCTGGACGAGACACTGGATAATCTGATTATGAAGCAGAGGATGGACAGATTGCATGGACGCGCAGGAGCCCCGCTTGGTGTATTGACGCGTAGCAGCAAGTTCTCCCCAGTGGAGGGGGACTCAAATTCACGTGGCTCGCCTCTATCGCCGCCGTATGACCACCCGAACGGCTACGTCAGGAGTCCCAGCATGCGAGGGATGCCGTCTGATGACTACAATTATTCGCCAGGCGCCGCCCCCGCCAGGATTCCGAAGGTATGTATAAAATTCCCGAGGTGCCCTTTCGGCGACAACTGCCGCTATATCCACCCGGCATCGCCGCTGTGCAAAAACTGGCCCAAGTGCCCCTTCGGACCCAAATGCGTGTTCACGCACCCTCCGGTGCCATGCAAGTTTAATAGAAATTGCGCTAACGCGCTATGCAATTACCAACATATAGGTTAATATGATCACAACCAATTGCTTAGACCTTGGAGGTTCCACGTGCTGTCCGAGGCTCCCTTCTTGGGCGTGGCAGTGCTTGCAGCAGGGTCGGTGCCCTTGGCAGCCCCTTTTGCGACCTTAGTGGCAGTTTCCTCATCATCTTCGCCGTCGATGGTACCCCTGATGAACCTCGATGAAGAGCGAATCAGGTCGTAGGTGGCATCGCGTATTGGTGTCACTATAGAAAATCCGTCACCGTCGTCGGTGCCAGAAGTCGCATTGGAGAGAGGTTCCATATCGCTGTTCCTGAAAGATGTTATATCAACAAGCGTTTTAAGCGTGCTCAGAAAGGTTTCCGAGCTTGATTCGGGGTCTTGAACTGTGAAATCGGGGTACTCTTCGCAGGAAGTGGTACTATTACCCTCACCCTCACGTATTGCAATGCTTTGGCAGTTCATTAGCTCCATATCGGGAGGCACGCTGTAATTATGCTTCATGGCAGGTTCAGGAAGGTTCCCTGTCTCGAATTCAACTAGGGGCTCCACCGTGGAGCACGCAGCCTCCTCCTCAGCAGGCAGCACCGTAAGCGCCGACCTAGATTTCCTCGCCGCATCATGACCACCAGTTTTGGTCGCTACTGATAACTTGGATGGAGCGGCCTTGGAAACTGAGGCCTTTTTCTGATGTGACGGAAGTGATGCAGAAGATGTTGAAGGGGAGGGTGACGTCGAACCCGTGGTAGTTTTGAAAGTCCGCGTTGCGGATCCAGCCGATAACACCCTACCTTTAGGAGGATACATTATGACGTTTTGTTTGCCCACTTCTACTGCCTGATAAATGAAGCATTATATATAGCTGCGCTCAGTGGGCACAAGGGTCAATTTCGTATTGGCAGTTAGCTGTGCGTGTTGTATGGAGAACAATATCAATCGAAAATATCGCACGTCATTTTTCGAAATATAATGTCTATACTACATCACGCACTGGACAAAATAAAAAATGGCACATCGAGCCAGTTGGATCGGGATGGTCCCTACGTTGCATACATGGCACGTGTACAGTATTGTGTCAACTGGAGACGCGCATATTTAGTCACGCAGTCTACGAGTGTTTTGTGTGCATAAGAATACATACAGCATACATATAGAACGTCATTCGATTCAATTGTAGCATACTCACGTGACCCACAATGAGAAGCGCGGGAACGCTAGCACCAAAATGCTCTCCAAACTAGGACTACACTTTTTATCTACGTCGAGTTAGCTTTGGTATTGTTGACTGCATACATCGCATGAAACGTTATTAAAGTTAGCACCATTAATCCCAACCGGGAACTGATGTAGTATGCGAGCATATATGTGGGGTATTGCTGGTGATGATTCTCTCCAACGACTTATGCATGGCGTAACAACAATGCGTGATTTCGTGTTTGACGCCAACATCATGCGCTGTCTTCGGTTGCAGATGGAGATTCTCCTTTGTAGTCCAGCGGTACGCAGAACAATTGGCGGCAGAATTCCGTGGACTTGTCGCTGCCATATTGCTTGGCTGCCGCAAACATCTTGTTTAAAATACGAGGAACAAGACTCTCTATAATGAGATTCAGGTACATGTTCGGCAGGATGACCCTGGGGTCCTCGTACAATGTGGCAATCATGCGGCAATGGTCGGGCTTGTCCTTGATGTCGCTTACAATCAAATTGGACTCAAAATCATCGACACGGGTGATCCACCTACTGCTTAAAGGATAGTCGTATGGTATAACCTTTGTAGCTAAGACAACCACATCGTCCATGGAGCCGTAGAGAGACCGCTTGATGGTGTAGACGCGTTTCGAGAGGGGAAACGGGTACTTGGATACGGTGTAAACTATATCCGTGGCATTCTCTGACGGCCTAATGATTTTGTGCTCGACATAGGTCTCGTCCCACTCGGAACGTTGGTTCATCGTAAGGATTAACTCGACCAGCTTTTCCTTGCTTACGTCGATGTCGCCGTGTACCAAAAATTCCTTCAAAGTGCCACTGCCCCGGCACCTGCTGGATATATGCAGAGTATTGTTGTTCGCTTCAAAATCCCGTACGTAGTTCCAACCTTCAAATGGAATCCCATTTTTGAGGCATCCGACCAGGTAGCTGAGCTCAGGGGATAGCGGCTCCGTAGAGCATGGGTCGCTAGGCGCGTTGTTGTTCATCTCGTCTACCATGATTCCAACTCAATTAGTATCAGAACACGTAGAATATCTGTGTTAGCAAATACGCTAGACAACAACGGCGCCAAACGCAGCAAACACAAGATGTGTAATCCAAAAACGCGCCGATTGAACGCAAACAGACGCTTCACGAATTAGAATCAGACTGTTTTGATGGTAGGTGTATTGCGCCCGCGCTTATATCGGCTTGCTGCGTGGCTTGTACCCTGGGCAGGTACACATCGGCGTGAGGCGCACTGCAACGTATGGTCTCCCACAAAAACAACACGTACGTGACGTACTATACACCGCGAACTTCACAGCGTATAAAACCAATTTAACATAAGTTGCAATAATGGTCAAGATGGATTGCGATCAGAATTGATCGCAAGGCGATGTTCATTCATAACTCATGTCGTAGTGTGACTGGAATCTGTATATGGACGTTTATTTAACTATACGATAACTATACATTCAAATTACTTCATTTCACGGCTCCTATTGCGTCCGTGCCCATAACTGACGGCTGTACTTGCACGAAGGAATTGCGTAATACCTACGCCTGATGGAATGTTTTATTAACTCTACTTAGCATACGGCAACCATATTAGTTGAACGCAAAATCATGTCTATAACACGTTTGTGCTCATAGTCTGCGGTGTTCCTTTCGTCGCTCTCAGCACGGTAGGAGATTGTCAATAATATACACACTAGTCTCGTATCGATGACTATTCGTTACTCATATATTATATTAGCATTTAAGCCTACTGTTGAGTGTCCACCGGGCGACATACTCTGATACACCATTTCCTCGGCACGCCATGGCGTCTGGCTAGGCCTGATTCATATCAAATATATCGCATAAAATGAAGTACCTCATAGGTGGTTCTACCGGATTGGTAAAGGTCGTAGAGACCGCGGATCGCTCTCTCCAGAGCTTTTCGCCTCCGACTGAGCAGGATCTGAGCCGCAGGGTGACCTGTATGTGTTGGTCAGGTGGAAGCAGGTAAGAGGAAGCTTCTACTTTCATTATAACACATCGTGCAGCAATGATTCTGAGACTGAAGTCACCGTGGGAATGTCCAGTGGGCTCGTTGTCACCTACGCCTATCCTTCCATGGAGCGGCTGGTAGACTTCACGCTGCCTTCGCGATGTGTCCACATCCACATGCTGGGCAACGGATTCGATAGTGTTGGCAGGCATATATACGAAGCACGGAGCTCTGAGCATCCGGCGCTGTACGTAGACATAACGGAATCAGAGCTGCGGCAGAAGCAGGGCAATTATATGTGCTGCATTTCGGAATCGGGCCACTGTGTCATCGTGGACGTTGATAAGTTGAAGCAGGAGATTCAGCCTTCATCGGGTGACGTCAAGGACGACGAAAATGAATCCGATGTGGGTGATGATGTCAAAAGCGTTAACGCTACCAATCGCGTTCGCAACCGTAAAGGTAGAGATGATTTGGATTCCTCTGAAACAAACGACGACGCCAATCGCTTGGAGGTCAAGATGATGTATTCGTCTGATAAGGACGAAAAAGTGCAGCATTTGTCTATTTGCGGCGGCGTGGCAGCCTACAAGTTTAAAGGGCCTATCACCGCTGCAACGCATAGCTCCCTGATGACGAATCGCATAGTACTTGGGGGCCCAAACGTCCCGCCGTTTTTGTTCGACATATATGCCGGAGCGGTGCTGTGGACGGGCAAAATGCCACACCAGTCGCTGTTGGGACTACAATCGCTCCTGGACGTTCGCAGCATCTGCTTCATGGAGGACCTGGGGCCAGACATTATCGCAGTATCCACGTCTAATTCGTGCGTCTACTTCTACGATATGACATGTCAAAAGAAGCCTGTGTATGACCTTAATGTCTGCGACCGACGCAGTCGGTGCATCTCAGGGCGCCGGCTTGCGCTTCATCATATCAAAGAGTACAATACGGAGCGGCGCAAGGAGGTAAAGCAATCCGTGAATGAGTTTTACACCTCTGACACGCGTAATATCGTTAAACTTGTCACCCGTCCTCGTCGAATGTCGGAGGAGGATCAGTACGAGACCAAGGATACCTGTGACCTTTTCGCCAGCGACAATGTGGGCTCGATTTACCACCTTAAGGTTATTACGGGGAACACACTCGTAAGCTTTCTAAAAGAGAAGATGCGAAAGTACCAACCGAACCCCGACCAAGAGATGAGCCGTGATGACGTCATCAAGCACCTCATTGAGGCCCGTAAGCGCTTTGGGTCAGCTAGTGCAAACGACACGCCGCTACACTGCGCACCTCCAGGTGCAAACCAGTACATCTGTCAACTCAAAGGCTGCTATGCGATACACAACGGTGCGGTGCCGGACATCTTTTGCGTGGGACACTACCTCATATCTGTGGGCCTTGACCGCTTCACCAACGTCTACAATGTGAGAACGCGCAAGAGGGTCTTCCGCATGTACTGCAACCAGAAGCAGACTACTCTGCTGCCGTTCCTCAGCGATCTATACCAAGAATATGAAGCCACGGAATTCAAGCAGCCCGATATACCCGTTGTGAAACGCGGTAAAAGGCCGGCGCCATCTGACGCTGTTGCTGATCGCAGTGAGGGCTCAGACGATCGTGATGACATGGACGTTGACGGACCAGATAGTGGCATTGAGGACATGGAAGACGACGACCACCATTCCCCGGTCAACGAGAGTGAGATGAGCGGCTCTGATGCGGATCATACGGATTCAGTCGACGAATCAGACGATAATCCATCGGATTATTCTGGAGACGATTATGACATGTCGGATTCAGGTACAGAGTCCGATAGCGACGGTACCGCCTCCTAGGCTGATCTCGCATATCAACGCAGCTACCATAATAAGCGTACAGCAGCATGAACTCAACGGCTTCATTCATACCACAATTACGATGCGATGTTGATCGGTGATATATTCGCGATTTTAGAGTATTTGTAGGGTCAGATGGGCCTGATCTGCACAGTTGTGAGCCACGAGCATGATGCGAACTCACCCTGAAGCAAAGACTGATGAGCGAAAAAACAAAACATTTTAGGTCTTGCACCAAGTAGTAGAAAACACGCAGGCCGTTAGGGTCCTTGCTATTTTGCACGTCCGATAGTGAGCCGATCTTGGACGTTGAGTAGGTGTAACGCTTCCCGTCGAGCTTGAGCTCCAGCTCCTGACGGCCGACACGGTCGGGAATGGGCCAATCACTGTGGTCCTCGTTCATAATTTCGGATTCCAGTATGATGCGTTTCATCTCCTCAATGACCGCACGGGTCAGGAAGGCTGTGCCAAGTGTCAACGCCGCTATGTCTGCTTACCTTCCTTCTTGATCATGCTATCCTTCCTGTAGTTGGAGTTGTTTTTGTAAAGCAGTTTCCCGTCATCCGTGAGCTCGAACTCGAGGAATTCGTGCCCGAATTTGCCCTCGTGGCCGACACTGCGCAGAATATATGTAAGCCGCGGCAACTTACTAGTAGCGGAGATAGAAGCCATCATCCGCCATTATGTCTCGGCCTATGTGTTGCAAGATGATATGAATTCGGGTTTTGGATCTTGTCTAACTGTTCGTAGGGACGTTAGCCCTGTTCGGGTTGGGACGGACACACTACCAGCTCAACGCCGTGCGACCAGTAGAACCGACAATGTGATTGTAGCGTATACAAATAGCCAGTTTTCAGCTAAATTAAAATATGTGCGATCATACTGCATAATCTGGTAACGGTAGCTTCGGCGTTATTGCCTGCGGGCAGCCTGTTGAGCAGCGCCTCGGAGTACCGCTGAACGGCCTTGGATTCCAGAATCTTCTGCATCCAAAGAGGCCTATCTGAGTCCGGTAACGTGTGTTCAATGGGCGATTTAGTGTCTGAGGCACTGTGAGTGTCGGTGTCACCGACGGCACCCGTTGATGGTTGAACCGCTGCTGCGCAAGATCGCAACTGTGGCAGCATCCCCGTGTTGAGAATACACAGGGCTACATTGCACAGCCCCTTCTCCAGCAAATTCTCACATGCTGGTATCAGACAACGGCGGAAGATTATTGCATGGCCCTCCGCAACGGTCCACACGTTGTTGCTCTGGCTCTTGAGAAGCCGTTCCAGTGATCCGACGATGCAGCTACACATGGCGTGCTCGATCAAATCGAGACAGTCAGTTGTCATTTGCGATTCTAACACGTTGGCTTGGCTGCCAATGGCTTCCGTAATGCGATTTACCTGCACCATGTGCTCGTCAATTCCCGCTGCAGGTCCCTGCGTTGTAACCACCTCAGTGCCGAACAAGTGGTATAACAATCTATCGATAAGCTCTTTAGCAGCATCATGTGGACACAATTCCTGGTCACACAGCCGTAGTTTGAATAGCTCCATCAGCTTCGGTACCATTTCGGCACTGTCCGAGCAATTGAGAACAACCCGTGCCACCAGAGATAATTCGTGTTCACGCATGTGTCGAATTGATTCCGAATTCAGAAATTTCGCTGCGAATTCCCGTTCTGGTATTTTATCGGGCAATCTTGACATGTGCATCAGTGTCGTTAGCAGCAGCGCTACTGCATTTTTATCGGCGGTTTCGATGAAGTGGACCAAAAAGCCATCTAGGTCACACATAATTTCCCTGCGAACCTCGTAATCGGCAGGGAGTTGTTTCAAATAACTGAAATTCTTCGAAAACGATTTCGCATGGCAAAAAATCTCCGCGCAAATGGCGGGCGGCACCAAACGGGCTGCTGCGATAACGGGTAATATCTCGATCCGTTGCGATATAGACTCAATTAGGCCTGTGCAGAGCTCATCAAACGCGTTTCCACAGTTTATATCACCACTGTACACGTTCAAGTTCGCATTTTCGATAGTGCTCACATCAAATTGCCTATTATGCTGGGAACTATACGGCATGCTATCCTGCAGCGCAAGGCGAAGCGCTTGGAGAACGTCTGATTCAGTCGGTATAAGCCTTAGCAGCTCCTCGCGCCATTCTGGTTTTATAATGCCGATGTTTTGCAGCTCAAAATGCTCCGTGCGCGTCCCCATCGCTAGCATAATGATGCCGGCAATTCTCGGAGCGTGATCCAGACAAATTGTGTTACGCAAGGTATAGAGATGGATGAGAGGAACCAAGAGTATCAAATGATGCGATCTAAATATGTCAGCGCACATGAGCCCAAGTTCGCTGCGTGACAGAACAAACTCTGTGAACAATGCATCCAACGTTTGCTGGCCCCTTTCGGTCAGCCCTTCGTACTCATACAGATTGCAACACAACAGCACCTTCAACAACCTCGTATCATCGTACCTTATGCCTGCGGTGTTCAAAGTGATCGCCTTGAGGCTTTTCACCGTCATTGAAGCTATGCTCAGGCACGCTAATTCCGATGTGGCAGCTGGCCCCTCCACAAGTGTGTATTCAAGCACCTTGCAGAGATCATCAACCAGCGCTGCTCTCATACTGTCTTGGCAACCCTGTCTGAACTTTACTAGGGCGTATAAGCAGTCAATGTGCGCAGACGTCGGCGGGTCGGGATGATTCTTGACCAGCTTGGCGATAAGGTAATCAACATGATTCGATATAATGAAGGGAAACTTATCCAAAATGGATATAATGGTGCGATAAACATCCGATCGTATCATATCGTTCGACGATACCACGCCTTGATAGAGGTACAGCGCCAAGCACTCTTCGCATTTGTCACCTGTGCCACCGGCCCCATGGCCAGTCGACGACCCGCTCGCCTCATTCGTCAGGCTGTAACCACTGGCTTCCACAACCAAACCTGGTGGTATGGCCGATGTGACGGCATTGCGTGTACTTTTGATATTAAATTGCTCCAACACTGCCAAAAGTAACGAGCGGGCCTGTTTGCGAACTCCATGATGGTTTGATAGCAAACAAGCACCTGATACCTGGATAATTGAGAACAGGTTAAGCCTCGTATCATCCCTGAATCTACGGGAAAACTCGAGTATACCGGATAGCGCATGAAGTTGCACAGCCTCAGATGAGTGCCTCGACTTGCCGATCAACTCTGCCAAGGTGAGTCGCCTTGAAGTCACGTTAAGGCGATCCTTGTTCACGACGATGGATTGAGTGGATAACTTCACGGTCTTCTTTAGCTGTCCGATGTTGGCGAGGAGCTTAGCATCGCTGCTGGCGTGCTTGCGGAACTGTTCGCGGCCAACGCGCACCTTCTTCGTGGAGAAGTCTCGTTCCTTCTTTTTCTTCATGATTCCGAGCTCAATCCATTGTTATCTCGCATTTAGATGACCTTGGCGCGATTTAGTTGCCAAAGGTGCGCGACCTTCTGTTACACATAGTGACTGTCTATACTGCTGTGATGTTCCCAGCTCCGCCTGCTTTAACGTAGCAGAGAGTAGAATATTACAAGCGCAGTTGTTTTCAATATGCTTTCACAGTCTAACACAGATAACGCAGTGGTTTACGAGCGGCCGTAGCGTCACGCCGGGCCGTTACGCGGCACCTGCGGAAGGCAGAGCGTTAAGACCCCTGAAAATCCGCACATCGAACAGATCGCAGGATGGCAGCCTACGAACTGCAATCACAGGATGTGTCCGTGGCGCTGGATTTCGTTCGCTTCACGCTTTGCGGCTCGACGGAGCTCTCGTTCACGCGCCGCAACGAAGACCTGCCATCTGCGGGCGTTCCCAGCGGACCGTTCATCCTACCCATTTGTGTGCCGCAGATTACTGTAGCGGAGTACAAGAAGGTGCTCATCAATGGTATGGCTGTAGATTTCCACCTTGCAAGGACGTTGGACCCTACGAGTAATGCGAACCTGGTCAACGAATCATGCCTCAACGTGGACCTGATGAGCCTCGACGGGATGCATGTGGCGGCGCAGCAAATCTGTGTGTCGCTGCTATACGTGGAGCTCGGAGAAATGCCGAAGAAGCTTGATGTTGTTATAGAGTTTGAGTACATGCGGCTGAGGAGCCACACCGACGATGTGTACTTCCACAACTATTGGCTGCTGCCGCGCTGCACGACGAGTTATTACGAGTACACTGTACTCCGTTCGAACCCAAAGAGCGACCGGTGGTTCCCAACAGTGTTCTTCAGCGACACCATAAGCATGGCGAGCAACTGTGTCTATCGCATTGAAGTGGTTGCTCCCAGTCGCTACAGCGTGATCTGCGGCTTGCCTTTGTGCGAAGAAACGACAGCTAGTGACGGAGGTGATACGTCAGCTACCACTAGCACGTTCAAGTTTAAATGGGAGGCAAGCACCAGTCTCGGCGTGTTCCCCCGGAATAGCTTCGGATTGTTCGCTGGAGAGTTCGAGTTCTGGGATGGCAATGAGCTGCACAAAGACGACGATCTGTCGGAAGATCGTCATCACAAATCGTTGGATGACGAAGATTGTATGGACGCCTTCTTGCAGGCAGCGCGGCATAAGCTAAGCAGCGATGTGCCGATTACATACGTCACCTTGAAAGGCTACGGGTTTCTGTTGGAGCCAACCAACATTGCGACAGCCCAGTGTCTGGATACGTACCGCCGTGTGCTTAGCTTTGAAATGCCGGGCAGCCTTTTTATGCTGTTTCTTCCCGGGCAACCGTTCCCGTTCCCGGGCAATATTTCGGCCAACATTCGGACCCAAAATTTGATCGATATAAAAAGATGCACGGCGTACACTGGTTCTGAAAGCCACCTTCACACGAGTTTTATCGAGCCACTCGCCAACTGCTACCACGGCATGTACTACCCCAGTGGTGCCAACATGCTCGTCTACTCACTCGATGTGCTCCACAGCTACAGTGACATTGACCACGACTTCAGGAGTGCCAACTGCAGGATTGCCATCGCGTATGGTCTGGCGACATTGTTCACGTTGAAACGTTGGGTGAACCCCTCACGAGACATGCACCTCGACGTCATGCTCCAGTCGTACCTGGTCGATCAATTCGTGAAGCGCAACATGGGGCATAACGAGTACAAGGTGCGTATGTGGGCGAGGCGTGAAGTTCTTGCGACAATAACGGAAATTTATGGCGACAACCACCCCCTGTGTCAAACCAAGGGTATGTCGGCTTCGGTGCCAATTCTGATGAGCGATCGAGCGTTCGTCCTCAAGTGTCACCTGATTCCTAGTATCCTCGAATCGCTGTTCATTGCTGCAGATTTCCTACCGGACAATTTCCTCATTCAGTGGATGCGGCGGCGTCTGGTTACCTTAAGCATGGTCGGCGAACACAATTTACGTGCCGATGCCAATTGTGCCCGGCGAGGTAACGACGGAGATGTAATTACCACCTGCATCAACGGGCGTGCATTTTGGGATGCGCTGGGAGATGAGATGGTACGGAGGTACATACATGCGTGGAATGCGAAGCCGCCAAACAGACTTGTGGTCGAAAATCAGCTGGATCCCAACTGCAAACTCGAAGACATCCTAAGACGAGGTGTTGATCACGATCATCTGAGTTCGATCATGAAGCAATACAACAGCATTGTTAGATCATATCTACACGGCACGGGGTGTCCGCAGATCAACGTGGGTTTTGCCCTTCAACTGCAGCGCAAGGGTACCTCCATGGACCACCTAAATTTTCGGATCGACATCAAGTCCCTGCAGCCACCGATTGATGTGCACAAAGATGGACGGACTGCTTACGCTGTAGCTATGGCTTCGCAGTTGGCAGCCCGCAATCTTCTGACAACGTACAGCAAGCTGATCCGTACCATGCCGCTGGAAGACTACACGGAGAACAGCGAAGACCAACATGGGCCAGCGCTTGAACGTGTGCTGCAGCTCTTCAACATATATGAGAGGGGTGAATGTCCAAACGGTCCACACGCGTTAGACTTCGCCGATATCGCAAATTCTACTACCGTCGCAGAGACATCCGAGGCCGGGATCCTACGGAGAAACATGAGACTGTTACAAATGTGGCACGATCCCGTAGACCTGGTTGGGCGAGACGGAAACTTCCTACTGGGATTCGGCTACATTGGCCCCTTCCCGTATCCCTTCTGTCTCGGTAACGGTCCCATCTACGACTGCTTAGATGTCCTAAGAAAACACTGCGATGTGAACAGCATCGTCGACGGTTATGTCGACAATGGAGGCACGTATTGCGGGTCGTACGTATATAAGAATGGCTACGAGCTCCTCTTAGGGAACGGTAGCCTCCCTGTTGCATCGAACGGCGGGATGCCATATTGGCAAATCATCCATCTACAGGCGCTGATGAACGGAAAAACCGACCCTGTCCCGATGTCCGGGGGTCTTTCTAAGCAATGGGTTGCGCAAGTGAAGGTAGATATCGTAGAAGACGACGGAGTTAGAGAGAACGTCAAGTTGGTGGGGGACATGGTTCCAACTAGTTACAAGGTAAACCCCAGAGCCGAACGAGGGCGCAAAAAGGTTGCCATGAAGGGACCAGCCGAGAAGGACATGGACGACATCGTAGACGATAGTACCCGCAAGAGTACGTATATCGGGCACTACAGCGATAGCGATCGTGCGGTTATCGAGTGGATGAAAATGTTGTACCTTGGCATGCATCCGGATCTTGCGCAACTGGACAACCGTTCAGTCGTCGCTAAAATTTGCAGCAAGGGCCGCGTACCTGTGCTCTGGACGAGCGTGGACAGCTCATTCAGGCTCATTGGGAGGATACGCAGGTGCCAGAGCAGCGGCATGTGGGAGCAGCAGCTGCTCAGCGACAATAATATATACGGCCAAATAGACGCCGCCGCGGCCATGGGCTCGCTCGGAAGGAGTGTGAATTACTCCACAAGTGAAAACCCTGTGGTCAAACAGGTCATTTCGAAAATCGAAATGTTGATTCGGCGTCATCACACGCACCCGGTTGTGCGTGCGCGCTGTCTCTACAGCCTCGTCTGTCTCCACAACCGCGACCCTCGGGTGCAGGAGGCGGTTCAGCAGGTATTTAGCAATTACCTCAGCTCCTTCTCGATGAACAACACCGGTGCCAACTACTGGCACCCCAGCGAAGCACGGTTCATGCTTGATTTCGTCAGGGCATTAGCGCTATTGCGCGACAAATGGGGTTCATCGCCCCAAATGGCTGTGGACATGCTAGCAAAGATGTTGGAAGGTCTGAACGGCGTGAACTACCTCGTTCACGCGACGAACATCGTAGATTGCTGCTCGTACCTAGCCATTCCGGCATGCGCGCTAAGGCATACGGCAGAGAGTGGGTCTCCATGTCTAGAAATCAAAAAACTGTGGCAATTGCTGTGGCATCTCTTCAGGCTTGATGCTATCCCGGGAAGTGGCAGCTGCAACAAGATGCTAACGGCTGCATTCCTCAGGTGCTTGAGCAGGCAGCCGATAATGCTGGAGCTGTGCTTCAACAAATTCGCGCAGGATAGGGGTATGGGCTTCGCCTTTGACTTCAACATCTTCATCCCGATCAAGCAGAACATATTACACTCTGAGCAGGCCGCCTTTGAGCTGGGACAAACGTACCATTCGATCCATGTTCACATCGCCGCCATCGAAGCCCTTTTGAGGGTCCTCATGATGTCTGCTTATACCATATCCGACGAAGAGGATATGGAGGATAACAGCCCTTATGGTTGTATGAAGATGGAAAAGGTGGATTACGAGACTCAGGTAAAGCGAATTGAACATTTTGCTGGAATCTATGAGGCAGCTCGCTGCTGCAGGCGCTTATGCGACCGGATCACCGAAGCGGATTTGAAGATTCACACATGGGATGCCTTCGCTCGGGTGATCGAAGAACTAACGCAGCTATTTCCAGTGCTCTTCATAGACTTGGATGGTTTTTATGCCAAGAAAACGCGAGACCTGCTATACAACATGTTGAGACCATGTGCAATATCGTCACACATCTTCCAAGTGCAGATGTACGTCCTAATAAGGCGTGCTATATCACTTCTATTCGGTAGCGGATTCACATGGGAGGGTGACATGATGCCGAATAACAAGTTTGTGTCACAACGCATCGACCTGCAGACGAGCGGCCTCGGTCTACCTCGCATCGCCGCATTCAGACGTATTCACTGCGATGTGGCGAACCCTGGCACTTCCGATTGGATTCAGGTGGCTGTAGAAGCAATTGAGGCGTTGAAGGAGTTGCCGCAGGCGAAATGGTTCATCAACGACCCTGAGCAGTCATGCGTTGGCTATCGGTCGCTCGTAAGTCACCCCATGTGGCTTACAAAAATACAGACCAAGGCGCTCGCCGGCTATTATAACTTGCCAATGCAGTTCAAGGCGGACATGACGCTTTTAATCAGGAATGCTAAATCAGTCAACAAGGTTGACACCCTGCCATTTGCAGACGCAGTAACCGTCGAGGAACAGTTCGACCTGCTCTGGCCGGCGATCGTACGGACCTACCAGCGCACCGTCAAGGCATCTACCGGCAACTGAGCGCGCTGTATCCGATGCCAGGTAACAGCGTCAGTTAGTGATGCTCCGTACTGTAATTCTGTAATTCTTACGGTACTCGGTATTATATCTTTCCAGCGACCTGGCAGCAGTCTGCAGCGTCCTGAATCGTTGTGTAGAGTATTATCAATGAGAATTGGTTTGCTGTTGAGCGGGCGTAGGGGTCGTACATTGGCACCGGTAGGCGGAAAGAGGTGTGGAAAATTCCTGCACATCTACCACTACTAACGACACACTACCGTCACACAGCATTGAGATATGGAAAAGGGGTTTAGATTGCTCGTATATCGTGATCGTACCTCGCATGAAAGCGTATAACAAGGTTTTAGGCGTCACAGCAACGTCAAATTTTTGCCGCCTCGGTACACAGGCCGATTATTGCAGTTACGTAAAAGAAGGAACGCAAAAAAACTCTTGTTAATAGACGCCAGGAAGTCAAACAATGGTGCAGGCAAATGTCGACACCACATGGATATGCGCTTGCCTTTGGCGTTGCGGGTCAGTACTGTCTTCACGTACTCCTCATCACCGATGGAGACACGTGACAGCCAAATAGAAATTCTCAGCGTGGCTGACGATGAGACCATCGCGGCCGAATCGCGAGAAAAGGCGCCTGCATTCGCCGAGGCGTGCTGCGATGAAGATGAGGAGGAGTCCGCGGAGATCGCGGACTCCTGCCTCCACTTAAACAAGTTATTTCACGAACTCTTTCCGGATAGGCAGGTGGCAATGTGGATGACCATCCACGCCGCCATCATTCTGATATATGCGCTCTTCAACTTCAATGCGTACACAGTCTTCCTCCAGAGTCAGGTTAGTACCAAGTATTAGTGTTAACTGCTTCTCAGAATGGCACAATTAACTTCAACATCAACATGATATGGTGCCTTTTGTTCATATGGGCGGGGAATCTGATCATGTACATTGGTACCATGATCATCAGGTATGCTAAGCTGCAGATGTAAACACATAATCGCTGCAGGTACCTTTTGATCAACGTGCTCGTCAACGTTCCATGTTCTCGTAACGCATACGTGTTCGCCTCGATTAGCATGCTCGACCCCGCGCTCTTCTACTTGTTGTGGGCGGCTACGCAGTCCGTGGTATGGCAAATCCTGGTCTCTAGACGTGAGTTGAATCGCCACCCCCTGGGAATGTCATGAAAATGCAGTGAAGGATGAAGCACACATGTTCTGCATCGAGCCCCCATTCTGGCATGATTTCACGCACAAGTACCTGATTTTCCGTGAGGATGCTATGGTATGGATCACCTGTGCCATACACGTCCACCTGATTCTGGCCATACGGAGCTTAACGCTGGCAGTCATATCGTTCACGTTCGAACTCAACCTGCTTGTGAACTCCAACGAGGCTCTGAAGAAGTACCTCAAGCTCTACACCAACATCAGGAAGTTCAACATCGATTGGCTCGCGTTGGTCATCTCAAGACCAGAACTTGTCAAGCGGCTGAAGAAGGCATTTTTGCGCAAACAACACGACGGAAAGATATTCCCCATGGCACAGAGCAACAGTGACCGGATCACCGACTTCAAGAAACAAAATGCGCTGCACATACTTCACGAGTCCCATGAGACGGCATACATGCAGTACTTCAGCACCAAGGAAGACCTCAGCGTTCCGTCGGACACAACCGACGCGATGATTGATCAATCCACCACATCCGCCTTCTCAAACTGGCTGCTCATCTACTACGTCATCCGAGTGCCCCCAGTCATCTCGTTGCTACGCGAGGACGTTGTTCTGCGAGGTCGCGCGGAGATCGAGTCGTGTGCCGCGATGCTGTTTGAGCAGATGTATATGACGTTGAATGCAAGATCGATTCCGGGTGAAGAAACGGATGACACGCAATCCGTGTCAGGGGTGCGTGACGCGTTGGCGCAAGCAAAAGATTCAACTGAGGCCGTTGCCAATGGCAAGCCCGAAATGGGCACGGACGCAGTGCAGGAGGTACACGATCGTGGTTCCAAGGCAGATCACGGAACGGATAACGCGGTGGGTCCCGATGTATCAAAAAGCTCTGTCTTTAAGGCGACGGGATCTGATGACAATACCGCTGCGGCAGTGGCTGAAGAACGTGGCTCTGCCAGTGGAAAGCCACCAGTGGTAAGGATCGTGGAACCACCGCGTGGAGCATCTCATGGGCACCATCAGATGGTACCCGCATCTGAAATATCGCAACAAGCAACTACCAGCGTGTCTAAAGTTTGCACAAGCCCATCAAAGGTCAGGATCAGAAACCATCGCACGATATCCATGATGCACCTAGAGCAGTTCAGGAACAGTTTGATGGAGAGTGAGGCAAGCGAGGAGTTTCCCGATGACAGCCCCACCGCCGATTACCAATTCAACAGTGTTGAAGGCGAGGACTCGCGTTTTATTTGTATGGAGCAAATGCGGTCGTTCCTTTTGCCTAAGGAATGCGACACCATCATGAGCCTCCTTGATCTTTCGCGGCACGGTAAGATCAACCAGTCCATGTTGCAACAGGCGCTATTAAACCTGTTTTCTACGCAGAAGAAGTTTACAAACACCATAAGAGGGCAGGACAGTGTGTTCAAAGTGCTATCTAGGCTACTGTCAGTGGCCACGTGGGTGCTCGCTATCGTCACCATGGCGTTCCTGGCCGGGATAACGGCCGAGGCGATCGTCGTATCGGGTGCAGCTCTGTTGTCGGCCCTCACGGTTGCACTGAGCTACCTGTACACGAACTTTGTGACATCAGTCATATTCGTGGCATTTTCCAACCCGTACAACGTCGGCGACCGCGTGCGCCTCAACGACGGGGAGCCGCTCACGGTCAGGAAAATCCGCACCTACACCACCGAGTTTGTCACCATGCTGGGAAAGGTGGTGGTGTACCAAAACGCAGTGCTTTCGACCATGAAGATAACGAACGAGAGCCGCGCTGCGCGGGCTACTGTGAACTACCAGTTCAAGGTCGACGCCGAAACAACAGAAGAGCAGCTGGTTGCCATAGAGTCGTACCTCAAAAACGCGTGCAACATGCGGCCCAACGACTTTGTCAAGGACAGCTGCATCATGTTCTACCTAGGCTTCAACCCGGGGCACTGCTTCGACCTCAGCGTCTGGGTCACCTGCATCGAGAGCTGGGCGAACTGGCAGCGTATATACCTGCTAAAGGGCGAGCTGTTGGAGCTCACCCTGCGCCAGTGCAAGAAGCTGGGTGTGACCTACATGTTGCCGACTCAGCCGATGACGTTCCCGCATACGCTCTCCATACGCAACGTGCAGAAGCGCGAACCGTCGCAGGGCGGGAAGCAAGCTTGAAGCTCGCTTACAGAACATATAAATTTTGTATTTTATTGTACTGACTTTTGTGTCCTTTTGGCGGGCCGATAGAGGAGAGCCGGTGGCCGCCTTCCTGCGCTACACCCACTCACAACCAATTATACTGCGATGACTCTAAAAAAGACGCCAAACAAGGAGGGCGTGACGCGTAATTACATAACGCGCAGCCAGGCGCTCAAGAAGCTCCAGGTGTCGCTCAAGGACTTCCAGCGGCTCTGCATCCTGAAGGGCGTATACCCGCGTGACGTTGCCAGGGGAGGCACACTCACGAGCAAGGGCATCAATCGCAAGAAGCTCAAGAAGGACAAAATCTACTACCATGTGAACGATGTGCGGTACCTGGGATCCGGCGACCTTCTCGCCAAATTCCGCGACATCAGCGCGCACCTCAAGCGACATCGTAAGCTGGTGACGCGAGGCGAACTGTACGACGCCAAGCTCGTGGAGCGGAAGCGACCGCGGTACTCCCTCGCTACCGTCGTCAAGGAACGTTGCCCAGCGCTTGTTAACGCTGTTGCCGAGTTGGATGATGCTGTCTGCACCATCGCAGCAGTGGCGGGTAGGTCATTTAGAGATAACATTGGAACGTACTAACGTTAACTAGCTGCCATCTTGGCAGTTATGGTTGTTGGTGGTTACATGTGATGACACCGTGTTTATTCTCACGCAGCGCTTCCGGCCGATAAAAAGAAGGGCATCGACCCTAAAGTAGTGGACATGTGCCAGATGCATCTGCAGCACTTTCTGAAATACGTCAGCGAAACGCGTTGTCTGAAGAAGACCTTTATATCCATCAAGGGATTCTACTTCCAGGCGGAAATACTGGAGGAGACTGTGACATGGATCCTCCCCCACTGCTTCGCACAGGTGCGTTTTGGTACCCCAGAGTCTGCATTCATTGGCTTTCTACCTTGGAAGGCTGTATATATTGTTCTTCTGTTTTTGAGCACTCTTATTACGGCCCAATGTGTCGTCATGTGATTAAAACTCTCATGCGTTTGCGTGTTGAAAAGCCACGTTTGGCCGAGGTTGATTGCAGTTCATCATCCGAATTTATAACCCATAAATTTGGCACGCGTGTATATTATTGTTCAGGAGCTGCCTGATGAAGTGGATTTCAATGTAATCGCAACTTTTGTGGAGTACTACATCGAGCTAGTCAAGCTAGTGAACTTCAAGCTGTACTCAATGGCAGGGTTGTCGTACCCTCCGAAAGTGAAGCCTGAATTCGCTCATATCGGCAATGAATTCATATATATGGAAACAACTGGCGGCACAGCAGTCACTGAGGGGCTCTTTAATGGGATGCGCTTCAACCTGTCCCCCGAGGTGCCCCTGGTGCCAACCTGCCTCGTGATATTGTCTGCGGGGGGGACCATATCGGAGTTGGATAACGCAACGCATGTTATTATTGATCGGCCAATTACGGGTGTGTTTCAGCCTTTTGGCGCCTTTTACGTCGCTTTGCAGATGTGGACCCAACGAAGGACTACGTCCAGCCGCAATATGTGTTCGACTGTCTGAACTGTGGAATCATGCTACCAGTCCAGCAATACGCAATAGGGGTGCCACTTCCGCATCATCTGTCTCCGTTTGTGGTAGGTTGCATTTAGGCCAAATAAAAATGAACTGCAGGATGACTTGGCCGTGCCAGACCGGCAACTTGAGTTGGAAAAGCTCGTCAAGGAAGCGTCGCAGCGTTCCCTCACCAATGGTATACAGCTTATCGATGTTATAGTGGTTTTCACGTGCGTATCAGATGATCCAGATGACCTTAAAACTCAGCGGATTAGGTTCCAAGAGGATATCAAGAAGGAGACCACGATGGTGAGTGTGACGCCGGCGCCAAACATAACCCTCGCAGACTGAAGAGATGAAACAAATGTCTAAGGCGCTTATGCCGAAGAAGACAAGACGCCTTCTTTCCAAAATTGAGGTTGGTTCACCACATGTTGCCCGTGGCACTCCGCGCAGTTCGGCGAACGACGGAAGGCTGAGGCTGCCGAGAAACTCAGACAGAAGAAGGAAGCAATTAAGCGTAAAACCAAATAAATTTTTTAGACCCCTTAATTATATAAAACACAATGCTTGATAACGACGACACACTGGCCGACGGGGAAGTGCTCAGCGTGCTGCGCCAGCAGCTCCCGCCTCAGCTACGCAATGTCGAATCCGTCGAAGATCTGCTAGAGTACGGCATTTCTGTTGCCAAGGCCGACCGAGACAGGGCAGTGAGGAACTTTCTGAACACGTAGGTTCATGTAACTCCTGGCTCGATTACATAACGCAGCAAACAACTTATGGCAAATATCAAGCTTCTTGAACGCCTGGATGACCATACACGCGCATATATCGACGCAGGAAACGGCATTTTCCTCCCAGCGCGCCTGTTAGTTTGGAATACGCGCAACTCAATTAAACTCAGGAAAGACCGGCACATACTCGTGCACATCGGCTACCAATTCTACCTTGCTATGAACCACGAGGAAGCGTACGCATTCGCCGCCGAGCGGCTCAAACTCCTGCAACAGTAGGTGGCGTCGGCAAACAACTATCATTGCGCAGGAGCATCAACACCCTGAACGCCAAGGTGGCTGAGCAGCGGGCACAGGCATTTATAATCGCTGAAACATTATGCACAATGTCAGCGGCGGGCATTCGTTGATTCCAGTGGCGAAGGCTGCTACGTAGAGGCGATCGTGCGCTAGGTTGGGTGTGTGACGCGTGGCTACTTGACCACACACCAAAAATTCCGCTCCGCACCCACAGTACTTTCATAGTCAAAATGGTGTGTAAGGAGTTAGCTATACCGCAGGAGAACACGCTTGTTGCGGTTACGGACTCTATGTCCGCTAACCCGCAGCGGCTGGAGTGTCTACTAACCAAGGGGCTCCTGCAAAGGGATATCGATCTCTTAAAGGAAGGTATGAAACGAATGCGACCGCTACATCTGCGTGCAGCCGGATTCTCGACGCTTGAGTGTGTGGCCTACGCGCCGGTAAAGATGTTGCTTGATGTCAAGGGCCTCAGCGAGCAAAAGGTGGAGAAGATAAAATTGGCATGCAAGGAGCTTTGCCACCTCGGGTTTTGTTCGGCAACCGATTATCTGGAGGCCAGGGAAAACCTCATCAAGTTTACCACCGGGTCTACCGCCCTCGATGCGTTACTGCAGGGTGGCGTCGAGACTGGCAACATCACTGAGATATTCGGAGAGTTCAAAACGGGTAAAACGCAATTATGTCACACGCTAGCGGTAAGTAGTTCATAACAATTGCGGAATATCACACTGAGTTGCATTTCCTGATCGTTATCACATGTTGTTGGCCCTGACCTCTCTATGAACGTTATTGTCTTCACCTCCATTCAGGTCACGTGCCAATTGCCCGTGGAGCAGAGCGGAGGGGAGGGTAAATGTCTGTGGATTGACACCGAAGGCACCTTCAGACCTGAAAGGATCGTCGCCATCGCTAAGCGCTTCGGACTCTCTCCAGCCAACTGCCTCGAAAATATCGCTTACGCCAAAGCATACAACACTGATCACCAACTGGAGCTGCTTATAGAAGCTGCGAACATCATGGCGCAGACACGGTTTGCGCTGCTCATTGTGGACAGTGCTACAGCTCTCTATCGGTCAGACTACTCGGGTAGAGGAGAGCTGGCCAGTAGGCAAATGCATCTCTGCAGGTTCCTCAGGGCACTGCAGAGGATTGCGGACACCTTTGGTGTCGCTGTGGTTATCTCAAATCAGGTTATCTCAAAGGTCGACAATATGTCCTCCTTCTACGGTGGGAATGACAAGATGCCGGTCGGTGGGAACATCATTGCGCATGCCAGCCAGACCAGGTTGTTCCTTAGGAAGTCCAGAGGAGACAGCCGTATCTGTAAAATATACGACTCTCCAAGCCTTCCGGAGGGTGAGGCAGTCTTTGGCATCACTGAGGGCGGCATCGATGACTACACTGACAAGTCATTATGATCTCCCTTTCATATCGTAGTGACCGTAAATTGGTCCATCGCATTTTTCACAAATGCAGCGAGACGCAGGTGCGGATATTAATTCTGTTGCCTTTAGTCAGCTATACCGCCCTCGCACGCCGATGTATTTGCAACGTCATTTCGCCCTGCCGCATTCGTTGACACTTGTAACGTTGTACAAACATGTATTTTATGATTATAAACGAACTATAATGATCGTAAAATACCATTTTTAATCAACTTTGAGTGGCTTCGTCTTAGTGTACCATCTGCGTTTGTGCTTATTGCGCCCTGAACAAGTGGTGTGGATTGTGCTGTTGCACTTGGCTGATTAGCAGCAGTTGGGCGAAGCCATTTGATTTGTCAGAGTAAGGAGACGAACGCATTGTAAAATATTCAATGAAAACACATGATATTTTGTCTTTACAGCTGGAAGCTGCCCTCGTTGACCGTATGGAAACGACATGGCACGACCAATGCTCAGGCTAGTGCGTACTCAACGCTTTAAAATTATTTTGCACAGTGTATACGGTGGCCTTATGCCTCATTCGTAGACTCAAAGGTTTAACGTGACATATAAGTTACAGACTCATTTATCGAAATATCACTCAATCTCTTCAGAACCTAAATCGGATGCCAGCAAACGATACATATGATTCCTACAATTAGGGGTAGGACGGCGACGCACGATCATTTTCTATGCTAAAGTTGTTATTGCTATATTAGAATTCTGTGTGCAATAAGGGAGACTGATACGTGCCTTTCGGCGGGTGCCTCTTGTCAGAGGCGTATGTCTGTGGCGCTTTATATGAGGTCCTGTACCTTGTGGAATGGCCATGTACTCTTCTAATTCGAGTAGAGACCGAAGCAAATGATGATTATAATAAGAACAGCGATGACGAAGAACCACGCAAGAAATCAAATGATTTGCTGACAACGCAAGCACGCACAGCTGAAATAGTTTCTACATTTCCTACCCTATTAGCTGCTACATTGGCTACACTTGGTACATATGCATCCTGTCTTTGCCACTATTTTTCGCTCACTTGAATGGAAGATCCCTGCAGAACAATTAACAACTTACCTGCATCCCAGCGCCTTGGAGAGATGCCCCTTCAATTACTTTTAACAAATACCTGTATAACGCCTTATATGTTTATATAATAAGGCATGGTTTAAACTGCCTGGTATAGTTGACGAACAGGAATTCACGCTTAGACCCACCAAAGGATACGTCACAGCATGCGGCTGAATACATTGTCATAACCAAGGGACAATATCATATATCTGCACCACCAATTATTCCTCAAATTGTTAAACGAAATTCAATGTTACTGCAATATATTTGCATATGTTTTGGATGTTACAAACTTGGATATTATGGACAGAGTTTCAACTCGCTGACTGAACAATTCAACCTCCATTCTAAATCGTAACACCCGTAGGTTCTTGTTGGTCTCCTACATATCTCATGAACACATGCCTGTTACACTGTATAGTTAAGCTCCATCGTTCTGCCATGCGTACCTGCTCTGTGCCAATCCGTCCAGCTGCGTCCATCCAAATGTCAACCTCAGATATGGTACCCTAATAGCATATTAACTTTCAACACTGTCAAAGATACACAATGTCTACCAACGTAACATACTAATCAGTTACCAAATTCCCGTATCGGTGTGACGAAGGGATATTAGCTTCCCCACCTCTACCTAGCCTGACAAGCACTAGTTTATGGGAGCAGAACAGGTAGCAGTTTATAGCCACTGTTTTCTCCAATTGTAAGTTCATCCTAGTTGTGTTGTACAAATCACTTAGTAGCGTTAATTTGGGTGTACCATCTAATGATGAGAAAGGAAAATGCCACATTTTCCATGTACATTGTGCACTCCTCATTCGAAAGGCGAACATTACACTATTCGAATACATCTATTTTTTAAGGTTCATTTCACCACCATAGCACCACATTTTACAAAATCTAATGCAAGGTCCACACCGATAATTGACCAAGATTAACAATGGTTATTCTCACATTGATGGCAAGGGGGGGTGGGGGGTGGCACCAAGTGTGTCGAAGCATATTCTGCTGAGACTGAATTATTTAGTGGAACACTGCTTATGGCTCTCTTCTCTACGTTATAACTATGTTGGTGACGCATAATTAAAATAAATCGGTTTTTACGAATCCAAGTCGCCCACCATCAATTGGCGTCCTTAAAGTCGCAATATGCTCGAGATAAGTCCTTTTGTGACTGGATGAATTGTAACTATGGCCATGATGAAGAGAGTCTGCCCACTATACAGGCACTTTTGACTGATGGCTGGCTTTTACCGTGAGAAGGGGTTTCTGAACGAGCCCGTTGTATTCACTCCCGTGCCACCGTTTGAGGTTCGGTGGCGCCAAAACAGTCGTTGTTTCGACCTCTGGTTCCCGTGCATCTCGCCCACGGACAGCGAGGACGACTATGCCGTTCGGTTCATGCCACAGGAGCTTACCATCACGTACAACGGCAAGGCTGTGTCTCGTGCATTGCGCGGCAAGGTCGATGTGGATGGCTGCTTTTGGTCGTTGGAGGAGATGTCGGGGCGCGGGAAAGTGGTGAGTATCGTGCTTCTGAAGAGCGCTCCCCGCCATTCGGGAACGTGGCAACACCTGTTCCGCGGCACATGTCCCTCACAGCCCCCAGCCTGATGTCCTTCCGCGACGCCCAGCTGTTCGAATTTTGTTTAAATCAGGCAGCTTCAACTGCTACACGATGGTGTTTTCCGTACTCTATTACTTGGTAGCGGCAGTCAAGCTGACGCTCCACGTTTATATATTTTGACAGGTTCTTAGATGTGGAGAAATGAATTCTATGTCAATGCCACTGCGAAATCTATCATTTTCGACAAATGCGGAATATTGTTTCCTCTCATATATGATAACCGTCGTCATTTTCTACATGTCAGCATCAGTTGCTTACCATCGGTCGAATTGTGATGATGTGGCATTGGTGGGCGCACGACAGCACAGTGTTTGTTAAATCCGATATTTATCTGTATTCCTTGTTTGGTAGTGCGCTATGCGGCTACGCTTGTCCCGTGTCTGTTTTCGTGTTTACCGGGATAGCGCCTCACTCGATTGGCGCCAGTAGTGGGATGCACGTCCTGTTGGAAGACGTGTTTCGGATCACTTCCATAGGACCATACATTTCCGTTCGGCGTCTCTTTACGGGACACGCCAAACAGCGATTCATAACGGCTATATACGCATGACCCACCCAAATTAAGAGCAGCACATGGCTGCCCTTTTGGGGTGCGACAATACCAGATGTCCTCAGTGGACTTGTTGCGATAAGAAAAAATTAAGTTGTTTAGTGATGCTAGGTATAGGCATTACTATGCCTTGCACTCAGCAGCCGCTCCGCTTTTCGACGACGGGTACTACGCCGGTTTACGCCAAGGCAGCACTAACGTAATTATAGAGACGCTGCGAACTGTGTTTTGCCCAGTCGGACACACTGCTATCGATGATGAGTGTATACATAAATGTTGTTTTAATTACACTTCATAAATTAGAAATGTTTCGTGGGAGTTCGTTGACGGCTACTGAGTGGCGAATCGAAGTAAGACTCTTCTGTCCCCAACTGCTTGTACAGGTCACCTGAGATCCCTAATCAGTAGAAGGCCCAAAAGCCAGAGAGGTCGTATACTGTGTACAATTCATGGTCCTTCAAACGGCTCAACGCACTGTCGACATCTGAAGTTCTTGGGCTAGCGCGACATTCCGGCTCTACGAAACCCAGAACCTTCAGCATCTCTCGCATACGATTATACGCAATGAACGGTGGACATCTGAAGAATGCGTACCTCCATGCTGAAAAGAAAGCACTTAGCCCCGCGTACAACATTGGCGCAATGCCCACGAAGATGACGGCACAAGCTTCCGCGTCCTTCGCGCACGATGCATCCCACGTCGCTCCTGGACAGTAAGCCGACTTGTACTGGCCGGGGTTTTGGATACATTTCAAGAACTTCTCACAACCAGTCACAACATCATCCAAGTTCTCTGCGATGTCTTTCGGTTTGACACCCCGGGTCTTCACGACATTTTTATAATCGCTTTCCTCGAGACCTTTTATTACATTGCCGGTCTTTTTCGGGTTTTTATCAATAGGCCTGTTAAATTTCTCCAGCATAATGTTTACGGGCCACCGGTGCTTAAGCCCTTCTTGCTGCAGGAACTCTTTAGAAATAAGTTTCACATTCTCTAGAGCTGGCACTTGCATCTTGCCAACCGGCTTGTCTGCGAGAAATTTGTAGACTGCCTCACCTAAGGCCTTCAAGTTCTTCTCACCATCCTTCCCCTTCAGGGCTATCAACCAGTCCATGCACTCCTTGACGTTTCGGGGAGGCTCGGTCAACGAATGGTATACCATTTTTTCAACCTTCGTTATGTTAGGCGATTTACATGCACATTTTGGTCCCCCGTCTATTATCTGTGCGGTTTGCGAAGAGTTCTGTATTAATGGCGAATCAGCACCAAGCGTGTGCTGTTGAGGGCTGCAACGGCTACCACCGTTACCTCTCGGCGATTTTCCCGGTCGGCTATTCAACTCCGAGGTCGCATCCGGCCGAGTATCGCCAAGTACGTCGTTAAGTACCGTCTGAGTATACGTCATAAACTCATCAAAACGGTTCTTCCACTCCTTCATCTGCTCTAGCTTGTCCGTTCGCCTGTCATCTTCACCATCCTTGTCCGGATACGTAGAAACAGACTTCTCCAGATCCCTTGACGGATCTCCTGGAGAAGCTTTCATCTCACGCCCATCCCCTTGAGAAGCCATCTCGCAAAATAATTAGCAGCGTGCCTTTATATCATAAACTGCTCTTTACGAAGGCATACACATCCAGAGTGCCGTCTAAGTGGTTCTCGTAAGCGTGCCTACGTAGCTTTCAGCTTTTAGATACCGTGGATGACCACGGTTAAGACATGTACCGACTGAATAGTTTGCCAGCATAATTTGAACCCAATTACACTCGCCTGTATTCGAAGCGAGAAGAATGTCTGGATTTCATTCAGATTACCAGTGCTCACGCGCGGTGCAAGGCATTCGGGGTTATAGACATCTGGGTAACTAAGCTTGCGGGGCTCCCCGCAAAGTGACTGCTGGGGCATAGTCCGGGGTTACGACATCAAGGCATACAACAATGCTGGCCATAGATGCCTGTAACTGTGGTGTTCACTTAGACAAGGCGGAACATTCACGAAATGTTGCACATAGACGCAATTCACATTGATGTTATACACTCCCCGGCGGATGCCCCGACGCCTCTCCCACACCCGCTGACCGCCTAGGATGACGACGATGACCCTTACAACATCTCCACTCTAACAAAAAAGTTATGAAGCTACATTATGCATTAAGTGGTTTGTTATATGTGGTATTCTACGCCGAACAGATTGTTGGAGAGGTCAGCAGACGAGGCGATAGGCAATGATTTAGCCGCTGCGCATAAATTCATACTGCCTGCTTGGAATGCTGGAACACGTTGTTATAACGTATGCCTACCAAACTAACATGGAAGCAAAAACAAATCAGTAAAAGGCTAATTTCTGCTTTTTCAGTTATTACAACATTGATCGTCAGAATTCCATTATTATCGCATTAGGTAAGACCACTGACACAGCACTGCTGACAGCGGCACCCTGCACATGAACGAACCCCTTGAGATGTACCCATCCCACGACGAATAACTTCGCGCAGCAGCGAACCACTCAGCTCATGTCGCATGTCACGGCTGGGAGTGCCCATGGTTGGCCCTGCGATGTGTGTCAGGGAACGTCGATTGCCCTCATAGTAGGCCTGAGATGATGCGACACGACATCGTTGGCGAACGTAGATTTACCAAACAAGTTCCTACGACCATTTTGCCAGGCAACCGCATGTGAACATGGGCATACGCGGTACCGCACCAGGGGTGCATCTCGTTGGCCGGAATGTGTTATCAAAAGTGCTGTGTTTGCAAGATATCCAGCACATTGATGACAGCGCGTTTGTGAGGATACAATCATCACGTTGGCTTCACTTCAGATCTTGAAGTGACTGTCCATGGGGATGTCCACGATGTAGTAGTTTATCACGCTGCAGACGTACTGGTTAATAGCCATGTTTACCTTGTTCATGTATTCGCACCGTGTTAATCAGTAACTCAAATCTCCTGCATATCTCGTTCTCGATCACGCCAAACATGTAGATGCTCGTCCGTGAGTTTGCATCCTCCGTGGTCCGGGTCATGCCCAGAGTGTGTTTGGATCTTTGGCGAAGGCCTTGAGATCATCAATATAGCGCATATGCTTGGGGTTGAAGATTCGGTACCGCCAGTACATCCAGCTCTATCGTGGTGTAGAGGCGACTCATCCCCTGCCCAGGGTGTCTATGCACAGCACCATCTGCGCAAGATATACGTTCATAGTCGTTCATGTGTTTCTGAGGAATTGAAAAATACAGATGATACACGGGTTTTGTGTACCTAAGATATTCGTGTTTGTTATCCGTCAGCTAACCCCCTTTGGGCGCGTTGCATTTTAGCTGCATAGCAGTCGTGTATTGCGTGAGCAGCCAATGCAACGGCGTATACGAATGTGATCGTATTTGTCGCTTTTGTTACCGTTGCTGTGATGGAAAAATAACAATAGCTACATTTCTATTCGGGGTTTCACCGATGTTCTCATTGCTAAACCTCCACATCTTGTTGTGTAGTCAAACTGCCACAGTACACGCTTGCCATGTTGCCACGTTCTTAGCGATTATCATGATATCATTCAGCGTAGCTTGCACTTAGCGTATGCCGCAGGCAAGTATCTATGGCCTCTAAATTTAGAGAGGAGCCCATAATCGTCATATTCACTATAGGTATCCAAAAATGCATACAGCCATTTCTTTAATTTCCAGAAACCGTACATAGTCATCTCGACAATGACTGTGGTACATTTCAAAAACCCTGACGAGCACCTAGCCCCCCATCCGTAAACGTAAGCAGCTAAGAGTAAAGCACTGATGAAACCCAAAATCAAAATCAAGGGAATAACATAGGATACCCATATATACCACATAATCGCCTTAACGACGCCATCCATAACCTCATCTACGCTTGGTGTCTTCAGCGCTGTTTTGATGTTGTCTTTGGTGATGACCCCGTCCACAGCTTGACCTGCCAAACTCTCTAAACCCATGAACGCAGGACTATCGAAAAATTCACGGGCCGCATAGATAGCTGAGGTGAAAAACCTACTGATTGCGTTACACTGAGCATTACAACTAGCCATTTTGTCCGTTTATCTTGCTCTCCGATCCAAAAACAGTTGAGGGGAAATGATCCACCGGAGTCGGTATACGTTAATCACAGATGCAAGCGGAGAAACATGTCTTCCGCATCGTATTATATATTACAACAACCACGGTAATGCCTAAAACATGGCAATGAGAAGTGGAAGGGGGCGCATAAAGGGTCAGCGTCGAAAGGAGATTCACGGCAACACAGCCACAAATAAACAGAAATAAATATAATAATAAAAACGTCACGCGATATCAAAAATAATAACGTTATTTATGAAGACGTAAAGTGGGCGATGACGGTAGGAATCCGAGATATACACGCGGCGACGCAAGCATAGCTAAGCGATGTCGGTATCTCAAAGGCGCACACAGTCCCACATGCGCAACTAAAAGAGCAAATGAACTCGTAAAGGGGGGTAGAGAGAAGTAGTCAATACCAGTTAACAGTACTATCCTCTGCGCTTGGATAGAGGGACCGACCTGCCCCGTACTGTGTATCGGCACACGGCGTAATCAATCCCTGCCAAAAGCCCGCCGGGTGGTCTCCACCTTCCACACATATAATTAGTTCGCACACAAATGTTATATAGACATGATAAATTGAACCTTTCACTGATGAATGTGCCTGCGCCGGTCGCCATGGCCGCCGTGTACGTTTATCCGGTTACAGACATCGGGGCGGGCGCCGTTATCTTCCAGACAAAACGCGGTTGCAACAGCCTATTTACACACGGAACAGGCGTCATATCTGGCTGGAGATAAACATTTTTTACAATAATGCCCAGCTAGCGGGGATAGACGTCATGCACATCCGGATGTTGGTGCTTCTTCCTAACCAGACAGCCCATAAGCAGATGTATCAGTAGCAGCATCTACAGTAGCTTAGTTAGCAGTTTAGTCTTGGCTAACGCGGGAGTATGAGGTGGAAAGATAAACATGGCCATCGACCTGTACTCCTGCAGTGTGATAAACTGGCACATAGTGAACATACCCATAGGAATCAGCCACATATGTAAGATCGTCTTGTAGGTTTTCTAGCAGAAAAGCAATGCTCATTACGGTAGGGAGATTGTAGGCAGAGCACCACAATAATCTTGAAAGTGCTTTGTTTCATGTTGCTCACCGCCTTATAAATGTTTAACTATACCTTGACCTTATTTATTTCGCTTGCATATCATACAACATTTATATTATGACTTCACATTGCTGAATTTACGCTATGCGCACTTTATGAGGCTAAGCAAGATTACTGGAAGCATGCGCCAATTATGAGGTGGGAGGCCTTGAATCCGCACTAGGTGCATTCCTTAATCTATTTCGTGCAATTTTGAGACTGGTGTTTACTATTAAGAAGTAAATGCAAAGCGAAATAAAGCCAATACCGGAGCCAACCACGGCGCTAACAAAGGCCCCAACGCATCTCCTTTTCCATTCATATAGATCTTCTTGACATGCCCTACACCTTGCCATCTTTCCATGTTCACTTGACAACCCTGCACAGATTTGGCCAACTTACGCAGATGGCGGTAGCTGTTGCAGGATACACCCTCTTAGATACGGCAACAGAGAAACAAAACAATATACTTCCCTTGGTCGATATGTAACGTTCGGAATATGAACTGATTTTTAGCAGCACGTGTACAAGGTGCATTGCACAGTGGGTAACCACGTGTACACCACATTCCAGTGCGCCTACTACATAAGCTCTATTAAGCTCACAATATACTTTACTTCATTAACTTCCGGATAAGGGGTATAAACGGCAACTCGCACAGGCCGAACTCGGAATGTGCGGAGAGCGGCGCAAGATGTTTATTATAAAGCATGCATAGTTGACACAACGAACGCCACTGCCGTCTCAGAGGTTGCAAATATGCGTCTTGAATTCGCGCGGTGATAAGTTTGCCAGGCGATTGTCCGAGAGTGCAGTGTCTGTTGCCATTTTCAGAAGGCGTAACATGGTTGCAATTACAAATCCGACATTCGCGAGCGGCGGAGTTATTCTTTCTCCAACGAGTGCAACCCTACGATCTTAGGCTGCATGTTCCAACATTGAACTGTTTTATGGCACAGTATGACGTCTAATCAAGACTTCCGGCGGTTTCTCACGTGGAGTATTCGGAGCTACGTCTTACAGGTTGTCCGCTACAATCACCACTACTGCAAAGGTAATTGTAGCCGAACATGTCACAAATCATTGGTCAGGCTGACAGTACGTTGTTTCGAAAGTGTCTTCAAATCTTGCCTTCAAGCCCGCCGTAAGGAAGTCCCTTATTCGAGTTCGTTGCTTCCCTCTGGGACGCCCATTACGTGGATCCAACTACCTATGACGATGAACCAATGCAATACAATCGATAGATCATCCCACATCTGTAGTCAACCGTCTAATCCGTCGTTTTGAAACTCGGTCTAGGCATCGCCACATGGCTGGCACAGCAAGCTCCGAAATGGCACCCGGGATGGTAGTATGAGCGCTTTCAACGCATCATCCCATTTAAAAGTTGCAAAATGTAGATTGTGTGGTGTTAGTCGGTGAACTATTCCTCATATTGTTGAAAACTTCGTCGCTGAACTGGTGCCGATGCCCCGGTGTTCTCAGTGCTGTTGGTACGCAGCATATCATTTCGATATCTTAGTTCATAGGCAATATTGTGTGAGATCTATTAAGCATATTGGTAAAACAACTTTTCCATCATCTGCGAACCAATTTTGTCACATCAGGGTTTTTCTTGATGCCAGTCTGGTCGCCACCTACTGCCATTGATGTCGTGTTAAACATGGTGGCAATTTTGGCAAAAAACTCTACCTATAACGTTAAATTCGTGTGCCTGCGTGGTGTAGTGAGAAATTACGCACAAAGGTGAGATGTACTTTAATTATGCCGGCCTTGGATTTTGTAAGTGACGCAGAGGGGAAATGGAGAGTGTGGCAAATGAACGAAACTAACGTTAAGTGGGATATCAACTTAATGCTATGATTAAACAATGCAGATGCAGCAACCATGGCGTCACACGTTTTTATAAACTATGTAGATAAACCTCTGTTGAATACCTTCAACTGATGTATGGTCAGGCTATGTCGAGGTGGTGGATCACCTCATAGGCCAGTGAAGGATGTTGCTGATTGAGTATGTGGCTTGGCAATGAATGTCGCCGGGACTCTTCGACGTGATGGCGTAGTTAGGTGTCATCTATGGTCAACATTGTGGTAAGCCTTGAAGTCGTAACTCCGGACTGTACGCCAGTAGACACTTAGTGGGGAGCCCCGCAAGCTTAGTTACCCAGATGTCTATAACCCCGAATGCCTTGCACCGCGCGTGAGCACTGGTAATCTGAATGAAATCCAGACATTCTTCTCGCTTCGAATACAGGCGAGTGTAATTGGGTTCAAATTATGCTGGCAAACTATTCAGTCGGTACATGTCTTAACCGTGGTCATCCACGGTATCTAAAAGCTGAAAGCTACGTAGGCACGCTTACGAGAACCACTTAGACGGCACTCTGGATGTGTATGCCTTCGTAAAGAGCAGTTTATGATATAAAGGCACGCTGCTAATTATTTTGCGAGATGGCTTCTCAAGGGGATGGGCGTGAGATGAAAGCTTCTCCAGGAGATCCGTCAAGGGATCTGGAGAAGTCTGTTTCTACGTATCCGGACAAGGATGGTGAAGATGACAGGCGAACGGACAAGCTAGAGCAGATGAAGGAGTGGAAGAACCGTTTTGATGAGTTTATGACGTATACTCAGACGGTACTTAACGACGTACTTGGCGATACTCGGCCGGATGCGACCTCGGAGTTGAATAGCCGACCGGGAAAATCGCCGAGAGGTAACGGTGGTAGCCGTTGCAGCCCTCAACAGCACACGCTTGGTGCTGATTCGCCATTAATACAGAACTCTTCGCAAACCGCACAGATAATAGACGGGGGACCAAAATGTGCATGTAAATCGCCTAACATAACGAAGGTTGAAAAAATGGTATACCATTCGTTGACCGAGCCTCCCGAAACGTCAAGGAGTGCATGGACTGGTTGATAGCCCTGAAGGGGAGGATGGTGAGAAGAACTTGAAGGCCTTAGGTGAGGCAGTCTACAAATTTCTCGCAGACAAGCCGGTTGGCAAGATGCAAGTGCCAGCTCTAGAGAATGTGAAACTTATTTCTAAAGAGTTCCTGCAGCAAGAAGGGCTTAAGCACCGGTGGCCCGTAAACATTATGCTGGAGAAATTTAACAGGCCTATTGATAAAAACCCGAAAAAGACCGGCAATGTAATAAAAGGTCTCGAGGAAAGCGATTATAAAAATGTCGTGAAGACCCGGGGTGTCAAACCGAAAGACATCGCAGAGAACTTGGATGATGTTGTGACTGGTTGTGAGAAGTTCTTGAAATGTATCCAAAACCCCGGCCAGTACAAGTCGGCTTACTGTCCAGGAGCGACGTGGGATGCATCGTGCGCGAAGGACGCGGAAGCTTGTGCCGTCATCTTCGTGGGCATTGCGCCAATGTTGTACGCGGGGCTAAGTGCTTTCTTTTCAGCATGGAGGTACGCATTCTTCAGATGTCCACCGTTCATTGCGTATAATCGTATGCGAGAGATGCTGAAGGTTCTGGGTTTCGTAGAGCCGGAATGTCGCGCTAGCCCAAGAACTTCAGATGTCGACAGTGCGTTGAGCCGTTTGAAGGACCATGAATTGTACACAGTATACGACCTCTCTGGCTTTTGGGCCTTCTACTGATTAGGGATCTCAGGTGACCTGTACAAGCAGTTGGGGACAGAAGAGTCTTACTTCGATTCGCCACTCAGTAGCCGTCAACGAACTCCCACGAAACATTTCTAATTTATGAAGTGTAATTAAAACAACATTTATGTATACACTCATCATCGATAGCAGTGTGTCCGACTGGGCAAAACACAGTTCGCAGCGTCTCTATAATTACGTTAGTGCTGCCTTGGCGTAAACCGGCGTAGTACCCGTCGTCGAAAAGCGGAGCGGCTGCTGAGTGCAAGGCATAGTAATGCCTATACCTAGCATCACTAAACAACTTAATTTTTTCTTATCGCAACAAGTCCACTGAGGACATCTGGTATTGTCGCACCCCAAAAGGGCAGCCATGTGCTGCTCTTAATTTGGGTGGGTCATGCGTATATAGCCGTTATGAATCGCTGTTTGGCGTGTCCCGTAAAGAGACGCCGAACGGAAATGTATGGTCCTATGGAAGTGATCCGAAACACGTCTTCCAACAGGACGTGCATCCCACTACTGGCGCCAATCGAGTGAGGCGCTATCCCGGTAAACACGAAAACAGACACGGGACAAGCGTAGCCGCATAGCGCACTATACAATTCGAAACAAACGTAATAGTAATTACTACATCTAATTAGTAATCGGTGACCTAGGAAGAGCTGGCGATCTGTAACCAAAACGGCTTTACATATATACAAGAAACGTAAAGTTGAACACGCGTTACCTTACTAACACCGCCATATGTGTGGGTATCCTACGTCACAATTGAAATGTTCTGTTGTCAGCGTTTATCACAGATGACTATATTCTCGTCGTAACGGTGAAGTGCTCACAGGCCCCGCAAGAAGATACTTTGCGCTCACGACCTGCAGCCATAATTCAGCGTGCCACTGAACTGCACAGGGGCCATGGGCCGTTTGTACGTGATGCCTAGCACGTTACACTGCTGCACCAGCTGCATGATCACTTTATTATGCAGCTTGAAAATGTATTTGGGGCATGCCCAGTTGTCCAGATAGGTCACCAGAACTTTAACCATATAATAGTGACCAACCTGGACCTCAGACCCGTACACGAAACAACCGTCCCGCACGAACTCACGCGGATGCCCGTTAACAAAGCTCTTAACGTTCTCGACCAACTGCTTAAGGGCTGCTGGCGTGGTGGAGGCTCCTACCTTCAACACAATTTCGGTTGAGGCATGTCGCGCACGGGTCTCGTTGATTATGTTCATTGTGCTCAGCACCGAATTCTGGTACGTGATCACCTTTTCGTGTACGCAACGGAACTCCGTATTGTAAGTGGTGATGGCCTTCACGTACATCGCCTCGCCGTTGTCAATACGGATACGGTCGCCGACATTGTACGGGTTTGACAAAACCACAAATATAATAGCGGTGATGAAGCTGGTGTACATGTAGCTCAGTGCCACGATCATGGCAGAGAAGAAACCGATAACCGAAGGAAGCACGATATTCTTGTTCACCCGGAAGGTCATCAAGAAAACGACGAAAATCAAGAACCACAACGCGGTACTTAGGAGACGACTCACGAGCCCCAAAATGCTGCGCTGATTCTTCAACGCACTCATAAGTCTTTTACGTAGTGAGCACATGTACAATACGTTCCTCGTAAAGACTTCCGAGCTCACATACCCGCAGTTGCCTATATCATAAGCCACGAAAAACGCCTCCACCACCGACGGATTTAGCTGTGAAAACATCTTGGGTGTAAGGAATCGCCTGTCGTCGGTTTCCGTGCCGGAGCGCCGCAGCTTCGAGTTGTGGCGATGATAATCAGTGCCGCTCTCGTCAGCGGAGGCAACGTCAGAATCATCTGCATTGGATGCCATCCTCATTGAGTGGGGACGCGTCTGGGCTTTAGCGATAACTGGATCTGCAGCGAATCGCTGCGTACGCCTAGAAACGGAACGATCAATGGGCATATCCAAAGTTGACGTGCAAACGACATTTTCGTCCGTGGTTTGCTTCACGGTAAGCAGTCGTCTTTGCTGCCCTGACAAAGCTCGCACAACATCCGGATGATCGAGCGCTGCCATAGTCTCGTAAATATGGTCAAACAGCAGTTGCGAGTACTCCTCCACAGTCTTCTTGGATACCAGTGGGACGTAGTAATCCATGAACAGCAGTTCCGACGGATTGTGGACCACATAGTGCAAAGCGCTCCAGTTCGTCAGCACATTGGTCAAACACTGCTTGATCCACCGCTTCTTGTAGAACTGCGGCAGCTCACCCACCTTGTGCTGCATGTCGGCACAGTTATGCTTTCGGAACTTCCAACAGTGTATTGGAGGACGGAAAATCGTGAAGTGTTTCGCATCATAATACACTTGGTGATTGTGTATGATCGGCGTTTCGGGCATCGGCAGCTTATCGATGGCTTTCCGCGCACGTTCTACTCGTTCTATAACGATGGGGTCATCAGACTCGCGCGCAGCGTTCACGTAGTTCAACCTGGTCATGCGATGCAAATACTACGGCCTTCAACTCACCATGCGACGTTGAACCTTCGCAGCATTGCCTGATCCTCGAGGAAACCACGCAACTCGGCACTGTAGTTTGGCAAAAAGCTCACCTCGAACAAAAACAGCAGCGAACTGAGCACGAGTTTCCTCATCGATATCAGAATTAACAGCTGGAACGCAGAATTCGCCCATGTATAGCAACGCAGGTCGATTTCATGCAGTTTCGAAAAAGTTTCGCCGAAAATCTCAAAGCGGTAATACAGCAAGGTGGTTCCGTCGTACACTGCGCTTTAGTCAGTTGCAACGCAGATTGCACATACCTGGAACGGTGTACTTGCGGAACAGCGTGTAATTTACGATAGTCCACACACAGTATGCGGCAGCGGGGTCCACGGCGTAGGTCACCACAACCGCCAGGCGCGAGATGTAGAACAGCGGCTGTACAAGCAGCTTGATGGCGACGTACCTACAGCATGTAGCAAAGATAGTGTAGCGCCTCACCTCACGCTCATTACTCCAACCAACGTACAAGCGAAAGCCGCCAACGTTGTTAGGAGGAAGCAGAGACCATTGCGAATAGTCTGGAGATGCGATAAGTTGTCGCTAAGCATGTCCACGGCCTCAACCTGCAAAACGTTGAGGCATATAATCAGCTCATTACCGATTCAACGACCATGCTATCCGACAGAAAAGAATCCAGGCTGCTGGAGAACTTCGCACGCAACGGCAGGGTCACTGATGCTCATTAACGCCGAAAGGGAGGAACGTACGCGGACCGAAGCAGATAGCGACGAAGAACACGGATACGTGCACAGCAAATATCCATAGTGCCGTACTGTCGTGTAGGAACTCGTGAGCTAACCATTCCAAGGGGCGGCACCAGTTTGTATTCAACATGGGATCATCCGACTCATCGTACTCTGCGTATGCGTCAGAATACTGCGCAAATCCGTAACCTACCGATCGGGGTGACCGGTCTGACTTTTTCCGCCTCCGAAGTGTCATTTTCCTGTGAATTCCCCGTCTCTTTCCCGGCATCGTCGGACTCGGCCTACGCAAGAATTTACACATCGATAATCGCGCTGACATACCCGCATGTATGCCTTCACTTTAGGATCCTTCATTCTAGATTTTAAATGTGCCTCCATCTCCCGCCATATGTGTAGAAAAGAACAAGTCTACTGGACAGCAGCCGGCAATGAGTGGGGAGCCGCAAGCAGCTGAGTCACGAAATCACACCATGCGATGTTCGCTGACCGTGAATCCGCTGGAATCTCGTTCATGTGACCCATATCAGTACCTCGTAGTAACGCCGATGCGCTATTTTGTCACTGCTCGCACTACCATGGTGTGACGACGGCTGCACATCACCTTAGCTAAAGCCGCGGCATGTTCTGCCGTCGGCTGTTGCGATGGCGGGCATTGAGCACCCATGCCCGAAACGTCGTCCCAGCCAACGTGGAACTTACTGCAGGAGCCTACGAGCCACCGCCGTTCGATTTTGAGGCCATCGATGCTATCATACAATCCAGGGCAAAAAAGACACAGCATGAAAGCTCTGAAGTGGCACCTTCCTCGATTACCACGGCTCCAAGTTCGACTAAGGAATCAGGAATCGTTCTGAATAATGACGAAAAATCATTGTTTCACTGGTTTCTCAGGGAGACGAATGCAGTCATCTTCGCTGCCACAGCCCTGGCGAAGAAGGGCAAGCTGCTCGCGTCAGAGCAACCATCAGGGGGCACTTTCGAGAAGACGCAGGGCGAGTGGCTTTGCGAGCGCATTGCCGATCGATTGCTGTCGTACAGTGTAGACAATCGCATCATCGTGCTACAGCGATCACTTGCAGGATGGCATCACTCCAGACAGCGCCATTGGCACCGTTTGGCTAAAACGGCGTTGCGGAGTTGCTTCATCAACGACGAATTCCTGAATGCGCAGCATGCGGTCAAGATATGCGCTGCACTGAGCAAGTGGCGGTGCAGGGATATCGCGGAGGTGCGGCAGAAGCTAAACCTGGCAATATTGGCCGCTGAGGGATGGAACGTCGACAATGCGTCGCACGTTCTGTGGAGTCTTACGCATCTAAGGGAGTTCGATATGAGCGCATTTGACTACATGAACAACGCAGTTGCTGCCGCACTGTCGAAGCCAGATTTTGACGCGACGTCATTGATGGATGACACCGTTCACCGAATCCTCAACGCGAACATCGTTAGGATGTCACACACAGGCAGACAACACCAAGCAATGATCACCGTTCTAAGGGTATTAAAGGAGCAGCCTCATGCGGTCAGCCATCTGAGTCCGAAAACGATGCTGGCAGTTTCCGCAGTGATGCCGCTCTGTTCGGAGATGGGCATCACGGAGCATATCGCGCGAAGGCTATCGAGCTCCATGCACCTCTTCACGCATGTGCAGGCTGCTCACGTGTTTTACAACTTTGCTCTAGTTGCCCCCAGCCTTCCTTCGGCTGTAGTCGACCAACTCGTTGGGGCGCTCTTTGACTTCAAGGAGACGCTGTACAAGACCGAGGCGGCATACGTACCCAGTCTGACAGCAAAGTTGCTGTTCACATTCATGACATTCTTACGCGGCTTCGATCATTCTTTCATCAGTAAATGCCTCGCCGACCTAAATGCCAACCTGCATTTGCTTGGACCGTTCTCTTTGGTGGGCAACCTGCAATACATAAAGCTTTACATGGACTCGTCAACGGGCGACCTTACGGATCAGCAGTTAACCAGCTTGAAAAACACGTGGAGCAACATGGTTAAGACGGACGCATACGGCGATTTTGTGAAGCCTCTCTTCGGCAAAGATGGACAGGCTCCATTAGATAATCTGAAGTTGTGGCATTACGGTGCGCTATACAGGCTCACAAAATTGGGATATGAGTCGCTGATGAGGCAAATTGACGTTTTCAGATGCGGCGTTGGTACCGACAATGTAGTGCCGGCTATGAAAGACTTTCTGCTCTTTCTTGTCAACGTAAGCGCTCGACGAGAACTAATCGCGGACAGAAGGATTTTGAACGCCATTTTAATCCTGGCTTCACATCTGAGGAACATGTCCGACGGAAATAGGAGGGCGGAGGAATACTGGGAGCCCATCAAGTTTCATCTGGCGGCTCTAGGAATCCTCAACATCTTTGAGCGGGAGTGCGAGGTCTCGTTGTCTAATGCTGCTAACTCGGGGAACAATGTACCGACTATGACGGCAATACGTTTAGCTATGACCGCGGCAACCGGTGGGAGTGCTGACGACTCGTTATTGGCGTGGTTTAGAAGTAAGGCACTTGGAGCCACCCCTGCGGCTGTCGAGAAAGATGCGTTTGCAGTGCGCTACGTCATGTTCATATGCCTCATACACGGCAATTCCATCGCCTCTTTGCTAAAAAAGGCATCAGAGCAGCCTATAATGAAGGTACTGACGCAGTCATTCTATGCCGGGGCGTGCGGGCCGCTTTTCAACTCCAGAAACAGCACCGACCCGGTGGTCAGTGAGGTTCTGGAATACCTGAACGCCTCCGCTCAGATACCTATTGTACCGATCGACAGCAGCGTGGCCCATGCCAAGCTTTTCTTCACGCAAGATGCGCCGCGACTTTTGCTGCCGCTGCTACCCGAAGTTGCGCTGGCCGAAATGTGTTCCCAGCAAAGGCAATACGTGGATCTGTGGGACGTGGCAGCGTGGCTGCAGGAGGCAAAGCAAATCGATTCGCTGTGTAGGTACCTGGAAGGAGTTGGAGAGGCAAGACCGATGAACAGCAGGACGGAGTTCAGTGAGCTTGCCAGCAAAGTTGAGCGTCCCCTCTTCGACGTCAAAAGGGTCCGGTGTAACTTCAACGTGGGCCCATATATGTGCCACGTTGGTCTTTTCGGCGGCGACGACTCGCATATCGCATTGTTATTCATCCACATCCTCGGTGGCGGATGCACAGCAGACAGACTTGCGGGGCACATCTTTGATGCCCAGCGCAGAAAGGCACTGGAAGTCCTAGGTGTGCAGTATATAGAGCTGGTAAAATCGACAGATTAAAATAACTAATATAGCACATTAATTGCCCACGGGCTTCTCTCCACCACGATCACCACTGAGGGCGTCGGCGGTTTCGGGCGGAGATATCCACCCGCCATACATTTGCGGGAACGAATATGCAACAAATAATAAGTTTAAAATGAGCGACGAATCTGAACCGTTTCAAGATACGGGAGACCAAACTCCCCCGGAGCGACCGCGTTCTCCCGAACTGGTTGATTTTGAGGATGCCGAAGTGAAGCAATTCGATCCTTCGGATGACGAGTTGTCACCAACGAACGCTGAACTATCACCCTCAAACAATGATCCATCACCGTCGAACAACGATGCCACGCCTGCTGCCGGCGAGGAAGAGGCAGTCGAGGAGTCAGTCGACAGCGTGACACAGACTCAATCCTCATCTGTAGCGGAGGCCGTGACAGAGCCTGACACACCTGAAACCGAAGAGCGACCGACTCCTAAACACAGGCGTCTCAGGAAACACGGTTCAGCCTCCCGTGAAGCGTCGAATAATGCGAGTCAGGAAAAAGAACAGCAAGTGGACAACATAAAAATCCCCAAGAAAAAGAAAGCTCAGCGAAAGAAAGGCGCGTCAAAGAAGACTGAGGATCAGGATGGTGATTTTGTGCCATCTGCTGACGATTTTAGCAAGAATCACCTGGACGCGGACTACTACGATGATGACGAGGTAGAGGAGCGCAAGATTCCGAAGAAGAAGGCGCCCAGCGCCGGCAAGCTGTATTTCGACGAGGTGCTGAAGCGCGTGAAGGAACGCAAGAAGAAGAACGTGCAAATTACCACCGAGGAGTGCCAACATTATTGTAGACAGCTGATAGACAAGATGATTGCGGCCGCGACCGCCGACGTTGAGGCAGTGCAGCAAGGCAAAACGGGTCTCAACAAGCTCAAGATGCTAAACGACATTTCCGAATTCAGCAAACCCGCATGGCGTAATTGGTGCATCGCAGAAGGTGGCGCAGTAGCGCTTGCCAGCTGGATCGCCCCGCTGCCGGACGGATCCCTGCCTACCCTCAGCGTCAGGACCAAGGTCCTGCAAATCGCATTGCAGTTGCCCTTCCAGTCCACAGATCTGAGGGACAACGATTTGGGAAGGCACGTAGTCGCACTGTGGAAGCACCCCGATGAGTGTGACTCGAACAGAGTGCTCATCAGGGCTATTGTGCAGAAGTGGGTCCGACCCATGCTCGGCCTCGCCTCGAACTACGCGGACATGCAGCAGGACTTCTCCGTTGGCATGAAGTCGTCAATGCTGTCAATGGAGGGTGACGACAAAGATCGCAAGCAGTTGCAGAAGTTCTCGCAACACAAGAACGAGATGGGCAGCATCATCGTCAACCAGGAGCGCATCAACTCCAAGCTCACCCAGATGTTCCGGGTCATAGAAGCTCGTAGAAAGACCCCCAGCAAGGCCACAAAGGTCAACATGGACGGTGCACTTATCTAATATTTGGCTATACACACTTGTCTTGCGATTAGCGTGCGCGAGTCAGCGTCACAGACCCAGCGAATCACTACATATGTAGATGGCATTTTTCGGTAATCAGCAGGCGGCTCAGCCTCCGATTGGAATCTTCGGAGGAAGCCAGCCTGCAACATCTGCGGCTGGAGGAATGTTTGGAGCCGGTTCAGGCCTCGGAGTGAACGTGGCCACCGGTTCGTCTCAAATGCCGTTCGGTTAGTATATATTACACCGTTATCTCACCGGTAATTTCAGGTGGAGCTCCTGTGACGGGTATGATGGACACTGGAGGTTTCGGAGCGACGTCGGCCATGCTGCCTCCGGCTGCCTTCGGGTCCACAAATATTGCTCCCGCTGGATTCGGCTCAGGAGCGAACGCCATGAATACCAGTTTCGGATCTACTAACTTCGGATCGGCATTCGGTAGCGCAGGTGTCTCATCTGGTGGCGCTTTCACGAGCAACGGCTTCGGCCAGCACAGTAATGTTACGGGATTCACCTCTTCCGGATTCGGCTCATCGGTTAACAACGCCAGTAATGCATTCACCGCGAGTACTATCTGCACTCAAGGTAATACCGGGTTTGGCGCAACGGGAGGGAGTGTAACTCAATTCAACGCCGGGCCTTTTACGTCGAACAACTTCGGGCAAACCCAAAGCTCGGGCAGCACGTTCACCTCGGGATTATTCGGACAAACATCAAATGCTCAGCTTGGAACGTTTGGAGGTAGTGCCTCGGGATTCGGAAACACACAGAATGGAGGAACTGCTGCATTCACCACAAGCGGTTTCGGACAATCGGCGCCGGCATCTATTACAACTGGTTTTGGACAACCAGCATCGGCAACCACTACTACCTCTGCATTTGGGCAACCACCGGCCACTTCAACGCCATCGTTTGGAAGTAGCACCAACACTATGGGAACAGCAGGCGGATTTACGTCCGGCGGATTCGGAGGCCAAAGCACAACAGGCTTCGGGACATTTGGACAGTCGGCGCAGCAGTTCAACACAGGGTCCTTCACCTCTAACGGTTTCGGGCAGAACAAGAGCACGAACAGTATCTCATCCGTGGGCTTGGGTCAACAACAATCGCAAACGGTTAGCGGATTTGGTTCCAGCAGTTTGTCACAATCGCAATCATTCAACACGGGGTCGTTTACGTCAAACGGGTTCGGGAAGAATACTGAGGCTTCTACCTCATTTGGGCAGCCGAACACGCAGTCAAATACTGCGTCAGATGGGTTTGGGCAATCATCGGCGGCCGGCGGCACCGGGTCGGCGCCGGCAAAACCCGTGTCCATGATGCCGGCGGCATCCAGTGTGTCGAACCAACCGTTATTAGAAAACCCCAACTTCAAGCCCGTGACCGCAACACTGTTCGAAAATAATATAAGAGGCGGATTCGGTAATAAGCCCGTGGCGCCCAAGATTGAGCCTCTAACACGCCCTTGTAACGCTAAGCTGGAACCATGGATGGAAATGGCGTACGCAGCCAAAAAATTCGAAGTAAGCTGCTAATGTTACGTTTATATGTGCGTTCAGGAGGGCAAGATACCGGAAATTCCTCCCAAGATCTGATTACTTTTTCAGTTTCTGCGCATAGTTGTGGCTAACCAAACACAGCACACCATACCTTTGCGCCATACTTCTTTTCCAAGTCGCCAATGAGCGACGTAAAATCGTTCTGTCGTTTCTTGCGATTAGCCTGCATAGTATGTGGCTGATGGGATTCTTAACTCACCGATATCTGCGCGGTCAGGTCCTCGAAGCTACCGCTGAGCACCGTGGAGACAGTGACGTGATGCTACGCTTACCTGGACTTCGCCCGCTTTGACTCGCGCTGCATACTCTTCTTGTATTTTTGCTTTATTTCTTTAATGGATTTGGCGGAGCTGGTCTTGGTGAAACGTTTTGTTGACTCCAGGTCCTGAAATGCATGCAGCCATGCCAGGTGGCAACTTGCCTTAGACTCAATTTTTTCCTGGTAGAACTTCACGAAACGATCCAGATCGCTTGATTCACTCAGAGGAATGTACGATAATATGTCTGTGATATTCCCATCGTGCCTGTGAATGGTGAGCGGTGTATGCCGAGGCAGGACGCACTTTTTATAAAACTCTAACAGGTCCTCCTCCTCAGCCGTGCTATGCTTGTACGTTGCGCAGAAGTCATCGATGTCTTCGGAACTTATAGGACCCTTGTAGTACTCGTACGCAGCCGCAAAAGCCGCCTGTTCTTCGCCTTCCCAACCTGAAATCCATTAGTGAAGCCTTCCGTGATGTTACCAAAATCGTCGTACTGCTTGCGTCGTTCCTCATCCTTCAGGATCTCGTAGGCATGTTGCAGCTGCACGAAGCTGGCTGCAGCCTTTTCCTGAACACGGTAAAACGCCTTTCCGGTAACACACCCTTTCTTCCTCAGACAGCCCTGCTAGCTTGTCTGGATGCGTCTTGAGCGCCGCAATGCGGTACGCCTTGACGATATCGCGTGTGCTTGCGTCGGATTCGACGCCTAGAATCTCATAGAGCTTCCCATTCCCCATGTTTATAATGACTCGACAAGAGGTCGGGGGCGACGCGACGGTCGCGCACCGTCGCCCGGTCACTCACATGGAGTTTACGTCACGCCAAATGGAGCACATGAAGAAGATTCCCTTTCTGGGCAGCCACCGGAAGGTGGTCCTGCATCCGATCGTGATGCTGTCGGTGGTCGACCATTACAACAGGTGTGCCCAGGGCACCTCGCGACGTGTCGTCGGAACCATCCTCGGCGAAGTCATCGAGGGAGATATACACATCACCAATTCGTTCGCCGTCCCGTTCGAAGAAGATGCGAAAAACCCGCTCGTCTGGTTTTTCGACCACAATTACCACGAACACATGTTCACCATGTTCAAAAAGGTGTGTAATGACTGATCGTAGTGTTTCAAAGGCTAATTGTAGATCAACACGAAGGAGAAGGTGCTCGGTTGGTACAGCACCGGACCCAAGTGCAAGCCAGCGGACCTGGAAATCCACGAGCTATATCGCAAATACTGCCCGAATCCGATCTACGTTATTGTCGACATTAGCCAGGTACGCGTGACATTCCCAAAAGCTTAGTCAGGTTTTCACGTTGATGCAGAAAGAGGAGCTGCCAATAGAGGCGTACATATCGGTGGAGGAGCCTACTAGTGACAGGCGGTTCAGGAGGACCTTTGCCCATGTCCCGTCGGAAATGGGTAAGTGGCCAATTACGCTGTCAGTTAATGAAACAACAGGTGCATTCGAGGCCGAGGAGGTAGGGTTGGAGCACCTCCTGCGCGACCTCACTAACGTCACCACCTCAACGCTCTCCAAAAAGGTAAGAGCATCGGAGGCTTCTTCAACACGCGCCAGGTGGAAAGCAAAATATCGGCACTAAAGTCCATGACATCAAATCTGGCAGAGATCACGGACTACATCAAAGGCGTCATCAGCGGAGTGTACACCGTCAACCCCGCCATAATGTATATGCTACAGGTGGGAAGCCGACCATATAGTGACAATGTTGCGCAGAACATCCTCAACCTCTTCCCGTCGACCGATAGCGACGAAATAGTCGAGGCGTTCACAATTAATATGAACGACACGGCGCTCGCCATGTACCTCGGCAGCATCATCCGAGCCATGCTAGCGCTTCACAACCTCATCGACAACATGGTCGAAAACAAGCGTATAGCCGGCGAGAAGTCGAAAACATCGACATAAAGAAGCTATTTCCTAATAACACGTGCACCTGTGGCGGATTTATATCGAATTAGAACATTCAGTGCATGTTAGCGCTTGCTCCTTTTTAGCGCATTTAGCTTCTTCATGGCGTGGGCGTGCGCCTTGCCGCGCCTGTAGTTACCCTGGCGTGCCGTGCTGCTAACTTCTTGAGGCACTTCGTCCGTGTCCATTGCGATTTCACCCTTGACGGGCAGGAGGTGCTTCTGCACCACCGACAGGAAGTGGCTCTCCTTTACCTCTTCTGGAGTGAACTTCCGCCGGTTGTACATCCCAGCCAGACCTGCACGTTGACAAAACACCACATTGAAACATACCTGAGAGCGGCACAGCTTCGGAGCGAAGGTCGATTGCCGGCTGTACAACGCGCTTAGGGATCACCGCCTCCGGATTATCTGCTAATTTTGACAATGCTCTGAAACTAGACGCTACCTGGCTCCAGGAATTTATTGGGCTTCGGCTTAGGGGTCACGTCGATGCCTCTCTGCAGAAGGCGAACCTTCTTGTTGGCCTCCCTCAACCGAGGCGCTTCCACGGCCTCTGCGCAACAGTTACGAAAAATTCGGCCTGATTCTACATACCGGCAATAATTTGTCGTTTAGCCGTGCGAAATCTGCGCAGCGTTTTCGCGCGCAGTCCTTTCGCCATTATTATTATAAATAGCAGGAGTAAGCTGGGCGCCAAGTGACGTCTATGCGGGTCGACCACCCCGGCTCGCCAACATCACCAACGTAACACACTAATGCAAAAGTATGAGAGCAAGTGAAATTATGCCCGTGTGTTTAGTTCCTGCGCTTGCGCTGCAGCTCGACCACGCGCATCATCTCGTCGTTCTTCGCCTTAGCGCGGCGCAGCGTACCCAGGCGCTTCTTAGCGAACTTCAACGCACGCTTCTGCGCAGAAGCAGAGCCGGTCTTGATGAGCTCGATCATGTGGCGCTCGTACGGGGCAAAACCGCAAACCTCGCGGATGACCTCGGACACAAGTGCGTTACGATTGGTTTTCAAACCCTTCCTGCGGCTAGCGCGGACGCTCTTGACCAGAGGAATTGCGGTATTGATGTGGCCTTTGTTCAAGCCGACTGCGTGATATGAAATCTACGAACAAGGCTGCAACTCACCGATAATGCCAGACCTGGCGGGGTCTATCTTCATTTCCTTCTTCACGGCCATTTTCCTGACACACACGTTAGATTCGGGTTAAGGATTTAAATAGGTGGGAAACCAGGAGGCCAACGAGCTGAGATGACGCGGTGGCTGCCACACAACACTGCGGTGGGCCCTCGGCAAAAACACCTCGTGGCTACAGATTGAACCACGTATGACCTACCTATATTATAAAGAAAATATTGGTTATAAAATCAGGTGGCTGCGTTCTACGCCGACGTCCTTGGCTACGCCTCCACCAGCATATGGGGACCACAGTCGACTTCTCGCCGGATGTTATAGGCAAGAATCAGAGGTGTCAAAATTATGATAGATCACACCTACGCTAATTAAAGGTCACGTGTCACCTTCTTATTTCGTAAATTCTTCGATTACACCCAGGAGGTTTCTACGCGCCGGCACCGATCGCGGCACACTCACTAGGCGATTACATAAAAAACTACGGCGTATATAGGCAATATATTATACTGATAAAAGATTATCTTAGCGGATAATCTGTTGTGAGGCTCAGACACGATTAATCCTCATTACAATAGGAGAGATTCCCATTTTAGTGTCATCATGCGCCTTCGAGTGGTCTACATTTCAACTTCGTTTATAGTGCACGACAACAGGTGACTGATCACCGGCGTGATTTGCGCGTGAGCGTGAACTCGTATTAGCTTCTGAATACTCGCGTAGTCCTCGGTGCTGAAGTAGTCTGCATAAGATATGAGCGCGCAACTCAGGGCAGCAGCAATTAATCCGTCAGACAGGGATAACCATTGGTCCTCAACGATTGAATCTAGGACAGTACCACAGTTTTTTGTCATCATCGGAGTGCGTGAAAGTTGACTTACGTTTGTAACTGGTCACCAGCGTCAAAAGCGACTGGTGCCAAATGACGGGCAGCTGGTCCTCAAATGCCTCGAACTTGCAGAAGTAGCGAACGCATTCCTCAACTACCTGAAGGCAAGTTAACACATTGAACGGAAATGGATCCCAATAAAGGGTGTGTATTCCAACACGACACGATTACACTATACGCAACCGACGGAAATGGTGTCGGAAACATCGTTATCGCAAAGTGAAAATAGAGCTACACCTCACATGTAACTCAGAGTGGCTTTGCTTATGTAGTCAGAATGTTCGACCGTTCACATCATGTTCTCAGAAGCAGAACTGGCTTAAGGTCGGTGTTTCATCATTTTGTCATGTAACAAAAACCAACCTTTTTAGGCAGATTATAGCCCTTTTGCAGCAGAATCGACATTATGAAACTGCTACTTCCAAACCACTTTTGGCATTGGCACAGGCGCAGAATGAATGCGGATGCGTGCAACACGGGAATCGATATTCGGCGCAGCACGTTGCCGATGATGGCCGCTTCCTTGTAGCTGCATCCCTGCGCAAAAGTTATTTTACTAAACACAAATTGGTCACGCTGGCGTCAGACTGGGGCGATACTCAAGACATCATTGGTCAGAGATCTTGTATCATTCATCATTTGAGCGTCCAATAACATGTAACACAACGTACCTCCTCGACCATGGGCACAATTATACCCTTGAACCACGCCACAGGCTTGAAAATGGCCTTCTTCAAAGCCATATATAGGTGATAATTCAACTTCTTCCCATTACGGATATCCTTTCGTATCGTGGGCAACAGAATCTTGTTGTAGAATATCTCAACCTAGTTCACTGTCAAAGCAAAACAACAAAAAGAATACCTTTGAATCGGTCATATTCGACGCGAAAATGTGTGTTGCAAGGCACATGGCGTTGGGTGTCCAGCTCTCCGGGGACGTGAGACCCACGAGCTCCTCCCAGTTCTCCATGCTGGGAAGGACCTTGAAGGCCTTGGGAAGGCTTCCACTCTTAAATTTGGACATATACACACCAATTGATGTGTATAGTTCTTTAATTTTGCTCAGGTACTCATCCTCTTGGGATGGATTTTTGAACAGGATCTTGCTGAGCTTCCCAATCTCAACGCTGCTTTTGGGCACATCTTTCTCCGGCATGAAACCGGAGATATCCTTTAGTGTATCGGATATGAGTGCATCCTGCTCCAGGAATTCTGAGTCATTGGCCAATGCCACCCTGCAAAATTTTATTCGCTGGTTTTAGCGAGGAAGCTGGGCTCAGGGATCCATGTCCTCAATATAAAATCGGATATATGCTTGTCATAGAATCATCATCGCCCGCTTAAACTAAAACTCACTTGCGAGATTCTCGGTCATTCTCATTGGCCAACTGGTGGATCTGTTTTGCGATAGCCTCGGGGATGTCCTCGAGGTACTCCGCCTCTACGTCAGACAGATCATCATCGTCATGATGAGTCTGGGCCTTGACGTTTCGGCCTTTTTTGTTGCGATAATCGTGTTTTTTTGTGGAAGTCGAGGCCTTGCCTCGTCCTCCTTTCTTGGCGACCCTCTGCTTCATACTCGAAGGGGGCGCCTACCTATTCCGTACAGTAGACGCACATAGCGCCGCCTGTTAACAGAAAGGGACTACCATTTAAACATTAAAATATCCAGCGGATATTCATAGAATATATGGAATGTGTGGCCTAATAATGGGGACAGCCACGCTACGCGGATTCTGTGGGTGCTGCGGCGAAAAAACTCGCGCGAAAAACCAGAAGCTAATTGCAAAGAAGATGGCCACAAATTGGCGGTCCGATAGATGTAGCGCAATATTTGCGATTGTTTCGGATACTTATCCGTTGGATTTATCCAAAATAACTTAATGGAAAACATACGAATAGTTACGAACACATTGCGGCATATGCTCATCGCAAACATTGCTGCTCAGCTCATTGCGGGGAAATGTGTGAAAATTCTGTTTGGAAGACTGCTAATTATTGCCGTGTGACTGCGCAGTCACAATCCACTTAGCCACAATAACATGGCCACTACGCTGCATCGCAGCGACCCGAAGCTCTCGGCAGTACTGCTGCGGAACTACAACTATATACCTTCCGACAGTATCCAGGAGTGTCTCTCGGGCACACCGTTGCGCGTTGAGGGGCGGGAGTTCGACATATCCTCGCAGGCATTCCTTACACCGCTCAATTTTAAACCCCTTCTGTGCTGCGTCCTCAATGCCTGCTGTCAGCACAAGTTCCTATTAGCCGACCGCATACTTACTGCGATGCATTCGTGCTTCGCCGTGTCACCAGGACTGTACGAAGCACTGGTAGATGGGGAGTATGTAAACAACATGGTGGTACGTAATGCATGTGTACCCGTTACCATGACTTCCAGCTAATATTGGAGAACATTTGCAAAATTAAAGATTGGGACAGGAGTGTGCCTTGCGTTAGACTGCTTAACATGTGCTCATCGACCATGCAACGACATCAGACACGGGGTAATATCGACAAGCATTACAGACGCATTATACGAAAGATATGCAACTCCATCGCTAAGTATCACATCACAGGTATGACGGAGTGTTCAGTGTATTAAAATTGGTGTAGTGGACGAAAAGGGAGCCAATACGACCTTTGAGTTGCGCAACCTCTACGAGGCGGTGGATTTCTTGAGGACCTTCCTTGAATACCTGCTAAGTGGTGAGTACTACCTTGGAAAATAGCGATATTTGGTAAAACAGTGGGTATAAACTTCTATATTGACATTGAGCCATTCCGGAGATCCATGCGAGACACGCACATCCTCGTTATCATCGCAGTTGCGAAACACTATGCCTATCAACGATTCGGGTGCAGCACCCCTGTGATGATGGAGAACATAAGCCTCGACAGGAACATGATATGGAGGAAATCAAGCATGCGTGTTACATTCACTGACCTAAAAGTACGGTTTTCCGCTTTATCCAGATAAACGTCCTCAGATGATCGATCGTGAAATGACCCTATGGGAAGAGCTTGATGGGGTTGTCTCATTCACCCACATTGCCGCCACTTTTATTATCCGAAAGGTTCGTTTACTTTCAATACTGACGCATAATACAATTTCTTCCTTTGGTTCCGCTATCCCCTTTATCCCATAGATATATCAGGCACTGGACCTAGTGGTAGAGCTTCCGCTGATCAGCTGCATCGATACACACGAGAATAACCAAAATTTGCAATTTTACTTCGATGTGAATCTGCCCTACCTGAAAAGTTCGTTCCGCAACTGAAAAAAATTATACGATCAGAGCACCTGCCTACAATCCTATCATTGGGATTTCGTCACGAAATCGCTCAGCAGTATCGGTTTTGCGTAACGTGTGCAAAAAGCTCCTGTATCCGCAGCGCAGAGTATGATAATGCACTGGTGCAGTACAACACTAGAGGCTTACATTATTCCAAGACCTGTGCCGATGTTCCTGACCACGATAGGATGTCATCCAGTGGGACATCTGTCTCTAATTTTATTTCCCGAGGACCAAAAGAGAGCTATGCGGTTATTGAGGTAGTTTACATTGCTGGTGAAATAATTACGTTAAATAGTTGCCATTTCAATTCATGACTCCACGAGTGGGCTACGGCAGTTACGCCCCAAGTCAAGCCAGTACACCGTTCAAATCTTTGATAAACATGCGGTCCTATACACCAGCCGGCAACCATGTTTCATCAAATGAAACGATAGAAGAACCATATTTGGTTCCACCGTCTATCAATAGGGTTTGTTGTTTCTCGGTCGACCCATTATGCGTAGGTAACTACGACCTGTGCGACAGGAAGTTCCTTATCAGGTAAACGTTTTGACACCCGTTGACTCATACGGTGCAGGGGATGAAGTGACAAAACAGATGGTTCAAGGTGTAATTGCGTCTGTAGAACAGCCAGGCTACAAGAAAGTGAGCTTGGCCATTATCGCTCTGCCACAGGAAGAAGACCTCATCATACAAGATGGCGAAATGGGAATATTTGCAGTAGATGAAGTCAAAAATGTACATAACTCATCGGATGATATACTAGGCGATGCGTTACAAGAGGATGGGGTAAAACTTCATGAAGACCGAGAGGTCGAGAGAGCACCTCTCTCCATCACAGAGGAGCAGATCGCCGTTGAGAAACCACAACCAGACATATCGGCCCATTTGGACATGAAAAGTACACGTATTCGACGTCAAATGAAACGCCGTAGAAAGGGGATCAGGGTCAAGAGACGAAAGTCTAGGGTGACTGACATGTGCGCGTCCCCCGTACCCGACAGACAGTACGGGACACGTGGAATTAAAGCATCTATAAAGCAAGGTATTAACAGAGTGCAATCGTGTCATATAGCTGCAGCATCACATGGCGAAGACATGCGTCCGGAAAGCGTTGTTAAACATCTAAAACGTGCCACCCAGCTGCTGTTGAAACGGAAGAAACGGACATGTGTTTACGTCGCCCGCGAGTTTGACGAGCTCAGACAGACCATCGAAACTAAGTTCCACCTGGTGCTCTGTCGGTGCCAAGAACGCTGGAATAGCGTCAACGCCACATATATAAAGGTTAGTTAAAAACCATAAGCAGTAATATTAGAGTCAGCGTTTGGACGAAATCACTGGGGGAATCCGTGATGACTTGAAGTTGCCACCATTGGAGAGACTCGTGAAGCAACTCCCGGAGCCTATAAGGCTACAACACGCACCCAACGTGGACCTGTGCACAACCACGCTAGATAGATTTGACAGCGGCCGCCAAATCATGAACATAATTACCAAATAATCGTTATTAAAAGTGTTGACAAAAAGAATGCACCAAATAGTCGTGTTGCACTTAAACCATCAATCCTACCGCTGGGTATATCTCGCCTTCAATGATTTTTTCTACCTCCGTAAACCCACGGACGTTGCTGTAGCTCTCCTTCATGCAGTTCAGAAGCTCCTTCAACATGAGAGGCACAACCGGGTAGTCCTCAATCATCATGGAGTATCCATGATCAGCTGGTTCGTCCCTGAGGAAACCGTGTAACCACTTTACAAGAGCATCCTGCGATGACCTTCCGATTGCAAGATCCGACATCCACTTGGCAACAAGTTGTCTGTCCTGATCAGCCGTCAATTTAGCACATGCCTCCAGAGCTGCACTAAAGAGGTAGGCATAGAGCTCCCAGTCGCGTGTCTGTTGCAGATTCAACTCACTGACACAGAGCGATGCCTCCTTCGGATCGTGGGACATTACGAATTCTCGCACAATGCCCCTGGTGCGCCGTTTCAATTCCTCCGCCGTCATTGGAGGTGGTATAGACGGGGTGGACAGAACGTTTGGAGCTGCGGATGACTTCGGCGACTGTGGCCTGGGCGAGGGCGCCCTTACCTCGTAGCTCTTACCGCGCCTCTTGGTACGCCAAGCATTGTCTTCTTGCTGTTTTTCCTGTTCCATTACCTTGGAACGAAGCTCTTGTAATCTGCATGGACCCTCCACCTTGTACGGTGTTGACTTGACCCACTTCTCGTGTCTGCTGTCCAACACGTTTTGGATGAGACACCTTATACGGAAGCATATTTGGGGATTTCTACCCAGGTCTGTAAGCATCTGGATGCGCTTTTCCAGCTCCGCAGCATATTTCCACTTATCGGTATCGAACGATTTACCGACGGTTTGCAGCAGGGTGCACATACCCTCAAGGTGGTTGTCACCCGTGTCAATGCTGCCCGTGGAAGCAATGCATTCATTGCGTTTGGCAAATACCTGGTCTAGGCATGTTATAAGCAATTTGGCTGCCAGCAGCTTCTGCTTGAAGAGCTCACCGACGAAAATCATATTTCCCCTCATCCTGTGTTTGTACTTGAGTTCGAATTCGAACTTATCATCACCTTCAAGGTCGGGTGGGAACTCAAGGGGCTTCAGGTTATTCTCAAACGAATCCTGACAACAATTCAGCAAGATCCTCATGAATTCGCTTTTCTTGGTTGTCTTGCGTTCCCCTGCAGCAGCCGTGGATTGTGTGTCTTGCTGACCTTGGGGGCTCTGCTGTGGATCAACGGCGAGGAAGTTGTCCAAATCGTAAGACAACTTTGCGCACAGCTCTACGTACATGGGGATGAAGTGGTGTTGCGTGATGGCCTTTTCGAAGATGATCTTGACTAACATAAACGCCTGTTGCACGGTTTCAACACCGCTCATCAAGACTTGTCTGTAGATTGTGTCGAACTTTTCGATCGTCAATCTGTTGAGCAAACCCATCAGCCTGCGCGTCAATTGCTGGTCTTTATCCATCTTGAGTTTGGCCTGTTTACGGATCCACGAGGATTCAGACGCCTGCGGTCGTGATAACGCTTCTAGCTGATCTCTTGAAAATTCCATGGAAGATTTGTTCCATCCACCAAAACCTCTTTGCTCCGGCTTCGCGTGCCGTCGTTGCATCACCCAGTTGTCGCCTTTGTACTTGTGGGCATAGTTCTTGTCCTCGTAACGAGCGCCACCTGTTCGGCGACTTTCCGACCCACCATTTGGATTTATATCCCTATTAATGCTGAGTGAGAAGACCAGTTCGGAGTTAAACTCGAGCCCTACCCTCATCAATTCAAATCCACACGAAACCAAGGTATCGATCGGGAATACGAGATCACTTGGAGGTGGGGAATACTGTTTGGCTTTTGCAAACACCTCGGGCTCGAGTTTGTCAGACGACGGCGTCGCTACTGACATATCGGATGTGTCGCCGAGAGGCTCCTCAAGTTCCTCACCGGATTCAATCAGTTGGCGAGATGCAGCATCCTCCAACTGTTTTGACCTCAGAGTTTCTCTACTCTCATGCCACTGATCGGATGTTTCCGATTCCGATATTTCCGGCAGTTCAATTGAACTTTGCGGTGGGGAGGATTCAAGAGTTTGAAAATGATCTAAACCACCTGCGTATTCTGCGCTCTGAACATCATCTTTGGGTTGTTCAGGTATAGCTGCCTTAACACCCAGTATCTTATCGAACTTTGACGAATCAAGCCCGTGAGAGTGCACAGACGGACCTGATGGTGCGGCACGATTGGATGGTGTCACTCCTTCAGACCTGTTGGACTCAACAAAGTTTACGGACATCTCCGGCTGCACTGACGGGGATTGAACTGAAGGCAACGTTTCCAAAGCACCCTTTGGCGTTTTCGGTTCCTCAGGCCGCGACACTTGTTTCGTCGAAATCTGCTGCTCTGGCTGGACTTCTACGGTGCCATTTTGGCGTTCCGCAGAGGGCAAAACGTCGAATTGATGAATGGGTATCTTTTGATCCTTGTCAGCAACCTGCTCACTCTTTTTCTGCTTGTGGTTAGGCGCTTCAGCGTGAGCTTTCGTTACTTCCTTTTTAGCGACGTCAGCTTTAGCTTTATTGAGAATCAAATCTTCGGTAGCATTCGGCACTCTTTCAGCCGTAACCAAAGGTGTTGCCCCACGTATAGGCTCAGATACTATGGGCGGAGTGACACCCGCGGCAGGTCTCCCAGGTGCCTTTTGGGCCTCAGTTTGTTCAGCAAGCTTCTGCGCCGCTGCCGCCTTTGCAGCCGCCATTTTCATCTCTTCCTCCTTACGTGCCGCTTCCGCTGCCTTCTTCATCATGTCGGCAAAGGTAGGGCGCCCCTTCCAAATTGACGTGGGGAGGTTGCTTTCTTCTACCTTTGGAATATCTTGCGCCTCTTCCTTGGGCTGGGAATGGCGGAATCTGTCAGCCCACGTGAGCGGTTTGGATTTCGCGTCGGGAGGCGGGGTTGCGATTGGTGCAACGAGCACTTCAGGGGCTCGTGCAGCGGGTTCCTTTGTCACTACCTTTGGTTCAGCCTTAACCTTTCCTTCCGATATTTTCCCTAGGTCTTTGTTGTCCTTACGCTTCTCTGCGGTGTCAACTCGCCTAGGAGGTCCATGCGCTTGTGGAGGCATGCCCATTGCGTGTGAAACGCTGGCCTCTCGCTTGTGGCCTTGGACGCTGGGGGTACCGTGTCTTGTGCCCCTCATAGGCCTAGGCTGTCCATCACCACCCTCATATCCACGCCCGGCACCGTATCTATACGGCACATAGTCGTACACCGCGCCGCCAGCATACACATCCTGCGGACAGGGTACCCAAAGCGGCATAAATTGCTGATGCGGGCCAGACCAGGCCGGGGGGTACTGACCGTCGGGAGGGTGTACATAAGGTATTGGCCTATGGTATCCACCCTTGTTGTAACCCTTTCCATGTTTAACATCGGGTACTGACACATATCCAATACCTCCATCGTACGTTCCTAGTTGCCCAGGGATGAACTCAGGCGCGTTGGCGTTCAGCTTGCCAGATGGGCGCGGTTGCGCGGGCTTGAACACTGGTGCGTCCGGATTAAAAGTTGAGGGCCGGGTTTCGGCCGTCTTGGCCTTCTCTTGCTCGTCAGTGGAGGTCATCGTGAGCGCGGAAGGAGGTCAGCAAACCATGCCGTCACAGCCTGGAACACGCCCCTGCGCGTCAGAAATTCGGCACAACTATGAATAGAATCCACTGAAAACTAGCGCTGCGATTACACGACACCGCGATGACGAATCAGTCACGCTGCGAAGGCCGGCCACACCGCTATGCGGCCCTCGGCAGCTCCAGTTGCCGTATCCTGACAACTGCACAGTGCAAAGATCATTCCAACTCTAAGCATATATCTGCTTGTGCGCTCCTATCGGTGGAAAGTAATATCTTTCGTGGGTCCGCGGACTCCGTCTATACCGCTGCTGGAGTGGGGCGCCGCGATCAGCGTATCAACCCCGCTGTTTGTCCTCCCACACCGCAGAAAATTCTATTTCTAGATGACATTTTAGCCAAACTATATACCCCTGTCCCAATGGTGGTCTGACGGCCGTGAATCTGAACACATCCGCAGTCGTGACTAGTGTCTGTACGCGGGGTCCCGGCGTGACCGTTTAATCGCCACCTCGGACACACTGGCCCTACCTGTTTTTTGTGGAATATACAATACTCCTATGTGTAGCTTATCATTACGACAGAGGTGTAATACAGTTTCGCCTTTGTTTAAAGGCATGGTTTCTGTCTGGCTCGTGTCTTGTACGAATGATTAAGATCGGTTGCATCGGATAGTTGGTTCTTGTACGCTGAAAGATGTCCTAAAGTGTGTATGTCTTGATGCGCGCAGGACGATGCCGGCCATGTTTGTCCGTGTTAAGATAGTACTATCGCGAAGCGTTACATGGCTGTAAAAGCCACACCGTACACAGCTGAGGCTCACTTTTCCTACCGAAATATTTTAACTGCTACGACGCTCTCTGCATGTGAGTGTTTGGCCTTATGCAACGAATAATATGAAATCGCGTCGATAGGCCTTCCTACGAGTTATGGCGGACAGCCGTTGCTCATCTATTGGGCACCTTCGTCACCCAAATGAGTAGCGTTCATCTGTCTAATTAATAAAAATGACTCTATATATTCCTACCGACGAGGTTTGAGTCCTATTGCCGACGCCTCGGCTAGAAAATCAATGTTGTTGTTGGCGCTGCTGCCACTGGTTTTCCGCGAATCGCTGTCTATGAGCACCTCTATTATCGCGCCGTTGTTTAGGCGCGAGTTGCGCTTAGCACTGCCTCTGAACGGGCGGAGGTTGCAGGATTCCGGGCTTACCTTCTTATCGCGGTTGGTGCCGATGTTTTAGACAACTAGTTGTATCAGAGCTCCACTGGCCACGAGAGCCACTAGACTTGGCGCAAAGTCCACCACAAACAGCGGCAGCTCCTTGGATCTCTGCGAATATGACAAAAATGACTGCCGGGTAACCATCACCGCAGGTCGGTGAATAGGCTCTGTCGCTAACCCGTATACAGGCGTCGGCGGTACCGAAGCGTTCGACTTTTGTAAGATGCTTGGCCGCATGTACAAACGATTCATACATCACTACTCTCCTCCAGACAGCTGGGATCGAGACCGTTACGGTGATCTGCCAAAATCACTGACATACGTCGAATGCGACGCGGTCCCCGGGGACAAGGTTGGATATCGCATGCTAGAGTTCGAGGTGCAAGGCGCTTACGCATACAAACTTTTCAAAGGAGAAAAAGGCACCCATCGCCTCGTACGCAACTCCCCTTACAACGCCATGCGTAAGCGGCAGACCACGTTCAGCAGCGTACAAGTTGTCCCCATGCTGTCGGACTCCGACCAGGATGTGCAGCGCTACCACAGCTCACGCCAGGTTACCGATCGCGACGTTACTATAGAAACAATGCGGAGCGGCGGTAAAGGCGGCCAAAATGTGAACAAGGTGGAGACAGCTGGTATGTTGATCGTCGCGGTTTCACAATTCGAGCAGTACGGGTGACCCACAAGAAGACAGGGCTCTCCATTAGGGTGCAGACTGAGAGATCGCAGGCACAGAATCGAGAAATAGCTATGAAGCGGCTAAGCGAAATGGTGGACGCACATTATAAGGTATGTTATCAGCGTAGTAACCTGAAGTGCCCGCAGGACCAACTGCGCGAGAAGTGCGAGGAGCTCCGAGGCGAAGAAGTGGAAGCAGACTGGGGCAAACACATGCGCAGCTACATTCTGAATCCAGAACAGCGTTTCAAGGACCATCGCACCGACTGGGAGACGGGTGAGGTGCACGCAGTGCTCGACGGAGAGTTGATGCCCGTTATCCTGTCGTACCTTGATTACACCAAGAATTCACATTAATTCTACTTCCGTGAGATTGAACCCTTCACGCGTTACGTGAAGTGCCGACGCGCCGATTTTCTTTGCGTTTTTGCAGTTTTGGATGTCATCGTCGATCAGGATGATCTCGTTCATTTTGATGCCAAAGTCCTCGCAAATCTGCGGAGCCTATGAGCCAAAGATCGAACCAAGCATACCCGATTGAGATGGTACTCCTTGCACCTCGGCATAGGCGCGTTGAGGCCCAGCAGCTTGTATCGCGACGGGTCTTCCCAGTACCTGGAATGAGTGCAGCAACGGACTGCATGCCATACCTAGGGTAGAAGTCGTAAACCTTTTCGATACGGGCATCGCAATCGCTGTATTCCAGCGCCTTGTTCACCATTCGAGCGCCGCTAATGTACACTGGGTGGTCCTTGACGTGTGTGTCGTCGGAGAAGGTAACGATTACTAGCTTAATTGGACTCCGCTTAAGGCGCCTGCCTACTGCCTTGAAATGCTCTGTGACTGAGGAAAGTACATCTACATCTACGTTCGGATCACAGTATCCACCTGCGACGGATGTGAATGTGCAGCGTTTCAGAGCGTGGCTTACCGGAGTGGTTCGAAATCATAGTGGCATCGAAGTCCGACGCGATACATTTGATGCCATTCTGTTCGAGGAGAGTGACGAATTTGTCAGCCGACTCCTCTGCAGAGATTCCGTGGAACTCTTTATTTGCTATACACGCCAACATGACGGCATGGAAGGCGTCCATGGCGTCACTCATCGGCGTCGAGCGGTCGCGTGGCGCCGATCTCGCAGTCGAGCAGCAGTTCGTTCGGGAGGAGGTAATCTGGCCTAAGTTTATACACCGACGTCTTCTCTGAGACTATTGTTGATTTTTTGCAGCTGCGATAAGATGTGCGCGGTGAAAGGCTCCACTCACCCTGGGCACGATGGGGGTTTCTGTCCATTAAGGGAGAAGTATCGGTATCCACACGAAGGTTCCAAACACAGGTGATATTCTTTTTTGCACTTTTTGGACGAGCAGGTGTGTCCCTCGCGCTTGCAAACCGGGTTTGGGTACTCGGTCCACTTGTTACAATCGTGGCAGTAAGAGGCCGTAATTTCGATCTCCTTAACGGCCTTCTTCATTTCTTCCGCCTTATCCATGCGTTCCAGTGTGACCAGCTTGCGTTTCATGGTCTCTACGTTTTCCTGTGCAAGGTGTGTCGACGGCGGAACCGTGCTGTTACCTTCTCGACGTAAGAGTCTACCTCAGATGCGGCTGACATGATGATGTCCAGATCTTTGTCAGTCTGTAATAGGATGCAGGTAATTCGCATACGCTCTTACCGCGCGGTCATTTGCAACCTGCTTGCCTTCTGGCCGCTTAACCTCTACTAGATATGTAGGTGTAGAATTGTCCTTAATGGGCGAGTGGAGGATTCTCCTGAATTCCCGGCGTAGTTTCAGGCTCTCTATGGCTACTCCATCGACGGGGTGCTCGAGCAAGTCCGAACATATTTTCAAAAGCGGGCTTTTCCTGGCGGCGTCCCTGTCGACATAGTGAATGTACTTGGCGATGAGCTGCAGGAGACCGAGGATTTTCTTGCTTTCCTTCTGCCCCTTTCGCAACATGATCAGTGGTGATTCGTTAACGTACTGCATGCATAAGCGACTTTAGATTCCGAACTGCGGCCTCGAATTCCTTGGTTCGGTTTATTGACTCATCCTTTGGCCGCCCTTTGTTGGGTTGAACACCTACCGGCACAGTAATGTGCGCAGATGCAGAGGTTTTCATGCGATTCTGTGTGACCTTGTGCACCAGGCTGTTTAAGCCTGCGAGCTTGGAGAGCACAGCGGTTGGGTGGGGGGGCTCGGCTGGCTTAAACACAAAGTGCTCAATTCCCGCCTCCTTTTGATTATTTTCGAGGCGTTCGTGCACAGTTTTGAGCATATCCGCCGAGTCCACGGTCGTCATTTTCTTGTTCGGCTTAGGTTTGGCGAACGCTGCCTTTAGGTGGAACTTGCAGAAGTCGCCCTGGTGGTGGGTGTACACGAGGTTCTTGCAGCTGGCACCCTTCGCAGTGACACCTTGGCAAAACTTAAGGCCGTCGACTTCCCCTATCAGCAGCACGTTGTCACAGTGCTTTATCGATATGCTCCTGTAGTTGTAGTCTCTGGCGTGATCGTTCAGGTCGGGGTTCAGCACGGCGATGACGCTGCCCTGGCTGACTGAGTTTAGTTCAACCGGTATACTTCCATATATAGCCACTTTCAGCGCAGTATCCTGTAGATCCGAACACGTCCAAATGGTCACAATACCTCCCTTCCCAGAGTGGGCATGCACGGCAGTGACGGTGCAGATTATGGCCATGTCTACATTGCTTCCGAGCTTAAGGCTGTTACGACACTGGTCGGTATTCCTGGAGTCGTTGAGCACCTTCACATGCGCGAACTGCGTTGTTTTGTCGGCAAAAATGGCACCCATTTCCTCGCGGCCCTTAACCCAACGCCTAGACATGTTGACTCTGAGCAAATAAGCTTACCTAATGACAAGCTCGATGCCGTTGGCAACTATCCCATCCTTATGCAGCCGAGCGCCTGACAACATAGTGAATCTTGCGCACGGCGCAGCTACCAACCTATTCTTGCCGCCATTGCTAAAGCACAGCTATAGTACGTGCACACCAGCAGGGATATAGATATCAATTGGCTGCAACGCAAAAAGCCGATACCATAGGCATATGCTAATTTTTGCGATGCGACAAACCGATAACAACGGGGTTAAACCGGGGAAGGAAACGAGGTGTGAAAGAAGGCAGCCATCGCCCGCGGTCAGTCAGGCCTGTTAGAGGGAGAGGTGTGGAATACAAAAGCCCCAATACATGTTGATCGTCTAAGAACAATCTGTAACTAATAATCTGGACTGTGTCTAGGTGACCATATTCTGGCTATGTTAGCGATGGACTACGGGTGATTGTCTGATGTGCTATGAGAGTTAATACAACTGTCACTTGAATTACACATGTACGTGAAACCAGTATTATTTGCAGTTTAGAGTCATATTTTGCTGTCTTCGACGCGTTTTGGCAATTGGCACTCATTGCCACCGTGTCTGTGCGGCTGCGCCTTTACTGCTGATAAGATGCGCTGTAAAAGACATCACACATTATCACATTACCTCTTGTTTTAGTTACACCTTTGTTTGAGGTACGTATTGCGGCAATACTATAGGTAAATGCAGTCTATATGAGCCAGAGGTACGCCTTCATCGCACATTCGGCACGGCACTGAAAATCGCAGGGCGTTTGTTTGGTCTAATTTGAAGGTAAAAAACGCTTATGGTGTGACGATGTGTAGATCTTTTGGGCGCATGTGTATGTCCAATTGCGCGTAACCAGCCGCTCTGTTGCTGTGCAAAAGGGGCGCTGTCTAGTCAAAACAAACATCTCAGTCAGTGGAGGGGAATGCCTCAGGTATCAAAAATTGACCGATATGAGAGGATTCGTATTATAGTAGAGTGCTATAGTATGCATGTATTAGGATCCTTGTGTCATTAATGTTATGGTCTTGTGATCATCATCTGCATTACTTGGGAGTAATATTAATATTTTAGATTTGTTTGGACAAGTCAACAACAGCGCATCTCTGGAAACTGGCGACGGGTTGTTTTAGAACTAAGGTCGTTCGTTCTACGCATTTCAATTTCATCGGCGATCATGCAGTGCATGATCTTCCCAAGGTAGGTTGAAATCAGAGTGACGAAGACTGCTATATACTTGCGACTGTGTCGGAGTTTACCAGCTGTTCGAAGCCTGGATTGCGCTTCTTCTGATGAGACGTGAAGAGTAATTTACAGTTTGTTTACGAGGATGTCATGTACAACGCGGTCATCAGCCAGCAGCCGAGGCGAGTACACGACGCACTCGTTTTTGTTTGCGTTCCACGTTAAGGAACTCACACTTGATCCAAATGTGAGGACTCATGACAGAATTAGGTCCACGCGCCTGTTGTGGACAATCTCACCTCGTGGTTGTGAGCGTAATCCATGGTCTTCAAATGATTTGGGTGAGCTCCCAACGGGCTCTACGCATATGTCTGAGCCTTTTGAAATTGACAGCGTAGTTTCAAATAATGTGGATACCGCATTTGCGCTGCTGCGCTGCCATCTGAGCGGCGACCACAACACGTTAGCTCAGAACGGGACTCTAACCATCGACGTTGTGGATGATACCAATAACCTATGCCTAGCTTCTACGTCAATATCGTTGCACATCCTTGACGTTTCTTCGACTATTAATCTGAGGAACGTAAGATTGCTGGACAGCCGTGGATTACAGGTTGGCAGTTTGGAGTTGTGCTACGTCTCGCAGCAGCGCTGGGTAAAGGTGAACAAGCGCAAGTTGTCATTTCTCAACTCACAGCGTTCATCTGGTGTGAAATCAGTGGTAGAAACATCGGCTAACTATGCAACTTCTGCGCTAGAAGGTAGGAAGGAATCCACCCCAAACGGCCAGGTGGGCTCTGGATTCCAGGGCCTCAATGATAGGGCTGATGAATTCGTCTTGCTATTCTGGAACTCCACAAGCTCTTCCTTTGTCAAAGCGCACCCGAATGATTATCAGTTGCAGTTGATGCGAAATTTCATCAGGGCTCCATTTTGCGGAGAATCAGGCGTAGAAGATACTAGTAATGATGACCACAGCTCGGTAGCCGCATCTGTGAAGGTTGACAACGCAAGACTGCCCAACAACGAAGGGTCGATCGTGTCAAGTGCCAGGTCAGATAATCGTTCGGATGTTTTGCAACTACCGGATCTTCAATGCGCCAACCCCGCTGCTTCTGGGTTTACTTCTAGCTCCGAGTTTGCCTCCGATTTTGGCGATGACGAGGGGTCCTGTCGCTCCGATATGTCACATTCGGCGGATCCCGGATCAGTGCGTTTATACGACTTCCTCTCCCACCAGGACCGGATAATACAATCGCAACTGACACGGCAGTTGAGTGTGGATGCGATGTCGAGTTCATCTTGGACTTCATGTACGCGTACAGCCCCTAGTTTAACAAAGCAAGTGCCTGATGGGAAGCGCTACACTCAGGGTCCTATCGCAGCCACACCCTTTGGCATAACGTCGCCGTCTCATAGTCTCGCCGATCTCTCGATGGACACGCTGTCGGATATCAGTAGTGTCGTTAATAGCATCGATGACAGTACAATGTATTCTGACATTGATGTTTCAGTCACCAATGGTTTTAGAGAACGCGTGGTGCTACGACAAGTGGATGCCATAACATCTCCCCATCGGGGCCTCCATGATCATCTTGCGCGTCATCCATATGGTTACAAGCCTGGTGATATCAGAGGCCAGGCGAGTGCCTCGTATGTAAACACTGCTGCGGTGTCATTTGATACCCCAATACGCCAGAAGACTCATTCCCTTGGTGACCGCAAGACCGAAATAGGTTTTGGAGGATTCGCTGGCCCCCGATTAATTCCGGATATTCCAGTTGGTAAGAAGGGAGGACCCTGCTTGAACACTTCAGTGTCAACGGTCGATATTCCATCTATAGATGCGACTGATGACCAGTTGGCGCCATTGAGCTCAATTAACTGGTCCGCAGAAGGCGCGATGGACTCGGGAGAGACGATTATGCCTTTTCAAGGCGACAACAATGGCAACGGACGCCAGTGCTCAGTATATTTGCGCGATACGGAATGCCAGTTTGACATTGTGGAAGACGGTCACTGCTCAGTTGTGATAGAGGACACAACACCGAAAGTGGTACCCAATGATATTATCGACGTGGACCGCTTTTATACAGACGACAGTTACTTGTTCGGCGCGCTGCATGCTGCAGGGAGTATGGGATCCGATTGCAGCTCTACCATCAATAACTTCTACACAGCTGCGGATGGCGTAGAATTCGGGACCAACGAGTCGTGCATGGTCCGTGAGCCTACGAGCTCACCGTGCAAACCTTTCAAGAATAGCCTCTTGTCGGCTGTGTACAACGCTATTACGGCTGACCTGAGCTCGCTATCCGTGTCCGATCTGGGTGTGGACCACGCCGAGTGCAGCCTCGACGTGATGAGCGAAGCGCTGACTGACGCCCGAGCTCTACAGGTTCAGCAGGAACGTCTCTCTAACGAGTTGCTGATGAACTTTTTCCTGCAGCTACTGCACTGCTACAGCCAAAAAGGTTTGCTGCAGGTGATGCTCATGGAGGACGTCGTTCAAAAGCACCTGTCGGCGGCGGACCTGATGACCTTCCTGCCTGCTGACTACAACCCAACCGTCATCAGGGTTGCGCTAGATATTCTGGTTCGCCAGCTGGGAATGGCTCTGCCGCCGGGTCGGCCTGATGAGAGTCAGAAAGGCACCGACTACGTAGACCCTCCGCAGGCGCCCCCAACGTGGAAGGACCAGGTGCTCCGTAATGCGGCAATGCGAGACAGCACGGGTGACAGGCGCTCCATGGACAAGTTCTGTCGTTTGTCCGATTGTGAAACATTCTCTGAGGTGAGCTATGTGGAGGATTGCTTCCAGCCCACCAAGGAGCTGGCGCATCGCCAGCTAGTCCTGCGGCAGTTCCAGGCCGCTCTTCAGGATATGCGCCAGCAGATGGTGGCCATTGACACGCGCAAACTTGTCTACATATCGAGGCTACACTCTAAGCCTATAAAGAAGCGGGGTTGTCGCCTCTCGCTGCTGGCGATCAAGATCGCGCTTTACCGCATCTTTTGCGGCCGTAGAAAGCTGGCCGTCAGGGAGAGCCATGTGATACTTATATGATCACTTAAAACTAAAACTGTCTTCTTATCTATACGTATGCGATTCACGGGGGTATGTATTTGGGTTGCTTTACTTGCGTTTGCTTGGTGCCGTGAGGTATTTGCGCTTAGCCGATACTTCGGCTGCCTCCACGTGGTCGATTGCAAAGTTCTCATCCGTAAAGATGCGTGCAAAGCGGTCGTCTTGCAGCGCAGCCTTGGCGCTAAGCGCCTGCTCTCTCTCCTTTTTGGAGAGTCCCTGACGCCATTTTGATCGATCACAGCGAAGCTTACCTTCTTCCCAACGGCCTCTGCAGTCTGGCGCAGCTTCTCCGCGAGCTCCTCGTTGACAACCTGCGTCTTCTTTTGCCGCAGAGGCAGACGCATTTGCCGCTTGGCATCGATCTTCTCCTGTATCTTCTTCTTCCGGTACGCTTCGTAGTCAAAGTCCGACGAGGCGCTCTTGAGCTTGCGATAGACGTCACTGTCAATGAAGTATCCATGCATGTAATCCTTGACCATGTTTGTGCCGATGAGCTCGGCAGCATTAATCTCCTCAAGCTGCTGCCGGGTAACGAACACAAAGTCCTCGTAGGCCTGTTTCGTGGCTCCAGCGGCAACGCCAGCGTCGGCCGCCGACGGCGCCTCCATCTCTTCCGTGATGTTCTCCAGGAAAGAGCACCATCTGCAAATGGATTGTCATATATGTCGGTATGTCATACTTGGGTGCTGCGCCGATAGTTGGAATGAAGTAGGTACCAACACGGGTGTGATCACCCACTACGAAGCAGATACCCGTATCAGGGTAAAATCGGAACGAGTTGATTTTACTGGTATTGTTCGCCTTGTCGGTCACTAATCCTTCGATTGATGCCACGAACTCGCCATCGTGGGTGTTCTGCACCCTTACGCTTTTGTGGTCTGACCACGCAATAAGCGCATCCTGGCCGACACCTGGGAAAGATTAGCAAATTGTAGAACGTTCCTTACCAGTTGACGCATGGTTAAGCGAGTTCACCCACTCGATATTGTTCACAGGCGCCTCGTTAACATGCCTTTTTTCCCAAAGCGGTTTGGTGTTGCGGATATCGTAGAGCTGGAGGCACCCTGAGCTGGTGCCGACAGCCACCTTCATCCCATTGGCAGAATAGGCGCAACACGTAACGCTGTCATCGCTTCCATCGTCATCACTTGCGCAGTGCAGTCTAGACGCCGACTTGTTGGAGCGGAGGTCCCAGCATTCCAGAACAGCGCCTTCGCTGTAACGGTTGTGGAATACATGTCATTCAAACTTACCCGCCTGTAGATATAAGTGGCAGGATTGGGTTTTCAGCAACGCAATTCAAATACGAGCACACCGATTTGAATGGCTCTTCGAAAGCACCGTACTCAAGGTTGAGGCGATATACCTCGTTGCAGGAGGCAACCGCAAAAAGGGAGGCATTGTCTGATACGTATATCATATCACGCCCCGCCTTCGGAATGCGGATGGAGTGATAACGACCACCCCTGTCGTGGAACTCGATGACACGGTCAGTGCAGAGGAAAGCCAATTTGGTGTAGTCGCCCTCGAGGAAGCATGTCTTAAGGACCTCGTTGTCTATTCCGCGCCTGTGTTTCAACGAGAGCTCCGTGGTGTCATAGACACCAATCTGCATTTATTTGAAGCGCATAGTTTGATATATGACAATATACCTGTGGTGGATACACTCCTGTCGCTACTATGTACTGCAGGTCAGGCGAGATGTCGACGGTGTTGCAGGCCTGCGGGAACTCGAGGTCATGAATCAGATCGATGCGATGTTCATACTCCGCATCAGTCCTTACAAATTATATGCCTTAGTTTAAGCTTGAACCCACTTTGACTTCTTCTTTCCTTTGCTGCTAACGTGGAATTGAGGAGCGAACTTCCCAGCCGACAAGGCGTAAACCTGAAAGCGTATTATCTCATGTTACAGGGTCAATTTTTGCATCCAAAGGCATTAAGAAACAGTTTATTCCACGTTTCAAGCGGTATCACAAGCGTTTAACGATTTATAGGCAATATTAGTTGTGAATTGCGTTGTCTAAAATTCATATAACGCCCGTTGAAGAAGTAGCAATCAAGCTCACCTTGTACCCATTGGAATTAAACGATCGCAACATCTTCCAGCATTGCTATTACACAATCGACACAAATTTGCGATAAGAAACTCAAACAGCGCTACGAAGTTATAGCAGCCGCTGTTGAATAGTGGATTTCCGTTGATCCGAGTTATCGCGTGATTCCTGGCTTTCCGAGGACCACGCTGCTACACATTGGTCAGCTTCGAACTTTTACAAATGTTGCAAGCAAAACGTGCTTCAACTTTCATTCATATCGATATTCGGTGCAGGTTTGCCGCCACCATGTGCGGCGGCCACATCGAGTTTCTGCCGGTGTTAGAGGGTTGTCTGAGTCTCGTATTGAGCAGTTTGAGACGATACACTTGCGAAGTGTACACATCGAATTTATTATATCCGTCGATATTTATTTTCCATACCAGCATCTACACATTCGCGGCTGGCTTACTGTCCGCCGTCGAAGCGTGTGTTGGCGCAGAGCACGACTCTCCCATGGATAAATTAGTGTCGACGTCAATTGCTGATTCTCGTCTATCATAAATCGCTAAAAATGGATGGAAGCTGTGAGGACACGTACGACATAACGTACGATGAGGACTGTTACTGCGGGGTCTCACTGGACGATTTTGAGGCCATTTTGCGTCACACAGAGCCTTCCCATGGCGGTGAAGCAGATAGCGATGAGAATGAATACACTAGTTCTGCTGATGAGGACCGTGAGCGAGATATAGAGTCTGCGATGCAGCGTTTGGCTGCATCGGTGACCGCCATGCACATCGGAATTGAAAATATGCGCCGTGTCATATGGGGTTATTTTCTCGGAGTTTACACTGCAGAAACTATGGAGGAACTGCTTAAAGCGGTTAAACAGAAAAGGGAGCGTTACTGGGAGCTCGTGGAAAAGCATCGACATGACAATCTGAAGAGCATGCAGGCGCTGAACCCACAGCTGTTCCACCCACTGGCGCCAGTTGAACGTAACCCCTGGGAACAAAACCAGCGTTCGCGTGAACTGCTTGACGAGATATGGCAGGATGTTGAACGCACCTATCAGGAGCGGAGCCTGTTCAAAAACGAGTCTGTGCGGAAGACCCTACAAAATGTGCTCTATGTCTGGAGCAGAGAGCACGACTACATCTCGTACCGCCAGGGCATGAATGAGTTGTTGGCAGTTGTGTACATCGTGTGCTACCGCGATCAGGCGAGGCCGTCGGATTCGGCTGCTGATGCGGCGTTCGCGGAGCTATGCTCGGGCAACGCCAACGACCTTGAGGCTGACGCATATACGCTCTTCGATGCATTGATATGTCTCGAGATACAACTCATGTTTGATAATGCGGCTGCAAAGATTCCATCAATAAAAAGTCACAAAGCCAAATCTGCCAATTTGGCTCACCTTGTCTCACTACCTGGGCGCACGAAGGCCAACAACAACCACAATTCATTCATCGCAAGAACAAAGTTCATTTATTCGAGTATACTTAAGGTAAGCATATACAAGGCGTGTACGTGCTTTTTCTTGCTGTTTTGTTTTAAAAGGTTAACCACTAGGATGACATTCCACCCCTAAGGTAACATTGTGACATACAGATTCGTGAATGATGCTGTAATACGTTAATTTTACTTTCCTGTGCGTTATGTAGTTTTATGAAGAACGTTGATTGATTCTCCATATTTATGAATCTAAGTGTAAATCTTGGATGTAGTCACACATGTCGCTAGTTTGTCATACATTTTTAGGATTACGACCCCGCGCTGTTCAAGCACTTCCGGGACATCGAGCTGGAGCCTCACGTGTTCCTCATGCGTTGGATACGGCTGATATTTAGCCGAGAGTTCAACGTCAATGAAACGTTGTGCCTGTGGGATGCGGTGTTTGCGGACCACTTTCTCACCAACATTGAGGGAGAACGACTACCGGAGTTCCAGTTTGAGCTGATCGATTTTTTCGCGGTGGCCATGATGTCGTACGTCCGTTTAAATCGTAAGTTACATTTCGTGGCTTTACCATGCTGTGCAGTGCTAGAGAACGATATAAACTACTGCCTGCAGCGGCTCTTCAAGTTCCCACCTATTGAAAACATTTCCCTGCTTATCGCAAAAGCGCACAAGATTCGGCGCCAATTCCACAAGTTGGATTCTGGAAAAACAACGATGGCCAACGGTAATAGCTCGGCCCGCCGCTCGAGCAGCATCCCTTGGGCACCAGTTGATGACGGCAGCCACGTCACAATGGATACGACGGGACGGTCAAGTACATCAAGAGCGGTTGATATGAGAGGTAACGAGAGTGGCAAAACGCCATATATGTCGTTGGAATGTATAGATAGCAACGCATCAGCCTTCGCGTCACCATCGGAATCTGGCCTCTCAGCAAGTGCCGAGGGTCTACGACAGGCGCTTGAAGGTGTTGCTGCGCGGATCTACAAACTCTACGAGGAAGCTTTTGCTGTTGGAAGGTGAGAGAACATATGTTTGTTGTCATATTTTGCAGCGACAAGATGATGAACGACATCCAGGATATACACAGCGAGGTCACTCGTATTCTCGCAACGCTGGATTCCTAATCACTCATGGGATCCCTATAGAACTTAATGGGCGCTATGCGTTAATTACACCACACCGGGTTATTATCCGGTGACATCCATAATTTTATACTAGTCTTCTGTGCTTGCCTACTTCCCCATGTGTACACACTCGACTTGGGCATTGACCCCAAACAGCTCCACCAACCCGGCTCAGCGGCAATCGCCGACCATTAAACTACGTGGTGAAGTGTGTAGGATCGTGCTTCGTGCATCGCAGTATGTTTTGGGCGACACCGTTCCTGGTTCTTGCGACACTCTTGGGCGTTAACTACGGAAGCGTGCTTGCCTACGATCCCGAGTACGCTCTTGACAAGACTGAACTATCGGGAGAATTCTCGATTCGGGTTTTGAAGCCCGGTATCGATGGCAGTCGCAGCGTCGCGTCTGGTGACCGAGTGAAGGCTTTGCTGCGAACATTTTCGCCGTCAGTTCCCAAGAACATCACAGGATTCGCGGAACAGATTTTCGAGGTACGTCTACGCTCATGTGTGACTGCTTAGTCGCAATTACTGTACTTTTTTCATGGGTGTGTCGGTGGTCATAAATCGGTCGCTCGTCGACACCCTTATACACGGGGTGTAATTAACACATGTGCAGGCCGGGAAACACCCAGTCGTCCCGCTCAACAACGCTATCGCTAATATGCGCCTCGATGAGATTAGGCGAGTAGGCATCCCGTTCGGCGAGTATGGCAAAATCTTCTACGAAGTGCACGTAGTTTCGATCGCTTAACTAACTCTACGGTTGGCAAGATGGAGATGGATCTGCATAGCCTTCAGCTGAAGGCAGTTTCCGAGATGCTTCAGCTGTCTGGCGACGATGACGCTGACGGCCAGCAGCTGAAGACATGGAAGGTACTGATCTACGATGACGAGGCGCGCAAGCTTCTGTCACCTATACTGAAAGTGGGTGAATTGCGCAGCCTCGGAGTGACCCTCAATATGGCGATATCGGACCGTAGGGAGCCCATACCGGGGGTGGACGCCGTATACCTTGTCAGCCCTACTGACGCCAATGTTAACGCCATACTGGCGGACGCCCAAAGCCACAAGTACAAGCAGCTTTACGTCAACTTCACGACCTATACATCGGACGCGTTCTTGAGCGAATTCGCCAGGAGGTTCGTCGAGGCGAATGCGCATGGCTCCATCGCAGCGGTCGCCGACCGGTATATTCACTTTGCCTCCATTGCGCTTTCGTCGTTCTCGCTCAACATGCCGAAGTGCTTCGCTGATTGCTATGGTGGCAGAACCGAGGGCGAAGCTGACCCGCTGTTGGACACCATCGTCGACAGGCTGCTGTCCGTGGTGGTGACGCTTGGAACGCTGCCGTTCCTGGTCTCGCCGCGCAGCATGTCCCCTGCTGCCACGGTGGCGGAGCGCCTCAACAAAAAATTGTTCGAGCTGGTGAGCGCTCGCCATCAGCTGGGGATTTCATTGGCGAGCTCATATAATCGCCCAGTGTTGCTCATAGTGGACCGCACAGTCGATCTGGGATCAATGATCCAGCACAGCTGGAACTACCAGCCGCTGCTCCACGATTTGTTTGGCATAAACTTCGACAAGCTCGTGTTGGATACTGGTAGCGAAAAGTCGAAGAAAGTTACCTATGACCTTGAGTCTGGCGACAAGCTCTACCAAGCAATCCACAGGCTGCCGCTGTCTGACGTTGCGTCACACATTGCCACGTCGCTGGAAAGCTACAATGCGCAACTCTCCCAGATAAACAAGGGCGAGGATGAGGCTGCAGGGAGTCTCGTGAACGCCATGAATGCCATCCCCCAGCTCACCGAGCAGAAACGCCTGCTTGATATGCACACGAATTTGGCCACTGCGCTGGTGGACGCAGTTAAGAGCCGTGATTTAGATCGCTTCTACGAGTTCGAGTACGATTTGGATCTGTTGAGTGAGAAGAATTGTTTCCAGCAGTTTGAGGATCTCCTGGCGAACGATAAGTCCACTGCGATGGACCTGTATAGGTCGCTTCTCCTGGTGGCACTCAACCGCCCCGGAGTTTCGGAATCGCGATTCGACGAGCTTGAGCAGCGCATTAAGCTGCGCGGAGAGCTCAAATCAGACAGTTTGCGCGGTCTGCGCAACCTCATGAAAATGAAGGCCTTTAGCGAGGGGCTGCTGAAGCAGATCCAAAACGCGAAAACATCGGATTTGTCAACGGCGAAGCAGATCAACGAGGGGATGAGCCCATCTGATCAGCCACGCCGTGAATTTTCGCAGGGACACAAGAAGCTGGCGGAGTACAGCAGCAAACTCATCGACACCGGAGTCAGCCTGTTCAAGGGAGTGCGCCGCTTACTGCCACGCAAAAAGCAACCCTGCGTTGTCAGCGTGTTGGAGAGCTTGCTGAACAATCCCGAAGCCATATCCAACGAGTTTGCATACTACGACCCAAGGGCCTCTGAGAGCGCACTTGCGCCCTCCGTCCGCCGCTCTACATCGCGGAAGTGCGTCCTCTTCGTAGTAGGAGGCGGCTCCTACAACGAGGCCGTGGCGCTGCAGGACCTGGCCTCGCGCTCGAAGTACTCGATCATCTACGGGTCGACTGCCTTCGACCGACCTGAGGATTTCATGGAGCAGCTGGGAGGTTCTGCATTTTCACTATAATTATAAAACCATGTTAAGTCGGTAGTAGTTTGCGCCATGCGCTGCTCTGTACGTGAGTAGATCATCGGCCACGGAGAACTGTAGCATCTTTTTGAGTTCCACCTTTGCACGGTGCTTCTTCTCGAAATCCTGTACGGCACTGCTGACGGACGGCTTACCGCCATCGAATGGCCATTTCTGAATGACATAGCATTTCGTAGTCGGTTAACCTACCTGCTCCATCAATACAAATTCTCCGAATTGCTTGCGCAGCCGTCCGGAAACAATGCGATCGACTGTGTCCTTGGGTTTCCCTGAGGCTAGCGCCTCGGCTTCCAATTCAGCCCTTGCCGCATTCACCTTTTCCGGATCGTAGTCTTCAAGTGACATGGCGACTGGCCTGGCGCCTACGATATGCTGGGTGATCTGCTTTGTGAAGGTCTTGATGCTTCGAGTTAATCCCACATCAGTGTCCGATAGCAGTGACGGCTCTACCGCAGGGATTTCTGCGTACATGCAGTCTGAGCCGACGAGGGCGCAGTTTGTTTCGGGGACGCTGGACTGGTCGTACGTAATGGGCGTCTGCAGATCGGCGGCTGTGGGCAGAGTGCTCCCCACTGCTTCCGAATCCGGAGCGCCACTCAACGTGTACTTCAAGAGCGCACCGGCCGATCCAACCTTATTTAAAGGGTGGGTGGCGACCAGTGCCCCGTGGAGATATGATGTAAGGAACTCCTGTGGAGATGCCTTAATGAATCCCAATCTGGTGATGATCAACTGTTCATGCAAGGCCATCTTAGCAAGTACAGCAGCTTCACTAGGAGTTTTTGAACAGCGGATGCATCGCGCTTCCATCATGCGCTTACCAATGGACTCGGCGTCCAAACCATGCGCAGCTGCGTCTCCAGATCTCACCACCGCCAGAGCAGAGTTGGCAAGCGATTTTGCCAGGGCCATGAATACGTGATTGCGCGCAACAAAATCTGTTTCACAACGCAATTCTAGGACAACAGCCATATCAGGGGTCATGACAGTGGCCACCCGTCCGTGAAGCAGGTCTACAACCGGCGCAGATTCGCCTCCACCTGCAGATATGTGAGAAGGAGCTTAATAAACGTACTATTAGACGCAACATAGTTTTCCATGCCACTTCTGATGATGTCGAGGGCTGCACGAAGGTCGCCTCCAGCCTTTGTCAACGCCTCGTAACATTCCTGAGTCCCCTTCCCGGTGGAGGTACGGAGGAACAGGATCTTTCGCTTTCGATCATCTCCTGCATCTGCCGTATGATCTGCAGTAGATTCTGCGTATACGCTGGTGAAGAATCGTTTTTGATTGCTTTTGCGATTAAAGCAGCTTAACTGCTTGCATGCCCCGGGCTGCCATGGTGACAATGAGACGTTGGCACGCAGGTTACTTCCCGGCAAATAACCATACCCGCCAATAATGCCGCTAAGAACCCACGTAACTGCCAGCAGGCGACACGCAACCCATGTCAACTCCATGGAGCAGAAGACATGGCAGTGTGTAGCAGCGAGGTGGAATCCATCGAGGTTTTTCTTCTAACACATAAAATTTAAATCTAATTTGAACACACAGTGTACTTCGTTAACGCAATTTCTTGTTGCCATCGCAATTTTTCGTGGAATCATCGGTATTAGACCGTATTACTTGTTCCCCGGCAGAGGAAGCGTTATATTTTGCTAACGGAAATGGTCGCTGCACAATTAGAGTAGCCTTACCGCTTCTTACAGAGAAATTTAATTTCAATATACATATGCGATTGGTACGACTATACTGTCAGAGTAGATAAGTATCGACTGCTGAAGCGACTTGTGGAAGGTCAGGTGAGGATTCTACGGGTGGATGTTACACACTGCCACTTATGATTCTGTAAATTGACGTTACACTACATTACTTTTAACCATTATGCGACACATGAGTCAGCACTTTAAGCTGGTGTTACTAACTGGTAAGCACAGTGCGATCTTCATCGACGTGACACTTATGGGCAAAGACATATACGTATTATACCTGTCTAAATCGTTTACATCATGCTTTCACAGTGATCGCTGGAACCGTCGGAATATCAGGAATCGATCATAACCTAGGCGCAATACGCGGCGATGTAGCCGCTGGAGCGCTGCAAGCGCCTCTGCGGCTGCAATACAACATTACAGAGATTTCATGGCGCCAAGCCGAGGATATGCTTAAGAATGCGCCATTAATTGACCATATAGTTCTGTTCTACGTTCCGCTCCATTTCGGGTGCCGGTAGGTCTTAGTGTTTTGAAGCAGCATGTAATGCTTTTGTGCTACTAGTTGTCACAAAATGTGTATGTCTGGAACTGCACCGGTCGATATGTATGCGTAAAAGTACGTAATATGCGATTGTTTGTGAATATAATAGGGTGATATCTATGTTGCTGGGTGCCATAACATCTGGTGAACAATATTTATCTACTTAACGTGTCGGTGGTTGCTGCATCAGATGCACGTTTATATCCTCTGCTACACTTTTGCAGCCAGTTTATGCATCTATTTTTAACACTATCGCAACAATTCGAGCAAGAGAAGAGGAACGTAAAGTTTGTCAAGGTGAACTGCAACGATGGTAAACTGAGCGACGGGTTGTGCCACCGGTACAACGTTGCCGCCGTGCCAACAGTCGCTTATGTTGCCGATTTGCCGTTTCAGAGGGAGAAGTTGCCGCCGAAGAGTTTTATACAGCGAGCGCTTAGATGGTGTATACACAGCACCATGGACGACGTTGACTCAGTGCATGCCACCTGGTAGGTGAGGAGACAAGCCAACTCATTCACGTGCAGCTACAAAGGCGACATGTTTCTCTACCAGGAGCTCAAAGATTGGGCCACTATGATGTACGGCCTATCGCAGATGAAACGCAAGCTAGACAGTGTACGCCAGAGCAATTTTATAGAGCATTTAACAAAACTGTTATCACCATAAAAGATACAGCCCCACAGAGTCCGTGAGTGACAGTACAGCCTGTAATATTGCGATGACAAACATCAGAATAGAGAGTGTCTTGGTCCTGCACATCCACGTGTAGATGGCCATGGTCCCCAAACTCGGCGGCACGTTCGCCGGCGTGTATGCATCGATTGTACAGAAGAAGTCAGAAACGTGCATCCCGTACACCAGCATCAGTGCGTGGCATATGTGTACGAGGGTTGCAATGATGTTGACCATCAGGTTGATGTACAGGATGAGCTTGTGACGTTTAATGACAAGCACGAACCCGTACAGACCCAGCGTCATACACATTATCGTCAAATACAGCGATTGGTAGAAAATAACATCCAACGTCGTTCTCACCTGTGCAAAGCTGCTGCGTAAGAAGCTGTACATCGTCAGATTGGTCTGCAAGTCAACGGCTGCTTGGCTGCGTGATGCCGACGGATCCTTAAGGAAATCCGGCACCACCAGCTTATTATTCTGCATCCCGGCAACCGTACGCTCGATTCGTGAGTGCAGAGTGTCCTTGAGATTAAATACCGGCAGGTACGTTAGATCGGTTTTCATGTAAGAGGTGTTGAAGGCATTCTGGTTCATAACAGTTCCTTTGTTCATCAGCTGCTGAGTAGTCTTGTCAGCGAGAAGCCTAGGGTCTATTGCTGCGTTGATGTAAAATCTGACGATGCAGATCATGACGAACGTGGAGAAACACAACGTGCCACCGGCCACCTTCAACGCGTTAACAATGACGTATAAGCGAAGCGGTTGCAACGTGCGAACCAAAATCAGATACGTGTCCGGAACCAGTGAACCCAAATTGAACAGAATGCACGCCACCAGACGACCCTTCAACGAACGCACTCCACTCCTTATCAACATATTGTTCACTGCAGTGCCCTTGGATGAAAAAAGGAACGGACACATGATCTCCATGTGGCATATTTCGCTGCTTTCGTAAAGCATAGTCACCAGCTGCACGGTGATGACGATGAACGTGGTGGTGTAGAAGATCTTTTGCATCAGCGCCCCCAGCTTCCGAACCCTGATCGGCGACCAGCGCGATTGGAAGAACTCGAACAAGTCGTAGAGACTTAGAATGGTCATAAAGAATAGCGATAGAGTCGAGGGGTACATAATCAACTGTCCCAACTGGCGGTGAAGGTAATGTACGAGCCTGAGGATGAAGAGATTGAACAACTTATTTTTCCCGTAATCGTTTGGCACAGCATCAGAAGTTGGGTACACTGGAACCCAGTCATAGTTCTGCGCCGTTTCTGCGAGCTTGGTGAGCGACATGTCGTAGTCGTAGTTGGGCATCCTATTCTTCTCCCTGAGCAACACAAACGTGTCCATGGCAACGGAGAACTGCGTTAGGGAAAGCACAAACCGGCACGCGCATAGAATGATCGGGTACATACGCTCCATTCTACGCCCCGTAAAGGGGCTATCGGTGAGTGGGCTCACATCTGTCGCCATACCTGTCGACATCCGCTGTTAATCCAAACCTGGGAAAGGGGCAATAGCGAGCTGGTACAGCACGTGTAAATTTTATGCCAACTTTAACGTGATGATCCCAGCTGTGTAACTCACCTCAAAAGGGTACAGGCGGTGAACGAAGCCCAGTCTGCTGGCCAGCCTAGACAAGCAGACGGTGGCAAGGATCCAGGGACGCAGAGAAAATTTTAAAAAATAACTCACGCATATAACAAGCATTCACTAATATATCCTGTTGTCATCCGAACTGCCGTTTTGAGCTGCGGACGGCAGATCCATCGTTACACATCTCCTATATCAGAAACCTCCTGAAACATCACTGCCAAGCCGGCAGTGATCTACCTTGTTTTGACTATTTCCAATATACATAAATCTGTAGTGTATTATACATATATAACCTGCCGTGAGATTTAAAAGATATCTTGACGCTTATGAGCCCCCTAGCGCCAGCTCCGGTGTGTGTCGAGGAGCGCACAGATGCTAAAAAGCGGCATGAAACCTTTACGGCACAGCTACAATATTTATATTGATAATTATAATTTTTCAATTGTCTACCTTGCCTAAACGGTATGGTATATGTACTGTATTTATGTACATACTCAGTATGTTAAACGAAAGCCGTTACAAACAGCACTCTATGATCTACCAGTTCATGTGTTGAGTCGGAAACATGAGTTTGAATTCGACTTTGTAGATTAGGTATGTTACCGTTTTATGGTGTATTTTACGGACGGATCTTTCAGTCGCTCCTGTTGATTAAATGACCTCCATCTACTGTATTGGCTTTGTCTACTTCTAGAGAGTAAACTGCTATTACAACAAAATGATCACTGGCGCACAATTTCACGTAACCGACGGAACTATTTTTTTTCGGCATACATGCTGTCACGCATAGCCTTCTCTGATCATTGACACAAATTAGAGATCTGGTCAGAGATGTGTATATTTATTATGCTTCCTAGGAGGTGTTTTGCTACTAAGCGTCATACACATCTCATTTAGCCGCACGGGAAGTTATATAGACACACCACGCAGTAGCTCGTGGATAAAGTGCTGGATGGTTGACACATCCTAAACAATTTGTAACGGTGCATCTTCAAACAATCTAATAGCTCACTATACAGTGATGGTGACGCCAATCGACGACGTTATTGACCAGGTCGACAACACGCTGTGCGCTGCTTGCTTCGACGCAATCTATGGCGCCATTAACGTGAGTTCGCAACACAGCGTCCATAACTTCCGTTCAGGGGTTGAAGAGACCAGTAAACAAGCTTCTGAAATTGTTGTCAGATAAGGATGTAGCCTGTCCGATCTTCGTTACTTGGATGATAGCGGACCACAACGGGTAGGATGGCAATCCATTCCTTGAAATCTCTGCACAGCAACGATGAATTGCGCGGATGCATAGGCACTCTGTCACCCGTACCGATCGGCCAAATAGGTTAGACAGCCCATGTAGAGTCCCTAACGGCTCTCAGAGCATTACGCCAAGATGAGCGCATTCGAGGACACCAGATTTCCTCCCATCTCTGGGGATGAGTTACCACGCCTTTTATGCGGCGTATCACTGCTTCACTCGTACGAGGTATGGTTTATTGCACTGACACGGCATGCTGTGCAGGACGCCGCTGGCCCGTATGACTGGGAGATCGGGAAACACGGTGTCATCGTCAAGTTCGACCACAACGACAGACAGTGGGTTTATGCCACCTTCTGAATTGCAACTATGTCAGATACTCCGCGACGTACCTGCCCGAAGTTGCCAAGGAACACGACATGTCACACGAGACCGCGGTGAAGCAGCTTGTGCGCAAGGCTGGCTACAGAGGCGCGTTGACCGACGAATTGATATCGTCAATCAAGGTATGTAGAAACACAGTCAGTACCACGTACGCGTGAACTAAGAAGTCAATCCGCACCGGCGTGTGGTGCGTGCATTATCCTGAGCCGTGTGCTCGGGGCGCCACCTGTGACTAACACCAACTGACGTATTCGCAGGTCACCAAGTACCAGAGTAAAAAACTAAAATTGTCCTTCGACGAATACACATCGCTTGACAATGGTGGCGAAATAGACAAGTAACAAATTATAAGGTTCTGTTACGTAACACGGGATTGCTTGTGGCTGTTCTTCGTAGTCGCTGAGTTGATAATGGCGGACTTGTACGCCGCCGTAGACGTCAACATGTCGAATATCCGGGTGGAGCCACGGCGCGGAGCGTTCACGAGAATGGAGCTGGAGAGCGAAAGCTCGAAGTCGTCAAGCTGGTCTATGCCGATAACGATCAGATCGTTGTTGTCACTGCTTTCGTGACGGTTGGTGGTAGTGGGAGCGGCGGAGGAATTGTGTTCTCCGAATTGGAAAGCCGTTTCACTCTTCAATTTCTTGTAACCGCCCGTCATAGAAGTGTCCTCATCACCGTCGCTGGCGCATGAACTCTGTGTGGCGTAGTTGAAGCCCCAGAAATCGTAATCGGGCTCAACTTCAGCGGGTAATGATTGCCAGGGTCTGGGGTGTTTCTTTTTCAGCCTATCCTTGATGGCGTCTGCAACTGAGGCCACACTCTCGGTGAGCGATTGCTCTGGCTTGCGCTCGTAGCTGTCCACAAAAGAGACACCACCATCCTTTATTGATGAACTTGCATTTGTGTTCGCGACAATACGCAATGGTACCGAGTTTGCATCTGGGGACGATGGATAAGAATGCATTACGACATCCGATTTGACGGGTTCATCCCTTGCCTGCTCGCAGCCATAGCTTGCATTGGAAGTTGCGCATTCACTTTCTCTCTTAACATTCGATGATGAAGTAGAAACTGATTCATACGCTTTCACTGCGGCAGTTGCAGTAATTGGCGCAGCTGAAATCACGTTCAATTGCAAGGTAGCCGGTTCGTCGATGCGGTTGGTCGACGCTTCATGCTTTACCATAAGTTCATCCGGTTCAGCCTTGATGCTGCCGGTGACAGCATCGCGTTGCGATTCAAAGTAGGTGCTCATGCGGTACTTTTCACGGATGAACGATCCGGAGTGGTAGAGCGTGAATGAGCCGAACGGGTACCGCTTCTCCACCGACTTCAGAGAGAAACCTTTGAGGCAGGATGAATCGTTGCTAAATAGCGCCTCCTTAGCCCGAACCAGAGATATGTGTAACTTACGAAGATTTGGCACTATAGAGGTTGCGGCGATGGCGTCGTCAATGATCTTCTCCTGAACGTGGCCTATGGGGTGCAGCCGACTGTCAAGGAAGGCGCAAAGCGAGTTCTTGCCCTCCTGCAGATAACGGACACAACGAGGCGACATGCCTATAGTGCCCCCGTGATATCCGACTATATGGAGCAGATCTTGCTGCAACGAGTAGAAGCGCTTGAGTTGGGCAGTGGACCTGGATGTCATGGACTCTCCAAATCTGTTACGCGATCTTGGAGTGGTGTCTGACCCGATACTAGATACAAACGAGTCAGAGCATTGAGCCAACAAGTAGTCAAACTTTGCCAACATAGAAAACAGGTAGTAGACAATGCTGCATACCAGCTGGCCATCTATGAAGTTGGCACGACAGACGATAGAAGCGATATAGCTTGCAGCCACCTTTCGGCGCACAGAATGAGCCTCTTCGTCGTAGAGGATCAGCAACAGCCGCTGGAGAAACAGATGCGTCCATTGGGTGCAAAACGATATGACGTACATGTAGACGAACTGCACGTATTTGCAGTTGTGTGTTGGCAAGATGATGTCCTCGAATATGTCAAAGAGCTCCGACATGATGATGTCGGAGACCATGGTGACGTTGTTGCCGTTATGCTCGGATTTCACCGCAGTGTTATCGCCTCCATCCACAAGAGCGGAGCGGGGTCGCCTCGCCTGATGACCTCCATCATCAAACTCCTGCTTAATACGGCCCACAGCTCCCATGTACGCCGTTGGTTCCGGCTGCGTAGCCTCCTCATCGGAGTCGCTTTCAGAGTCGGAAGAGGAAGAATGTGCCTGATCCTCCACATAGTTGCTGTCAGCGTCACTGGAGTGCAAGTGCGTGGTTCCATTTTCACTTGCAACGGTGTTCAAATTACTCATTAGCACATCATGTAGCTCGTCAAACACAACAGTCATCAAGCTGTCCAGCTTCTGGGTCATTTCGTCGAAGTCCTCGTCTGTACGGAAATCCTGCATCTGCCTTAACCACTCGCGGCAGTCAATCTGATTCTTGGCGTCGCCGACGTCGAGCTCGCCACTGCGCAACTTCTCAGCCATCTCCTTCAGCGAGTCGCTGCGCACCGACCCCATTTTCCCCTCGCAGAAGGACGTGGGGTCGGACACCTTGATCTCGGCGTCGATGATGGTCATCTTCTTGAAAAGCAGACGGTACACCACGCCACGAAGCGGGTGCACATTGCGCGCTATAATGAGCAGGCAGCGCGACACCGAAATGTGCTGCTCAATGCCCAAGTTGTAATGCGGGTAAACTAGTTCTAAGGAGTCGGCAACGGCGCCAACTACGCTCGGAAAGAGTCGGCACAGCTCAATGATCACTTGACACAAGTTTTCATGGTATCGAGCCGCCCTTGGTTTCACGTAATCTGCGCAGCGCGCGTAGCTGAAATCGACGCACTGCCCGTCCTTTCGACGGTAAAAGAAACAACGCAAACCATGGTATTTGGGATTCAAGTGCACCGATGGGAACACGCCATCTACGGCGTCCATCGCATTGCGGCATTGCGGATGGTTACGCAACACCGAAAGCAACAACGACAGATCGTCGCCCTCAAGGCAGACATCAGAGGGGCTATCTATCAGGATCTGGCGCAAGCACTTTTTCAGGTCCACCAAGCTGTCAAACACCCGACCGCAAAGGTCGATCTTAGCGCCATCCTCGCTGACGCAACGAAAGCGCAGCACTAACTCATGTACCACCGCAGTGACCAAAGTATTGTCCGCTACTACGAGGTCGACGAGCGCGTTCCTACAGTCGCGAACCTCCTGTTCTGTCGCCGAAGACCAACAAAACCCCTCAGAAAACAGTTTGAGGAACTGACTCAGAATCACCTCATCAATCGATTTCCTCGACACAATGTCGTAGAGTTGCCTGAGAGGCGTGCAACGGGATAATCCGGAACTAACCTCACGACCGCGTGATTGTCTTGCGTAGGCGACGGCTGCGGTGCGCCGGAGAGAGAACCCGGCGCACGCTGCAGCTTGAGCTTTCGCAGGTGCGATAAATAGGTCGCCATGAGAGCGCCGGATTAATGGGTGACCCCTTTATTAAAGCGAAGTTTGCAACGGCCGTGTGACCTTCTGCAATGCTGATCCATCGATATTTGTGAAATTGTAAGGAGCATTTTAAGTGGACAATTTATACCTCGGTATGGTGGCCGCTGTGAACAGCTGACTGAAGGCGCTGTCCTCCTTTCAGGACCGGTGGGTGGCTGCGTCGTGCTAGCCCTACCGTGGGCCACGCGGATAAGCGATTCAAGGGCATAAAATTAACGGATGCCGACAAATTTTCGGGTAGCTTCAAATTGTATATCGTCATACACACGAATAGTGAAGAGAAGTTGCTGATGAGCGCCTTCCGGTGTTACGGAAACGTCGTTTTTTTCGGACTAGGACACCCTCCATATCAGCTGCTGACTGAGCCAGCTAGCAACAAAATCACTATTTTCCTAACCTCAACGGCTTATTCGATCCATTGCATGTCTATTTAAATTGCTATGTGATGCACACTGCATCCAGGAATCAACAGCTCGACCCAGCGTGCCGTTCTATGGCGTAAAACGTTGACACAATATACGGTACACCGATACACCGCACAATAAAACTAGAGCCGCGGATACGATAGGCACGTAGCTGTCTAATGTGTGATGTTGTGAAGTGCATGGCCGATGCGTACTAGGCCTAACTCTAATGTTGCTCTCATTTCAATTCGTGCCATAAGGCACGCCGTCATAACGGAATAAGTCAACCTTCTAGCATGCTAGTCACCAAGAAATGGTGGCATTCTCGGGGGATTACAAGCGAATCAGTTAGCAACACCATCAATCCTTTCATGGCGTGCAGGTGAGGCTGCCATCCGATTCGTTGAGGAGTACAGCGACGAGGCGCTGCGAATTCTCTCCGAAAAGGAGATCATATCAACACAAAGTAGCGGGTAATTCGGTCCGTTCTGTGCTGTATACCGCTTTGCAGCCTGAATCGAGTATTAAATGGAGGCATCGCCACCCAGGAGGTGACGGAAATATTGGGGGAGAATCACATGCACAACGGGGAGGTATGACGTGTCTTATGCTGTGAAAACTGTACAGCTCATCATCCACATATTGGTGCACCAGCTGTATGTCGACAAGAACGCGGAGGCCGTGATGATTACGTCGAGTGGGTTGTGGTATCTCAGTAACAGCAATTTGCAGACGGGGTTCAGAACGATGACACGATATATCGCGTGGCACATCGCCATGTCGCAACCCGCCTCTCATCTGACGACGTTGACGAAATGGCATTCGACATCATGAAGCGTATTTTTATCGTACAGTGCCTCGACATCAGGGAGCTCATGGCAGCCTTGGAGGACGTGTCGAACGGAAAATACAAAAAGGCAGAACAAGCTGATGAATCACACCAATATATGGGTTATGTGTCATCTGGAAATGCAAGTGGTTTGTTTCGTAATACACCGCATTGAAAGCAAAATGCTTTGTAGCACCTTACATTGATGGACTTTGCCAGGATCGGGACACCTTTCACCCGGGCACGCAACCTAGCGCAAATCGCTGGGTGTCGCCTGGACGCCGTGCTTTCCGTGCTTCTGGAAAGAATTCTGCTACCCTGAAGACCATCGCAATACACATTCTGACGTCGATATTGGAAGACTCGCAGCAACGTGACGCATGGAGTAAGTCAGCCACTGCTGCAGAGATCATGCCTCAGAGTTCCTGCCGTCGTTGTGCAGGAAAATTCGCAGCACTGCACGACAGATGAACGTCGGCATTATCGTATCCAACATTCAAGACGAGGGGACTATGGGGCCCAACAATCCCGATGATGTGCCACGTCAGACGACCAAGCCACGTGACTTCACGCCAGAGGACGAGGAGCCCGACCGACAGAAGGCTAAGCGCGGCTGGTACATGTCGTCAGCCAGGTGGAATTCCACGGTGGATAAAAGGGTAAGGTGGACTTCGACAGGAATGTAATACTATATAGATTGAAGTTATGGTCCACAAATACGACCGGGACTCGGCCCGCTCTCGCTTCGCAGTCCACCTTACCAGGAGCAGGCTGTGCGCTACCGGCGCATCGTGCGAACTGGAACTATCACAGCACGGTATGCGCAGTCAAATCATTAACGCAAAATGTTGCCGCAGGTATCAGTGATCACCTCCCTGCAAAGGACTAGATGCTGACAAACGTCAGTGCGATATTGGCGTCCATGCTCCTGCAAAAACATATATCGCAAGTGATGCTTAAAACCCACCCGCTCTCATTGTATATTCCCCACTCCTCGTAAATGGGGAGAAAAAAGGTCTGCTTGGCTTTTAGTGGCCACGATATGCCAAGGCCGCGGATAGCGACGTCCTCTCCACAGTATAGATAGCCGCACTGCACAAGGTTACATGTAACTCTAAAAAACCTACAATGAAATTTCCATTCACGTTTCCCATGCTGACATGGCAGCCGATGGGAATTATGACGTTCGAGCTGCGGCACCTCGAGTTCATCACCAGCGGCTGGAAAAGCGAGCCGTGGTACATCTGGGTCTCCACTTCGTCGACGCGGAAGAATGATCTGTAAGAGATGTGTCGCCCGTTCTGCATTGCTATAGAATCCGAGGGCAACACATCCACGTTGGCCCTCTTGGAAGGGTTGAACACCAGCTCCTGGTAGAACTCAGATTGACGGCGGCTCTTCGGGCTCTCCTCCAAACCTAAGGACGACCCAGCGCTGTCCGACTTCAAAATCTCCAGGGCTTCAGATACCGTCATTTCACGAGTACGCTTCCTGCCGCCGGATTTCGGCTTGGCTGAGTTGCGCTTCGCTTTGCCCTTAGCCGGAGCGGTTCGTGATTCGGACGTAGCATTGGGTCCGATGTCACTATCACTGGTTGGCACTCTTGGGGTACGCCGCGACCTTTTTTTGCCAGCTGCAGGTTGCGTACTTGGCACGCTGTGTTCGATTAGAGCCAGCTCGTTTGACGTGGCGGTGTACGTGTTGTTTGCCATGCTCGGAAGCGCAAGGCGCCCCATCGGAGACGACTCAATCACTTGCATCTCCATCATGCCACTGGAGTCAGTCATCACCAGAGATGCCTCAGGCAAATTGTCGGGATGTACCCTGGCGGCGACCGGAGAACTTTCAAGAGCGACTACATCCTCATTGAATAAAACGACATCGCCAGATGCATGCTGAGCCTGCAAATTCAGCTTCTTGTCGTCGGAGGTCACGCCGATCAGGAACAACACCGATGATCCGTCTGGAGTCATGTTTGAATTCCAATGCTGCATCGGCGGCAAACGAGCGCGGCTCGGGTACCGACGGTTCCGATCAACGTACGGCTCGACGTGCTCATACCGCTTCTTGGTGGGTTTTTTGTGATCGTCCACATACGATATGTACCAGCTATTGAGCAGCATGGCGCTATTCACCGCCTTTCGTGGACGGCGCTCGCGTGGACGAGTTGGCTTCTTCGTAGTATCCGGACCCAGACGGCCAGCGGTGACACGGTCCGCAAGGCTGCTGTACTCATCCATGTCGAAGTCGTCATTGCCAACCCCGAGAGATGTGCGCATGGTCTCCAGCGCAAGCGTTTGCACTCCTTGGTCATGACGCCGGCGAGGCGCTGCAGCTGCAGTGTCAGCGATAGTTGGTGCTTGTTCCGGCTGCTGCTGGGGAGCGGCGGCAGTAGGGGGCTCCTCGACTGTGGTAGCAGGTAGAGAGAGAACCGCAGTTGATACCCTTTTTCTGCTTCTCTTACGGTTTCTGGTGGGCTCGTCAGCAACTACTGCTGGCTGCGAATCCGTAGGGCCAGAGACCTCCGAAGCCACCGTTGGGTCAGCATCACCCACATCTCCACCTAAGAAGTCGGTCGTGTGGCCGTTCATATAAGGCTGCATATCAAAACCGTCTCCAACCGGGTACGTATCTAGTGCTGCTGCATCGACGATTCTTAATCCCATGCCATATTCCCTCTCAGAGGTTATACTAATAGTTTCAGGCACATCTTCCACCGGCGCACGTTTACTGCGCGTGCCCTTCTTGGTCTTTCGTCTTGTGGTTGGGGCCGGGTTAACATTAGAAGACGTTGTACGTGGTATGATGGCGTTAATATTCCTTATAGCGGCAAGCGTCTCGGTGGCGGCGGTAGATATGTCATGGCCCACTTGTCCTTGCAAACCGCTGCTGTAGACGGCGCCGAACGAAGCGAACGGGGAATATCCTGTAGGCGAAGGCGGTGACAGGTTATTGCGGCCAGATATAGTTCGCTTGCCACGCGGTCTAGGGGAGGCAGTAATGACAGATTTCGCAAAAGACACGCTGCGAGGAGCCGGCGATCGCGAATGTACGGCTGGCGGAGAAACGCCATGATACGATGTGTCTACATTATCTTGAACGACTTCGTCAGCAATTCCTTCATCTTGAGGCATGTCTGCCGCTGAAACAACTCCTTCATATGCTTGCTGCCGCACCGAAGGTTCAGATGGTGAACGTATTGCTGAACGAGATGCAGACCGTATTGCCGAACGAGTTGCCGACCGCACCGAGGACGCTTCAGAATCAAAGTGTCGCTGATGCAAGACCGATGCTCCAGCTGATGGTCTTCCCGGCGAAGTGAAGGGCGCTGGACTTGCGATAAGGGAGGGACTAGCCTCACCAATGTACATGCCCCCCTCCTCATCCGACGATGAGATTCCATTGTCGAAAATGTCTTCTGCTGCCACCGAGCATGTTTCCTGGAGGTCTACCCAATCGTTGACATGCGTGAACACGTCATAAGGCATGTAGGATTGGAGAGTAGGGGTGCTGTTGCGACGCGCCACAACGTACAGCTTTAGGCTAGCGGATCCATCCTGCAGCAAGTCAAGCAGCGAACAGATGTAAACGTACATGCACAACTGAATCTGGATTCGCATACGCCTGGCAAAAATCGACGTTGTAGCGACGAACGGATGCCTGCTCCAGCCCCGCGTCCCGCATAGGCAGGAAGCGCTGGGCGCTGTACATTGCTGGAGGGAGAGACGACAGCAAAAATCTCTACACCTAGCGATTCACGGTACTAGTATCATCCTGGTTGTTGTATGGCCGCAACTGATAAGAACGGTGTCATTAGTAGACATCAGGGAGATTCGGCCTACACATTACACAGTAGCACCTTGTGCGATAGCGGTACGGCACCCCTTTATCGGACTACCGAAAATAGCTATTCAGGTACCACCGCGTTGTTCTAACCAGTAACAGCCATATGTGCGTGGTACTGGCGACTCGGGTGGTGTGCCGGACAGCAACAGCATCGGCAGTATTAAATGTGTAAATCCTTACACATCGCCAAAATGCGCCAAACACAATGAAATTACGAATGCGATTGTCTTAGTGAACTCGTTTGGCGAACGACGTATTGCGCAACGCCGCCAAACACAGTACCGTGATGATAAAAGCTGACGGCCGTACGTAGTAACTTGCGATTCCAACCTGCATAGGCAATATTGTTTGTAATCATCTCAAGTAGTAGTTGCGCAAATCTCTGATATATCAGGAAGTAATACGTTGTATAATGAAATCACTTTCAATGACAAGAGGCACATGATCGAACACTGAGTTTGTCTTGTTGGCAGTGCTGGGTTACTGCAAATACGAATACAGACCTTCACATGGTGGTTGTGAAGGCGCTCTAAAGTTTTATATGTAGACGAACCGTGTAATGATGATGCCTCCCAACGCTATTGGTCCTTCGGCAGTTGTACGAAGCCTTCCTCTATCTCGTCGTGTATATTCACGCGGTTTATCACGGCGCGGAAATTGGCGCAAGTAGCAGGACTGCTACGTCGTTATAGAACTTACGCGGTAACTTACATGGTTTCGTTGAAATACGATGGAACGCAGTACCTGGGGAGCCCATCCAGATCCTGCATGAGCCTAATTTCTGCCGTGAAAACCTGAGAAAGGTTACTAAATGGCGTCACAACATACCATAGCGGTGACAGTAGCGTCAAACCCAGCCTCGTGTAAAAGATCCAAGCTGCTACGATCGGAGCCTTTCTGCATAGGCGGATTGGTGATCAGCGAGCCGTAATCCAACGCGCTTGCCGTATCGCCAATGCGTATAGTTTCTGAGAATTTGGCATTTTTGTCCAGCTCATGATACAAATGCTCCAGATTGAACATCCTACTGCGCGATGAATTAGACAATGTGAACGCATACCCATTGAAGCAGTATATTCCGTTACTATCCAGGTAAAGCGCTGTCGCCTTGGTGTCGTAAACTGCGGGTGCGAACCGCTTGCCAAACGAGCTGACAATTTCGCTGGCTGTTTCCGGCAACGGTCCGATCAACTTGTCGTATAAATGGAAAAGATCCAGCAAACCGTTGTGGACCACTAGTGGCTTCCCATACTGCGATATGGCTTCTAAGAACCGCTGGATGCCCCAACGGCACGCAATGCGCTGACGTTTAGTCTTTGTGTTGCCGTTGCCGAGCTCGTCTATTCGCTGGTATGCAACACTGCAAATCATTACGGACGGTGGTAGACAACCAGTACCCCTCATCGATCCAGCGCGCGAAATCGAATCCTTGCTGCTTCAACCACTTCACCGTGCCGCTGTTGAGGTGCATGTCAGTGTCCTGCGTGCAACCATGAAGCGAACGAGGAATGTGTGTAAGCGCTGTCGTACGCATTGGTGTAGGCAACTAACCTCTGCGGGGTACAGATAGAAGTTGTACGGATAAAGAGTCCACGACCCATCATTAGCTTCCGTGTCGTAGACGGCGATGCAGAAGCCGACTTGCACTGCAACAACGTTACTCCCGGCCGGGATCACAACGACGGCACAAATATAGACAGATGAGCCTCCTGGCCACCTACACACTGAGGAACTTACACAAAGAATAGGTAGCAGCGCCCTCACGTAGCAGCAACAGGTAATCGTCCAGCTTACTTATACCTTTCCTTTCTCCCGCCAAACCGCTCAACTCTGCAAATGTTGGTCACACCCTGAACGAAGCTTACCGCAGTCTGCTGTGACAAACGCAGCTTTGCACAGATGATTTGTGAATTCCTCGTACACAGAATTCAGCTTTTTCATCGTGTTTTAGAGTTGCTGAGCCGTTAGGCAGACGGTGATGCGAAATATGTCTGAAAATTTGAGTCCAGAATCGTGGGTGGCGGAAGGAAGCGCAAATGACGGATATGGCGTGTGTCAATTATGAAAAACGCATTGTTATGCGTTCAGTTTCCGTACGGCAGACGTTAGGTTTTAAAATAGTTTAATGTGTAATACTCCTGCGATGTGCTATCGCATCCGATGTCGTTTGATAAACCTACGGTGTTAGCACCAAGCAGGCAATTTGCAATTTATGTGTGCTCTAACTTATATGACAATACTTCAGAAGGCCTATAAAATGTGTCATAGGTGAAGATCTGTGGCAACGTAAGATGGAAGGCGGCCATTAACTCGCGCTACTGTCAGAGGGTTGTGTACAGAAATAACACTCAAAACGTTAAGGTGTGAACCACTGCTACTGCCACCTATATAATGCGTATTTGGCGGTTGCCTGACCACGCAGCGTGCAGAATCATGGATCTATCCACTAACGAATATTCCGCGACAGCCGCTATATTTTTTTTGCAAATAATTGTTCTACGTTGCACTGCCGGAACGAGCAAAGCGACAGCTATATTGCTGGAAGCTAACTACCTTTATTCTTATGAAAATGCATAAATGTGACACGGGAATTGACGCGTCGTTCCACTTAGACACGAAAGTTACGCGGAGACGAAGGTCGCCACGTTAACCCGTAAAAAATTGAAAAAGCGACATCTAAGCAGCAGCGCGTTATTTTCTCGCAGTTGCAATTTTCATGCTGCACATTGTTTTTAATTACACCGTACAAGTAGGCCCAGGCTACCAGCGACGGGCAGAGAGCCACTCAGGCTACACATCTATGAAATAGCTACCTAACGTAGTCTCAAACACCCATTTATAGCGCTGTATGGCTAGTCAAGCGCAGCAACACGGGGAAAATTGCGATACCGCTTGCAGCTCCCCACATGCCAGCTGTATCTACACCTGTCGCTCTGTCCCCATCCGAACCAGAAATTGTAAAGAGTAACTTGCCTTTGGTAGCAACTTTGACTCGCTACTTGTGTCTGCCGCAAAGGCGGTATATTTTTACATTATTTTCGCTGACACATCGCAGACAGGGCAAGTCTGTACGCCAACGCTGCTAGTTGCGACTACCAATGGATTTCAGCCTCGTCCGCGCTCAAAAGCCACATTTGCAATTTTCGCGCAATGTACAATATTGATGTGTTTATTTGAACTGTGGAAGGTTTAGATTTACGCGAGGCCACAGCGTGGAAAGCGCGGAAGCGAAGGAATCACCAAGACTTGAGCGCTGGCAGCGACCAAGTAACTCGTCCCTAAAACCATTATGGCGAATACCATAAGCTCGGTTGGGAGGAAGGAGGAATATTTTAGTGTCCGTCAGCGAAATGCGGACAATGAAGGCAATGCAGTAGACACCGGCTTCTTGGAGCTACCCCTAGGCCGTCACGAACAGAGTTTCGCGCCGTCTGAAAATACTATTATGACGTTTGACAGCTTGAATAGGTTGGAGTCCGACTTGACCCTAACACACTCCGACTACCTCGGTGCCTTCCACACCTTTGAGGCGCTAACGAGAGAACGATATGAAGACAAAATTACACACGGACACAACGATCTGCACGTATTCGAGCAGTACGGCCAATGTGACTCCTATTCGACCAGGTACTCGGATGCGGCATTCGACGCCGATCAGAAAAACAACAGCTCGATGATGCTGAAGTTCGACACACTCACGGAGTCCGTGCTGAAGCAGCTTGAGACACCCGTGTTGGAGCCAAAACCTGCAGTTCCTGCGGAGTCTAGTCTGTGTCGACTCGCAGACATGGACCCAAAGGTCCTGGAGAGGCTTTGCAACGCAGGGATAAATGTCCGCGCATTAGCGTCGCCACAGCTGACAAATAGTGCTGGTACATACGGAAGATACGGAGAAAACGGGAAATACGATATTGGCTCCAGTAGCACACAGAAGCAGACGTCAATCCCGCACCTGGACATCGTCTCCAATGACTTGGAGTGTACATACCACCATGAAGACAATATGTTAGACCCTAAAGGAAGCTTTGTAATCAACTATAAACTGTGTCGCACTGCCCGAAGGCGGACAAAGAAAGGCGAGGATTGTGAACAGCCCATACTCACACGGGGGCAGTCTGAAATATCTGCCATCAAGTATTTTGCCGCGAATGCCCACAAGGCACCCGCAAACAAGTGTAAGAGCATGTTAAAACCTGCGCATGCCACTGTCGCACCCAACTGGGTAAGAAACAGCATACTCGGCGACAAGGTCTCCGGAAACATAAGCGCTATTGCCAAGGACCAGGCCGGGTGTCGCATGTTACAGAAGCTGCTGGACTCGGATGACCAGGCGCTCATCAAATCGGTACTCGATGGAGTTTGTAAAAATCTTTATGAGCTAATGACGGATCCGTTCGGAAACTACCTCTGTCAGAAGCTAATGGCGGTATGCTGCGAGAACAGCTTGACAAAGATAATCGATTCCGCCGGTAAAAGCCTGATAGATATCGCCCTCAATATGCACGGCACCAGGGCGGTCCAAAAGCTGCTTGAGGTGTTAAGGTCACCCGAACACGTCAGGAAGGTGACGCATATACTCAGCGGAGGGGTGGTGCAGCTTGTCACCGATCTCAACGGCAACCATGTCATACAAAAGTGTCTGCTCGTTCTGAAAGCAGAGGATTGTGAGTTCATTTTCCAATCAGTGATCAAAAATTGTGTTTGTCTCGCCACACATAGGCACGGATGCTGCGTTATGCAGCGATGTATAGACGCCGCTAACGAGCGTCAACGGAAGCAACTTGTAGAGGTGATCACGACGAACGTGTTGCACCTTGTGGAAGATGCGTACGGAAACTACGTCGTACAATACACCCTTAGGCTTAAGGACAACGATATCAACTTGCGCATTGTGAAGGCCTTGGCGTCCAAGGCCACCTTGTTCGCGCAGCAAAAATTCAGCTCAAACGTCGTTGAAAGATGTCTCATCATATGTCCGCCTGATATCAGGAGCATACTCATCGATCGCTTCATCAAGGCGCCGTTCGAGGTGCTCAAGGAACTGATACTGCACCCCTTCGGCAACTATGTTATCCAACGGGTGCTCAATGTGGCACAGCCCAACGAGCTTGGAGCACTGCTCAACAGGATAAAGCCACACATCGACGAGCTAAAGAATGCCTCGTCAGGCAAAAGAATCGCGGCGAAAATCACGCGAAAGCACTACAACGAAGTAAATACGGCTCACAAGGAAACGAATCGCAGCGACCACCAAAAGCTAGATTTCGGCAAGGGCGCAAAGTCAAACGCCCACTCGGGCAGCCGGAGCAACAGGGACATAGCGGGAGACCTCTTGCGCAAGGTGCAACGCAGCACTGTGTACCGTGGCGCATCACCCAACAACATGAGCGAAAACGGTACACTGTTTCAACAATCACCTTTCAACATGAAAAGCAATGTCGTCGACGGACTGGGCTCACTGAGGATCTCAAGGGGCAGTAATTTCAACGCAAACGACAAGGTATATCAGGGGAAAACCGTGAGGACCAACAGCCTCGGGACTGACAACAGCAAATCGGGCGCAGCCTCGGTATCGCTGGATATGTTGGATTCGCTGTTCTCGCGGACGCTCACTATTGGCAGCGACCCATCGTCGCTTTCCCAGTACTTCAACGCCGGTTTCCCTGATGAAACCTCGCACAAGACATAGGCGCGTCATCAAGCTACACTGTAATATACATGTATACCTAGACCGACGCCGGCGGGTAAACGCACGCCCCACAAACACCCAAACGTCATTAATGTCACATGTACCGCACAACGCTATATCTTAGGCAGTGGGTTCCACACGGCCACCGTGTGGTCGTCCGAGACGCTGAACAGATAGCCGCCTGGGCGCGTGCTCCACGCTATGGCGTTCACCGTAGACGAGTGCGCCTGCAACACGGCAACCAGTGTGCCGAAGAGCTTGTTCCAAATGTAGATCTGTGCGTCCTCGCTGCCGTTGACGACGAAGCGCTCGTCGGGGCCGCCGAAGGCGCACCTCAGGATGAAACGGTCTTCCCGATGACCCCGGTACGTCTGTATCACGCGGCGCTCGTCGATGTCCCACAGGCGCATGACCGGATAGCGCCCCGCCACGCTCAGCAGCACCTGGTTGTACAGCGCGCTGCAGACCACCACGGTGACGTTGGCGTGCTCGGGCAACGGGGGCAACTCGCGCAACGTCGAAATGTCGATAATGTGGGTGAGGCGATCGGGCGAGGCGCCGATCGCCAGGGTTCCGTCCTTGTTGACGGCGATGGTGCGAATGCGGCAATCGACTCGGCAGCGACGCGCAGCCCTAACAGTATACCGCAATTCCGTGGAATCCGATGACTCCATACTTGACTCTCCGGATGCGCATGAATCTGCCGTTGACGCGGAAGCAGTGGTGGAGGGTTTCTCCACCTCGTAGAGGACCACCTGCCTTTCAACGCTGGATGCCAGAAAGGCGTGCCGGCCAGGGATCCAGCATGCGCATTGTTGTACGCCGTCTGAGGGTTCTACACCGCCGATGCACCACGCGTATTGCGGGGACCAGAGGAGGATAACACCGTCCTTGTCGATCGATGCGCACAGCTCGGAGTCCGACGACCAGCATACGCCATTGACGACAGCCTGGTGGTCGTTCCATTGATGGATGCGTTCGAATGGTTCGCTGGCATTCCAAAGGATCACGCTTTCGTCCTTGCCGCCGGTGAGGATGTAACGCCCGTTAGGGGACAGCGCGACGTCCCACACCTCGTCGGTGTGGCCCTCCAGTCGGGTGATGCACTGGGAAGGGGGCGCCACCTCGACGCACGCGTGGTCTTCGTAGAGCGACGGTGGTGCGGGGTCATCTACCGAGATCGCATGGTGAGGGCAGTATAGCTCCTGCAACTCCACAGCTTGGCGCAGAAGCGTCAGAAGTCGATTAGGAGGCACGCAGAGCTCAGGCGATATCAGGTGCTGTAACCTCATCCAGAGGTCTCCAAGTGAATTCGAGGCTTCCCAGCGAATCTCCGAACGTAAAGCCTCTTCGGGGGATGGGTAGGCGAGCAGACTGGCGCATGTCTGAACGCGGCGCTGGGTATCCTCGTCAAACGCCGAGGGGCAGAGGTCGTCTGAGATGACATGGATATGAAATCAACGAAAGACTTATTATATTGCACAAATAACACAGCAGATTAGTAGATCCATGAATAATGCAAAATAAGTATGAAGCAGGGTACAATCACGGATCTGGAAAACGTAGATAGAGAGGAGATGGAATTACAAAAGTAGACGCAATACAGTACATGAAAATAAGGCAATTACTTAGTATGAAACCAACCACGCAACACTCGTAATGCCTCGTCGAAATCTTGGCGGTGGAGTGCCATTGCGAAGTCCTGCTGCGAACACAAGAAAGAGCACGCCATCCGGATTTCCGGTGGTAGCTTCAACTGCGATAGAATGTTGCGCGCAGATTTCATGTTGCCGGCGCGAACTGCTTCCTCCAGCTCGGTCACGCGAGGACACTGGTACGTGCAGGAAGACTCACGTTCCAGTGTCTTCACTGTGTCGCTGTGAAAAGATTATCATCGATTATAACACATTTGCGACGAGCATGATCACATTCAACGTAATACGCACGTGTCACCAGACGGATTATAACAACTTTATCCATTGTCACAAAGACTATGTATAATCGACGTTGCAGGCATTCAGCGAACATACCTGTAGCCCATGTCCAGTAGGAGCTGCATCACGGTACGCAGCAGTTGCGATTTAGGGAACCCTTCCCAGACGGAAGTGTCTCCGGAGGTCGTCATCGTGGCCAATTAGCGTAAAAGTAACGCGGAATCTCTACACCAGGTCTGACTACACATCTGGATCCTCCCAAAAAGGTTAGCGCCGACGGATAATTCCGCAGCGTAACGAATGAAAGGTGTAAAATATTACTACAAAATTGCAGGATGTGTATGGTTGCGCCGCCCGATCCGTTATGGCGATCGCGACGTTGATACCTGTCTGACGAAGGAGGAATGGACTGACTTGTAGTTCTCAACAACACGTCTTTTGTGGACCGTGAAGCCTGATATACAGAACATCATTAGGCGGAAATATACGCATTACATGTGCTGTGTATCCCGGTGAATCTGCCTAATTGCGTGACACATCTGAGCGTTCCTTCCGAATGGAGATGTTATTGAGCTACATAGGACCATACGCGTAAATTAATCACGTCAATCGCATAAATATGATAACTTTTGGCGGCAGCGGCGCCAAGCGCGGATTGGCTGCCGGTGCCAGCACCGGGAGCGTGGCCAAGAGGCCTATGGGCGGCCTTCTGGCTGGCCGAGAAGGACCAACAGCGGCACATTCCAAGCACGGGATCGACAGCAATGCAGATTCTCAGCCACCAAAGGTACTACATTTTAGGAATGCAATGTATATGGACCGTTGCAGGTGGTCTACATCCCCAAGGCCCAGAGGGAGAAGCGGATGGAAGAGGAGGCAAAGAAAGCGGAGGAGGAGATGCGTCAACGCGAGGAGGCAATAAAAAAGGCGCGAATGGAGTACATAAAGCAGGCGGTTAGTTGAATTGGTGTTATAGACGCTGACACTTTTATTAGGAATCGAACAGGGAGTCCGAACGCCGGGATAGACACAAACGAAGGGAAATAGAACGTATACGAGAAGGGGATAGCAAGACTAGATCTGAGACTAGTGAAAGGGGTGCATCGAAAACAAACGCTCATAATCTAGCCAACAGCGACCTGGCAGGGCTCAACTTGCTCTCGTTGCCAGAGGCAGAAGTCCGGCCGCGACTCATTGAAAAGGAATTGGAGCAAATTCGGCAGCACTACCTAGGCATCAAACAGGAGAAGAAGAAAGTTAAAAAACCGTCGGAAAAGTTCAAAACCGTTTTCACCTTCGAATGGGACAACTCCGAGGACACATCAGTGAACGACAACAATCCTATTTACCAAAACAGACCGGAGCCCCAGCTGCTCTTCGGCAGAGGTTGCAGGGCGGGAATAGATGTGGTAGAGCAACGCAAGGGGAGCAATTTCTACGATGAGCTATCAAAGCGCCGCGGCGCCAGTTTGACCGGAAGCGACTCTGGACGTTCGGCGTCGCATTCGGTGCACTCAGCTGACCCAAGTGGGCGGACTAGGAGATCGAAGGATGGACGAGCTGACGATGATTCAAGGGATGAAGAGGGTCTTGATACCCATTGGTCGTCGAAGAAGCGCGAACAAATGACAGATCGCGACTGGCGCATTGTCCGTGAAGACTTTGACATATCCATCAAGGGAAGCCGCGTACCGCCTCCGATACGCACATGGTCCGAATCCGATCTTCCATGGGAGATTCTGCAGGCGATCAAGAAGGCGGGATTCTCCTCACCCACGCCGATCCAAATGCAGGCCATACCCGTTGGTCTGCAGATGAGAGACCTCATAGGTATCGCGGAGACGGGGTCAGGAAAAACGCTGGCTTTCGTTCTCCCGATGATAACGTACGTAAAATCATTGCCGCTGTTGAATGAGGAAACGGCGCGAGACGGACCGTATTCCCTAACCATGGCGCCTACCCGAGAACTGGCGCAGCAAATACACCAGGAGGCTGTCAAATTCTCCGCGCTATGCAAGACTCGCGCGGTTCTGGTCGTAGGAGGGCACAGCATCGAGCAACAGGGGTTCGAATTACGCAACGGAGCGGAAATTATCATCGGCACGCCGGGCCGCATTAAGGACTGCCTGGACAGGTCCTACACAGTACTATCGCAATGCAACTACGTCATTCTCGATGAGGCGGATCGTATGATCGATATGGGTTTCGAGGACATCGTCAACGACATCCTTGACTGCATACCAACATCCAATCTCAGGGACTACGACGAGGACGTTGCCCTCCAAGAGGTATGTGCACGGATACGTTGTCCCAGCTCCATATGTTTTTAGGAACTTAAAGCCAAGGCTGGGTACCGCAGGTACCGTATTACGCAGATGTTCTCAGCTACCATGCCGCCGGCTGTGGAAAAATTGACCAAAAAATATCTTCGGTCGCCTGTATTCGTGGCCATAGGTGACATCGGAAGCGGTAAAAAATCCATCACCCAACGCCTCGAGTTTATAACCGAAGCGCGCAAAAAACAGAAACTAGGAGATATTCTCGAGGGGCTGGAAGGACCAATCATAGTGTTCGTCAACATGAAGAAGGTTGCCGATGTAGTGGCCAGGCACATAGTGAACATGGGCTACAGGTCGGTCGAGCAACGCAAATTTATAACAGACGCAGGGCGATAGCGCTACACGGAGGCAAAAACCAGGACATCCGCGAGGGGGCGATTGAAAGCTTTAAAACGGGAGAGTACGACATACTAGTGGCAACAGACGTCATCGGCCGTGGCCTTGACGTCAAAGGCGTGACTGCAGTGATCAACTTTGATATGCCCAAGGACATACAGACATACACGCATAGAATAGGTAAGCTTAACGTACAAACGCCGCTTGCATGTGATTACAGGACGTACTGGCAGGGCCGGCGCCAAGGGACTGGCTGTCTCACTCGTTACCGAGGAGGACTCCGCAATATTCTACGACCTCAAGCAACAGCTGATCACCACTGAGAACAACGTACCACCGGAACTAGAGCATCACCCGGCAACGAACACGAAACCGGCTTCGGCAAATCAACCGACAACGGATTGATGTACCGTGGAGAAAGGCTGGGTGATTGCGTGATGCGGCAAACCGCAACGGACAGTTGGAAATGAATCCATATGGTGCCACTCTTGTAAATAACACCGTTTTAGTTTTATAAGGTGGCGTTGTCGATTCCTAGCAGCTTCTAGGACATTATAGGTCAACACACAACGCCCACTGTTAAGTGGCAATTTTCGTTCGCACAGGAAGCAAAAAGTGCCCATTCTTCACAAATTCGATGAATACAATTGGTTATGCGTAGCGAAACGCGCCGCCAAAATAAGCCGGTTAAATATGGATGCGATTTAAAACCTCCATAGTCATACATTATATTATACACATCAGACACACGTCTGTACCGAAGGTACTACACGAATAACACATACATCGTCAAATACTAGCAGATAAACCAATGAATGTGTTACATAAGTCGGCCTAGGTTCGCTCCTCCTCGGCACGGCGGCCGCACCCCATTTCAGGCCGGCGACTAAAGCTGTCCACAGCCTCGAATGCGGTTCACCATACAGATTTCTTTTATAATATAAATTCATGTTTTGCTGAACTACTTGGTCCGTTGCGACAAGAAGGTGGGTTTTGCGTTAATGTTGCCTAGTGGGCGGACGACCGAGTGGGTTGCGCGCTCTCAGCTCTTTCTACCGCTTGCCGCGCCCAGTTTGTGTCATGAAATGTGTATATATTTTATGTGAACTAAGATTAAAGCGGTGGTGCGAACGCAACGTGACAGTCTCGTTTGACCGTGTAGTGTGATGTTGCCTTCTTTACTTAGTGCTGTGCGTCACTCCTCTACGGATTAAGTTTCCTCTATTGTCGGTTGTTTGGCTCAACATTTTTACAGGTTCAGCGTATAGGATAGGCTCCTAACGTATCGGTACTCGTTCATCAGTGAACACCACACAAGATGGCGTCCAACGACCAGTTCTCCATTCGCGTGAAGAAATTCATGACGAACCCCCTGCTCTCCCGCAAGCAGTTCTGCCTAGATGTCCTTCACCCAGGCAGGGCCAACGTCTCCAAGAGTGACCTCAGGGACCGTATCGCGAAGCAGTTCAAAATCAAGGACCCCAAGACCATGGTCCTCTTCGGGTTCAAGACGTACTTCGGAGGCGGCATGAGCTCGGGCTACTGCCTGATCTACGACACGGTCGCCAACCTTAAGAAGTACGAGCGCCAGTACCGCCAGGTGCGCCTCGGCCTTGAGGAGGCACCAAAGGAGATGGGTCGCCGCGCCAAGAAGGAACTCAAGAACAGACGCAAGAAGGTTAGGGGCAAGGAGAAGGCTAAATGCACAGCCGGAAAGAAGAAGTGATCTCAAGATTCTGTTTGCCTGTGTGAACAGCGTTTTAATCTTGGAGCCAATTGCTAACTATGAATACCTAACAAGTAGTTGCATGAGACTTGAGTTCCCTTGTTGGTTAGGGGATCGGTTTACAGGTTCCCTCATTTTGGAGCTTTGTATGATCAGGCCCATTCCATCCATGCAGAGTACATTTATATGTAGAACATGGCTTGACGATGCCGGGCGTTGGAAATGCATGATGCTCTGGACGCTGTATGAGGTGCCGTATACTTGTACGATGGTTGCCACCATCGGTTTCATGAGTTATTATTGTAACTCACGTGGTCATTTTCAATATGTATACGACTTCCTGCTGATGATGTTTAAGGCGGTGCCCCTTATGACCATTTGCTGAGATTTTGTAATATCTGATCATACCTCCAAAAGCGAACATGTGAGTAAAACGGCGGCTTTGTGGTGTGGCATATAGGAGCAAAATGTTATCACAAGAACGTCACAGACTGATAGTGCGGGTGGCATGAAGAGACGTACCATGAACGGATATTCCCGTGTTGCAAGGCACAGGCGTCACTTCGTTAAGGATGTGATGTTTGTTCGTACGGAAATATATTCAACAGCAATTTACCCGCGTAGTCATCAATTAGTACGTGTAACGAGCGACCAGAAGCATGACCATGAAACAACATGATGAGGGGGAAAAAGACGATGCGGCACCGGTGACGTGGTCACATGAATACAGCAATCAGCCGAGAGATTAGAGATGCCATTGGATATTTTTACACATGGTATATTGCGATATTGATATTGTGTTGAATGGCGTAGTCCGACTATAAGTGATTCCAGAAGAGGAATCATGTGCGGATGTACGCTGCCGTCACATGTTTAACACTGTGGACTTAGTTGGATCATAGAAATTTACTAAGTTGGTAGCGGAGAATGTCTCGGGTGGTGTATAAATCTCCACTTCCGGCTTTTTAGTTAACGGCTCCATATTAACGCCAAAGTCTACACCTGGTATGGGATATGATCTCAGTTTATTGGCAGACACCGATTCACAGCTGAAGAAATTGCATAGTTTCCTGATAGGCTCCCGATATATATCAAACAACATGATTGTAATTACAACCACGATGACGACAATAACCAAGAGTGCAAGGCAGCGAAGCGCGACTTCTGCATTAGGCTGATCACCCATCTTGGCGCGATCTAATCAACCAACCGTGCATAACGACAAACAACGTACCTTATGTGTCTATCATATTGAAGAAGCGGTGTTCGTAGGAGTTTAGGTCGACACATCAAGTTTGCAATGTATGCTGTGCTGGGGTGACCGTGATTCCATATCTACCAACGGTGACATACCATGGATATCCCAGAATACTGCGTGTATCGGCAAGGATCTTTGCAAGCGTATTGCAAATTACACGAAAACCTACTATATATGATCCAATGACGCTGTCGCAGATGCACTCTGTGTGGGCTACGCTACCTTCCTGCTGTCTCCACGGGAAACGGCACCACTGCTCTAGCATCTATGTTGTTTGTTTGGGACTGTGGATTGTGAGGTAGATGACAATTACAATAGCTCCTAAATTCTCATCGACGCTTCATCCGGGTTCCATGCCGTCCTACCGTCATAAAGTTTCATTATTTTACCGCATCACGCCCTTACGCACACATCTACACATCCTTGCGTGATCCGTTTAATACTCGTCATCCTATTCTATCACCTAACGGATAATTCAATACCTAACTCAGTATGATGCCTCTTAGCTGCCGAAATGGGCGACCTAACACCCACATTGTCTGCCTCCCCAAACGATGGCTACCCTCACAACATCCCCAATGCAACAAAAAAGTTGATACTACATTATGCATTAAGTGGTTTGTTATATGTGGTATTCTACGCCGAACAGATTGTCGGAGAGGTCAGCAGACGAGGCCATAGGCAGCTATTTAGCCGTTGCGCATAAATTCATATTGCATGCTGGGAATGCTGGAAAACGTTGTTATAAAGTATGCCTACCAAACTAACATTGAAGCAAAAACAAATCAATAAAAGGCTAATTTCTGCTTTCTCAGTTACAACATTGATGGCCAAAATTCCATTATCGCATTAGGTAAAACCACTGACACAGCACTGCTGACAGTGGCACCCTGCACATGAACGAATCCCTTGAGATGTACGCATCACTCGACGAATAACCTCGCGCAACAGCGAACGACTCAGCTGATGTCGCATGTCACGGCTGGGAGTGCCCACAATTGGCCCTGCGATGTGTGTCAGGGAACGTCCATTGCCCTCTTAGTAGGCCTAAGATGATGCCACACGACATCGTTGGTTACCGTGGGTACACCCTCCAAGTGTCCGACGGTCATTTTGCCAGGCAACCGCATGTGAACATGGGCATACGCGGTACCGCACCAGGGGTGCATCTCGTTGGCCGTAATGTATTCTCAAGAGTGCTGTGTTTGTAAGATATCCAGCATATTGATTAGAACGCGTTTGTGAGGATAAAATCATCGCGCTGGCTTCACTTCAGATCTTGAAGTGATTGTCCATGGGGATGTCCACGATGTAGTAGTTTATCACGCTGCAGACGTACTGGTTAATAGCCATGTTTACCTTGTTCATGTATTCGCACCGTGTTAATCAGTAACTCAAATCTCCTGCATATCTCGTTCTCGATCACGCCAAACATGTAGATGCTCGTCCGTGAGTTTGCATCCTCCGTGGTCCGGGTTATGCCCAGAGTGTGTTTGGATCTTTGACGAAGGCCTTGAGATCATCAATATAGCGCATATGCTTGGGGTTGAAGATTAGATACCGCCAGTACATCCAGCTCTATCGTGGTGTAGAGGTGATTCACCTCACTGCTCAGGGTGTCCATGCACAGCATCATGTGTGCATGATATACGTTCATAGTCGTTCATGTGTTTCTGAGGAATTGAAAAATACAGATGATACACGGTTTTTGTGTACCTAAGATATTAGTGCTCGCATGGGCCAGATATCTCCTTTTCGGCGCCTTGCATTTTAGCTACTGAGCACATACACGTGGTCTGCGTGACCAGCCAATGCGACAACTGGGACGGATCTGAGCGTATCCGTCGCTTTTAGAGGCATTTATGTGACGAAAATACACCTTTATCCTAATTTAGATTCGAATTTTTAACGATGTCTTCATCGCACACCTCGACATCTTGCTGTGTAGTCACAAGCACAGTACACATCTACTACATTGGCATTTCCCTAACGATTCTCCTAATCTCAATCAACGAAGCTTGCACTTAGCGTATGCCGCAGGCAGGTATCTGTGGCCTCTAAATTTGGAGAGGAGGCCAGAATCGTCAATTTCACTGTAATCAGCCCAAAATGCATCTACCGATTTTTTTGATTTCCAGTAACCGTACATTATCATTTCCGCAATCATTGTGAAAAACCTCATGAATCCTGCCGAGCACCTATTCAGCCATCCATATACGAACGCAGCGAAAAATAAGGCGAAAAAGAAAGTCATAATCAACATCATTGGAATAACATATGATATCCACACGTGCCACATAACCGTCTGAATGACGCTGTCCACAAGCTCCTGCACACTTGGTGTCTCCAGCGCATCTTTGATAGTTGCTACGTCGAGGCCCTCCAAGGCACTGTCTGCCAAATTCCCGATGCCCCTAGTTGCAGCCCCCGAGAAAGTTGTTCGGGCCGCCTTTATCCCCGCCGTAACAAACCCAGATATTCTATCAAACAAACCCATCTTGATCGCTTATCTTGTTTACCGAATTAAGGGTGGATGAGGCAAGAATAACCTGGAGAGTAGGACGTCAGTTATCTTCGATAAACGCTGACAAACATGTCTTATACGTTGTATTATATATGACTACAAACGCAAGGATTCCGAAACACAGCAATGAAAAGTAGAAGGCGATGTATAAAGAGTCAATGTCGAAAGGAGTCTCACGGTAACACAGGCACGAATAAACAGAAATAAATGTAATAATAAAAACGTCACACGATGTCAAAAATAATAACGTTATTTATGAAGACGGAAACTGGGCGATGACGGTAGGAATCCGAGACATACGGGCGTGGCCGGTGGCAAAGCTACGCGATGTCGGAATCCTAAAGGCGCACACAACCTTGCATGCGAAGTAAAAAGCGGCTCCGCTTGTAAAAAAACTGAAACCAGGCCGTAAATAACGAGCAACCACGGTACCCTCGACGCTTGAGTACAAGGGCCTACACCGTCCCGTGCGATACATCGGAGAGCGGCATAATAAGTGCCTGCCAGAGTCCCACTGCGCGATTTCCACCTTCCACACACATAAATAGTTCGCACAATAATAGTATGTAGACATGATGACTTGCACCTTTCACTGATAAATGTGCCTACACCGGTCGCCATGGCCGCCGTGTACGTTTAGCCGGTTACAGACATCGGGGAGGGCGCCGTTATCTTCCAGACAAAACACGGTTGCAACAGCCTATTTGCACACGGAACAGGCGTCATAACTGGCTGGAGATAAGCATTTTTTTACAATAATGCCCAGCTAGCGGGAATAGACGTCATGCACATCCGGATGTTGGTGCTTCTTCCTAACCAGACAGCCCATAAGCAGATGTAGCAGTAGCAGCATTGACATGAACGTCTTTGGTAGTTTAGTTACTGCCCATCAACCAGTATACCTGCAGCGTGCTAAACTACTACAAAGTGAACATACCCGAGAATAGTCGCTTCTAGAAGACCGGCTTGTAAGCATTATCCTAAAGGGTCCGAAGAACAAGCAGTAGAATTCAATAGTGTAATGACGAAAGAACGGAATGCAACATCCAATATAGTTATCACGAACCAAGAACCTGAGGAATAAGGGGGCGTACAAGAGGAACCTGTAATATGACCTGATGGCGGATGTAAGGAAATAATTTTCATTCAACACACGAAGTCCAAGGTTGTGAATAATCTGATTACCTGGGAAAACATTCTAGCCATACCGCGTAATAGCTGTGGGGGCAATTTGATTAAACATATATCTGTGATGGTAAAATAAGATACATAGACCATTGGTACTCAGTTACGTATTTCCACCGCGAGTGTATTAATGTCATTCCCACAAACCGGCATACTTGCCGTCCGAGGGCAATGTGTCACTTCGTACAGGGTGTGCCTCAACCTGTTGAGGAGATGTTATTTTTACGATCGGTGGGCGGGGCCTTAGACACTTATCCGCTTATCGCGTACCATTGAAATAGAAACGGGCGACAGATCGTCTTGCCTTGATATCTATCGCACTGGAATCGTATCACATGTTGACGTGGCGCACTATCTGCCACTACGATGTCCATGGTCATTACCGTACTGTTATGTGTCGTACGGACGTACACCATAGTCATGAAATACCATTATGCAGTTTGCATTGAATGGTGCATATTGAAGCATCTGACTCTCACGAAACTACATCAGCGATGTCACCCATGGCGGAGGTGGAGCCTTCGGGATGTTGGTGAGCACGATACCAACCAGAGTGCCGTGATAATTCCTTCACGTGATCATCAATTGCGTCAATTCCTCGGCATCATACAGAATCTCTCATTAAAATGCCCCTGCAGTTCATATAGATGTTCAAACAGTTACTAACATGTCACCTTTTGACCCAATAGATGAGTCAGTACCATAGAAAGAATGGCGCTAATCAGGTATTCGCAGATTACCATCCACCGTGCGGCAAAACATTTTAAATAGCAAACTCTCTTACTACATCACCTTCTAATTCCACGTTACGTGTGCTACGTGAGTCGTTACTGCAAGGATGCGTAAAACATGGGTTAAGGGTGCAATTGTGTTGAGGTAGTTTTCCTTAACGTCGTATCATCGTATTTCCTCACGAAAGACTAGGCACAGGGAGTGCCCGTGTCACCACGTCGATGTAATGGTTCTCTCTGTACTAAAACTCTTTAGAATCGCCATGAGTCTTGAGGCGGAAGCTGATCCTTACCATGGCGAGTGTCTTAATTACCATCTCCTTCCGTATTCGTAACACCTTGAATATCTGTATTGCGGTTAATATCTGTATCGCCTGCAGTATTCTTATGGCCTTGACTATCCACTGCGTTGCGGCGCCTAGGATCTGCACCATCGATAAGATGTTCGATCCTGTCGATGGAGGGCTCGATACTATCAATGATAGACTTGATACCATCGTTGATACGCTCCATGATCGGTTCAATACGTTTGATGATATGCTCAATACGATCCACAATATAGTTGATGGGCTCCGCACGATCCCTTACAGTATCGATACAATCGATGATATAATCCATACGATCGATGATACGATCCATAATGTGGTTGATAGGCTCGATATGATTGATGACGGGCTCGATACTATCAATGATAGACTGGATACGTCTGTTCACACGTTTCATACGATAAAATCTACAGTTGATAAGCCCCACACGATCCATTATAGGTTCCATACGATTCTTGATATGCTCCATACGATCTATGATTGGCTCTACACTATCGCTGATAGGCTTGATATGATTGATGATACGCTCCATACTATCAATACGTTTGATGATATGCCCCATACGTTTGTTGAGACGCATCATACTATCGACAATACCATCTCTACATTCTTCAAAATACGTATCCTCTTCAATATCTGTATCGGCATAATAGATGAAACGTTCAATAACATCGTTGACGGGCTTCATACGGTCCAAGGTACGCTCCATACGATCCATTATGAGCTTCATACGATCGGCATCTGCTTTAATAGCCGTATCTCCATTACTGGCTGTATCGTCGTTAGTAGCTGTTTCTTTAATACGCCTACGCTTGGTACAGTAGATTATATAAGTGATGATACAGCAGATGGTACCAATGATGAATACAAATTATTAAAAGGATGGATGTAAAGTTGGTGCTACGGATCTTATCGACGACACTATCGCTATGGTCTTTACTATTCACTTCACCTGTATTATCCGTGCCGCCTTCACTCTCCTTATGTTGTTCACTATCTTCATAGCCTTCACTCTTCACCTCACCTTCAATATGCATATCTCCTTTTATATCCGCTTCATCCCGTTTGCTATCTTCATCAGCTTTACTATCCGCCTCATTACTAGACCCACGAAGGATAGAAGCGGCAAGACCGGTAACAGAGCTATCAATGTTAATGGATGTCACTTCTATATTATCTATAACTCCCTTACTATCTATAACGTCTCCAGCGGCTGCTACGCCGATAAGAACGCTACCGAACGGTGACATTCCTCCTAGAACATCCGACTTCGTGCGCCTCAAAACCACGGCAATGAAAAGAAGAACCAGTAAATTCCTTATAGACAACCTAATCGACCACTTCTGCGACACCTTCGTCTCCCTTAGCGTGTCCTGTTGCCTATCCTGTTCCCAGCTAGTAGAAACAGACTTCTCCAGATTGGTTGGCCGTTCCTCCTTCGCAAACCCATCCATATCGCGCACAACTCTGCGGCCAGCCGTTGTCGAAAATGCTTAGCAGCGTGCGTTAAGAGCAAACACACCCATTAAAATAGAGCAACACGCCCAGACTACCGTCCAGGTGTGCTATAGCAGGAGTGGTTCGAGATCTCGCAACTCTGACACACCATTAATATAAACAGCTGACACGTGCATTGATATGTTAGTGTGGCAGCAAAATTTGAATCATGTTACTCTCACCTTCGTTTGATCCGAAAAGAGTGTCAATACACACTCACACTGCTACTGTGCACACGCGCTCCGCAAAGCTTTCGGGGTGACAAATAGGTGGGTAACTAAGTTTGCGGGGCGCCCCACGAAGTGGGTCCAGGGCAGGGGCCTAGGCCGGGGGTACGACTTCAATGCTCACTACAATGTTGACCATAGGTGCAACTGAACTGCGGCGTACACTTAGAAATGACTGTAGATTCATAGAATGTCGCAGGTAAATATCAACTAACATCCTTCAGTTACTCACCCGGCGGATGACCCAACATCCCTCCCATGGTGCTGGCTTTGGGTTACCTACTCGATGTCAGTCCTCTGTTGCCATTGGACGGCACTGCTGAATATTATCACTAAGCCACTGTGACTAGACGAAGCTGTGGAACCACATTACATATTAATTTGCTGGTTGGGTGGAGAGGTGAGATTACATGAGGCGGTAGAGAAGCTCGCACCATCCTCATCAATTACACCCCGTATTGCGTGCATCGAGATGTGGGAAGACATGAACACGAGTGTGCAAGTCGATGTGGAAAATGACGGGCAACAATAATGCGAGAACCTGCGGACACAGTTATTGTTGACCTTCACATGTACACTTCCAACAAGGCATCGTGCGTCATCAGGGATTAATGGAAGCCAAACATTGGCATCACATCTGACAAGGATACAGTGGTGCGGTGGCGTGGGTAAGGATACGAGATGTAATAGCAAAACCAGCAACTCTGCGCGTGGACGAACAACCTACCCAGTGGAATACAGCGATGAGACGATACATCTTTAAATACATTTTCTAACCAGCATTATGTGGTGATTCAGTTGTTAGCACAAATCCATTGCTAACGACGCTCGGCATAGTAGACGAACATCGATCCATGCCTCATATCCGGTTCGATCAGGATACGACGCCAACATATCCTGGGAAGCAATTCATATGCAACCTCTTATTGAGGAATTTCTTGGAAAGAAGACGAATGGTTTTTATGATCGATATTATTTTGTAACACCAAGCTAATGCGATACCGCGAATAATTTCCGCCTGCAGTGCCGCACCTTGAGCACTATGAGTAAGCAGAAAAACCCCAGTATGTGGGCCATGAAGAGTAGCATTGTAAGGAAATCCATGGGCTTTTCGCGTATTCTCTCCACGAAGTGTTGCGGGGTCCACCTATAACCTGGAGGAGCTGCAACCCTTTGGACGTTCCTCATTGCGATATAAACAGTCCAGTAGCTCGAGTTAGTTCAGACGTGCACGGCGCTGTTGAGTTCTAGATAATCGCGAGCGTACTTTTTGAGCTTTGTCTTCGCCAGGATGCTGAACTGCTTGGAAGCTTGTATAGTGTTCAGAATGATTTCTTCGACTGACTTAATAGCGTGTTTAGACTTAAGATCGAGATATATGATCTGTAATCGCTTGAACTCAATGCGTGCTGGCTCACCTCTTCCTTGGACACGGAAGCAGCAAGGGTCAGTTCCATAATAGAGGCATTCAATTCCAGCTGATTGGGATCTGCAGCAAGTTTATTACACATCAATTCTACTACCTATTAGCAGCTGTCTATTGAGCATGGCTGCCGTGCAGGCTACAATGAGATCCCTCATCGCTATTCCCGCGTGTACCAGCGCGACTAGCACGGCGTTGATGACAGTCGCTTTGACGCCTGCAGAGCTTACACATATAAATTTTGGCACATACCACCATCGTTTTCTAGAACGTTGACGAAGATGTGTATGACCGAGTTTTTGTAGAAGTGTGATAAGACGATCCTCTCAAAAGTTGCAATCACGGTTTGTGCGATGTCGGCAGATTGGTGATCCATTTTATTGCCCGTGGCCCTTTTTTCGCAGGGCATTACCACCTCGCATTGTATTTCTACCGGGCTGTCTGATGCTTCGAGTTGACTCCGTTGTTTGTTCCGTCCTACCTGTACATCCCTTGTGCAATCTGGACGCATTAACTTACATCAGTCGGCCCTTTGACAAAAGCCTGAGCCTTAGTCAGTCCCTGCGTAACCTGGGAGACTCCGTCGTAGTTGCTGACGTCCACCCCGCATTCCGGGCCGCAGAGTATTTCGATATTGCGCACCTCCGCGGGTCTTCTCCCGTCAACCCTCAATCCTTCTACACTTATATACTCTATTTTTGCCATGTTGAGGCATATAGTGTGCACGGCGCAAAGTCAGCGGCCCTAGGTGATGCCTATGGTATTGTCGCGCGTTCGATATCTCCTTCGACCTTTGCTGCTATTTAACCTGACGCACAACATTAGGTTTAAAAGTTGTCTATCCTGATTTTGACTATTTTAAACACGTGATGGCAATGTGCATTCTCTCAGGCTGGAATAGGCAACTCCGGATCAAAATTTTCATAATGATCGTTTGCTGCGAACCAACCTTCCACATGTTGTATTGCTATACGCAAAGTGTGTATAATGAAAAATATATTAAAATGTTTTTTAGCTGGTGGCATCGCGCTGCGATCGCCGTTTTGCCGCTAGTATATAAAATGTGCTGCAGATTTCGCAGTTAAAATTTCCTCCGGTGCCCTGACTAAGGAACCCGGGATGGCAAAGTTTACCGATAGCGATATTTCCATTTTGTAACCTTGCACGAGAGCACTGTGCAATACTCCTTGCTGCGTTTGGTCAGTTTGCAATGTTTGTGCTTTATACCGTGGACAACAGTTTCAAACGTGTCAATTACCCTCACGTTAAAAGTCGTGAATCCGTGTATATTACATGGGGCAAACAGTTTTGTAGACATCACAAACCATGCCGCTTTACATGAAGGTCACGTCTGCCCATCTTTGAGGCGCTTCTGTAATTCCCCGATTTTAGTATCCACCTTCGTGGTATGATGAGCGCATATTTTAGGGTGCCGGCGCTGCCGGAACACCCCCCTTGGTCGCTTTGGCTTCACCGTTGTGTGGCTTTGTTACCTCATTCGGTTTCTTCACTTTATTTTTCGGCTCCTTCACCTCCCCGCTCGGCTTCGCAGCTTCCTCTTCTCGCTTGGGGCTTCTCAAGTATGGAGCGTCATCATCGTCATCGTTATTTCTGCACTTTTTCATTTGTTCCTCTTTACTTCTGCGAATGCAACCCGCCACAGCATCAACGATTGATTCACTTATCCGTATTATGAAGGTTGACAAACAACCTCCTACAAAACCGCCCAATAGCTCCGCACCTACATTGCTCATTCCCACTGTTGCAGCGGTGCTAAACGTTTCTGCAATACCATTTAAATTTCCGTTTACTCCAGCAACGTTATTCGCATTTGTGTTCGCTACAGCAATGCTGTTAGCGTTAATTGGGACCGCATGTCCCAAATTATTGCAGTGTACCAACTTTATGTATGTATGCCCGAGGGCAATCAATGCGATGAGCGATGACGCATTGACTTTCATTTCTTATTGAAAGATTTATTGGCCTTTGGGAAAGGAAGGGATGGTATATGACCGTGCTTTAAGACTTTTTGTTACTATAAACCAGCGCAGATAATGCGCCACTCAATAAATGTGGTCAGGCCGGCCAGATGTCAACATTAAGACAGTACTCGTACAGGTGGCGGATGTTGCCGCGGACGCCAGTATTGGCAGAAGCGTTACGTAGGATTCATCGGTATCGTTGGCATAGTCTTCGCCGAATAAAATTTTTGTTCGTATTTCCTAGGGATTATAGTGCTTCGACGACGGTTTTTCCAACATCTACGTTACGGTTATGGTGGGAGCCCCGCATCTGGATATCGTTGTTACACACGGTTCGCATCGTGTGTACGCCACAGCCCAGCATGCTAATAACTGTACGTTTTGATGCATTGCAACGGAGTAGCGCAATGGTGATGCCTTGAACGGTATAGAAGCGTAGGATAGATACACATTTCACGTGCTGCCTTAGCTAATACCTATGGGCTGTCTTCTAGGATCTGACATTCCATATGCCATTATGTTATTGTGTACAATACTCAATGTTGCTTAAATCGCTATAGTGAAGACCAAGGCGGGATGTTTGTGTTATCTCGACGTCGTTGCCAATACAAAATTCCTCCTGGCAAAACACGTTCGTTGTTCGCCAACAATAAGCTATGCGTTGAATGCAAGTGTCGGCGTAAATTGCATGTTGTTGTCATTCCACTATACCATACCGGCCCGTACGACAAACCTCTCACCCTGCGCGGAGGGGATCGCGTAGCACGGTTACAGTACGTTGAGTCGTCGAGGACTTATACCGTCACATGTACCGTGATCTATTCATGAATCGACGAAAACTATTTGCTAGCGTGTTTTGGGGTCAGCTGCGCGGCTTTCCGGTAGGATTCATTGGAGGTCTACCGTGCTAGCTTCTTAAGATTCGCCTCGTCATCCGAACCTTTTCGAAACCATTAACCTCTTTATGTGACAATTCCGTCTCCTCTGTCGCTGTAATACGCATCATACTCTTCGTACTTCACCTGCTTTGCGTATCGTCTGGTGGGAACCTATGGTTATGGTCACTTATGTTCTCAGCCTCCCAAAATTTTAAAGCTGCGATTATCGTTGTTTTTGCCTTATTTAGTGTGTCATGTAACTAAGTGTGTCTTTGGCTAGTTTTAGCGTTTGCCAAGTTCGTGCCACACGCTATCGTTCTTGGCTGGGGTATCCACGTAACACTATTGGCGGACGTTGCTGTCATCCACCTTGTCTGGGCGCAAGGATCACTCATAGTCTTATGCTTTCCTGCGTTGCATGTCCCTCAACACTAGTTTTGTGCTTCTTGGATCACAACCGTTTGTATGTGGGCTTCTAAGCGATCAGATATGCCCAGATCCCGCCTATGCTTGGTGTGGTCTTTTGTCACTATTCCCTCCCACGTCATAACGTAGGGGATTGCCCTGAACGCTGTTTTGTTAAATTAGAAAACGAAAAATTAAAAACATCAGCTACTGAATTCAACGCGACAAATCACTTGACCTAACGCAGTGAGCCGAACCTCGCGTAATCGTATCTCTAGTAACTGTAAAAGTGTCAACAAGGTGGACCACGGTGTCGTTATGGTTGTTAGAAAGTGTTTGTGGAATGTAACCAATTTAGGCTGTGTAGCGGTGTTACGACACATGCGTAACAATGTAAGTAGTGAGAAGCTGCGAAGCTTAAAAGAAGCCAACAAAATATCTCACGGCATATCATAAGCGACGCAATGTGCCGCGCTCCAAGGCAAACGCAGGATTCGCAGCGCCTTCACGTATATTAGGAAACGTTATGGCAACAGTGACATCCGTTCGGCTGCGAAGGGATGCGGCTGCTTGTGAAACGGATGATATATGCCGCGCATGTCCTTACTTAACGTGTGGCATCATTGCAGTCATGAGCCTCCCACGTGTGTGTTGGTTGTGACCGGTAGAAGGCTGGTGCCCGACATACCTTCCAGGAGATCTATCGCCGAGGAAGATGTGTACTTATGGTACCCATTTGAGTATAGAGTTTAATATTTAACTACAAAATGAAGTGGTTCCTATCAGTGGCTGTTCTGATCCTCAGCGGAATCAATGTTTCTGCGGTGACATCGGCGCAGCACGCCCCCTCATTTCCAAAAGAGAAAGGTATAATTAATAAGATCGACATCCCTACTGCTTTCGACGACACGAAGCCGCCAACTAATAAATCAAACAGCTGTGGCAAGAAGGTAGGCGCTGCAAATGGCAATCCAACACCGTCGCCGCCTAAAGAGAAAGGGGTGATTCATCATTCCCACGTCAAACCTGCTTTTGACGACACAAAGCCGCCGACGGAAAAGTTAACTACCGATGGTGCCGCAAACGGCAGTCCGTCGCCGTCGGATCCAAAAGGGAAACGGATAATTGAGCATTCCCATGTCCTACCTCTTGTTGACGATACTCATCCGCCGGCGGGGAAGGTAACCACTGGTGGTGCCAAGGATGCTGCCTCGAATGGTGATCCCTCTCAGCCTGATCCAAAAAGCAAAGGGGAGGCTATAAGGAGTGCGGTCCGAAGACTTGTTGACGACCCGAAACCGCCTAAGGAGAAGGGGGAAATTGTGCCTTCCGTAGTCCCACACCTTGTTGACGACACACAGCCGCCAGCAGAAAAGAAAACGAATACTGGGAGCAACTTCAATCCAACTCCGTCACCGCCTAAAGAGAAAGGGGAAATTATGCCTTCCAAAGTCGTTCCCGCGTTTGACGATACGAAGCCGCCAACTACGGTGACAAGCGACCGCAACGGAAATAATGTTGCGGCAACCGGGAGAGCATCTAAAGGGTCTCGGGGGAAAATGTTTAATTTCCAACCCACTCCCATAGTAAACATTGATGTTGAACCGAATCCACACGCATCGCCAAAGGAGATGCTGAAGGTTCGCATTCGTGTCCGGCGTGCCGGTGACGACTCAAAAACGTCAACTGGTGAGCCCAGCAGTGCTGGCGAGAAGGCTGCAGAAGCGTCTAATGGTGTTTCGCCGCCGACAGATCCAAAAGGAAAGCGTGAGTTTGTGCCTTTCCACGTCCCTAGTGCTTTCGACGACACGAAGCCGCCAGCAGAGGAGTTAACCAACAATGGTGATGAATCAAAGAGTAATCCAAATTCGTTGCCGCCTAAAGAGAAAGGGATAATTAAGCCTTCCCATGTCGAACCTTTTTTCGACGACACTCATCCCCCAACGGAAAAGATAACTACCGATGGTGACGAATCAAAGATTAATCCATCTCCATCCGATCCAAAAGAGAAAGTGATAATTAATCCTTCCAGAGTCCCATACCTTGTTGACGATACTCATCCGCCGGCAGAAAAGATAACTACCGATGGTGACGATGTTAAAGGTAATCCGACGCCACCTGATCCAAAAGGAAAGCGTAAGTTTATACAGATTGATGTCCCACCGCGTTCTGACGATAAAACTCCTCCGACCAATTAAACAAACAGCGATAATCCCAGGAAGAATAATGCAGTATCCGGGGCGCATACGTTGTGTATACCGAAAACCCACAACACCTGCGAACCTCGGCTCGGTTGCAAGATCGATCTTCAGGCTGCCAAGGAAGCTGCGTTCTACTGCCCAGCGCCGTACCTCCTGGACCCACCCAACTGCTTCAGCCAGGCCTCAGTTGACGGTGAAGTGACTAACCTAGGCGGTCTCAGTTCATCGTTGGTGGCGTCTCGATCTAACCACTTGTCATACTGAGCTTCGATAGTTCACTCGTAGGACCAGGGGAGACGCTGCGCCAGACGCCGCCGTTGGAGTGCCGCTGCGTCACCACCAAGGGTATCGTTCTCTCCAGCATCCACATCGAGAACTATTACTCTAAGTGATTAATAGCTCAGATTTGGTAACTCGTTTAGCAAAAACACAGACTAATCCCCGTTTGTTGTTGCCATTGGTGTCTGCTGTTTTGGGTATTTCAGCGGCAGTGTGTCTTAGGTAACAAAGTACTAATTTTGGTAGCCAGTTATTGGCGTTTCTCGGTGTTACCAGATCTTTTAATGACTGGTGTTTACTTTAATAGGTCCTGTCAAAAACGTGGAATGTAATCGCATCTGCCTAAACTTTCGTTTATCCCAGAGTTCTGCCGTTATGAGGAAGTTGTAATAGGAGCACCTTCATTGATCCTCATATGTTAGAACAGTGATAACGCCATTAATACGCAATAACCGACAACACTTAGTACCTCTTACCGTAGTTCAAGTATTCCGCTGATGTTGATAAATAATCAGTGTCCGTCCCTGAGCATGATAGGTCACCGGTTGGAATTAATGCAGGGGTGGCTTCATCTACCACTTATACGATTACAGAACGCATTATGAGATGATCTGCAAGGCTGCAGGGAATGACATTGAGGATTCCCGAATGACCATTTCCGGTGCTCATCGCACTCAGCTTGGTATCCCACAACATGATGCGATGGGTAAAGTGGAAAGAAACCGATGCCTCATAGTAGTATCTCTAGCATCTGGGATGTGAATACGATGTTGTAACCATAGTTAGTGCCTGAAATAAGTGGATGAAGTTGGGCAACCGTCAGCCCAATAATGAGTCCAACCTCATCGGGGTTGGTGTGACGCATTCCGGCAAAATGCGCAGTTCAATGTTAGCGTAACGCTTTTACATGATATATGACCCATGGAAGCCGCTTCGCGTGTAATTTCACCAAACGCCGTAATAATGCTGAGGTGAGAAGTCGTCGGCTAGAGCACCCAAGATGGCACATCGTTCCGTCCATGCGCGTAAGATGGTCTCAAAGATCGCACCTGAACAGCACCTTAGTATACCACGTGGTTTGCCATGTAACTCTAGTTGCAATTGCTCAGTTGTAATAGTCACCGGTGTCGTCCGATAGTAGCACAGTACCCAGACCGACTCAGCGGCGTGGGATGCATCATGCTCGAAAAAACCGGAAGCTTGTGCAGTGGTCCTCTTGGGAATTGCGCCGATGTTGTACGCGGGTCTACAATATTTGTGGGAAGAGGTCAGTTACGACACCTTGGGATGGTTGAGCTATAATGCGAAGAATGTCGAAAAGATATTGGAAGCCTTGGGATATGAAGAGGCTAAACGCCACGGTAATGTGAGTAATTCAGATATATACGAGGCATTGAAAAGCTCGGATAAAGATCTGTTAAAGACAATCTACAACCTTGTTGGGTTTGGGATTTCCTGTGGATCTAATAAAAAAGGGAATCCGAACGTTGAGCAACGTGCAGGAGTTGAACCTGTAAAAGGTAAACAGTCATCGATGTCTAAAATGGCTGCAAAATCTGAACCCTCCGTGGTTTGCGTAAAGCCTGTAAAACGATAACCATCTGTGGCATCTCAAAAAGCCATAGAGTGTGCGGACGCTGCAAAAGTTGTAAAGGCAAACAAAGTAACAGAAGCTGCAAAAGATAAGCGAAAGTAAATGATGCCAGGGCATACTAACAATAGCGGATTCTGAGTCTAGATCTCAAGTGATTGGGCATCATTGGAACTCTTAAGAACCGTTCCCCATTTTTGAAATCTAGCCATCGCCGGTCTTGTGTACACTATTCATCCACACTACTGCTGCAGTAGAGTGACAACAAACACGGTTTTAACTTTATAATCGCATTCATAACACAAGTTAGTGTGCTGTTGTTTATACTTAACACGCTTCGATGTCCGTATAATGCAGACGTCTGGACACCGGTAGCCCACGTCAAAAGCGTGAAGGGAATGACATTTTAGCTTTACCTAACACCTGAGCTAGCCATAAGCAGCCACATAAAGCACCATGCAAGGCTAAAAGACCAATAGTAAGGCCATAGAAGAAAAGGCGAATGAGCTCTCGCCGAAACTCGATATTTCCGGAAGGAGCGGGACTTGCAACTGACTAAATGTCGGATTCGCTTGTGTTTTAAGCATTTAAGAGCATTCTTATATCATAGCCATCGAACGAGGCCAAACGTATTAGTATCAAGGTGATATAAGACTGCCCGCTTGTGTAATGCGATTGACGAAGGACTCGCTAAGAGAACTCACAGCCAGCAATGTATAGAGTCTGTACATGAATTGCGTTTCTAGCTAACTGGATGGAAAGTGATCGCTACCCTGTAAACTTTACAAACTCAAGTAGAGGATCGGCGAACACCTTTGCTGTATACCAATAAAATGAGGGGTAAGTCTTTAGACAGACTCTGATGCCGGTAAATAACATCGATAGAAGTATTTCCATTGCAACTCCGTGCAAGATCGCTCATCACAACAGGTCTGCAGGGGAACAGTATGCGCACCGTATATCGCAGAAGCAGCAACATCTGGGAGCACAGGAGAAACAACGCCAGCAGAAACAGCACGATGATGAAAAATGCATGCGTTGTCAGAAAAAGAAACGTCAAAGGTGACAAGTGATTTACTCACACCACGTGGCATATACTAATTCGGCACTGCCTTTAATCTACATTTGTTCGGGTGTCACGTGACTGTTAAACATCGCGCGTATCGGATCACTCCCCACACGCTACAGGCACAACACGTGTGCGACGCATCACATGGCCATCGCACAGCATGAGCGTTCTTCTGATTGCGATATCATCACGCCACTTTCGGTGGCAGTTGGTGACTGAGTGCTAGTAATTCTTGGGCTCCATTTTCCATATTAGGAAGTTGTGTGCTTGTTCAAAACTTCCTGATGTGAAGCTGATCGCCACTGACGATTCCTCCCTACATCATCACATTGGATGCCACATCGAATTACGTCGGCTGTTAGTACGGTAGCCCGCCAACTCCTTCGGAAAACCCTCCTAGTAACATATTTTATACATTTCGGTCCCGGCCATCCGCTCTTGATTCGTTACACCAACATCCATTATGGTGATGGCATACTTGATGTGCTTCGCTTTGGCATGGTTGCTGGTGGAATATGGTCTTCATGTATCAAATCTCGACACCACAACTGGACACGGAGTAGGGGGGCATGGAGTGTAGTTTATAGATGTCCAAGGAAATACGGACCTGGTATAGGAGGATGGCATCGGCCAGTACTGCCAGCCATACCAGTTCATGCAATAAAAAGCCGTAACGAAAAGGGCAAGCGTCCCAATTATACCCAATATGGAGAATACGTATGGCTTCCAGCCCTCTCCCTCTGACATTTTCACCGAGTTCAATTTAGATAGCCTACGCAACGATGTGCAACATACCTAGAGGGCAGTCACCGGAATTGAGCGCTTCCTGGTTCCGATTCTGCAGCGGAGAATATAAACCAGTCTCCTATAATTCGCCTAGCGATATGGCGCTGTCTAGAGCTTCATCTCATGATCATGAAAAACCGTCTAGGTCGCGCGGACTGGCGGGAGAGATTGGGTCCGTTTCTACCCTTCCAGAAGCTAAAACAGCGGACAAAAGTGATCCTTTATAGACAATTGATGTGATAGGTTTTTTGTTTTTTCAGAATGGTAGATTTATAACTCGACCAATCTTCACCCTGCCATCTGGCTCTTCCTGCTGAAGGGGCTCCCATCTGATTCAGAGAGGCGCATTGCACTGTTTACACGTCTATAGTTACTCATACGAAGCTCAAGAATGTTCCTCGGCTCCACTGTAAGGTTATCATCAGGTCGGGCAATGCGTCGGCACCGCTCAGCATCACTCCCTTAACCACGCCTCCACACTTCCTGCAGTCACCCAAACTATCACTTCCAACCCAAACACGCAGTTAACAGATGGTTAATCACCTGCCCTATCTTGCCACTCCCAAAATCCAGAATCGGACGACCAACCTGAGGAATCCAGTCCTCATAGTACGTTTCTCCCGGCTTGCTCACCGCCGCCTGTGAATCGCATAACACCAGCCATGGTCCAGCAGTTTACAATACATAACCTGTACATCGCCATTTAAAAAAGGGAACATGACTTGAAAGCTCTCATTTTACAATCCCAAGTGTCATTTCAGAGCCTGCTGCTGCCACCGGTGTAGCGAAGCTTGGACCGAGTTTGAAAACGCCCGATCAGGCGGTTGACGACAGATACGCATTGAAGCACAGGAGAGATAGGAGACGTTACAATGGCAGGAGAGACACTTTATTAACGGCGCGATAATAGCTTCCCAAAGACCAGCGTACATCCTCGATTGATAACAGTGCGTAGACGCATGGGGAAACGCAAAATAGACATATGAATCATAGCAAATATCGCTATCTATTTCCATTGCTGCTCCGCTTTCTGCTTCTAACAGACTAAACCACTTGACGAAATGACGCTAAAGTATTAAAAAACAAATAGGTACAGATGCTATTACGCATCGTTAAAGGTAACAAATAAGATCAACATTGAACCTTTAGTATGGGGTAATGACGGTGTGGTTTGTGGTAGATGCAGATTAGCTTTGCAATTAGTTTTAAATGTTGACGTTAATGGGCCGCATTATTGCGCCACTGTATCCTTGCCAGATGTGATGGCAATGTTTGGCTTCCATTAATCCCAGATGACGCACGATGCGTTGTTGGAAGTGTACATGTGAAGGTCAACAATAACTGTGTCCGCAGGTTCTCGCATTATTGTTGCCTGGCATTTTCCACATCGACTTGCACACTCGTGTTCATGTCTTCCCACATCTCGACGCACGCAATACGGGGTGTAATTGATGGGGACACAGAGCCATCCAAGCCCTGTTCTCCCACTTCATGCAGATCCTTCGCCTTTCGACGTAATAATAGTTATGATCCCACTACGCTAACAGTGCTAGATCTGTGACATCTAATCATGATTTAGAAGGCTATACGCGAGCAAATCTGTCATCATAAATGCAGAAAATTGCCACACAACAGTAAAGCGGAGGCAATCATCTAATTCTCAACGTGGATATCGACTAAAGTAATGCATATTTAATGGGTCATATCAGTTCTATTGTGAGGTGATACCCTCCTTCTTCCCATCTTTATCCTCCTTTGCAACGTAGTAGGACGCAAGTCCCACGAGCATCAACACATGCCTGTACATGGTGAGTAACGAGTTTTTGGAATACAAAGTATGACTTACCATAGAGAGTGCCGGAAAAACGACCTCGCCTCCTCTTTGCACGGGTGATCAAGATATCGAAGACATCTGTAGTTCACAAAGAGGTTGGGGAGTAGCGAGACGATAGCGAAGTTGGGTGATATTAATCCACAGTAAGAGTAGACCTAGGACAATTCTCAACCGGGTAGTTTCGCTTGTGACAAACCAGTGGCATTGAAGTAAGAATGGTAACCCATTTGACGGAAGTTAGAGCAGTAGACCTCCCTGATTCATCCCAAGTACCAAACATTTTCAACCCGGCGTTGAGATAGTCCTTACGATGGAGCCACGCAAGCGAATAAAAATGAGGTAGCTGCCACACATACATTAGTCCAAAGAGCATCCACGGCTCGGGCGTCATGATGGAACCCTGCATTAAAATTATGGCATGAAACATCAACAGGACCACTCACCCCAGCCGCTGCATAGCCTATAAGGGGCGGTATTGCTCCGACAATTGATCCCACATGAGTATTCCACTCCGTGTAACCTGGAAATATGTAATTCAATGATGCGGTTTAACCTACGTTTCAACACCGTGTAGCCGCACGTGTACAGCGCAACGTTCGTGAGGGCCAGCGGAGCTGCAACGCTGCCACCTGTGAGGCATAGTAATGACGACCCGGCGACCGCACAAGCGCTGCCTATAGCGGCAGCGCCACGTGGAGTTATCTCTCTAGTTGGGAGCGGCCTGCACGAAAGTTAACTCCGTATGACCCATAAAATAGACAGATACATATGTATTCTTGTTGGTGGTAAAAAACGAATACGCTGATACAATTTTCGGTCATACATCGCGCCAACTTAATGCAGATACCATATTCATTCCTAAAACTGCATCACCAAACGCCACAACAAAATCAACGTAGCCACTCCAGCAGCGATAACGTACCGATTACGCGTCCTCACCATGAGTGAGTCGGTTCTCCTCTCTATGATTTGGTTGAACACATGCGCAGCTGAACTGCAGAGGAATACGCCTCCAGCTGCGTAGAAAAATTCAGGAGACAACGTAGGTGTTTCCATGAGAAAGCCGCTGGCGCCAGTGGCGCTTACCCAGAGCGACAGCTTCCATTTTGACAGTTTCTACAACCCATTGGTTCCCACCGCGTTGCACTTACTAGGAATATCGACAGCCGGCTAGACACGTTTTGACGTCTGTCTAGCAGCGCCCGGGTTAGGGATGTCATCACATCCACTCAATTTCGGCCCCAGTGTAAGACATATTATGCGATAGCTGCCGGAATCAAGTACACACTTGCATTTATCCTTGCGATTAACCAAACGTTACCCGTTAAATAGGCAAACTACAACGACAGCGGCCAGTATTACTTCGTTAAAATTTTGGCGCCTATCGTGTGCAAAACTGTAAAATATAGTCGTTATGTACCTGCTGGTTAAATATTTACGGTCATATAGTAACGTAGAGAATGTTAATCACAGCTTTTTTGCAACGGGGCATGTGTAGCAATGACGTACACATCAGGCCAAAGGACTGATACGATAGAGATTCCCAAGTTAAATGCTAGTGATCCAAGTGATATATGTTTAGTTTCCGATTTAGAGAATGGTGGACATTAGTCGTGTTGATTCGTCAGCTGTCATTCCGCGCAGTATGCAAATACATTTAAATAGGCAAAAGGAACGGCACGGCCTACCCGGTTGCGCAAACCGTTGAAACAATTTCTGCATATTTTATGCCACTTAGACGGCTATAATAGGTAGTCAAGAGATATACCTTCTATGAAAAGGCTCAGTTCACCGTGACGAGGTTAACGACGGCCAACAATCCGATATCTTTGCGGCTAACAAATCTGCGCATTGTTTACCGACTGGCGGCCAAATGACATCAAATGCATGACCGATCGTGTCTTGTCCGATGCAACTATATATAGGTGATGTGTAACATTGTAGCAGCCACGGATGTACGGTACCAATGTAATAATAAATGTACCCAGGTGAAAATAATTGCATACCGTTCGATCATAAATTGGCTTATTAGGATAACGAACTGTAAATGGCGTGTATTCCTCTCCGGGGTGATGCCGTGCCAACATTCCCCATCGTGCGCGGAATCCTACAGCACAGCGACTGCGCAGCCTCACATATAATCTATCCCGTATTCCGTTCACTATTTGGCGCCTTGTAATTTCACTGACGGGTGCCAGGGGTATCGACGCTCGCCGCGCAACCACTTTAACGCCGAGTGTTTGAGGGAGGCTCGCGTGGCCTTGGTGGATTCGCATAGCTACTGCCGTTTACAGCGAAAAACATGCGAAAATGGTTGTAATTACGGAATCTGACCTCACACAGGAGGATATAGAGAACGGGTTGATGGACTGGTTGTCAGACCACGATGAGAGCAGGGACGCGGATGAAATGGAGCGTTTGGCGGACAACGAGGCGCCCATAACGCTTAGTACCGTCTTCTTGTCGACGTTGATTGTGGCCGGACTGCCGCTGGTTTCATCAGAGAAGTACGATCGCCTTCTCGAAATCACCCGCAAGAAGCTGACCAAGGATTTTGAAAAGAAGGGACTGAGGATCCACAAGGATTTCCAAATTGAAATGCCCGTGGACGAGGCCGGCAACACGTATGGTGTGGCCTTTTTCACCTTCGCCAACCGTCCGGAGGCACAGAAGGCGCTGCAGCACCTGAACATGTCCAAGTTCGACGCATCGCACACCCTCAAGGCCGCGATGGTAGACGACTTCGACAGGATTGTAAGCGACGAGAACACATGTACCCCCGCGTTAAACACTTTTGGGTTCACACGTGAGGACCTCCGAACGTGGCTGTTCGAGAGCGACCGTATGCTCGACCAGCTGGTAATCCGCTACGCTGACCAGACCGAAATCCATTGGTTCGATCCCCTGGAGAGAGAGCCTGTGCTTGTGTACAACGGCGAGAGGGAGCGAGCCCAGGGAAAACGTGTCTGGACCGACCAAAAGGTGGAGTGGAGCCGCAACGGGTCTTACTTGGTGTTCTACCGTCGCCCCGGTATCGCGCTCTACGGAGGCCCAAGTTTCGAGCTGAAGGTCAGGTTCGAGCACCGGAACGTTCAAAACGTCTCCTTCTCCCCGGACGAAGAATACCTGATGACATGGGATGGAACCAAAGGCGAAGACAAGCACGATAATTCCGTCTGCATATGGCACGTCATCACGGGTGAAAAGCTATGCTCATTCCCCACGCCCGAATTATCATACAACGGCGCAGAGTTTCCACACTTCATATGGAACCGTGACGGGAAGTATATCGCAAAGTTGCACCAATGCGCCGAAGGAAATGAGATCCACGTCTACAAGCTGCCTGAGATGACGCTTATACCAGATGCGGAAGGAAAGCCTGCGCCCTTGAAGTACGCTGCCGAGAAGTTCGACTGGTCCCCAATGGATGATATTCTATCTATCATTATTCCCGGTACCATCGATACACCAGGTTGGTATACACGACTTGTATGCATTGCGTGCCTTGCATAGTGACTCCATGGTGTGTGACAATGTACAACCGCTAAGATACATACCGCCGGAAGTTTGTAACTTCCCCAACCCCTTGGTTAGTGTCTTTAACCCTGGGGTGTTTGCCAGCGTGGTAGCCTTTTTATTGTGCAGCTGTGGCTCTGGCAGACAGTTGAGTGTAGTGCGCTGCAACGGCGCCCTACAATTCGTGTCTGCGATATAGAATCTGTATTTAATGTTGGTTGCTACGATGGTATCAGCCAATGATCCGTACAGTACACTCTGCACAACACCGTCATTGTGATTCAAAGGCGGGTCCCCCGGTGTCCTTACGTTCTTTTGATGTACATTAATGTTGTATGACGTGCATTGGCCGGAAATAACTTGTGTACAGCTCGTCTACTTCTTGTTGACATCCCATCGCGCCGCGAGTTGAGTGCCAGGAACGTATACAATGTGTGCTCTTCTGTGATGCACTGGCACCCAAGAGGAGAGTGCTTCTGCCTCAGGACCACAATTTGCCGTAAAACCGGAAAGAAGGGTCGTAAGCAGTTTAACCAGCTGGAGATATTCCGTCTGCGGGAACGTGATGTCCCCGTTGACACTATCAAAATCGAGGATGCGACTGTGAAGAACCTCTACTGGGAGGAAGGCGGCAGCAAGAGGTTTGCTCTTGTTGTGAGGGACGAAGAAATGGGCAACAGCTCAATTAGGTTCTATCGCGTGTCTGAAGAGGGCACTGCAAGGGACACCGTTTGCGTGACGACGTTGGAGCTGCAATCTCAAATGAACCGTGTCGTATGGTCCCCTAGCGGCAACTACTTCGTGGTTGCCTGTTTGACCGGAGAGGGTACCATCCTTTTCTGCACACTGAACGACAACGACAAGGTTGAGGTGTTGTACAAGGATGAGCATTTCATGATGAACGACGTCAGGTGGAGCCCGTGCGGTCGCTACGTGGCAACATCCGTCAGGGTACCATTGCCTTCCCAAAACAGCGGACCCAGCATGGATGCCTTCAGGTACAGCGCTGAGGCAGGGTTCTGCATCTGGACCTTCCAGGGGCGCCGCCTCTACGTGTCCCGTAGGGAGAACCTGTACCACTTTGACTTCAGACCGACTCCGCCACCCATGTTGGAGAACAGCGTCATCGACAAGATCAAGAAGAACCTCAAGGAATACAGCCGCAAGTACGATCTGGTGGATGAAAAGGCTCGGGAGGAATACGAACAGCAATACTTCGCCAAGCGCAAGGTGGCCGAGGACGCATTCCTCAAGCAGGCCGCGAAGCTGATGGAATGGCTCGTTAAACAGGTTAGTTACGCACATGCGTTTTATAAAGTTATTTAGGACCGCTACTTGGAGTTCAAGCAAGGTTGGGACAGTTTCTACGATGAGGCCCACTGGGACATTACTGAGGACGTCTACGAGGAGGTCATCGAAGTGAAGGAGGAGGTCCTAGATTAAGCGCGAAGCTCAATGTCCCAGCCGTTGCACCACCCATTCGCTCATGAACTTTTTGAGCCTGTGTGCGGGTGCAGGTGGCTCACCTGCTCAAACTTGATGTTAATTTTCGGTAACCTACCTGATGTGCAGAGGTACTTGGCGCCGTCGACGATCTCATCCACTGACATCACCTGACGCAGATTCTGGTCGTACAGGCGCCTGATGGGCCCGGCGATCAGCGTGAGCTCCTTCCCCATGTTAAAGAGCAGCACGTCCATGTTCTTGATGAACGGCCGGACGTAGAACGCAGTTCCGTCATGAAACTTGTCCCCATTGCGATACAGCCACATCAACTTCGGCGTGGCAATTTGTACACCGTACTTCTGTACCCCCAGAGCTCCCCTGGGTAGCACGCGTGCATGGGCCGGTCTCATGACGGTTGAGTACACCTCATGCACCCGGGAAGTCGACTCCGTGTTACCGTCGTACACGAACACGTCCTCGCGGCCGGCGAGTCCCCGGCCGTTACCGTTCTCATCGAAGCGTTCACGGTGTATGCCGGTGAAGAAGCGATGGTCGGTTAGTCTCTCGAAGACGTCACGGGGCCTGCGGTTAACCCTGTGCTCGTGCTTGTTTGATCGGGGGAAGGTTTGCAGGAGGCGTGGGTAGCATATCCCATCCGGTGTCTTTTCCACATAGTGGTCGTACAGGCTCACACATTGAGACCTAGCTTTGCTAGTAGGCGTGGAGGTAGCGTCGTAATGCGTAGATGGGACAGAGGGGCGGTGTAGCTTGGTAGCGACAGGCGGCGAGTCGCTATCATCGTAGCCCGCGGTGAACTGTATAAATTTGTTGCGCAACTTGCAAAAAACCTACGTTGTACGCCGACGGCGATGAGACATCCGGCTCCAAGAACTCGACGAACTTCGCCATCGTGAGTTCAGGCTGCGGTCGCGATGTGTAACCGGTTTGACAATAAACCAATGCTTCGCAGGGCCTATGGCTGTGAACTACATTTTATTACTGTTAAACGCCGACCCGAACGGTCACAACTGGCGATGCATACAAGTGCATCGGCGATTGCACCTCTACGTCGTGCTGGCTGTCCAAAATTAAAATACACTTAAAGCGGCATCTGTTTAGCATCTGCGGCCCACCCCCGGTCCTTACCACGCATAGAGTACAGTATGCGGTGGTAGAACTTCGTGACTGGGTCGTCGAAGAATTCGGGCGGCGGCACAGCGTCGAAGGGGAAGGATTCCGGCTCTTCACCGCCGAGGTCGTGTACCATCACACGGTACATCTTGGACTTATCTTTGGCATCCAGGTACCCGTATTTCGATATGTTGAAGTAACGGTTGCGGTTAATCCCCTTGGAAGGCACCCAGTGCGACACTCTCCAGCAGGTGCGGGTTCTCTCGTAGCTGTGTCCACAGTACTCGGTCTCGATGTAGGCCTTGATCACCTCGCGCCAATGGTCTATGCGCTGTTGGATCGCTTCCTTCTTCACGTCTTCCATCTGCGCTGGGTCCGATACTGGTAGTCGCTTCAGGGAGAGGGTGTTCGTCGCAGTGTCTAAGAACTCGAAGCACCAACTGTTGCTTTCGGCTTCCCAAAACACCTCGGTGTCTTCCTGAGGCAGAGTTTGCTCTGCCGCGTTATCGGCACTGGCCACCGCGTCAGCAGAGTGGGGAGACGTGCTCGTGGTACGCTTCTTCGGCTTCGTCAGTCGCTGACCCGGTCCGGCCCATTTCTCCACTTCGGCGGGTGGGGCCGTTTGTTGGTTGACGTTGTAGAGCTGCATCGCCCGCATCTTGCTGACCCAGAACTGCTCGGCGAGTTCCTTAGCACCATCCCTGCCGTAGTTGTTTACCAGGAAGGATTTCCTCCACATGCGGCCACGGCACTCCCAGAACACCAACCACCGCCCCCCTTGGGAGAACGGCCCTTTGTCGAACACGACGCCCCCGTTGCAATCGTGGTAATTTATAGAGGGCACGGGTTCCTCCTTGATGCTCAGCTGCTGCTGGTACTTATCCATGGCGGGTACGTTACCGTTCGTCACCGGCATTTGCGGCTTGACCAGTGGCGGGGGCGGCTGCTTAGCGATCTGGGACAAAGTGAGCGCCGGATCCATCTGGTTGACGTCAGAGTCCATATGCGGGTAAAAGTGTTCCATGTTCTGCTTGGCGTTTGGAAATCTTATCATTGGCGAGACGGGCATCATCCCAAAGTTCATCACGTTGGGGGCAAACGCGTTGTTAAAATTCATCTGCGGCGGGAACCGCATCGGTTGCTTAACCATCGAGGCACCTTCGTGGTCGCCTTGCAACATCATTTGAGGGTTCCGGCCCTCCTCGAACTTGCCGGCCGCTGGGTTGGGCATCTGATCATGCGATGGTAGCTGGACCCTAAGGCCCGGGTGTGAGGCCAGGCTCTCGAAAGCTCCAGCGTCATTGTTCATCATGCCTTGGCCTTGCGAAGCAAAACGAGGCATTGGGACGTTCAAATCCTGAGGCCGCCTAGCCGGGGGGCCCTGCATGTGCTTAATGTAGTTGCCATCGTAGCCGAATGCGCCAGTGGCGTGCAACAAGCCCTGTGCGGGAGCCCCGGACTTCATGGGCAACTTATTGTCGTCCATCTGTGCCACGAATCAAGTCCGAGTGAAAGCGACGAAATAGGCAAACTCACTCTGTGCGACAAATAAACCAAATTGATGCGTTATTGCGAAACCACAGACGTACTTGGTCGTTGTGGCATGCAGCAGAGTGTTGTATGTACAACGCTCAGCGATGTGGAAAGATCCTTGCAAACGTTTGTCAGAAACAAACAACCACGCCCTCCACGTGAAACCAATAACTGACGCTAAACGACGTCACCTTGTGCGACAGGCAAGCTTGTCTAAGCTGCACATATAATTCTCACAGCGGCTTCTTCAAGCCCGGTACCGACACAAATGGATATATTTCGCCGCCATCACTATGCGCGTAGGCGATGTGCGCTAAGGAGCGATACACACCTCCCGAATGACAAATACAGCGCACATAGGCCAGCCTTGCAGAGCACACACGCAGTAGGCTGCAACCTAAACAATTAATACCGCCGACGCGCAAGGCGTAAACCCAACTTTAATAATCCCAAAAGACACTCCCCGGGTAACGTCCAAACACCCCGTAACCTATATTTGAGCTTGACAGTACACAACTGTTATTAGTAACGCGCTAGCACGTGAGACTGTCGCGATGCGTTAGTGCTTCACGGAGACGACTTCTGCAACTGGAGCATTACACGTGCGACCATTCTCCAATGAGCAATTCCTGAGCGAGAGGGGTACTCAGGAGACCTCTAAAGTGAAAAACAGGGTTGCGCAGATATTCCTCGGTGTGCTATAACCCAAGCTGCGACCCGCTACAATTTATTGGGGGCGGTGTGTATAGGAAGGTGACGCTTGCAGTGCCAGACGTCCGGTAGGCAGAATCTTTTCAGTTAAGACGGTATTCCAAACCCAAAGCGCGCTGCACACTGTGCTTTTTTAATTGCATTATACCGTAGGTCGACTGCGAATCGGCTGCTTCGAAGCCCGTGCATCGACCGTATCCCGGCCGGGGCGCCATTAGTTGGGCGCCACAACGAATCGAAGGTTTGACTTCGATCATGCAGGCACAACCACAGGTTGACGGCTAGTTGTTTCGGTTCGTATAGATGTGTAAAGAGGTGTGCGTATGGCTTCCTTGCTGTTTATTACGAAGGCGCCGTTCCCCGGGAACACGACCGTCGGCAACAGCCTGTGTGTACACCGCCGTTGTGAGAGAAGCGTAATAGCGATATATTGATCTGTATTGAGGCGTTTTTAACGTTGATTCTAGTGCTATTTGTGCTCGGGGTGGGTATGCCTGCGGGGTACGGGCTCAGCGCCGCCCTTAGCCCGGAATCACAATAACGCCTCTCGGTATTTCTTGGCCATAACGCCATTGTGTGCAGCGAACCCAGTTCCTCCGGGGATTAGTTCGATGAACAGCCCATCTTCCTCAGCGTTAGACAGCTTTACGTAGCGGCGGAGGACCAGCTTCCCGGTTTTGCGGTCGAGCAGAACAGGGTTATGCGATATTGGTTGCTGCGACACCGAGCATACCCAGGTCACTCCTGAAGCAGGGTCGTCTGATTCCTCCGTGTCTGGGTTCATTTCCACCAGATCTTTTATCTTCAGTGGTTTGCCTGTGATGGGACACTTGAGGCCGGGTTTCGGCTTAGGGGGGATTCTCGCTCCGCGTTCTTCCTTTGTCTCTGTATCGCCTTGACGCGTTGCAGTGGAAACCCAAAAATTACTGTCAGCCGCTGTTGCCGCCTTTTCGCGGTCGTTAGGAGCGCTGCTTCCTTGGCGTTTAGCAGACTTCACAGTGCTTACGCCGAACACGCTTGTGTCCACGAGCTTCCGCTTCAGTGACTCCTGAGTGCTGTGGAACTCCTCGGCTTTTTTAGCCTCCTCATGCAGCAGTTGCGCGTTCCATTCCTCAACCTCGCGCTTATGGTCCTCCAGCTGCTTCGCGCAACACTTGAGAATACACTCCTTGCAAAACACGTATCCGGCAGGCGTGCATACTGGCTTCACCGCTGTCGAAAGGCAGAGCCAGCAGTGCTCGCATTTTCTCATGGAATCTGCGCCGAGCCGCTGCCGCAGCGTGTTGAAGTCCTTGACCTTCTTCCGCTCATGGTATGTGAAGACAGCATTACCGGTATTATGTTTGCTGTGCCGAGTCATCTATACATGTAGCGACTGCGTCTAGTATCAAAGCAAGAAGGCTAGCAACATATGATCACGGCGCCAGCAGAATCACCGTAGGCAGCAATCATTAGCGCCTCCAAAAGCGAGCTTTTGCGCTTCTACAGTTATTGTTACCGGATATATTTAGAGTAAATATTTGAATAATGGCGTGAGCCACATTTCTGACGAATACCTGACGCGTCTTCGGCCCTCGGAGCACGTGATGCCAACGCCGCACGTATCCGACGCTTGAGGAACAACCAGTGCACACATCACTGCACATCGCGCTCCTTACGATGGAGAACCCCGTTGTGCGCGATAGCGACGAGTGGAACACGCTGGAATTCGCTCTTCAGCTGCGCTGTCGGAGCTCAAGGGTCACCCTGCTACAGGCGTGGAACGTCACAAAACCGGATGCTGTCTCCGTATTCAGCCGATGGGTTCAGGTAAGTTGATGTCGTGTCAAGGGCGATAATTGATGTCTATGGTTTAAATGCTTAATTTTGATGCTGTTTGCTCGGCTGCCTATGGCGTTACACATACTCTCGCAGACCACTCCCATAGTCGAGGCTTTCATAGACGCCACCGCCCTGGATCGCAACAACTCAACCCAGGACGTGTGTACTCGTGGCTTTGAGATCGGCAGCAATGGGTTCAAAGTCAGCATTGGCAACATACAGTGAGTTCGACGGATGAATGCAGCAATGTGATACAGTTGCCCGAACTTCCCACTGCTGCGTTCAACGCTGCGAGAAGGCTCAACATCGGATACCAAGAGCGGTAGGTAAAGGTTGATGCGATTAACGGTATCTAGGTGCCCTCGACGACAAAGGCCAGATCCTGCCGCCTAAAAACGCCACCACGACGAACATAATGTACGGAGATAGGAAGGTATACGAGTACTTCGTCTGCGATGTCGGTATGTTTGCCAATTGTCCTATGTGTGACAATTCGCAGCGTTGGGCAAGGCCATTTCGGCATCCGACGAGATCGAGGCACAGCGGCTGCGGCTCACGATGCCCGTTGAGTACGACAGCATCTACCTCGAGAATAACGGTCATGAGCGCCTGTTGGATGTGACTGCACTGTCTAGGCCCCGCGAAGCGCTGGCGTCGTTGGATAACCGACATGAGGACTCCTTTTCGGAAGGCGTCCTCCCGCAGTTTGCGTTCCGCCGGGAGTACATTATCTACGGCGCGTCACAGATACTCGCACGGTACCTCATACAGTTCGAGTTCGACCCCACCGCGGAGGAGACGTTCGCGCTGCCTCTCTGTGACAGCTGCCAGAACGACGCCGCTACAATATACTGCCCTTCGGACACGGCCCGGATATGCAGGAAGTGCGACGAAAAGCTGCACTCCCAAAACAAGGTGGTTTCCCGCCATATCCGAGTGCCGCTTAATCAGGTTCGACCATGACGGTATTCGTATCAGATTTGCTCAGATGCCGCGTCCCGCCGCTCGCTGCAGACTACATCCCTCAAAGGTGTACACGATGTACTGCACCGTCTGTCACGTGCCAGTCTGTCAGCATTGCGCATCCGGTCACATCCACGGCCAGGGATCCAACGACGGCAACGCGGCCCGATTCGTGCCTATCGCAAACGCATACGACTCCGCAATCTACGAGATGCAGCAACAGTCCAACAACACCATCTCACGGCGCCGAGCGTATCTGAAATCACTGCTGGAGCAAGTAGATCGCATCGAAAGGGCAGTGGAGGAAAACTGCGAACGTGTCGAGGCCAGCTGTTACGAGAAATTGGAAGTGACTCTAAAACAGCTTCATAGTAGAATAGGTGGGTCGCTGGAGGAGTTGGTTGCGGAGCAGACGGAAAACAAGCGACAGCTGAGCGAAATTGAGTGGTCTGAGCACTTTGCGGACTCCTTGAAGAATATACTGCTGCCGGCGGACTACCTGCGCGCATGGCTGCGGCACTGCCGTGTACGCAGCAACATGGATGCAGACGCATACAAGGGGCCGTTGCAGGAAATATTCCCCGATTTAGATATGAAGGGGGAGCTTGCAATCACACACGAGCATGCAGCAGAGCACATGCACAATTGAAGCAGTGCCTGTGATGACTGCTTGTGTAGTGGCGGCTGAACTTATGTGCTCACCTCAACTGTATTATAGAGTCACAATCGCAGAAAAACATTAGAATCGTACATTTACGTCTCTACATGTTGCAATTGTCTGTAGATATCTGTGTAAGGTGTATTAGTATGAAGCTCAACTGTATCGGTCAGTCATGAGGCACCGACTCTTAACATAGAACGACATATCGATACGGTCGTTACGTGACAGATGCCGGTACTGTACATCAGCATTGCCATTTGCGCCACCTATATCACACAGAAACTACAGAATGAAGTTCCACCCGCCTGGCATCAGAATAATACAACCCAATTGAATAATTATATAAGTGTGGAGTTGACGTCAGCAATTTAGTGTGCGTTTTACAATGTTTGCGACTTAAGCCTCCATCTCCTGTACGAGGGCTGCCTCGTCTTTCTGCAGGAAGGGCTCGGAGGCCTGGTGGCTCAATGAAGTGGGCTCCCTCGCGTACTGCAGGTTCCTGATGACGTCGACGGCACCCAGGAAACGACCGATGATGACGAACATGGTGGCCAACACCACCTGCCATGATGGGGCCTGCTTGAACGAGCCAATGATGAACAGGAGCGCGACGGCAATGAGCTCCAGCATACGCCACGGGGCCTGGCCAGTCTGCCTGATCAGCCTGTTCGACACAACGTTCTTGACGAATGGCAGAGCGCCAACCGCCACGAAGCAGCCCCACACCTGCCATGTCTTAGCAGCGGTGATGTCCCAGGGCAAGTTGTTGATTAGCACCTTGAGCTCGCCGTTGATGATCCAGACAACGGGAAGGATCATAGCTCCGAGGAGGTGCTGGTGGTTGTGCAGCGCATTTCCGCGGCCACCAACGATGTGCAGGGCACGCTCCATGAACCCAGCGCGGAAGACAGCGGCCAGGAAGGCGTAGAGCAGGGCGACTGTCATGATGTTACCAGGCGCAATGTGCTTGTCGGTCGCGCCGAGGACGAAGGCCAGCACCAGGAACCCGATGGCCTTCCACCTCATAGGCATGTACTCCTCTCCGCATGCGATGAAACGCGCGGCGTGGTGCGCGGCGACGGCGCCGGAGGCGAGGATGGGGAAGGCGGCAGTGGAAGGCGCCTTGCAGAGCATGATGTTGGTGGAGCAGAGCATCGCCACGTAGGCAATGGTCGGCAGCACGAGAGTCTTGAGAAGGCCGATCTCAATCTTGACACTGGGGAAGTAAGCCATCTTGGGGTACACCTGGCCGAAGTCACCGAGAATGTAGGCGGAAACCAGACCCTGGGTCAGCTGCCACCAGGTGATGAAAACCGGCGCGGGCAGCACAGTCACAAACAGGGTGTGCACCACGTAGACGTTGCAGAGCGTCAACAAGATGAAGAGCGCCTCGACGGTGATGAGGCTGGGATTGGTGAAGTAAGGCTTCACCTGCTCCCAGCTCTTGAAGATCTTCAGGTCCTCGAAACCCATGGCTACGATACAAAGTAGTATATGCGAGAATGTGCGGGTGCCGGAGTGAGAACTTCACTGGCACATAGGTTCCGCGGTGGGAGAGGCCTGCGCAGAATTATACACATCAGACACACCCAGTTCACACATTCATGCACACCATGGAAAATACGGCCAACCGGCAGAACACTCCAATCGAGATGTGGCGCCGGCTACAGCCATAAGCAAACCCAAACGTCAGAGCAGAACCACGACTGTGCAGCACGCAAACCAACCTGAAACGGCGGACAGGCAGATGAAACTAAATTGAACAGACACAGCAATTCAATCGGAAGACATTCCTGCCCAAAAGAAAGATTTAACGCGGGGTACCACTGCTCCGGCGGCGGGTAGGATCTCAAGCGTGTCACACACAGGATGCACACCATGAGCGAGTCAGCGACGGCTCAGTGGCTGTCTTACCCCGTCGCGCCACTTTTAAGCATTCTCTAAGGTGTGGTAAAATCGGTGTTGTAATTGCTTTAATCAGCTGTTGTTTCGCGTATACGCCGACATATAGGCGGCCGAAGACGGTTATGGCAGCAACACACTACGTTAGCTTACAGTCCAATTGGCTCAGCATCGCCACATGAGAAACACATGTATAACTGCGACACATTCATCACATTAGTTTTGCCGACTTTCGCGGTTATTAAGTGCGGGGCCTGTCGGCACGCTGAGGGGTATCGGTCGTGTACGATACCCGGCGGCGCTCCGAGGCAAGCCGCTCAACCTTAAAGGTGTTGTTTGTGATACTCCAGCTTTGTTTCAGGACTCCGGGCGGTCCTTGGCTTCCCATTCGGCAGGGGTGAGACACTGCATAGTGAAGGCGTGTATGTTCGGCATCTCCTCCGCAATAGCGCCGTTTACAAGTCGGTGGCGCTCCAACAGCTTCTTGCCGGCAAACTGCTGGGACACGATGTAGGCGTGGAAAGCAGCGCCGCAGCCGCCTGAGTTGTCCACGACCTTCAGAAATACAGGGGCCAGCAATGCGCGCAGCCGCTCCTCAACGAGCGCTTTAGACGTCATTTTGAACTACTATTTCGTTATGTTGAATTATTACTGTTAGACCGCGGCGGGCCGCCCCTCGGAGGAGGCATGTGCAGCGTGGTATCGGGGCCCATGGTGTCGAAGATCTGCTTCACCCGCGTTGTCAGGCGAGCGCCGATGTTATCCCAGTTCTGCAGCTCTCCCAGGAGCTCTGCGGGTCCATTCGGGTTTAATGGCTCGCTAGGCATGGCGGCAGAGTCGCTTCGGTTCTGCTGCGGGATGTTCAGCGGCGGATACCTCACCGGCTCCCCGCGGCGTAATTCCAAAATGTGACGCACATCATCCACATGACTCAGTGCTTCCAGCAGAGGCATTATGTCCAACAACGCAGTGTCGTGAACGCCGCCAGACCAGCTGTCTATCAACAAGCTGTTGGCCGAAACGTGGGCGTTTGACTGCATTGAGTTTTGCAGGACCACCACTTTGGACAGGTCGTTGTTGACCTTGGCGAGATCCTTTACGAACACACCGCCGGGTCCCACGGTGCAGTCGTTGCGATAGAGCTTCCTGTCGAAGAGGTGGTTGACGCACGCGTAGTTGAGGCATGCGTCTGCGTACAGCGGTTGCGAGGCGCTGTAGAGCACTATCTCATAGCGCTTGCGCATCTCCATCAGGAAGGTGTCTAGGTGCGGCCTCTTGTATACCACGAAGTGACGAACACGTTTGCCCACATTTAGAGCGATGGAAGACGTTGTGTTGTTACCCTGTAGGAACAGTGTTGGTGGGCATCAAGCCACAGGGTAGAACACGTAACGATTATATGCGAGAAAAAAATGCAGCACTTAACCCAAATACGCGTTGCAATATACTTCAAATCACTATGATACATAGCGAAACGTGTAACATCAAATGGCACCACGGGTGTTTACTAAATTACATGCGAGCGACTCTAAAACCACCGGGACTGGCTAATAGAAAACAATGTATAACTACTGCCATATAAGCCATAAACTACGTTATGGGTCACATACTCTAGCAAGTACAGCATAAACGTACCCGAGTTTGGACGGAATGCAAAATCGTGCCGTCCAGGTCCAGCACTAGGGAAAACGCCGGCTTGACGCGCTTCGCGAAGAGCTCATCTCCGGATCCGAATCTGGAGCTCGCCTTGAACTCGAGAATCTTCACGATTATGTAAACAACGCCGGCGCCTATGACGTAGTAGTTTATCTCGACGGCGACCGAGAAGGCGCTCGACAGATAGTCGAACAGACCCATCCAATTCGGCGATAATTACACGCATATGTGCCAGGAGAGGCGGTTTGGAACGCCGTTATTCGGCGTATACGCAGCCCATAGGCTACAAGGGGTGTGTAAAGCGCCTCAACCGGTGGAAGGAAACAATGTGTGTTCGCAGTCTACTAAAAGCGCAACACATCCAGCAAAATGCGACGTCAACGGTGTGACCTAAATGGATATAAACGATACTAAAATTAAGGGGAAATTTCGATTAGACACGACCCAGGCACTGCCCAGGGTCACAGCCTCAGGGGGCAAGCTCGCCCGAGGACTTGAAGCGGACGAAAATAGTGCTACCGCTATCAACGTCCTTACCGATCTTGCGATTCAGAGTGCTGTCGTCCGAAGGGTGGTCCTCGTCGAACAGCACCTCCGCGGAGATGTTGTTGCCGGGCTCCTTGCGCAACAGGTAGGCCGCCTTGGCAACCATGTCGCCCTTGACCCTGAAATGTGATCGGTAGTTGTCTATAGCCTCCTTCAACGTCAAACGCCTGTACGTGGTCTCCGGAGGGTTCCACGAGTTCTTGAACTCCTGAATGTCGCAATCCTCAGGAAGATCGGCCGCCATAATGGGCATTACCACGGGCTTGTGCGTTTTCAGCGGAACGAAGAACCTGCTAGTATCCGTTACCAGCTGCACGGAAACGGAGGCGATGGTGGACATCGTCTTTTCCGGCAGGAAGTACGACAACAGGTCTTTAATCTTGGGGCCGTGCTTCGAGTTGTCCTTCAGCATGGAACCCTTCACGACAATATCGAACGTCTCGCCAGCTTGTGTCCTGACCGCGAATTTCACGTTACGATCCTGCTCATCCATTGCCTTCGATATGATGCCCACGCTCCTCAGCATAGTGTCTGGCGTTATGACTCCGGCGCTCACCGATCCTCCGCGGCTGGCGGGAGGAGCAGCCTTTTCGGCCTCCTTGTTGGCAGCGCCTTGGACGTTAAGTGCCTCTTCCGGCAGCTGGTCTGGCGCTCCGCCGAAAGGCGCGGTGTTGAAGTGGATGCGGGTGATCTGGTCCGCCTCCTGCTGCGACAATCCCCAAAGCGCAACGGTCTTGAAGCTCAAGCCGCCGTGCAACGCGTGCAAAAACTCGCGGTTAGACACAACGAAGTCCTTGGTGTTGCCGTTTGCGAGCTCCACCGAAACCGTCACGTCCTGCTCGGGTCGTTCCTTGAGGATCGACGCCACGTCTGCGATGGACTGGTATTTGCTGATGGGGTCGTCGAGGTTGAACCCGCTCTGGTCCTTGCCGTTGTTAACCGCGTATTGCTGGTGGCCTTGCAGCACCTGCGACAGGGTTGAAAGGATGATCTTCAGACAGTCGACGCCACCGAGGTGTTCCTGAGGAATACCCATGCGTAGAAGAAGGTCAACAACGCTCGGGTGAGCCTTCAGCAGTTGCCGGAATTTCTCGGTGTCGACCTCGACGAACTCACGGAAGCCCTTGCCCTCCATGTCGAAGAAGATGTGGCTGTTGGGCTTGGACTTGAGGAAGTCGAGAGCGCCACCACTGAGCTCCACACCCGTAGAGTAGTCCACGTTTTTGGTACTATCCACGTTGTTGTCGAGGTCGACCTCGAGCTTGAAAGGCGTGCGATGGTCACCGGTCTCGCCGCCCAGCAGGCTGTCGAAGAACAGCGTGAAGTCGTGCGAGTGGTTGAAGTCCCTAATACCACAGGTGTACAATATGTCTTGCATGGAGACTGACGTTAGCAGCCGGTCCAGTTTGGGCAAGTTGCACGTCTTCTCGATACCGTCTATGACGACCTTGAACTGGGCGCCGGACAAGGCGTTCATGTCCACATTAGAGGCGCCGATCTTTGCAAAAACGTCGCGCAGAGGCTCCTGCAGGTCGTTAATAGTGGCGCTGCTGCTGAAACCGTCCTTGGAGAGGATGTTCACTTTCACGGCACCGGATGGATGCAGGTCATGCGGATCGTTTACCAACGAGACCATGTAGCCTTCCTTCCGCAATTCGCTCATCGGCTTGTTCATCAGGTGGACGGGAATGCGGTCCTCGTCAAGCATGGTCTTGTTGCCGACCAGCATCAGCCGCTTGTTTTCCATGTCGGGGATGCGCTTGTGCAGCAAGTTCATGTAAGACGAAAGCGGCTTGTCCGTCTCAGGCAGTTGGAACGTCCTGATCGTGCCGGGCAGGCTGCCGCTGGAATCCGGCCGCACGTTGATGGACGTGTTGCCGTTTATGTAGCCAGATGGGTAATTCAGGTCGTCCATGGGAATGTCGTTCAGGTTGTACTGATGGCCATTGGTGTTCACGCGGATGTTGATCGGAACTCCGGGTTGCACATCGTTCTCATCCATCACGATTTCCCGCACGTAATCGTTGATGCTCTTCCTGCCGTCAACGTTGACCTGGGGTCCATTGTAATCCTGCGGCATGTTCACGAAGACGTTGGGGTGCACATTGGCGAACTCCTTGGGTGGACGGAGCGTGTGGTCCTGGAAGGATAACAGAGGTGAGTAGTCACCTTCTGCTTCGCCGCCCTTCATGGTCACGTTCATAACACCGCCCTCGCTGCCATTTCCGCCCTGAGCGGCACCTCCTTGAACAACACTGCCTTTAACAGAGCCGCCCTTACCAGCGCCCCCTTGGCCTGCACCACCGCTAACAACAACACTTTGAGCTGAACCGCCCTTGCCAGCACCACCTTGGGCGGAGCCGTTGGGGCCGTTTGCAGCTAGGTTCTCGTTAGCCACCTTCTTTACAAACTCCTGGTCCACCGCGAAATCGTGGAGGGTGATGTCAAAATGACGCGAATGGGTGTCATCGACACCACAGTTCTCCAAAATTTCGGATAAGTAGATCGGAGCGGCAATGTTATCCACGTGGCAGTTGCCTTGAACACCGTTGATCATGATTCCCCATTGGGCGTTTTCCAGTTGCTTGGGAGTGTACTTCTTCGTGAGCTGGTCGATCACCGACTTCGGTATTACATCGCCGGGCTTCAGGTGGAAAGCCTGCATGGTGTCGTAATCACCGCAGATGCACGACAAGTTTATCTCGGGGTCACCGCGACCGCTCTCGTAGGACACGTTGAAGTTCATAGAAGGGTTGTTCTGCACGTGCTCCACGTTGACACAGTTCCGGCTGAACTCCTCGAAGTCCATACGCTCGAGGTCAGCGAGGCTCTTGATGCGGCACTCGTGCTTCTGACCGTTGATCTTCACCATCACGTTGTACCCGTTGAGCTTGGATAGCGAGTTACCGTGCATAGATTTCAAGTTGACGATCATCTGCTGCTTTATCGCGTCGAAGTTGTTCTTGTAGTCGTTCACGGGGTACGACATGCCGGTGCTCCAGCTGCCCGCGGAGTTGTACGGGTCGCCGGTGTCCTCGATCTCGAAGACGATATTGTTCATGGGGGTGTGGGGGAACACGCTCGACAGTGTCATGTCGGAAGGCAGATGGTTGAGCTTGTAAGTGCGCCCAATGGTCTCGTTACCCGGGTTCTCACCCCTCACCTTCAGAACATAACGGTCGAGGTTACCCATATCAACATCCGGCTGCTTCTCCAAGTAGTCGTACAGCGGCACGCGCAGATCCTCGTTGTAGTGGACAGCCGAAAACTCGTCGTCGTCTTTGTAAAGCATCTCCACCGGAACACTGCCACCCATGCTGACACCCGACGTGTAGGTCATGTCCTCGCCGAATGGGATAGTCAGACGGAAGTGGTAGAACGTGTTGTCTTCGGGGATGGCAACGGGGATACCACACATCTTGAAGACGGCCTGCAACGTTGCCTTCTTGAACTCCTCCAGATTCTTCAACCACCCTTCGGACTTGCAGGGAGAGAGCAGGCCGTTGCGCACAACAGACATGCGCAGGTTGCCTACGTGTGACAATGTGCCACCGAACATCGACGCCAATTTTGCGTTGAATTCCTTAAGGGGCGACTTCAGGGTCCCGAGCGTGATCGGGATTGTGGAACCGACGCCGACATCGTGCTGGCCTTTGTGGAGCGTGAAGTAACAGAGGGGAGTGCCATCGGCGTTGACGGACATGCGGGTTTTGACATTGCCATTTGACTCCTCGCCTTCCTTGGGAGCTTCCCAGTTGATCTTGAAAACGCTAGGCTTCGCATGTCGTGAATCCATGTTACACATAGACAGAAGCATGTCAACGGTTAGGTTGCGGATCATGTACGCCTCCCGTAGCGCAGATAACGAGCATTTCACAGGCTTGTCGTCGATGAGAATGGAAACGTGCTTCAGGTCGTCATCCGGTAGTTCCATCAGGAAGTTACGCAGCTGCCGGTTTAGGCTGCTCGGGCTGTCCTTGTTTTCATCCAGAATGATCGACGTGTGTACCTCCATATTCTGCTCAGGTTCCATATCGTAGAGTCTGCCTCCATCACGTGCGCGACCCTGCGACTTCGGGTGGATTTTCAGTTCGCTGCACATGCCCAGTGAAGTCAAGGGGCGGTCGAGGATGCCATCCACATGCAACCGTTTCCCTGTCGCATCCACACATTCAACAGAGTACGAATGCAAAGGCGATAGTCCGAAATCGTTAGGCTCCTCCATTGCACGATCGAAGTAGCTCCTTAAGGTCTCGTCGTACTTCGGTTGGATGCGTACATTCATAATGGACGGGACCGCTCCGCGCTTCCTGTCGTTCGCAACGTTGAAGTCAAGTTTCAGAGGCATATTCTTGTCACTGGCTTTGTTCAGGAAATATGACAGCGGCTGGCCTTTGTATTCCTCTCCGTTAATGGTCAATCCCTCTATCTGAGATCCGTCATCCACGCCGCGGAAGTACTTGTTGATCACATTGCGCAATTCCGAAGGACCCATATCATCAGCCATCACAACATGCGATTCAGGGTCAGCGCCGTGCTTATGCATGGACAGGCGGATGTTACGAGGGCCACCGTTCAGGCGACCCTGCTGGCGCTGCAGCTCATCCTTGTTCATGAGAGAGAACACAAACGATCCGATGTGTGACATCTTCAGACCATACAAGTGCTCAATAATCGCAGCGGAGTCGCTCAGATCCACATCGGGGGTTGGCACGTGCTGACCACCAACCAGGGTAACACCCGACATTTTCATAGCGGACGTCAGATGCGCATCCTTACGCGGCAGGGCAACCAGCTCCTCGTAGAGTTCGCGATTGTCGGAGCGAATGGCGTTGCGCAAAATCTCGGACAGCTGTTGGAAGGTCAATTTCGCCAATATGTGGACCGGTACGCCACGACATGCCCCAGCAGCCGAGCGACTGAAGCAGAAAGTGGTGTCCTTGCCGCTCACTGGATCTCTCCAGGTAAGCGTAAGCGGGTGGTCAGAGACGCCGACGCGTACCTTCCGCACGTCATTGTACAGATCATGGGCAGCAAAATCCTCGTCGCTGTATGGGTTGCCACGTTCGTTGATGACCATGGTGGAAATGTCGTTGATGTGGTTGGGCTCGTTCCTGAACTTGACCTCGAGCTGCGGCTCATGCATCAAATTGTGACGTATGGCGCGCTCGAACTCGTCGCGGCCCTCGTGCGGGTGGATCTTCATCGAAAAGTGGGTGGGGATGTCGTCGATGACACCACCTATATCGATGAGGCGCGCGGGCTCGACGTCGAATTCCATGCCGTCGCTAACTTTGTTATCCCACAAACCATCAAGTCCGCCATCATCGTGGCCCTTCATGCGGATGAACATCTCACGCGGGCGGTCGCCGTATTTGCGGCGCTCGATTTCGCTCGCAATCAGGTCCTCGATCTGCTGCTGGCTGGCGCCGTAGGGGACGTGAACGGAGAACTTATGCACTTTGCCGTCATCGCTGGTGAATCGGATTGGGAATTCATACCGAGCGTCTGCCTCTGCAGCCATCCCTCTCAACTTAGTCCCGGCAGGGAAATGGCCCTGCTCATCGGGGTTGACGAACATGTTCATAAGGACCTTCCTCTTGCCGTCAAGCGGGTGGAATCGGAGTTTTGTATGCAGGTTTTCGTCAGGTCTCAAAAAGTTGCGCACGTGGAGCTCATTCTCGAAAGCGTTCCTGATGTCGGCTGCTGAAGGTCTGGTCGTCGGCAGCTTGATTTCAAAGGTGTCACGCTTCCCGTCGTTTTCGGTGAAATAACCTATGAGGTGCGGGTCGGCCTGTAATGTTATGTGCGAAGTGTGACCCAGCATCTGTTCCTTCGGAATATCGGCCAAACTCGAAATCTTGGTCTTGTCGGTCAGGTCACCGCCATCGGTACGCACGATGTTCACGAATCTCAAATCATCCGGTGTTATCAGATAACCATCCTTCTCGAACTCTCGAACGATTGCGTCCTTCAGCACAGACATGTCGCTGTCGTCGACATACTTCACAGTTATGCGTTTGGTCTCAGTCCGTGTCCCGTCAGGGTTAGTCAGGTCGACGTCGAAAATGTAGTTAGCGGGCTTGCTGTTCAGGTAGAAGAAGTCAATAGTATGCGTACGACGGTTCGAACATGCCTCGCCAAACGGCAGTTGCTCGATGGTTAGGTTCTTGCGCACCTTCATCAGTTCGTACAGGTCGGGTTCTTCCATAGGGCAGCCGGGCAGGGAGTACGCGTAAACGCGATACACATTCTTGTCCTTACCGCCACGAGCCTTCCTCACTATATCACGACCCACGTTAACCACGTCAATAGCGGGGGTGTGAACAGCAAAACTTTTGCTGGATACGAAACTGTCCAGGTAGTTGAACCGAACCGTCACATCTGGCATGAACGTCAACTTCTCATCAATTTCAATTGGCATCTTGGCGGGGTTTTTGCCGTTGAACCCTTTGGAGCCCTCGTGGAGTTCGTTGATGCCCACCAAAGTGAAGCCATCCGCATTCTCACCAAGGCTGTCATGAGCTAGCTGGGACAGGCGCTTTCGGTTTTTGAGAGTCTTCACGTAATCGTCAATGGTCATGTTGCCCAACTCGTGGTTAAAGTTCTCCGATGTTGGGGAGTACGGTTCCTGCACGTTTGCCTCCAGGCGAATCATAGGCTTTACTGTGACCTTAATGACCGTGCCTCCAGATTCCACCAATTTCGCAATAGCCTGGTATGTGGCCGCATCGTCCTTGTAGCGGTTACCGTTCACTTCGGTGATGGTGATCTGGTGGTCCAAGTCTATGCCTAGCGCCTGCAAAATGGCGTAACGGACATGGTCAATATCCTCAAAGTCGCGACGGAAGTTCAATCCATCGGTGTGAATGTAGATCTTCTGCTGCTTGTTCTTGCTCAGACCGGAAACGTAAACGGCAATCGGGATTTGACCAGCGTAACCAACCGCGGGTACCTTGGTTTTGCATTCGAACTGTATGTGCCCCATACCATTCTGCGATCCTTTAGGTGCAGGCACCCATTTCACGTCACACTTGGTGAATTTCCGTTGCTTCAGCGCGGTCAGGATCGACATCGTGTGGCTGTCTTCATCACTCATGGTGAAACGGCCCTGAATAACGCCGCTGGGGTCGAGTAAGTCAAGATGAGTGTCAACCAGCTCCATGTTGACGTCGCGGAATTTGTACTTTTTGGCAGGTTTGAACTGCGATAAGATGAATCTCCACAATGTTGGGAAACGCTTACCGAAGACTTGAAGAGTGAACCTATAAATCCGAACGGATTTGAGCTCGGGGCTGCTGCCGGTTCGGAATTAGCAGCCGTTTTGCGCCGGAAACTGATGAGACTCTTTGAAGACGTCTTCGACTCCGGTGCTGGCGTCGGTGCAGATGCCGGTGGTGATGCTGATGGTGGCGCTGACGCTGGTGCCTCCGTATGTGCCGGTTCGCTTGTCGGTGCATCCTCAGGAGTGTTGGCGATCTCCATGAAACTTGAACCGGTGGCACCTTCGTCATTGTAATCGTATAGCTCCAAAAATCCCTCAAACTCGGCTCCCATACCCACAACTGAAAAATATGATGGGGTGCCACTAGCAACGTACCAGTGAAAGGGTTCCTTTCGCGATCTCCGACATTCTCAGCAGTGTTGTTGTCATTGTAATCAATTGCATCGGTCGCAGAAGATTTCTCAGACACAATTGCATATGAATGGTCTTTTGTGTGAGGTGACACCTCCACGGCGTCTAGCGCCGAGGCGCATGCTGCGCCACATATTAACGCCAAGAGCCAGGCATAACGCCGCCAAGCGCCCTTAACACGAGCGCCTATCAGGCTGCGTGAATGCCCTGCGATGGCGCCAGAAACAATTTCGTCGTTACCCATTCTCCGCCAGTGGTGTTCACATCGTCCACGATACCTATCGCACCAGTTGAAAGGCGTCAGTTGACAAAACAGCGCACAGCGTTGCCATAACTTTTCCAGATGTTTACAGGGGTTGCACAGCAACAGACGCCCCGTCCAGTCCCAGTTTGGAGTACGAAACAGCTACGAGCGTTCTCACCAATCCAGGCCAGTCAGTAGCGACACAGTCGCTCAAATGCCTACACACTAGCATGAGTTACGTTTACGAGCGAGAAACACGTACATATATTCACTGCTAACGGCGCAAGCAGAGCGCTGATGATGACACCGCAACGCATATAACCTAGACAAGGGGAACACACCGTACACATGAACACCAAATACATACACATCCGTTCATAACCGTCACATTAACAGCACTATACATACACAAAGCGCGAAACACAGCTAAAAACGCCGAAAGAACGGAGCCATGCTCGCACATGTCTCATGCGCAAACATAGACGAACGCAACTTACCGAACTACACCTTCACAGTACGATCTGTACCGCTTATTTTACAAAGCAAAACGGCTTTTAGATGTCTACTGCGTCGACTACGGGTATCACGCCGGAATTAGACAGCGGAACCTTTGTTACAAACAGAGGCTGTGCCGCCGGCCGTGATGTGTTTCGTGTTACAAGGCAAGGTATCGACGCTTTTATAACTGTGTGAGATACCCTGGATCTGTTGTGACAGCGCAGGAGCGTAAGGCCGGCCGGTCGCCGCTACATAACACTAGACAGGGCAGCAGAAGGTGCGCCCTAGTGCAAAGGACAAAGCAGATCATAAATTGATGCGGAATTGTCATATTTGTACCCGGAAAATATTTTGCAAAGTTTGTCGCGCATCTAGAGCATCTTTATCGCGAATTAACGGCGAGAGCCACGACAGAGCTGCGGGGGAGCCCCAACGCGACACGCATCCCACCCAAATCACTCACGGACACAGGAATATATAATGCTGGCTGTAAGGTAGCATACTCTCTACCTAGATACAGCGACTTATGTCTGCCTACACGAATTGCAGTAAAACATTGACCACATTAGCAAAAGGTTAGCCAAATGGCCACGGCGAAAAATCACAATCTTCTACCTCTCCTACCGCACTTTCTCCTGGTGGAGTCAGTAGGGATGGGAGTGACGTCTTCGATCCTGCCGATCTTAAGTCCGGAACGGGCAAGCGAACGAAGGGCAGATTGCGCACCGGGACCGGGGGTCTTGGACCTCGTGCCTCCAGTAGCGCGCAGCTTAATGTGAACGGCGGTGATGCCAAGCTCCTTCAGCCTTGCAGCAACGTCCTGGGCAGCCATCATAGCAGCGTAGGGGCTCGACTCGTCACGGTCAGCCTTCACCTTCATACCGCCTGCATAATGGTTAGTGCCGCAATAAATTTTTATAATTGAAAAATCGACACCCATGGTGCACGATAGACTGTAACAATCACCCAGAACACAACACGTTGAAGCTTGCACTCCCACATCGTTCTCAAACGAAAACACAGCAGGTGCGAGCATCCACACCCAGAGCAATTACAAAGCTAAGTAACATACCGGTAACACGGACGAGAGTCTCACGGCCAGAAAGATCGGTGACGTGGATGAAGGTATCGTTGAAGGAAGCGAAAATGTGAGCCACACCGAAGACCTGTTCACCCTTGTTCTGGGGGCCGAGGGGAGTGCTGGCAGCGGCCGCAGGAGCCGCCGCGGCGGTTTCACCCGCGTTATCGGCGGCCGCCTTGGAGGCCTTCTTGGACGACATGTTTATCTGAAAAGTTGTGAACCGCGGCCTACCACAGGGAAGATACAAACGCCCATACGAAGGTGGAGTAACACCACAGCGACATATAATAACGCCACGTACGGGAGCTAAGAATCAATACGCACACATATCGAAATTTAGTAAAGCGTGAATCGATGACACCGGCGACGACGGTGCATCAGCAAGCAGCCGGTACAAAAACTCACCGACAGTGTCTGGCAGTTGTGCGACAATCGGACCGGCAAAGTAACAATATGGCAGCGCCGACTTGCCTACTGATACAGAAGAGGTAAATATCCAAAAAATGGACGATGGTAATATGTGGAGCGGCGTATTCCACGGCAACCAGAGACCACGAGGTGATGACCCCCACCTTGCGGAGCTCATGTGAGGCACCGACGTCCGATGGAAGGACGGGTTACGCAACGCCTATACAGCCTCTATAGTTTATTGAACGTCTGTATAAATCTAAAATAGTGTGGGTTGAGGATGCTAGCGCCCAATTAGAGGAACCCCGGCGGTATGCCGCGCGTTCTGACCCGCTCGTGTCATAATCTTTCAATGCTCATCCATTTTATCCATAAACGATAGCAGAATACATCAACGCTTTGTATGGAGGCCCCTTTTAGCCACTTCGCGCTCATGGTTGCCTGCCATCCGGCAATGGTTGTGATGGGCTACAGCGGCAACCTCCCCTCTGCTGTTACACGCACTGACGAGCTCCGGAACGAATTCCACCTCGACTTATATATTGATGATCTAGAGCGGTGCTGATGTGCAGGAAACGGCGATGGTGGTTCGTTTCCGTGACTACGGTAGGCCACCATACGCGGAAGGTCACGTGCCGGAGTCTTCTACCGGCGCAGCACATATTACACATTTGTAGAACAAAATAACAGACGTCATGTGGTGCGATAATAATTCGCCTACATCTTGAGCGGCGCATGTTCGCCTTGGTGATGGCTGATGCGTTTTCTCCTCCTGGAAACAGCGTTGGCGCTTTTTCTTATCGCAGTGTACGAATTCATCGCCATCACCAGTGCATATCGGTTAACACGCCATAGCGGGCAGGATTACCCGGAATTGCGTGGTAGAGCTGCGTATTCTAGTGGAAGGCAGAAAAGCTTGTGGAGACGACAGCGGCTTGAGGCACTACCAGAACAGTATTATACCACAGACGGAACATGGGTTACGCAAATTCCACGGGGAATGACGACAACAGGTAGTGGCGGGGCTGATAACATCAGCTCGCCCGTTATAAACGACAGCTCCGTTGAGAGTCCACGTATCGCACCAACAACGCCACCGGCAGGTACCGACTCCTCGTCCATTAATCGCTCTGATGACGCTTCATGTGACATTCCAGGTGAAATGTCGGAGCCATCAGAGATTGTAGGATGCAAGAAAGTATATCGGACGCCATCAGGATCGGATCCCACGACCCAGCATGCCTTGACGAACATTGTCATGACCGTCGAATATGATGGCGGCGAGTATAACGGTTTTGTGGGACCGAACCACTTTTACAATGATGAAAGGCTTGCGATGACTTCGAATCATCTTGACGCCGAAAGCCAACGAGATACGTCGGCAAATAAAAGCGTTAGCAATGAGGTGTTGCGGGCCATAGCAGTCATACATGGTTATATACCTAATCGCAGGAAGCGAAAGAAGAAAACGGCTCAGGTGAACATAGATGAGGAAGCTGAGTATGATGTGGAGGACGACACGTGCACCTATACCATACCTGCCGAACGCAGATTTACACTAATTGCGTCCAGCCGAACGGACAAAGGTGTACACGCGACAGAAACGGTAAGGTGCAATGTTTAATGCCTTACGCTTTCTTTAGGCCTGCCAATACCTTTCATTTGACCGCGAACCCCCCTTTAACGGCGACCTTGACGCCTTTATGGAAAAGGTTAACCGCATTTTGCCCGAAGATGTTCGCGTCACGGCAATGATCGCAGCACCGAATCCCGATGTGAGTTTAAGTTAGATCACATATGTGACATTTCCTTGTGGTGTACCATTTCCGTCTTGAATGCCCATGAAACGAAAGGTTTCTGCCCACAAAAAACGCATTTATGTAAACGCCAGTGTATGCAACAATACAGTTATGCGTATTAATTGGTGATTTAAAAACATAACTCTGCAGTTCAACGTCAGATTCGACAACGTAGGCAAATGCTACACCTATAAGGTCGATCTGTCGGAATGCCCCAGCCTTTTCGAGAGGAAGCATCGCTGGCAGATTGTGGCGGACTCACAATTCAGAAACACTTTGCTGAAAAGTCGGTTTAGAATTCATAGGGCGGCGAAACACATACCTCCAGAATACAATGAAGTAAGAGAAGAATTTTCTTTCGATCGCGTGCGAGAGGCAGCTGACGTCATCCAGGGCACGCATAACTTCGAGGTAAGCAGCATATAGATATTCCTAAACTGTATCATAGGGATTCCGCAAAAAAAGCCGGGGCAATGAAAAGATGATAACGAAGAACCCCATCTGTACCATACAGCGGATAGACATTCAGCGAAACAACACTGAAGTTGGACAAAACAAATTTCAGTTCGTAATTCACGGGGACAGATTCCTGTACAAAATGGTACGAGGCATAGTCAGCCATGCAGTATTGGTAAGGATCCCGCCGGAAACGCCTATCATTCGCAGGTTGGATACGGTGTTCTTAAAGCGGACGACATCAGGCTTATGTTGGAACGAGGGGAAGCGATACCAGACATACCATATGCTCCAAGCAACGGACTATATCTCACTAAAGTCAAATTTCAACCAGATGTTGAAGAAGCCATAAGGAGGTCTAAGGAGAGGCGCACCCAGCGTCTTAGAAGCTTACTCAAACCACTTGTAGAGCACTGACCTAACACCCCGTGATACTAATTGATGTGTAATGTGATTATCTGTCTAACGTGTGGCACTATGTTGGTGCCTGATGGCGACATAAAGACATTCCGTGGACAACGTATGGTTCCGGAATCATATCAAAGTGATCCATCGAAGGCAGATATACATGTGATAACTAATCATCTTGAATACGGCATGCTTGTCTGAGTGAGTTCAACAACCTGCCAACTGTTCCTAGAATTTTACCTTTACGTAGGTGAGAGACGTAAGCCTCCAGCCAACGCATAAATCGACAGATGTCATAAGCAGCCACTTAAAGTGTGCTACAGAACTTGATACGCTGTTTCGTAGTGTCTCTCAATTTAGTAGGTCCCATTACCTGTGACATTTTCGTCAACATAATACCACATGGGCTCGCATACCACACCGGGACGCAGAGATAGTGTGATTTTTTCAGTGATTACAACTGCTCATTCCAGAAGTCTCAGATATGTGCATCTAGTACACTCAGCTCCCTGGTGATCATACGACTTATGTCAATGTAGTAACGTCCTTCAAGAACGAATGCCTGCCGTTGTGTATGTAGCCACTTACAACAAATCATCCATGACGTAAAACATATCCAACATGTTATAACTGCGTAATGCCGTTCTGAGGCGACCTTAACTCATAGGGCCGCCATTAGAACAACAGCTACCATGATTTGAATAACCGTTCTTCCTATTATCAGATGCCCCGATGACATTTTACTATCCTTCGTGTCACGTATATTGCCGACATTTCCCTCTGTGGTTTGTGATGTATCCAGCCCACCTGTGGTTTTCCCTCCACCCGTGCCCTGCATACTTGTTCGCTCTAGCTTGGGTGTAGGTTCCTGCTGTTTGCTCGCGTCTGCTCTGGGCGTCTGCTCCTCTGGTTTGTTTTCCTTTGGCGCAATTGTGGTTCCATTCGGCACATGTTTTTTTGATGTGGTTGTGCCCACCTCTTTATTGGTTGGCTCCGGCGATGGTGTAGGTTCCTGCTGTTCGCTTTCCTGTGGTGGAGGTGTGGTATCATTCGCCTTGGTTGAGTGTGGTAAGGATGTGGATAACTTTGGCTCGGTCGAATTTGTCAAGGGTGCGCTTACGACCTCTGTTTTGCCTGGGTGTCTGTTTGGTGTAGTTGTGGGTCCATTGGGTTCTCTTTCTGGTATTGTTTCGCTCGTCTTGGTATTTTCGGTTTCGGGCTTGACTTCCTGTGGTGGTGTTGCTGCTTTGGCCTGCGACTCCAGTGTTCGTGGTGGTGGCACAGGCTCCTCCGGTGTGTTTGGTGTCGTCTCCTCCTGCTTAGATGTAGGTGGTTTGGGTGCAGGTTCCTCTGATTTGCTTGGGTGCGGTTTGGGTGGGGTGTCAATTGCTTTGGGTGCCTGCGCTGGTGGTGTGGGTTCCTTAGCCTCGGTTGTCTGTGATGAGAGTTTGCTCATACTATGTGTAGATTGGATTTTATTCAACTCTTCTTCAACGCACTCCAGCATCCCCAGTATATTCGACGCGGCCCGATTGATGTCCCCCAGATAGGTGGAATGTAAGAGTGTTCCGTACTCCTCGAAAGCTATCTCGAGTTTTTGTTGCTTTTCTATCAACTCTGATGCTTTAAGGGATTTCGGATCTATCTTTCTCAGCTCATCAGTGATATCGTTGTAACGCGTGTAAATATCCCATGCCTTTCCGATGTCTCTCAAGTTGTCACAATACGTGTCGTACTGATTTTGAATATCGAGAATTACTGCATTATATGGAGATACATCACTATCTGCTGTGTATAAATTTATGTGATTCATCAAAGGGGCATTTAATATTCCCTCTATGCGTTTCACCATTTCTTCAACGTCACCCAATGTTTTTAGTAAAGAGCGGTCGTTGAGTAATTTTCGCGTAGTTTCATTGCCACCCTTAGGCGCTGGCGCATTGTCTCCTTCATCTATATGGCGTCCTCCTGTACCTCCCACTAAAACTGGGTCGATTGCGGTTGCATTCCCCCCTCTATCCGCCGATGACCCTTGATCGTGAGAGTCGGGCGACTGTGATGTCTGGACCTTATATTTTCGAAACAACTTCTTTGCCCTTTTCTCGGTGTCTCTGTAATACGATGCGTTGTCATAATTTAATGTTATTGATGCGAACTCTTCTTCATCTTTGAATCGCTCTACCAGATTCTTCAAAGCGTTTCTAAGTTCACTCAACCTTTCCGGCGTTACATGTTCTCTTTGAAGACCTCTATTTATGGCACGGTATTCGTCGAGCATCTTTCTTAGTTCAGTGTAATGCCTGTGTGGACTGCTCACGCGTTTAACATCAAGCATGAGTTGACGACACTCATCCGCATCTGCTTCTTTAACTTCAGGTGAAGCCTTAGATAGGAGTATATTCGGAAGTAATTGCGTCAGATCATCACTAAGTCGCTTAATAGACCAAGAAAGTGATTCTAGCACTTTGACTTTACGATAGAATTCTTCATTACCGCCGTAGAACCTAATGCCAACGTCCAGCGGTTCTGCACTATACGAACCACCCAATCTGCCGGGAATATCCGCACGCACATAATTGATGGACAGCCCATAAAAGCAGAGGAGTGATGCGATTATTCGCCGCACTAACTGATAAATTGACGTCATTTTTGCTGAAGACAATGCAAACTTATCGTAGAATTACAGCGATGGATATGATAACGTTAATATTACACGGCGAAATATAGACATTTGTCTTGTATACGGCGGTAAAGAGCTCCTAACAACTAATGATCTTGTTGAGGTCGAATGCCTTAGGCGTATGATGTGGTGGAAGAACGAAATAGTCGCATTTAACAAAAGTTTGTTGATTCAAATTTACATACATGTGGCACATGAAACGTAACATGTATAATGCATCGTGCAATAATGGCGCCTGCAGTTGCGTTGCGGCTCGGTAGTGATTTTCCTCGTAGCTTGTTTTCGTGCTGCTGCACCTAGACAGTAATCAACGATCCACAAATCGTTTTATTACCTTATATCAATTAGAGTGGGTTTATAGTGTAACTAAGAACTCAGTGCGAAATGTTGCATTGATTTTTAAATTAAAAATTGTATTTTTGTTTAGTGTGCTATGTGGTTACGTGGCTTAGGGCCGATTTCCGTGTTTACCAGGCAAGAGCCTTAGGCTGCTGGTGTCAGTTGCGGGATCCATGTCGAATTATCGTACACTACAGGTACCATCCATTGTGGTATCCATCCTGTTTGGGCGCGAGGGTCAGTCACAGAGTCATAATCTTCTCTGGGTTTCATGTCCGTCAACATTAGCTTTTGTGTTTCTTGGATCACTACCAGTTGTATATGGGCTTCTAAGCGATCCGATATGCCCATGTCCCGCTTGTACTTGGTGTGTTCTTTTGTCACTATTCCCTCCCACGTCATAACGAAGGGGATTGCCCCAACCCTCATGTGTTGGTTGAATTGAGGCGCATTGATGCCACTCAACAACAAACTCACCTAACTCACCACACAGCAACTTACCGCGCAGCCTGACACGTAACCTAATAGCTTACCAAATGCGTGACCTATTGCCTAATCAATTATTTGGCAGACAATCTAGTTTACGCGTTAAATTGTTCGTTATTTGGGGCGTCGCCGCGTGCGTTATTCGTGACCTGGAAACTTCATCATCCCGTTGCCTCAGTTTAATGTGAAGCTGGGTGGTTGGCCATCAACGTGGGCAGTTGTCGACTGCTGTGCTAGCTGAGTTACTTGGTTGTTTGCTAGATGAGTGCTAGACATGTTAGTTATCATGTGAGTTGCCAGGCAACGGATGCCACCGAAGCTCCCCTACGTGATGACCAGTGGGCGGCCTACTTGAGTGACATTTATGGCCACATTGCTGGGATTACTAACATGGTAAATACGCACCGTAGCTCACTTAAATGCTCAGTGGCGCTACAATAAGGGGCAAGTGTACAATAGGTATTCTGCCCGTGACTCGAAGTAAAAAACGTGTCCGGTGCGCTGCATGTCTACTGTGGTATCCCTAGCGGTGGGTCGTGTAACACTTGTCGGAGACCGCTTGGCGATTATGATGTTCGGTGCTCAATGTACGTGTTTCATCGCTGTGTAGGTTAGTGACAGCTGGGGTAGAGGAAGATGTCGCAGAAGGATTGTGATTGTGGTGAACCATGTGAATCATTTGCCTGCAAGTGCTGTCCCTGGTGTTGTGAAGGATACAAGAGTGGAAGTTGCTTGAAATGTTTTGACATACCAAGATCGCATAGACAAATATAATTGTGATAATGAGAACTGTGAAACCAAATGTAAAAATAAGAACGCTTGTGAATGTCCATGTTGTAAAAGTAAACGTGAACGCCCTGAATCCGGCGTGATGGAATCCACCAGTACACTCTCCGTCACCAGTGCCAAAGATTCCACCACCGATGTCATCGCTTGTGCCATCGTTCCCATCATTGCAATCATCCTCGTCGCCGTCTGCGTCATGAGCGTCTTTCGCATTAGACCGTTCCACAAGGTCCGTGATTGTTTCACCAGCATCTGAACGTTTTGTATCGCATTCTTTAATCGCTTCCGGCTTTCATTATAATCGCACTTATCGCACCGTTATCAACATAACCAGCATGATGCCAACGCAATAACGTATTAGTTAATGTTTAAGATATTGCATCGGCGGGTACCCGGTGAATGCGTTCATGAGTTACATATTAGCAGTGCATTAGTTATAAAAACGGGGTTGACAGCTCAATGTAGCATCCGCTCGCACCTCCTCACGTTCAGGATCTCCCACCTCATCGACGTCAAGGCGCTACTCAGTCACATGTAAAAACGGCTTTCACTGTACCGTGACGTTGACTACTTCGACGATGACTTTGGCACGTGACAGTAATTATAACAGCTACAATACATTACATTGCTCTCTTTGTGTTGCCATGTCGTGTCACGTCTCTCATGGTGACTGTACCTCGTGCCTTGCCTAGCACCTAACTCATCGCCTAACCAAATGGCTTACCTACCACCTAACCAAACGGCTAACCTAGCACTTAACCAAGAGGCTTACCTAGCACCTAACCTATGATGTAACCTACCACCTAACCTACACTGTACTTTATGCCCTGAGCTGCCCCTTGCTTGCCGTCTTGGTCATCCACATCAGCAACCGACTGCCGTCGTCCTACTCTGGCGGTGGGACATGATGAACATAATGTGGCAGTGATTTGCCATATCATTGTTGCAATTAACACCGCACACAACACTCTTCTTTATCATGTTACCTCCTTAAATTCTTGGATCATCGAGGCGGAGACAATCCGTGCTGCGGCAGAGGCTAAGGCCAAGGAAGCCTACGACAAGTTGAAGGTTAACCAGACTCTGGACGCCAATGTTAAGAAAATTGTGGCAGCCAAGGAAGAAATTGAAAAAGTTCATGGAAATCTGGGAAAGGTTCACGGCAATTTGGGAGCGTGGAAGACTCAGGCCAGGAGTGTGCTTCAAGGGGCGATTGACAAGGCGACGGAAGTTCATGATGCTTTGGATATAGATGGTAAAGGAGACAAGTTAAAGACACAGATTGAAGGAATTGATAGTGCTAGACAACAAATTGTGTCTGCGAATTCGCAACTTGGCAACCATGTCTCCAGTTTAGGTAAGTGGAGGGATGCCGCCAAGGATGTTATTAAGAAGGCGGATGAGAAGTGTAAAGAAATTTTGGAGAAAGTTAGCACTAAGTCCCCAGAAAGTGTTATTTACCAGCAATCTGGAGAATTACAAAAGAAAGGTACGACACTTCTGAGGGCGGCACAGGAGGCTAAGAAAGCTGTTGCGAAGCAAGTCGGTGAGGCCTTGAAGGCTGTTGTGGCCATGGACACAGATCTCAAGAGGGATTTGAAGAGTGTTAAAAACAAATTGAAGAAAGGTATTGAAGACGTGATTAGGATTTTGCAGGTTAATGAGTTGGGTAATAAAGTGAAGGATGATTTGGGGACGTTGAGGCAGAAGATTGAGGGGCTTAAAAATAATATGGATGATGATTCCAAACCTAATGAGCTTGTTAAACAGGCGTTGGAAAACCTTGCAGAAGAGAAGCAAACTCTTGAAAAAGTTACCCATAAGGACACCGGCTCAATTAAGAGGGAGATGGATAAGCTTTACAACAATTTTAAGACTGCGATCCAAAATCCGCTTGACACAAAAGTCAGTGAAGTTGACTCGGCGATTGTGGCGCTTGGCGGGAAGTTTGGTATACAACCGGAGGGTGATAAAAAGAAACTTCATAAGATTTTTGATAAAATTAAAGAGGAAGTTGGGAAGATTAAGGGGACGCCAAACCCCAAAGCAGGTCTGGAGGGGATTGTCAGTGGACTGCAGAATTATGCTAAGGTTATTGGCAACAATGTGGGTAAGACGAATGGCGGAACAGTGAGTCACTGGGTCATGAGGATTCTGAACGGAAATGTGTTGGTTGGTGGATGGATTGATGAGTATGTTAGTCATAACAATGGCAACTTTCAAGATAGTACAGTGACTGCCGAAAATCAAAAGGCTGCAAAAGTGAAAACCGTTATACAGAATAAGATTCAAGAACGTATTAGAAGCGTTAAACCGAAACCAACGGGTACGAAAGATGTTGGTGAAACTTTGAAGGAGATTCAGGCGTTTCATAATGCCGTCTCTCAAACGATTAAGGCAGAGCTCGCCCCGGATAAGGCCGACGAGATTGCAGGGAAGGTTAAGAGTGATGTGTATTATGCGGGGGGAGGCAACAAAATTGAACATCTCCAAGGCGCAATCAAGTCCACCCTCGCACAGCTGCCTGTGCTGGTCAAAAATTCGGGAGACGAAATAAACACATTCGCCGACAGCAACGCCGCACTTGCCAAGTTGGACGGCATTCTTCAACAAGCCACCACGCTTCACGGCCAGCTTAAAGCGGCGACTAACCCTGACCCTCCCACCGCCACAGAAAGCCCCGCCGAAGCCGTGGACAGTAAGTTGAACGCAGTGAGGGAATTCGTGGATGGGAAAAATAGTGATAAAGATCTCGCCAAAATATTTAATGAGAAAGTCACGGATGAACTTACCAAAGCAGTTAAAGAACTTCCCGGCGCCGTTTCCACTTTCAACCAACAAGCTCAAACACAGATCAGGGCTGCGGCCAAGAAGGCGATTACAGCGGCGGCTGAGGAAATCAAGACAGACAGTAGTGGCATTAACCTGAAGGACACGATGTCCAATTTTCACAATGTCTACAAAGATATCCATCAGCTCGAGGAAAAACTTAACGGTCAAGTTGATGAACACATTGGGAAGGATGATAATCAGGCAGGTGGTACAGGTGTTACAGCAGATAAAGTCACCATTACTAAAGACAATTTTGGAAAATATTATGAGCACGTTAAACAAGACTCAGATGGCCTTATGAAGGGTTATCTAAAAGGCGAGTCAGATGAAGGCAAGCTTCCAGAGGTGATCGGGAAGATCAAGGCTGAGGTGTACAATGCTTTGCAAATGATCGAGCCAGGTTTCAGTTCCAGTCCTCGTGTCAATAAAATAGATAAAGATACCTTCGAAAAGCCAGCAAAAGCAATTGAAAAAGAACTGCGAGCAATCAAGGAATTGGTAGATGATGTCGACGGGGAAGTTGTTAGGTAGTGAGCTAGGCGAGTGTGGCTGATGTTGTGTGTCAAGGTTGCAGGTTGAGCATCTCACTAAACGTGTAAACGCGTAGCGCTGCCAGAAGAGATTGAGAGGTTACGCGGTGAGATGATGACGGGCTCAGATGCGACCGGACGTAAATAATAGATTGCACAATGTTCATACCGTTTTCTAACTAATGCGCCGCTACGATGTAACTCATGAACGTGTCACCGGCTACCTGGCGCTGCACTATTTCGAAACATTAAATAGGACGTTACTATCTAGGCTTAGTGCCGGTAATGTCTAAAACGGTGCGATAAGTGCGATTATAATGAAAGCCGGAAGCGATTAAAGAATGCGATACAAAACGTTCAGATGCTGGTGAAACAATCACGGACCTTGTGGAACGGTCTAATGCGAAAGACGCTCATGACGCAGACGGCGACGAGGATGATTGCAATGATGGGAACGATGGCACAAGCGATGACATCGGTGGTGGAATCTTTGGCACTGGTGACGGAGAGTGTACTGGTGGATTCCATCACGCCGGATTCAGGGCGTTCACGTTTACTTTTACAACATGGACATTCACAAGCGTTCTTATTTTTACATTTGGTTTCACAGTTCTCATTATCACAATTATATTTGTCTATGCGATCTTGGTATGTCAAAACATTTCAAGCAACTTCCACTCTTGTATCCTTCACAACACCAGGGACAGCACTTGCAGGCAAATGATTCACATGGTTCACCACAATCACAATCCTTCTGCGACATCTTCCTCTACCCCAGCTGTCACTAACCTACACAGCGATGAAACACGTACATTGAGCACCGAACATCATAATCGCCAAGCGGTCTCCGACAAGTGTTACACGACCCACCGCTAGGGATACCACAGTAGACATGCAGCGCACCGGACACGTTTTTTACTTCGAGTCACGGGCAGAATACCTATTGTACACTTGCCCCTTATTGTAGCGCCACTGAGCATTTAAGTGAGCTACGGTGCGTATTTACCATGTTAGTAATCCCAGCAATGTGGCCATAAATGTCACTCAAGTAGGCCGCCCACTGGTCATCACGTAGGGGAGCTTCGGTGGCATCCGTTGCCTGGCAACTCACATGATAACTAACATGTCTAGCACTCATCTAGCAAACAACCAAGTAACTCAGCTAGCACAGCAGTCGACAACTGCCCACGTTGATGGCCAACCACCCAGCTTCACATTAAACTGAGGCAACGGGATGATGAAGTTTCCAGGTCACGAATAACGCACGCGGCGACGCCCCAAATAACGAACAATTTAACGCGTAAACTAGATTGTCTGCCAAATAATTGATTAGGCAATAGGTCACGCATTTGGTAAGCTATTAGGTTACGTGTCAGGCTGCGCGGTAAGTTGCTGTGTGGTGAGTTAGGTGAGTTTGTTGTTGAGTGGCATCAATGCGCCTCAATTCAACCAACACATGAGGGTTGGGGCAATCCCCTTCGTTATGACGTGGGAGGGAATAGTGACAAAAGAACACACCAAGTATAGGCGGGACCTGGGCATATCGGATCGCTTAGAAGCCCATATACAACTGGTAGTGATCCAAGAAACACAAAAGCTAATGTTGACGGACATGAAACCCAGAGAAGACTACGGCATTAAACTACAATCGCTCCCAAACAGGATGGATGCCACAATGGATGGCACCTGTAGCGTACGATAATTCGACATGGACCCCGCAACTGACACCAGCAGCCTAAGGCGCTTGCCGGTAAACACGAAAATCGGCCAAGGCCACACGTAGCCACATAGCACATTTAACTAAGCCAAAACAAATATAAGAAGTCTAATCTAAAACATAAGAGGTAAATAATGCCGTCCCACTCTTCAGGCGTTGTGCAATTACATCTTAATAGAGTGTATACCGTGTTGACTCCCGAATGGTCATCTAAAAGCGCGATCGAACACCCAGGAGGTATACGTTTTACCGACGTCATGGTCTGACTCAGAATCTGATTCCCTTGTGAGCCGTGATTTGCCACCGGTGATTTGCGATAAAAAGTCACGCTGAAATGCCTTTCCCGCCGATCTAAATGCCCTGTCGTCCTCGTTGTCCGAACTGGAATCGGAATCCGATGTGGAGCGATTAGTTCGCTGCCTCAGGAAAGCTCCGTGACCAGCTACGCTGTTCAGAAGTGCTTCGACGGTCGATGCGATGCGGCACTCCACTTTGTCCCCCGCGAAATCGTATGTAATGCCGTGGAACACGCTAACTGCAGGTTTTTGCATGATGCATTTTCCTCCGAAATAAAGCAGAATCGATGATGGTGCTTTCGCTGCCTTACCCTCCGCACGAAGAACGCGGTCAGCATTCCCGATTGTGAATTTCACAGTTGGATGTCTGCGAGCGAGTTCATTCCACGCATCCCTGAGATATACGGATTCCTGGCGATCGTCTACCAGCAGCACTGGGATGTACTGCCCAGCAGTAGACAGCAGATCAGGCTGCGATGCTTCGGCGTTTGGGCCACAGTCATCTTGAAATCCATCTCCGCCCCCAGAACTGTCCTTAGATGCGGGTTCGGTTGCCTTCGATGCATTTGTCACCTCGCGGATGAAGTTGTCCCCGGTGATGTTGACGGGAACCCCGAAAGTAACTTGCTTCCTCGATTGTACCTTCTTCTTCCACGCCTCTAGGCGCGCCTCCCGCATAAGTTCGTGTTCGGCGATCTCCACAAGCCGGGCGTCGCGGACCTCATTGGTTTCGGGGACGTCAATCTTCGGCAGGTTACCGTGCTTGCGCTGCAAGTCGTCCCACTCCGTCGTTATATTAGTCGGGTGTGTGGTAGACATTTTTGCAATTAATTAATAGTAGCTGTCCAGGTGTGCCTTTGTATTCTACGGCTCGTAAGCCTCCACGACATCATTGACTTGCACGTCGTTCCACCCCTCGAAGGTCATGCCACACGACTGCGCCTCAACCGCCTCATCGGTACTGTCAGTTGTGTGTCGCAATGACGCTAGCTTGCCCTGCGACTCGTCAGTGGAACAGCTTGTTGACTCACCGCGTAAACTGGTCTGTTGTTGCGTAGAACACGGATCGCGCTGCTCTTGGGGATTCTGCCTCTAAGTACCACACATCCAGCAGCCTTGGCATTCTGAGGCATTGTGTATGGTCAGGTACTCGGCAATTCTCACCTTCGCGGCGTCGAACACCTTCAGCACCCGCGCACTGCCGTACTGCGTAGTCAGCAATCGGTCGCCGATCCGTTGCACCAAAAGCTGATGGGCCTGTTCCATGAGGTCGTAGATAACCTCGCTGCTGATAACCGTGACACTGTGTTTCTTGGCGTCACTCTGCAAGCGATAGACTGAAACATGCATTGGCGAACCTTCGCATCTGCCCGCAGTGGGCTGTCTAGTGCGAGAATAACCGCATTGGCGCCATTCGCTGACGATATATCCGACTGAATCTCTATGTGATCGCATAAACAGCGTTCCTCACCTGGTATATCGGGCCTGCCGTCGCTTCTACTATCTCGTACACCCCCGTGGTCATCATGCCCTGGACCTTCAAGGCCGATACCGCATGCTTCAGTGCATCCACCAGGCCTTGTGTGGCGCCTTTTAGCAGCGCTGGCACTCGTTTGATTGTCGTGTCCTCCGTTGCACGCCCAGCCAGCGCATCAATTCCCTCGTATATTATGCGCTGCAGTTCGGTAGCCGCCACCTGCTCCCGTTCAGTTTCGATCTTGTCGTCAGTTAGCACACGAGCGCTTTCCTCGTCGGTATAGACCACAAACGAATCGCCCGGCGTGGGCAGGATTCCATCCTCGAAACCTTCCACCAGAATGGCCTGCGATGGCACGGCGCTGGTAATGCGCTTGCCTGCGTGCGTCTTTAGACCTTTGATTTTTGCGATGGTTTTGCCTGACACGAAATAGCTGTCCTTGGTAATCTTCCCCTGTTTGATAATCGCCAGGCAGAATGGAGGGGTGCGGTTTCCCTTGCCCGAGTCAAGAATGTAGCCCCTCCCAATGGTACCGGGCGACTCCGTCACCACATGGTCATCACTGGCAGCAGCCTGCAGCATGATGGCGTCGAGGATGGCTTGCTTCGCACTGTCAGTGTCTTCCTTTGCAGACACTTGCAGGAACTGAATGTCGCCCCCCAGGCCTTCTATCACCACACCATCTTCACTCAACTGCAGCGCGAGCTCCTCAGCACGGTGCCGCGCGTTGGGCAGGTCACATTTGGTGGCGGCGACGATGAACGGTATGTCGAGTTTCTTGCAGAGGTTGATGGATTCACGCGTCTGCTTCATCAACCCCTCCGTGGAGTCCACCACAATTAGTGCGATATCGGCGATGGTTACACCACATCTGCGCATGGCATCGAAGACCTCATGGCCAGGCGTGTCAATGAGCGTCATCGAACGTTCGCCCGTGAGGCTGTGCGTGCGTACCATTTGTGTGATCTGGCCTGGCTCCTTCTCGACGTTTGAGCTACCCGTAAGCATATCGAATAGCGCTGTCTTCCCGTGATTAATGTGACCCATCAGCACAACGACTGGGGGTCTGTCTAGACTAACAACAACACTCTTCTCTTTGAGCTGATCAATCTCGTACGCTCTTGTATACGTGTCGATATCATTGAACTCTGTCCGACCCGCCACGAAGTTGTAGATCGTCTTGGCCAGGTTCACAGGTATGGGCGTGTTCGGGTCGACGGGCGATTTGGTCTGGAGGAGGAGATACCTGAGCACGTCTTTCAGCTTACCACCGATACTTTTGGTGAATTCGCTTATGCTGAGAGGCTTGTCTGCAGTGGGAAGAAAGGAGTAAATGTCCTTCTCGCTGCTGCCATGAGTTTCTGGTTTGTAATTGTCCGGTGGAATTTCTTGGTTGCCAAAACCCATGTTAGAATAGGCGGGGCTACGAGCAATGACACTCAAGAAGTTGCGATTGTACTCTGATCAAGGTTCAGTTGGCGTGGCGGGCGACAAAACCTACCGCAAGGCGCAAGCATCTCCTTTATTTCGGGAAACTTGCGGGCCCACTCGAGCCTCTTGGGGGAGGTCCACGGCACACAAGCTCTGTAGGTGAGGTGCTGGGGATATCGCGGTGCATGTGTAATCTGCAGCTGGATCCGTTCCCCTTTCGCAAGGAAATCCGCAAAGCCGTATCGCTTGTTGTCAATCAAAGGCGCGCCTAACTCGCAGAGATACATAAGGGCAACATTGTCGCTGTCTTCGAGCTTCATGATGGCCTGGTTGTTGTTGATCATCAGCGGGATGCTCCAGGCGAGGTCGCCCGCGCCATACGTGGGTGGTGGGTCCCCATTTGGGAAATGCATTACAACAAGGGGTCTTCCTTTTTCGTCAAATTCCTGCGGCCATTTGAGCTTGACCTGCACGATCTTGTCGGTTTTGAAATGCGTTTTCATCGTAGGGGTGGACAGCTCAGGGGGTACGCCATCCGCAACCAGGCAGCACTCTGCCATCTTGTCAAGCGAAAGGACAACAGCATTCACAGGTGTCATCCAATGGCGAATCATGACGTTGAACACCTCCCCGTGCTTAAGTTTCGATGTGCCAGGCCATTCCTCGTGTGGAGTGAAGTCGTTCATCCACTTCAGCTGGTTGTACATACGAAACGAGCAGAAGTACTCCTTGTTTGTTAATCCGGAGTCTCCGTATTGCTCCTTTTCGCCATTGGGCGATATTTTACTCACGTTTTCACTCCCATATACACCGCCCCTGGTTCGCGTATCCCTAGCTGGTTCGAAAGGCTGATGCCGGCTATCGGCAAATGGAAACCTAGCGTTAGCTGACTGATATGGCCTATTGTTCGGCATAACTGGTGATACATGCCATTTTTGCATTCCCGGACGTGTAGAATAGCCGCGTTGGGGACCATAGCCTGAGTATGAGTTGTATGCATTATATCCGACTGAGCGATCGTAGGGCGCCTGGACTTGATACGGATTCCCGGGGAATGTAGACGGCCCATATGAGTGGTTACGCGTGTTCGCATGGGAATATCCGCTTCGTATTCCACTGTTGTATGACTGATATGCGTAGCCATTGGCATGCGGTCTCATTCCGCCGTTGTATTCGCCAACAAAATACCCTGGGTAATTATATTGCCCAACAGGTGTCTGGTGCAATTGGCCTGATTGGAAATTCCGCCCTGCGCTCTCGGCGCCATTGCCGAAGACCACGGCATCGGGAGCACTGCGAAGTCCATGTATCCTGATCTCCTTATCGCTAGATGCGGCGTCTTCCCAGATGGAGCCTCGCCATCCTTGATGTACGAAGTTGCGATATATTGGTGCCCGTATGTAGGCATCCTCGGTGCAGATTCGTCGGTGGAATCCATACCTGCCCAGCCCGGACGGCGTCCAAACGGCGTTCCGTCCACACGCCTGGTTCTGAATGCCAGTTACAGTCAGAGAAGCCGTTGCCAATAGAACGACTATAAGCAGAAGGTTGCGCCCTAATCCGCCAAAGTCGAGGTAACGCGCAGGAGTCGAAATGAACATCGCCGATGCGTCATCGGCGCCCGTTTTTTCAGTGGCATCAGTGTCTAACCATGCTATACTATATTTTGCGATAAAGTTGACCAATGGAAGTTACTCCGTGGTCTATCACTGCCGTAGTGGAGCTTTCGTGCGCCCTCGTATGATACACATCACAATCAGCAAGGAGACACATTCACTCCTCACAGTAGTTATTCGCTGCGATTTTTACGTTACAGGGAGCAGTCCTTTGGTGTCTAGACGGTCAAGCATTTCTCGGAGCTGCAGAATCTTTATGCCACAAACAGGGTCACACACCTTCAGCGCAACCACCGCGGGAGGACAAGTGTCAATTTTATATTCCATTGGAACGCTTGGCGATACCACTTCGTTGGTGCCTAAGCTTCTTATCCGCTTTTGGAGAATACTTCGAACGCGCTCAGCGTCCACAGGGGACACATTATTGACCACTGTATACAGGAGCCCTGCACAAAACTTTTTATGCGCATCTCGTAGACTCACCGCTTACGAGTTCGAATGGCAGCGTATCCATGTTTTCCAGTGCATACAGAGTGGATAATGCGTTATCGTACGTGTGTATGTCGCTGCGCCTGCGGCACCGTGGTACACGCCAATACCATCTATACCTACCTCTCTGCTTCGTGCAAAAGATGTTGAATAAACATGAAGGACGACTTTAGGTGACCTGGTTCCATGTGCACCCTGATTTTGCAAGTGCTTTGGACAAGTCTGTGACGGATTATTTGGACGGACTTGTACCTCACCTGTGTATGTGATCTATGCTGAACATGACAGCTTTTGGTGATAATGCCCGATGCAGCGCAGCCACACGATCCGCTAACTCCTCACAAATGCCCTGCAATCTCATCAAGCAACATAATCTGGTTGTTATCTCACGTAGTAGTCCCCCATACGGACGAGCCATTCGGCGAAGACGGTGAGGTCCTCTGGTGTCGCATCATCCTGCATTGGGGTTAGAGACGACATAATAAGCAAGCAAGGAAGTCAAATGAAAGTTTGGTTACACGATGTAACAGATTTAAACACTCGTTGCTTCGGCACGCATTTCTTACCTGCTGCAAGAAGTGGAGGGTGATCTCCGTGGCAAGTGGTGGGCATAAGATCATATCCGGCGTTGTTACATATTCCGACTTATCAAATTCGCCTGATTTCATCGCTTCTACGTACTTCACATGTGACTGGAAGAACACGCAGCAGTCGGCGGGAATCATGTGCGGTATTTGTGTTGCAAGCAGGCCCATGCAGAGGGTGTACAGTCGTACATTGAAGTATCCAACACTGGGAACGCTTTTTCGTTTCGTTACACTTATATTCTTACATTGCGAATGCCTTGTAAAGCAGAAGGAAATCGTTGGCAGTGCAGCAGTCGAGGAATCCGTCGTACAACCTCCCCGGGGCGCATTCCTCTAGTAGGAATCTAGCCACCTGGCGCGATAATGAACAGTTTCATGGGCGTTTGTTCACATACCTCGTTGGCGAAGGTATCAGTGCACACATTGGCTCTCTTAAACGCGAAAAGTGACCTCACTATACCGCTTGCTCTGAGCATATTGCACATCCGTGATCATGCTCTACGGCAAACACACCTCAAATCGGGGAGCAGTGCCAAAGCGCGTGACTCGCAACGGAGGATGAATTCATCCACGTAGGCGTCGCGGTGGCGCAAATTTACAGCATCTTCCAGCGCATCAACGACCGCGGAAGCGCTTAACGTCTGGACAAGTGGAAGGTGCTGGCGGACGAGCCGGGGCGCCTGTTTGACGAATAAGCGACTCATATGGTCGCATTTGGTAGCTAGCAAGCCGCATCGGCCGCCATATTGCTGATGTGTTAACTGCAGCAGTGGTCCTGTATTCTGTGGACGCACGCGCGCCCAGGACCAAGCAGCCCCTCCTAAACTAAAACATCGTTGTCTTAAGGAATCTGCGGCGGCGCAGAGGATTGCTAGTGAGCGCAAAGGCGTGGTAACGCCGCAGAATCTTACGGTCACGACTGCGGCGCTTGCCAATGAATAAACCATCGTGTAACATTAAGACGTGTTACTGCGCGGGGATTTCAATCTCGCCGTTGTCGATCTTCTCCTGGAGCACGCGCGGCTTCTCGTTGTCTATAGTGCAACCAATAGCGAAGCATGTGCCGAGGATCTCCTTCACCGTACCGGAGAGGGTCTTGGCCATGGAGCATTCGCGCATAGTGCGTGCGACGGTCATCAGCTGATCCCACGTCAGGTTGCCGCTGTGCTTGATGTTTTTCACTTTCTTCCGATCACGAGGCGGCTCCTTCAGCTCTTTGATCAGCAGGGCCGTCGCAGAGGGCTTGATTTCGATCTTGGCCTGCCTGTTCTGGATGGTGAGCTTCACCGTGACCTTGATGCCCTTCCAGTGGGCGGTCTCCTTGGCGATGTCGTCTCCCACCTTCTTGGGAGACATACCAAGAGGACCGAGCTTAGGGGCCAGCACGGAGGAAGGCGCAACCTCGCCTCCCAACTGGCGGAGGTACACTGCGTGGGAGTGAATTCGTTAGGCACCCTGACCTACCGTAGACTATCTGATTCGGATCGGGCTTCTTCGCCATTTTAAACGATCTTGCAGCGCGATATGAGGTCTGTAAACATATGAAACGGTTATTCAATGGCGTATCGGTGGTGCGAGAGGCGATAACGCTCACTACAGCAGGGCTCCCTCACGCGGCGGGATAACACTACCAGACCTGTGGCGAATCCTAGACACTCCAGGCGGCAGATAACACCAATTGGCATTTTTACAAATACCCGGTGCTCTATTCCCAGCCGTTGCTCGTGTTCAACACGAATTCCCGAAGCTGTCGCGTTGCCGCCTAATCGCCTGACAGCCTACTGAAACTTACAGATCAACCAGAAGCTATAGAGTCCGCGAGCGCGTAGAATACGTTTCTTGCCGCGGAAGTAAACGGGTGTTGACGATAGATGACCGCCCTCGTAGGTGTCAGTGTGGCCGCCCGTTCCTCCCCATCACCCAGGCTGGGCAACGTGCCTCGGAGTTGTGCAAGGCAGAAGCTGACTTTCGCCCGCTTATTTCGGTCCAAATTTTATCAGTTATTTATAATGGGTGTAAAATGTGTGCGGATACGCGAGTTTGCCTTTAATTTTTTAAGTGGCACGTAGATCGTATGATGCGTGATGGCGTTGAGGCCGTCTATCCTCATTCTTGCGTTTACCATCTCGAGGTCGTGTTACTGACGTGGTGTGTGTTGCTTTGTATACACGTTACTGGTCACTGTAGGTCGTTTTGCGTCACGTGTTCATGGCCTTCCTGGTTTCTGTCGCTCCGCGGCAACCCTTACGCCGTCAAGGTGAGCGATGCTGCGACAGAGCCATGATGCAGCTACATTAAGGAGGTAATATACATTTACATATCTGCTGCATTTGTGAGTGGAGTGGTTCGCGCCTCGCCACTAGTAAGACAGATTCGTGTTCCACATGGAAGGGCCCGTGGAGGAGTTCGCCTGGTACTGGTAGTCTGGCTGCTGTGATTGGTTGAAACCGATGCCCGAAAATAGCTGGCCGGGGTTCAGCCCCGCCTGTGGCGGTGCGGCCGGCGGCGCCGACGGCATGCCCTGCTGGAACATGTTGAACGACGTGGGGTCGTTGAAGGGGTCCGTGGCGTCCTGCTGCCTTCTCAGGTGCGCTTGTAGCGACCTCTTCATCCGATAAGTGTGCAACCAGGCGCAGATTCCGCCGCATAATGATAGCAACACTGCGTTGCACGCTAGTACCGCAGCAACCATGTACGTGTATCGCACATTCTGCCCATCGTGCGGAAAAGGTATCTGTACACCGTATACAGTTGTCTGTTTGGCTGTCACTTACCTGTTGCGAGAAGATGATTGTAGTCCAGACGGTACGCATGCGTCCTGACCAGTGGTGCGTGGAGCCGGCTATCAGACCGGCCGCCAATGCCCACAGTCCCTGTAACGAGTTATACACGCTACCGTCGCCGCAACTTACCGCAGTTACAATGACGCTTTCATCTATGAAAGCGTACCACGCGATGCCTAGCACTGCCAGAACGCAGGCCAGCACCAATGCTAGCACCAGCTGGACACATATAGCGGGTTGCCCATCAGACAAACCTTTCTGTTGATCGCGATAATGCTGGCGTATGCTTCAAGGCGAATCAATATCGCAGACTTGCATGCTTCGGGGCAGTAGCTAGCCTCGATGCTGCGGTAAGTCCCTTTGCCGTCCTGATCATGGACTTGAACAGCGGTGATAGCTTTGGCCTGAATGTTATTGTTTAGCGGGCGTGTTCCGGCGTACCCTAACGCTCTCTAGCCTTTGCTCCCACGGCTGAATGAGAGATCCTTCATCATAGCTGACGTAGAGCAGTCCGAAGTGCGTAGTGCCCACAATGTGCTGCCGCCGGGTCCCCATCAACATGTAGCTGTACGCTGCAAACGGTCATTGAATCAAAACACACTTCCAACCCACCAATGGTTTCAGCGGTGCGCCAGTACGGCGTTAGAATAGCATTGCCCTGTACCAACAACGCGCCTAAGCACGAAAGGCTGAACAGCATCCACAGGAATGTAGGCACTCGCGACGAAGACATCGACGGATGTGCCGATGCTTTCGCCGCCGCGCCCTGATTCCCGTCAACCTTCCTCATCGTTTTTACCGGGTCGCTGAGCTCCGTTCGACCTTCTCGGATTGTGTTGGTCGCGCTATCATCCCAGCGGGGAGAACCGACCTTTGGAGGAGGGGAACGCAGCGTTCATTATTGTTTATTTCCGTTCATCAAGCTTTCCTATGATTTGCCTTGCCATGCCTGCCGGCAAGGTCCGCATCGCAGCGGTGTGCACTTCGCAGCAGCCGGCGCGAAGCGATGTCGTGAGAGGCGAATTTGGGCAACGGCTCTCATCCCGGATGGATAATCCGGCATGTATTTTACGTTGATCTATGTGTTAGGTGATGTTGCAGTGCTATCATGTCTGTACGGCCTGGCGGCTAGAAACATGCCAGTTTGTGCCTTAAGCGACGGTATTGACTGACTACATAAATGTGCCGAGAAGGCCGCAATAGGCGATAACAATGTTATACTTCCATTGAAAATGGGATGTGTGTGCCCTAACGTGATACACCGACCGGGTTAGCCGCCGTGTGTGGGCTGTGCGATGGATGTCGTTGCCTTCCGCACTAGAGGCGCTGCATTAGAACCACGAACTTCAACACATGAAAGAGATGAGCTTCGACGGTGTCGCATGCCTTGCGGCTTCGCGAGTAAACCTCCTCGCTCTTGCCAGTCGCCGTGAAGAAGCTGCAGTTTGCTCACGGCCATATTCACGCGTCTTACCTCTTTAACACGCCTACTTTCTCGCAGCCCAGCCGCTCGAGCAGGTTGGAAGCGAACTTGAACGAGTGCTTCATTAGCTGTAGATATGTCTGAGGGCATTGACGTAAACTGTTGTTGCAAACCTACGCTCTCTACACTGGACGAAAACGACAACACGTGCCTGTCACTGGCGTTTGTCGCGGAGATCGTGGTAACCACAGCATCCTGAGATATTTTACAGCTTTTGTAAACGCCAATCCTCCTACCGTTTCGTGATGTTTTGCAAGCCCACGCAGCGTTAGACCATACAGTATGCCTCTGGCAGTCTGCATTGAAACGAGCGCCCTGGTGCTGACCATATGAGCATCAAATGTCGCGTGGCTATTTTGCTCGTTCCCCGACACTAGCAGACTCCACACCCTGGCGGACTTCAGCCCGCATAGCTGCCTCACGCAACTGCGCACGATTAACGTGTGAAACAGACCACGCACCCGAAAATGGTCTTTCTGCGCAACATGCCCCTAGCCTTCTCCCAGTCGAAATAGTAGCTGCGAGTTACTGCCTCATAACGGACAAGGTTGTCGGGGTGCTTGTTCAGCGCGCTGAGCAGGCGCATTACCTGCTCTCCGGTTTGGCTCTTGCCAAACTCGTCCTGCAAGATGCGGATGACCTTGGACTCCAGCTGCGTGTGCTCGACCACATGCGGCCACTCCTTCCTAGGGTTGTCCAGGAGGACCTTCATGATTGCCCGCACCATCGGGAGGTCGCCCACCCGTCTGCAAACGAGGTTCACGATCTCCTCTTTGAGCAAACGGTCAACCACGTATTGAGAGTTTACGCGCAGCATGGGGCCATCCGCACCCGTGAGCTCGGCGCCTTGCATCACGTGGTATATGGCGGAGTTCATTGCCGCAAGCGGGTCGTTTGGGTCCGTTCCTCTCGAGGTGACCTCCACAGTCGTCAAACGATGACGGTATGACTCGCAGCTCATCAGATATCCAGACTGGATCAAACTGGCCACGCATGACATGACATCTTCTGGTCGTAAAGAGAGATCAGCGACGCATAGCTCACAAAGCCGCCGTTGCGATATAGTACCACGCTTTGCTGCCAGCACCAGGACGGCGCAGCAGTCTTCTGTCAGCTCCTTCTTCGCCATGAGGCAGCCGAAGGCAAGCAGAGGAAAAGCCAAAACACGTTCGCAGTTCAGGGAGTACAGCACCGCCGCAGAACGGCGACCTCCCGCCTGCGGAGCCTGCAACACGTAGTCTACGAAGCCATGGTGAATCAAGATTATTAAGCTATTGCGCACAGTCTTGAAGTCGGACTGCGGTTGGCTCAAGAGCCGCTGCAAGGTCACTTGGCCGCGGAGTAGGATCGCGCCGCCGACCTTCGCCACCTGCGCTCCGAAGTAGTGCTGCAACAGCCTTACCACGAGCTCGTACTCCGTGTTGTACATTACTTCATTAAGTGCCGATGTACTACAACTGCGCGTGGCTTGCCGCAGACCCCGACGTCCGGATTCGACTCGCACATTTCAGTGGCACCATATCTTCACAATGCGATCCTTACCGCCTGCACATTATGACCTTTGGGCAACTACTCGCGTGTGGAAGATATAAGAGGCACCCAGAGCGAATAGACAATCGTTTTGCCACTTTGGGGCTACCTTTGCAGGCCCTCCCTTTGGCGGCGTAGCCTTCCACGCGGAAGAATCACACTTTGTTGCGCATAGCATATACAAATGGGCATACATACAGGGGCACACATGTGTGTTAGCAATGAACTATTTTGGACGCAATGTCAAGGTAGAATACATGGCACATTTTGCCAACACATTTGATGGTTGACATTACATTCCCTTTGCGCGTAAAACGCATTTATAGATGTACCACGGGCACCACATTGATTATGTACGTGGATAATGAATGATGGTTATCAGATTTACCGCACAGACATGCTTATCTCACAGTCACAGCAATACCGGTGTCGACTCATGCATTTGGACACGGAGCTTTAAACAAATACCGCAGCACTAATGCACAGGATGAATTACCCACCTGAAGCCACAGTACGCCCGCAATTGCTCCAATCTACCGTGTAAACCTCGTCAGCATGGCCCGGAAGATCAAACTTGAGCTTCCCAGTTTCCGCGTCCCACAGCTTGAGGGTCGTGTCGGAGCTGCAGCTGACAAGGAGGCTTCCGCAGCAGCTCCAGACGACGCGGTATACCCTGCCTATGTGCCCTCGCAATACGCGCAGGAATCTCCCCGTGATCCCACACCAGATGCGCACCGTTTTGTCGAATGATGCCGACGCGAAGAACCTGCCGTCTGCCGAGAACGACACGTGGTTGATGAGCTGCTGGTGACCGGTGAGACGGTGCACCGGCTTCCGAGATTGCGCGTGGGGGAGCCATATAAACATGGTGTTGTCGTCGGACCCGGACAGTAGCCTCTCCTGGCCGGACTGCTCGATAAGATGGCCAATGCGAAATTCGAACCCACCTCGCCGATGAACTTCTTGTAGATCCGCTGCGACTCCTGCACCATCTCCTGTATCCCGGAGAACTGCGTGTGGCCGCGTTGGAAGTTGTCCGCGGAAAACGGGCCGCACTTGATCACACGATGCGTATTCGAAGTCAACGTGTTGACCCAGTGGGCGTGGCCCTTAAGGTCCTTCACCAGGCCGCCAGTGGAAGTGTCCCAAACCTTCAACAACGTATCTCGTGACGCGCTGAAGAGCCAGCTGCCCTTCTCTCCGGACCATATAACCTGCGATACCCCTCGGGTGTGCCCACTGAGCGTGCGCATGCACTGCCCGGTGACCACATCCCATATCTTGATGCTGGAGTCCATACTCCCGCTAGCTAAGAGGGGGTATTCCCGCACGGATAAGTCCAGCACGTGCAGGGCTTGCCATGCCAGAGTAGTGACGCCCTGCATCAATATTGATTGTCCTCATTTACTGATGCACTCCACAAACGCAAGATAAAGAAAAGCCGACTTCTCAAAAATCATACTACCCCAATTAGGTGTAATAGGCAATGACGACAAATAAAATATATTCGCAACACACCTTTGTATGTCCCGACAGGGTGCTGTGATGCGATGACGGGGACGCTGGGTCCCAAATTAGCACACGGCCGTCCATACCCGCCGATGCTAGTCTCTTGCAATCGGGAGACCATAACACACATAGGACCCAGTTGTTATGGCCCTTGAGAGTCTTTATAGGTGTGGCCGTCTGCAGGTCCCAGATTCGCACGGCACTGTCTCCGGACCCAGTGGCCAGCATGGTCCCATCAGGGCTGAAGTCCATGCAAAGCACCGATTCGCTGTGACCTGCCAATGAGTTATATGGCGCGTCAGTGACACTAACCTTCTAGCGAAGAGGAGCACCGTGTCACCGGCCTGATCTTGTAGATGGACAGCGGCACATACTTGATGTTGAGCACTCCCTCACCGGAACGTTCGCCACCCAACGCTTCCAGCGCCGCCTCCAAAGTAGTTGCGATTTCCTGGCTGTTTTCGAGGATGAAAGTATAGCGTATGCTGTCGTCATCGGCGCCCTCGAGTTCCTCACTCGCTAGCAACGAACGCAACAGCTCCTCCAGTCGGTCACGCGAGAGGTGCACTGGCACAGTGAGCGTAGATCCCAGTACGCCCTCATTGGCGTCCCGGAATTGAACAATCACCTGCAATGGTATCAGAACTATTGTCTAACAGGGGTATTTAAGGCCATATCGCCGCTGTTATAACCGTGTTCCTCAGAGCAGAGCAGCGTCGGAGCCAAGAAGCGACCGGCAACTTCTCGCTGGAGCAACGTTGCACAGGGAATTCACATCGTGTAAATATCTTATGCAACCCACCTCACTATCGGTTGGAGCCATTTGGAGTCGGAGTGGACAGAATCCCGGTCAAGCCGAAACAACGACTTCAGAATAACGCCCCAATACCGGGGGCAAATTGGCAACAATGCGATTAGTATATTACATAAAATTAAAGTGTCTGCGTTGCAGGGACGTTCTTATGGCGGAAGGTTTTCGGCTTCAGCCGGAAGGATGCCTTGCCGCAGCTTTGCGTTGAAACCTTCTTAGGCTTCTTGAAGTCGATGCCGCGCGGCAGAGGTTCCTGATACGTATGCGGAATTGTCTTATACAAACACACCAAATCGTCCAGAATCTCGCTGATGTGTTCGGATTCCGCCCTCAATTGCAGCGCCTTCTGGGCCTCATCAGCTTCCACACTTTCGACGTCGCCTTCCGCAAGTTGCAGTGGAGGACGACGTTTTCCAGGGTTCTTAACGCAATGAATATGACTAGGTGTGCAGCCACATACCGCGGGATCGTCTAAATAGACGTATTTGCGATTCGGTTTGTACTGCGTTGCGATAGGTTTTGGCGTGCGTAGCTGCAGGCCCCCTGAATTAGTCATGGCGTCTGATTGAAGACAATTAGCTTACCTTTAGACGTCACGAACTTTAGGATCGCCTTGTCTAAGTAGGTCGAATCCACGTTGTACTCGCTGTACCGGTTGACGCCGCCATCAGCGTAAACTAACCGAACGAGGTTGTAAAGATGCACCAAATCGTGACTCTCCGGTCGCTTTTGTGAGCGTGTCGGCGGCCTATGTGCAGCGTCCTCACACCATTTTGTCAGTGCGAGCAAAAATTCCTAAGCAGTGTTTAACAGGCCGTTTAAATACAGCACTACGTTCGCACGAGAGGTTTAACGGATCACGGCAACGCACAATCAGCATTGCATAAAAGATCATAAAACGTCGGTTACTAGACAATTTCTTGTATACCAATGAACCAAATAAAAGGCTGCTTTGACCCTTGGCGAAACCAGTGCAGCGCTTATAACTAAAGAACCAACATGAAAGGCACCGCTCACTCATGAAATCTGAACGGAAAGCACTCACTTTGGAAACGCTGTCCATCAGTCGTAGAAAGTTCAAGCAGTCGAATGGATCGGCTAACTGGTCGATACAGGCGGCATCCTTGACTTCCTTTGTTTGCTGCGCAACATTATCAAACTAATGCTCGGCCACTAACGCGCACGAACTCCTTTCTTAGAGCTTCATCGTAGGGTTCCCACTTTATCTCTTGCGTGCGCAGCCGTTTGGCAGCATCCAGAAGTTCCTGAAGGGTGAGCATTTGCAACTCCTTGCGCTGCCACTCATCTAGGACCATAAAGAAGGCGGTGTCTGCCACCTCCAAGGTCCGTGCGCAGCTTGCAACTTGACATAGCTCGTGATACCGTAGTAGACTTATGTTGGTACATAACGCGCGGCAGAGTGCAGCCAGCAACTGTGGATTGCGGATTTCCCAGCGACTTAAGCAGAGAAAAAGCTCGGCGTACTCCGACCCATAAAGCTTCTCAGCGTCGCGCATCAAACCGTAATAAACCTCCATGAACAACTGTTCTGGGAACCTTCCAAAGCGACCGAAGACGTCTATTGTCTGGATATAGTGCCGCGGTTCCATGCGATGGACCTGAGGGGTCAGATTACGCACCATCTCCTGCACCAGAATGCGGTCGTCGAGCCGTACCGCGGCAAAACACTCCAGGACTCGGATGGTGTCGAAGAACTTAAACTGCGGCGCTATGGACATGGCGCATGACGATGCCTTTGCCCAGAAGTTTGTGTCGCTCACGCGTGCCGTTACTGCGTCTTCCAGCAGCACGCGGAGCTGCCTCGGGGATAGGGAATCCATGCGACTTATATCCGAGAATACGGTCGCGCTTCCTGGCGTCGCATACAGCGTGTTATCCGCTGCAGAATCACCCGCATCGCTGCTCCTGGCTGCAGTCTCGCTGGATATGTGTCTTCGAGTTCCAAGTCCACTGCCAGTGTACTTGCATGAATTAGGCAGGGAGGCATAATGGCGGCCACTTACGGCCGCTGCATAACCAATACACGATATTCTACCTAAATCCCTCTGCCAGCAGCTTTTGTTGGCCAGTCCAGTAGAAGAGCATAGCCGCTCGAGCCTCAACGGCCAGCGGATGAGAAACACCGATGAGTTCATCCGAAGTGATATGGTTAAAACTCCCGTTGATTGCGATAGACACCCTTATATAAGGCAGGTGCCGTATATGGCGGTTTACATACCGATTAGCAACGTTTAGCTCATGTCTATCGCGACTTTGTAGCCTCGGAAGAACACGGTCGAATATATGCAGATGCTAAGCTTCAAAGCGGCTGAATTAACGATTGTTCAGTTTACACTTCGAAATGTCGATGAGAAGCAATCGACGAATCTTCTCAGAGGTTGTTGGCTCGCAAGCGGGCGACGTCGGTGATGTGCAGCGCAACGCGGGGGCCATCCATTACCCAGAGTCGGACCGACGACTACACATCCAGTAATTTTGGCACCTCGTACACTATGAAAGGCTGGGAGTACGATCCTGAAGTCCGTGGAGCCGATAGTGACAACGACTTCGACATCATCGAGCACTTCTCCGAAGATGAGGACGCAAAACCTAGCCAAGCAGCCCCGCCAGCCAAGCCTTCCACCGCCCAGGCGCGTTCTACGTGGTTTCCGAAGGCAACTCACCGCCGGTTGCTGGGTTATAGCTTATCTAGATCGCAATTGACTCAAGAGGATCAACACGCCGCTCCCGCTGGGATCTCTCACGGCCACATAGGGGACCCTCCCGACCAACTTCAGCGAAATGGGCACGCAAATGGGGGAATAAGTGAGATAAGTCATGCAGATGGCGGTCTAGGTTCACCCTATGACGACGCGCTTCCTGATATTGCTAGCATGACGGAGGAGGAAATCAAAGCAGAACAGCAGTTCCTCTACGAGAAGCTCGGGAAAGACATGTGTGACTTTCTGATACAGAGAAGACTGCGAAAGTTGGTTATTGACCCGCTGAGTTCAAATTGTGCTGCAGGATGAAAGAGCTCAATGAAGGTCCCAAATCTGCTGAGAGTGAGGCCACTGCATGGACACCCAATCCTACCGTTCCACCGGCTGTTTCTGGTGGAAAAGGACCAACAGTCGATACGACTAAAGCATTATCCACACTGTCCTTCAAAGCGGATGCAGAGGAGCTCCGCAAATTGGAGTGGACTAACCCAGTGGAGCCCGATGCAACTGGAGGATCGATCGACGCTGGCAATGTGCGGCTACACCAACTTAGGTTCGACTTTGAAGGGCATCTATTGCGTCCTGAGAATTGTAAAGACGGCGCGAAGCATAGGCATGAGAGTTCTTTGTACAACCACGGAAAGAATCCCGACCAACCCGGGTACACCATCCCGGAGTTGCTGGAGCTCATGCAGAGCACATTCAAGCCCCAGGTACAGATAGCTGCACATACCCTCTGCAACGTTATCCGCAACGCCCATATATCCAGCCCTCCGTATTTCGGCTACCCTCGCGAGCGTTGGTTAAGATACGTCACACACGATGCCAACATGGTTGGGAGGATGGGCTATGCAGTCATGGAGCACATGGGATCATATGAAGTGCTAGGAAGCGCGCTCAGGTGCCTATCAATCATGTTATACGGGGATTTGGATCCAGAAAGCTTTGGTACTCAAAGCTTGTCATCTACTGAGGATGACTCGGTGCTGCGCTCCAACACCATTTGGCCGATGCAGGAATCCCTGGCTGGGCTTCACATCAGGGATATGGGCGTCGCCCTTTACCGATGGAATACATATGTAGCTACCTTCGAGGGTGTTTCCTCAGCGTACGCTAAGTATGGGCCCGCAAAGTCCGCTGAGGCCAATTCGCCCACAGCCGAGTCGTCTGCCAACTCCTCGACTAGTGGCCAAGATGACACTGACAAAAGGCAAAGTAGCTCGTCCAAAACAACTGACGAGGCGCAAGAAGGACGTCACGGTGGTAAAAGCACTACTGTCAAGTCGGTGAGATTCGCGGATCAAGACGATGATACGCCGATGGGTAGGGAAACTCGTGACAGGAGAATGATGGAGTTTTACCTTGACGCTCTCAATGGCGACTTCATAAGTTTGGAGTTGGAAGACATCAAGCATAGGCTTGCAGTGGCAACGGATATCGAAGAAACAGACTACTACAGACAGAGTAATATGGATGACACCGTTTACCTTATAGTGCGCGGCGTAATCGGTAGACTCTGTAACGTGGTGTCGCAGCATGAGGCATCCCTGTCTCTTAAATCGCGCTTTATGACGTTCGTTTGCGGCCTGTTGATGCGTCTAGGCAAGCCATTTGCACAAGCACTGGTGAAGTATGAGGCCCTTTGTGACCTGTTGGAGTCTTTCACGGCGTTGCTGATTGTCGGCACGGAGCAACACAGAAAACTATCTGAACTTGCTGGGAAAACGCATAGTGATGCCGAATTGCGCAGTGATCAGGTCCATCTCACTTCGGCGGTACTGTGTTGTATGCGGCTGTTATCAGTTTTCGACGACAGAGCTTTTGCTACCTTGCTGGATCGAATCGGCGCCATAGCCCTGGTGAAACAGACTCTTACATTCACATACGGCTCACAGTTATCAAAGCTGTTCAACGCCGCTGCGAATCTACCTCCGTCCGTTAAACCCTTCTCAGCAAACCTCGTCATGCCCTCTGTGATGGCTGTCAGATGCCTTACCGTGTGGACTCTACAAAACGAGTACAACGACACGCTTGATGAGATTGTGCCAGTCATTGACCTCGAAGTGTTAACACTGTGCAACATGATTCGAAGGGGTGGTTCAACTCTGAAGTCTTTTCTAGGCGCCAATGGTGTCGTCATGACGCATATTTTCATTCACATGGCAGCCCTCCTGGAACGTGAGGCGGGGAAGCACGTGAAGTTCATATGGGATATCGACCGTATGCATGATCTGCTGATTGCGCTCTGTGAATCTGATGAAACAAATAACAGTATGGATGCACGCAGGCTTAGCGCCAGCCTTTTCCAGTTACAAAGCGTATACATGCGACACTGCCAACATGAAGAGTCGGGCAAGAAGTTAGAAAACATCTCCCGTAGGAGCGCTGTGGTTCTCAAATCCATGGAAAGGTACTTAACAGCTATTGCGGAGCGGTTTTGCCACGAAATAGTTAATAACGATGTCGGCAACCTGGGCTACAGATGGTGGGGCACGCAAACAATGACAGGTAACGAACAGCCCATCATACCAGCACACGATGGCGACAAAGAAGTTGATCTATACGTGGTACCAGTACAAATCGCTAATTTTATGCTGGAAGCGTTGGATGTTTTGCGAACAGAAGATGCAGAACTTTACAACAGTGTTCGGACAAATGTAGAACCAAAGTTCAAGCTGATGATGAATACAATAGTTGAACGAATTGCATTGGTCCAAGAATATAATGCTTCCGGAGCAATTGCCTTCCCATGTGAGGAAGGTATAATAGCTCAAAAGCCCATTCCAATGTTGGAATCCTGGTCAAGCTTCATTCTGCGTGCTGTCAGGGTTTTTGGTGGACACTCTTATCAAACAAGAGGAGGCAATGCTGATCTGGGATCGTCAATAGGCGTGACCAATAAAACTGGTGATGGTTTTATTGGGGATCACGACAACAGCACAAGTTGGGTGACAGGCCTCTTCGCTGCACTCACGATATCTGGTTGTTACCACACCATTGCAGATATTTGGAGCACGTTATCCTTGATTTGCGGTTTCAACAATGATGCAGCAATGGCGGTGGGATTCAAGGGCGAGCCCAAAGTGGATAGCAACGCAGTCAACGGGGGCTGTGCCAATGTTGTGAACGCGTTCAGAGAGTTCAACGAGATGGTTGCCAGTGCAAACACTTTGGGCGACGCCAGCATGCCTGTCATGACTTTTATCGCATTCGTGCCGACGTTTTTCATTAGCGCCATTACGGTCGGTACCGCTATATCTGCTAATTGCGCGCAAGCTGTGTTGTTAGACGCTCTCAATAAGCGTGAGCGGTTCAGGGCTGAATTCCTGAAATGGGTACCTCCTTTCGACGTTGCAAATAGCCTGATCAAAGCTGTAGTCAGCGCCGACAAAGATGCGAGCTGGAATGTTGATGTTCGTCTCCTCGAGGCCCTCGAAGTTTTTGTTTTCCGGAGGTTGTCGGTACTCGGCGAGGAAAAGTCATCTCTGTCGAGTGCACAGGCTGCGGGTAATGTCACCGAGTTGCATGATACGATGGATTACATGGTAGCTAGGATTGTGAATATGAACGTGCGCAATCACGACAAACACTTATTGATGGCACCGATAGGCGCTACCGGGTCGACACCAGCCGCAACCGAGCACGATGAGCTCAGCAAGGCGACAGTAAATATCATAAACAGATTCAACAGCGGATCTGGGGACTCTCCATACGTGATGGGTGTTATAATGCTGCTCATTTCCGCCTTCTCGAGGGTCGACTGCGCCAAGCGCATATGGGCTGACATAAACCTCATGGTATTGTTAGGCCGTAACTTGACTGTCGACAGGGATAGTTTGGAGGTTGTCTGCATACATCCAGATGGGCGTTTGTCACTAGGCAGCGCCGTGATGTACCTCCCCAACTTTAACGAAAGCGAAGAGATTTTGCGCAGCCAGCGGCGACTGCTCCAAGAATTTGGACCTAGTGACCTGGCCTCTCATAATGCAATCATGCTGATCGCCATGGCTTCGCTCCAGAAATACGACCGGATGCAAAAGTAAGTAGTTTCCCATAGAACTATTGCCTCCCGGGAACGTACTCCTGGTGAGCTGAATGCAGCATCCGAGGCCTCAAAACCCATTTCCGTTTCATTTACATGGAACTAACGTGCAACACCAGCCCGGTGACAGTATACAACCAAACATTGTAGTGTGAAATTAAAAGTTGCTAATGCCATTACAACGGAGGCAATGAGCGTTGTATATGCGCAATCCACGATGTGTGATAAATACCAACATGGTAATGAGTTATGCGGTCATAAGAGATCATGTGCAAGCATAAACTACTCATTCAGATACACGCTGAAAGAGTCCTGAGTGCTCGCGGCAGGCAAACGCCTTGATGTGTCAGCCACTCTCAGAGTCAAACAATTCCTGCCTGACATGGAGGTGGCTGCACTCGTGTCGGCGCGCTACCATGGATGAAACACATTAAACCAGTGTTAGAGTTACAGTCGGATGTTAGCAAGTCCTTTATGTCATTACGATACCGCGTTAAGCGCGTTAAAAAATGGAATCCTCATTTAGATGTTAATACAAATGAGGAAGAGATGCGGATGGGAAATTGCTCGCTATCACGGCGGATGGCCTTGACGCGGTAGCCTGGGGCGCGGACTCGAGAGCCCATACCCGATCGCCAAATCCTACTCCGCTGGCAATTAAATAATTCCCAGACGGGTTTATCGGGTATGTTTATGCATATTTAGCTGTGGAGTGGCTGGGGAGCGGGCGGTATGCGTATGAGGCCGTGGTAGTCCGGTGGGCGCCGGGCGCCTGTTGGAGGTGGACACCTGGTATCGGCCTCTTGAGGTTTATGCGCTCGCACACCACGAGCTAGTGTTGTGGTTTTTGTACAATATTCGTTTTCCTCGGCCGGATATATTCCCATGCAGAATTCAACCACGTGAGATAGCACCTGATCTTTGACCTGGCTTGCACCTGTGAGCGGAAGATGAGCAATAACGTTCTGGAATACAAGGGTGTCCTCACCGGTGGCCACACCGGCTGGGTCACGTCGATCTCTTGCCCCAGCAGGAGCGACGTAAACACCGTTGTATCCGCTTCTAGAGGTATGTTTGTATTCTTTCACCACGTGATGAAACGGGACCCAGCTCACTCTAAGGCCTGGCCTGTGCTGTGAAAAATCCCATGTGGTTTACAAAACCATTCTGAAAGTGGCTCCCTATCTATTTAGTTATGTCGGCGTTTGTGTATGGCGCAATCCGCAGCTGGTGATCTTTGTGAAATCATCTCCGACGTTTTGCTGCATATTCCTGTACGACCTGCATCGTTCTAATTTATGCGCAGACAAAAAGATTTTGATCTGGGAAGTATACAAGGACGAAATCGATGGTGAAATCGGTGTTGCGAAGAAGTCGCTTACCGGCCACTCACAGGCCATCCAGGATGTTACCATGTCCTTTGATGGTCTTTTCGCCCTTTCCGGCTCTTGGGGTACGTTGCAGCGTTTTGTGGTCTCATAATTTCGCAGACAACACCCTGAGGCTCTGGGATTTGGTCAAGGCGAAGACCGTGCGTGTCTTCAACGGCCACACCAGCGACGTCTACAGCGTCGACTTCAGCCCCGACAACCGACAGATCATTTCCGGTAGTCGCGACAAAACCATTAAACTGTGGAACACTGTGTCTGAGTGCAAACGCACTGTCAGCAACGCCCACAGCGACTGGGTATCGTGCGTCCGTTTCTCGCCCAACCCGCACGAGCACGTCTTCGTCTCTGGCGGCTGGGACAAGATCGTAAAGGTAAGATGAAGTTACATTAGCATTATGTCACAAACATGCAGGTGTGGGACCTTGCTACCTGCAACCTGAAGTTCAACCTGACCGGCCACGAGGGTACTGTCGCGTGCACCTCCATTTCTCCCGACGGTTCACTGTGCGCCTCGGGTGGCAAAGACGGTGTCGCACGCCTTTGGGACATGAAGGAGGGCAACAGCCTGCACCTGTTGGAGGCTGGGTCTCCTATCAACGCGCTCTGCTTCTCACCCTGCAACTACTGGCTTTGCGTCGCCACAGACAAGGTGATCAAGATATGGAACCTGGAGAACAAGAACGTGCTCGCCGAAATCGCGAGTGAAAAGCCCAAAAAGTTCGGCCTTCCCTGGTGCATATCGCTCTGCTGGAACCCGGACGGCACGACACTTTTCGCCGGTTCCACGGATGGCAACATCTATGTCTACCAGGTGAACAAGAATTACAACTACATAGCCAGCTGAACTTTGATGTAAATATCGTCGGTGCTACCACATTAACGTTACCGAGTGCATAGGGCTCGCGCGCCGCGGTCTTCACTTCTGAGATGATTCCCGTTTTACCCTGAAAATGGCTACAGACGGTGGAATTAGGGTCCAGCGAATTGGAATAGACCTAGGCGTGCCGGCCGACAACAACGAACTTGAATATCACTGCGCGCGAATTCGGCGCATTGAGAATCTCGAGGAGCTGACCGGACTGAAGGCAAGTTACATACCTTACGGCATCAATTGGGTGTAGAAACTCGCTATAGTGTCATGTTTGGTGGAGAAAATCGAGAATCTAGACTGCAATCGTGAGCTGGAGGTACTCGACCTGTACCAAAACAGCATTGCAGTTATTGAGAATGTCAGCCACCTTGTGAACCTTCGGTAGGCGCAAAAGTGCGTGGCGTAACGAGTTGGCAGTGTGCTGGATCTGTCGTTTAACCGTATTGAGAAAATCGAGAATATTGACCGACTCGTAAACCTGCGTGAGCTATACCTCACCAGTAACCGAATCGCGAAGGTCGGTGTCGTAGTGCCAACCACAGAATGTCGCAGGCGGAAAATATTGGCAGCTTAGTGGGTCTCGAGCTGTTGGAGCTCGGGTCGAACCGTATTCGCGAATACGACGAGATTCAACTCCTGCCACGGCTTAAGTCACTGTGGCTCGGGCGCAACAAAATCACGCACATGCGGTTGCCGCCGTTGCCGCACCTTACCACGTGCAGTTTACAGAACAATCGCATTTGCGAATGGGCACCCGAAATTGCGAGCAGCTGCCCGGAACTGCAGGAACTGTACCTCAGCTTCAACCGCCTCACTGAGATACCACCGCTGATCAACCGTATGGTGAGTGGTAGTGATATACGTGTCAGTGACGGATTCGCAGCGAAAACTTTCGATTCTGGACCTCGGTAATAACGACATCTCCCGAATTAACATTGACGAGCCCAACGACTGCGTCGAGGAGCTTTGGGTAGGCCTTTATGACACAGTTGACAACGCCCGTAGCTGAACGATAATTCAATTGAAGATGAGCGCGACATAGAGCCCCTGAAGCTCTTCCGACGCCTCAAGGTGCTATACCTGGAGCGCAACCCTATTCAGGCGAAACTCGGGCCCGGCTACCGCAACCGAGTCTTGCACATTCTGCCACGTACGTTTTAGTATTGAAAATGGGACACATCTACGTTCAGAACTAACGCAGCTTGATGCTTTAGCCGCGGTAAACCGCGTCACCTGACCGCCTCTGTGTATGGACACAAACCTCACGCAAAGAACGTGATCACTACCCAAATGTCGTATATTCCATCACAAACCGCGCATAGCGTGGTACAGCGCATTCTCGATGATATAAAAAAAAATGCAGTGGAAAGCGCCGGGCGACACGCCCGCGCGAAGCTGCGGAACAGCTACGTGGAGAGGTTGCCGAGGTCCCGCGCCGCTGCTCAGACACCAAGGGCGCACCAGACAGCCGCAAGCCGGCAGTATCCGGTGCCCGGGCGCTCCACAGACGGACCATTTGGGGACTACTTCACGAGACTGGTCAACAGCTCGCCGAAGCCGAGGGTACTGAGGAGCGCCGCCCACCCAGTGGCCATTCACCTACTCAAACTGGCCCATAGTGCCGCATATAGGTAATGTTTAACATTTGCGGGCAATAGTTTCTAGGAAGTATCGTAAGCTAGTTCTGCTCTCCAGCCCTAAGCTCATCCGAGAGTACTGCGAGCGACATGGAGCATGCAGCAGACTCTACACCACGTCTTTCGACAACCCGTTGCTGCTGGAGCCGCACATACGGGGGAACAAAGTGTTGACATGCTCCGAAAAGCTGTTACGCAAGGTGAGACTTTGGCCCTACCTCACAGAATATCCAGATCGCATCTGTCCATTCTTATAACAACGGCCTCCTGGCGGAGGTTCCATATCCCCCGCCATCTCAGCACCTCGGTAATGCAACACTGGTCCTATGTGTAGGTGCCAGCGCGCGTGCGTCTGAGCGAGACACAGCGGCAACGCTGATGCGTACTGCGCACGCTCTCCAGTGGCAGGCCGTTTGGTTACTCCGGCATGGGGAGCATGACTTCCTCGACCCACGGGCGATAAGAGCTTCACAGGTGATATAATTGCTAGAGAATAACTAGTGCGCAGAACTGCCTTGACACAATGCCCTACATCACGGGAGACGCCCGCGAAGCAGTCAATTTCGCGAAAGAAAATGGGCTGCTTATGTGCGTATGCGCCGACGGAGGAATCGCCATAGGATCCGAAAACGTTCCGCAAATTTTGGAGCGGCACCGAGGCATGATGCTGCTAGTGGGCAAGCAGCCCAAAGTAGGTTGCTTGAAAGCCGCACAAACAGTATCAGGAACTCGTCGAGAACGCCACAAAGCTCGACGTGACGCTGTCCAACCCCAGGGCCCCCGTGGTAGCCTCCGAATGCGCCCCTCCGAGGCAGTATGCCCTGGATGGGCCCATCAGAAGTTGCATTCTCATGTACCTCGTCCGCAAACAACTGCATTTCACCGCGCCGAGGTCACCGTACCTCGCTTAAAATTTATACCACGCGCCTTTGCCAGGTGCTGCTGCACATGTTGCCTACGTTGGCGTACCCTAATTTCCTTACGTCGCGAGCTGTGCGCGAATCGGGCATCGACTTGCATCACGCGGTATATCACACTCGCGCCGTTGCCGCGACCGACGTAGTTTTGCAGAGACAAAAAGCCAGTGCCGTAATTGATTGGCCCGTTGTGGCCGGCGAACAAGGCATTCTTTGCGGCCAGCTGGGCGCCATCGGTTGGCGCTTGGGAAGTGGGCTCACCCTCCGTGCCGAACACGCGGCATTTCTTACCGACGTGACGCCTCCCACGCGAACGCTTCGAGCGAATAACAACGGGTGTGCCGTCCGACATCTTCAGACCGTGCCACATGTCCGAGGGGTTGTCGCACAGATTAACGCACGTATCATGCTGGATGTTGACCATCACGCATGTGGAACCCGCGTCGCTATCCACATCGCTGGCGGAACGACACAACTTGCCCCTGGAGCTCTCAGAGGGGCCACGCAACATCTCAGCGCGCTGCTTCACGAACCACAAGTAATTCGGGTCGTCAGAGAATATCGATTCGCTATTCCTCAAGTCTAACGGGTTAGAAAGAGGCGAACACGTGCTTTCCTCGTCGTCCAACAAACACTTTAGGTCAACGTCGCAGAGACCCACCACCCGTGTGTCAGAGGCGCCGACATAGTCCGAAGAGGCCTCGACACACCCCATGCATCCGCGGCTTGCCGCCGGCATCCTGACGAGACGCGGCATAGGCCGCGCTCCGGACGAAAGAACCGTTGCACTCGTGGCTACATCATGCTTACAAACACATAACGTCGACACACGTACCGGAAACGCAGGCAGCAAGGGTCTCCAAACGGCCGGCCTTCTACTGGTATGGTGCGACGCGGCGCCGGGCAACTACTGCGATGAACACGGAGTGAGACTCATGTGCGCAGGTAGCCCGAGCAGCGTGCAAGTAGAAGAGCCACCAGAGCTTATTGCCCCTACCGACATAGCTGATCACTCATGAACGACCAACTATACGGTGCTCAAAGCAGGTGCTGACGCGCCACCGCGCGAATATTTTCTAGTGCGGGCGGTTGCAAAAATCTGCAACTGGATCGAGAGGTGAAACAGCATCGTACCTTCGCGGCCCTGTGGGGTGAGCGCGTGGCGCGGGTGTGACCTACACCTCGAGTTATGCGATGGTCGCCGCTAGATTCTTGGGGTATGTCGTTACTCAAGTTTTGTTTGCTTAGTTTGAATAATGGTTACGTATGAATTCTGCGGCTTATCCTCCAGACGGCCGTACTACCGTTGTTATTAGACGAAGACGCCGCGGCGTAGACGGCCCTTGGTTCGTTGTTAACCGGGTAGCACATCGGAGATATATGTATGATTCCAGACGGTTATATGCATGAGAAACGCAGCACCACGTTATCGTTTGCTTTGGAATCGCGGCGCAGCTTCATCGCGTTGGCAGACTCCACCGGATTCGCGACAGCTGTTTCGCTAAGTCTGCGGCTTCTTTCATGCGCAAACGGCAATAGGTGTGATTCCGAAATCAGTTTCTTTCAGTCTGACGCTGAGCGTCCGGAGTTTGCACATCGTTGTTTTGCTGTGTGGCGTCATGATTATTTTCACGGACGAAATATGATTATGCAGATCGAATCGTTTCGGCAATATATGCATCCTTTATATATAGCTTGCCAGGTGTGCTGCGGTACAGCGGCGCAGCCCGCACTTCATTGAGCGTAGACACACTACACATCAACCGCTTCCCGGTCGACAGCAAATAAATTTCTGACAATTTACTCACTGTAGGGGCAGGCTGTGGTGATACAGCTGCGCCTTTGATGTTGTGAGTAGCGGTTCCTCCGCGCGTCGCGTGCCGCACTCAATCATCAGGATTCCGACGCCGTGCAGGCGCGACCCGCTGTTGCAGTCATTTCATAATTTATACGGTGCGTATCATCTACCATGAAGGGAGATGCTGACGCTACCCTGTCTACGGTGGCGTCGAACCACCCGAACCTCGTGCCACTAGTCGAGCAGATCAGAGACGACCTCGCCGCCAAGCACTACCACGAACTCACGGAGGCGCTGACATCGCTGCTTGGGTCGGGCAGCCTCGTTTGTGACGACAAAATACGCGTGTTTGAGGCGCTGGTACATCCCATAAAGGATGCACTCAACACACTGCGATTCGCACAACTGCTGGCGGCGTGCTCCGAAAACCTAGGTTGGTCGCACGATGACGTCGCAATCAAAGTTCAGACCCGAAGGTTGCGCTAGAACACCTATGCAAGTACGATGCCTTCCTCGAGAAGGACTTCGAAGCCAACATCATGCACCAAATCGCAAAGGTACTCGTGCTGGCAATAGGGGCATTCACATGGTCGTAGGCCCACCATATGGTCAAGAATGGTCAGGTTAAGGAGTGCGATACACTGCTCAGCGACGTAAAGCAAAAGATCGAGGAAACTATGAACGTCGACATCACGGTGCATAGCGCGTACTACCGAGCCGCTGCTGAAATGAACAAGGTTCGCCGGCATGTGTAGAGCAATGCATATTCTTTCAGGCGGCCAAGAATTTCTCGCTGTGCTACAAGGACTGGATCATGTACCTGTCTTACACCTCTACCAACGACATACCTGAAGTCGACCGGGTGGCCATCGCCGTCGAGATCACCGTATGCGCTATCGTCGCCCACGACAGTTTTGGGTTCGGGGAACTCATACACCAGCCGATTATTGAGGCATACCTTAAAGGCGGCGACCATCAGTGGTTGTATGACATGCTGATCATCTTTAACGAAGGGCATCTGCACCTCTTCGATGAGGCACTGGAACGACACAGGGGTAAGGTAGTGCACACGGTACGTATGATTGACTATTGCAAAGTTTCTAATCATCGTTAACAGGAACTAGCGGGCAGGGAAACAGAGTTAAGGCAAAAATTGACGCTGATCGCTCTTCTAAACCTCGCTTTGGGAAAGCCGAACAAACAGCGTTGCCTCACATTCCAGGAAATCGCCGATCACTGTGCCATCAGGATCGAACAGGTGGAGCCCTTTGTACTTAAGGCTCTGGCTCTCAAACTCATCAAGGGGCACATCGACCAGCTACAGCAAACTGTCTCTATCAAGTGGTTGCAACCAAGAATACTAGACATGGGGAAGTAAGTGGTTGCTGTAATCACAATTAGCATGACTGTGGTAGGTTGCAAAGCGTTGCCAAGCGACTAGAAAGCTGGATCGATTCCACGAACAGCATCGTCTCAAACTTGGAGGCATTAAACAAACCCGCCAACTTGGTAGCGTAATTAAGGGCGCGCTGTATCGGTTGTATTTTTTTAAAAAATGCTTGGTGATAGTGCCAAATGTTCTCCACGGCGAACTGACACGCTCCGTAATCAAAACGCGACGATGCAATTCAGATCTATTTCTCGTAGCTCCAGTTAAAGCCGTATTTTTAATAGTCTAGCTTGCTGTAAGTGAGTGCGTGTGGATTGAGCCACTTTGCGTTATTGCTAAGGGCTAACGCCGCACACTATTAGTGTAGATGGTAGGTTAGACGCCGTGTTCTCGCCGAATGCCGCAGGTGTCATCCACGTTGACACCCGTCCTGTTTTGGCGCTAAGATCAATCAGGGTCGTAATCTCTGGTTTTCATATCCCTCATCAGATGGGTTAGCAGATTGGAACGTATTTGCTTGTTTGATGCTGTTCCCAGAGGATCTTCGTCACGATACGTCTGGCGCCTCGTTAAGTTTAAAGTCAGGGCCACGGATCCGTACATGCAAGGCTGCGGCGTTACGTACGCATCAGATGAGTTGTTCAAGCCTGAGACACCCCAACTCTACGACGGTGATGGGCAGTCGCAGTTTGGCTGCAAGATTGATCTTCAAGCTGCCAGGGAAGCGGCATTCTACTGCCCAGCACCGTATCTCCTGGACCCACCCAACTGCTTCAGCCAGGCCTCTGTGGACGGTAAAGGAAGGAACCTAAACGACCTCAGCAAGTCATTGGTGGCGTCTCGATCTAACCACTTGTCATACTGAGCTTCGATAGTTCACTCGTAGGACCAGGGGAGACGCTGCGCCAGACGCCGCCGTTGGAGTGCCGCTGCGTCACCACCAAGGGTATCGTTCTCTCCAGCATCCACATCGAGAACTATTACTCTAAGTGATTAATAGCTCAGATTTGGTAACTCGTTTAGCAAAAACACAGACTAATCCCCGTTTGTTGTTGCCATTGGTGTCTGCTGTTTTGGGTATTTCAGCGGCAGTGTGTCTTAGGTAACAAAGTACTAATTTTGGTAGCCAGTTATTGGCGTTTCTCGGTGTTACCAGATCTTTTAATGACTGGTGTTTACTTTAATAGGTCCTGTCAAAAACGTGGAATGTAATCGCATCTGCCTAAACTTTCGTTTATCCCAGAGTTCTGCCGTTATGAGGAAGTTGTAATAGGAGCACCTTCATTGATCCTCATACGTTAGAGCATTGGCAATGCCTTTAACGCACAAGAATCGACAAACTATAGTACCTCTTACCGTAGTTCAAGTATTCCGCTGATGTTGATAAATAATCAGTGTCCGTCCCTGAGCATGATAGGTCACCGGTTGGAATTAATGCAGGGGTGGCTTCATCTACCACTTATACGATTACAGAACGCATTATGAGATGATCTGCAAGGCTGCAGGGAATGACATTGAGGATTCCCGAATGACCATTTCCGGTGCTCATCGCACTCAGCTTGGTATCCCACAACATGATGCGATGGGTAAAGTGGAAAGAAACCGATGCCTCATAGTAGTATGTCTAGCATCTGGGATGTGAATACGATGTTGTAACCATAGTTAGTGCCTGAAATAAGTGGATGAAGTTGGGCAACCGTCAGCCCAATAATGAGTCCAACCTCATCGGGGTTGGTGTGACGCATTCCGGCAAAATGCGCAGTTCAATGTTAGCGTAACGCTTTTACATGATATATGACCCATGGAAGCCGCTTCGCGTGTAATTTCACCAAACGCTGTAATAATGCTGAGGTGAGAAGTCGTCGGCTAGAGCACCCAAGATGGTACATCGTTCCGTCCGAGAACGTTGCGTGGCCTCACGGACTAGAGATAACCTGCAACTTATTGTGCAATCTAGTTTCGTATGTTAATATTGTATTGCAATTGCTCAGTTGTAATAGTCACCGGTGTGGTCCAATAGTAACAGAGGACTGGAACTGAGTCAGCGGCGTAGGAGTGTGAAGGCGGTGACGTAAGCGGATGGAATTACGCTCCGTTGAAATTCATTTAAGTTTGCATTGGAATGAATAAATGTTGTATGGGAATTCGAGCGATTGTAGTTCAGCAATCTCGACGTTCCTCCCTAAGGCAAAATTCCGGATTCCCTTAGTCCACCTGATGCGCTGTCTGGCGGATAGAAAGATTGGAACGAAACTTCTGCAAATTAAAGTTGTACCATAACCGCACAATCCATCAAATTAGTCCAAGAGTCTACGTATTTAAGTGACACACACACAAGACGCCCGTATACACACTACAGTCCCAAACACGGTAGCGCGCTGCATTAGGCAGGAAGCTACGATCACAGCTGAGAGTTAGAATGTTTCACGAGGAAAGGGTGAACTGATATATTGCGATTTGTAGGTGTTACATGACAAGAAGCGCTAGGAAGAAATTCGAGGCGTACACTCGAAAACAACAACTTATGTTAATTGCACTAGAGAGCAGGGGGAGTATTTACATTCTTCGCCGTGTGACTTCGGTGTTAATAATGAGCACGTCACGCGGGCGCCTTAGGCCCTGCAAGGCACTTCTAACAACCCACCGTATCATCTTAAACATTTACCCGTCGCCTAAATGTTGCTGACATCACCACCTTAGATACGTGCAATTTTTCCTGGAACGTGTCTACCCGATGAGTCTCTTGTTGCGGACTGCATGTCATGTATCTTGTGTAGATCTGTCTGACACGGGGGCTTGGCTGTCACGGTGCCCCCGACGCCCACCCATTTGATTTATAGGCGGCTTTTACAGATTTCAATTAGACGCGCACGCATTAGAAGGCAAGCGCACTTGTGTTGTGCTTGATAGACATTAAAGCGCACCTTTTTAGATACACGCGCTCTCCGCAAGTCGGTCTGTAAATATAACGAAGCTACACACGTATAGCATTTGCCTAATTTAGCTAATCTTTACAAAATGGCGTACAATTCGCTGACTGAGGCTCCTCACGACCTGAAGGAGGGCATTGACTGGTTGATGGCGCTGAAAGGAGCTGATGCTGGAAAGAACTTGGCCGCTATGGGCGTTGCTGTTCACGATTTGCTCGCAGATGGGCCCGTTGCTTCGGGGGTGCTGCCAGCTCTAGAGAGTGTTAGACGTATTTCGAAAGAGTTCGTGGAGCAGCCGGAGCTTAAAGACATGTGGCCCACAAACGAGTTGGTGGAGATGTTCAACAGATCTATTAATAGAAAGCTCGGCAATAACAGTACGTTATTGAGAGGTATCGACGATAACGATAAAAAAGACATAGAAGCCAGGGATTTCATCGCTGAAACCATCGCGAATGACCTGGGTGACGTTTTGCAAACCACCGAGAAGTTCTTGGGTGATATAAAAGACCCAGCCCACTATATGCCCGCTTATAGTTCAGAAGCAACGTGGGATGCATCATGCGCGAAGGACCCGGAGGCTTGCGCCGTGGTCCTCGTGGGTATTGCGCCTATGTTATACGCCGGTGTATTTACTTTGTGGACTGTTATTAATGGAGACTTCTTTATTGATGAAACCCCCGTTGGGGTTGAAGATTTGGGAAACGTCATGAAAGCGTTGGGTTTCGTAGAGCCGGAATACCGCACCAGCCAGAGTCGTCGCAATCTCCTCCACGCGTTGCGTGGTATGCATAAAACATTATTGGCAACAATGTATGACCTCTCTGGTTTCTGGGATTCCGATACGTTGGATAGTCTAGAGCCTACGGATGTCATATCCGAGGAACCCAAGAAAGTTGAATCTGTGGAGCCTACGGAGGTTGAATCCGAGGAACCCAAGGAAGTTGAATCTGTGGAGCCTACGGAGGTTGAATCCGAGGAACCCAAGAAAGTTGAATCTGTGGAGCCTACGGAGGTTGAATCCGAGGAACCCAAGGAAGTTGAATCTGTGGAGCCTACGGAGGTTGAATCTGTGGAGCCTACGGAGGTTGAATCCGAGGAACCCAAGGAAGTTGAATCTGTGGAGCCTACGGAGGTTGAATCTGTGGAGCCTACGGAGGTTGAATCCGAGGAACCCAAGGAAGTTGAATCTGTGGAGCCTACGGAGGTTGAATCCGAGGAACCCAAGGAAGTTGAATCTGTGGAGCCTACGGAGGTTGAATCTGTGGAGCCTACGGAGGTTGAATCCGAGGAACCCAAGGAAGTTGAATCCGAGGAACCCAAGGAAGTTGAATCCGAGAAGCCCAAGGATGGCAAATCTGAGGAACCCAAGGACGCTAAATCCGAGGAACCCAGGGATGGCAAATCCGAGAAGCCCAAGGATGGCAAATCTGAGGAACCCAAGGACGCTAAATCCGAGGAACCCAGGGATGGCAAATCCGAGGAACCCAAGGAAGTTGAATCCGAGAAGCCCAAGGATGGCAAATCTGAGGAACCCAAGGACGCTAAATCTGAGGAACCCAAGGACGCTAAATCCGAGGAACCCAGGGATGGCAAATCCGAGAAGCCCAAGGATGGCAAATCCGAGAAGCCCAAGGACGCTAAATCCGAGGAACCTAAGGACGCAAAAGCTGGAAAGGCTAAAAAATGTCCAAAAGTTAAAAGATGGTTTATGAGCTGCTTTTGCATTTAATAGCGTGGTGTGTGGCTACGTATGACTATTTTCACTGCCCACTACGCGCTAGCGCCTCACGCTGTATGTGTTGGTTGCGGAGACCACGTCCTGTTACCAAACCAACTTGGTGTAATCCACGATTGCACCCTGCCTGCGGAGGAGGGTCATTCAGTGCATTAGGGCAGCTTTCGTCTCCATGAGGTCGTCTTGATTGGTTATTCCTATTTCCACGATGGTTATGGGATTGCTTCGTCGATTTCATACAATGGGTTGCTCCCAGGGTTTTAGTGGACTCGCCTTCAGCTAATATCGATGAATCGAGGCCCAGATTTGGTGTTATTGGAAGAATGGATGTTTGACCAATATTAACAGGTGACGCAGGTTGTCACGTCAGGTCGCAGCTTTGAATGAAAACTACTTTGCAACTCGGCAGAGGGCTAGGGCGATGGGGTTTTAACTTGCCACCACTTTACCAACAAATTAGAAATCACGAAATTTTAATTCTCTTTTGATTTCATATATCTATAAGGTGTATCCTTTGGTGCTATTGTGTATTTATTTTCGTGATGGTCGATCGTACGACGCATAATACATGACCAAGTTTAGAATCCGGCAATGTCTTTTGCACTCTGCACAATAGCGTTACAATCGATCGTATATTTGAACGCATTGTCGTGCGATTTCGGAGATCCGCCAGGATCACTCAGCAGTAACGCACTCGTCGCGTGCCACATAGACCTCGAAACCGTCAACAGTGCAACTGTGATATGCCCCCGCCGAGTAAACGATACGAAGTACGCCTGGCATCCTCAGCCGTATGTAGGTAATCACTCTCATCTTAATGCATACGTAAGTGAAAATGGCAATTTCCGTTCCGTTGGTATTTCGGATGCAGTGATAACGGATGCACCAGGTGATTATATTTGGACGGATTCAAATGAGGCAAATGCCACGCTTCATTTAAACCTAGGAGATTATAGCGATATATATGTCATCACAGAGCGCCGTTTGATATTCATTTGTGGGCCGCGAGATTTGGTTCTGACTAATGAATTGCAGCGTCACATCGACAGCCTCAATGATTCTCGTCTCATGGTAGAACTTCCTTGGACCTCTACTACGCCTTTGGCTCATGAAATCTCAAAGATTGGAAAAGGTTTGGGAGTGTACTTCTTGTACAGAGACCGCGTTCATCTACCTCTTCAAGGTTGCGGCAGCCGTCCTTCACCTCTGTTCGCCTCGGATAATGAAGTGACCGTGGATCCCGTAACTGGTATCCGCTCATGTGTAGCGGATCCCATGTCAGAAACGTTCATTGGGTTCCTCTACGAAGGCAGGATTGAACCTGCGGATTGTATGAGATCGTTCTTGAGCAATGGTGGCAAGATTGTTACTGCACACGAACCACATTATCATTGGGATTTACAGAACGGTAGGCATTGGGTAGTAGCGAAATACTTCTCTGGCTTAGCTTTATCGCCGTTCAGTGGAGAATGCGTATGTATAGATTCCGAAACAGGTCATGTGACGGCAAGCATAGAAATTCGTCCAAAAACCAACTATGTTTGTGACATTTCCAGCATGCTCGAACGCCGCCGTGCGAATCCTATCAACGGCCCTTGGTGTTCGGTGGTTCTCCATCCCGGCAGCACATTGACCATACGGTTCCCAATAGCGGATGGCGATTCGGTGTCTAACGATGCAACGCAACTGCTGCCTACTGATAAATTCGAAGTTGAATTCCTGCCGAAAGACTTGACCACACTGCGGCAACTTAAAACGGCGTATGACTTTGATGTGTACGAAGAAATCTCGTACAACGAAGCACTTGCAGGCGACGCCCTCGAGATGAATGTTTCCCAAATGGCCCAGGGTGAGGTAAAACTGAAGTACCATGCGGACAAACCTCTCGCGTTAAAGGGGGGTCACAATTATTTTATGTATCAGTGGAGACTGAAATCCACTAATGGGGATGTTCCAGATAAGCTACGCGCCATCGTCAAACTGTCCCTTGCGTTGACGCACCCCTACCACATCATTGGTAGTGACCGAGGTCTACGGAGTGTGTTTGGATCATCAGTGAGCAAACAGTATAATCCAACCAAAACCATGGAAAGTGGAATGGGGAATGTTTATGGAGGCGGATATGATCTGATAGGGGACAATCGGAAGGCCGGTATATACTGCAGGACTGATGAGGAGCTGTTGCCAAACGACTGCGAATCTACAGCATACGATCTCCACGCAAACCGTATTGTGCCATTTCCAGGAACGGTCTATAATGTGACTCCATACCCCATTCGAGGATTTCAGATTTATGACATGGGCATACAAAAAAGTCCTATCAGTTATGCTTGTATCTGTGTTGACCAACGTGGAAAAGAAACATCGAGGCTTGTTTTGGAGGCCAATAATGAAGTACAACAGACGTACAAAGTAAGGCGTAAAGAGACGTCTCACGGATTACTCCCATACATATCGTTGCCTTGGCGTAAGGTCGCATTGATACTTGAAGGGCCCACATCAACAAGATTCATTATGCTGCAGCACACATCAAAAAAATCGTTAAGCTACAGGTTGGCACAACGTTGTCCATGACTTGTGCTTTTGATCCCAACGTTCAGACGTCGGCAAGCAACGGGCTAATATCAACGACATGGCTGCCGAAGATTCCCAACGAATTTCATTATACTGTAATCCATACACCACATGGACGTGAACTTATTCGGAGATCGCACAAAGATGCCATTGTTGGTACGCCGAATGCCTTAGAAGTAAGTTACCAAGGTAACACAACCAAATCTGCATATAACCAATTGAGGATCACGTCATCTAGAGGTGCCGTGCTCATATCCAAGGATCCAGCCCACGCGCATTATGTGCCCATGAGGTTTCTCTGCGGTAAGACGTACGAATCATCAGGCATGCCCATCATCACTGATGACAAACCGACGTCAGACATATCTGCACCGTTCATTCCCAATACCATAGAATCGTCTACACGATACGTCTGGCGCCTCGTTAAGTTTAAAGTCAGGGCCACGGATCCGTACATGCAAGGCTGCGGCGTTACGTACGCATCAGATGAGTTGTTCAAGCCTGAGACACCCCAACTCTACGACGGTGATGGGCAGTCGCAGTTTGGCTGCAAGATTGATCTTCAAGCTGCCAGGGAAGCGGCATTCTACTGCCCAGCACCGTATCTCCTGGACCCACCCAACTGCTTCAGCCAGGCCTCTGTGGACGGTAAAGGAAGGAACCTAAACGACCTCAGCAAGTCATTGGTGGCGTCTCGATCTAACCACTTGTCATACTGAGCTTCGATAGTTCACTCGTAGGACCAGGGGAGACGCTGCGCCAGACGCCGCCGTTGGAGTGCCGCTGCGTCACCACCAAGGGTATCGTTCTCTCCAGCATCCACATCGAGAACTATTACTCTAAGTGATTAATAGCTCAGATTTGGTAACTCGTTTAGCAAAAACACAGACTAATCCCCGTTTGTTGTTGCCATTGGTGTCTGCTGTTTTGGGTATTTCAGCGGCAGTGTGTCTTAGGTAACAAAGTACTAATTTTGGTAGCCAGTTATTGGCGTTTCTCGGTGTTACCAGATCTTTTAATGACTGGTGTTTACTTTAATAGGTCCTGTCAAAAACGTGGAATGTAATCGCATCTGCCTAAACTTTCGTTTATCCCAGAGTTCTGCCGTTATGAGGAAGTTGTAATAGGAGCACCTTCATTGATCCTCATACGTTAGAGCATTGGCAATGCCTTTAACGCACAAGAATCGACAAACTATAGTACCTCTTACCGTAGTTCAAGTATTCCGCTGATGTTGATAAATAATCAGTGTCCGTCCCTGAGCATGATAGGTCACCGGTTGGAATTAATGCAGGGGTGGCTTCATCTACCACTTATACGATTACAGAACGCATTATGAGATGATCTGCAAGGCTGCAGGGAATGACATTGAGGATTCCCGAATGACCATTTCCGGTGCTCATCGCACTCAGCTTGGTATCCCACAACATGATGCGATGGGTAAAGTGGAAAGAAACCGATGCCTCATAGTAGTATGTCTAGCATCTGGGATGTGAATACGATGTTGTAACCATAGTTAGTGCCTGAAATAAGTGGATGAAGTTGGGCAACCGTCAGCCCAATAATGAGTCCAACCTCATCGGGGTTGGTGTGACGCATTCCGGCAAAATGCGCAGTTCAATGTTAGCGTAACGCTTTTACATGATATATGACCCATGGAAGCCGCTTCGCGTGTAATTTCACCAAACGCTGCAATAATGCTGAGGTGAGAAGTCGTCGGCTAGAGCACCCGAAGCATATGACATGTGGGAGATGTATAGAATGGGCAAGGCAGGCAGGAGTATCTTACGTATAATGTTCAGCATGGGTGTAACGTGTATAATAACACATCGAATTCCTGTGTGCGTCATTTTATGTCACCTTCGCCATTGGCTCAGCGTAGGATAGGAAAAGGCCTAAATCTCTTGGGGTCATCATGGAGCGTTTCGCTTATAAGACGACCATAGCAGCGGTTTGTGGGGTGCAGCCATGACAGTCGAGTAACGACGATAGGAGAAGGTATGGTGGCGACGCTGTCAGAGACCAGCAGCCCGAGGTGCGAGCGGATGTGGAGCGCGTTGAGGCATCCGAGGAATACTTATGACAGGTACAGGATGGAGTAGTCCATTTTATTTCCCTGCCCGCCATCGTAGAGCGCCAAGCAATGGTGTCGAGATTCCCCAGTTCGACTAGTATGCGCAATGGAGTGGGAAGATTGCCGCTCATCCGTTTTGTCGCGCATTGTGAAGGCGTATTATGTGGCCATTGAGGGTATCGAAGACAACCCTGATTGTAGAACGCTATTGGCGGATAGAGTTGTCTAACGTTGGGGTTGCGGGGCAATCGTATTGTATTCCCGGTGTAGGATATATGTGTTGTACAGATAATACATCGGAGATTTCACGCAAACGGATATTTGGTTGGTTTCCACTTAGCGGAAAATGGAACTGTATAATAGAAATTGGTGTCCCTAGTACAGTGGGCATGATTACCCGTTTTTGGCTGACTCCATCCCTAATATGGATTTAATCATCGTAGTACTTTTCTACGACCTACGTTAGTGTTAAATATGTATCACACAATGTAATATGCAGGGTTGCACCTGGTGGTGCCGTGATGCGGTTAGTGCCCAGCAGCATCGGCCTCTAATCGGCTGACATAACATTTGGGCGCTCGTCCGCTTGGTTGTCTACGCACGGCTGTTATATGGCCATTTTTTTATATACTTGACGCTTTAAGTGGAACTCACCGCGACCATCCCAAAGGTTGTCCAACGTATGGCAAATTTTTATAAAAACAATGAGACTATCTTTGGTACTCTGAAGATTGTTAGCCGCACACTGAATCTATTTGGTTCAATATAGCGTAATGAAACGAGTAGTGGCACGTTTATTACTGTCTACATGCCACAGCACCACGAAAACATCAAGCGACGAGGAGATTCACTAGTGGGCCGCGACGAAAATTCAATCTGCAGTGGTTATTCGACGCATTACAGATAATATGTTGCTTGTGCTATCGAAATGTGCGCTTGGCTGACAACAAAATAATTTTTGTCAATGAGTATAATGTTTTGTCACCTGTGCTCATAGCCACTGCCAATTCTGCGTCAGTAGCTTTATTGGTTGTTAGAACCTCTTTACCGGAATTATAGAAGATAATTGTTGATACTGCGTCGTGTGATATTGAGGTGATCATTGCAATTGCTGTAATTCTACGTTCAGGCTGCCTGATTATATTCGGTAATAATGACATCTATTTGGCACATTGTACGGCGAATTTTCGCATACGTTCTATGTCTCTACATGATCATCTTCAATGATGCTGCTGTTGGCTCTAACGGTGGACCTGATAATCCGGACAGTAAGGAAAACGCATCCAAAGGCATTGAATTCTATGCCAACAACGAGGAATTCCATCAGCGTCTACAACGCTATATAACACTACTTAGGGATGCCGACCAAATTTATAGAGATTTGTCTTCTATCTCAAAGTCAATACCTGATTCCAACGCTTCACCGGAAATTAAAGAAGCAAAGCAAAGGGAGTGTGGTAATTTATTGACAACCTTCGAAAATGTAATACACCGGAAAGAATATGTCGAACTAGTACGTATATTTGATGAATACGATGAAATAGCAACACGTTTTCAAAATAAAGATCTAACTCCTGAAGGGTCGATTAAACTTGGTCAGGAACGTGCTAACGTGGGGATAGAATTTGAAGATAAGGAAGGCTTCGCAGCTGCCCTTATAAATTTCGACTTAGCAGAAGCGCATAAAAGTATTATAGACGATGCAATAGCGTTCATTAGAAGACACAATGGCCAGGAAGCGTTACCACCGCCAAGCACAGCTGCCGAGCCTAAGCCCAGTGGTAACACGCCTACACCAGATCACACGAATCACATGGCAGCTACGGGTAATGCAAATACTCGAGGTGGACGGGGCACAACACATGCTACAAACGGAGAAGATACATCACAAACCACAGAAGGAACTATCAACGATATACCCAACACAGCGGATGCTAAGGGTTCATCAGGGTTTGTGACAATGAGATGCACGGTTGTTCAAATCATGGTAGCAGTTGGTATAATGGTTATTCTCTGATTTCAGGTCGCCGCAAAACGGCATTACGGAGTTATAACGTAATCTACGTTTTTTGTCAATGGGTAACTAATTAGCCGTGCCTGGCTACGCGTGGTATGTGCCGATGTTAGCGCATATTACAAACTTACTGCCTGCGCTCCGTAAGGTTGGTTGATCGATGTCCACATACAATCTCTGGTGTACGAAGATTAAAAGTTGCAACGTTGGAACAACCCGCCACTTGGCACCGTGAGTACGACTCAAGATACGCAAAAATTGCCTTTTACCGCATTCTACGAAAGCTACTTGATGGATAGTTACTACATATAAAACTGCCCATATTTACATTTTACAAGTCACAAGTGTTTCGTGGGAGTTCACCGACGGCTACTGACTGTGGAGCCGGACAGAGACTCTGCTCGTGTTGATCTGCCTTAACAGTTTTGCAAGATCCTGAGGATTCGTGACCTGATGATGATGCACCTGTTGCTGAATAGTTTTTAGCATCATAGAACGCCCAAAACCCAGAGAAGTCGTAGAGGGTGTCGAATTCACCGATATTAAAACGACTCAGAGCTCTGTCGACCCCTGAAAGCGTGATTTCGGAGCCGCATAACGGTCCTACAAAACCCAAGGCTTTCAAAGCCTCTGTTATACGATATGTAACATCAGTATTCGTCGGCACATTATGCGCAAATTCGCATTCTATCATCAAAGATTCTAGGCCTGTGTGTAACATTGGTGCAATCCCGAGGAGGATCACTGCGCAAGCCTCTGGGTTGTTCGCGAATGATGCATCCCACGCCGCTGAGTCGGTCTGGGTACTGTGCTACTATCGGACGACACCGGTGACTATTACAACTGAGCAATTGCAATAGAAGATTAACATACGAAACTAGATTGCACACTAAGTTGCAGGTTATCTCTAGTCCGTGAGGCCACGCAACGTTCTCGGACGGAAGGATGTGCCATCTTGGGTGCTCTAGCCGACGACTTCTCACCTCAGCATTATTGCAGCGTTTGGTGAAATTACACGCGAAGCGGCTTCCATGGGTCATATATCATGTAAAAGCGTTACGCTAACATTGAACTGCGCATTTTGCCGGAATGCGTCACACCAACCCCGATGAGGTTGGACTCATTATTGGGCTGACGGTTGCCCAACTTCATCCACTTATTTCAGGCACTAACTATGGTTACAACATCGTATTCACATCCCAGATGCTAGACATACTACTATGAGGCATCGGTTTCTTTCCACTTTACCCATCGCATCATGTTGTGGGATACCAAGCTGAGTGCGATGAGCACCGGAAATGGTCATTCGGGAATCCTCAATGTCATTCCCTGCAGCCTTGCAGATCATCTCATAATGCGTTCTGTAATCGTATAAGTGGTAGATGAAGCCACCCCTGCATTAATTCCAACCGGTGACCTATCATGCTCAGGGACGGACACTGATTATTTATCAACATCAGCGGAATACTTGAACTACGGTAAGAGGTACTATAGTTTGTCGATTCTTGTGCGTTAAAGGCATTGCCAATGCTCTAACGTATGAGGATCAATGAAGGTGCTCCTATTACAACTTCCTCATAACGGCAGAACTCTGGGATAAACGAAAGTTTAGGCAGATGCGATTACATTCCACGTTTTTGACAGGACCTATTAAAGTAAACACCAGTCATTAAAAGATCTGGTAACACCGAGAAACGCCAATAACTGGCTACCAAAATTAGTACTTTGTTACCTAAGACACACTGCCGCTGAAATACCCAAAACAGCAGACACCAATGGCAACAACAAACGGGGATTAGTCTGTGTTTTTGCTAAACGAGTTACCAAATCTGAGCTATTAATCACTTAGAGTAATAGTTCTCGATGTGGATGCTGGAGAGAACGATACCCTTGGTGGTGACGCAGCGGCACTCCAACGGCGGCGTCTGGCGCAGCGTCTCCCCTGGTCCTACGAGTGAACTATCGAAGCTCAGTATGACAAGTGGTTAGATCGAGACGCCACCAACGATGAACTGAGACCGCCTAGGTTAGTCACTTCACCGTCAACTGAGGCCTGGCTGAAGCAGTTGGGTGGGTCCATGCTAATGACTGTAATGCGAAGCCAATGCCACATGATGCATATGCTTCGATGCATTGCATCCATTAAAACGGTCAAATTACCTTATAGTACTGCAAAACATATTATCGTTACGCGAAAAGTAAACATGCCCTAGGTACAATTTCCGACATCCAGGTAGGTCGTTCATTGTTTTGCTAGTTATACGAACTTAAGTGTGCACGACGATTTCAAGTGCTCGCTGTGAATATTGCTAGGAGTCTTCATTGGGGTAAAACGGGTTGTGACGAACGTAACATGTCTATTCCGTTCACGTACATGTTATCATAAATAATGATGGAGAGCTACATTAATCTTCCTAGCACGCTCGTCTTTGTCACAATCATGTCCATATGCAACATGATCAACAATATAATATTGCCACACGCAAAAGTGCCCGACTAGATCTAGAGTTTCCCGGACATTCACGACCCATACGAGAGGTCTCCACCTCCAGGAAAATACCAGTTTGACCTACTCCAACCACTACGTCGGCAACGCCACAATCACTTATTTCCAATGTAGCAACTTAGTCCAGCAACGGAAAGTGGTCCGTGGGGCAAGTAGCGAGGTGTAGCAGAACTGCCAAATGACAAGAGCAACAAAGCCGGTGAGACAGCCACAGTTGTATCGTATATGATAACCGTCTACGTATCAATCTACGTGCGTTGTGCCTTTATACGGGCGTCGTCCACGAGAGAGGATCACAGGGAACTATGCATCACTGCCAGGCCGTGGTTCTGATATGCTGATATCTGTATCGTCACGCCTCCCTTGCTCATTGCACATCACCATATCCATGGCGCCCTCCTACGATGACAGAATGTATGGTCGACAGTTGCGAATTGCTGATGTCATTTAACTAAATCTATTAGATGTTTAACGCTGTCTTATAGGGTGGGACCTCCTCCCCACATGCGTTCAGGGACACATCGGAACTGTTTTTCATGTACGTTTCTAAAAATTAAACTAATCTCTAATCTAGATACCGATCTCATACGTTATCAATTCCACTTTGGTTTCATGAACCGCCATTGGCTTTCTTTCCACTTAACCGGCCGGCTAGCGCCGTTACAAATTGCCAGCACTTTTGACGTGGTAATGAGCCCCTCAGTTTCCAGGCTTGCAGCAACGAATTTCAGATCACCCCCTGATTATGAGTTATTATTTGGGCTCTTACAGATATCTTCTTTGGTTGTGCATGCACGGCAATCTGCGTCGTGCGGATTCCTACGTCGCGTAGATCTACCCCCATCACCGTCCCTTTTGTGAACCTGCCGGCGTCGACAGGTTTCCCTCTTCGATCACATCACCATTACTTTACAAATCATTTGAAGTGTTTAACGGTACCACAATCGCCGTCATTCGGCAGCTGTGGTGCCGTGGGTCTCCGTTTGACCCTGACCATTTATGCATCTCCCTCCACTTCTCGTTGCCATGTGTGGCAACATTGCGTTTGTTAAAATGTAATACGATGTAAAAGACATGTTTTCTAGCGTTTAACCAAGATAAATGAATTTCGACTACTCTAGATAAATTCCACTTATCCGTTCGTAAATCGAAAAGCAGGAACAATGGGAGAGGGGAGTTTGCTCGACTCCCTATCCGGCCTCGTTGGCAAGGGAGTCAAGTTTGCCCAAAAGACTTTCTCGACTGTTGCGAATACAGGTTTGGGGAGTTTGGCGGACAGTGCCTTGGACGGCTTCGACGCAGAAACTATCAAAAATGCGCTGGAGGAACCAAGTGTAGAGGGGATCATGAACAACATCATTCAGATGGTTATGTGGCATGTATGGATATCATATGTTATTCCAATGATGTTGATTATGAGTTTCTTTTCCGCCTTATTCTTCGCTGCGTTCGTCTATGGATGGCTGAATAGGTGCTCGGCAGGATTCATGAGATGTTTTACAATGGTTGCGGAAATGATACTCTACGTTTACTGGAAATCAAAAAAATCGGTAGATGCATTTTGGGCTGATTACAGTGAAATTGACGATTCTGGCATCCTCTCTAAATTTAGAGGCCATAGATACTTGCCTGCGGCATACGCTAAGTGCAAGCTTCGTTGATTGAGATTAGGAGAATCGTTATGGAGGTGCCAATGTAGTAGACGTGTACTGTGCTTGTGACTACACAGCAAGATGTCGAGGTGTGCGATGAAGACGTTAAAAATTCGATTCTAAATTAGGATAAAGGTGTATTTGCGTCACATAAATGCCCCTAAAAGCGACGGATACGCTCAGATCCGTCCCAGTTGTCGCATTGGCTGGTCACGCAGACCACGTGTATGTGCTCAGTAGCTAAAATGCAAGGCGCCGAAAAGGAGATACCTGGCCCATGCGAGCACTAATATCTTAGGTACACAAAAACCGTGTATCATCTGTATTTTTCAATTCCTCAGAAACACATGAACGTATATCTTGCGCAGATGGTGCTGTGCATGGACACCCTGAGCAGTGAGGTGAATCACCTCTACACCACGATAGAGCTGGATGTCCTGGCGGTACCGAATCTTCAACCCCAAGCATATGCGCTATATTGATGATCTCAAGGCCTTCGCCAAAGATCCAAACACACTCTGGGCATGACCCGGACCACGGAGGATGCAAACTCACGGACGAGCATCTGCATGTTTGGCGTGATCGGAAACGAGATATACAGGAGATTTGAGTTACTCGTTATCACGGTGCGAATACGTGAAAAAAAAGCTAAACATGGTTATTAACCAGTACGTCTGCAGCGTGATAAACTACTACATCGTGGACATACCCATGGACAGTCACTTCAAGATCTGAAGTGAAGCCAACGTGATGATTGTATCCTCACAAACGCGCTCTCATCAATGTGCTGGATATCTTGCAAACGCAGCACTTTTGATAATACATTCCGGCCAACGAGATGCACCCCTGGTGCGGTACCGCGTATGCCCATGTTCACATGCGGTTGCCTGGCAAAATGGTCGTAGGAACTTGTTTGGTAAATCTACGTTCGCCAACGATGTCGTGTCGCATCATCTCAGGCCTACTATGAGGGCAATCGACGTTCCCTGACACACATCGCAGGGCCAACCATGGGCACTCCCAGCCGTGACATGCGACATGAGCTGAGTGGTTCGCTGCTGCGCGAAGTTATTCGTCGTGGGATGGGTACATCTCAAGGGGTTCGTTCATGTGCAGGGTGCCACTGTCAGCAGTGCTGTGTCAGTGGTCTTACCTAATGCGATAATAATGGAATTCTGACGATCAATGTTGTAATAACTGAAAAAGCAGAAATTAGCCTTTTACTGATTTGTTTTTGCTTCCATGTTAGTTTGGTAGGCATACGTTATAACAACGTGTTCCAGCATTCCAAGCAGGCAGTATGAATTTATGCGCAGCGGCTAAATCATTGCCTATCGCCTCGTCTGCTGACCTTCGCTACGGAGATTTGTTGTAGCCTACCGCGCCTCACAAAGCGTCCTATGGGCCTGTGAGTATTGTGTATATGTAGTATCACCCTTTTAAATGCGGAAAGTTGCCGAAACCAAGCGTCACTCAGGGTGCAACACAAAATCGTGGCCAGCATAGAAACGTACACAGGTCTTGATGAATGGCATACAACCCATCTATAACGTCTATAGAACGGGGGGGATACGTGAGACACACCAGATAGATATATTGCTGAAAACAGCGGCTACACAAACCCATTGCCCTGCATGCCACTACGTTTGCGACATACCGATGCCATGAGGTGACTAGTTAGCACTATGTTACTGATAAGATTTTTGGACCAAGCTGACGACGAATTTCGTTTTCAACCCTTTTATCGGCTAACAAAAGGTGCCCAGAGGGTGTTATACCTAGTGGTAGTACCGACGTATTTCGCCACTGAACGGTGATTATGGTGGGTTACGACAATCCCCGACTACCGCCGCCCACGGCACGTATACCACAACAGTACGTAAGCGTGTTACGTGCGGCATTGCCGTCTAACTTCTTAGCATAGTTGTGTAACCGTCAAATAGCTATATCCATGAGGCCTGGCACTGGTCTGTGCGGTAGCGTTGACATACGGTGACATCCTGAGGCGCGAGCACCGCACCTTTACCGCGGCCATATAGGTAATCGGAGGTGCCGGTAAACGCAATCATAGCGCCGTTGTCAATGCAGTAGCGCTCGTCCATCGGAAAGAGTTTCGCCCCGCGTTCTTCGGCCATGGCCGACGCCATCTGCTGCAAACGCAGGTTACAGCCCACTCCACCCACAACCAGCAGCTCCTTAGACTCGACAAATGCCATCGCTCGTTCAGTGATTTCTACTAGCATGGCGAACATGTGCTCTTGCACGCTGAAGCAGAGGTCTCGTGTGAAATTCTTGAAGTCCTCTTGCGTGCAGGCACCCGTTGACAACATATCCTTCTGTCGCTCAATTAGCTGTTCGCACCGCGTCAATAGTCCGCTTAGCGAACAATCCATACCCTTCACGACGAAAGGCAGCGGGATCATGCGCGCCCCGGGTAAACGCGCAGTGAGCTCTATGGAGAGGCCTGGTGACGGTTTATTCGGAAGCCCCAGCAGGCGTGCCAGCCTGTCGAGCACGTTTCCTGCAGCTATATCCAGGGTTTCTCCCAGCACCGCGTAAACTTGCCGCTGACGATCAAAGGATAGCACCTGAGTATTACCTCCCGATACGTAGAGCACTACGGGGTACTTGTAGCCGCTCAGAAACCGGCCCATCTCCACATGACCGACGCAGTGGTTGACCGGCACAATAGGCGCACCTGTCAGGAAATGTACAGTCTTTGCGGCAACGGCGCCGACGTGGAGCGCTGAGCCCATGCCAGGTCCTCTGGTGTAACAAATCAAAGAAATCTGCGATATGTCGATGCCGGCAGTGGACAGCGACTCTTTTAACGTGGCTGCCATGTTCTCTCGGTGGTGCCGGGCGACGTGGCGCGGAAGGAATCCTTCGCCATCCGGAGGTGAGTATGTCTTGCGTATGTTGGACAGCAGCACGCCGTCTCCACGCACAACAGCTATGCCAAGCTTATTGGCGCTTCCTTCTATACCCAGGGCATAAAATTCGCTTAGATTGCGGTCCTCAGGACTACCCATTGCGATGACACCTGCCGACACACACGTGTCGGCCGAAAATGAGTGACTCAGCTGACGGCACAATTGGCCGCAGCAACACAAGTAATACAATAAAGAGGCATATACTGTGTATAGCGATGTGGGCAAGCGGGCATTTCCTCCGACCTCAACAACCCCAGCCCTTAGACACTCCACCAAGCAAACCACGGCGGCTCTGCTGCAAGTTATACGAAAGAAGAGTGTACTTGCCCTGGCCCAAATATTTCCTCAAAATTTTTACCGGACTGTAGAAGATGCGTGTATCCGTTGTCATCGATTTGAGAGCCTGATACAATCTCCTTTTCTCGGTCGAACACCTTCCATGGCTGTGCGTTTTCAGCATCCGAAGATTTGGAGGCAAATTCCTTTGAGCGCATAATTTGAAGCTGCTCTTGCGGAGTCTTGCCCCAAACGTCATGCGACGTGTGCCTATCTGCGAATTCCTTTTGCAAGGTCTCATACTCGACGAAAAATCCTTGTTCGTGCATTTCTCGAAGGCTTAGTAGTTCTTTAGCGGAAGGATCTGCCGTGTTATATTGCGATGTGGCGCTGGCATTGCTCTCAGACGGCTCCGAGCCCTCCGCAGGGCGGCTGTGGCGGACGTATGGGCCCTGCGCTTCTGCCTTTTGGCGTATATACGGCAACTTTTCACTCAGAGCCTCTAGTAACGAAATATTGCACTCAGGAGGCTTCCTCACGATCGATTCCGAGCGATGCAGATACAACGCTCGGGCAAGATGCCGGAACTTCTTGCGCACATGCGCATCACTGTAATGACCTAGATCCACAGAAGCGCCATTGTCCAGCGACGAAAGGAACGATTCTAACTCCGATTCACATTCGTACTTGCGAATAAGGTCCGTGCATATCCGGATGAACTCCCGTTGTTGGTAGATATAAGGCAGCGTGGACCTGCTACCTCGGCTGTCGCCGCCGCCTGCGTTGGAACCGCCTTCCGCCGTTGATGCATCATCCGGCTTCAATACAACAGGAGCTTCGAAGCTGCCTGAGCGTTTTTCGTTACTGCGAGCAGCCAGAGGCGGATTGGTGGAATCCCCGCGCCTCGGCCTAGAAGGACCAGCGCCTGGCGAGTCGCGCGTGCAGGAACGGCTCCGACTTCTGCGCCGCTTATACGACACATTAGAATGGGGAGTGTCTGTAGAAGATACACCGTACGGCGCCATTTTCAGCGGCAGTAGGCAGTTGACGTTGCATTCACTACCTGCTGCCTTCGTTTATATCGGCGGGCGGTCTAGATGAGCAACAGACAATATATACACATTTGCACGCTCTCACATATATCACTTGACGACCGGACTCATCGGTGTGAGCCCTGAGCTCCTGTCGTCACGTGGGCCGAAGTACCTCCCCATCTATCGCCGGTCTTAACGAGTAAAACGCCACCATGCACCACTAAGACGCAACTAAAACTTATAACACACCGCCAAGACAAGATTATACGGACCGCCTAATTGGCAGGACTTTCCCGCGACGTGCTTCCCTTGCGGGAGGTGTGTAAGACTGTGCGATTGCAACGACGACCAGGAGACACAATGGATGACCATACTGGCGCCAGCCTCCGGCAGTTGGTCAATCTGATCGTAAGTGGCTTCGGTTCCGTATCAGACAAACCGTGCAGGACAAACTGCGGGACATCGGCCTACATAAGTATATCAACCTGCCACGGATATGTGTTGCCGGCACGCAGAGCAGCGGGAAGAGCAGTGTGCTCGAAAGCATCGTGGGTATCGACTTCCTGCCCAGGGGAGACGGGATAGTGACGCGTCGTCCGGTGGAATTCCGCCTCAGTAGGCTCACTGGAAAGGACGGGGATGCCGACTTAAGACCGTATATTATCTTTGAGGGCAACAGTGAGAAATTCTACGATTTCGAGCAAGCGAGGCAGCACATACAAGAGTTGACTAACGAGAAAGCTGGCGTCAACAAGGGTATCATAGACGATCCCATTGTCCTCTCTGTTTTTTCCCCTGACTGCCCTGACCTCTCGCTTATCGACCTCCCCGGAGTCACTCGTGTCCCGCTTAAAAACAGTGACCAGACCGACGACATAGAAGCCCTAACCAAGGACATGATCATGCGCTACGCCCGCGACCCACGCACTATAATTCTTGCGGTGGTCGCTGCCAACGTCGACATGTCCACCAGCGACGCGCTGCAGCTTGCGAGGCGCGCAGACCCGCTTGGCGTTCGTACATTGGGCGTAATAACGAAAATTGACCTTATGGATCGCGGAGCAGACGCCGTCGCCATGTTACAAAATGACGAAGTGCCTCTCCGGCTGGGCTACACAGGCGTCAAGAACCGCTCTCAAAAGGACATCGCAGAGGGGGTTACGATAAAGAAGGCGCTTGAACTGGAGAGGCAGTACTTCTCGGAGCACAGCGTATATAAGCATATCAAGCCCAGTCTATGGGGGATACCGTCGCTTGTCGAGAAGCTCACAAAGGTGCTGTACAGGCACATCAGCACAGTGTTGCCAGACCTAAAGGCGGAAATCTCGAACCGCATCAAAAACACGACTGCGAGGTTGGAAGCGTTGGGCGCGTCTGCGCCGTCGGATGCAGCTGAGCGTGTGCACCTGCTTTGGCAGATGACCACCGACTTTTGCGAGGTCTTCGGCGGTATAATCAGGGGCAGATACGTCAGCCGCCTGCATGACTTTGTCGACAAGGATGCAGTGACTGGCGTGCAAATTAGGACAATTTTTAACGAGTTGCTGGAGCCATTCCTTTCGCAGAAGGTCTTCGACCAGCTGTCCGACTTTGAAATTGATCAGGCCATTCAGATGCACGAGGGAGACAGTCTGCCCGGGTTCCCCAGTCCAGACACGTTCGAGTACCTGATATTGCCTCAGCTGCAGAAGCTGGTTCCTCCATCCATCGAGTGCCTGGAGCGCGTGCAACAGACACTCGACTTGTTGGCCATGAAGGTCTCTCAGCGCATCTTTGCCAGGTTCCCGTTGCTGTGCGAAAAGGTGCTCGCCCTATCGCAGAACATCTTTACCGAAGAGACGGAGAAGTCTCGAGATTTTTTGGAGAAATACGTGGAGAGCGAAACTTTATACATTTTCACAAACGACGGTCAGTACATGGTGGACAAGGCCGACGAAAAGCTGGATGCTGGTAAATCAACCAACTACGTCGCTGAAAAAGCGGCCCAGCTAACCCAGGCAACAGGCAAGGCACTGAGTGGTGTCTGGGACGCCGCTCAAGGCAAGAAGCGCAGATACAGTTCGCAATTCATTCAGGAAATACGGCGCCGCCTCAACGTATATTTCGCCATAGTACTACGGAACATGCGCGATTCGGTGCCGAAGATAATCGGCCACTTCCTTGTGAGAAAGGTGCAGCAAAACATGCAGTACAAAATTTACACCGCCCTCACTCAGCAGAAGCAGGAGGATCTCGAAGCCATGTTCGGCGAGCCGCCGCATATCGCCCGGGACCGTGAGCTCATGAGGGAACAGTTAGACGTGCTAAATCGGGCAATGTCACTCATGCAGCGTGACTTTTCTGTGGCGCAAAGGGACCTCGACCTATTTGATGAGACCTTTGACAACGATTTGAAGGCGTTCAGCATCAAGGCTCAGCAACCTGGAAGTCCTGCTCCGGCTGCTGCCGACCTGCAGCGGCGTCCCGCAGCGCAACAGCCACCGGAGTCCGCCATCACCACTGGCCATCACATGCCCAAGGCACAGTATATCACACAGCAGCCGCAGCGCGCGCGTGATACAACACGGCGGGTGGTGGCCTCAAACCCGCTTTTCGACTGAAGACCGCCACGCGGCGTGATCGGCGCGTCGTTCCTCGGACGTAGGCCAACGCGGACTCAACCCGTCATCCCACGCATATAGAAAACGACCACTAGTACATTTTACAACACAATGCCTTGCGCTAAATGCGAAAAGAAGTTATGCAAGCTCGCTACGCCAGACACTAAGCGCGACGGTAGGTACGACCGGTGTCATACGCATACGGCGCAGGCAACCGTTGCGCCGTGGGCGTGAACAAGCTCGTTGAGAAGCGTGTAAAAAAGGACAAGTGAGTTCGCCGGGAGGGATGTAAGATTGCGCAGGATGGAGCCAAACAAGAATCAGTGCAAGAATTGCAAGGCCTTCCTACACATCAAGGGCAAGTACTGCAACGTGTGGTAAGTCGCGTGATTGGAGGCGCTATAACCTCGCCCGCAGCGCGTACAAGCAGGGAAGGTGCCATCTGTGCGGTAAGAAGATGGTCGACGTGTCCAGGCACCTGATGTCTGTCGTATGACATCCGCATAGAGACGGATGACGCAGCGTTCGCGCCTCCTGTTGAATCTACACACGAAATGAGAGTCAACATCGACAGATTGCAACTGCAAAGCCCATCAAAACGCGTATTTTGATCGGCCTGGCTCGACTCGCCCTAGTGGCCTGTGTAGCGAATGAATCAGACCGTATACAGCTAGTAACTAATGGAAGCCGTGCTCCTAGGCGGTGTGTACGGTGAACATCTACCTAATCTTACTGACACTGTTGTGTGGTGACGCAAGCCTCACTGTGTAGGAGGGGGCCCGGGAGGCTCTCTGGGCAGCATCAGTGACACATCACTCCAAAAAGCAGCGATGCGACGGGAGTTAGACGTCGATCCGAAGGCTTAGCAAAAGGCTCTCAACGCACGTCAGTAAGAGCAGCAGCGAGCGGCGGTGCATCCGCGCGGAGGAGCGCTGAAGGACGTGTTCGAGTAGCAGCTGCAGAGGGAATCGCTTCGCCGCGCGGTGTGTTACGTGGTAACTCAGACTGCAAAAATGGGAGTGGACGCCTACACCCGAGCGGACCAGGCGATGAGCGTCGCCGCCTGCGACAAGAACGCAATCCTGCAAGAGGCCAAGGTATTCTCTAAGGTGCCCATAAACTCGAAGAAGTGCATCGAAGCGCTGACTAAAATACTCTGTGTGATCAATCATGGCTATGACCCGCTCACGGAGTCGGAAACAACCGACGTGTTCTTCGGAGCGACCAGGCTGTTCGAGTCGAATGACGAGAGGCTCCGTCGCCTGGTCTACTTGCTCATCAAGTCAATACGCGTCAACGAAACTGAGATATTCATCGTAACAAGCTCGCTCACGAAGGATATAAACTCCCCAAACCTCATCTACCGCGCTAACGCCATCAGGGCCATGTGTCTCATCGTCAAGAGCAACATGGCATCGCAGGTCGAGCGCTACATAAAGTCCTCGCTGGTGGACAGAGACACGTACGTGTGCTCTTCCGCTATACTGTTCTGCATACGAGTTTTTCCACAGATGCAGCAGATGATCCGGCGCTGGGTCGGCGAGGCTGCCACCTGCTTAACAAACTCCAATGAGATGGTGCAGTTTCACGGCACACTCATGATGTTCCTCGCTCGGCTGAACGACAGGCAGTCGCTTCGGAAGCTTGTCGCTACTTTGAGGCAGGGAAAGATGGGAGTCCACACCGAGTGCTTCATCATACGGTTCGTCGCAGCCAACTTCGGCATCATGGAGGCGGAGTGCATCGACCTGATAAAATCGGGGATAAAGAGTAATAAGGAGGCAGTCAGTTTGGAGGCACTCAAAGCAGTAATATCGTTGGCTCTTTCTCACTATAAAACCATCGGCAGCATGCAGGGATTCGCTTTCGACATGCGGGATGTGATAACGAAGCTCCAGGCGATGCTCGCATCCAAGGACCGGACGCTGGTGTTCGCTGCCATGAGGCAGATATATCAACTTGCGCAGACTCTCCCGCTGTTGGTCAGCGTCCTGAACGGAAAGGTTGAGGATATGCTGAAACGCAAAAACAAGGACATCGCGTCGCTTGCACTTCTCACGTTGCTACAAACTGGAGGTGCCGACACCATCGAAAGGCTTCTCGCGCAGGCCACTTCCCTCTCAGGGGACTTCAAACTGGCCGTGGCGAAGGCCCTGAAGAGGCTTTGTGTCTCCTTCCCGGACAAGCACCCAACTGTCCTCAAGTTCTTTGCCACAAACTTCAGGGATGCGGTTGAATGCACCTTCAAAAGGGAAATGGTTGACGCCACCATGTACATCGTGGAGCACATACCCGCCGCCCAGCAGCTCGGCCTAAAGAACCTCTGCGAATTCATCGAGGATTGCGAGTTCCCCGATCTCAACGCCAAGGTGCTCAAGTTCTTGGGCGACAACGTACCGAAGGCCGAAACGCCTGAAGAGTACGTGAGGTACATTTACAATAGGCTGCTGCTGGAGAATGCCACTGTGCGTGCAGCGGGCATTGAGGCGCTGGACAATATCGTCAGGGAGTGCCCTGCGCTCAAACAATCCGTCTCCATCCTGCTGCTGCCGTGCCTCAGGGACCCGGAGGACGACCTCAGAGAAAGAGTGAACCTCACTTACACGCTCATGCTTGTCGATGACCGCGTGACGCTCAACAACCGCGCCCTTGCTGCTAGCACCGACGGAGAGGCCGATTTCGATGAGTTCGAGGCCAAAATCAAGAACTCCGACGCGGCCAAGCAGCTGTGCGACGTCATCCACTCAGTCACCGAACATGGCAGTCTGAGTGGCCTCTGCGCCAAACTGCACGACTGCATACAAAACAAGCGCGGCTACGACGAAGTCTATGAGGACATGGCTGATGCCGACATGGACACCGACGCAGGGGACGCAGCGCCAGACGCACAGGAGGCTAAGCAGCGCATGGCACCGACCAACAGTATGGAGGAAATCGGCGTTTTCGAACAGGACCGCGTAGATGAGATAGAGACTGTCCTGCTGCCACCTGAAATTGTGCAGCTGCTGCCCCAGGGCGTGCCAATGGCAATCTCTGCGACTCTGCCGCTCACCGACGAGGAGGAGGACTACAGCGTGGAGGCCAAGATACACTCCACCGAGGGATGCCTGGTGCTCGAGTTCATTATCGGAAACACGCTGTCCGACCAGATTCTGGATGACGTCGTCGTCAGTGTGGACTACTCGCAGTGCCTCAACGCCAACATTTGGCAGCTGCAGACGTTTATGCCAATACCACGGCTAACAGTATCGGAAAAGAAGAGCGCTTACTTAGTTATGCGCAACGTGATGCAAAGTGGCCTGGATGGGCTCCCCCAATTCGGGTTGTTGCTGGGCACTGTAAAGGTAGACCTCACTTTCGAGGCCCGGTGCGGCAGCGAGGACTCCCGGAGCTACAGAGAGAGCTACAGCGCAAATGACATGCACCTCGGAATTGGACTATACTGCGTTAGCTGGCCGATGGATGAGGCCGAGTTTGACCGGTCATGGGCTGCCTGTGCCGAACTCGAGTCATGCGCCACCTTCGGCCTCCAGTTCAAGGACATCAAGGAAGCCGTCCAGGGTTTGCGCAGGTTCTTCGGCAACTGCTCCGTCACGCAGTGCCCCGGACCTGTAGAGCGCATCGCAGTGCTCAACGTCGCCGGAAAGCTCTTCTCCAAGCAGGACTTCATGGCCAAAGCCACCGTCGCCCAGGGCGACCCTAGCGGCTCTGCTCAGCTCAGTCCGCAGAAGGGCTGCATACTTAAGCTGCAGGTCCGGACGGGCAATAGGGACCTTGCGGACATCATTTTTACGCTGTTGGAGTGAACACGAACGTAAACATGCCACCCATAAACACAATAGTAGCCTGCCGTTGCCACACACCTCCGTGCGCGCGACACCAGTCTTAGTTCGCAAAATGGAGAACGAGAACAAGGATTCCATCGAAATCGATGAGGACGTCGACATGGGCGGCGATATGCAGATCTTTGACGAGCCTGACGATGAGCTTGAGGAGTTTGACGAAATAGGTTAGACGCAACACCGCCTCCGCCAACTCGCGCAGATAACGTGGTCACCGCCGAGGACCCGGAAATTTCTAACTGGAACGACGACTGGGAGACCGCAGGTTGGCGTAAATGACAGCTACGATAGCGCATTGCAGGCTGGGACGACGAGGACGTCGAATCCGACTTTGTGAAGCGTATCCTCCAGGAGTTGGAAAACTACAGGAAGGCGTACCACTGACACACGCGCGTATATGTGAACAAGTTTATTTTAAGTTGTTTTCACCTATGCGGCTGCAGCGCAAAAAGGCTGCGTTTTTGATTTCGTCACCCGGCTGCTGCAATACCAGCCGTTGGAGCTGAGCCGCGGTGTTAATAGAACGGCTGCCCTGTTTTGCGTCCGATGCGACGCAGTCACCCGGCGAAACGGTGCTCACCCACCTCTCGTCAACCTCAACCTTGGTCATGCAATACCGGCGGCCGGCGAAACACACCGTAGCGCCGGTCAGCCCGAAATGCGATGGAGGCGACGTGACGATCTTGTGGCGCGCTGTGAAATAATGCCCGGCGTTCTTTGAGCTCAGACACGCGTCACGTATCTCCGGCGGCAACGGGAGATTGCTCCCAGAGGTCTCGAACGACTGCAAATCTAGCAGCGCGTCGTGCACATTAACCGTACGAATATCGCTCTGATAGTAGGCGACAACACCCGTGATGGTTGTCCCGTTAGACAGGGTGACAGTGACGTGGCTGCCTTTGAGCGCACATACCAGACGGCTTAACAAAGAAGATTCTCTGTTGCGTACCCCGCGAGCACTGCGTAAAGAGGTGTACATACTACTGCTTTACAAATAGCGTTAGTCGACGGCTTGAATCAGCCGCACGATGTGGCTGCCCAAGCCGCATCCGCGCTCGGACTCCGAGCGATCGCAGGCATTCCGGCAGATACTGCCACGATGGATTTAAAGCAACCCAACATGCAGAACACTCTCCTAAAGCCTGCGTGCCACCATAGGATTCTCGGGCGACTTTTTCCACTGAGCGCGATGACACTGAGCGGCGCTCAACTTACGGCTTTGAATATCATGTCCTTGTACTGCGAGAACTTCAGGTTCGGATACTCCACCTTCAGCTCTGCCATCTTGCGTTCCTCGAACGCGTCGTAAGCCTGTGCCAGATGCTGTCACGTTGGTGAGGACTACCTACCGCCTTCACTCGTTTCTCCGCGTTCGCATCCACCTTGGGACCGATCGCAAGCGCGTCCAACACCTCGTCCAGACCGGATGCTGCACGACATCAGCTTAAAAAGCGGTCTAAACGCACCCTTCACGAGGTCGATATTCTGTTCCTCGAGCATCATGCGTTCTCGCATATTCTCGTGATTCATGTTGCCCAGGGTCACATCGCAGTATGGATTCTCCTAACGCACGCTTACACTAGCGACAATTGCAACCAACCTCGCGACTTGCTGCCTCCTTTGCGCGCGCTTCGGCTTGAAGTGCTTGCATACGAAGGATTTCGGCGCGGGTAACCTTAGTAACCGCCGCACCCTGCACAAGCATGACCGCGTCATTCGAGCGCCTACCTTTGCACATGTCTTGTTTGACACAAGCTCTGAGTCCTCCTTCTCCAGCAACTGCCGCAACTCCTGCTTGCGCTGCAGGCGTTCCTGCTGCCGGCGCTGGGCCTCCAGCTGCAACGTATCAAACGCGTGAGATGACACTGACCTTGCGCTCCTGTTTTGCCTGTACTAGCTTATCATTGTCTTCCCAGTATTTGTCAAGCGCCTCGGCCTCCTTTTTACGCTCGATCGCCTCGCGCTGCTCCTTCTTCCGCTGCTTGGCCTCCAGCGCCTTGGAGTTGATGCCGTTCAAACGCGGCATCCTGCTTCCAACTGGGATCCACCAACTCTAAAGCTACATCCACAACTGTGCGATAAAAATTGGACATCTGCCCGGCAAAAATACCTGAGCAGCACGGGATGACACGTCACGTCATGCTGCGGCGACACAGCCGATAAAAACGCTGACGAGCTGATGATACGCAGCAGAGTTATGCACGAATATTTAGTAGTACGCATTCAAGCACATTATAGGCGCGCCGCCATCTTAGGGAGGGAGTCGTTGAGACCGGTAGCCTACACACCTAACATGGTAACAGGGCTGCGCAGACGTGGATTCCAAGCAGATTCCAGTGTTTATACTCTATTGCAGTGCGGTACATCGCAGTGGCATGTGGAATGGCCCAGGTTGAGCGCGAGCTGATCCGTCTGTTAGATCATCAATGTGTATGATTTCGGTGGTCTAGAAAAGCACACATTGTTTATTAAGAATATCAAACATCACGAACATGTATAACAAAAGTGCTGTTAGCAACTGCGGAGGGACTCAGCAGTGGCATTTGAAGCGAGTCCGCGCAGGTCACATGTGCATAGCATCAGGAGAAATTGCGCTGTGCGACACTTGTCTCGAAGGTCCTAACAATTGTTCACATCACTCACATAGGCAGCATGGTCATTAATTCGAAGTATCGGATGCCGTCCCGGTACGCGCTGCAAATCACGGGTCGACCATCACGGAGTATGTGACCACCCGACGCCACTACAACACACCTGAGAGAAACCGCACATTTCAGCGCAGCGCCACCTAGGTGCTAGCCTCTGGACTAAGGAATCCTGTGAATCCCGGTGGACGAGACAGCGTCGAAAGGACGTCGCTCGCAACTCCCGACCTGCAGTGACGACGGGCTCTACTAGACACACATCGTCACAAAACGCTGGAAGATTGCATAAAAAATCTTACATGGTCAAGGGGTCGGCCATAAGGTGCGCGACGCGGGGTTGCCGGAGGCGCGCTGGCTAGGAGTACAGCAGCGACACGACACACTGTAGGAACGGGATGACGGCAAGCCGACGCAATATCTCGGTATGAACGGCTCTACCATGTCGCGCTGCTGCGGGGACGAGGACCACGAAAATGGCGAATACGACGGAGCAGTCCCCAGGCATGCCGTACAGAGGTTCTTGGATGCCATAAAGCTATCTGTGCACCGGTTCGTCGAAGATGAGCGTATAATCAAGTTCGTCACCCTGGTTCTGCTCTACACCCCTGTCATATATTTTGCTGCAACTGCTTTTGGGTGGTACACAGCTTATCATGGGCCGGGTGTCCCCATCGTCATCTACATTATCGCAAGCTTAGCCCTGATATGCTTCCACGCGGTTTCCTGCATGAACCCGGGCATCATACCCAGGTTGGCTGACAGTAGTGATGCGTTCGATGCAATTCGCATGAAGCGCAAGTACTCCAACGCGCCGACGTGCATAGAGGTCGCCATCGCCGGGAAGTTCCTCAGGATCAAGTACTGTCACACCTGCAACATCTATCGGCCTCCTAGGAGCGTGCACTGTAGCGTGTGCGATGTATGCGTTCACAGGTTCGACCACCACTGCAAGTGGCTGAGAAATTGCATCGGTGGCAACAATTACCGAGTGTTTTACGGATTCATCACCCTCACGTGCATCGAGAACATCCTCTTCGCGACCTTCTCAGTCATACGAATGGTGATGGTCAGCAGGGGCGATTGGGATACGGCATCCATAGTCCACAGCGCCATCTTGTTAACGTACATGCTTTTGTGCGGGTGGTTCATCGTCGGACTCATGGTGTACCACACCTACCTCATATGCATAAACAAGACCACGAACGAGCAACTCAAGGGGCTGTATACAGAGTACAACCCATGGAACCGAGGTATAATGCGCAATCTAACGGAAACCATGTTCGGCCGTAGCAAGGCGCAGATGCTGTGCAACGCAACCATAAAGGCAGGCCCAATTTATGACCCAGGGAGGAGCGTGCCAATACACCTTGTCAAAGTTTCACCCGTGGGCGATCAAATATTAAAGGGCAGAAGGCCCGCATTTGACGTAACTTCCTCGGAACCATGGGAAAGGACTGACCACGACGAGGATTTCGAACACGCGTACTCGTATGGGGGAGAAAAGCGCTCTCAGCCGCCAGTGGTAGACGATTTGGTCGTCGGAGTAGTCGTGGACGACGCCCATGTCCAGGGTGAAGGCTGGGAGAAAGTGGGTGACGGATGACCAAGTATTGGATACTCTACGCGCAACCAGAACGAATGCAAATCTTAATTGCTATAGATGTGAATGGTCAAATCACGCCGATTGCGCCAAGCAATGATCCCGCGGCGACAGTCGCCAACGAAACTGAACCGTGATTAAACATTAACGCAGCACTAACCTAAAGTAAGCGCCCGTGCCGACGGCATGCGATGAAGCGCCGACGAACGCGGGACGCCCGGCACAGTCTCACGTTGACGCAGCTTCACATATTCTCGCTTTTGGCTTCTCTCAGCGCGTATGTGAGCTACAAATGGGCCAACATCGTCCCCGTTCTCAACCAGCAGCTGAACACGTTGGCGCATGAACACACTAAACGCACTTTATGGGTGTCATCGCAGTATGGAAACTTGTGAGACTGCCAGCAGCGACACAGCCGTACTACCACGTCGGGTTGGTCCGACTTTGGGAAGTTCTCTATAACCTGATTGCGATGTTATTATATGACTAGGAAAGATACATGGGAGTACAGCGGCTGCTGGCGAGTGTTGAAGTCCAACTTATCGTAACATTCCAGCGGGTTTGACATAGTAAAAATCGTTACGACAACTGCTAACTAAATGTGGATAGGAATGAGGCCTCAGTACAGAGACCACACATCGGCGCAGGCAAGGGACTGTTTAGGTGAAAAGACGCAACAAACAAATTAAAGCATGCTAAAACACATGGTAAACTATTCTTCACGCATATTGACATGAATGTGTGAGATAATACGCGAGAAATTCGCCTCACGAGAACATTTATTCTTGAGACACTAACACACGGTACTTTGACTACCGCTCGCGTCAAGTACAGGCAATGAGCACATATGTGTCAGAATGACATGATCACCTATGACGAAACCACGCTAAAAAGCAGACATAACTATACGACCGGATCGCCTACCGCACTCTAAAACGCGACACAGCAATCCGAAACGCAGAGAATAATACTCAGCGCGCGTACAGGGGGCGAGCGACGCTACGGCGTCGACGGAAGTGACTTGGCTGAGCAATCGAACTCACGGGAAGGCACGGAGCAGTCAAATAACGCGACCACACCTGCACATAAGACATGGAGGTGGAGGGAGCTATCATAAAGGCAGCGGGCATCATTGTTTACACCGTCGACGCACTCCTGAAGGAACCCAAATACTTGCTGCTTAAGGCGTCAAACAAGCCGTTCCATTGGACACCCCCGAAAGGTAACGTCTATAATACTACGCCGCCTGATGCGCCTCCAACGCAAACACATCAACCATTCAGGCCGACTAGACCCCGGTGAGACGTTCCAGGACGCCGCATTCAGAGAGACATGGGAGGAATGCGGGTTGCGCAAGGATCTCATCGAAGTTGACGAATCGTTCAAGGAGGTTTGCCGTTACCAATATGCCAGAGATAAGCGCTGCAGGTACTCAGATACAAGGCACACGAAAGGGACAAGGAGTGCGTATACTATCTGGGGAAGCTGACAGATCCGAACTTCAAAGTAACACTATCGCACGAACACACCGACCACGCGTAAGTGGGAGAAACGCAACCAACATCACGCACGATCAGATGGATTTTCGCTAGTAACGTCAACGATTACTGCGACAAAGAGTCGCTCTGCAACATGATCGCACATGCGGACGAACACATCAAGCGCAAACTGCATTAGACAAGCCCGAATTACACACCGCTAGACAGCCGGTCTGCTTCACTTCTTCTCCGAGCTCTGCTTCATCGCCTCTCGACGACACAGCTCCTGCAGCTCTTCCGTCTTGACGTCCGAAGAATTCAGGAACACGTAACGCACCACCGAACCTCGCACAAAGCAGTTCACAACAGACAGCTGACACATAATGCAGTCGGGATATCGAAACAACAAACCAGGTGTGGGTATCGCTCAGTGTCGTTCGCCGTCACGTTACTCAGCTTGAAGTTCAGATACTGGTCGACTGCGTGCAGCCGCCCAGTCAGCTGCAGGTCGTTTTTGAGCTCAATGGTTACATTCGCGCCCTTCTCGACCAACGTTTGGAAGAAGTTGAAGAATAGCTGAACGGATGCTGTATATCCAGACACAGAAGCACGTTAACACGAACTCACCATCGTGAACCGATAGCCGCGCGCCAACAACGGCAAAGCTACCACTGCACGCGGTCGAATAGCCGCCGCCGACAACCAGGGTGACAGGCACACAACTAGGCGGTTCCGTGGAAAATGGTGCTGGGAGCGAATTTAACGCGTGCAACGAAAAAGTATCTATATAGTAGGCGTCACAACACAGGTGCCCTACCAACACGCTCAGTCCGGAGTGCGCATCCTGCAATCTTGCAGGGCAGAGTTAAGTCGGTTATCGCAAAGGAATTACAAGTAAATGGCGCCTATTACGACACGGGCATTACAGTGACCGTAGTTGAACGGGGCAGGCGCTGTCATCACGACATAACGGAACGGCACGTTAGTGGCACTCAAACGCTCCTGTTTGGGAAAGCGCCCTAAGCTTCCTGACGATACGACTGTGCAATATCCTTTGCACACCGTCGCACTTGATTTGTAGCCGCGAATTTCGACCGCACCTCTAATTCAGTGCAGCGATGTCGTTGTGCTACACATTGCACCCTTCTGACTGATTCATGCTGTCGTTAGGCGGCAACATCATTTAACACGTTGATTTATGTGCATTATATTCAGGTGCATCAAAATACGTGACATTTGATGCCAATAATCTCTGTTAGTCTAGTACACATCCGTGTGGAATCCTACACATCCCAGTGACGCACGATGTTGGGAGTGGGAATCATTTCGACGTTCGCTGTTCTGTCCGCGATTTGCAGCGGACAGGCCTCGGCTTACCGCCATGCCGCTTATGGCAGCCATTCGTCCACTCACGAGGCATCAGCCCGTCTGTCGGATATTGATGGTGATGTGCATCCGCGTGGTGATTTCGACGGCACATATGAATTAGGTGATGTCGAAGAAAGTAATCCGCGTGGTGATTTCTCGGTTGAAGATGAGTATTCCGACTATGATAACTTCCGCGGTGTGGAATCTAAGGTGATAGAGAAGGCCGTGTACCCTCCCGGTGGTCACCAAGAGGTGCATAGCCAGGAGTTTGAGATGGATGATGATGACCTTGAGCTGCAGCTGTCACCCGAATCCGCGAAGTTTGAGAGTTTGAAGGTCAAATCGGAGTGGTATGAGCCTGGCGTGCGTGGAGGTGCGATTAAACCATTAGGTCCGCAGGAAGAAGTTAACCTCAAAAAAATGAGGATTGCAAACATATATAAGAAGACGCCCCCACCGACGCACATCCCCAAGTTGTACGACGATGACAAGGGTATAGAGGATATGCTTCGGTACGCACCAGTTGCAAACCGCAGGATTGGCCAATGCCAGTGGTTGGGTAAGGATTACGTTGTTGCCTTGGATGACAGTGCACACCTCCACAACGCAGAGGAGCACAACAAAATCCGCTCCTTTGTGAAGTTGCTTGCGTATGCACTTTCCGCAACGATAGGTACCAACACACTCTCGCTGGTGAGCTACAACAAAACCGCCAGGGAAGTGCTGGGCAGGACCATCATTGATAAGGACAACATCAGGTCCGTGGGAGAAAAGATTGACGGCATGTTTGACTCTAAGAACAGTGCTGACGAGGCTAATCCTGGGGAGGCTTTGAAGTTCCTGCGTGAGTCAATATATCAGGATCCTGAAGAATACCTAGTAAATGACAAGGAGACCGAGTTGCGTTTTGTCCATGCGCCAGGAATTGACACGATCGTGTTCCTCATAACCACCGGAGCAGTTGCTGACAAAGATTTGGCTCGCGATGAGGCTTTCAACGCACGCCGCAATGGTGTAACCCTGTTCGTTGTGGAGATTGGTAAAGAGTCGGAGCGATTCTGGCCCAGTGCTATGGGATGCCGGTACTACTACTCCTGCCCTAAGTATATTTCTACGAGTGCGTCGGGAATAATGGGTACTATCGGCCGTGTGATAAAAGGCGTCTGCCGTCATGATGGTAGGGATGCGGTGTGCCTCGAGGAATGGTCTGAATTCTCACCTTGCAGCAAGACGTGCGGTACTGGCGTTCAAACTGCAACCCTTCTGGGTTTCACGGAGTTACTGAGTCCCAGCAATGGTGAGGGTGAAGGCAGGGGTCGTAGCTGTGAGGACCTATTGGAGAATGTGAAGGTGAAGCAGGTGTTGTGTAACACGCAGCGTTGCGACACGGAAACATCCCCCGATGCCGCTGTAGGAGGTGTGGCTGAGGGCCTGCCTGAAAACCGCGTAAGCGGCGGTGAGGTTCATGGCGAGGAGCATGCCGTATCCGGTGCTCACAGGACCGAGGAAATAGCAGTGTCCGATGGCGGCCATCATGTGGAAGACAGATTGCTGAGTGAAGACTCCCTTGTGTCGAGTGAACCATCGGTGGTCACTGAGCCGAAGGAAGTCGCAATTCCAGAAGAAGCGGTAACTCGCGATACTAAAGGCTTGGGTGAGGATCTCGAGAGCACGGAGGAGGAGGTGCACGCACGAGCTGAACCTCAGGTTGATGTGTCCACTAACGAGAGTGACCATCACAGCCAGTCCACCGTGGGAAGCGTCAGCGAGCACAGTGCCCATGAAGAGGTGGGAGGCCGCTCCGCATTGGACTCATTGAGCGGTGAAGCGGGCCGCGCTCGTACCCATGGTAGCAGTGTCAGTGATAGGCAACTGTCTACCGGCAGCACCCACGACCGACAGGTGAGCGGAAGCCATGCTTTAGTTCCGGATGTTATATCGTCGGTGTTGCCAACTCAGGAGGGTGATGGTATTAGCAACCCGGAGGAAGGCCAGTCATCCAAAGCAATTGACGAGCCCCAGCCAACGCAGGCGGAGCAACGTGAAAACGACATAACTGGCCAACACCAATTCACAAGCCCTGCATCACACACGAGCGGCAGCACAACCCATGGCTTTGAAGGTGGTCATCGCAATGTTCAGTACCAGGATGATTCACAACGTCGTCAGAATGTGACCGGTCCCACCCATGTAGGAACCAAGGACGTGCATCACAACATTCCCGGCAGAACGGACTCTGAGAGCGATCTGCAGCAGGGTACAAAGGGTGAGGAGAGGAAAGAGATGACTGAAACACAGCACTTCGGCACCGATGTCACTATGCGTACCGACGACAGCGCAACACACGGCATTGAAACAGCTCAGGAAACTGCCCATCACGAGGACAAGCCTCAGGACCATGGATATGCGTCTGATCCCTCACATGGCCACACCAACCCTCCGTATCACAGCATTGCCGGCCGGCAGGCTAAGGGCGACGTCCACTCGCACGCAGAGCATGAGGGCAGCCACGAGCAGGATGATTCGAAGCGCACCGGTGCTGGCACTGGCACCGTTGTCATGATGAGTGCCGCTGGCAGCGCCATGCTTGTATTAGTAGCAGCCGCAGCATACCGCCGTTACGCACCGAATTCAAATGATGAAGTGGTATCCGAGGAGAACGAATTTTTGAGTGGCGTAAGTGGTGGCAAGACTGAGGAAGCGGAAACATACAGAGTCGCCGACGCTAGCGACAATATTTGGGCGTGAGGTGTAATTCATGCCATGAAACGCAGTATTTTAATTGTATTTGTAATTTATAGCAGACAATCCCATTGATTTAGTTGCACAATACATCTAGATTCATTGTTTGGTTGTTTTCTCTTCTCAACGTATTCGCCGCTCTGCCTTCTGTCACGGCACCATAAGTACCCATAGTGAGGTTGCGTGAGTATAGAATCATTGGCGCTGCAGAATCTCCTAGTGCACGGCAGTCACTAGTGTCCGATTTCTAATGCAACTGATTCGTGCATTCTTCATCTAGCAGTTCCTCCACCACATTTTTGGACGCCACGTGGTTTAAAACTACAATTTGAACGGCATTGCTGTGCATGTGTTGTGAACCGATGCCATGGTGACGTGTAGTGACGCAGTTCATTCGTGCTAGCATCTTTGTGGTCAAATGCTCGCACTGGTAGCGTGATGCAGATTGTTGGTAGCCCTTTGTAAGTTTTCAGGGTGCCAAGACAGGCGTTCTGCGAGACCAAATATACAACGCGTTGTTTAGTGTTTGCAGCAGTCACTGACACCGTTGTATTAGGTTAACCATGCGAATAACCTGACGGCGCGATTAAACGACCGATATTCGTGAGTCGTAGTACGTGTCCCCTATAAGCGTGCATTCCCGTTCTGAGACATTAGCTATCATTTTAGGACAGTAGCAATAGTTCGGAGACGCTGACATTGAGCATTCGACAAGTCTAATTCTTGCTTGCAAAATTCCCCGTCATCACTGCTGTAGAAGAAAACCATTACTACATCGCAGAACACAAGAGGTCCGATTTCACCGAAAGATGGTGAGTACACCCAAAACGGAACAAGTTGATTTAAAGATTCAGAATGTCACCCATCAACTGTCCAATGTATGGGAGAACGTATGTGACTAAACTCAGAGTCACGTGTGAAAGGACGAACGAACATGCCGTCGTCAGTTTGGAACTGCCCACATACGCACAGCCCATCTACGAGAGCCTTTTAGTTGGATGTATCTTCCGATGCCGTGGTTGAAGCAGAAAACTCTCCATATATTGCCAGAACTCTTTTGCAATGGATGCATCATGGTGGCGGTGACTGCGATTTATGCGAAATACCTGTGGCATTGTTACAACACAACAGATAATTGCAATAGGAAAAAGAACCTGCACCCACCTTCAAGTCCCAATTTCCCATATCGGCGGGGATATTGTCGGTGTCGTAAGCAAACAGAGCCCCCCTGCGAGTTCATTGAAACAGTAAAAGCCTTCCACTTACTTCATGGTCATAAACAAATCTACGAAAGACTCAAACGGATATCCGTTGAATTGCCATTGTCCGCCCTTTATGTTCAAGATTACGCAAACCACACTAATCCAATCAGTCGTGGTGAACTTGGTGGTGTACGAGCTCTCGACCACCCGAAATTTTATGGTCCTACCAGAAATGGTGTGGATCACCTCAACTGCATTCATAGGGAGGCTTGACAAGACTGCCCCATCTAAACGTGTATGCAAAGAACATTGAGGAAAACCGACTAGCTCGAAGAGACTCCTGGGGGTCAACGAATTGGTGATCCTCCAGCAATTGCTTGATGTTATGACGCGCTACAATCGACATAGCGCCACTCGGGACAATTATTACTGGTTTTTTGCGATATTTGCAACATATCTCGTCCAAGACACGCAACTTAGACTCTGAACAGCATTTTACGTAAATCCAGATAACTCACGTGTTCTTAAAACGTTGCCTACGGATTTAGGTGCATCACGCGCCTTAGATGCCAACTTGTTTGCCTGGGCAGCTTCTAGTTTTTGCAAAAAGCGCTCGAAGCCTTCGCCGTGCGCCATGATCACCGATGTCCGAGTCCTTAACGGTCGCTCCATAAGCCCAGCTGCGAGGACGCACATATTGTAATACCGTTTCTTAGCGGACCTGTACCCCTCATCGTCTTCCGGAGAAGTATCTTGCCTAAATGTACGCCACGACTCCTCAAGCTTCTTCATCACGACATCAATCATGTGCTTGGAGGTGACTTGTGGCGACGTGCTGCTGTCCGATACGTCATTACGAGAGCCTGTTACACGATTGGATCCAGTGCCACTTATTGGAATGAAACGCGCCTTGGCTTCCAGAAGGTCAGGAGACGTATCAGGGTCGCCCAAAATCGACTTTATGCGATCGCGCTCCAAAACATTAATGTATTTGAATCCGCGCTTGGTTATAGAGCTATACGTGTAATCCTCCCTGCGAATACAGAGCAGGAGGACAATGTCGCCGATCACATAAGCCTCGCCTCGGCGGCTGCGCAGTCCACTAGGATCCAGCATGTTCACGGTAACCTTATGGTCGGGAATGTGGCATACCAAAACGCCTGACGGATCCATCTCAAACTCAACCATGCCTCCATTCGCACAGATACTCTTCAACAGCGCGATAGAAGGCATTGATGCCTTACCAGACCAATAAGACGCATTATGCTCCTGGGTGGAACGCACATCCCAGTCTGCGTCGAACAGCTGCTGCGACCCTTCCATTGTCCGTGTTATGGCATTGTAGAGTCTGCAGCGGCTACGCGGGATAGAACCCCAAAGAGTAGACACAAGCCGCGGCACTCCACTGAGCCAACACGCGCGCCACCGTCCATAGGGCAAGTGGGCGTCGCCTACCGCACTCTAAAACGCGACACAGCAATCCGAATCGCAGAGAATAATACTCAGCGCGCGTACAGGGGGCGAGCGACGCTACGGCGTCGACGGAAGTGACTTGGCTGAGCAATCGAACTCACGGGAAGGCACGGAGCAGTCAAATAACGCGACCACACCTGCACATAAGACATGGAGGTGGAGGGAGCTATCATAAAGGCAGCGGGCATCATTGTTTACACCGTCGACGCACTCCTGAAGGAACCCAAATACTTGCTGCTTAAGGCGTCAAACAAGCCGTTCCATTGGACACCCCCGAAAGGTAACGTCTATAATACTACGCCGCCTGATGCACCTCCAACGCAAACACATCAACCATTCAGGCCGACTAGACCCCGGTGAGACGTTCCAGGACGCCGCATTCAGAGAGACATGGGAGGAATGCGGGTTGCGCAAGGATCTCATCGAAGTTGACGAATCGTTCAAGGAGGTTTGCCGTTACCAATATGCCAGAGATAAGCGCTGCAGGTACTCAGATACAAGGCACACGAAAGGGACAAGGAGTGCGTATACTATCTGGGGAAGCTGACAGATCCGAACTTCAAAGTAACACTATCGCACGAACACACCGACCACGCGTAAGTGGGAGAAACGCAACCAACATCACGCACGATCAGATGGATTTTCGCTAGTAACGTCAACGATTACTGCGACAAAGAGTCGCTCTGCAACATGATCGCACATGCGGACGAACACATCAAGCGCAAACTGCATTAGACAAGCCCGAATTACACACCGCTAGACAGCCGGTCTGCTTCACTTCTTCTCCGAGCTCTGCTTCATCGCCTCTCGACGACACAGCTCCTGCAGCTCTTCCGTCTTGACGTCCGAAGAATTCAGGAACACGTAACGCACCACCGAACCTCGCACAAAGCAGTTCACAACAGACAGCTGACACATAATGCAGTCGGGATATCGAAACAACAAACCAGGTGTGGGTATCGCTCAGTGTCGTTCGCCGTCACGTTACTCAGCTTGAAGTTCAGATACTGGTCGACTGCGTGCAGCCGCCCAGTCAGCTGCAGGTCGTTTTTGAGCTCAATGGTTACATTCGCGCCCTTCTCGACCAACGTTTGGAAGAAGTTGAAGAATAGCTGAACGGATGCTGTATATCCAGACACAGAAGCACGTTAACACGAACTCACCATCGTGAACCGATAGCCGCGCGCCAACAACGGCAAAGCTACCACTGCACGCGGTCGAATAGCCGCCGCCGACAACCAGGGTGACAGGCACACAACTAGGCGGTTCCGTGGAAAATGGTGCTGGGAGCGAATTTAACGCGTGCAACGAAAAAGTATCTATATAGTAGGCGTCACAACACAGGTGCCCTACCAACACGCTCAGTCCGGAGTGCGCATCCTGCAATCTTGCAGGGCAGAGTTAAGTCGGTTATCGCAAAGGAATTACAAGTAAATGGCGCCTATTACGACACGGGCATTACAGTGACCGTAGTTGAACGGGGCAGGCGCTGTCATCACGACATAACGGAACGGCACGTTAGTGGCACTCAAACGCTCCTGTTTGGGAAAGCGCCCTAAGCTTCCTGACGATACGACTGTGCAATATCCTTTGCACACCGTCGCACTTGATTTGTAGCCGCGAATTTCGACCGCACCTCTAATTCAGTGCAGCGATGTCGTTGTGCTACACATTGCACCCTTCTGACTGATTCATGCTGTCGTTAGGCGGCAACATCATTTAACACGTTGATTTATGTGCATTATATTCAGGTGCATCAAAATACGTGACATTTGATGCCAATAATCTCTGTTAGTCTTGTACACATCCGTGTGGAATCCTACACATCCCAGTGACGCACGATGTTGGGAGTGGGAATCATTTCGACGTTCGCTGTTCTGTCCGCGATTTGCAGCGGACAGGCCTCGGCTTACCGCCATGCCGCTTATGGCAGCCATTCGCCTTCACAGGATGTGGAAGACCGTGTTGTGCCAAGTACTGAACACACGCATCAGCTTGGATCCCATGAAGCCGTGATTAAATCAAATGGAGTGAACAACCAACAGACTGATGTGAAGCAACATGGTGTAGAAAGGTCTAGAAAGCATAGTAGACGTACATTGTCTAATTCGAGATCTCTGGACTCACTATCAAATTATGAAAGGCGAGGAATCCATCGCCATTCCAACATGTCTGGTGCAGGGAAGGACTACATTATCGCATTGGAAGCTATGCCTCGTCTATCCAACACAACATGGAATAAGAAACTTGCTGCATTTGTTAAGCAATTGGTTCAGGCTCTTTCTTACCTCAACGGGAGAAATCGCCTATCATTGGTGACATTTAATAGCACAAGCGAAAAATGGTTGGACAGAGGTTTTATAAACAAGGATACGGTAACGTCAGTGAGCAAACGAATCGACAAGATGTTTGAATCTATGTCCAATGCCGAAGAAAGCAAGCCCGGAGAAGCTTTGAAATTTCTTCGTGAATCTGTTTACCACAATGCCAACAAATACCTATTAAATGATAAGACCACGGAATTAAACCTTAACTCTGCTGCCGGCAAGGACACCGTAGTGTTTATCGTTACAAGTGGTGCCGCAAGTGACAAGGAATTAGCAGTACGGGAAGCATTCGATGCCCGTCGCAACGGGGTTACGTTGTTTGTAATTGAGATGGGAACGAGATGCGAGAAGTTTTGGGCTACTGTTGTGGGTTGCCGACAACATTTCAGCTGCCCACAGTACGTTACAACACACAAGAAAGATTTGTTGAGTAAAGTCGAACAAGTTATGAAACAAGTCAGGTCTCAGAGGAGAAGGGATGCCATATGTCACGAGAATTGGTCAGAATACTCTCCTTGCAGTGAGCCATGCGGTACCGGAATTAAAACGTCAAAGCTTATTAGTTTTAACACATTGCTTACCCCCAGCAATGGCAACGGAGAGATCAAGGGACGTACGTGTGAGAAACAATTGCAGAACGTGAAGGTTAGGCAAATGTTGTGTAATATGCAGCCGTGCAAAGACAACCATTCGGCTGCACGTAATCACGGTGCCGAACATGGTGTTGGTGGTTTTATTGAGACTAGCTCACGCGACATGAGAAATGATTCATTTTCGTTGCAGAACAAGTACCCATCAATGATCGATGAGGACTTTGATTTCATCGATGAGCAAGATGACGAAGATTTCGACGATTTGTATGAAGATGAGGGGTATGAAGATCAGGAAGAGCAAGGGCTGAATGAAGACGAGACTGGAGATGCATATGAAGATATATGGGAGGGTCGTGATGAGCACAAGCAGCAAGATTACCTGACTGATGATAAAGATGCGGATGATACATATGGGGAACGTGAAGCGCAGGAGCTGCATAACTACCTGACCGAAGAGACAGATGATAATAAGGCAAAGCGCAAGGAGTATCCCGGTGGTCACCAAGAGGTGCATAGCCAGGAGTTTGAGATGGATGATGATGACCTTGAGCTGCAGCTGTCACCCGGATCCGCGACGTTTGAGAGTTTGAAGGTCAAATCGGAGTGGTATGAGCCTGGCGTGCGTGGAGGTGCGATTAAACCATTAGTTCCGCAGGAAGAAGTTAACCTCAAAAAAATGAGGATTGCAAACATATATAAGAAGACGCCCCCACCGACGCACATCCCCAAGTTGTACGACGATGACAAGGGTATAGAGGATATGCTTCGGTACGCACCAGTTGCAAACCGCAGGATTGGCCAATGCCAGTGGTTGGGTAAGGATTACGTTGTTGCCTTGGATGACAGTGCACACCTCCACAACGCAGAGGAGCACAACAAAATCCGCTCCTTTGTGAAGTTGCTTGCGTATGCACTTTCCGCAACGATAGGTACCAACACACTCTCGCTGGTGAGCTACAACAAAACCGCCAGGGAAGTGCTGGGCAGGACCATCATTGATAAGGACAACATCAGGTCCGTGGGAGAAAAGATTGACGGCATGTTTGACTCTAAGAACAGTGCTGACGAGGCTAATCCTGGGGAGGCTTTGAAGTTCCTGCGTGAGTCAATATATCAGGATCCTGAAGAATACCTAGTAAATGACAAGGAGACCGAGTTGCGTTTTGTCCATGCGCCAGGAATTGACACGATCGTGTTCCTCATAACCACCGGAGCAGTTGCTGACAAAGACTTGGCTCGCGATGAGGCTTTCAACGCACGCCGCAATGGTGTAACCCTGTTCGTTGTGGAGATTGGGAAGGAGTCGGAGCGATTCTGGCCCAGTGCTATGGGATGCCGGTACTACTACTCCTGCCCTAAGTATATTTCTACGAGTGCGTCGGGAATAATGGGTACTATTGGCCGTGTGATAAAAGGCGTCTGCCGTCATGATGGTAGGGATGCGGTGTGCCTCGAGGAATGGTCTGAATTCTCACCTTGCAGCAAGACGTGCGGTACTGGCGTTCAAACTGCAACCCTTCTGGGTTTCACGGAGTTGCTGAGTCCCAGCAATGGTGAGGGTGAAGGCAGGGGTCGTAGCTGTGAGGACCTATTGGAGAATGTGAAGGTGAAGCAGGTGTTGTGTAACACGCAGCGTTGCGACACGGAAACATCCCCCGATGCCGCTGTAGGAGGTGTGGCTGAGGGCCTGCCTGAAAACCGCGTAAGCGGCGGTGAGGTTCATGGCGAGGAGCATGCCGTATCCGGTGCTCACAGGACCGAGGAAATAGCAGTGTCCGATGGCGGCCATCATGTGGAAGACAGATTGCTGAGTGAAGACTCCCTTGTGTCGAGTGAACCATCGGTGGTCACTGAGCCGAAGGAAGTCGCAATTCCAGAAGAAGCGGTAACTCGCGATACTAAAGGCTTGGGTGAGGATCTCGAGAGCACGGAGGAGGAGGTGCACGCACGAGCTGAACCTCAGGTTGATGTGTCCACTAACGAGAGTGACCATCACAGCCAGTCCACCGTGGGAAGCGTCAGCGAGCACAGTGCCCATGAAGAGGTGGGAGGCCGCTCCGCATTGGACTCATTGAGCGGTGAAGCGGGCCGCGCTCGTACCCATGGTAGCAGTGTCAGTGATAGGCAACTGTCTACCGGCAGCACCCACGACCGACAGGTGAGCGGAAGCCATGCTTTAGTTCCGGATGTTATATCGTCGGTGTTGCCAACTCAGGAGGGTGATGGTATTAGCAACCCGGAGGAAGGCCAGTCATCCAAAGCAATTGACGAGCCCCAGCCAACGCAGGCGGAGCAACGTGAAAACGACATAACTGGCCAACACCAATTCACAAGCCCTGCATCACACACGAGCGGCAGCACAACCCATGGCTTTGAAGGTGGTCATCGCAATGTTCAGTACCAGGATGATTCACAACGTCGTCAGAATGTGACCGGTCCCACCCATGTAGGAACCAAGGACGTGCATCACAACATTCCCGGCAGAACGGACTCTGAGAGCGATCTGCAGCAGGGTACAAAGGGTGAGGAGAGGAAAGAGATGACTGAAACACAGCACTTCGGCACCGATGTCACTATGCGTACCGACGACAGCGCAACACACGGCATTGAAACAGCTCAGGAAACTGCCCATCACGAGGACAAGCCTCAGGACCATGGATATGCGTCTGATCCCTCACATGGCCACACCAACCCTCCGTATCACAGCATTGCCGGCCGGCAGGCTAAGGGCGACGTCCACTCGCACGCAGAGCATGAGGGCAGCCACGAGCAGGATGATTCGAAGCGCACCGGTGCTGGCACTGGCACCGTTGTCATGATGAGTGCCGCTGGCAGCGCCCTGCTTGTATTAGTAGCAGCCGCAGTTTTCCGCCGTTACGCATCGGATATGAATGGTGTTGTGGTAGCAGAGGAGAGTGAGTTTTTGAGTGGCGAAAGCGGCGGCAAGACTGAGGAAGCGGAAACATACAGAGTTACCGATGCAAGCGACAATATTTGGATGTGATTTTGGCGAAAATGCCAAATATATTGACGTGTCATGAATGTAGCTTATAATCCTTTGCATTTCAATCCAGTGGATGTGTATAGTTGTCGAAGTCAACTGTTGTCGCAGGATTCTAACACCTCATTGGCATTAGACAAAATATGTCATAGCCAGTATAACATAACATCAAAACCTAATAGAACCTGTATGCTAGTTTAATGCACATCGAATGTGTGGTAGCTGTGGTCGCGATTGGTCGACGTTGCGCTACGCGACGTGTGGTCAGCGGGTGTAGTTACATTTGCCGGTAGAACATCGTTTTACGTTCGTAATTCGTAACGACGGTGGTATGATTTTGTGTAGGGCAATTTTAAGGCCGAAGGCTTTATGCCCTCAATGGCTGGGAGCCAGGTGGCGCCAGACGGTCTATAACACGCAAGCCAGGTGCCTAAGCGATCGCAGCGAAGCAGCTTACAGCAGAAGGGTATACTGCAATGCGGGGAATCTGGAATTTGGTCCACCGACCTTTACCTTCTTCACGGATAATGCGTGTCTAACCATGAAGCTGCGCAACGACGAGAATTTGGGATACAAAGTTATGCTTCTGACTGGTATGACGCGCGAGGGCACTGAAAGCAAGGTGTTCGACAAGAGGTCACGGGTGTCTTCCGTATTGCCAATGGAAGAAGTATCCAAGCTCCTCGAAGCTCTATCGCAGGTGTCAGATGCACCAACCACATTGCATGGCGTAGACGGCGGCAACCTTGTGGTGACTCGCTCAAGTGATTCCGTGTCGCTCAAGCTATGTCCGAGTCTCATACCAGGGCTCAACACGACGCCCGTTTCTACCCCTGCAGGAGGATCGAGCAAGGTGCATATAAACTTCATGGGTGGAAGCAACGAGGGTATCCTATTGATACATGCTCTAAAGGAGCTTATGCAATACTGAACCTTGCCGTTCAGCTTTACTTCAGGAAGCTCAACGATATCATGCCATGTGGATCTGAGTCGTCAGTACCGTTGCGAACTAGGCGAAAATTGTCTATGTTCGATTTTCAGGAGCCACTCGAGGCTTATAGACGCGCATACACACTACTAGAGACGTATTTTGTAGAAAACCCAAGCGTGGGAACCGGTACCAGGATGCGCCATGCGGAGCGGCGTCGTGCGCCACTAGTGGCATGTGTCCAGTCTGAATCATGTGGCAAGTGCCACTGCACGCCAGCTAACACTACTCACACAAAGATTTTCCGCATGTTGTGGTCAACACAGTAATCATATTTTTCTGTATTGCCCATAAACTTATGTTGAGACAGGGAGTGCGATAGATTCGCCAGAAGTACACGCTTTGTCATCTCTCTGAAACGAAGCCCTCAACTGCACTGCTCAAGATGAAGGGATGCTTCCAACTTTTGTTCCTTGCGCCATTGGTGCAATTTGTGCTCTACTACGTCGCCGTCGCTCCGACAGCGGCTGTGAGCCTGTTTCGTAAGTTGTTAATACGTATGCCGAATACATCATTGCGCAGGTAACGAACTTCCAAAGCACTGCAAGCGTCAACTTGACTTCTCCATTGTTGTCGATGAGTCTGCCAGTATCTCTAAGAAGGATTGGATGGATCGAATGATACCATTCTTGGAGAATCTCATTGAAACCATTGACCTAGACGGCAGTGACATCAGACTCTCGCTCACGACTTACTCGACGCCTACGCGTTCGATTATCACATTTCTCGATAAGGAGGCGAGCAACACCAAGATGGCCCTTGAAAAGTTACACCAGATGAGGGATTCAAAACCCGCACATGGCATGACGTACACCGGTCACGCGCTTTCGTTCGTCCGGAAGGCGATACTGCCTTACGGGCGCAAAAATGCGCCAAAGGCGCTTCTGCTGGTCACTGATGGAGCTTCTTCAGATCCTGACCTGACAGCACAGGAAGCTGCCATGATCCGTGATGAAGGCGTCAATGTCCTGGTTATTGGTGTTGGAAACGTTAAGGTCGAAGAGTGCCGCGGGATTGTGGGCTGTGACGGCGTGATGGACTGCCCAATGTTCAAGCACACCAACTGGAAGGACATGATCCACATGTTCTATGGGCTCATGAAAGAGGTCTGCGACACCCTCCCCCAAGATGCCACCTGCAGCCCAGTGTGGACGGATTGGTCAGAGTGCAACGCACCGTGCAATGTCACCGGAACACGTACCCGTCAATTGAAAATGCTGGAAACCATAACGCAACAAACTGCGGGTTCGAATGGACAACAGGGACGTACATGCAAGGAGCAGGAGATAGACACCCCCGCGCAAACCGAGAATTGCATCGGAAAGTGCGTGGTCGTTCCATCCCCTCGACATGATATCCCGGCACCGTTTATAAGCGGTAGAACTGCCGACGGGTCAACCGACCACATGTACAGTGATTCAGAGGATAGTGGATCAACCGTAAGCGGTAAACGTGAAGAAACCGCAAGTGAAGACATCAACGATGAGTGGAGCGGACAGCAGCAAAACAACTCGGATGCCTCAGTGACAACGCCGATGCCAGTGTCACAGAACGAAGTCGACCCGGACACAATAGAGGCAGAGACAGAGCCGGAATATCCGAAAGAGACGAACCCGGGATCATCGGGCGCCACGTCAGAGGCACAGGGACTCGACACGCACTCCGGTAACATTGGACTAGTGGCTAAGAGCACGTCCCAGGGAGATGGTACCACAACGGGCGGATCGGCGTATGTTAGGGATCATGACTCCCATTACGTCAAGCTCCGAGGGGATATGGATCCTGAGGCTAATGACACTGACTCCGAGAGTGCGCCGGTCGCAGTACCGCAGTCACCGTCACAACCGGAACTCGACACGCAATCAAGTGGCACTGATGTAGTATCCACCAACGTGGAGGATTCCACAAGTGGTGGATCTACGGTTAATCAAGATTACGGATCCCATCACTCCAATACAACGGGACAGACAGACTCTACAACTAACAACAATGACCTCGAAAGCTCAACGGTCACAGCACCTGAGCCGCTGTCCGAGGACGAAGTTGTCCCGGGGACATCTGACACAACCACCCCAAATGAGGAGACAGAACTCAGCACAGAGTCGGGTGCCGCGGGAACAGAGTTCACGAGCACAGATCAAGCATCGGGCGCCGCAACAGGTGGATCGACGGTTGACCACGATTACGGTTCTCACTACTTCAAGGTCAAGAGGGAGATGGACCCTGCGACCGGTAACACCGACTTCTCGACAGCGTCAGACCTAGGCGAGGCAGAGAGTACGCACAAGAAAGAGTCCAAAAGCACGAACGGCTCAAGTTGGGAACACAGCAACGAGACTACGAGCACCACCACCCAGAATACCTTTGGCACTGAGGGCTGGAACCATACGAGCACCACGCATGAGACGACCGAAGAAACGGATTTGGCAACCCAGGCAGCCATCAGACGCCAGCTTGAGAAGGAACGTGAGGAAGACCTCAGGCGGGAGTTGGAGGTGCAGCATAAGAAGGAGCTGGAAGCCGAGGAAAGGCTGAAACAACAATTAAGTGTGAACCAGGGCGCAGCCGCCGCCGAACAGCCAACTTCGACTTCCGGAGAAGCCGTAGCTACCGGCGGAGACGACCACCAACTTGGCGGATTCCACATATTGGGTGACAACGACAGTGCGTCACAGGAATTCTCCGCACCCGTGAAAGGTATGTTCGCTCAACTGCAAACGGCATCCATGTGCAGCTGATGTTGAAGACGAAACCGAAGAAGCAACTACCGAGGAAAGCAGCAGTAAGTTGGACACCCCGGAAACACTAACTCTTCCTCAGGCAGGTCGAGCAGCAACACGACGAAGATTGCCGGAGGCGCATTGTTAGGACTTCTGCTCCTCGGCGCTGGAGGCGGGTACGCCATGTACAAAAAGTGAGTCGCGAATGCACATCCGCACATAGATTTCGCAGGAACAAGGCACCCGGCTTCGACACTGATGCTGGCGACTTCACTGGGGGCGACGAAGGCGCGCAGCCCATGAGGGACGCCGAAACCTACACCGTTACCGAATTTGACAACAACATTTGGGGAGAAGCGACCTAAGTGAGCAACCTTTAAACACATTGTAATAGTAATGTATCTATGAGAATCAACTATACATGGACCCTGCTTGTGTACGCATTGGCGGTCCACGCAGCCGACAGCGCAGGAATCCTGCGCAGACACATCGCACCAATATTTCCCCTGCGCCCTAATGTCGCCCCGCTGAGCCGCGGTGCGATTGCACTGGCCGTCACGCGCGAGCTCGCGCTCAGCGGACCCCGTGTGTTTGAGGATAAATCAAGGATAAAACATCGCCAAATCGCTTCACAGAACACCGATCTTGACGCAGCAATTGCCTTCTACGCCAAGCAGCACGACAGAATACTCAGGGAGCTGCTGCTGCCGGCGCTGAAGGATGTGTCTACGAAGGGAACGGAGATTCCAAACAGCCAGCCCATGGTACGGTGACTACGCTATCAAATCCATGTGTGCTGCAGCCTAAGGAACTAGAATGGGATATCGCAGTGAGCACGGAAGCAGAACCGCTGCAGTGTGCGGTCCTAGCTGACGTGCCTCCGGGGACGGTCCTCGTGCGACCACGTACGGATCAAGATGACGCAACCCCGTCTGACTATGTGTCCATCGAGGCACTCAACGGACTCCTTCGCTTACAGCCATCTAACCTCACCACGCTGTTCCCGAACGCCACCGTGTCAGATGTCGAGAAACTATACGCGCATGCGTCCCTAGCGGTACGCCTTCATGTAAAATCACATGACTATTCAGACGACGTTTCTGGCGTATCTGAGCTACAACTGGAAGCTCAGGCGGATTGTTACCGCGTTGCTGGTCACCGCCGCAGCGGCGGGAGTGCGGCACGTCGTGTTCGATATCGTGCTTGCACTGCTGAGGGCGAGACTGGTGTGGCAGCCGAACGTGTACGGTCTGTGGAGCAGGCTGTACCACACGCCTGCGCCACTGATGCTCATGACGGCTAAACGGGCCGCTGAAATAGCACTTGACGCCTTCGTCGCCGTCGACGAATACGTGCACCGACGTGGAGTGGAGCTTGAAAGTTACATGCTGAACGCCGACCTATACAACATCGTCCTGCGTCCGGTGGTGGTCAAAGACCGCAATGGCGGCAGCAGGCGCTACGAAACGCTCTTCAACACCGGTGCGCATGCCACGTAATCGTGATCACTCTTCTTCCTTGTTGCCTTCTGCAAAGTAGTTGGCCAGCTGGTCGTCCAGACGGCTCTTAATGGCTTCGTTGCCCATATATTTGTCCAATTCCATATCCTGCAGAAGGTGGTGTGTGTGACACGGCGGCGGCAACCTACCAACTGGTCCTTCGTTTTCGCCTCTTTTGGTGCGTCCTTTTGCGCTACACGGTTGCGCTTAAATGGTGGGAATCGGCGGCGGTTGTTGTAGGGTACCATCTGGCGTCTGGGCTGATCCACGAACTGCCTGCGGTTGTCGTGTAGGTCGCGGCGCTCATAGTAACGGGGGCCTCCATGCGGGCTCGGCGGTCTCCTATAATAACCGTAGTCCATACGCGGAACCGGTGGTGCGTATGGAAGACGTTCTGCACGAAGTTACACAGGTAATCGTCAACAACACACCCCTCGGGTCGAACGGCGGAGGGAGCGGGCGATACGCCTGCTGGTGCTTACGCACATAGCGCATCGGAGAAGGCGCTTGGTAGCGCTGCACGTACGAATGCTGCATCTTTAAAAAGTGAACGCGCTATGACGCGGCTTATGGGGTGCGAACTCAATGAACACGAAGGTTATATACGGGAGTTACTCCTCGGACGAGCCACCGCGGAGAGTCTTACGGTGGACCCTACCAGGGCGGCCGCCTCCGAATGGCGATGTGAGGGCGAAGTCGATGTGCTTCTCAGAGTCCACACGCACCATGAATGACGGAATGTCGACGATCTGCTTCCCAACGCGAATGTGACGCTGGCGAATCATGCAGCGAGCGTGGTGAATAGACTTGGCGAGACCCAGCTTGAACACCTTGGTCTGCAGACGACGCTCCATCATCTTGTTCAGCGTCAGACCCAACACGAAATCGAGCTTCTGCTCGTTCTCACCCATAAGGCCATAGCGCACCATACGCCTCAACAGGGCATCACCTAAAGCGAAATATAAGCACTGGAACCGGTCACCGTACCCTGGAATTGACGCTTGACGTCCTTCTCTTCGAGGGTCAGCAAGTAACGCGCCGCCGACCTGATCTTCGACAGCACGTACTGAACACGCCACACCTCGCGCTTGTTCTTCAGACCATATTCACCGATAAGCTTGAGTTCCTGGTCCAAACGCTCCTGAACAAACGGTTACACGGAGGGCCGGGGGGCACAAACCTTCTCGAAGGGACGCTTAGGATTCCTGAAGGTCTTGCTGTAATTACGGTAGCTCCCCACCATCTTTAAATTTAATATATACACCCACAGATGCCAATCGGATTAACCGCGCGGCCATACACCCGAGGCAGAGGGGTGGGGCCCGCGTCTGGGCATCGCGGATGGTGGGGAGCGCGCTGGCTGCTACGAAGTCGAAAATTTAGTGAGCAAGTTGGTCACGTAACCCAAAAATGATAATAGCAGGCACGGTGTGTCGGACTCGCGCTCATACAGCTGGCGCTTCCAGTTCTGTATCGCGAGGTCCCTGAGCTTGGTCACTGCCAGGCGCCAGACTACGTCGCCGACCTCCTCGTCGCCACAGGTCGCGTAGCGCACGGAGATCACTTGGTCGTCGAACATGAATGAGATACGTTCCGACGTCATGCTTTGGATGAACACCTGAGTGTCGTCGACTGGAATCGCCTGCTGCGACCGCAGCGGCTCCAGCGCCGCTTGGCACATGGTGAGGAAGATGAACCTGTCGATGAGGCACATCTGAGCCCTACGCAGCCGGTATATCACCGGAATGTGGTCCTCTTGAATGTAGACGGGGACGTGGGCACCGTTCACCGTCAACGCAAAGTCATGCTCTATGAAGAATGACACCGCCGTCGGAAAGGTCATCTTTGTCATCAGGCCATCCCCAGTGCCGGTGTCCTCGTAGTACGACAGCAGGCAATGCTGCGGCGCGGCGGGGGATGACAGTTTGTGTACGTCCCATGACTCCCAAACCCTCGACTCTCCGTCGTCCATGTTGAGAGCCATGTCGTAAAACACCACGAACACCGAAAAACTGGCCGGGTAGTCCACGTCGAAGGACGAAACGTCCACCAGGTTGCGGGCGTTTATCAGCACCTTGAACTGCGACTTGATAGCCGATATGACTTTCAGAAAGTTCACTTGTAGCCGCAGCGAGCGGGACAACACGTCATGTAGCTCACGCGCCTTCCCCGCGCACTCCCGTAGCCGGTCGTTGCGGCTGTGTATCGCGTACTTCGCCACCTGGCTGTTGATCTCCTGCGACGGGACGGTGTGGCTCAGCTGCAGCCGGCGGGACGACTGCAGGCAGTCAAGCAGCGCATGAGCCTTGGCAAACACTTGGTTGGCGTTCTGCTGGAAGACTCGAGCTTCGTCCCACTCCACCGGGTTGCTCTTCTGCGCCCATATGCTGGCAGCCACGCAGATGGTGGAGGCGGAGATGTGCCAGTTCTCGTTGTTGCCGCGCTCGAGCACGGAATCCAGACACGCGTCGGCGGAGGACGCGACCTCAGAACGCGCTGTGAAGTAATCCTTCAGAGCAGCCTCGCGGATAATGGCGCCGTTGAAGTAGCGCAGCACACGGCTGTCGTTGCCGCCGTAGCATTCCAGACGGAAGGCAACGTCAGACACGCCTCCACCATCAGCGGGCGAGGTCGCGCTGTCTGACATCTGCGATTAAAAATAGGAACCCATTAATGTAATGTGTAAGCGATGAGGCGCGCCACGGGCGCGATTCGTATCGGTGTCTATGTAGGGGTCACACGGGTCGCCTGCGGAGCCGCAAGGCTACCGGCGGCGTGAAAAGCCGGTCGTAAGGATGCCAACGACCTCGTAAACGCGAGCTGTAGCCTTCTGGGATCCACGGTGGCACACCCTCAATCACCCTTACTGCATCGACAGACCACGCAGCTGCACCAATAAACCCAAAGTAGCGTCACGAGTCAATTTAGCGACGACGTTTGCGCCGGTGGTGAGAATCGTCATCGTAACGGTTGCGGTCGTCTTCCTTCTTCGCGAACTCCTCCATCTCGTCCCATGAGAGGCCCTCTTCCTCCTCTTCGTCGTAGGCCTCGTCTTCATCCTCTTCATCTTCGTCGGCAAGGGACTCGTCGTCTTCGCTGTATTCCTCCTCGCTGTCTTCCTCGACCTCCTCGTCGGATTCGTTCTCGTACTCCTCGTCTTCGTCGTCCACGGACTCATCATCGCCCTCCGACTCGCCAAGGAAGCCGTCGAAAGCACCATTCTCCACAAAGGCATCCACGTCCTCCAGGATCGTGCGTAAAATGTTGGTCCACTGCAGGTTGTTTTTACCCTCGTACCAGACCATATCCAGCTCGTTCAACCAACTTTTCAGGGTGTCCAGGTACTCCACCGGAATCAGGTCGATACGCCTCACGGGTTTCGAATAGTCTTTGTTCACGAGCACCATGTCAAAGTTGCGCAAACCGTGCTGCACACGCTCCAGTGACACTATTTCAACATCATCAAGAGTCAACACGAATGGCGGCCACTCAACCAAGTTCACCAAACAGTGGGCCGTTGGGAAGATCACCACGTTGGACTTGGACGGGACACCACTGAACATCAGCTCACGGTAGGGCATGTCGAACACCAAACTGGACATCTCCTGAAGCTGTGTCATGAACTGCTTGAAGTCCGCATTTAAACGGCGCTTCATCTCACGATCGCGCATCTCCTCCAGCGTCTCGTCGGGGTCGTTGTACGAACGGCCGCGGCGGTTATCCAAATCGTCGATCTGGGTGCCCACCTCGCAGTAGAACTGGACGTCTATCGACTTGCGCTTGCCCACCATAATGGGGGACTTGAGGTGGAAGTGGAGCAGGACAATCAACTCGCGCTCACATGGCTGGAAGATCGCGTGGCGGACGTTGGAGTAGGATATGTCAATGTGGTCGACACGGTCACGCGTGTTAACCACGTAACGCAGACCGTTGTGGTGAGCCTCCAGGAATCCGATGATGCGGCGAGCGCCGTGGATGTTGGGACGCACCATCAGGTCCTTGAGCACTATACGGCGACCGGTCTTGTTCAGCTGCAGCTTCTCCTGCTCAGCGAGCACCAAGTGGGCATCGGCATCCGTTTCACGTTGTTTTACTTGCTTGATCAGATCCTTAATAGAGCGGAACACGTTCTGGATGTGCTTGGAGTCAGAGGAACGGTACATGACCTCCTTCACAAATATCGCATTTTCAGCGTTTATATCGGGCAGCGGGTTGACGTCATTCTTCGAACTGAACGTGTGAGAGCCGGGGACCTGGAAGTTTATACGTAGGGTGTAGGTCTGGTTGTCGTCGGAGTTGCAGGAAGCGTTCTTGACGGTCATGATGCTGAAGGGAAGGTGGTAGCCGTTTATTGGCAGCATGATCACCTCATTGCGGACATCAACATAAATCTGGACAAGAAGTTAAAGTGAGGAGCTTATCAACATACCTGCCGCGGCACAAGGTCAGTGGAAAACGAGTTCGGGGAGGAAAAACTGCGCATCTTGTCCATCTTTACCACTGAGCGCTGCTTGGAGGTACCGGCCAGACCACCCTCAGTCTTCACGCGCTCAACTATAGCGGCCACCTTCGCCTTACGGAGCTGTAGCTGTCGGTCCAAACGTGCCTTCATCTCGGCCTCGGACACCTGGTTCTGACCACCGCGGTCACGACGACGCAGGCGCTCCTTCAATATAACGCTGTCGGCATCACGAAGCAATTCGGACGACACGCCAGGCTGCTTCTGGGGCTTGGTCTCGGAGGTCTCCACCGGCTCCTCCTCTTCCTCCTCCAACTCATACGATATGTTCTCCAAGCTCTTGCTAACGTTGGCTGTCAGCACCACCGCCCCCTCGGGCGTCACCTCCACCGTGTCACCGATCCAGACGGCAAACTCCTTACCGCCCTCAACCAGGTGGCCGAACCCCAAAGAAACGTGGAACACCATGCCGCTCGATATCGTGCACTTTTCGTTACCGCTAACTAGCGTGAATTTGGCGTCCTTGAACTCTAGACCCATGGTGTGACCCAAGGAACGCAGCAGGTTGTCCGCGAACTCCGGCTTCTCCTTCGCCACAAACTTTTGTACTTCGTCATAGACTGAACCAAACGTCACGCCTGGCTTGATCTTGCTCAAAGCGTAGTCAAACGCCTTCACAGCAAACGCATACGCATCCTTGTGCTTCTAACACGGAATTAGAGAAGCATGCGCTCAACCCACCGATGTGCCGTCGAGAAGAAGGGTACGTGTGATGCACGCGCACAGCTCGGAGTATTTCGAACAGACAGAGACTATGATGGCACCGGGGCTGTGAGAAAGCGTTGACTCATCGGGCGGTACTCCGATGCCGAGGTTGAACGAATTACCACTCTGGACGTTGCTGTAAATCACCTCAGTCTCTGCAGGGTTCATGTTGTACTTCTTCTGCATCTTCTCCAAGAATCTAACGTCAGTGTGCACATTCAAGGCTTCGGAAACAATTTTGGAGTGCGACTTCTTGGCTTCGGAGTCGAGGATGTTCTCGATCTGGTTGATCAGCTGGGACTTCATCACGGCGCACGCAAACTGCGCAGCCTGCTTCTGCGCCTCCTACACGACACATTGTATTCCTAAAGATCTGCACATACCAGCTCTATCTTAGTGCGGATGCACATCATGTTGGTGACCTCAAAGGTAACGTCGACGGTTGAGAAGGAAGCAACGGCCTCTAGGCACTTGTCCGAAAAGGCTCCCGTGGGTTTGGTGCCATCAATCACACCCAAAACCGGATCCTGGTCACGTATACATCAAATTGAGCAGTCCTAACTCACCTTGAACTTCTCGAATATCCCAGACACGTACTCCGCATCCGACTTGTCAGGTGACCGCTGCATAATAACCAGCTTCTCGTGGTGCTGCCGTATGGGCTCCAGGTACATCGCTGCGCAGCGCTGACCGCTCTAAAAACGCAAACGAACCCTTCTTTGGAGAAGTCAAGATGTACCACGTCCCATCCCGCGAGAACGCAAACAGCGTCTCCGGGAACTGAAACCCAGTCAGCCATAGCCTGCACAGCGATGACATGCCGAACCGCCGGGGAAGGAAGGTCACAAATCAAGCCAAGTCGACACACACACCGAAGTGCTGATAGACAGCCGTGAACTTACTGTAACAGCTCGGAAGGCGTAGCGCTAGCGTCACCCTGGGTCTTGCCGGTGCAGACGAAAATCACGCTCACCGTCGAGAGCGCGGGATTCTCGAAAATGCCACTGATCTGGTGAAGCTTTAGCTTCACCTCGTCGTAGTTGATCACGACGTCGCGTTTCGTGTCGGCCATGGTCAAAAGTGATCACTGGTCAGGGGACTGCCGCACATGGTTAGGCGAATGTGCTGCGACTGCCAGCCAACCACGAGGAACTGGCCGTGAAAAATCGTGCTTATATTAAATGGCTACAGTGTGAAGAAGTAACTGTCTATGTTACGGGCTACATGCCCCAACCTTCGGTAACAGCGGCTGCAAGAGTCGCGCCTAACGTGATCGACAATACCAACAAATGGCCTATATACGCGCATAAGTGACAACAGGGCATTCGTGTGCTCCTTTAAATGTCTGTGTGCAGCCTAATGGACGGTGTAACACCGCCAATATTCCGCGACGCTCACGTCATGGGAAAGAAGAGCGAGATTCCACTCTAAAATGTGCCAACAAATATATCACGACACTGTTGCATCAACTGTAATGTGCCTGGCAGCGAATCCACGGCAGATTTAGGCAAGACACCGCGGTTTGAAACCACCCCATCAGACAGGCACTGTCGCACAACCCTCACTCGGGTTGCCGTCATTCGACACTGCAACCGGGTCGTTTAGCCCGGAATAAAGCGGCCACGACTCATACCTACTTCTCCGTAGACAAACATGGGCGGGACGCAGGAATCCGCCAGGATATACGTAGGCAATCTGCCGGACACGTGTAGCGCTAAAGATGTGGAAGCCGAATTCCAGAAGTTTGGAAAGGTTACCAACTGCGAGGTGAAGAAAAATGTAGGGGGCTCTGCATTCGCATTCATCGAGTTCGAAGACGCGCGCGATGCACGCGACGCCATCAAAGAGAAGGACGGTACCGATTTCCTCGGCAAACGCCTACGCGTCGAGACCCCTTTCGCCTCGAAGGAGGATGGACGTGGCAGCCGCAGGCGTGGCCCCGGCCCACCACGCCGCGGCCGTTACCTGGTTGAGGTGGGTACATTGACTCGCATTCGCGCCGTTTGACGCGGTGGTGGGCTCTGCCCCGAGTCTGCTTTTTACCACATGTTGTGGTGTGGATTTTAACGATCTGTGCAGGTTTCGGGACTCCCTGCCAGCGGCAGTTGGCAAGACCTTAAGGACCACATGAGGGAAGCCGGCGAGTGCGCCCACGCTGATGTCTTCCGTGGAGGTATCGGTGAAGTTTCCTTCTATTCACGAAGCGACATGGAATACGCCATTGACAAGTTCGACGGGAGCACCTTTAAATCACACGAGGGTACGTCGCCGGGAACCGCCTCTATAAAGACGCAGGTGAGAAGGCAAAGATTCGTGTCCGCGAGTGGAGGCCCAACTACAGAAGTCGCAGCAGGAGCGGGTCATACCACAGGCGCAAACGTTCGCACGGCAGGGAGCGCGAAAGGAGTCGCCGAAGTCCGCACAGCAGAGGGCGGAGCAACGATCGCAGTCGTGAGCGCGAACGCGAGCACAGACACCGTTCGAGGTCAGACTCATACCCACGCCGCCGATAAATCGAACATGAATATGCATACCGTGAATGTTAAACGACCTGCGCTGGTACTGGCGAGCGATGTCGGATGACACAGCCGGTACCGTCACGAGCTGGTATGGACAGACGGGTGCTCGCAGGTTCATGGGTGAATCTACCCCTGAATAACTAACGCTACACATCTCAATATAAGGTTAATTTTAAACGTATACAGTGACATTATTTCTGCGACGCCCGAAAGGCAGCGCGGCGAAGACACACCGCGGCTTACCGGGCAACACACTTACCAATGAGGTGTGCCATGCCCGGGCGCCAATGCGGAAGCGAGGCCGATCCCTCGCCTACTGCCGCATCTACGCCGACTAGGCGCATGAGTGACTCCGCATGGGACGAAAAATGGCAGGCCATGGTGCAGCACCAAAAGCTGAGGAAGCAGCAGGATGCGCAGCTCCATCAAAAGCTGAAGGAGAAACAGGAGATGGAGGAGTTCATCGAGTGTACATTCACGCCGAAGACGCATTGTACCTACAAGAGCCGGTCTTCGGAGGAGCTCCTCAAGTTGATGGAGCCACTCATAACGGAAGAAGAACGCATTCTGAGGGAACTCGCCAAACTTAACGCCGAGGAGCAGGAAAGCATACAACTACACAGCCGCGCATTGCGCGCCCATATCGCATCTAACCAGGGTGGCGAGGGCGAGGACCTCATCCGCATATGCGAGCACTACCGCGAGGAGAGGCTCAAGGAAATCGCCAGAATCAAAAACAAAAAACTAGACATAGTAGGGCTCCTGCACGAGGTGGAGCGCAAGTACAACATCATATGCGTAAAGGAGCACCTCAACGAGGACGACATGCTGCGGGCGTGCTTCAGCATCGACTCCTGCCGCCTCATCAAAAAGGAGATCCTGGATTCCGTCAAGGGAGTAGACACGCTGAAGGACAGGTCGAGGGTAACCGCGGAAATCGACACCATAATCAAGCGGGCAAAAGAAGACGTGCAGCGTCAGAGGGCGCACGCTGCTAACGGCCCATTCATGCCAGCTGGAGCCATGCCGGGATATCACATGGGTCCTCAGTGGATGCAGCACCAGAATCACGCACCACCGTACGCTATGGTGCAGCAGCCACAGCCGAATTTATGGTTTCAACGCGCGTCCGGCAACGCACGACCCCCCATGAATCAACAACCGCAACCAATGATGATGAACATGAACCCAGCATGGACGGGCATGAGGCCGCAGCAACCTCAGACATTCGTGCGTCAGCCGCCGATGGCGCCCCAAAAAGCTCATATGCAGACACAGGGCATGCAGAAACCAAAGCAGCCCATGCCAAGACCCACGTTCCAAGCTCCACAAATGCGAGCACACACCGGCATGGTGCCGTACCCGGGCTTCGCGCCGGTCAACCCGCAATTCGGGTACCCACCGCAAATGCAGCCCGTGCAGCCACAGACGCTCCGCAGAAACGTTGCGAAAAAGGTACAACAATAGAGAAGATTAATCGGCTCGCATCGGCATGCGAATTGGTTCGTGCACCATGGAGTCGATGACGATTACCTCGGCACAGTCACCTGTTAAGTGTCACATCGTGCCAATCACACAGCTAATGTAAACCCACCTGTGTAGATGTCGCGCTCCACAGCGCTGCTGATCGCGCCCTTCACCACGTTGATCAGCTCCTCGAGGGACTTGATCTCCTCGTGCTTCTCCTGGTTGCGGCTGGTCAACTGCGCGAACATCAGAAATGCGTATTACATGAAGAAAGTGACGTAGTACACCGCATAACTTACGTGGTTGTCCAAAACGGACGTGATCAACGACGCACTTGTACCCTTGGCCATGTACGGCTCAAAGCCGTAGTTACCGATAGCGTCGAAACCGCAAGTAATTCCCCGGCCTACACATCGTCACCAGATAGAAAACTGTACCACAAACCGTTCTCGTCGACGCCGCACAGGATGTTAAACGTGTAGTACGGGAAGAATCTGCGGCTGTACAGTATCGTAGACAGCAGCTGCGCGATAACGTGGAATGGCGGCTCCTTGTAATGTTGGCTCTTGTACATCTCAATTCTGCGCTGCGAGGCTCAGAAGATAGGACTGTGGCGCTTACCATGAGAGTTACGTGGAGAGCGATCATGTCCGCCTGCATCCCGGCCGTGCCGAGCACGCAGGTCGAGGTCCTGTTCGAACGATGAGAGGCCGGAGCACACCATTTAACCTACAGCTTCTTCAGCTTGGACGCATTCCGCGTGTGGATTGCGTAGCCCACTGACAGACGGGTGTCGGCGGCGATCACCGCGCAGTTGTTCCAGACCGCGGAAACAACGGTTCTGCAATGTGTTTAGATGCAAAAGACGCGCACATACCCTCCGTTATTTACATACGGGTTGAAGTCGGTGTGCCTCTCCATTGTAACGAGTGACCGGCGGAGGCCCGCCGCAACGACCGACCGGGCGCGTAAGGCGGCACGATACCGGAATTCCAAACATGTAAGACATAGACAAGTTACAAACATGTACATTACACAACGTGTAGTTTGTAGACAGAATGTGACTAAATAGAAGTTCGAAGCGATACTACGCTGCCTCCTTTATCTTGCCGCAACGCATGAAGTTACGACTACGGCAAAGCTGGCGTGTGTCCTCGTAGCTCCAAGTATCCGCCCGAGGGGCGCATTTCCCCTTCAGGCTGTCACGGTGCCGTGCGACCAAGGCGTTCATGAAGTTGGCGCAGGCGTCCGTGCTCTCCATCGAACCCATAGGGCTGAACGCCGGACCAATGTCCGCGGGAGCTGCTCGCTTGACTGTAGCCCACTGCGAATGCGGGTAACCCACGTAATCCACGTGTTGCGTGCACATCCTATTCAACATAGCGCGCGGAGGTCGTCTGGGTACGGCATCGCTGCCCGCGTAGTGCTTGCAGCATGATGGCGCGCTCGCAAACCTCGGCACTTGGCGGTGGGCGACATGGCCACCATATCCTCCACCGCCTTTTGAATGTACCTGCATAGTGTGGCCACGGGGTGTGTCAATACGTGAAGAGTCCAGATGTTGAGACGGCAGTATCTGTGGCATATGCACGTTCGACAGCACGTGGTATCCTGCAGACGGGCCGGTGTGCTGGCGCGGCCGCTCATCCATAGGATGCGGGAAATGTGGTGCGTGTCTCATAGGAATGCCCGCCATCACCGTGTCTTGATTGGTCGTGCGATAGGGCACACCGGGGTTCGGCGCCCTCTCATAATGCGGAGCGTATTGAATCTCCTCGTAGGGCATGTTGGGAGAAACCGATCCCTCGTGGTTAACGCCCATACTATCTGCGAAGCGCGTACTACGCGCCACGTTCGTGAACTGAGACCCACCACCATAGTGTACCATCGGCACGCTGCCCGGCGCCGTTGTGTTGGCCGGTACCTTGTTATGCCTGGAAGAGCGCTTAGCCGTCGCATTGTACCACGCGACACCCCAAACGTTGGAGGAAAGAGGACCGAATAAATTCGCCTTCTCAACACCCATCCGACAACTCTCGTATTCCAAAGCGCTGACGTACAGCTGGAAGTTCAACATGGTCAGAAACTGAGCCTCAAGCATATTAATCTCCGCAACGTTTACGCCCCCAACCTGGGCGTAGAACTTGTTGGAGTAGTACACGTCGTCACTAAATTTCGCCGCGAGCATCACTGCCGTTATGATCAAACGGTGCACGTTTAAGATAGACACTGCGAAGTCCTTGTGCATCCTCGTAATGCGCTCAATGTACACTAGCGCCAGCACGAAACACTCGTTGCTGCAACGCACGTGACGCGCAATACGACTCACGTAGTCGGCAATGGAAATTGAGGGCGCATTCATTGAGTGAAAACGTGTAACCACTCCCTTCTTGGACTCGTTCTCGCTGACAATCCTGACCAACACGTTAGAAAGCATCCTTATAAACGCGTCGTCAGTTGCGCGAGCAACGAACTGGTCCCGAACTGCATTCATCGTTGCGACCTGGACGGCTGAAATTCCAACTGGTACCTGCAAAAGGAAAACGGGGGGCGGGGCACGCGGAACAGCCGACAAGCAAAACTAACGGCGCATTCACACGCTTATAGCCTGCTCAGAAAGCCATTCAATCAGAAAAATGGAAACAAGAATCGTGAGCACGGTGTGCTCACGACGAGCTACAGCATTGCTGCTGCTGCGTCATAGTTGCGCGTCCAAATGAAATAAAACGCGCAAAGACAAATAAAAATACCTAAGATAATATTGAATTGATGCAAAACGGGCAGTCGCGGCTCCACGCCTTCCGCATGGCTTGTGTGTCAGCGGCCGAGTACCGTGGCAGCTCAAGGCAGCTCCCCAGAAAGCGATGCCCCCATAACAGGGCAGAAAACGTGGCTAGGCGTCCCCACCGCTACACAGAGATATACGCTGCGTCACACGGCGCGGGGAAGCGGGAGTGACGTGGTAGTCGAAAGAAGGATGGCCGCTCGCGACGGCGACACCCGAATCCTGTGTGCCGCCTTCACAGCCAAGATCTTAGCCCGAACAGCCGTCTTCTGCGTTTCTGCGGCCTGAAAACGCCACGTTTGGTGTCTGGGAAAATACTGCAGCACTAGTGACGATTTTCTCCGAAAAATCCGCGCCGTCGTTTTCGCCAGTTGCTGTCCACGCTGCGTACTGCAGTCCCACCGTCCTTCCAACAGCGTTTTCAACGTTTCTGTGGCAGACATAAATTGAACATGCGTACACACGCTGTCGACTTTGAATTCAGTGGAGAAAAGGCATCGGCATGAAGCATGTGATCGGTCACGCGCGGTGTGCCACCTTCCTCAGCTCTCAGGAATGGCGCAGTTATATTCAATAGTGTCTACAATATAATGTCCATTTTGTGACGATTTTGTGGATGCGTGTACGGGCGTATGAATGCTGAGGACAGGTGTCATGGGCAGGACGCCTTCGGCATTGTCGGCGTGAGCGCAAATTGTCATATCAGCCAAAGCGGGGCAGTGAAATTAGCATAGTAAATAGAAGCGGGGATTCGTGCAGTATATGCGTCGTACAGCTCAGCTGGACGTGTATTCATCTCTGGGCACTGTCGGTACGCATGGCTGTGTAGAGGCTCTATGCTGTTTCCTTGCGGCTGAGCACGTGGATTAGAGACGGCTCGAATTGCTGCGCGCTCGACGCATCGGTGCTCGCTCGGAGCCTGGTGGCTCGGATTGTCAGCCGACCGCTCACCCGGTGGCGCCCCGCCTGTTCGCACATAGTCACCGTAACGTTTATAAACAACTAACGCGGGTCTACCCAACGTCTACCAGTGGTACAAGGATATTGTCGCCGTTCTACGCGACCATCTCGCGGAGCCACCCAAACTCCCCCCCTCACATTCTGACCATACGCGTGCCGACGGACGAGCACTCAACCGCCGCAAAACAAACCTATTCTCACAATTCGGATACGAGGGAACGTATGCCGAAACTGGAATATCGTGCTGAGAGCCGATAGTCGTTACACAGTCAAAGCAAACAAAATTCAGGTACGCGTCTCTCTAAGCAGCCTCTACGCCCGAACTACTGGGGGTTGTGGGCGCTCCGAATTTACGGTTCATGGGCTTGCTCTAGAAATATTGTAAAACGACATACACAGCGTGCAGAATGTCTTCGACTCCGACTGTCCCCTGTGACCCGCACTCGGCCTTTTTCGGCCTTATGGGTGTGGTATGCGCCATGGTCTTCTCTAGTAAGTGCAAGAGTGGCGTGAAACACACTGCACTCAGATGTCGGAGCGGCCTACGGTACTGCCCGCAGTGGCGTCGGTATCAGTTGCATGGGTGTCATGAGACCTGACCTCGTCATGAGGTCGATCGTGCCCGTTATTATGGCTGGTATCTTGGGTATCTACGGACTCATCATATCCGTCGTCATCGTATCACACAGTAAGTGCCAGGCCGCTGACACACGAACAACCGCAGTCGGACACCCTGGAAGCTACTCCGCCTTCACGGGATACGCCCACCTGGCAGCTGGGCTCATTGTCGGTTTCAGTGGACTGGTGAGTTAGGATTGACTATGACCTATCCGTTCTCAGGCCTCCGGATATGCCATCGGTATCATTGGTGACGCCGGTGTCAGGGCCAACGCCCAGCAAACCCGCCTGTTCGTCGGAATGATCCTCACGCTCGTTTTCGCCGAAACCCTCGGTCTGTACGGTCTCATCGTGGCCCTTATCGTGGCGCTTAAGCCGGTGGCCGGTCTTTGCGTAGCCTACGCCGTGGAGCAGGGAACGCACTAACTGTACTAAAATCACCTGGTAAAGGGCTATACCCATAATTTAAAAACAAAATGCGTGAGTGATCGTCTGTTAAGGTAAACGGTGGCTTTTTGTGGGTTGCCGTGGTTATATTAGCGGGAGTTACTCAAACGCCGCAGCGGTTACGGTGCTCGGATGTCCGATATGCAAAAATTAAAATATACGGTTCGCCAGATTGCGGCATGCGTGACGCGTCTCAAGCAGTACTGGGCCCCGAATCTTGGACGCCACCAGCTTGTTGTTTGCGATCACGGCAAATGCGTTCTCGTCGAACTTGAACACCATGCCGTCGCGACGCACGGTCTCCTTCTTCCGGCGGATGATGATGCCGCGCGGCTTCTTGTTGCTGATACTGCAGTCTGCAGTCTTGTCGCGCACGGAGACCTTGATGCGGTCGCCGATCTTCCCCGTCCCGTGACGCGTGCGGCCCATGCCAATGATGCAGCCCTTTACGATGCCGCTGGTGTCGCCGCAACGCAAAATGGACATCTTTTGGAGGCCCGAAAGCACGGCGGAAAGAAACATCGCGACAAAGTTTGGAGTACGACTGATCAGAAACAGAGCACTCTTAGTGCTACATTGGCATTCGTAAAATGCAACGTTCCACCAACAGTGACCACTTGTCAGCGGATCAACGTAACGCCTCAATCGCCGCCAACAGGGGGATCGCTGTCAGTGTATGACTTGATGTAGTCTGCGTAGAACTCGCGGAACTCAGGGTTCGCACAAGAGTCGTGAACCTTTCCCGCACGTGCAACGAAGTCGGACTCCTCGACCGTTTGAAACCCCGCATGCGTCAATTGGCCCTTGAACCAGCTTGGCTTGTACAGCACAGGCGCCGAACCTATATCCGTGCAGTCTGGGTCCACCAGCTGTGCGTAAGTTGCAGGAGCATCCGGTGCCGGCGGTCTTTCGCAGATGGACAAAAACGCATCAACGTCGCCCTTGCTGACGGCTTCCGATAACTGACCACACTGCGAGTCGGTGACGTTGCTCCACAAATAAACACGGCGGCGCCACGCGCCTATCTCGCGATTCCACTGCGATATGCTGGACCTGGAACGGTGGTCAGGGGTCACGGGATGCCACGACTGACGCAACGCTGGCAAGCGCAAATCACGGGGGACTGTTCTGATATAACGCTCGTATGATGCGTGTAACTTCGTCAAGTTTATGTTTTTTAGGCGGGTGGCTGCGCGCGCCTCGGCTGTGCCAACGCCCTCTCCCTTATCCACAGCGAAGTCCGAACGGAACGCCTTAGCCCGGCGCATCAGGCTAAACGCCTACGTGACTTCAGTAGAGTTTTGCATTGTGCCGGGAAGGCTTTTTGGTGCCATGTAGCGTTTGCGAGTCCCAAATGCCGACGACGGAGCGCGAACAACATCACCGGTGTGCGGCGACCTAACACACCACGAAGAATGCGACAACCGGCTTACACATTCGCTTTGTAGCGTCTGAGGAAGGTAGATAGCTTATGTGTGGGTATTATCTACACTTTGCGCGCAACGCCATTTGGATGTGCACAAGGAATCGTCGACAATGCCGCGAGCAACGTCGCTGCTGGTGGTGATCGCAGCCTGCACTGCAGCGTCCACGGTGTTCGCGGCAACGGCTAAGAGGCGAAGCGGCGCCATGGATGTTCTTGCGCCACACCTAGTCAACTCTGCTGTGTCTATGCTCACCGGCACATCGCAACAGGACACGGACGCTCCACACATCTCGCTCAAGGTCATGCCGTCCAAACGCATACACCTCTCGCCGAGCGAAATGAACGCGCTCATCTTCACGATCAAGCAGGAGATACATCGCAAGGTAAGCAGTCGGCGAGAAGGCAACGTTCATGTCTGTCGCAGGTTAACCAACTAGAAGGTAACGTTTAGCTCTCCTTCACAGAAGGCAAAACGCTGCAGAGGACTTACTCGAGAGGCGGCACGAGAACGAAAAACACCTTTCGGCATGGGCGCTCAACCAGGCACCTGTCTATATGCCCTTCCGAGGTACGTAAATAGCCTATAATTGTTGTGACGCTCCGCCAGATAATCCCACACAAGACAAAAATAAACGGGAATCGACATTGGAGATGGAGGTCCAAAAAATGAAACAGAAGGCAGACGCCGAAACCAGTGTTGGAAAGCCGGCCACCGCAAGCAGCGTTAGTTTAGCCGCCAAAACCAACGATCACACGTGCATAGGACGCACAAAATGAGAAGAAGGAGCCGGAATCGCACTGAAACCGGTAGCTCCTAGCCTATGCCCGTGCCGTGCTGGAATCTCTCGACGCGGTCCAGGGCAGATCATTCAAGGAGCCTATAGCCTCCATCATGGCGCAGTGCGCCATTTAAACAGCGTTGACACCGATGAATGTCATATTTATTGTAACTGTGCGCTCGAAGGCGACCCGTCGGGCCGCAGCACGGGGAGCGCGATGTGCCGCGCTTAGAGTCGCGCATCATTGACCACGTGCACAGACACATCACCGTCAACTAACCCACTGCAACACACAAATAAGCATTTGTGTGGAAACGTCGCCAAGCGCCCCTGTCGAAATGAAGGTCAGCGAAGGAAGTGCCGCCAAATTCACTCCGCACAGATCATTGCACAGCACGTCAAGGACGTGATACGAGGGGCTCTGTCCAGCTGCATCGGCAATGCGCGGCTACAGGAGCACCTTCCGAGTCTCTCTGTCGTCCCAGCCAACCCAAAGTTCGGGGACTTCCAGTGTAGGCGACCGACTGCGGAATGAACCACATCGCAACGCAGGGAACGATGCCATCGCGCTGTACAAGGCGATAGGAAAGGAACTGTCAGTTGGTAGCTCGAAGGAGTTGGCGGAACTCGTCAAGACGCACATCAGCACGCCTTCATTTTCGTCAATCAACGTATCGCCGCAGGGATTCCTCACTGTCACCCTATCAAAGGGGTTCGTCGAAGACGAAATACGCAGCCTATGTAAAAATGGAGTAACAGTGGAGCAGGCGCCCAAAGGGTGGGTCGCAAACTACGCAGCAGCGTCTGGTCACAGCGTTGCAGGTGCCGCGTGGCCGTGGACTTCTCGTCCCCCAACATCGCCAAGGAAATGCACGTGGGACATCTCAGGTCCACCATTATCGGCGAATCATTATGTAGGAAACTATGGTGTCATAACTAATCGTTGAGCAGCAAGGATACTGGAGTTCCACGGGTACGACGTGCTCAGGATAAACCACCTCGGAGATTGGGGCACGCACTTCGGCATGCTCGTGGAGTACCTCCTGGCCAAGCACCCCGATTTCATGACCAACGTCCCCAGCATCAGTGACTTCACGCAGTTCTACAAGGAGGCCAAGGCGCTCAGGGACGCCGATGAGGAGTTCAAGGCAAAAAGCAGGAAGCGTGTGGTTATGTTGCAGAGCGGGGACGAAGTCTCCCTGAAGGTCTGGAAGCTGCTGTGTGAGATCAGTGAGCGAGAGTTCGGCAAGATATACGAAATGCTGGACATCACAATCGAGAACTGCGGGGAGTCGTTCTTCAACGACATGATACCGCACGTGGTCAAAGAACTTCAGGAGAAAGGTCTGGTGGTAGAATCAGAGGGAGCGCAATGCGTATTCACGAAAATTAACGACGTGCCGTTGATGGCCATCAAAAGCGACGGCAGCTACGGATACGACTCGACAGACCTCGCCTGCATCAGGTACCGCATACAAGAACTGAAGAGCAGCTGGCTCATATACGTCACCGACATCGGGCAGAATGAGCATTTCATGAAGGTGTTCGAGGCTGCAAGGATGGCCGGTAAGTAGCATACGACTACTGCATCCTATACTTACTGTACAGGGTGGACAAAGTTGGACGGTAAGGAGGTCCGTCTAGACCATCTCGGGTTTGGGGTAGTACAGGACGCCTCGGGAAACAAGTTCAAAACACGATCTGGGGACACCGTGAAACTCGTCACCCTGCTAGACGAAGCTGTTGCACGCGCCACGGCGGAGCTCCAGTCGCGCATCAACGCAAGGATGGAGGAGGGAGAGACCGACATTGACATCAACATCCCGGAGGTCGCAAAGATATTGGGTTACGGAGCGGTTAAATACTTCGAACTCAAACAGACCATCACCAACAACTACAAGTTCTCCTTCGACCACATGCTTGACCCTAGGGGAAACACTGCCATATACCTCCTATACGCGTATGCGCGCATATGCCAGATATTCCACAAGGCTGGAATTGACGCCGAGAGCCTACAACCGGAGGTGTTGGACTTGTCGCACCCCGCAGAGATTGCTCTGGCGAAGAGCATCCTCAGGCTGCCTGCCGTGCTCAACCAGATCAAGGCGGATTACCTGATCAGCAAGCTCGCGGATTTCGTGTACACGCTTAGTGTGGAGTTCTCCTCCTTCTACAAGCAGTGCAAAGTCATCGGCGACCCGAACGAGACCACCAGGCTGCTGCTGTGCCACGCCACCAGAACCGTCATGCAAGTAAGTGAATACTATACAGTAAGTATTGACGCGCAGACTGCGTTCCAACTTATGGGGATCAAACCGCTAGATCGCATATGAACACTGCTAATGTTCTATTCCCTGCTGCCATGCCTGCACCATGTCGTACACCATAGTGGTCTTGCTGTGCAACGAGATGTGGATCTTGCGCAGCATGTACCCGGCGGCGCGTTCGGGGGTGGCCTCGAGGTAGAGCCGCTGCCGCAACTTCATCACCGAGGTGCGCCGGAAGCACGGCAGGCCGGAATGCTCGAGCAGCTTCACTAGGGCTATCAATAGCGTCGACTCCTGGCGAACACACATATAGGCAGACACCAGCAGACGCACATAGCGCCTAAAATTGTCAGACTCCACGCCACCCAGTAGATCGGTCATCTCCTTGGTGAGCTTGAACGGGGCGTGCTCGAACTGCACATCGGCGGCTGGCGACGAACCCAGAATGAATCCAAAGTCGATGTGCAGGATGTGTCCAACTGGGGAGATGAGGAGGTTGCCGTTGTGGCGGTCCTTTATCTGCAGCAGGAAGCACAACAACGAGTAGCCGGCCAGCGAATTTATGAAGTTCTCCATGGCCTTGTCGAACGCGGGGCTGCCTCTAGGGCCAAACTTCAGGACGAAGTAGTCCTCTAGAGTGCCTCCGTACTCCTTCCCAATGTTATGTCGGCTTATCGTGCCCGAAATGAAACCAATTATACCGCCTAGGACGTACGGACGGCCAACGATGTCGTCTATGCACGCGGGCATTGGGTTGCTCCCATGGAAGGGGCGCAAACATGCGATACGGAACCACCTGGGCGTTGGGCATTCCCCTTCGTTTGTAGGCAATGCGCAATCCAACTCGGAAACGTTTGCGGAGGCACCGCACAGGGTGGAAACATCCAAACAACTGCCCTCGGTTTTATGGGAAACCGCCGTGCCATACATCCGGCTGTCCACGGAATCACTGTCCATGTAAGAGGCAGATGGAGTTGTGTGAAGCCGCGGTATCTGCATTGGCGATACGCGTTTCACATCAGAAGTAGCAAACGCCGAATGTGACCTGATGATAGCCTTGTTCCGCATCCTGAACAAGGTGGACAGTGCTGTGGAATACGGCACCACGAGAAACGGTTGCAAATAGGCCTCCAGATTGTACAGGCGGAATATGTGCAGTAACACCAGCTTGACCTGCACCACCAACGCATCTTGACGCATGTCGTCTGCCATCTTGTAAATGTAGCGGGTGGTGCTTTTAGGTTCCAGAAAGAAGTCGACCATGAATGGTGCCCGGGTGGCAGACGTGAGTACCTTTGCACTTTGCGGGTCCACAAACCGCACATTCTTCCTCGTTGGTGAACCGGAAGTGCGGCTGCCGATAATGTGTGCGCCTTGCTCAAGACTGTCGTCAAAGACCTGGAGCTGGCCGGTGTTTGCGCACGACTCGTTGACTTTTAGGAGGCCTTCAACTAGTGCAGCGGGGCGCTCCGAAACGTCTGCAGTCGCCAATTTGGACGAGAGATTAAGCAAGTTGCTGTGCATGGAAATGTTCCTTATCTCCTGACGCAAAGGGGCCGATCGGTTGGCCCCCATCACAATCAAATCAAGAAACGACGCAGCCTTACGAGCAGTGATCAGATCCTCATTACTGTGCAGCATGCAGGCCAAAAAATACGGCAGACGCTCAAGCACCAATCCGCTTTTCAACGACGCCGATAGAAGGTGCCAAATGCGGTCACCAGGATCGACCGAAAGCGACTGGACGAGTTGTGGGAGCACCATAGCCACTAATCGCGGGTTCTCTGATAGTACATGGCAAGCCTGTGTGCGTTGTACCACGTTCAGGTGGTCCTGTACAACCAGTGTTGATAGGATGTCATCGAGGCCATAGTGATGCAGATAGAGGTGCGACAGCATTGACATCGGAGCCTGGAAAGCGGACCCCATAGTAGCGGAGGTGCTTAACGCGTAGGGTAACCACGCCATTCGGCCCCTCCTGAATGCCAAGTGCTCCAGGATTACGTACCTATTCTGTCCCCTGATCACCGCATCAACTGTGGGGGCTACCTTTACATTGCTCACATTTCTGTCTATGGCACACAACAACTTCAGGTACACTGGATGCGCCAGCGTTGTATCCACACGGTGTTGCCGCACCTTGGGGTTCATTTCATCCTGCGATCCCACGTCCAGACAACGCTTCCTTATAAGCTTCGCTGCAAACCTCACGGAGTGCGGTGTATAATGGCCCCTGCTTGTGTTTCTATTGGTCGCAGGCAGCGGCATTTCACACGAATCCGGCGAGACTCCGAAAACGTCGCCCAGGCGTTCGAAAGGGTTGCGGAACGTGGCATGTAGCTTGCACATCTCGTTCTTCAGCAGCATCTTCACCAGGTGAACGTGTGGCACGTAAAAAGACGATCGCCTCAGCAAGGTCAAGATTCGGTGGAAACCACAACAAATCTCAACGAAGTTTATCAAGCACCTAAAACAAGTCGCAGATAACGAGCAGCGAAGCAATCCGCTCTTCACTCCCCCCTCCAGAAAAAATTGTGTCATTATCTGGATGACCAACCACGTCCTACGCTTCAGGTTGCCACCGATTGTGAGAAGCAAAGTACAGACAAGTATGATCCACTTGACGTGGCCAATGTCTTCACGCCCGTTCGACAAGGTGGGCCGATCCATAATGCCCGACGTTAACATGCGCTCCAAAATGTGGCAATGCGGAACGAACCGCCCCGTCATTTCCCGAAATAAATGTTTGCGGTTCAGAATGGCATACAGCGCGTACAGATGACTACACATTGTGCCATTTTTTGTACGCGGGTATTCATGAGGGCCTACATTAAGTAGCCACCTGTTGATGCTCTCGTGGACCGCTACCCTGAAACCGGACAAAAAGCTCTCTTTAACCTCTTCTGACAATACATAGTCCACAAACAGCAGAATATGGCCTAGTTTTGCAATACATTCTGGTCGGAATTGAGGCCATTGACAAAGGGAAGTTTGAAGCACAACGTGGTCCGGTATCCTCTGCGCTTTGTGGCATAACACGTTAGCGACGAAGTTCGCGGCACAGTTAAGCACCGAATAGGTGCCATTTCCGTCGGCTTGGATAATGGACACATCAACCCAATCAACATGTTGACACTCCAACTTGGTATCGATGAGTCGAACAACACTCCTCACCAAACGCAGCATGTAATTGGTTGACAGTCGAAATCCCAACATAATTCCCTTGAGGTATAGGCAAATCCTGATAGCCGCTATAATACACCGTTTTCCACCGAGATCGGTACGCGAACAACCGTTCGAGGTTACAGGTAACCCCGGTCGGAGCCTCGACAGCCCCCTCCTGCGCCCGTGTCGTCGCTTTACCTTGATCCCACATCCTTGTAAATCGCGTAAGTAAGCACATGCGAATTTGCACAGCTTCACGATTCTTCTCTTCGGTCTTTTGGCGCGGCCATTTGTTATCAGATGCTTGAAAATATGCGAAGCCAATTGATCCAGGGTAACGTCAAAATCGCTCCCAAACCTAGACACGAGATGGTTGATACGAAATGTGCCGCCGCACTTCAGGGCGCTCCTCACGTGATCTCCACAACGTGCTTGGAGGCTGCTAGAATCGGCCGTTGGTTCGGGATGCAGTATCGCCAGGGTCCTACGCCTCTCAGACACCGGCAACACGCCGCGATGACTCGCCCGCTCATACCTTCCATGGTTATGCCTCTTAAACGCTAAATATGAGTCCGCAATATGGGCAGCATTCATGCTTCCGAAATGCTGAGCGCGGCGCAATGTGCAGGGACGACATGCTCTAAGCTACGCCGTCAGAATCACAAAAAGCACATGGTATGAAAATATCTGCAGACTAATAAAGGGTGCGGAATGTGACATCACAACCAACGAAATAGTCTACTAAAGTGGTAAGTGTGCAGCCCATCCGAGAAGTAGGCACGAGAAACGCACCTTTAATAAACGCCCATATAACCGACAATGCTAATCTGGTGGGTGTGTAATGTGCCAAATATTTAAATGTTCGTCCCAGCCGCATTGGGGCCAGACAACTGAACGAAGGGGAGCAGGGGTGGCGCCGAAAGCACGGGGACCATCAACTCACACACGGCCCATAAAAATAGGCGTTATACATATTTTATAGTGAACGGCGCAGAGAAGGTCGCGAAAAGCCCAGTTCCTCGCCCAGTGGGATTCGCGTAGAGGCGCACGCCGGATGGGGCATAGCTGTTAGGGGGACACGAGTAACGGGACCTCTCCGCTCTACGACTACACTGCTTGTTTTATATTTCAACAGTTATCAAAAATGTTTAAGGAGGTAGGTTTGCGCCTTTGCGGCAGGGTGTATCGCTGCCGGTTTCGCGAACTAAACAATCCCGACATCCAATCATTGCGCTGTAGAAGGTTGTTATCGATTGCAAGGGCCACCTTATGGGCCGCCTCGCCTCAGTGATAGCCAAGGAGCTCCTGAGCGGGCAGAAGATCGTATGCGTGCGTTGCGAGGACGTCAACATCAGCGGATCCCTCTACCGTAACAAACGTGGGTTTAAGGACATCGATAACCCCCTAACAGCTATGTGCAGTTAAGTACCACCGTTTCTTAAGGCTCAGGACCAACTCCAACCCGAGGCACGGTCCTTTCCACCTTAGGAAGCCATCGAAGATGTTCTGGCGTGTGGTGCGCGGTATGATCCCTCACAAAACCAAGCGCGGCGCACTCGCCCTCAAGCGTCTGAAGACCTTCGAGGGCATGCCCTCCCCGTATGACAAGATGAAGAAGCGCGTGGTGCCAGCTGCACTCCGCTTCCTCAGGTTGAAGCCACACCGTAGGTACTGCCGCCTGGGCGATGTGCTGGCCAAGGTAAGAAGCGCTGGTCGGATACCGCCGTATAAATCCTCTGCAGGTCGGATGGAACTACGATGGATTGGTGCAGAAGCTGGAGGCGCGCAGGAAGGAACGCTCCCAGGAATACTACAAAGCCAAGATGGAGCAGAGGAAGACCATCGCCGAGGCCAAGGCTGCAGCTCTGGCTCAACTTCCTGCGGAACACAGGGATGCGCTGACGTACTGCGGATACGCATAAGTGCCCCTGATCCGGGTTTCAACCTCCTTAAGCATCTAATAAAACACCTAACAACTTGCTCGCGGCGCACCGCCCGTAGACGCGATCGTCTGCTCGGGGGCGCTCAGACGCTTCTCCGTCTGTCATTTTTGCACCGGAAAAAATATCCGATAGCAAAAATGATTAGGGATACGGTAGCACACCAAAATCTCACCTTTTCTTTCAGGTCGCTGAGGACGAAGGAGAGGCAGAAGGCGCACAGATTCGAAATCGGCAACCTTGACACGCCTCTGCTGGAATCTAACAATGCACAAAGCGGTATGCGATCACAATGTGCTGTATATGTTGAGCAGATGCGCCTCCGGAGCACACCCAGCAAACAGGCAATGTGGGCGTCACGATTGACCTGCCTCCAAGCTGGTTGGAACTGGTACAGGATTGCACATTTACTCTTAAAAACACTTCCGATCGCATCAAAGACCTAGAAAGGGCGCAAAACAGAAGCCTGCTGACCGTGTTCGACAGGATGGGAAAGGGCGACCACGGGCAAATAGCAGCTATATCGACAGACATCGCAAACATGATGAAGAAAATCGAACGAAACATGGAAATTATAGGAACCGAAGGTAACTATTACGTCGAGAACCAACTGCGAAAAAACGCAAGGCACAAAATTGCAGGAGAGCTGTTAGCGCTCTCGGGAACCTTCAGGAAACTGCAGAAAACGTACTATGACAGCGTACAAGAAGACACTCAATTCCGCGCTAACTCGGGCATCCCAGATGTGGCGCTGAGCAACGAGGGATTTGTGCAGGAACAGCTGCAAGTATCGCACGAACACATAGCGGACCGCACCAACAGGCTGCACGATATCGCCATGACAATGCAGGAACTCAAGGACATGTACACCCAATTAGCTACAATGGTAGTAGAGCAGGGATCAATGCTCGACCAAATCGATTATAATGTTCGAACATTCACGGAAAACACCAAAGGAGTCGTCCGTGAGTTGCGAAAAACACTAAAGCGCGAAACCTCTGGATTCGCTATACGGGCAGTGCGCAATCTGATTGCTGTCATATTCGTGGAACTTGTAATCATTGTTATAAAACTGGCGTGAGAAAAAAACACTGCTTATATTAAATTAGAGAACTATTTTCACTTATTATGTTTCTCGTTAACTGCTCTATAAGTGGCGGCGAAATGTGTGGTTGCGGGTGCAACAACACTTATTCCCTGCGCTCATGTGGGTGCTAAAACATAAATTGGGTTGTTTAGTAGCGGTTGTGGTGGACGTGTGCGAAGTAGAGCAGTTTTGTGGTATTTACGACGGGAATGTGGGCCGACATTAGCAGCTGTTGGACTTCATCTACAGCGTAGTGAAACTGGAAAGGACGGCACAGGTGACTTAGACTGTGGAGTATAAGATGATTTTGTTTCCCTGCCCGCCATCGTAGAGCGCCAGGCAATGGTGTCGAGATTCCCCACTTCGACGAGTATGCGCAATGGACTGGGAAGATTGCCGTTCATCCGTTTTGTTGCGTATTGTGAAGGCGTGTTATGTAGCCATTGAGGGTATCGAAGACAAGCCTGATTGTAGAACGCCATTGGCGGATAGAGTTGTCTAACGTTGGAGCTGCTCTAGAAATATTTATTGCATTCTCGGTTGAGAATGGATTTGTACGTTGTACAAATAATACATCGGAGATTCCACGCAAACGGATATTTGGTTGGTTTCCACTCAGCGGAAAATGGAACTGTAGAATAGAAATTGGTGTCCCTAGTACAGTGAGGGCATGATTACCCATTTTTGGCTGCCTCCATCCCTAATATGGATTTAATCATCGTAGTACTTTTCTACGACCTACGTTAGTGTTAAATATGTATCACACAATGTAATATGCAGGGTTGCACCTGGTGGTGCCGTGATGCGGTTAGTGCCCAGCAGCATCGGCCTCTAATCGGCTGACATAACATTTGGGCGCTCGTCCGCTTGGTTGTCTACGCACGGCTGTTATATGGCCATTTTATTATATACTTGACGCTTTAAGGGGAACTCACCGCGACCATCCCAAAGGTTGTCCAACGTATGGCAAATTTTTATAAAAACAATGAGACTATCTTTGGTACTCTGAAGATTGTTAGCCGCACACCAAAACCGCTTTCCTTGTTCGATCACTTAATAAAATCATATGTGGCTTTAAATTATTGTTTATGGGCAGCAAGAAAATATCAAGTAGCGACGAAAATAGCTAGGATGCATAGAGTTTTACAGGTGATCTGATGAAAGAAAATTCGGAGCACCACGCTTCATTAGCGTCTTATAAATACCATATAAGATTGTAAAAAAATTAATGGATTCGGATGTTTTTCATTTACAGACAAGTTCATAGCCCCGAATAATTTCGCACCGGTATCCTCGTTGGTTTGTTAGAAGTTTTTGGCCGGTGTTCTGGAAGATAATAGTCGATATTACAAACCCTATCATTGGTGTAATACCGATACTAATTGCTAAAATTCAGGGGTCTTGTTCTGTCGTTGCTGTAAAAAATGGCGCCTATCCGTTCCTGTGTACGGCGAGTACCCGCATTAATTTTCTGCCTCTATATTGTTGTTTTTAATGGGTTTACTATTGGTGCACCACCTACAGATGGTATTTCGGATAGTGGTGCATACCCGGCAAGAGGCATTGCATTCTACGCTGATAATGAAGAGTTCTACCGTAAGGTGAAAATCCTCGAAACACTTTCTCGACCGGATATACAACTTTGTAATTATTTGAAGTTTGTACTATTGGTGATACGTGACTCTAAGTCTTCACCTGAGGTTAAAGAAGCAGACGCAAAAGAGTGTCATCAACTCATGCATGATATCAACCATATTAGCAATGCACAGGGATATTACACCGAATTAAGAACGATGCTTAATGAATACCGTGCAATAGCCAGGCGGCTTCAAAGGAAAAATGTACCGCCAGAAAGGTCTGCTGAACTGAGAAGCGCTTTGGAGAATCTAGAAGAGCGATTCAAAGGTAAAGAAAAGGCGGTATCCGACATCTTGAGAGTCAACAATGCGTCGTATTACAGAGAAACAGTCAGAAAAGCGAAAACCTTCATTCGGAAACATACGGGTCAAACACCACCCCAAACTCACGATAAAGGGTCATCGGAGATAAGCGGCGGCAAACCAGCAGCACTCGTGTCAGACTCGTCAGGCGACACAGGAGTGCGCCATAGCGGTGGAGGCGAAATTGTCCCAGACTCTGACTCAGGCAATGAAATGATGCGAGAATTACTTAACGATCGCGTTTTATCAAAACCATTGGAGGAGGCTCGAGCAAAGGCGACAAAAATAGAGGAAATATTACGTGACCCTTGATGGGTGACATCAATTTAGATGCAGCGAGTAGTCCTCCGTCTCCAAATAATGCGATTATTCCCAGAATGAGAGATAAGTACGACACGTGTTATGACAACTTGAGAGACATCCGAAATGCATGGGATATTTACACGCATTACAACGATATCACTGATAAACTGAAAAGGATAGGTCCTGCGTCTACTCAAGCATCCGAATTAATAGCCGAGCAACGGCAACTGGAGCTAGCATTCGAGGAATACGGAGCTCTCGTAGATACTGGATCTCTGGGAGGGATCAATTGGGACGCGTGGGATATACTTTGGATGCTAGAGTCAGTTAAAGAGGGCAGGATGAAGTCGAAAGATAGACATAATGCGAAAACACCTTCGTCAGGGAGAACCGACGCTAAGGAACCCACACCACCAGCGCAGGCACCCAAAGCAATTGACACCCCACCCAAACCGCACCCAAGCAAATCAGAGGAACCTGCACCCAAACCACCTACATCTAAGCCAGAGGAGACGACACCAAACACACCGGAGGAGCCTATGCCACCATCACAAGCACCTGAGTCGCAGGCCAAAGCAGCAACACCACCACAGGAAGTCAAGCCCGAAACCGAAAATACCAAGACGAGCGAAACCACAATACCAGAAAGAGAACCCAATGGGCCCACAAGTACACCAAACAGACACCCAGGCAAAACAGAGGAGGCAGTAAGCACACCCTTTACTTATCCTACCGAGGCAAAGAAATCCGCACCCTTACAACACCCAACCAAGGCAAATGATACCACACCTCCACCACAGGCAAGCAAACAGCAGGAACCTACACCCAAGCTAGAGCCAACAAGTATGCAGGGCACGGGTGGAGGGAAAACCACAGGTGGGCTGGATACATCACAAACCACAGAGGGAAATGTCGGCAATATACGTGACACGAAGGATAGTAAAATGTCATCGGGGCATCTGATAATAGGAAGAACGGTTATTCAAATCATGGTAGCTGTTGTTCTAATGGCGGCCCTATGAGTTACGGTCGGCGCACAACGGCATTACGGAGTTATAACCTGTTGGGCATGTGTTACGTTATGGCTAATTTGTTGTAAGTGGCCTCGCGTTTTACGCACGGTGATCGCTCACGCTAGAAGGCCACTGCCTGCACATCGTTAGCGTTGTCTGCTCGATGTCTACAATGCCTGTCTGGTATATGGGCATTGAAGCGTGAGGTTGACTTTCAGCTCACGAGTTTGCATCCCGATCGCAATTAGGCGCTGCGAACTGTGTTTTGCCTTCATTCTACGAAAGCTACTTGGTAGATGTATATTGCATATAAAACTTGTTTTAATTACACTTCACAAGTTACAAATGTTTCGTGAGAGTTCGCCGATGGCTACTGACTGGTGAATCGGAGTCAGACTCTTTTGTCCCCAACTGCTTGTACAGATCACCTGAGATCCCTAATCAGTAGAAGGCCCAAAACCCAGAGAGGTCGTATATTGTGTACAATTCATGGTCATCTAAACGGCTCAACGCCCTGTTTACATCTACAATACTGGGGCTAGAGCGACATTCTGGCTCTTTGAAACCCAAAGCTTTCACCATCATGTGGATATTATCAAAACAGTAATGACTCAGACCCGTTATGTATAAAACTTCGAATTCTAATAGCAAAGATTCTAGGCCTGCGTAGAACATTGGTCCAATTCCCACTAAGATGACAGCGCAAGCTTCGGGGTTCTTCGCGAATGATGCATCCCACGTAGCTTCTGGACAGTAAGCCGACTTGTACTGACCAGGGTTTTTGATATGCTTCAAGAACCTCTCACAACCACTCACAACGTCACCTAATTTGTCTGCGATGTCTTTAGCAGTGAGACCCTTGGTCTGTATGATGTTCTCATAATCGCTTTTGTAGAAAGTGAAAAATTTTGTGAACCAACAGAATTCTTTAAACATACGTATATTAAATCTGCTCATAATCCTTTTTGCGGGCCATATGTTCCATATACCCGATTTGTACAGGAACTGCTTGGTGATATGTTTAACTTTCTCGAGAGCTGGCACCTTAGTGTATCCTACAGGCTTGTCTGCGAGGAATTTGTGTACGGCTGCACCGAGAGCTGCCATGTTCTTTTCACCATCTTTCCCCTTCAGAGCTATCAACCAGTCCATGCACTCCTTGACGTTTCGGGGAGGCTCGGTCAACGCATGGTATGCCACTTTGTCAACATTCGTTATGTTAGGCGATTTACATGCACATTTTGGTCCCCCGTCTATTTTCTGGGCGGTTTGCGAAGAGCTCTGTATTGATGGCGGATCGGCACCAAGCGTGCGCTGTTGAGGGCTGCAGCGGCTACCACCGTTACCTGACGGAGAATTTACCGGTCGGCTATTCAACTCCGAGGTCGCATCTGACCGAGTATCGCCAAGTACGTCGTTAAGTACCGTGTGAGTATACGACACAAACTCATCAAAACGGCTCTTCCACTCCTTCATCTGCTCTAGCTTGTCCGTTCGCCTGTCATCTGCACCATCCTTGTCCGGACACGTAGAAACACACTTTGACAGATCCCTTTTCTTATCCCCTCCTGCAGGCGCTTTCATCTCACGCTCATCCCTTTAAGAAGCCATCTCGCAAAATAATTGGCAACGTGCCTTAAGACCACAAATATTCTTCAAATGGAAGCACACTGCCAAACCGCCGTCCAGGTGTGCTATAGCAGGAGTGGTTCGAGATCTCGCAACTCTGACACACCATTAATATCCACTACTAACACGCGTGTTGATATGCTAGTGTGCCAGCTCATACTGAATCATGTTACTCTCACCTTCGTTTGATCCTAAAAGAATGTTCATACTGCCACTGCTCACGCGCGCTGCAATGATCTTGAGGGGGCAAATAGGGCCGAACAATGTTTGCGGGGCGCCCCGCGAATTGACTGCTGGACTATAGTCCGGGGTTTCGACTTCAATGTTTACCACGTTGATCACAAATGCCACTTAACTGGGTCATCACGTCGAAGAGTCCCGGGGACATCCATTGCCAAGCCACATACGCAACAAGTAACATCCTTCACTCGCCTATAAGATGGTCCACCACCTCGACCTGACCATACATCTGTTGAAGGTATTCAACAGAGGTTTATCTACATAGTTTATAAAAACGTGTGACGCCATGGTTGCTGCATCTGCATTGTTTAATCATAGCATTAAGTTGATATCCCACTTAACGTTAGTTTCGTTCATTTGCCACACTCTCCGTTTACCCGATACGTCACCCCTACAAGAAGCAACCGCCACAACAATTAGATGCATATCACTGTTAATACAAGGTTACAACTCATAATACTACCACTAATGTCATTTTTGTTAGTATCACATTTTTACTCGGTTAGAATGCGCTACCCTGCTTATCACCATATTGATGGCACCGTGCGCCCCCCTGGCGTCAAACTCTATTGTCGGCAGATTATTGGAGATTACATTGCTAAATCGTTTCAATATAAAAGTCAAAGACAGCTTGTATACGCGCTCGTCCAGGCATAATGTTATTAGTATATTAAAGCGGCGTGCCATTTGCGCTGAGCACACCAGAGCAGCGCCCCCCATCCATCCATGGACAAAGCAACATGAGTTCCAGTGCAGCGTTGGAAAACTTACAGTCCGGAGAGGGCTATGATCATAGAGAGGAGTACGTTCCAAAGCGTGGATGTGATAACCCCTAGTGAACATTGAATAGGGGAGCATTAGAAAACCCCTTATTAATTATTATATTGACATTAAAAGGTAGAAGACAACAGATGCCACCAAATAATGGGTGCCTTAATATAGAAAATCATGGTGCGGCAATGAATGGCGGCAACAAGCGCACAACATGGAGATAGCTTGTTGTTAAGCTGTGCTTCAAGTTGCCTAACGTGCTATAAGTCGTTAGGTACGGTTAGGATAATTTTTTGTTCATATTTACGGCATAAATGTTGCACACTACAAACACTAATTGCCGGTTACGCGCCGTCATGTTGCCTAAGGTTATTGGTGTCATCCATGCTGTTATGGCACGGGAGTCACAACCTTCTACGGGCGATACGGCACTTATCATATAGGGTGACACATGTAACATCGTTCGTTGGTTGAATTGTTACTCTTTAATCTCCTTCAACGAGTGCTCTTCCATGTCTTGAATCTCTCCGTTTCCACCAGGTCGTCTTTATTCGTTACCCCTATTTCCCCGATGGTAATGAAACTGTTTCCCCGATTACGTCCAATTGATTGCGATTCATCGATGAGGGTAAACTCATGTTCAGGTAAAGAGCGATGCATTCCTCGTCCAGATTGTGACGCCACAACAGTTGTTCATTCAAGATCTTAAAACGTGGGAGATGTTACCACACCCGCCTCAATGAAATTTCCAGTTGCAGCCATGAATGAAAATTCCTTTGCAACTTGGAAGCAAGCTAGAAATGGGGGTTTCGCTAGCCTTGATTTCCCCAACAAAAAATTAATCACAAAATATTTATTCTCTTTTGATCTCATATATCCATAAGATGTACTTGTTGGTGTTATAATTTTGTATTTACTTTCGCCTTTAGTGATCGTATGACACCAAATCGGAAACTATGGCCAAGTTCAGAATCCCGCAATGTCTATTCGCACTATGCGCCATAGCGTTACAATCGATCGTATATTTGAACGCATTGTCGTGCGATTTCGGAGATCCGCCAGGATCACTCAGCAGTAACGCACTCGTCGCGTGCCACATAGACCTCGAAACCGTCAACAGCGCAACTGTGACATGCCCACGCCGGGTAGACGATACGAAGTACGCCTGGCATCCTCAGCCGTATGTAGGTAATCACTCTCATCTTAATGCATACGTAAGTGAAAATGGCAATTTCCGTTCCGTTGGTATTTCGGATGCAGTGATAACGGATGCACCAGGTGATTATATTTGGACGGATTCAAATGAGGCAGATGCCACGCTTCATTTAAACCTAGGAGATTATAGCGATATATATGTCATCACAGAGCGCCGTTTGATATTCATTTGTGGGCCGCGAGATTTGGTTCTGACTAATGAATTGCAGCGTCACATCGACAGCCTCAATGATTCTCGTCTCATGGTAGAACTTCCTTGGACCTCTACTACGCCTTTGGCTCATGAAATCTCAAAGATTGGAAAAGGTTTGGGAGTGTACTTCTTGTACAGAGACCGCGTTCATCTACCTCTTCAAGGTTGCGGCAGCCGTCCTTCACCTCTGTTCGCCTCGGATAATGAAGTGACCGTGGATCCCGTAACTGGTATCCGCTCATGTGTAGCGGATCCCATGTCAGAAACGTTCATTGGGTTCCTCTGCGAAGGCAGGATTGAACCTGCGGATTGTATGAGATCACTCTTGGACGAGAATGGCGAAGTTGTGAAGCCTCCTCGGCCACATTCGTATAGGAAATTCGATAACGTTCCGCCTTGGAGGGTAGCGCGATATTTTAATGACTTAGCACTCCCTATGTTCACTGGCGAATGCAGATGCATAGGTTCCGACACAGGTGAGTTAATGGCCAGGATCGAGATTCGTCCCCAAACCGAGTACGTTTGTGACATTTCCAGCTTGATCGAGCGCAACAATGCGAATCCTATCAACGGCCCTTGGTGTTCGGTGGTTCTCCATCCCGGCAGCACCTTGACCATACGGTTCCCAACAGCGGATGTCCATTCGGCGTCTAACGATGCAACGCAACTGCTGCCTACTGATCAATTCGAAGCTGAATTCTTGCCGAAAGACTTGACCACACTGCGGCAACTTAAAACGGCGTATGACTTTGATGTGTACGAAGAAATCTCATACAACGAAGCGCTTGCAGGCGATGCCCTCGAGATGGATGTTTCCCAAATGGCCCAGGGTGAGGTAAAACTGAAGTACCATGCGGACAAACCTCTCGCGTTAAAGGGGGGTCACAACTCGTTTTTGTATCACTGGAGACTGAAATCCACGAATGAGGATGTTCCAGATAAGCTACGAGCCATCGTCAAAGTGGTCTTTGCGTTGACGCACCCCTACCATATCATTGGTAGTGACCGAGGTCTACGGAGTGTGTTTGGATCATCAGTGAGCAAACAGTATAATCCAACCAAAACCATGGAAAGTGGAATGGGGAATGTTTATGGAGGCGGATATGATCTGATAGGGGACAATCGGAAGGCCGGTATATACTGCAGGGCTGATGAGGAGCTGTTGCCAAAAGACTGCGAATCTACAGCATACGATCTCCACGCAAACCGTATTGTGCCATTTCCAGGAACGGTCTATAATGTGACTCCATACCCCATTCGAGGATTTCAGATTTATGACATGGGCATACAAAAAAGTCCTATCAGTTATGCTTGTATCTGTGTTGACCAACGTGGAAAAGAAACATCGAGGCTTGTTTTGGAGGCCAATAATGAAGTACAACAGACGTACAAAGTAAGGCGTAAAGAGACGTCTCACAGATTACTCCCATACATATCGTTGCCTTGGCGTAAGGTCGCATTGATACTTGATGGACCCACATCAACAAGATTCATTATGCTGCAGCACACATCAAAAAAAATCGTTAAGCTACAGGTGGGCACAACGTTGTCCATGACTTGTGCTTTTGATCCCAACGTTCAGACGTCGGCAAGCAACGGGCTAATATCAACGACATGGCTGCCGAAGATTCCCAACGAATTTCATTATGCTGTAATCCATACATCACATGGACGTGAACTTATTCGGAGATCGCACAAAGATGCCATTGTTGGTACGCCGAATGCCTTAGAAGTAAGTTACCAAGGTAACACAACCAAATCTGCATATAACCAATTGAGGATCACGTCATCTAGAGGTGCCGTGCTCATATCCAAGGATCCAGCCCACGCGCATTATGTGCCCATGAGGTTTCTCTGCGGTAAGACGTCCGAATCATCAGGCATGCCCATCATCACTGATGGCAAACCGACGTCAGACATATCTGCACCGTTCATTCCCAATACCATAGAATCGTCTACACGATACACATGGAAGATCGTTAAAGTTGCTGTCGAGACCACGGATCCGTACATGCAAGGCTGCGGCGTTACGTACGCATCAGATGAGTTGTTCAAGCCTGAGACACCCAAGCTCTACGACGCTGAAGGGCAGTCGCAGTTCGGTTGCAAGATTGATCTTCAAGCTGCCAAGGAGGCTGCGTTCTATTGCCCAGCGCCTTACGTCCTGGACCCACCCAATTGCTTCAGCCAGGTCTCTGTGGACGGTAAAGGAAGGAACATAAGCGAGCTCAGCCAGTCATTGTCGGCCTCACATTCTAATCACTTCGTCATCCTGCGTCTATACAGTTCACTCGTAGGACCAGGGGAGACCCTGGGCCAGGGGCCGCCATTGGAGTGCCGCTGCATCACCGTCAAGGGCGCCATACTCTCCACCATCCAGATCGAGAACTATTACTCTAGATGATGAATAACTGAGATGTGATAACTTGTTGGTGAATTGCGGAAACTAATTTACTTTCATTGTTCTTGATAAGTGTTGTATCCACCGTGGTAGCATGGCTTTCGGGCAGGTCGTCGTACTTGCGGTTACTAGCTCATCAGCTTAGTCCAATGCTATAATAGTTGTGTTTAACTTGTGTAGGTAGCAATGGCCCAAATTAATGGTGTGGCGTGGAATTCCGCTTCAGAACACCTTTGGTGGGCACATCGTAGTAGTGGAATTGGACATATGTGACGTCACCTTTTCCATCTTCCCTCAGAAGTTCAGCTTTCAGTAATGCCCTTAACACTTAACCATGGACGATGCTTGGCGCTTAGTGGGGAACTTCGATCACTCCACTAATCTTTTTATGCAACTCTGCCATGTAGGTGCCTGGCGCCGTTAGCCGATCGATGGTGAGGCATAGGGGATGGCTTCACATCATCATTAATTGTTCCGACCGCTTTACGTCACGTGTTACGTAGTGTTGGATTCAGTCATGTCGTCAATAGCGAATTTCATTTTAGGCCATCGCCGGACCCAGCGACATAGCCCGAAGCCTGATGGGATTGGTGCGAACAAAACAACCGGCTGTTTAACTAGGATGTTTAATATCATGAAAGGAAGTAAGATATCGGAATTGAAGTTTATGCCAAAAGTGAACAAATCACGTGGGGCACCACGCAGATCAATAATGAGTAAGACATCATCGGGTTGAGGTGTGAGGCGTTGTCATAATGCCTATTTCATTAACATAATGACACTATGGCGAACGTTACAAATACAAGCCGTTATACTTGCCAACTGAGAATTACATGGTCAACTGAATTAATGGGCACTTTGGGGTAGATGGTGCAATGCTGCTTTAAGGCGAGTGATAGGGGTATGAAAGGCGGGGCTGTCGGCATGGTAACATTATGCAGCGATATAAAGTTACCAAGCACGAACACAGCTTGTCCATTGATGGAGAGATTCAGAAGTTTCACCTCGTGCGGCCAGCAATGTGTGGGGCAAGGTTCGCAGTCTCGAGCGGTCATACTGGTGCTTTGGCATAGTGAGAGACATGTGTCTGTAGTTTTAGTGGCGGAGTGTTGAATAGATGCACTGGTTGGTCGAAGAACGCTGATAGGAGATGGCTAGGCGACGTCAGGAAAGCCATGGTGTCATGTTACGCACCACCCACTCTGCCGCTCAGCAACTCAACACGTGCGCCATTGCGCACAGATGCGTGAACATTGAGGATCACGGTGCGCTCGTATGTCGTGATTAAGTGTGGGATGTTGGTTACGTGCGATTAAGAGGCCTCCAATGGATCATGTAATACACTAAAACTTCAGCCTCGGTCAGACCTAGTTAAATCACATGTATACGATTGGATGTCGGTGCGCTGAACGGGGATTCCCTGTACCCGCCGGCTCCTAGCGGTACCTGAGCGCGGTCGCTGTGCGCACCAGTGCTCGAGCCCAAATTAAAATTGTAACTGTCCTACTCGACCCAGAAATGCCGATGGCCGAGTATGTGTAAAAAGTACGGGTTCACCACACCGTACGCCAAGGCGCGCCTAACAAGGCGGTTCTGCAACTTGAACACCAGTCTGTGTACGTCTTTGACAGCGGGGCGCTCTTCAAAGTGTTTCAACAGCTCATCAATCTTTTCCTTGCGCATCAATCGAACGGTGCCTTCAAGGCGATTGTACTGTCGGGTATGCAGGGGTTCCACGTTGCTGGCACGCGCCTCCTCGGTGGCCCTAGGGGTAACTTTTTGCCATTCCAATATGGCCAGATCCGGTTCTTCAGTCAACTGTCTGATCCTGAGGTATAGCCAGTTCTCGAATGCGATGTACTCTGCGAGCAGCCACCGAAAGCCTATGGCCCTACCGTTGTCGTACAAATGTCGGCCCGTATGTTTCTCTCTGGGGTATAAAGCGACTATGATGTTTTTGAGGGTGGACATGGCTGACATCAGGATGTAGGGGAAGTCGGTGAAGTGATACGTTAATGATGAGGGCGGTGTTAGGTGGTGTAGTATGTCTCTCAGCACTTTAATCTCCTCTTCTGCAGGACTCTTCGGAGTCTCTGCGTCACCTACGTACTCCCATTCATATGACAGCCACTCAATGAGCGTATACGGAGTGGATAGGAACTCAACACCATTAAACTTCGACTGCCCAGGTTTGGCGAAAGTCCTCATTAGGCTGATACGTCCCAACTTGTCTTTGTACCCTCCGGCATGTTTCTTTGAGTTCGCCCCTATTTTTAGGGCCCGTTCCGATCCCACTACCAACCTGAATAACCTTGTCAAAGCGCAATCCTGCTGCCCGCTTTCGCTTTGAGTTTCGCCTGGCTTCGTGCTGAGCATTTTCACCCACGCTTCGACTTCACTAGTGGTTATCCCTGTGCCAGTCTTAGACATCGCATTGTAGACCTTCATACATTGCTGGATCTCCTCTTGCCACTGCTCCATCTTGTCTAAACTCATGTACTCCATTCTGCGTGTCAGCATTTGCTTGATAAGACTTTTGAGCCTGATGAAGTGAATGTAGTACATGTCCTTCTTTTGTAAGAACGAGTTCGCAACGAAGTTCATCAGGTTGGATCCCACGGATCTTCCGATACCCAATGGCATGGGATTGAATCTAATCGTTCGTCTTCCCGGCGACTTGGTGGACCCCATAAAGAAGTTCTTGGTAGCAAAAAAGCCATCATAAGCAGCCTCACCATTTATGTCGATAGCGCCTATCGTGAAGAAGCCAGGAACGTTCGAACTGGCCCTGACGGCGTCCAGGAGCGCCTCGTTGCTCTCAGCCAAGGTGACATACCTTGGTTCGAATTTACCTTCTTTGCGAACGCCAAAATTGACTTGTACCGGCCCTATCCTTTCGCTCAGTGTCTTGTAAAGCTCTTTCGACGCAAATCCCATTACAAATGGTGAGAACACTTCGTCTAGAGTGCCCACGGTCATGTTTGACATGAGCGCTTCACCGGCCTCTTCGAACAATTCCATGATCTCATACCGGTTCCGATTGTACATTGTGGTGACAATCGACATTACGGATCCCGCGGAGCTACCGGAGATGGGAACCGTCATATTAAGAATGTTCAGCTCCATGAGGTAGTCCACGAATCCCACGAACATGGGGAGCAGGAACCCTCCTGGGGAAAGGGATATGGCAAGGTCTGGCTTGAAAACATTGCGCTGCCGCATCTCGTCCTTTATGACATACTTCGCCATTTCCATAGCGTCTCTCATTGTTGGCGGTGGCGCTCCGTTGTACATGTCATCTATTAAAACGTACCCCATGGTACCATAATCCTGCAGAACGTCATATACAAGTTGTGCTCCTGAGACCGCCCCGCCTGTAAACAGCTGCAAATGCAGGCACGCACTCTTGAGGTATGTGACTGCTGCTTTACTGTCTTCGGCTTCGGCACGTAGGAACCCCTGGATTGCGTCTATGACCGTGGCGAACAAGAGGTTGAAACTTGGGTATGCCGCGGATGGGCATTTTTTTGCCAGAGGCGGCGCCACGTATTTGATCTTGAAATCTGACCCATATGCAAGGTATGAAGCCGCCTTCACCTCCGCTTCTTCTATATCAATGTCGTCCTTACGTGGTACCTTGGCAACGAAAACGGTGGGATCGGGATCCTCATAGTGCTGAGTCAACGCAACAAGTTGCTGCACATGCGCCAAGTTTTCTATCAGCTTATAGTCGTTGATCAATTCTGCGCATGAGATGTTCTCGGTATCCACGCCCTTGTCCGCCAGATATTGCTTGACATCCCTGAAGTTAAGATACTTAACATACTCACATATGTCGTTTTGGGGGTTTAGATCTCCCATATATATGCGCGGTCCTTTGAACTCCTCTACCTTCCCATTGTTTGGTACGTCCTTCCTGCACACATTTTCATCGAAGAATCCTCTTTTTTTCAAATTTGAGAGGCTTGCAGCAACCGGTTTCATAAGCTGCGAATGGTGATCCCAAAATCCGGAGTGGAATCCGACTACGCTGGCCGAGGATAAACCCATCTCGAACCTCCACTGACAAGATAAGTAGCAAAAACCATGCTAGATTAGTTATCTGCATATGCAGGAAATATAATCACAACTGCCACTTTGGGGCGGTATATACTACGTTTTCTTTACACATCATATTATCAAAAATACACTATTATACAGCAGAATATGCCCTGCGCGCCAGACTGTTCGAGACGGCACGAGTGCAAGCAGTCTATATCAGAGGCGTGACTCATGCCTCCTGTAAGAGTCAGAGGTTCGCTTTTGCGAACGCAATCGCCGCGTGTACACCGACGCTCTATATACGCATCGTATTGTGACAACTAGTGCCCGCTTTGGCCCTCGCCATCACGTGGAAGGCTAATCGAGCGGTTGTGGTGTCTTGCATAGGTGTATCGCCGTCATGCACATGAGCCTATGCATTTCATTTAGGGCACACAAAATTATAGGAGATTGACGATGCGACCGTCCTTTACGTGTACCACCCTGGCTTCGAAGGGATTTGGGACATGCGACCGGCGTGTGTAGACAACAAAATACCACGTAGACAGGAATTACAATGCAATCCCATGTGTCATAACCGCCAATGAATGTGAAAAGTGAACTAAAACCGGTATTGTAAGCACAGACGTGCAATCCGCCGGATATCTATGTGACACCTACCTGGCACGCGTGCGAAGCGGCACGGTCGCATTCTTTGAAAAGGTATTTTGATACGTCACTAAACCTTGTAAACTACTCGACTATGCGTGTTACGTTACATCAACCGCATAAAAACGGGCTTATTCGACTAGCGTAGCTACAGCATAACAAGCATCCGTTAAGCGTGGTTTCATTTTTGGACGTCGATTTCTTGTACCGCTTTCAAAAATGCAAAACCCGCCAGGAATCACACCAATCATTTCACGCCATAGATATACTCCAAGCCACCATCTATAACTGCACCCATTAGATACGATAACACGCACAACCCCGCTACAACATCCCTCCACGTCACTATCTGCCGCCGTAGAAGGAGCGCCCCAGGCAAAGATACACAAATGGTCGGTAACGACATTCATCTCACATGTGGCGAATAAAACAACGTGATCGTTCTTTCAATGCATGGCGTTGCATATGCGGGTCTTATCCATCCAATTGTGAATTCCGAAGTATCACCACCCCTGCAACAGCGTGCATATCACCTAAGCTGGGGGTCAAGCGACAATCTATGATGACTAAGTTTGCAGGCACATAATCGAATGAGACAGCGTTGAGTTTATAACAATCTACGGCAGCGACAAGTCAGGTTGTGCTTCATCATCGATCCGCTGTTCCACATAACCATACAGCAGGTACAACACATGCAGTGAGGAAGTGTGACACGACGATAATTGAAAAACTGCGTTCCACTTGAGAGTGAGTGCGTCATCGTCGAAGTAGTCGACGTCGTGGTAGAGCGAGAGCATCCTGCGGCTACCGGCGACCAGTACGTGGGCGTTGCTATATGTGAATCCGTAGCGGTATAGTGTCGGCAGGGTCGCGCCACATTCGACAAGGGACGAGCAGTGGCAGGAGTCCTTGTCGCCGTGCTTACCAGGAGAACAGAGGCACGTGGCGCAGCCGTAGGCCGTGCAATCGATGTTGTTAAGAGCATCTAGCAGGGAGTCCAGCAGATGTCCAAACTGCCATGCCGGGTGCAGTACCCACGCGAGGCAGAGCTGGGCGTGCTTCTGCAAGAAGGTATGGCTTGACTGCAGCTACAATGGCTGCAATAAGGGAGCGCATACGCTGGGTATGCCATGGCGGCTATTATCGCCATGGTCATGCCCGGCGAGTGCCCCGAACAGATTGGTGGGATTGGCACTTCGGCAACTGCCGTGGATCAGTGGGCACAGCGGGAAGAAAATCTGAGTTTCGGGCGTACAGTTCAGCGTCCCAGAGGCGCCATCCTGCGCGCGGCAGTTATATACCTTTTAGGCAAGTGTATCTGATGTTAGTGCTTGGGCGGATAGCTAAGAGAATGTGGAGACTTGTTTATGAGAGGTTATGAGTAATGCCCGGACTGTCCGACATGATGGCGATGGGACGGCGTACGCTTTGTACAACACTAACCGCAACGAATCGTTGAATTTGGAACTTTGACACTCGCTCAAAATTGTTCTATCATATCTACCCTTAGGATTTGAGATTCATGCCATAAATGTACGCAGGTAGTGACTCGCGTGCTGCGTAGTGCATGTAACGTTAATAGGGTAGACACGTCCGCTCTACTGCATCTCGGTTGTCACCGTGTCCCCGAATGACGCCTCTTTGGTGTGTAGACGGGTTTGCGTATTTCGATAAGGCTCGTGGGTGTTAGAAGGCAGCGACAACTGCATAACTCGTATCCTCTGGTATGACAGCCGTATGCACATCGGCTTTTAAACGTAAAAAAATCCAACCATTTATAGTGGCCGATTAACTTAAGTAATCTTCACAAAATGGTGTACACTTCGTTGACTGAGGTACCTCGCAACCTCAAGGAGGGAGTTGACTGGTTGATCGCGCTGAAGGGGACTGATGCTAAAAACAACTTGAAGGCTATGGGCGCCGCGCTTTTCAATTTCCTCGCAGGAACACCTGTGGGGTACACTGAGGTGCCAGCTCTCGAGAATATTAAACTTATTACTAAGGAGTTCATGGAGATACCGGCACTTAAATATCTGTGGCCTGCACGAGCGATGCTAAGGAAATTCAATGATCCTAAGTACAAAGAGTGCGGTGTACTCGCCAGGTGGTTTGCAGATGTCCAGAAAAGTGACTATACTAACGTCGTAGATGCTGGGCATCTTACCGCTGAACCGATGGCAGAGAACTTAGGTAAAGTTGTGGATGGTTGTGAGAGGTTCCTGGAAAGCATCAAAATACCTGACCAATACAAATCTGCTTACAGTCCAGAAGCGACGTGGGAGGCATCATGTGCGAAGGACCCCGAAGCTTGTGCGGTGATTCTCGTAGGGATTGCACCAATGTTGTACACAGGTCTACGTTCTCTGAACGTCGCGAGCGAAGCTGAAAGCTATCGCCGCCAGATATGGCTGCAGTCACCGATTAGTTTGACAGATGTAGTGAAAGCTGTAGGTTACAAAGACCCAGGGTGCCGCGATGACCTGAGTGACTCAGATATTCTCAAGGCGTTGAAAGGTGTGAGTTATCAAACGTTGGTCACGCTCTACGACCTCTCTGGATTCTGGGCTTTCTATGGATTGGATAAGGCAGGAGCCAAAAGAGCTGCAGCAGCTCTCAGCGGTTCCTCTGCCAATGGTCAGAAATAACGGATAGCAGGGGTTGACATTGAGATGGGCTTGTTACATGCCTGGAATGCCAAGGAAGCTAATGAGCCACCAAAAATCGGTAATGCTCTCGGCCCGAATAGCTTTCATGTTCCAGGTGCACCCGCAGTGGCGAATACGGATGCTGATAGCCCAATGTAATAGGTAGCGTCGTGTTTATTAGTGTTGTCTGAGGAGCTATTCTTTCAATATGTTTATCAATCATGTTTTGATGTATACATCTCCTTTGTATCCTGTGGTCAGTGTTTTAGACGTGCCAATGGATATACCTAGCAAGGAACCCAGTAGATAATGTATTAGAGGTATTGTGACGGCATTGTCGTGGAGGGATGTAGATGTTAATGCCGTCATCTAATTAGGAAATGACCGCGTGTAATAGGCCATCCTAGTATCTGAGGAACGCCATCACTATCACCATCGTGGAAATCCGGATTGCCAACCAAGACGATTTAGTGGAGACGAAGACGATAACCACCCCGTGAATGACCGTCGCGCCCAAACAAGGATGAATAACGCCAACAACAGCAGGACATTGAAATCCAAAGAATGCTGGTGAAGTGAGAGGTATACCCTGAACGGGTACAAAAATAGGCCTAGTCCAAACGTAGACGCACAGCACACTATACAAATCTAATAGCAAAACGGAAGCTGATCTAAAATAAATTGTACGCCCGTGATACGAATATCACAACAAACCGATATGATACTTTATTAACGGCGGCAAGTTTATTAGTGACATTGTCTATCACGCATAACGTTTGATAAGTTGCATTGAACGCATCGCATCAGAAGCTCGTTGGTAACCCCATAGATCGCATTAATACCTCATTTTGATCTATTTCCACATTTTCGCTGCCGTCATCCTCCACTTTAAGCTTCGTTGGGGTGCCTTTGGTTTCGTGCTTGAGTTTCTTGTTCATCTTCCTCTTCCGTTTCATTTCGCGCTCTTCAGCCTCGAGCTCCTGAATTCGTTCTTGTAAATCCTTCTGTAGATCTTCTGTGGACAACTTTGGAGCGTTTTCTTGCATGGCCCTTCTCTTCAGCGCCTGAGCAACAGTCTTGGCGTCGACTTTCTCGACGCGCATGGTCATGCCAAGCATCCTGTTGTGTTTGCGTCCGTTGAGGTGGTCCATGTAGGCCTGAGAGTCCTTCAGCAGGCAGTCGCATACCTTGCAGTAGAACCCCCCTTGTTGCGATTTGTGGGTTAGTGCGCTAATTACCCTAACTTTACCCACATCCTTCGTTACATCGACCGTTTCCTTTCGCTGCTTGAGGTTTTCACGCACTTCCGGCACAGTTACTACCGGTTTACGATTTGGATCGGGCAGCAAAGTTGCGATAGATTGTTCCACACCGTCCCCCTGCCCTCCTGTTTTCTTCTCTGCTACCTGGGCATAGTAAGACTTGTCCCAAACCTTCCGCCCCAATGCATCCACATTTGCAGCCGGTTTGCCCTGTGGAGGGGACGCCTTCTCTGATTCCATGTTATACGCGTTGTGAGTGCGAGTGTCGGTGCGCACCGTGTATTAGGTACAAGTCTCTAGGGGCAAACAAAACGGCCGCTCAGCGCCACATTCACACGCTAGCAGATCATTGCACAAATGCGGTGAATACTATGGTAGTAATGCCGTCGTTGCAGAATCGTTCAACAAAAAGTTACGCACGGTCCAGACACGTTGCTCGGTCGGCACCGGTTTCCTTCCACACAGTCACGCCTACGACGGGTGGCAATCACACATCCAATCTACGAAATAATCTCACTAAGGTGGTTCAATGTGTGTGATGTTCCGCCGTCTGTATGTATAATCGTTTGCTCTAATGTAGAGCCCGGGCCCTGCGGAATTCATATAAGACCGGTTATTCTAAACCGCTGTATACGGTTGCCACACGGATGGCAACGTACGAGTTCGTGTAATTTCCCCTTGCCTAATTCCCGATTACCTCGGTTCATTAATATAATTCGGTCTCCCTCTCGCCCCATGCCGTGGCACTGATGGGCTCTGACTAGCGGCGCCTGCCGACGTATTTCAAGTACTTTTGGAGAACTATACTATTGTCGTGAAGTGCGCCTCGCTCCGGAGCCCGAGTTCATGCCCAGCATCCGTATCCAGGTGCCTGTCGGCGCGCTGGGCGCGAATCGTATTTGCTCCGTGCGAACCGCGTTCTCGCTCAACTGAAAACGCCGCGCAATATTTATCACAGCTTGGGTTGCATAAGGAGGCGCTCAGGGCCGTGTGACGGTGTTGGTTGTTCACGTCTGGCCAGATTGGATTTTCTTTCAATCCCATCGGTGAAGCACCAAAGCCGTTCGCCCGCTGAAACCTTTCACATTGTTCACCATTCGGCCTGGATACATTGCAGGCTTTGGTTTCGTTTAATGCCCCAACGGTGACACGCTTGACGCTCGCGATTTAGGTGTTATGCGCACTGCTGAAGATGGCGGGCGGAGGAAGCGCTTTGAACAAGATCTTCCCTGGCTATAAGGACAAGCTGTGGAACAAGATGCCTCTGAAGTGGCGTTTGAACAAGATCAAGCTCTGGAACGCGAAAGCTGTGAGCTCAATGTACGATACATGCGTGACCACCAACACGAAGATTAAAAGTTTCAACAAATATGTTTTGGACCCACTGAAGCCATCGTACCAATACCGCCAGCCCGGCGTGGACTACAAGAAGCAGCGTGCACGCGGCACACTGGTTGAAGGTGTTGATTTTTATTTGCCCACACCACGAGCGCAGCAGCGCCTCGCCAACTTTTTTGAGCCTTACACCGATGACGAGAACGAAGAACGCTCAAAGTACCGTTACCAGAGCCTGAAGACGTACATTTATGTGGCCGTTGGCGCCACTGTATTGCACAACTGGTACCAGAGCCGCCCGATAGCCTGGTGCTCAGATCTGAATCCTCCGAGGGCGCCCTACTATCCCTTTTGGTTCAAGGGCCCCTTCCACGGCCACGACATCGGCAGTGTTCGTCGCGGTTATGAGGTTTATCGTCAGGTTTGCGCTACGTGCCACTCTATGCAATTTATGCGATTCCGTCACCTGGCAAACGAGGTGTACCCGGAACAGCGTGCAAAGGAGATAGCTGAGGAGTACGAGGTAGAGGACGGTCCTAACGACGAAGGGGAGATGTTTACACGTCCAGGTGTTCTTACGGACCCCTTCCCGTCGCCATACCCCAACGCTGAGGCCGCGCGTTACGCTAACGGCGGCGCAATCCCCCCCGATCTATCGTTAATGGCATCTGCACGCAAGACAGGACCGGACTACTTGTTCGCGTTGCTAACTGGCTACTGTGATCCACCAGAGGGCATCGAATTGCGCCAGGGTCTGTATTTCAACAACTATTTCACCGGCGGTTCAATTGCTATGCCGCCTCCCCTGGAGGATGGTATGGTCGACTACGAGGACGGTACGCCCGCTACGGTCTCCCAGATGGCCAAGGACGTTGTCAGCTTCATTACCTGGGCCAGCGACCCGATGCACGACGAGCGCAAGAACATGGGCATGAAGCTGATTTTCGGCGCTACTCTGGGCACCATCGCCATGTCGCTATGGTATCGTTTCTTCTGGGCTTATTTGGCCACCTCCAGGATGGACTTCGGCCGCATAAAGCACATGAAATAAAATCATGCAGCAGACCCCTTTCTAACGTGTGCACGTAGTTGTCACCTTTTGGTGTGTGCGTGTGACCTTGCCTTATTATGCCGCGTCCCCGGCCTTTTCCACAACATTAATTTTGCTCAGTTTAGCATGAGCCATTACACTCGTCCGTGACACTGCGATTCCTGCGACAGGTCCGTGACATCTCTTATTTGGCCGCTTTTCGGGGGCTTGCCCAAGTGACCCCATGGGACAACCATACACCGTGCCCCAATGCGTCTACATCTTGTGTCACCACTTCTCTTTAACGCTTCGATCACACTACTTTTACTCTGTTGCTAACTTCTTTGTCTGCGTCCGGTAGACTTTTTCTAAAGGTGAGTAATGTGCGTCGTGTGTTAACATTGTGTGTTGTCCTGTTGCTTATCATAATTCTCACTGCCGCTCAGCCCTATCTGTCGTCAAAATGGTTGTCAAGGTTGGTATTAACGGTTTTGGCCGTATCGGCCGTCTGGTTCTCCGCGCCTCCCTGTCTTACAGCGCTCTCGAGGTCGTCGCCATCAACGACCCCTTCATGACCTCTGACTACATGGAGTACCTTCTTAAATACGATTCCGTCCACGGCACCATCAACGAGGAGGTGTCCGTCACCGCTGACACTTTGAAGATCGGTTCCCGCACCATCAAGTTGTACTTTGAGCGTGAGCCTTCCAAGATCCCGTGGGGACAGAACGACGTTGACGTCGTTGCCGAGTGCACTGGTGTCTTCACCAGCAGCGAGAAGTCGCAGCAGCACATTGAGGGTGGTGCCAAGTTGGTCATTATTTCGGCTCCCCCCAGCGACTCCACCCCTATCTTCGTGTACGGTGTGAACCACACCAAGTACGAGAAGAGCCAGCGCATTGTGTCAAACGCTAGCTGCACCACCAACTGTTTGGCTCCCTTGGCCAAGGTTGTGCACGACAAGTTCGGCATTGTCGAGGGTCTCATGACCACCGTCCACGCCACCACTGCCAACCAGCTGACCGTCGACGGTGCTTCCCGCGGTGGCAAGGACTGGAGGGCTGGCCGTTGCGCCGGTGCCAACATCATCCCCGCCTCCACTGGTGCCGCCAAGGCTGTTGGCAAGGTCATCCCCGACTTGAACGGCAAGCTCACCGGTATGGCCTTCCGTGTCCCCACCCCCGACGTCAGTGTTGTTGACTTGACCTGCAAGCTTGCCAAGCCCGCAACCTACGACGAGATCGTTGCTGCCGTCAAGGCCGCTTCTGAGGGCGAACTCAAGGGCATCCTCGGATGGACCGACGACCAGCTCGTTTCTCAGGACTTCGTGCACGACAAGAGGTCCAGCATTTTCGACGTGAAGGCTGGTATTGCCCTCAACGACACCTTCGTCAAGCTCGTCTCCTGGTATGACAACGAATGGGGTTTCTCCAACAGGCTTTTGGACCTCGCCCTTTACATCTGCTCCAAGCAATAAGACATCCTTCCTGCACTTCTAAACAGCTTTTCAATGTTCATTAATTCTCTTCAGATACAGTGTGGTAGTGGTTTCTTCGTGCTGTTCTGTACCATTTATAATGGTACTTCAGTGCTTGTGTGGGTCTGTATGCTAGAGTTGCCCACACCCTCTGCCTACCTGGTGATTTCCACCGCAATACTCGGTTATTGGGGTCATTATTGGGCTCAAGTGGCAATTCTAATCGACCAAGAGCTGTAACAGCTTTTGGTCTATGCGCGTACATGCATGCTATGTAAATCGGGGTAGGCAATGGGAGAATACCTGATGGCAGAGGTGTATGAGATGGTAGTTTTCGACTCATCACCTCATTAATCAGACAATTCCTTGAAGCCGAGGGTGGGAAGCCAAGCGAGGTAATATGTGACGGGTGAAACGGCGACAACGATCACACAACACCTGCATATACGGAACTGCTGCCAACCGCAAAATGACTCAACAACAGAGTACACCCAGTTCATTATCTACCAGGTTGCTAAACATATGGTCTAGGTGGTGAATTAGTGGTGGAATGCCAATAACGTGAACTTTGGAAACGTTCCAGCTTTGCCAGTGTGGGAGATCATGGTAGTTGACGTGTTGGGATGATACACGTAATGACAACTGTGATGCCATCCACCGCATGATAACAAATGAGCACGTGATGTGACCATCAGATGGAAACATAACGTTTGACTGCGGGGCCGTCGTCGAAGTAATCGACGTCGTATCGTGAGTTTCTCGTCGTGAGTGAGTAATGCCGTGACATCGATAAGGTGGGACGTCCTGTAGCGCGTGAGGTGCATGGCGTGGGACATGCATGCACACCGCACATCTTCTACAGTGGTATTCGAGGCCTGAGGTACCTTGTACATTGTTGTATAGGTTACTTGACTTACGATTATCTCTTACAGCCTCAGTCCACTCCTCACAACCGCCGTGCGGTATCAATGCAGCGTTCTCCCATCACCTATAGTGCGAGAAGTAAACTTTAAATCCCCATTCTCTTATAATAGCCAGAGAGAAGTACACCGGTATAAACCCGCATAAATGAAACGCCCGCATTAATACAAACACCAGCAAACGCCAAGGTGTTAAACGCTGATAAGATTATCCCCAAAACCTAACACCCGATTTACAGCGTTTCAACTTGAAATTGCCCAGACCCACAAACCGAATACAGAAAACCCATCGTTTTGGCCGACAACCGGCGCTGGTAGAAGCTCTCCTTCAATACCTCGAGTGCCCGTGATATGTGGAGATGTAGAAGTGGTCGATCCAGCACGGACTTGATGAACGCGGCGGGCTCGTGATTTGTCAACGACGCATTCGGCAATTGCGAAGTCACGGACCCGCACTGAACTTCAGTGATGTCGGCGCTCTGCGCTACCTACGAAGTTAAGCGCCTTAAAATGCACATTGGCGTTGGAGCAGGTGCGCTCAGACACCAGCCCTACGACCGTCTTTGCAGCGGTAGCAACTGCTGGAGCCGGCGTGTGGAGAAGGATGTAATTTCCATGCTCCTATTGGTACACAGCAAAGGTTTCTGCTGATCCTCGACTTTATTCTATCAGGTTATTAGAATAGCGAATAATTTTCATTCAGCTAACTACAAATAATTTTCTTGTCGTCCATTAACAATGCCGTACAGGCGGTTGTTTCCCTGCCTTACAAATACGTTTCCCACACAAAATTTAAACATCAATCGCACGAGGCGAAAAGACTGTCAAATAGGCCTGACACCTACACCCGTGCCCTCTCTCAGGAGGGATCTTGTACAAATGCCACAAATTGCCTACGTAAACTTATTCAGAAAAATGCTTTATCCGACTTTCATACCGTCAACAAGTCATATTTGCGGTTCCTACTGGGGGCGTCTGCCCAGGAGCTGTCGTGCTATGCGTTTTAACTTGTCGCTTATGCTCCGGATATATGCCAAACAACGCGCCATAGCAAACAATATTGAGCACTGTTCCTGCCACGATAATTGACATCATTGATTTCCTCAGAGCTTCAGCATTCTTATCCTTAATACTTACCTCCATGGTTTCAAAAGCCTCTCTAGACGGAACGTATCCGAACACCTTCTCCGACAAATAGGCAGCAAGCTGGTAAAAAATTACACTGCTTGCAATGCCGGATATGCAACGAATTATGGCAGACGCTGTACCCTGTAATTTTTGGGGGATTGAATTATTAATAAGTGGTCTGTCTACTGCACCGAGTGTCATCAGAGAAGCCCCAATCAGAGCAAACTCAACATAATGATACCAAAGCAGACGTCCAGGCGGCGCCTTTCCCAGAAAGAAACATAGACATACAACAAGCCTGATCACCATCAGTGCGGTTCCACAGGCGAGATGAATATAATTGTTATCGGTTTCCTTCAATACACGCTTTAAAATCCAACCACCTGCTGCACAGCCTACAGCAGCACCGATCAGCGTGACGGCTACTGCGACTCCAGACATGACGTCAGATACCCCCAAGTACTGCAGGTATAAAACCATATAGGAAAATGCACACAAGGGGGCCTCAGAAATAAACACGGCGAATATTAGAATAATGGGTGTAGCACTCGTGAAAACATTTTTAAATGAGTCTGCGATTTGCTGTATAAAATTTTCGTCGTCCTTAGAAACAACATTCGACTGGGAGTTACTTTCAGCAGCACCAGAATTTGTTTTGGGTGAAATTCGCATTCCAAATATAATCGCTACTCCAACTAGGATCCACACGTATCCCAGGACGATGTAAGACGTACGCCAGCCATAATAGCCCAACATAAGTTTCTGAGCAATTAACGTGGTAACAAAGGCGCAAAGCAAACGCCCAAGACAATTCAACCCCTGCAAGATACCGAAGACAAGGCTGAAACTATCCTCATCTTGGGAATCCGAAACAATTCTTTGCTGCGATGGGTATATGGAAGCGAATGCAAATCCGTGTAAGAAGCGCATGAAGAGGATCTGCATGACTATTAATTGTGCCATCACTGCAACTCACCACTTTGTAGCGTGAAGCCGAACTCAGAAGAATAGATGCCATGCCTACAACTAATAGCCCTGCAGCAAGGACATAGTTCGGGTCGCGTTTGTCCACCAGGATACCCCAAATTAGACAGCACCCCAATTGTGACATAGTCGACATGGTGGCCATGGTTGACAGCTGAGACTGAGAAACACCCAGAGTTATCTCGAAAGCTCTCATACACATGGGTAACATCTGCTGGTCGTAACCTTCCACTAAGGACACGAAGTTGTACAGGGCCCTGCCAAAGCCTTCGCAATCCTTTTCAGCTTTTTTCGATTTTTTATCTCCTGCAGAGCCGGATTCACCCATTGTGAAGAAGGTATATTCCCCGTTCCCATATATATTCCCTATTAATCAACCTGTTAAAATGGTCATTATACACAACGTGCTAACACCGCACTCAAGTGAATCATGCAAGTGATGTCGAATCACTCAACCACACGATACACACGCGGTCCGAAAATAGTGATTTAAATTTTCTTTGGGCTGTGTTTCATGAAATGATCGTCACACCGGCGTATAATTAACTTCACTGTGAATCACTCTCACCGAGAGGGAAGGTGACTAAGCGGCGTCGAACGGTGGTCCCGCAAAACAATGTGCAATACACCGACGTTCAAATGCCGAGTGAATAACAGAAACAGAAAAATCCAATAAGTACCTAGCGCACACGCCGAGGCACATGCGAATTTTGATGCCTTAATGTATGAATGTGTGTACGGCCCTAAGCGGTCGGAGGCATTAGGCGCATAGATCGAAGTCCAGGTCAATATTCCCGAGCTCTGGCCGCCATTTGTGTCACGCGAATGAAATATTAGTGAGGTGGCTGCTGAATAAATCGGAAAAGCAGCACTGACGATTTAGAAGGCAGCAACGTCGCAACAGGGGCAGCCATTGACGTGCCGCTGCCCGAGTTGGCTGGGATGACATGGCACCGACAATGGGCTTCCCGCACAAGGAGTAATCTGTACACAGTCGATTTATGACCGCTTTTTTATCTGTATGCTTCGTGCCGTCGAAAATATGTTTGCCTTTCACGATGATTTTACTGGACGTACAACATATTTCGACAACCTCAATACTTTAACCATCAACACCGTTCATCCTATAGTTCACGCTGCGAATAACTTTGAAATGCTCGCCGAAACAACGCAGGATTATCCTTCCCGTCCACTTTGATATGCCGAACGATAATAAGAAACTGGAGGATTAGATAATGTATTAAATTAAAGAAACATTTAACGGAATCATCTCCAAAGTCCAAAAGCTTTTTTCAGTGAGGTTTCAAGCTGGGAGGGTCCGGCACATTGTGCGACCTGATGACCACGGAACGTCAGTTCCGTGGAAACGTTATAGCACCACTAACATCGCGGTTCTGCACTGCGTCTGATCTTGGTATTTCATCAATAGATGTGCACGTGAATGTAGGTGGTGAGAGTTCAGAAATCTTGTGTACTTCAGTGTCATGCGACAATACTGGCGAGAAGATTCATCAATATATCCCGTGGTCGCCGTATGTCAGCGTGGTAACATCTTGGTTTACGCTTGCCTTACCACTACCTATGGGTATTGTATTCACATGACCAAGAATGTCGGGGGCCTGGGGTACGTAGTCCACTGTTTGCCGGGGTTAATCGTCAATTTAGCCGGGGGGAGATGAGGAAGTCTAATAAGTATGCTCTGTGTATTAATAGCAAACGTGGGTGCTGCCTGATCGTTGACATTTCCATACCCCTTGTAGATCATTTAATTTACTTTACATGGGTGCCAATGTTGTTCTGCCCACATCCGTAGCGACATGGCTCATTCAAGTGTGGAATGAGTTTGGCGAGGTGTCACAGCCTTAAGCCTCTGACCGCCGTAAACCCTCATAGCTTCACCCAGTACACATGGAGCTAGCGCAGCTATGTCAGATACAATGACAACTTAGTATCGACAGCCGACTACCCAAACCGGCATGAGGCGTTCCCGGCGAATCACCGCAGAGCAGCCAAATGGAAACAACGATCGCACCGTTACAACTGGCATGAATCAAACCTATAGTTGTTACTCCTTGTGTGGGAAGACCCATGTGGGCATCTGTGCTATCGCAGCCAACTCGGGCAGCGGCACGTCAATGGCTGCCCCTGTTGCGACGTTGCTGCCTTCTAAATCGTCAGTGCTGCTTTTCCGATTTATTCAGCAGCCACCTCACTAATATTTCATTCGCGTGACACAAATGGCGGCCAGAGCTCGGGAATATTGACCTGGACTTCGATCTATGCGCCTAATGCCTCCGACCGCTTAGGGCCGTACACACATTCATACATTAAGGCATCAAAATTCGCATGTGCCTCGGCGTGTGCGCTAGGTACTTATTGGATTTTTCTGTTTCTGTTATTCACTCGGCATTTGAACGTCGGTGTATTGCACATTGTTTTGCGGGACCACCGTTCGACGCCGCTTAGTCACCTTCCCTCTCGGTGAGAGTGATTCACAGTGAAGTTAATTATACGCCGGTGTGACGATCATTTCATGAAACACAGCCCAAAGAAAATTTAAATCACTATTTTCGGACCGCGTGTGTATCGTGTGGTTGAGTGATTCGACATCACTTGCATGATTCACTTGAGTGCGGTGTTAGCACGTTGTGTATAATGACCATTTTAACAGGTTGATTAATAGGGAATATATATGGGAACGGGGAACACGGCTTCTTTACGATGGGTGGAAGCAGTGTTGATGTAGCTAAAGATGGGAAACAACCTACTAAGAAATATGAAGGCTTTGCCAGGGCCCTGTACAACTTCGTGTCGTTAGTGGAAGGTTACGATCAACAGATGTTATCAATGTGTATGAGGGCTTTCGAGATAACTTTGGGCGTTTCTCAGTCTCAGTTGTCTACCATGGCCACAATGTCGACTATGTCCCAACTGGGATGTTGTTTAATTTGGGGTATTCTGGTAGACAACGGTGAATCGCACCACGTCCTCGGTGCAGGGCTGTTACTCGTAGGCATTGCATCTATTCTTCTAAGCTCAGCTTCATACTACAAACTGGTGAGTTGCGGTTATCACACCGTTGACGCAACTGCAGATTCTCTTTTTGCGCTTCTTACATGGCTTTGCTTTCGCTTCAATATACCCCTCGCAACAAAAGGTTGTGTCGGATTCCCAACCCGAGGGGAATTTCAGCATGGTTTTCGGTATAATGCAGGGCTTAAATTGTCTTGGGCGTTTGCTTTGCGCCTTTGTTACCACGTTAATTGCTCAGAAACTTATGTTGGGCTATTATGGCTGGCGTACGTCTTACATCGTCCTGGGATACGTGTGGATCCTAGTTGGAGTAGCGATTATATTTGGAATGCGAATTTCACCCAAAACAAATTCTGGTGCTGCTGAAAGTAACTCCCAGTCGAATGTTGTTTCTAAGGACGACGAAAATTTTATACAGCAAATCGCAGACTCATTTAAAAATGTTTTCACGAGTGCTACACCCATTATTCTAATATTCGCCGTATTTATCTCGGAGGCCCCATTATGCGCATTTTCCTATATGGTTTTGTACCTGCAATATTTGGGGGTATCTGACGTTATGGCTGGAGTCGCAGTAGCTGTCACACTGATAGGCGCTGCTGTAGGATGTGCAGCTGGCGGTATGATTCTGAAGCAGGATGAAAACTCGAGGGACGATTATCTCCACCTTATATGCGGGACCGCAGTAATGATCATGCGACTTGTCGTGTGTCTATGTTTCTTTCTGGGAAAGGCACCGCCTGGACGTTTGCTTTGGTATCATTATGTTGAGTTTGCTCTGATTGGGGCTTCTCTGATGACACTCGGCGCCGTCGACAGACCACTTATTAACAATTCAATAAGAAAAACGATTCAGGGTACAGCGTCTGCCATAATTCGTTGCATATCCGGCATTGCAAGCAGTGTAATTTTTTACCAGCTTGCTGCCTATTTGTCGGAGAAGGTGTTCGGATACGTTCCGTCTAGAGAGGCTTTTGAAACCATGGAGGTAAGTATTAAGGATAAGAATGCTGAAGCTCTGAGGAAATCAATGATGTCAATTATCGTGGCAGGAACAGTGCTCAATATTGTTTGCTATGGCGCGTTGTTTGGCATATATCCGGAGCATAAGCGACAAGTTAAAACGCATAGCACGACAGCTCCTGGGCAGACGCCCCCAGTAGGAACCGCAAATATGACTTGTTGACGGTATGAAAGTCGGATAAAGCATTTTTCTGAATAAGTTTACGTAGGCAATTTGTGGCATTTGTACAAGATCCCTCCTGAGAGAGGGCACGGGTGTAGGTGTCAGGCCTATTTGACAGTCTTTTCGCCTCGTGCGATTGATGTTTAAATTTTGTGTGGGAAACGTATTTGTAAGGCAGGAAACAACCGCCTGTACGGCATTGTTAATGGACGACAAGAAAATTATTTGTAGTTAGCTGAATGAAAATTATTCGCTATTCTAATAACCTGATAGAATAAAGTCGAGGATCAGCAGAAACCTTTGCTGTGTACCAATAGGAGCATGGAAATTACATCCTTCTCCACACGCCGGCTCCAGCAGTTGCTACCGCTGCAAAGACGGTCGTAGGGCTGGTGTCTGAGCGCACCTGCTCCAACGCCAATGTGCATTTTAAGGCGCTTAACTTCGTAGGTAGCGCAGAGCGCCGACATCACTGAAGTTCAGTGCGGGTCCGTGACTTCGCAATTGCCGAATGCGTCGTTGACAAATCACGAGCCCGCCGCGTTCATCAAGTCCGTGCTGGATCGACCACTTCTACATCTCCACATATCACGGGCACTCGAGGTATTGAAGGAGAGCTTCTACCAGCGCCGGTTGTCGGCCAAAACGATGGGTTTTCTGTATTCGGTTTGTGGGTCTGGGCAATTTCAAGTTGAAACGCTGTAAATCGGGTGTTAGGTTTTGGGGATAATCTTATCAGCGTTTAACACCTTGGCGTTTGCTGGTGTTTGTATTAATGCGGGCGTTTCATTTATGCGGGTTTATACCGGTGTACTTCTCTCTGGCTATTATAAGAGAATGGGGATTTAAAGTTTACTTCTCGCACTATAGGTGATGGGAGAACGCTGCATTGATACCGCACGGCGGTTGTGAGGAGTGGACTGAGGCTGTAAGAGATAATCGTAAGTCAAGTAACCTATACAACAATGTACAAGGTACCTCAGGCCTCGAATACCACTGTAGAAGATGTGCGGTGTGCATGCATGTCCCACGCCATGCACCTCACGCGCTACAGGACGTCCCACCTTATCGATGTCACGGCATTACTCACTCACGACGAGAAACTCACGATACGACGTCGATTACTTCGACGACGGCCCCGCAGTCAAACGTTATGTTTCCATCTGATGGTCACATCACGTGCTCATTTGTTATCATGCGGTGGATGGCATCACAGTTGTCATTACGTGTATCATCCCAACACGTCAACTACCATGATCTCCCACACTGGCAAAGCTGGAACGTTTCCAAAGTTCACGTTATTGGCGTTCCACCACTAATTCACCACCTAGACCATATGTTTAGCAACCTGGTAGATAATGAACTGGGTGTACTCTGTTGTTGAGTCATTTTGCGGTTGGCAGCAGTTCCGTATATGCAGGTGTTGTGTGATCGTTGTCGCCGTTTCACCCGTCACATATTACCTCGCTTGGCTTCCCACCCTCGGCTTCAAAACACTGCGTGGTTCCTTTAGCGGTGATGCCAAGCTTACCACCTCGGACACGTCTACCAACACAACAAATCCACAATGGCATACCATGAAACACTAAGTGCTTCTTTGACGATGTGGTATCTAACGCAGTACCTACAGCCGATCACGGCACGCAGCCTGTCCCTACGCCACCACTCTATGCTCTATACGCAAAACTCAACGAAAAAGAGAATTCCACCACAATATATAGGATTAGGCTATATGTGTTTTCAAGGATTATCTTTGTCCAGCACAATCCACCGAGATTTGGTTCGCTGCTCTGTTTTTTCTGCACCTATGCGCGGACGTTGCGCCGTGGTACCGCTACCAGCATGGGATCTGTAAGGCCATTTCGTTGCTGCATTCATGGGCACAGGAGGTGGCTGTGCGAGAACAGCCGGGCGTGACGGTCTCTGAAATGCGATGTTGTGATTTGGTGATGTATGTTCCCCATTATAGGGATGTTGACTTGTATGCTGCGACAAGTATGGCACCTCTGTCCTTGGCTTTTGTAACCGAACCGCGTATGATGGCATAGGGTTCAACGTAGCGGGTTTGACGCGTGGCAGCGGGGTATTTGCCATCATATTCCGGGCAATTGGTTCGGCAGCCGGAAGGGGCATTGTTCCAGACCGCATTTCGATGAATCGCTTGAGCATGATGTCATTGCTAGCCGTAGGACTTGTGTCCACAACTGGCGCCTGCGTTGGTTTTTCGATAGTCATGAATTTTGACGCAGCCTTATCTTTGCCAGTTCCCTTAACCTGCGCCGGTTTAGGACCATGTTCCGCCGTATGTTGGCGATCATCGTCTAAATTTCGCAGTTGCCGCTGCACCACTGTTTCTCCTTTTGGAATAAGGTTTTCCATAGCCATGGGACTACTTGATACTTGATATGACCCCGGAACTTTTCGTTCTGGAGGGTCATCGGTGGCCTGGACTTTCATCCCACCGAAGATATCAGTTTGTAGCGCACGGGTTGTAGGTTTTTGATGATCGTCCACTGTTGTGTAAACGTATCCTTGTACTGGAGGTAACGGACTATCAGAAAAGTTGGCCTCGGTAGCGTCTGCCACATGTTGTTGGTCCACCGCACCCGACCTTTCTGCAGAACCATCTAGTTTAAACACATTTCCTGAGAAGTCTTGTTGCGCATTTCTTTGATTCCACACCGTAGACATGGTGTCGTGTGGCGTCTGTGCTACCGGTTTTATCGGATCCAACGTTTTCGTCATTCGAACGCTTCCAGAATGTTCTGATGAATCCCTCACCATGCTATCAGTTACCTGTCCAGGCACCTCAACACCCTGATTATATTGCGTTTCAGCAAATGCCGTGTTTGTGTTCCGTTTTACAGTGACAAGCGGGTTGAAAATTTGCGACAGAAAGTTAGTATGTATTTGCAGATCGCCGCCTAATTTAGCCACGTCTGAAAGGACACTCATGGCCGTATTCACTATTAGCTTCCCATGCATCATGTAATTTTCAGCGTGTCCCTGTCCTTCGATTTTGAACATGATGGGAATGCCATTCTCCAAGAATTTGCGTGCCCTTTTGCACCTGGTGAGAAGGTCGTTGGTACCTATATTCATCCAAATCTTCATATCCACCGGTTTTCCAGGGCCGTACTTTTTGCGATTCTTTTTTGGTTGAGGAGCCGCTTTTTCGGCGGTATTCTGTGTGTTGCTTTTCTTCCTGCCCCCTATTGTAGAATTTATGATGTTTTGTATGTTTCGTTTCGCGGCATCACTGGTATACCACTCGTCGTCCTCTACGGATCCCGCATCCTGAGTGACCTTCGAATACTTAGGGATGAGCATTTCCCGTCTGTGTTTCAAGGATGACGTAGGCACCGTAGTTTGCGCCGGCAGTTCTGAGAGCAGTTCTTCAGCTTCCTTGAACACACTGGAGGAGTTTATGTCGCCTAACCTCATGGCGCACATTGGGCGCCTTCTCGGTATTGTAGCGTTCATCCTTCCAAGGTTAGCAACGAATGAATATGAGGCGAGTATGCCGCCACACGCAGCAATAAGCTGCATATTTTCCAACCACTTTACCTTTTGAGCACAATACTGCTATGTGTCAAGGTTTTCAGAGCAGTTGGAAGTTGTTGGGGAGTAACATTTCCGCTTGTTGCTGCAACGAAGGCAACTCCTTCATCCAGTGCGTGTAACTCATTTATGAGAGTCCTCGCGAGAGTTGAGAAACTTTGCCTGTCTTCGTTATCCGGGTCGCTGTATTGAAACAACAATTCAACCTGGTCTATTACCACCAGAGCAGGTCTGTTGTTTCTGGCTTTCTGAAATGTGCTCCTCAAATAGCTCTCTCCGCATCCCACGTACTGGCTGACGATGTTGTAGTATTCCAGCTTGTACGCGGACCGCCTCACTTCACCCAAGCTCCTTTTATCCAATTGTTGATCTTTAGTTCGGTTAAGTGTGTCTTCACTATATACATAACTCCCTTCAGCGTCAGGGCACATTTCATCCTTAGGTTTTTGGCCTGCCGCATATTTACTCTTGGGGGCACCAGGTTCATAATTTGCCGTGTCTCTTAACTGAATGGGCTCGCCTTGCACCCAAGCCCTAAATATTGCGTTGAGCAGAGTTGTTTTGCCTGAACCTTGTTCGCCGCATATGATCGTTATCTTCGAGAGCATGATTTGCCCGCAACTGACGTTGAAGGGTATATCTCGTCGCAAAGCATCATGTTTTACTGTTACGCCATTGTTGTTGCGATGCAACGGGCTGCCTCTCAAGCGGACGTTTGAGATACCACGCCCAGTGATACCCGTGTGCTGCCCTGCCCCAACGACGTTTGAGCAATCGTCAGTTTCTTCGGCGGTTGGTTGCGAAATGGCGAACCCCAACTGTAGATGTCCCAAGTCCTTGATGAATTCCCACTCTTCGTATGTGTGATAGAATAAATCTCCGAAAAATGACTTTGTAGCCGTTGGATTTGCGTATATTGCTATGCATACAAGACGACGCCGATCATTCAACAATCGGCAGCTCAGCGAGTATTTGAGTAAGTAGAGCACCCTGTACACCCACGACAGTTTTGTTTTTGCTATTTTCTCATCAGTTCCTCTCTCAGCAACGACTTCATGCCCCCAACCTCCCGTCAAAGCGTCGTTGCCGTGTCTATTTTGCGATGATGCCTCCCCCTGCGGAAACTTGTTTGCTCTGGAAAATTCCGACGAATCTCGTTCTTCTTCAGCCTCCTTTATCAACATGAACACAGTGTATAGCTTGACGCACCTTTACACGTTTTATTGGCCCCCATACATCAAATTCGTCCAGCAGCAGCACCGCGTGTGTCTTTTGGGACAGCTGCTCTACAAGGTCCTACACAATCGTGTTGTCTTCCGACAAGTAGCTTCTTACCGCGACTAACTGGAGCACGAACTTGGCGGCGTCAGCTAAGGGCACAGTTATATGCGTGGCAAAGCAAGCATACCTTCTGGTGGCAGCTTCCTGAGTGTCTTCAGGCTAATTAGGGTGCATGGCTGCCCGGCTGACACGGCAGCTCGATATAGCTTCTGTGTGAGTATATCTGTATATGGATGAAACTGGGTAATGGTAGAATCGCAAGGCGCCCTTCTTTCCGTGGCGTCAGCTTACCTTCCGCAGATTCCAGAGCAATAAATCCGTCCATCAATGTGCGTTCTGTCGACGCATTAATACAAATGTTTTATCTTTGTGGTCATTAAGCTCGCGCGTGTGTGATTTTTAGACGCGTTTGCCCACCTTCCACGCGGGTGTGTCCGGAAGGCTGCTCGTAACGAGTTGGCGTTAGAGCTAACGTTTTCGCCACCATCGCATCAAATAGCTATTGCGAATAACTCAAAGCTCTATCTCATCAAGATGAGTGCCGCTTTGGGTGCTCCCTGGGTGGAGAAGTATCGCCCGGAGTCGTTTGACGACATCATTTCTCACGAAGACATCATCTCTACCCTGATGGTCTTCACCGAGAAGGGCCAGTTGCCGCACCTCTTATTTCACGGCCCACCAGGTAGGAGTTTTCTCGGTTTGTAGACAATGTGCAGGCACTGGCAAGACGTCTACGATATTGGCAGTGTCACGATTCCTCTACGGATCACACCGCAATTCGTACGTGATGGAACTGAACGCGTCCGACGATAGAGGCATAGAGACAGTTAGGGAGCAAATAAAGACGTTCTCTGAAACATCGAATTCTTTTTCAACCGGTGTCGTGGGTTCGGAATCCGGCCCGCGCACCAACCTCAAGCTGATCATTTTGGACGAAGCTGATCAGATGACGAATGCGGCGCAGAACTCGTTACGCCGCATTATGGAGATATACTCCTCGAACGTACGATTTTGCCTGATTTGCAATTTCATGAACAAGATCATTGCGCCCATTCAGTCACGTTGCACTGGGTTCCGCTTCCCCCCTCTCAAAGCCGAGGTGGTGAAGCGCCGCACGGCTGAAATTGCGAAAAAAGAGGGCTTGCAGGTGTCTGATTGTGCATTGGACACCTTGGCCGAAGTTGGCCAGGGTGACATGCGTCGCGTTCTGAACTGTCTGCAGGTCACTGCCATGTCCCTCGGTTCCACCCCCGGCAAGGTTATAGACAGCGAGGCGGTGCTGGCAACTGCTGGTTTGCCGAAGCTGTCTGAGGTTAATGATCTGCTACAGCGCCTGATGCAGGACCCCTTCAAGGCGTGCGTGGAGCACGTCACCTCCCTGCACCAGGCCCAGGGCTACTCCGTGGAGGATATCGTAATGGCCCTATACCGTGCGATTCTGCGCATCGACTGGCCTAACGTAGTTGTAGTCCAGCTGCTCATTCGTCTGGCAGACATCGAACAGCGCCTATCCGCGGGTGCAAGTCCGTACATCCAAATCGCATCGATTGTTAGCGCATTCACAGAGGCACGCTTCGAAATTGAGCGCCTTAAGTTCGACCTCAACTTTAAATAAGATTATCGGTAATATTTGTCAAATGGCATATAATTAGGCCTAGTTTATTGGCAAAAGCGTTATGTTACGCATGGTTGCTCGCTACTGCTGCATCACGGTGGTTACGCACTACTTTTGCTCGTAGGCTCTTTCTACTTTTTACGCAGATCATAAAGCTTGAGTCGAAGCATTATGCACATCCTCCGTTTCTGTATTCCCCGGAGGATTATCATCTACCAGTTGAGTGTTCCCTCCAGGGAAATCCATCAAGCCATCCATGTCGTCTAGCTGTGTGGTTCTGCCATACGGTGTGGTTGTATTGCCGCCATAATTGACATCGCCGTTGTCAGCCATAACTGCGTCCTCGGTGAAATCAGGGAGATTAGACACATGCGCAGCATCGCTGAGATCGTCGGCACCAAACATATCATAATCATGCACGCCACCGTCCTGCTCAGACATTTCAGGCTCAATCGCATCTTCGGTTTGTTCTTCAAACATATTTTCTACCTGTTCCGTTGCATCCAGCTCGGGGAATTGGTCGTAATCGAAGCCTTCCTCTAGTTCCTCGACATCAGCGGCATCGATATCCGAGTTGTGCTCCTCATCGTGCATGTCGACCGCATCGTCTGCCTCTGCAGCTTGATCCTCGTTTGCGATTGTGTCAGCATCTGCTTCCTGTTTTTGTTCGCGCAGTATTTGCGCTTGTCTTCTCTTCATGAGTTCGTTCACGGCTGCCATCTCCTCGGACATTTCTCGTTCAATTTCCCAGAAAAGACATGATTTCAACGCCTCTAGAATGTCCGCCTCGTACACAGTTGCCCTGAATAATGTGTAGTGATCTATTTCAATGCCCTACCTCTTTTTTGTTTTTGCGATATCTTGGGCGATCGTTGTGATGTACAGGACGAAGAGTGACGCCGCTCGGTTGAAGACGTTGACAGCATCTTTGCTGAACTTTTTGTGTCGAATGGCGGTTTGCTTCTTGCCGCTCTTTCCAGTAGATGCGCCCACCCTGCTGAGCGCGGCCCTATCCAGCAGTCCCTTCTGCAGCGCTGTCTGCACCTGCAACGCTATGCAAGAGTGCTACCATAACCTTACGAGTTTAATAGGGAGTATTTCGAGTTCCCTGGGCTCTATGTTGTCCCCATCCATGGTGAAGGTTCAGAAAATCTGGGAAGTCGCGAAATAAACGTCACATGTGTACCTTGCAGCCTGGTCACAGCTAACAACAGCGTTGCAGATTCAACGACATTTCACTGGTGAAACAGTGCCAACAGCACGTTTTTCTGCCACACCTGAAAGTATTGGATTGCTCCTTAACTTTTGGAAACAGCGCCTTCCGGTGTGTGGGTAACGGCAATTGCCCATACGGCCGTGGAAGGTGGAGGTCGGAGCGTTTTATCGAGGTCGTATACTAATATGGAATTGAGTTACGAACTCCGGTCGTAGCATCTGTGGTCTAGTGGTAGAATGCCTCGTTGCCATCGAGGCGACCCGGGTTCGATTCCCGGCAGATGCACCATTTTTATGCCTCAATTTCATATGGGCCGATTCACGTACACACCTGCCTTTTATATAATGGCTTCACTAAATCTTTATTATGAGATGTAGTTAATGTAAAAACACATCTCAGTAAACGTGACTTGTTTTGTCGGATGCCGGTGTGTTGCCTTCCTCTGATTCTCGGCGCAGCCATTGCGGCATCGGAGCTCAATGAAGACCGGTTGGTTCTTAGGTGTTTTTAATGGGTTATTGTTACGCCGTTTTACCGAATTGTTTTTGAAATTACGCCGCTGTGATGGTTCCTCTGCTGGCCTGAGCACCTCTTCGTGGACAGTTGGTCGCTCTCCGGCATACGGCCGACGATGGTTTTAGCTTGCCAAGCCTGCCCGTGGATTGACGCTTCGTCAGTCTGCGGTAGCAGGTGTACGCTCCTCCGGTGCCTGCAGCGCGGTCTGCGTCGACATCTGTTTAAGCAACGATGGATCGCAACTGCGTGAGCGTCGGCAACTGTCTGTTTCCCAACTTGCGCTGGCGCTGCGATGTGACGTGCACTGCTCTGAGCAAGGATGGAAGCGTCTTGGCATCTGGCACTCGGCAGGGATATGTCGTCTTGTGGAAGGTCCGCAAGCGGCGCCAACCACGACGCCGCTGCCCCCTGTCTATACGGCGGTTCAAGGAGGCGTACGAGAGCACGGCGGATGTGTCGCTGGACCCGTACTTTCTGTTGCTCGCGAGCAACAACCCTATCGCATTCCCCGTGGTGCAGGTGGCGTTTGCCAGCGGTTCGCGCCCGCTGTCGTCGCTCAAGCACTCGCCGCACCGCGTCATCAGCAGTTACTGTGGCGTAGAGAAGGCGGAGGAGGTTTTGGTATCGCTTCACAAGGACAACAGCATCGCCGTATGGTCGTTGACGGACTGCCGTTGCTTGCACAAGGTGAAAGGACCCCCGTTTGCCATTAAGCGGTTGTGCGTGCTGCCTGATGACCGTTTCGTGGCTCTGGTCGGGCGCAGCAAGATAAACGTGATAGACCTGTGGCGCATAAAGTTGATTGGGATGTTGGATTTAAGTGGCACGTGCTACTTCGACAAAGTTATATATTCAAATCGCACGCATGACTCCAATGGTGGTGAGGCGGCATGTAGCTACCTTGCCATGGACACTTCCAACGCCAGCAAGTTCAACATGTCGCCGCGTTCGGCCCATAATCAACCCGTGTACACTAAGCCCACACGCATTCTACGGGCTCAATCCGGACTTGTCCCTGCTGACTCTCCTTTTGCGCTGGATGACGTCACCACTGACCTGCGCCACGGGACGAGCTCCGGCGATCGAGATGACAACGTTACGCTTATATCGCCGATATTGCTCTCTGCGTTGCTGGACAACCACGAACTTGTGGTGTGGGACCTAACGGAGCCAATAATGAATTACAAGCAGAAGTACGGGACGGCCGTAGGGCCCATCGCAGTCGTTACCCGTTGGGACAGGCAAAACGAGCAGTTCATTCAGATTCAAAGACGACAACATCATGGGCATCGAGGAATATTCCCATTACGCGGCCGTCATTCGCCAACAAAGGCGGGATCGTCCAGCAAGAATGGGGTGTCGAAGAATGGTGCTGTAGAGGTTGATGCTGAATTTCCCACGTTGCGCGAGTGGATTCCGGAGCTCAAAGACGCGGAAAGCGACCTGTGTTCAGTCGACCGTTACGTGTTTTTGATGCTGGACGTGCGTATACTGGTTTGGTATTATGACACCGACGGATCGCTGACCCGTGTGGCCGAGTTGTTAAGCCTTGGAACTGACGGAGTATCTATAGAGGCTCCTTGGCGTGGATTTGAATGTGTACGAGTGTCTCATGATCTCACGTTTTTGGTGGCGTGGGTGGGCAGCGGCCGCGTGTCGATTTTCTCCATCCCCGACGTCTACACACCCAACAAACCGTTTCAGTTAGTGGCCAAGCACCAGCTACCTGCGTTCACTACCCGTTCACGTTTGGGTGAGTGTCTCCATGTGCATGTTAATCTGGGTTCGCGTCACCACGATGATTTGGACTTTTCGAAGAACATCAGTTCCTCGCTTCGTTTTCGTCTGATTCGGCGAACATCCGTTGGCGACATTTGCATAGGGATGCCTCACCACAAGTCGTGGTTACGTGTATGCACGACGTCTCTGCTATCGGATTGCTTTTCGGGACATGCTGATGGCGTTGTGAGTTCAGCTCTCTTTCACGACGGCAATTTCCTGCACCGGGTCGACATGTTACGCTGCGGATCTTTGTCCTGCACCAACGTTACGACAGGCGTTAAGCGTGAGCTTGGATCATGTCATTACATAGAGGAATGTATACGACATATGTCTAGCGGATGTCGATTGAGGTCTTTGGCGTTGCCCGGATCTAAGGTCATGGAGTGGTTATCTGGATCGTCGGGAAATAGTTCCTGTTCACCGCAATACACAGGGCGCGTTGTACTGCACTGCCTCGGCTCCAGCTATTTGGTAGTTTGCACCGGAATGTCTTGCATGATGGTGTACTCGCTCTCTTCATTTGAGTTGAGTGCCGTCTTGTGGGACATCCACCGCGCCCCTGTTAATGCCATTCACAGCGTGTTCTCCATTTCGTTCTACGGATCCAAAACAACTGATGCGGTGTTGAACGAGATTGAAGACACGTACGTGAGCGTTGACAGCGATGGATGTCTGGTGCTCGTGCAGCTGCCGTTATTGCTAAGCGATTTGTCGGAGCATAGCCCCCGCCCAAACATAGAAGAGAAGGACATATACTCGGATGCAACCATTTCGGACGATGCTGCGTCACACAGTTCTTCGCGGGAGTCGTTCGAGTATTACGTTTCTTCATCTTCTGAACGCAAGGGCATCCAGCGAATGCAGCGCAGTGTTGAGCTTCTGGAGTTCCCAATTGAGCGTGTTGCATTGAACCGGGAGACGGAGACATTATACGTATTGACGCACCGCAAGATCCTGCTCTGGCGTATAAGTGACGGCCGGTTTTTGCGTTCCCTGCCCTATCTTGCAACATATCGCCAAGCTGTGTGGGTGTCAAGCGATACCACTGCCGCGTTGAACCGGAAGCAGCCAGGCCCTACACTCGCCAGCACTCTGACCTCGTTTTTGACCACCGACTGGCCATCAACCACCTCCACGCCACAGACAGAGGGGCGTCATCGGCTTTATCTTGAGAACCGCCAGCCTCATGATTTGTTGGCTCCATGTATTTTTCAAGAGAAGTGTTTCAAGAAGCGGGTGTCGATGTCGCTGCACATGTCCTTTTTGCGCATGGATTTCTGCGTCTCTCCATCGTCTGATTCGGACATTAGTTACGAAGCTCCAGATGACGAGTATAAAAGGCCAGTCAATGGGCATCAATCAAGAGTTCGCGCCAAGCTGCTTCGTCAGCACAGCCAATCACATCATATCTGCAACTGTTGGAGGGTATGGATTTGCCGTCGACGTGGACACGCCCATTCTGGGTTTCGAACAATCTGCAGCCATTACTGCCGTCCATCTTCGCACGGGGATAATCTTAGGAGTCTGCCTACGATATCGCATTCGGTTCCTATGGTGCTGTTCCCTCTGCAGAAAGTATTGTCACACTTGAATGGCAGCGGCGGTTCGCTACTGCCCAAAATAAAGGATCATGGTGCCGTGTGCTACTTGGGCGTTCCACCCGGCACCTTTTCCATTCCGCTACGTTATCGCAAAATGAAGGCAGATGATTCGCATTCCTTTGTCCACCACAAAATGGCCGTGACGACGTACTTTTCGAACGACTACCTGCACAAGGAGACGCGGTGGCCGAGTATTCGCCGCAGCTTCACCTTCCCATGCATGTTCGACGAGCGCAAGATTGCCTTACCGGTGCCTCGGTTTTCGGCCGGCCAGTGCAACAGATACTATTCGACTTGTATGTACATCAGGGATATGGTTATTGCCTTCCACGCGAAGTCGAAAGCTGGTTCCTACTGGGAGGGTTCGGCGGATGCGTGGCTGCTGCTGCACTTGCTGCTTTTGTGCACCTGCAAGACGGGGTATCCTGTCATTTATAATTCGGTATTGGGCAGTTTGAGGCAGCAGTCGTGCGACGATCTGTACCTTCACGTGTGCCGTGCCTTGTCGGCGCTGCGTTGTTTCCACACCAAGAGTGGATCGCGCGTGCCGTTTCCGGAGATGCGAGTATGTCGTTTCCACGCAACAACCTTCAGCTTCGGCAGGCGCTGTGGCTTCTGTCTGCAGCCTGCGCACTTCGTGGACGTGGGCGGCACCTCAAACTTGGCGCCACCCCCCCCGTGGGAGGAGGATGCGTCGCTGCTCCTTCTGGTGATGATCGCGACGGACAAACGTTTATCCATGCTTTGCAACTACGTGTCGGCCGGTGACAAGATCCAGACGTTCGCGAATTACGTGGCGCAGCTGATGTTCCGACACATGCTGACCACCGATGAGACCCCTAGCCCCAGCGGGGACTACCCGCCTGAAAATCGTATCTTCGATCCTCGCACATACTGCCTCGAGATGTTTGATGGCGGTTTTGCGTCAGTGTGGACACTGAAGTCGTTGGACAACTCACGCATTTTACCGGCGTCATTCGGCAAGAACCGCGTGCACGCTCTGGCGCGGTCGTTGTACCACTCCTCCAACGGCAGGCATTTGTCTTCTGAGCAATTCGTGATGAGCGCGCTGTCACTCTACCGTTCCACCAAGAGCGAGCACTGGCTTTCTATTCTGCGGCGTTGTTACTCTCTGGATACAAGTCAAATGATCCGCATAATACGGTGGATTGTGCGTGAGCGACGTGTGGACAAGTGGTACATAGAGACCACCGTCAAGTTGCTCCTGGAGTTCGTCACCGAAAATCGGGATCGTGTAGTTGAGCATCTGCCCGATGTCGTGGTGATAGTCGTGCGTTGTCTCGACCCGTCGGACAGCAGCGTTCGCATGCTGATGTTGAAATCCGCCACGTCGGCGCTTTTCCAACTGGTGAAAAATTTCCCAATGGCAGCCTTCTACCAAGACACTCAGAGGTTCGCAGTCGGTTCCGTGAGCGGCCACGTGGTGATATACGACCTACGAACTGCAACCAAGTGCCGGATCCTGGGCGGCGACATAAAGGGAGTGGCGTCGCTCGCCTTCAGCTCGACTGGCGACTACATCGCCGCCTACTACATGGATCCGCCGTGTTTGGTGATCTGGAACTGTTCATCGTCCGGTCTTCTGGGCACTCTGCTGCACAGCGGCAAGCGGGACCAAAAGGTGGTCAAGCTCAAACGTGTGGAGCCGAACCCGTCTACTACGGCCATGGTGGGTTTTGTTCATGGGTCTTTGTTACGTGCTAGTGTTTGTGTGACGCTCATAACCGCATTAGTGGCGTTTACATAACTTAAATTGTGCAATCATGGCGTTACCGCAATTCTTATCGAGCTTTCCAAAATGTATGCAGGACATTAAGATACAGTCCAAGTCAAACCGCGAGTGGTTTTTGCATCGTGAGGATGGGCGCGGTTACATGGTGTCCATCTGACCCCGCGAACGTGATACGTCGGTCGCAAGCTTTGAGAAAAACTTGGACATTTTTTTAACGTTGGCGATTTCTTTGTTGACCTTGTTGTACAGTGCGATATAGGTGTCCATCCCTTGTACCCCCAGCTCCTTGGCTTTTTCAGCCACCTGCGCCAGTTTCTGTTGCACAGTCTCGTCCGGAACGTTATCGGTGGCCATTGGGTTTGCAAATCCGCGTGCGATATTTTCGAGCAGTTCGATGGCTTCTTCGTCGAAGGGCAGTTGGCCGTCGCTTTCCTGCTCTCCGGCACCTTGTACCGTCGTAGCATGTCCCGAAGATAGATGCTGTTGTGTGGTTTGCGATTCTTCGTTCTCCATGCCTCCAGCCGTTTGCTCACCACTACCCACGTTTGCGTCAGTATGGTCAGCGGCTGCTAGCTGCTCATTGCGATTATCGTTATCGTCGCCCTTCCCGTCCTCGTCGTCATCCCGGTCCAGGTATTGGCATAGAAGCGATGGCACGTTTTGCCAGAATTGCTCCAGCTTTTGCGACAGCTCCTGCTCTGTCTGCTTGCCCTGCAGGATCAGCTGCATCAGTTCCTGCGCCTTGAGCTTGGGCTTCAGGTGCTGCGGCACCTGGCTGGGATCGAGCTCGTAGTTGACTTCTATTTGTCCGTTTCCGCAGATGCGCGCGTTCTCGATGCACAGGCCGATGTCGTCCTTGTTAGCGGGGTCGGCGCCTTCCTCCAGCATGCGGGGGCTCATGATATTAGCCGCGGCTTCGTAGTCGAACCTGTCCGCGCCTCCTTCCGCAAGTTGATGTGTAAGCTCGCTAAGCACTGCGGAAAGCCACTGTCGGCAGAAGACAGCGGCAATCTTTTGATTTTTGGTTGGCTCCTCCACCCTTGCGGCGGTGCTCCTGGTTGCCGAGTCCAGGTGGCTCGCATCTCTCTTTTGCGATTTGAAGTTGGTCTTCAAGACGATGTCTACCGCTTCGCAGAATGTCTGAGCCACATCGTCCATCACCTCCAGGTCCTCGGTAGACAGCTGGTTGAACGGCCCGGTGATTTGGAGCTCCATGGCGGTATCTTGCCTTTAGAAAGCACAAACTTATCCCTACTTACTTCATTGCGTATATTTTAACTTGAAAGTCGTAGTTATACCGTTATTGCCGCAGTTTAACGGCTACCGCGACGTCCTTCCACTGCCCTGTATGGTCACCCTCCACGCGATCACCTTTTCACTCCGACCGCTGGTTGGCGGAGGTCAAAAATACTATTTTTACCGTTATATTCGAGTGTAGTTGTCCCGTATCCTTATGTCTTAGATTTTCACAATGTAGCCTACACTTTTCTCCTGAAATGAGGTCGCGCAAGAAGGCGTTGAGCCCTTCTAACATCCCCGTGCTCTCCCTCAAGAATTGTCAGGGTTCCCTGCCTCCAGCTTCATGCTCGCAGCGGCTCCACCGTCTGAGTACTGCGCTTGCGGCTCCAATTGTCGATATCGGTAAGTCCACCTCCCCTCTAGCCCATCGACTGGCTGCAGCTCTTGTGAAGCAAATACTATGGCTCGGGGTTCCGGAAGATGCCCCTCTGACCCACCGTGCGGACGCCTGGCGTCTAGTGCTGGTACGATGATAGATTTCGCGGTGTCATGCGTCTCAGGGCTACTTGCCGGTGGTAACAGCGAGCCGCGAACAACAGCTGGAGCGTAAGCGCCGACACTACCAAGACATGTACAAGGTATGACCGATAGGTTTTATACGTTAACTGTGCTTCAGCAACACTGTGACGCTGACGTCATGTGCGAATCTGACCAGAAAACGCTGAAGCAGGTGGGTAGAGATTGTTTTCAAAGCACAGTGTTCAGATTCGGGTTGATCTGCCGCGCACCAACCAGTCAATTCGCCTCTTCAAGGACAAACGCGTCCAGAAGCTGATGGAAAGGGTGCTTTACATTTGGAGTGTGCGCAACCCCGCCAGCGGTTACGTACAGGGCATCAACGACCTGCTAGTCTTATTCGTGGCTGCTCTCAGCCGGCCTTATATGGGATGTTAGTTGCTCAGTGCACGCTATTTGCACACTGTCTCGCAGGCTTTTCGTTGGATACGGAGGCTGTGGACAGGCTGACTGAGAGGGACCTTGAGGAGATCGAGGCCGACAGCTTCTACTGTCTGTCTCGCATTTTATCGCACATGCAGGACAACTACACCGAGAACCAGCCTGGTGTATATAAGTCCCTGAACCGACTAAAGGATTTGATGAAGCGCATCGATGTGAAACTATGTGACCATTTGGAGGCACTGGGCATAGACTTCATGCAGTTCCCATTCCGTTGGATGAATTGCATGATGATCCGCGAGCTGCCGCTGGATTGCGCCATACGCCTGTGGGATACGTACATAGCGGAGATAAACGAAGGCATCGTTGCATTTCACGAGTACGTGTCTGCAGTGTTTCTGAGCGTCTGGTCCGACGAGCTGCTTCATATGGACTATCAGCAATGCCTGCTGTTCCTGCAGCGTCTTCCAACCTTAGATTGGGGCATAGAGGAAGTTGACGCAGTCATTTCTAAGGCGTAAGTTCCCCTTTTTATTTCTACATGGTTTATTAGGTTCGTGTTGCAGTCGGCATTTCACAATTCCCCAAACCATTTGATGTAGTTGATGCTGGTTATGTATCGGACAGGATGTCAATCCTACATTAAAGGTTATTGCCCAGTGACTGCGTGACGGCATTCTTTCCGCCGTTGCGCCTCCAGGCGATAACCAATGGGTTCGCCACTTCACCTGACCGGTTGGTGTGAACCATATGTAATTTAAATATTTACCACCGTTTTATAACGCGTGTTGTTGTTATATGCGGTGCATTCCAGGGACGCCCTGCGCAAGCTACCGCAAACTGGCATATGCCTATGCGTCATCTTATTGTACATGCTACTTCTTTTATGTGCTGCTTGGTGTTGGGTGCGGCCTCGGTTCATGCCCTTCCCTTTTGTAGAAGCGGATCTCCCCCATTACCGGCTTGTCAAGCGTGCTGATGTAGGAGTCCACCAGCCAAGCACCTTGCGTCTCATCGTCTGGGCCCTGCAGGTTCCTCCTTATTGGCAAGTTCCTGATGTATATCCACTTCCCTCCGTCCGCTATGAAGCACACAGTGCGTTTGTAGCGTTCTATTTGTTTTTCTGCGCATTCGTCTTTAGGTGGCAGCGCTAGGTCGAAGACGGCCTCTCCGGCGGCGTGTTCCAAACCCATCTCGTCTCGCCTCGCCGCGTGGGGCGCCAGTTGTACGAACTCTCTCTTAGCGTGTTTAAACTCCGACGGTCTGCTTCCATAAACCTCCAAGATTTTTAGGAGCTCCTCAGGTCGCACCTCGTCAACACTATCGTCCTCGTTTACCCTTTTAATGCGCCACAGTTTTTCGTCTTCATTTGCATCCTCGTACTTTTTGAGGAAATCGAGGTACCGCCTGATGCCGTCGCATATGTTGTTCGACACGACGGGTTTGTATTGCTTGGTGACTCCCAGGGTTACGTGGGTACAGTGGTTCTCCTCAAGCATGACAGCGCCTTCGTCCCAGCAACGAGTGGTCAGATCCTCCATGGTGGTCACCTTGCCGTGTGGGTAGCTGCAGTAGGGGCCGAAAGTACCGTCGGGAGAGGGAAGCGCAACCAGCTCTCTGTGCAGCTGCGCCGTGGCGCACATGAGCACTCCCGGTACGAACACGACGTGCTTCAGCGTGATGGGCACGTATTGGCTAAATTCCCGGCTTGAATGGTTTCCTGACTGGGGTTGGCTCTCCTCCCCAGGCATCGTGAGACCGTAGAAGTGTCGGTATAGCAATGCGACGGAGAACTCGTACGGCGTGAGCGCACAGCGCAACTCGCGTAAGTAAGGGCTCAAATCGTGCATTTCTTGAAACACAGCTTCAGTACGCGGGTCCTCCATTTCCGGTTTCGCATCCCTGGTGGAATAGTAGAAGAGAGTTACGTGGTGTGAGCTTTGCAGCTTTATGGTGGAAACTTCGCACTCATCGGGCTCGTGCTTCTCCGATTCGCCACCATTGCAGGGGCTATTTGGTTGGCTCTTCGCAGCGTGGTTTACGCAGAGTGGAAGCCACTTTTCGATACCCTTGTTTGCCAGGTCGATGATGTCCATCTGGTCCTCATGGCTGACTTCCACAGCGATACCTGAGAATTCTATCGCGCTCATCGCAGGTTTCTTATGTGCAGTGGACGTCAATTCCGGCTGATTTTGAGCTCGATCGGTTTCTTGCCGGAATAGCTCCAGGGCCTCCTTGACCGTCTGTCCCACTGCCCTAGGCGTCTTGAACCCAGTATACCACTCGTACCCGAGTTCATCCATTTCATTAATCAGTTCTTTACACAACTATTATACAATTGTATATCCCTGGGTAGGATTTTTATGATATTCTGATATTCCAGGGTCCGGTGTGTGCCCTTCCACTTATCCGAAGCTATGAGGTTCGGAACTGTGTACGTAACCTTCTACGTCTATGATTGTGTGTCCTTGTACCAATATCACTAGCGTAGCGCGCATCAGGGACGTCGATCGCGTCAAAATAAATCCCTTGGTGCCCTAGGGAAGACAGTTCTCTTTTCGCCTGATTGTCCTTCGTGTCGCCTCGTATGTAACGTATATATTGCTTATAGGCAAAACTGATGCGGCACCAGGGTTAATACACCTTTTCTCGTTCTTTGATAATGCATGAGTGTGTCGCTGTTCTAGACAGCAGCGAGAATCCTGGGGCCATTCAGGCACACATTTGACAGTATTTCGGCATACACATACCCTAAAGAAGTATCATTCTAGCCATGACTGCTCGCTGTATGTTTAATGTATGGTAGGCGGCAGGGTGTGGCTTTCTTGTCACGCGCCGGGGTAGTCGCCGATATTTTTGCCATTAGTCACGTAAATCGGCGCAGCAGTGTTAAGGGAAGATGGAGATGGAGTCAGATGATGCTCAATGTGGCTCAAATGTAGCTGTGCTAGGGCCACAGTCGGATCCTGACTCCGTGCTGTCAACCGCTGCTGGGCTAATTCGTAATTACGACTATTTGGAAGCGCTCTCTCTCCTGCGTGACTTTGAAAAGGTATACACGGATAATGGTGATGCCGAGGCGTTATCGCACATCTCCGGGTTGCAGGCGGAAATTCATGTGCTGTTGGGTGAATACAAGGAAGCCATGCGTTGTCTCCAACGTTCGACATTCAGCCGAACCTCTGCCCTTGCGGCCGCCGGGGTGGCTTTGCACGTAAAGCCGAAGTCAAAGGCAACTGATTTGTCCGCTTCGATTTCTGACATGTTGACAAGGTGCATGTCAAACTGTTCAGACGAGGACCACATTCCCCCGAATACTCACGCTTTACTTCTTGAGTGGTCACGGCGCGCTGGACGTCTCTCGCAACTGCACGACTGGACAGTGCGTGCGAAAAAGCGTGGTGGAGGAATTCGCTTTTTTCGTGATTACCCGTCCTTGGCCCCGTATTTGCGCACGATAGCGTTGTTGCAGTGCGAATGGCTTGTAGACTGCGGAGCTTCACAGGAAGGGATCATTCCGTATGTCACATTGGATCCTCTGAGCTATATGGATCCTGCGTCTGACAGTGGCACGGCACTGATTCGCAGTATTTGCGACGGCGTAGAGTATGCGCTTCACCGTGAGCGGCACTTTGTCTTTTATGCGGGTTCGCTGCCACTATCGCTGATATGTTTAACGCGCCATCTAAAAGAATTAGGTGGCAGCACGCTCGATCGGCTACATAGTAAGAGAAGGGTGAACGTCGTCGACGGTGATGGTGCAAGTCGGAATACGGAATCTCCGGAGGAGCGGGTGTTCGTTAAAACAAAGGCGGCCGAGAGGCCTACGAAATTTATGCGCCTCACTCCGACAAGCTATGAATCACGGCCACGTAGAAGGCGGATTGTAGGCTCACGGAGAGGAAGCGCCTGGCCTTGTAGACGCAAGCAGCGCATGTCACTGGAGCGCACGGGTCGTTATCCACGCCATTTGATGCCGTCACGCGGCATGGAGAAGCGTGTGTCACATATTATATCGGAACGGTTACGCATGCACTCACATTGGTCGTTCTTCGAGCTGGGGATGTTGTTTTTCGAGGTGCTGTCACGGTATCATCACCTATTGGCGAGGAACCGAGAGATGTACACGTTATATTTGTGCCTCCTGTTGCATTACATTAGGAGAGGCCTTTCGTGGCGATACCAGTCGCAGTCAATGTCAAATGGATGCCTTTTTACGCCCTCGCCTCCGGTGGATGCTTGGCTGCTGAATGACCATGACCCCATCTGCGTGCGCTTCCGCCAAACACTGAGGCTTTGCGGCCCCAGCGTGCTCTGCCTTATCGCGGATGTGATACGGTGCCCAAGTGCCGCATTGGCGGACTTAAGCGATGGTCTTCCCGTTGGCAGCCCTGCGGAGCTGCTGAACGCGGCCTTCGGGCATTTGAGCTCGCTGCTGCTGTTGCTTGCGAGCCCCAGTGGAGCGCAAACGGACCTTGGAGACGTAGTTCTGAGGGCGCGCGTGTTGTTCGTCATGGCTAAGCGCCTGATACGTGAGCATCTTCCGCGTCGAGGTGCGGTGTTGGGGCCTCGCTGCCGAAGTGCCTTGCGGGCACTTAGTGACACGGAGATATGCCTGAAAGCGTTACATGCCTCCGCACAAGCGCAGAGTTACGTTGGCATGAGAAGCAATGTACATCTGCTGTTGTGCCTGCGTCACCGAGGTCGCAAAGTGAACTTCCACAATTCGCTGACGCATGGCAGTTTCGACCTTGGCGCCGCTGCCGTGGACCGCCGGTGGTTAAGTGTCTTGCGTACGCTTCAAGGCTATAGCATGCACGCTTAGTTGCGTATCAGAGGCGATTTCGGAGTCGGATGTGTGCAGGTGTTGTTAGGGCAGCGTCCGTCCCTCGCCTTGGCGGCAATGTGACCTATATCTAATATCGCATCGGTATATACGTGCACTGATAACAAAAGTTTTGTTTTGTTATTTTGTTAATATTTGTTTGGGCGCTCCATTCCTTGTTAACGTTTGATGTCTGGTGACACATAAGCTGCAACGTCGCGTTTTGCGGCGGCAACAACCGGGATTCCATATCGAAATGCAGTTAAATCGATATTTCGTGTGTGTTTTAAGCTCCTAAATCCCCTTGGTGCTGCCGGGTAAGACATGTGTAGGCTTCTGTCAGAGGAAGATGCCTCGGCTCTGTAGTCTGAGCACATCCTTCCTCGCGACAGGGATTTCGTATTACGATGCTCCAATGTAGCCGCTTTTTGCGTCTTTGTTCGATTCTACGCGGCCATTGCCGCGTAGCGAGGCGCAGCTTCGTTGGCATTGACCGACCTGTTCCGGAAGACTTTGGCCATGAGGCAGCAGTTGTTGGCACCGAGCCCAGTGCCTCCTTCGGCGCTCTGCAGGTCCCCGAAGCCAACTTGGCGTCGTCTCTGGATTCTTGCTCGAGTTGTGAGGACGTCTGCAGCGTATTCAAGGAGCGACGACCGCGCCTGAAACCGGCAGAACTTATATTACTGCTGTCCCGCGTTGTACAGTTAGGCTGCCGCCAGCGCCGCGATGCTGATCAGGCGCTTTGTGAACTTTGGCCGCGCACAGACTTCTGTCTGGTGGCGTTATGCTGTCTGCATGGGCGACATGACGTCATGCACCTTCCGAGCGGCGTGGGTGACATGTACACCGACGTGATTTCGCGCATCGACTGCTTCTCACCAACGGAGCTGCTATACTTAGTACGCATGGGCGCGTACATCCGGGGGTATCATAATCGCATATTACGTTCCCACTGCGAACGTATCCTTTCTACATCGGCGTGGCGTCTGGACTACACGGATCTGTGCCGCACCGCAACAGTGCTGGCGTGCTCTAGTGACAGTGTGCCATTTGCTAAGCTTATTGGCCATGTCTGTGTGAGCAGGCTTTTGGAGCTTCCACAATGTCAGCGCATGATGGTGTTCGGTGCCCTGGCTGCTGCGAAGCACGGTTCCACCCTGTTTCTGCAAAGTTGCGTACGCCACGCATTGAACAGGAACGTATTCACAGGCACCGACGCAATCAAGGCGCTTGTATGTTACGCACGCAAACCTTCCGCATGTTCGCCGGCTGTATTTGAGAATCTGCTTCGTCGTTGCGTGGATCTGGACCTGTCGTGCCTCGAGCCGCTTGAGCTTTGCGACCTGCTGTGGGTGACGTGCAAGTACTCCGACATGAGTCGAGAGATGTTTCAACGTTGTGAGCCTCTGCTGCTACAGCACTGCGCTACTTTGCCTGGCCGGAATGTATCGATGCTTTTGTGGGCTTTGGCGGATTCCGGGTTTGAGTCCCCCGCATTGCTGTCGGCTCTGGAGTCAGCTGCCACCGCATCAGCCGCTTCAATGTCTCCCGCTAATGTGGCGTTGTGCGTCAACAGCTTGTCCCAATTAAAGGGCGCAGGCGAGGCATCTGACTTCCACGTCAAGATTGAGGAAGAGGTGATCGCCAACATTATGCACTTCAACGGCCTGGACCTCGCGATGCTTGCCGAGGGCTATGCTCGTCTTGGTCTGGGTTCTGCAACGTTGCATCAGTGCATCCAGGAATCTGCCCTCCGTTATGCGGACGATTTGCCCGCAGATTGTTTGTCGAAGCTGCTGTGGTCCTATGGCCACCTGGTTGGGAGGGAGTCGTTTTTTGCTGGCTTGCAGTTCTCTCTGCTGCAACGCGTGAACCAGTTTAGCGCGCATGAGTTGTGTCGTGCCCTGTGGTCGTACGCGGTGCAGCGTTTCTTCGACGTGGCCTTTTGGAACAGCTGCCTCACCTTACTCGACGTCAACCAGGTGCGGGGAAATCGTCGGTGTTCGCTGCTTTATCCCGCTCTCGCAGATCTCGTTGCAGGTACGCTTTACTGGTTGTGTTAGATCTCCAGCATGACGTGGCTAATGAACATTGCGTGTTCATATTGTCTGACACTCATCTTGTGCCAATTATGTAACGCGTAGTTTTTGTTCTAAAACTTAATGTCCCACGAGTTGCCCTTTTAGAGCCAAATATAATTCTTTGCAGTGCGTAAGGAGCTGTTGACTGCTGACGTGCTCCGTTTGATCAACCTTACCAAGGGCATGTTCATGAACGATGAATTGGCGTCCTACTGTGCCGACACTGGCGAACGCCTGGCGCGCGCACTTGGTTCACTGAACATTACCGCGTCTACTGGCGATGTGTTTGAAGGTTTCTTGTTGGACGCCTCCTTCGAGCATCAGGGCGTCCGGCACGCCGTGCTGGTGTATACACGTGCGAACACGGTGGATTCCGGTTCTCGACCCTCCGGCGGCATGATCCTGAAGGCGCGTTACCTGCGGCGCCATGGCATCAAAGTGCTCCACGTGTTGCGTGACGCTTTCATGGCAATGGACGAGAACCAGTGCGCCGCCCTTCTGTCCCGCCAATTATCGTGACGGTCTGTGCGCACAAACGGGATTCTTTGGCCGCGTGGCAACATGTGCAGCTAATATGGCATGGTTGTATATTTATATTCCGTCTGTCTGGAGCGGTGGTCAGTAAAGTGTTGTGTCGGTGCTGCGGTGATCAGCAAACGGTTTCGTGTTTTCGGGGTGCACTACTACTACTGTGTTTGTATGCTGGACATTGAATACCGGCGTGTTGTGGCATCCTGCTACCTTTGCAGTCACCATAGTATGTTTACACGTGAGTTCAAATCACTATCCGGACAGCGTTGCGACTGTAATCTACGCAACACAGCTCGGCGAAGCTGCGTTTTGTTTTGGCTTCGATGCAGAGCACATCGGTGCCTATTTTAAGCGCGATGGGGACGCCCCTCTCCACGCGTATTTCGTACTCGTCCGCCATTTGTATCAGAGTGCCGAATTTGCTGTCTTTATCTTCGATGACGAAGTGCCCCTCTCGGTAGTGCATCGTTGCATGGCACCGTGAGACGGATATGTCTGGCAACACAACGTCCGAAGAGCCGTTCCTCCCAATGCTTACGGGCGCCGCCGCTAGGCTTGCTACATGTAGTCCCGTGTTGCTCGCGTTTTCTGGCTCCAGGATGGCGTATGGAGGCACGGGTTCCTCAATCCCGAGGAACTCCGTCCATACGCTATCGACATCAACATAGGATGGGTACGGTACTCCGCACAGTTCGCACTTCAAATTCTTGAGGAAGAAGGCGAGCTGCGGTTTCCCCATCTCGTCCTTTACGTTGAGCCGCCCTTGTACCCAGGTGCGCACGCACGCGAGGTGCACGTATTTCATAGAGCCATTGCACTTGCAGGGCACTACCAGTGTGCCCGATTCCTCTCCCTCCAGACATATGCGGCACATGTTTTGATCCGTTTCACGTATTATCTCAATAGGCGCATCCTTCGAGACTGGTGACATGGTGTCTGACCGCTGCGTGTTCATGGCTGAATCGTGCCCGATCACAGTCGAGACGTTCGATATTGTACGATGTAGAGCCTCCACGATAAGATCGGTCACTGGCGCACGTTCTACCGCATTTACTGGCGTTGAAGTCTCGTTCGCAATCTCCACGTCGGAGTCGGGCTGCCTGGCCTCCGTGGCAGTCTGCGTCATGAAGTTATGGATGTATGAAAGCGAATTTGCAGGCTTGCGCGCAAGGTGGCGCACGATCAGAGTTGCCCTTCCGAGCTTTATCCTGTCCCCTTCCTTTAATGCATGAGCTACGCGCCTGTTTGCCGCCTTGCAACCAAATGCCTTGCGATATAGGTGCGAGTTGATGATCCTGTGACACGTGCCTGTATGCGCCTGATCGTTTACGATGTCCGGTTTGCAGATGAAGCAGCCCTTATCCCTCCACACGACCTTAGCGAGCACTAGGGCGAGTGGGTAGGTTTTAAGGTATTCCGCAACCTTATCGAGTTCTGCGATAGCATGTATTTTCTGCCCGTTTTGAACGATGTGGAACCCATACGGCCGACAATCTCCATCATCAGATGTGGCTGCACCGTTGGCTTCGTGCGGCGGAGGCTTGAGGGTGATGGCATCCTCTGCGACGGCGTTTTTTTCGAAGTCCAGCAGTTCGGCCGTTTCCGGCTGGTACATGAGAATCCGGGCGCAAATGTTGGTCAATTGGTTCTTTGAGTGGGTTCTGATTCGCTCCATGGCGTCACTGTAGTACTCTGGCCCAGTCTATCTGACCGCCACTCCGTCTACTGATGTCTATATAGAGAGTTGGCTGTGCATGAACAGCTCCGATTATCTGAGTTTTAAATCGACGAACGTGTCAGTACCGCGCCCTTGCGTTAAAGGCATTCTGTTCGCATAGGTATGTCAGTACATTGTTTCTGCTGGCTCGAGCGCTCAGCAATGCGCACACCGGCAGTGTACTTCCCGGGCCGCGCTTACGCCATATCGGCCCTGCAGACAGTACCTCGCATTTTCGATTTTTTACAGTGCAGTGTTTACGAATCGTGAACGCTAGCAACGCCATCCCCCAATAGTGTCTCGATCACGACAGCGTACCCCGGCCGTGTTACGAGATCCACACCTGGATGCCGGCGCGGTTCGCTCCGCGTCTCGTTAGCGCGGCGCGCAACAGTATATACATCGCATTGATAGTGATGATGCTGTTTTCTGGAGTCACTGTGACGCCATTTGCAGAGGTCTCTGGGACGTTGAGCGGTCGGCCGACGTCACGTTCCCGCGCCGCTCCCAGACACTTTGTAACAAAGTGTATCCCCCGCCTACACACATTGCACATCATTCCGTGTGCTGTCTGGTTATGATTTGCCTAGGAATCACAACGGTGTTCCCCTTCGTTAGACCGGCGCTGGCCTGAGGTCACACCCTTCTACATTTACTATCAGGCAGAGGTGCGTCGAAACCAAGTCACTATAAAATCTAGTGCACTGTGTAGCCCGTGAAGGTGTTTTGATGCCATTTAGCACGTCTGCTGGCCTTGCCCCCATGGTATTTTCTTGGCCTCACTGGGAGGGCCCATCTGTCCCCGCACTTTCGGCAGAAGCCCTTAAAGGCGGCGAGTGGTAACATAATAGCCTAATTATATCGACATTTTAAATTTGAATATTTCTGGGATCCGTCTATCCCCCGAGTTGCCGCGGAATCCAGGGCGGCTGCGTTGCCCCTGTCGCTTGTGATCGTTCGGGAGGCTTCTGATCGCGCCATATTATTTTACTGAATCGCAAGGGAAAATGTCAATAGGCACGCCTGTGAAGCTGCTCTACGAAGGCATTGGCCACATCGTGACTGCCGAGATGCAGAACTCGCAGCTCTACCGTGGCACTCTGGTTGGTTGCTCTGTCGTTTGTTACATTGTTATCAGATCAATGTGGAGGATAACATGAACTGCCTGCTCGAAGGTGTGACCATGGTAATGAAGGACGGGAAGACATTGGCCCTGGAGCAGGTGTTCCTGCGCGGCGGCCAGATCCGCTTCATGATTTTCCCAGATATGCTGCGCCATGCGCCAATGTTCAAACAGAGCGCCAAGGACCGCAATAAACAGGCTGTGCTGCCCCCGCCAGTACCTCCGCAGTTCGCAAATCGCCGCCGCTGATAAGGTTGAAGGTGACGTTCGGAACATATCAGTGTAACGTGGCGTACGTCGCCGCTATCGCAGTTAGTAGTGTGGTTCTAGGTTTTAATAAGGTACTCGTGGAACGCGCGATAATGCTCTGCCATGATTCGCGTACTGACGGAACTGAATCAGATACAATGCACTAAATATTAGAAAGATTTAATGTGTCTGCACTTTTTTACATGTGTACCAGTTGTTTGTGGGCAGATTAATCGTTAATCGGCGCCCCAGACCTTCCATATAAGTCCCGACTCTCTGCGTTCTCGAGGTGATATTTCAATGTGCAGTTGCAGCCATATAGGCTCACTGTGTAGCATGCCTCTATCACACATTGTACCAAATAAGCATGTTTAGTATGTAGTTTGATTCAGCGGATTCCATTCCACCTAATTACGTTACACATTTTGTACTGGACTCCACCGTCCTACGAGCGTTCCCTCCGTGCATTTGGGCTAGGGCATCCTTCTCTTCTATGTGGATTATGTTGGTTATTCTGTAACGCATGAATCAGCTGGAAGATTGGCACGTACTTCGTGAGACTGTTAGTTTTTGTCGAGGGTGTATGTCTGACACAATGCTTGCCTGGCAGTTCGGCCTGCTTTGAACTCGCCCAGCGGAAGTATGGAAGGCAACTATGTACCAGCTTGGTTGCCTGCCGGCTTCAAGGTGGATGAGGACCGTCCTCGGTGTCGCATATCGCCTATAGCCCATGAATGGTTGCGCCGCATCGAGGACCCTGTATGCAAGTGCCGTTGCTGCGCTCTTACCGTCGATACTGCTAGTAGCAACTCGGACGGTAACCTGCCACGCACCGAAGACGCTACAACGTCAAATCAATCCACAAAGCCTCGTATGCATGACTGGGTTGATGTCTGCGGAATCGGCACGATCGTTTCATCGCGGCACTCTGGAGGTGATGCGAAGGCTGGTGATGGCATTCCTTCCACATCCACCTCTATGGTCAACAGATACGGCGCGTTAGGCAAGGCAGTGGCAGGGAAGGTGGCCGATGGACCCGGGACACCATGCACAAGTACACCCGGTGCCGTGAGCTTGTTGCCAGGGGAGGCCGACGCTTCGTATCATTGCGCTTTGCGATGGTTGGGAAGCACACTTGCGCATTTGGATGCTCTGGAACGTCTGAGCTTTGGCCAAGAGTTCCGGTGCAGGCAACTGTACCTCCTGAGTAATATGGGTGTCGGCAAAGCCGGCGACGATGCCAAGGTTGTTGGTGATACTGGTGGCCAAAACAGCCCCAATAATATCCATTCTTCGATAGCCACGCTTCTGCGGCAGTGGATTGCCTTCGACAACAACTTCCGCCAGGTTTATGGTGACATTTGTCGTGCTTACAACCGTTTGGTGCGCATGGAGGTCCAGCTGAACCTTTTGCGGACCAACTCACTGTTGATGCTTGAGGAGGATTCTGAGCATCTCAGCGCCTCTCGCCAAAGCATGGTTGCCCATAACGATTACGCTGTGGATTCCGAGCGTTACGGCAAGCTGGTGTCCATATGGTCGTCCAAGCTGGTTGCACTGCGTGACCGCAACTTATCTGAGTTCCGCCATTACGTGGTGTCTGCAGTTGCAGATCTGCAATCGTTACCTGTTCCACGGGCGTTGGTTTTTGTGGAGGAGTGTGAGTCGGAGCGCAGCCTGGTGATGTCGTCAGGCGAGGACACGAATGCGCAGCAACAGGCCACATCCAAAGACTCCGCATCCTTCAAGGCAGGGGGAACCAGTGGAAGCCATACTGATTTTTCGAATGGCACTTACGGCTCCACAAGCAAGGGCTTTTCATCTGGTGATCATGGCGGTCTCTCGCCGTACGGTTCGTTCCGGACCACTTCAGTCGACGGTGTTCTCGAGTGCACGCTCGATGTGGCTGATGAGGACGCCGAGTGCTTCGAAGACGAATGTCCTGCGGACTACACCGAGCTGTTTGCTGAAGCAGTTGACGTTGTGACCGACTACTGCCAGAGCCGTGGCATTAGCGAGGAGAGTTCTTTGGATTATGTGAGCCGGGTAAGTGACCTGAGCAACCGTTTACTCCCCCGGGTTGTGAGGGCTGCAGCTAGCACGCCTATTCACAGCGACGATTATCTGGATGCGTCGGTGCACTGCTTACGTGACCCACCCGCCACTTGTGATACGCAGGGTGCCTCAGCATCTATCGACTCTTCGACAGGCGCTGCAGTCCGTTTGGTTAAGCGCGATGCTGGCAACAGTCGTCACCACCACCAAGCTTCCACGGCTCGAATCGCATCTGATATTTCATCTGTGAATTCGTTGTCGTCGCGTAGCGCCCGCAGCTCGTATGACGATGGGTTGCCTGCGTGGGCTTCGAAAAATCGCTACGTTGCAATGCTGCTTCGTACCAACCTGACGGTTGTTGACGCTCTGAGGTGCCTGCCAACCGCCGCAGGTGGCTGTCGCAAGCTGGTTTGTTTTACTAATGGCTCTTTGCGTGATCTGTTTTTGAACCAGCCTGGTGCTAAGGAGAGCGTAGACCTGCGCTCGCTTCTAGCTTCCCACGCAGACGGTACCTTCATGGGGGATCATGGTTTGAGGGATGATGTTAAGGCCACTGCGAAACTCCGCAGTGGGCCTGAGACGGTGCTGCGAGCTTTGTTGACGGAGGATTTGGCCAGTGACGAAATTGACAAAATCATTCATACGTGGTTCCCTACGCTATCGTATTCTCCGTATAGGTCTGTTCCTGAGTCTGGAGGTGGGATTAATTGGCGATCGATTCGTGACGCATTGGCGCCTCTGGATAATGATGATGCGTCGGATGATCGAGGGGATGCGGACTATCTGCACAGCGCTGTGTGGCGGCACCGGTTGTCAACGTTCAACGCATTGACGGGTCTCCACGTGTCCCGCCTGCTTACTGACCGCACATTGGTGGAGCCTCGGGTAAAGTATGACTCTGGTGGATATGCCGCTACTTGGGACTTTCTGCCGCTGCGTTCCACATGCGATTTCCGCAATCACATCCCGATAAAGTACACGATGCGGTCTGATAACAACCATGGGGGCAATAACTACGGTTGGATGCAATCGTTATTTGGCGGTGACGGGGCAGCAGCCGCCGTTGCCGATGGAGGTCTCCATCCCAATGTCAGCTCTCGTTCTGGCAGTGCTGCTGACATGTTGCCTATCGCATGCACCGGGAACCCAGTGAATGCGGTGGTCATACCGATTCACCGCGGGCCAATCGAGCTTAGTGATGCTTACCGCACCATGGGTGAGATGTGTGATTGCCTGACCGACTACGTGTTTCCTCCGCTCTACGAGCAGCACCGTTTTGCCTGTGTTGACATGAAATACGGCTCGCAGCCACGGGGTGCGGAGCGTCATGGTCATTGTGACGGTTCACCCCGCGATGACGATGGTGATATGGACTGCGTCGGCATGTGTTGCGAGCTGGGCGCAAAAGGTTGTGTAGACATGGGCAGCAGGAGTTGTCAGGATGCTAAATGCCGAATTTGCCGCGTTGGTAATCACCGGGGCGCATCTGAACGTTGCAGCAAGGCGGATACTGCAGACAAGAGCAAGGCCAGTCACGGACACTGTTGCAGTTCCGCTGCGACCGCAGAGATCGACACCTCCCGCTTGGGCAACGTGTTCGTCTCCCGCCACAGCAACCTGTGCTTAGGCAGCCAGTGGTCAAGCCACCTGGATCGCGGGTCCGTGTCGCTCGTTTTTTACATCGTGTGCTGCGAGGGTGCAGACGCTACCTCTCAGCCCCTGCTTGACCCCGGAAGCCACGAGAGCATCCTCAACCAGGCGGAACGCATGCGCCCGGTGCTGTCAGGGCTGGACCGCATCCTGAACCTGTGCACGCGCTGGAAGGTCGCCACACTGTCGCTTCCGGCAGCGCTGAGTTGCTGTTTCCGCGTGGACGGTGGCTCGTGCGGTACCGACTCCGGAGCCAGTGAAGCGTATATACGCTGTTTGGCCACGGCCACCCACCTTACCGCGGGGATGTGTCGCCGCGCATACCCGGTGGCGGTCAACTTGGTGTTCCCTGAGGCTCTGCGCGGTTCAGGTGTTGAGAAGGCTGCATCTAGTATATTTTCTAGTCGTCTGGGGATATTTTAATCGCTCAATGTTGAATGTACTCTGTCTATTGTTCCGTCGTGCGTGAGTTCGTGTGCTTTACGCGTCCGCCACCCAAGGCGACTGCAGAGCCTTCTTGGGTTACTTTTTGCGCTCGTATGAAATATAGTTTGCCATGTAGTCATGAGCGCGCTTGAGCTCTTTCGTCTTTTGGGCGAAGACCTAAACCGTCCGCCCAGTCCGCCGCGGGATGCGCTCAAGCGGCGCCGAGTTTCTCAGGCTCCCCGGGCGACCCGGTATTGGCCAGGAAAGGTAATGAATTTATGCCATATCCTGCCATCAATGTCCTTAGGCACCTGATTATGCCGCTGATCTACCAGCATCAAGCGACGATGACTCCGACGCAGCACCGGAGGTGGCTCAGGCGGCTTTAGAGAATGACCGCCGTTATTCGCGCTACGCGACGGCATCTGGTAGGCGTGACGGTTTGCATTTTGTTGTATTTGGCTGCAGAATCCGGCGAGGTTGCTGCCCGTTCTGGTCGTCGCCGGGCGCCCGCTGCAACAATCGTAATAGACCGCGAACCTGAGCATGATGCGGTACGTAAGCACGTCATTTGTCATATAAATTCTGTCAGGATATTCCAGAGCCGCAGCCATCCTCGCCATCGCTTGCGCATGCCACTGGCGACGACGGCGATGTCGTTAACACGCCAGTGGTCGTGGAGGCTCCTCGTAATCGTGCCGCCATCCGTTCGCGAGCGATGGCGTACCGTAGAGAGGAGGAGGCAGTCGTCGGTGATCGCGAGGATGTTATGACACCATTAGATGGTGAAGAGGAGTACTCGGAATCTGACGATGATAGCGATGGCTCCGAACACATAAGCCCTCAAGAATCGAAAGATCATTCCGGCATACTCGCTAAACCGGTATTCGTGCCGAAGAATCGGCGTTTGACAGTTCTAGAGAAGCAAGAGCTCGAGAGGGAGGAGCAACGGCGTTTGGAGTGCGAACGTCAGCGCGCCATCGAGCGTCAGAAGCAGAGCAAAGAGCTGCTCGTTCAAACACTGGTGGCTTCAGAAACGCAGCAGGAGGTGGAGAACGATGTGGAAATGGTAGACGACACTGACGAGTTGACTGAGAAGGAATATGAGCTCTGGAAGATTCGCGAGCTGAAGCGTGTGCTACGCGACCGTGATGAGCGAACTGCTCATGAGCGCCTGGTTAGTTTAGCGCGCTATATGTCGTCATTTCACTATTTGCAGATGGAGGAAGTAGAGCGTCGTCGTAACATGACCGAGGAGGAACGACTGGCGGACGACGAACGTATCGACCGGGAGAAGGTGCCACGTGCTCCGCGGGGCAAAATGTTATTCCTGCAGAAGTACTACCACAAGGGTGCATTCTTCATGGACAAGCTTGAAGACGGCTCTGAACCTCTGTACAATCGCGATTTCAACGCTCCTACGGCCGATGACCGCGTAGATAAGTCGCTGATGCCCAAGTCGATGCAGGTGCGTCGAGGGTTGTACGGAAAGATGGGGCAAGTGAAGCATACGCACCTTACCGCAGAGGATACGACACGTTTCGACATGCCGTGGAATAAGGTACCCGAAAAGTTTACTCCCGCTGGGACGCAGCAGACGTTTGACCGGCCATCCCGCAAGAAGTCGGGCGTCAGCCGCTCAGGTTCCGATAAACGGTCTGATTCTAAGTGAAACAGTGGCGTAAAGAAATGCTGCAAGAGTCAGTCGGAACATTTATGTCATTAATACCATCACCGCCAACAAACCTGTTTGATAACGTTATCGCAACTGTATTTTGGCACTATTGCAAGGTGCCTACGTTGACGATGCTCAATTACCGTTCGGCAATTGCGTTTTATTGGGCATTTGCCTGTTTTGTTCGTGAATCATACTACTACACTTATTCCCTGCGCTCATGTGGGTGCTAAAACATAAATTGGGTTGTTTAGTAGCGGTTGTGGTGGACGTGTGCGAGGTAGAGCAGTTTTGTGGTATTTACGACGGGAATGTGGGCCGACATTAGCAGCTGTTGGACTTCATCTACGGCGTAGTGAAACTGGAAAGGACGGCACAGGTGACTTAGACTGTGGAGTATAAGATCATTTTATTTCCCTGCCCGCCATCGTAGAGCGCCAGGCAACAGTGTCGAGATTCCCCACTTCGACGAGTATGCGCAATGGACTGGGAAGATTGCCGTTCATCCGTTTTGTTGCGTATTGTGAAGGCGTGTTATGTAGCTATTGAGGGTATCGAAGACAAGCCTGATTGTAGAACGCCATTGGCGGATAGAGTTGTCTAACGTTGGAGCTGCTCTAGAAATATTTATTGCATTCTCGGTTGAGAATGGATTTGTACGTTGTACAAATAATACATCGGAGATTCCACGCAAACGGATATTTGGTTGGTTTCCACTCAGCGGAAAATGGAACTGTAGAATAGAAATTGGTGTCCCTAGTACAGTGAAGGCATGATTACCCATTTTTGGCTGCCTCCATCCCTAATATGGATTTAATCATCGTAGTACTTTTCTACGACCTACGTTAGTGTTAAATATGTATCACACAATGTAATATGCAGGGTTGCACCTGGTGGTGCCGTGATGCGGTTAGTGCCCAGCAGCATCGGCCTCTAATCGGCTGACATAACATTTGGGCGCTCGTCCGCTTGGTTGTCTACGCACGGCTGTTATATGGCCATGTTTTATATACTTGACGCTCTAAGGGGAACTCACTGTGACCATCCCAAAGGTTGTCCAACGTATGGCAACTTTTTATAAAAACAATGAGACTATCTTTGGTACTCTGAAGATTGTTAGCCGCACACCAAAACCGCTTTCCTTGTTCGATCACTTAATAAAATCATATGTGGCTTTAAATTATTGTTTATGGGCAGCAAGAAAATATCAAGTAGCGACGAAAATAGCTAGGATGCATAGAGTTTTACAGGTGATCTGATGAAAGAAAATTCGGAGCACCACGCTTCATTAGCGTCTTATAAATACCATATAAGATTGTAAAAAAAATTAATGGATTCGGATGTTTTTCATTTACAGACAAGTTCATAGCCCCGAATAATTTCGCACCGGTATCCTCGTTGGTTTGTTAGAAGTTTTTGGCCGGTGTTCTGGAAGATAATAGTCGATATTACAAACCCTATCATTGGTGTAATACCGATACTAATTGCTAAAATTCAGGGGTCTTGTTCTGTCGTTGCTGTAAAAAATGGCGCCTATCCGTTCCTGTGTACGGCGAGTACCCGCATTAATTTTCTGCCTCTATATTGTTGTTTTTAATGGGTTTACTATTGGTGCACCACCTACAGATGGTATTTCGGATAGTGGTGCATACCCGGCAAGAGGCATTGCATTCTACGCTGATAATGAAGAGTTCTACCGTAAGGTGAAAATCCTCGAAACACTTTCTCGACCGGATATACAACTTTGTAATTATTTGAAGTTTGTACTATTGGTGATACGTGACTCTAAGTCTTCACCTGAGGTTAAAGAAGCAGACGCAAAAGAGTGTCATCAACTCATGCATGATATCAACCATATTAGCAATGCACAGGGATATTACACCGAATTAAGAACGATGCTTAATGAATACCGTGCAATAGCCAGGCGGCTTCAAAGGAAAAATGTACCGCCAGAAAGGTCTGCTGAACTGAGAAGCGCTTTGGAGAATCTAGAAGAGCGATTCAAAGGTAAAGAAAAGGCGGTATCCGACATCTTGAGAGTCAACAATGCGTCGTATTACAGAGAAACAGTCAGAAAAGCGAAAACCTTCATTCGGAAACATACGGGTCAAACACCACCCCAAACTCACGATAAAGGGTCATCGGAGATAAGCGGCGGCAAACCAGCAGCACTCGTGTCAGACTCGTCAGGCGACACAGGAGTGCGCCATAGCGGTGGAGGCGAAATTGTCCCAGACTCTGACTCAGGCAATGAAATGATGCGAGAATTACTTAACGATCGCGTTTTATCAAAACCATTGGAGGAGGCTCGAGCAAAGGCGACAAAAATAGAGGAAATATTACGTGACCCCTTGATGGGTGACATCAATTTAGATGCAGCGAGTAGTCCTCCGTCTCCAAATAATGCGATGATTCCCAGAATGCGAGATAAGTACGACACGTGTTATGACAACTTGAGAGACATCCGAAATGCATGGGATATTTACACGCATTACAACGATATCACTGATAAACTGAAAAGGATAGGTCCTGCGTCTACTCAAGCATCCGAATTAATAGCCGAGCAACGGCAACTGGAGCTAGCATTCGAGGAATACGGAGCTCTCGTAGATACTGGATCTCTGGGAGGGATCAATTGGGACGCGTGGGATATACTTTGGATGCTAGAGTCAGTTAAAGAGGGCAGGATGAAGTCGAAAGATAGACATAATGCGAAAACACCTTCGTCAGGGAGAACCGACGCTAAGGAACCCACACCACCAGCGCAGGCACCCAAAGCAATTGACACCCCACCCAAACCGCACCCAAGCAAATCAGAGGAACCTGCACCCAAACCACCTACATCTAAGCCAGAGGAGACGACACCAAACACACCGGAGGAGCCTATGCCACCATCACAAGCACCTGAGTCGCAGGCCAAAGCAGCAACACCACCACAGGAAGTCAAGCCCGAAACCGAAAATACCAAGACGAGCGAAACCACAATACCAGAAAGAGAACCCAATGGGCCCACAAGTACACCAAACAGACACCCAGGCAAAACAGAGGAGGCAGTAAGCACACCCTTTACTTATCCTACCGAGGCAAAGAAATCCGCACCCTTACAACACCCAACCAAGGCAAATGATACCACACCTCCACCACAGGCAAGCAAACAGCAGGAACCTACACCCAAGCTAGAGCCAACAAGTATGCAGGGCACGGGTGGAGGGAAAACCACAGGTGGGCTGGATACATCACAAACCACAGAGGGAAATGTCGGCAATATACGTGACACGAAGGATAGTAAAATGTCATCGGGGCATCTGATAATAGGAAGAACGGTTATTCAAATCATGGTAGCACTTGGTACAATGGCAGCCCTATGAGTTAAGGTCGGCGCACAACGGCATTACGCCACTATAACATGCCGGGCATGTGTTCAGTTATGCTCCGCTAATATGTTGTAATTGGCCTCGCGTTTTACGCACGGTGACCGCTCACCCACCGCATAATGCGCGAATGGGTCTACGGCGCGAGTGATAAGCCGCGCACGTACATACCACTCCGACCTGGTATACGAAGACGAAACGACGCAACGTTGCAATAACAACTCAGCAAACTGCACCGTGAACGAGATTATATGGAAGTTCATAACCGTGCCCGCCTCATTTCACGGCAGCAGTATCGTGTATGGGGATCGTATGCGAAAATCTGGCTATTGCTATATTTGATAAATTAAAAATATTTCCCGGAAGCTCCAATGATGTCAACTCACTGGGAATACGGACGGATAAAATATGCCTGGCTGCTTTAACAGCTCACCTGGGCTGTCTTCTCAGTAGAATGCCCAGAAGCCAGCGAGGTCGTAGAGGGTGTCCAAAATGTGCAGGTCCACACCTCTCAAACCACTGAGTACACTTGATGCGCTGTCAGCGCGGCATTGCGGCTCAACGAAGCCCAGGACCTTCAATACCTCTCCAGCACCCGTCGACTGCTTCGACATTTCAGCGTGGCTCGCAGACCACAAAGAACCTAAGCCTACGTACAGCATTGGCGCAATACCCACGAGGACGACTGCGCAAGCTTCAGGGTTCTTCGCGCATGAAGATTCCCACGTAGCCTCTCCACTGTAAGCAGACTTGTACTGGCCAGGGACCTTGATTTTCTCCAGGAACATTTCACAACCATCCACAACATCACTGACGTTCTTTACCATGGAGTCAGCGGTGAGACCCCTGGTCTGAATGACGTTCTCATAGTCGCTTTTGGGGACGCTTGCAACCTTCTTGGCGAGCGCCTCGGGACTCTTATCCATAAACGCAAAGTACCTCCCAATCAACTCGTTTGCGGGCCACATGTCCTTAATCTCATCCTTCTGCAGGAACTTCTTAGTGCTGAACTTAACGTTCCACAGAGCCGTCACATCGGTGAATCCAACAGGCTTGTCGGCGAGCAAATCGTAAACTGCCTTACCCATGGCAGCCAGGTTCTTCTCAGCGTCAGCTCCCTTCAGCGCTACCAACCAGTCGACAGCCTCCTTGGGGTTGCGAGGAATGTCAGTCAAAGAATTGAACACCATCTTGAAAAGATTAGTTAAATTAGGCAACTGCAATAAACTTGCGGATGTTTGATCTAGTTTCAGGCCGAGCCTTTGAAATGCTGCGTTGTAATAGAGCGTAAACAAAGAAAAGATGCTGTTGACACCCAATAAATTCGCTTTAGATGTATATCTAATAAACTATCAATACACCAAATATGCGTAAGATAAAGATATGACGTCAACCCACCCCGTTGCAGCGAGCACCATACCATTGGGGTGGCATGCAGTATGCTTAACGCGATTCATCGGGGTATCTTTGTTTCGGGAGGGGATGGCACATAATATGCCTTGCGGTGCTAGTACAATTTCAGGCAGCAAATAAAGGTTTTTGATGTTACAATTGGTCGCTGGTAGTTTCCTACAGAGCCTCTGGCGTCTTGCGGGGCTTGATCGTTACGAACATGGCAGTCAATGGGGAATGCGAACGGTCGCTGCACCGTCTTCCGCTGAGCATAAGTGCTTTTTGCCCTAGGTGGTCGCAGCAACTTTTCCTGTCGAGCGGTTCTCGGCTCGTTACAGCTGCATACTACGACACATTTGTTCACTTTCCCCGTAAAACACTCATTCTCCCAGCTGTTATTGTGCCATGTGGCGGAACCCGGCACATGCTCGTGTTTGGTACCACCATGTGTGCGGACGCTGTTGTGTATATGTCTATAGCTGTGATACGCAAGCTTTGGGGACCAATTTGCTGCTTTGTGCAGTAGTGGTACACTTTACTCTGCAGGCGTTCGGTCTTACACCTTGCGACGCCGAGTCCGCTTGTCAGACAGCCTAAGAGAATCCGGCATTCTGTCGGCAATAACATCTGAAGTCATGGGCTGCGATTTGTTGCGTTCCATAACAGCAATTCCGTATCAGTATAGGTTTTCTTGCATTTCGACAGAAGGGAACTCCCCCAGGGGATTACATTGTTAGTTCTACATATTCCCGCATATTGAGGGCGTCACATACGGTCGCTCTCAAGGTAGCCGTATCTCAGAATAACTATACCCAAGAATGTGTGTTATTAACCTGAACCCTGAACACAGTATCCGTGCCTCGCCGGGCGACTTAGTGTGTGAACCGCCTGCAGTATGAGTTCCCTGGATGTGGAAGAGATGGCAATTAATTGTCTCTTAGATCGCTCTGTAATATTGTCCTGTAAATCGTTGTATCATTCATTTTAACCATTTTATGCACGCCGGCACGAGTTCACAAAAGTCTCAGCTAACAGTGGTAGCCGAGCATTGCCCTCCGCCAGACAATGCCGCTTTTTTTGGAGATAATAGTCAACACTGCTATGTCAATCGTAGCTTGTGAATATGGTTATTGGCGCTATAAAAACTGGTGTTGTTAGCCTTCACCATATTGGACTCTAGCAAAAGACCACTTACGGCTCCTCGCGCCCTTTTCGATATTCGGGTTGGCAGAAGATTTCCATCGCAATGTCGTACGACTAAAACTGCACTGTATAGGCTAGGTGCAGCTATGAAATGCCATATTAAATCAAACGGCCATTTACAGCAATTAGCAACGAACCCAGAAGATGGGTTGTCCGTTGAGTGAAGCGTATTTTATTGCCGCGAGAATCATATTACGCAACCACTGCTGCCTGAAACGTAACGCAACGTTCATATTGCCGAAACATATTTTGCAAATAAGCACTGACCTCCTGGACATTGAACGTACCAACATACACTCCGCCAAGAGCTAGTGCGATATCGTCACACCTAACGTGAGCAACCAAATTGCAAATGATGTGAATGCGTGCAAGTATTTGATCGACAGTGTCCTCAGCTTTCATACACAGATAGAACTGGCTGAAGCACTCACCAAACTCAACTTCACACTCGTAGCTTATCGCAACCGCCCGACGGCGTCGTCGCCATTCACTCGGTTTTAAAAACTGCGACGTACAATGGCGGTTAAACGCTCTTAGTGATTCAGGATTATGCTTTGGTTTTGTGTCATGTGCACTCAGAGCAGCAATTGCAGAATTCTAATTATGGTACCACCTATCACTATCGGTAACCTTCAGAATCTTTACAGTGGCTGCTACACCACTGCAGTGTAAAGCTAGTGTACCATATGTTAGGATTGCCCCAAAGGGCAGATACGTCATACAGCAGTGTGAAGTGTTCACATTCGCGAAGGTCAGCTTGACTTACGGCCAGAGGTATAGAAACACAGAGTCATTTGAACATTTACGCACTTATATGAAGCTGAGACATCACCATATGATGTCACATGGTTATAGTAACCTATTGTAGACCAAATGAGGCTATGAGCTGGTAAACACGATAATCGGCCCAAGTCCATAAGTATCCACGTAGCACACTAAACAACCAGAAACACGGAGCAACACGGTTACGCCAATTCATCACATGGTAAATGACCACACTAATGCGATGATTACTGTTATACACGGAGCTAGCCAACAGATTCATCACCGAAGTCATCTACGTCATGTTAAAGTGAGAGCATCTTCTTCCCTTGCGTGAGTGGCGCCCTGACATCGGTGAGGTGCGAAGCCTTGGATGGTATGATGTGACAACGTATACGCAGGACGTCAAGGAGGTGGAGCATCGTTTGGGAGCGGAGGAATGCGGTACACCAGAATGTGCCGAGGATGTAAATAATGGGCGTCCGTATATTGTAGAGGAATGTCTCCATGCAGCTCATGAGGCTCGCGATAGGGTATGCGTTTACCACTTCCTCCAGCTTGTAGATGAGCCCGGAGCACGTGAGTGATGACTGCAGTGTCCCTTCCGGCGGGGTGAGGCCGTGAGAGTAGAGGAGGGGCATGGCCTTGTCACATTGATGGAGAGGCTTGGACTTGGAGTCGTGGCGGTGAAGGTCCTCGAGATCATAGTGCAGCTTGAGCAGTGAGTCCCACAGTCCGTCTGCTAGGTACACCGTCCAGCTGAGGTAGTGGTGAACGAAGGTGGGAGCGTACAGGGCGTAGGCCCGGTAGGTGATGGGCGAGAGATGTTGTGGGCAGCTTGATGGGGAAATACTCACCAGATGTGTTTAAAATGTCGCTATCAGGGGGCTGACGTTTGAGAATTTTGATGCCGCGATCGGGGCAAGAATTTCAAGTGGCCAGTATGCTGTGGCAACTGTTTAATCAGTGATGAGATGTGGCGGTGCAGTTAGCAAGGCACTGATGGAATCGGGGTGATACGCGTTGGGAACCGTAATGGAGATTTGATTGGGGCTTTATGGGTTTACCCGTTGCAGTGCCAATAGATGAGATTTGTAAATGCTCAGTTCGCTGACGGCCTATGGCGTCAACTTTAGCCGTTCCTGTAGATTCACTGCTAACCTGCAACCACTAAAACCATTTTGTTCTCTCTTCATTTTTCTTATGGAACATAAGGTCTGGATCGTCCGGCGTTATTGTGCCATCTAAATATATCCCCTCTATATCGTTACAATCATCCACAAGATATCCTTCCACGTTCAATATGGTTGCCGTGTCAACACCTGGCACATCTGACTCTTCACCATCGTGCAATGTTTCGCCGTCGAGTGTTGACTCGTTATCACTCTTCTGACCATTCTCCTCACCCAGTTCTGACGCTCCACCTTCGCTTCTACCAGAATCCTCGTCATTGGGCGTCACAGTAAGGCTGGTGTCAGAGCCGGGTACAAAATTGTCCATAGGGTCTTGAACCTCGTGATGGATAGGATCAGAAGAATCCATGCCTGGTGAAGTCTCTGACAGGGAAGTCTCTTGGGAAACTGGCAGATCATTTTGTTCACGTTGAACGTCTTGATTTGGGGGAGTTATATCATTGTGTGTATCCTCGGCATCATTATCCTGGTTCTGTGTTCCGTCACTATTACTAGTCACAAGGTCCGTCACCTCGTTTACAGTGGTCTCATTCGTTGTAGGTTCATCTTCTTCGGTTGGCGTAACTCTATCTTGTCCTTCAAAGGCAGAAATTTCAGGTGGACTAGCTGGATCTTGGTTTTCGAGGACAATCTCCTTGGTGAACTCCACACCCCCCAATAATGTGTTAAACTTTTCCAAACATTTTTGTTCATTAAACGCTGCGATTACGCTATCCCAATTCTCATTCAAAGCCGTATGCGGGTCGTTCGGCAATGTATAGATATTCTCCCCACTAAATGTGAAACCGTAGGGGAAAAAGTGTTTGGTAAAATATTTTCCAAGTTCGGCGTGATAATACTTAATCTTATGGTGTTGTTTATTCGTGGCGAATACATTCAGATAGTTGTCGCCTGGATAGTGCACAATTTCCGCCAAATTCTTCTTTACTTTATCCATATTGCCTCTAAACCATGCCGCTGTCCTTTTCGCAAATCCCCCCTTCTTAATTTCGCTGAGGTCTCTCCCATAGCCAGTGAAAGAAAAAGATCCACCCTTAAAAATCTTGCCAAGATGGAATCTGATATACTGACAATGGTCTACTAAATTCGTCCAATTTATGAGCGTAGTTTGCAGCTCTTCATGCTTCTCTATATTTAAGCCACCACGCTCCGTATCGACAATCTCGCAAAAAGTTCTCATCAATGCGAGAACGTTCGCAGTGTTCGGTATGTCGGCGCCTGCGGTGGTGGGAATGACTGTTGTGGCAAATACGTCACGAAAAAGGTTGTGTTTAGTAGAATCTTTGTCCAAAAGAGTTCTAAGGTCATCGACCATATTATAACCCTGACGATAACCATAATGATCATTATGTCTAACCTCGCCGTGCTCGAATCCACCAGGGATTATGCCACCATATTTAACAGGATCCGTTGATCTGAGATATTCTTGCAGCTCACCTCCCCAACTACCATACAACACCCAATCCTTCTCATATCCCGGCCAGTCCTCCTTCCACCCCCCGCCGCCCAGCTTTTCGAAGTTCCGATTCACATCGTACCAAAGGTAATACATAGCGGCAAGGAATTTTGGAAGGCACACGAGGAGAGCATCGAGGATTTGTTCTCCGCTTATCAATTTTTTGTCTCTGGGAATTGAAGCTCCGTCATTTAATTTTGTAAGTACCAATTTTCCGTAAAATGTGTCAACGTTGGAGAGGAATTTGGACAAATCTGAATGAATTTTACGGTGATCAATATCCTTATAACACGGTTCAAGAACTAGACAAAGCTTACTGACAACGTCAATCAGCTTGTCCTTTCCCTCTCCGGCATGCAACCATTGCAGAAATATGAAACAGTCCCGCAGAGTGGCAAAATAGAACCCCACCGCCGACGTCATTATCGGATCGCGTATCACTATTATGTTACACTAACGAAGACGCAACGAGCTAGGCCTACAACACAGCACAACGCGTCAGGAGCCCGTGCAATTAAGTGTCTAGAGTTATCAAAGATCTATAGCGAAGACGTAACCAGTCACGCACAAAATTCGCCGCGTACAAGTAAGCATAAGCGAACCTTTGCAATGCTGAGTGAATAGGCTACAAAGTAGAACTGAGTGGAAAACGCGTCACGCTAAAACGAGGCACGCACACACTCGAAATTGCAAACCAAAACAGGTCTAGACTGCTCTGAAAAACGCAGTGAAGAAAACTAAAGTCACATATGCCAATCAACTGAGGCGAATGGAATGAGACAATCCCATCAATGCACCAAACCCGGAGCCCTGCTGGTAGAGAGGCTGGAGCAGGGTGAAAAGACGGCAGAACTCTCGAGAATTCCGAGTTGAAGATTGAATATTCCTTCTACGCTGCAAGTCGAAGTCACCTAATCGTGTCTAGTGAGCGTTCCGCGACCAGCCAGGCAGCCACAGCACAACGCACACAACAGATACCACGTCCGCGCGCGTTGCAGAAGCTATTACCCCAGCAAATCATATGTGCTGCGAATCGTCCCTGCGCAATGTGTCTTGAATGTTGTAAAATTACGCATACATTAGCGCGATATAAGATGGACTGTAAACTTCACATCTTTGTGTAGAATTACCACAGCGACGGCCTCGCCTGCCTTGTTCCTGCTATCCATCTCCCTTATGTTAGACGAATTTGATCATCTAGCCTGCGGTATCGCTGTTTAGTTGTCCGACCAACGCTCAGTTGGCATGTACAATTTCGTATACGCGCGTGTTTCCCGTATATCCCTGACGTTAGCGAAGAACCACGTATCATGGCAGGTCTTACAACGTGTACCTAATGAGATCGGATTAGTAGTGGACGCAAGGGTGCTGAGACTCATTATATTTCTCACTTTAATGATTACTAACCTCCCATTACAAACCATTTACTTGCTTCTCATCCGTCCCATTAAGCTTTGAGCTACGTGGCAGAGTCAGGCGAAGCCCCGAAGGTTGCATTTTGAAGCTACCAATACGATTGACTGTAGCTTTGTAGGGCATCTTTTTATGTGCCTTGTGAACGTATAAGGAGGAAATAAAACCACCGGCGCCTCCATTTTCACCGGTGATCTGTGGTGCTCTGCCGCTGCCGCCGTATTCTATAACCAACATTACTGGAATCATTGAACTCCAGCGGCAAATGGTATATGACACCATGTGTCACATGTTTGGGGCCTTGTCCAGATTTCAGCTGACAACTGCATCTGTAAGCGGGCCTATCGCACCATCCTCATTACGGCAGTAAAAAAAGCAGATCAAAGATGTGGTAAGATATAATAACAATCCGCCCTGTTAAACGGGCTTATGACCATCTACACAAGTTACATAAGCTACGGTAACACCACACTATGTTCATTTATTATCAATAGCCATTATAACCTTATAGTCGAAAGCGAGATTGCTACCTGAATCTCCAAAACAAAAGAGCGGGCAGCGTGAACAATGAAAGCAAATTAGTTTCTGCAGTTCACCAACAAGTTACCACATCTGAGGTATTAATCACTTCGAGTAGTAGTTCTCGATCTGTATGGTGGAGAGTATGGCGCCCTTGACGGTGATGCAGCGGCACTCCAATGGCGGTGCCTGGCGCAGCGTTTCTCCGGGTCCTATGAGCGAACTGTATAAACGCAGGATGACGAAGTGGTTGGATCGCGACACCACCAATGACTGGCTGAGGTCGTTTATGTTCCTGACAACGCCGTCGACATAGACTTGGCGGAAGCAGTTGGGTGGGTCCAGGACGTACGGTGCTGGGCAGTAGAACGCCGCTTCCCTGGCAGCTTGAAGATCGATCTTGCAACCGAACTGCGACTGCCCTTCAGCGTCGTAGAGTGGGGGCGTCTCAGGCTTGAACAACTCGTCTGATGCGTATGTGACGCCGCAGCCTTGCATATAGGGATCAGTGGTGTTGACATCAACTTCAACGACGTACCACGTGTGCTCTGAAGATGTTCTTAAGAGATGGGGAACTGAATGTGGAGATGCGCCCGAAGTTGATGCACGCCCAGTGAAGGCCGAAATTTTCGATGTTTCGGGCACTTTGCCGCATACGAACATCATGGGCACGTATCGCTTGTGAAACCGATTTTTGGAGATGAGTATGGCGCCTACATGCGATGTGATCTTCAAAAGGTGCTCTTCTGTTGAGAGATCATGAAGCATAACAGAAAAACCTCCCGGTGTAGTAACTATTGAATCATTGTACCTTTCAAGAACAAGTTCAAGGCCATCTGCTGTCTTGTTAGCACTATAATGAAACTCATCAGGTAGTTCTGGTAGCCATTTCAACGACCGCTGCTGGCTATCATGGGTCTTAAAAAGGTTTAGTATGCGAAACCCATCCAAACCGTTTCCACAAGACAGCGACAATGCTGCACCTTCAATTAGTGTAATGCGCTCCAGGTGTGCATTGTGTATTCTAAGAGGTTTTCTTGATCTGAACACTTCAATTAATAATTGAACCTTAAGAGGAGGTCTCAACATTGATTCGAGTATTCTGTTGTACCGCTTTTCATTGGGATGATTATACGCAAACATTAATTCATAGACGGGTTCCAAAACAAGCCTAGACGTTTCATAGCCCTGTTTGTCGACACACATGCAAGCATATGTGGCCATGCTATATTCGTTTGCGTTTAATTTGAACACCTGGAATCCTGGAATAGCTTGAGGCGTGCTTCTTTGCAGGGATCCTGGAATTGAGATTATCCTACTATTGTAGAGATCGTATCCCATGGAGCCACAATTACCCGGCATTAGTTCTTCGCCTGGCCTGCAGTGAATACCGGCCAGCCCAAGGCCCTCCGTTATAGGTGAACTGCATTCATAAACACTCCCTATTCCATTTCCCATGAATCTTACCGAGCAATGTTCCCTGCTCATCTCTAGATCAAACACACTCCGTAGACCTCGGTCACTACCAATGATGTGGTAGGGGTGCGTCAACGCAAGGGACAGTTTGAAGATGGCGCGTATCTTATCTGGAACATCCTCATTCGTGGATTTCAGTCTCCAGTGATACAAAAACGAGTTGTGACCCCCCTTTAACGCGAGAGGTTTGTCCGCATGGTACTTCAGTTTTACCTCACCCTGGGCCATTTGGGAAACATCCATCTCGAGGGCATCGCCTGCAAGCGCTTCGTTGTATGAGATTTCTTCGTACACATCAAAGTCATACGCCGTTTTAAGTTGCCGCAGTGTGGTCAAGTCTTTCGGCAAGAATTCAGCTTCGAATTGATCAGTAGGCAGCAGTTGCGTTGCATCGTTAGACGCCGAATGGACATCCGCTGTTGGGAACCGTATGGTCAAGGTGCTGCCGGGATGGAGAACCACCGAACACCAAGGGCCGTTGATAGGATTCGCATTGTTGCGCTCGATCAAGCTGGAAATGTCACAAACGTACTCGGTTTGGGGACGAATCTCGATCCTGGCCATTAACTCACCTGTGTCGGAACCTATGCATCTGCATTCGCCAGTGAACATAGGGAGTGCTAAGTCATTAAAATATCGTGCTACCCTCCAACGCTGAACTTTATCGAATTTCCTATACGAATGTGGCCGAGGAGGCTTCACAACTTCGCCATTCTCGTCCAAGAGTGATCTCATGCAATCCGCAGGTTCAATCCTGCCTTCGCAGAGGAACCCAATGGGCGTTTCTGACATGGGATCTGCCACGCATGAACGTGTTCCGGTGATGGGATCCACGGTCACTTCATTATCCGGGGCGAACAGAGGTGAAGGACGGCTGCCGCAACCTTGAAGATGTAGATGAACGCGGTCTCTGTACAAGAAGTACACTCCCAAACCTGTTCCAATCTTTGAGATTTCATGAGCCAAAGGCGTAGTAGAGGTCCAAGGAAGTTCTACCATGAGACGAGAATCATTGAGGCTGTCGATGTGACGCTGCAATTCATTAGTCAGAACCAGATCTCGCGGTCCACAGATGAATATCAAACGGCGCTCTGTCATAGCGAACAATTCATCTCTTGGCAAATCGAGGCGCAGAGTAGTTTGAGAGCGACTAGATTCCAACCATACGAGATTATGCCTTGATTCAGTGCGTATTATATTCGAGAGAGCAACGGAACGAAGCTTATTATTTTCACCCACGTACGTCTTAAGATGAGCCTGACCACCAATACTTGGCTGGGGATGCCAGCCATAATCAGTGCCGTTTACTCGGCGGGGGCATATCACAGTTGCGGAACCCAATAAGCCCATATCCATATTGCAGTGAACGAGGGCATTCCCGCTGAGTAATCCATGCGCATCTCCGAAGTCACAGTCAATTGCATGAAGACCGCTAATGCAACACAGCCATACTGCGAAAAATGCCCATGGGGACCTCATGATGCTAACTTTGGCACTGGCCATGGTCACGTGTTTTGCGTCGTTCAATCGATTGCCACCAACGTGAACACAAAATGACGACACCACGAGATGCACTATGGATTTCTCAAATTAGAGAATTAATAATTTGTGATTTCGGTTTGTCGTGGAATCAAGGCAAGCTAGAGCCCCATGGCGACAGCTAGACAGCGACATATGGAGGAATTTTCATCCACAGCTGCAACTGGAAGAATCATTGAGGGTGACTCTGGTGATACAATCCCCCAAGCTTTCATACCGGTTAAATAATTCCTGCTTGTTGTCGTATCACAGTCTAATATTGGTGCATTGCTCTTTACGTCGGCAGAGGGGACACAAGCAGTTGAGGCTGGGCAAGTCACACCATTCCATCTTATAATGCTCCGCATATACAACATACATAGTTGTATGCTGCTTACAGCGTCATTTTCCCTATACTGCACTCATTTGTGAGTTTTTCATCACATGTTTGATGCACGTCAATTGATTTGTTTCTATCTACACTGCTAACACCTGAAGGTCCGTGACTGGAATGACTAAGTCCGGCATGACGCATAACTCCAGTCCCCTTATTGTGTGCAAACCTTTTTCCATACTCATGAATGGTACTTCTATTATTTTGGATTCCGCTGGAGCCATTCCGCCGAAATCCAGGTAGTCCTCCACCTGCACCACCAACGGTTTAAGTTGGTTTTGATTGAATTTGAGTCTGCACTGCAGGCTCTCTTGTGTGGTGTTGGTCACCCTGAATTTGATTGTGAACTCATCGTTCAGCGAGACCGTTCCCGGGTGCTGAATAGTTTCATATGCGATAGGTTGCTCGTAGTTGAAAACGTCTACTTGCATGTCAATTTCGCCGACACCTCGTTCATAGCAGTGCCAGAATGCCTTGATCTGCATCGGCTTCGTGGTTTTTATATTTTTGAATATGACGCTGTATGCGCCGCCTGGCTGCAACACACATACACCATTAACGTCCTTGTGCGGCTCGTATATTGGGTCCTGGAATGTGGAGTCCTGCGGAGTGACGAGCTTTATGTCTTTTATGGTGAGCGTGTGCTTGCATATGTTGGTGACAGTGGCTTCAAGATGGGCTCTTCCGTTCTGTGGACAGGCATAAACTTCCACTTGCGCCGTGTACTTACCGAATCCTTTTCCGATCTGAAATGGACTTCTATCGGGTTTACTACGTTCCATATTGCCCGTTTTACCACCTGGTAGTTTCTCTTTCCAACAGTGAAGGTGACGGTGAAGGTCATATTATGCTGCGACTGCTTGCCGCACAGGTAGGAGACCGTTGTTTGGTAAGGCTTTCTGTGTGGCTCCAGCGTCACTCCAGATAGCGGTTCCATAACGAACGGATCCTGATCTGCATCTTCCGTGACGACATCGACCCTGAGTTTGACGTTGGTGCATGCCGCCTTGTTGGCGTTAGATAACAGTATCGAGAGGTGCAAGGTTTCACCGAGAAAGCACTCGTTTACGTACTCCGGAAGCACTAGAGATGGCGTATATACGGGTTGCTTGACCGTATCTAGACTTTCCTGCGCGTTTCATGTTTCCCAATGGGACATAAAATGCACGGCTTCAGGGTGTCCCGAAGCTAAGCAGTGGCACTAAATACGCATATACAACGTCATGTATCTACGTAGCGCCGCCATCCATATCGCCGCATGCTTATACGCGTCTGTAACAGCTGATCACAGCTGTAACCTCCATCTGTAATCTCCCAGGAGTATCCGCCGAGCGCAGCATGCTTGCCTTGGCGGAAGGTCGCTTCAGCCACGGTATGCAAAATTCCCACCGTAAACCTCTACATCTCCCACACACATCACGTAAACATAGTGAAACGAGACATAAAACCACAACGTACCGTTTCTAATGCCACGAGCGCGTCCGAAGCGTCGATTAATTGCCACGCTGCACATTCGTAACTGGGCTGCGACAGACGCATGACAACGAGATTCGGCGCCACGTTGTGCGACATTTTGCTTTGTATTTGTGCCTCGGTTCACCCGCCCTCGCGGGGATTTGGTGTGTTTCGGCACCGCGGTATAGTGTTCGTCTGCCGTGATCTCGCGTGTGCTCCGCGCATCCGTTTTTGCGCAACACTTTCGTGTTGACCATGTCGTCATCTGGCGGCACTGCGAGCGCTTTGGACGCCTTGAAGGACGGTGAAGACGTGCTGCTCGACGAGGATGCCGGCCTTCCATGTCTGCGTGCGTCTACGTTGGTGTGCAACCTGGGAGGAAGTCGGCTCTTGTACGGATCTTCCGACGGCGAGCTGCGCTGTGTGGACTTCTTTAAGTGGATGAGCGGCGGTTGCGGTCCGCTGTGGACAAAGAAGCTTGAGCAGGGCGTTACCGCCGTCGCCATGAGCAGCGACGACGCTGTGGTTGCCGCTGCGAGCGGCAACGTCGTGTCTTTCTACAGCGACGTGGGCGACCACCTGGTGAACACTAGTAAGGGTGACATGTACCTGCTAGATGCGCGCAAGACTCACGGTCACACTGCCATGGTGACCTGCATTTGCCAGCAGCCCCTGCACTCCAACCAGTTTACTTCAGGCGCCATCGATGGCACTATTCGCACTTTTGACGTAGAGTCCCCGCGTCAGGGCGTGGCAATGTCGATTAACGCGTGTCAGACCTACGTACCCCGCGCAGCACGCGGCCCGCGTGCTCCGATTAGGTCCCTGTGCTTCTCTCAGTTTAACAGTTCGTTCGTCGTGATTGGCGGAACTGACCGCGGCGGCATTCTAACATGGGATCAACGGACGGCGTATCCGGCGTCATGCTGCATAGATGCGCATATGTCTGCGGTGGGTTACGTGACATCGATCGACGACGGGACGCTGGTAACCCGCGACAACGATGTCGTAAAGCTATGGGATATGCGTAAGTTCAAGAGCGCAGTAAAGGAGTGTGCCGTGCCTGGAGGGGATTGCGGTGGCGGCATGGCTGTGAGCCCCGGAGGCTCTCACGTTGCTGTCGGCGAGGTCATGCCGGTGAACCCGCGCAACATCAAAGAGGGTTTTAAGGGTTGTGTGCGAGTCCTGTGCACGATAACACTAGATGTGGTCGAAACATTTCGTCTGAAGGCGGCCCCCGGACCTATGTGTTGGGCGTACGACTCGGCGCAGCTGTTTGCAGCATGCAACGATGGTCGGACGTGGTGCCGTGGTAGTTCGGAGGCGCTGGAATCCATGCACCTGTCCCGAGCGCGCGCTACGATGCGTCAGAAGAGTGCCCAGTCACTTGTTACCACCGCTTCTGTGCAGCCGGAGGCGTATCCCATCGACCAGCTACCTGACAATCTTGAGGAGGCAGAGGACGGCACCCTGAAGCGCCGCCGTGTACCTCGTCAATACAAGAAGCCAGGCGCCCGAGAGGAGCCAGACTTGGATTACGTATCCTATGGGCGCACCCCGGTAAGCTACGAAGACGAGGATATCGTCACGAAGCTTCGTGCGATGGAGGGTGAATCCGACAAGGTGTCGGCCGTTGCTACAGCCACTGGCGTCCAGCGCATTCCGTACAAGGCAGACAAGTTCATGCGCATGTACAAAAAGACGCAGCCGGACCTGATTTTGGACTTCACTGCGCCTGGGACAAAGGAAGAGAGCATGTTGCAGGGCGTGCAGAAGTGCCCTCGCTGCGGCATCAAAATTTGCCAGTGCGGCTATATGGACAGCCGCAAGTAGTCGTATCTGCCGACAAATATCGCATGGGGCACTCGGGTGGCAGCGCTAAGTGTACGGGAGTGTTGCGCCAACCCGGGTGGCCTAACCAAGGCACCACTCATCCGTACATACTGTCAGCTTTGCGCTTGTGGCATACGCGTGCCATATATAAAACTGTATGGGCGCTGCACCGGCACGCCATGCATTCGGCCCCAGCAGCTAATGGAACGTCCTTCCGTGCTGCCCATGCAGCAGCACGCAAGATAATGAAGTGCATTATATAGGCTTCGTAGCTGCAGCCCGTTGTTTTTGTAATGGTAGCGTGCATGTATATGGCCGATAGTTATGGTGCTTTGTGCTTTTGCCAGCGGATCCGTGACCACTGGCTTCCGTTTAGAGTCGCTGGTTGCACGAAAGCCCGGGCACGCAATTGCGATTACACTATCACGGTTTGTCACCGCCAAATGCCAGCAAGTCGATCTACACACCTATTAAGAGCTGGATATCGGAACGCCAAACACATCAATTGCCATATTTCTCGGCACCTGATGTGCCTTCTGCAACCGTTGCCGGGTGTGGATTCCACCACCTTTGGGAATTTGCACAAGCCAAGCTTGCCTGTACCCGATTATCTCATGCCAAAAATTCGGTGCTGCATACGCCTCGGTCCCGGGCGCCACGACTGATTTGCTGACTCGGCTGTGTACGCCGTATGTGTTGGCGCTTCTCATGCCTTTTCTGAGTCCCGCCGTGGAACACGGTGTCAATCGTTGCCACAAACTGTCTGTTCTGTGTGTAATAGTTTTTTGTCGACGCAGAATCCGTATGCCAATCCGTATTTGCTGCGCGTGCGGGCCTGACTTACCGCCTCCTCTAAGTTCCCCGGTGGCTCGTTTTAAGGGCAGATGGAGCTGTTTTTTGTTTAGGTGCATTGTTTGAATTACTCTTCGGTACATTCTAGGTTGTATCGGCTGCCATGATTATGAATGTACATTGAGTGCGGGGCCGCGGTGTTTCGTTCGCTTTGTTTTGTTGAGAGCGATGGACCCGAAGGACCTGGAGCAGCTTGAGCTGCTTTGCCAGGCGCTTTACGGCGGCCAGCCTCTGCAGCAGAACGAAGCTCACGAGGTGCTGATGCCCTTGCTTCGCGATGTGCAGAAGATCCCTCTCCTCCGCGATATCTTGGCGCAGAGCGCCAACCTGCAGGCTCTGCTTTTCGCGTCTTCCGGCCTGGTTACGTTGATCACGAATCACTGGTCCCACGTGTCGGATGCTCACAAGACAGAGCTGCGTGAGTTTCTGCTCAACTACCTCTACAACCGCGGTCCCGAGATGCTGAAGTGCGCTCCCGAGGTTCTGGGTCAGTTCATCCACCTGTACTGCCGCATTGTGAAGTTGGGATGGCTGGAGGAAGTGAGCAATCATCCCGTGGTTCAGCATGTGGGCCAGTTCCTGTCAGCCTCCACGCAGCACTGGATCATCGGTCTGAGCATTTACTCCGACCTCACGCAGGAAATGCAGCCGCAAATGGGCAAATTTGTGGCGAAGCTGCGTCGAGGTGCATTGAACTTCAAAGAGACAGTGCTGCCCAAGATATTTTCGGTAAGTTGCGCCACTCGTTGCGTGTGCATTGTGTTTAGGTGACAGTCCAGACGCTGGAGCAGTTCAACAACGGCACCGCGATAGTTGCCGACAGCTTCGAGGAGACCCGCATGCTGCAGCAGATCCTGCAGCTGTGCTACAACTGCCTCAGCTTTGATTTTATGGCCACCATGCCCGACGACACGTCTGAGGAGCAAAGCACCGTGATGATTCCCCAAAGTTGGGATATTCTGCGCAGCGACAAAGTGCCTCGCATATTATTCGAGCTTTACGCTAAGAACAGCATGGCGCGCCCGTCGTGCGCCGTGCTGTGCCTGCGTTGCCTGGTGGTGGTCGCCGCGCTGCGCAAGTCATTCTTCAACACAGAGGCCGAGGACCTGTGCCACATCAACAGTTTCATGATGGGCACCATGGACATAATTCGGAACAAGACAGGCCTCGCCAACGAGGACTGTTACCATGAGCTGTGCCGTCTTCTCGGGAAGATCAACGCCTCCAACCAGTTGAGCCAGCTTCTGCAGACCGCCGCCTTCCCCATGTGGACTGAGCAACTGCACAACTTCACGATGGAAGCTCTGGCCAACTGGCAGCACATGCCCAACAGCAAACACTATTTGTTGGGCGTGTGGGCGCACATGGTCGTTCCTCTGGGGTACATGCGCGGTAAGGCGCCCTCCGTGCTGGAGACGAACATCCTGCAAATAACCCTGGAGTTTATCAAGAGCCGTTTGGCGATGGCCGAGGTGGTTGCTACGGCAGGTGACGACGTCGAATTCGACAACCCGCTCGACGACGATATACTGCGGATGGAGCAATCGGACCTCTTCAGCCGGCTCTGCCGTTGCCAGTACCGCGCGGTGTGCTCGCGCATAATCGAATCATTCCAGGAGCTGGAGAAAATGCCAATGACCCACAACTACATGGCCGTTAAAGAGGAGAAGGTCGCGTGGCTGGTGCTGCTGGCGGGCGCGATGTTGAACGGCTCGAGTTCTCTTCGCCTCACCGGCGATGAGTCCAACATAACTGCAGTATGCCTGCAGACAATGAACATCGAGCTGGTTGGCCAAGTCTTCCTGAACATGGATGCGAGCGACTCCAAATTGACCGAGTGCACCAAACTCGAGATGTCGTACCTGCACTTCCTGACGTACTTCAAAAAGTTTTTCATCAGCGAACACACGAAAGGCAGCATCTCGGGTGACTGCCGCGAGCGCTTTGCGCAGGTTCCCGGTTGCCCTCCCGGCACTGACGGCGCGCAATACCTGTTGAATCGGCTCGTTGACAAGGTATTTTTCAACCTGCAGCGCCGCGTGTCCAACGAGGGGGTGATCAAGAAGACTCTGAACTTCTTCAGCGAGCTGTCTTCTGGCATTGACATCGTGCACTACGCGGACCGTTCTCCCCACCTCGTGGTTTCAGCGCGGTTGATACTTCAGTGTAAGACGCTGCGCTTCGCGCTGGTGAACCACGCTGACCAGGGGTTTATGTTCCTGCAAGTACCTCAGTATGGGCGCTATCGCACCATGTACTACAGCATTCTGTGCAAGCTGCTGCTGCTCGAGTTGAGTAGCGAGGACGAGCAGGGGGACACGGTGCCCAAGTTTGAGGGATTCATGGACCACCACAAGCTCGTCATCGACCAGCTGTGGAACCTCAACGCCGGCATGCTATCCTCACCCGAATGCCGCCCTACTATCATCGGTTTAATGCGCGACCTGAGGGGCATATGCAGGTCTTGCATTTCTGTGGAGTCCTACCAGATGTTCTTCAACTGGATTGTGAACGCTCCAAAACAGCCCGGAAAGTCACGGCTGCACATCATGAAGCGCATCGTGGAGGCCTGCTGGTCCGACTGCGACGTGATGGTTCCTCTCGTGAAGTGCCTGGCTGAATTTCTGGATAACCGCGGGCACCGCATCACGTTCGATAAAACTTCCGCAAACGGTATTCTGCTCTTCAAGGAGTCGGCCGGCATCGTCATGAGCTACGGTGTGAAGCTGTTGCAGATGGCCCAGGCTGCCGGTGGCGCCGGCAGAGTGCGCCCGGGTGGCAGCGATCGCGAGGCGTACAAGAAGATCTACAAGGGCGCCGCCGCGTGCCTTCAGGTCCTCGACCACACGCTGGGTGGAGACTATGTGAACTTCGGTGTATTTGAGGTATATGGCGATGCAACTCTGGACGAGGTGCTCCAGCTTGCGTTCCAGCTATGCCTCGTTATCCCCATTGAAGACCTGCAGGCGTATTCGAAGTCGATGCATCCTGTATACTCGTTCTTGGACATCAGCACCAAGCTGTTCATGCCACAGCTGCTTTCACTGAGTTTGGACAACGTGGCTCAACTCGTGAACGCATGCATGGACGGTCTCTGCTCCTACGAGTCCGCAACATCGCTGTCCGCCGCGAGCGCGCTGGACAACTTCGTCACCCACGTGTACAACGAGCGCAACAGCACGCTGACAGGCGGCGCTCCTCACCCCGCCCGTGTGTTTTTGGAGTCGAAGTTGGAGTGTTTGCATCACGCTATGGTGTTGATTTTCAACCTGCTGCTGAGCGGCGACTCGAATAGCGCATGGAGCGTGAGCAGGCCGCTGCTCGGCCTGATCCTGCTCAACCAGAACGAGTTTACGCAGCTTCCACGGAGCCTATCGGTTAACATGTCAGAGGAGAAGCAGGCCAAACTGCAGCGCTGCTTCGAGGCTCTGATGAACGGTCTCGACACGACATTGTCGCACCAGAACAAGGACACTTTCACGAAGAACGTGTACATCTTTTCGCAGGAGGCACGGCTTTCATTCGTTTAACTGGGGCGGGATAATGATTTTAGGTTGCTTATGTGTATTGATTTTATGTTTTGTTGTCCGTGTTTCAAGTTGCATTAAGTGATATCTGTAGCTACACATGATACGACCTTATTTTACACCTTCATGGCTCGTTCCTGGCACACTATTGGTGCCGAGTAAGGGTTTTACACCTTTTAGTCACCCAGACCATTGGAAGCAGCCCGTGTGGGCGCGAGGGTCATTCACAGGGTCGTGTGGGCCTCTGAGTGCGGTATCCCTCATAACGTGGGCACTACATTTCACGTTGTCCGCTAGCCGATCGCCCCTCCCTTTGGCCTCCTTGAACTGTTCCTCATGCTTCCTCCTTTTGTCTGTCTCTACCAAGATATATTGGAAGGTAATGCCGATATTCACGATGGCGTTCCTGAGTCGGTCCGCCAGTATTATACCTGGTGGATTATAATTGGTCAGCATAGGAATACAAATCTAATGTATAATGGTGATGTGTCGAGGTCCGACTGTGATACCACAAGCACGAGTGCTATCACCAACCCCAAAGCGCATAGCTGTTGTCATCCATCCGTGCCAGTCATTGATTATCTCGGTTGGAGACGTGGATGAAAATTCCTCCATATGTCGCTGTCTAGCTGTCGCCATGGGGCTCTAGCTTGCCTTGATTCCCCGACAAACCGAAATCACAAATTATTAATTCTCTAATCTGAGAAATCCATAGTGCATCTCGTGGTGTCGTCATTTTGTGTTCACGTTGGTGGCAATCGATTGAACGACGCAAAATACGTGACCATGGCCAGTGCCAAAGTTAGCATCATGAGGTCCCCATGGGTATTTTTCGCAATATGGCTGTGTTGCATTAGAGGTCTTTACGCAATTGACTGTGACTTCGGAGATGCGCTAGGACCACTCAATAACAATGCTCTCACTGGGTGCCACGTGGATATTGAATACATAGGCTCGACAAGTGCGGCATGTCCAGTTCGAGTGGATGGCAACGACTATGTTTGGCATCCTCAGGTATTTGGTGATGGTTACGTTGATCTCTACGCTATCGCGAGCGACAAGGGTAACTTTTATCCAGTTCCTCCTTCTGACGTAGTGGTGACGGAAGCACTAGGTTCACTTTTGAACTTAGAGTCGAATGGATCACAAAGTCTTCTGCGTTTAAATTTTCCAACACAAGAACCATATATCATTACCGAACGCCGTTTGATATTCATCTGTGGACCGCGAAATTTGGTTCTGACTGATGAATTGCAGCGTCACCTGGATGACCTTAGCGGCGCTCGCGTGGTAGAAGTTCCTTGGACTTCAGAAACACCATTGACTCAAGAAATTAAGAAAATAGGTGCTGGCTTGGGTGTGCTTTTCTTCTACAGAGGAGATACGCACATGCCGCTTCAAGGTTGCGGCAGCCGTCCTTCACCTCTGTTCGCCCCGGATAATGAAGTGACCGTGGATCCCATCACCGGAACACGTTCATGCGTGGCAGATCCCATGTCAGAAACGCCCATTGGGTTCCTCTGCGAAGGCAGGATTGAACCTGCGGATTGCATGAGATCACTCGTGGACGAGAATGGCGAAGTTGTGAAGCCTCCTCGGCCACATTCGTATAGGAAATTCGATAACATTCCGCCTTGGAGGGTAGCGCGATATTTTAATGACTTAGCACTCCCTATGTTCACTGGCGAATGCAGATGCATAGGTTCCGACACAGGTGAGTTAATGGCCAGGATCGAGATTCGTCCCCAAACCGAGTACGTTTGTGACATTTCCAGCTTGATCGAGCGCAACAATGCGAATCCTATCAACGGCCCTTGGTGTTCGGTGGTTCTCCATCCCGGCAGCACCTTGACCATACGGTTCCCAACAGCGGATGTCCATTCGGCGTCTAACGATGCAACGCAACTGCTGCCTACTGATCAATTCGAAGCTGAATTCTTGCCGAAAGACTTGACCACACTGCGGCAACTTAAAACGGCGTATGACTTTGATGTGTACGAAGAAATCTCATACAACGAAGCGCTTGCAGGCGATGCCCTCGAGATGGATGTTTCCCAAATGGCCCAGGGTGAGGTAAAACTGAAGTACCATGCGGACAAACCTCTCGCGTTAAAGGGGGGTCACAACTCGTTTTTGTATCACTGGAGACTGAAATCCACGAATGGGGATGTTCCAGATAAGCTACGAGCGATTGTCAAACTGTCCCTTGCGTTGACGCACCCCTACCACATCATTGGTGGCGACCGAGGGCCACAAAGCCTGTTTGATCCTAAACTTAACAAGAGGTATTGTTCAACCAAATCTATGGGGAATGATATAGGGGATGTTTACGAATGTATCAACGACATGTTGTGGGTGGGTGGACAAACTGGTATATACTGCAAACCAGACGAGGAACTTTTGCCAAATAATTGTGGGTCTTCAGGATATGATATACACTCCAATCAGATTGTATCGTTTCCTGCAGCCATACGTGGTGCGATACCTTACCCTATACGAGGATTTCAGGTTTTGGAAATTGGCATCGGAAAACGCCCTCTTAGTTACGCTTGCATCTGTGTTGACGAACGCGGATATGAGAAATCCAAACTCGTTTTAGCGTCCAACCATAACGAAAAGCATACTTATCTAGTGCGTCGTGAAGAGCGGTCTCACATGTTTGCACCTCAATTACTGCTGCCATTGAGTGAGTTCAGAGTTTTAAATGAAGTACCCACATTGACAAATTTGATTATGATACCTCATATGTCGAAAAATTACATTACGTTAAAAGTGGGAACTACGTTGATCATGAGCTGCTCTCTTGATGCAGAGCTGCAAAACGTCGAAAATAATGGGGAGATAGAAATAACATGGCTGCCAATGAAACCTGAGGAATTTTATTATACCATAAACCAGACTCCAGATGGGTCTGAGCTTGTAAAGGTGACATACGACGATTCACTTGCTACTTCCAGAAGTGGTCTAAAAATAAAATACGAAGAATGTGACAAGAGGCCTGGCTATCATAAACTGAAACTTACATCACGTAGAAGTGCCATTTTAATATCGAAATACACAGAGAGGAAGCAACACGTACCCATGACATTTGTATGCGGTAAGACGCCCAGATTGTCTGATTTCTCCACCAATGATAACGCGACTGCAAACGGAGAATCTTCTGCGCTATACACATGGCATGTGCTTCATGTAAACGTACAGACCACTGATCCCTATATGCAAGGCTGCGGCGTCACATACGCATCAGACGAGTTGTTCAAGCCTGAGACGCCCCCACTCTACGACGCTGAAGGGCAGTCGCAGTTCGGTTGCAAGATCGATCTTCAGGCTGCCAAGGAGGCTGCCTTTTATTGCCCAGCGCCTTACGTCCTGGACCCACCCAATTGCTTCAGCCATGTTTACGTTGACGGGGTTGTAAAGAACATGAGAGAGCTCAGCAAGTCATTGGTGTCGTCTCGGTCCAACCACTTCGTCATCCTGCGTTTATACAGTTCTCTCATAGGACCCGGAGAAACGCTGCGCCAGGCACCGCCATTGGAGTGCCGCTGCATCACCGTCAAGGGCGCCATACTCTCCACCATACAGATCGAGAACTACTACTCGAAGTGATTAATACCTCAGATGTGGTAACTTGTTGGTGAACTGCAGAAACTAATTTGCTTTCATTGTTCATGATAAGTGGTGTATCCACCGTGTTGGCATGCCTTTCGGGCAGGCCGTCAGAATTGCTGAGGTAAAGCTCAGCGTCTTTATCCAGTGCTATAATAGTTGTGTATAACTTGTGTAGGTGGCAATGATCCAAATTAATGGTGTGGCGTGGAATTCCGTCTCAGAACACCTTTGGTGGGTACCTCGTAATGATGGAATGGGGCATGTGTGACGTCGTCCTTTGTGTCTACGCTCATAAGTTAATCATTCAGTAATGCCCTTAACACTTAACCATGGACGATGCTTGGCGCTTAGTGGGGAACTTCGCTTACTCCACTAATCTTGATATGCAACTACCGTGTAGGTGCCTGGCGCCGTTAGCCGATCGATGGTGAGGCATAGGGGATGGCTTCACATCATCATTAATTGTTCCGACCGCTTTACGTCACGTGTTACGTAGTGTTGGATTCAGTCATGTCGTCAATAGCGAATTTCATTTTAGGCCATCGCCGGACCCAGCGACATAGCCCGAAGCCTGATGGGATTGGTGCGAACAAAACAACCGGCTGTTTAACTAGGATGTTTAATATCATGAAAGGAAGTAAGATATCGGAATTGAAGTTTATGCCAAAAGTGAACAAATCACGTGGGGCACCACGCAGATCAATAATGAGTAAGACATCATCGGGTTGAGGTGTGAGGCGTTGTCATAATGCCTATTTCATTAACATAATGACACTATGGCGAACGTTACAAATACAAGCGATTATACTTGCCAACTGAGAATTACATGGTCAACTGAATTAATGGGCACTTTGGGGTAGATGGTGCAATGCTGCTTTAAGGCGAGTGCCAATGGTATGGCAGGCGGGGCTGTCGCCATGGTAACATCATGCAGCGATATAAAGTTACAAAGCACGAACATAGCTTGTCCATTGAAGGAGAGATTCAGAAGTTGCACCTCGTGCGGCCAGCAATGTGTGGGGCAAGGTTCGCAATACATAGATGTCGCGATGGGACGATTTTATTGTGGGATACTTGTGGTTGGTGTCTTACTGGTGGAGAGTCGCTTGGCGGTTGCTGGTTGCTCATGAAACGGTGGGAGGAGACGGGTTGGAGGTTACTTTGGATCTGACTGAACTGACCGTTAAATGTGGGCATTTTGTTCTCCAATTTGATTGCCTTTGGATCACTACCAGTGCTAATTTCCCCAGCCGCCTTCCCAATCGCCGCCTTAGCCGCAGCCCTGATCTGCGCTTGAGCTTGTTGGTTGAAATTGTCAACGGCGTTGGGAAGATCATCTACCGCTTTTTGAAGATCATGTTTGACAGCAGTGAATTTGCCTTCAAGCCCCTGAACCTCATCCCTCACGTCCTTCAACTTACTGTCCACGGCCTGGGCGGGGCTATCCTTTTGAGCGCCGGCTGGTTTAGGGATTTGTGTCGCCTCTTTCAGCTGCTTGTCGAGATCATCTACAGTCGGTTTAATAGCGTCCAGGATTTTGCCAAACTTGTCGGTACCTAGTGAATTGATCTCCGTGGCTACCTGCTTGACGCCGGCGCAGAGCGCAAGGAGGGTGTAGCGTATGGCACACTTGAGATCAGCGTCGCCGTTGTTCACATGGCTCCAAACGCTCTGCCCCTCCATCCAATGCTTAATCTTCTGAGCTATGGGATCGGCAAGTTTGCCAAGTTTGTCCTTCATAATCTCCTTATCGAGCTCTGAGACGAACGTATTGCAAGCGCTTACAATGGCAGTGAGATTGTTGACAATTTTATCGTTTACTTTTTGTGCTGTAATATGCTGCTGAGCTTCCTTAATGGCATGTGAGATTTGAGGCTGTAGCATAATCTTATTCTTAACCTGATCTTTAAAATTGCCTTCATTCTGCCCTCCCCGCCTGGCCGCCTCCTTATACGACTCAAGCCAAGACGTTACGGCTTTCATGCCGGGCTTATGATCCCTGGTACCTAGAGGCTTCCCGTTACCTACTACACCTTCCACCCAACCGTCCACTCTAGCCCTGAAACCTCTTCCGCCTGAATTAACAAAAGCGTTGGCAAGATCCTTCACTTTCTTTACGATGCCTTCTAGCCCCGTTTTACTGCTTTCACTCCCCTTAATCTCCCCAACCTTATCTTTAATATGCCCGAAAATCTTATCAATGGTATCCAACTTCTCACTTGTTTTAAACTTCCCGCCAAGCGTCTGAATCGCGGAGTCAACTGCTTCGACCGCCGTGGTAAGCGGCTTTTGGATCGCATCCTTAAACTTAGTGTCAAGTTCGTTCGTCAGCTTCATGATTGATTTATCACCACTTTTACCAGCAAGTTCATCCAGACTCTTCTTCTGCGCTGACTGCTTAAGTGCTTCCAACTGGCTATTAGCGAGAGTACCATTGTTCAGCCCCAAAATATTATCCCTCAACGTCCTCAAATCCCCTTTCACCAAATCATCCAACGTCAAAACATTCAAGTCCTTAATCACAGTTTTCATTCCCAATTTAATCTGCTCTTTAGCTTTCTTCAAATCCATCTAAAGACTTTCGTCCATTTTCACAACAGCCCCTAGCGCCTCGTCAATTTTCCTGCCAACAAGTCTCTTAGCCTTACTCCCCTAGCCCACCTAAGCGCAACCTACCACCTAACCTACTCGCTGCTTTGTCATCTCCCTTCTCCGTTAGTCGCCTTGCCGTCACACCCCAAACAGCCTCCCTCATCCCACCTGTCGGTGGACTGAGGCTGCGGACGCCTCTCACCACGCCCCTCTTGCACCTCTAAAATGTCTCACTAGTCGTTACTAGCACCTTCACTGAGTCACCTATTAACATCGCAATTACAACCGCTGCAAGCATCTTGGCAGTGTCTTGGTAAACTGGAAGCAGTGACGTCACCTTAGAAGCTTTATCGCTTTAGTGCCTCCTAGTTAACCAATTAAACGATTTCACGTGTATTCTTGTACCATTAGCCTAGTGCCCATTTATTAGTGTCTCTGTGCTGTTTGCCTTTGTAACCAAGATGACGGGGCACGGCATTCCGCTTGGCACCCTCAAGGAATGTCTCATGTTCCTGCTGGCGTTGCATAAAGATAGTGGCAAGCAACACCGGGTGGCCAAAGAACTACATGAGCGTATTCATAGGTATTATAATCCTCTGGATGTTAAATTGCCCGACATTCAATCCGCACTGTCCGAATTCGTTAGGAAAGCGTCTGAGTTTTACACGAGATTATGCAAATATACACAGTCTGTGGAATATGGAGGGAAAAGCCCGGACCAAATATTTAACGCTCTCCTTGAGTGCATCCCCAAGTTTAACGCTGCGATGTACTATCTTTGGTTTTGTGTAGATCCGGGCTTCTCAAAACTTGATGGAGGGGGGTGGAAACAGAACTGGCCGGGGTGGGAGAAGGATTCGTGGTTTTATGGTTCAAGTGGCGGTGAGCTGCAGGAATATCTCAGAGCGCAGGACGGATCAAACTACGGCGGTATGATACCCGGAGAATTCGCCCATAGTGAGGTGAAGCAGGGATCAATTTGGAACCGTGGCTACCCTCAGGGTGCTGAAATGTCTCTGGACCTCACAAAGCTTTTGGACAAAAACCATCACAATTTTTTCCGGGACGTGTTCGTCACTTCGGTGTTCTCCACAGATCATGGCGCTAAAGCTCACAACACTGCGAATGCCCTTCGCGTGGTGAGAATGTTATGCGAAATCGTGGATGCGGAAAAGAAAGATGGTGGTGGTGAGTTAATACACAAATTGGAAGAAGGCCTTAAAAGGATAACCACCGCAACATCCATATGCTGGAAAGATCTAAAACAACATTGCGCTCACCTAAAAGAACAATTCAAAAAATTGTTCGCCCCAAGACACTTCGACCACACCGGGCAGGGGAGAGATACTTCAACGCTTGACACAAAGGAATTCGCAAGCAAAACAGCGGATTGGTTGAGAGGGAATCTGACCTTTGTGCGGGGAAATTTGAGTAAAATTAAAATGGATGATAGTCTCAACAACCATCTTGGTGCATACTTCACGACAAACCTTTTCCCATTTGGATTTACACTTTTTAATGGGACTCGCTTTGACATGACGCAAAGTGATCTGAAGAATTTACGAAGAGATTGGCGTGAGGTGATCGAAGAGTTTAGGAGAGGGAGTGAAGGCGGCTTGGATAAGCTCAGCGCAATTTTGCATGGTAATTATACAGAATCATGTAAGGTTCCCAAGTCTCCACCTAAAAAGCCTGAGGCCCGGCCTATAACAGTTACTAAAACTGACAGCGCAACGCCAGTTGCTACCAAAACAGAGGCTGCAAAACCTGTGGTCACTAAGGCCGAGGCGGCGAAGCCGACTGCCGCAAAACCTGATGGAACATCCAACCAAGGCAAGAAATCTGAGGGAGGACAGAACCAGGGCAAGGAAGCTGAGGGGAATCAAAATCAAAGTGGAACTAGTCTTGGAGTTCTGCCAACTGTGAAGTCTTTTGTTCACACTCAGTCATCCGGTGATCCAGGAGCTCCAGGCTCTCAAGGGCCTAAAGGGGATCCAGGCGTACCAGGGCCTCCTAGTACAGTGACCCCGGCGTCTCCTAAGTCTACAATTACACACGTTCAACAAACTGTTGTTCCAGGACTGCCACAGACTCCCACTCCGCCTCCTCCTCCCCCTCTTCCTGGAGGCGGTGACGCCGCTGCTCCGCCAGGTGTCCCGGGTCCGGGTTCAACGGCCGGTGGCCCTCGAAGTTCACAGCCTGGTGTCTCTCCAGTCACTGTGCTTAATCAGACTACAGGTGTTTCAGGTTCAGGCACTGATCCACCTGTTGTCCAGAGGTCTGGTGAACCAAGTGGTGGAGGGACTGGGCAAGGCAGTGGTAAACCAACAAATCAACCCTCCGATCACAGTTCAAGCGGCGTCGCTACTACGTCGGTTACCACGGCGTCTGGTGGAGTTGAAGGTGGGAGTGGAGGCGGACAACAATGTCCCGTTGACCGGGAATATAGGCAAATCAAACTCTGGCCTAATAGCGGTACGTACTGTGTCCGAACTGCTGACCTCAAAAGGCAAGATGAGCTTGATAAAAAAGTGCGTGACGCCCAAAGGGTCCAGGAGGAAACACTTGAGAAACTACAAGACGCTACACCTGCGACTCTAGACGGCTTCCAGCCTGCGGATCAATATCCACAATCTACTACTTATTATCCACGGTACTGGTCAGATTTGTACACTTTTAACGGTAGTGCTGTGCCAGATCCATATGTACAGCAGAATGAACGTGAGCGTGAAGAACTGGATAAGCTGTTAAATGAGTCGGAAGAGCGTAAAAAGCAAGCGGAAGCAGAATGGCACGGAGCGCAGCAGACAGCCTTTCGTGATGCGTTGTCACGTGACACTATATTTGGTAGACAAATATCTGATGGAAATCTGGTCCCTCTGTGGAAACTGAAGCCATCCACATTCAGCGGCGATGCAATTTCAGATACCTCTAGAAACGATCCGTCTTATGAGAAGTCGTTTGTAGACGGCCGAAATGAAGTCAATAGGCGATTCATAAAAGCAAAGAAGAAACAGGATGACCGAGAAACAACTTCAAGAGCAGTTTCACAAAAGGCTCTACTTAAAGACCTTTTTAGAGGCGGCGATGTCTACGTATCGCATCCACAGCCTGCGCCGCCTGATCCACTGAATGACTTCGACATCCATGTCATACCACAAAATATCCAATCGGCACCAGACCTCCCCGACCCAAATATTGTTCAGCATGTTCTAGATCGTAAAACTCCTCAGATTGACATTGAAGTCGTCAATAGAAGGTCTCCGGAATCGGACTTTAACCCTGCGGATTTGTACTTTGAAATTCCGAAGAATGATGTATTATCTTCTCCGGACTTCATACCTGTGCCCCCTAAACTTCTCGTCGAGCCTAAAATTTTTAAAACGTCAAAATGCGAAGAAGATGACCCTGAATTGTGCGCCGCAGATGAGGAAAAAAATATTCCCGACCTCTACATCGACGTCCCCAAGCGCACAGTTACGGACCCCTCATATGACGTAAACTTGTATTATGACCCTCTAACTCCCCCAACCGCCGAGCCACTTGAGCCCATCGGCCCATCTACTACCGCCGTCGCAATCAACTTTCCGCCAATCGATCCTCCGGAGAATCTCCCCAAAAGGTTTGCCGACAACTACAATCACAGCCCTGATGCCATTCAAATGTGCGTAGCTCCCTGGATCACCCAGAAACCTACGTATGACTCTACCGACATCCCCGAGACGGAGCTGTTCCCCGCCGAGGCGCCGCGCACAATCAGGGAGATGCTTGTTTGGATGGCCGGGCTGCGGCATCAAAAGCACCAAGACACTCTGAAAGACTGTATTAACAACGCTTTCAAGCGCGACGATGATGACGCTTCCGGCCCCCCGCTCCCAGTCAACGATTCTCACATCAGCCCCAAACACATCGTCGACATCCTCCAGCTTGCCGCCGTGTTCGCAGCCTCGGTGCTCAATTCCATCGCGCCTAAGTGGAGTATGGCAGTGCCGTATGCAAAGTCGAAGCCCGAAGACCCCGATTGCTGCGCCCTCCTCTGCCAGCTGCGGGACTACGTCTACGCCTGCTGCCACCAGTTGGCGTTCTTAAAGTCGCAGTGTTCTCGTAACACCAAGGACGGCGGTTGGCGAGATTGTCAATATGGCAATAATGTCCCCAACTCTCCCCTCCAGGCCTTCCTGACTGACGCCCCCGACTCCAGCTTCAAGACTCACCCCTTCGACTCGTGCAACATCTGCCGCAAGAGCCGTGTCAACATGGGATTCAAGCACGGTGATTTGCCTGTATCTCAGCAAACTGGCAACATACTCAACGACATCCTCACTCCCACTTGCGGCGGCGAGGATCCCTTGCTGACATTGGCCTCCTACCTCACCTGCCTCACCAGGCGGACGCCGCGCACCACCGGGGAGCTTGTCTCCTTCTTCCACAATTTCGGGAGTGAGCTGCACGATGTGTCTCTCAAGTTGTCTCAACTGGGCTCCGCCCTCTCCAAGCCACATCTCAACTGCCCCGACTGGGATTGTCTTGCTGCCGCCGACCTCCAAGCCATCAGGGAAGCCCGGGGCTCCGCCCCTCCCACCTCCACCTCCAACCACAACCACTCCGAGGACCATCCCAAGACGCTGTCCACGCTGCTTGGCTGCGGCATCGATAATGCCAACTGCCCACAACATCTCTCGCCCATCACCTACCGGGCCTACGCCCTGTACGCTTCCACCTTCGTTCACCACTACCTCAGCTGGACGGTGTACCTAGCAGACGGACTGTGGGACTCACTGCTCAAGCTGCACTATGATCTCGAGGACCTTCACCGCCACGACTCCAAGTCCAAGCCTCTCCATCAATGTGACAAGGCCATGCCCCTCCTCTACTCTCACGGCCTCACCCCGCCGGAAGGGACACTGCAGTCATCACTCACGTGCTCCGGGCTCATCTACAAGCTGGAGGAAGTGGTAAACACATACCCTATCGCGAGCCTCATGAGCTGCATGGAGACATTCCTCTACAATATACGGACGCCCATTATTTACATCCTCGGCACACCCTGGTGTACCGCATTCCTCCGCTCCCAAACGATGCTCCACCTCCTTGACGTCCTGCGTATACGTTGTCACATCATACCATCCAAGGCTTCGCACCTCACCGATGTCAGGGCGCCACTCACGCAAGGGAAGAAGATGCTCTCACTTTAACATGACGTAGATGACTTCGGTGATGAATCTGTTGGCTAGCTCCGTGTATAACAGTAATCATCGCATTAGTGTGGTCATTTACCATGTGATGAATTGGCGTAACCGTGTTGCTCCGTGTTTCTGGTTGTTTAGTGTGCTACGTGGATACTTATGGACTTGGGCCGATTATCGTGTTTACCAGCTCATAGCCTCATTTGGTCTACAATAGGTTACTATAACCATGTGACATCATATGGTGATGTCTCAGCTTCATATAAGTGCGTAAATGTTCAAATGACTCTGTGTTTCTATACCTCTGGCCGTAAGTCAAGCTGACCTTCGCGAATGTGAACACTTCACACTGCTGTATGACGTATCTGCCCTTTGGGGCAATCCTAACATATGGTACACTAGCTTTACACTGCAGTGGTGTAGCAGCCACTGTAAAGATTCTGAAGGTTACCGATAGTGATAGGTGGTACCATAATTAGAATTCTGCAATTGCTGCTCTGAGTGCACATGACACAAAACCAAAGCATAATCCTGAATCACTAAGAGCGTTTAACCGCCATTGTACGTCGCAGTTTTTTAAATGCCGAGTGAATGGCGACGATGCCGTCGGGCGGTTGCGATATGACACGAGCGTGAAGTTGAGTTTGGCGAGTGCTTCAGCCAGTTCTATCTGTGTATGAAAGCTGAGGACACTGTCGATCAAATACTTGCACGCATTCACATCATTTGCAATTTGGTTGCTCACGTTAGGTGTGACGATATCGCACTAGCTCTTGGCGGAGTGTATGTTGGTACGTTCAATGTCCAGGAGGTCAGTGCTTATTTGCAAAATATGGTTCGGCAATATGAACGTTGCGTTACGTTTCAGGCAGCAGTGGTTGCGTAATATGATTCTCGCGGCAATAAAATACGCTTCACTCAACGGACAACCCATCTTCTGGGTTCGTTGCTAATTGCTGTAAATGGCCGTTTGATTTAATATGGCATTTCATAGCTGCACCTAGCCTATACAGTGCAGTTTTAGTCGTACGACATTGCGATGGAAATCTTCTGCCAACCCGAATATCGAAAAGGGCGCGAGGAGCCGTAAGTGGTCTTTTTTGCTAGAGTCCAATATGGTGAAGGCTAACAACACCAGTTTTTATAGCGCCAATAACCATATTCACAAGCTACGATTGACATAGCAGTGTTGACTATTATCTCCAAAAAAAGCGGCATTGTCTGGCGGAGGGCAATGCTCGGCTACCACTGTTAGCTGAGACTTTTGTGAACTCGTGCCGGCGTGCATAAAATGGTTAAAATGAATGATACAACGATTTACAGGACAATATTACAGAGCGATCTAAGAGACAATTAATTGCCATCTCTTCCACATCCAGGGAACTCATACTGCAGGCGGTTCACACACTAAGTCGCCCGGCGAGGCACGGATACTGTGTTCAGGGTTCAGGTTAATAACACACATTCTTGGGTATAGTTATTCTGAGATACGTCTACCTTGAGAGCGACCGTATGTGACGCCCTCAATATGCGGGAATATGTAGAACTAACAATGTAATCCCCTGGGGGAGTTCCCTTCTGTCGAAATGCAAGAAAACCTATACTGATACGGAATTGCTGTTATGGAACGCAACAAATCGCAGCCCATGACTTCAGATGTTATTGCCGACAGAATGCCGGATTCTCTTAGGCTGTCTGACAAGCGGACTCGGCGTCGCAAGGTGTAAGACCGAACGCCTGCAGAGTAAAGTGTACCACTACTGCACAAAGCAGCAAATTGGTCCCCAAAGCTTGCGTATCACAGCTATAGACATATACACAACAGCGTCCGCACACATGGTGGTACCAAACACGAGCATGTGCCGGGTTCCGCCACATGGCACAATAACAGCTGGGAGAATGAGTGTTTTACGGGGAAAGTGAACAAATGTGTCGTAGTATGCAGCTGTAACGAGCCGAGAACCGCTCGACAGGAAAAGTTGCTGCGACCACCTAGGGCAAAAGCACTTATGCTCAGCGGAAGACGGTGCAGCGACCGTTCGCATTCCCCATTGACTGCCATGTTCGTAACGATCAAGCCCCGCAAGACGCCAGAGGCTCTGTAGGAAACTACCAGCGACCAATTGTAACATCAAAACCTTTATTTGCTGCCTGAAATTGTACTAGCACCGCAAGGCATATTATGTGCCATCCCTCCCGAAACAAAGATACCCCGATGAATCGCGTTAAGCATACTGCATGCCACCCCAATGGTATGGTGCTCGCTGCAACGGGGTGGGTTGACGTCATATCTTTATCTTACGCATATTTGGTGTATTGATAGTTTATTAGATATACATCTAAAGCGAATTTATTGGGTGTCAACAGCATCTTTTCTTTGTTTACGCTCTATTACAACGCAGCATTTCAAAGGCTCGGCCTGAAACTAGATCAAACATCCGCAAGTTTATTGCAGTTGCCTAATTTAACTAATCTTTTCAAGATGGTGTTCAATTCTTTGACTGACATTCCTCGCAACCCCAAGGAGGCTGTCGACTGGTTGGTAGCGCTGAAGGGAGCTGACGCTGAGAAGAACCTGGCTGCCATGGGTAAGGCAGTTTACGATTTGCTCGCCGACAAGCCTGTTGGATTCACCGATGTGACGGCTCTGTGGAACGTTAAGTTCAGCACTAAGAAGTTCCTGCAGAAGGATGAGATTAAGGACATGTGGCCCGCAAACGAGTTGATTGGGAGGTACTTTGCGTTTATGGATAAGAGTCCCGAGGCGCTCGCCAAGAAGGTTGCAAGCGTCCCCAAAAGCGACTATGAGAACGTCATTCAGACCAGGGTCTCACCGCTGACTCCATGGTAAAGAACGTCAGTGATGTTGTGGATGGTTGTGAAATGTTCCTGGAGAAAATCAAGGTCCCTGGCCAGTACAAGTCTGCTTACAGTGGAGAGGCTACGTGGGAATCTTCATGCGCGAAGAACCCTGAAGCTTGCGCAGTCGTCCTCGTGGGTATTGCGCCAATGCTGTACGTAGGCTTAGGTTCTTTGTGGTCTGCGAGCCACGCTGAAATGTCGAAGCAGTCGACGGGTGCTGGAGAGGTATTGAAGGTCCTGGGCTTCGTTGAGCCGCAATGCCGCGCTGACAGCGCATCAAGTGTACTCAGTGGTTTGAGAGGTGTGGACCTGCACATTTTGGACACCCTCTACGACCTCGCTGGCTTCTGGGCATTCTACTGAGAAGACAGCCCAGGTGAGCTGTTAAAGCAGCCAGGCATATTTTATCCGTCCGTATTCCCAGTGAGTTGACATCATTGGAGCTTCCGGGAAATATTTTTAATTTATCAAATATAGCAATAGCCAGATTTTCGCATACGATCCCCATACACGATACTGCTGCCGTGAAATGAGGCGGGCACGGTTATGAACTTCCATATAATCTCGTTCACGGTGCAGTTTGCTGAGTTGTTATTGCAACGTTGCGTCGTTTCGTCTTCGTATACCAGGTCGGAGTGGTATGTACGTGCGCGGCTTATCACTCGCGCCGTAGACCCATTCGCGCATTATGCGGTGGGTGAGCGGTCACCGTGCGTAAAACGCGAGGCCAATTACAACATATTAGCGGAGCATAACTGAACACATGCCCGGCATGTTATAGTGGCGTAATGCCGTTGTGCGCCGACCTTAACTCATAGGGCTGCCATTGTACCAAGTGCTACCACGGTTTGAATAACCCTGATCCCCATCGCCACAAGTCCTGATGACTCCTTGGCATACTTTGTGTTACGCATATTGTTGATGATTCTACAGCTAGCCGGTGTTCTGCATAAACCACTTGTGGTTTCTCTTTCAGCCATGACATCCTGCGGCGTGTTTGTATCTGTTGACTGTGTGTTATCCTTTGGATCAGTTCCGATATGATTCCTGTGGTCATCAAATAGCTCCAACCTAAACAGTATCTGCGACACGTTTCGCTCCAACTCCCCCAGGTATAAGCTATTTACGACATATGCGTACTCATCGAATGCTAGCTCCAGTTGCCGTTGCTCGGCTATTAATTCGGATGCTTGAGGAGATGCCGGATCTATCCTTTTCAGTTTTTCAGTGATATCGTTGTAATGCCTGTAAATCTTCCATGCGCCTCTTATCCGTATAAATTCTTCACAATACGTGTCGTAGTGATATTGAACGTCTTCGGGAATTGAATCCCGTGCCTCCCTTGTAAAGTCGTGTAATATGTCTTCTGTTTTCTCCGCTTCTGACTGAACTTTATCTAACCTTGTTAATAACGAGTTGTCGTTGAGTAATTTTCGCGTAGTGTCATTGCCTGAGTCAGAGTGTGAGACAATTTCGCCTCTACCGCTATGGCGCCCTCCTGCACCGCCCACTAAATCAGGTTTGAGCGCGGCTGCATTTTCTTCTTTATCTGCCAAAGACCCTTGATTATGAGAGCCAGGCGACGTTGGTGTCAGCGCCTTATATTTTCGAAACAGTTCTCTTATCCTTCTTGCGGTGTCTCTGTAATATGACACCTTCTCTAATTCATTGTTTTGGTTTTATTTAGTGTGCTATCTGGCTACGTGGCTTAGGGCCGATTTTTGTGTTTACCAGGCTAGCGCCTCACGCTGCTGGTGTCGGTGACAGGTTATTTGCAGTAATGGTGCCGAACGATTGATTGCATGTGACGCCACTTGAAACAAGCACGGCGTTATATAACGTGCCAAACGTGGACTTACAAGCTAGATTTAGATACAGCGTTGTTCCAAGAAATTGTGGAGACCACGTAACACTCATAAAGTGTGTTTGCAGCTTAGATGAACCTATTCATGGCGTCTATTTTTCTGCGGGCGAGTGAGGATCATGAAATGTTTCACCGCATCATGGGTACAGGGCATCCTCACTAATCCGGCAATACTCACCCTGCTACAGTTTGCAAGAACGCCCTTTCATGACAATCTTTGGGTCACAAATGTGAAAACAACGGTTGGTACTTTGTTGTTCGGTAGAATGTCACTGATGTGCATGCGATGTGGTGTCTGCACGATTTTTAGAGACTCTAATTTGGAATACATGTTCACTACTAGATACCAATGACTACTCCATTGAACTGTGCAAGGTACCAATGACAAAAACGTACGCCGGCGTAGGATTCATTCGCCACGAAGCCACTCTGGCCGACGGCGACGCATATATGCCAACCACCCCCAGTAACTATTCCTTAAAGCTAGGTTCACAAACTGCATTTCAGCACACTCCGCATAGGGGGTGTGTAGGTATACGCTACGGTGGCGAACGGGATGCTTGCAATCGTCATGACAGGTAGAGTGACGGCATAAAGACGATCCCTCGTTTGATGGAGTTTGACACCTTTTCGATTTTATTCTGCAGTTCCTCGTCTCCGTTGATGTGTGCCACCTGACCAATCTTACGGCAGAGCTCGTCCAGCCTGGTGATCGCCCTGACGATGTGCCCCTCCTGCAGGTCTGTGAATTGCATGATCTCGTTGAAGGGCGTGCCCGTAGCCCACTGGTATATGACATAAGAGAGCGAGAAGTTGCACAGTGATGCGTGCTCCTCTCTCGACACGTTGACATTCAGCGCACGTTGCACGACGTCGATTTTGTTGTGCAGGACCAGGACGGCGTCCCTCGCCCGCTGTATCGCCTGCGTAGGAGCGGGCACCTCCTTCTCTGGCGCTCTGTCGTTGTGGATGAACGCAGACAGTATAGCTGCGCATTCCTCTGGCTCCAGTCCGCTGAGAACGTTCTGCACGATGGTTTCGGTGAGCGTGATTTCGTCGCCCGTAGTGAGGTATGTGGCGATTCTGCCCTTGACCGTCGGCCTACCGTGCTCGTCCAGGAACTCGAGTTGCTTGAGCACCTCCACCTTCGCAATCATCTCATCGTATGCGTACAGCGACTCCTCTTTGAGGTTGGCGCTGATTTCCTCGATTTCACGCTGGCACTCCTCCACGCGCGCCTGCACGGAATAGTGCTTGTCCTTCAGGTGACAGTTCGTGCACTTGTTTTTCGACAACTCGTGGTATATGTCGCGCTGTTTGAGCACGACACCGTAAAATTGGAGCGACGTTTGCTTGAGCTGCTTATTGAAGGCAAGGAGTTCCAGCTTCCTGGTGTCTACCAATTTGTGTAACTCCGATGCGACAGACGCCATGAGCGCAACTCCGATATCCTTACTATCTCCGAAGGTGGTATTCGTGTTCTTCACGTTGACTACATTGTTGTATACAAAAGAGACATTGCGTACGTCGATAGACTCGCAGACTGCGAACCTGATCTCTGCGTGATTGTACGCGCTTATGGTGGTATGTATGGTCCCTGTTGCTTTGGATTCTTCATACAAGTCTGGTAGCAGCAGCAGGACCTTGAGTTCTAGGGTCTTGCCCTTTGAGGAAGCGATGATGCACGCATAGGAGCTGGTGTTGCAAAACCCTAACGAGTGCACCATTAAAACCCGCCCTGCTTTGAATATTTGCGCATTCTCCCTGTGGTTCCAGAGGTTCTCGTGGAGGCTGTTGGCGATACGCCTCGAGCGCATATCCAGCCGGTGGTACTCCTCGATACTGGGCTCGCCATATATACAGTCTACCTTTGGTAGCGTGAGTAGCTCCTGGCGTTTGCGCACTCCATCACGCTTGAAAATGGGAATATTCTTCATTTTGTTATTTTCCTTGAACGACTTCAGCATCATTTCAGTGATGTTCATGTGCTCTCTCGAGTGGACTTGCAGGAGCATGTTATACGTGATTCTGAACCTGCTTTCCAACCTCGTGGACTTTTCGAACATCATGTTTGTGAGGTCCTGCAAGTCTGGCGGGTCGTCTGGGCAGAATATGTAAACGCTGCCAAACGAGTCCAGCCCCCTCCTGCCTGCTCTCCCAGCCATTTGGGTGTACTCTGAGGCGGTGAGGTGCCTTGTCTTCTGCCCATCATGCTTGTGTATGGACGTGAAGATTACAGACCGGGCAGGCATGTTCACCCCCATGGCGAACGTTTCCGTTGCGAAGAGCACTTTGATCAGTCCTCTGGAAAACAGGATTTCAACCTGCGGCACATCAGTTAGTCAGTGGGTAACAACTTACGATCTCTTTCATAAGTGGCAACAGCCCCGAATGGTGCACTCCTATTCCCCTGTAGAGCAGCTTTATGATGCTTCTGACCTGCACCAGGTTTCGGTCGCTTTCGCTGATGCTGCTGAGCGACTCTTTGAGGAATAGGTGTATCCGGGACCGCTGCACCTGGGTGTAGCTCAGGTTGAGATTGGGCATTTCCCGGGCGTAAGCCTCGCACTTGGCCCTGTTGAAGCAGAAGAGCACGACCGGCAGCTTGTGCGCGGTCTCGAGCAACTTGATGAGCCGCTGGAGCTTCTGCACGTGCCCCTTGAAGGTGGTGCGTTTGACATTCCCGCTCTTCGTTAGCGTGGAGTACTTGTACATTTGGTGATACGCGTCCTTGTTGAAGCCCTTATTGTCCAGCAGTAGGAACACGCGCCCATAAATGTATAAGAAGTGCATGAGCGGCACCGGACGCTTGCTCGTAACAATTGTGATGACCTCGCGTTCCATGATCGCTCCTATCCAATCTGCGAATTCACTGTAGTTGGGAACGGTGGCGCTGAGCATGACCAGCTGCAGCGACTTGGGGAGCATGATGAATACCTCCTCCCACACCACACCGCGGTTTACGTCGTTTATGTAGTGCACCTCGTCAAAAATGACGACTCCGATCTGCCCGATTATCGCGTCACCTCTGTATAGGAGGTTGCGCAAAATTTCGGTGGTGACTATAAGGCACGCCGCGTTCGGATTGCACGAGACGTCCCCCGTGATGATTCCCACCGACTCATTTCCAAACCGTTTCGTGAATTCGCGATACTTTTGGTTGCTGAGGGCCTTGATGGGACTAGTGTACACAGCCTTCTTCCCCCTACTTATGGCGAGCGCCACGGCGTACTCCGCAACGACCGTCTTTCCCGACGACGTATGCGCGGCCACGAAAACGTGCTTCATCTTGTGAAGGTGGTATATCGCGCGTTTCTGGAAATCATCCAGTTCGAATGGGTACTCGATGATATAGTCGTCAATCTGCGGCAGCGAGGAGTCGTCCACTACTGACCACTTGGTGCGTATGTAGCTCCTTTCCTCGTCCGGTTTCGGTACCACCATGGCCGCCTCGCTTGGCTCTTCGGAGGATTCCAGAGGCTTTATCTTTACCAATGACGTCCTATTCTGTGAGCTCGGCCACGACTCTGCATGTGATTCAAGCTGGTGAGTCGATTGAAATAATAACGCGATGGAGATGTTGCTGATGGATAGATCCAACCGCTCATCAGCTCAACATAAACGCGAGATACGTACAACATATACTCACCTTGAAGTTGTTCGGCGACCGCTTCGGTGCTAACTGCTCCAGCCTGCCCCAAAACGGGCTCAGTCGTCAGTTCGCTGCCTCCACGTGATATTGCGTCGAGCTCGGTGGCCATGTCTGCCACATTAAACTCTGGCTCGTTCTCGGCGTACTCCATGGAGTCGCCGAACAGCTGCTTTTCCAGCAGATCAACGTCGATGTCGAAGCAGCTGTCGTGATCATCCTTGTCTAGTAGGTCGAACGGGGAGTACTTCACCTCCGTCTGGTCGATTATTGGCACCCATGCCATGGAATCCAGCGGATTTGTGAACGCTTGCGAGAAATCCAAGGGATGGTATTCCCTCTTAAAGGCGCTTGCATCCTGTTTTGCGGCTCCGAGGCTGAGCTCATTCGGTCTCGGCTCGTCCTTCTGCTCCTCATCTGAGGTCCAGAAGTCCGAAATATTATCGTATAGGCTCGTCATGATTGCGATTTTAGGTGTGTCGGCCTGCTTCACCTGTCTTCGCTTCGGGTCTCGGCGAGTCTGCGCCAGTAGGTGTGCCTGGCGCGTTGGCCTGCAGCTGCTCCGTCTACCTCGTCAATGCGTATATAAGAAAGGCATGTGATCACAGATTTTCACGCATACCGAAATAATATTGATAGATATTCGCTGATCTAGACCTCTTCGCGGCACGCAAGTCGGCCTTCTCCGAGCTGCCGCTCGAGGATTTGGACCCTCTCGGCGATCAGCTGCAGGCGCTCCTCCTGGCTGGATCCGTCAACATGGGCGCCGCGCGTGATCTTCATGAAAATATTGTTGCAGTACCGACCGTTCAGCGCGACGAAGCTGGCGCTATGCCGCCAGGGTGCCCTTGCATCTTCCGCGTTACACTGGATGACTAAAGCCGGTTTAGCGCCGACCGTAGTCCGTGCGTTGCTGCACGGATTGTATGAGTAGACCGCATCTACGCTGATGTCATCCACGCTGCCGAATTCTTCAAGCTCAAGCTGTGTCAGCGGTTGAGACGGGTCTGCAATAGCATCCAGGACGTCTAGGAAGGGGAGCTTGAGCAGAACGCAGCTGCATAAATCGGGCAGCATGTTGTATAAACAGCCACCAAGCACCCCTCCCGCAGAGGTGGTGGCAATGGCAATTTTGTTGCGCTGGGCTATGTTTTTCGCCAGAATGAATTCCAGCACATCCACGAGGTCTGTGAACCCGTGGTGTTTCTTGCTTTTGGTCGCATCTATGTGCCAAGCGTGTCCTATTTCGCCTCCTCCTCTGACATGAGCGAAGCACAGCGTGTATCCCAAAGCCAGTAGAACATTGTGCTCAACGTCATTGTTGACCTGAAGGCACTGACCGTACGCCCCGTATACATACACTACGCACTTATTTCCTGTATTTTGGAAGTTCATTAGCCCCGAATTAGCTGTAGCGTGCCGTGTTTGGTTATTCGAAGCCTTTTTGATGAGGGTAACAGGTACCCTGCATGTACCGTCTCTTGTGGATACATGGCAGACATGATGATGGATGCTGGGGACCTCTCCGACGCACTTCAGCGTTTCTGCCGGCAAAAGGACGACATTGTTATGAAATCCTAGGTTTTGAAGCATTGGGTTGCCGTCAGGAAATTCGGTTAGCACCGTTGACGCCGCCTTGGTTACGCTACCACCCTTGCCGACAGATGAATTCGTTTTCCCGCTACTTTCGTAGGCAATTTCGAGATCTACATAGCACCTGATATCACGCGTGCCAGGTGCATTGATCACGATTGCCACTTTGTTTGCTCGGAAATTGGAGTTTCCTTGGGGTTCGATGGTTCCAACCTTAAGGGGCAGACCGACCTCGCAAATTGCGTTGCAATATCCTAGTTCATCGGTTCTTTTTGGACGTGATTTTGGCGTGCAGAAGGGCATTATTAGTATACTTGGCGTAGAAGGAGGCGCCATAGCGTATATAACCAGTCCGCGGTACATCATGTCGACGTCGGTAACCACGCGGTGGTCAAAAGTCGCGATCGTTTTCCATTGGCCAAACCCATTACGGTAGCTCTCAGTGGAAGTGTAGGTCGCAACATCTGACATCCGTGATCTCCTTTTGAAATGCGGTTTCAGCACTCTGTCGTTCATCGTTGATACCGCCCATAGCAGCGACCTATTCTCCTTATGCCACTGATTTATATCGTATACATATCCGCCTTTATATCCCGATGTACCAAGTCCTTCTTCCTTTGAATTTCGCAGAGATGCGAATTTGTGGTAGTGCCAATTCGCCCTTGATTTCATGTTCTCAGCGTCATCAAGTGTGACGTGGCGTACCGCATACAGGTGATTGTTCCTGTGCTCCAGGAACGCCTTGGTATCAGAGGCAAGCGGTACGCGATACATTTTGAGACGTTCCCTAGCTTTTACGCAGAAGGTTTTAAACGTCTGGCCATGCGAAAGCGCCGCGACAATCAGCATCCGCCCATCCTTCGTTTTGTGGATGGAGACGTATTTGGTTGGATCGTGTTCGGTGTGCACGGGCCTATCGTTGGTGATTTTACCGGTATTAGCGCATATGTAGGCCACCCTCAACTGCCACGCCCTTTCTTGCTCGTTAACCAGGGTATATAACATACGGATGCAATGCCGATCCCTTGTTCCTTGTGGAAGGAAGTGCAGCTCGTCCACACCTGTGAGATAGTCAGGCAAGACTTTGGGAAGAGCCCGTATTTCCCCATAATCCTTAGAGCGGGATCCTTTCTTCCTTATGCTATTTATTGCAACGAAATGCACTGCCTTTCCAATATTAGATGCGTCGTGAAGGAGGGCTAGGATAGCGTTCGGGTGACGTGTTTGACCCACACGCATGCTCCGTATATTACTTATGAGGTTGCCTTTTCCGTCTACAATGTTTCCGAAGTCCAAAATATCTTGTTGTCGGCACATCATGTGTGCTTCATCAGAGTCTGATGGCTGCTCGCTGGGAGGCCTTTTGCGATTCATCCCCCTGCGATTCGGCAGACCCGCCCTCACCAGGAATAGGCGGCCCGTATCTTCAGCGATACCATCTGGTTGTATATTTTCATTTCCATGGCCATACATGCTTTTGTTTACGACAAAATACGCGTGATTTCCGAATACTTCATATTCCAATGTATCGTGCATTCCATCAGTGATCATGGCAGCTTCCTTTCGCACCAGATCCGAAACCCGTTCAAAATCATGAGGATTATCCTCGATTACGCTCTTATAATTTTCCAAGGCAGTTGTAACCGCATCTCCCTTTTCGCGTTTTCTCCGTCCTGCTGGCCGTAAGCCACGGTTCATTCTGTCCTCCATTTGGGAGGTCCACCATTCCTGTTTTGTCTGCGTTAAGGGTGGGTCCATTTGGCGCATCAGGCGCACGTAGCTTGCGATAGTTGTGTTAGATACGGCCGTTTGCAGTTGCGATCCAGTGCTAGTCCCGGAAAACAACCGCCCGAAGCAAGTGGCTTGGCATAGCTCATGGTGGAATGCGCGGATGTATAGGCTAATTGGTCTTTGCATTTTATCGCGATTTTATGAACTTCAATCGGCAAATGGACACTAATAACATGTAAACTACACTCTTAATCGCTCGGTGCGGGTTGAGGATCCACCAGCGTATTGCGGAAGTTTAGGCAAGCAATGGATCCGTGCCACAGATTGGCGGCGATAACTACAGATGTGTGGATTAGTCCCATTCTAAACAGTCTAAATACATCATGTATAGCGTCTACATTATAACTTTACGTGCATATAAGCACGCCTTGTTGAGAAGGCTCAGACAGCCCTGGACGCCGCAAGGGTGTGTCTGTCCCTAGGCATGGGCTCACCAAACGGACTACTCAGCACCAACCACCCTATTCAGCCATACAATGGTGATGAACATAGAATGTGTTGCCATTGGGCGCCTTTTGGCCACTGCGGTCGCTTGACGGCCCCAACAACACGTCGCACGTAGGCTGCGCACGCCGCGAGAAGACGGCAGCTCACGTTCCATTTTTACGCACTTAGAAAAAATGGTGCGGTCTAACAATGTAGGATACGACCGCCACATCACGATCTTCTCCCCTGATGGCAAGTTGTACCAGCTTGGTAGGTTGCCGGAGTGGTCTTGTATAGCTTTCGCAGAGTACGCGCTCAGGGCGGTCAAATGCTCCAACCTGACTGGACTGGCCGTGAAGGATGACAACGCGATCGCAGTGGTTTCGCAGAAAAAGCTGTCGGCTCAGCAGGGCAATCAGGTTGGTGGTCGAAGTGTCAGCTTACAAGTTTTTCAGGACGTGCTGCTCGACCAGTCGTCCGTGACGCACCTCTACCATATCACCGACGAGGTTATGGCCCTTCTTATCGGGTTTCCAGGTAGGTGTTGCCGCTTCTGCCGGTTTGTCTGTCCCACCTCTAGGTGCATCCGTTGTGTCGTCCGTACGAGTTTTGCGCGCTTTTAGCGCCAATATACACTCCAATTAGGCTCTGTTACTGACTGTTTGTAGGTGACTGTATGAGCATTCTGTACAAGAGTCGTGAGATCGCACTGGAGTACCAGTACAAGTATGGGTGCAACATCCCTGCGCGTGTGTTGTGCGAGAAGCTGGCGGACATTAACCAGGTCTACACCCAGCACGCATACATGCGCCTTCGCGCCTGCAGTGAGTTGATACGAAGGCACAGTTGTATACCTTCGCAGCTGGCCTAATAATGGCAGTCGACGAGGAGAATGGCCCCGTTATTTACAAGTTCGACGCGTCGGGATGGTTCAGCGGCTACAAGGTGGGCGTGATTGTGTTCTTCACTCACAATGTGTTAGGCCTGCAGCGTAGGCGCAAAGGATCAGGAAGGCGAGAATGCGTTGGAGCGTATCTTGAAGCAGCGCGAGACCGTCACGTTGAAGGAGAAAGTCAAATCCGATCTCGAGGTGGACACCGAGGCACACCACCTCACTGGCGGCGCTGAGACACGCGTGACTGTCGAGGCGATTAAGGCTATGATTGCCATCGACGCCTACGACCAGCTGAATGGCGCCAAGAGCATCGAGGTTGCCATCTGCACCCGCGACAACCCCGTGTTCCGCCAGCTCAGCGAGCAGGAGATTGAGACCTACCTGACTCACATTGCTGAGAGCGACTGAATGAGCATAAGCGCGCTACAGGGATGACCTTTCGCGTTTTCGAAGTTGCCATCTGGACGGCGACGCCATAGATAACTGGAGCAGCGGGTCTAAGCATCGAAGACACTGAACCCAGTATAATACTTCTAGACACCAATGCTATGCATTTAGCACCATTATCGCATGTTTTGTGCTTTGCCTCAGGCACCCGCTATGCTGCATTGTGGCGATGAGGTACGGGTTACGTGCCTGCCGTCGTCACCGGTCTCATTGTTTGTCCTTCTCCTCTGCCTGAGTCTTGAGCTTCTGCAACTCCGCAACCTGTTTGGCAAGCTTGCTGGCCTCTGGGTTGTTCTGGAAGTAGTCCCTGACAGGCTGCAGCAGGCGGTTGATGTAGCTGGCCAGCGCCGGCTTGAGGTCAGCCGGGTGCAGCGCTCCCGACTTGTAATCCTCCTCCAACTTCTCCTGGCTGTCGTAGGTCACATCGCCTGCACGATTATTAAGATGTGCTGACACACGGTTATGAACCAATCCACCGTCATTGGTTGTAGTTTGTATTAGTGCTACCGATCGCTTACCTCCGTTCTTGGGCTTACGCGGGATGGTGACCGTCTTGAATTGCGGGAACACAATGAGGTCGAAGTAGGCGATGCAGGGGTTATCCGTCACTTCCTTCTCCGGGCACCAGGCGCTCTTGATCTTGGCGTTGACCTCTGCCTCCGTGTCCTCCATGAAGATGGCCGAGTTGGGGATCGACTTGGACATTTTGCCACCCTGGTGCGCGAGCGAGGGCATCATGTGATGCGACATGATAATAGGCCTGGCTCCCACGTTTTTGAGCTCGCAGTACTCTCTTGCGAGCATGTTGATTTTCCTCTGGTCAAGGCCCAGCTGGCAGATGTCCGCCCCGATGTAGAAGATGTCGGCGCACTGCATCGCCGGGTATAGCAGGGATGCAGCCGGCCTGTTGTCGCCCTCAGCGCGCCCCAAAGCCTCGCTGCAGCGTTTGAACCGTGTGATGTTGAATGAGCGGCTGATGTCCATGACGAGCCTCCAGTAGAGGTCGGCGTTTTTGTTGATTTCCTCGCTCGCCCAGAGGAACTTAACTGCGGACATGTCCATCCCCGATGCGCGCCAGACGTGTTTGAAGTACTCGCCCACCAGCCTGATGTTGGCCCAGTCGCCGCCGAGTTTGTCGTTGAGCACGGCGAACCAGTCTGCTATCCACATCACGCTGCGAATGCCCATCTTCTTCAGTTCGTTGACCTTATGAGCCTTGCATATGCCCTGGGCGATGTGCATTCTGCCCGAAGGCTCGAATCCATCGTAACTGATCGGCACGTAGTCCTTCCTCTCGAGCAGCGCCTGCAGCTCCTCGGCCTTGATGCACTCGACCGACAGCTTGCACGCTCGTTCCACCGCCTCCGCCACCGGTATGCGCGGCTCAGAGAGCGACGCTGCGAAGTGTGCGTTGAGCCTTTCCCGGATAGAGTTCTTCGCGGCGCACGACCCCGGGTGGAACTCGAAGCCAGTGCTCGTTCTGTAGCATTCCTCTTCGCCGTCGAACTCGAGGCCGCCGTGAAGCGGCGAGGCGAATACACGACTCATTTTCGCAAATCTTCTTAATTGAGTTCGGCTTATGATTGGCATCTATAGTGACAGATCGGTTCAACCCAGATGTGCAGCGTGCGCCGGGCGTGGTAAGCCAGAGCACGGGGCTTCACATACACATAATTTCGCAAGCAAAGTATTTGCTTTATTATTGGGTTGTTATTCACCTGAAATGGCGAAGGCATTCAACCGCGACGCTCAAGAATGTAGTTAAGCTGCCAATGCCCATCGGCATTACACATTCGCCGAAGGCGGCCATTGACGGCGCGTCTAACGCATTCACGCCTCAAAATACTGGTTTTGCTTACGTATTTATCGTGTTGCATCGCCGCGGTATCACCTTTGGTTGATAGCACAAAACAGCCCGTGTCTAATACATTCCACTAGCTTAACAGAGCCTCCAGCCGATACACCAATGCGTCAGCCACCCCTCGGTCAGTTATTACAGTTATACGTGGGTAGCGGTTTGCGATACCATTTCGTCTTCCGGGTCTGACCAAATGGATGGTAACAACTGAATTGTCACCCTTCCCGTTCCACTTCTCCTGCGTCGCCGTTTCGCGCAAATGATATCGATCGGACGAGTCATGCGCATGTCGGTGCTTGGTGGAGTGTTGCTTGCTTACGCTCCGCTAGGAATTCCAGATTTCTCGCAGACACATCGGAGCTGCCATTTCGTTTTTTCTTGAAATGAGTGTTCAGCTACGTTGTTATTCAGGTGTCACAACCCCTCCGAGCTGCAGCTGTGTGCTGCAGCTCGTGTGCCCCTCATGTTAAAAATTACTCCAGCGGCAGCATGGGCAAGAGCTCTTTGAGCTTGTCGAGCAGCTCCTGCAACGTTTGTGTAGGTCGTGCCTAAGCATTTGCTTACCTTGAAGCGCTCGTCCTCCAGGTCAACCTCTGGCAGCGAATATATTAGCGACTCCAATAGCTCCGGGTTGCCCTCCGAGGTCATGACCATCTCCATGACTCTCGGGAGGGGGACGACCTCGATCGCTGCCATGTCCTTGATCTGGTTTTCGACATCGGCCATGGTCAGCGTCTGCGTCGGCTTCTCCGCTTCGTTGGTGGTGGCGGTTTTTTCGTTCTCCCTGCGGACGCGCTCCTCCTCCTGCTCCAGGGACATGCGCAGAGCCATGTATAGCTGCGGGTCCATCTCGGGGTCCACGCCGAAGTCGCCCAGGTTGGAGTGGAACCCGCCTGCGATGCTGTTGCCATCCGAGCCCTGCATGATAGGCGAATTGAGGATCATCTCGCTGAGCAGCATGTCACCCCCTGCCTTGCAATGGAGGTAGTGCGAGGTGTCGTTGTTGTTGACTGCGGCGTGAAGCGCTACGAGTTTCTCATCGGTCGCCACATCGTTGCACAGGTTGATGATATCGATGGCCACGTTGTTTTTCTTGAGCAGTTTGCCCAGCATGACGTAGTGTGTGCAGTCCTCCTTAACAGGGCTGGCGAAGAAGCAGATGATGCGCTGCTGCTGCGACTTGTTGAGCCTGTGCTTGAGTGCAAGTTGCGCTGTCTGTATCCCCTTGATGAACTCGCTCTCGCCGTAAGGTGTGACTAGCTGCAGCCCGGAGAGGAATGTGCCGAGGTCGTTGGACGGAGCGGTGACGAGCCTGGAGCCCCGGCCAGCGAAGCAGATGATGCCCACCGTGTTCTCAAAGTGCTCCGAGAGCTTCGCGCTTGCGATAAGTCCGCTGGCATCGACCTGTGCGGCCAGCCTGCTCGGGGAGAAGTCCCCGTTGCGAGAGTACTCCGAGTTATCGACGCAAATGAGCGTCGCCTCGACTCCCATGATGCCGCTTTTCTGAAAACGAAAGCGTGCGTGGGATAAGGTTATGTCTTGGTTTTAGTCCTTCCGAAGTTAAGTGATCACGGGCGATGTTCTCGCGCCCTAGGCCCTGACATTAGCGATGCGCCAGGTGTCAGCACAGTCTATAGCCGAGCAGCGTGGCTACACACCCGTTCACAAAACACACACACCATACACACTGACTGCTTAAGCACGAAATTGGCCTCCGCGCAGGTCAAATCCGCGCGCGGAGCTCACGCACATGTGTGTCAGCAACCACACGCATAAGCTTCTGTAAGCTGCCAGAGCGTTCCAACGCTGAACGGCCTACACTAGCTAATCGGTTTCTAGTGATGTGTGAGCTGCTGGGCGCTCTGTAGCGCGTCTCAGCGGCGGCTTGATTGCCACCCAAGATTCCAGCTGCTCTGCCGGTGTTAAGGCGTACACTTTCCGTATTCCGCCGTAACTACTAGCGGCGGTCTTATTTTGAGGGCATACCGCTTGTCAGTTCGGTGCAGGATGCGGCAAGTATCGTGAGATGGGAGTACCGACCTTTTATCGCTGGCTCTGCAGCCGGTACCCGCGCGTGGTACAGGATGTGAAGGATGACCTGAACGAGCGGGATGTGGACTTCACCGACGTGGAAGCCTTCGGGATGGAGCTGCTGATGCCTAACCCGAACGGCGAATTCGACAACCTCTATGTAGACATGAACGGTCTGATCCACCCATGTTGTCACCCCGAAGGACTGGAGCAGCCGCCATCGGAGGAGGTGATGTTCCAGTGTATATTCGACTACCTGGACCGCCTCTTCTACCTGGTGCGCCCGCGTAAGTTGCTGTTCCTGGCCATCGATGGCGTCGCTCCGCGCGCAAAGATGAATCAGCAGCGCTCCCGCAGATTCAAATCGGCTGCGGAGGCTGACCTAGAGGCTTCGACCTATGAGAAGGTGTCCGCGGAGTTCGCCGGCAAGAACATTTTTGTGCCTCCGAAGCAAAAGCGCTGGGACAGCAACGTGATCACGCCAGGCACCCCGTTCATGCACGAGTTGAGTCGCCGCGTTGTGTCGTTCATCGAGGAGCGTCGTCGTCTGTTCGAGTCCTGGTCGCGCATCCACGTGATTTATTCGGACCCGAACGTGCCGGGCGAGGGCGAGCACAAGATCATGAACTTTATCAGGAACCAGCGGCACTCGCCGCAGCACGACCCCAACACCCGTCACGTGCTGCACGGGATGGACGCCGACCTGATCATGTTGGGTCTGGCCACCCACGAGGTCAACTTCTACATTATCCGAGAAATCGCTGTTATAATCCCTGCAACACGCAAACCTGAGCAGGAGATCCGCAAAGCGGTTCTGGCGGCACAGGCGAATCCGCTGTCCGGGTCTACCAAGCTTCAGAGCGACAAGTCGTACCGATCCATGTTGCGCCAGAATTGGAAACAAATGCAGTTTTTGCGCATACCAGTGTTACGCGAGTATCTATCGCACCAGCTGTACTTCCCCGCCGGTTGGAGCGGAGGCGGCGGGCCCATAGCCTTCGAGCGCTGTATCGACGATCTGGTCCTGATGTGTTTCTTCTGCGGAAACGACTTCCTGCCGCACCTGCCTTCGGTATCTATCCCCGGAGGGTCAATTGATCAGATGATACTGCTGTACCAGAGCGTGCTCCCCGATCTGGGAGACTACCTGACGAACGAGGGCGAGATTAATTTCGCCCAGGTAGAGCGATTTGTGTCGTTCATCGCTCGTGTGGAGGATGACGTGTTTCGGACGGAGCAGGATTTCAAGCAACGCCAAAAGGCGCGTCGAGCACAACAGGAATCGCAAAAGGCCTCGGCTGATGAGTCGCCGAGGGAATCGCCTCGTGCGCCGAATCCAGATCGCAGTTTGTCTAAACCCGGCGGGATGCAAGGAATGCAAAGCATCGCCCATAACGACGCGAATTCATCCAAAGTAGATGGTTCGTCGAATGGAGTGCCACATGTGACAAATGGTCATGGCACTGCCTCTAATGTTGACCTCTCTAAAGGGTCGGATCGGTCGTCGGCGTCCGAAACCGATAGCTCCACGGATAAAAATGCGGCAAGCAACGGTGATTCAGTTTCCTTCTCCGAACTAGACGTGGAAGTCGCCTTCAAGAAGCGTTGCGACGAGTTGCTCAAGCAATACCGTGAGATCGCCAACCCAGTGGAGCCTATCGACCTGTCGCTGAATGACCCCAAGCTGTGGAAAGCTGCCTACTATCGGCAAAAGTTCAATCTATCGGAAACTGATGATGTGTCTGCCTTTGCCGCCAAAGTTGCGAAAGAATATGTCAAGGGCATGTGCTGGGTGTTGCGGTACTACTACCAGGGCTGTGCCAGCTGGGGCTGGTTCTACCCGTACCACTACGCCCCTTTCTGTTCCGACTTGAAGTTCGAGGGTATGGAGTTCACCTTCGATTACGGGGAGCCGTACACTCCCTTTCAGCAGCTGCTGAGTGTGATGCCAATTCGTTCGGCGCATTGCCTGCCCGATGAGCTGCGGCATCTGATGACCGACTCCGAGTCGCCCATTGCCAGCTTCTATCCCACGCAATTCCGCGAGGATCCGAACGGCAAACGTTACAAGTACCAGTGGGTGGCCCTGCTGCCGTTCATCGAGGAAGCCAAGCTGTTGCAACTGGCGCGCCCCATTGAGGCCACCCTGACTCCAGAACTGCAGGATCGTAATCGTGTGAGGAAGGACGTACTATTCGTTGGCAGTGGCGGCACCGATGCATTCATCGGTGAGTTAAACTGTGAGGGTGATCGCTGTGAATTCGTATCAAAGGCCGAGCAGAAGCACCAAAGCGTCCTGTTGAACGGCGCCAAGTTGCCCTCACGCGTGCTGCGCATTGAGGACCTGATGGAGGAGGGCCGCAACCGCGGGTTCAACTGCGACATAGCCAAGAGGATGATAACCAACGTATTGGGGCGAGGGTACTCTGCCGGAAATGGTGGACCTGACAAAGATCGGGATGTGCTGCGCAACTTTGGCCGCGACTTCCACCAGACGCAAAACGCCTATAATCCGCATCACCACCCGTCCCACCATGATGGCTCACGCAGAGACAATCATCGTGCCAATAATGGCTCAGGAAGACGACCACAGGTTGCAGAAGGTGGATTTGCAGTTCCCCAGATGCAACCATTCCGTGGCACCCCAGCCCCTCCTCCGGTTCCCGGTCATTACGACCCCAATGGCATGAGCGGCGCAAATCGGCAACAGCACCAGCCTCATAGAGGACACACCCAGCAGTCCCAGCACTACAACCCGCAACCACGCTCTGTTGCGCATCACAAGGCAGGTGATGCGCCGCCACACCATTACGGAGCAGGTGGCGGCATTACCACTCATGCGGGAGGTAGAAGGGACAACGACGGTTACCGGGATTCGCACGGTATCAGAGGCCCACGCAATCAGCAACCGCAATATAACGATAAGGGTAAAGATGGACGGGTTGCCGGCGGGTTTACCCCCGGGGGGCATCCACCGAACAGTGGTCGTAGGCCTAACGAAGCGTACCCCCCACCTCATCAGCGCGGACAAGGATTTTCGAAGCCGACACACGCTGCGCAAAGGGAACAGAATGCCAATGAGCCCAGAAGGCACGGACAGCCGAATTATTTGGCCGGACACAAGCTGGAGCGGCCGAAGCGCCCTCCGGTGCACGTGGTGGGCGTCCCACCGCCGCCCCCGCCAACCGCTGAGCGCGCCCAAGCGAAAAATGCCGAGCCAGCCCCTCAGAAGCGAGCTCTCGACAATGCCGAAGTGCCACCAGCGGCGAAGCCGAACCCTGCAAGCAGACACGAGTGACGCGATCACCGTGCGCTGGAGTCTGTTGCGCCGAAAGCGCACCGCCAGTCCAGTAGGCACCTCACTCTGATGTCTGTTACTGAACATATGGAGCGCGCTGAAGACGGAGCTAAGCTGGTGCCGCTCAGGCACCGCGGTTTTCACAAGTTTACAGCTCTGCACAAGGACGCCACACTCGGCATGGAATCCCTGAGTCTGGGACCCCCGGAAAAAATGAAGATGCGCACATCAACGGTGTTGAAAAAGGAAACAGGCAGAGATATCTTTGCTTCAACGGAAAGCGCGCCTCATGCGGCGCTGAGCACTTACAAGGCGGATTTTGTGCGCTATGATCTGCCCCTCAGCAGGGTGGAGTCGCTCGCGCCAGCCCGAGGCGATCGTGTGCCCTTCCGCGCGACGACGACGTATCGCATGGATTACCGGACTGCGGTTTGCCCCGAAGACACCGTGATACCTGCCGGTGCCGGGCCACGGATGCCCGCGTCAGTCGGCGGTGGAAGGCGTCGCTCTGCGTCGCCTGGATCCGTGCGGGGACGCAGCTGTAGCCGTTAATTTTCAGCGGAAGCAATATTGGCATGCTTAATATCTCTGCTGTGTTACGTGTGTAGCATTTAGCGCGTAATGTCGTTTTGTGTGTGGCTCTAATCCTTCGTCTGTGGCGGCCAAGGCCGGCCGCATCCGCGCCGGTAGACAGCCAGGCAGCAGCTGTTGGGTGTGTCTACCAGTATAATATCGCAATATGGAGGCTGGGTGTGGCGCATTGCTCGCCTTCCACATCCCGGAGAGCCTCGACTACAGAGGGCTCCTGAGACCACCCGGGGCAGAGGAGGCCGGCCGGCTAGACGCCAGCAACGCCGACGACCCTGATGCCTGGTCCGCGGCGGATGTGGAGGCTGCGTTGGGGGCGGTGAAGGCCGCGACTTCGCGAGCGCCGCAGGAATGCCTCAACCTGCTGACCACCGACACATTTTGCTGCGCCTTCAACTTGGCGAGGCACTTCCCGAACCTCGAGCGGGCTCGGCAACTCTCCTTCAGCCAGATACTTGCAGCGCTGTGCAGCCGTGCGCACGATCTGCTGGAAAAGGTGCCACCCACCCCTTACTTTAGCAGCGCCGAGGCGGCCGCAAACCGTTCGTACCTGGACCTGGAGAGGAAGATCGCCGAATGTCGGATTGTGGGCACATCGCAGCATGGATCCATGCGGTACAATGACCAGGACGCGGCGTTAATGGTGAAGCCCAGTGACATGGGACAGGTGCTTCGGTCGTTGTGCCACCTGTGTGTCTTCCTCGTGTGCATGACTTTCCGCTGCACAGTGACCTCGTCCAAAGAAGGCGAGAAAAACACACTGCTGTCCGAGCTCGCGCCGGGAAGGAAGGGCAAAGCGTCGCGTGGCAGCGGCGGACGTCGTCGCAAGGTAGAGGACGACGGCAACGTGAACCTCGTTGCGCTCGAATTGTTGGCGGACTCGATGCTGCAGTTGACCCGAAGCGCCATCAGGGTCCCATTCAGTGGCGAGTACGGCGGTATAGGCAGGCCTGATCCGCCGCTGATGAGGATGCTCCTAGACACGCTGATGCTGGCGTTGAGCACGCCCGCCATGGGTTTCGCCACAGACAAGCTGACGGACGCGCTATCGCGCCTCATCAAGATAAATTTCGACGTAACGAGGGAGTGCATTAATAATGCAAAAACTAGCAAGGTTTTGGCTGGCAAAGCACGACAGAAAGGAACCAAGGACCCTGACGCAAGTGAGGATGAGTCTGATGCCTCTCCTGTTGATTCTGCGAGGACAGAAGACGACACTGCCGGGCGCACTGGGACCTGCCAGGTGGACAACGACTGGTTAGTGACGCTGTCGGAGGAGCTGAAGAAGAGCCACACCATCAATATAGCCGATGCGCTGGTGTTGCTGGACGGGTCGGATATCCCTGCAGCAGTTGTAAATGAGCTTTTGGTGCTGGTGAGGGAATCCTTCGTGCTACAAGCGTCAGGGGGCACCGTACAAATGATGAGTTCGATGATCCAGCTCGAGTACACCAACGTCGGCGTATTTATCGAGCGGATGGTTCGCAAACAGCCGGATGCCGTCCTGAGGAGCTTGGAGGAGCTGAAGCAGCTGCTGGACGTACCGTGTTACAACCTGCGGAAGTCAATCATGGAATCGGTAAAACTCATGGTGATCATGGCCAAGAGTGAGGGCGAGGAGGAGCAAGCGGATGACGCCGGGGACTATGCTGCGTCATCCTCCAAAGCAGCGCTGTGCGCGCGCCATCGTGAAGCTATGCTTCAATTGCTGTTTGCAAGGCAGTACGACTCCTACATGTATGCTCGTGCGTCCCTGCTAAAGGCATTCCAGGACATCATCGAGGCCGGGGCGTTGCCGATACGGTGGCTGGTCATCACGGCTTCATTCGCCATATCGCGTCTCTGGGACAGGGGATCGCAGGTGAGACAGCGTGCGCTCAGCCTCCTTACCACTTTGATCGAGGACGCCACGACCAAGCGGTTCAAGCTGCCGCTGGACGCCAAGAGCCTCAAACACGACCTTGACATCATCCAAGCCCAAATGGCCAAGGTCGACACTATACTGTCGTATGTAGCTGCGGGTAGCAATTCGGATCGTCCGGCGGAAGAAATGACGGCGCAATCTGAAGATGGATCACATACTGAAGACGGTGGCAGCGCACGCGGCGGGGAGCCCTCTGACAAAGTGAACCTAGACGAACATGTGGATTCCACAGAGACCGCTCCAAACGTACAAATCGGGGCGGAGAAATGTCAGCAATTGCTCAATGAATTGAACGAAGAATTGGGCGAGCGCATCACTTTGGATGACAACCGCGCTTTGGACACGTTGCGTGCCAAATTGGAGGTGGCCTCTGAGATGTACACCGACGTGCACGAAATTGCCATTAAGGTCGAATCTTCTATCCAGGTTTGTAGTGACCTGCTGCAATCGTCAGTGGAGGGGGACCAGCGTGCGGCGATACGGTACATTGGCACATGCCACCTGATGGGGGTCAAACCCGCCACTAAGCTTCTGCCGCGGGTATGGGCCCTCGCCTGGTCGAATAACCAGAACGTGGTGGATTCAGTTCTGCACGAGTTCCGCAATCTGTACTTCTCTTATGGCGAGGATGCTGCCATTGCCAACAACCTGGTGGCGCTGCTCTCGAGCAGCTCCCTAACATCGTTCGCCTCCATCGAGAAGATCTTCGAGGTGAACCTGTCACGGGAGCAGCCATATTTCGCGAACCTTGACCGGATAATGGTGGCGTTGTTGCGGATAGCATTGGCTCCAAATCATCAGCTGGGTCGCGACGCAACTCCGAGGGTGGCACTGGGTGTGATGCGGCTCCTCATCAACTCGTCGATGCGGAGCAAATCGCCCCTCGCCGCGGCCATTCGCACTTTCGACGAGAAGCGGCTGAGCGCCATCCGCGGCCTGCTGCAGCTGTCATCTGGGCACTCTTGCACCATATTTGGCGAAGTGTGCTCCATTCTGGCTGGCGCGATTCCGTCTCCCCTAATGGAGGACATTGCTGCCTACATCCTCAAGCTATTTGTTGGCACGTTCGGCTCCACCGACAACAGCTGGTTCCGCATGGCACAGTGCGTGGTTGACGTGACCTTCACCCACTGCAAGTTCGCGGAATCGGTATGGTCGCAGACGCTCAGCGGCATGATGGAGAAGCTGGGCGTGTCTGGAATCGGCAGCGCTGCCGACAAGTCGGCCTTGGCAGCGCTGCCAAGTGAGGCGTCGGACAAGGCTCCCGAGACATCGACTGCTACTGTACGGCAACTGGCTCAGGTGATCTTCTTATCCGGGCACGTGGCTATACGTACCCTCATCAGCATGGACCGGCTGCAGAGTGATCTGAAAAGCGCGCGCGCTGACCTTGAGGCACTAGATGATGGCAAGCTGGTCGCCGACGCTGCTAACCAAATGGGTGTGGCGAGCAGCGACGAGCAGGAGCGCGACCTGTTCGAACAACTGTGCGAAAAAAGCATAGTCTGCGCGAACCTGCTCGGTGGTCCTGTGAAGTCGCTGATAGTTGCGTGCCTTCGCAATCCCCTACACTTCGTGACCCACGGTTCCTCCGATGGCCACCATTGGCGCCGTGAGGACCTGTCGGCGCCTTCAACTGTCTCCAAGGAAGTTTTGGCTGCGGCTCAGCGAGAGGTGTCAATTCTCAAAACCTGCTCGGCCATAGCGCTATGCAAGATGGCCGCTGTGTCGAAGCGTTTTTGCAGGTCGTTGTTCCAGTCGGATGACTCCACGCGTCCTGCATGTTCCATCCTCGAGGTTATTATATCGCTGCTGTTGAATAAACGTATTGCGACCGGAGCTGACCCTGGGGCGCTAACTGGCTCGAGGCGTAACTACTACTACCTGAGTGAGCCTGTGGCATCGGAGCTGCGGGCCACCTTGCTCATCAGCTACGGTGACCTGCTCTGCCGCCACCCTAACTTGCTGGAGCCGTGGAATGACGAGGTGTGGCCTATATTGCTAGATCGGGACGACCGAGTGCGCGAAACTGCGGTGTTGGTCTTCACCCACCTGGTGATGAACGACATGGTGAAGCCTCGAGGCAAGCTGGTGGACGCGATGATGTTTCTGACCCTGGACACCCACTCCAAGGTTTCGGACTGCGCGCGCACGTTCTTCCACGAGGTCGACCGCAAGAACGCCAACACCATCTATAATTGCTTCCCCGAGATGGTGGCGACGCTTGCTCGCAATCGGCGACAGCAGTCTGTTAAACGCAACCTGAGGGTTCTGCAGATGTTGCTCAAGTTCATACGTCGGGATCGGCAGTCGGAATCGATCGTGGAGAAGGTCTGCTTCCGCCTGCAAGCCACCGCACCGACCGACCGGTCGGCTATTGTGGTGTACGCCCACGTGCTGCTCAGCCTGTGTCAGGACGAGCGATGCATGGCAAAGCTGATAGCTTCGATGCCGTTGATAAACAGGGTTCTGTTGGAGAGCGATATTTTGCTAGCGGTGCTACTGACTATCTGCAAGCGTGCGCGATCCTCAAACCTGGGCCGACGAATAGGCGACGGGGACCGACAGGGCGACAGCGGTGAGTCTACCGCGGCTGGTGTGCCAGCCGCCTCAAGCGGAGCTGCTGGTGAGAACGCTTCAATAAAAGACCAGGCTGAGGAATTGAGCAGCCGGTTGAATGCACTGTTCGGCGAACGCAGGTCTTCGCATGTAACGCAAATCGCGGCAAACGCTGAGGCCATCATCGCCGCAGCGGAGGACCCAGGTCCCGGTGAGGATGATGCCAGCTGTGCTGAAAACCTGTTCATCCGCAACTTCGGCTGGGTCTCGGCGGGCACCGACCAGGACCTGAGCGACAACGAGCCGGAGTCAACGCGCGGCCAGACACCTAAAGCGGGGCACAACGACTTCCCAGTGCCTATGAAGCTAGAATCATATGCCGCAGTTGGGGAAACGTTTGTGGAACGTGAAGCAGGAGCGGGCATGAAGCGCAAACGGTCAGCCGAGGGCTCCTGAAATGGAGTTGCCGACGCAGCCATAAGGAGCGGTGCTAAAGCAGTCGAACCGCGCCAAGCGGGGCATGCTGAGCCTAAAGACGCTACAGGGCCATATAACAACCCATTATCCTCACGCAATGCCAATTAATCACATCGCGGCCAGGAAGTACGGCCATGCGCAGATCACCGCTAGTCTACGCGGCGCCTCGCCAATAAATAAGACATGCGTTTTAAATGCAGATTCGTAACGCATTTTATACTGCCTGATTGCCCTGCCTGAGCCCTGGGGCGTTGTCTGACCCGTTCCGTGTGTATTTGTGCGCTGCGGAGGTTGGCTGGAAGGGCGCCTGCCTTCCCGCCCGCCTTGGATTATCTGCTTAGGCAATTAACGTCAAAAGAATATCGCAGAAGTGTCACAAATTCTTTGGCGAAATGGCCAAGAAAGAGGAAGAAAAGGTCCCCAAGACAGCCTCAGCCGTGAAGACCGAGGCGGAGGCCAAGCCGGTCAAGGAGAAGGCTGCGAAAAAGAAAGACGCTGCCACCAAGGCAGACAAAAAGGCTGTTAAAAAGACGGTCGAGAAGAAGTCAACCAAAGGCGGCAAGGCGGACGCCAAGAAGGCCCCCAAAACCAAGGAGGTGTGTACCACTGCCGCTCCAACACACAGCGTTTCAGACTAAGAAGGCCAAGCCTGCTGAGCGGGCGTCGCGTGCAGTGAAGGTCGAAGCGGTACCGTCAATCTTCAGGAAAGCGGGGCAGAAGCACATTACACCGCCAAAGGTACGTTACCCTGCATTTGTAGCGCTCAGAGCCTGCAGGGCGACGGCACCCGCGGTTTCTACGAGAGCCTCTACGAAGCCAACCCGCGCAGCGTCATCGCCATCGTGTACTGCGTGGAGTACGGACTGTTCGGCGGCCTCAAGCACCAGGAACTGCTGGAGCAGTACCAGGAGCTGCGCAAGGAGGGGCTCCTGAAGGGTGGCAACGGCGGCGTCCGACCGCGCGCCGTCCAGTTCCTGGACAAGATGCAGGCAAAGTCGAAGACCAAGGCTGCGAAAGCGTCCAAGGAGAAGTAGCTGGGCGGGGCTCAGCTTCTATCGCATTCTGAGCCCCAGCCAGGCTCCGACCGGGAGGTCATCAGAACCAATAATGTGGCGGAGCCCCTCTCCGTGCATTGTTAGTTCATGTCGCGTTGCGCCGAGCGCTTAACTCGCCGTCGTATTCGCAAGTCAATGGTAGTACCACGTGCTCATGGATAGTGGAGCGCATTAAAACAAAACGTTAAACCGCATGGTATAGTCTGCTATTGGAACATCCGCATGATGCTGGCGGCGAGCGAGCGCCACTCGTCCCCGTGGGCGGTGATCTGCTCCGATGCTTCGAGCGTGTAGTGCAGAATCATGTCCACAGAGTCCTTCTCCACTGCTATGGGGCTGTCGCGGATCCGCTCCAGCAGCACGTTCATGAAGATGACCCCGCCCCGGTACCTAAGCAGCTCCACGAACACGTTGCAGCCCTGCTGCCAGCGCAGCAGGATGTTGCAACAGCGCTGCAACGCAGTCTGGCGCCCGCCTGTCTCCGCCGGTAGCAGGAACAGATGCCCGGTAAGGGTCAGTGACTCGATGATGAGGAGGAAGCACTGCGTGTAGGAGTTGGCGTCACGCAGCCGGTGCTGCAACAGCACACCGCCTCTAGGCTCCATATGCACATCATCGCGCTCAAATGCAACCAGCGGCTTCATTTCGGTAGCCGACGATAGCACTTCTATGAGCGGCAACAGCGTTGGCTCTCCTGCCAAAACCTCATCCACTGCTGCGCAGACGCGCGCAAACGCAGGTATGCAGTTGACGATGCAGCAGGCCAGCTGCAGCTTTGTCTCGATGCTGAGCTTGCGGCCCAGCTTGATCATGAGCACGCGCCCCTTGTTGAGCCCCATGATTTCCTCGATACTGACGACTCCCGTGGTCAACGAGAGGTACAATTGGTTGAGCTTTCCATCGCGCTCCTTCTGCATTTTGTCCAGCGCCGCGACGTGGTTCATCGGGCATTGTTCGATGTCCTCCTCAATGTCGCACAACGTGTATAACGCCTCATAACCGAACTCGATAGTCTCCCGGAGCTGACGCTCCATACGTACGGGTCCCGAAGTCGGCGACGTCACCGCCTCGTCCAGCCTAATCAGCTTGCGTCCATAACGCACCGAAGCTGCGCTGGTCTTGCCGAAGCGGTTTGGGTTCACTACGCTCTTGTGCTCTGGCGACGACGGTTGCGTCTCCGCAGTTTCCGCGTCACCCGGGCTAGCAGCATCCCTTGGGGGATTGATACCGAGGTGCCGAGTGTTCCAACGTCCGGTGTAGTTCTGCAGGCGCGGGTCCTTGCATGTCTGAGCCAGGTGGATGCGCAAAATCTGGTCGAACGCGTGGTCGTCCATGAATAACTCCCTTTCCATGTTTTCCGGACTACGTTTCACACCTCTGGCGTGGCGCTCCAGTGTGCGCTGCGATATCCGCCAACGGCGGTGAGACTTCGCTTTCCCGGCGGCCACCAAGTCCACGAACTTCGGGTTCAGCGTGAACATGCCCAGCCGGCGGTAGCGTTGGAGGTCGGAGGCGAACGACCTTCTGCGATCGACTTCATCAGTTGTGTCGGCGCTGCGCCTTCCTCGAGGCGACCTGTCGCCCCGGCGAGAGGCGTTCGTTTGTTGACTGTTGTCAGACTGCTCATTCTGCGACCGCCGCTGAGTTTGCCGTTGTGACTGATTTCTGTTGTTTTGCTGGCGATGTGTGGGAACCGGCTCCGGTAAATCGAAGAGCTCGCATTTCACCAGCTCGCGAGGCTTGCCGACGGTGCGCCGAACTGTCGGCTCCTTCTCCGCGGCCATAAACGTCTCCGACGGGTCCCACTCCTCGCCAATTCCATCTCCGAATGTGTCATCGTTGAGGCCGTCGTACTCATCCAACTGTTCGCCATCGATCTGCAAGCACTCGATGTCTTCCAAAATTTCCCCGACGACAAAATCTTCGCTCAAATCGGGCTGCCGCGGCGGGCGGCCACGCATTTGAGTTCGCATCGTCGCTCTTTTTCGGCTGACGAGCGATATGTTTTTAGTGAGCGCTCTTATTCATTACGCGCCTACACCCCGTGGGGCCTACTATGGCACATTTTACGGCGCAACTTATAAACCCGCTGTGGTTGCAATCGAATAAAATATTGATGACAATGCTGGTGGTGAGATTTCGAAGTCTCGAAGCGGGCATGTGCGGAGAGGCTGCCCGGCAGCCTTTATGCTAACACTGGGAGTATATGTTAGGCATTCTAGCACACATCGACAGAATGTGCGTTGCACATATGTAAAATGTGGTAGTTTAGAGCGTATTTAGGCTTGGATATACGCTGGTTTTTACCGTTTACTGAGCTGTTGGCATTTTTTGGTTTGACATCATCCGCATCCTGCTGGTGGCCTATTTTGCCAATATATGGCAGTTTACGTTAGAATTACCACTAAATAGGACGTAATTCTGCATCCTGCACGTACGTTTTATGGCTTAACGATCATGACGACACACTCCCATACCAAATCTGACGATGCTTCCTTATAAGGCACAATTCGTGTACTACCAGCGTTTACAAACTATGATTATCACATAAAATCGGCAGAAGGTCGCGGCAGGAATGCACCGACGACGCCTCACAAGCTGATGCGACACACCCTGACCCGGTTGACGTGCGACCTTCCGCGCCTTCAACCGACAAAAAAGTGAAGCTCTACAACCTTTCATGACTCCAAGTCTATGAGGCGGTCAAAAACGAAGGTGGAGCGATAGAAGACAGCGGAAGCGTGTTTTAAAATAGCAGTATGAGCGCCCCGAAGAGGGCGCTGCTGACAGCCGCGCTTGCGGCTGTCTACGCGTTTACGACATTTATACCGCTGGCAGAGGCTAGGTTAGAGCGCAGACCGACTGGTGGGAAGCAGTTGCCGGTGCCACTCCGGTCGGATGCTCCGAGGCTACACAGCGCCTTCTTCTCGAGGGACCCTCTCAAGCTGCCTCAGAATGTCACCCCGCCTTCAAGTACCAACGCAAACCTCCCGGAGCGCGCCATATTCGGGCCGTTGTCGAACGACACCATCAAGAAGGCTGCGGCTGTCACTGGCACCGTGGCGCTGACAACGGCAATTGGCTATGCGTACGTCCGGCGGTTGCTGTGGAACCACCTATACGGCAAGTACATCCGAGATGATGCGCCTGGAATAGCGGATGCACTGGGGCACGTGTTGTTCACGAAGGACGACCCAGGAAGGGTTGCATTGAAGAGGAGGACTCTATTTGATGTGCTCGCGGCGCTTCTGTTGGCGCCGCTTGAAAGGTGCCCGTGGATCAGAGGGCTTCTGAAAACCAACATCAGGCGCATTCCCATAGGAGAAGCCATTGAGGAGGGTTCGGTCACGGCGCTCTACTTCCACTCCAACAACGTACATCGCATGCTGCAGGATAAGGGCTACCGCGACTTCACGAAAAACCTCGCGCAGATCCAGGAGACCATGAAGGAGAGTGGACGCAAGTTCCAGGTTGTCTACGTCAACGTGGACAGGAAGCAGGTGGATGCCGTAGACCACTACCGTGACATGCCCTGGTACGCGCTGCCCTTCGACGACAAGGAACGCGTATCGCACCTGTGCCAACTCTACGACATCACGGGGATCCCGAGCGTTGTCCTGCTGAACTCGGACGGAAGCGTCATCAACGACCGTGCGCTCTACCTCATGGCGAACAAGCCCAACAACTTCCCGTGGAAGGTCGAAAGTCCACTCGACCTCATCCCCGACACTCTTGTCAACGGCAACAACCAGGCGGTGCCGAAAGCGAGCCTGGAGGGCAAGATTGTGGCGCTATACTTCGGAGCAGGCTGGACGCGATCAAGCAAGGAGTTCAGCGAGAAGCTGCAGGAATTCCACAGAGCGGTGGGAGAGAAGACCGACGGCAAGTTCGAGGTGGTATACGTCTCGAATGACAAGAACCAGACCGACTTCGAAAAGGAGCTGTTCGACAACAACGGTAACTGGTTGGCGGTGCCTTTTGAGGATGCCGACTCCAGGCTCATCCTGCAGCAGTACCTCAAGGTACCCATGGTACCGGCAGTGGTAATGCTCGACCCCAGCGGCAACGTCATCACGGCAGACGGCCGCTTCTACGTAGAGGCGGACCGTGGCGCCAAGGCGCTGCCGTACGCCTCCTACCTGAACAGGAACGGACGGCAACTGGTGGAGGACGTGGCTGTCAACGTAGACGCGTTCGCCCACCAGCCGGTGGTCATCGTATTCGCGGACGACGTCGACACCACCACCCAACAGGTCATCGAATCGCAGCTGGCGGAGGCCGCCATGCACCACGCAAACCACCGCAAGGGAAGGCAGATGAAGTTCTTCATCTCGAAAACGCCTGACAAGCGTAGTGGCGCCATACGCTCCATCTGCGGCGTCGAGAAGAACGCCAAACCGCAAGCGGTAGTGCTGGACCTGCTGGCACAGAAGGTCTACTACGACCCCAAGCTCACCAACATCGACCAAAACTCCCTTCTTGCCCTTGTCGACAACTTCTACCACAACAAGCTGAGGAAGCGCACCGTCACCATAAGTTGATGATTTTGGATCTGATAGAATCTTGGTTGTTTGGAGAGACGCCAGTGGTGGAATCGCGTTCTACGGTAAACATGTCAAGTTGACGGCTAGTCGGATAGCCGCTTCTACGTAGAGGCGAACCGAGCCGTTAACAGGCTGCTAAGCTGGCATAAAACCGTAGTATATAGAAATATCGCTGCGTATCGTAATGCTCTGCTACAGACGGCGACCGAAAAGGTCAGACCGCCTTGCAACAACAAACCCCCAAAAGTTAAAGTGTATCACAGATCATTCATGCTGTCATATTGCACATTAAAGAACACTTATCGTTCGTTTATATTGTTGTGGTGGCAGTATTGCGATGTGTTTGATCCAGGTGGGTAAGTGAAGGCTACCTTACCCAGCCGTCGGAAGCCTCACAATGGGCCGACAATTTAGGCGTCGCGACGTAAACACTACAGCCTCCCCTCCTTTGGGTAGAAACTGCCGCGAGTCTGCACATCGGAGCGCAGGTTACGAGCGCCCAGGAAACCCTTGCAAACGAAGTACATCTCCTTGGATTCAGACCGGCACGCCTTTGGCTTGGCGGAGTGCACCATCTTGAACTGGCTCTGCAGGTAGGTACGGTAGTTTATCAGCTGGCCTCCCATGAATATTTTGACCACAAATGCGCCCCCCACGGCAATGATCCTCTCCATGACCTGCGCCGCCTGCATGCACAACTCGGTGGAGTTTAGGTGGTCGTCCTGCTTCACTCCGGTGCAGGCCGGCGCCAGATCGCTCAGCACCACGTCAGCCTTCGCTCCTCCCATAGCAGACAGCAGATGCGCGTGGGTAGTCTCGTCGTTGATGTCGCCCTTGATGAAGGTGAAGTTGGGCATTGGGTCCATCTGGAGCCGGTCAACGCCAATCACTCGTGCGTCCGAGGCGCCGGCCAGCGTGCGCTCTACACACACCTGAGACCATCCTCCAGGGTAGCATCCGAGCTCCACCACCACCTGGCTCTTGCGCAGCAGCAGGAACCGGTCGTCGAGTTCCTGCAGCTTATACGCTGCGCGACTGCGATAGTTGTCCTGCAAAACGTCAACAAAACGCATAGACGACTCACCACCTGCGCCTGCAGAGTGTAGCGGTCAGTGATCTGCCTCCGGATCCACTCGGCAGAGTGCGTCGTGGCAGGGTTGCGCACGCGGAAGGCACGCATTGTCTACAGGCCGGGCGATGCTGCGCAACGCACACACCGAGCCGAACCTTTGCGATACGGCCATTAACGCCGAGTTGATGTGGTATAGTACGAGGGTGTGGAAGATTCCACGAGCGGATACGCCCAGCTCGCAAAGGTGGATGGGGGCCTCGGCCGCGACGCCGCGAGCTGCCGCGGTTGGCATTGAAGGCCGATTACGGTATATGCTCGAAACAACGAGTGGATCCTTATTTTAAACGCGGAACTGGCCATGTTCTCGCGTGGTAGGGGAGCCAGCCGCGGCATCCGGCGAGGCGGTTCCTCAGGCAGAGGCGGCAGGGGCGGAGGCCATGCCGGCGGCGCTGGAGGTAGGTGACTAGCCCTAAAGCGATACTGTCTGATTGAATTGCAGGGTACAGCGGACCGCCTGCGGAAGTGATAGGTAGGTTTATGTGATATTTGGTTATCTCAAGTGATGCGCAGAGGCTGGAACAGTGTTACACGACTGCGAGGAGCAGCTATTAGTCAAGAGCACGCTGCAGTCAGCTGTGCCCTACTTCAACGGGCGCATATTCCTGGCCAACAAGCAGGAAGTCGGGAAGGTCGACGAAATCCTGGGCCCGGTCAACGATTACGTATGTCACGCAATTCGTACTGTCATTGTCTGCAGTACTTCACGGTCACCCTGTTGACCGGATTCAAGGCGCGATCATTCGAGCCCAACTCCGCTTTGTACATCGACCCGCAGCAGACGCTGCCAGTGTCGCGTTTCCTGACCAAGCCCGCCACCGCGCAACCGAAGAAGCGGGTCATCAAGGACAAGTCCTTCAAAAAACAAGGAGCCACTCGGGGCGGCAGAGGTGGCCGCGGAGGCTCATTCGGCGCAGGAAGGGGGACTTCTACGTCCTTCCGAGGGGGTATATCGCGAGGCCGAGGCGGGAGCTTCAGAGGCCGCGGTGGCTAAACCAGGACACCTATCGCTACTTAATTTTGACGTTAAATGTGTTGTAAGTTCACTGTTTCGTGTAGGTGTTTGTTTTCGCATGTATCAGCGACGAGTGCAGCTAAGCTACGGGGCCTGCCCTGGGGCGTTTTGCCGGCTGCTGCGCAGGGTGTTGGCGCATGTCCTTCTGAGGCAACTCGAAGCATCGGCTCCTGCAGAATCTATTGACCGCGGATCACATATCTAACTTACATGTACCCTTTGCCTTTGATGAAACGCGAATCGATGTATCCGTGCTCGATCATCCTGCAAGATTGTTACGGCGCAAGCTTAAACCCACTTCTTCAGCAGCGCCTTGGATGTCGTGGCGTCGACACCCATTGTCTCGGTCAGACATTCCTTGCTGATGAATTTTGTGCGCAGCGCGACTTCGTAGCTGCGCTTCAGGAGGCCCAGCATTATGTTACGGCTTCCTACGGGAGGCCTCGGTGCTGGCACCTGCACGCCGTTACCCCTGCCGGATGACCCCGGTGGCAGTCTCACATACGAGGCGCCAGCATCACTGGGTTGTCGGCTGATGTCAGCAGCTGGATCTCTAATCTGCAGCGGCTCCGACGGCTTGGCGCAACTAATGGATGTGCGACGAGTCAGCGTGTCGAATGGCCGTGCGCTGCTCTTGTAATTGGTCACGTTCTCGTCGACGTAACAGACGCTGCGCACATCCACAGCCAGGTTGTGGTGCCCGGTTTCCAACTCGCCAACCTGCTGTTCCAGGCTCAGCGCCGCCTCACCGAAGCTCTCCGCAGAGGCGCTGCGGAAGTGCTGCGGCTCGTAGTCCACGGGCACGCGCTCGTCGTAGTACATCAATCGCATCGACAGATAGCGGTTTTCGGGTAGCGGCGACAGTGACTGTGCCAGCAGCACGAGGTCACGGAGGACCCTGACAGTCTGCCGCTTCACCTCCTCCTTGTCGGCGCTGACAACGAGGCACCCCGGGAGGGTGCTCGTTGTAGTAGGAGCTTTGGCTGCATGTGCAGTTTCCACTTGCGCTCCTGATCCACCTGAGGCGTCTGAAGCATTGTCCAAAGTCCTATGATTCGATCCGCCGTTCATAGAACGGCCGCCATTGTCACCGCCACTCGTCGTTGTACCATCCACCACGGGGCCGTGGCCAACGGACATCTGCACGGAGTATTCGCTTCTGACTCCGTCGCACGAGTCCTCGTCATTGCCGTACTGCAGGGAGAACGTGTACGTTTCTAGCGCAAGGTGTTCGCTGTTGTGAATGCTCACCACCAGGTGCTTCAGGTACTCCCTACCCATCGCGTCGAACACCCCGTCGTCGATCCAGTCCAGCAGCGCTGCGGACTCCGGGACGGAGCGCGTCAGGCGCTTAAGCTGGAGGCCGCCGATAACAGTGTCCTCGAAAACAGATTCCGCAAACAGGTTGCGCAGGTACGCAATCGAGGACACTCCGACCTTCACGAAGTTACGCAGCACGTTCGCAGACTCCTGCGAGTTTATGGTAGACATCGTGGCTGTTCGGGTGCGGAGTTCGAAGCCTAGTGTGTCAGCACCGCAGTCGCAGCAGCGACGGAAGGGCAAAGCCGTATAACTACGGCGCTGAGCGTGCTACAGCGAACATATGTGTCACAGGTGCCTATAAAGTAGCGCTGGGTTCTAGCTCGGTAGTTACAGTGAAGGCCGATGAGCGGAAGGCAGCACGGGAGAGAAGGTGGAACGAAGAAAACAATAGGTGCAATTTCCTCGGGTAGCAGCTGCAATACACACACAAAAACGCGTGCTTCAACTGCTCCCTAAATTTCCGGCAAAATGCGGGAAGTGACCCTGTCCTGTCATGCCGTCGCCAGACGCAGAGATGGAGGGCGGCGCCTTACGTCACATCGCATAGCCGGCCAATCATACGGCTTAAATACCACACATTCCACTGCCAAGATGGCGGAGCCGGAGGAAGCCAAGCACAAGTCGAGATGGAGCGCGGTAGGCGAATAGACACTCCCGAGATGACAATGTTACAGGCGCCTCCAAAACGCTCCAGCGGCACATCGGCGCCTTCCGGTACGTTTAAAGCGGAGTATATGGATATTCAAGTGTCCGCAGACGCTCCGGCTGCGCCGAAGCTCTCGCCGGCCGAAAGTAGGTTGACGCCGAATGTGCAACGTCATCGACACGCAGTCTCGCGCAACATCATGAGCGCCAAGGAGGCACTGGAGGCCGCCAAGAAGGAGGAGATGGTGCGGCAGCAGATCAAGGAGAAGCTCAGCAAGATCAACATCACCAAGAAGCTGCTGCCGACCACGACCAAGCTGGGCATCAAGCCGCTCACGGTGGACAGCCTGGGCCGAGTGCTGGACGAGACGGGAAACGTGATGCAGCACCGTCCCATGATGCATTCTAGGCTGAAGATCAACCAAAACTTCGAAAGTGAGCGGATGCAGAAGGAAGCCGCGACGGCCGCGAGTGCGGCGGCGGCGCCCGAACGTCAGAAGCTCGAGAAGGCCTCAAAGAAGGCGGAGCAGTCCCAGTACGTGGACCCGTCGCTGATGACGGTGAAGAAGCGCCGGCGCATGGCGCTGAACTTCGTGGAGCCGGGGTCCTACATCCGGCAGGAGCGCCAGCTCCAGCGGCAGATGGAAGACAAGGCGATGGGCATCAACCACCGGAGCATACAGGCGCACAAGAAGCAGCTGTTGGAACAACAGGAGCGCAGGCTGGCCGCCCGGCAGAAGATCGAGCTTGCAGGCGAACGTGGAGTGGCCGTTGAAGAGGTCACCGACAACGTCGAGGAAATGAACCCGAACTTGATCCCTCTCAAGGTCGGGTCGAGGTTGGACAAGAAGGACTCATGGGTGAGTGCTGTGCAACGTAGTATCATTTGAGTCTAGGATGACGACGAGCCGTGGCTGGAGTGGTGGGATCGAGGCATCATAATTCTCAAGACAGGCGAGGACCCGTTCAAGACCGCCAACGCCAAGAAGCACCAGACGCTCGACATACAGCCCGACCTATGCATGATCAACGAGAAGAAGTTCAACAACTACATCGAACACCCGTGCAAAATAGACGGGAAGAAGAAAAAGGCCAAAGAAGCCCCTGCGATCATGCTCACCAAACAGGAGCGCAAGAAGCTCAGGCGCCGCAAGCGCGAAGAAAAGCTCAAGAAGATCCAGGATAAGATCCGGGTCGGGCTCATACCGCCTCCTCCCCCGAAGTTGAAGCTCTCCAACCTCATGCGCGTGCTCAAGGACCAGTCGGTTGCCGACCCGTCCCGCGTCGAGAAGCAGGTGCGCGAACAGATGGAGGAGCGCCTGCGCAGCCACGAACGGCGTAACGAGGAGCGGAAGCTTACTCCGGAACAGAGATCGAAGAAACACGCCAAAAAATGGCAGGTCGGCAAAAACGAGGAGATAGAGGCTGCGCTGTTCACGATCAAATCGCTCACCGACTCAAAGCTGCTCTTCAAGGTCGACATCAACGCGCAACAGTTCCACCTCACCGGCTGCTGCATCGTGGCGAGCCACGCCCCGTCGGTGGTTGTGGTTGAGGGCAGCAAGCTATCTATCAAACGCTACATCAAGCTGCTGATGCGGCGCATCAAGTGGGAGGAGAGCGAGGCGGCCGCCGGAAGCGAAATGCCGATGCCACTAGTTGTTCCTACCGGCCAGTTCTGCAAACAGATATGGACTGGAAGCGTGAAGCGCCGCAACTTCTCGCACTGGAGCGTCGCCTTTGCCGAATGCGACGAGGAGATAACCGAGATACTGCGGCCGTTCAAAGCCGGGCACTACTACGAGATGGTGCAGAAGTACAGGGACCCTCTGGAGGACATCTGATAAGCTGTATAGTACTTAAATGCTTGTTTGTATAGTGGCAAGTGGCGCCCTGTTCGGGCGCTGCAGCAACGTGGGCGATTTGTTATGCTCCACGGGGGGCGGGTCGGCCGCCGGCGACGTTCTCTCCGTTCTGCCGCGCCCTAACAGAGGTCACTTCAAATACCGAAATAGGTCTTTCGCGATCTGAGTATCTATGACACATTCAGGCCGGGGAGACTTACGCAATTATCCACGCAGTGGACCACGTCGTAGTGCTGCCCGAGACACTGCCCGGGCCCCTGCACCTCGAGACCACGGCCTTGCTCCGCAGCCTCCTTGTAGATGGCGTTGCGGTGCTTCACACGCTCGGCGCATTCCTGCAAAGAAATGCAACATTGTCATATTTCTCTATGTAAAAGTTCCTCAGGCGATGGACAACAACACCAGCAAAAAGAAGACCTTCTTATGCAAATTGGCGTACTCAACATCAAAATCACATGACGTGAAGGCATGTATACGTATCACACAACCCCTGGTAATGCTTCGTTCCCGGTAGATTCACCTCGGGGATGTCAACACTGGCAGTGCTCATCACGCCAAATGGGCCGGTACCTCAAAAACATCAATTACATGGAAAATCGCACAGCTCAATCGCTATCTGGCCCGAATAACTAGAGGAGGTATACTCCACGTAAACCTACATCGTAAAGCTTCCTGAAGCTCTTGCACTTCTCCAAGCAGGCCGGCTCGAGCTTCAAACGCGGGTCCGTCTGGGCATCCTGCTCGTCAGTCGGCGGGATGTAGTCCGGATATTTAAACAAAAACTTCGGGCGGTATGGATACGCCATTTTGCGAAATATCAACAATGAAGGCGCGTCACATGGATGACGGACGGCACCAACGACGGGCAACCTCAATGTACCTATGGACACTCCACTATATGTAACCGTGTCAGACGTATGTGTTTTTATGTGTAATATGCTGTTAAGTGATAAAATATCGAGCAATAAACCCGTAGAAGCATGAGAATTTTCCGCCTCTGCTACAGTAGTAACACCCGGCTTTTCGACATGCTTGATAGTCAGCTAGAGTCAACGTAATGGCGTATATAGTTTAGCTAGTGTTCTTCCACAAATCCTGCCGCCTTAACGGCGCCGGAGTCACCGACAGAATGACGCCGGCAGGCTATTCGAGCCAACCAGCAAATATCGTAGAGAACCATATACACACTTGTCTACCAACAATGTGGCGCCTTCCTTGGCTCGTCAAGTGGTGACGGGCGATAGAATATTGTGGAATCGCAGCTGGGCGTTGTAGCACCTAGCAGCAGAGTACGCACAGACACGCGGCGGAATGGAGAGCTGGCCGACCAACCGCCGAAAGGTCGCGGTCGGTCTACACATCTCACGCCATAAACATGGAAGAGGATTGTGAGCTGTGTTCCTGCTCGTCCTGTGATTCGGGGAGCGTTTCCAGCTGCTGCTCTTGCGACACATGTAACTGCGACTCAGAGTCGTGCTGCAGCTGGTCCTCGCCCAGCGAATGTTCATCCTGCAGCTGCTCGCCGCGCAATGTGGCGCAGCCGGAGGAAGTCAAGTCGAGCGACCTTGAGCAGATCAAGACGTTTATCGCAGACATCGCAGGTCTCATAAGACAGAGTAAGGAAGTGGAGGTTAAGGAACCTCCGGCGCCGAAAGAGGTGCCAGAGGCGCCGCCGAAAGTTCCAGAACCGGTTGTAGTGGAGAAACCCGAGCCGGAAGATCCGCCGGTGACCGAAGTTCCTCCCCAGCCCCAAAACCATGAGCTGCAACATGAAATCGCAGAATTGGAAAGGATCATACATCGATCGGAAGTGGCGCTTCGCAACGGTTACGAGTCTAGGGTGGATCAGCCCGTAGCTGTGCCATTGGGAGAGCACGTTCCGCACTTTGTCGGTTCCCCCTGCTCGGCAGGAGCTGCGACCGTCGTGGCAACCCCCGCCTGCTACTGTTACACCAACGACAACACCGTGGGAGACCCGTTCAGCTGTGTCGAGTCGCCCATAAGTTATTCTGCGCAACCGACATGGCGCAGCGGCTTCGACGCGCCTCCAGCCAACGAGGAGTACTGCTACTGCAACGAGAACGAAGCGGAAAGCGACACTGACTACAACGAACTCGACTTGGACCAGTTACATGCCAAAATGGTATCCCTGGATCTCATGTCGTACATGAAACTGGTCGAGTCGGTATTGGATGAACGAGTAAGATTAGCCATCGCAGAGCAGGGAGTAGAGGGGATGCCATATTAGCATTCAATGTCCAAGGCGCTCAAAGCGGCGCGTACAAACTGCTTCCGCTCAACAGAAGTTTGCAGCTGAGCCCACTCGCCGCAGCTTATCTCGAACACCTATATAATAATAAATTTATAAATAGCTGCTGACTCACCTTCCAGCCCGTTCTGGCCAGGATCGAACGCTTCAGCCGCGTTGAACCGGTCTCCACGACGCTCCACTTGCCATCGATATGGTCGCGCATCAGCTCACGGCCACTGAATAACACCATCCCCTTCTTGCTTTCGTTGGAAAGGCAGACGTCGATCAGGTAGGGGGAGTTGTAGTGGGGAGCGACACGCACCAGCACGTCGCGGCGGCCCAGGTGGTACAATATGTCTGAACGGTTGTTATCGGTAAACCATGGACTTGTGATGCTAATGTCTGTCGTACGTACCTGAAATGTGCTTGGTGGCGCGCATACGGCCCTTGTGGAAGTGCGCGTCCTGGCATTGCGCGAACGTCATGCGGGCGTCCACGTGGTCCCGCATGCTGTCATCGGGGTCGACGTCGTGCAGGGTTGAGGTGGGATCGGCGCGTTCCTGATCCCGCATACGGTCGCCGTAGATCTCTAACAGCGACTCGCACTGGTCCACCCAGTGCCCCGACACAAACGTGGACTCTGCCGCCTCTAGGGCCATGAGGACCACGCTGGACTGGTAGGGATACTCATGAATGCTGCGAACTCATATAGGCTGACATATTAGCACACACTAACCATGGCAATGCCAGCAAGTCAAGCAGCACCTTGAACCGTGGGTCGCCGTTGTAGCCCATCACGCAGAACGACCAGGCGCTGGTTATCACGTTGCGCGGCCACATGTGACTGCATATAAGTGAGACTAGCGTAACATGTAGACTCACTTCTGTTCCATCACGGACAACGGGTGATCGCAATCCTTCAGCGACAATTCCGATAGTGAGCTGGAGAGATGTTCGAGGCACCGCTCGTACAACTGAGGCATCTCGATGTTAGCATCAGCAGCAGCCAGAAGCGCCTCACACACCACGTTGAGGCGGCCGCTAACGCCGTCGAAGTCGTCCAGAAACACGCCTAACATGCGCTCGTAGGAACCGCGGTGGTAGTAGCGGAGCTTGTAGAACGTTTGCAGCACCCTGACCACCTGGTGGCATGACACGCGGTGCAGAATCTGCGGTTCCTGGGACTCATGTGAGCGCGCAAATTACTCCACTCACCGATATTATGTGCTCTACCCCAGCCCTCATGAATACAGGGTTGAACCAGCCGGTGCTGTACACGACGTTGTAGACCTCGGCCCACAAACCGAGGTTGCGCGAAAACGCGAGCTCCTGAATGCGCTCCCCTAACAAACGCAAAATAACCGTCAAATGGGACATGCGAGTGCGCCAGAGCTCGATGCACTGCATTATCGACACGAGAGCCGGCACCGTCATGCGGGCGTACTCCTGCGTGCACTCAGCCTCGTTACGCAGGACATGAGAAATGAAGCGGCCGCCGACCTGGGTGCGCCTGCCTCGTGTCAGGTGAGCGAGGCATTGTAGCAGGAATCGGGTGGGATAGTGCCCTATGTCGTCCATGATGTGACAGAGGATGCTGTCACGCAGCTGCACGAAGTCGCCCTCGCGATGCAGCGTCTTGCAGACGTTCAGCAGCATCAGCATGTCCTCCTGGGACAAATTTCCAAGCTCATTGCGCAGCGTGGATTGGCTTCGCTCGAACACGGCCCTATACTCGTACGAGAAGTAGCTGAAGCTCCGCAGCACGCGCAGCAGCTCGACAAAGTCGAACTCCGACAGGCGGCGCAGGCACTCGTCATACACCAGATCCAGGTGGTGCTTGGACCGCAGGCCTCCAGAATAGCATGCCCACGCGAAATCGGCGAGCTGTGGCGGGCTCAGCTCCGACACATGCCTGGACACGTAGTCCAGCAGCTCAGGGTACGATATCTTGGCCCGCTGGAGACGAACCAGCGCCTTCAGCGCCACAGGTAGCGACACAGCCGCATCATGAGCATTGATCACACTGCAAACTGTCAATGCTCGCACAGAATAACGTACTCTAGCAGGCGTGAGGCGAGCAGCGATATCTGACGCGAGGAGTTAGTCTCACACTGGCTTACAAACAACTCGAAGAACTCATCAAGCGATAAAGAGGACGTGCCCACAGCGTTGTCGACGTAACTCGTGAGTAGCGTGGAGTATTTCTCGCACAGCTCGGCGTCAACCGCGCCCTTGCGGTTCAAGCGCCGGAACCGCGACGTCATCTGTCGGAGATCATCCAGGGATAGAGGCGCTCCCGCCGCTGGTGCTGATGTGCAGGCATTGCGCAACTCCCCGACCTCAAAAGAGTCGCTGTGCCCGGCCTGAACAAGATGATGATCGGTGCGGGAGGACGCGACTTACGTCGGCCACGGTGCAAGGGTTGCCAGTGGAAAGGAACCGTCGCCGTGCAGCCGCGCGCCACAGGGACGGTCCAACATTTGTGCGAGCTAAAAACATATTTAAAATTAAATGCGGGTTGCCAAAAGGCGTCGAGCGCGGCACGGCCCGTACGCTTCCTAAGTGTAACCACGGCGAAGGCGCTCAGTCTCTACCCTGCAACACATCAGACGTTACTCCTTTAAACGTACTCTAGGAGCGCCAATTCGCTGTTCAAACTCGAAATCTCGCGCTGCTGTTTGTCGACGGTCGCTCCCAGGCGCTCGCTGTACACACTTGTGAAACAATTGACACATACGGCAACTTACGAGTCGGATTTCGCGCGCGATAGCTGCTGGGATAACAGCTCGTTCACCTCCTCGAGATCGAACACGACGGAGTGGAGCTTCGACACCTCCTTAGAAAGGCGCCGGACGTCATCCTCGCGGTGAGCGAGCGAGGACTCCAGCGCACGCAGATCGCGCTCGTTGACGCGAGGAACCTCGGAAGAGAGCTTTTGCAGCTCCAACTCGACGTTGCGGCAGTGGCGCTCCATAGCCTCAAGGCGGCTGCATGCCTCGCTCAGCTCGGTGGTGCGGCGGTGGAGCTCCTCCTCCCGCAGGCGGCACAAAGCTTGGGCCTCCTCAAGCGCCGCTGAGGCCACACTGCACCTGCGGCGTAGCCCCTCGACACTCTCCTTGCGATCAATCGATATGCTACGCAGCACATCTATAACGACGGAGACCATGTTGCCCACACAGTGGTCCCACTTAGCCCGGCGACGGTCACGGTCGCCCTGATCCAGCATTACCAGCTCCATCTGGTAGAACACGTCGTCGATGCTCAGCGCCATCGGCCGGCCGGCGACATATTCCTTCAAGGCGGCGCACAGGTGGTGGAAATGGTGCATCACGGCCATGTCGGAGGCGGACCCCGACGGTGGACAGATGGGCGCCTGCTTGGGTGTGTCCACATAAACCAAACGTGGAGGCCGCTCCATCACCTGCGACTGCACGTCCCTAGCTTGGTCCAACAAATCGCAAATGGATTCGAATTGCCGAGCGTGATTGCGAACGATATCCTCGGGAGCTGGTTTGTCGGAGAGCATTACTTCAGACGATTCGGATTCCGTGTCCGAGAAGTCGCCGATATTACCCACGGTAACATCGGAACGGCCTACTGAACGTGTCCTAGGGCTTTCGTACTCAGTTTCGCTCGCATCGTTTTGGGTGGCAAGGTTGCGCACATAATCGCGCAACGTCGACTTGATGTTCTTCACATAGTACCGTACATTAGCATCAACATCCTTTAACGCGCGTTCCAGACGCAGCGGCGCGTCGTTGGGAATGGCACGGCGAACGTCGTGGTCACGAAGAGGGTTGTGGTGACCCGGGCCGTGATTGACGCTGCTTTGGATGTAATTGCCTGCACCGTGACCATCGTCAGTGACATAGGCAGGTGGTCTCGCAGCACGTTGCTCAGCTGGATCCGTAGCAACGGGGACCGTTGCAGCTTTTGGCTGCTGTTGAGGTGCTGGCACCGTAACAGTGACCACCTTGGGCTCCGGCGGATTCTCGAGCAACTTTTTGTATTTCTCGCGATATGGCGTCAGCTTCGTTATCACGTTCCTGACGGCTGCCAGTATGCCCCGTAGATTGTCCTGCTCGCATTCGGCCTGCGCAGCGGGCGGTAACATGGACAACGCGAAGGCGCAGAGAGATGACCGCTCCTGAGTTTGCCCCTCCAGACGCTTGTCGAATTCGTTCAGAGCCTGTGCGGCGCTTGAGCAGTCGGACATCAGCTTGGAATTCTCCTGCTTCAACTTCAGTTGGTCCTCTTCCTTCGACTTGATGACGCTAGACAGCTGCTCTACCTTAACCTGGCACTTGCCCAAAGCGTCCTCGTAGTGGTCTTTTAGGCGGTTAATAACATCAGCCGGGTTGTTCTTGTACAGCTGGCGGATGACCGACTTCAGCTCTTTAGCGTGCGCATGTGCCTTGCTCATGCGATTGGCGAAATCTGCCCTCAGGAGCTCCAAGTTCACACTATCACCTAAGCACTTCACGAGTGGCGAAATCGAGCTGTCCTGAGACCGAGCTGCCGTGATCATTGAGGCGCTGAACTCCTGCATCTGGCGGCATAGCCCGGCCGCAAGCGCGCTCAAAAGGTAGTTGCACTTCAAAATGTTGCACACCTTATCACGCGCCAGGGATACATCCTTGGCGGTGGCAGCTATATCCGTTATCTCGTGGTTGTCCATTGTGCTCTTCTGGATCGTGTCCAACACTCCATAGTATACAGTAAGGTTGAAGTTGGGAATTGAGGAGAGGTCGATGGGACCCATGTCGGCAGGTGCCAGAGCGATGGGCTTCGCATCGCGCACGGAAGAGAGCAACGAATTTAATGATGAGCCTAAAGAGTCGATTGTCGATGATAAGGCGCTCTGGGTCCGTTCCTTCTCAAGCAAACGCTCTGATGCGGCACGCATGTCGGCAGCGTTCTGCTGCAGCGACTCGGTGAGGGATGACACCGACGCCCTCAAACCTTCAATCTGAGTTTCTTGGCGATCCAGTTGGTTCCGAAGCCTCCCTTCAGCCTCTGACATTGCGTTGACCTGTTTGAGGTATTCAGCGTTGGAAGCACGCTCCTGTTCAAGGGCGTAGCGGAGCTCCATCACCGACTTCACAAGGTCAGAGTTCTTGCTACGCAATGATTCTAGCTCCACGCGGCCGTTGTTTAGGGACTCATCCAGGAATTTGCATCTTCCTTCCAACCGAATGATTGACACGCGGTCACGTATCGAGTCATGCGCAGCCTGCGTGTCGCCGACCAACAACGATTGGAGCTGTCGGACCTCCTCACGTAGTGCCGACACCTCATTATTAGCAGAGACGCTCTTCTCCTCCAATGTATGCAAATCGTCACCCAGGCGGTTGTTTAAGTCGCTGAGGTCGGTGTTCATTTGCTTCAAGCGGTTGACTTGGTCGTCATAAGTAGTGCACTTGGCACGCAGCGCGTCCAGGTCGTTTGAAGTCTGCAGCAAAACCGATGACTGATTGGAGAACTTGAGCAGCTGCTGGTGCGAGCTGTGCAGGTCGCTGTTCAAACGGGCTATGGTGGTGTGCATCTGGAAACGCTCCAGCGAACTTTGATGAACAATATCCAACAGCGATGACAGTTTGTCAGTGTACAACTTGTTCTCGAACTCCAGAATCGTGATGCGCTCTGCAGTCAGATCGTCAGAACCGAGCTGAGACGATGTGGTTGTTCCGTGCTCTGAGGGTGCTGTCTCCAACTCCTCGAGCGACGTGCGAGTCATGTTGCCCAGAGCATCCGTCAGACAGTGGAGCAGACGGTCAAATGCCAGGCACCCTGCTTCACGAGTGTCGGCGGCGAGCGCCTGGTTTTGGTTGCGAAGGTGGTCTACCTCATCGTGAACAGCCGAGAGCTTGGTACGCAAGTGCTCCAGCTCAGAGCGCAGCACATCGTTATCCGATTCGTAGGAATGCACGCGGCTGTTCAGTGTCAGCAACACAGATTTGAGCTCCGACAGTGTGGAACCGAGTTTAGATGAGCGGTCGTAGTCCTGGGAAACCACCGTGCTCGACTGGTTGGCATCAGGCGCAACCTGCGCCCCACTGCCATACGATCGCACCAATTGCTCAAGCTCATGATGATACGTCACCAATTTGCGACGAGCGACTGACAGCTCTGAATACAGCTCGCGGTTACGGCGCTCCTCGGCGGCCAGCTGGTCCTGCAACCGCTGACGGTCCTCATTCGCCTCCTGAGAACGCTGGATCTGCTTCTGCAGGATGGATATCTCAGCCTTCAATTCCTTCACCTTAGTATCTTCCTCAGGCGATACACGCGAAGGACCCAAGCTCGATGGGACGTAATAGCCTGAACCTATCGACGTCAAATCGCCAGACATCCGGTAATCGAGGGGACCAGCACTGCCGGTCGACAACTCTGCCCGCAAATCGTCGGGCAATCTCGCACGGCTTTTCAAGCGCTCGTTTTCACGCTTGAGCGCGCGTATATGGCGTATATACGACTGCGATTTCTTTTGGAGCACGGATATGTCGGAAATCAACTCCCGTACTTTGGCGTCGTCGTGCACAACTTGACCTACAGAATCACCAGAAACGGGGGCTATAGCAGGCGAAGGCAACACGGCATTTGCAAGTTCAGACCGCACAACACCGGCCACTGATATCGAATCCAATGCAGGCGAACCCAGCAGCGGAGGGAAGGCCGGAGACGAAACCTGCTCTCTGACTTCACGCGGAAGGCTGGTAACCGCATCTACCGATCTCTTCTCAAGGTGTAGTTCACGCATAACATCCGCTTCAGCGTCATGGGAATCGTTCTCAACAGCGCCAGGCTCCGGAGATGCAGTTTGTACCGGCAGGGTTGAGGGTGCATCGGGGAGGGGACACACACTCACAGCTTTTTCACCATCAAATTCTGCTATGATAAGCTCGCCTTCATTAGGCGATGGTATTTCTTGACGTGAATATTCCAAGTCGCTGCCAAACTCGTAGAACGAAGTGGACGATGCCGAGGCTTTGCCTCCAGCCTGTGACCCAGCGGAATTTATACCCTCGTCGTCGAGAGACCCCTGTCGATCGGAATCGTAGGCGCTTGTCGCACAATCAACGTCGTTAAGTGTAAAGCTTGCAATGTTCGGTGCCGTGGAACCTGGATTTTCCAGAGATGACGCGTCGTATTCTGCACCCGATGAAAAGCAATGGAATTTTCCAGCAACCTACCAAATTGGGATCCAGTTTTGCTGAACGTAGGACACGGTGTGTTGTTCAACGAACAGTGATGTGCCAAAGCGTTCTCGGCCAAGAACAAAGACCGTTCTTGCACGGACAACTGCTTTCCACGTTTAATCACTAGCCTCTGCAGATTTGCGCACCGGGTGGCGGATATGTAAAGGCTCTCGGTCAAACTGGTTAGAGCATCCAAATAGCGCTGATCGGAACTGGATTTGTCTAGTTCGAGTTGGAACAGCTCCGAATAGGCGTTGGAGAGCTTCAGCGACAGATCGGTGTTTTCACGAGATAGCTCAGCCACCTGAGATTCCAACGACGAAATGATTTCGTACTTTTGCGATAATGTGTGTAGAAAAGAAGTCAACACTTCCTTACCAATGTCCGACACTGGCCATGGAACCGACGTCGTTCCTCCGCAAGAGGCTTCCTCCGCTGCGGTGTCCGGTGCCGGCGCAGCACCTTCGATGCTGTGCAGGTCCGGAAACGCAGATTCAACCACCGCATCGTTGTTGTCAGACTTCAAATAAACAGGGATGTCGAAGAAACGCTGCAAGCGTGTCACAAGCGCTTCGGGGGTACGTCGCAGGTACTCCACCAACTGAGGCCGAATACATCCCAGCTGGTTGAACACCTCATCGAGGAGCCGTTTGGGTGACTTCGGCCGTCTTTTGCTTTCCTTCCTCAATACATCACCAAAGCGTGACTCTATCACCGCCAAGTTGCGCTTGCGGCGGCGGAAGTCACGGTCGTACCTTTTCTTACTCTTAAGATCCTTGTAGACACGATATCCCGCAAGACAGGGGGGCGTTACATCCACTCCTGTGGGCTCTGATAGGCATTAGAATGCACGAATGGAACGCAGGCACTACGCTCGAGGCACACATCGACAAGTCGATGACATAACAAGCTCCGGTAGTTGCACACGGCAAAGAAGGAAAGCGGCGCGGGGAAGCGCTGCATAAGCTCATCAGACCGAATTCAAACGGAAACAAATCATGTTAATGGCACAAATCACGCAGAAGCTCACCTGAGCCTGGCGGAGGCGCATCCAGCAACGACATCGCCATCGCAGAGAACGGCAGCAGGCCGCCGAGGGAGAAGCCAGAATATTCTACGAAATTGCAGCCGCTGCTACATTACGAAATAATACGCTTAATGATCTGATGTACACTACATCACGCCGGTGGAGGTGGCGCGGTCTACCACGTCACGTTCACGACAGCACCAGCACACTACGGCACCACCGGCGGTACGAAGGCAGCCCGGACAACGGTCGCGTTGTCCGACGGATCTCTTAACTAAGTTATAGCGGTATGCGTTGCACAGGTACCGAGTGTTGGTTTGTTATTGCAAGGAAGACGCAATTAGCAAAATGCCGTTGGAAGTCACGTTGACTTCCAGCAGTCACTTAGGATTCGGCCGCCACTCGTACCAATTTTGCTGACTCAGATGTTGCAACAACATGTCGAGAAGTGCCTTTATTGTAAGATAACTTCAATATGCTGACACGAAGACGCCTATAGCGTCAAATGAGCAGGCAACGTGCCGTAAGATAGACAGCCATTACTGAACTGACATTCCACTAGCCACGCATGTAACGCGCAATGCATCAGTTTAAACAAACTCGGCATGCCATGTAACGCTTGCTCGGGCCTGCTATTCTTATTTTCTGGAAGCAAAGACGCCGATAGCCAGGCGGTCTCGGCCGCTACGTTCCACATGGGCATAGTGAAACCACAGTAAGCTGCCACGTGGGTACGAGTAACATAATATAACATAATTAACAGGCGTGATTACACACTACTCAATGTACTTGTAATGACTAAGTCTTCACAGAGAGCTTAGCCAGCTCCATTACCAGCGATGGCACAGAGGAGAGCTCCTCGAAGGCAGGGGTGCGCATCACATCCGCGGCGTGCTCGCCAATAAAGTTGAAGCAGTGCTGGCGCAGCAAATCGGCGTTGTACAGCTTGGAGTACTTCAGCATGTAGCACACGTTGTCGATGTCAATCTTGCGCACCAGCACCTCCTGGCACATGCCCTTCAACAAATCCAGGGCACACGAGTCCGCCAGACCCATGATCTCGCACAGCTTAAAGTGGGTGTGACTGTTGAAGTCACGGATGCGGGACGAGTATATGAACTCAAGCATCTTCATCACTGCGTCGAGGGACCAGCCGCTCAACTCGATCACCTCCGGAGGGTCCTCCTGGCTCAAAATGTCGTCGAAGTACTTCGAGTTGGCGCACAGAATCACCTTGTGAGACGCGATCTTCTTGCCGGCAACCGATACGGTAACGTCCGAGTACTTGGGGTTACCTAAAAACTGGCCGATGTTGTCCGCCAACGACGACAGAATGGGGTCGAACGACCGAGTGCACTCCGAGAAGTACTCCATCGTGTGCAGGTCGCTGATCCACTCGCGACCATTGTAGCCTCCGAAGACGTACATCACACCATTCATATGCATCATGCTGTGGCGCTGGCGGCGGCACACGGGCTCGTTGTCAGACGTGATGGTCTGACGGCGCCAGGCGCACGAGCGCGGGTTGAACACGAACAACGTGCTGTACACCGTGTCGCCGTTGTCACCGCCGAAGACGTACATCTCGTTGTTCATGAAGCAGGCGGCGTGGCCGCGGATCGCGGGCGGGTGCACGTCGCCGGAGCAGTCCACGCGGGTCCACGTGTGGGTCGTAACGTTGTACGTGTAGGTGTCGTCGAAGTGGGTGCGACCGCTGTGACCGCCATTCATGTACAGCATCCTACCGTCAGTGACCATCACGTGAGCGCTGCGAGGCTGGGGCTTCTTGCCGTAGGGCCTGCTCAGGTGGGTCCACGTCGCGGTCACCGGGTCGAAGCAGTCCATGTCGTTGAAGCACTGAGAGCCGTCGTATCCACCGAAGCAGTAGAAACGGTCGTCCACGCGGGTAATACTATGGCACGTACGCTTGCCCAGCACCTTGCCCGAGCAATTGACGTAGCGGACCTGCACATCCACGGTTGCATCAGGGTCCGTCGTGTCGAACGCGTCGTTGAGCGTCGACACGTCAAAGGCGAACATGTCCATCAACCACTCACTGCCGTCGTGACCGCCGTGCACGAACATTTCTCCGCCAAACACAGCGCATGCGTGGTTGTTGCGGGGCAGACTTGCCGCCGTAAACTTTCTCTTCTTCTTCGACCCAGGCAACAAAACGTACGTTTCCTCCACGCACAGGTTCAAGCGCAGCCAACGGCGCTTCACTGTGTGGAAAGCGTACGCATCAGCAAGTGGTTCCTTTCCAACCCAACCGCCGAAGACCACCATCACCTGACCCACCACATCGCAGCAGTGGGCCGCACGGGGCGAAGGCGCTCCTGGCGTGGAGCTGATGTCCTTGTTTAAAAGGTAAGTATTGTGGCACAAACTCGACATTGTTGTTATTCAGTATACAAATTTAACCTCCGATTGCAGCCGATGAATTTTTCACGAGCGGAAATGAAGATACCGCAGAAGACAAAAAAACGATGCTATCCTGCCTAATGTTATGAAACTAAAATGCCGTACCAATATTTCGATGGCACGCAAAAAACTTGTGATATCCCAGACAATCTCCGATTTTAAAACGAAAAACCAATCACGCCACCGGATGTAAAAGTGTCCTAAACCACCTATAGATACAACCAGAGATGCGGATGGCGTCGAACGCTTTAATGTGCCGCCGATCGCCTCTCAAACGCTATATTACGCGTCCCACAAGACAATGAAATCAGGGTGGGAACAGACTAATGGCTTCCGAACAAAGACGCCACGAACTTTCGTCTTGGTTATTGCAAGTGGCGAAACGTTTATTCCGGAAGCGAACACCTAGAATAACTTGGCTGGCAACCCCTCAGCTAACGCGCCCGAAAGAAAACGACTCCACGAACCGCGAGCGAAACGGCGCACAGCACACTCATGCAAAGGGAAAGCCAAAGCTATAACACAAATTAGGCCTCCCTGCAAGCCTCGGAGCGATTGGAATATTCCAAATAATCAGACCAGCACGGCGACGCCAGTAATATCGGCAGCGCGCACGCAAGGTCCGCAGAAAGGAACACACGCAACGACGCAAACGCGCTCTGACAATCCTCAGAAACACTCGGAGAAATTGTCACAAACGCATCATCTTTACAGCCAAATTTGAAATGACGCGAGCGTGAACATCACAATGCTGCTCTGCCGTCAATTCATCGGCCACACCCGCCACAGCCTCATGCCATCGGGACTGCTCGGAGAACTGGACCTACACACATTGCCAAGACATTATGCTACGATCAAACATCGTAGAATCGATGTTATTTCCGTGTCACATGGCACGTGCACCCCGCATTATATTCGTTGCGAGGCTGCTTGTGACACGCAGATGACGATAGGTCACTGAACGCAGTCGGCGTTACGCAGGTCAAAACATCGCCTATCACGAGCCGGTGGCTCTGTTGACGGCTGTAGTATTTACAAATGCCACGTCCTACGTACGCTATTGCCGGCAAGGAGCGCCGTTCTGTCGTAGCATGATTTAGACAGGAGTGATTTTTAAAATACGTGTTATAGCGACACTACTACGGTACGATGGTTGTCGGAATTAGACCGCGGATTCGGGGAAAATGCGCTGCGATATGTTATCCTGCGAGGCGTAAACGAACCATGAGTATCAAACCGGAGAGATAAGATATCAGTCCCACGATAACGCCGTTGAATGTCATCTTCAGCGCAGACGACAGCTTGCCCTGCCTCATGTAGCTTCCCTGTTAACGCATGCAAATACGCATTAATGCACACACCTTGAAGTAGCCCAGACACATGGTGCCAAAAAGCGAAAAGACAGCCGTTGAGGTGAAACCGAGTATGTGCGACAACGTTGAACCCGCCTCGGCGAGGAAGAAGCCGAAAAACCCTAGCAAAGGGAACGATCCCAAAATGCAAAAGCTACCGAACATCAGCCAACCTGCACATTTCAAAAACAACGCAATAGCAGTACATACCGCGCTTGGCAGGGGATAGCTCGTCTTCTGTTAATAGAATCCCAAGCTCTTCCGCCATCATGTGTCGCAAAAAGAAGGCCTTGTTGCGGAAGGTCAGGTCAACCAGCTTCTCTGCATCTTCGGGAGTGAAGTTGTACCGTTCGACGTAAATCTCAAACATTTCCCCCTTCTCGCAGTCGGGTTTTTCTTCAACCTCTCTGCATCAAACGTCAGGCATTCAAAATAACGCGACATACACCTCCTCGCGCTTACGCTCCGCCTGCACGTAGTCCCGCTCGGCCCCGCAGCTGACGTACTCGCCGTAGCCCATAGAGAAGGCGGACGCCAGCATTGTTCCCAGCGTCACGCAGATCGTCTGTAGCGGCGAAATGGCAGCGCCGGCACATCCAGAGACAACAGCGAACATAGAGAGGATTCCTAAATAATCTATGCTATTGCAGCCTTAAAACGCACCATCCAGACCGCCAAACACAATCACCTTGATTGCAGCACTGCTTCCGTCCAAATGGTCCTCTAAGTGCGGCGTACGGCTCTCCGAACACCGCGACGTCGAAGACCTGCAGCGAGATGACATCGGGGCTTCCAACCACGACAATGGCGCAAAAAACGTCGCAGTGGCGCTTTCACAACTTACTTCTTGCGGTATTCCATTGAGAAGTTGGCTAGAAGCGATGAGAATGACACAGAAGGACGGATTAATAAGCACACACCTAAGCGACGGAGGCGAATATCACCTCTAGCGATTACGAAAACTGAATATACATACACCTAAAATATAAGAGTTTCGTTATACGACATGTTCGCAGAAAACCCAGGTCCGATTGCAAATAGGAATGCTGTCCGACAAGACCTGGCAGTACACGCCACAGGGTAACGTGTCCGTGGACGAGACCCTGGACGACCGCAATTCTCCACTTGTGAACACTTCAGTGAATGAACTGAAGAATCAAGGGCATATTGTAGAGGATGTCGTATCCCAATAAGCCGAACACAAGACATGCCGCACCGGAGCGGATCACGAACATGGCGATCTTGGCCAGGTTCTCCTCATCAAAGTCAGCGAAAAAATTTCCACCGCTTCCGTCATCTGAGCCATCGGAATCTTCATCAGAAGAGTCAGCCTCATCTTTCGAGTTGCTGTCCTCGGTCTGGCCGGCGGAGCCTCCCTTGCGCATTGACGCCCAGATCGGGTAAATGTTCAAGATCACTGAACCGTATGTCAGCACCTTCACAGTGGTGTGCTTCATCCTCTCGGGCGCGTGGAGCCACGCAGAGATAGCCATGTGGATCATGCGGGCGGCGCCTAACATGTCTATAAGCGAAAAGAATCCTCTGACGAATGCAGGGCAGTAAGAGTCCACCCTCTCGGAGTGGAGCACGTGGCACACGTAGCATCCCAAGGAGAAACTCAGCACGTAGCTCAGCAAGTTGCACACTGCAATGCAGCGGGTGCTGGCAAGGTCAAGCGGCTTAACTATAGGCTCGACGACCTTTGCGGTAGCGCTCACATCAGCTCTCGGCGACGACAGTATAACTTCCTTCAGAAACGACGAGGGGGGCTGGGTCTCCTCGTCGTCGTCGTACTCGGGCTTGCTCAGGGAACTCAGGCGCCTGCTAGACTCAGCGAGAACGCGGTTCCGGCGCTGGTAGGCTGCGTCTGAAGCCGCCATGTTGATTATTGGCGGCAGAAATAACAGTCGGTGCGAAGTGCAAACACTCTCTCGAACAGCGAAGACTAATGACGCGACGGAGCAGGACCAATCTCACTGAAGAGGTCCTGATGCAACCGACACGCACACTAGCGAAATACACGCAAATGATGCCCTCTTTGGGGGTGTTTTTGCGTTATAGGCGGCAAAAAGGTCGCACCGTTAAGTGACCAATGGCGACTGAAGAGACCGGCCGCGATTACGGGGACGTGACGCGGTGGGTGGGGGTCCGAAGAATTGCCTGCGGCCAGTCGAAGATTTCGCCCGTAAGCACAAAAATATAGTCCCCAAAATGGCGGACGGAGCGGGCGACGGGCCCACGCAATACGTCAGCACGCTGAGGGGACCAGCAGGTAGGCGCGAACTCGGACACGCAACACCAACAAACTGCAGATTTCGCGCTTGAAACGCAGAATACTGCTTTCGACCCCGATTGGATGATCGATAAGACCAAACGGCCTGGAGTTGTGAACTACTCGAAGCCCGATTCGGATTCCTTTACGGATGAAGACAGTTGGAAGGTCATAGGTGAGTTGGCAGACCACGCGCATCGTAGACGCCTCGTAACGCATACAGTGGCCTTCGTGATATACATGCTGTCGATGTCTATGTGCTGTATGAGGACACACTTTCGAAACTTGGCTTAATTTGTATGCAGGGTCGTTTTTCAACACCCATGGGCTCGTCCACCAACAAATCGAGAGCTTCAACGACTTCGTCACTTATCGCATGCAAGAAATGATAGATCAGCATCCGCCGATCGAAATTACGTAAGTTCCGGAAAATCAGTGCCGTTGACGTTGCCGCAGGCCGCAGCCACGGTACCACCCTGCGGACGAACGAGAGAACAACATCGTATACAAACTCAAGTTCGGGCAGCTTTCGCTCAACAAGCCCTGCGTCGAGGAGAAGGATGGTGTGCTGAAACACATCTGGCCACAGGAGGCTAGGCTCAGGAACCTGACCTACGCGTCGCAGATTTACGTTGATATTGAGCAGGAAACGTATCTTGTCGACGAGAACACCAGAGAAGAAGTGTTGCAGGAGAAACTCACATATCCCAGAATAGGACTGGGTAGGATACCGATGATGCTGAAGTCCGCGTACTGCTGGACAAAGAGCATCAGCGAGGACGACCTCGCGGACGTTGGGGAATGCCCTTTTGACGAGGGGGGATACTTCATCGTCAATGGTGGTGAAAGGGTGCTCATTGGCCAGGAGAGGATGGCGAATAACTACATCTACGTGTTCAAAAAGAAGCAGCCGTCGAAATACAGTCTGGTTGCCGAGGTCAGGTCACAGCCCGAGTTCTCGCAGGGAACGACACCGTTCAGCATCATGATGAAATCCACGCTGGGAATTGCTGGCAGCCGATTTAAGTCGCACGGGCAGCTGGTGGCGTCACTGCCGTACCTCAAGGCTGACATACCGATCGCAATCCTGTTCAGGGCGCTTGGTTGCGTAGCCGACAGGGACATTCTGCAGAGGATAGTCTACGATTTCGAGGACAAACAGATGCTGACGCTCATGAGGCCATCGCTTGAGGAATCTGCCGACTACGCAACTCAGGAGATGTGCCTCGACTTTATCGGAAAGCGTGGACCCACCGTGGGTGCCCCGCTTGAAGCTAGGCTACAGTATGCCAGGGACCTGCTTAGGCAGCACCTCCTACCGCACGTGGGCACCGAAGCTGGTTGCGAGAGCAAAAAGTGCTACTTCCTGGGCTACATGGTACATCGCATATTACTCTCCAGGTTGGGGAGGGTCATCGAGGATGACAGGGACCACTTCGGAAAGAAGCGGCTCGATCTCGCGGGCGCACTTATGGCGTCGAGTTTCGGCACGCTGTTCAGAAAGATGGTCAAGGACACCAAACGCATACTACAACAACAAATCGATTGTGGCAGGGAATTCGATGTGGCCGGAGCAGTCAGGAGCGCAACCCAAATCACACAGGGGCTGCAGTACCAGCTGCTTACGGGTAATTGGGGAAGGGACAGAGAAGGCAAGGTGGTGAGGACCGGTGTGAGCCAGGTGCTCAACCGGCTCACTTTCGCGTCTTACCTCTCCCATCTACGTAGGCTGAACACGCCACTCGGCAGAGAAGGCAAGGTGGCGAAACCCAGACAGCTGCACAACACGCATTGGGGCATGATCTGCCCTGCCGAAACTCCGGAAGGCCAGGCTGTCGGCCTGGTGAAAAACCTCGCGCTCATGTGCTTCATCAGTGTTGGGTCGGCTGCCTCCACCATCAACGAGTTCCTTTGTGAGTGGGGTATGGATTCGCTCGACGAAGTACCGCCAGAAGTCATCAAGGACAGAATCAAAGTGTTCATTAACGGTACCTGGGTGGGCTGCTTCGACGAGGCGGACAGCCTGGTCAAGACCCTTCTAGAGCTCAGGAGGAGGGGTGATATTGCAGCGGAGACCAGCATTGTCTGCGACATCGTCTCCCAGGAGGTCAAAATTTTCACCGATGCGGGAAGGGCAATGAGGCCCCTCCTTATCGTAGAAAACGGAAACACTCTTGCCATCACCAAAGAACATATCGCAAGGCTCGACAACAATGACTGTACTTGGGACGGGCTCATCGAGTCCGGCGTTATCGAATACGTGGACTGCGAAGAAGAGGAAATGTGTATGATTTCCATGTTTGCCGAGGACCTTAAAACAAACAGTACCTATTGCAGTACCTACACGCACTGCGAAATCCACCCGTCCATGATCCTCGGTGTTTGCGCATCAATTATCCCTTTCCCGGATCAAAACCAATCGCCGAGGAACACATACCAAAGCGCTATGGGAAAACAAGCCATGGGTGTCTATGCCACCAACTTCAACCTGAGGATGGACCCTCTCTGCCACCTGCTGTACTACCCGCAAAAACCACTCGTGTGTACTCGAGCCATGGAGTTCCTCAGGTTCAGAGAATTACCCGCTGGAATCAACGCTATTGTGGCTATCATGTGCTACACCGGATACAACCAGGAAGATAGTCTTATCATGAACCAATCCTCCATTGACCGTGGGCTCTTCAGAAGCGCGTTCAACAGGACCTACATGAGCGAAGAAAAATATGTAGGAAGCACTATCGTCGAAAGGTTCGAACGGCCAAACCCGGCAAACTGCATTGGGCTGAAAAGAGGCGATTACACCAAACTCGATGCTGACGGGCTCGTGGAACCGGGTAGCAGGGTGCTGGGTGACGACGTTATCATCGGAAGGACGTCGCCATGTACGGACGATGAAGACGAAAACCTTAGACAGGATTGCTCGTGTTGTCTAAGAACGAGCGAAAATGGTGTTGTGGATACCGTGTTGCTTTCCACAAATTCAAAGGGCTCTAAATTCGCCAAAGTGAAGGTGCGATCCATCAGGGTTCCACAGATCGGTGACAAGTTCGCTAGTAGGCACGGGCAAAAGGGAACCATCGGAATGACTTACAGGGCAGAGGACCTGCCGTTTACATGTGAGGGAATAGTGCCAGACATCATCATGAACCCGCATGCCGTGCCCAGCCGTATGACAATTGGGCACCTGGTGGAATGCCTTGTAGGCAAGGTTGGTGCCTGCTGTGGTATGGAGGGCGATGCCACGCCATTTTCCAAGCTCACAGTGCAACACGTGGCGGAGAGACTGTTCGAGTGCGGGTACGGTAAGCACGGCAACGAGGCGCTGCACTGCGGGTTCACTGGCGAGATGATAACTAGCAAAATCTTCATAGGGCCCACCTACTACCAAAGACTCAAGCACATGGTGGAGGACAAAATCCACGCAAGGGCTAGGGGACCGGTCACAATGCTCACCAGACAGCCCACAGAGGGAAGGTCGAGGGACGGAGGTCTGAGGTTCGGAGAAATGGAACGTGATTGTATGATTTCACACGGCGCTGCTAAGATGTTGAAGGAGCGCCTGTTCGATCAGAGTGACGCTTTCAGGATGCACGTATGTGATAGGTGTGGCCTGTGCTGCATCGCGGACCTCAACAGGAGCAACTTCGAGTGCACCGCGTGCGACAATAAGACACAGATATCGCAGGTCACAATTCCCTATGCCTGCAAGCTACTAATTCAGGAACTAATGGCCATGGCCATCTACCCGAAGCTTGTGCTGACGCCGGCGTAGACGACGATGCACGCATCTCGCCCCGGCGCGGTCAATGTGCGAGGGCGCGCTAACACGGTGCCGGTGCGACCATTAAGATTTTTGCTTTTGCTTATTTTGTGTCTCAAAATGTGAAGCGTTGACGACAGTGCGCGAGAGACGCAAACGATCCGAATGACATACCACTAATGCGGACCAGGCGAACGCCATGACATCGCTGGCGGTCAGGCCTACGCGCGTCCGAGGAGGGGCGACGCTGTGCTGCTACGGGTCGACTAAGGCGCAGCGGCTGGCGAACGCGCTACGACCGCAGCAGCCCACCAGTGTGTACGATGACGGCAACTACCAAGCGGTGGTCAAACCGGCGTACGGCGCGGAAGACAGAGAGTGGTCGTACGTAAACACCGATGTGTATAAGAAGCTACTGGAAAAGGCACTAAAACGTGGCGGCAATGTGAAAGCTGCCCGACGTACCCCCGAACCCGTAGGCTCCAAACCCGAAAAACACGCCAAGGCTCTGAGCGCGCTTAATGACGCATTTTGGGGCACGGTGCGCGAAAGGAACCGGGATTCGCTTCCGAAATCAATTGCTAAGCGCTGTTCTGTAACGACTCAAAACAGCACTGCGGTGCCAAGGGAAGATTTGGGAGCAACGAAAGGAGGGGACAAACGCTTCAGAAGATGGTTAGAGTCGCCAATTTCCCGAGGTGCGGCCTACATCGAGGACTTTCCCGATGTGAATGACCGTCCGCTGACGGTGTGGGAGCTGGCGACCCCAAGACGCGAGCAAAACAAATTAGGGAATGGCGATAAAAGCCAGATTGCCGAAAGGAACGCAAATGCGAACAAAACTGCCGGCAACGAGAAGAGGATAGGATCACTTATACATGTAAATGCAGATGCCACCGGACGCACTAAACTGTCCATTAGGTCCGGTGAATCCCAGCCTGATTTGGATTCCGCCAATCAGTCGAGGATAGACAATTCTGTGGATAGATTTGCCGACGTGACAGCCCCACCGCACGATAACACGGGACTGACACCAAAGGTATACCGCCGTAACGATATCCACATGGACACGACCATGGAATTAAACACGCCGGACAGACTTGTGATTGACGGCGATACGCTGGATGCCGAAGTCGGGGCGGCGCTGATGCCGGAGGTGACGCCGGTGCGTGGAGAGCACCAGGCACTAACTCCCGAAGCGAGGCGAAATAGAAGTTCGAGGCCGAAGAAGCATGGGGTTAAGTCCACGCTCCGATCGCTCGACTTGGATTCAGTCTCGGGCTACTTTGTAGTAAATGCCAGTGCGGATTGGGACTTCGAATGAACAAAAAGTGCATCGTGCAAAGCAACGATGAATACGTACATGCAGCTAATAAAACTTAAATTGCCGGTGCATATTGCGGCGAAGAGCCGGAATGTAGTCCTTGTTCCACGTGATGCGCCCGGGCAGATCCGAGTACTTTCTCTCGTAACGCCAGTTGGGTGCCCGTAGTTGCAGAGTCTCTGTAGGAGCTGAAACGAAAATATATCACACTCTAAGGTACCTTTGCGTAGTGGTTGCAGCTTCAAATCGAGCTCTTCCAGCTCCGCTTCAATGCTGCAGAGCGCATTCGACCACCCGACCTTGGCAACAGAATCGGCCGATCCCAACCTGCATCATAAATGTGCAACGCTTGATGTCTGACTAATAGGGCGTAATTGCGCAGTCACTTACCGCCTAATCTTGTGTTGCAAGTCCTTCTGCAACTCCTTCAACTGGAAGACACGGGTCTCGTACTTCTCCTTCTCCTCCTGGAAAGCACGTATACACGCCGTAAACACCCGAGACTCACTTGGGCCCTAAGGATGTCTTTCGCCTGCAGACACTGCTGGTGGATTTCACGGCGAGTTATCACGCCAAGGATGCGCTTCATGGTAAGCTTCACCTGAAAGACATGCAGTTAGAAGACAAATAGAACATACTTTCTTCAAGCGACCGTGTTTAGGAGCGCGCGTACCCTGCTGGTACGCCGCCCATCGTTCACCCAGAAGCAGGTTCTTCTCCTTTAGGCAGGCAAAGTACAAGCTGCGCAAGTCTTCAAAGCTCTTGCGCCGCAGCAAAAAAGACGGCCAGGCATGACCCGCCCTTGCCAACCGTTCCTTGGTGCTGAATGGCGTATGCGGATCGAGATAACCGCCTGAATCAGATCAGCGGCGAGTGACTCTCCAACCTACCCTTCCACAGCTCATCGATGCCGCGGCGCGGCACCGCCGAAACCGAAGGATACAGGCGGAATAACCGCAGCAAAGACATGGAATATGGAGAAGGTTGATGCGATTAAATGCTGCTGCGACGACGGGCTCGCTAAACGGGTGCCGCAACTCGGGCGTACGAATCAGTCACACACAAGTGTCAACGCGGCGCAGATTTTTTTATACCGGTCACTAATTAGAATGTGTGTATAGTGAACTAGATAGCTGTGTTGAATAATGAATTGGGAGGATGAGATAAGCGCTGCCGCGCTCTAAGTCTTTTCCGTGTCTAATACACCGCAAAGTACAAATTGCGCCGAATCGGCCGTGTTCCGGTCACAAACGCACACTTACGAATCACGAATTACGAGCATATGGCGGGTGTGTAGGCATCCAGAATGCATCAAAAGCAAACGACCATATCGAGGTTGCAACGACGTTAGCGGCACAATGTATAGAAATATAAGCCTTATCGTTACCACAGTAGCATTCACCGTAGTCTACAAGGCTCATTATTCCGTGTCTACGGCTTTAGAAGCCGAATCCAGTCGGCAAGGACTGCATACCGAACTGCCCTTTCACATAGGGGACGATTCAGATGAACTTATCGATACAGGGGCAGAGGACGCATTCGACGATGGAGTTGAGAAAATGCTTGAGGCAGATCAAAACGAGGATGAATTCGACAAGGGCACCCCAGGGATAGGTAAGTCTAACACGCCACCACATTAAACATGCCTTAATTAAACAACGCAGACTTTCTGGGCATCGGGTACGATTCAATCTTTGGCAACACTCTTGGGGATGAGGATTCGCTGCTAGATCCGGGGTACAGGGCGCCTATAATCAACTTTAGCTGGCGGAAGAACGCTGAAGGATACTCGCCCTCACTCAAGGCTGTATACCCTCTGCACGGCTGGGTCAGGCCGGTATACTCATGCGGACGCTCATCAAAGGTATGACCAGCGAAAAACAAAAAACACGGTGCCTCAGATACAGGAGATACAAAATCTCGACGAACTCAAAAAGGCGTTCTCCGCCTCTGCAGAGCTTAAAGGCGATGTGCCATCAGCATCATTCTCCGCATCAGCCAAGTACAAAAAGGAAGCAGCGAACATCGCACACAAAAGAGAACGTGTATACCTTCACAGTGACATCTGCATACGTTACCAGGCAGGTATACCGCTCAACATACCGTGGTACGTTGCACATTTGCACAACACAAATGCCAAGGGATACGACTGGAGAGTTCAACGAGGCAGTCAACGCTTTAGAACCACTGGATGATGCAGTCAAGTACCTATGCTCAATAAATGACCTCCAGGATAACGCCACGAAGCAAGATTGCGCACCACTCAAGCGATGGATCAACTTCTTCCAAATATTCGGCACCCATTACGTGCATCAGCTTTTGCTAGGTAAGTGAATTGTAGTGAGGGTTAATGTGGACGAAAAACAGGCGGGAAACTTGTGCAAACGCTTAAATTTGATGCGTCGGCACTAGAAAGCTTAAAATCGTCGGGGGTTGATGTCAACCTTGCAATCGCATCCAGTCTTGGATCAGTAAACGCAAGTGCAGAAGGACGCAGAACAGCAAACGCGGCAAAAATAGACGAAATAGGCTCTAAGAGTATCACAGTAATAGGAGGAGAAATGCCGAACTTGCCCATCACAAACGAAGAATATGCCACATGGGGAAACTCGGTAGCGGAGAACCCAATGCCAATTGGAATGTCAGCCGAAAGTATAAAGCGACTGCTTAAAAAGGAATTGAAAGACTCTTATACATTAGCGCTATATAAATACGCAGAGCTGAATGGGATCGCGTATGAAATGCTCAACAAAATTGCGGGCAACACTGGTGGCCTCATGATGGAGGTAGGTCTTACGCTGTTAGCAGTTCTTGAAGGCTGTAACTGTTAAAGGTGCTTGTGCTTTCGACTTATAATTGCAGATTAAGAACGGGCAACCCACCATCTCATACAACAGTGATGCTAACGGAGCCAAGTGCAGCAAGGGCCAAAAAATACTTCTTGGGTTCTCCCTGCTATTAGACAAAGACGGAACGATAGTAGCGTTAATACCATGTAAAACAGGGGCGTTAGTCATGTCATGTAGCTGTAAATGAATCAACGTAGAAACCAATGCAATGTACCAATGAACAAGGTTGAAATACGTTCGGTGTCATGGGCAATATGCACCTCCGGACTCCAACCTAACATCAGTCAAGTCTCGGACGTGACGAGTCAGAATAATGTTTGTTTTATTTGGATTGGATGCTACCATATGGAAACAATAATAAATGTTATGTTTTCAATTCATGCGTAATGCAGAAAGTGGCTACAGCCTCGTGCCCACACGGGGCGATTGTCCAGTTTGGAATTGAAGTTCGTGGAAGAGGCGGCAATTTGGTGTCCGTCAATCCCTGCAAAAAAGGTAGCAGTCATTAGTGTTTGGTTGCTCTTACGCCATATCAGGAGTGCAATCCTGTAAAACGGAGCCTGTACCTCGCCAAACCGCTGCCGTCTGGATTGTTTGCTCTCGAGATGCGGAAAATACTACAGAGGTATCTTTACCGTACAATGATATGTAATGCATTGGCCAGGTGAACTTGGTGACGGAGATTGTTCCGCAAAGCAAAAAGGTGCAATGCGGAAAGGATGAGATCGTCATAGGGGGTAAAGAGAAATGTAGTCGTTTGTAATGTTTCTAGGTACAGCAATCATTATAAACGATGACACGAAGTCCGCCCCCAAATCGCCACAGCACATGAAGATAGGTGTCTGTGAACGGTACCTCAATTACTGCAAAGTCGAATGCGAAAATGACTGCAGTCAAGCCCTCGTTGTGGTGATGTGCGTTAGTGCAGACAGTCAAGGCAGCTAAAGTTTATTTTTCTCTGATGTGCCTAGAACTGTTAGACGTAGAGATGTAGGAAGATGCAATTTTTGTAATGCGTGCCAACACATGGGGAACCTTATTCACTAATGTTAGTTTATATATTCATTTTCGTGGATTTTATCGCATTTATATATTTGACAGACTTTCTTCCCACTTGGCTTGTCTGGCATTGGTGGCTGCGTATGATACGGCATTCTTATCCTACACCTTCGTAGAAAATGCCTGGCTCACCATTGGTGTCGATTGGGGGTTCCACGTTTACTCACGTGGCGCATCGGACGTCGTTCATCTGGACGCCATGGTTATTCGCAGAGTAATAATCTTCTCTGCGTGTCATGTCCCTCGTCAGGTAGGGTGACACCTTGAACGCCGTCTGCTGGTTGAATTGTCGCTACTTCAGGTCATTCGCCGGGTCCTTGTGCTTCCTCCTCTCTTATGTCGGCGTCCCCAACAAATTGTCTTGGTTGGTAATACGGTTTCCCGTAACGGTAATGAGATTGTTTCGCCCATTATGCCCAATGTATTTTCATTCTCAGGCGATAGGACACTCATTTAGGGAGATGATGCATCTAGGTCCCATTTTAGTGCCGTAACAAACAGGAAACATTTTACCAATACTAAAATGTGGAGCCCGTTATAACCCCCTTTCGCCTTAATGAATTTTCGAGTTGCAGCTGTGAATGAAAATTCCTTTGCAACTCGGCAGAGAGCTAGGGCAATGGGGTTTTAGCTTGCCACCACATTCCCAACAAATCACAAATCACAAAATATAAATTCTCTTTTTATTTCATATATCCATAAGGTGTATCTTTGGGCATTATCATTTTGTATTTATGTTATTGGTAATAGATCGGACGACGCAAAATACATAGCCATGGCCATTGCTAAATTTAACATCATCAGGTCCCTATGGGCATCTTGTGCAATATGGTTGTGCTTTATTGTGAATATCCACTCATTTTCCTGTGATTTCGGAGATCCATCAAAAGCACTCAGTAGAAGTGCTCTAGTTGGATGCGACATGGATATGGATGCCATTCAGACCGCAACTGTTGTATGTCCAAACCGAGTTAACGACACGGAATATATCTGGCATCCTCAATCAACGTCTGATGAACGCGATCAAATCAACACGTACGTGGATGACAATGGTTCGTTGCGTTCCGCTGCTCTATCGGATGTGATGCATTCTCAATCCGGCAATCAACACTTCTCGTTCTTATCGAATGATTCGCAAACGGAATTGCATTATAAGAAGAATCCTAATCAGTTGATTGCCATGACCGAACGCCGTTTGATATTCATATGTGGGCCGCGAGCTATGGTTTTGAGCGATGCATTACAGCGCCACCTGCACCGGCTTGATGGCTTCGCCGAAATGCAAGAGTTTCCGTGGGTACCATCCACACCATTGACTCAAGAAATATCAAAAATAGGGAATGGATTGGGTGTGGTTTTCCTAAACAGAGGCCGCCAGCATCTACCGCTTCAGGGCTGTGGAAGCAGCCCCTCGCCACTATTCGCTCCGGATAATGAGGTTACTGTAGACCCTGTAACCGGCACACGTTCATGCGTGGCAAATCCTATGTCGTTATCACCCATAGGGTTCCTTTGTGAAGGACGGATTGAACCTGCAGATTGTATGAGATCACTCTTGGACAAGAATGGCGGAGTGGTGGTTGCTCCTCCGCCTCACCTTTATTGGAACTTCCATAATTATGGTCCTTGGATGGCGGCACGATATTTTAATGACTTAGCAATCCCTATGTTCACTGGCGAATGCAGATGCATAGATCCCGAGACAGGTCACGTAAAGGCCAAGATAGAGATTCGTCCCCAAACCGAGTACGTCTGTGACATTTCCAGCCTGATCGAACGCCACCGTGCGAATCCTATCAACGGCCCTTGGTGTTCGGTGGTTCTCCATCCCGGCAGCACCTTGACCATACGGTTCCCAACAGCGGATGTAGATTCGGTGTCTAACGATGCAACGCAACTGCTGCCTACTGATCAATTCGAAGCTGAATTCTTGCCGAAAGACTTGACCACACTGCGGCAACTTAAAACAACATATGACTTTGATGTGTACGAAGAAATCTCATACAACGAAGCACTTGCAGGCGACGCCCTCGAGATGGATGTTTCCCAAATGGCCCAGGGTGAGGTAAAACTGAAGTACCATGCGGACAAACCTCTCGCGTTAAAGGGGGGTCACAACTCGTTTTTGTATCAGTGGAGACTGAAATCCACGAATGAGGATGTTCCAGATAAGATACGAGCCATCGTCAAAGTGGTCTTTGCGTTGACGCACCCCTACCATATCATTGGTAGTGACCGAGGTCTACGGAGTGTGTTTGATCCTAAACTTAACAAGAGGTATTGTTCAACCAAATCTATGGGGAATGATATAGGGAATACGTATGAATGCTCGTATTTTAAAAACTCGAAGATTGAGTCTGCCGGCATTTTCTGCAGGTCAGATGAGAAGCTGTTGCCAACGAACTGTGATTCCACAGGGTACGACCGCTCATCCAATCGAGTGATGCCATTTCCCGGATCTGTGCGTAATGCAACTCCATACCCCATTCAAGGTTTTCAGGTGTTCGATATTGACTTGAACGGCGATAACCCTGTCAGTTATGCTTGCGTCTGCGTTGATCAACGTGGGTATGAGACATCTAGGCTTATCTTAGAGCATAACACACGTCAGCTATACGCATTCCCGACATACCGTAGAAAGACGAAAACACACTGGTTGCTTGGAGACGTCTCACGAGATCAGGAGAAAGTCGGACTGTTACTTGAAGTGTCCACGCGAGCAAGGCCTATTATGTTTAAGCACAAACCAAAAAAGGCGATTACACTGAATGTAGGCACAACGTTGTCCATGACTTGTGATCTTGATCCCAACGAACAGAACGTTGCAAATAATAAAGTAATACCGTCGGCATGGTGGCCAAAGGAACCCGACACATCCTATTATACCATAAAACAGACAGAAGACGGGCCTCAACTTTTTAGTAAGAGATACACAGATTCAATCGCTAGTACTACGAATGATTTTCGAATCACGTACAATATTTTTGAAGAGCAAGGATTTGAACGTGTGACGATAGAATCTAATAAAGGGGCCATCTTGGTATCCAAGGATGCGGAAAACACGAAATTTGTGCCCATAACATTCGTCTGCGGCAAATTGCTCGAACCGATGGACGTAGGTGTAATAACTGGTAAAATATATGTATCTCCATATACACATATCGTAGAATCGTCACAACTGTATGCTTGGCACGTCGTGGAAGTTAACGTCGAGACCACAGACCCCTATATGCAAGGCTGCGGCGTCACCTACGAAGCGGATGAGTTGTTCAAGCCTGAAACGCCCAAACTCTACGACGCTGACGGGCAACCTCAGTTCGGCTGCAAGATTGATCTTCAGGCTGCCAAGGAAGCTGCGTTCTACTGCCCGGCGCCGTATGTCCTCGACCCACCCAACTGCTTCAGCCAAGTATTAGTGGACGGTGAAGTAAGGAACATAAGCGGCCTCAGCCAGTCGTTGGTAGCGTCGCATTCCAACCATTTCGTCATCCTGGGCTTCGATAGTTCTCTTGTAGGACCCGGGGAGACGCTGCACCAGACGCCGCCATTGCAATGCCGCTGCGTGACCGTCAAGGGAATCGTTCTCTCCACCATACAGATCGAGAACTACTATGCCAAGTAATGGGTTACTAAGATGTGGTAACTCGTCAATGAATTGTGCGAATTAATTTGCTTTCGTTGTTCATGTTGATTGATGTTTCACGGTAGCAGCATCGCTTTAGGTTGTCAAGGGTTTTTTGCGGCTGCCAATTTAACAATGGGTTTGTGTGTTATAATGGGTGTCTCCTATGTGTATAAGAGGTTATAAGTCTGGTTGCTAGGGTGGAGTGGAATTGCGTTGCACTACACCGTTTTTATGCATATGGTACTGCCGGAGTGGGTAAGATACGATCACTCCATTTGCAGAAATGTTCACACGATAAAATATTGGCAACGCCTTTAACACGCAACAATCGACAACATTTAGCACCTCTACCTTAGTCCAGTTACCCCACTAATGTTCATAAACAATCGCAGTGTCCGTGCCTGAGCATGATAGGTCACCAGTTGGAATTAATGCAAGGATGATTTCGTCTACCACTTATACGATTACAGAACACATTATGAGATGATCTACAAGGCTGCAGGGAATGACATTGAGGATTCCCGAATGACCATTTCCGGTGCTCATCGCACTCAGCTTGGTATACCACAACACGATGCGGTGGGTAAAGTGGAAAGAAACCGATGCCTCATAGTAGGATGTCTAGCATCTGGGATGTGAATACGATGTTGTAACCATAGTTAGTGCCTGAAATAAGTGGATGAAGTTGGGCAACCGTCAGCCCAATAATGAGTCCAACCTCATCGGGGTTGGTGTGACGCATTGCGGCAAAATGCGCAGTTCAATGTTAGCGTAACGCTTTTACATGATATATGACCCATAGAAGCCGCTTCGCGTGTAATTTCACCAAACGCCGTAATAATGCTGAGGTGAGAAGTCGTCGGTTAGAGCACACAAGATGGCCCATCCTTCCGTCCGAGAACGTTGCGTGGCCTCACGGACTAGAGATAACCTGCAACTTATTGTGCAATCTAGTTGCGTATGTTAATCTTCTATTGCAATTGCTGAGTTGTAACAGTAAGCGGGGCCGCTCAATAGAAACAGGACCGAAACCGAATCGGCAGCGCAGGAGAGGTGTTGGGTCATCCGCCGTGTGAGTGGGTAACATCACAGTGGTTGAAATGTGGATGTATGCCTATGTGCGACATTCTGTGAATATGCGGCCTTATCTAAGTGAACGCTCTAGTCAAGTTGCATATATAGACAACACTGCGGTAAGGGTTGAAATCATAACGCCGGACTGTACCCCAGCAGCCGCCTCGCGGGGCGCCCCGCAAACATTGTTACCCAGATATATAACCCCGAAAGCCGTGCAATGCAAGTGATCAGTGGCAGTGTGAGTGGAGTATAGACATTTTTTCAATTCGAATACAGGTGAGAGTAACTTGATTAAAATTGTGCTGGCAAACTAGCGCATCAGGGCATGTGTTAGCAGTGGATATTAACGGTGTGTCAGAGCTGAGAGATCTCGAACTACGCCTAGCTGAGCACACCTGGACGGCAATCTGGGCGTGTAGTTCTATTTGAAGAGGAGTTTATGATATCAAGTCACGTTGCTAATTATTTTGCGAGATGGCTTCTCAAAGGGATGAGCGTGAGATGAAAGCTTCTCCAGGAGGAGATTTGTCAAGCGATCTGGCAACTCGTGTTTCTGCGGGTGGGGACAAGGATGGTGAAGATGACAGGAGAACGGACAAGTTAAAGCAGATGAAGGAGTGGAAGAACCGTTTTGATGAGTTTACGACGCAAATGGACGTGTTACTTAATGACGTACTTGGCTATACTCGGTCAGATGCGACCTCGGAGTTGAATAGCCGACCGGTAAATTCTCCGTCAGGTAACGGTGGTAGCCGTTGCAGCCCTCAACAGCGCACGCTTGGTGCCGATCCGCCATCAATACAGAGCTCTTCGCAAACCGCCCCGAAAATAGACGGGGGACCAAAATGTGCATGTAAATCGCCTAACATAACGAATGTTGACAAAGTGGTATACCATGCGTTGACCGAGCCTCCCCGAAACGTCAAGGAGTGCATGGACTGGTTGATAGCCCTGAAGGGGAAGGATCCTGGGAAGAACTTGAAGGCCTTGGGTGAGGCAGTCTACAAATTTCTCGCAGACAAGCCTGTAGGATACACTAGGGTGCCAGCTCTCGAGAAAGTTAAACTTATTTCTAAAGAGTTCCTGAACAAACCGGACTTTCGCAACCGACATCCCGTAAAAAGGATTAGGAGCAGATTTTATATACGTATGTATAAAGAATTCTGTTGGCTCACAAAATTTTTCACTTTCTACAAAAGCGATTATGAGAACATCATACAGACCAAGGGTCTCACTGCTATAGACATCGCAGACAAATTAGGCGATGTTGTGACTGGTTGTGAGAGGTTCTTGAAGCATATCAAAAACCCTGGTCAGTACAAGTCGGCTTACTGTCCAGAAGCGACGTGGGATGCATCATTTGCGAAGAACCCGGAAGCTTGCGCTGTCATCCTAGTGGGAATTGGGCCAATGTTCTACGGAAGCCTAGAGTCTTTGCTAATAGAATGCGAATTTTTATATAGAACGGGTCTGAGTCGTTACCTTTTTGAGTTTATCCGTATGATGCTGAAGGCTCTGGGTTTTGTAGAGCCGGAATGTCGCGCTAGCCCCAGTCTGGTAGATGTAGACAGGGCGTTGAGCCGTTTAGATGACCATGAATTGTACACAGTATACGACCTCTCTGGGTTTTGGGCCTTCTACTGATTAGGGATCTCAGGTGACCTGTACAAGCAGTTGGGGACAGAAGAGTCTGACTCCAGTTCACCAGTCAGTAGCCGTCAACGAACTCTCACGAAACACTTGTGACTTGTGAAATGTAATTATGGGCAGTTTTATATATAGTATCTATCCATCAAGTAGCTTTCGTAGAATGAAGGCAAAACACAGTTCGCAGCGCCTAATTGCGATCGGTATGCAAACTGGTGTAGCTCGGTAGAATAGCAGTTGCAGGAATGCAGGGCATCTGTAGACTGCAGGTCGCAATAACGCCATACGTGACATCACTTCACGACGCATCCGTTGATCGTAGGTAGTCCATTGGGGACAGCTGATATTGTCGCACCCTAAAAGGGTAGTCATGATGCCGCTCTTACTTTGGGTGGGTTATGCGTATATAGCCGTTATGAATCGTTGTTTGGCGTGTCCCGTAAAGAGGCGCTAAACGGAAGCGTATGGTCCTATGGAAGTGATCCGAAACACGCCCGCCAACAGGACGACTTGGGCCCCGCAACCTACACCAGCGGCGTCAGTCGCTAGCCTGGTAAACGTGTAAACCGGCCCAAGCCAGACGTGTGCACGCAATACAAGAAGAGAAAACTAGTGATCAGTTAGCCTGTGATGTTTTCCACCGAACATGTAACGGGATTTGTAAGGGCACCAAGGCCACCACCCTCACGGGGTTCAGCTGTCTTTGGTATTGCTTCATCCGTCCTGCCGCTATTAAAAGGGTGTTTGCTGAGCGTTACCAGGCGTCGTTTTATGTAAAATGATCCAGTATTTCGAATTGGAAAGGTTGTTCTTAATTAAATAGGTTGCCGGCACCGAAAGGGGTTCCCGGGCGGTCCCCCACCCCAGTACTAACCCGGCCTAGCGCCGCTTGACTTCGGAGTTCGGATGGGATCCGGTATTTTCGACGCAGTATGGCCGGCAACGGTGGTAGTCCCAAACATATCTACCCAATCAGCCACATAGACGGCTTCGACAAGTGGCGCCAATAACGGAGTGTTCCCTGCCGCATGGCTGACAACGCAACGTGCCAATTACACATTCGCATTTAGCGAATGCCAGAGCAAAATGTTATCGTAACTCAAATTTCAGTCTAAAAAGGTGACGGTTGGTGGTGTAGATAGACTGGTTGTGACGAAAGTGATCGATAATAAGTGTCAGGCTACTGCCTGTGCTTTAATTCAATACATATCCGGATTTGCAAGTAACTTAATTTTTTACAAAATTGCTGCCTATTTGTCCAAGTTGTTTGGATACGTACCCTCTAAGGAACCCCTTGAAACTATGGACGCAGCTGTTAAAGAAAGAAATGCCGAAGCCCTGCGGAAATCGATGATGTGAATCATTTTGGCAGGCGCAACAATTAATATTGTTTGCTATATTGCATTGTCTTTATACTTATAGACAGGATAAGCAAGGCTTTTATGAAAGAAATCAATTAACCGAAGCAGTAGCAGAAGCACAAGGACCCGGCGAATGACCTGAAGTAGCGACAATTCAACCAGCAGACGGCGTTCAAGGTGTCACCCTACCTGACGAGGGACATGACACGCAGAGAAGATTATTACTCTGCGAATAACCATGGCGTCCAGATGAACGACGTCCGATGCGCCACGTGAGTAAACGTGGAACCCCCAATCGACACCAATGGTGAGCCAGGCATTTTCTACGAAGGTGTAGGATAAGAATGCCGTATCATACGCAGCCACCAATGCCAGACAAGCCAAGTGGGAACAGAGATTAACAAGCAACACCTTATTATGGTTTCATGAATAACCCCCACGCTAATGATTTAGAGCTTCCATTCGACTCTGTCGTCAACGTGCAACCATTGGTATAGCGTTCGCATGAGTCGATATGCAGCGATTCGGCGTAATATACCTTGCAACCTGCCATGGATATTTTTGAGGACTGTCGGCACACCTGTTAGAATTCGCAACTCCTTCCCGATGACGAGCCTCTCGGAGAGCTTCGTTGATTGGGCCAACGTAGTCGCATCCTGCAAATTCTCACACACACATAGACACAACATCACCTGCACACCAGGAAAGCGTTTATCCACGCATACTCCCCATATATGGGTTTCTAATTGAGAGTTGGTGCTGCACATGTCCGATCCGGTCTCGCACGGAGTGGCGGACTTTATGTAGTTCTCCTTGTCGGGTGAGGTTTCCAAAATGAAGCCGGTAAGGATGCTAAAACCGGCTTTGCATCTAACAACTTTCGCCTTAGCCGACGGTTCGAAGTTAATTGCATGCTGTGCAATGTTTAGACCCATGGAATTCCCGCACAATGCCCATATGGTCATCTGACTCGTCGTATTCTGTTCTCGGAAGCACGATGCGCTATTTGACACACACCGATATACTGTAATAGTCTTTTTTGAATCATCCTTCTCTAGGATGAAACCGAAGAGAATCCTCGTATGGTTGGGGCATTCAATAGAGGGTGGCTTGCCGTTTTTGGATACTGCAGTCAGCGGATAAGACGCATTAATCATGGTTTTTACGTTGAAGTCGATGCCATTATGCTGCTGAACAACCCACGGAAGAGCACCGCTAAGTTCCACGTAAAAGTTGAAGGCTTCACGGTATGCTTGCTTGTATTTCTTCTTTATAAACGTATCTATAGGCGTAACTACAATTTGTATCGGCATGGGAAATAGTGGTACTGTCGCACGCCACTTCAAGAGCGATTGCGGTGTAACGTTTTTGCTAACATGGATCCCTCCAAGCACGCTGAACCGCAATTCACATGAATCGCTGAATTCCTGCAGTGCGTCCTTATCCGATGATTTCAACCCTGCTTTGGCATCAACTAAGGCTCCTGAAATTATGGCGCTCACTGCAGCGTTGACATCTAATCCAGATTTAGAAAAGGAGTCCACAGCCTCGGAAGGCGCCGTGAGAAACCGCGTGATTTTGCCACCTGAAAATCAAATAACATAATCTCCAAATGCCAACATGCCTAAATGAATCTCCGTTGTTACGTGTGTGCCGAATAGGGAGAAGAACTCCACCCACTTGGACATGCCCTCGCAGACCTTGGCTTTCTTTTTAAACATCTTGACGGTGCAATTCTCTAACTGCTTCACACTAGCAGGTAATTCTTTGAGTTCCATCTGAAACTCCTCCGTAGTATTCCTGCGGTTGGGTAATTTTAATTAAAGAATTACACCCACCAGTTGAGATAAGGCGGCATGCCCGCAGCATATGTGAAGCAGTAATACGAGTTTTTGTGCACTTTTCTCGATTTATTTACGTTTCGCATGGACGCATTGTCGTAACCGACATTAAGGCTACCGCTTCCCCCCGCTTGCAGGGTGGCATCGCCTTTGGCGTCAACCTGCACTACATCCTCGTTGATGCTGGAGGCTGTGCCCTCAGTAACCTGGATGCCTTTAGACACAAAGTTAAGCATAGATACATACTGTTTCATATTCTCCACATGCTATTATAGGGCGAACCCAACCACCTAAAGGCTGCAACCACTCCAGACTGTTGGTCACCCCAACGTCCGATCGGGCCCAGTAAAAATCAACGATAGGAGCTCGATGACCCAAGTCCTCACCATGGTCTAGGTCTCCTAGTGTATTTGCCTTTACTGCATCATAACCGTTGCCGAGGTATTCTGGTAAAACATAGTGCGCCACAGTTATGCATCTAACCCAGACCAGTGACTATCTTATTCGCTTTGAAGTTAATGTTCGACTCGGTAGATGCAGACGCATCGACGTTCCTCTCGGTTTCCTCATGTGCTGTAATAAATATATAGAGATTCTATAAGACGCTGAAATTTGTGCCCTCAAAATACAGTGGCTCCCCCACTGACACCGCCAGTATACCTACATGTTTCGGTGATACTCCCGTGTGGATTAGAAGCACAATGGAGCGTTAACTGTTGAAATACAGCTATTAGGCAAAAATGGACAAATATCTGCATTTTAATTAAGACTTCGTAGCCGCGGAGGCGTGTGCGCAACGGTGTACCGTTGAATCAGCATGGCATTTCGGAGAAACGCCCGGCAACGTATTCACAATCTTATGGGGACGCCGAGTTGTGACAAGTGCAGTTTGATTCCGACGTTTATGGAGGCGAGTTCATTTGCCACATAGCTGCGGAAACGTTAATGTGCACAAAACCAAACTCACCGGAGCACATACGGGATCGTCACGAGCTTGCACTTGACGTCACACAGCCTGCATTTCGACACTTGGAACTTGCTTGTTAGTCCAATGGATGTGATGGTAGCGGATAAGATTGACCCACACTTGGGGCACACGTACGCTGTATGGGCGTCGGAGCAGTGCATCAGACGATCCTGTAACAACGCAGATGCACCGTGTGCTATTAAAGAATCACGTTCCATCTCACCGAACCGAATGCCTCCACGGTTCTTCCGACCCTTGACCGGTTGCTTGGTGATTGCATCTACAGGTCCGGTGGCACGCACCTGCACGATTTGTCCAAAACCCTATAGCAACTCACTTGCGCCTTATCTGACACCATGTGACGCAGGCGTTGGTAAAAAATGCAACCGACGAAGATGTGCGTCTTGATCTCAGTGCCGAGGATACCGCAGTACATGCTTTCGGTGCCATAATAGTCGTAACCCGCCTGCAGGAGTGTCTTGCCAAAATAGTCCACCACGTCATCTTCGGTTTGCGCCGCTTCCTCCTCTTCCGTCATGTATCGGCCACCACGTTCCTCCCATCCTGCATAACGTTGTGCACATCGGCAACAATAACTAACCTTTCAGCCCACCGTGGTCTATCCATTTGTTACCTGTTTTCATCTGCTTCGGGTAAGTTCTGAAGCAGGTGGCGTCCTGGAATTCGCCATGTAATGCGGCCGACTTTCCGGCCATACACTCAATCAACTTGCCGATAGTCATGCGTGATGGCAAACCATGGGGGTTGAAAATAATGTCCGGTGTAATCCCGGATTCGAGGAATGGCATGTCCTCAGCAGGCCAAGCCATCGAGAGGATACCTTTCTGTCCATGACGACTCGCAAATTTATCTCCAACTATAGGGTTGCGCACTATGCGGAACTTGATGGTTGCACGGTTGCACTTGAGACCTGACGCACCTGCTCTATCCGCTGCATTGGCGTCGCTGGCACCTATCATTGTTACTTGGTCTACCACTGCATCTTCGTCATGGTACTTTTCGACGCGATCTGTTGTGTGATGCCCGCCATCGATTCTCTCCCGCGCTTCTACGCGGCAAATAATAGTGCCGTTCCGCACCCTCGCACCCACGCTTGGCAAACCGTCTTTGTCCAACGAAGGGATGATCTTAGAGCCCAAGTGGTTTGTATTGTTGAAGTAATACTGCCCTTCACGTATTTTAGCATTTGGGGGCATCGAGTCTATGACTTTTGTCTTATAGATGCACCCGTGGAAGGCACCGCGCTCCAACGAAGACTTGTTTATAATCATGGCGTCCTCCATATCAAATCCGGTGTGTGCGATAACTGCGACAATCGCATTAATGCCAGTAGGGTAATCTTCGTACTTCATCCGCCTATATTCCTGAGTGGTAACCAAAGGTTTCTGGGGAAACAGCAGCCTGTACGCCTTCACATCGGAACGGAACTGCTCGCAGTGGTATGGCACACCCATGCTCTGCTTTAACATTTGACACTGATACATGTTTCTCGGACTCTGGTTGTGATTGCTGAACGGCGTCAAGGCAGCAGTAACGGAAAGGATGGCCGTCGGCGATACTTCCACGTATTCGTATTTTACCGGCACGTTGTCCAATGTTGTCCCCTCTTTAGGTTCAGGGATGCTGCCTTCTCTGTACTTCTCAATCGCTTCTGACGTAGACAGGGGTTTCGAAGACTTGCGGATGTTGGATTCGTCCAACATCTTGTGGGACAGTTTTAACTCCTCCTCATTCACCGCTATGGTAGACCACAGCTGCGCAATTGGCCCTATCCACTCTATGATGTCAGTTTTCACACATCTCACGGGTCTTATCACTCGCCCTGGGTATGTCAAAACCATGAGGCTGGTGTATTGGCCCTTGCTGTCAGGCAGCGCAACCAGTTCGTAATGCTGCTTCAGGCCAAAGGTTCCATGCCTTTTGGCCTTTTTAATCTCATTATAGAGCCTGTGAGCATCCGCCATAGGCACATTACAAACCGGAATACCGTCAACAAGCACCGGGATCCTTCGGCTGTCATTAGCGCCTAATTGCCAAAACTGTGACACAGCCTCGTTGCCGGTGAAATCCACGTGGTATCCTTGGTGCCTTAAAAATGACTTCACCGCATCAGTGGCGCCGCTGCAATCGGCATCCGTTACGGGGATTGCGAATTGCGTCAGGTGTAACAGAAGACCACAGGGGGCACCATCCGGTGTATGAACCGGACAAATGAACCCCCACGTCTCACCCAACAATTTGCGCACCTCGGTGGACCTCATCTTAGCAAAGATACTGCCACGGTGAACTGATCTGAAATGACTCATAAACCTGTGGTAGTTGATGCGTTCAGCAACAACAGTGAGCCCTGAGCTTTGCGGGAGTTCAAAGTGCGTGGTAGTTGCATTTCCTGTGGCCAGGAAATAATGCAGCTTTTTCGTAATGTCGGGCCCGACTTTGTCTACGGCATAACTGAACAACTCTGCTCTTTCCAACAACTGCTGCATGAGCTGCTTGGGGTCATGTGAACCTAGCTCCATCTCAACCACTTGTCTCTTGGACCTCCTGGCCGAACCACCACTGATGTTTTTGCACAGTTCAATCAGCTCAGCCTGATAAATGCTCCTAATTTTCAGAAGTGCCATGTACAAACTCTCTTTCAGAATGCACGAGTAAATTTGACCCGGCAAGAGTAGCTCCTGAAATGCAAACGAATCGTAGTTTTCTGTCTGCGTCTCGCCACGAGAAACCTTGATCAACTTTTTGAACATGTACATCAGAGTATCGAACTTCTCCGAATTGGTCTTTGCCTGAAGCAATACATAGTTTCGCAGCAAATACGCTCCACATTCCTCATACGTCGCTCCGGGGGGCATGTACTGTTGTATTTGGGTCCAACACGCACTCCCGAGCCTATAAAGGTACCGATTCTCCTTGAAGTCAATGTCGCTCAACAACGGGTCCCTCTCGGTCATGTCGAGGAAGAAGCGGTGGTAATAAACAGTCAGTTCGACGTCACCCAACGCATCCTCCAGCAGTCTGTGCTTGAGCTCGTCATCGCTCATAAATGGCATCGTGGCCCGCAACAACAAGCCAAAAGGGATGAGTACGACGGAACTCTTTACGATTGTTCGGAATACACAGCGTTTGTTCACAGTCAGATACAAAATGTTACTCACGGAGCACCCGTCGTCGCAACTGCAAGTTGAAAGCCAAACTCAAATCACACCTACCACTGGCTCCGCATCATGATGCTGTAGTCCGTAAATAGCGCGTGCTTGTTCCGGTTGTTTTCTGACTTGATGGCCAGCGGGTAATTAGAACGTAGGACGATAAGTTGACGAAGGATCCTCTCGTTACCACGGATCACAAAATATCCACCAGTCTCGTCTACATCCTCTCCTTGCTGCACCATTTCTTTGGGTGAAAGACCTGAAAAGCTTTGAACGCCAGGGTGCCTTGACCGTTACCTACCGTCGAGATTGCAGCGCTTGGATTTGACCATTATCGGAAGGAACCCAACGACAATCTCCTTTGTCAAAACTCCAGCCATTCCAGGCACCTTTAGCCCGAATTTCACCACTAGCGGCGCCTCATACGTCGTGTGAGCGCTCTTCGCATGCCTGGGGAACATCCTAGTGTCGGATCCCAGACACTCCGAGCTCGGCCGGGTGGGATAGTCGATGCGCAAGGAAAGCACAGATATTTGCACATCTGTTAGAAACTTGAAAAAGGAAGACAACATAACTTACAGTGTGGTTTCTCGGAGGGGTTGAAAAGGTACTTCAAGTAATCCGCATCAGCGGAAACGTAAACTGGCGGTATCCTTTTCACCACGTGTTTCGAATAATGGTCGATGAAAGCGTTGAAGCTATCCACGTGCGAGTGGGCCGCACTTACACGGTTGACATTAAATTCCGTCATTTGCGATATTACGAAAGCAGATTTCAGCCGGAAGGTTCCGAATCATGGCGCCGGCGTTGCCGCGACCGAGCTCATTCCGGCTCGAAGGATTTGAGTACTATTTGTAGCGTGAAGCGTCACATACCCATAGTAAACATGTGTATTGTGAATTAAGCAAACGTAGATATGTGGGTGTTTTAAGGTATCTCCGCGGAGGGCGCCTGCTGAAAGGAAGGCTGCCGCATTTCATAATCAAAAGTGTCTTTGGCATATGGTGGTGCACGTATCGGTTAGACAACCTTGATGTGTGGGATATAGTGTATATATAGGTGATGTGTGCGTATACCGCAGCCACCCAGGTAGCGAAGCTTTAGGCCTAGTAGGTTTCAAGTACGGCGGGAGCGGGAGTCGCACGCGCTTCAAACCTGTGAAAGAATATAACCGCCAAATTTTAAATAACCATTAATACTTGTAACTGCGTGGTATCGGCACTGTGTACCCTATTGCCGCCACCGACAGCCCACAGAGTGGAGTCGATGTTCACAGAGTCTTTCTACGCATTTCAAGATGGACATCATCAGCACAGGAATAGCCTCTAAAAAGAGGGTCCTCCTATCCAGACAACACTGCGATGTGAAGAAAGGCGACCTAGAGACGGGACTCTCCAATTTTAGCCGGCTCTTGGAGAAGCAGAGTAGGTGTATCATTGTAAAACAGATATGTTACTGTTATGTGTAGAGGGAGATCACACCTTTGTTGAAACGGAGAAGTGCCGTTTCGTGTACCAGCCGGTGGACGAGTATTACGTCTTCGTCATGACATCTCTCGACTCCAACATAGTGAGAGACATCGGAGTCGTAAAGACGCTCGCTGAGATCCTACAGGTAGGCAGACCATAGTTATGCTTTTTGTAAATAACCGCGCTAGGTTATCGTGCAGCCTAAGATTAATGAGGCGGCCATACAAGAGAACTTGTTCGAGCTCATCTTCTACATGGATGAACTTATCTCGAACAACAAGCCGGAGGATTTGACCTTGGACCAAATCAAGGACTACATTCTCATGGACTCACAGGAGGAAAAGAAGCACAACATGATACAAACTACAAAGGAAAAGGAAGAAAAGGAACGCCGCAAGCAAATCGCCGCCAAGTTGGAGAAACGCAAACAGCTTGATCACAACTTCATGGACACGATCACGGAAATGCCTCCATTCACAGCTCAACCAATGGACGAATACAAATCAGCAACGCCGATGGCCGAAACGGTGATGACCCCTTCAGGGATGAAGCTTTCGATACAGAGAGTAGGCCCGCTTGCAGTTTAAACAATCTTTGTAGCCAACGACTGGAATGTCCTCTCTGGGACTGAATGCCATGCGCCATTCTCCACCGCCAAAATCTGCGCGAGATGAGGAAAGCATTAACATCCTGGACGCGGAAGCACCCGCCGTTATCCAGATCATAGAGTCGTGCAGTGGGAACATCCACTTGGAAGGAGGTATGGAAATTCTATGCAATTTCATATATGACCGATTTAGATATTGATGTGCTAAACATCCAGGGTGAACTGGTGATGACCGCTTTCGAGGATAGCGCACGCTCGGCTGCACTCGAAGTCTCGGGAAATCCAGAGATTAAAATGCGCTACCACCCAAGCCTGGACAAACAGATGGCGTCAAAGAACATCATCGAGCAGCAGACTGCGCAACAAACGTACAACATTGGTCATTCTACTGCCCTTGTTAAGTGGCGCCACAAGACGTCTGAGGAGGTATGATAATAGAGTGATCGCCAAATTACGCAATGCAGCAATACTTCCCGATATCGTTGAGCTGCTGGCCGAACACCAATGCGGGAGAGACCACTGTCACTGTGGAAATTCAAAACAGCTCGGACTCTGTGTTGGAAGCGCTGAACTTCGAGGTAATGGATTCCAGGTACAATCAAATCGTAGTGCACACGAATGAACTCGGCGGTGTGGAACGCAAGCCTGATGCTGTTAACTGGGTAATCGACCGTTTCGAGCCGCAACAGGTAGGGAAGCTCGAGTTCACCACCAAAGGCGATCTGAACTCAATCCTTCCTTTCACGCTCGTCGCCAAGTCATCTACCTCTATTACTCATTTCAAGGTATGTTTTGCGATCGATGTGTAACATGACATTCAGGTGACGCGTTGCTACGACAAGAGCAGCGGCAGCGATGTCGAACACGTGGTGAAGACACAGACTTCGTTCTCGGTTACAATTGGGAATGAGGCCACTTAATGACCCATATTTCAATTCTGATCGTAATTCTTTCTGTAATTCCACACTGCCTTGGGCTGAGGCTCAGAAAGTGTTACGTTGGACGCCCGCATCTGCCGAGCAGAAATGTAGAGGTCCGATGGACGGAAAACCAAGGCACTAGCAGGCGGCATAAGGAATACTACTATGTGTGTCAGGATGGTGAGGTCAGGATTCCACAAGTTGCGCGGAGGAGGGCGTTTACCTGCAACATCCTCAAAGCGGCGACAGCGAAGCCTGCCTACGCGGACCCAGCAGACATTCTACATCGCTTAGAAGTAAGACATACATCGTATTATTAAGTACCGACACAGGTAATTGCTGCAAATCAAGATTTTGGAGAAGTAAAATCGCTATTTTTGGATATATTTAGGTTAGTGCATCACTAGTATGTCTAAGTCATTATGCAGGTGGTTTGCCTTTAAGAAAAATGACTTCATTAAGCACGAACTCTTTCAACATATTCGAAGGCGGTTCATGGAAAGCCATTTCTTTTTTGGAAGAGTCTATTCAAGGGTTCTTAGGCGTCATTTTAAGTTTTCCAGGTGCTACCCGGATCAGAAGCATCTGTCCCTTGCGAACCACTACGTAAGGTGGATCAATGGGGGTATACCTTTGGAGGAGCAGTGCATGACGTTTTTAATATCTCGAAGTGGCTTAAGGGTGCACCCTCTACTGATAGACAGGATAGCGGCCATAGTGAATACGCATGATAACGTGGATGTACTGAATGCCATATTCAAAGATTTTGAAGGTGGAAGCAATGATCTCATGTTGGATACTAGAATTGCTGATCGCCATCCCATAAATTCGGAGGCTGCATTGTGGCTCTACCGGTGGTTGGACACCACCGATGATGCGCGCACAACGGCGTTACTTGAAAGGATCACCAGATCACAACTGTACGATGCCAATGATTCGGAATGTGAGGATCTGAAGTTAGTTGAACGAATGAGATATTGTTCCGAGAAAGTTGTCAGTTGCGTACCCGGTGTCTTCGAGCAAATTTATAAACTATTCCAGCGATTACGCTGCCTACAAGAGCACGAAAAGGATGTAGGCGAGAGAAGAGCACTCACTGGGAATTTAACGCTTTCACGTGACGAATTATTCTCGATAAATATGCTCTACAAGCTCAAGCAATTCGAATCGCATCGGGACGTTGGGCAGCTGCTACGTGGACTTTTCTCTATGATCAAATATCTCAATTCGAAGGTAGCTGAACAGTCCTCTACATCTGAAAGCTCGGAATTCATTTCTTATTTCAAGCAACACGTATGCGTCCCCTACCTTCGCTCAGTAATGAGGGCTGCAGCATATGACCGATCCTCGCTGCTGCGCATGAAAGGCGTCGTCGACCTACTGGAAACAGGCGCAAAGTGGCGCAAATATACTCCATATTGTTCGGGATCCATGTTGAGGAGTTTGATGTATTATGGCATGAACAATTTCTGCTCGATGTTCAACTACAACAAATCTCCCCCAAACAAGGCAAATGATACGTTTGCAATCCTCTCAAGTGGCGACCATTACTACCTATATAGAAATAGCGATGATAGAATTGTGGCGTCCAACGATAACCTTACAATGGATTTGTGGAACGTCGGCAAGCGCTCACATTTTAATGGTCCCGTGCAATGTCATCTGGTGATACGATCATACAATGTCAGCTTTGAGGACGATATACAGAGAATTGTAGAGCAGGCAAAGAATAATGTATCGGCGAAAATCGGTGTAAACTTGGAATTCGATCATATCGTAAATCTTCATTTACCGAGATACGTGGACGTTACGCCAATTCGCGCCTTCGACCCAAACCTTTTGCAGGAAAGCAATTCAGGACTCATTGAACACCCGATTCATAAGTTCATCTCCATAGTTGTGGACCCTCAAGTGGCTACGAAATAGTAAGCGGGCATTGAGAATATACCCCTCAGCAACGAATGAATAGCTTTATCGCATGAACGGTTTGGTTCAAAACATTTACGTATTCAGTATGGTAAGTTATAACTGCATTCATTAAGGCAACATCACTTTTATAGTTGGTCCAGTGGAACAACAAGAGTCAAGAAATTCCGACTGGTATTCAGCCATCGCAGAATCACATTTCCCCACGGTATCGATACGCCAATGTGCGCCCATAGTCCGGATCTGCATGTTGTCCGGAGTCACTACCCACTTAAATGCTATATGTTGGAGTTGAACACTGCCATAAATCGTAATACTGCAACAATAGTAGTAGCGCTAGACACCTGCCATGTTACACAACGCGATAAGCTCCGCCGCCTTGTCGTCGATTAAGGTGCGTATAAAAGCCTTCTTAAACCTGCTCTTGAACCCGTCATTCGACAACCCGTCGAAGCAGTTGCGCCCTGAAAAACGCACCAGCTTATAAAGCAGTGAATCGAATATTTTCAGAAGTCTCGGTCGGTCCAATGAGTCCGCCCTGGTATACTCGACAGCTTCCTTTTCTTTTTCGGTCTGCAGTGACTTAAGTTTCATGGCAGTTACAGGGTCAAATACACCCACTGCGACTTCCAAATTCCGTCTACTTGACCATCTGTCCCAGTTGAAGCTACCAACAGAACTCCAAAGATCATCAACGACGATGCATTTGCCGTGGCAGTGCTCTTTGGTGGTCATGAATACCTTGAAATCATTGGTCTTTTCAAAACGCTTTCTCTGAATCCCCTTATACGAAGTATATATACGGGAACATACGAAGAATTTGCGCAGGACGTGTAGCGTTGCGTTGATGTCACCGGGTACGTCTGAATTCCCGGACAGTAGCATGTGTACCTGGAGCCCTCTCTTGCATGCTGACAGTAGGGATCGACGCAAAAATCCCGGGGGGTAGAAGTAACTTGTGGTTAGGTATACGTTTTGTTCGGCCTGCCCAGCATGTTCAAGCTACATTTCTATCCACCTACGTTGGAAATAATTGTGGCCAGTGAGGACTGGATGCCGTTGCGTCTTGTGAGACGGAACATGTCGGACTCAAGGACCTGCACGATAACACCGCCGTCTATGGGGCTTGGGGTTTTGCACGGCTGTAAATCCTCCAATTTGTACGACGTCATTGCAAGAGTGCGTTTGAATACATCGGCTAGATCACACACCGCCGGCCCACGTAACCGCATGTTGATATCGTAGAAACGCCCGTTGCCGCCCATCTTATCACTGGCAGAGTCCACGGAAACATTCATGGAGCCGCAGAATGCGACATCGTTATCAATCAGCAAGATTTTCTTGTGATTGCGGAAGGGCATCGTACCGACAGCTAGCCGTCTATCCATGAAGGGATTGAAGACAATGACCTTGGCGCCATGCTTAGACAACTCGTTGAGGAATAGTGACGGAAAGCCGAACGATCCGATCTGCTCAAATATCGGATGCTGTCTTGCACAACTAACGTAATCGACGATAAGGATGACTTCACAACCCCGCTTGGCGGCGTTCTTCAGTGCCCGTACGAACTGCGCGGCCAACGGAGAATCGTCGAATATGTAAACCTCCATCCACACACGGTGTTTCGCACTGTCAATCGCATTTAGCATCTCAATTGCCGTTTCATCACCTAAAGGCTCATTACTCGTTCATTTAAAAATCACACCATTGCTGCATACAACGTCATTGCCGCCACTCATGCGGCCTAGACGTTCGTTAAGTTGTGACAGAATTCGCGTCCACTTTGTGACCTAAGGCGTGATTAACGACACTACAGTGATTCCGATACCTCAGGCGTTATGGAATCGGTGGCTAGAATGGGCCTACGCAACTGAGAACAAGAGAGTATGCGACGTATTTCAGACGATATAAAACCCCATTGGTGTGACATGGGCACATCTTTAACACGGGAAGCATCATCTCTAGTCTTGTCGCTTAGCACTCCGCGGCGAATCATCTTTGTCTATTTCAGCCCGTGACCCAGCCGGCGGAGCTGATCGCCGGGGCGGAGGATAAATGTGTTACATCCGGTAGAAGTGTAGCAGAAACACATAAAGAGCAATGCAAACGGGACTTAGCACGGGTGTGTCGTGTCTACCATTAAGAACGCAGTCTGTGTGTAAGGCGAGCCGCGTCGGCACGCTCCTAAGTAAGGTCAACGGCTAAATAGCAGCCGTTCTAAGGATGACACCTTTTGATAACTTAGGCAATTATGCCATGGCTTCCAGAATTTACGAAGGGACGTCTACTTTTTTCCATCCTTGCTTCAAAGTGCTAGCAGCCGGTACCCAAATGCAGCTCCACTTAGATGGAACCTACATAGCTTCCAGCACCGAACTGTAAGGTAATACGCAGTCATATGTGATGGGGATCTAAGATATGCTTTGGAATCCGATAAACTGTCATATCAGACGTCGCGTCTTCAGAGTATGCCTTGGAGCATAGGGTGGGTATGCCATACTTTGCCTTACCAGGCACATCCTCTCCCTCTATATGCCTGGTAACAATCCTAGTTGTGACTTTCCCTGGATGGGTACCCAATCAGCGCGCGAATCTTGGGTGTGTTCATGCTGGTCACGTCAAGGAGGCCTATTTAGACCTTTATCTTTGTTTTGGCTTTGTTTAGTGTGCTATGTGTCTACGTTTGGCCTTGGGCCGATTTTCGTGTTTACTGGGCAAGCGCCTCACTCCGTATCGGTAATGGATGTTAACTATACATCGCACGGTGCTGGTATGCTAGATGCAATCCAGTGCGCCGTGGTATAGCGCAGCTTCGTTGTACGGAGCAAGTATACGACTCACACGCCTGGGAGCTGAACAACCCACCCATCGTGTATCACCACCATGTTTGCTAGTGCGGGTGCAAAATAAAGTTATGCGCCCCTAGAAGACTAAGTACGATGAAAGATGGAGTTGTGTGATACAATATACACGTGTTAATACGCCGCAAACTCACAAGGCGCTCTGCATTTCAATAACGTGCAAGACGTCGGACTTTGCTAAGTCGGCATGGATTCATCATCCACCAGATAAGGCATAAAGCAGTATACAGCGTGACACATAAACGTCGGGCGTACATACCATGCCTGCGTGCCATACGATGATGAATGCACGTGTGATGTCGAAAAGCAAGTCGTCATCTTGCTTCATGAATGAGATTAAACGGAAGTTCAGAACCCTATTTGCCCTTACTATACGGCAGCATTATTGTGGATTAAGAGTGTAAACATAAATATTACTTTAATAATATTTCATGAATTCGGTATATTTTGTGATAATTCTTATGCCGGCTAACTACGGATCCAGTCCCAGAACCTGTTGTTGAGAACTGCCTGTACAATTATTTTGCTATGCCAAATCAGTAAAACGCCCAGAATGCAGCGAAATCGTAAAGTATGGGGAATGTATCCGCCTCCACACCTTCTAGGGCCTTGGTTATGTCTGAACTGCCCATGCCAGCGCGGAATTCCGGCCCTTTGTAACCCACGGCTTTCAGTACCTCTCCCAATTGCTTCTCTGCATCACCTTCATGCCCGTTTTTATTGGCAACAATTGTAGAATCCCAAACAGAACGCAGGCCTGCGTATAGCATTGGCGCAATACCCACGAGGACGACTGCGCAAGATTCCGGGTTCTTCGCGCATGATTTAGCCCACGTCGCTTTCGAACTGTAAGCAGACTTGTACTGGTCAGGAATCTTCATATGCTTCAGGAACTTGTCACAACCATCCACAACTTTAACTAGGTCCTTTGCAATGTCGTCAGCGGTGATACCCTTGGTCTGTATGACGTTATCACATTCGCTTTTGGTTACCGCCCCAAAGTACCTATAGAATATGCTAGTTTTGTCTATGCGGTCACTGAATTTACGCAGAACCCAGTCTATGGGCAACAGGTCCTTAAGCTCCTTTTGCTCCATGAATTGCTTAGAAATACGTTTAACTTCCTCGAGAGCTGGCAACTCCATCTTTCCAACCGGCTTGTCTTCGAGAAATTTGTGAAGCGCAGTAGCCATAGCGGCCAAGTTCTTTTTCGCATCCTTTCCCTTCAGGGCTAGCAACCAGTCAATGCCCTCCTTGAGGTTGTGAGGAGCGTCAATCAACGAATTGTACACCATTTTGTTGAGATTACTTAAAATATGCAAATGGTATAAACGTGTAGATGCTTGGTCTAGTTTCAGGCAGAGCTTTCAAACTGTTGCGTTGTAATCCTGTGGAAACAAAGGGCAGATGATGTTGACACCCAATAAATTCGCGTTCTATTAATATCTTAAAAGCTTTCAATACACTAAATGTGCGTATGATAAAGATATGGCGATCATTCTGCCCCATGGCAGCTAGGGCCATACCGTTGGGGTGACATGCAGTATGCACAACGCGAGTCATCGGGGTATCTTTGTTTCGGGAGGGGATGGCACATAATATGCCTTGCGGTGCTAGTACAATTTCAGGCAGCAAATAAAGGTTTTTGATGTTACAATTGGTCGCTGGTAGTTTCCTACAGAGCCTCTGGCGTCTTGCGGGGCTTGATCGTTACGAACATGGCAGTCAATGGGGAATGCGAACGGTCGCTGCACCGTCTTCCGCTGAGCATAAGTGCTTTTTGCCCTAGGTGGTCGCAGCAACTTTTCCTGTCGAGCGGTTCTCGGCTCGTTACAGCTGCATACTACGACACATTTGTTCACTTTCCCCGTAAAACACTCATTCTCCCAGCTGATCTGTAATTGGCTCACATAACGTACTAACGGATATGTTACCATATCTCACGCTTGCAGCATCATTCAAGGCCGTGGTAGCATCTCCATCTTTCTTCTCCACAGCCTGCAGCCAAGCTCTGACACCCTCACTGACGTGAACGATTAGGCTTACACCCATACCCAAAGGAGACTCTGACATAACCAATCATGATGCAATCTAGTCGTCATCTCATCTAACATTGCCAGCACTACGTCCTTTTCATGAACCCACACTCCACCGACAACATGCCTATCTAAGGTGCTTGTTCACCTTGTGCATCACAACGTTCATGCTCCTCTCCATGTCGATATGATCAGCCCTCTATGCGCTCCAAATATGGTCTCCACGGGCTCCCATCTTATTTTTTCTGCTCATTTAACACCCACCCACTGCCCCACCCAGTTCATCGGATGCATGTTTCAGCGTCTGCTGCAATCACCTTTGTGGAAAGAGCATGGCAATTTTTGCAAAATTTTTGCGCAACTATTAAGGATCATCTTACAGTATGGATTGAGTATTACGTGCCACGTGAGTTAAATTCTCAGCCTGGTTTGTGTCATCTGAATATGTAGCCGTATTTGGAGGATGTAAGATGACTGCCAGAGTTAGCAGTGTGACCTAACATGTGCCCACGACGGCGCGACTGTATGTGAACTACGCTATGAATACGTTACATAATGACCGTATTGGTGCCGATTACTAAGCTATTTGTGCAAGTATTTAGAGGTGCTAGTGTGACACCACTGTTGTGGTCACGCATGGCTGACATAAATAATCACCAAACACAGCACACAACGACACATGTATATGTACGTTCTATAATTATTATCTAATGTCAAGTACCTCCAAAGGGCCGTCGTCGAAGTAGTCGACGTGGTGAAATGATGGCACCTTCCTCTGCTTAGTGAGTAAGACCCTGACATCCCCAGCGGAGTCACAAATCGCCTTGCGTAGGTTCTCTATTTTTGTGTTCAGGTTTTGAACGATCTTGTTTTTCAGCTTCTCAAGTTAATTCTTCATCTTGACGAGGCCATTGATATTGTTACCTTCATTCCATTTTGTAGCACCTTTTTCAAGGCCATGCTGTTTCAGCTTCTTGAGCTTCTCGGTGACCTCAGCGTTCAACTGCTTCTGAAGCCTTTGAAGCTCATCGGTGATTTGGGTGACGCCACCGCCGATTGCAGTGGGCTGGGAGGACAGCGTAGTTTGTTGACCTTGAAGTGCATCTTCGATGTTTTTAAGGCTTTTACTATTTCCTTGTTTATTTTTATTCCACCCATGTTCACCACTTAGTCCATTGTTCTGCAAATCTTTCAGCGTCTCCATGACATCGTTGCCCTTGGCGCCTTGCAACTCTTTTTGAAGCTTCCCAAGTTCATCCACAATTTCTTGCTTGGCATCTCCAATGGCAATGGGTTTTTGTTTAAACGGCTGTTCTTGCAGCTGCTGAATTGTGTTTTTAATTGCCTCAAGACCTATGTTTTTACCTTGGCCGATCCTATATTGCAGCCGGCGCAGCTTGTCTAGGATATCGTCATCATTGAAGATATTTTGAATTTTAATTCCCATCCTAAAGAGTTCCAACCGGATTTGTCTCATGGCTTCTCCAATGATTTTCGTCTGGTCCGGCAAAATAGCATTCTGTTCTTTAAGGTCCTTGTGCACTTTCCCAAGGCCATAAACGTCTTTGCCTTGCACACCATTTTGACCATTCTTCCACTTCAGAGAGCTAAAACCAAAGCCTCTCAAATATTTCAAAGCGTAGATGACATCGTCTTTCTTATCCTTTTCATTCTTCAACTTCCCTCTAAGCTCTTCAAGCTGCTGCCTAATTGCTGTGACGGCTGTGCCAATTTCGCCGGGTTTAGTATTAAACGTCCCTGTTTGCAGCTCGTTGATCTTGGTGTAAATTGCCTCGAGGCCTTGGACAGTTTGGTAACTTGACCCGTCGACTGTAAAAGTGTAACTTCCAGGGTTTGTAAGTAATTTACTAAGCTCTGTCAGCAACGTTTTAGCGCCTTTTTTAGACATGTGAGCAATGTCAAATAAAACCATACCGTCCTCACCATCAACCAATTTCCTGATCTCGTCAAGCTGAGTCTTAATTTCGTCGAAAGGACCGGTGAAGGTGGTACCAGTAATTTTATCTTTCTCATCGACTTTAGCTTCTGGATCGATCATATTCAAAGCAACATCAAACACCTGAGTCTTGATGTCCCCCATCGCCGCTGGAAGTTTGCCTTCGCTTTTAATGCCTTTTAGGGTATCACCGCTCTTGAGGTCTTCAATGTGTTTTTGATCAACGTGATCATTGTAAGTCTTGAAATAATCTTTAGCAAGTATGAATTTAGTTTGACCACCTGGCGGATCATCCTCCCCAATGTGCTGGTCAACTTTTAACCTGAGTTGTTTATCGAGCTCACTTTTGATCTTATCGTGCGCTTGGTGGAAACTAGGCATTTTAGTCTTCACGTCAGGGTCCTGATTTTTATCACCAATCTGCTCAGCCGCCTTCCCAACCGCCGTCTGGGCCGCAGCCTTGATCTGCTTTTCGGCGGCATCATTGAAATTGCGAACGGCGCCTGGAAGTCCGCCGACTGCAGAGGTAAGCTCTCTTGTGACTTGATTATTAAACTTTTCGGTAATATTATCACCACTTCCATTCACAAAATCCCTCACCGCCTCCAACGTCTTGTCCACGGCTTTGGCGGGGCTTTCGGGTTGGCCGGTGGGAGGGGTGGGAAGTTGGACAGGGGTTGTGGCCTCGGTAAGCTGACCGTGAAGAGCGTTTGTTTTCCCGTACACGTCGTCCAGGAAGCCTGCGATGTTTGCGTCCTTCGGGCTGAGAAACAGTGAATCAAGTTCCTCGCGGACTTGCTGGGCCACGGATGACAGGGCGCAGAGTGTAAATTCCACGATTTGACTAACAATGCATTTGGGTTTATCGCATTTCGCGCACTCTTCTGGTGTTTTGCTTCCGGTGTTGCAGTGCTCTCCGCACTCACATTTGCAATTTTTTGCGGCCTCTTCAATGGCCTTTTTTGCATCCTCTTTTATCTTTTGTTGGTGTCCGCTAACACCACTCGTGAAAGCCTGCTTAACGTTCTTGACTATGTCACTGACATTTCCATTAGTTGGCTTAATCTTCAGCTTGTCATCCATCACCTTGGCAAATTCCTTGCAAACGTCGTGGACGTATTGGATTTTGCCCTTCATGCTGCTGTCGTCATGCTTTAATTTTTTCACAGCTTTTGCGAAGGTTGGGTCATTATCTTCTTCAAGATACTGAGCGTTTAGTCTTCCACTAATGGCAATCCCGAGATTGGCGTGGTCACCCTCACCATCCGCCAATTGCCCCCAACCAAGCTTAGTCCTCAGCAGGCCGTTGTATTTCAATATACTGTCTTCCAGCCAGCCTTTAACTATATAAGATTGAAAATTACGCCCGCTGAACTTACCGAAGTAATTCGTCACTTTTGTGTTAATACCCTCCAGGCCGGATCCCGGAGTATTATTTTCCCATTCACCTCTATTATTCAGGCTCCCCGGTGTCCCCTTAATCTCCCCAACCTTATCTTTAATATGCCCGAAAATCTTTTCAATAGTATCCAACTTGCCACCATTAGGAAACTTCCCGCCAAGTGTCCCAATCGCCTGGTCAACTGCAGTGACCGCCTGGGTAAGCGGCTGTTGGATATGCTTATCAAACTTCTTTTCAAGTTCCGCAGTCTCCGTATTGATTTTTTTAGTATCCTCATTAAACGTTTGCTTCGCCTTCTCAAGCGCCGCCAACTCGTTATTCACAAGACTGTCTACCTTACCGTTTGAAGTGAGCCCCTCAATCTTCCCCTTCAAACTCTGCAAATCCTCTTGCACTTTTTTGTCCAAACCTAAAACTCCCAACTTCTGAATCACCTGAGTTATCCCTCCCTTAATCCCATCTTTAACTTTCTTCAAATCCTTCTTGAGATCTGTGTCCATTTTGACAACAGCTTGCAACGCCGCAGTTACTTTCAATTCAACTTCCCGCTTAGCCGCAGTCGCAGCAGTTAAAAGCTCAACGCCTTTCTTCTGTAGCTCTTGAGCTTGCTTCTTTATTACACCACTATCTTCTGTAGTACTTACTTTCTTGAGTATCTCACCACACTTCTGCTCCGCCTTGGTAATAACTTCCTTGGCGGCAGAGTTCCACTTACCTAAATTTTCAACTTCAGTTTTAAGGTGGTCCACTGCAATATTAATTAAGTTATTGTATGAGATTATTTTATTAATATTATTGCCAATCACTGCCACCTCATGTCCATCATGTCACACCGCCAGACCAAGAATGACGGCAGACAGCTGCAGAGGTGGATGACCAAGGTCGCAAGCAAAGGGCATCTCAAAGCATCGAATGCAATATGGGTTAGGTGACAGGTAAGACACACATCATCATCACGTAATCCATCAAGACACTTGGAATGTACAGATAACTGCCATAATTACTATCAGGTGTCAAGCATTTCATGAGGGTCGGCGTTTAAGTAATCTATGCCGTGGTAGAGCGAGAGCATTTTGCGGCTCCCGGCGAGTAAAGCCTTGACGTGGATATTTCATTGAGCTGTGCTAATCTCGTTGTCTTCACTATTGGGCAACAGATGCACTGTTAAAATGCAACTCGTGAACGCGTTCACCGGATATCTGCCAATCTGCGATTTTGAAGCATTAAATAAAACGTTACGTTGGCATCGTGCCAGAAATGTCTAAAACTGTGCGATAAGTGCGATTGTGAAAAATACCGGAGGCGATTAAAGAAAGCGACACAAAACGTTCATTTTGCGGGCGAGAAAATCACGGACCTTGTGGAACGGCCGGACGCGAAAGACGCTCATAACGCATACGACGATGAGGATTACTGCGATGAGGGAAGCAATGAGACCGATGGCAATGTTTTTACATATTTTTTCACAACATTGACAACTACAAGCGTACCACCTTTTACATCGGGTCTTACATTTCTCGGGCGCACATCTATGATGTTGTGCGCTCATAGTCGCTGCCAGAGAACAATCATAGCAACCATTCTTACATCCTAGACAACACGAGAGACAGCATATACAATTACTCTGCTCGCATCCAGTACCACAGTGACACCGTGGCAGCGGCATCTTCCCCTTTCCTACTTGTAATTAACCTGTACAAACGTAAAACACGCACCTTATCCTCTAACAATAGAACCGCAAAGCCGCCTCCGATGAGAGTTATTCGGCCTACCGGCAGGGATACCACAAGCTACATGCAGCGCACCACGGACGCTCTTCACTTCGAACCACTGGTAGAATATGTATCGTATACGTGCCCTTTATGGCAGCACAAATGAGCGTCTGGCTGAGTTACGGTGCGTATTTATCATGTTAGTGATCCCAGCAATGTGGCCATAAATGTCACTCAACTAGGCCGTCACGTTGGACAGTTCCGGCAACATTCATTGCCTAGCGTGGCACATGATAGCTAACATGTCAACCACTCACCCAACAGACGACCAAGTAGCTCGCCTAGCACATCAGCCGTCAGCTGCCTACGTTGATGGCCAATCACCAGCTTCACATGACACCGACAGTAATGGATGACATAGGCACGTTCACGTATAACGCACGAACCAAGGTACAAAACAACTAACATCCCGATGCATCGACTAAATTATGGGTTAGGTGTTTGGTTTATCATTAGGTTGGAAATAAGTTGGCCACTTTGTAAGGCAGTAAGTTATTCATAACGTCACGCCTGTAATTAGGTAATGACTTATGCATCAGGTGACATGCTAGGTCGGCCATTTGGTTAGGTGCTAGGCTACATCTTCTATCACGTGCTAGGTTAGGTTTATGTTGTGTGGTAGGAAAGGCACAACTTACACCTCATGATAAAATGGAGGACAACACAGTAATGTACACGTAGCAACCAGAATTACTGTCATGAGTGAATGTCATCGTCGAAGTAGTCTACGTCACTGTAGAGTGAGAGCATCCTGCGGCTGCCGGCGAGCAGCGCCTTGACGTCGATGAGGTGGGAGGCCCTGGTGGTGAGGAGGTGGGTGCGGATGCGGAGCACGTCCATGCGGTAGAGGAGTGAGTGGGCGAGGAGGTGTGTCGGCAGCGACCATGTAAGTACGTGGATGAGGACATTACGATGGTTGTTAGGTGGGCCAGGCAACTGTAGATAATGGGAGAAAGCGTAGAGCGTATGGGCTGGGCGCACAGACGTTACGGTAGTGTTCATGAACATAATCCGACACTACTTCCTTTAGCCAGAGTCGCTCACAAGAAGAGCCCACGCTGCTACCTTGATGTAGCCATTCCCGCGGCACTGAAGTTCATGAGAGAGGGCACTCATCCTTGGAGTTATTGGCGGATCGATTGTCATCTGCTCCGTCACTACCGGTACCTGACGGAGAATTTCCTGGCTGACTCTTCAAATACGAGTTCCTATATGACACGAAAGCGGCAATCGAGTCAAGAAGTAGCCCGAGCTTCTTCCTTATCGACATTTCCAGGCGTTTTAACTCAATTTTTTTTTGCGTTTCCTTTTCGCCATCTTTGTTTCCGCCCGTACAAATACGCTTTGCTGGATTATTATCATCCTCTCCCTCAGGCGCTTTCATCTTGCGCCCATCTTTTTGAGAAGTCATCTTGACGAATAGAAGCAGTCACAACTACACTCCCAGACAGATTCAATATTCGCACCACCGCTACTATAGCAGATATCTCCCCTGTTTTAGCTTTGATAGGACTCACACAACAAAGGCCCCGCACAGCATTGGACAACTTACGCAGATAGCGGTACCAGTTGAGGTACGTGGTAGCTTATTCGCCGCAGTGGACACAAAGAACGATACACTTCTCTTAGCGTTCGTTATATAACGTTGTTCGGAATATGAACTGCTTTTTAGCAGCGGGTGTTCAGGGTGCATTGCACAGGGGGTGAGCATGTCTACACAACACACTCCACTGCACCGAACACATAAGCGCTATTAAACTCACAATATACTTGACTTTGTTATCTTCATGACAAGCGCTGCGAAGTTTAACTCGCACGGCTCGAACTCGGAATGTGCAGAGAGCGGTGCGAGACTTTTATCATAAAGCATGCGTAGATGAGATGACGAATACAACAACTGTCTTACATACTGCAAATATGCGTCTTGAATTCGCGCGGTGATAAGTTTGCCAGGTTATTGTCCGAGAGTGCAGTGTCTGGCGCCGTTTTTAGAAGGCGTAACAAGATCACAAGTTCAGCGTTGACATTCGCAAGCCGTGAAGTGATTCTACCTCCAACAGGTGTATCGTTACGATAATACACCTCATGCTCCAACATCGAGCCCTTTTATCGCAGCGTGTGACGTCTAATAAAATTCTCTGGCGGTTTCTCACGTGGAGTATTCGGAGCTACGTCCAGGTTGCCTGCTACAATCACCGCTATTGGGAAGGGTAATCGTAGACGAATATGTTACAAATCATTTGCCAGGTTGAGAGTATGTCGTTCCAAAAATGTCGTGAAATCTTCTCTTCAAGACCGCCGTAAGGAAGTCCCTTATTCCAGCTCATTGCTTGCCACTAGGACGACCATTCCGTGGATCCAACAACCTAAGACGGCCATCCATTGCGAGACGCTCAGGAGATCGTCCACATTTGTCGTCAACCACCTGAACCGCCGTTTTCAGTGTCAGCGTACGCTTAGCCACGCCGGTGGCACGGCGAGGCATGAGGTGGCATTCAGTCGATGTGATTACGTGGCATATTTCAATGGTACAAAAGCGGCGCACTGCAGCGTAAAGGCGGAGATACAACTGTTGGAGGTATATACAAGCGCGGTTGGCCTTAATGTTATTGTACAGGATTGGGTAACGCGTTCTGTTGCTAACTTTTGCCTGGCACTGAGATCCGTATGCTGTTAGGTTACCGACGAACCTGATTCGTGAGAATATATAAGTTGATACATAATTGCTCAGATCCCCCAAGACGGACCACGGCCCCGTCTGCGCACCTAAGATGGCATGACTGCTTGGACGTAACCAGCACCTTGGTACACCATGTTCTTCTCCATGTTTCTCTAGTCGCAATGCCTGTGTCTCAAAGGTCATCGGTGTCGTCCAATAGTAACAGAGGAATTAAATCGAGTCGGCGGTCACCCGGGTCGGCAGCGCAGGAGAGGTTTTGGGTCATCCGCCGGGTGAGTGGGTAACATCACAGTGGTTGAACTGTGGATGTATGCCTATGTGCGACATTCTGTGAATATGCGGCCTTATCTAAGTGAACGCTCTAGTCAAGTTGCATATATAGACAACACTGCGGTAAGGGTTGAAATCATAACGCCGGACTGTACCCCAGCAGCCGCCTCGCGGGGCGCCCCGCAAACATGGTTTTCCACTCATGTGTCCCCTCAAGATCATTGCAGCGCGCGTGCACACAGTGGTAATCTGAATGAAATCCAGACATTCTTCTCGCTTAGAATACAGGTGAGAGTAACTTGATTCAAATGATGTTGGTGGACTAACTCATAAACACGTGTTAACGGTGGACATCAACGGTGTATCAGCGTTGCAAGATCTGGAAACACTACCGCTTGCGCACCTGCAGGCTTGTCTGTATTTATGTCTACTTGAAGGTCTTTTTGAGTGTAGCATATATTGCTGCTATTCGTCAAGATGGGTTCTCAAAGTGTTGTGTGCGAGATGCAGCTTGGTATAATCACTGTATGCATACTTTGCTGCGCCCATGCCATCCTTCAGTCGTATTTTGCGTACAAACAAACTTCACAATATTTGCACATGATTCTGCATAACAAAAGGCATTCCCGCCATCTTAGGGAGTACAGTAAGCAATTGCCTATAACTCAGGGTGATGGTAATCAGTCGTCCAATTCTCACGATGACGGAAAGCGGTTGTCTAAAACTCAGAATGATGGTAATCAGTCGCCCAATTCTCAGGACGGCAAAATGGTATACAAATCCTTGACCGACGCTCCCCGCAATATCAAGGAGTGCATGGACTGGTTGATAGCTCTGAGGGGGAAGGATGGTGAAAAGAACCTGAAGGCTTTCGGTGAAGCAATTTACAAATTTCTCGCATACAAGCCTGTTGGCAAGATGGAAGTGCCAGCTCTCGAAGATGTTAAACGTATTTCTAAGCAATTCATGGAGCAAAAGGAGCTTAAGGACCTGTTGCCCATAGACTGGGTTCTGCGTAAATTCAGTGACCGCATAGACAAAACTAGCATATTCTATAGGTACTTTGGGGCTGTAACCAAAAGCGAATGTGATAACGTCATACAGACCAAGGGTATCACCGCTGACGACATTGCAAAGGACCTAGTTAAAGTTGTGGATAGTTGTGACAAGTTCCTGAAGCATATGAAGATTCCTGACCAGTACAAGTCTGCTTACAGTTCGAAAGCGACGTGGGCTAAATCATGCGCGTTGGACCCGGAATCTTGCGCGGTGGTCCTCGTGGGTATTGCGCCAATGTTGTACGCGGGGCTAAGTGCTTTCTTTTCAGCATGGAGGTACGCATTCTTCAGATGTCCACCGTTCATTGCGTATAATCGTATGCGAGAGATGCTGAAGGCTTTGGGTTTCGTAGAGCCGGAATGTCGCGCTAGCCCAAGAACTTCAGATGTCTACAGTGCGTTGAGCCGTTTGAAGGACCATGAATTGTACACAGTATACGACCTCTCTGGCTTTTGGGCCTTCTACTGATTAGGGATCTCAGGTGACCTGTACAAGCAGTTGGGGACAGAAGAGTCTTACTTCGATTCGCCACTCAGTAGCCGTCAACGAATTCTCAGGAAACATTTATAGATGATGAGATATACATATCGCCATTATGATGTACATAATCTTCACCCGCAATACTTCTGCCGAGGAATGAGGGCAAACATAGTTATTGCCGTATATTTAATTACATTGAGTAAGAAAATTTGGCGGGTCATTTGCACGTAACACGCTTCAATGTCCGTATACCCGACAGACATTGTGTGGACGCCCGCAGTATATACATGCTTGACACCCGTTTACGCCTTTCCGGGTGGATTAGCAGTCAGTGCCGCGTGGAATATCGCTGTATCATAGCAGTTAAAGAAATGCGGAGTCCCTGGTGAGTACAAGGCGCATAAACGCCCCTACCTAGCATCACTAAACGACGCGATATTAGATTGCACTAACTCTGCTGAACGTATATGCTATTATTTAACCCGAGAGACGCAAACATGGTGCTGTTTATTGCTATGGATTTTGCGTTAATGTACGTTGTGAATCGTCTACTTGACGTGCTCTATAAATCGAAAATAAGAGGCAGTTCGCAGCGTCTAAGAAGGCTAACCCGCTGCCGGCAGCGGTAGACGGGAGAATACGGTGACAACATCGTTCTGTTTATGCTTGTAATTCTCATCTGTTGGTGTGTCTTTCCTGATAAATTCCGTAAGGTGGTTTATAAAATACGTGCTGCATTTACTAGGTTGCCTGGACGTTACGGCAGATCCCTGAGTGATATTATCGGTGACGGAATTCCCGAAAGCATGGGCATTGATCGATAGTCTGCCTTCCCGTCAAACGATCTCTCGTAGCTTCACATAATGAAAGCATATTTTTAATATCGCAAACCCATTTCGATAACAATACAGTTAGTCACCCATCGTCGCATGTTTGTACGTGGGGATTTGCAAACATAAAAAATGTCTTTAGTTCTTAGCTTACCAACGCTTCCACTCCACTACTCTCTAATGGCATAACCTATTCCACATTTGCGTTACTATAACCACGTGACATCGCGTCGTTAATGCTGTAACTTCAGTGAACCACATAACCTGGCCAAGATCAAACTTCGCCACTTATGGAACGTTAGATAACCGAAAACATGCCATAGCTGCCATAAAAAGTGGCCATGCCACTGTAAGCCAGTGAGTCACACACAATCGAGCAAAGAGCACAATTAGAACAAATATTAAACTCTTAAGGTCCTTCTGGTATGTTGTCGTAGTAGTACTGCGTCCATCTGACACCGTCTCCGACTGGGCGGTTGAGCGGCAAGTTGCACGGCGCGAACCAACAAAAGGGGTTGACACCGAAGACTTGCTGCAGGTTAGCACCGATTCCCATATCGTACAGTCCTTGATCCTTGGTTGCATCATCGAGGTTTTCGATAGTGGTTGAGTTTTTGAGCACGAGCTTGAAATGGAACTGCACGAAGGGAATAAGGGCAAATATCAGCGCAAGCCCAACAAAGACCATTACGCACACGTATATGTTTGCGATGGCTCTGATGCCCGAGTCCTGTTTCGCAAGATCGTCTGCATTTTCACTAAGCATGGATTCGTTTATGAGGTAGTATACGCTGCAAGACCATTAACTATTCACTGTAAACACTTACGCTTGTACAACAATGAACAGCAGCCCAAGCACAGCGTAAACGAGCAGTTGCATGAAATACTTGCGGTTGTAGAACCCGACACAGTTGCTGATCCACGGGCAGTGGTGGTCCATATTTAGCACGCAGCGGTTGCATGCCGAACAGTGGTGTGTCCTGTCTGGCTTCCACACGTTGCAAACCTTGCAATATCGCCTCCGTTTTGTGTCGTCTCCCATATAGAAGCCCCAGTTTGTTGGTACCGCTCCCGGGTCGGTGTTCGAGGACTGTTGCAACATTGACAGGCAACTCCGTCAACTAACCCGGACGAAACTTATGAAGAAGAGCCCGAAGACAACGTTAAACGTCGCAGCAATCACGAACCCATAGACGCTAAGGGGGCACAGATACGGCCTGAGTACGATGCTCATCATCCCGGCGTACATGAACGCTGCACATCATTGCCTGGCTGTCGCTGCTGCGCACCTGTGATGAAAAGGGCGATGTTCCTGAAGCACGTGGTGTTGGACCTTTTAGGGGCGGCGGCGCCCGCGAGGGATCCCATAGGCTGCTCCAGCATTTTGGCAGATGTGTAAGTGCCTTGCGATATGTCTGCCATAAAGCTGCCTAAACCTCCGGTTTGCGGCAGATTAATGAGCCGCGTTCTGCCTTGAGACTGAGCTTTTTCCGTGGCTGCGTTTGTCTATGGGCGTTCGCACATTCTCCACGATGTGCAGAGGCGTCGCCTGCGAACTAGGCTCTCGTCCACGGCATGGCCTAACTGCTGTGAGCAGTTTTGTGCGCTTTAAACACCGCGGTAGCGTTGAGTGGCAAAAATTGCTCTTGGACTGCCTTGCCGGTGTTTAGGTGTTAGGTCCCGCTGCGCAGGCTCCCCAGGTACGCCGCGCTGCATATGTTTGCGCGAGTTTCCACTTCCTCTATACTCCATTAAGTTGTTATGTGAGATGTGTGACACTAACACCGATATTTTGGTACCTCCAGAGGTTCGACTGAGCCAGTTTGGAACGGCCGGCTGGGTTCGCCAGTCACCCTGGAGAATGTGCGTATCCGTTTTGTAAAACATAGCAACAAAACGCGATTTCGCTGCAATGTGTACGCATATCTCTAGTTATTGCGCCATGTGTTCGCTGTAACCGTGTGTCGCAACATGAATATTCGGTGACGATGAGACACATATTTTTGAACTCTCCTACGGCGTTTACTCACACACAACATACATTAGGAAGTTATGAAAGCAGTTTCATGCCAATGTGCAGAGTTATGGCGATTTTATTGTCAAAATGTCATGAGACCATTCCTGCGGCGTTCTAGCCGTTCAAGGTACCCATTACAACCGCCAAATCTCACGAAGATATACTCATATCAGGCACATATCATAATACCCGCTGTCTACTGGTTGGGCTGTCTGGGATTATCTGCTGGACAACGTCGCGCGCAGTAGGAGCACGAGCTCTTTTCCCGCCTTTAGTTGACGCACATAATATTCGTTGCCGCGGCTGTGAACGGTATCTAACGTTTGCAGAAGGCACTGGATGTCTGACTTTGATTTCCTCTGCCGAACGTGTTTCAATGCTGGGCGATTCCAAGCAGCCGCGGCGGGACGTGCGTCCAAACGACGAAGCCGAAGCCGCTAAGGCGGCTGCCGATGGCGATGCTTCGCGGGCTGACGACAACCGGGAGGCCAATCCTCACATCCCGCGGTTCATTGCCAAGGCGCCATGGTACATGAACGCCACTCCAGGTGCGTCAGACGCCGCGCATCCTCTCACTGATTTCAGGCTTGCAGCACCAACGAACCCACGAGCAACGGCGGCAGCAGTTGGACGGCCCCAGTCAGAAGGGAGTCACCTCTCATGTGGCCATCAAATATCGCAAGAATGCGTGCGAGAATTGCGGCGCAATCACCCACGACGCGAAGAGCTGCGTCGAGCGCCCGAGGAAGAAGGGCGCGAAGTACACCAATGCCAACATATGCCCAGACGAGTTCATCGTACAGAACACCGCAACGGGATACGAAGCTGTGCGCGACCGTTGGGCAGGCTTCGACCCTGCCGCTCACCAGCTACTAGTCGAAGCCCATCAGGCCGTGGAGGAGGAGCAGGAGCGCCTCCAGATGCAACAGCTGGCTGCAAAGCTCAAATCGCAAACTGACGACACCAACGAGAGCCCTAGAGGGAACGAGAAAGATGAATTCGCCGACAGCGAAACCACATTCGGTACAACCGACGATAGAACACGCACGACCACGCGGAATCTGCGCATTCGCGAAGACACTGCCAAGTACCTCATCAACCTGAATGTCGATTCGGCCTATTACGACCCGAAATCCCGCTCCCTGCGTGACGACCCCCTGATAGGCATGGAGAACACCGGCCAGCACACATTCAGGGGTGACAACGAGATTTTTACCTCCGGTGATGCGCATAAGCTTAAGGAGATGGAGGTGAGTTGCGTTGTCCTATGGTTGATGCCTTTTGCAGCAATTTGCGTGGGAGGTGCAGCAAAAGGGCTCCGCGGTAAAGTTCATGGCACAGCCTACCGAGCTGGAGTTCTTGTACAAGAAGGACTCGGAGAAGCGCCAGGTACCGTGCGCAGCTTCCTGTGTCATTACTTGTCTCAGAAAGAAAAGACCGTGCAAAGGCAGGCGTTGCTGGAGCGTTACGGCGGCTCGGAATTTTTAGGGAGCTCTGATGCTGCAGGTGGTGAACCCCCCGTGGATCCATCCAGAGATCCACCGCCACCTTCGGAGAGGTAAGGTTTGGACATCTTGAGGGCAAAGTGGAACGCAGGAGTTCGGATACTCGTGTATACGCATTGTCGGCTTACAAGGAGGACGTCCATACGCTAGGCCACACTACAGTCTGGGGGTCATATTACGACCGTGACAGCAAAAAGTGGGGATACAGATGCTGCAAGAGCACATGCAGAGATAGCCCGTGTACTTAATTTTGGTTTTGTGTCAACGACTTTTGCTTCTGGGTATCCAGCAATTTCAGGTACCTCAATCCAGGCAACTGCACGCACATTAATCACTACCGTTCCCCTTCTTACCCTGTAGACTCCCCACTTCGACCTTTCGCGCCTATTGTGCAGTTTTTCGCTTCTGAGGCGTTGTTCGTCCTGCAAGTGCGTTATTCACCGTGACACATGGACGTACCATGCTATATATTTGTATGCGCCTGTTTGTCTCCGCACGAACGAGTCTGCAATGTTATGACATATGCTGGAGTCTCCTGAGTTACCTTGATCTGCTTGTCGTGTTTATGTTGTAAGCTCCTCCCCAGACATATGAGGGCAGTCCGGCCTCGAACCTCATTTGGTAGTAGCTGTTTTTAAGCCTTGCGATTCGGTTTTTCAACCGGATTTCGAAGTTTCGTATGCCTGCAGACGACTATGCTCCTAAGAGGATGCGGATTCGTACCCGGTTTGTGCACGCCTCTGCGTCTGGAGAACCTGTGCCTGACGTTGAGGTGGAACCTATATCTGTAGTCCCTGGTTATCGGCTTTTGGATTCTTGCGGCTCTGTTTGCAGCAGTTGCGGCCTTAGACACGCTTTTCATGACCTTCGCAATATAGGCTCATCTGTTGTGTGGGCTACCTTGACGTTCATAAGTCGAGGAGAGTAGTAAGGCACCATTTGGGTGACTCCCACTCCGTCGAAAGCGTTTTTCAGGGTGAATGATGAGTTCAGACCCCGTCGTCTGATGTCAACGCAGTACCCTGTAGGCATTAGCTTCAATCGGTGATGTCCTACCTTGGAAGGTTGCGAAGGTCTGCTGCGTTCGCGATAGCTCATATTTGACTTCTACGAGATCACCCAGGTTTATAGATGGCACCTGAACAGGTTTTCGACAACGAGAGTGCATGACGTACGTTGAATTTGCGTGCATTTTTCATTCGGTGCATCTCCAGTGCATTGAGGTCGTACATGATTTTCCTGCACTTCTCCAGAGTCAGAGGATCGCCATGGTCGTGCCTCGGAGGCCATTCTGCGGCCGTTTTCGGGTTGCTGACGACGTAGTGGGCCTCCTCGGCCTGGGCTACCAGGGCGCGGGAGCGCAGCGCCCTCGCCTGTCGCTGCGGCAAGTTGTGAACGTTAATCGGCGTAAAGTTACCCAGAATGCCCCTATTAAGGTGGCGGTGTATTTCGTGCTTAGCATTATGAGCTACATGTCTACTCCCACTGGAGGCAGTGTGTGGCCACGTGCGCGGCCGTACCGGTGTTCTTGCTCGAGCTGTATATGAGAAACAGGTTGTATGCCGCCGCCTGCGGTCGTATAAGCCACCGTTACGTACACATACCCGCAGAATCTGCTTCCTTTCGTGATTCCAGACGAAGTTTACACCAGACATTTCGCTCGTTGTGTGCGGGAAGCCTTGGTTGCTTTTGCGGCTCATGTAGCATATGACGCACGGGCACTCGATCATGACGTCACTTTCGACGCCTGCGAACGTCTCCTCAGCATCCCTAATGGTACGGATGCACTTTTCGTACAGTGGTACTGCGATATGCAGGAGGTTGAGGAAATGCATGGCCCTGTTTTCGTTGAGTTACCAGAATGCCCAATCTCACCTGCCCATATTGTAGTGGCACTCTGCGGTAAATATTTTGACGCAGGGATGCGTCGCTGTTTCCGTCGTTCGCATCCTCATGCTGTACTGCAGGAAGGTCATGCCGAGCAGCAGCCCCTTCTTGGTGTCCTTCGCGCGATGTCGCTTGCACTAATGCGTCTTACCTCCATGGTTTTGCTCCCGAGCGAGTTGAAGTAGCAGGTGGCGAGACACAGCGCTGCGAGGGAGTCCTTCGGCTTCTGTATCAGCGCCCTTTTGTACTCCTCGATGGCGAAGAGCCACTTGCCCGACATGGTGCAGTAGTGCCCCGCCAACATGAGCAGCTCGTAGTTGGCCGGTTTTTGCAACAGCTGTCTGGCAATCCAGGACCTGTTTTCTAGCAGCGAATCCTTTTCGGACGACGATGACAGCGGCTCCAGTGCAGCCTTGGCAAGGTCGCCGGTGGCCAGCAGCATGCCGTATCTCCTGAGGCTGCCCTTTTTGGCAAGCTCGCCTCGCGCGTGTACCAGCGCGACCTTGTAGATTCCGCCGAAACAGCTGAGATCTGCAGGATGTTGTCGTAGCTGCGTATACACGTACGGTATGAGAGCTCCTCCACGGTCGTCAGGAGCTGTTTTCGCTCCGTGATGTCCGCGTTCGATTTGTATCTTTTCCTGTTATTTGCGATAATTTCAAGCAGCTGCACCCCCTCTCGGGCACGTCCCGCTGTTGCCATGAGCGAGGATGCACTCATCAGCAGATCCTCGTACCCGCGCCATCCTGCATTTTGTCCACCACCAGCAGGGAGACCTACCTAGGATGTCCTCCACCGACTGCAGCCCAAGGTCCTTTTTGGTCTTGAGGAACGAGTAGTTTTTCCCGACTTCCTTGCGCGTGTCCACATAATCCAGGCCACCGGCTTCTTCGGCGTACGATTTGACCATCCTGTCCTTGCTTAACTTTTGGTACGTGCGCTCCGTGTCTAGCTCGCAGTCGCTGACTACTCTTACGAAGCGATCGATCCAGCAGTGGACTTCCTCCAAGATAGCCGCAAACCCAGGGGACTGTCGCATCCCGTCATTGGCCCACAACAAACACGGAAGCGGTCTGAGCGGGACGAGAGTAAAACACTCCGGCACGAGCGTTTGTGCAGCTTTCGTGAGGTAGGTGATCTCAGATATGCGTTCCTCCGCGTCGATAGGCCTGTGTTGATATGAGAAGCACATAACATCTCATATAACATCAGTAACAACTGCTGTGCGTTGTACCATGACACCACCAAGGGGTTGTGCATTGCATGTGCAGTGCAACCCACGACCACGTCATGAGTTACAGCGATGTGGACATACTCAGACAAAAATCAAAGAAAAACTCACTTTTGTATCATTTTAAGTCTATCCAGGTCGGTAGTCGTCAGTCTCGCGAGCAGCTCGTCGGCCTTGGAGTGTTTCCCGGCGTCCCCTAAGATGTCAGCCAGCAGTATGATAACCTGCGAGTTTGTGGGTTCGCGCGCCAGTATCGTCTGCAAAATTCGCACGGCAGTATCATGGTCCTTGTCCACCATCACCAGCGCCCTCGCCATCTGTATCGCATGCTCAGGCAGCATGGCGTTGACGGTCTCCGGGTCATCGGCGTTGTACCCCTTCTTGAACCACCTGAGGGCCGTTTCTTGGCACTTATTCGAAAGGGCATGTGCCACTGCGTAATATCGATGTGCGGATACGCCCTCCGCTGTCCATATCGCGTTCAACTCCTTTAGGGGGAAGTTGTCGCAGTGCACGGCCGCGATGGCGTACGACACCAGCATGTCCATCGGTGCGTTAAGAATGTCCATTTCCAACGCCTCCATTGCCGTAGTAATGAATTCGACGCATTCCGCATACATCTTCAGGTTAATCTGCAGCTGGCACGCGCTCGTTGCCACGTCAATGTTCGCAGTGGTGCCGTAAAATGTCATCAGCACCCCCAGCAGCGTTTCCTTGTCTCCCACAGCCATGAGCGACTTCGTGAGCTCGTTTAACAGCAGCGCATCATCAGGATGTATTTGGAACAGTACTAGCAGCCGTTTTATCGCGTTTTGATGGTCGTTCTTTTCCAGGTAGCACATGGCCAGGGAGAAATTTGCCTCCTCGTTCAGCTCTCCCTCGCTTGTTTTGAGGCACTTCTTGAAGCAGTATATGGCCTGATCGATGTTTCCGATTTGCTGCGACATTTCGCCGATGCGGCGCCAGAGTTCGAGGTCCGTCTGCACGAGGTGTGCCGCCAGCAGGTAGTACCCCGTGGCGGTCACTGGATCTTTGTATTCCTCCTGGTATATCAGACCCAGCATGTGGAACGGGTCGTGGAGCCCCGGCGCGCGCCTGACTAGCTCCTTGAGCAGCTTGACTGCCTCGTCGAAGTTGCCGCAGAGGTACTGTGTCGTCGCATCCTGCATGAGTTTCTCCAGTTGCGGCGACAGTTTGGAGGCATGTGCTGCCGTCCTTCGCCTCCGTCTCTTTCTCTGTATTGCGATAGTCTTCGGAACCATGCGTTTGCCAGCTCGCTGCTTCTTCCGCATCAGCTTGCGCAGGTACCTGTCGGCGAAGGATTGCCGACGCTTCTGTCTGGGTTCCGCGCCCGAAAGCGCGTCTCCCATTAGGAAGTCGTTCAGCTCCTCCTCGTCCACCTCGGCGTCGCTGCATTCTCCGCTGCGAAGACATATAAGCCGCCACGTCACCACTTACACAGGCTCGTCGTCGAGCAGCTCCAGGGGAGCCCATTCACGCCGAACGTAGCCGTCCATTCTAGTTCAAGCCGCTACATATATGTATGTTTAGGTGTGTATACAAAATTATTATCGGTTGATGACTTCAAGTGAAGCCTGAAATTGAAAGCGTTTGCTCTAATATCGTCGTGTCACCAGTGTGTGTGGTGGGGAAAATGTACGAAGATCTCTCGTCTCATCGTAATATGTTGTGCTAACTGACGAAAAGCGCTTAATCGTCGTGGTGTTCCTCCTCGTCCATGCCGGATTGAACAGGCTCGCCGTCCTTCTTCTTGGGGAGAAGCACAGCTTGCACGTTAGGCATCACACCACCAGAGGCGATGGTGATACCAGCCAAGAACTTAGAAAGCTCCTCGTCGTTCCTGATGGCCAGCTGGATGTGGCGGGGGATGATACGGGATTTCTTGTTGTCACGAGCGGCGTTCCCCGCAAGCTCCAAGATTTCAGCGCACAGGTACTCGAGGACGGCAGCCAAGTAGACTGGCGCGCCGGCACCAACACGCTTGGCGTATCTGCCGTTCTTGAGGTACCTGCCGATACGTCCGACCGGGAACTGGAGGCCGGCCTTGGCCGACTTGGTGACCGACTTGACGGTCTTTTTGCGTCCACCACCAACAGCACTCTTTTCGTCTGCCGTCATTTTGATTAACTATGAACAATTAATTCCTTTGCACGGCTTGCGTTGTTTGCCTTCCCAACAGGCTTTTGTGGCGACTGATTGGATCCCCGTGGATGGCCCTCCGGCTATTTATTGGGCACACACTTGGGGCGATAAGAGACAACAACACGCGTGCGCGTTATCCACCAAATGTGGCCCGATAAACAATGTTGTACACGGCTACGAAACGTGTACCATTAAACGCGTATCGCAACAACGAGTTCGGCGGTATGTAATACTTGCCAGTGATTATTAATGTACGTACCCGGTAGACACTAATTTCCGGAATAAACACACGTTTAGACCCAAAATACAGATAATAGCCTTTGCTATAGCGCCGAAATTAAGATGTGACGGACACAGAACCTCGTTTGGTAGTGACTTAGACACCGCGCAGACAGCTAATTTCGGTCGAACGCAAGAGCGTCGTGTACCTAAAGTATCCGTTACGTGAGGCAGTAATACAGTGGCTTAGTAGCTAACAAAATTAGCTGTGCTTTATAATGGGTGATGTGTATAGCGGTTCATGTTGTCTACTTTTTTCATCTTAATGGGACGCAATAATTATACGTGCGTTTAATGAATATCTTGTCAATTGTGCAAATGGCTAGCTGTGCTGCTGTTTTCGCCTCCTTTCTGTCCGCTTGTCGCGTGGAGTGCTCGTTTGGGGCACCACATGTGTGCGCTAGGCCTTTGTGGTGTGCCACCCCCTTTCAGTACGCGTTAACTCTGTGGAATAGGTTACGAGTCTAACTTGCTACAAATCCTTTGTTAACAGACAAAAATGGCGCGTACCAAGCAAACTGCCCGCAAATCCACTGGTGGTAAAGCCCCGCGTAAGCAGTTGGCCACTAAGGCTGCCCGCAAGTCAGCTCCGGTCACTGGCGGTATTAAGAAGCCACACAGGTACCGTCCCGGTACGGTCGCTCTGCGTGAAATCAGGAGGTACCAAAAGTCCACTGAGCTTCTTATCCGCAAGTTGCCCTTCCAGCGTCTTGTCAGGGAAATTGCCCAGGACTTCAAAACCGACTTGCGTTTCCAGTCCTCTGCCGTTCTTGCTCTGCAGGAAGCTGCTGAGGCCTACCTGGTCGGTCTTTTCGAAGACACCAACCTGTGTGCCATCCATGCGAAGCGTGTGACCATTATGCCCAAGGACATTCAGCTCGCCAGGAGAATCAGGGGTGAGAGGGCCTAAGGCTCCTATTCCCACTGAAATGTAAGCGTACTCTAATATCGTCTAAGGCTTCACTTGAAGCCATCATCAACTGCTTTTAATTTCTTTTCCCTACTTACATATATGTTCATAACTGGCTTGTATATACTGAACGCCGCTACCCTTCTTAGTTGGGGCGCGTGGTGTCGTCGTTATTTGCGTTGTTGCGCTGCTAGTCTGTTTTTTTGACTGCTGTGCTACTAAGATGACGCGCCTTGGGTACACCGTCGATTGACCTGGTTGGATGCAACCGCTCCGCCGCTTCCACTATGTGTTATGGCCAGAGGCTTTAGAAAGCCGCCGTTTGTCTGATTGAACCGCTATAGGCCCTCTCCCAGGTTGCCTGGCCCACTAGTCGTCAATGGGTCTTGCGAGCATCGTCAACCCCGCAGCTGCCACTAACAACGACCAGTAACGCGTGTAGCGTCTGGTGTTATAGACACACCTATATGAGTTTATTCTACGCCAGGAATATGGATTCGTAGTAGAGATTCCTGATGCCATGGCGCCGGTCTCAGAGATTGAACAATGCAGAGCAATAAATGCCTGGAAGACAGGTGCTTATGCGTTATATGATAATTATAGTCGTGTTGTGCGTATGATTAATGGCTAGAAGGGAAGCATGATGCTTCGGTGTAGCTTAAATACTTCGAGCATAAGGCAGACGTTTGGAACTGTGAAGTGTCATCCGATCGGACGACAACGTCCGCCTTCTAATGGAAGACCGTTAGAGATATGATTAAAAATGACAAATAGGTGTATAGGCTCAACGCTTACACTTTGTGTGCCGAGAAGGTATTGTACTGCAACGGCACCTCAGACCGTCGAGTGTTACTTATTCACGTCACAGCACCATACATAGTCCGTATTTTCCAATTCTCAATTGAGAAGCGGTTAGTAGGTGACAGTGGTGGGCCATTTGAGCTCCGTATGCGTTAGGTAGTCGTCGGTGTTTTGGGACTCCGGGCGTCTTCCTATGCGTTTGCTGTTATTCTACGGCGAAACATCGCCATCCGCACTAAGCGGTCGCCTTGTAAAATTTCTGGCGATGTTTTGTGATGCATAGTCGTTTCTCAAGCTCTTGAGACGAGATGTCGGCACCTGATATGAACGGTAGGTCTTGCACTCAGAAACGGTCATTTTGAGCAGCGCCGTTTCAACCGGCTTACGGAGCTCCTCCTCATCCATATCCTCCCCAGATTCCTGGGCCTGGTGAGTTACTTCGTGGCTTATGTGATTCATGTGACTCAGGCATGATGATGCCGCCGTGCCCTCCCCCGCCGGTCATGGAAGTTTCCGAGGCCGCCTACCCGGCACCTCCCGCCGTTATCGCCAAGGGCCCGAGTGCGCCTACTGCGCCGGTAGGGTACTCGTCCAACCTGGTGCCGGGTCTAATAGACACACTGATGATGCCGGCCACGGTCACCATTCCGGTCCAGGATCCAGAGCCACCGCCAATGGTGAATGTGGTTTACGTCGGCGGTCTCCACTCTGGCACATCCAGTGATTTTGTGATAAACATAATGCAGGTACGTTGTTTTTTCTGTTAGTGTGACTGACGGCGTTCAGAAATGCGGGAAGCTGATCAACTTCAAGCGGCATGCGGATCCATCCAGCGGTCTGCTGGCAAACTTCGCTTTGTGCGAGTTCGAGTCACCCCGCGGTGCTTACTACGCGCTGGAATGTCTGGCAAATTTGCCATTTGGCGACGGCCAGGTGAAGGTATGTAGTATAAGCACTGTATTCGGCAATAAACTGCGTTAGGTGAGCTGCAACGACAAAGTGCGTGGTCTGGTCGAGGAATGGGTATCGGAGCAACTATACAGTCTGAGGGATGAGCACCCGGACATGAGCGATGATGAGCTGCGCGAGATTTTCAAGGCCCCTGAGGCTGAGCTCCGTCGCTCATTCGAGAACCTCATTAAATACGAAGTGCGTGACTTGCAGAATGGTGGCCCGTCAGCACAATCCTCGCGCAGCGATGTGGTCAGAGCATTCCGTAGGACGGAATCGCGTAGCGATTCAGCAAACACCGTGAAGAACAGCGACGCTGCGAACGAGTCGCAGAACCTTACGTCACGGGAATACACGATCCACCCGAAGGAATCGGCCCGCCGCAGCAAGTACAAATCGCGTCAACGGGAGAAGGACGATATTTTCAGGAGCGAGGAGCGCGAGTGGATAATGGAGGAGGCGTCACTGTTACGGAAACTGCAGAGGATTGGCACGGTGCGGCGGAGCACACGTGAGCGCCTGGTCAAGGAGGACCTTGAGGGGTTTGCCCGTTCCACAAGCAGCCGTGAACGCGAGAGAGAGCGCCAGATGGACCTTGAGGATGCGAGGGAGGAAGCATCTGAGCTTTCCAGCTCCGACGCGCGTTGCACCATCCCCCTGACGGCGACAGTCGCGCAGCAGCCGCCTGCAGAGCCCCCGAAACACGCGTTGCCGACGGTTTTCGGCAACGCTGCGGACGATGATGAGCCCATATTCAACCGCAACCACCGCCCGATGATCCAGTTGGGACTTCCTGACGCCGAGATCTGGGCACGTGTTCCTAAAAGCGAAACTGAAGTGTTCGAGTATCCTCTGGATTGGGATCGCATTTTATCCGACGGCAGCTTGTTCTCCTCGATTGAGCCCTGGATGCGTGGTTGCGTCTCGGAGCTGATGGGTGACGACGAGTCGGTGGTGGGCGAGGTGATGGAATTTTTGGCCGGCCGCCTGGTGGAGCGTCCCGCGCCCACCGAACTGCTCTCCGACGTTGAGCAGTTTATGGACGATGAGAGCCGGGGTTTCGTGATGGAGCTGTGGCGCCGCCTGATTCACCACCAGTTGCGACTGGGCGAGCCGTCGGCCAGCTGAAGGTGGGCCCCAGTATTGTATACCAATGCCAATGCGCTTCGAACAAATTCAGCTTTAAAATCATGTCCTTTATCAGGACCCTACGGCGAGTAGGAAAAAAACTTGTTGTGCTTTCGTGGTGCTAGCTGTTTGCGCTGTATTTCAGAGGCGTATGCTTACGGCGTGTCACTAAGCCTCGATAGACCTGCGGCGCCTAGTTTCACGAGATTTGACCACAGATGTTGCGTGTAGTTAAATACGTGCCTCGTGCTCAGTGACCGGTAATGCCGCTAATGTTTCCACTAGACGGCGCTTGTTTCCGTGTGTTGTGCGCCTTGCGACGAGCGTCCCTGCCACTCCTGCTTCAAATGTCGGTTTTGAGTCCCGCACTGCATTATCGTTGCAATCTGATGTTCGTTTTGTTATCTCCGTTTTTGGCTTCCGTGTTGCTTAAAAATTTGCGAGGCAGTCTCCGAGCCTGCATGTCGTGAGAATCTGGCGATATGTATTACGGCTCGAGATCCCTCAGCGGCGACCTTCTGCGTTCGTGAACGTGCCTCGGGTAGTCCACGTTCTGAGGCCGGGCGGGGTACCGCCTGGAGTCGCGTTCCAGGTACTCCGGCCTGTGATCCCGGTGCTCCCTGTTGTGAGGGGCGTAGTGGCGCTGGTACCGCTGAGGCGAGCGATCGTGATCTCGCCTGTAGTAGTACGAATGCTCGTCTCGCATGGGAGGGTAGCTGCGGTCGTAGCTGGGTGACCTTCGGGAGTAGCGCGCGCCAGGGCTCCTGCTGCGCGACCGCATCCCCGAGTAGTAGTACTGGCGGTGGCCGCTGCGTGCATTGGGCGGCGAAAAATCGTGTCTCCTTCCGGGCCTGACGTGGCTGTAGGCTCGTCGCATGGAATTCGGCGATTTGCGCCTGTCCTGCGCCATGCAACAGGTGATGACGTTGCCGTCCAGATCGGTGTTATCCATGACCTTCACCGCTTCCATCGCGTCCGCCTCGCGGCTGAACTCGACGAATCCGAAGCCCCTCGGCCGTTTGGTGACGAAATCCAGTGGAAGGTACACATCGCGGATTTTCCCGAAGCGTTCGAAGGCCTCCCTCACGATATTCGTGGTCGTGGTGTACCTAAGATTCCGCAGAATCAGGGAATATCCCGGCGCTTTGTCTCCTTCCATCTTCCCCGGAATTCGAAATGCGGGCTGACCGCCTGACGGCTACATTGGAAGGCGACAGCAGCTGCACGGCGACAACGCCGCCAACGGACATTTTTGTAAAATATTATCACAACAGGCATCGACACAAAATTTTAATGGGTGTAAGCGCACGATGGCGGCCGATCCATGGTTGATTAGTATCATTAGTGGCTCGTTGTTCGCGTGCATAAGCAGCAGCTGAATGCCGCTTAAGCCTCCGCCTCGTCGTTGATCTGGAAGTAGCGGAGCTCATATGAGTTCTCCTTGTTCGCTACGACGCGCAAGAAGTCACGAAGCTGCTGCTTCTTGAGGTACTTCTTGGTGAGGTACTGCGGAAGTAATGACCTACTCCGGCTGGTCACATACCTTAATGTATCTCTTCGAGAAGGGCACCTCGGCGGTGACGTGGATCTTGTTCTTCTCCCTGGTCACCGTGACGCTGGTTCCCAGGTTGCCGGTCTTGCCATCAACCTTGATGCGATCTTGCAAAAACTTCTCCTGAGCAATTGTGAACGACCATAATAAAATATTTTAGCCTATAGACCACACATGTGTCGCTCTAGCGGGAGCGGCGGCGGGGCGTTGAAGCGTGTAACCGTCGGAGGCGATGTGCCATCGGGTTTCCGCGCCATTGCCGACACCCCTCGCGCTGACTCCGCCACCGGTATTTCTATAAACAACCACTTACCAATCCCGAGGGGTTGATGATGTTGTCGTTGGCCGGAGCCGTGCAGTCCAGCATGAACTTGGACTTTTGTCCCACGGGGGCCTTTTTGACCTGGGACTTCGATTTGAGTGCCTTCATTTCGCCCGCTGCTGGTTTCTAATGATACTGTTGCGTATTACGCGCGGATGGAAACGTCTGTTTGTACCGCTGTTGCTTGCTTTTTCGTGTCCCCATGTACCGCGATGGGGAGGGCGCCTTCGCGATATGGCCCAGCAGTGACGTTACACAGTTGCTGCTTGCACACACGCCGCAGTTATTTATTGTGTTAGACTTTCTACTCCGATTTCACACGGTTACATCGCAATCATGACGTATGTGGGCAACGGGCCCTCACTCTAGGCTCCCTCTCTTCCGGTTGGAACGACCGTGTTAGCCAACTTTTAGCGCTGCTGCAAGGAACGCGCCGGAGTAAACGATATTTATAGTTGTGCCGTTTTTCAGGCGGTTGTGCGCGCTATAAAAGGCTAGGCGCTTTCGGCTCTTAGCAGAGCTGTGCCGCGTCTGTTACTATCAGCACCGTCCTTCTGCCACAATTAGACACTGTGTAGCTCAATGTAACCACAAATACCTCAATTAACAAAGCGTACAACGGCGTTTAACTGCTAGGGTGCGCCAAGGTTGTACCACTGCCCGGGGCCGCGAGTCGTCAAACGCAGTTGCTACTTACAATGGCGGACCGTTCGCACAGGTGAGTATTTGACATAGGGTTAATATTCCGATGCGTTGAGGTTGTATTATAATGGATCGCAGGAAGGATAACGCCGCAACGGCGACGATGAAGACGCTGCCGAATTTCGAGATCGATCGATTGAGGTAGGTTGCGGCGGATGTGCATCCTGAACGTTATGTGCAGGCATCTGTTAACGTTGCCAGCTGAGGCTTCGGTGGACACGGCTGAGGTCAAGAAGTCGCTGCTGGAGCACATCGTCAAAAATGGTCGGTTCGTTTCGGGCACTAATAACGGCGTACAGAGATGTATCCCTACCTGGAGCGTCTGCGCGAGCAGATGCCGGTGATGTGTGACGTGCCGGCAATGGAGGACCTGCGCGAAGTTAACGCAAAGACGCTGGCTGAGCTCGATGAGAAGATCGAGTTTGCTCAGAAGAACTTCGGCTCGTCCGAAGTCAAGGACGCCGTGCTCGAGAAAGCAAACTACTACCTGAAGATTGGTGACCACGTAAGTGTATAGCGGCGCCTGAAAGCATACGCCATGCAGGAGAAGGCGGTATCGCAATATGAGTCTGCGCTGAGCCAGACTGTGGGAGTGAACAGCAAGCTGGAGATCGTGCTGTGCTTGCTGCGCGTCGCATTCTTCTTCAACGACGTCCCTCTGTTGATGAAGTACATGGAGCGCGCAAAGAAGTGGGTATTCTGTGATTTAGTGTGACTGTTGTTAGGGACATCGAGAACCGTGGCGATTGGGAGATTCGCAACCGCCTCCACATATACGAGTCGCTTCAGCTGATCATTTGCCGCAAGTTCAAGCCGGCTGCGGAGCTCTTGCTGAACTCGCTGTCCACATTCACGGCGACTGAGCTGATCACGTTGGAGGAGCTGGTGTTGTACACTGTCGTGCTGTCGCTGATAACGATGGACCGCCCGACCATACGCAGCAAGCTGCTGGAGTCAGCCGAGGTGGCACAGGTGGCTGCGGAGGGCTCCGTGCTGCACCACCTGATCCACGACTTCTACCACTGCAACTACAAGAACTTCATGTTGAGCTTGGGTGGGTTTTTAGCCGTGATGTGGTCATTACTGTTCAGTGCGCACTTCGGAGTTGGTGCTCAGGGACCGCTACATGGCGCGCTACTGCAAGTACTTTTTGCGCCAGGCGCGTCTCCCGGCCTACAGGCAGTTCCTGCGGCCGTACAAGTCCGTGACCATAGAGAACATGGCGCACGCCTTCCAGCTGCCAGCTGAGTTTTTGGAGCGCGAGCTCGTCTCCTACATCAGCGGCATGCGCCTGGACTGCAAAATCGACCTGGTGAACGGCATCATCGAGAACAGCATAATGGACGATCGCAATACCAACTACATCGAGATTGTGAAGGAGGGCGACCTGCTGATCAACCGCATCCAGAAGCTGTCGCGCATCTTCGACATGTGAACGGCGGAACGCGCCACCCGTACTTGCTACTAATATTGCACATCATATACCGGTTATGTGGTCGACCATTGAGTGTCAGTTGTGGTTACCCAGAACGGCCATGAGGTTGGTGATGCAGTCCTTCCACTGCACCAGGTTAGAGTGCAGCTGCTTGAGCTGCTGGGCCCCGAAATGCCTCTGCATCACCGACCGGATGATGATCTGTTCGCTCTTCTGGTCGATGAGGCCGTCGATGACACCCTTCGTGATGGCCGTGACGACGAGCTCCTCGACTTGCTCCCTGGTTAGGCGCAGCTTCTGCTGCACCCGTGCGATTGGTACGTGCGGCTCGTTCTGGCATATGGTCGCCAGCGTGAGCAGCTGGATCTTCCAGCGGCAGATGTCGATGGGCACGCCCAGGGCCTCCAAGTTCTCCTCGCCGTGCTTGGCGACAATGGCCTCGAGGTCGTCGTTGTTGCCCTCGACCAGGAGGTCAAGCAGCTCCTTGAGGACCGCGTATTTCGTGCGGCCGAGGTGCTCCATGGCCGGCATCATGCGGAGCCTGTCGAAGTAGAGCACGTCGGGCGCCTTGATGCTCCTGATGCAGAAGTGCGCGGCGGCGTCGATGTTTTCGGGCGTCAGCATCGCGATGGTGTCGCAACACTCGATACGCTTCTCCCAGTACTTGTATGCCATGTCCGTCTTGCCCATCTTGTCGAGCTGTTCCGAGATGATGCGGCAGATGTGGATCTTGGTGCTGTTGTCCAGCGCCCAGTCCTTCATCCAGTCGTCGAGCTGCGTCACATTGAGCCTCAATAAATCCACCGTACCTTCTGTATCACCGGGATGAGCGTGTGGAAGATGTCGTTTCTGGCGGCGAACTCAAGCAGGGTGGTGTATACCACCACCCTGAGCGGAAGCGTTGCGTCCACGCTGTTGTAGAGCATCTGCAGCAGCCTCAGCCTGAGCTCGGCGCACGAGTCGTCTACGGCGATGGCCTTGAGCAGCAGATTGCCAGCCTTCTCGATTTGCGCGTTGCTGGTGAACCTCAGCTGGAGCATATACATGAGCACCGTGAAGTACTCCTCGACCTGCTTGAGCGCATCGTTGTATTTCACTTGGAGCTGCATCGCCATGTATTTTCCGCTGCAATGTCTCACCTCCACCTCCTCCTTGGTGTTCGGGTCGATTGCGATAACGGTAGTTTCACCCTTCATCGCGTCGTCCAGGAAGGCGAACACCATCTCGTTCCCGCTGAGCAGCAGCTCGAACAGCTGGAAGGAATCCTTGATGACCTGCTCGCCATCTACCTCCTGGAACTGGTTAAGCAGCTTGGAGTAGTAGTCCGCCGTTTTTGAGGGCTCGCGGACCTTGATGATGGACAGGATCCAGTCGCCGAGCGCGGCGGAGCTGACCGCTCCCTCTGTGTCCGGCGATAGCGGCACGAACGTGGTCATTTTGCAAGTGTTTATTAGGGGGGTGTTTGCTGAAGCCTCCGCGGGATGGGGAGGAGAGGCACGCGCGACCTCGTCGGCCGGCCGACGCGAATCGCTGCCTATCTGCAATACTTCCACCGACAAACGTGCGACGTTGTCAAAAATTAAGGTGTTAGCCGCGCAGTTCGCTCGTGTGTGCGCTAGTACGTGCGTTGTATAACACAGGGCGCGTAGGCCGTTGTCACGGAAGTTACACCCGTCGAGTTTAATTACGGATAATGTTTGGTAAATTGCCGCCCTAGCGTGCTAATACGTACCTGTCGTTATACATCCGACAAACCGGCAGCAATGTGTCTTATGCCTGCGCGTTCCGCAGCCTGGACCAATATGGGCCTACCTTTGACACGCATTTAACCCCTGCCACATGGCGGACGCCAGTGACGTTTGCCTTGTACTCTTCCGATATTGCCGGCCGCACGCTGCGCTGCCGTGACCGCGCCATGTCCGGAATCACCAGTTCAGTAGGCGTTCTTTCAATAGCTCCTCGTTAACGCCATCCTGCGATACAATAGGTGGATGTGTGCTCGGGTACTTCTTGAGCGCCTCCAATAGCCCTTCCAGTCCGTACTTCACCGCGTCGGAGAGAACAGGTTTGCCGTCGTCCAGATGAGCAAAGCTGGCATTGTCTGCGGGGCCTTCCCATGGGTCATGCTGTGAAGTGTGGTCGCCTGAGGCGTTGCTTCGCGGTGCTTCGTTGCCCCTGCTCGATCCTGGGAGGCTACCCGCGGCGGAGATCGACGTGCGCCCCGCGGAGTACTCGCTGGGCTCCATGGAAGCGGAGTGATGCGATACCGTGTTGAGCATATAGAACTCGTCCGTGCGCGCACTAGCTGCCGCTTCGGCAGCTGCCTGAGGCGCGGCATCAATGGAATCCATGACGGCGGTAGGTTAGGTGTCCGCGCGGAGGCGCCTCGCCGGCGGTCTCTAAATTCGACTAGCCGTCAGCGCGTGCTGCAAACCACAGAACATTGCGTGTAAAAATGCCTTGCGGCAATAAATCCACTAAATAACGACAAAAGGTACTGGGTAGTGTGAGGCTCGAACTCACGACCTCGGGATTATGAGACCCGCGCGCTAACCAACTGCGCCAACTACCCCCGCTCATGGCGCGAAAATTGTGTTTATATTTAGTGGCATTGTTTGACTCGCCGGTCGCACACTTCTGTGCCAGAGTTCGTGCCACTTCCACCGAGCCGTTAAATAGCAGCATTAGGTGTGCTGCGGGATCACTATGAAGGGTTATCTAAGCGATATTGAGATGAACGGTGTTCATGGCGGCAGTCGACAAGCGACGTACAATGTGCCCATAAATAACGTTTAGCATATTAGCGCAGCAACTAGAGTCAGTTAGTGAATGGCCACGTTGCCGTGGCGACTTCACTGCCCACGTAGTTCCACTTGAGCTGGTATCACAGCGCATTACGCCTACAGCGAAAGCATGGTCTTGATGTACGCCGGTATGTGCACAGTGTGGTCCAGCTGGGGGAGAGTTGACTCCATGAAGGCGATGATGTTGTGCTGAGTTTGCAGCGTCTTGATGGTGGCTTCGCCCTGCTGCTGGGGCAGCAGTAGGATGAGCCGGCACAGTTGCTCCTTATGGCCAGGCCAGAGCGACGTCATGCAAATAACAACTCCGCGCCACAGCATTTTGTCCTCCCACGCGCATCTCTTGAACAGCGCCGGTAGGATGGCCTGCACCACCACGCTGCGCGTTTGCGGTACCTTCTGCACGAGCTGGCAGAGCAGCCTGCCAAAGACGAATGAGACGTCCTCGGGGCTTTCAACGATGAGCGTGCACGCCGATAGCGCGGATTCGACGCTCATTTGTCCAGTTACGCAATACTCCACGCAGAGATCCAGCAGGCCGGTTTGCCGCTTGAGCAGCTCCTTGTAGGGCTTGATGCTGTAGCAGTGGTACATGAAGTGTTGCGGCAGAGCGAGGTTGAGCTCCTTCTGCTCCTTCCTGAATGTAGTGGGCACCTCCAGCAGTAGCGTGAGGCAGCGCTGTAGGTTCTCTTCAGTGCTGTTGGTGAACAGGTGGGTCACGACAGTCTCTAGCTGTTCAACACCAAGGAACGGCGTCAGCTGCAGAACGTACTCCTCGCACATGTCTAGGTGACTCAGTGCAACCTCAACCAACTGCTTGGTGGGGGAAGATTCCCGCTGCCACGATTCCACAAGGTTGTACTTGGGGTCGAGCCACATTGCGCGCACCTCCCCCAGGAGCGTGACGAGGAATGCGTTCATCTGCGGTTCATGCCTGAGTACCCTCACGATCTCCGCCACGTGAGGGCAGCAGTTGCGCCTTGCCTTGGCGGTCGTTTCCTCGTCGAACTTGTCTGCGATTTGGCACACGAAAGGCACAAGCGCTGCGTTCTTCCCGGCGGCGACAATGACGGGTTCCACCATGTCGACATCGCTTTCTTCTCTCGCAACAGCCCCTAACATCTCCACGAGGAAGGGGTGTGCCTTTACGGCATCTGGCATCGCCATGAGCGCGAAGAGTTCCTCGAGCCAGACCGAGGGCAACAGCGGCCACTCGATCGCCAGCTGCGTGTCCACTTCCGGCGTCTTGTTCACCTGGTTGTACAGCTCCTGCCACTCGCAGCCCTTGCATTTAGCGCTTGTTCTCGTGCCGACGGACCTGTGTGCACCCGATATTTCTGTGATGAGCCCCTTGTTCCACTGCCAAATAGGCCTCTCCGCCATGGCGTTACACTCCTCAATAACCTCCTTGGAGAGGTAGGGGCCGATGTTGCACTTGGAACATCCGCCTCCCGAACGCGTCCATTCCACCAGCGCGTCATGTGCGGCTTCCGATGCGGCTACGCTGTAGCGCCTGCCTTCGGTGTTGACACGATAGAGCCCCTTGGGCGACGAGACCAGCTTCAGGAAGAGGTTCCTAATCTCGGCGTCCTCGCTGACAATGCTGCGCAAGAAGAGCTCTAGCACGCGTTGTTTGAGATCTGGGCATTGCGATTTTTTGAGGATGTTCGATATGAGCGAGAACGCGAGCCTCCGGCTGGTGGGGTCCAGCAGCCATCCGCTGATCAGTTTGACGAGCGATAGGGGGATGAATGGCATGTTGAGAATGAACTTGCAAATTTGAAGCACATATGCGTCGCGTATCTCTACCACTTCCAGTATCCAAGGCACGTAGAGTTTGGATATGACGACCTCCACCAGTTCGCCATATCCCAGGCGTCCAACGGCTGCCGCATCCTGGACTTCAGTTCCCGTAGGCTGATCGGCTGGGTCAGTTGCATTTACCTCGTTTAGCTCCCTAATAACCTCGTCTTTGTTGCCTCTAACCACCCCTTTGGCGAGCTCGATGCAGGCCTTGGTGAGCAGGAGTTGGCTGACGGAGTCGAGCAGCTGCTCCAGTAACGCGGATTGGTGCGATGATGCCACGTATGTCATAAGCTCCTTGACACCCATATTTTGGGCGTCCGTAAGCGACGAGTCTGCCATCACGATCTTTTGACGACTGGCTTGTCTTTCTTGAGCAGTGTCCCCCAGTTTGTGGTTGATCATGACCATCTGGGCCATGTGGTCCAACAGCGCGTCGAGCAGGTTACGCTGCGTCTCCTTGGGCAAAGTTCCAGACACGAAGAGCCTGTTGAGCAGTGCGCGATTAAAGGCGTCGAAACGATCACGTCTGTTCCCCAAAGCGACAGCCGCCCTCAAATGCCACGTGTAGGACACTGCGGTGTCCATCATTTGTGTTGCGAGTAATAAGCTGTACAGTCTGTGATGCTCACGTATCGTTTCGCACGGCGTGGGTCTTATTGGTGCGATGCTGGAGGGCATGGTGTATTTGGGGTTGGGCGTGCAGTCGAGATCAAACGTAGGCTCATCGGCCGGTGGCATTGGCGGCCCCACCCTCATCTGCGCGTTGGCGCAATTGAAGCCTCCGTCCGTATTGTTCACGTGTTTGATGGCCAGCGCGCTACACTCGAACACTTGCGCCGCCTTGTAGCCCTTCAGCATCTCATCTTCCAACCTGTTCTCGAGTTTTTTCGTGGCCAGCTGGAACCGCGCTTCGGCGTCGCCGGTTTCCGCAATCAAGGCGACAACATTGATCGCATCGTCCTCCTTGACGTCGGCTTCTGCGTCGTGTACGTAGCATTTGTTCCCGGAGGCAGTGATGTGCGCCCGCTTGTACATGTCCGTCAGCTCACAATTGTAGCCAGCCTCCTTCAGCATGGCCACCAACTGCGTGTGAAACGGCTGCGCTTCTTGGCTCGTGAAAACGCGCAGTATCATGCTTTCGTACGCCCCTACGGTCCTGAACATGTGCGTATGCGTTGCGATGAGGGCTGGCATGAGGGCGTGAAAATATTGGTACGGGTAGTGGGAGACCAGCGTTGATACGGCCTCCGCTGCGATAAGGCTGCGCGCAAGCGTCCCGGGCTTGTTTGACTTCGTCGCTGCGCACATGCACCCTGCTAGCAACCTGGTTGCGCTTGCGCTCCAGGGCGTTATCTGCGCCATGAGCTCGGCATCGTCGCGAACGACGCACTGCCAATCATCGGAATCAAATCTGCGATTAGTACGGCCTTTGGCCTCTTCTTTGTTGCGATGGTTCGCTCCCGCTTCCCGGGAGACTTCTGGTTGAGGCATGTCCGACTCCTTAGCCTCCGAAGTTGCCGGCCTAGGGCTCGCCCTTGCTGATTTGGCCGGCGAGACCCCGAGCTGGGCCAGGATCGCAAGCTCCATCATGACCACCCTGAGGGCATTGGCCACAGGCGAACGTGTGCCGGAATGCACAAGCTCAGTGACGCTGGCGAGTCCATTCTTTCCCCGGCAGTCGCTCGCATCCATATCCACCGCGGCACGCTTCACCAGGCTGAGGGCACATGCAAGGTCGGCCACGGCGTCCCTGGCTGTCTGGCTCGAAGGGTGTACCGCCCGAGCCAACAGCACGTGGAACATGAAGAGGTGCGCTGACGATGCAAAGGCGGCGAGCGCATCGATCCTGACGATCGGGTCGGCATCGTTGAGAAGGTTGGAGATATCCTCGATGAGAACCGTTGCGTCTGTGTCCGATTAGAATGGCTATTGTACGACCTACACTGGCCATCTGAGTGGACGACGTGGTTGATAAGTCTGCAGAGTTTGCCCTTGCCGGCCTTTGACTGCGTGAGCTGCGCTATGTTACGTGTCGCGTATTATGGCTCACCTGCAACCTTCTAAACTGCTGCAGCCGCGCCTCGAAGGCATCGCGACGTCCTATGCGAAGCAGATGGAGTATCTCCGCTTCCTGCGAGCAATGTCTAGAGCCTAGGCTGGGTCGACACACCTGCGACATCTTGGCGCGCGTCACCGCGCAGCGGTTCGGGTGTTTGGCGTATGGTCCGCGAGTTGCCGCGGATTTAGCGCGTATTGAAGGCCAATTTCCGCTAACTGCCGGCCATTCGCCGGCCTACGTCTCGCTTATGAGGCGAGCGGATGGTGTGTCCTCACTTCACGAGTGCACTGGTGCCCATTAGAGTCTCAAATTTCGCGCTCTGCGCATAGAAACGTGCATATACACTGCAGTGAGAATCGTGTTACTTGCGGCGGCTGCCTTCGTCGCCGATTAACGCGCATCCTTCGCGATCCCTTTTTCAGGGTCCATCATCCGAGCAGACGCGAGCGTTGCGTGACATGCTAGGTCGCCTTCGCTTGACACCGGGATCGACGTCATTTGCGGGAGTACTGGGAATACTCGTTATAAACGTGTCGGTGTTGAGAATTTTGGGGGGCGTTGTGGATTCTGCAGCATTTCGGGTATCGTCAGCACCTTCGACGATACAGCTTCCCTTACATAAACATCCCCAAGCCGCATTACGTGCTAAAGGCCCCGATAGCGAGACCATCGGGTGAATACTTGCGACTATCCAAGCAACAGCCGCTCGGCATTGTGTTCGGTAAAGAGTGCCAGCATGTCGGAGGAGTCGAAGGACGGCGCGGACGTTACGTCGACCCCCGTCTACCTGAAGGTCTACGACCTTTCCCATGGCATGGCTTCCAAGATATCGATGCCGCTTCTGGGATTCCAGATGGATGGACTATGGCACACCAGCATTGCTGTTTTCGGCAATGAGTATCTGTTCGGTGGGTCCGGAAAGCATTAGGCTGTGGAACGTGTTTCAGGTCAAGGAATATCCTATTGTTCGGAGGCGCGTTGCGAGGAGATGACCAATCTGCCGTTGGTTCGCAAGATTTTGCTTGGCGAGACTAGCATCACCAAAGAGGTGTTCCATGAGTAGGTCTTGCCCAGATATTTTTTACGCTTCGCAGATACATCGACAGTTTGAAGGTCACTTTCTCGCCGGAATCGTACCACCTGTTGCGCTGGAACTGTAACCACTTCACCAACACTGCGGCGGACTTCCTCACCGGTACCGGGATCCCCGACGAGTACGTGAAGATGATTGAGCGCATTGAGCAGAGTCCGAGCGGAAAGGTTGTTCTCGGCCTTATAGAGGTGCGTGTGGATGCTTATAATGCTCATGTGATCTTAGAAATCCTTCAATCGCGACCCCAGCTCTTTCTCGGTTCCCACGGGTCGGTGATATCATCCGATGTCGGTCCATCTCTGGATGAGGATTGATTTGTGAAGCTTGTGTTCTCGGAAGTTTGGAGCTGTACTGATGTCGGCAGGCTTGAAGTCATGAGCCCCCGGCATCTCAACTGGGAGGGGCCCGTGGATGATGCGTAGCGGAGTCATGTCACCTTACGCATACCTGGTTTCACAAGTGAGGGTCGTCTTACAGGATATAGCTTTCATAACTTCTGAGGCTTGTCGTATGTTATGTCAACTTGGCTGCATACCTGGCACCTCCGCCCTTTACCAACCTCATTACGCAATGAGGTGGCCAGGAGAGTGCCATTACTGTACATCACGATTAACGTATGTTTATTCAAATCATTCTGCCGGGTGCCTTCGCGGGCGTTTCAGTGGTGTTGTACATGTCTTGCGGGCAGTTGTGGTCGTACGTTAGATAGATGGTGGCGTGGGATTCAGACAACACTATGAATTGTTAAATTGCGAACCTTTTGGTCCGAGAGGGTCGGCATCTGTGATATAAACTACTATTACACCTCGATCGTGTTTCATGAAAAACATTGCCCTGTGCCACACTACGTGCGTAGTCCCACCATGGGACTATACGCCAGTTTTCAATGTTATGTGCCAAATTAATAACAAAGTAACGCCTTCTTATACAAAGGTTTGCGGCTCTGATGGCCGCGATAAGTTCTGGAAAAGCAAAATGTGCGCATGGACTGGTGAAGTGGTGATTAAAATCTAAAGTGGCACTAATCGGAATTCGGTACTCCGGATAAACTGCATTAGTGAAGGCTGCCGGTCACATTTTCAAGCATCGACAATGAATTCCCCTTGATCCTGGAAGTAAGTGTAGTCGGTCTGGTTCTTCGTGCAGAGGTAGATCGTGGTGCCGAGTCCAACGAGGCCGACGAGGGCGAGAGGCGTCATCATCGAGTACTGGTGCTGCTGGACCTCCGTGATGGATTTGTTGAGGACAAGAGCCACGTATGCGTTTGCGGACTTCCCGTCGAAGGTGAAGTAGCACATGGGCTCGCTCTCAAGCATGAGCCAGAAGTCGTGGTAATCTGCAGGCGCCACATCTTCGGTGAACATGGCCGTCAAATCGCAGGTGACATCACTGTCTGTAACATCGGCAGTGTAGGTCTTCCCCAGCGTTTTGGGCTCCTTCGCTGCGTCGCCCTCCGGAGCGTTTATCCTGGTGATCTTGATCTTCTTGCTCGGGCATTCCGCGCCGTACTCATCACCATCCGACAGGCGTTTGAGCGTCAATTTCGCACTGGCAACGCGGACAGAATGCGCCTTGGTGTCTTGGGCCAAGGTGAAGTGGACTAGAGCACGCTGCTGGTCGTCGGAGTAGGCTGCCACCGACTTCTGGATTTCGATGAAGGGTTTCTTGATCGACTTGTTCCTGTGGATGTTCGTGAATTCGACCGCAGACGAGTGCACATTCTCGGTGAAATTGCGCACTTTAGTCGCTGGCTCGCCAGAGAGCCATTCAAAAATCGGGCCTATGAAGTTGGAATGCGAGGCCACACGTTGGTTGGTGTTGGGCTCCCTAGTGGCGAGAAGATGTGTCGTGTCTACAGCGCCTCTGTGTCCGACGTTGTGAGCACTTAGGTCCGAAGAAGGATTGTTGTGATGGGCGTTGTGTGCCAAAGCCGCGGCGTACTGCGCGAGCAGGCACACCGCCGCGGCGACCGCTTGGAAGGCTTGCATGGCGTTGTTTCCTGCACGTTTATTATATTCCAGAGATTTTAAAAACGCTGGCTTGAAGCCGTAACACCGGAAGTTAAGGCACTTGTCGGTGTGTCGTCGCTATGGCCAGACGCTCCAGCTCACCTCCTACATCAATTGGCTGAACTTTATCTCGTAGTTTACGCTATTAAAATATGGAAAAGGTTCATTAGAAAGACCGGGCAGACGCCAGCCATGCCTAACTTCCATGGAACCGGCGTGCACCCATGTGCGATTGCCGCTCGACGGCCATGGACCTTCCATTGATGTCGTTTGCTCACTCGGCCGATTGGTCGTCCACCTCGTCTTCCTCGGCGAATTCCAGCACAAGGTGTCGTCCGTAGAGGTGTGTGTGTTGCAGCGCCTCGACGGCGCGGGCGCTCTCCTGTTTGCTGAGGAACTCCACGAAGGCGAAACCCCTGTTGTTGCTTTTGAGGCTCTTGGGTATGCGGACGGACTTGACGTTCCCGTAGTAGCTGAACATTTTGTACAGGTCCTGACGGGTGGCCTGGAAGGCCAGGTTCTTGACGATAATCTTGTTGGTGGCCTCGAGGATCTTGCTCTCCGCGATCTCTGTCGGAGGCTTCTCTGCGCGCTTGGCGATTGACATTTCGATGACTTTCCCGTCTATTAGAATACCGGTTTTGGCCCTGATTGCGGCTTTGGCGTTGGCCATGCTGTCGAATTCCACAAATCCGAAACCTCTGGAAAGGGTGGCGTTGTCCTTCATGACGACCTTGCTGGTGACATAACCCTTGCAGGAACCAAAGTGGTTCTTGAGTGCGTCGTCTCGTGTCTTGAAGTTGAGGTTCTTGAGGTAAATGCTAACGTTGGTAGAAACCTCAGCGTCGTCATCAGCCTCGGCCTCTTGCGATGGATCCGCGGTCGCCGGTGCTTCGCTTCCGCGTCTTTGCTCATCAGCTGCCTTTATATCCGATTTCTTTTTGGTGGCGAGCTCTGGTATTGGCGCTCCTTCGCGGATGAGCTTAATCGGTGCCCACTCCAGGTAGAGCGGCAGCCCAAGGTACGGCGTGTAAGCCAAGCTCCGGAAGGCAGCTTGGGCAGCCTTCGGCTCAAGATACTGCACTATTCCCATTACGGCGTACGGAGCGACGGCAAGGCGCAACAGTTGGCCATATTTGGAGAATGTCTCGACCAGGTCAGCCTCGTCAGCATCGCTCGGGAGGTTCTTTATGATCAAGGTATCGTCTGACCGAGTTACGCGTTTGACCTCGCTTTCCTTGCGTTCCGCCTCCTTACTCCCGTCCTTTTCCTTAGTTTCGGCGGATTTCGACACCTGGAACTGCTGGTAGTCGATGCCCTGTTCGTCGAGCCATTTGGTGAGCTGGTTCAGAATCAGTGTCTCTGAGAGTGCCACGTTGACGGCTGCGTTCGCCTCATCTACAATATCCCTTTTGTCCAGCTCCAGTTGTCGGGAAACCGCGGCAATGGTCGCGTTGATGTCGATGTGAAGCGTGTTCCAAATGGTGGCATTCTCGGCGTTGGCCAGCTTCTTCTTCTGCAGCTCCCGCTTGTATGATGATTTTTCGGCATTCCTGCGGCCACTTCGCCGGCCGAATTCCTCATACGTAGCTCTATCCGCCGTGCTTCCCTGCTCCTTCGGTTTCGCTAGGTTGACGTGCATTATCCTCCCGCAGAAGATAGTGCGGTTTTTAGCGTCACGGAATTTTACCGCATCGGAGGGGAACACCCACGATACGTAGCAGTAACCCTTGGTCAGTTTGCCTCCATCCGTATCCGCGTCATTTTGCGAATTCAACGGCAGGTGGATGTCGGTTATGGGCCCGAAGGGTCTGCATAACTCCCTGATTGCCGACTCGGTCACATTGTACGGCAGGTTAAAGAGGATCACCCTGTCCAAGTTGTCGGCAGATTCTTCCTGTTCATCGGCGTCACTTGGCGGTTCTGGTTCGTCAGTCGGGATTCCATCCATCTCGGTATCGCTTTGCGCTTCGTCCTCGAAAACGGTGTGCTTCCTCTCACCGGATACACCAGCCTTCGTATACTTTTTGACCTGCTTAACGAGCGTTGTCGCCACCTCACCATCGCCACATTCGCGCTTTGACTTAGCAATCAGCCGTTCGGTTTTCTTAGGTTCGTCAGCGGCCTCCTGCGGAGTGCGTGGCGGCGGACGGGAAAATTCGATTGTGACCTTGCAGGCACGGAAATAGGTCCCGTCGTAGTAGTCCTTGAACTTTGTTGCATCTTTCTCGTCGGCAAACCCTACGAAGCATAGTCCTCGCGACACCGCGGCTTGCTTGCCGCTGGGATTCTTGGCGTTCTTGGCCTTCTGGTCTTTGGCATTCTTGCACAGTAGTTTGCAGTCCGTGAGCTCCAATCCAAGCTCCTTGCATTTTTCCGATATTAGACGCTCGACACCTCTCTCGTCTAGCGAAATTGGCAAGTTCTTGACGATAACTCGGGTATTACTGCCGACCCTCATTGTTGGCGGCTTCCTCGATTCTAGCAGAAATCACCACAGCATCGTAGTTCAATCACGATGGGCCGTTTTATTATTTTTCAACGCCATGTGTGGTAGCTGGCCGAAAGTATCGAGTCCTGTGATAACCGTGGCGTTATGTCGGGGAGCCTTCTTCGGCTCTGGGTATTGGAAAGCGCGCCATTTTAGTCCAATGAGATGTTTTTATGCCGAATAGGCCTTTATTAATGAATTAACTTAATATATATTGCGGTATACGACTACTGTGTGATCAGCTGGTGGCTCTTTGCTGCCTGTGCTACGTGTATTCGTCACGTTCCGTTTAGCGAGTGTCTATATGCTGAGAATACTGTAGCCGCGTTTCAGCGGTGAGATGACGGCTATATGTGCTGTTGATGTGTAACGATGACGTTGTTTTGATCTAATTTCGTTCTGCAATTTTACTCCTACGCGGATCACGTCTATATGCAAGCCAAGGACGCAAGCATGGTATTGGCTCAAACAAGGTGATGCCCTCATGAAGGCGACGCGTCGTACGGTCCTGCAACGAACATGATTCATAGTTGAAGCTACAGGATGCTGTGGCGGCGCCTCCTAGCTGTGGCGCCTAACCTGACCCGGCACCGCTGTTTAAGTTTGGAGTCTTTGACAAGGCAGTTTCGCAACATCGCAATATGCAGCAGATCACTGTATCCGGCAAGAATTCTTAGCTGTTTGCCTAAGACGCAGCTGACTACGCCTGCTATATTTGCGGAACGGAGGAACATAAGCACCCTCAAGCGGCGAGTGTTTAAGATCAAGAAACACAAGAAGAAGAAGCGTAAAAAGCGATTGTCGCGTTTCAGCATTATACCGTGGCGGCCGCCATCGGAGGAGAGAAAGGTGACATATCAGTTGCCCTATAAAATGCGAAGAATCGTGAAGGAGCGGCGACGCCGGAACAAGGGCAACCGAACACTGCGAGTTCCTCGTCAACGTTAATGTGTATTGTTTGTGGTTCGTGTTGCGGCGGCGGCGATTGTGGCCTTAATCATTTTGAACCTGCTGAGGCACTCCTTGGGCGTTTTGCCCTGCACTTCCGATGCGATCATGCGCCACCTGGTGGCCGGGTCCAGCGACGACGGGTACTTCGACAACGCAGCCTCAAACTCGCTCTGCTGCTCAGCACTCCACATGTCACCGTACACCCCGTTACTCGACACGGGGTTGGTGGCGCCTGTAGCGATACGCTTTCCTGCAGCGATTTCTCTGGCCATCTGGATGCACTGCGCGGCCGTCTTGGTCTTAACGTGTTTTGCAATAAGGCTCCAGCGATCAGTGACACCAGCCACGTGTAATTCAACGGCCTTGGAGAGTCGTGATAGTTCCTCAGGAGTCCAGGGGACGGGAGCGTCCGCCCCGGTCTCGGTGCGCTTTGCCTCCTGTACCTCGGTCGTCGCGGATACTACGGGTGGCGAGATCCGTTCGGACACGCGCAACAGGATCTGCTCGTACGGCTTGGGGTCAGCCAGCACGGCGGCCTTGACTATGGCGTCCATGCGCTTCACGAATTGTAGCGATTCCTCGCAGCCCTCGATCTGCGTCGCGTGGCCGATGAGCGCATAAATGTCCTGGCACGCCTCCTTGACAAACTCGTAGTCCAACTCCGATAGTCGGTCGAAATGTTGCGATAATTCGGCGCCGTTAGGCAACTTCGCGCCAATTGCTCGAATGTGTTGGCGCAGTTTCTTCACGATCTGCTTCTCAAACTTTTCCCGGTTGATCGAGCGTTCCAGTTCGTCACGACGCCTGGCCTCCGCCTCCTCACGCTCCCTTCTGCAGCAAGAATGCACCGAACACCTTATATGAAACCTACCGGTCCCTGAGCGATTCCTGTTCCATCTGCTTCTGACGTTCGATCTTCTCAAGCCGCCTTCGCTCGGCGCGGGCCTTCAGACGCGGATCGCTGCATGGGGCTGCTAGTGGTGACAAGGTCAACATACTGTGCCTGGGCGAGGTCGACGAGCTTCTGTATGCGCACCATCTCCTTCTTCACCAGCTTCTTCTGGACCTTGAGGTTCTCCCGCTCCATCCAGCGCTTCTCCTCCCTCGACTCCGCGTCGTCCAGCAGGTGCGGCGCGGCATGGCTGAAGGTACGCGTCGTCTCGAAGTTGCGCCAGAAGTCGTAGAACGCGTCTACCTCGTCGTCAGTTGCGTCCGGTGCGCCTATGGAGGGCACGGGCTTGGTGTTCGACCACCTACGACAGTTGGGCGCATGGCGCAACAGTACGTACCTGGCGTTGAGCTCAAACACGGGTCCCAATACTGCAAAGAAGTCTTCGGCATCCTTCAGCTGCTCCTTCGTCGGTATGTTCTCGTCGAAAGGCAGGCTGCAGTCGTACTCGTGCCTCAGCTGGGGGTCGCTCATAATCGTGAAGGCATCTTGCAGGAGCAAGAATTGCTGTTTGCGTTCTTCTTCGCAGAGCTTCCCCAACCTGTATTTGGCTGCATATTGCGCCATTTCTGGCGGAACTCTCGTATGCGCTGCCTTGTCAGGGTGCAGCAGCAGCACTATCTTCTTGTAGTTGGCCTTTATCGTCGTGATGTCGTCCGAGTCGCAGACATTGAGCAGCTCGTAGGCGTTCTGGTTTTTCGTCACGAAGTCCCTCACCAGTCCCAGGCATTTTCGTGAGGCGGCCTTTTGCAGTTTTGGGGAGTCATCCGCGCCAACTTCGGACCGGTCGGTCAGCGGGGCCGTCTGCGTGCCCTCCGACAGAATCTCCGCCCATTGCTTCTTCAGCGCAAATACGTGCTTCCCGTCTGGTTGCTCGATTCTTAGGTTGGCCAGGTACGCTTCTACCAGGTCTATCGTCTGCCTGTCGACGCGCTCGACCTGCTTCGGACATAGTATGTCTGCGGTGTGTGTTGCTCTGCTGTCGTTAGCTCACCTTCGTACGGCACTTGCAGCTGCCATTCCCGGCTCAGAAAGAAGGCGAATCCAGCCGGTTCGACACGACGTACAGCCTTCTCCGACTTGAACACCACCGCCTGCTCGCCGTTAAACGCAGACCTGCAAAGCGCTAGCGGACCACGCTCCGTCATATTGATCTGGCAACGTATACGGAAAACATTTAAGGCGGAGATGGCGGTGGCTCTGCTAGACTGTCGGGAAAATATGACGCGCCGGTACTGCGTTTATACTAAGTGGACGAATCTAGCTCGCTCTCGCGTCTGACGGAGGAAATTGCCCAACGCGGTAGCAACGGCGTAGTCGCATCGGCAATAGGCCGTTATCGTGTTTAGCGATCTGTTTTTAATTTATGTGGTGGGGACTTGGCTACCTGTGGCGAATCTCACCATTCAGTGTGCCGTAGACAGCGCGCCGCCGGCGGCTGTGTATTAACCGTACCATGCTACCGTCATACTACGCCATTTTTACTATACAGTCGAAATTTTAAACGGCAAGTTATGCTCAAGAGTCGTTAAACACGCGTACGCTACTGCGGCGCAATCTCGGTGTACACAGATGGTTACAGAGCGGTCGGTGACGGGTACCGCTTCACGTGGCTTTTCGCACGGTGTCACCGTAGTTGTTCGGCTCCTCTAGTTCCACGACAAAACCGTAGGTGCAGTTTCTCTGGCCGTTTATTGTTACGTGGAAGTTTTCGTAATCCACGTTCGGATTCTGGAGCACGTTCGAGAAAGTGACCCTAATCCTTGTTCCCGGTGTGGTCATATTCGGAGTCATGACGCAATCTATTTGCTTCCTGCTGGTTATTTTTCCATATTTGTCCAATACGATCTTTTCTATGCAGACGTTAACGGTGGCGTTTCTGCAATATCTCTTGTGGGAGTCATGGACGGCCATAAATCTGGTGATGATCAATGATACATCCTTAAATAGCTTCTTCTGGAGGTCATCCACACCACCCAACATGACGAATTGGATCACGGGCTTGGCGTACTTGGCAGCTCCAGGGTAGCAGTAGACCAGTGCACGGTTCATGTAATGGCGTGACGGGTCCAATTTGTCCGCCTGCTTAACACCAGGCTTACCCATCGCATTGCACTCGGCGACAGAAGCGGACTTAAGAATCGCGAATCCACTGGCGTTGACATTAACAATGCTCAACATAAAGGAGAGCAACAACGCAAGGCCAAACCTCATTTTGACCACTTCCTCCTGATGCTTTCTCGCTTTCCAGCTGTTCTAGTATGCCCCTGTAATCGAAGCACTGTTCGCGAGGGCCTATCTCCGCCGATGTGTAAAGCGCGTTCCGCCCTGCAGATGCCCCCGGTGCTCAATAATCAGACGATAAACAAAAGGCGGTGTTGCGTTCCGTTTATACTCTTGTAACGCCACCTGTTGCTGATCTTTTCGGCGATGGAGGAGTGCACCCCTGTGACGCGGTCTGGAAGTCAGCATCGCAGAGCATATAGTTGTATGGGTGTGCGCCGTTACAAAAGCTCAAATTCCATAAAATTCTACGATGTTAAAGCGGCAACTGCTCATATTTCGAGTATTATGCGACACATCCAGCAGTATCGCATAGATAGAGATTATACGCCCTTGCGGATGCCGAGTTCCGGCTGCCTTTTACAGAACGAAATCACGCCACTAGTAGCATTACCGCATTTTCTGGCATACTAGTTACGGTTTTTCGGGTGAAATAAGTTTGCGCTATTCCTAGAGTCGTGGCGACTTTAGCGCTAAAGCGTTTTGTTGCAGCGTATGTGTTGTCGCTGTCAATCGCGTATCTGTGTAAAATTGAAATTTATAACAATTCTACGGTTTGTGCTGCCGTGTATTTAAAGGTTCCGTACGCTTGCCTTGATTAGTTAAATCTCTCGCTTTCCATAACGCCGTATTCGTGTGCTCCTTACGGCCACTCGCTGTGGGTTTATTCCAGAATTTTGGAGAATGTACAGCGAATACATTGGCAGCTGACCGTTTTGACGCGGTGGTTTATGCCAGCATAACACGTTAATGTGTATTGTTTGTGGTTCGTGTTGCGGCGGCGGCGATAGTGGCCTTAATCATTTTGAACCTGCTGAGGCACTCCTTGGGCGTTTTGCCCTGCACTTCCGATGCGATCATGCGCCACCTGGTGGCCGGGTCCAGCGACGACGGGTACTTCGACAACGCAGCCTCGAACTCGCTCTGCTGCTCAGCACTCCACATGTCACCGTAAACGCCGTTACTCGACACGGGGTTGGACATAATGCTGCCAGGCCGTAACGGCTGTCACATTCAACCTTACATTAGGTCCTATTTACGATTATCAGGTGAATCCGTACTCTATGGCAAATTTAAGGGCTACGGTGGTGACCCATAGCGAACATCCGTGACGCAATCTGAACCGTACGAAATATCGCCTAACACAATTAGACGATAAACCAGAACTAGAAGTGGCTAGGAGCGGCACAGACATCACCGCACAAGTGAAGTGCAACCGTGATAGAGAGGCGCGGCACAGATTAAATCACAACATCCATACATGAACAACTCTATTGAGAGATATATTTCAGAAAGGTGTTTAAGCGGCTTCTAGTGAAGCCTAATATTAGCACAACTATTCTCGCCCGAATAGATAGTAAACCAGTCAGCACTGGATTTACTTTCCAGTGAACTTAGTCACTGCCTTGGTACCCTCAGACACGGCGTGCTTCGACAGCTCGCCAGGGAGAACAAGCCTGACCGCAGTCTGGACTTCGCGGGAGCTAAGGGTCTCCTTCTTGTTGTACTTGCAAAGCTTGCTGGCCTCGCTAGCGATCTTGTCGAAGGTGTCGGTAATAAAGGAGTTCATGATCATCATGGACTTCTTGCTGATACCGGTGTCTGGGTGAACTTGCTTAAGCACCTTGAAGATGTAGGTACCGTACGTCTCCGAACGGACCTTCTTCTTCACCTTTTTCTCAATCTTCTTGGACACCATTTTGATCTGCGCGAGTTGTGTCTACACGTAAGAAACGATAGGAACCAATGAAATAAACGGGCATATAACCACACACACGGGTGGGAAGCGGCGACCAGGACCGGATGTGAGCGCCTGTCACCACAAACGCACACACGCCAGACCTTCACACAGATCCATCCACGTCACAAAAGGCAATATATAACACGGGCCAAGCATTAAACAAACGTCGACAAAGCGTAAATATGGAAAATGGTAACTTACGTAACTTGATAGCTTGAAGCAAGTAATATACCAAGTGACGTGAGATGGGCTGGCGTCACCATACGTTTGTGGGACGAATAGCACAACAAGCGCGTGCCGCCGGCGTCCGCGGAAAACGTATCACGGGCGGAAACCCCCACCGTAGAAATGAGCGTTTTTGGTAAATTTTCGCGGCGATTCGCGAAGATTTATTTCTCAATGTCTTCGTTTATAGCAATGGGTTGCGGGCGTGAACAACGGTACACCCGGTGTCTATATGGCACAACGCCTACTGATGGTTTATAGCCTGTGTGTCACTGTGCTGGATTTATTAGTTATGCGTCTGCCTCGCCGTTTATTGCTCATTTCGTTAAGCAGCGCTGCATATAAGCGAATATTTTTGTCATAGTTCGTCAGCATCACTATTGCCGAAAACGCAATTATTCAGCTTCATTATAATTTAATTATTGTGATGAGATACACGTTTAAATTTATTGTTTCGAAGCGCTGTCTTAAGCGCACATACCACCGAGTCGTAACCTAACTAGTCTTCATCGACGCTGTCTACTGCGCCGATGCGTGGCCTTTTGTGTCTGTAACGGTCGATTCCTAAGCACTTATTCTCTGTTGTTTGTCTGAACATCCCTTAAGCAGTACTCAAAGAAGCCGGTGCTTCATACGTTAGTGATGGGAGGCTACGGTACAATCACGTCGCGCTTCAGCGTTTCTAGTATCTCGCAGTTCTACAGCAGTGGCTCCGATGGGTAAGTAGATGGTTGGAAGTACGTGATTAGGTGGCGTTGTTGGATTTTGCTGTGTCCTAGCCCCTAACGGGGTGACGGAACACTTTTGCGGGGTTACATAGCGACTGCTAACGGTGTGTACAATACTCATACGTCTTACAGCGATGACTACGACGAAGACGACGACTACAGCGCTATGCACGTTGGTGCGACGGAGTCGCGTAACACGGCGGAAAGGGAGGACGCGCCAAAGCCCAGCGCGCCGGAAGAGCCTCAACCCGTATACACACCTGCCGACGCCGAAAGCGTGGCGTCGTATGTGTCAACACCCGTTAGCGTGAGCCAACCAGCGGCAGACACACACGCTGAAACTCCTGTTGGTCCGAGGTCAACACCACCCTACCGAGAGGCTTACACATCGCCGGTCAGCAGCGAAGCTAAGGCCGAATCCACCCACAGCAGTGTGGCTGGAGGTAGGTCTAGGTCGGCTGGAAGCGTTGGAAGCGCGCCCGCTGACGACAGGTCTTCTCGGCACTCGGGTGGAGAAGAGGAGCGGGCATCAGGACATTCTTCGCTATCTGAGAGGTCGAGGAGTGCTTCTGTAGAGCGGAGCGTGTTGAGTAGTGCTTCTCGCAACTCCCGTAGAACGAATTCAGGTGGCAGTGAGGTGCGGGGGTCTATTCATGTCAGCGCTGCGTCATCTGGTGGTGAGGAGGTTGAGAGACCCACTCATGAAGAAAGCGAACCTCTGCACTACGCTGCTAATAGCGATCACTCAAGGAATGGAAGTCCGAATGAAGCGCATGTAGCAACGCTATCGTCTCTAAACCGTGAGTCAGTTGATGGGTTCATTAAGCGGAACCCGTCATACAGCGTGTTTGAAGATACGACCCTTTTCCCCGCTTCTAGAATCAACCAGGCAACTGCTGGTGACGCAGAAAGCGTTAAATCAGGGCATTTGGCAAGTGGTTCATCGAGCAGCGATATCTCATCGGTGCGTTCTGAGGCGTCATATCCGCGTGGTTCTGCATCGTCTATTGCCGGTGAACGTGAGGTGCCGGAAGTTGCCCGGGGTGTTGGGGAGCGCTTTGACGATATAAATGTGACCTCAAAAGTCGTGCATAGCACTGCGATTTCTGTTAATGGCGAATCTGACGTCCCGGATATTGTGACTACCGTCATCGATTCCGAGGTTCGGGAGGCTTCCGATTACGTTGGAGCATCGGATGTTCCGAATATTGCACGCGTAAATATGAAACGTGAGGATCACTCCGTTTCCAGCCAAGCGAATTCGTTGAGAGGGTGGCCAAAGGCCGGAATTATTGAGGAAGAGCCGAGGGCGGATGCAAGTTTAACGCCTTCTGAGCACGGATCCAGTGTGCCTCCTTCCGAGGCTCAAAATCTTGGATATTCTACGGATCGCAAGACCGGTGTTACAATGGTGGGACGGATGCAAGAGAGTGACGGCGAAGCGGAGCAATCGCCTGCGGCGTCACCGGTAAGCGACATCGTGGACACCTCCGATTCCTCAACCTCTCCGAACGTTTTCATCGATGTCGGTGATAATTACCGCGATTCGGTCGACAACCCAAATCTTTTGAGCGCGGATGTAACTCCGCTGTATGCCGGGGATGCGGTGTCTGCCGTTTCGCCGCAAGCAACGGCCGAAGGCAATACCGGGACAGGTTACGTTTCACCGTCCCACCAATCTGCAGGTCGCACTGTAGTCCAAAGTGACACTTCAGGTGATGCTGTTCCCGGACGCATGGGTCATCACAGTGCTGCTGCCACTGTGGTTGTGGTGGAGTCGGCGGTGGGCCCGGATCCGACGTTGGGGGGCTCCACCGCGCAGCATTCTTCGGAGGAGCACCATCTTACAAAGGCGCTGTCTAACGAAGTGGCTTACTACAAGCAACTGTATGCCCAGCTTGAGAGCAAGGTAGCTGATATTTGGAACCAGCGTGAAGCTTTTCGTGTGGCAGGCGACCGTATGGCAGAGAACATCGTGCGGCACTCTGGTGTAAAGGCGGTGCGGTTCGAGGGACATACAAGCATTGAAAGTGATGAAGACATTGAATATAGCAGCAGGGACGCAGATGTGACTGTTGGAAACGGTTCTGCACGCTCGTCGCTCAGTAGGCAGAGACCGCATCGCAGCAGCAGTAGTATCAATGCCAGAGAGGTGGTCAGCCCTTCGGTTGGTCGCCTAGACTCTTTCTCTTTATCGCCACGCGGTATACGCTGCGACCGTAATACGATGGAACGGTTGCTAAACTGCGGTGCCAAGTTGTATGCGTTCAAGCTCAGCACACCCGGTGTACGGTCTAAAGAGCCGTTGTTCGTTGACGTTTGCCACATGAATAGCACTTACAGCGGGAAGGTGATACTCAGCAATGATGTTGGGCTTTTCAAGGTCTCCTTGGCAAAGCCTCCTGCAGAGGCCCAAGGATCGATGAGCTACCTTATGGTTAATTACCTCGGTTTGCGGCCGGATCAGTGTTCCTCCGGGTATCTATTTGGGTTGCTCAACTCATTCGCTGACTACGTGGGTCTGCCGTGGTCAACCAACACGGCTTCCGATGCCGCGGCATCTCAGCATGGTAACAGCGGGTCTGCCACTGCACGCAATCCACAATCGGACGAATCGCCTCCGCACGTGCATATCAAGTACATGCATTCCCTGGTGAAGACGCCGCTGAGCCTTGTCATCCCCGAGGACAGCTTCCCTTCCAATTGCAACATTGGCTCTATGTTCCATGGACGTCACGAGCACCTGTTCTGCGTGGAGCAGACACGCGACCTGAAGAAGTCCGATCTACAGGATAACGGCAACTTCACATTCATCCTGGACACTTCGCCGTCCACGAGCTCCAGGCGCCCGGGGTCACGGCGGTTCAACAGCCAAGTCAACATCGTGCATTCCCTCACGCATGAATACCTCTGCGTCGACTTGCTTACCCGCGAGCTCCGCTTTGCGGGGGGCCAGTGCAGCCGCGCTTACTCGAAGTACGTGGTGCCGGCTTCGTTCAAGATGGTACCGCTGTACAACGTGCTGATAGAACGCGCGTCGGGCGCCCAAGAAAAGGTGGTTGAAGCAGCAGAGTCAGCGCAGTACCGCAGATGTGTGACCGAGCGTGCCACATCTCGCCACAGTTATGATATACCGCGTAGTTCACGTCACATGGTGGACGAATACGGAAACTTTGCGCCGCAGACCCAGGCAGCCGGTACCCCAGCTCCAACCCCCCGCAGCAATACGTTGAGCTCCTCCGAGGGACCCACTCCCAAGGACTGCGTGTTGCACCGTACGTATCCTGGTGATGTGAAAGAGCGGCATGCCGACACGTACGACATTCGCGACAGTGGTGAACGAGGTTCAGACGCACGCAATGTTGAAGCCATGTATAGTTTGTTGGGGACCACTGATCACCTGCCGAGCCGCCAAGAGCAAGCGTCCGTTATTTCCCCACGTCGAGGTCCGGTCGTGAAAGATTTGCGCATGAAGTTCGAGAAGTTAAGTGCCAGAAACCAGGTATAATGCTGAATTGAGCACTGCAGTTGGTATCACATATTTATTTCCTAATCGTAATATAGTACTATTTTTGATCAGCTTTTAATTCTGGAAGATAGATCAAAGTGGCCGCTTTTCTCCTATCTATTCTGACCATTCTACTGCGATGGTTGGTGACGTTTCTCCGGAGTGAACCCATGTTTCGTGGCAAACGTTTTGTCCTGTGTAATGACATTGCGATCATGTTATCAAAGCTTCGTTCAGGCACCACCGCTTCAACACATACTACAATCTATTGTCGGAAAGCATTGTATTATCTGCTGTTTATATTCGGTAGATCTGTGTTAGGGGGATGCGTGACCACGATTTCCGTGTTTGCGATGCACTAAATCAACATCACGTAAATAGACGGTATTAGAGCTGTGCAGAGTTAGTGAGGCTGTATTGTATTATTGGACAGGATATTTGGACAGGTTGGAGAACCTTACGTGAGATATTTGCAGGGACGCAAAGTTGAAGTGTGAAATAATTATGAATAGCATTGCAACACTGGTGAAACATGCCGAATAGATTATCTGCTGTGTTGCAGTTTAGGTGGCTCGGTGAAATTATTTGTCAGAGAAGTAGCTTGTTTTTTTAAGTAAATGCGCCATTCCTTGAAGATATCAAGCCATATGAACAAAAGCGTGAATAATAAAATGCCGCCAAAAACCGCGCTTAATGTGTAAAGCATGGTCTTCCTACCTTTTTGACAACAGCCACATTGGCAATACCACCAACGTGTCTCTCGACACTTTTTACAATTGGAAACATTGCAAAATTTGTCCTTTCCTCTGCGCGATTGACATTCATTGCAACTTGAGCCTTCCTTACATTTAGGGCAACACCATGTACAGCAATCACAGCCATCCTTAGTACATGACGACTTACATTCACAAGCTGCTTCTGCCATCTTCCCTCAACTCACATCACAAACAACCCTGCAAAGGGATGTACAACTTGCCCGGAAAGTGCAGACGGATGTCGGCGGATGCGACACCTCAGTTACCGCAGCATAGATGTACAGTAAAGTATTGTCTGATGATATTTGCTGTGACTTTGTGGGGCATATGAAATGATTTTTATCAGCCTCTGTTGAAGATGTGGCGCACAGTGGGTAACCACGTGTCTACCACACAGTCCACTGCACCGAACACATAGGCATTCTTAAGCTCACAATATGGTTGGCTTCATTATCATTCTGCTAAGTGCTGCAAAGTGAAACTTACACGGCTAGAACTCGCAATGTGCGGAGAGCGGCGCGAGGCTTTTATTATGAAGCATGCGTAGTTGATACAACGAACGTAACTGCCGTCTTAGGGGTAGCATATATTTGCACCATGAATTCGCAGTGCAATCGTTCTAGCCGGCGATAGTCCGAGAGTACAGTGTCTAACGCTCCTGCCGTGACATGAACATTAAATGAACTGTCGAACTTGGACATTTCACGGTGTTGGAAAGCATTCCAAAAACGCATCAACATCACAGCATACCTAATATTTCAACGTTCATTTCATCTGTACCCCTTTACGAGGTCGATGCTATTTATTAGCCACTTGAATTTGGTTGCACGTCCCTCATGGTTCAGTCTGTTGCAATCATCGCATATAAAGTGAGCAACAGAGCTCATATATCATAGGACGAATTCACCGGGGAAATCGTTAGTGTTCAGCAACGTGTTAAACGCTGTTATGCGCAGCGCTGTAGTTAATCTCCCTAATCGGCACTAGATGGTCGTAATGAGACATTTCTACTACGCATTTACAAAAAGTATTAAGCCGTCTCGAACTGTAGTGTGTTAGGAGTGACCACTTTCCGCTATCGTCGCTTTTTCGCATATGTTGAACGCTTATGACCTGTCTATGTCAATATTGGCCGCAAGTTGCACATCGTTTGGCCATCGGGAGTGCTGGATGTCACTCTTATAGATCCGTGCACTGACGTCCACCGGTGCCTCATAGGGCATAGCAAGCCAGCGATTCATGCCCGTACATTCACTATCTGCAACGATAAACAATGCGCCAATGCTCTATTGTTGCGTGAAAAATAGCGTGTGTATTCAGGTGAGCTACGATCAAAGGCTGCGCTAAGCGATACTAGGGACGGGCGTTTATGCGCCTTGAAATCAGGTGCCCTTTATTCAAGTAACGGTAAAGCGGCGAATTCCAACAAGGTGGCAGAGATACCTCACCCAACCCAGAATGCGTAAATCGGTGCACGGTGCGAGTGATAAACTGCGTACGTACATACCACTCCGGCTTGGTATAAGAAGATAACAATATGAGACGTTGAAACAGCGGCCCCCAAATTGTATCATGAACGAGATTACATAGAAGTTGACAACCGTTTTTGTGCTCATTTCGCTGCAGCAGTATTGTGGATTAAGTTCGTGCCCACAAGGGTGGCCATCACCACATTTCAAAATTGGAAAGGTTTCGTGAGAATCCGTATGATGCCGACCCACGGGGCTCCGGACAGAGAATTTGTTTGTCTAGGTAGTTTTACAACTCGTCTGCAATCCCTACTCAATTGAAAACCCAAAATCCAGCGAGGTTGTGAAGTACGGTAAATACATGTTCATCAACACGTCTCAATGCCTTGTGCACAGGTGAGCTTCTCTCGCTATCAGGGCAGTCCGACTCTTTGAAACCCACAGCTTTTAACACCTCTCCCATACGCTCCTTGGCCTTGGAATCCGACTCGTTTTCAAGCGCATGTGCGCTCGCAACCTGCAAAGAACGCAGGCCTGCGTATAGCATTGGCGCAATCCCCACGAGGACCACCGCGCAAGCTTCCGGGTCCTTTGCGCATGATGCCTCCCACGAAGCTTCTGAACTGTAAGCAGCCTCATACTGTTTATACAGCTTGCTCTTTTTCAGGAACTTCTCACAACGGTCCACAACATGAACTAGGTCCTTTGTTACGGTTGTAGAAGTGACATCTGGGCTATCAGCTAGTGCGCCGGGTAGCTTGTTCAAAGGCTTGGCGAGTCTCTGTAGGAATTCTTTTACGAATAACTGATCTTTTAGACCTTCTTGGTCCAAGAACTTCTGAGAAATGTCCTGGGTTTTCTTCAGAGCTTCCAACACCTCTGACCGAAGCGTATCGCGTTCGAACAGATGGTGAACTGCCTCAGCCATAGCCGCCAAGTTTTTGTAGGCATCTTTTCCCTTCATGGCTAACAACCAGTCAACACCCTCCCTGAAATCCTGAGGAGCATCAGTCAACGAAGTGTATACCATTTTGTAAAAATCGTTTGGTTGGTCGACTGCTAACGTGTGAGATTTACGTCTGTTTACCGACTGCTTTGCGAAGAGCTTTGTATTGATGGCGGATCAGCACAGGTGCCGCTGCCTTCTAATAAACACGGGTTCAATTGAAGTATTCAAAGCCGTCTATGAACCAAATAGGCGGAGTTTTTAGACACGGTGACAACCATGCGGCCGTGCCTTAGACAGATCCACACGATTAATGCGGCATGCGTTACGCAGAACGCGAGTCACTGTCTATGTACATTTACGACAGGAATTTCACGTACCGAGGGTAGATATGTTAGCTTAATATTAAGCGACGGATCGAAGTTCGGAATTCAACGATTAGTTGCGAATAGTGTTGTACAAAGCCTGCGCCGTCCCATCGCCATCATGTCGGACAGTACAGCTATCACCCAAACGATCTCATAAACAAGCGTCCACATTCTCTTAGATATCTGCCAAAGCACTAACATCAGATACGTTTGCCTAAAAAGTATATAACTGCCGCGCTCGGTATGGCACCTCTGAGGCGCTGAACTGTAGGCCAAACTCAGATTTTGTTCCCGCTGTGCCCACTGCTCCACGGCAGTTACCAAAGTGCGAATCCCACCAATGTGTTCAGGGCACTCGCCGAGCATGATCATGGCCACGATGCCCTACCCAATCTATTCGTTGATCTCCCTTGTAAATTACCCAACGTATGCTCTCCATTCCTGCGGCCGTTGTCGATGCAGGCTAACCACACCTATCCGCAGAAACACGCTCAGCCCTGCCTCACGTGGGTAGTACACCCGGCATGGCAGTTTGGGCATCTGCTGGACTCCCTGCTAGATGCTCTTAACAACATCGATTACACGGCCTACGGCTGCGCCACCTGCCTCTGTTCTCCTGGTAAGCACGGCGACAAGGGCGCCTGCCAATGCCTGTCCCTCGTCGAATGTGGCGAACCCCTGCCGACGCTCTACCGCTACGGATTCACATATCGCAACGCCCACGTCCTGGTTGCCGGCAGCCGCAGGATGCTCTCACTCTACAAGGACGACTACTTCGACGATGACTTTCACTCGTGACAGTAATTATCGTAGCTACATTACATTTACATTTAGATATACTGTGTTATCATTTGCTTCTTGTTGTGTTGTGATGTGGTCTGTCCCTCGTTGACCTATGTTGGCACTAACCACATAACCAAAATTCTTACCTACCACATGACCAAACGCCTTACCTATCACATAACCTAAGATGTAACGCACTCGCTGCTTTGTCATCTCCTTTCTCCGTTATTCGCCATGCCCTCAGTCCCCCAAACAGCCTCCTTCATCCCTCCTTTCACTGGATTGAGGCTGCGGACGAAGCCGTCAAGGCGGCTAGGCAGAAGGCGGAAGATGTACATGGGAGGTTGAATAATGATGAGTCTTCAGGGACCGTGATTGGTAAAAATATTAAGCAAATTAGGGACGCCAAGGACAAAGTTCAGAGTGTTGACGATCAGTTGAAGAATATTCACACAGATCTAGGTAACTGGAAATCTGCGGCAAGCGGTGTGCTTGGCACAGCGCTTGGGAAGGCAAAAGAGGTGCGTGACAAGTTGGATCCAGATGGTAAGGATCCAATTGGTACGAACATTAAAAGTATTGAAGACGCTAATAATAGCATCGTTGCTGCAAATCAGACGCTTGACAAGCAAGTTCAGAGTTTAGATGCTTGGATCACCTCGGCGGAAGAAATCCGTGCTGCGGCAGAGAAAAAGGCCAAGGAAGCCTACGACAAGTTGAAGGTTAATAAGACTCTGGACAAAAATGTTAAGTTAATTGTGGAAGCTAATAAGGCAATTGAAAAGGTTCATAAAAACCTGAATGGTGTTCACGGAAGTTTGGGAGCGTGGAATAAGGAGGCCGGGAAAGTGCTTCAAGGGGCGATTGACAGGGCCAAGGAGGTTTATAATGAATTGGATATAGAGACGAATGGACAGAGCAAGACGTTGAAGGGTAAAATTGAAGGAATTGAAAAAGCTAGGACAGAGATTCAGAGTGCAAATTCACAACTTGCCGATGAACTTGACAATTTAGGTAAGTGGAAGTCTGCGGCCGGGAGCGTCATTGACATGGCGGAAAAGAAGTGTGACGAGATACTTAAGAGGGTTGATAAACAAGATCCTGAAGGTAAGATTTTTACGCAAGCTCAAGAGTTACAAAAGAAAGGTACAACACTTTTGCAGGCTGCGACTGAGGCTAAAAACAAAGTTGGACAGTATGTCAATGAGGCCTTGCAGGCTGTTGTGACCATGGACCAAAGTCTTAAAATGGATTTGAGGACAGTGAGAGAGGAGATTAAGAAAGGGATTTCGCAGGTGATTGATACGTTGCAGGTTAAGACCTTGGATAGTTTTGTGAAAAAGGATTTGAAGGCGTTGAGAGAGAAGATTGAGGGGCTTAAGGATGGTACTCTCGCTAATAGCCAGTTGGAAGCACTTAAGCAGTCAGCGCAGAAGAAGAGTCTGGATGAACTTGCTGGTGACGATGACGCTAAGTCAATCGTGAGGCTGACGAAGGGACTTGACAAAAAGTTTAAGGACAGTATCCAACAGCCGCTTAACAATAAACTCCAACAAGTTGACCAGGCGATTCAGACGCTTGGCGGGAAGTTTAGTCTAAGCGTGGACAAACAGAATGTTCAAGGCATTTTCGGGTATATTAAAGAAAAGGTAGGGGAGATTAAGGGGACACCGGGGCAAAATGGTAGAGGCGGAAAAGGTGTAGATGGAATCGTCGCCAGGTTTAAGGCGTACGTCACGGGTGTTGGGGAAAATATGAAAAAAGAAACTGGGACAGATGGGACAGTGCACAGTTGGCTTGACAAGATTCTGACGCACAATGGCGTGGTAGTCTATAGACTTGGAAAATATTTCGGGGAAAATAAAGGTGGTCAGCTTAATACTTATTATACTAAGCCGGCGCAATTGCATGCCCCGATTAGGGACCAGACTAAGGCAAAGCTTAAGGAAGCCGGTGTTTATGACGAAGCTAAGGGACAGCATGAAATCAAAAATAATGGCCCCCTTACCGATAGGCTGGCTTCACTTAAGGAATTCCTGGAGAAATACGCCAGCGTGCTTGATGGCAAAATTAATGTTGATAACAATACTTTTGTCACTGACTTAGTGTCGAAGATTGAAGGAGCAGTTAAGAATGGAATCTCCACTAACAATCAAAATCTCATTCCCACCGTAGAAGCCGTACTAGCCGCGCTCACCGCCGACGCCAGGCGGACCGCCGGGGAGATAAATTCGTTATTGCTCAGCGACAACAGCGGAAACGTTGCAAAAATGATAGACAATATGCAGCAGATTGTCAATGACCTTGACACGAATCTTAAAGCGGCAACAGACAATTCCGGTCAATCCGCCCCTCCCCACGGCCCAAATGAAAGCCCCGCCCAAGCCGTTGACAGTAAGTTGGAGGAAGTGAAGACTGAGGTTAAAACGCTTAATGACAAATTTAAAACACAAGTCAAACAAGATCTTCAAAATGCAGTAGATGAGCTTGAACCCGCCGTTGACACTTTCAACGGTGTCGCTGTGGACCAGATCAAGGCTGCGGCCAGGACGGCGATTGGGAAGGCGGCTGAGCAGATTGGTAAGGATGATAACATAGTGCTTGGTAAGACAAATAAGCTCATGGAGAAGTTCGAGGAAACCTTCACTCCGATCAAAGACAGTCTCAAAAAGAATCTTGATGCACAAGTTGAGCGAGCACCTCAGATAGGCATTTTATAGGTGGGGTGGGGGTCCATGAAAAGGACGTAGCGCTAGCAATGTTAGATTAGATGACGACTAGATTGCATCATGATTGGTTTTGTCAGAGCCTCCTTTGAAGGCTGGATTAAGGTTGATAGCCCACGTCAGTGAGGGTGTCAGAGCTTGGCTGCAGGCTGTGGAAAGGAAAGATGGAGATGCTACAACGCCCTTGAATGATGCTGCAAGCGTGAGGTATGGTAACATGTCTGTTAGTACGTTATGTAACCCTATTACAGATGAGGTGGGGAAATGGGAGTGGCGGGCAGTGCCTTGAAGAGGCCGAGGAAGCAGGAAGAGCTTTGGGTGAAATTGATAAAAATGTTGGAGAAATGATATCGTGTAAAACATGGCATTCAAAGAATATGTCGACAAATATTGGCGCCGCCATTAATGATCCCACGGTGAAAAAAATTCAGTAAGGCAGCTGGTGACCTGTTCACTAGGCACCAGATTGAGGTGAAGAGGCGTATCGAGAAGGAAAAAACAGGGAATGCAGGAAACGTTGAATGAGCATATTGATAATATTGGCCGCAATACGGAGAACCCTAAGAACACCGAAGAGGATAGAATTGAATCATCCACAACGGCCGTGCAATCGGCTCAGAGGTGGGCTATGGAGCGGGTTGGTGATGCCGGTGCCGTGCAATGATCCGAGGAGTGCACAAGAATTAGGGTGATGACAGTGTCGCAACTGTAAAATGATATCTGAACTAGATACACGTCGGCAGTACGGCACGGAGCGCATGTCAGCCACTTGGAGCGAGCAACATGTTCATCCCAGGGAGGCGTCAAGGCTGAAGCCTCCGTGATACGTATGGAGGCACGACAAGTTCAACCGTTAGAGCAGTGATTGAGCTGCGAGGTCAAGTGCACAGCTGCTTTGAGGTGTCACTAGAAACGTCAGCGAAATGAGTACAATGCGCGACAATCACGCAGACAGCACTCACGTTAGAGTATTACTTCATCTAAATTGTGAGCAGCGATTATTGCATAATTATGGGCTTGGAAATCTTTGTAAGGCACAAGGCTGGCACTAGCTAGAACATCCACATGCGCATGCCTTTGTGTTATGCCCGATGACGCAGTAGATCGAGCGCCCAGCCGATGCTACGACTCTGGGCTCCAGGCGCGGCCGCGAAAGCGGTACGCTAAAGTATAGGTTGTATACATTTAACGATATTGTTGTTAGTGCTCGCACGAGCAGCCGGTAGGCGACATGCTAGGGGTATCGGCCGAGGTGTCGCATCGCCATATCACTGGGACGCTGGAGGCTGCGTTTTGCCGGTTGCACTAGGATGTTCAATGATGTTCAGGGCCGTGTGAATGGAGTCATAGGGTAAGATGGAGGATGATCAGCAGATGGGAGCAAATCCATGTAGATGTGAAAAGAAGTTTTGTTCAGGCAACGACAATGGATGCAGCACGCCCGATTGCACGGAGTGCGAAATTTGTTGTATGCCCGGATGTGAGAGCTGCAAAGTAAAGTGTCAAAGCAAGGATGAGGGCTGCAAGTGTGACTACCGCTGTACTCGCTGTGGCTGTGAGAATAATTGTTATAAGGGCGGCAAGCCTGGCAAGTGTCAGGATAATGGTAACAGCAGTTGTCTCCGCTGCCAGAAACATTGCAAGGATAACCGTTTAGGTAAGAGATGTATATGCGCTAACTGTAACTGTGGCTGTGGTTACGGACTTTGCAACTGCTGTCCTTGGTGTAAGCGTAACTATTGTCCGGGGAAGGGGGAATGCGACGGCTACGTCATTGGCGACTGCAAAGCCCAGAAGAAGACGACATGCGAGGGGCATTACACATACCACGGCGAGAATAAAACCAGTCTACATCCTGGCCAATGCAAAAAAAGCTGTCGGGCCTTCGCCCAAATTTATGAGAACAATAAGTGCATTCGCAAATGTCCAACCTGCGGCAAATTATGTGCAAAACATGTATGTTACTACTACGGCTCCATATTCATTGGAATCGCTCTACTTATCCTACTCGGCTTCATTGCCTGGCACAAGTATCCTAATCAATTCAACAAGGTGTATTATAAACTACGTGCTGCATTTGTTAACTGGACAAAAAGTTCTGGCACATCCACAAATAATCTTGCCGGTGGAAGGATTCACGAGGAGATGGACGCTGATGAATACTCCGCCTTCCCGTTCAAAGGCCTAATGTAGCTTTATATAACACATGTTGAATGGCATATCGAAATAGATGCCATTTAAATGTCGCATTAACTGTTATTGTTAATGTCTATTTCCCCTTTGCTAGAGTGATGCGTTCAGTGTGCGTGGTAGTTTACTTGTGGTGGTTGTTATAGCTTAGAGGCTGATTGTAGTCGAGTGTCATGTGATCGTGTCAGCAACGTGGCTTATACTCGCAAAATTAATGTGCCACGTATTTCATTAATTTGTCGGTGCTGTTCCACATAACCATGCTGTCACCCACAGCCATTCCAGATAGCATACCTTAGCCGCGTCACATCCAAAGTCATCTTACTAGAGTCCATCGGCTCCTCATATTTTGACGTACACCTTGGGGAGTTGACTCAGAAACATTTTCCAATTTTGCTACTACTATCTTCACCATCCTCACCTCGTCCATCCACAACCCACATCATCTGGCTCCTGTAAACATTAAAAGCAAAACGCCTATAAACCAATCGTCAGTCAATCTCCTAGCTCATCAATTCGTAGCGCAGCTAACTTCCCCTCTCAGCTTTTTGACCACATGTTACGCCACTCCCATCACTGCCGTCGTCAGCCATCCCTCACCTGCAAGGCCTTTATCAAGATGACCAAGCACGCTCTCATCAACGTTCGGGACAACATCAGCTCACTAATTTGGAAGTATGTTACTTAGTTCCACGACAATTTGAAGCCTCGGCTGGAAACCTCTTACCTCAGCTTGAGCAAGTTAGTAAGACGCTGGATAGCCATGTTGTGGAGTTGGATAAGTGGATCAGGGAGGGTGATGACATTGTTGAAATACCCATGAAGTTGGTTAAGGAAATCTACGCATAACCTTGTAAAACAGGAAAGGTAAGCATAAACATGACATCGCAATCACTACCGTTGCAAGCATCTTTGCAGTGTCATGGTTATCTGTAAGCAGTGTCGTCACCTCAGAGGTGTTATCGCCTTAGTGTCTCCTGGTTAACCATTAAAACGCTTTCACTTGTACTTTTGTGCCATTAGCCTAGTTCCCATTTATTAGTGTCCTTGTGCTGAGTGCCTTGGTAAGCAAGATGACGGGGCACGGAGTCAAGTTAGACACCCTTAAGGACTGCCTCCGGTTTCTGGAGTGGTTGCATAGAGGAGAGGGACAGAGTATGCAGGACAAGGTGGCTGTAGATTTATATGGGCGTATTCATACATATTTTATAGAGAAGCCAAATCATTTCAACCTGAAGAACGTTAAAGACGGCTTGTCCGCTTTCCTCGCCACCGTGTCAGCGTTCTACACGAGGTTATGCTACAATCCAGAGGCAGGTAAATATGTTAGTAAACAACCTAGTGACATTGCCGACGCACTTCTTGAGTGTCTACCCAAGTTCCTCGCAGCAATCTACTACCTTTGGTATTGCGTGGATCCGGCTTTCGAGAGACTCGGAGGCGGTGGGTGGCAGAAGGACTGGACTGGATATGAGACTGAATGGGGGTGGTGGCATTCTGGTTCCAGCGGCGGTGACCTGCAGAAATATCTCAGAGCTCAGGAACGCGATGCCCTTAACTATGGTGGCATGATACCCGGGGGGTTCGGTAAAGACGAGGTGAGATATGGTAGAAATGTGTTGGATTATGGCTACCCTCAGGGTTATAAAATGGCTCTGGACCTACAAGCCATTTTGAGCAAAAAATATTACAATTTCTACCGGAGCGTGTTTGTGACTTCGGTGTTCTCCAAGAGTAATGGCACCGGTACTCCCGACACCGCGAACGCTGTCTCATTGGTCAGAACCTTTTGCGATATTATCAATAGTGAGACAAGTGAAGGAGGCGGATCTCTGAAAACAGCCTTGGAAGATGGACTTAAAAGGTTCGGGTCCCATAAATCCATATGCTGGCAAGAACTAAAAGATCATTGCGCTGAGCTTAGAGGAAAATTTGACAAATTCTTCGAACACAATAAACGTTTTGACTTCACCGGGCAGTCGACAAAACTTGAAAACCTTAAGACAGAGGACTTGGCGAAGCGTACAGCGGATTGGATTAGAGAGAAGCTAAACATAGTGCGGGGGAGATTGAAAGATATTAATACAGGTGACCCTGTCATCAACAATCCCGACAAGAAAGATCTTGGCAAATATTTTACCGATAATTTATTCCCCTACGGATTCACATTTAATGGAGAAATTCGCTTTGTAAAGTCGCCAAAGGAAGTGCAGGATTTGATGAGGGATTGGCGTGACGGCATCGATGAGTTTTTTGGTGCTGGTAAAGGTTTGGAAAGGCTTAAAGATATTTTGCATGGTGAGAAAAAACAATCGTGTCAAGAGCTCCCGCCTGAAAAGAAATCTGAAGGAACTCCAAACCAGGGCAAGAAAGCGGAGGGAGCCCAGAACCAGGGCAAGAAGGGTGAGGGAGCACAGAACCAGGGCAAGAAAGCGGAGGGGAATCAAAATCAAAGTGGAACTAGTCTTGGAGTTCTGCCAACTGTGAAGTCTGTTGTTCACACTCAGTCATCCGGTGATCCAGGAGCTACAGGCCCGAAAGGGCCTAAGGATCAAAAGGTTCCGGTGTCTTCTTCGACTCCAACTCCAAAAGTTGTACAGCCTCCTGCTGCAACTCCGTCTCCTGGTGGTGGAGGAGCTTCAGGCCCGGCAGGGCCTAAAGGTGATGCAGGCCCACCAGGGCCTAAAGGTGTTCAAGGTCCGCCAGGGCCTAAAGGTGATCCAGGCCCGCAAGGGTCTATTGGTACAGGGCCTCCGGCGTCTTCCTCGCCTACAAATACACAAGTTCAACGAACTCTTCAACCTAAGACGCCACCTCAACCTCAGCAACCTCCTCCCCCTCCACCGGCTGCTCCCCCTCTTCCTGCAGCCCCCGCCCCCGCTGGTAAGCCAGGTGTCGGGGGTGCGGGTTCAACGTCCGATACGTCTCCAGGTGCACAGCCTATTCCTCCTCAAGTCCCTGCGATCACTCAGCGTCCGAGTGTTTCAGGTCCAGGCCCTGGGCCAACTGGTGATAAGGGGACTGGTACCCAAGGTGGTAAAGATATTGGTCCACCAACAAGTCAAGGCGCCGATCCAACTTTAAGCAGCGGCGGTACTACATCGGCTGGCACGATGCCTGGTGGAGGGAGTTCTGGAAAGTTGCCTACGCCGGCCTCACCTGCAGTTAAAAAGTGCCTGGAACCTACTTTTGATAATCTTTTGAGTAATCCAAAGGGGAAATTTTGTGATCCTAGAACGCGCCCCAACGCTGTTCTCAAGAACTATGAAAACCAGAAGAGACTTCACGATCAGCGCCAGAAGCAGTTGGATGATTTGATTAACAGGGTTTCACCACAGCAAAAGGCGGAAGCGGAGTGGCGTGAACGGCACGAAGCCAACAAAATAACGTTTCTGCAAGACATTCAAAAAGATATTCAGAATAATCTTAATAGTAATGATGCCGATGTGGTGTTCATGTCAGGAACTCCGCTTAAAATTCCAGAGCCTGCCGCCCTTGTAGGGAGACCCGTGAAACGGACTCCGAACCACGGCCAGTCAGAAACAGATGCTCACAAACAGCTACAGCCGAATTCAATTATACTCACTGGTAATAAGGTTTCTCCAACCCGCAAGCGTGCCAAGCCCCCTCCGCCAGTCCCCCCTGTTGGTGTCCCGATGGGCCACCCAATAGAGCCGACGAAACCCGCTCAGCCTCTTCCAAAGCCGCAACCCAAGAAAATACGTCCAACATTTCATGATACACCAAAAAATATTGTTTTACCTAGATACAAGCATCCTCTAAAGAGTCACCCCGTCACTACCCGATCCATTCCAACAGCGCACATTGACGACAATTACCGTTCAAAAATGTTGGAAGTTGCTGGTGACAAGGTAACAAGCTCACCAATAAGCATCCCGTCTGTAGATGTGCCAGAAGATCCTCGACTAGAAAGGTTTCCAACTGTTCCGCTCGAAGGGGAGCCTATTGCAGACCGCAATGCACAATCTGTCTCTATGCCCCCAGTGGAGTTAGAACCCGCACTGCCGCCTCTACCCATTGAATTAGACATTAAAAAGGCATACTATCCCGAATTACTTTACAAGAATGATGAGCGGAAAAGTGTGCCCCTACCATCAGTTGCTCTTCCTCCAGCCATACCGGATGATATGTATCTTGGTGTCCCACCTGATGGACCCCCGTTGGCAACTATCCAGGACATCGCGGTGTTTTCAGATCCTTATCAATGCCGCAACCCCTGGTACGTCCCCGATTCCTCCACCGATCTAACCCCTTCACCTGCCTCCCCTCCCCCAAACACCGACCAGCTGCCCCCTCCCAAGACCGTCAGGGAGATGCTCCACTGGATGGTCGGATTGAACCAATATGGGTATGTTGGGATTATTGAGAAGCATGTTGAAGTCATTTTAAGGGAATATAAAAATGATGCCTCACAATCACCAGATGCCCTAGAGGTCACTGGGAAACCATACACTCTGGAAGCTACCCATGTCTCCCAGACCCTGAACGAGGCGTGCCACTACGCTGCAAACTTTCTCCACAAGATTAAGTATAAGGACTCCAAAGATGGATCGTCAACCCTTGACTTCAGCTCAGAATATTCCAAGCTTTGTTATTCCATCGACCCCGCCTGCCTCCTCTGCCAGCTGCGGGCCTACGCCTACGCCTACGCCTGCTATCACCAGTTGACATTCCTTAAGTCACAGTGTTATCGGAATAAATCTCAGGGAGGTTGGGAGGATTGTGAGTACGGCCGTGATGTATCGTCTCTCAACTCCCCACTCCAGGCCTTCCTGACGGACGCCTCTGCCTCCAAGTTCAAGACGTTCCCCTTCGACCCGCGCAACCTGTGCCGCAAGAGCCGCGTCAGCATGGGTTTCACAAAGGAGGATCTGCCTGCGTCTCAACAAACTGCCAAGCATATTTTCACCATCCTCTCTCCCACCTGCGGCGGCGAGGATCCCCTGCTGACATTGTCCTCTTACCTCACCTGCCTCACCAGGCGGACGCCGCGCACCACCGGGGAGCTTGTCTCGTTCTTCCACAATTTCGGGAATGAGATGCATTCATCATCTTCACAGTCGTCCAAGGTGGGTACATCCTTAACCAATCAGCATGACGACTGCCCCGGCTGGGACCGTCTCAGAGACTCCGACCTTCACGCCATCAAGGACGCCAGGGGCTCCGTCCCTCCAAGCTCCATCCACGACCACGGCGATTTCAATACCCTGTCCACGCTGCTTGGCTGCGGCATCGATAATGCCAAGTGCCCACAACTCATGAAGCCCATCACCTACCGGGCCTACGCCCTCTACTCCCCGAGCTTCGTCCACCACTACCTCAGCTGGGTGGTCTATCTGCCAGACAGACTGTGGGACTCCCTGCTCAAGCTTCACTGTGATCTCGAGAAGCTTCAATGTCACGACTCTGACTCCAAGTCCAAGTCCCTCCACCAGCAGAATGGTGCCACTCTACCACGAGGTAGATGACTTTGACGACGAATGTCGATATGCCACATCAATCATCACATTCATGCTGCCATCGGTTACCTTGTTATAGGTTGTGATGCATTGCTCATTAGTTGCAATATGACCCCATGCGAAATACTGCGGCGTGCCGGCAAACTTGAGAAGCTGATATTCATAAAAGATAAGCGATTTTAGCGACGGTCACTCCATGCTCATCTAACAAGCAACTTATGACGTACCACAGTTTATGCGTTAAGACGTCTATTGTTTTGGATGCTAAGATGTGCTTTATTTGTGCGACGTGTTCTCGTCATACCTAGGTGATATTGGGCTGAAGCTCAGTGATCATCCATTTCGACAGCTGGGGAGTACCATGATCATTGAGATAGCGAGTCATCCATTAGATGAATAGATTGCAGGTGGATAATGAGGTAGATGGTTGCACGATTTGTGAAGGAGGACTCATGGGAGAGATCCTGGGTGAGTCGGGGACCTTGTCCGACGCGATGACCATAGGACGGCGTAGACGGTAGTATATTACTCGCAACCCATTGTAACATTGTGCTTCCTGACGCATAGTCGTAGACATACTGACATCCATAGCTTCAATGTCTGTCACTGCTTCCGGAACCTCCCAAACGCCAATTGTATGCGTTGTGGATACAGCGTGGCACGTTCCTTGTGCGCATCTGGCTCGCACATGGCACCCTTATCGACACCATATACATATTTGGCGTATCGAATGCGCCATATTTTCCGATTAGATACTAATACGCTAGAAAGCAGCGGCACCTGTGCCGATCCGCCATCAATACAAAGCTCTTCGCAAAGCGGCCTGTAAATAGGCCGAAACCTCACGTTTGTACACGTAGCCCAACATAACGAATGTCGGCAAAATGGTGTACCATTCGCTGACCGAGCCTCCACGCAACGTCAAGGAGGGTATTGACTGGTTGATAGCCCTGAAGGGAGATGATGCGAAAAAGAACTTGAAGGCCTTGGGTGAGGCAGTCCACAAATTTCTCGCAGATAAGTCCGTTGACAAGAAGGAAGTGCCAGCTCTGGAGAAAGTCAAACTTATTACTAAGGAGTTCCTCGAGCAAATGGAGCTCAAGGGGTTGTGCGCTGCAGACACGCTTCAGGGCGAATTGGAAAACCCTATGAACACAAACCCTAGCATATTTGTGAGGCTTTTCGGAAATGCCCGCAAAAGTCATCACGAAAGCTTCGTACAGGCTCAGGGTCTCACTGCTGAATCTATCGCGGAGAACATAGGTCAAGTTGTAGATGGTTGTGAGAAATTCTTGGATGTAATAAAAAACCCTACGCAGTACAAGCCTGCCTACAGTTCAGAAGTTACGTGGGCCGAAGCATACGAAAAAGACCCAGAAACCTGTGCGATTATCTTCATTGGGATCGCGCCAATGTTATACGTAGGCATACGTTCCTTAAAGGAGGCGAGCGCACATGCATTAATGGGATGAACACCGCTTATTGCGAATAAGAGCACATGACATGTGGACGGTTTGGGTTACGTAAACTCGGAACGCCTCGTTAGACCCAATGCTTCAGATGTCAACAAAGCGGTGTGGCCGATGAATCACGATCAATCGGCCATCCACCCCCACCTCATGGCCCTCTGGATGTTCCGAGGTGCTGACGAATTTTCCTGATCTTACAAAACTGCAGAAGCAGATGATCAAGAGCAGAGTCTCCGTCCGGCTCCACATTAGTTAGTCGTCAACTAACTCCCACGAAACACTTGTAACTTGTGAAGCATAATTATGGGCAGCTTTATGTATACACTCTTAATCCACACCACTGTTGCCGTCCAATGAGGACAAAATACAGTTCTCAGCGTCTCTTTAATTGCGTTGGTGGCGCAGTATGGAGGTATGCTGTGGCAACGTAACGCGCTTTAGTTCTAGTATACCTGGCAGACGCCGTGTGGAGCCCGCATGCTACACCAACAGCGTGAAGCGCCAGCCCGGCAGACGCTAAAACCGGCCCAAGCCACACGCAGCCACTTATAGCACACTAAACAAAGGCAAAACAAGGATAAGAGAGTATTGATCCAGTAATACAACGAGATTGGACCGAGTAGTGTTCAGTGCGCCGTCATTTGTGCCGCTTATGGGTTAAAATTTCCTATGGTGATCTCGCAAATACGAAATGTCATGTTATCAACAGATGGATTGTTCCGCAATCTACCCATTCCCGTCTTTGTGCTTCTTTGTTCCCTGCTTATCGTGTAGGGCGTGGCGCACAATGGTAGACGCGCCATCGACGAAGCGAGTCCTGAACAGCACGTTGGCGTTGGAGAACATGCCTTCTTTGAGGCTGACTATGAGAAACTGTGAGTTGGGAAACTGCGTCTTGATCATTTTGCCAATGTTTTGAGTGTGGCTGAGGTCGAGGGCGGCGTCTACCTCGTCGAGGATGTAGATGGGCGCCGGCCGGACTTTGAGCATCGCGAGAATTAGAGACAGTGCCAACAGCGATCTCTGACCCCCAGACAGCTCTGCCAACGAGTTCTTCCATGCTCCATTAAAGCCGACCTTCATCTCAATGCCGTTGGTTATGTCACCGTCAACGGGCACCAGCTTCGCCTCGGCGTTGGAGAGAAGCACGTGGAAGATATCGGCGAAGTAGCGCGTGACGGTCCGGAAGATTTCGTTTATGTTCTCGTGCTTCTTTACATCGAGCTCGGCTATGACGCTGTGAATCTTGTCGCGGTCCTCTTCCACCTTGCGTTTCTTCTGCATCAAGTCACGGTAGTCGCCCTCCATCTTCTCGTACAGTTGTTGTGCCTTACGGTTGACACGACGTGCAAGGTCGTGTCGCAACTGTTGCAGCTCATTGAGGCGCTTGGTCACCGTTTCCAGCCTGATGTTGCTGAAGTCGAAGGTGGTTCCACGGCGATTGAAGTTTTCCTCCTCGGCAACGATCCACGGGTTGTCCCGCAGCAGCTTATCGGCGATCAGCAAGGCATCTTGCTCTTCCTTTTCCACCTCTTGCAGAGTATATTCCAGTTTCTTGAGACTCAGGGTGAGCTGAGTCTTGCTTTGGTTGGTGCTCTCGAGGTCGCGCTGTAATCGACTGATCTCATCCTGGGAAGCCCAGAGTTGGCGAGAGGCCTCCGCTAACTGCCCGTCAAGTGCGGCTAGCTCCGAATTGTGGCTGGATAGTGTCTGTTCCATATGGGATATTTTCTGAAGCAGCGCAGATGCAGCATTGGTTTTCTGAAGAAGCTCCTCCTCGGCAGTGGCCACCCGGCGTTGGAGGTTATCCTGTTCGAGTTGCACGACTGACATTGCTTGACTCATTTGATCCACAGCTTGTGTATCTCTCCGAATTTCGGATTTCAAACGTTTGAGTTGTTCCTTTGCCTCGCCTTCCTTCTTTGCACGGTTCTGCTCCCAATCGATTAGGTCCGCTTCGAATTCCTGAATTTTTCTTTCCAGGTCACGCTTTTGGGCGCTTAGCGCACTCATCATTTCACGTTTTACGTCGATGGCCTTCTGAAGCTCTTCTACGCGGCGCATCGCGGTGGTGGCTGCGAAACTGTCAATGCGCTCGTTGATGCTCCTGAGGTTGTTATTACAGATTTCCAGCTGCCTCTTCAAATCATCGTGCAGAGTGAGAGCATTATTTGCGGTTTTTAAAGCGCCTTGTAGGGTCGCATATTCGGTGTTAAGGGCGTCGAGCTGCTGCTGAGCGTCTCGCAGACGGCTGGCAACCAGAAGTACCATGTGCATTCCCCTATTAGAGCCCCCAGACATTGACCCTCCAACATCAAATTTGTCGCCCTGCAAGGTTGCAGTCGGGAATGCTCGTGACCGGTCTTGTTGGTATGCGATTTTGCGTGCGATCTCGCTTGTGCTGCAGATGAGCGCACTGCCTGCAAGGTACTTGGCAAGTTTGGAGAATTTGGGATCAAAGTCGAGAATGTCCATGTACCCCGCTACGGTTTCGGCATCGTTTTCAGCCGCGCCTACAAGTTTGCGGCAGTGCTGCACGTCCTGCTCAGAGGCCACCCTGCCCACCATGGCGTCGTTTAGTGGCAGCACTGTGACTTTCCTTGTGTGCCTAGCGAGTCCGTTGTGCTCGAATATGGCCTTCGCGCATTCCTTATCCCGTGCAACTAGGTAGTACAGTTTGAACCCAAAGAGTACGTGCACGGGCAGCGCAACTTGCTCTTGACGGTCTGGCTTGAGATGCACGAGCTCAAAAGCCTGTCCATAGTACGGTGCGTTAAGATCAGTCATGCTCCTACTGCCCAGATGCGAGGGTACATTACATCTGGTGCGTGACCTATTGAGGTCCGCTTCTAACATATTAACCGTTTCCCGCGTGCGATCACGTTTCTCACGGAGGTCACGCAACCGACGTTCCATGTCAGTTACTGCCCTCTCACCACCATTACGATCAAGTTCCACTTTAGCTGCATCATATCTTTCGGCTACTTTATCCCTTTGCGACTGCGTTTCCTCTCGATTTCTCTCGAAGTTTCGCATTTCGGCGGCCAGTGCAGTGGCACGGCTCTTTTGCTCGGCAATTTCACGCTCACTGTGGCCCACGAAGTTCGTAATTGCCGTTTCCTCCGCTTCTAGACGTGCAAGTTCGGATTTCATATCCTTCAGCTGATGCTGCCTGGAGCCTCCGGTTGTTTTGTCGCCAGGTTTTCCGGGCGCTGCAGTCACCAACCCCAGAGCAGCTTCTAGCTCTGCAACCTTTGCTTTGTTCCGTTTCAGAGTCTCGTTCAGTTGCGATATAGCATCCGCGTCACCTTGCGAAGCCTTTTGTCGCGCATGAAGATCACTTGATGCATTTGCGATGTCCTGTCTCGCCTCCTGGGCCGCACTTTGCAGCTCATCGACGTCGCGCTGTAGGAGGGTGACATCCGTCTTTATTTTTGCGATATCGGCTGCCAAATTGTCTCTCTGCTGCTGCAGCGCTGCCACTGGCCCATTTCCACGTTCGATTTCGACACGCCTCTCGTTGAATAGTAGCTGCAGTTGTGCATGCTTTTCCTCTAAAGCCGATATATCCTGCTGCATTGCGGACTTTTCGGCGATGACCTCCTCTTGACGCTTCGCGCTAGCCGAGGCCCGGTTCTTGGCCACCCAGTACTTGTGTGCGACGTCGAACCGCTCGAGCCTCGCCGCCTCCTCCTTGGCGTTGCTCCACCTGATGTAGTCGTCGCAATCGTTCTTCAACCGTTTCATCTGCGGCTCTATTTCTTCCCTCACGATGGTGTCGATTTCCTCAAGTTTCTGGTTCTTGCGCTGAATGAGCTTCATCGCCGCGGCCCTCTTGTTTTCGTATATGCGGGTGCCCGACGCCTCCTCGATAAGCGCGAGGAGCTCCTTCGGCCGCATGTTGACCACCTTCGTGACTCGCCCCTGCATGATGAGAAAGCGCGGGTTGTTCACGTTCATGCGGGCGCACTGAAAGAAGTCGGCAATGGCCTTCGGTGTGGATGGGTGTCCATTGAGGAAGTAGCGATTCCGGCCTCCGAGTGCGATTTGACGGGTGATAGTGACCTCGGGCATCTTGCGATAGGCGTCCGGCAGCGGACTCGGCTGCCGGAGATTATTTAGCACGACCGTCACTGTTGCCTTAGTGATTCCCGCCTGCCCTTGCTTGTAAATCAGGTCGTCCAATTTGCTCGCACGCACGCAGGAGAGGTCCGCAATCCCGAGGCAGAAGCAGAGGCTGTCCAGCACATTCGATTTCCCGCTGCCATTGAGTCCCGTGACCGCGTTGAAGTGCGGATCTAACGGTCCTATCACCGTGCGAGTGGAGTAGCTTTTAAAGCCATCCAAAATGATCGACTCAATATGCATGGTGTAATGAATCAGTTAGGTCGCCGTGCTGTCCGCTTAGCCAGCTGCCGCGGTAGGCGGTGCTGATGTCGGCTGCAGGACCGACCGCTGAGACAATCGTATCGCGTTGAAAACCCCGTATGTGTGACGTCATAGGACTTGAACACCAATTAGTAAATCATTTTGATGTTATGTGTGATTCTATGGTCGCCATGAGGCCACTCTAGGGGTTGATTGTCGACCATGTGTAAGGCCCAAGAATCCGCGGTGGCGCAAGCTCTAAGGAGTCTAAAGCGGCAGCAGACAACGCCATGTTAGCGACAAACGCTGCATTTAAGCTGTGAATAGCAGCTATGTCTCACGTGTATACGGCAATAACACTGCATGTTGCCAGTCTCCAACAGTAGCACACATCGCTGGAGCGATGGTACGCGGCGTTCCACTTGCACATTCTGGCCACTTTAACACCACCTTCTATCGCATTACACCTTAATCACATTCGTGTAAGATAATTCAAACGTTGTAAGCTTTATTCTGAGGGGGAGTTTGACTCCAAGCGCCGCCACCTTTGCGCCCAAGCCTGCTAGGCGCTGGGGTCGCGTACACGGACGTGCCGGCTCCGGGAATAGTGTACATCTCAATATACGCGTTTTAGTGTGTAGCCAACCTGAATTAGGTGTGATGAACTGCCTACCGAGCTAGGCGGGACGAGTCACTTAACCGCATTGGTGCAACGCAGACAACAAACGTCATCTGCGGCTCGGCGTAACTGCGCATTTGCGCGGCGTTTAGATGTTGTACTTGTGTGTCGCACGTGTCCTCTGAAATGGAGACCCTGGCGATGGAGCCGCTGTTGCCCACCGAATACGGGGGCGAGGAGCCCACACCTTTTGTCGCACTGACTCAGCCCATCAGTCATGCGCAATATGATGGCTTCTCAGTCTCCGCACACACAGAAATTGGTATGATTCCAGACGAAATTTCCTTCATACGGCGTGCAGGGGATCGGAAGGCGCAGGAAGACCGTTTCATCGTGGTACCTAATCTTGGTAGCAACGGAAATCAGGTCGCTTTCTTTGGGGTGTTCGACGGCACTGTTGGTGAGTCAAAGCCGTGCTTGGAACAATTTCATCAGGTCATTTCGCCTCCGACACTATCCAGAAGATCATCGTGCGACACCTGGTGTCTACCGATGTGTGGTAGGTGGAGAGGTCATCCCGGCAATATTTGTTCAGGGCTGCCCTAATGAGGCAGCTGGATGCGGGAGAGGATGACAGAACAACGATTCCCGCATTGGCGGTGCTGGCCGTATCTAAAATGTACTCCAACGCAGATGCAGAACTGCTGGAGCTATGTCGCAAGCAGGACAACCATTATTCATCCTGCACTAGCGTAACTGTTCTGCTTGTCAACGACTACACCATAGTAGCCCATGTGGTAGGTGGAATCGCCGTTCCGTAAAAATGCGTGTGCAGGGTGATAGCCGTGTTTCATTATGTTACGAGGAGGGCGGGCAGGTGGTCGCTCGCTTCGTCACCACCGACCACAAACCGAATTTGCCTGCGGAGAGGCGTCGAATTCAGGTATTTGACGCATCATTGCATGTTTCAACGCTGTTGCAGGATTCCGGGGGCTCGGTGCAATACCTGTCTAGCCATCACAACAAGCCATTTTTGCGTGGTGGCGACTTCTTGGTTCGCAAGGCCAAGGGCGAGCAACCGATGCAAATCCAGTATTCCCGCGCGTTTGGGGTAGGTGAATCTAATGTGCATTAGAGATGCCTCCGGCCTGGTGTGATATATTGCTGGTTGGGTAACGGCTACTGCTGTCGTTGCATTATAATTGTGCGCTGGGCACCCGAGCTCATAAACCCGCAGGGCAAAGACCTCAAGATGTTTGGGCTCAGCTGCGAGCCTGATATCGCAGTTTTCCGCCGAGAGGGCCAACACAAGGGACTCGTCCTTGCCTCGGACGGTCTCTGGGATGCCAACGAGTGTCAGAAGGTTTTCAGCACCTTATTTTACGCCAGACGCAAAGGTTGGTGGTGTGTTTGTCGAATATAATCGTATCAGGAGAGAATCCGAGCCGTATGATCGTAGACAACACTCTCAAGCAGCTCAAGTGCACATCTCGCAGGTCGGACAACATCACCGCCGTCGTGATTTTTTTCGAATAACGACCGCAACTTTTGCCGGCGTACACCTGTCTGTGGGAGCTGCGGCCTAAAATGGTCTGTCTGTCCCCGCCGCGTCATGCGCGGGGACGGTAACGCACGCAGCACACTTCCACATTTGTGACGCACTGACGTTTCTAAATGCAGACTGGGTTGAGAATGCTAATTTTTCTCCTCTTGTTCCATGTACGTTGCACACCCGTTCCTGAGCCGATGAATCACTGGATTCCTTAGGTGGTGACTGCAGTCAAGATCGAATTGGAGAACAGGGCACAGTCCCGCTCAAATGCGAGCTTTACACCTAGCAGTCTGCCATTATACCCGCTGGATTTCCAAGTAGGCCGATGTGTGTATGTCGCATACGTGACCGCAGGACAACTGGCAGGCTGCCCAGCCTATCCCCGTAGACGTGAACTTCTCCGTGCCGTAAGTGTTGTACGTGACCGCCACAATCCTCCGTCAGCCACTTTGGGCCTCGCGATCTAGCGAATTACCTCGAGGAGCTGTCGCGTAGCTCAGGTAGGTAATGCACAGTTGATTGCAATATCTTGCAGGCGCTCTGACCAAGCAGGTTAGACAGAATGGCTCATAATTCAATTCGATGTAGCTGAATGAGCGCGAGTGGCAGGACAGAAACATAGAAGCTGCAGAAGACCGGAGCGCGGTGCTTATGCCGTACGTTAGAGAACGGATCGCGTACGCCCATCGACGCTAACATGGAGCCGGATTTGGAGTTCATGCCGCTGCAGAGCCTGCGGGTGCTCGTAAGCAGCATGGATAAGCTGAAGAACGGTACGTGTGCACAGTAAAATACGCGGAATACGCATGCAGACACCGTTCTGAGGCTGCACGCCATACAGAAGGTGAACCACGACCTGCTGACAGAGAACGCACGGCTTCGGCATCGTACGCGGGACATGTTAAAGCGCCAACAGGAGAGTGCGGTTTCGCCAGCACCTGGCAGGGAATCGTTGAAGCAAATCGAAAGCAGGGTAAAGCCCGCGAAGGCCACGCAGATGGCGGCAAAAGCTGGAACTGACGTCTCTGCCCCCTCCAATCGCACGGACCCCATGAGCGTGGACATCACTATGGGTCCGGATTTCACCGCGGTGGTGGAGATGCGGATCGGGCTCGACACGCCGCAGCTCAGGGATTTCTTCCAAGCGGAGCCCACCGACTTCCAGTACAAGCTGATCCTGATAGAGGCTAAAAACGGCGTGGTGGAGAACGCCTCTACAGTAATCACGCGCAACCCAAAAGTCACGTTGCGCAAGTTGCAGGTAGGCTGTCGTAGAGTCCGCTCACACGCAACCAGAACGACGTCGTGTACCACGTCACTGTACACGTCACCGTGCCGAATGCCCAGTATAGGCTCACTAAGGACACCAAGTTCGTCTACCACCAGCGCTACTCTCCTTCCCCCACGCCCGAACCCGTGACCGTCACTCCGCAGGCTAAACAGCCGCCCATCAACGTCGGAAGCGCAATGTACACGTTGAACGTTCAGGTGGGCGAGAAGGACTACGCTACTTGCGCATTCTCTGACGGCGACGAGTTCCCGGCGGTGGCGAGGCAGTTCATCGAGGATAACCGGCTGAAGCCCGTTCTGCTGGAGGGGCTGCTGCAGGCGATGCAGCAGCTACGCGCTTCGGGAGTGACCATCCGCAGTGTGGACGTGTCAGACCTGATATAGCGCATTTGAGGGCTTGAAGTCAGCTTGCAGCGCTGTCGATTGCTGAAATAACGGTATCGCCCTTGCAACGCTGGCAAGACACAGCCGACGTTCACGTATAAAATTTGTACAGCGACCGCTCTTTGAAAATATTAGCTTGTTTTGAAATAAATGGAACAGAATAGTGAACGTCACCTAGCGTCGCCATGGGGACTGGCGCGGCTTTCGGGCGCGCGCTAACACACCCCAATTGATTTTCTATGTGAGAAATTACGGTATATATTAAACTTGATAAGTAAATCGTTGCTGACGCCAGTGTAGCGATGGCGTTTTTGGCTCCTAGGTGCTACGCCGCTCTGGCGGATGCAACGGGAGCCGTTGGACGAGTTCTCAACCTTTCGAAACGCCGCCAGTTTTCGCAGCTGGCATCTGCCGACACCGTCCAGCCAGCCGAGAGGCCAAAGTCGCTCTACGAGGCCACGGCGGTGCCAAATCCCGCTGTGCGCGGTGACAGACTGTCGTCGGACTACCAACCTGGATACCAGTCGTGCCGCATTTTCGACAACCCTAACATCATCGAGGTGGTGCGGGAAGATGGACGAGAGACCGTTGGAGACCGGATCTACCGTTATATGGACATCGGCGGTACCCTGTCGATGCTCAACAGCCGCAAATTCCACATCTTGCGCGCCCCCGCCGAGAGCCGCAAGAGCATCATGATGTTGACCGAGCTGGAACGCAAGCAGGGGATCTTTATGAACACCGTGATCAGTGGACTCATGCTATATGTGTTGTACTACTTCGTGCAGCACAAGCGGCACGTGTACGACAAGCCGCCGAATGTCGAGGTTGTGCCCAGGGAATTCAACAACAACCGTTTGAAGGATTTCACGTGGCACGGCAGCAATTTCCTGCAGTATCCAAAGGGTCGCTGCAAGGAGTGCCGGTGGCTGGAACTCGAGTGCAAGAAGCGCTGCTACGACAAGCTGATCCAAGAGGGACACAAGTTCATCCTCCACGAGCCGATGCAGATTCCACGCAGCAGGCTCTACCCCTCGCCGTATCCGCCTAGCCAGGCGTAATCGCAGCGCTTTGTACAACACGCGTTAACATTGTCGTATTCCACACATACCGACGCCGCGAGGCCCCGAGGGGGTCGCATACACATTCAGTTCCCATCGCACACCTCGTCCCATGGAGGCTAACGAGCGCGTGAAACATTGCCTCGAGCGCCTTGAGGCGCTCAGGATGGAGGTGCCGCGGATCGCTCGGGTTCTGAGCAGCGCGGACGATGTGCTTGAGCGTAGGCACGGCGCAGCTGACGGCTTGGAGCCCAGCGCGGCGTCGCCAATGGCCCAAATCCGCGTCGCAATGCTTGATCGTAACGTTGAACGGCTTAGGAAGGCACACCGGCAGTTTAAACGGGTGGTTGACGGAGCCACAGCGATGCTGGAGCGCATCGAGAGCGTCGCTTCAAGGATCGCTGCTGCCAAGCGCAACATCCAGGGGATCGAGAAAAGTGGCGCATATGCTGAGATGGACGATGTGCGGCAACACATCGCACTCACGGAGAAGCGGCTCGGGGCGGTCAACAGGGTAATGGAGCGCCTGAATCCTCCGATGGGCAACACCGATCACGAGGGGGTAGCCGGTGAAGGTCAGGTCGACGAAGCTGGAGCTGATAGCCTAGAGCGAGTGCTAGAGGCAGCTCGAGGCTTAACGGATTGCAAAAACTTCTGCGATGCGTTACACGAGCTGGAGTACCTGAAGGGCTCCCCAGTCCTACACGAAGGGTCACAGCGGATAAATGCCAATATTGATCGAGTGTGTGAGACTTGTTTCCTTGGTCTACAAAAGGCATCACGCAAGATGTCCTTTGACCTCTGCGCTGCGTGTGACGATGCCAGCGTCATCGCGCTTCGGCACTCAAACTCCTTCGTTCCTCCGGCACCGGAGCATGAAGTCGACGAAATAGGTTTTCAGCGTATATTCGAACGCAGTGACGAGACAGATGAGTCGTTGGCGGTTCGAGCACTTCGGCTGCTCCGCCTGCGGCCCACATACCTGTACCACTTCGTTTCAGGCATGCGCGAGATCCTCGGTCAGCTGTCTACAAAGCGCTTTTCGGCATACGCCAATGCCGTAACCGTGGACCCGAACAACCGCAGCGCGTCGGTATCGGTGGTGCTTGAGCACCTTCTTAGGAATGTGGAATTAATGAAAGGGTGCGTGGAGGGCATATACGGGAACGCAGGGTTGCCTCTAGCGGAATCTGGTCATAAAGAGGATGGAGTCGAGTTCCTTGGCGCCCCTAATTATCTTAGAGATATATTAAAACGGCTGGTCAACCCGCTGGAGGCGAAACTGAACCGCATCATGCAAACCAGGGCGGTAAAGCGCGACGAGGGCGTCGTATCATCTAGCGTCGTGTTAGATATTTTTACTGCGATACACATTGCCAAGATGTACGTTAAACGGATGAGGGAAGCGCTGATTACGCCGTGGGACGCTAGGGGAGCACCGGCCGGGATAGCCATCGATGCACCACCGGTAGAGCCCGAAGTGGATGGTGATAATAAGGGCGAGGGTGATGCCAACGCAGAGAATGGGGTCGAAGAGGGTGTTGATGGAGCAAAAGATGACACCAATACAGATGAGGATGACGAAAAGGAGAAAAAATCGCAGGGGAAAAAGAAGAAAAAGAAAAACAGGAGGAGACGTAGCCTACGGAGGAACTATTATAGGGGTTATTCAGATGATGATTCCCACAGCGACATTTCACGTAGCTCATATATGGATGACCATTATTATTACGATGACTACAGTAGTTATGACGATAGCGATTATGATTATGAAGATGGTGAAGGTGATGAGAGCAGCTCAGATGAAGATTCGGATACCAAGTCTTATGACCCTTATCGATATCCGCATCGTAATGTGCCCGAAAAGACAAACGGTACCCCGGCTGCTGAGGAAAATGATTATGTAGCACACGATCCGCTTATTAATACGCTCAAGAGAACGCAGTCAGAGTGGCGTAACGACCTTCTCAAAAGTATACATCACCGGATAACGGCACCGGTAGAATCCACCGAACCTTTCTTCATGGATGCTGCGGCTGTGTTCGATATTTCAGTGCCATATTCTGTTCGGAATGTCGCGGACTTCATCTCCGAGCTTATTAAAATACAGAAACAATATGATGTGTCAGACGACTTTGAGGATGTAGTGCGGCAAACGGTGGTGCCAACGGTCAATTGGTGCCGTCGATCAGCAGAAACGTGCGGTGACAGCTCAGGTGCATATATTATCAACTGTACCTCTGTGCTGTTAGACTCTATGGCAAGCGATCTGGTGCCTGCTTACTATATAGAGCCATTGAAGGCCGATTTGGAGAAGCGCGTTTGCTCTATGGTAAACACCTTGGCCAGTGAACTTGAAACGTCTCTCGAACTTAAAGACGCGGAATCAGATTCGGATAAGGCGGCATCCGCTTTGAATCGTATATCAGGCATTGTGTTCGGAGGCAGCCTCATGGATTGCGATCTGCGATCCATGAAACAGCTTAGGCTCGTTACCATGCCATACCAGAAGGTCATCAAGTCCAGACTGTATGCCACTTTGGCAGACCATTACGCCAAAATCTCAAAAGAAGGCGACTCGCAGAAAGTACAAGAGATTAGAGAATTAGTGACCCATCTTTAGGTGAAATACGGCCCATTCTGTAAAATGGTTTGATCAGCGTGGTTCAAGATTGCTCTGCGTGAATCTACCCATCTAGTACGTGGGCACGCGCTAATGTGACGAACCGTCGTGTTTAGAAGACTCTATTACATTAATATGACATATTCATTGCAGTACCGACATTTTAAGTGGAATATTTGAGGCTATACCTTTATATGTGTTTAAATTGACCAATGTGTTATGCGGCTACATGTGGCGTGGGCCGGCCTTCATGCTTATCAAGCACTTCTCACCTCACATCCTATGGCAGACTGCGGGTTCCACGTCGCGCTACTGCCGAACTTCATTGCTGTCATCCACGACGGCATTTATGCTGTCTGGGTGCGAGGGTCAGAGTCAATCGTCTCTGGGCACCGTGTACTTCACGCATAGCTTACCGACTTGAACACCGTCTCCTGCGTTATTTCTCTTTCCTTGTGTTCCCTCACCAGGTCTTCAACTTATGCCGCTGTTGTGTCTCCGCCTCCGGCAATTTGTCTTGATTATTTATTCATCTCCACAGTGATGGTCGTATTATTTCGCCAGTTGAGGTACTGTCGTTTGTCCTAGGTGGACCGTTACAATGATCCTATGACCAGATTGTGTACTTTAATACGCATGAAGGCTTTATCGCCCTTATGATAGACTGTCTCTTAGCACATGTGTCCGCTTCATTCATTGTGATTGGAGACGCTAGAGAAAATTCCTCGCTGTGTTGCTGTCTAGCTCTGGCAATAGTGTTTGCGTTACCATATACAATCACAAACAATAAAAAGTTCTCTATATTCGTGATTTCACATATTCATAAGACGTGCTTGATGAAATTAGTTTCTGTTTGGAGTCGTTCCCATGAATCGTATGACGCAAAATCAATAACCATGGCCGAGTGTAGAATCATAAGATCTCTCTGCGCTATCTGTGCAATATGGCTGTGTTGTACTGGAGGCATCTATGCACTGCGTTGTGATTTCGGGAATCCGGATGGATTACTCAGCAACAACGCTCTTTTCGCATGCCACGTAGACAATGAAGTCTTCAACTTCGCAACTGTGATCTGCCCTAGCCACGTCAACGACAAGGAATATGTTTGGCATCCGCAACCAACGTCGGATGAACGAACTCATATTAACACTTACGTTACTGATGATGGCAATTTTCGTTCCGTTCCTCTTTCGGATGTAATGCGCTCCGAATCCGAGAATGCAGCCATCTGGTTCAAATCAAATGCTTCGACAACGGAGCTGCATTATAAAAAAACAGCTAATAAGTTGATTGCGATAACTGGTCGCCGATTGATATTCATCTGCGGACCGAAAGATTTGGTTATGACCGATGAATTGCAGCGTCATTTGAACCGCCTCGATGGCTTTGGTAGAATGCAACCACTTCCTTGGACTCCATCTACTCCATTGACTCAAGTACTAGCGAAGATAGGTCTTGGATTGGGTGCGTTTTTCTTGAACAGAGGGCACGCGCATCTGCCCCTTCAGGGCTGTGGCAGTCGCCCCTCACCATTGTTTGCCGCAGATTCTGAGGTTACTATAGACCCTGTAACCGGAATACGTTCATGTGTGGCGGATCCTATGTCACGATTACCCATCGGATTTGTTTGCGAAGGTCGACTTGAACCCGATGATTGTATGATATCCCTATTGGACACAAACGGCGAAGTTGTGAAGGCTCCTGGGCCACATTATTATTGGAATTATTATAAGTTCAGGCCTTGGGTGGTGGCGCGATATTTTGATGATTTAGCATTACCACCATTCAATGGTGAATGTAGATGCATAGATGCCGAAACAGGTCACGTTAAAGCCAGGATAGAGTTCCGTTCGAAAACCGACTACGTCTGCGACATTGCCAGCATGATCGAACGCCACCGTGCGAATCCTATCAACGGCCCTTGGTGTTCGGTGGTTCTCCATCCCGGCAGCAGATTGACCATACGGTTCCCAACAGCGGATGTCGATTCGGTGTCTAACGATGCAACGCAACTGCTGCCTACTGATCAATTCGAAGCTGAATTCCTGCCAAAGGACTTGACTGCTCTGCGGCAACTTAAAACGGTGTATGACTTTGATGTGTACGAAGAAATCTCATACAACGAAGCACTTGCAGGCGACGCCCTCGAGCTGGATGTTTCCAAGGTATCCCAAGGTGAGGTAAAACTGAAGTATCATGAGGACAAACCGCTTGCGTTACGAGCATGGCCGAACTCGTTCTTTTATCATTGGACATTGAAATCGGAAAACGACAATGTTCCGGATAAGATACATGCCATAGTGCAAGTATCACTCGCATTTACCCACCACTACCGGACGATCGGTTGTGACCGAGGACCACATAGTGTTTTTAATCCAATGTTTAGCAAAGCGTATTGTTCAGGTAAACGAATGGGAAATGGTATAGGGAAGACTTACGAGTGCTCATTACGTATTATGAGGAACGATAGGCAAGCTGGGATCCACTGCAGACCCGATGAGGAGCTACTGCCAAAAAACTGTGCTTACGAAGGATACGATCTCCACTCCAATAAGATTGTGCCTTTCCCTGTGTCTATGAAAACTGGAATGCTCTTCGCCATTCCACGATTTCAGGTGTTTGATATGGGTATGCAAAATCATCCTGTTAGTTACGCTTGCATATGTGTCGACCATCGTGGCTACGAAAAGTCGAAGCTCATTTTGGAGTATAGCCGAGAAGTGTTTCACAGCTACAAGGTTCGTCTAGAAGATGCACCTCGTACGTTGCTTCCCCAAATATTGATGCCCTGGCGCGAGATGGGATTATCAAGGAAAGTCCTAACCTCATCAAATTCGCTTATTGCAAAGAACGTGTCCAAAACGTCCGTTAAACTACAAGTGGGCACACTTTTGTCAATGAGTTGTGCTTTTGATCACGGCGTTCACAGCGTTACAGGCAATGGAGTTATACGAACGACATGGCTGCCATTTCGCCCCAAAGAGTTCCATTATACCTTCAGCAACACATCATATGGACGTGAGCTTATTAGGACACCACACAAAGATGCCATTGTTGGAACACTAATGGGGCTGAATGTCGCTTACAAGGAGGTGGAGACGAGACGCGGGTACCAAATTTTAAATATTGAGTCTCGTAGAGGTGCCATTCTTATATCTAAAGATCCACTTCACAAGCAACACGTACCAATGACATTTGTCTGCGGTAAGGCGCCCGAACCAGCGGATGTGTCTATCACCTCTGGCGAAGTTTCCTCATCGCCGAGCCCCTATATCACGGGATCCTTGGAACAATACACGTGGCACCTAGTTCAAGTTAACGTCGAGACCACGGACCCATACATGCAGGGCTGCGGCGTCACATACGCATCCGATGAGTTGTTCAAGCCGGAGACTCCCCAACTCTACGACGCTGACGGAGGGTCTCAGTTCGGTTGCAAGATTGATCTTCAGGCTGCCAAGGAAGCTGCGTTCTACTGCCCGGCGCCGTATGTCCTGGACCCACCCAACTGCTTCAGCCAGGTCTCTGTGGACGGCGTTGTCAGGAACATAAGCGACCTCAGCCAGTCATTGGTGGCATCGCGATCCAACCACTTTGCAATCCTGAGCTTCGACAGTTCACTCGTCGGAGTCGGAGAAACGTTGCGCCGGACGACACCCTTGGAGTGCCGCTGCGTCACCATCAAGGGTATCGTTCTCTCCACTATACAAATAGAGAACTACTACGCCAAGTAATGAGTATATCAGCTTTAATTATTACCTGTTCAATGACGCAATTTCTTTCATTGTTCATGATAAGTGATGTATCCACCGTGGTAGCATGGCTTTCGGGCAGGTCGTCAGAATTGCGGTGGGGAAACTCATCGGCTTACTTTGGTGTTATCACCGATGTTTGTGACTTGTATGAATGGTAAGTATCCGATCGGCAGAATAAAGTGTAAATACTCATCGTCATACCTTTATTGAGCATTTTGTACTGCCGTGATGAAGAAGTTGCAGTATGAGCCTCTTCACTTATGCTCATAAGTTAGAGCATTGGCCATGCCTTCAACACGCATGAATGGATATTGCGTGATGCGTACCAGTGACATTCGCTTATTTAACTAATGTTGGTGATCAACCACGGCGACACCTTATGACCACGTTAGCCAATAGGTGGGGAGGCATACATATATGCCTTTATCAACTCCTTAGACGTTTACAAATCACCACGTCATCTGCTTTGAAGAGCTACATTGAATCATATTGGTAATTGAGAACTGCCATTGTCAAGGTGTCACCGGGCTCCGTCACATGCCTCACGGATTGATGGGATGGATGAGGGAAAGCGGGGGAGTGTTTTAAAACGTGTATTCATAATTTGGAAAGTGGCCGAAATGTTAAAACGGAGAAAATACCAGCAGTGAGTGAAGCACGTTCGACAACCCTCATATCAATAGGGAGACAGGCATCGTTAGTTTTGGGATGTAGGGCCTAACATCAGAGACTATTTCCGTGTTCACATGATAGCGACATAGGAAATGTGCCTTGTACGTGGAATTATATGTGTTAATTGAGCGACTTCGGTTGTAAACTAAAATGAGAAGTGTTGCCGGGTCTATGGCACAGGGGTCTTACAAGGTGGGATGTGAGTAACGTGTTACGCAGTCTGGGATGTAGGAGCGTTATGATTTGCTCACAATATCGTATGGACAACTAGTAACACGGCGTATTACTCGATGGTTAATTTGAAAAATTGAAGGCATTTTCTCAGCGAAATGTGGGGTTGGGTTGGCAATCTCATGGTATCCCTGGCGGTGGGACGCGTAACGCCAACAGAAAATGGCTTGGCGTTCTTACTGTCGATGCTTAAGGACGTAGTTCATGCCTGTGCAGGTTAATGGCAAGAGGGCGAGGGGAAGATGACGTTGAAGTGTGATTGTATCAATAGGGGTGGAGAGTGTAGGAGCAACAGTTGTAGATGTTGTCTGTGGTGCTGTCCAGGATGTACTGGAGTAAACGAGTGCAGTGGATGCGCATATGCCAGAAAAAATTTCAATACATATGATTGTTCTGACTGTTCGAAATGTGCATATATAAGTTTGTGGAGTTGTGGCTGTGATTGCTGTAGAAATAAATGTATAAGCATTGTTATCGTTCCCCTCATCGCAATCATCTTCATCGTCGTATGCGTTATGAGCTTCTTTCGTGTTAGGCCGTTCCACAAGGTCCGCGATTGTTTCGTCCGCAAGTGAACATTTTTATCGCATTCTTTGATCGCTTTCGGCATCTTTCACAATCGCACTTATCGCACTGTTCTTGACATTGCCGGTACGGCTTCAATCTAATTACGTCTTTTTTTAATGTTTTGAAATCGCAGATGGGCAGGTGCCCGTTGGATGCATTCATCAATTACATCATAGCAGAGCATTAGTTAAAATAAGGGGATTGACAGAGCCCAATCTGCTGTCCACATCTGCTCATACCTCAGTCTGATGACGTCGCACAGGATCTCCGCCCAGTTGCTCCTCGCTGCGGCGTACGTCGGCAATCTCAGCAAGCTGCCCTACCTGCAACCCTGACACCACCTCAGCCACACTCACCTGACTCACCACGTAACATATTAGTCCAACTACCACACAACCTGACCTATAATATACTCTATGCTCTGAGTTGCCCCCTGCTTGCCGCCTTGCTCATCCCCCTCAGTAGAGGACTGCCGTCGTCCCAGGTCTGGCGGTGGAACATGATCAACATAAGGAGGCAATAATTGGCAATAATATACATCAAATAATCTCATACAATGATTTAATTAAGATTGCAGTGGACTACCTTGAAACTGATGTTGCCAATTTAGGTAATTGGAATAAGACCGCCAAGGAAGTGATTGACAAGGCAGACAAGAAGTGTGGTGAAATTTTGGAGAAAGTTAGTCAAACACAACCTGAAGGTAAGATTTTTGAGAACGCTCAAAGTTTACAAACTGAGGGTAAAAGACTTTTGCAGGCTGCGACTGAGGCTAAGAGGCAAGTTGGCAAGAAAGTCGGTGAAGCGTTGGAGGCTATTGTAAGAATGGACAGAGATCTCAAGAGGGATTTGAAGAGTGTTAAAGACAAGATCAAAGGAGGGATAGAGAGTGTGATTGACAACTTGGAAGTTATGAAGTTGGGTGAGAATGTGAAGAGTGATTTGGGGGAGTTGAGGAGGAAGATTGAGAAACTTGAGCAGCAAGTTGAACCGCCTGGTGGTCTTGTAAGTGGTCAGTTGGAACAGCTCAAAAAGGCCAAAGAGGAGTTCAATCAGAAGACAAATCCAATTAAGGATGAGACTGGAAAGCTTGAACAGAACTTTAGGACGCACATCCAAGATCCGCTTAACCTTAAAGTCCTAGGAGTTGACCAGGCGATTGGGACGCTTGGCGGGAAGTTTAGTCTAAGTAAAGGAAAAGATAATATTCAAGGTATTTTTGATTATATTAAAACGCAGGTTGCGGCAATTAAGGGGAGTGCAAGAAAAAAAACAGGCCTTGAAGGGATTAAGCAGAAAGTGAAGGACCTTGCTGAGCATTTTGTCGACGATCGGAAGCCTAATCATAGTTTTAAGCTTAGAGTGGACGGTTGGCTGGAAGGTATAATAGGGAATAACGGGCAAGGGACAAAAGAAAAAAAGGGGTTGAAAGCTGTGACTTCTTGGCTTGGGACGAATGGTGTTGATGCATTGAAAAGATCTGTTAAAGACCAGATTATGGCACAGATTATATCCCAAATGACTGCGGCTCAAGTGAAGTTTAATGGGTTAGCAGGTAATATTGAGCAAAACAGCATCACACAAAATCTGGACGGCATCAAGCAAGCTTGCGACGAATTTGTCAGCAACCTTGACGAGCAGATTACCAAATCGGGAATTGGCCCGCTTGCCACAAGGGTTTTAAGTGGGATTCAGGGTAAAACTAAACCCAACAACACCGATAATCTCGAATTCGCCGTGAAAGCCGCCCTCGTTGCGCTCTGCGTTGCTGTCAAGACTGTGGCCGACGAGCTCCAGTCATTAGGCATCGGCAAGTTTGGCAACTTAGATGAGATTCTTCGCCAAACTAATGAACTTCACACGGCGCTTGAAGGGGCGACTAGCCAATCCACCTCCGCCGGCCCTCACGAAAGCCCCGCCCAAGCCGTGGACAGTAAGTTGAATGCGGTGAGGAATTTTGTGAATGGGAATAATGGTAATGATAATATTACCAAAAAGTTTGAGAAAGACGTCAAACAACCACTCGCCGATGCGGTCGGCAGACTTCCCGCCGCCGTTCGCGATTTCAACGGTGTCGCCGAACAGCAGATCAAGGCTGCGGCCATTACGGCGATTACGAAGGCGGTTGAGGAAATCGAGATGGACGTTGATGGCAAAGTAAAACTTGATGAACATGGTCAAATGTCTAATTTCGAAAAAGCCCACAAGCTGATCAGAGAGAAGCTCGACGGAGACCTTAAGAAGCTAGTTGAAGACCACATTGGGGAGGATGACACGGCAGGTGGTCAAGGTGGTACAATTTCTGAGCTTGCTGGTGGAAGCTTTGAGCAGTATAGCGGACACGTTGCACGACCTGTCAAACAATCTTTTAATGGTACTCAAGACGAAGGCCAACTTCCATATGCGATCGGGAGCATCAAGATAGAGGTGGACAAGGCTTTGGATATCCTCAAACCGAATGGTAGTTCTGGACAAGATCAGATTACTACCAAAACCTTCGAAGAGCCGTTCAATGATATTAAGACAGAACTTGATGAGATCGCCGAGTGTGTTGACAGTGAGAAGGCGACGCCGGCGGTTAAACAACTAGATAACAAAGATGGTATCAGACAGCGGCTGAGTGATTTGACTAAAATGCTTCTACATTCACCATCTGTTTTTCTTGAGTCCACTCTTGATTCGGGTATTACGAACCCTGTCAAAGGCCTCGATGCAATCAAGTCAGCGATTGACGCTCTGCAACAAGATCCGTTCACTAACCGACCCGCTGCAAGCGACTCAGCCGTCAAAGCAATTAGGCAGGAGCTTGAACAGCTCAGAGGGAAGTTGAAGAAAGATAACGGTGAGGATGTTATTTTGACCTTGACAGAGCTGCAGAGCAAGGGTCTTGAAAAACAAGATTGGCAGAATGGTAAAGGTCAACCTCTCAGTGGTCTTGGGAAAATTGAGAGTGAGCTTCAGAAAGAAAATGCTATATTGCCCGAGGAAACAAGAAAAATTACCGAAGCCATCATCGAAATTAGGAGGGAACTGGCAAGGGTAGGATTTAAGTTGCAAGGTTTATTCACTACTAATGACGTCATAGACGAGTTGACGTGGTTGGGGAACAAGATCGGCAAAAATGGAATAAAGGCCAAAGATAATCTCCATGACATCTACGAGAAAATAAGGCAATTGCAACAAATTCCGTTTCAAGAACATCCCACTAAAATACAAGACGCCAAGCAAGAAATTGTCCATGGACTTACTGCCCTTCAAATCGAGTTGCAAGGCAAGACAGGTGAAGATGTCATAAAGACACTGGAAGATTTGCAGAACAATGGACTAAGTGCAACTGAAACATGGACCGTTAAAGGTGAAAGTAAAAAAGGCCTCGCGAAAATCGAAAATGAACTTCAACGTCAACAAGGCATATTGCACAACCAGCCCAATACCATCGGCCAAGGCGTCACCCAAATCACCGGTGAGCTTGAAAGGCTTAGAGGGACGTTGAACGCTGAGGTCACCGACAAGCTGAGTAAGCTGAAACAGCATGGCCTTGAAAAAGGTGCTACAAAATGGAATGAAGGTAACAATATCAATGGCCTCGTCAAGATCAAGAATCAACTTGAGAAGCTGAAAAACGAGATCGATCAAAACATGAACAGAAAAGTCAAGAGCTACGAAAAAGGCGATTCGTGACTCCGCTGGGGATGTCAGGGTCTTACTCACATACCGGAGGAAGGTGGCATCACTTTACCACGTAGACTACTTCGACGACGGCCCTTTAGAGTTACTGTACGTCACATAATGATATAGCAGTTACATGTACATGTGTTGCTGTGTGCTGTGTTTTGTGGTGATGTATGTCAGGCGTGCGTGACGGTCACAGTGATGTCACACTGGCGCCTCTAAATATCTGCACAAATAGCTTAGTAATTGCCACTAATACAGTCATTAGGTCGCTTATTCATAGCGCAATTCACATACAGCCACACCGTCGTGATCACATGTTAGGTCATATGCCTCACTCTGGCAGTCATCAGCCATCTCCAACCCACGGCTACATATTCATATGACGCACACTGGGCTGAGAATGTAACTCACGTGGCACGTCATACTCAATCAAGACTGTAAAATGAGGTTTACTAGATGCGCAAAATTTTTACAAAGATTGCTATGCTTTTCCACAAAGGTAATTGCAGCAACGGCTGAAACATGCATCCGATGAGCTAGGTGGGGCCGTGCAGGTGGTGTATAATGAGGCAAAAAAGCGGAGTATGAAGGCTGTGGAGACCATATTTGGAGCGCCTAGAGGGCTGATCCCATCGACATGGAGAGGAGCATGAATGTTATGATGCACAAGGTGAGCGAGCACCTTAGATAGGCATGTTGTAGGCGAAGTGGGAGTTCATGAAAAGGACGTAGTGCTGGCAATGTTAGATGGGATGACGACTAGTTTGCATAATGATTGGTTATGTTGGAGTCTCCTTTGGCTATGGGCTTAAAACCGATCGTCCACGTCAGTGAGGATGTCAGAGCTTGGCTGCAGGGTGTGGAAAGGAAAGATGGAAATGCTACAATTCCCTTGAATGATGCTGCAAGCGCGAGGTGTGGTAACATGTCTTTTGGTACGTTATGTAAGCGAATTACAGATGAGGTGGGATATTGGGAGGGGATTGACGTCCAGTACGTTGAAGAGGCTGAGAGGGCAGAAAAAGCGTTGGGTGGAATTGACAAAAACCTGGAAAACAAAAATCGTTTACAATACGTTGATTAATATGGTTGTTGGCAATGTTCGACGCAACGGTAAATGATGATGACATGAAAAGTATACTGGAAACGTTGAGTGACCTGTTCACTAGGCACCAAGTTGAGGTGAAGGGGCGTATTGAGAGAAATTAAGGGGATGCAAGAAACATTTAACGGCCAGTGCGACAACATTTGCAAAATTATGGAGAGCCCTGACAACACCAAATAGGATAGAATTGAATCATCCACAACGGCCGTGCAAGCGGCGGAGAGGTTGGCTGAGACGCAGGTTAGGACGCCGGTGCCGTGCAATGATCCGAGGAGTGCACAAGAATTAGGGTGATGACTATGTTGCAACTGTAAAATGATATCTGAACTAGATACACGTCGGCAGTACGGCACGGAGCGCATGTCAGCCACTTGGAGCGAGCAACATGTTCATCCCAGGGAGGCGTCAAGGCTGAAGCCTCCGTGATACGTATGGAGGCACGACAAGTTCAACCGTTAAAATAGTGAACGAATTGCGAGGTCAAGTGCACAGCTGTTTTAAGGTGTAACTAGAAACGTCAGCGAATTGAGTACAATGCGGGACAATCACGGACGCCACACTCACGTTACAGTAACACTTCACCTGAATTGCGGGCAGAGATAATCGCATAATTATGGGCTTGGAAATCTTCGTAAGGCACAAGGCTAACACTAGTTAGAACACCCACATGCGCATGCCTTTGTGTTATGCCCGATGACGCAGTAGATCGAGCGCCCAGCCGATGCTACGACTCTGGGCTCCAGGCGCGGCCGCGAAAGCGGTACGCTAAAGTATAGGTTGTATACATTTAACGATATTGTTGTTAGTGCTCGCACGAGCAGCCGGTAGGCGACATGCTAGGGGTATCGGCCGAGGTGTCGCATCGCCATATCACTGGGACGCTGGAGGCTGCGTTTTGCCGGTTGCACTAGGATGTTCAATGATGTTCAGGGCCGTGTGAATGGAGTCATAGGGTAAGATGGAGGATGATCAGCAGATGGGAGCAAATCCATGTAGATGTGAAAAGAAGTTTTGTTCAGGCAACGACAATGGATGCAGCACGCCCGATTGCACGGAGTGCGAAATTTGTTGTATGCCCGGATGTGAGAGCTGCAAAGTAAAGTGTCAAAGCAAGGATGAGGGCTGCAAGTGTGACTACCGCTGTACTCGCTGTGGCTGTGAGAATAATTGTTATAAGGGCGGCAAGCCTGGCAAGTGTCAGGATAATGGTAACAGCAGTTGTCTCCGCTGCCAGAAACATTGCAAGGATAACCGTTTAGGTAAGAGATGTATATGCGCTAACTGTAACTGTGGCTGTGGTTACGGACTTTGCAACTGCTGTCCTTGGTGTAAGCGTAACTATTGTCCGGGGAAGGGGGAATGCGACGGCTACGTCATTGGCGACTGCAAAGCCCAGAAGAAGACGACATGCGAGGGGCATTACACATACCACGGCGAGAATAAAACCAGTCTACATCCTGGCCAATGCAAAAAAAGCTGTCGGGCCTTCGCCCAAATTTATGAGAACAATAAGTGCATTCGCAAATGTCCAACCTGCGGCAAATTATGTGCAAAACATGTATGTTACTACTACGGCTCCATATTCATTGGAATCGCTCTACTTATCCTACTCGGCTTCATTGCCTGGCACAAGTATCCTAATCAATTCAACAAGGTGTATTATAAACTACGTGCTGCATTTGTTAACTGGACAAAAAGTTCTGGCACATCCACAAATAATCTTGCCGGTGGAAGGATTCACGAGGAGATGGACGCTGATGAATACTCCGCCTTCCCGTTCAAAGGCCTAATGTAGCTTTATAAAACACACGTTAAATGGCATATCGAAATAGATGCCATTTAAATGTCGCATTAACTGTTATTGTTAATGTCTATTTCCCCTTTGCTAGAGTGATGCGTTCAGTGTGCGTGGTAGTTTACTTGTGGTGGTTGTTATAGCTTAGAGGCTGATTGTAGTTGAGTGTCATGTGATCGTGTCAGCAACGTGGCTTATACTCGCAAAATTAATGTGCCACGTATTTCATTAATTTGTCGGTGCTGTTCCACATAACCATGCTGTCACCCACAGCCATTCCAGATAGCATACCCTAGCCGCGTCACATCCAAAGTCATCTTACTAGAGTCCATCTGCTCCTCATATTTTGACGTACACCTTGGGGAGTTGACTCAAAAACATTTTCTAATTTTGCTACTACTATCTTCACCATCCTCACCTCGTCCATCCACAACCCACATCATCTGGCTCCTGTAAACATTAAAAGCAAAACGCCTATAAACCAATCGTCAGTCAATCCCCTATCTCATCAATTCGTAGCGCAACCCACTTCCACCCCTAGCTTTTTGACCACATGTCACGCCACGTCCCTCACTCTTGCCATCTTCACCAACCCCTCACCTGCCACGCCTTTATCAAGCACGCTCTCAGCAACCTTAGAGGCGACATCAACTCGCAGATTCGGAACGACGTTACTTTGTTCCTCGGCATTTTGAAGCCTTGGTTGGTAACCTCTTACCTCAGCTTGAGCAAGTTAGTAAGACGCTGGACAGCCATGTTATGGAGTTGGCAAAGTGGATCGGTGAGGATGATGACATTGTTGCAATACCGATGAACTTGGTTAAGGAAATCTACGCACAACTTTATGAAACAGGAAAACTACGCACAACCTCATAAAACACGAAGCGTTAGCATAATCTAGACATCTCAATTAAAAGCGTTGCCAGCAGCTTGGGAGTGTCATGGTTATCTGTAAGCAGTGTCGTCACCTCAGAGGTGTTATCGCCTTAGTGTCTCCTTGTTCATCATTTAAATGTACTTTAGTACCATTAGCCTAGTGCCCATTTATTAGTGTCTCTGTGCTCTTTGCCTTCGTAAGCAAGATGGCGAAGCATGACATTCCGCTTCGCAGCCTCAAGGACTGTCTCATGTTCCTGGAGTGGTTGCATAAAAATGATGGTAAGCAACAAGAGGTGGCCAGAGAACTGCATGGGCGTATCAGCAAATATTTCCAAAAGGGTGCTACACATTTCAACCTAGGAAACGTAAGAATTGGCTTGTCTCAATTCCTCGCCACCGTGTCAGCGTTCTACACGAGGTTATGCTACAATCCAGAGGCAGGTAAATATGTTAGTAAACAACCGAAAGAGATTGTGGACGCTCTACTCGAATGTCTACCCAAGTTCCTCGCTGCCATATACTTTCTGGAGTACTGCGTGAATCCGGCTTTCAAAGATCTGGGCGGCGGGGGCTGGGAACAGAACTGGCCTGCGTGGGATGCAGGTACGTCTTCTGGCGGCGATCTTGCTATCTATCTCTACGCGAAAACCGACGACTCTAAGTACAACTCACGCACCGGCCTCATACCCGGTGGGTTAACTTCTGGCGAGGTGAAATATAATATATTTTCTCTGCACCGTATCTACACCCGGGGTTATAATATGGTTGGAGACCTTGGAAACATCATGAGAAAAGGAAACTACAATTTCCTGCGCAGCGTGTTTGTCACTTCGGTGTTCTCCACAGATCGTGGCACCGCTATGCAGAACACTGCGAACGCGGTGTCATTGGTCAGAACCTTCTGCGATATTGTGGAGGCGGAGGCAAAGAAAAGTGCGGACGGCGGTAAGTTAAAATTAGCTTTGGAAGATGGCATTAAAATGTTAGTGCCCCCAAGATCCATCTGCTGGGAGGACCTAAAAACCCACTGCGCTGAGCTTAGGGAAAAGCTCGGCAAGCTTTTCAATAACACGAAACGCTTTGATTTCACCGGGCAGTCGACGGATACCAGAAACCTTAATAAAGAGGAGCTTGCGAAGGAAACAGCAAATTGGATGAGAGAGAAGTTGATCCATGTGCGTGGTAATTTGAGTCAAATTAAAACAGATATAGGTGTCTTGGCACTCCCCAAGGAAAATCTTGGGGAATACTTCACGAAACATTTCTTCCCCTACGGATTCATATTCAAAGAGCGCTTCCATTTGTCGGACAGTGATGTGCGGGGTTTGAAAACAGATTGGCGCAATGTAATCGATGACCTTAAGAAACGGAATGGCAGCGATTTGGATAGGCTTGTGGAGATTCTGAATGGTGATGGTCCAGGATCGTGTCAATCTCCCCCGCCTCCACCTAAAAAGCCTGAGGTGCCGCCTGCGAAGGTCCCTGAGGGAGCCCAGAACCAGGGGAAGAAAAGTGAGGGAGCACAGAACCAGGGCAAGAAAGATGGGCCATCTCCAAATCAAAATAATGGTCAAAGTGAAGAAAAGTCTCCACGTTCACCAGTTGCAGACTCTACTGCTCCAGCTCTGCCTCCCGGTAATGGAGGGTCAGGCCCGGCAGGGCCTAAAGTTGATAAGGGTGATGTAGGGCCTGATGGTGGTAAAGGAGCTACAGGCCCGCAAGGGCCTACCGGAGATCCAGGGCCTACTGGTCCAGTAGTTTCGGCGTCTTCTCAGGATCATGTTCAGACAAATCCAAAAGCTGTTCAACCTCCACAAAATACTAATATAACTCCGCGAGGGCCTCCCCCTCCACCAGCTGACCCCAGTACTTCTGCATCCCCTTCCATCCCTGGTCAGCCAGGCCCCACGGGTCAGGGTTCACCTGGCGATGTTACTCCAGGTCAACAGCTTGTCCCCCCTCAAGGCCCTGTGCTTGCTCAGTCTACGAGTGCTTCAGGTTCAAGCGCTGGGCCAACTGGTGTCCAGGGGGCTGGTACACAAGGTGGTAAAGATGTAAGCAGCGTCGGTAGTGCGCCGGGTGTCACAGTGCCTAGTAAAGGTGGGAGTGGAGTTGGAGGGACTGATGGAGACTCTGCCGGAATTAAAAAATTGACCTGCGAAGCTGGCCAAACCCTTGGTAAAAGTTGGTACGACGGCAGAGAAATATGTATTTCGAAATCCAAGACTCCGGCGTTCACTTCCTCTCCGTTTGAGGCAGACGCTAAAAAGGCGTGGGATGCATACAACACGCAGCTTTCTCATAACAATCCACCTCGACATCTTAATACACAAGATAACCATATACCTCCCTCCCAAGGCGTTAGTAGGCCTCCCAATCATCCCTCTCACCCTACTGGCCACCACCCTGGTACAGGGCTTCCAGCCCCTCAGCCAGACGCCATGGACACTTACCTTACGTTAAGCGGAACTACAGTAGATGAAAAGCTGCCGAACCAGAGTCCAATCTTAGATGGCGATAAGATATATTCTTGGCCTCAAATGAAAGACGATATGCAGGAAGAACAAAGACAGGAAGTTGGAAAAAAAAGCGTATGACGAATTGATTCAGAAAGGAAAAGAAAAGAAAACCCTTCAAAAAATGATGAGAACGATCGAAAAGAATTTTAATGAATCCCAAAAGCAATTGGAGGGTGCTGCGCAAATAGAGGCGCAACGCATAAAACATTCTGACGCCTTAAAATTCACCATCGCACGCCCACGACAACTGCAGTATTACGACGATGCGCCAAATACTGAACCCTCCGAAGTAAGATTGTTGATCGATCCACTACCCCTGAATGATCATTTGCAGTCTCAGCATGACACCAATCAGCATCCATCCAATCCGTATATTCCCAATGTCTCTTTTGAAATCATAAAGCCACCAGACCCATTTCAGGCCACCGTTATAGACATGGATCCATTCTTGGACTCAAGCAGCGTAGAAATATCTCAGCCACCTGAAAAACAGAATTTGGATCCGACAGCAGAGAGTGTATATGGAAAAGATATATATGATGATGACCTCTACATCGACGTCCCCGACCGCCCGCTAAAGGACCCCGTGGACGACTTGGACTTTAATCACGACCCTCCAACTCCCCCAACCGCCGAGCCACTTGAGCCCATCGGCCCATCTACCACCGCCGTCGCAATCAACTTCCCGCCCATCGATCCTACGCAGGATCTCCCCAAAAGGTTTGCCGACAACTACAGTCACAGCCCTGATGCCGTTCAAATGTGCGTCGCTCCCTGGCTCACCCAGAAACCCACGCATGATGCTGCCGATATCCCCGAGACGGAGCTGTTCCCCACCGAGGCACCGAGTACAGTCAGGGGGATGCTTATTTGGCTGGCGGGACTGCAGCACACAAAGCATCATGTGGTTCTGGAAATGTGCATTAATGATGCTTTTAAACGCGGTGATGGTGACGTTTCCAGCCTCCAACTCCCAGTCAACGGTGCTCATATCCTCCCTCAACATGTCATCGACACCATCCAGCTTGCCGCCGTTTTCGCAGCCTCAGTGCTATCCGCCATTGAGCCTGCCTGGAAAGGTAACATCTCATTGTTTGCAACACTCAAACGTAAGGACTCCGACCAATCCAAGGACGCTGATTGCTGTGCCCTCCTCTGCCAGCTGCGGGACTACGTCTACGCCTGCTGCCACCAGTTGGCGTTCCTAAAGTCGCAGTGTTCTCGGGATCAACTCAATGGTGGCTGGCAAGATTGTCCGTACGGCTGTGACGTCTCCTCCAACTCCCCCCTCCAGGCCTTCCTGACCGACGCATCCGACTTCGAGACTCACTTCTTCGACCCCTGCAACATCTGCCGCAAGAGCCGGGTCCACATGGGATTCAGAGAGGAGGATTTGCCTGACACTCAGCAAACTGGCAAACATCTCCACACCATCCTCTCTCCCACCTGCGGCGGCGAGGATCCCCTGCTGAGATTGGCCTCCTACCTCACCTGCCTCACCAGGCGGACGCCGCGCACCACCGGGGAGCTTGTTTCTTTCTTCCACAATTTCGGGAATGAGATGCATTCATCATCTTCACAGTCGTCCAAGGTGGGTACATCCTTAACCAATCAGCATGACGACTGCCCCGGCTGGGACCGTCTCAGAGACTCCGACCTTCACGCCATCAAGGACGCCAGGGGCTCCGTCCCTCCAAGCTCCATCCACGACCACGGCGATTTCAATACCCTGTCCACGCTGCTTGGCTGCGGCATCGATAATGTGCAGTGCCCACAACTCATGATGCCCATCACCTACCGGGCCTACGCCCTGTACTCTTCCAGCTTCGCCCACGACTACCTCAGCTGGGCAGTCCACCTGGCTGACAGACTCCACGAGTCACTGCTCAGGCTGCACTGTGATCTCGAGAGACTTCAATGCCACGACTCCAAGCTCAAGTCTATTCACCAGCAGAATGGTGTCACTCTACCACGAGGTAGATGACTTTGACGACGAATGTCGATATGCCACATCAATCATCACATTCATGCTGCCATCGGTTACCTTGTTATAGGTTGTGATGCATTGCTCATTAGTTGCAATATGACCCCATGCGAAATACTGCGGCGTGCCGGCAAACTTGAGAAGCTGATATTCATAAAAGATAAGCGATTTTAGCGACGGTCACTCCATGCTCATCTAACAAGCAACTTATGACGTACCACAGTTTATGCGTTAAGACGTCTATTGTTTTGGATGCTAAGATGTGCTTTATTTGTGCGACGTGTTCTCGTCATACCTAGGTGATATTGGGCTGAAGCTCAGTGATCATCCATTTCGACAGCTGGGGAGTACCATGATCATTGAGATAGCGAGTCATCCATTAGATGAATAGATTGCAGGTGGATAATGAGGTAGATGGTTGCACGATTTGTGAAGGAGGACTCATGGGAGAGATCCTGGGTGAGTCGGGGACCTTGTCCGACGCGATGACCATAGGACGGCGTAGACGGTAGTATATTACTCGCAACCCATTGTAACATTGTGCTTCCTGACGCATAGTCGTAGACATACTGACATCCATAGCTTCAATGTCTGTCACTGCTTCCGGAACCTCCCAAACGCCAATTGTATGCGTTGTGGATACAGCGTGGCACGTTCCTTGTGCGCATCTGGCTCGCACATGGCACCCTTATCGACACCATATACATATTTGGCGTATCGAATGCGCCATATTTTCCGATTAGATACTAATACGCTAGAAAGCAGCGGCACCTGTGCCGATCCGCCATCAATACAAAGCTCTTCGCAAAGCGGCCTGTAAATAGGCCGAAACCTCACGTTTGTACACGTAGCCCAACATAACGAATGTCGGCAAAATGGTGTACCATTCGCTGACCGAGCCTCCACGCAACGTCAAGGAGGGTATTGACTGGTTGATAGCCCTGAAGGGAGATGATGCGAAAAAGAACTTGAAGGCCTTGGGTGAGGCAGTCCACAAATTTCTCGCAGATAAGTCCGTTGACAAGAAGGAAGTGCCAGCTCTGGAGAAAGTCAAACTTATTACTAAGGAGTTCCTCGAGCAAATGGAGCTCAAGGGGTTGTGCGCTGCAGACACGCTTCAGGGCGAATTGGAAAACCCTATGAACACAAACCCTAGCATATTTGTGAGGCTTTTCGGAAATGCCCGCAAAAGTCATCACGAAAGCTTCGTACAGGCTCAGGGTCTCACTGCTGAATCTATCGCGGAGAACATAGGTCAAGTTGTAGATGGTTGTGAGAAATTCTTGGATGTAATAAAAAACCCTACGCAGTACAAGCCTGCCTACAGTTCAGAAGTTACGTGGGCCGAAGCATACGAAAAAGACCCAGAAACCTGTGCGATTATCTTCATTGGGATCGCGCCAATGTTATACGTAGGCATACGTTCCTTAAAGGAGGCGAGCGCACATGCATTAATGGGATGAACACCGCTTATTGCGAATAAGAGCACATGACATGTGGACGGTTTGGGTTACGTAAACTCGGAACGCCTCGTTAGACCCAATGCTTCAGATGTCAACAAAGCGGTGTGGCCGATGAATCACGACCAATCGGTCATCCACCCCCACCTCATGGCCCTCTGGATGTTCCGAGGTGCTGACGAATTTTCCTGATCTTACAAAACTGCAGAAGCAGATGATCAAGAGCAGAGTCTCTGTCCGGCTCCACATTAGTTAGTCGTCAACGAACTCCCACGAAACACTTGTAACTTGTGAAGCATAATTATGGGCAGCTTTATGTATACACTCTTAATCCACACCACTGTTGCCGTCCAATGAGGACAAAATACAGTTCTCAGCGTCTCTTTAATTGCGTTGGTGGCGCAGTATGGAGGTATGCTGTGGCAACGTAACGCGCTTTAGTTCTAGTATACCTGGCAGACGCCGTGTGGAGCCCGCATGCTACACCAACAGCGTGAAGCGCCAGCCCGGCAGACGCTAAAACCGGCCCAAGCCACACGCAGCCACTTATAGCACACTAAACAAAGGCAAAACAAAGATGAATAAAGGTGAGTGTTTGGAATGCTGGTGATTAGGCCGGCAATTAGTTAACGTTTGGAGGTCTATTTGTTGCAAATTCTTGGTGTTATTGTGACATTATCAGACGTGATAGACACGCGGCGGCGCAAACTGTAGCGCTGCGCAACACATGCAGTAGCGCGTTGTGTGGATTAAGACGCAGCGGCGCAAGTTTGGCATATTATAGCGCGCAGCGTGGCGAAGCGGCTACAACAGCGGCATGATTTAACTAATCTTCTCAAGATGGTGTACAATTCGTTGACGGAGGCTCCTCGCAACCTCAAGGAGGGCATTGACTGGCTGATGGCCGTGAAGGGAACTAATATTATGAAAACCTCGAAGGCTATGGGCGCCGCACTTCACAAATTCCTCGGAATTGTTAAACTTATTTCCATGGAGTTTTTGGAGCAAGAGGAGCTTAAGGACCAGAAATTCGTAAAAAAAGTGCTGGAGATGATCAATGGGTCCACGGATAGAAAACCCGGAGATTTCGCTAAAACCATGGGGAGCAATCCTGATGCCGTCGCACAGAACTTACGTTATGTTGTGGATGGGTGTGAGAAGTTCTTGAACCATATCAAAAACCCTGACCAGTATAAATCCGCTTACAGCCCAGAAGTGACGTGGGATGCGTCGTGTTCGGCAAGCCCGGAAGATTGCGCAGCGGTCTTCGTGGGAATGGCCCCAATGTTATACGCAGGCTTACTATCTTTGTGGGATGCGGGCCGTAGTAACCCCTTGAAATGGCTGAAGCGTAACAAGAAGAGTCTGGCAGAGGTTTTGAAAGCCGTGGGCTACGATGAGCCGGAATGCCGCACTCCCATAACTGCGTCAAATGTAATCAATTCGTTGAGGAATGTGGATAAAGAGTCATTGGACAGGCTCTACAATCTAGCCGGATTCTAGGTTTTTTTATCGAATAAAGTTTGCAGGCGAGCTGTACAAGAAGTTCGGCAAAATCATATATTCTGCCCAGTTCCTCAGTCAGTAGCCGTCTTAAAAAGTCCCACCAAACATATGTAACTCATGAAACGTAATTATAAGCAGTTTAATGTGTAGACTCTTAATCCACAAAACTGTTGCAGTCTAATTAGGACAAAAACGGTTATGAAGTTTTATTTAACATCGTCCATTACACATTTTAGCGGTTTCATGTCCAAATTAGCACGCTTTAACCTTATACCAGATAGGGCTTCTGGAGGCCCGCGGTCCACAAATCGCGCAATATATCCCTTTACACCTTCCCGGATGGATGGGAAGCCAGTGCAGCATTGTAGTATCTCGGTGTCGTAGCAGTTACTGGAATGCAGAGCATCTGTATTGCCAGGCATATTGACTCGTATACCTAGCACCACATAGCAACGCGTTCTTTGATCGTAGTTACGCTGCTAGGTGCGCATCCTATTATTTCGCTTGAAATACGCAAACGATAAAGTAATTTTTAAGTCCCCGTCACAGGGACAATGTGTCCTTTTTCAGGACTTCAGTTCTCTGCCAAGAAAGAATCCAAAACTCTTTTTGGATGCGGCCTCGGCCCCCTGCTTCGACGCTGAGGGCGGAACATACTCCGCTTTAACCATCTCTGACGGGCGCAGCCCCTCACAAGTGGACCAAGCGAAAACGACAAAGGGATTACAAATAGTCTTGAAGTGAAACTTTTTCGAAGGGTCATATATGGCTGGGGCAGTGGTGTATACCGCAGGTTGGCCCGTTTGCGGATTGATCTGCTGCGCGTTAACGCGTTGTGTTTGGTAGTGCACTTTTGCTCCTGTCGTGGCACACTCCAGCCTCATGCGATGCATATCCTCCCCCAACTGTTCGAAAATAACGCGGGGTGCTGACGACTGCTGAGCCAGTCGGCTGAGTGCAAATAGGCGTGACGCATGCATCTGGGTCACATCGGGTATACCGAGGAAGTGATACTTCGGGAACATGTCGTAATGCTGCGTTGGATCGTGCACATTGATGTTTTCTGGTGGCGAGTAGGTGGTCCCTCGCAGTCGAAGCGCGTAAGACACGACCTCATCCAGTTTGAGGGGGGTGCTCCGGGCGCACTGCTCGATAGCCTCTATCTTGCGTCTACCAACCAGCCATAGACCTTCCATCATGGCGTGAATACGACAAGCGAGCGCGAAGCGTTCCTCCGCAGTGGTGTCTTCGAGGTTGGCATGCGGCAGCTCAGGCGCCTCCGGTGTGATATCCTTGTAATAATCACAAGTGGCTCCTTCGCCCTTCAAATACGCATCTACGGCACTGTCGAACGACTTCTGCCAATCGGCGCTGTTTGGGTCCGGAATTTGCTGCCACTCCGGTTTGACGCTGGCTTCTATCTGCCTTGCGAAAACCTCCAAATTATCCATCCTTCCACACACACTTAGCGTCGTATTTGAGAGTATATGCGCTCCAAGACGAGTCTGGCAGCTGACGAAGTGGCCACGCGAGTTTGAGCGCACCTACTGAACCGCGGCGCTCGGACTTCTCATGTTCAAAAGTCACGTTCTGACACAGCCACGGGTCAACACAGTCTCGCAATCGTCAAAAAAGCAGCTCAAAACATTTTCTTCACAGATTCGCAGTATTTGTTACTCTAAATAACCCGCAGTGGTGATTTCACTGCCTGGGTGTACACACTGTTCGTCGTGATGGCGTACGTGCAGCAGATAGGGTGGTACAACTTGTCCGTGCCTCCCTCGCTGCAGCTGGTGACATACCGCAATACATACCTGTTTAACGTCGGAGAGAACTCACAGAGGTAGGCTCTCCCGCGTTCCTTCCTGACTGCCGTGCAGATTCCGCTACACACACAAACTTTCAATAGGGAAGATTGCCTGCGTCTTCCTGACTGCCGTGAACTCTTCGACAGTAGACGGACTCACTGGGATCCTTCTGGCAGTGGAACGTACCTCTGTCGAGACCCTGCGGATATTTGGGCCCCCTCCGACCAAGGCGCTGGTGGAGGCTATCAAGGAGCAATCCTTCATAAAGTTGGTTGGCTCTTAGAACGGCTACATGGTCCTAACAGCCCGACGCTTGAAGTATATGCCCATGAAATCACCGAAACAACTTTTGTCGAGCTAGCCAGGGAGGATGGCGTGGTCATTTATGGTGCATCCCACGGGGGTGACACCGATTACGGCGAGCTTCACGTCGTAGACAGCGTCGTAAACCTGAACGTCGCATACCTCATCGCTTTCGACAACGAACTGGGACCATTCCTTCCAAATGAAGCGCGTCGTTTGGGCGTGAGTCGCGTTCTCGCATTATGCATAAGTACAATCACGCAGGTTACAAAAGGGTCCGACTTCGGGCGCCTGAAGAAAGGTCAGGCGGTGCAAGTTGCGGACGGTTCCTGGGTGCAGCCGCAGCAAGTCATCGGATCTCCGTTGAGGGGCAAAAAAGCCCTGATCATGCACAGCAACGGCCCGGCATCGTTAGAGAACGTGGGGACATACGGTGATAATGTAAATTTCGTGCAGGTAGATAAGGCGCGAAATCTAGTGGGTCGCCTGGATTACGTTTTCTGGATGAGCACTACCGATTCCGAGGATCTCGTGGAGGCGAAGGCGCCCTACGCAATGAAAATCCGATGTGATGCGTAGGTTACACAGCCTCATCCTTTGATCGCGAATGCAGACCGTTTTTTGAGACGAGAAAGCACGTCGCACTGACAAAAGCGCACTACCTCAACAGCGTGCATGCGACATTTGCACCGCAGCTCTTCCCGACACCGCCCAACCCACAAGACATGTTCTTCGGCTTCGCTGTTGATGATGACGAGCATGAAGACCAACCAAAGTACAGCACTTTCCTCCGCCCGCTTACGAAAATTGTGATGCATCCTGCGCACAAGGTACGCAGAAACGTACCCATAGGCGTCATTTCGTCCCGCAGGCGACGGTGGTCGAGGACTTTGCGTGCTGCGGGTATTCACAGGAACTGTTCGATAAAGATGACGTACCAATTATGGATATTTTGGACGACAGCCTGCTCAGCGACCCTTCCATCACGTTTCTAGGCACCGGGTGCGCTACCCCCGGGCCGATACGAAACGTGTCGGGTATACTGCTCAGCCTGTCGAAAACATGCGCCGTCATCCTTGACGCGGGGGTAGGCACGCTTCAGCAGATCTACCTTTGCTCGAGTACCATGGATGAATTCCTCCGAACTATCAGCGCAATACGGTAGGGATGATTGTTGTGACGCCACCACGTCTCAGGGCCATAGTGGTGTCACACTCACACGGGGACCACTACGTAGGTGTATGCAGCCTGCTCGCCTACCGCTACAAGTACGGCAAGAAGTGCAAAGTCGAGGGCAGGCCGACTGTATTCGCGCCCGCCCGGATTTTACAGTGGATGGAATTTTACAAAAATAACGTTTCACCCATCGACTATGAAGGCATCGAAACCGTGATTGGCGGTAGCCACACGGTGCCGGTGTGCGATTCTGGAATGCAGTTTAACTTTTTCGCCGTGGACCACATATCAGACTCCGTGGGCGTTCGGATTACCCACGACGCTGTTGGCAGCGTGGTGTACTCGGGCGATACCCGTCCGTGCGACAGCCTCATCGAGGGCGCCATGGATTGCGACGTGTTGATCCAGGAAGGTACGACGATGCGTAACACGCAAACATGTTCCGCAGCATCGTTTAACGACAGAGATCATGCACAGGCCACCAGCCGGTATCACACGACCTTCTCGGAGGCGGTCGAAATCGGCGAGCAATGCCGCGCCCGTGCAACCATTCTGACCCACTTCAGCCAGCGCTACAGGAGCATTGAGCTGGATGTGGAGCCTCGGAACGACATCATCGTCGCGCACGATCTCATGCGCATACCCATCAAAGCCATCAGCACCATAGCGGAGCCCATGCTGATAGCCGCGGAGGAATTGAACTTAGTACTTAATCAAATTTCAGACTAGTGCGGTATTCACGGTCCTGCCTATGTAGCTTGGCCATGTCGCAGAATTGTACGGGCCGACTGTCCGTGGGCAGCGTACGCTTCTGCGGGTTGACGAACGTGGACTTCCAGCCCTTGCGAAACTTCATGTTTTCGTACGTGCCGCGGGTTAGCCAGCGACACAGGTTCCACCGCAAGCTCCGGTTGAACCTTCTAAGGCTGCACGGCTATAATCGGCCAACTTTGGGATGGTAACTTACGATCGCTCCCAGTTGCGATATCGCACGGCGAAAAAGAGGGGCCGGCTGAAGGTTATCATGGCTTCGGCGGTGAGATTCCAAGCGTAAACACGCCTCCGCCAGAGATGGCACGTCGACGCGTACAAATACGCTAATCCATGTTAGAAACTGTGAGAGAAGGGGGTTTGTGCAGGGGCGGGTGGCGACACAGTGCTTGCCAGACACGCCTAATTATTTCCACAGACGAGTCAGATTTTTATGTGGAAACGGAAGTATTATTTACACATGTGTATATACACCCCTAGTGTGGCTTCAATGTATTGCTTTAGTCAGCCTGGAAATACTTATTTCCCCGGTTACGTTCTACCCCGGCAGCGTACTGCGAGGGATGCGCAAATGTGAAATAGACACCTGTAAAACCCGCAAACTATTAGAAAAACATCAGCGCATCATGCGGCATAGAAATATGCACAAAAATCTCACAGTTTGCACCGATTCCTGTAGAGCAATCACTACTAGACACCGCGGAAACCAACAGAACTACTGCCGAACCGCATGTAATCAACGCGCAACGATGGCGGCAAATAGCGCTTGTACCGTCCGGTTGGAGATGCAAAAAATTGCCGTCAGCCAGCGGCCGAAATAGGTGTATGCACACCATTGCATAACGCGCGCGCGGTAGCATCGGACACTAACGTTCGGGAAACTTAGCCGCTCAGGGGCGTCCTCGGTGCCATTTATTGACGTCAAAATGCCGCAAAGATGTACAACGCCCTAAATGTAGAGCAGGCAGGAATCGGCGGCTACCGCCGCAGCCGGGCGTAGCGCTGCAGAGCGGCTAGGATCGCGCCCGGAGAGGGACCATGTCGGTCGTACCGGATGACAAGGTATGTATAAGATCCATTCGGTGGTGTTTGGAGTCCATGACTGCGCTGTTTTACTCACATATTCTTGTAGAAGCTGAGGACCGACGCCCGAACCTTAAAGACCTTCATTAAAGGCATCTTCGACTGCGTGTTAATCACGATTCTCACGTGCTCGTTATTCGTTACGGTGATAACAGCTGTCGAACGTAAGTGGCAAGGGTTTGGCGTCTAATATGGTGCGCAGATGACTCACTGTTGGACGAATTCGTGCCTATCATTGTCGGGGCGGTCCTCTTTCCCCTCACGCTCTACATATTCCAGGTCATCCAGACGGTCGTTAAGACCATCAAAGACAGCCTTGTGCTGCGGAGGTATGTCTTATTGGCGAATGGTGCTAACGTTTGCAGACGGCAGGTCGACGGGCTGGCGCACATCGACACTTCGGTGGGCCGCTTCAACGAGGAGCAGCCTGGAAGGTACCGTCACACCCCCAAGAGCATCGCAATCTTAGGTACGGTTATTATCAACTGCATGTTACCTCGGTGCAGCTTTGAAAAAGGCCAAGGTCTGGTATTCTTACGCCAAGCTGTCGCTGACGTTTATGATGCACAACTCCTACATCACGCTGCTCTTCTGGGATTCCCTCAAGCTCACGCTATGGCTGATGACGCTGACCTACTGGCGGAGGAGCAAACATACGGATGAGTGGGACTTCTCCCGCACGCCACAGTCAATATACAGGCTCCACTACGGTTCGCTTTCACTGGTGGGTCGCATTGATCAGTTTGTTACATTGCGCAGACTAACACGGAGCTGTGCCTGTTCATCCTCGGCACAACTGACATAAAAGATGTACTGTGCTCGTCTCTGTTCTGGATAAACATTTGTATACTACCTCCCATGACCCTGTTCATGAAACTACTGTTCTTCCACCATCTCACCTTCTTCAAAATCTATTGGATGTTGGGATTCCTGATATGGCTAAAATACTTCCTGCTTCTGGATAGGCTGATAAACATCTTCAACGTCGGCATTGAACGCAGGGCCCATCGTGTCTGGAAGATCGCACTGGGCATCTTCCTCATGGCGAGTGCATTCGCCAGTAGGTTCCACACGGCACCACCTCACTCCCACCGCAGGTTCTATGTATGTGCTTCAGGGTATACACCCCTTAGAGGCGAATGATAATGCATATTCGTATTCTTTGGCGCAGTATGCCGAATTCTTCTACTTCGCCTTCATCACCTTTGCAACCGGTGAGTGCAGCACTGCCAACTAAACCCCTTAATCACCCGCAGTCGGCTACGGTGATGTGGTTCCAATGACCACCGAAACCAAGATGGTGTCGGTTTGCTTTGTCTCCTGTATGATTGTGTGGATCCCATACGAAATGAACAACTTCATTCAAGGCGTGGGGAGCACCAACCGGATCAGTGGTCACATCTCCTCCTGGTAAGATTTAAGACTTCATTGCATAACGGATTGCAGGGGTCCTATGGAAGCCTTCATAATTCTTATTGGTGATGTCGACCCCATCCAGCTCTCACTGTTCATTTCCAAGGTCTACTATGCCGGGTTGAAGCTCAAAATCATCGTGCTCTCAAACTTGAGCATCGAGACTTACGAAACACAAATAAACCAGGCCAAGCTATTGCGACTGTCGCTATGTATTATAAGGGACGACATCGGCCTTGACGGCAATGTCGACATCCTCCACACTATTAAAGCCAAGGACGCTGCCGCGACGTTCGTGCTCTCCACGTTCAAGAACCCAGATGCGCGCAAGACAGATATGAACACCGTGGCACGGCTAATCAGCCTCAAGAAATTTGGGCTGAGTAGCGACAATGTGGTTGCGCAGTTCTGCTCTTCGATCGGACCTCAAATTTCGCTACAGGCGTTCGGGCGTAGCATGAACCTGTACAGGTTCAAAACGGCACTCATCGCAAAAAATATCACGTGCCCAGGAATCATCACGCTGGTGATAAACCTATCGCTAACGCACAACGCCGTCATGCCACAGGACAGGAAACAGCAGCAGGAGTGCAGGGGCAGCAGCGACCTGTATACGCACTACCTCATTGGCATCGGGAAGCGACTGCGCATCTGTGAGATCCCAGAAAGACTTGTTGGAGTGAGCTTCGAGGTAATGTGGTCACCGGCGGAATACAATGGCGTTGCAGACACTTTGTTTGAACCTATACAATCGTCATGGGTACATAACGATTGGTATCATGCAAGTCGACAGCGCTTACCACACGTACCTTCTGAACCCGGCAAGCCACGATTACGTCATCAACCAGGGAGACAGGGCTATTCTGATTGCTGACTCTACATCCACCGCGTCGGTGGAGACGGACTTTGTTGCGGCGGGGAGGCACTCTTCCTCGGTTGCCCTGAGGAATACCATGATCACCATGTTTTTGGAGAAGTGGGGAAATGTGGTCCACGTGGAGAAAGATGATAACGATGATCTGGATGGCAGTATCGGCATGCCGCCCCCACCACTGTACACGTCGGCTGAAAGCAAGTTCATATCGGAGAGGGAGAATCTCATGGACCACGTGCCCGATGTGAACTCCATCATCGTCACGTCAATCACGTTCGCCAGCAGATACGTCTACGATAACCCGACGAGGCCTATCATCGCCATCATCGGTTACTCCGAATTCGTCATCCATCTGCTGCTGTACTTCGAGGAGCTAAACGAATTTAACGTGGTGTTGTTTGGAAGGGAGGTAGGGACCCGTAAAAAAGCTCACACTGACCGAACAGATTTCGTCGAAGGCCAATATCGCCATATTACAGCGGTTCAGGAGCTTCCTCGCCCTAATCGACGGTGACCCTCTGAAGAAAGGGGACGTCAACAGGTATGCCCATGTTCCGTCCACATCATTTTACCCAGGGCTGAACTTGACCGAGCGTGCTATCTATACGTGCTACGCAGTCCCGAACTCGAAGAACCGGGAATATCGGATGTCGATCTCGACCTTCAGACGATAGTGACTTACCGGCACCTGAAGAACATCATTCAGAGCAACTTGAGCGAGAAGAACGCGGTAAACAACCCGTACTCGAACATCTTCAGCCTGGTGGAGCTGCACAACGCATCTAATGTGTCATACCTCGACGACAGCAAGTGGTCGGCGTGGAACGTGCTCGACAAGCGGCTGGACCCGTCGCTGGCGTACATCCACTCCTTGGAGTACTCGATGGGGCAGTTCATCAGTGACGAGATGCTGTACAGCCTCTGCATGAACACGATGCTAGTGCACGAGGATTTCTCCATCTATCGCATACTGATGGATTTGGCGTGTGTTCGCGATTCCTCGCACAACTTCGTAAGTTTATTCGCTTCCGGAGGCATTGCGACTCAGAAAGGACTGATGTTGATACCTACTACGGACATTACGCTGGATTCCAACAAGCGGACATTCGGCCACCTGTTCAACTACCTCTTCGAAAAGCGGAACATGGTAATGATCGGGATCTATAGGGTGTAAGTTCGTGCTGCTGTGAACTCTAATGCGTTCAGGGGCAACGGGCCTATGGAGAACTGCGTTATCTGCGCGCCGCCGCCCAACTTCCCAATTCATCACATAGATATGGTAGGCTAATGTTTATTGAAAATTAAACTACGTTCAGGCATACGTGATATCACATAACAACGGCGCCCGATCGCTATAACCATGGGTTATATTCGTCTATTTTCATCGGTTCTGGCATGGCAATGCATGAGGCAAATTTGACTCTATCGTAGCCGGGGCCTTTGCTTTTCGCGAACTCCTTGAGTGATTTCAATGCTTCATGAGTGCTTTCGAGTAGCTTGTGCGTTTGGAATGAATATTTCACGTCTACTGATTTGGAACCAGATGAGGACCTAAGGCTTGCCCCATTTAAGAGCCGAGCCAAATCTTCGTAGCCTGTTTTTCGCTCTACATAAGTGTAGCCTTCGGGATTCTTTACTTCCAGAGGGAAATCGAGGCTTTTGTCCTTGCACTGGTATTTTTTGTTCACAATGCCAACGTGGCTGGGTATAACGCTGCTGCCGAGATCTTCGCCACCTTTCTCCATTGTGTTGATAGCTACGATGGTTTCGAATGGGTCTGACTTCGGTGGCTTGAAGGCTGCGGCGTCTTTGTTGTCAAACATAGCAACAAGATGGATCTTGCTTTTAGCTTTGACGTCCAGGCACTTGAAGATTTCGTCGAGCATGGGCAGACCGTATGAGCTCTCCTCAACCTTGGTGAGAACAGCTGTCGAGAGCGCCTCTGTCTCAATTATGTTTGCGGCGTAGACATCGTCTAGCTCATCAAACAGCTCTGCGGTGATCGTTAGCTGGATGCGGGATGAACTTACTGGTGAACATTTTGTCATTTTTCCAGGTATCGTGAAGGCCTTTGAAGATGAACACAGTCGTACTCTGAGTGGTTCCATCGGTGTGAGGCACTGAGCAAGATGATTCTAATTGACCTTCCAACGTACTTTTGAGAAGGTCGACTTTGTAAGCTCCGCATCTCGTGTAAGGATACACGGAAGGTTGAGCAATGACAAGGGTACCGTCAGCCATCGGGGGGTACAGCACTTGCTCCGGCTCCTTCTTCGGCACAACGACAAGGGGTCCGTCACCCATGGGGGGATATAGCACTTCCTCCGGCGCTTCGTCCAGCAGTTTCTTCTCCGGCACTACCTTCTTAGGCACAACGACAAGTGGTCCGTCACCCATTGGGGGATACAGCACTTCCTCCGGCCTTTCCTCCTCTGGCACTACCTCCTTCGGCACTACCTTCTTCGGCACAATGACGAGGGGTCCGTCACCCATGGGAGGATACAGCACCTCGTCCGTCGCTTCCTCCTTCGGCACCACCTTCTTCGGCACAATGACGAGGGGTCCGTCACCCATGGGAGGATACAGCACTTCCTCAGGCGCTTCCTCAGGCACTACTTTCTTCGGCACAACAACAAGGGGACCGTCACCCATCGGGGGGTACAGCACTTCCTCAGGCGCTTCGTCCAGCAGTTTCTTCTCCGGCACTACCTTCTTAGGCACAACGACAAGTGGTCCGTCACCCATTGGGGGATACAGCACTTCGTCCGTCGCTTCCTCCTCTGGCACTACCTTCTTCGGCACAATGACGAGGGGTCCGTCACCCATGGGGGGATACAGCACTTCCACCGGCGAAAGCACTACCGGTAACGTCACTGGGGACGGCAACGTGGCTGCCGCCTTCTCGACTGGCCGCAACGAGAAGTACAGCACAATCGTTATAACCGTTATAAGCACGCCGCCTATGAAGGTCAATTGTGCGAGCAAAAGCGTCAACTGCAATGGTGTGAAATCAGTGAACTCATAGAGCTACCTTCTTGTGAATACGCTTGGTGCCCTTGTTTACCATTCCGTATATGGTACCAAAGAGCCATCCAACCCAGAAGAATGGCAGAAATCCGAAAATCGCGAACATGCGCAGTCTGAGAGTTTGCTGAGTCGTTTGGGCAATACACTTACTTGAACTGGTGGTCATCTATTCTGGGGTCCAAGGGGTTCATGAATATCCCCTCCTCCTCTTCGTCGTGGTCGGGCGACAAAGTGGTAATCGTAACGTCTGGCCGGATGTAGTTGTTTGCCGGCACATCGTCGTGGTATCTTGCCGTTTCGTAGCCATTATGGCTGAAATTGGACTCCCTTCTTACCTCGCTTTCAACTGCGTTGGAGACGTTGGTACCAATGGTCTCAGCTGCGTTTGTGGCAATGGTACCAATGGCCTCTTCAACGTCCTTGGTGGCAATGATCTTTTCAACTGCGTTGGTGACGTTGGTACCAATGGTCTCAGCCGCGTTTGTGGCAATGGTAACAATGGTCTCTCCAACGTTAGTTTCTATGATGGGAGAATTGACGTAAGACGGCCGCCTTTCGTTGTCACCACGGCCGTTGTTCGGTACAGGTGATTCAACGTCGTCGATCATATTTTCTGGCTCGGCGTCGTGCATTGTGGGTTCGGCAGGCGTGTCCCGCATAGGTTCCGTGTGCTCCTCCTTGGAGTTTTCGCGTCCGTTCACATCCATAGCGTCCATAGAGATCGATAGTTGCGCTACTAAGGTCTACGACTAGGCGTGCTTCGTGTGCGAGGCTAGTTCCGACAGAGCGGCGTAAGAACGTGCCACCGCAGGGTCAAATAAATCTTATATACAATTTGTATAATGCAAGTAACATAATGGGCAATAGAAGCGACCACTCGCTTTAAGATATCAGTTGGCTGTGCTTGATGCAGTGCTAGATCAGCTATGGCGTCTCGCCACGTACTTCAAAAAGCAGGTAGGGACGGTGTGGCTGTACTCCGCCAGTACGCAAGCGCTGGCAGCGCATTCCGAGCAACCGCAGCGCTTCGCCTGCTGAAACAGAGCCGATTTGGGCAATAGCATTGTTCTATATTACAAAAATCGAGTAAAAAATATCGCTGGGTCGTTGCCATCACGTAGACTCGTCGTACAGTACAGCACGACCAAATCCACCCTGACCCCTCCTTAACGACTAAACTAAACCACACACTGTAAAATCGCTGCCGCCATTAGTGGTCTGTGGCTACCTCGCTACCCACAATAGGATTCTAAGACCGGGCCACCAGCCCGGCCGACAGCCGACACATAGCTGCCGACAATTTCCCTATGACATAGCACACATTACAACAATAAATGTATAATACGGGAGAGGAGTCTTAAAGTGATTGCCCTACTCGTCAGACACCCCGGGTGTTAAACGTAGCGTTCCCCACAGCGGAGAGGCCACGACGCCCTTCTCACGGTTCATTCGCTTCAACTCTTCTACTTCTCAAGGTAGGTGCTACAAATAGAGTTTCTGTGTTTGTATTAATGATGGAGGCCGATGTGGGCCGCTGCAAGGCTCCGTTGGTCTAGATTCTTTGGCCTGACGCCCACGCCGCGACCCGCTGCGGCCTTGGGCGCTGTTTCCTGTGTTCATCTCGCTTCCACCGGCTTCACTTTTTTGCAGACTGTATTTAACTGGGATTGAGTCAAGATGTTCGGCACAACAGGGGTAAGAACGTCCAGTGCGGCGACTAAGTGTGTTTCAGAAATCCAAACGTAGAAAGTTTTTGAACGACGGCGTGTTCAACGCTGAGCTCAATGAGTTCCTCTCCCGCATTTTGGCTGAGGATGGTTACTCCGGTGTGGAGCTCCGCATCACGCCCGTCCGCACCGAGATCATCATCAAGGCTACGCGTGCCCGCGAGGTCGTGGGTGAGAAGGCGAGGAGGATCCGCGAGCTAACTTCGCTCGTGCAGAAGCGGTTCAACTTTTCCCCGGACACCGTGGAGCTCTACGCCGAGCGCGTGGAGCACAAGGGCCTCTGCGCCATGGCTCAGGCCGAATCGCTCAGGTACAAGCTGCTCAAGGGTCTCGCTGTGAGGCGTGCGGCCTACGGTGTGCTCAGGCACATCATGGAGTCAGGCGCCAAGGGTTGCGAGGTCATCGTCTCCGGTAAACTGCGCGCACAGCGTGCCAAGAGCATGAAGTTCAAGGACGGCTACATCATCTCTACTGGTCAGCCCGCCCAGACCTTCGTGAGCACCGCCACGCGCTCCGTCCAGCTGAGGCAGGGTGTTTTGGGTATCAAGGTCAAGATCATGCACCCGCACGACCCTGAGGGACGTCTTGGTCCGACGACCATCATGCCCGACACCATCACGGTTAAGGAGCCCAGCCCGGAGCTTGAGTTCTCCAAGTGAATTTCGGTTAATCTTATAAACTGTTATACAACCATCGATCTGCCGGGTTCCGCCGGCGACCTGGGGTGGCCACGCCCGCGAGCCGCTGGCACAGCGACCACGTGCCCCGCCATCGGCACGATGGTGGGTATGCCGCGGCAGACCCAACCGGAGTAGCGGGAGTCGATGCCAAACTGCGACGTGGGCTTGTATGCGATTGTGAAAGAGCTGTGGATGTGTGACCGCGCCGTCTTGGCAACCTCGTAGAAGTCACGTGTCTTCACGTAGGAGGGCCTGCTACACAGACCTGGGTAGCGTGACGGAACGGGCACTCGACAACCAACCTGCGTAGTTAGGGTACACGGCAAACCCGGGGAGGCTGAAAGACTCCGGTTTCAGCAGGGCGCAACGCCCCGCTGGACGGCCGCCCGTGTATTCATCTGTTGCAAATGATGTAGATGAGCGATGGACGCGGCTACGTACCGTCGTGGAGCGCCGCATCCTCGCAGGTTACGTATTTGCAGTGCTCTGACTCCAGGCAGCGACGAAGCACCCGTTGAAACTGGCCAGAGCCAATATTTGCGTGGGAAGAGCCACCTTCACTGCTCCCGCCCGGTACCCTGCAGCATATGAAGTCATGCGATCCATCGGTCCTACATGAGAAATCGTCGCAAAACCCCTTCGGAAAACAGACTGCCGTCATAGAGCGGTGCCGGTGTCCTGATCCAATATGATTGTGGCATGCAGGAAACCTACGTGGCAGGCTCGCACGAGTAGCTCAGCGCCACCTTATGCGCTCCCGACTTCGAGCCGGAAGCAGCTTGACACTCCGACACCGAAATCTGCCACGCACGTGACGTCATAAGGCGGATCTGCACCTACCGAACATGATGGCATGTTCATGCATTTGTTGTGGAAGAACTCGGAGCAGTCACTGCTGCCCGTTCCCTCCGAGGAGCCGTCGTCTTCCCCATCTCCCGTTGACAGGCCATTTGCCGACACCGAATCCCTCAATACGGCCTTGTGTACCCGCACAGTTAGTTGAGCCGGGCAATGTAGCTCAGAAGTCCCTGCCTGCGGCGATTTGAGTCTCTTGACACGACAGCGCCTACCACTGCCAATTCCCTAACGACACCCACTATTGCCGCGCTCTTGTGTCTATAGCTGCGAACGCATCGATACATGTCCGACAGTGCCTCACCTACCCAAAAAAGGCAACCGGGCTTACCAGGCTATGCAGAGCTGCGGATCTGCCGGGAGCGAGAAGGGCGCAGAATGCCACTATCAGCGTCGTGATGCTGCACATTGCAGCAAACTGCGCTACCGCACTGGAAGGATGAGGAATCGTGCGTCTCGGAGAAGGAATGCGGATAACCTGCGCGGCAGTGTCAGCGCCGCGGTTTACGCCCGGATCGCCTCCGGCGCAAGAAGGCGATATATTTATGTTAGGATCGACGTGACGGGCTGGCGCGCTGGTACGGCAACGCAGAGGCGCCACGCGCCTCAGTGTGTAGCGCTATAGACACTGCCGGCGCGCCCGAAGGCAACGGCGGATGGGGTGGAGAAGGCAGAATTAATACCTTAAATTCGCCAGGAACCGCGTCAAATCGGGTCTCAGGCACAAACACGGGCAGGCACGTAAATACGAGCGTGCGTGTGTCGAGCGGAGTGCGCAGTTGCGTTGCAGAATGGCTTGATGGCGTACCAAAGGGTCGTCTCCCTGCAGGGAGACCTCGCGCCAGCGAGGTTCGGGCACACCACTACCGCCGTAGGAGGCGGGAAGGTGATCCTTTTCGGCGGTGCTGTCGGAGGTAAGGCTGCGCTCCGCGGTTTTGACGGCGAGTCAGATGTCGGAAGGTACACAATCACCGCCGATCTCTACCTCTTCGACCTGGTAAACAATGTATCCACCAAGCTCGAGTCGGAGAACACGCCCTCGCCGCGTGCCGCGCACGCCGCCGCCTGCGTCGAGTCGATGCAGGTGGTGGTCTTCGGCGGCGCCACGGGCGGAGGATCTCTCTCTTCTGACGAGGTATTGAACAACAACGATCATTTCACCACCCACAGCTGTATCTGCTCGACCTAAGACGAGAAAAACACCTGTCATGGATTACGGTGCCCACCACCGGACGGTCGCCCGGCAGACGCTATGGGCACACCATGGTATTCTGCAAGCCCAACCTCATAGTCATTGGCGGCAACGATGGGTAAGCGCGCATTTCCACACGTGGCAACTTCCGGCGCAGGCAACAGGCCAGCAACGACGTCTGGTTTCTCAATGTGGAGAAGTCGCCCTTCTGCTGGGTGGAGGTCGTCTTCCCGCCGACGCTGAAGCAGCCGCCGAAAAGGGTCTACCACTCCGCAGACTTGTGCAGGGAGGGCCCGGCTGCTACCATGATCGTCATCTTTGGCGGGAGGTCCAGCGACAACAGGTCACTGAATGACATCTGGGGGCTGAGGCAGCACCGCGACTCCACCTGGGACTGGATGGAGGCACCAGTCAGGTTCGTATCGGTACCGGAACCGCGGTACCAACATTGTAAGTGACGTTTCCGCCGCTATCTGTCATATGAACTCAGCATCGTGCTTCATCGGCACAAAATTGGTCATTATCGGCGGCCGCAACGATAACGACTTCAACAAGTATGTTCGACGTGTTTGTTGTACGCTATTGGTGACACAGACCGCTGTCAATATCAGCCTACGACACGGAGACGCTCGAGTGGTTCAACATATCAGCTATTCATAGGGTAAGGAGAAAGCTCAAAACGCTAATGCGCGTCAGTTCCGGCACTCGTCGTGGAGCTTCGGCGGTCAAATATACGTGTTCGGAGGGTTTTCGCACCAGACTCAGAAACACCCGACGTCCGAACTCAGGGCTGTGGATTGCCAGGAGGCATTTGCAGACTTCGTGAAGGCCTCTAAGGACCCCACCGGTATGGCGCGCCTCGGCACCCCCGGTGTCGCCGTGGGCGTCCCCAAGGCCCCAATGCAGCAGGCCATGCCCCAGATCAAACCTGCGGAGCGCGAAATAAGGCTGTCGTCGCACGCACACGCCGTGCACGAAAACGTGTCGGACTTCTCGTACTTGGTGCGGAAGATATCCATAGACAAGCTGGAGGAGGAGGGCCGCAAAATCAACAAGCCCGAGGCACGCGCCCAACTGCGGTGGCAACACGACGATGGTGACACCGTGTACGACCGCGTGATCCGGGCCCTGCTGAACCCGAACTTCAGCAACGAGCACGTCACCATGTCGTACAACGAGACGTTGTTCCCTGTGCCGTACGAGGACGTACAGGCACTGTGTCAGATGGTGTGTGCTACATTTGTGCGTGTATACTTCGCAGGTCTATCAGATCGTCAAGCAGGAGGAGACGGTGCTGAAACTGAGGGCGCCCATAAAAGGTGAGCCCCGGCGACCCCCGGCGTCACAGTTTCGCAGTTTACGGCGACATCCACGGACAGTACTACGACCTCATGCGCCTGTTTAGGCTCTACAAGTGCCCACTCGAGGAGTCCCTGGCCGAGTCAATCGGCGCCGTTGGCGATATCGACTCCAACGACTACCTGTTCCTAGGCGACTACGTGGACCGCGGGTCAAACAACCTGGAGGTCATCTGCCTACTGTTCGCACTCAAGTGCAAATACCCGACGCAGATCCACATGCTGCGCGGCAACCACGAGGACCCCGGGATCAATGCGATCTACGGGTTCCAGGACGAGTGCCGTCGCCGGCTGCGCGAGGAGTGTGAGAACCCGTACAGCTGCTGGAACAGCGTCAACAAAATCTTCGAGATGTTGCCTCTGGGCGCGCTGATCGAAAAGAAGATCCTGTGTGTACACGGAGGGATCGGAAAGACGATCAACCATGTTTCGGACATCGAAGGGATCGTCCGGCCCATCACCGTAGCCCCCGTGCCCAAGAACGAGCAGGACCAGAAGATCCTGGATATCCTCTGGTCAGACCCGACCGACAGCGACGCTGTGCTGGGCACCATTCCCAACGAAGTTCGCGACCCCGACAAGGTCGGCCACATCGTGAAGTTCGGGCCGGACCGGGTCCACAAGTTCCTGACTGCGAACGACCTACAGCTGATCATACGCGCACATGAGTGTGTGATGGACGGGTTCGAGCGGTTCGCGGGCGGCAGGCTGATCACGCTATTCTCAGGTAGGCGCCTACTCCCGCTCCAACATAGCATCGCAGCCACCAACTACTGCAACCACTACAAGAACGCCGGGGCGCTACTGTTCATTCGGCGCGACCTGACTATCGTGCCGAAGCTCATATACCCGTCTAACGCCGACAACAAGAACGCGGAGACATGGTACGTTCTCACGCTGGTAGCACATACCGCCGCAGGGATATGCACATGACCGAGCTGCGACCTCCGACGCCGCCGCGCAGCGCGCCGAGGATGCACGAAGTCAACTACGGCGCGCCGTAATGTACGAACCACTCAATATGTAGATTAGCGCACATCCACTGGGGCGGCGTTCGCGGCGGCGCGTCGACGTACCCGCACTCCGTCGCTGACCCAGACACACGCAATGTTGCTCGATACTAGCTCGGACGATTACGCGCGCGCGGCTGCGACCGCCGCCGCTGCGCAGTCCGGCGAACAGCTCTTGGCACGCATCAGCTCCGCCGACCCCGTGCTCGCGCTGCTCCACGAGCGCGACGACGCCTCGCGGGAGCTCGGCCTGGTACAACTGGACTCCATCGTCGACACCTTCTGGCCGGAGATCGCCGACAGCCTTCCAACCATGTAGGTGTAGGCGCCAACCGCCCGGCGCGGTGTGTGGATTCCGGGGTTCACGTTTCGCAGAGAGTACATCTACGAGGACCCGCACTTCCGCGCGCGCGATCTCGCCGCGCTGGTGGCGTCGAAGGTCTATTTCAACCTGCAGGACTATGCGAAGGCGCTGCATTACGCCCTGGCGGCGGGCGACCGCTTCGACCCTCAGGGGCGCTCGGAGTACGCCAACATAATCGTCGCGAAGGCCGTCGACGAGTACATCCGCTCACGTCAGGAGGCACAGGATGGCAGCACCCCGCGCCTAAACGCTTCTCTGGAACCAACTTCGCAAGGTAGGTGGCGAAGTCAGCACGTTCATCCCCCGCAGCTCCGCTCGAGGCGTTGGTCACCAGGCTCATCAACATGAGCGTCGAAGCCGGCGACGAGCACCACGCCATCGGAATCGCTCTCGACGCACGCCGTCTTGACCTGCTACTGAAGATTTTGAAGGAAAGTGCGAACTGCTGCGAATTGGTCTCCTACACCATGGGACTGATGGAGGGCGTGCTCAACCCGGACTTCTGCGCACCGCTCTACGACAGCATACGCGACTTACTGCTAGCGATGCCCAAGGATATGCTCGTCAACCAGTACCACAACCTGGTCACCTGCCTGTACAAGGTGAACAACCATGAGCAGATGGCGCAGCTGCTGCTGGACATGGTCAACCACGACGACCACCTCAGGGCCTACCAGGTCTGCTACGACCTCGTGGACATCGGCGACCAGAAGTTCCTCAAGGCTCTCAAGGAATCGTCAATCCTGGCTGTGGAGGGCAACTTCATGATCGACCGGGTCAAGCGGATCCTCTCCGGCACTAGCACCACCGAACTGCACCTCGAGTTCTTGCACCGCAAGAACCACACCGACCTGATGCTGCTCGAGCATTACATGAACAGCGTGGACCAGCGCAACAGCGTCGCGCACAACGCCGTCGTGCTCGCGCACGCCATTATGCAGGCTGGCACCTGCTGCGACGTCTTCCTGCGGGACAACCTCAACTGGTTGGCCAAGGCCAGCAACTGGGCCAAGTTCACCGCCACAGCCTCCATTGGTGTCGTGCACAAGGTAACCACACGTCATGTATGCACATACCGCCGCAGGGTTATGTGAAGCACTACAAGAAGGTGCTAGCCTCCTACTTGCCGGGGGAGACGCCAAACTCCTCCCATGCGTACTCGGAGGGAGGATCGCTCTACGCCACCGGCCTTATCCTGTCGAACCGTTTCGACTCGGAGGCGGCTGAGATGATGCTGGGGCACCTGCGCAACGATACCGCCGAGGAGGCGCTGCATCACGGCGCGGCGCTTGGTCTCGGCCTGGTATGCATGGGGCAGTGCGACCCCTTGATCTACGAGGACCTGAAGGCCACCCTCTACAGGAACAGCGCGGTGTCCGGACAGGCTGCCGCTATCGCCATCGGACTGCTGATGATGGGAAGCGGCAACCTCGAGGTGCTGGACACGCTGTATGCATTCTGCGCCGACACGCAGCACGAGAAAATCGTGCGAGCGTGCTCACTTGCCATTGCGATGGTGCTCTACCGCTGCGAGAAGAACGCGAGCATCATGATCACCAAGCTCACCCACGACAACGATCCGGTGGTGCGCTACGGAGGCATGTTCACTTACGCCATGGCGTACTGCGGGACGGGATCGGTGAGTAGAAATGCGCGAGAGCTTAACACCGCTGCAGAGCAAGGCTTTGAAGGACCTGCTGTACGCGGCAGTATCCGATGTCTCGGACGACGTCCGAAGGGCCGCTGTGATTGCACTCGGGTTCGTGCTCTGCAACACCCCGGAGGAGGTGCCCAAGGTACTCAAATTGCTGGTTGCATCGTACAACCCGCACGTGAGGTACGGCGCGGCGATCGCACTGGGAATCAGCTGCGCCGCCTTCCCGCAGCCCGATGTCGTGCGGCTGCTCCATTCGCTGTCGTCCGACCGCAGCGACTTCGTCAGACAGGGTGGGTAGTAAAACCGAATCTTCCTCATGACATGCAGGCGCCTTCATCGCTCTGGGGCTCGTGCTGCAGCAAAGCAACGCGGAAACCAGCAACGACGTGATGCAGGTGCGGGACCTCTTCAGGTCCGTGGCGGGCGAGAAGCACCAGGACATAATCGCGAAGTTCGGCGCAATCGTCGGCGCGGGTCTCATGGATGCAGGCGGGCAGAACTGCGTGGCATCGCTGTACACCGGCCGCGGCAACATGCGGCGCGAGGCGGTGGTCGGCTTCCTGATGTTCGCGCAGTACTGGTACTGGCACTCGTTCATGCACTTCGTGTGCCTCACGTTCCAGCCCACCTGCCTCATCGGCATCAACAACGACCTGCAGATCCCCACGGGCTACAAGGTGCTGTGCACCGCACCACCGAAGTCGTTCGACTACATTCCCCACTTCACGGATGAACCCACTGAACAAAAGAAGGCGGAGGTCACCGCCGTCCTCTCCATTTCGGCCAAGCGCCGGGCGTGGCTCACCAACTCCAGGTCGAGCGACCAGTTGGGCGGGAAGGGAGACAAGAGCGACACCAAAGCCGGAGCCGACGATGCCACTCCGACCACGTCAGAGCGCCAGTCTCATGGGTAAGTGCTTCCAGATTTGACTCATACACGTGCAGCACGGAAAGCTCTAGCGCCGCCGGAGAAGCGGACCAGCCCGCTCAGGAGTCTCCCGAGGGAGGCAACGCAGAGCTGTCGGGCGACGTGGTGATGGCCAACGGTGACGAACAGGGATCCGACTCCACAGCCAGCGCCACTACAGGCGACAAGGCTGCGGAGCAGTCCACCGGTGTGCAGACGCTGCTGGAGAACCCCTGCAGGCTCATCCCGAGACAGGCCGCCTACTGCAGCGTCCCACCAAACAGCCGGTACGTGCCCGCGTTCCCCGACCGCCGGCAGGGCATAGTGCTGCTGCGCGACACTGCTCCGGGCGAACCCGAGGAGTACGTGGCCTGCGAATCCGAGCAGCCCGAAGCACCACCGTTCACTCCGTTCGAATACAAAGGTTAATTATAATTACTAGAGTTCTTTTTAGCTCTGTGAGTGCATGGCAGACTGAGTCTGCTGATTCGGCTGCGTCTCGTTGGCGAGGATTAGGTTCTGAAAACCGAAGGTGCGGTTCAGATCAGAGTCTTCGGGGAACTGGTTGTAGATGGTCTGCACATAAGGCGACAAGTAGGGGCTGCCCAGCGGAGTCGTCCCGCTGTTGGAGTAGGGCTGCGGAGCGTTGTTGTTGGCGGAGCCGCTGCTGCCACTGGTGCCGTCGCCGTAGTTGTAGGTCGTCGGGCGAAGCCCGTCGAAGCTTTCGCTCGGCGAGAGGGCGATCGACTGCATCAGCATGTGGATCTCCGCGTCCTCGTTGGTGGGCGACATCTCGTAGTTGCCAACAAACATGTTCTGCGACTGAGACTCCTGGTTCTCCGCTCCCACCTGTTCGCCGTGTACCTGCTGCGAGCTGCTCGCGCTGTTGCCGGCGTAGGGCAAGTCACCCTCGGAGTACACGTTGCTGGGGGAGGTGTAGGCCATGTCGCCCTCGAGGAAGGGCACGCTGTAGTTCTGGGAATCCATGTAGTACTCCGGGTTGCCGAAGAAGCTCTGGCACGCGGGCCAGGTCATCGGACTCTGATACCCCTTGTCAAAATCCTGCTGCGACTCGAACGATCCGCTGAGGTAGTTATTCTCCAGGACGTTGTTAGCATTAATGTATTCACCACTATCCATAGAGCCCGAATTTCCTCCGTAGCACGGGTCCAAAAAGTTCGACGTCATTTGGAAGTTGCGTTTCAAAGATTCCATGTCATACATTTCCGACATCGTATTCTGGTTGGCGGGCATGTTCATCTGGTTCTTCGAGCTCCGCGTTTTGTACTCACTGTTGTTGATGGGGTGGACCGCAGCGCGCTTTCGGGTACGCCCTGGAATATCCAGGTACTGGGGGTCGAAGTTGTACCCGCCATTCAGAAACGCTGCGTTCTTGGCGTCACGCCGGCTCTTACGTAAACTACAGCGCGGGTGCTTTTCAATCGATTTCATGAACTCAATGGCAGCCTGCTTCGCCTTCTCGACGTCAAAGTCGTAGTACTTGGGGTGGAAGGTACGACTTCGGCGCGTATCGGCGTCGTAGTAGAACGACAGCCACGCTCCCATGCGCTTGTTCCAGCTCACACCGGGATAGCCCGAAGAACTGGAAGGAGAAGCGCGTGGCGGCGGCGGAATGGGGACCTTCCGGTTGGAACCTCGGTTACCTCCGCGCCCAGTGGTGTTACGCACGACTGGCGACACCTGCGCAGTCGGGGCGACCGTGTCGACGACTGACGCGTTCGCGCCCATGAGGTCGGGGGTATTGGTATTCCCCTGGACAATACCTGTTGCGACATTCACATCGAGGGAACTCATTTTGGCGAGGCTCGGCGCGAAAATAGGTAGAAGTTGGGATGTTTGCACGTCAAAATCCGACAGCGAGCACACCGTGCGCGTGCTACAAGACAAAGACTCGGCGGCTTTCAGCACACCAGTCCAGAAGTATTCGTTTTGCTATTTTCCTCAGCGTGTGGAAGCACGTTCACACACCGTCGCTCCTTTATGGGTTCGGCGCAGCGGCGAAAAAGGGCTACACCAGCAATCCCAACAATGGAAGACACAATCCGTTCCCGACGCGGGAAGCCAAAAACCAAAGACCTAAAATAATGTATATCCTTGCGGATCCGTAAATAAACCAGCGCGTTGCAACAAAAAGCCTAAATCTTAAAACGCGACGCTTCAGGGATCCATGGGATGTTGTTTTTCGACTGTTGAGTAGCGCGCGAAAAACAACGACAGTTTAATCCTCGACGAGATCAAAAAGTTCCTGAGAGTCCACAGTACCGCAGAAGTGCGCGCACAGCCACGGCACGGCCAACGACACACCGGCGAGTGAACCTGGAAGATATCGAAAACGACGCCAGCACGTTTTTACAACGTTTTGACGTCTATAATTGGCTGCACTTGAATTTTGGGTTTGGTTGCCAGCGCCGCGATTCGCTTTCAGCACTGGACCGCATCCACGGCTTTCGAGCCTATCTTCGGATGTCGTTGCAAGATAAAATAATCATACGCAAAGAAAATCCGGAGGAAGAATAAAAATATGAAGGCGGTGAGAATTTTTTGTCTGTATCTAGGGTGGCTGTTGGCGTGCCGGACGACGCCCACCTTACAAGACTCAACGTACGACGAGGCTCAGCGGGACGGCATCCTCCCCGTTGTGGACGTCGAAATGGTCGCACCGAAAAGGTAAGTAGCCTGCACGGCAGGGCATGGCCTCCCATGTCGCTCCAACGCGCAAATATGTGCTCAGGTGGCAGGCGTACAGGAATGGACTGAACCGTCTGAAGCGGGAACTTTCCTTCGTCATAGACCGAGGCAAGTTACTGCCTTCGTCGTGATTAACACGACATGCAGAGTTAGAACGTGAGAAAAGACGTATTTTCCAGTTAGAAGACCAGCGGTCGTTGACCGCGCCGCGGGCATCATTGATGCAGCTTCTGCCCCGTAAGACGACGAAAGGTGCTTTAAACAACGTGCAGACGCACAAAAATCCCGTCATGCAGCGCGAAAGGCTGCCGCTTCGTCCATGACCGCCGGGAGTCCGGGGCACGCCACCGACCACGCTTGACTCAGGGAGCTCCACAGGCAGTGCGCTCCATCGCATCACTCATTTGCGCACATAATGCTCTGACAGCGTGCACTGCACACTAAATTGTACACTATCGCTGACACTTCTAGGTGATGTCGTAATGTGAGCACGTGATTCTACCTACACATGACACGCATGAGCGGCAGTAAAGTCTGGCGTAGGCCGCGCATTGCATGACTGTGGCTTCAGGGTGCTGCCTACAGCTCTCTGGCGCTGAATGGCCACGCACCCGAGACCGGGCTGCATTTCGAGACGCCCGGTTGTCGGCCGGCTTCCAGCTGGCCCTGATTGACTCTGCCCACGGGTCGCCAACCCGGCCTGTAGCTCTGGGCTGCACCACAGCCAAACAAAGCCGTGATAATGTCACGTAGTCGCGAGTGTTATACACCGCAATAATTCACGCACATTGCCCTTTCCATCGCACCCTGAACGACGTACGATGCGGCCGCTCAGCGAGGACGAAGCCCAGCTTGTCTTCAAGAAGCTGGCAACATAGTGAGAGGTTACACCCTGGCATGACATTTGTATACAGCATCGGCGAAAAGGTCCTCTCTTTGGTGGACGCCGGCGACTCGGGGCCGCAGCACGTCCTACGTCTGCATCGCGAAAGGGTGTATTACATGAAGTAGGTGATCTCGCCGCGCCAATGACCTCTTTCAGTGAAGCTATACTCAAGTACAGCGGGTGTATCAACCACAAAAACTTGGTGGGTATTCGTTAATCAGACCGTCCGTGGCGAGCACGGTGGCCAGGGTTGTGTCGTTGAAGCGTTTGGCGATTGTTTAGAGCGATGGAAAGGCCCAAAGGCTGTTTCCTACCCATTCTACAGTTGTGCTATTGTATTTTGATGGCTGACAACCCTGCCACTGTCGCTCTGAATGAGCATATGTAACCTTCCGCTTACTGTGAACACAGATATCTGCTGGAGTTTGCCTCGGGAAGTTCACGAAGGCCAAGCACTTCAGGCTGCACATCACGGCGCTACACTACATGGCTCACTACTCTAAAAGCAAGGTGTGGCTAAAGTCTGGAGAGCAATCATTTGTCTACGGTAACAACGTCGCGAAGGTTGGTGAAGATTCTACGCAACGAATGGCGCACAGAAACACATTGGTCAAATGAGCGAGGACGTGCCGCAAAATGGAGGAGTTGTTGTCATGTACAACAACCTGCCGCTCGGTTTTGGCGTGACCTCGAAGTCGACCGAGGCGCTCAAAACGACGCTGCCGGACGACGTTGCCGTCTTCCACCAGGTGAGAAGTCAAGCGATAAAATACACACCTCACACAGGCCGATATCGGGGAGTACCTTCGGCACGAAGCCGAAATCATATGACAGCGGTGGACCCCTGCCGGGAGGCGCTGCTGTGAACACATAGCTATATGGATCGAACTCACTGAATAACACATTCATATCGCATATTACACAATGCCGCCAAAAAAGCGCGCCTCTGCCGTAAAAAAGATACGGCGAAAGGCGCTGTCCGCTCATAAAGGCAAAGCGCAGGGAACGGCAGCGCGACTGAAGACAGCGCCGTCAGCTCACACAGCGGTTACAGACATCAAGAGCATCGACACGCTCGAAGGGTACAAGCGGTTAGTGGCCAAGGCGTGCACCGAAGCCACTAGCGAGCCGGAAAATGGGCTCCACGGTGTCAAGGCGCTCTTCGACGTCGTAGCAGGTCGCGGTGGCGGCACTGCCGAACTGAAAGAGTACGCTAGTGTTCTAGCGCTGAGGTCGATGGTAGCTGTTGCTGTCCATCTCATCCCGCGCATATCGTACGAACTGCTTGACGAGGAGGATGAAGGTGCCGACCAACCGGATGGCAAAGGCGCTACTAGTGATAAGGGCGCAACTACTAGCGCGAAGCAGAAGGCCGCTCCAGCTTCAAAGGCTAAGAAACCGCCTACAATGGCCAGCAGCCTCGTAGAAACGGAAAGGACGATTTCTAAACAAGTGGTGGAGCTGCGGGACATGCTGGTGAAACATTGCTCCAACCATTTGAACAAAAAGCCCGAACTCATCGTGCCACTGGTGGCCAGACTGTCGGCGGCCGAAACGAAGCCAAATCCTCGGCTGATACGCCTGTGCGCCGAGTGTTGCAATATCGAAGACGAGGGGCTGGCGCAGGTCTGCCTCGGCAGCATCACGGAGGTGCTGGAGCAGTCTTCCATCCGTGACCTCGAAAAGATCATACCGATACTGCTCAAGACAAACCGCCCGCAAGCTGCGCTGTTGCGGGCCATAAACTCGATCCCGCTCGCTAGGAAACAACACAGCTACAAGCTCATCAGCGAGAAGGAGCAGACAGCGGACAAGCACATCGAGGAGATACTAACGTCGGTTATCGCGTTCTACCTTCGCATACTCGCGCAATGCACGGGCGAAATGCTAGAGGAATGCCTCAAGGGGTTATCCAGGATGGGCGCGCTGGTCAACGAGACGCTGCAAAAGGAGATCCTGGCAAAAATGAAGACTATCATTCTCAGCGCGACGTCGCTGAGGCCGGCCACGCATGTACGGGTATTGCAGGCCGCAGCGTCGCTCAGCCGCGTGCTACAAGCACAATCGCACTGGATCCTGCAGGAGCTGGCGCGGATGGTCCAGAACACGGCACCATACCTCTGCCAGGGCGAGGCGATGCAGGATGGGGAATACGTACATTTCTCCGAGCCGTGTTATACGTGGGACGTGATCAGAACGGTACAGGTGGTGATCAGCCATTCGGCCAGCGTGGCAGCGGCGGCGGAAATGGAGGACCTGGTGAAGCTGGTCCAACAACTGCTCGCGCTGTGCCTGGTATGTGATTCGGCAGCGGCCGAAGCGCTAATACGCGAGGTTTGTGACACGCACATGGCCCACATAAGATGCAGGTCGCGAAGGTTATCGACAGGGTGCCGCAAATAGCTGGTGTCATCGAGCCGGACGGCATGATCTTCTCGGTGCTTGCCAAGAGGGCCACCAGCTTCTGGGAGATCGAGCTCATGTGCAAGCACGTGGCTCCCCAAATCGCAGACACGGCCAAGGAGCTCAAGCGGCAAGCTGTGGGAGGCGCGCCGACACGGAACAAGGCCGCTGCGAGCACACACCGCAAGGCCTCGGCCCGCGACCTCGCCGCCTGCGGGAGCGATGTGTATGAACTGCTGCTAGGCAGTGAAGACGATATTTTCAGCCAATACAAACCCAAAGGCACCTAATGTAGAACTGAGAACCTATAAGGTCAGGCGGTGACGGTATGCCGCGCGCCTCGAGTTGGGATCGCGCGCCGGCATAGCAGCACGCAATGCGACACACATAACGCTGGCAGAGACGCCGACGGCCCAGCGAGTCCAAGAAGGCCGAGGACGCTCGGCCACGGGACGATGAATTTCATTAAGGGCATCGTCGACGGCATCCTGGCGGAGGACGCCGACACAGACGACCGACGCTCGGGCGGCTACAGGGCCGCTCATGGCGGACCGAGGGCGGAACACGACCTCGGGTTACGACACACCGACGCGCTCGCGCGGGAGCTGGACAGCGTGTACCGCGACGAGCGCCGTAACTGCATCACGTCACTGATCGTTAGGTACGGAGAGGGATGCGTGCAGCAGCTCAACGAGCTGCTCAAAACCAACAACCGGACCATCGCCGATTTAGCCAAGCAACTCGATGATGCCTATCGGTCGCTGGGCGACTTCAACAGCGACCTGGAAGAGCTCTCGCAGGAAAACGTGGCCCTCAGGAGGCGCAACGCGGAGCTCGAAAACCAGCTGGAACTGCTGAATTCGGAGAATGTCAGTCTCAAATCGCTGGTTGAGCAGGCTGAGATTGAGGCAAAATCGCAGGAAAGGCGCATTGGCGGCATGGCAGGTACGTTTGCTGATGCACAGTGTCAACCTTTGCAGAGCTGCTGAAGCAAAACGCGGTCACCTTTGACGACATGCGCGATCGCTGCACGGCCGTAGCAGAATACGCCGCCCAAATAGAAAGCCTCAAGGCGCAATTGTCGGTTGCTAACTCCCACATCGAAGCGCTCACGAAGGAACGGGATGCGCTTGTCGAGCATGCGCCGGAGGACGAACATCGCATCAAGGAGGCTATGCGCAAGCAGGATCGCGCACTCTCCATTGCCAAACTCATGGCGCAGGAGGCCTCCTACCTGTCTGCGCAGAACGTGCAGCTCAAGAATCAGCCGAGGCCGGAAACCAGCCAGCAGCAACTTTCGCAGGCGGTGCTCCAGGCGGAGGAGCTCCGGACACACGTCGAGAAGCTCAACGACGAAAACGGCCACCTAAAGGACGTCAACGAGAAGTTGCACAACATGTACGCCGATCTCAGCAAGTCGTCGAAACAACTGAAGGACTCCTTCCTTGCTGAGGCCATCCAGGCCCTGGGGACGCGGCACCTCAAACAGCTCACGCCGGTGCAGCTGGTGTTCATCCAGCCGACCAGGGTGCTCGATCTGGACCTGGATCTTGACTTCGTCAGGGACGAACTGGCGCGGAGCATGCGATCACCGTACCAACAGAGCAATGTACACATGGACAGCAGGACGTTTGACGTGGCCAGAGAGGCGCATGTAATGCGACCTGTGGCCGCTGAGCCAGCGACTCCAGCCTCGCCAAATGTTGCTTTCGGCACCGTTTCGCAGTTGAGAACACCGCAGCCTGCACCGGCGTACGCGGAGTCAGTGACACCCACCACACGCCAAGCGAGCCCCCACGGAAGCATGAGCAAGAATTCATGGGACGACGATTTCGACCTGTACGACGAAATATTGCACGAGGAACATGCGGCCCCGGAGGAACCTCAGCCCCAAACCGCTGTGTCAGCGCATGCTTCCCCAATACTGGAACCCCTGAGGACTCCAGTGCAACCAACGCCGACCACACCAGTAACGCTTGCCGCGGACGTTAAGTTGGACCTGACGAAGAGCAAAGGCGCCTGGGACGATGACTTAGACGAACTGCTAAATGAACAGTAGACAACATTAATACATGTCACGCTTGTCACTCGCACCGTTTTCACGTTCCACGAATAGTCCGCAGAGTCGACTCTGAAACGTGCGGTTCCAGAGCGGTCACTGCACGTCGCAAAAATGCTGGATTTATATTCGCGAATGCGCCGGGTCCCAACTCGGCGATCCGGCGCTCTAAAACGGCGGCCACCAAATGGGCCTTATTCACGCGGGAGAAGCTCCAAAGCAGGTTCAAGCACACTACTGGACTAGCTGAATCCGCCTGTGCTGATAAGTGCCGTGAGATGGCTTCATACAGCGTGTCGCGCGAGTACCGACTTTTGGAACACGCAAAACAGATGTTCTCCAACCACTCCAGGGGCACCAACTCCGCCGATTCCGAAATGCGACGTTCGGCAAAAGCGCAAAGCGGTACGATATCGGCTGTATGCAGGCAACTGTTGAGCAGATACGCCAAGCTCCTGAGACACCATTACGGATACGCAAACAAATGACCAACCTGAAACTCAGTGCAGAAGCACCTTCTGCGGAGATTGCCGCATGCGATAGAAGATTATGAAGTTCGCGATAGGCCTTGTCGAGCTCAGTGTTCCCGCTTAGCTTGAGTTTTGGGCCGTAGAGCATGACGGCCGTGAACATGGGAACCAAGCACTGCTGACTACGAGTGCCGTGACCCAGGTAGAGAACAGCCAATCGGTCGAGCAGCTGTTCAACGCTCCTCTGGAGAACGAAATCGGTATCAGGTGCAGCATCAGTGACTTGGGGTGGGAAAGGGGTATCGTGCTCGTCGCCGGTGAGCTCGAGGTACACCGGGTAACTGAATATGCTTGGATGGGCTAAGATCTGGTCTGAGGAGAGACGAAGCGGGCCTATATGCGACCCCGATACCTTTCTACTATAGCGTACAGATCGTTCTGGCACATCGTCGTCAATCAGACGGCTGAACAGCCCCGAGTATCCCACTTTGCACTGCGGCGTTGTGGCGTCTGTGTTACAATTAGCAACACTCTCAGAGGGCACAGGCCTGTCTCGCAGCACGCTCAAACGGTGATACGGCCGCAGCCTTGACAAGTACCTCAGATAGCGCAACAACGACGACGGCTCAATGGAGTAACTGGTGGGTGCATGCCGACGAGGCGTTGGATCAATTGTGGCGGTGCTGTGATTCCAGACATAGCTCGATGTAACACGCACGTCGTGACCACGCATCACGTTCTGTTCCCGCAGAATCTGGCTGAGAGTCAGTAGCAGCGTTATGCACTTGCTTCGGGTTAGCTCATTGCGGTCGGTGGAGAGGTGCTTTGCATAGTTGTATAGCACTTGCCAATCGTGTCTAGAAGACACAATACCGTCTCTTGCTGCGATAGATGACACCTCACCGCCGCTATTTCGCGTCAGAGAGCCGAAATTGGCCACAGGAGGCCGCCGTGGGCCTCGAAAAACCACGCTCTTGACGGTGACCCTCAAACGGCCAGCAACAGCCAAGCATCCTCCATGCATGACGCTGCACCCCTAACTCACCTTTAGTGGCTGCACATTGAACAAAGACACGGTGGTTTCGCCATTGTGTACGATGTGTTCACAATTGGCGACTCGTCGGCGCTCGCGACTGCGTGGCGGGGGGGTGTCGGCATCCCCGCCGGAAATGCCCAGTAACGTGACTTGCGGTTATCGCAGCGTAGGGCAAAAGCTCTACGACACACATATCAGCCTCCGGAGTGGGATAGGAATTGCCAAGCCAGCCTGTCGATGGCGGCCGCTGCGGAGGAGATAGAGGAGCAGGAGCTCGAGGGACGAAATGGAGACGAGTCAGAAGAGTTTAACTCGGATGACGCGGAGGGGGAAGGAGAAGACGGCGACGAGGATGATGACGATGACGAAGACTCTGACGATGAGTCGGAGTCGTCCTTCGACGAGATGAGCGTCGGTGTCGCACTCGAGTTGCCCAAACGACAGAATCGGGGAAAGAAGTTGGTCGATGTGCTTAGAAACGAACTTTTGCAGGTATACTCAACTTGTAGGTGAGGAATTAGAGAAGGACCAGCAGTTTTGGGGGCACAATACGTGGGAGGAAGAGGCCGTTGACGAGGACTACAACTGCAGCGAGGGAGAGGAGCAATATGCGTACTCCACCGACTCCGACTTCGACGACCCGGAAACAGACGTAGGTAACAAAAACACGCGTTCTAATAGGCACAGAAATCGGACGAAGAGGTGGACGAATCGCAATTCAAGGAAAAGAAGAAGCGCAGGTATGGGTCGTACGTGGATCCTGCTCTACAGCGCAATAAGCTCGTTCGCAAAACCATAGACAAGCAAAACGTTAGTCCATTTAGTCATAAATAAGCACTGTGCAGACGGAAAAAAGCCGTGGCGATGAGGGTGGGCGAACTCGGCGCCAATCGCAGCAGGCCCCGGAACCCGGCGTCAGCCGCTCCGTCAGGGCATCTACCAAGTGGAAGACGGAAATCACTAACGAAATGGAACGCATTCGTGGTAGTAGCAAACCGGCTGGCGGTGCTGCCGCGCAGAAAAAGGCGCCTAAAAAGCGAAGCAGCATGACGCAGGAACAGCTCATGGCTAACGCCCTCAAAACGGAGGCTGCGAACGCTCGGTCACTGGCGAATCTGCAAGCATGGGTTAGTTAAAGTAGTGCGAGAAGGCTAATTTGGCACAGGAAGACGAAAAGAAGTACTACGAAGACATCAAGAAGTGGAACTACAAGGGCAGCTACGACATCTGGGTGTGCTGGAACTCCCTACTGTCTATCGTTACCAAGAACGAGACGGAGCAGGAAGTACAGCCAACTCCTCCTACGCACGTCACGGAGAAGCCGCTCAAGCTGTACATGTTCACGAGCGGGAAGCTGCCCGAGTTCTACAACGAGCAGGAGAAGGCGCGGAAGCGACGAGACTCGGCGAAACAGCCTCTATGTGCCATTACAGGCAAGCCGGCGCGATATGTCGATCCTCTCACCGGGCACTACTACAGCAACGAGGACGCTTACAACGCCATCAGGATGGGTCACGCCGATCGCGAGAACCGGCGAATGGCGGCCGAACTCGACCAGTTTGAAGATATGTTAGAAACGCTGTATGATATCGATTAATTTTGTGTTATAAACAGAATGTGTATACAATTGACGCGGTCTAGTAGACAAACTGCCGTGCCGTGAGACTAGGGTGACGGCGATTCGCTACACCGGATCGCGCCTTGCGGCCGCGCAGAGCAAGGAAGCTCCATCATAACGACACACCTGGCTGCGTTAAGTAAGATGGAGGACGAAAAGGTCGCCAGGCAGCACCCTCTGCCATCGCAGTGTAGCTTCACGATGCAGCAGTGGCTCTACAGGAGAACGCCGCATACCAAGCGATATAAGCGCTGCTACATCATGCTGCATCATAATAGGCTGTACACTTTCCGGAAGCCGCCGCCCTTCCGGGAATGTGACCCCGCGAACATGCCCAGCATCCTCCGTCATGCAACAGCCAGCTGGATGATCGCCGGGGCTGAACTGAAGGCGGAGCCGCACTCAACCGGGGGCCTGTACAAGTGGAGAATCACTGTGAAGCCCATTAAGCAATATGTGGGCGAGATGAACCCGGCTTTGCAAACTGTAAGGAATAATACGGCTCTTTTCGACGCAGAGGAGGCACAGCAAGGCTTAATCAACGATATATTCAAGGATATCGACACCGCAAACAACGCGGCGCGTACAACGAGCAAGCCATACGCGGATGACAGCACAGTATGGCTGGCGACGAGCAACCACAAGGTTGCCTCCGACTGGCTGCTGGCCGTCCTGTTCACCACACGCTACGGGTCACTGCAGAACTTCGTCGAGCAGAACCACGTGCGCAACAAGTACATCGCATACAAACTCCCGACATACCTTCTGCCGATCGAGTTCTTCCCGAAGTCAGAAAATGCGGAGACCATGCCACGCCGGAAGGCTGCATTCACGTTCATGAAACTCAGCATCGTGGAATTGCTACACATATATTCGCCGGCGTACTCGCCAATATGCTGCGTAGTGGAGCATAACAGCAGCTTCCACATCCTCAACCTGCCAAGGCAGTTGCCAGCAACCCATATCGAGGTGCCGAGGGTGATGTCCTACCTGTCAGCCATTGATGAGGAGTCGCACCCGGATGACTTGCGGGTTCAACATCCGGGTGACCGAACGTTACGGATGGTCGATATGCAATACAGCGTGGAGGCAGCGACAGGCAGGGATTCCACACGTGGTTCCACTTTGGACATCTACAAGCATGAGGCGCTCGAAGGTCACGAGGAAGAGCGGCTGAAGGCCAAGGCAACGATAGGGCCGGCAACCGCGGCGCATCAGCAGGGATACAACGTGCTCTCCAAGCTGTGGCACCTTAACAAAACTAGCGACAAGAAGAAGGTGGTCATGGCCAAGCAGTCGTACATCTACGGCGACGAGGCATGCGTATACATACCCATGTATGAGAACACATGCCAGGATTATGTCTGGATCCATTTCATCGCAGCGAACGATGTATACTTGGGGAGTGCGGCGTTATCAAACTGCGATTTCTCGATCAACGAACCCGCAACGCTCAAGACGTGCATGCTCAAACAGATCGAGGCTGTAAATCCGCTCAACCATAAAAGGATAGATATCTCCGACCACCCAAACCCAGAGTCGGTCGTAAACACGTCAACGGCGAATGCTAAGGTACCGGAAGCAGGATACGTTGTGCTTTCCGTAGTCACCCCTAAACATTTCGGCAACTTCTTGGACCCCGTGGCGCTATCTCACAACTCGCCTCAGGAATACATTGCCAATGCCACCAAAGCATCGACTTCTGGGGGCCTACAAATGCTCACTGCGAATATCAAAAGGGTGGTGGCAGCATACAGGAATGCTAGAAGTGTCCTTGGATACATGACGAGAGTCATACATTTCACGGATGCAAGTCTCTCGTTCGCCTGGTTAATTTACTTCATAGCGGTGTTGGGGCTGTATTCAGATAAGTTGCTGCTCTTCATCATCGCGCCTTTGGCGTACTGCTCCCTGAGATGCCACCCGGATTCAGCGCGATGGGTCAAAGACCTGCTGCTTAGGTACCCGCTGCTCATCGCGCTGCTGCCGCAGAGACTCACGGAGAAATTCTTGCTGTTGCCGAAATCCGTCTGCATGGTCTGCACCAAACGGAAGTCCTTTTTGCAAACAAATAGCCACACCGTCAGCGATGTGGTCACGCGCAACATTGCGGCCGAAAAGGTGCAGATGCTCGATGTTAGGATAAAGGGCTACATTTCGTCGTATGGCAAAGGAAGTCCGAAGGAACAGACTCAAATCGCGCGAATCGAGCACCGAGAGCCTCCCGTGCTCACGGAAAAGCAGGCCATGAATACATACGTCTCCTACACTGCCCATGCCGGCACCCGACATGAGACGTGCAGCCACAGGGGTGTCTTGCATACGTATCTCGCCGGGCTCTTCCTCAATCAGATGGACACGGGGTCGTTGTCCAATCTGATGCAAACCGATGGGAAGACGATGCTTCGTGCGATACACACGATCTTCTACCACCCACCACCATATCCGTGGGAGGTCGTACCGTTCGTGCAGAATGTAATACTAACCATCAAGTATTTCGCCATGACCGCATTGCTAACGTTTGCCGGAGGGATTAACGACATACAGACGCTGCATCTGCTCCACAGAAACAGAGTGGCCACGAAGCTGAACGTCGAGGCTGTCGCTCAACACAGCGCCGTAGCGCAACAGGCTCAGAGGGAACAACAGGAGCAGGAACTGAAGACAAACAACGTTCCTCCAGTCACTGAGATCACTGAGTGGTATGAGAACGAGCGAAAGTCCGTATTTGGCATATACAGCAAGGATAACCTCAGATTCTACGACAGGCCGCATTTGTCGGCCGAGGATGGCGGAAAGGTGGTGATACCAGACTTCATGCTCTACCATTCCAAGATTGTGATAAACAAGGACACCGATGAGAATGGGTGGGTGTATGCGAAGAACTGGAACTCTGTATGGAGCAAAGAGTCCCACGCTTTTACGTTCGTCAGGAGGCGTAAATGGGCCGTCACCGACCGATCTTCGTCCAACCTAAATCAAGGCGCACAGCGAAGCATGGTACGGGTGTTGACGCTGAGCCCAATCAGGCGATTTGCGGCACCACCGGGTACAACCCGCAGGAGCAACGCCAAAGTAGACGCGGAAAGGGATACACAGCCGCACGACCCGGTTCACATCAAGGATCATAGGCACAATAAGCCGCGTGTCACGGTCTACACCGGGGGTACAAAGGCGCTCGACATCGACCAGCACCATGTAAAGGATCCTTCAGGGATCGAGTCGATCAAGACCGACACTTCAACTAATCGGGGCGACCCTAACATGTCCCCAGATGGGAACCAGGACGACGGTGTGACAAGTATTGCTCTACCTAAAAATGCATATGACGTGAGTCGAAACAAACGGCACAGTTCTGGTTCACGTGCTGGGAGGTTTAGGGCATTTGTTGCTATTAAGAGGGGTATATATCATTTCAAGAAGTCGCCACAGAACACCACGGAGACGTCACCAAGCCACGGCAGCAGATCGAAACAACAATACGGCGAATCGAAATGTCGCTTCAACTTCCTCCGGCTGAAGAAGCGATCGAAACAGAACAGCGGAGAGGATGCTGAGGAGTTGGACAGTGACAGGGAAATAATACCTTATGAAGAACAGACGGAGTCACCCCGGGAAGCAGCGGACATATCCTTTTCAGAACCGTTTCCCGTAGCGCTCGACAGATCAGAGGTCTACGTGGAGTCTGGAAACATGGAGGAATGGATGACGGACGCCGAGGAGGAGGAACCCGAACCCACACCACCCCGACGCAACTGGTTACAAAACATTTTCACGTTCGCGCTCACACTGCTGCCGTGCGTGGTGTTGGATATGTTTAAGGTCATTTTCACTGTTACTTGGATATTTATCTCGTGCTCGTTTACACGGACACAAAGCATTCCGTGGCAGGATGAAGACACTGTCCTTGAAAGCAAAATACGGCCTACCGCGCACGTGGCCGCCTCAGGTGGAATGCATTTAGGATGCGTGCTTACGGAACATTCGGGCAAGTACAGCTTTCATATACGAAAGCCCAGGAAGGGGTGTTTCATGGGCAGAACTAAGATGCGGATTTACAGCGCAGCAAAGGGGCACCGATGCAGGCTACAACCCTTCTCCAAATACAGGCAAATCGCGCGATCTAACGTCATATTCCTTCACACAAGGCAATCGCAGCTTGCTCAAGCGGAGCACGACCCGGAGGACGACGACTTTGAAACCTCAATGATTTCTGAGGATGAGGCACAGGCACCGGACGAAACACCGACCCGGATGATCAGCGCTGACGTACAGGAAACCGAGGAATCCGACAGCGAGGAAACATCCTCCGAGTCTAACAACAGCGACGGAATTGTGTACCAATTTTCGTTGGAGACCGATTGGGGGGACGTTGACATGAGCACCATCCGCGTGGAGAGCAAGGATTCTCAGGACTCCGACAGCGCCAGAATCGAGGCCGCCGCAAGTTCACACGAACAACACAACAGACGAGGAAGACTGTACTCCTACTTCAAAAGCATCTACGTGAACAAGATCAGGAAGCGGCAGCCCGAATTTTCGTGCGACCCTGAGCTCGAAGCGGAGGACGCCAAGGAGCTGTCTGACTACGATGAGGTTGAGAGCGACGAGGAAATGGAAACCGAGCACAAGGTCACGATGTTAGGCATGCTGAGGAAGGCCAGGGACCAAATCGTCATCGGCAACTACTACCTCAACCTGTTCGCCATGAGGTACGAGAAGTTCCTCAACATGTTCTCATGGCGACATCCCAGGGTGACGCAACTCATCATGCTGATGTGCGCCGCCCTCGCCATCGGCAACTACTTCTTCGGAGTGAGCACCATGCTGCTGGTGTACGTGCTCTTCTACTTCAAGTCTGGATTCGTCGCGGGGACGTGGGAGCGGAACATCCGCCTCGCTGTTGAGAGGCACATCGATTCATGCCTGGACGACCTCGACATACATCGGCCACTGTGGGATCTCAACAGCCGCCAGGTCGCCGCGGTTACGAAGGCCATCCACGCCTTCTCTCAAGTCGAGGTGCCAACCACGCTCATCCGCGAGTCGGCGACGCGATGGGACGTCGCGCAAGCCGTGACGGCAAAGATAATCGAGCAAAAATTGTGTATGAACTGGGAGCGGCGCGGGTGGTTCAGAAACCTCTTCCGGCACTCGCCCACTCACCTTGACCGCTGACGCGCGCAGCAACAACAACACTCACTAAGATGGAGCTCGCCTTTTTTAACGCGAACTATGGCTACCTGGAGGGCGTGGTCAGAGGGTACCGTTCCACCTTTTTGAGTCCAATGGACTACAAAAAGATGAAAATGGCGGAGAACCTCGACGACCTACGTACCATCCTAGAGTCCACCGATTACGGCCCGGTGTTCTACGATGAGCACGGGACCATGAACTCGTCCATGATTGCGAAAAAGTGCAATGAAAAGCTGGCGAACGACTTCGCGTAAGTTCGTAGCAGAGCGTACACATCGCTGCCTAGGTACCTGCGACAGCAGTCGGACGGCGATCTCGCCACTTTCCTCGAGTTCGTAGCGTTAGTGAGACCCTACTTTAACCAACACAACACGCAGGAGGGAGAAAATGATCGACAACCTCATCGCACTGTTACAGGGGGTCAGCAACAAGAAGTCTCCCGAAGAGCTCATGGATCGTATTGACCCCATCGGCTGGTTTCAAGGCATAGAGACGCTCATGGACGCCGAACTGTGCCAGTCTGGAGAAGATCTGCATCGCATCATACTTTGTGACACCCCAATAGGTGAGGGTGAAGGCCGTTAGATGTCAACATGAATGCAGGGAAGTATTTCGAGAAATGTCTACCTAGCTTGTCCATGGGAAAAGGGAACTCCGTGTTGGACCCCTCTTCCATAGCCTTGCTCAAAAGCTTCCTCAAGAGGGCGTGGATAGAGGACTTCTACTACTTCGTTACCTCACTGGGCGGCACCACCGCACAGGTTATGGGACACATCCTCCGCACGGAAGCAGACTTCAGGGACCTGGCGCTCACTCTCAACTGCGTCAACCTCAGCAACGGAAGCCCGGTTGTGCAGGACCGCAACAAGCTGTACACCAGCATCGGCTACCTGTATCCCTACGGCACGGAACGTCTGTGCAAGGCCTACAACGAGGCGACGCTTCAGCAGGCGCTGGCCAGCTACCCGAAATACGCAAGGTTGTATGAGATGTGCAAGATGTCGCTCAGCAGGGTATGTGCGCCGATTGGGTAACTAACCGTGTCCCTCAGGGTGATACCAGATCCACCAAGTTCGACGCCAGCGAACGCTCCCTGGAAGACCACTTCTACGCGGAGAGCGCGCAACTCTCCGAGGAGTGCTTCGAGCAGCAACTGCACTTCGGCATCTTCTATGCCTGGGTCAAGCTCAAGCAGCAGGAGATCCGCAACATCGCGTGGATAGCCGACATGATACTGCTGAAAAGGCCAGAGCAGTTCGCCAGGGTCATCCCCGTGTTCCAACCTCGGATTTGAGCGGGCTCATCAAGGCCGAGGAAGACAACTGTATTGTACTTTTAGCGAATAACAGCTTGTAACTTTTGTAAATGTAAAACTGCATCTGGCCAATGGCGCTAAGGCATATATATCGGGGTCTATATGTACGTTTGTGTACAAAACATATTTGCGATAGGCGGTCTGCGTGGCTGGGCAGACAGCGGAAGTCACTACGCCGCGGCACGGGACCAAATGGACTGCCAGTGCTTGTTGCTACCCAGGGCCTTCTGCATCGAAGCCACCTGCTGCTTGAGCGCCTCGTTCTGGTTCAGAGACTCGTACAGCTGTCGCTTCAGCGTCAGCAGCATGGATTCGGAGGCGCCGTCGTTGGTCAATATGGGCTTCAGCGCAGACACGTACGATAACTTGTTGTACCAAGTGTGGTCGGAGGTCTTGTAGATCAGAGCTTCAACAAGTCCGTCGAACTTCTCCTGGTTCATCCAGATGGGTTCGCGGACGTCCAGGCGGCACGACTCAGGCTGGAAGATCCAGTCCAAACGCTCGAGCGCCTGCAACACGTGCACTCGCAACAGTTTTCACACCCACCAGGCTCAGAAGACGCTTGGAGCGCGGCAGTTCCAACTTGTGGCCGCTGATGGATGACAGCAGCTCGTTGAAGAGGTGCGTGCGACAGTTTATGTACGATGCACGAGCGAGAGTGACAGATACGCGGAATTCCTCCTGTGCCGCGTTCACTCTGAACATGAGTTTGTCAAGTTTGGGCAAAAGTATGCATACCGATCACAGAATGCCTGGTGCTCCTCGGGCCTCATCTGGTGGCACGTTTCGTAGTACTCAACCTGAATGCGAATTAGCACGGAGACGCAGAACGTGCAGCGTACCTTCAGGTCGTTGCACAATATCCAGTGCATCAGCATCTCATATATCGTGCTGTGGTAGAGCAGCTCCTCCACGCGCTCGTACTCCAGGTTCACCTCACGCTTGTAATTGTGGTACTGGTTGGTGATGCGTGCGTTGTCCTTTCGCAAATTCTTCACTTCACGCCGGAGACGAGAGACATCAGCCAACGTGGACTTGTAGTCTTGCCTCAACGCCTCCTCCGTGCTGTTTGCTGACGACCGACCGGCGTCCCTCGAGGTCTCAAGCTCGGACTGAAGGTTCGTCGTAAGATCCACCAGGTGCTCCCGTTCCTCTTTCAGTGCGCGGATCGTTCCTTCGCGTACATTGGAGTCGCTCTCCAGGGATTGTATGCGGTCCATGCAGCGCTCCAGCTGCGAACGCAAGGCCGCATTCTCCTGCATCTGCATGGCGGTACTCTCCGAAAAGGCCTGCTTGTTACTCGCGTACTGCGAAAACAACAGGGTGTTGTCCAGACGCAGCAAGTCCTTCTGCTGTGCCAGCTCCTCGCGAGAGTAACGCAGCGATTCGATGGTGTGGGCGACGTCACCAGCAGTGACGCCATCGTCACCGCAACCGTCAACCAGGGAACGCACATACGTCAGACTACAGCGCCGAAACTGCGTACATGCATACTGCGCATCCTTCACGCTCGGGTAGTGTATGGCCAGGAAGGCCGAATCCTCATCTACGGCCAATCCAGACATGCAGGTGTGTACCTACCTCGGCTCTCGAAAAAGTAGAGCAGGGCGCCACAGCTCTCGTCGGACGAAGCGCAGCCTATAGGCAGTGTCATTCCTGGTTTCGCAGGGAGCAGCTCAAGGCGAACGTGCTCCAGTACCCATGCCATAGTAGGCACTCGAGCGGCGGAGCCGACACACACCTCCGGCTCGAACAGAAACAAGCCATTGCCACGCGTCTCCAGTAACACCTCAGACCAATGTGTACCGGAAAACACGTCTTCCTCGGCAGCGCGGCCAGGGCGCATACCGCAGCTCATGTTCACGTGCGCAGTCGCCTGGAACCCGGCAGGCCAGATAGCCTGCCAATAACGCCACAACGCAGTGGGCAGATGCATTGGATATTTTTATACAACTTTTACTAATGGCAGCAGACGAACAGAAAGCGCCCGCCGCGGCAGCGTCGAGCCTGCCGTGCGATGCGTTCCGCGAACTGCTCGCGCATAGTACCGCGCTGCTCGAGGCCGCGGTTGCCAGGGGCGACGGACGCTACGTGGTCAGGCTTATGCGCCACTTCAAGACGCTGCGCAGCCTTCTCAAGAACTACACCTCGTCCACCCTGCCCGTGCTCAGACAGTCGATCGCGGTATACGCCAATGGCTCTCCCGGCTGCAGCCTGGCATCGCTCGCACTCGAGCTTCTCAAGGAGGACGTCGTCATGGCGCCGACGAAGGAAGGCGACGGCAACGTGAGGGTACACTACACCATGGCGCCCATGCTCGGCATCGAGGAGTTCCTCGCCAAAAACACGAACCTCGACGAAACCAAGATACTCCTACTCACCCTTGCGCTCATATATCTCATGGACACCGCGCAGATTGCGGAAGCCATGCGCCTGGCCGAGCAGTTCGCGCAGTACGTGCTGGACTTCAAGAAGAGGTCGATCGACCGCCTGGCCGCGAAGGTGTACTTCTACTACTCCCGGGTGTTCGAGCTGGGAGGACGGTTGCCAGAAACGAGGACGCTCCTGATGAGCGCGTATAGGAAGGCGTGCCTGCACCACGAACCCATGACAGAGGCCGTTACGCTGAACTGCGTCATGAGGTACCTAGTGCAGCACAGACTCTACTCGGCCGCCGCGACGCTCCTGAGCAAGACATCGTTCCCCGACAATCTCAGCTCCAATGCGCAATACGCAAGATATCTCTTCTACTACGGAAAGATACTGGCGGTGCAGCTGGAGTACTCGGAGGCGTATAACAAGCTAATGCAGGCGCTGAGGAAAGCGCCGCAGTCGGACAAGACCGCGTTCGGGTTCAAGCTGGCGGCGACGAAAATGACGATTATCGTCGCGCTGCTCATGGGCGACGTGCCCAGCAAGAGCACATTCACAAACCCGCAGATGAAGGGGAGCCTGGCGCCATATGAGAAGGTGGTCATAGCCGTAATGAACGGCGATCTCGCAGCGTTCTCTAGCGTGTGTGACAACCACAGGGCGCAGTTCGAGAAGGATGGCACCCTCTTCCTAATCGCACGACTAAGGCACAACGTCATCAAGGGTGGGCTGCGGAAAATCACCCTCGCCTACTCCCGCATCCCCATCGAAAAGGTTGCGCAGAAACTGGGAATCAACTCCATAGAGGACACGGAATGCATCATAGCGAAGGCGATACACGACGGCATTATCGATGCTACCATTCATCACGATGAGAAGTACATGCAGTCGAAGGTAAGACGACGAACGAGAGATTCTAACCAGCTCCTGCAGGCCAACGTCAACATATACGCGAGCGACCAGCCAATGAGGGCGTTCCACAAGCGCATCAACTTCTGCCTGAAGCTGCACGCCAATGCCATACAGGTAATGCATCACATGTACAATGCACTGGACATCTTGAAATGCAAATGCGCTATAAATGCCGTGCAGGCTATGCGGTACCCAGACGAGCCAGATGTTATCAAAAACCAGACGCCGAGCGACGCCCTTGACGAGGAACAGATTGCAGCGGTAGGTCGTAGGGGCACGCCAGTCATGATGTGGCAGATCGTTGAAGAAGAAGGGCTCGGTGACGGGGATATACTCTAACACCGTCGCTTGTTGTTAATGTGGGCCTACGTTGTTTGCAGAAGGATGCGTGGATTACACATCCGCCGCGAATGAACGCCTCTGCAACTATAATAGGCTCCACCAAACGCGCTGTAGAAATTTAATTGACTCACAAATGTGCCACCTGAGTAGCGGAAACATTAGCGATGCCGTAACCACCCGTAACGGCACCACGTACGTGAGGGCGAAGGCAGGTGACACACATTATGGCTAAAGGGGACAGCACATAAATCGCAAATAAATAGAGACGCCAGGGAGAACAAAATAGCGTAATGTACCGTCAACGCTGAAGATAATGGACGATGACGAAACGAGCAGCTCAAGCGATTCTCCCGCAGACAGGCACTTCGAAGACGCCTACGATGCTGCATCTGGCGAATATATGGACTCAGAGGGCGTAGAAGGGGATACAGAAGCAATAAAAAATATATACTTCTGCCCCTTGGCGGATTCGCAGGAGTACAGAAGCCCGTACCAGTACTCTGACTCATGTGACAGCGGCGGATGCGACCAGCAGAATAGCAACGACGAAGACACCGACTCAAACGATAGTTCGCCCCATTACGAAACTGTCGTGCAACCACAGGTCTTCGAGCACGTTCCTGATCCCCCGTACACGAGCGTGCCCGGCTACGAGGACTCAAAAATATATGAAGACCACAACGATAGCGCCAGCGACGAAGATTCAGTTGAAGAAGGCGTAAGGAATCAGCTAACAGACGAAGGCTCCGTAGAAGAAACAAGCTCTAGTGACGATACCACTACAGAAAATTCGTCAGCAGAAACAAGTCAATCAAGTGGGGAAGACAGCAGTGGAGAGAGTGCGTATCAGCCCGTAGATGATACCCAGTATACGCAGTCATCTATATCCGTAGGCACCGGGAGGGACGATAACCCTCGTAATGTTATTTCAAGTTGCTTAGCTGACGTCCGCTGTAGTATATTGCAGAACGAAATCAGGATACTCAGGAACGAAAAGGCTGACTGGGCGGAAAGGGAGCGGGAGCTTGTGGAACGCGTCCAACAGGCGCATGAAGATTTAAAAGAGCAGAGAAAGAAGCTGCTGGATGGGCAACGGAAGGCACGCGCACTGGAGCAGGAAGTTGAACTACTACACTGCCGATACAAAATCAGGCAGGAAACCTTGGAGCAAAGCTACAAAACGCTGTGCGAAAACGTTCGCCTGACTGAGCAAGCCTCGTTAAAAGCGAGGCTTGACCTCAGAAGGCTTCAAACGAAGAATATGTTGTTAGAAGAACTTCTTCAAACCAAAACGGTGGATTATGAAAGGTTAGAGCTTATGGCATCGCAGTCCTCACGACCAACTGGCATACAACCAACTTCTGCCCCTTCATCCGGGGTGTCATGCGACAACCGCAAACCTGACGACACCGCCATGGCGATCTGTGACGGAAAGGACTGCCAGGACAACGGTCCCGTATCTGATGGACCTGCCATTGACGCCAATAACGTTGATGCATCTGAGCCAATATGTGGCGACGACCTTGATACAGAAAATGAACAAGATAAGTCGTGTTCGCTACCTGAAGAGCAAGATGCAGTATCCAGAAGCGACAGCTGTGCAGAAGACTCTCGTTCGGTTGCAGCCAGTGAAGAACGCACATCTGATCCAGGGGATGTAGCGGCATCGCAACCACTGCTACCAGATTCCAACAGAGACACGGACACGCTACAAGAGCTCGGTCAACTCATGAAGGTACACCTAAAGCAAATGATCGGCTGCGCAAAAGAAGCAGAGAAGCAAATGCGGGAGGCTGTGGACGCCCAAATGGAAGAACTTAAGGAATTGCTCCAACAGACTCGTTCAGATCTGGCATACAAGACAGAAGAATGCAACGTACTAACAAGAACTCTTGAAGGTCTGCGATCGGAACTGGAGATTGCCAAGAGCAACTTTTTGCAAAGTTTTGATGCACAGCAGGAAATAAAAGGAAAGTACGAGTGCAAACTGCTGGAAATGGAAAAGCTGCAAAAGGACGCAGATGCGCTCCTTTTGCAATATGAGGAGGCAAAGCGGGTACTGGGTTCAACTGTGTTACAAGAACGACAACAAAAGGCTGCATTCGACGCATATGTCAAGGATACGGATATGAAACTCCATAAGATGGAGGTGATGCTGTCTGCTAATGGACCGAGAGCTGGACCGGTAGGCGCATTTGGTAGAACAGAGCCAATAGGAACTACCAGCGAACCAACGGCAAATGGAAATTCTACGAAGTCGGCTCTGACAGGACAGGGCGCCAACAGTCAGAGTACGGATTTAATGGCTCATGTTGACATCGGTTATAGCAGCGGGGCAAGGAGTTGCGCATCGGAACAACTGGCCAAGAAATGCTTGCCAACAGGAACAAATAGCTCAAACGAAAGCAATGAAATGAAACTGAAGTGGGCTATGGGAAATTGCAGCCCGCATCGAAGTAATCTGCAAGAAGGGGATGGCAATGTGTGTTGTGTCAATGACACATCAAACGCTGAGGGACAAACCGACGTGATTAATGACGGGGTGAAATGTATGCTGCCGCCATCACTATCGCAAGCAGGTGCAACCGATGCGCGTAAGATGCAAGAAATGTTTAAGGGCGTCGCTGTCAAACTACTCAGGAAGGTCGAAACCCTCACCGAGACACTGACGCAGCAAATGGTCCGGGCATTTGACAGCGAAAAACGGGTAAAAGAACTAGAGTGCGGTGTCAAGTCCGTTTGCCTATGCCGCAAATCACTCGAGCGGGCCGAGGCCACCAAGCGGAAACGCTGCTGGTGCAAGTATAAGCGCGTTGCAGAACTCAGACGCCATGTTGCACATGCCGCGCTAGAGCTGGACAAAAACACCATTTCAGCTGTATTGGCAGGTGAATTGGGCGGTAAAAAACGTAAAATCGCGCTTCTAAACCCTACACAGTAGAGCACCTCTATAGTGCGAAAATAAAACCAGAGCGGGAAATAATGCTAAATTATTATTATTACGCATTAGCTTGTATAATGGGGCATACGCGCGTGATTGGTGCAAACGAAACATGACCGCATGGCACGTCAGACAATTTTAAACACAGCTTAGGTGGCGCCACACCGCCAAGCACCATGCACGCCTCATACGCCTGAGAAGGCATAGAGCGTTATAAAACGTGATTTATAAGTTGAGGGTCCCTACACAATGTCTGGTGCACGAAGATTGAAAGATGCGACGTCGGCAGAACCCGCCAACATGCATCCCGATCGCGATTAGACACTGGGAATCGTATTTGCCCTCACTTGACGGGCGCAAGATGCTAGGTGAGGGTTGTATGTATTGAGTTAGAGTTAACTATGTTGAAAAATTAAAATGGTTTCGTGATGATTTGCATGGTGGCTACTGAATGGGGAACCTGACGCAAAATCGGGTGTTGTCGAACTGCATTTACGGTTCTCATGAGGTCCCCACTTAATAGAAAGCCCAATATCCAGCAAGATCATAGAGCACGGCCAGTACTTGCTCATCCACGGCACTCAACGCCTTAAGGAGATTTACACTACTCACATCACCTTGGCATTCCGGCTCTTTGTAACCCACAGCTTTCAGTATCTCTCCCAAATGCTTCTCCTCCTTAGACTTCGGCTTTTTCTTGTTTGCAATTTCGGTTGCATCCTTCAACGAACGTAGGCCTGTGTATAGCATTGGCGCAATACCCACGAGGATCACTGCGCAAGCTTCCGGATCTTTGGCACACGACGCATCCCACGTCGCTCTTCCGCTGTAAGTAGGGTTATACCATTTAGGGTCCTTTATATCCTCCAAGAACTTTTCAGTGCCATACAAAACTTGAGCCACGTTCGCTGCTACAACTTCAGGCTTGGCACGTCTGGTCTGTATGACGTTCTGATAGTCGCTTTCCATTATATTTCCAAAGTACTTAGCGAGCACGCCGGGTTTTTTATTCAAAGGTGCTTTGAACCTACCAAGCAGCTTGCTTACGAACGGCTGGTCCTTAAGCTCCGGCTGCTCCAAGAACTTCTGAGAAATACGTTTAACATTCTCCAGAGCTGGCAACACCGTAAAGCCAACCGGGTAACGCGAGAGCAGGCGGTGAAGTGCGGCACCAAGAGCCACTACATTCTCTACAGCATCGCCTTCCTTCAGGGCTATCAACCAGTCAATACCCTCCTTGAGGTTGCGAGGAGCCTCCTTCAACGTGTCGAATATCATTTTGTGATGATTCGTTAGATCGTGCGATTCATATACGTGTAAGAAATATTTGGTCTATTTATAGGCCAATTTGCAAAGCAGCCCGCGTATTTCAACAGCTGTGCCTTAAAGGCGGACGATCACAACAGCGCTGTTACCTTCCAATACACTTGCGCCCTATCGCAATCTGCAATCCCGTATATACACCAAACAGGCGAACTTAGGAAGTGCGATGACGACCAAGGCGCCGTGTTGCAGCTAGCTCCACACAATTAAGATGACATGCATTGCGCAGAACGCGAGTCATTGGCGTACACAAGTTTCAGGAAATAACCGCACGTTATGGGCCTGGATATGTTAGTACAATTTTAAGTGAGTGCTGGAGTTTAAAATGTTACCACGGGCTGCGGAGTGTAGGTTACAGCGCCCATGGGCAATCGCGTAACGTGCTCGTCGTTAACACAGCAGTCACGTGATCAGGAATGTGAACACGACCTACACAGTGTTTCGCGATTCACATACTTGCTCTTGCTTTAAGTGGTTGCAGCACCTTTAGCTTGGCACCTGTGTGGGCCGCCGTTGCCAACTTTTGTGCCATGGTATTCTGTTGGAGGTTGCGATTTTTCGCGCGGTCAAGTCCAATTAACAACTTCATGTTGAGACAAATTAATTCACCATAGTTACAAAGAGCTTATTCTCCCGGCCATGGTCATCGGTTCCTGCGGAATCCAGCGCACTAGCGTGTTTGGGGCTGCTGTGTGTATGCGGACGATGTTGTGTGTATGTGCGTCGCCACCATACGCAGGCTCTGGGGACTAATTTGCTTATTTGTGCATATAGTTTAGAGCTTTACTCTGCAGGAGTTTTGTCTTACACCTTGCGACTCCGACGCCAAGTGTCAGACACCCTAAGCGAATTCCGAATTTCACTGTCGGGATTCCTGAACTATAATTGCCCACATTCCCGTACAACATTTCGTTGTTCCAATGTGTGCTAATTTTAATTTCAGCGGAGCGTTATTCTTCCCGCTTATGTCAGCACCTTCCCACCGCATTCAGCGGCCACGCTACTGGTGTAACGGCAGCTGGCTGCGTGGTCCACGGCACCGCATTAGGATGCCGTTTACATACACTCAACTTCATTTCTTGAAGACGCCCAAACAACAGGCACCATGTCATCCACTGGCCCAGTAGATGGCACACTGCCTAACCTAGCATGGCACTCCCAGGCTACAGCCATGGGTGATCATCCACATTTCCACCAAAATAAACTATGCAAATGCTCCTGCTACATTACCTTCTAGTTGCCATCAGTAGGTGTGCTACGTGAGTGGTTACTGGAAGGAGTCGTACAGAATGGTTGAAGCGTACGTAGATGTTGAGATTGTTTTCATGAATATTTTACCGCCGTATTTCTTCTAGGTAGACTCGGTCAAAGTGAGTGCCCGTGCTACCACTGTGCTGTAACGATTCCCGCGGTACGAAGGACCAATAAGACGGTCATTCTTCGTTGGCGTTATGTGAATCTTGAGGCGGAAGCTGATGTGTTCCATGGCGAGCGTCTGCGTTGCGGTCTGCTACTCTAACATCGCTACATACCTTCACTATTCAATATTTGAAGACGCTTACGAATAAACTTATCCAATACAGTCGTGGCCACAGTACCGGTAAAAGAATTGAGCATACCGCCAAGGAAGGGATTGATGGGATAGATAGCAGAGGCGACGTAATTGCCCATGGCAGCGCCAAATATAGCACCAGCACTGATGTCACCGCTTATAAAATTTTCATTAGGTGCTTCATCATGAAGAATACGTTGCGAACGACGGATAAAACGACGGAGAAACCCAATACGAGAGCTAACGCGTTCAACATCATCTCTTATACGAAGCGTAGCAAGGATACTAGCCCTACGAAGCCTACGAAGCTTGCTAAATCTACGAAGCCTCCTAACCCTACTATCCCTACTAACCCTAGGAAGTCTAATAAATATACGACGGGGGCGCCGTCTATTGCTTTCGCCAGCTGTAATGCAGTTGCGAGGGATGCAGGACGGTGAAATGCTTCGTAGACTGTCTGACTCCGTGAGGCAATCTCGCAGCGTCATGGGACTACGGGACGAAAACGGCGCCAAAAGCTGTTCACAGCAATTCTGCGAATCCTCTCTATCCCTTGGCCTGCCATCTTCACCATCCCTATCCGCACCGGTAGAAGTAGACCGTGCCAGATTTGTTGGCGCTTTCTCTCCCCCAAACGAGTCCATCTTGGTCTTATTGCCTTGACTAACCATCACGTGAAGTAATTAGCGAATCAATTTTAGTTGGATGGTGACTCTTGAATTGGAAATACGGGTACAGGGTACGGTTCAGGTGTACCCTGGTAGCTGTGCTTCCAAAGCTAGCCAAGCTGACACACGGTTAGTATAAACAGCTAACAGACGCACCTAGTGGTTATTGTGGCGGTATAATTTGAAGCAAATACAATCAACTTTAAGAAAAGAAGAAGAGTGTTGAGATTCCACCCAGATCAACCCCCGCCATTCGGCCACCACACCAATCTCCCCCTCTGCAACAAGCTTTTTCCACTCTGCAGCACGTTTTTTCACGCTTCCAAGCCGACAGATGCGGTACAGTCCGAGATTACGGCCTTAGCATTTACTATTATGTCGTCAAAAATTCCCCTCAACTAGGCCTTCCCGTAGTCACATCGGTACCCAGGCATCTTCCAGCTCAACGCGCACAGACGCGCCAATATACACACTCTAGGTGCGCAAACAGCCACTTCCAACCCAAACACTCAGCTAACAGATTGTTAAACGCCGGCACTATTTTGCCACTCCCAAAATCCAGAATCGGACGGCCAACCTGCTGATTCCACTCCGCATAGTACGTGTCTGCCGGCCTGCTCACCACCGCCCATGAACTGCATAGCACCGGCCATAGTGCAGCGGTGCACGACACACAATCCACATTTTGCCATTTTCGAATGGGAAGATGCCTTGAAAGCGCCCATACTACAACCTCGGGTGACATTTCAGTGCTTGTAGCTGCCATCGGCGTGGCGGAGCGTACGCCGACATTAAAAACTAAGCATCATGCGGTTGACGACAGATGTGGGATGATCTATCGATTGTCTCGCAATGGCGCATCGTCATAGCTTGTTAGGTCCACGGAATGGTCGTCCCGGGGGAAAGCAATGAGTTCCTTCAAGGAGGCTCGTAAGGATTTTTCAGACAAGATTTCAAGGCACTTTCGAAGCAGTATAGTGTCGACCTGATCAGTGATGCGTAACTTACAAGGCTGCATTTACCTCCTCCAATTGTGGTGCTTGTAGCAGGCAACCTGGAACCTGTGCCTCCGAATACTCCAGTTGCGAAAGCTCTTGGGGACTTGACCAGGTGCACACAGTGCTATCAAAGAGTTTGAAGTTGGAGCGTGCATTGTGTGATAGTAAAGTTGCACCTGTTGGAGAGTGAATTACTCAACCGCTTGCGAATATAGGAGCTGAAGTTGCAACCATGTCACGCCTTATGCAAACGGCGCCAGACACTGAACTCTCGGAGAGTCGCCGGGAAGGCCGATCACTCCGCGACTTCATGGCGCGTATTAGTAACCTCTACGACAGCCGTTGCGTTCATAGTCTCAACAACGCATGCTTTATGATTAAAGCCTCGCGCCGATCGCTGCAGATTGCGAATTCGATCCGTCCAAGTTACAGTTCCCAGTACTTGTCAGGAACATAACGACTGGAGTAAATTCTGAGTTGAACATTGCTCATGTCTTCGGTGCCGTGGAGTGTGTGGTGTGCACATGCTCACCCACTGTGCACTGCACCCTCAATAGAGCCCCCTAGAAGCATGCTCGATGCTAAACGATGTTACCTAGCAAACCCTGAGGGAAACATACTGTTCTCTGTCTATACTGCGATGTCTCAGCAGGCGCCTCCTACAACGGCCATCTGCGCAGCCCACGTACCGTTGTTCATTGCGTTGTATACTTGTTTCAAATGACTTTGCATCCTTACGAAGAAGAACATTGCCGATGTAAAGTATAACCTCGTTCTACTGGAATTGGTTATTGCTGCCAGAGAAAGGGTTGCCGATCTGGAGAGCGGTGCAGATGATGTTGTTGTACATGCGGCGATCCGCGTAAGGAAACTTGTTGCTGCTTCCCCCTGTGTTGCGACAAATGCGCGCCGTATGAGCAGTGCAGCGAATAGACTACGTCCTTGCTGAATAGAGCTGCGGAGGTGGAGCATACAATTGGAGCGATTGAAAACATGGCTTTAATATTATACGATGCAGTGTAGTCAGTTGCCTTATCCGATGCCGGTAAAGGGTTTTTAGCAACGAATGATGCTGTTGAGGCGGGATTGGCTGTAGCTATAAATTTCGGTGAGTAAACATTCTCATTGATGAAAAGTATCTGGTCGTTGGACGAGCGTGCATTCATGTGGCACTTGGCACTTGGCACATGGAACGTGGAACGTGGAACGTGGCACATGGTGTATAAAGTTTATATAGTGCCTTGAGTAACCACTGCAGTCTGGTTTTCCGTCTCGGCTCACCAGTGATTTCCTTCGTGGCTTATTATTTTGGCTCTGCCGCATTTAGACAGTCACCAACAATCCATATGTCGCTTGTTGCAGTGATGGCAGGCAACATTGATTCTTCATTCTGACTAATAGCCGGACGAATGGTGCGAATCACATCACGATTCGGTGGGAAATTGCCATACGCTGAGCCACAAACGGGATGTGCAGGGGCGCACTCTGGAGACAAAAAAGCGAAACGGCCGATCATGTGTAACATATATGCGCCTATAACCACCATAGGCGCACATCAATTAAACTTTATACCATCGGATGTTGCTGTTGCGCGCTCATCGCAGCACAGTGTTACACATTGCGTCCGTGTATCTACTTAGTGGGTTACAAGTGAATGGATACGTGATAGTCTTAATTTTTGCATATTCTGGAGACATACGACTCACATCTATCGGTATGGACATTGTGATATGCGCCGTTCTGTTGTCGAACTTCTATGACACCACTCCAATGGATCCGTGCACCGGCATCCATCGCCGCCCTACGGGGCACAGCAAGTATACAATTCGTAAGACTGATCGTTGAGCAATCCACAGCAATGAACAACACGATCATGACTGCTAGTTCATGGGGTAAAACAATAGCGCGTGTATAGAGGAGAGTTCATGCGATAAAAGCCCTCGTTAAGTGATGCGAGGTATAGGCGTTGACACGCCTTGCGATTAAAGGTGCCTAGATTTCAGAAACCCATGACGCCAAACTTTGCCAGACGGCACTAATCGTCATCCGTTTGAGAAGGTATGAAGAGTTGTAGAGCACTATTCACAAATTGCTAGTGTATCCACAACACGCCTGTCTGGTATACGGGCATTGAAGCGTGAGGTTGACATGCAGCTCACCAGTTTGCATCCCGATCGCAATTAGGCGCTGAAAACTGTGTTTTGTCTTCATTATACGACAGCTACTTGATGGATAGATACTATATATAAAACTGCCCATAATTACATTTCACAAGTCACAAGTGTTTCGTGGGAGTTCGCCGACGGCTGCTGAGTGGGGATCCGGGCAGAGAATCTGCTCTTGTTGATCTGCTTCTACAGTTTTGCAAGATTCTGAGGATTCGTGACCTGATGATGATGCATCTGCTTCTAAACGGTTTTGAACCCTATAGAACGCCCAGAAACCAGAGAGGTTGTAGAGAGTCTCCAATTCACGGAAATCAAAACGGCTCAGAGCTCTGTCGACCTCTGAAAGCGCGATTGTGTAGCGGAACTCCGGCTCTAAGAAACCCAAGGAATTCAATGCCTCTGTTATACGATTTGTAACATCAGTATTCGGCGGCACATTATACGCAAATTCGCATTGTTATCAAAGATTCTAGGCCCAGGAATAACATTGGCGCAATCCCGAGGAGGATCACTGCGCAAGCCTCTGGGTTGGTTGCAGATTTGCATATGTAGCAATGATGGTATCATACGCTTCACAAAATATGCAGATACACCTCTATTGAATACCTTCAACTGATGTACGGTCAGGCTAGGTAGAGGTGTTGGATCATCTCATAGGCGATTGAATGGTGTCGCTGATTGAATATGTGGGTTGGCAATGAATGCTGCCGAGACTTTTCGACGTGATAGAAAGTGAACGCCGCAGTTGATTTGCATCTACGGACAACATTGCGGTGAGGGTTGAAATCGTAACCCCGGACTGTACCCCAGCAGCCACTTCGCGGGGCGCCCCGCAAACATTGTTACCCAGATATATAACCCCGAAAGCCGTGCAATGCGCGTGTGCACAGTAGCAGCCTGAGGGGTGTATAGGCATTTTCTCGCTTCGAATACAGGTGAGAGTAACTTGATTAAAATTGTGCTGGCACACTAGCATATCAACACGCGTGTAAGCTGTTTGTGTTAATGCTGTATCAGGGCTGCGAGATCTCGAACCATCCCTGCTATAGCACACCTGGACGGTAATCTGGGCGTGTAGTTCTATTTGAAGAGGAGTTTATGATATCAAGGCACGTTGCCAATCATTTTGCGAGATGGCTTCTCAAAGGGATGAGCGTGAGATGAAAGCGCCTGCAGGAGGGGATAAGAAAAGGGATCTGGCGGTGTCTGTTTCTACGTGTCCGGACAAGGATGGTGCAGAGGAGAGGCGAACGGACAAGCTAGAGCAGGTGAAGGAGTGGAAGAACCGTTTTGATGAGTTTGTGTCGTATACTCACACGGTACTTAACGACGTACTTGGCGATACTCGGCCGGATGCGACCTCGGAGTTGAATAGCCGACCGGTAAATTCTCCGTCAGGTAACGGTGGTAGTTGTTGCAGCCCTCAACAGCACACGCTTGGTGCCGATCCGCCATCAATACAGAGCTCTTCCCAAACCGCCCCCGAAAAAGACCCCAAATCCACAGGCTCTAATAAACCGCCTTCAGTGACGGATCCTAAAAGAAGGGTTTACACTTCGTTGGCCGAGCCTCCCCGAAACGTCAGGCAGTGCATGGACTGGTTGATAGCTCTGAAGGGGAAGGATCCTGAGAAGAACTTGAAGGCTTTGGGTGAGGCAGTTTACGATTTCCTCGCAGACAAGCCTGTAGGTTACACTAGGGTGCCAGCTCTCGAAGATTTTAAAAAATTTCAAAGGAGTTCATGGAGCACAAGGATCTTAAGAATTTTCGGCACGTAAAAATGGTCCTGAGGAGATTCAATAAGCCTATGGATAAAAAGCCCCGTAGATGGTTCAAGCGCTGGTTCCATTTCCGGTCAAGCGATTACGAGAATGTTGTACAGACCAAGGGTCTCACCGCTGAAATTATTGCAGAGAACTTAGGTGAGTTTGTTGGCGGTTGTGAGAAGTTCTTGAAATGTATCAAAAACCCCGGCCAGTACAAGTCGGCTTACTGTCCAGAAGCGACGTGGGATGCATCATGCGCGAAGGACGCGGAAGCGTATGCGATCATATTTGTTGGGATTGCGCCGATGCTATACGCGGGCCTAGAATTGTTGTTGTCGGAATGCGAAATTTCGTATTATATGATACCTGATTGTGAATTGTTGGATCGTATGCCACACACGTTAAGAGTTTTTGGTTTCGTAAAGCGGGAATACCGCGCTAGGATCTGTTTTGTAGATCTGAAGAAAGCGTTGAGCCGTTTGGATGACCATGAATTGTACACAGTATACGACCTCTCTGGCTTTTGGGCCTTCTACTGATCAGGGATCTCAATTGAGCTGTACAAGCAGCTAGGAACAAAAGAGTCTGGCTCCAGTTCACCACTCAGCAGCCGTTGGCGAACTCCCACGAAACACTTGTGACTTGTGAAATGTAATTATAACAAGATTTATATGCAATATACATCTACCAAGTAGCTTTCGTAGAATGAAGACAAAACACAGTTCTCAGCGCCTAATTGCGATCGGGATGCAAACTGGTGAGCTGCATGTCAACCTCACGCTTCAATGCCCGTATACCCGACAGGCATTGTAGACATCGAGCAGACAACGCTAACTATGTGCAGGCAGTGGCCTTCTAGCATGAGCAATCACCGTCCGTACAACGCGAAGCCACATAGCACACTAAACAAAGCCAAAACAGAGATAAGATACATAGGCTCCAACAATGCACTGAAATCATCAATCTCTATACTTAAACGCCCGTGGCAAATTACACAACAGTGAATAGTGTGAAACACAATATTTAATGTATTAAAACCCTGGTTTAATGCGGTTGGCTCTAAGCCTTGGTAGGAGTCAACACCTCTTCTATAATTGGTGGTCGGCGCCGAGACAGTGCATAGTACTTCTCGTCCAGCCACTTGTTCAAGTCCGTAGTGTCAGTATTGGGCGCTGCGTAATGCATTGCGGGGCCCATGGTTTTGTGGAAAACTCGAGATCCTCGGGCGTTCTCAGTGTACTCATAGCGGTGAAGGACACCGTCAACCGTGAACAAAACGCGCACCACCATCAGCCCCCAAGAGTCTTCAAAAAGATGCAAGGATGCATCTTCCAGGTCGGGCCGAAGTGTGAGGACCATATCACCTATGCGCACCTTGTACAAATGATACTCCGGTTTTACGTTGTATAAATGAAGGCAACGGAGATCCTCGAACAGAAGGCCTGGAGGCATGAAAGGGTCAAACACATTAAAGTGAATCAAATCCTCCGTGTTGGGAATCTCATAGTCCGTGGTCATGCAAGCACGGCCCCAATCCTTGTTGTACTCAGTACCATAAAGTGGATCTGGGGTCATGAGGATCTCACGAAGCTTCTCAGTGAACTCCTCTCGGGTGTACGGCTTCTGCCTGTGTTTACCAAACACGTTCTTGAGCCTGTTCATGGCATCCTCTCCATCCGCAGAGTCCACATGCGAGTGATCGTGTTCATCGTCACTATGGAGAACATGATCGCCCGAATCGGTAGGGTTTTCGTCATCACCATCCTCTGGTTCATCCTTTTGATCCCCTGGACGCTGGATTGGGCTTGTCAGGTAAGAGTCGAAGGCATATCCCATTACCCTCTTGATGAATGTTGTCCTCGTAAACATGTCCCTGTCGGCAGGGCACGTATCACTACTGCTTGAAGAATCATCATCTTCCGCAAAGGTAAACGCGCAGCCATTAATCAATAAAAATAGTATGCAAACAAATTGCAAAATCCACGGAGACCTTTGCGCCATTTTCCAACAGCACAATACGGCGTCCCACGTTGGAAAACAAGGTTTGTGAACTGGCTATATACGAAATATTCACAATGTTCCGCACGCTGCTGCGCACACCGCTGCGGTGTTCACAAATGCACAGTACAACCTCGAAGATTGGACGTTACAACCACAGCTCTGCTGCGGTAAAATAAGGCCAAAATCTCACAAAACTTCATCTGGTAGCTAAAAGCCAGCTTTTATTCTACAACACAAGACTTCTATTGGAAAAATCCAAAGCTTACATGGCTACATTTCATTAAAAAGGAAATGCAAAGTATGCAACAGAAAGGCCGAAAACAATCCTGCCACCAACCACACAGGATGCTGGAGACTAATCAAAAACCAAAAGTCCAGCGACGCGCAAAGCCACGCGGAATACCATACACGTTATGCTGGGACAAGCAATCCCTGACGCTGCGTAGAATTATTCGAGCAATCCGATCTCTAAAAACAGTTGATGATTACACAACCCAACTTGTGTAATATCCCGCGAAGATGTGTATCACTTTAACGCTAAATGTGACACAAAGCTTTCAAGATTAGCCACGATAAGTTATTTACACAAAAGGGAATCCGAAAGAACCTTGTACAGCCCGTAACTGCTTCCAGAGCATGAATACAATCCAAATATCACGTGCGCGCTTTACAAAAGACGAGACGACAACGCCCGAACGCAGACAATGGTCGGGAGGGCGTCACACAAACCCATATACGTGAATCGGAGCGCAGAAAACGCGGGTCGTGCTACGCCCGAAATTACTGCCCGAGTAGCGCTTTGTCGATAACTGAAACAAGATGTGTGAGTGGTGTGCAGCAGCGGAGTCCCCTCACCATCTGACTTGCCGTCATGGACGCGCCTGATAACACTACCCGCACGGCTCGACACAACCGCAGCAAATAACGCTCTAACACAAATCCGGTTGTGCAATAAAATTCGAATGATCAGCACGCCACGGTGAGCCTAGGCGTACGATCTAACTCGCGCATCTGCGACGGCTATAACGCGTTCCGTGCCAGTCCAACGGGACCAGGGAAGACGGTTATACGCTAACACACGACCACAACATGCCGAGGAAATACACAGAAGTTATCTCGGAGGCCGACGGCCATCGAGCGATGGCACAGGCGGCTGCTGAAGACGGATCGGCCAGCCTGCGATACCGGACCATCGGAGGCGTGAAAGGGCCGCTGGTCATCCTGGAGAACGTGAGGTGCCCCAAATACGCAGAAATGGTGAACATCAACCTTGGCGACGGCACCACACGTCGAGGCCAAGTGTTGGAAGTGAGAGGTAACGTGGCAGTTGTGCAGGTGTTCGAAGGAACCGCCGGCATCGACAACCGCAGCTGCAGTGTGGACATGACCGGCGACGTCCTCAAGATGGGAGTTAGCGAGGACATGCTCGGACGCGTGTTTAATGGCAGCGGGAAACCGGTTGACGGCGGGCCCCGCATCCTGGCGGACGACTACATCGACGTTAACGGAGAGGCCATCAATCCCATGTGCAGGCTGCACCCGAGGGAGATGCTGGAGACAGGAATTTCAACGATCGATATCATGAATTCTGTTGTATTGGGGCAGAAAATCCCGCTATTCTCGGCTGCAGGTCTGCCGCACAACGAAATCGGTGCGCAAATCTGTAGACAGGCGTCACTTGTGGACCACAAGGATGTGGTCGACAGACACCCAGACAACTTCGCCGTCGTATTCGCAGCCATGGGTGTCAATCTGGAAACTGCTTCGTTCTTCAAGAACGATTTCGAGCAAAACGGTGCCATGTCAAGAGTGGCTTTGTTCCTTAACCTGGCCAACGACCCGGCCGTAGAGCGCATTGTCACCCCCCGTTTCGCCTACACCTTAGCCGAGTACCTCGCCTTCGACAGAGAGATGAACGTCTTCGTCATCCTGACAGATATGTCAGCCTACGCCGACGCGCTCCGTGAGGTATCAGCTGCCAGGGAGGAGGTGCCCGGTAGGCGTGGATACCCCGGTTACATGTACACTGATTTGGCAAGCCTCTACGAACGTGCTGGCAGAATACAGGGGTGCAATGGAAGTATCACACAGTTCCCCATCCTTACCATGCCGAACGATGACATCACTCATCCCATCCCCGACTTGACGGGTTACATCACTGAGGGTCAGATATTCGTGGACAGGAACCTATACAACAGGGGTATATATCCCCCGATCAACGTGCTGCCGTCGCTGTCGCGTCTCATGAAGTCTGGCATTGGAAAGGGACTCACCAGGGAGGACCACCCTGCTGTCTCTGACCAACTCTATTCGGACTATGCCATCGGACAAGATACGCGCACCATGAAGGCTGTCGTTGGAGAGGAGGCCATGTCGTCCCAAGATTTACTGTACCTGGAGTTCACGGACAAGTTCGAGCAGAAGTTCCTCAAGCAGGGACAATACGAAAGGAGGAGCATCACCCAATCACTAGACATCTGCTGGGAGCTGCTCCGCACCTTCCCCGAAGACATGCTCAAAAAGATCAAGAAGGATATTATCAAAAAGTACTACCCAAGGAGTCACGCCACATCCTCCGCCGTATGAGACGGATCCACAATCGAAGTGCGACGGAAACCCCCCACTGCACAAAAGTATTTTAGCATCGACACAAACGTGCCGCAAAATAGTACCTTTACCACGCTCAGACAAGGCTGGGGAGGGGGAATCGCAAAACAGGTTGCACCGGCCAGAGCGTTGCGTGCTCGTGCGATGTGATTGTAACAAAAAACATGTTTAAAATACTAGCTATATGCCAAACTGGCGGTTGCTCCACACCTGGGAGCCATGCACGCATACGATCTTCTCGTCACGGGCGTCCTGTACTTGGAAGCTCGATTCGCCGATGTTAAGGGGCGTGAGGCCGCCTGCACAATCGTGAAGTGGGAATATAGGCCGCTCACCCTTGAAAGTCTTGCCCTTAGATGCCTTTATGTGGCGCTGCCAATCCGTTATACGCTGTTGATCGGTGTTACAGAAGAGTTCGCTGAGACATAGTGACATAGTGGCATGGACGGCACTAACCGACGTAGGTAAACTTTCTGAAACAAGGTCTCTATGCTCACTTTGGCCCAAGGGTATGAAGAGAATCCAAATACTACAGCTAGCGCGCGAACGAAGGCCTGCTTCTGCAAATAATGCAGCTCTTTTTCGCTGGGCAAGGTGGGTTCCGGTAGATCAGCAGCTGTCTGAGGCGTTGGTGAATCACCTTCGCTTTTTTTGGATTCATGCGACGCTTCTGCTGCCTTTTCTAAGTTGGATACAGGTCCTTCAGTGTTTCCATCCTGGCCAGGCGGCGATTCGCATGACCCCCCTACATTGTTTGATGGAGCTGTAGGTGAGTCACTTTGGGCACCGGAGGCTTCAGCGGGGTATGACAGAACAGAAGACCTGGTATATGAGGTTCCGGGGTCAGCCGATAAATCTGGTTCCGAAGCGACTGCCTCAAAACGCTTGAAATGCGACTCCAATTGCGACAATACCGCATGGAAACGAAACGAGTCGTTCTCGTACCACAGTGACGTAGCGTAACCCAGGTCAAGCTTTAGGAGATGCAACAACTGCCTATGAACTGGTGAGGCGTCACCTTCGACGATCAGACGGTCAACCACAAACTCTACGAATTCCAACACGGCGCTCTTTATGTCGACACAGTCCTTGGGCACATCCCCGCCAAATTCGATAACGAAAATACGTTCCAACTTGGCGAATACACGGTAAAAATCGTCCAGAGATAAGCCGGCGTACTCCGCGTTAGCGCGGTCTGACAGATAGCCGACGCACAGCTTTGTCAGAAGCTTCAGGCTTTTAGCAAATCGGCCACGGTGCGGCAAGTGCCGCTGCGATAGGTCGATTAGTATATCTCTCACACTCTTACGAGCACTCGGCGCATCACAGCGAATTGTGGAAGGCGACGAGGTGGCGGTGTGATCACTTGGTTGAAAAGGTAACTCCTTCTTTTCAACCACTTTTCTTTCTATTGCATACCCATCCTTATTAGTGGTTTTGCGCAACTGAGATCTCTGGCGATTGTAGAAACGGTCCAACCGCCGCTCAGCTGCGGAACGGCCGATAAGCTCGAGCGACGGATCTTCGTAGCTGCGTTTCATCATGCCAACCTAATGCAAATGTACCAGCCACGCTACATTGCACTCGCATTCGCCTATGATGCTAACGGCTCGAGAAGGCTATTGGCTCCATAAGCATCGGATGTTGTGGAAGGACAGATATCACATACTCAAGGCATTTGAATCACGGCTCACGGTGGGAATGGTCCGTATATAATACAGTACATAATTTCTAACTCAAGGAGCTGGCACTTATGATGGCCCATCGGCTGGTGGAGGTTGTCAGAGCAAACGTATATCAGCCCCTCTTGACACGACACACACCGACGCCATCCTTCAACAATGTAGAGTGACGTACGTAATTACGCAATCATTTGTGACGGTGCCGCAGATTTATACCCATAGGGAGGCGCTCTGATGACCGCACAGAAGACTTATAACATGACCGACTCTACGTAAGGAGCGAAATGAAAATGCCGTCCGCGTCGCCAACGCCATTGGAAATCCTCATCGTACACTGAGATTGTTGAACTTCTAAGCATGGCAAAAGATGTGGAAAGCGTATTCCGCATTGTCTACGATGATTTGGGCATATTCCGCAACGAAAGCAATGGGCTCTGGCAGAACCGAACGTTCTGCATCGTCGGCTTCGAACACGAAATACCAAGCGGTGCGGAACTCATAAAGTACATACTGGAGGCGCTAATCAAACGTGGAGCCAGCGTGGTAAAGTTGCCGAATGACAAACTCGAAAACAAGACGCTTTCTATTGTAGACTACTACCTGTGCAATTACTCCTTGGGATACAACGCACTTGCCCACGACATCCTTGAAACCAAACTAGTCACACCAATATGGCTCTACACGTGCCACCGAGATGCACGCATACATGACACGAAAACTCTGCCCATATTCACGCCAGTGGGTGTGTTCTGCCCGCTGATGTTCGCCAAGGACGATGTGACCATTTGGATCGTCAGCGAAATGCCCTCAAAGGAACTCAGACACAGCTCCGATGTGCTGTCGAGGTTTGCCAGGCATTGCGGGTTTAGAATCATCGGGTTTAGCGAAACTAGATCAGGTTAGCAACACATCCTTGCAAGATTGCATTCTTTACAGATGCCGCACCAAGGTCGAAGACGTATATAGTCATGGGGCAGACTTTGGACAAGGCAGCAGACTCGCACATTATCGCATACGCTAACAAGCATAAGATTCCGTGTGTGGCGATACAGTGGCTTATCGATTGCTACGTAGCCGGCGAAATTGAGGACATCAAGAAGTACTCCGTTGACATACAGTTCGAGGCCACCATGAAACCCAATTCGAAGAAGCGCAGATTAAGTGCAATAGACGCCACCATCGCAGCATGCGTTCAGGAGGGTCGCGTAATGTGTCTGTCATATTCGGCTGCCGTCGAAGCCACCGAGGAGGTGCGAGAAATGATCAGAAGCAAAGAAATAAAAGTGCATGTAATCAACCCTCTGTACCTACTTGCACCGTGGTCGATGGAGCAGATTTCAGGACGTGAGAGGACCCTCTACAACAACCTCTCGCTGGTGGATGAAGATCGGATCATTCTTTACATTTCAAGACAGGAGGCGCGCAATGGCGCATTTGGGATATTCGCGCAAATATCCATGTTCATGGAGTACTGCAAGTTCAGACGCAAGAAAAGGAACAAAGCGGTGCGCAACATCGAAATCCACCCACTGCAAGACATGTACCTCCCAGCGTACCCCGGAATAGAATCAGCCATCTCCATACCCGAAGAGATGTTGGCCGGAGATTCTCTAGTTTCCAGGGGACGCACAAGATCTTTCAACTTGTACGACCTCGCCGACAGTGTTGCATTCATGGGCGACGACAATGCACTGCTGGAGGAGGAAGAAATGTGCGGACCAGACATACACGTTCGACAGAGGTACGTCATATGTTCCGTATTTTTAGGCCTACATGACGCCGTGGCTATCAGCTATGCAAATAACCCCCATCGTGCACTTGTGGATACGTAATGTGAGATTTCGGGTGCGCACCGTGCTATCGTAGCGAGTTGGTACCATTAAACCATTGTATCGCTCAACCAGGTCGCACCCCCCCGCGTAACTTAATGACGCCACATTACCCCCATTACGGGGCTATGATAACGCTGTTTTGGTGTTTTATGTAATACCGTTTTCGCGGAGCTATATATGGTTGCTTTTTGGTTTCATGTAGAACACAGCCACAGTGCACTTCATTGTTGTGCCCATGTTACACTTGCCACACATCACTATGCAGCGCGAACGAGTATAGTAGATTATTGCGAGATGCAGAGTTGCGATGGAGGGACTCAAAATGAGGCGTTCAAGTGCTCCGCAAGCGCAAATTGCAAATTGGCCAAATTGGAGAGATAAGCAATCTGAAACACAATTAGTAACAATCGCACAAACAAAGAGGCGCATAACCAATGTCGGCGCACAACTAGCAACATACCATCAAGTTGTCCTGCAGCGCGAGCTCAGACAATTTCTCCAATTTCGCCTGACTTATAATACTCTCGGTCGTGGTGGCCCTTAGGAGGAAGCGACCCACCTCCGGGTCGAGTTCGGCACCTCTCTGGCCGGAAATGGCCGCCTCCACACGTTTGATGCAAGCGTCCAGCAGATCAGACAATTTTGACAGCGAAATATCAAACGTAGACGCCTCCCGGGGCCTGTCTATTTTGCGCGATTTCGCGCTTTCCATAGACCTCAACAAACTTGAGATGCCAACGGAGTCATTCGGTGATGTCACAAGCTCCAGCTCAACCTCGTGGAACTGGAAGCAGGCCTCCTTGGTCAAGTTGAGCGGCAATTGAACGTATGCCTGCACATTAGCATGAATCTGTGAGGAACACAACATAATTATTTATGGAGGCACACCGACGTAACCGATTACTTGCGGCACATACCTTAATGACCATGGACCCTGAGTCACACGTCGCATCCACCAACAAGTGCACGGGCTCGTACAGGTTGGTCTGGGGGTAGAACTTCGAAACTGAGTTGAACTGCTTGAACCAGCCATGGACCGCGCAAGTCAGCTCAGTCATTTCACCGCCAGTGCTGAACCAGCCCACGACTTGTTCCTTGGGGTTCACCTTCTGCTTCAACTCGTACATGCTTTCATGGTGGTCCTTGATGATTTGTAGCAAACCCTAAAAAAATGACATGTGAAGAAGAAAAGAATTTAATTGCAAAAACAGGTACGTGGGCTCCGTGGAATATCCGCATGTTGTAACGATATCGCGTACGAAGTTTGTAGACAGTTAAGCGGTGGGATCAGTGGGATCAGACAAACATGAACGACACAAACACGGCTGTCCGACGAAAATTAAACTCCACCGGTGCAAAAAAACTACATAACAGAACCCTCGAAGAAATTATGTGCCATACCTCATCAGTAAGGGAATGCCTGTCTACGAAGCAATCGGTGATCTCGACCACATTGCCCTCGGTGACGATGCCCATCAAAGTACCGATAATGTTGTGCTGGCCCTCTTCACGACGCATATACGAGTCCAAAATGGTGAATATAACAACGGGGTGGAGCTTCCACTTCACAGGAGGCAGCGACGACAATTGAAAGCACTTGGAACCGAGCTTGTCCGATATATCGCCGAGTAGCGACTGCGGAATCTTGCCGTCCGCCATTGTAGCTGTTGGATATTAATATAAATAGTGAGGTGGACGAATCTGAACCGGTAGCTTGGGTTCAACGGCAACATTAAAATAGTGTTGGGTACGACATACGCGATGTGCCAGATAACAGACGATATTTTAACACACCGTAAATAGATTGTTCTACAATTCAGAATTAACGATTACCGGCTGCTATACGGGTTGGTGTGCGACGAATTTTTACAAAACACCAATACCCGAAGCCACATCCTAATTGTTGGTCCTCCATGACAACCCGGGATCAATCAAACAGTTGAAGCGCGTATTGAGCTTTTTTAACACTGATTACATGGATAAAAGTCTCTTGTACATCGCGATAGTTAGCTGTAATCAGATGGATACGGTCTTCCTGCATATGTAAAACCCTTCGATTCGCGCAAGGACCACTACGGTGGAACATGGTTATATTTCACTCATATGTAGTGGTCAGGTGTTTGTATCAGCACTTTTATAGTAACCCGGATAGGTGTGTTGCTGCCATATATATCCAATTTGTTTTCTTCTAAGCCGGCATATAATTACGCAACAGGGCTCTGGTACCACACACATACCCTCCTGTGTAAGTACTACCGATATTAACTTATGTGTCGAATGGTTTGTCTGCGTGGACGCAACGTGGATAACGTTAATCAGCAAATACAGACGGCTCACTGCTTTTAAATGTTTACCTATCGTGCTGCTTTATTGAGGTGTCGAGCTTGATTACCGCATTAAATTGCAGACTTCCGTAGGTGTTTTCGTAGCCAGTTTTATTCTAATAAATAACTGCTTATAGATCAAAGAATTGGGGCTCGTAACTAGGGGCGGTTTGTCCGAGCGGTTAAGGAGATGGACTTGAAATCCATTGGGCGTTGCCCGCGCAGGTTCGAATCCTGCAGCCGTCGATTTATAGGTGCCCAATCTCCATTTTATGTGAGCTTCGCTCTATAAACCAAGACAATGGCTGGAAGGAGAAAAGCACGGCATAAGGGGATAGGAAAGAAACGCAACCTCAAGCGTGGAATCCGAGACCTTAAACAGCGGAGAAAGGACATCGACCAGGGTACGGATAAATAGGTCCGATTTCAAAATTGTACAGTGTATGAGACGGTGATGGCAGGGGACATGGAAGTCGATCATACCGGCACTGGTTCCGACGACGAAGGTCACGGTAAGCGTGACGCTACGACACCATACATTGCGACCAGAAGCGTATTGCAAATACTGCGACCGAAATTTCACCAACGAAGACGCTCTTCAGAGCCATATAAGGGAAAAGGGCCACAAGAAAAGAGTGAAGGAAGTTCACGCATATCAGCCTATGGAATGACACATGTGCACGGGCTAAAGTGCAAATCAAGACTAAGAACGGTCCATAATGATGTTAATCTATCCATTTTCGTTTAATTCGTGGTCCCGTACCAGTAATGTGTGTACGAACTGCAGGTACCAGGGTAGATCGGCCAGGTCAGACTGCGAAAGCTCCAACACCTTTCGCGGCACTGTTCCGTGGTTGGCAGAGCTGGATTCCTCACGCAGCAAATCGGATGTGGCATCTGCAGCTGCGCCTTCTACGTGGCGTAACAACAAGTCCTTTAAAAAACGCTTGTTGTTGTAGCAAAACTTTAATTTTTCAGCGTCATCCAGCGAGGATATCGTTACGGCGTCTAAATGCTTGAAGTCGCAGTGCAGCTCCTTGTTGCAATTGCCGAGCACCACACTATTACGACATATGAACAGGCTTGGATCATGCGAGTACTTGCAGTCAGAGGCAGAGTACCTACACTTTGTTGGCCCTTGAAGGTAGTACCGGCAGAGTTTGAGATCCTTCGAGGTCAGAGGAACACAGTCGTGCGAAAAACTGCAATTGGTTCCGTGAACGCATGAACCTGATCGGTAGTAGTATTTGCAAAGCGTGCGCTTTGTATCCGATGATGACGAGTGGGTGGTCGATTGCCGCGTAGTTGGTCCCTGCGATTCTGAGCAGTGGGATTTCGACTCCTCTCGGCGCTTAAGTATTTCCAAGTACCGTTGTCGGTGACGTGCAGCGGCCTCCTCAGACCTTCGCCGCTTCTTTTTCAAAGCAGGTGATTTAGACGTGGACGTCGTATCTCCATCATTGCACTTCATATTACACCTAATAATGTGTAGTCATAGGCAGGCGCAATTGATTCTGGAAATACCTATACATATCCCTAAATAAATCGCGGCAAAATTGCTGGGAGCACAATGTGTGATTATAATGCAACGCTGCATCAAAACATAAAATCGAGGCGCGAAATTTTAATGGAGTTCGCAGTATATTGCTGTGTGGTTGGAAAACTCAATTACATGTCTCCATCGCAATTAACGGTATCATGTGAGAATCCACAACAGTGCGACAAATATCACTAGACAAGTCGCCAAATGCAAGCGAATAATAGCCGAGAAGTAGTAAAAAGCGTGGTTGCGAAGTGCGTCGTTACGGAGTTATAACGATACGAATATTGGCGTGTGTATAGGTCGTGTCTTCGGCGATGATGACCAAGCATGAATCACGCCGACGATTAAATGGATTCTCCCTACACATCGATACTAAGAGCCACATTTTAGCGCTGCAGATAATGTGGAAGGCTCGTAAACTATGAGAGCATCCACATCCTGTTGCATCCTTGCAGATTCGTGGCTGGTGACTGTGCGTTCAAGTGCTACACCTCTGCAGGGTACAGGTCACCAAGCTGCCTGCGAAATCACTAAAATACAGCAATCTAATGCGTTGTGCTCCTCCCATAGCGGGATAAAAGCGCCCCGAAAGGTTTGTAACCGAAGGGTGGCTCACGCATATCGATGTCTAGTTAGAAACGATATCGTTTAGGTGCTCCCGTAAATACCGTCACTCACATATATTACTCATCATTGTAATTAGGGTAAATGTGTAAATTCCATGGAGAGCTATACGGCCATAACTGGGTGTTAACGGCGACCAGTGTGTATGGCTGCCGTTAGACGAAAGCTCAGTTCTTTTTACAAATCTCATATAAGAATCGCAAGTAAATCTGGTGAAGTGCTGATTTGAGTTTGAGGCATTATGGTGGTGCCGTACTCACGCAACTCAGTGTGGCGAAAGCGCCTGTGCATGCTCATTCTATGGGTCGTCATGTTGTTGTCAATTCACCCCGTAGATGCCTGGAGAAGTGAAAAGGGTCTTAGGGATAGAGCCGATAACCATGAGGCGAAAGGCGAAATCAAATCAAATGACAAGACTACGACCTCCGCATCAGCCCACCACAGAGAACAGCATGCTAACGACGCATATAACGAACGAAATGAGACTCCAAAAGGTAACGTTCGCCGAAATGTGGAGGCGGCGATTGCCAGTAGCGCACTTCAGTCGGAAACGAGAGGTACGTTTGGGAATGTATCACTTGTATGACTCCGTAGGCTTGCACGTATACGTCGATAGGGCGAACAGCGAAAAGCAAGCTGAAATTGTGTACCAGCCTGCAGAAGGTTTTTTGAATACGGCCTACTTCAATACGCTTCTGGTAATATTCGCAATTCTCGTGCTTGTGCTCACGCTGGTCGCCGACATAGAAATGCGGATCCAATCCAAAGATGAATTCATGCGCCAGGCTTTTGATAATTGCGTGAGACAGGTGGCACTCATGAGTTTTGTGACCCTCAGCCTCTACATTGCAATGCATACGGATCTGGCGAAACGGCTAGACGAACTCTTCGTCCAGGATTCAAAGCATCTCGAGGTCTTCGATGCACTCATGCAGATATCATTCTTCCTGTTCTGCTGCTTTTTTGTATATTGTATATACATAGGTATTGTAGTATCGAGGTGGACCAAGTTCATGCGTAAAGCGGATGAGGCAGATGTTCTTACCTCCGCGAAAGAGTTCGACTTCGTCAATGGAAGCCAGTTTATCTGGAATCGCAATGTCATCAATAAGGCCAGGTACATGGTCAACAGAATGGAATTCGGTGATGCCGTCAAGCAGAGGGGGTACTCGGATGTTGGCGGTTGTTATTTCATGGACTACCTGAGAGCTTCGCTTATCCAGATAGCTATGACCCTAATCAGGATATCACGCGTGAGCTTGTTTGTGGCCTTATCGGTGCTTATCGTATTGAGGTGAGAGCAGAAAATTGGCGATTACAACTTTGCAGATTCATAGGCCCTGTACATATCATGCGCACAATACACATCCTATCCTTTCTTAACACTGCGGCTGTAGTCGCACTCGCGTGGCGGATTTGGTATATAGAATCGCATCTCTATCCGCCGGAACTATCGCAATATATGCTTCTGAAGCTCAATGTCTCCGATGTAGGTGAAGCGTTGCAGCCGACGTACAAGGGGGGCAACGAGGTACGTTAATCGGCAACACATTTTGACAACTTTCAGTACGCACCGTCTAACATCGTGCAATATTGGATCTGTGGGGATGCGGCTATAAACGCTCATGAAAATTTGTTCTGGTTGAAGCAACATGGTCCCATCGTCCTACGCAAGGCCTTCGAGGCGCTGCTCTTCTGCCACCTCATGATACTATCCGTATGGTTATATTGCCTGAAAAACAACGCAAAGGCTATTATTGAAGATTACGATGCCGCTGCTCCGCTGGTTGGAACCGTGATCGTCGCCGTGCTGGCACCGAGCATGCTATACTCCCTGGTGATCGTGACCAGGTGCGGCAATCTTATCGATTACGAGCTATTGGAGAAGGTTCTAACGTCACACAAGAACGAAAATGCCAAAAATGCGCTGCAATTAATCGACTCGCTAGCCATGGAGGCGATCATATTCGCGTTGGAGAAGGGCGGTGATGATCAGTGGAGAAAATTACTGGCCAAGCAGAAGGCGCTACCAGATGCAATTACAAGCCAAATTAAATCGCATTGGAATTCCATGAAGAATGTGAATGATGAGATTAAGTTCTCGGCGCTGCTAAAATACCTTCAATCACAATGGGGGAACTTCCGTTCGTGTAATCAACAGCGCATGAAGGTTGGTTTGATTCATGTAGGTGGCTGTATATAAATACATGAACCATGTGTGTGTTGTCTCATATCTCTAACATAAGACGATGCACAACGTAACAGGAGTTCGTCAAGCAGTTCATGCGCCACGACCCGAAGACCATGAACTGTCAGGAGTTTATGGTATTTGGCTACGCCATCAAAAGCATGATTCTAACGCCACTGGAAGAGGAGTACCAGACCGTACGTTTATTGCATGTGAATCTATATATTACAGGCACTCTTCGAGGACAAGTTCGAGATCCCGTGGCGGTCGCCATGTGGCGTTGACCTTAACAATTTCGATACGATTATAACGCAGGTAGGATTAGATTCAATCGATTGCATCATGCGGCAGCTGAATATCAAGTGGATCAAAAGTTCTCAAAGACACTTTCTGGAGTTTATCGCAGGGGGTGCAATAGAGGGAGTCTCTCCGCATTATCTTATAAGCCAGCTCGACAACTTCCAACAAGCCTGCCAGAAAAACTACTTTAGCACAGTATAATATCTGAACGTTGTCCTATACTAGAAACCAATTGTATTTGGTGGAACGTTCTAAATAGTATATTCGTCATCTCAGATTAACGTGCTCTCTCCATTCATGAAATTTGCGTCCTAAAGGGTATGATAAAGGCCAAATGCTGTTATTTAAACATATATATGTACTGTCTCAGTGGACAAAAGCTTACTATTGGCTCAACTCACCCCGCCCAATGTTAATCACATACATTTACGCTGGAGGAAACTTACGCTCGACAGAAATTCATTAAACAATAATTATAGCTGTTAAATAAACGGAACCAGTTTTCAGGTTGCACAGTGGCCTCCATTCGACTTTCATCAAATCTGCATATACGAACACTTTATACGTATATCAAGAGGCTCATCTTCCACACAGAGGTGCGTTGCTCCGCAGAACATACCGAAGACACTATTGTTGCCGAATTCATGGTTTTAATAGGATATCGTGCTATGCAGATTTCTACAAGGCAGTTGGTACTATGTCTGCATAAAAGGGCCGCATAACCCGCAAGCTATAGTCACAATCTGTGAACGCATCGTTGCCTAACATTCATACCCCGTTAATGTTCTTCCCTGAATGACTCGTTCATGACATATGAGGTGGCAACCAGTGACGGTCGAAGCCGTCTCCTACTACAATGTACCCAATAACAAACATGTGGATTGGCGCAAATCGTGTTGTCATCGAGCGTGCGATGTCTCTTCAATCATTTCCCACTTTATAAAGAATGGCATTATTCTGAAATTCGTTTTTTGGTTTATTTATTTTTCGTTCAGTTCATTAACTTCGTACTTCCACCTGTTGTCTGCAGTCATCTCCGCCTGCCTACCTTGGCTGTTAATCCCAATCTCATACTAGTAGTGATGTCGCTTCACTAGGACGCCATGATTATGTCTTGTCGGGGATTCTCAATGGCTAGATGCGAGAAAGGTCTTCTGATATATCGACGGTTCTTGTGCTACAAATTTTGTCTTGTTGTATTCATTAAAATTTTCCAACGTTCAGAAAATTAGAGTATTTATCGAAAATGATTGCCCAATTTGTTGGTTGTGCTGTTTAAGGCCATGAAGGAAATTTCCTCGATATCACAACAGCTAGCTGCAGCTATGGGGTAACGCTACCATTCATGTTCACAAACAATAAGTTCTTTAAATTTTTTTGTTTTCATATACCCATAATATTACATGTTGATTAGAAACATTTTGTATGTTGTGCAGTTGTCATCCATAGTGTGATGCAAAATACCCAACCATGGTCAGATTTTTTAGCAACATGAAATACGTATTGGCGTTGTGCTCAATAGCCATCTACTCTATGAGACTTATTGACACGTTATTTTGTGATTTCGGAAATGCAGATGAGATACATGTCAGCAATGCTATAGTTGGATGCCAGATGGATACTGGCTACCTTCGCCAAGCAACTGTTATATGTCCACACCGAGTTAACGATACGGACTACGTCTGGCATCCTCAGCCGACTGTAGTTGATCACGCTCGTATCGATGCTTATGTGAGTGGTAATGGAGTGTTTAGATCCGTTGCTATTTCCGACGTAATAGTGACGGAATCTTCATTTTCCTTCGTTACTATCGATGTAAGACGATCGGACACTGAACTACAACTCGATTTCCCATTCAACAAGTTGTTTGCCATGACCGAGCGCCGTTTGATATTTATATGTGGCCCGCGAGATTTGGTTCTGAGTGATACATTACAGCGCCACCTCGACAGTCTCAATGGTTTTGGTCAAATGCAAGCACTTCCTTGGACCTCTAATATACCCTTGGCTCATGAAATGTCGAAGATAGGGCACGGAATTGGGATCTTTTTCTTATACAGCGGAAGCACGCATCTGCCACTTCAAGGCTGCGGTAGTCGCCCCTCGCCACTTTTTCACGCAGACAGTGAAGTAACAGTGGATCCGTCACTGGAATCCGTTCATGCGTGGTGGATCCAATGTCGAATTCACGTATCGGGTTTCTCTGCGAGGCAAGATTGAACCCAATCATTGCATGAGATGGCTCTTAGACACAAATGGCAGACTTGTTAACGTTCCTCAACCATATTCATATTGGAATTTTGATCACCATAAGCCTTGGGTGATAGCGCAATATTTTAATCAATTAGCATTGCCGCCCATCAAGGGCGAATGCAGATGCATCGATTCCGAAACCGGTCAGGTGAAGGCCAGGATTGAGATTCGTTCGAGAACCAACTACGTTTGTGACATCTCGAGCATGATCGAACGCAACCGTGCGAATCCTATCAACGGCCCTTGGTGTTCGGTGGTGCTACATCCAGGCAGCACATTGACCATAAGGTTTCCAACGACGGATGGCGATTCGGCGTCTTACGATCATTCCTTGCCTGGCCCATCTTCGCGACAGACGTCTGTCTATGAGTACGAAACTGAATTCCTGCCGAGGATTTGACCACACTGCGGCAACTTAAAACGGCGTATGGCTTTGATGTGTACGAAGAAATCTCGTACAACGAAGCACTTGCAGGCGATGCCCTCGAAATGGATGTTTCCCAAATAGCCCAGGGTGAGGTAAAACTGAAGTACCATGCGGACAAACCTCTCGCTCTACTGAGCGGATTAAATTCGTTCTACTACTATTTGACATTGAGATATAGAAACAAGAGTGCCTTGGATAGGATAAGCGCCAACGTCAATGTGTCCTTTGCTTTTACTCATCATTACAAGATCGTCGGCTGCGATAGGGGGACACCAAGTCTGTTTGACGGAGAAAAGAACAAGCAGTATTGTGCTATTAAGCCGATGGGAAACGGTATAGGGAATGTATACGAATGCGTATATGATGGTGTGCGAGACGGTAGGCAGACTGGTATCCACTGCGAACCAGACGAGGAGTTGCTACCGGGCAACTGCGACTCCGCAGGATACGATCTCTATTCCAATAGAATAATGCCATTCCCCGGATTCATTAGAAGTGTGACGCCATACCCCATTCTGGGATTTAAGGTTTTGGGCTTTGAAATTCGGCACAACCCTGCAAGTTATGCTTGCATCTGTGTCAATGAACGTGGTTACGAAACCTCAAGGATTATCGTTAAGTATAACCCCAACAAAAATTATGATTACACAGTGCGACGCGAAAACGATCGGCTCACGTCACTCCCGCACATATTGCTGCCTTGGAGTGAGGCCGGGCTATTAGGTAAAGGAACCCGGTCAACAATGTCGCTTGCGCTACACCATGAACCACAGCAAGCCATTAAGATACAAGTGGGCACAACGTTGTCCTTATATCGTGGTTTGAGCCCCAACGCATTGCTTGCGAATCGATTAAGTAAAAGCATCACCAATGTAGAAGATACACCACACACAACTTGGTTGCCCGCGGATCCTCAAGAATTCTATTTTACCCTCCACCCTACAACAAATGAACGAGACGTTATGCGAAAGAGATACGACGACGTGATTACCGGCACTACGGGCGGTTTTCGCGTCGCTTACAACGACGAAGTCGCATCCGGCCGAGTGTCGCCAAGTACGTCGTTAAGTACCGTGTGAGTATACGTCATAAACTCATCAAAACGGTTCTTCCACTCCTTCATCTGCTTTAGCTTGTCCGTTCTCCTGTCATCTTCATCATCCTTGTCCGGACACGTAGAAACACACTTTGACAGATCCCTTTTTTTATCCCCTCCTGCAGGCGCTTTCATCTCACGCTCATCCCTTTGAGAAGCCATCTCGCAAAATAATTGGCAACGTGCCTTGATATCATAAACTCCTCTTCAAATAGAACTACACGCCCAGATTACCGTCCAGGTGTGCTATAGCAGGGATGGTTCGAGATCTCGCTGCCCTGATACAGCATTAACACAAACAGCTTACACGCGTGTTGATATGCTAGTGTGCCAGCACAATTTTAATCAAGTTACTCTCACCTGTATTCGAAGCGAGAAAATGCCTATACACCCCTCAGGCTGCTACTGTGCACACGCACATTGCACGGCTTTCGGGGTTACAAAAGGGTAACTATCTTTGCGGGGCGCCCCGCGAAGTGGCTGCTGGGGCACAGTCCGGGGTTACGATTTCAAGGCTTACCGCAATGTTGTCCGTAGATGCAAATCAACTGCGGCGTTCAATTAGATAAGGCTGCATATTCACAGAATGTCGCGCATAGGCATACATCCACATTTCAACCACTGTGATGTTACCCACTCACCCGGCGGATGACCCAACTCCTCTCCCACGCCGCTGAGTCGGTCTGGGTACTGTGCTACTATCGGACGACACCGGTGACTATTACAACTCAGGCACTGCAACTAGACGAACATATGGAACCACATTACACAGTAAGCTGCCCATTACGCCCAATCAGTCGGACCATCTTACGCGCATGGACGGAAGGATGGGCCATCTTGGGGGCTCTAGCCGACGACTTCTCACCTCAGCATTATTACGGCGTTTGGTGAAATTACACGCGAAGCGGCTTCCATGGGTCATATATCATGTAAAAGCGTTACGCTAACATTGAACTACGCATTTTGCCGCAATGCGTCACACCAACCCCGATGAGGTTGGACTCATTATTGGGCTGACGGTTGCCCAACTTCATCCACTTATTTCAGGCACTAACTATGGTTACAACATCGTATTCACATCCCAGATGCTAGACATCCTACTATGAGGCATCGGTTTCTTTCCACTATACCCATCGCATCATGTTGTGGGATACCGAGCTGAGTCCGGTGAGCGCCGGAAAGCGTCAGTTGGGGATCCTCAATATCACTTCCTGTACTCTTGCAGATCATCTCACCATTTGATCTGTGAACATATAATGATCATTGAAGCCATCCCTGCATCCGTTCCCACCTGTCGGCTAATGTGGCCAGACACTGCGGCGGTAGTTGCTTACCCACATTACTGGAGTAGATGAAGCCCACTTTAAGGTGACAGGTAGTATTCATTTTCATGTATTAATGGCATTGCCGGTGTTCTACGTCGTGAGCGTAGGTACAATTGCCTACGTCACACCCTACCCATATGGGCAGTACAAGACGCAAAATAGAGGCGTGACGAGTTGCGATTCCAATTGACCCTAGTAAACAGGGATATGGCTACCAACATAATCTAAAAACTACTATGAGGATGCGAAGACACGCAGATGCATTAGGCATAGCAGTTACTATCTTATGATCAACATTGGTGCAGCCACCGGACTGGGCAAACCAACAGAGCGACCACCGCAAACAATGAAAGCAAATCAACTCGCATAATTCAGCAACCAGTTGTCCTCACTAATCAACTCGTCACTTGGCGTAGTAATTCTCTATTTGTATAGTGGAGAGAACGATACCCTTGATGGTGACGCAACGACACTCCAATGGCGGCGCCTGGCGAATCGTCCTGCCTTGCCCTGCAAGTGAGCTATCGAAGCTTAGGACGACAAAGTGGTTGGATCGCGATGCCACCAATGACTGGCTGAGGTCGCTTAGGTTCCTTACTTCACCGTCCACGTAGACCTGGCTGAAGCAGTTGGGTGGGTCCAGGAGGTACGGTGCTGGGCAGTAGAATGCAGCTTCCTTGGCAGCCTGAAGATCAATCTTGCAGCCAAACTGAGACTGCCCTTCAGCGTCGTAGAGTGGAGGTGTCTCAGGTTTGAACAGCTCATCTGACGAGTATGTGACGCCGCAGCCCTGCATGTATGGGTCCGTGGTCTCGACGTTAACTTGAACTAGGTGCCACGTGTATTGTTCCAAGGATCCCGTGATATAGGGACTCGGCGATGCGTATACGCCATCAGTGACGGACAGATCCGATGGTTGTGGCGCTTTGCCGCAGAGGAATGTGATGGGCACGCAATGCTTATGTGCCGGGTCCTTTGATATCAAGACAGCGGCTCTATTTGATTTTATTACCAATTTTCTAGATGTTGGCGCATACTCTTCGTCGTTGTAAGCGACGCGAAAACCGCCCGTAGTGCCGGTAATCACGTCGTCGTATCTCTTTCGCATAACGTCTCGTTCATTTGTTGTAGGGTGGAGGGTAAAATAGAATTCTTGAGGATCCGCGGGCAACCAAGTTGTGTGTGGTGTATCTTCTACATTGGTGATGCTTTTACTTAATCGATTCGCAAGCAATGCGTTGGGGCTCAAACCACGATATAAGGACAACGTTGTGCCCACTTGTATCTTAATGGCTTGCTGTGGTTCATGGTGTAGCGCAAGCGACATTGTTGACCGGGTTCCTTTACCTAATAGCCCGGCCTCACTCCAAGGCAGCAATATGTGCGGGAGTGACGTGAGCCGATCGTTTTCGCGTCGCACTGTGTAATCATAATTTTTGTTGGGGTTATACTTAACGATAATCCTTGAGGTTTCGTAACCACGTTCATTGACACAGATGCAAGCATAACTTGCAGGGTTGTGCCGAATTTCAAAGCCCAAAACCTTAAATCCCAGAATGGGGTATGGCGTCACACTTCTAATGAATCCGGGGAATGGCATTATTCTATTGGAATAGAGATCGTATCCTGCGGAGTCGCAGTTGCCCGGTAGCAACTCCTCGTCTGGTTCGCAGTGGATACCAGTCTGCCTACCGTCTCGCACACCATCATATACGCATTCGTATACATTCCCTATACCGTTTCCCATCGGCTTAATAGCACAATACTGCTTGTTCTTTTCTCCGTCAAACAGACTTGGTGTCCCCCTATCGCAGCCGACGATCTTGTAATGATGAGTAAAAGCAAAGGACACATTGACGTTGGCGCTTATCCTATCCAAGGCACTCTTGTTTCTATATCTCAATGTCAAATAGTAGTAGAACGAATTTAATCCGCTCAGTAGAGCGAGAGGTTTGTCCGCATGGTACTTCAGTTTTACCTCACCCTGGGCTATTTGGGAAACATCCATTTCGAGGGCATCGCCTGCAAGTGCTTCGTTGTACGAGATTTCTTCGTACACATCAAAGCCATACGCCGTTTTAAGTTGCCGCAGTGTGGTCAAATCCCTCGGCAGGAATTCAGTTTCGTACTCATAGACAGACGTCTGTCGCGAAGATGGGCCAGGCAAGGAATGATCGTAAGACGCCGAATCGCCATCCGTCGTTGGAAACCTTATGGTCAATGTGCTGCCTGGATGTAGCACCACCGAACACCAAGGGCCGTTGATAGGATTCGCACGGTTGCGTTCGATCATGCTCGAGATGTCACAAACGTAGTTGGTTCTCGAACGAATCTCAATCCTGGCCTTCACCTGACCGGTTTCGGAATCGATGCATCTGCATTCGCCCTTGATGGGCGGCAATGCTAATTGATTAAAATATTGCGCTATCACCCAAGGCTTATGGTGATCAAAATTCCAATATGAATATGGTTGAGGAACGTTAACAAGTCTGCCATTTGTGTCTAAGAGCCATCTCATGCAATGATTGGGTTCAATCTTGCCCTCGCAGAGAAACCCGATACGTGAATTCGACATTGGATCCACCACGCATGAACGGATTCCAGTGACGGGATCCACTGTTACTTCACTGTCTGCGTGAAAAAGTGGCGAGGGGCGACTACCGCAGCCTTGAAGTGGCAGATGCGTGCTTCCGCTGTATAAGAAAAAGATCCCAATTCCGTGCCCTATCTTCGACATTTCATGAGCCAAGGGTATATTAGAGGTCCAAGGAAGTGCTTGCATTTGACCAAAACCATTGAGACTGTCGAGGTGGCGCTGTAATGTATCACTCAGAACCAAATCTCGCGGGCCACATATAAATATCAAACGGCGCTCGGTCATGGCAAACAACTTGTTGAATGGGAAATCGAGTTGTAGTTCAGTGTCCGATCGTCTTACATCGATAGTAACGAAGGAAAATGAAGATTCCGTCACTATTACGTCGGAAATAGCAACGGATCTAAACACTCCATTACCACTCACATAAGCATCGATACGAGCGTGATCAACTACAGTCGGCTGAGGATGCCAGACGTAGTCCGTATCGTTAACTCGGTGTGGACATATAACAATCGCGCTGTTTGTATAGCCCATCTGATATACACAGCTAGCAACGCCCCTAACACCAAAATAATTACTGAAACCGGGAAATCACGTATAAAATCACCATAGCATGTCTTAGGCTGCAGCACTATTGTGCAAAATGCCCATAGAGCCCTGCTTCTAAATTTTACCATGATCATTGGTCCTGCATCATACGGCCTATGGACACAGCACCAAACACGGATTGTATGCAATCGCCACACGTCTTATGGATATATTGTAACACGATAGTTAGACAGCTCTTGTTTTTCTGCTACAGTAGCAGTACAGCTGTTGCAGCTGCTGTCTGGTGGGCTAGCACCGAATTTTGCTCAATGCGCTTTAACAGCTTACATGAACAGATGACGTGTCGATGCGATAATAGAATAGTTTGCACACAAGCGACAACACGACGTGTATCTCCTAACAATGCTGATAGGTTAGTACGTTAGTGTCACCGAAGGAGGTCTCGGACAGCAAGTTGGTAAGCGGACATACATAAACTCGACTGCGTTCGGTCCACGAGGCCTGTGTAAATCTAACCGGTAGTCGACATAACATAAGGGTACTCAAATTCCCCGCCAACGCATTTCACTCAACGACACAACGGTTGGGAAGTCGCTACTATCTTATTATTCCTTATATATTATGCTATAAAATATACCGACAACTGTTCGATGAAGTGGCGCGCAGTTGTCTGCATATTTAGCTGTTGTGCGATGTCATCGGAAGTTGAAGACAAACGTCGCCGCTGCAACCTCTTACTGGATGAGCAGACTGCTTGGTGCCATAATTTCAATTTTGTAGTGAATCAGAATACCCTCCATCCACACCACGTAGCAGTTATGCCAGCGGTGTTAGCTTTTGTATACGGCGCACGATGGAGCGTCATTAACTCAAATTACAGATGGGAAACTGTAACACGCCCTGCACGTGAGTGCCATCAGTCTGTGATACAGCATATGTCCGACGTTGCCCGGAAGTTAGTATTTTATGTGCAAGCACGCATGCGAGATCCTATAGTCTCACCTCGAAGCGGTCGTCGTCGACACCCTCCGCGCCACGGAGGATGTTATGAAGCTTGTCCAGTCTTTCACGCTCACGAACTGCACGCTCCGCGTTGGCCTGTTCTGCGGCTGAGGGTCCGGTTGTGTGGAAGTTGTTCTTCAAAAAGTACTCCTGAAACACCTCAAGCTGAGATTCGTGCTGTTTCACACGAGCTTCAAATGCAGCTCGCTCGTGACCCTTCTTACGGTTTTCCTTCTTCATGTCGTGGGCCCATTTCACGTTAAGAGCAGTGGAATAGTTACCCAATGGCTGACTGGCCATAGCTACCTTTGCAAACTCCGCAATCACGCGCGACTCGTATGTCACGAAGGCGATGCCTTTCGCAGGGACAACATTCATCTCAACGATTCGGCCAAAACGGCCAAACTCCTCGGTCAGCGCCTGTTTCAGGCTGTCCACGGGGTTGTACTCCGCGTTATCAGGGTAGACGTCGCCCACGAACAGGCTCTTGCAGTCAGTCATGAAGCTGCCAACCCCACTCATGTCATCGCGGTGCTTGGCGTGTCGTTCCCGGCCGAATATATCGACGCCGGAATCCAGGAAGAATTCGTCCTCAACTGTCGGCACGCGGTGCAGGTAATTGCACTTCGAACCTAATGTGCAACAACCCTTGGCAAAGAAAAGACAGCAGTACTTCGTACCACAATCATCGAGGGTATTCCTCGAGTTTCCACGCGTGTAACCCGTGTCGCGTTCAGGGTCGCATTTGTACATGGCCGGCATCAAAGTCGCTCGGCCGTTGACGGTATTGGTGCGCTCACCAGACCACTTGTTGTACCAGATGTTGTACTCCTCGCTGCCCTGGATGTACGCGTTGCCTTCGAATGCCTTGATCTGTTGGCGCGCAGGACGTGACATCAACACCTCGAGGTGGGAGCGCTGTTCTTCGTCGGGCGCCGCCACGACCTCCTCTACCTCCTCCTGACCCAGAGGCACGGCGCATCCATCCACCAGGCGCTGCAATTGCAGACTGTCCACAATTGACTGGTCGAGCTCGCCCGCATCGATCTTCTCCCTGATCCTGCCAACATAGGTGTTCACCGCCTTTAAACCTTCGGAATCCGATACGTCGTCTGCAGCATTTCCATCATCCGTTGAGTGAGATCCATCAGTAGCATCTGCAAAATTTTCGACATCTTCGCGCGCATTTTGCTGCTGCTCTTCTGAGGTGGAAGTATCCGATGATGGATCAGCTTCGTCAGCAGAGGAATCACGAGACATTCCTGCTACAGTGCCATGTTTGCCCACGCTGGCAACCATATCCTGCACTGTCATATGGCTGCTAACATCGATTCGAGCCCTCTTTGGTGAATTGGCGGTGGAATCTTCGCAACCGGACGCACTGACATGATCAGACGGCACGTGGCCCTCGGAACCGTACGCTCCCGTGGATGACTCTGCGTTTCGCTTGCCTTCCATTGTTTTAGAACTTGTCACTCTGGAATACAATACTTAGTGATCGGCTCAGAGCGATTAGTTGGCGCGCATACCCCGCAGGTCAGACGCGCTTCCGTGCTGCCGCACGTCAATCATGGGCAATGGAAGGCGGTTTACCGATTTTGCACATTAAGTGCTTTATGCAAACGAATGTGTGAATTTTTAATGTGTAAGACACGTGCGGATGCACGTAAACGATGAGGGTGTCGCCGAAGCACATTGGCACACGAGACGAACCTCGTCAAAATGTCAAATCGATAGCTCTGAAAGTTTACGGCCTATGTATCTCATTGGTTATCGCAGCTACCGTGCAACTTCAGCAAGCCGCAATGCATCATCTCGCCACAAGGTTTCTTCAGTGAGCGTTGTTTACGGCCGCTATGATCTCGCAGAAGGCCGGTGCTATAGACTTACCGCCGACCAGGAAACCGTCCACGTTGGGGGTTTGCATAAGGTCGACGCAGTTGTTCTCGTTCACCGAACCGCCGTAGACGATGCGCACAGTGTCGGCGACAGCGCCGATTTTTTCGGTAAGGAGGTCACGAATCAACTGAAAGAACATGTGACTGTTGATACGAGAGCGAAAAAGTCAGCAACGCGCCTAACTACGCAACAAAGGCATGAAACCGCAACGACGCCAAAAGCAAACGACACCAGAATATTGCCGCATTCGACGACACGGCGCTCAAGGGGTTCACAAAATACATTGCAACACATAGCTGCAGCCACGCAACAACGTAACGTGACCACATTCGAGATGAACACACGGCATATCGTGCGTGGAATCACCACGTGGCCTTGTTGCAAACGAGATCAAAATACGGACCAGCAAACATCGGCGTCGTCAGTATATACATATATGCAACGCAACCTACCTGATGCGCCTCAAGAACCTCCGCGGTAGTGGCCACTTTGCCCGTACCAATAGCCCACACAGGCTCGTATGCAATCACCACGCGGCTCCAGTCGGTGACGGCAGTCATGAAGGCGTTAAGCTGGCGGGTGATGACCTCACCAACTAGACCGCCCTCGCGTTCAGACAGGTTTTCACCGATGCACACAGCTGCGTTCAATTTCGCCTGCTGAGTTATGGCGACCTTCGCAGCAACATCCTCGTCGGTCTCGCCGAACATGGAGCGACGCTCAGAGTGACCAATCAATGTCCACTCGAGGCCGAGGTCAGACAACATAGGAGCAGCCAATTCGCCGGTGAATGCGCCCGGTTTGAGCTGCGAAATGTTCTGCACACCAATCTTGAATTGCTCCAGCTTGAATTTCTCCAGGCATGGGACTACATACAGGCTGCTCGGGAAGAGCACAACGTCTGACAAACTATGTTTAGAGCTGCAACTGCACGTACCCATGCTGCTGACGTCGAACTCAGTTTCGTTCATTACGGCGGACAGTGTAGACACCAGCTCACGCGAGCCGTTGCACTTCCAATTGCCGCCAAGCCAACGCCTACGAACAACAGCCATCTTGTCACAGAACGAAATTTCGCAACTTTCAAGTTAAAGACGAATTTCCAGCGTTAAGACGCTAGTGGCGATCGCGGCGGTGTCAGCAGGGGTTACCCGACCGTGGACCGGTGATTGGGCTGTTGTCTGCAGAACACATGTGCCGCCGGTTGCGCAGTGATACCGCTATCACCGATGCGGCATGGACTGCGCTTCATAAGCCCCGCTGAGGCGCGACAGCGGCGGGTGACCTATTGCACTAGCTACGACACGCTCAAAGGGGTAAATAAAGGCAATCCACGCACCACTCACCACTAGCGCAGCGGATACAGCTAACTACACCAGATAGTGACGCAGCAGACGCTGTTTACGCCGAGATTATTGCCTTAGTACCGGGGGAGTACCTGGCGCTGCGTAGCGCATTCCACTTCAGAGTGCTGCGGTAAGGCCGGAAGCAGCCGGAATTAAGTACACGCAGCGGGGCAGTAGAGTTTAACGGTCACGTATATACACCCAGAAGGAGCGCGTACACTAAGGTCCTGCTGCCAACATGGTCGCCGCCGGAGCGGATGCTCGCGCTGTGCAGAAGCACCGACAGCGACCACAGTGAAGCAGATGCCGCAGTACCGAACCAATGCACGCATTGCGGCAAATGTACTGACATATTGGCAGAGTACTTCATAGGCGGCACGTGCTGCGCCGTACGTGCCCGCCTGCAGGAGGACGGCGCTCTTACAGAAAGGCACTTCAATATCGCAGCAGCAGACAGGAGGGGCACTCACGCTAAGCCGGATCCTGACTGCGGAGCACTTGACTACTACAACGAGCAACAGCCGAACTATGTGAGTTATACGGCAGTTACAAAGCCGGTCTGCAACGAAAACGAACGCCCTTGCAGGGAACCTATGCAACCGTTGTGGCACTGATACCGCATACTAGCGCATTTGGAACTGTGGACTTCAGGAGGCTTCTAGCGCCACTGAGATCGCCGAAGATTGTAGTACCGGGGGTGTGAGTCCTTCCTTTGTTGGCCCGCATACATTCACATGCAGCATTGAGGCCGCCCGTGAACTGTTGAACGTCTGTGCCAGGGGGGAGCGCGCGCCCGTGCTCATGCTACACGGAGACAAGAGCGCTGGAAAGTCGACTGCCGTCGTCTATATCGTAAACTACCTGCTCAACCATCTCGACACGGTGGCGCTGCTGGACACGGATGTTGGCCAGCCCATTTTCGCACCACCCGGAACAATATCTCTCAAGTTCGTTACCGAGACCATAAATGCACCTCCACATGCGCTTCTGGCTGGACAGCGGCCGGATGTAGTGTACCTCCTAGGAGATGTAAAGGTGACACGCCCTGAAATGCTGCTGAGGCACGTCCACCGCTGCTTCGAAATATACACCAACGCGGTGGAAGACGACCGCAGCGTGCCACTTATAATCAACACTTTCGGGTGGATATCAGGTATGGGCGCAAAGATTCTGGAGGGAATAGCGGGGATAGCCAAAACCTCCGTGATGCTAAAACTCAACTTGAAACACCCGAACTCGGTGTCCCTTTACCCGGTGTCGACGCACGGTGAACTGGAAAGCGCTATACGTAACAGCCTGAACGTCGAATCTGACCCTTCAGAAACAGCAGAGAATGCGCAAAACCAGGCTGTTACAATGTATAAAAAGGTGGTCGAGGAGTGCGGGGCCATGCTGCCGTGGGATAAAACGGGTTCGGTAGTCATTGAGGCTCTGTCGCATTCGATCGCAAAGTCCCTTGCCATTGAAATGGTTGAGCAGTTCAGAGGCAATTATAGGGAGTATCCATATTGCGGCCTAAGCGCATGGCAGCACCTGCGGCGCGGCCGCGGCGAAACGAAGGCGGATCCCACACCAAACGACTTGCGGTGGCTTAGAGCCTGTGCAATGATCAACCCAACCTTCGGAGACGCTATGCACTTCCCACAGCTGCATCAAGAGGAATTCTTCGGGGCTGTGAAAACAACGGCCTTCCGCAGGTACGTGCGCTACCCCAAGTTGTTCCACTCCCCCAAACAACTTCGGATAATGGCGGAAAAATACACCTTCGTGGTGCAAATCAACACGCCGTTGGAGAAGATGGAAGAGGTATGTTGAACACCATTGCCACCATAAAGTGGCGGCGGGGATCCTCACCGGTGCTGGACTAGCTCAGAACCCCTGACGGCAAAACGCTTGGTATAAACGATTCCTGTTGTTGTGTCAACCCAAAATGTGCCTACGACTTAAAATGCTGCAACCTGGTATAGGGACTATGCGTACAATGCATGATGTGGACCAATCGCACCACATGGTATACCGAAACGTCTAATGACATTCAGGTGTGCCCGGCTGTAGCCGGTAGCATTATTGCGCTTTGCCGTGGAAAGTGTGATAACGTGTTTAGCAACGAAATCGGAGGCGATTGGGAGTTCATCACCTATGTCTACGTACACTATTTGAATGCGGAGGACATGACGGTAAGCGACAACCTAAGCGGTTGACAACAACCGACAGATGCTCGTATCGCACTCTGCAATCGACGATCCGGCGCAGATTTGCCGAGCCAATATCGCCGTTTTGTGGTAGGTCGTGGGAAATCACGTACGACGAGGTGCAGCCAGACCGTGGGATTGGAAGTCGTTCCTACTAGACTCTGCCCTATGGCCAAGCTCCGCAGCATAGAAGGCGACGCAGAGCGCATGGATGTGCTGTGGAAGTCGAGGGAATTGTCGACGTCGCAGGTAGGTGTACACCTGGACACGGCAGACGCACGCAGTTTGTGCCCTTCCGAAGAAACAGCCTCCTACACATGGTCAACACACAAGGAGCCGGAAACTCGGCTGGAAATTCGCGTAAAAACATCAAAAGACACCGTCAAGAACCGCGGACGGACAAGTTTGTCCATGTGTAGAATAAATAGTAGTGTAGTCGGCTGTGGCTAGGTACAGCCGCACAGCTTGCTTCGTGACCCACTAAAGAATTTCCGCACATATCTGCAATATAAAGGCTGTAAAAACAATAGTAGCGAAACTGTTGGCATTTGGCCCGCCGGTGCCGCGGGATGTCGTGAGATTCCACTGCGCTGAAAAGTCTTGGCCGACGACGACACGACCCGGCGACATAATGCGCCACTGGCAACGAATGTATAACACTAATTAGACATTGGGTTGACAGGAGGTGTGTCGAGCCAGCGCCCGGTGACGATGGAAGGCGTCACCTTAGGCGATTCGCCGAGGATGGCGTCGCCGCTACACCGCGAGAAGGCAGCTGATACGCAGAGGAGTTTACACGAGAACTCGGCCACTAGCTTGCCGGACTCACCCATCGTATTAGGCAAGCCAGCCGACGAGTTAGCGCTTGTCCTGAGGACCGTGGAGCAGGACCCGGATCGGCGCGAGACCCATCTTGAGGAACCGCAATTCCGGAGGAAGGCAACGGACAACCGCTGTTACATCCCCAACGGTTTGTCGAGCCAGCTATTCATGCCGCTGTGGATGGCAGTATTCCGCCACAAGAAACTTCAGAAAAAGTACGCCCATAACAATTATAAAAACATCGTTGCGCAGGACCGTAGTTGCAACTGATGTTGAAAGACTGTGCATCGCCCTGCTATGCGCGTCCAAAGCCGAAGACCGCCCCTTCCTCACTGTTGGCTGCCATGTCAAAGGGTTGTGTATCATATTATCGCACAAGCTGGAGTTCCTGGCCGAGGACTGCAACCAGCTCAGCAAGAAGCTGCTAATGTCTACCGCTGTGCTGGCGATTGCAGCGCGGCCCAAGCAGCGAAAATCGTATCGAGAAGGCGACGAGGACTACCAGCTGCCGAAGCGCAAGCGCCAATCCGCCAAGACGAGGAAACAGAAAAAACAAATGCTCGCGTTAGAGGACTACTTTGAAACCGGCTACAAGGCGCGTAATGATGTATATGATGAATATTCGGACAGGTGAGTGCCCTATATACGTGCCCAGACAATGTATGTAGATACAGTGTCCACACCGAGGAGGGCGGCGACATGGGAAATCCTGAGAGGTAGGCAATGCGTTATGTGTGCATAAAGGGCAACCCCAACACATTTGCCGTGGTTTTGTTGCTGTTGTCGTTGGGGAATTTGCATTGGTCACCTGTTTGCGTAGGCACGTGTGCATTGTCTACAACTGAGTGCTGTATATGTTTCCTGTTTCATCGCGTAGATGCAATTCGGCATCCGGTTTAACACAGCCACACACTCACACAGGCATGACATTGCGGTGGACCAAATTGAGGTGTTACAGCTCATGAACTTCGGGATCGGGCTCGGCATGGGGACCGACCTGGCGTTCTACTCGGCTGACAGCCCCAACAGAGGTCGAGACATAAGCTACCATAATTTCGAGCACGGATTGATGGCCAGGCATCGACCATCCTTGGAATCGCTCCAGCAACGCAGGGAGACTATAAACCCGGACACATTCCTCGATCTGCAGTCGCTCAGCTCACCATTCAAACTGAACGGGTACGCGTACACGCCGCGAAACAGGTTCAGTCAAGACGCGTCGGACGCCGACACCACCATTGCAAGCACAGAACTTACCCTGCAGTCAGAAAGTGTAACTCTGAGCACCCCGGACTTCGGAAGGTACGATCTGGATTGGGACATTTACAACGACCCGTTCGAAAATGAGCAAGAGGAACGCGACCAGCAATCGGTGTCAAACGAAAGTCGCATAGGGGCTGAACTGGTCCCAACAATTAACAGAACCAGGCGTATGGTGTTGGAGCACGCGGAGCCCAACGGAAAACCGGTCCACCTGGTCAAATCGAAAAGCGTCGCAAGATACGATACCAAAGTCACTAGCAGGACCCCCAAGACGCCCAGGAAAGTCAGAATTGCGAAGGAACAGACTACGCTTGACACCTTCGCTGTCTCGGCTCAGCCCATTTGTGACAAAACACAATGGTTCAACTCGGCCATAGACTCGCTGGTGAGGTCGGTCATGGGGTGCATGCCTGAGGCCGGCGAAGCGGGGGTCCAGAAGCCCGACTCAGAGGCAAGAGGGAAAGAAAGCAGTGCCGCTCTACCCGTCGTAAAGCCACCATCCACAAAACAAGGCGACAGGTGGTTTAAAAACGTGGAAAGGGAAGTGAGCAAGGCGAAACGGGTCCAGTCACCTCGGCATGCATTCGACTCCGAGATGGTGAGCACCGTGCAGCTCATCGAAGGCTTCCGTACGTGCGTACGCCAGAGGGAGGATGCGTCTGAACCCATTCAGCTCGAAGAAGTGCTACAGGGACGGTCTAAAGAAAGCGCGGCGTTGCTGTTCTACCGAACGCTCGTACTAGCCAATGCGCAATTCGTGGCGCTGTCGCAGCCAGCGGTACCGGGAGCTGCAATCGCCGTGACACCTGCGCGACGCTTCTGGGAACCCATACAGACGAGCAGAGACTTGAAAGCCTAGAGGGGCAATTGACCGCGTTTGCAACATGGGACGCCACAATATTTGCACATTATATGGCGTCAGGACTGTCACCCGTTGCTTACACCTTCTAAATGCCGAGGGTGTATAAGCGAAGTGTAATGAAACGTTTTACCAACACAAATAGCGTGAAACAACCACGCGGACTGACAACCGGATTCAACGCGCCGCGGCGCCTATCGCACCATGGTCAATGCCGACAGAGAACGAAGCCGTGTACCGGCGCTACGTAGACAGCGTCGGCTCAGCTCGGCCTCTGGCTTCATGTACGTAATAACAACGGCTCCGCTGGTACACTCAGCAGTTAACGCAGTAGGATCGTAAGTCGAAACCAGCGCGAATGTGTAGGATGGGGCTGCCGAGGCCCCAGTCATTTTTTAGACGGAGCTGGCCATCACTTTTGGAGGCAAAATCACACTGCGCAGGTGCACTTCCATTACGTCCCGCGGTACAGCACTGCACTGCCTCGCGCGGATCCGTCGCTGACCTCTACAGCCTCACGACGCGAGGTCGACTCTACGGCTGAAACCGACCGTAACACCCGTGTTGTCGCGGGTAAAATATACGCGCAAGCATACGTGGGATCGCCAATTGCAACACGGCAGGGTGACACCATGGTACAGCTTCTACGCATCACCCCCGAGGAGGTGATCGAGTTCCCTCTCGTACTATACACACCTCTCAACGCAAATCTCAAGCTGGAAAACATTAGCGAGCAAAATGTCGCTTTCAAGATCAAGACTACGGCTCCCAAGGGCTACCTCGTGAGGCCCAGCACCGGTGTCATCAAGGCGGGAGAGCAGCAGTCGGTTCAGATAATCCTGCAGCCACTCAGTGAGGCCCCGAAGACCGTCAATGACCGATTCCTGGTGCAATCGGTTACCTACGTCAGCGAGGAACCGGTCCCCAAGGACCTCTGGACCACAGTGGAGAAGTCGCAAGTTGGTGAGCACCGCCTCAGCGTCGCCCTGGTCAAGGACCCGGGACTGAACATCCAGTCAGGCAACTCGCCACATGGCATCCCGCCGCGCATTGCCGCACGTCTGTTCACTCCACAGAGCGCAAATGTGGATCTGCCAGGTATGTTTACCGTTGACGTCAGTGTCTAGTGGTGGCTGCCCATCGTGAATACCGTGCATAGAAAACGTTGTTCACTGTTTTGCAGAACTACGCCAGAAGTACGACGAGCTGGTGCAGTACTGCCTCTCTGTAGAGAAGCTGAAGGCGCAGATTATCAAGGAAAACGAGCAGCTCAGGCAGAGGCTGAACATGGGCCCTGCAGACTCACTGGGTACCAGGCTCTCCGTCGAGTTCTGGTATATCCCAATCATCATCATTTGTATGGCTGTCGTGGCCAAATACATGGGTCACATATAGTTCAATATAGATTTACTCGCCAGTGTGCATTAGGAGCCGTCGCGTGGTTGCCCGCCGCCTTCCCTTGGCCGAACCGCTGTCACACACATCTAAAACCGGAGCCGCAAAATGGCAGACGCTTACGGTGACGATTTCGGAGACAACTTCGGAATTGACGAGTTCGCGGAGGAGGAAGAGGAGTACGATGAGTTCGACGAGTACGACCATCAGCGCGTGGCCGACGTCGACATCATCACGGACGCCGGCGAATACAGGCAACACGTAAGTGGCATTCGCTAATTGCACATAATCGTACAGGTCGAGAACGCGCACCGGATCACCAGTCCGTACATGACCAAGTACGAGAAGGCCAGGATCATCGGCACGCGCGCGCTCCAAATCAGCCTGAACGCACCCATCACGATCCCCGTGGACGCGTCTACGGACGCTGTCGACGAGAATGTCGCAATGGGATTCGGAGAAGCCACCGACGCGTCTGCCATGGCCATCGACCCGCTCATTATCGCCGAAAAGGAGCTCTACCAGAAGTCGGTCCCCTTCATCATCAGGAGGTACCTGCCCAATGGCTCCTACGAGGATTGGAAGATCGAGGAACTCATCATAGATTGAGGATTGCTGCCGAATGGGAATCGTAGTAGAAAAGCTCTCGCAGCATATCGCATACCGGTGTCCTATAGAGGTCATCAGGTGTTAAATAGCTTAGTGCCCTTATTTCCAACCGTTACGTCTAATATCAACGTATGTGTTGTCTGTCGTGGATGTTGGGCACATGCGTTCTGTACCGGAGGTGAACCCGGTACCACGTGCGCAGTTACAAATAGCAGACAAACGAAAACGTAAAGCACAGCAGCGGCATCTTTGCGACTTACGAAAAAATTATAGGCAGCAATGATTAAAATTTAATCGGCTGTCAACGTGCCCCGCAAAGAGAGGGCGGTGCGACCCTTACCAACATCCAGCAGGGATCATTCAGACGGACCTATTTTGAATCCGTGGCCGAACGCTGCGTTAAACTTCAGTCTAACTAGTTTTGGCATTCCTCGTCATTGACATTTGATTGCGCATCGGGGCACGGGGGAAACATCAACTCGGCAATGTCGCTCATGCTCTCGTATGTCTTGGCATAGTTTACGTTTACGTGCCTAATGATGCCGCTGCGGTTGATGATGAAAACACGGTTCTCCGGGACACCGACGGACACGTATGCACGGTGGTCGGATTCGTTGTTGCCGAAACCGGCGTAGAAGGGGTTGTGGTCCGGGGGGAATAGGTTGCGGATGTCGCGCAACGCGGGGATCTTGAACATGTAGGCGCTGCGACTGATCACTTCGCGCTTGAAGGCGGGGAGCAAACGGTCCGGAGAGAGAAACAGAGGCCCGTGGGGAAGCTTGTCCTTCTCCTTCTGCGTTAATCCGAACAGGTACTCGCGCGTGTAGTCGGCCTGTCCAATGGCACGCGCGGTCAGATACATGACGCGGTAACCGTTGGAGCGGATCTTGGTGAACAACTCGGCGACGCCCGTGTGGGACCAATCCCGGCCCAGGATGGGCATGATGTGCCCCAGCGCGTCGGACTTCGTGATGGTGCCGTCGACATCCGAAATGACGATGCGAGCGTCCGCCGGCCAGAGATACAACTTCGCATGCACGCTCTTTGTTCCCTGCCACGAGGAGTTCACGGTGAAGGTGATGTTATTAACACCCATCTTCAAGTTTAGGGACGCCAGCTGCTCCGAAGTGGGGCGGATGGACACGCGGAAGCGCCTAAAAGCGCGCGTGCCGGCGTAACGCGGGGGGGCCATGTTGTTGCGTACATCAGACATCGTAGAACGCGTTGGGAGGGGGGATGGGGAGCTATTTGCGAGCACTGTTGTGCGCAGCAATGTCGCAATGGCCTCGCCGGAGAGAGGCTTGTTGTACACTATCCATGAAGCAAGTAGAGGCAGCGCAATCTTCGAAGGGTAGTAGGGCGGGCGATTGTCGAAACGAGCCACCAGAGAGGGGTGGTACCACAGGGATGGGTCGGCATTCAAACGCTCCCAGTCTACCATGTTACTCTCAAACAACTGGCGGTTCAACGTTTCGTCCTGCGCACTCAATAGATGACCGCATAGGCTGAACTGCAGGATCTGGTCGTCCGGTGAGTTTCCGCTGGCGTCCTGCTGGATACTCAACTCATCCCATCCCCGAGAATACTCGCCTCCGGAGCCTTTTGGTGACGCGGATGCCCCCCAATCTGTTTCATGCTGAGAGGTTGCAGGGTGCTGGGCGTGCGAGGGGTCGGAATTGCGATCGGTATTCGACTGCCCATGGGAAGAACGTGCAGCAGGTCCAGCCGTGTCCGCCTCATCGCTCCTCACGCTGCACCGGCTGTTGCTGCAGGCGTAGTAGCCGTAGTCCATTAGGGCATGGCTGGCACCGTCGCCGTTTTCTTCACTAAATACGGACATATCGCTCAACTGGTGGGTATACGGCGACAGCATGCCCGCTGCGGCGTCGCCACTGTCATCGTCGAAATACGCCTCGCCAGCAGCACCCAACTTCATGGTCAGGTTGGACAACTGCCCATTCACGTACACCGAGACGGTCTTCTCACGCGACTTCAACAGCTTGGTCTTACCGAACCGCACGTGGAACGAAGTGGAACGGTACACCCAACGCTCATTAGGTCCCAGCTCGGGGTCGCCATCGTTACAGGAGGCCGCTGAACAAACGTCATGTGATAGGGGAGCAATCGCACTCACCTGACGGAGAACGGCCATCAGCTCCATCAACCACCTCCTTGTGGCGAACGCAGATGATATCCACACATCCTGACAGCGTTGCCTGGTTGAAGTCCAGGACGCTGACCACGCTGCTGTACAGCTTCTCCCACATAACCGTGAAAGTGTCGTGACAACAGGCGACCAGTGGCAATTACGCCTATGAAAACATCCACTTACGGCAAAATATTTCGCTACCAACGTGCCGCCGGCGATAACGCCGCTCAGTCACCGGTTGCTCTGGTATGTAGACACGTCAGAGGTCCTCGGACGCAGGGACCATCAAACCAGCACCTGACGATCTAATCGTCCACCACCGCTAGTAAAAACAATGCAAATGCTCACGGGGGCGGTGCAAGGGCGTCATAGATGAATGTGTGTAGCCTTCCTACCAGTATATGGGCTCTAGCAGAACGCTCCCCAAACGAAGAAAATACTACCCACTGCCACCGCTCAAAAACCTTACACATCACATAGATATATGGCGAACTGTGGTCTTTAGATCTATTTAACCTTGGACTCCGACGCATATCTCAGGCTGGAGCGACACGTGCGCAGGGCAACATCTGCCTCATAGGGACGGCACACATGAACTGCAGATGATCTCCATTGGAAGTGAAAGCTAGATACCGTACACACACTACGGACGGGAGATTCGGGGCTGTAAACGCGCGGCAGCCAGCTGCGACGGTGACACACCGGACACCGTCGACTTTCGCCTACGGAGATCCGACGAATCCAGGCCATAAAAGCCCACACATTCGTCGCAACACATAACCGTCTAGTTGGAAAGCGCGTGAATAGCAGGACAGGCGTATCGCTATCCATTAGACACGATGAAGAACATCGGTAATCTCAATGAGGCATCGACGTATGTTTCGTCGAACTTCGACGCCTCAGACACGAATGGCGATCGGTCGACGTACTCGTACGATTCGAGGCTCACGGGCAGCGATGACGCTTACTACATAACAGTGGAGGTGAGCCACACATCGCTGAGCACATACTCCGCAGACGAGGATCGTTAGCGCCGCCACCAACAAGGATCACAATGCGCTCTTTACTATATTGAAGCCTATGTTAGAGAAGAATGATGTGTCTCATCTGGATGCTATTTGCGCGCTGCATTGGGGTAGGGAACGGTCTCGTGCATACTCATGAATCGCAGCATGCTACTGCGGCCATCCGGAGTTGGTAGAGACTTTGCTGAACATCGGTTGCGACCCGCACTACCCAGACGATATTAACCTGGAAACGCCCATTTACTTCGCTATCAGGGGATCGAACGTCCCGATCGTCCAGATGCTGGTGCAGCGCTTCGGCACGGAGTTGCTATGCCACGAAAATCGCAAGAGGCTCACTCCGTTCTTGCTCGCAGCCTCGGAGTTTGTGGAGGATAATGTAATATCGACTTTGCACATGCTGGAGTTTCTGTATCTGTCGGGTGTTTCCTTGGAGGAACAAGACGCATCGGGACGCACCGCGCTAATGCTCGCAAGCAGGCGCGGATGCCAATTTGTAGCACAATGGCTACTGAGCCGCGGCGCCAATCTCGCACACAGAGACCACCTCGGCAACACTGTGCTGCATCACGCGTGCGAAAGCGGCGACGGGGACACGCTCAGGTTCCTCTGCAAGCATGGGGCCATCGGACTCATTGGCTCCAAGGCGCTCGCAGCAACTGCCAAAGAAGAAACCGCTCTCGGCATATGTCTCATGAAGCGCAGGTTCCTGCAATATTCGATGCTTAAGGTGGGTGACTGAATTTTTCAGGAAAGCCTTGCCATCGTATGCTTGACGCTGGTTTAACGCCCATGGCCATGTTTTCAAACTGTTCATATTATCTGCATGATGTGTAGTTAGTATTAGGACCTGTGAAAGTGCAGTGTATTTCTAAATCCAGTTGTGAAACCTTTTGTATGCTGAACTCAATGTCACGCAGATGTGGTCGTGGCAGTATGCGCTCACGGGGCGCCTGCTGGCCTTCAGGAGCCCATACCCCATCTACTACTGGATCCTGGCAATGATAAACCTCGCACTGTATTGGAGGATATATGCCACATTGGAAACCACGACGTCAATACAATCTGCAATCGTCGACGTGTGGATTGTTGGTTGGATCATAAGCCAATGCTTCTGGTTCATCACCTTCGCCAGCGACCCCGGCAAAGCGCGCAAGAACCCAGTTATGTCACAGTCGCACAGGACGTCATCCAACTTCGAAAACGATATCATGAAGGACGCGCCCATGCTCGGCGGTACCTTCGAAGCGCAGATGCAGTCGCTGCAGAAGCAACAGGAGCTCATCAACTACGAACTCTATCGCATCAACTGCGACTCATTCAGACGCAATTCTTGGGTAGCGCATGAAGACTTCAGCGGGGAGCTTAGTGAGCCACTCGACCCGTACGGATACGCGGGAGAGGATGGACTTGCGCAGCGGGTGCAGGTCTGCAAGGAGGAGGCGCAGATACTGCAAACGGAGATGCACGCGCTATACCCACAAGTCGGTATGGAAAGGCAGGAGCACTGCGTTTTCGGCTACGCAGATGCGGTCATGGGGTCCGTTAGGGACCTCGGCATCTCTACCGTGTGCATCACGTGCAACATGATCAGGGCGGCGAGGTCGCATCACTGCGGGACCTGCGGCGTATGCATGGTCAGACAGGATCACCACTGTGCGTGGGTGGACAACTGCGTCGCGAAGGGCAACCAACGTGCATTCTGCGTGTTCGTCTCAAGCGTATGCATCAGCCTGTGCCACACCTACTACGTGATGTACCTCCACTTTGCGTCTGAATTTGCGCGCATGAAGTTCGACTGGATATGGGACGGACCCAACATCGTCTTCGGAGTAGTCGGCAATGCCGCGTGGCTCGCGTTCGTAGGGTACCTCTGTGTCAGAATCGCAAGGAACATGGCCACCGACGTCACATTCTACGAATACCTCCGGAAGCCGGAACACATCAGACACCGTTTCAAGAACCAGGTTCAGGCCACCTTTTGGGACTTCGCAGATTTGTCACTGCTCAAGGCCATCGCAAACTGTGGCAGGTTCTGGGTGCCCAGTTGAGCGGCGGGCGCTCAGGCGGCCTCGCCAGTCTATAACCCATGTAGACACCACACATTACGTAGTTTTAAAAATGACACGCCTCAATAATGTGCTATACACCGGATGTGTGAAGCCAAAATGAAGATTGACGGCGAACTGTACCAGAGCTGTGTAGAGCCGGAATTCGCCCATAACGCCGCTGGCGGTACCGCGTATTTCCCGCCTCTGATCTCGCTGGTACACGTCAATCGCGGCGGAAGCGACGCGCTTGAGCTTAGGTTGAGGCGGAACTGGCCCACCTACCCGGCCAACGTCAAGGAGAGCATCGTCCTTGAAGATGTCATCAACGTCCTCTGCGGATCCGATGGGACGTTATACCACGTTGAGCATGGCTCTTACGTGGTACATCGAAGCCCCATTCTCGATCGAAGTTTGTCTCATCAGTTGCGCCCTAATCTGGATGCAGAAAACGACGCCACGCTGTGCATGATGGCTGAGGAGATCCTCGAGCTCGCCGTCATGCAGCGAAAGGTACAGGACTTCGTCCAGGACAACGAACGCGGGTTCGTGGTGCTGAGCTTGTGCGAAGTCCTCAACGTGCTGCTGCAAGAGCTGCAGAGCCGTATCGCACAATTCGATGAATCGCAACGCAACGTCGGGATGGGACTGCAGAGGTTCAAGTTGTACATCCAACCGGCGATACATACATTCGAGGTACTGCAGGGAGTTGTCGCGAAGAGCCGGATCACGGGTGCAGCGTTGCTCAATACGCTCGCAGCCACCTGCCAGCTGTATGGGACGGGCGATGCGAGGCGCGGCCTCGCCAACCACCTCATGAAGCAGGCAATGGAAGCCTATTGCCACCTCGTGGACCCGTGGATCAACTTCGGGGAGCTTTACGACCCGTGCCAGGAATTTTTCGTCGTGCCCAAGGGCCCCCCAAAGGGGGGGACATCGGAGGACGAACAGGTATTTGGCATAGACTGGGATAGGGTGCCCAATGCCATGAAGGACATTGCGGAGACGATACTGAACACTGGAATGTATATCAGGATATTGGCCAGGTCCAAGGGTAAGGCCTTGCCGAACTATCAACCACTGCAATTCACGTCGGTGGAGGAATTCAAGGCGCATGTTGCCACTTTGCACCAGGTTGCTTCCGACGAACTCGTTAAGTACATCGTCGCGGATTGCAACCTCATGGAAATGCTGGAGTCGGTGCACAGGTTCCTGTTGCTGTCACGTGCGGACTATGTAACCAACATCCTTGCCGACATAGACCACAACACGCTGAACGAATCCATCAACCTCAACTTCCAGGAGGCTGTGGCGCAATCTTCGCTCAGAAACGATGCCTATAAGCACTTATACGTGCTTGAGGTAGTAGACGGGAATGCGCCACTAGGGCTGAGCGCCAGGTCCGATAGGGACATTTCGAAACGGCTTAAGCTGTCCTTCACGGTCGAGTGGCCCATGCAGATATTCTTCAGCGAGGATGTCATGGCGAAATACCAAACTGCGTTTAGTTTCTTCCTGCAATTGAAGCAAACGGAGCATGCACTCTCACGCATTTGGCTGATGCATATGAAGTGGAAGCGCCTGCCGCTGATGCCAAGCGCGCAGCTCAGGCTAAACTACACCTTCGTCATCATCGAACGAATGCTCTTCCTGTGTCGGAATATCGCATACCTGTGCACGGTTGAGGTCACAGAACGCAACTTCAACCTCCTGCTGCAAACATACGAGAACCACCTCAAGACCGACAAGGCACAACAGTCGTTCAGCTTCATCGTGTCACGCCATCAGCAGTTCGTCGACCAGATCATAAAGCGCTGTATGATAGATGACGAGACCATTGCGCCATCAATAAGCCGGGCGCTCTCCTTGTGCAACATCTTCGCCACGCAGGTGCTGGAGTTCCTCGAGCAGCGCGAAAGCGACAGCGGCGCAACGCGGCAAGCCGATAGGCACGCTGAGTTGGAACGTGCAACTAAGTTCACCACAGATCTTCTGCACAACGAGGGTTATATCGCCATGGTGGGGACCGCTTCGCACCAGTTCGACAAGCACCTGCGAGCCCTTCTCGCCCTGCTGCAGGGGGCCGAGGAACGCCACCAAAGCAGCCTGCCGATGCGGCTCACGTACAACGGGTACTTCACTTGAAATTAAGGGGCGTATAATCCCATGTGATTGACGCGCTTTAAAACTTAATACAGAACAGTGGAATGGCAGTGTACAAAATTTAGACTTATTTTAAACTTCTTGAGCGGCATCAGTAATGCTGTACCATTTTGTCCAAGTCTTGGAGGATGGCCTTCAAGTTCGCGGCGAAAGTGGCAATCGCCGCGCCGTCTATGTGGCGGTGATCGGCAGTGACGCCCATTATCGCTACCTCGCGCGGTACGAGCGCGTCGCCGACGTAGCGGGGCTGCTTCCGCGCAGCGCCGAGCGCCACTATGGTCCCCTGCCCGCCAAACAGACGCGCATTAACGTAGGTGCCTCCGATGGCGCCAAGGTTACTCAGAGTCGCCGTACCGCCGCGAATATCCTCGGGTGACAGGCGCATTTCCGCGGCAAGGCGCTGCACGCGTAGCAGGTCATGTTGCAGTTCCCGCACGGTCTTCGACTCCACGTTGTGGATGACAGGTACCAGCAGACCGTGATTCGTCGCAACTGCCACGTTGATGTTGTGTTCCGAGTACTCCATGTAACCGTCGCCCATGAACTTCGAGTTCATCACGGGGCTGGCAGACAGAGCGAGGGACAATCCCTTGAGCAGGAATGGAGTCATGGTAAGCTTCACATCGGTCTCCACGGCACGCTTCTCACGGTAGAAATTACGGAGCTCGGTGAGGTCGAGGTCCTCGCCCACAGTGACGTGCGGCACCTCCAGAGACGCAACCATGCTCTTCACCATGCTGCGACCGACGGAGTTGAATTTGATGAACTTGCCCGGGACTTCCGATCCCGCGTTTTTGCTAGCAGCGAACCTTTCGACGTCCTCACGTGTCACCTGTCCCATGGAACCCGTGGGACGCACCGATTCCAAATCAACATCAAGTTTTTTGGCCAACTGGCGAACGGCTGGCGTGGCGGAGACGCCTTCTGTCTTATTACGCTGGAAGGGTTCGTTAGGAGTTGGTGATGACGAGCCGGCAGGTTCCTGAGGTGCTGATTTAGCAACATCAGCGGACACTGGGGCCGCATGCACCTCCGTGTCATCCTCCGCGTCAATGTCCATCAGCGGCGAACCAATATTGATCATGTTGCCGGTGTCCACGTAAAGCTTCTTGACTACGCCCGTGTATCGGCTCGTGATGTCAACTGCGGCCTTGTCACTTTGAACGGTGCAAACCGTCTCCATCTCCTCGACCTCCTCGCCAACGGCCTTGTGCCACCGCACCAGCTCTACTTCGGATATGCCTTCGCCGATGTCACTCAGCATGAAGGTTGTCAGCTTGTCACGGCGGGGCGATATGTGGAAGAAGCGCCGACAGACCGTGCGAGGGATGGCCCGAACGCCAATTTGGTAAAATAGACCAAAAACCATTTTGAATACTAAAATCACGTTGAATCAAGAAAATTGCATTTAATACAAGTACAACGAAAGCGCAATAGGGCTGTTCAGGGCGATGTGCGCGTCGTGACGGACGTGGCCACTGACGCCACTCCTGCGCGAAGCAACATGTCTAGTGTCAATTTAATGGGGGTATGCAATAAGACGTCTAGTTGCAGTTTTATCATGTGACTAAGTGAATAACCTGCAAAAGTGTCCTTTGGTAACAATGTGATCGCATACTAATGTGTACCACAGAGGAGACACCGCTCCCAGCTCATTCCCGGGTGCGTTGGCGGCGTAGCCTGACGGAAGGACCGTGTCCTCTATTATAACTAGAGATCTTATTGACGAAATGGGCTTCCATTATTCAGGCGTAGCGGCGCTTCTCACATTAAACGTACACACTCGGATACGCACATTACAGACATCGACAGAATCTGAGCCATGTTACGGCTTGATTGGGTGATCCGGTCGATTTCCTGTTGTTTTGGCTAAATTCGCTGCGCCAGTCAGCCGCCTGTACCACCCGAGCTATGCACATCGGTGCCTAGGTGCCAGAGCGCGACCACAAACGACGACGATCCGCAACATACCACCTGAGCCGCGTGGCCACAACCCGCGTACATAACGGGTCAAAGCAAAATAGCGATAGACACGCGAATATAAGCAAACGCGGCTAATTCGATGGCCGACGCCGTGGGAGTCAAGACGCCACCGGCAGACGCGATCATATTGGAGCCGGTCGTGCGGGAACGAGTTATAGAGGTGCCGAAACCGGAAATACATGAGCGAATTGTGGAAGTACCGGAAATACAGTATGTGAAGCGCGTAACCGAAATACCGGAGGCAGTCATCCAGGAGAACATCGTGCACGTGGCAAAGCCGCTACTACAGGAGCGCATCAAGCACCTCCCCAAGCCCATAATACAGGAAAAAATTGTGGAGGTGCCTGTCATACAAATCGTGGAGAAGGTGGTGGAGGTGCCGCAATACGTCTACCAGGAAAAAGTGATTGAGATACCCAAGGTGGTCATACAGGAACGCGTGGTCAGCGTGCCCAAGAAGGTGACGAAGGAGCGCATTGTGGAGGTCCCGCGAATAGAGTATAAAGAGGTGAGAATCGTACTGAGTGGCTTCTACGGTGTGCATGAGACGCCCGTTACCACATAAGGAGGGGGGCGTGTGATGTGTCACGCAATAGCGCTCTTGTCTGTATCACCGTCTCCGTTAATACAACGTGATCATTAGCGTGCAGGTCATCAACGAGCGTATCGTGGAAATCGAGCAGGAAATCCCCGAGATTGTTCACAAGGACGTTCACGTGACCCACTACATCGACCGCCCTGTAGAGGTCGAGAAAATTGTGGAAGTCCCGCAGATCCAGGTCAGACAACAGATTGGCAACAACATACCCCTGCAGCACAAGTACAGGGATGTCATCACACCACAATATCGCAATGTACCAACGCCAGTGGAGGTACCGATCAAGCAGTACCGTAACGTGCCAGTGACCAAGGTCATCGAGCGCGAAGTACCCATCCCGGTAGAGATCGACGTCATACAGGAGTTCACATGTAGGAACGTCGAGACACGGTACGTAGAGCCAAAATAGTCCCTGAGCTGGGCGCAGGTATCACGAAGTGCCCATACCAGTCCACGTGCAGCGCATCATCGAGCACCCTCTACCGCACGAGGCGTTCCAGAACACGGAAGTCGTGCCACAATACTACCAAACAGTGCAGAATAACTTGCGGAGATTGCATGAAGACTGGATGACACCACCACACCCGTAGCCACTCACGGGACCAAAATGCAGTGTTTAAAGGCGACATCTGATACACCTGGCCGTTATACGACTGGGACACCAGGTAGAATTGCTGAATGTTATATTACACGCAAGAACCTTATAAATAATAAGCGTTCCTATCTTGTATTCGGCACATAGGCGTCAGAACAGGTGCCACAGCTCGATGTTTGACACATCAAAGTAGCCATTGTGGCTGCTCACCAATTTGGGCGAGTCGTACGACGCGCAGGCTTGCGAGACACCTGTGCTCATCGTCTTGTCCAGGAGCAGCGCCGGGTGGTCGCTGCCCACAACAATCTGATGCGAACTAATCTTGATGCCAGTCGTATTTAGCCCGGACCACTTGTAGATGTGCTCCTGAGGTTTCAGTGTGAACACGAAGGAATCCAGCTGGTCAGACTCTGCAAAGGTGTTAGAGTAGTGCACACACGTACTCACGGTTTGGGGACGTGAACAGCCCATCGGTAGCTTCGCAGTTGAGCGTGGGTATGAACACGCCCAAAATATCGCGGGTCGTAGTCTCAATGAACAAAAGTGACGCGACACCAGATCGATCTGAATCTTTAATGGCCTTCACCAGACCGAGCATCGATGTTCCATGGCGGTCGGAGCTGTAAACCATACGCGGATCCAAAATGCGGTATCTGGGTAAAAGCCACGACCAAATGGTCTCCCACTTGTGCTCCCTTACGATGCGAGAGAAGGACGACAGACGAGGTCGGTAGAATGCGCGTATTTTAACGGGCATCAGGTAGGGTGTCACCGGAGCGCCCTTCACCTCGCTCTTGTAGTACTTTAGACGGAAGCTGTACGCCAACTTCGTCAGCTGGTCAACGTCGAGGGTGTTGTCCAGGCCGATATTGTACAGAGCCTCTTCGGCCTCATGCTGCGTGTTGCACTTCATGAGAGTGTCATGCCCGTGCTTTATTAAAGCGATGCAGTAGCGACACAGCACGATCTCGCCCTCGAACAGGAAATCGCCGTATATGCGCAAAGTGTGGTCGAACGGCAACACATGCGAAAATCCGCTCTGCACAGAACGCGCTATCCACGCGGCAACGTCAACGTTGAGCAGCTGAAGCTTGGCAACCAACTTACGCATGTGGTAGCGCATAACGTTAAGCACGTACTTCACGAAGTCCACGAACCCCTCACGGTCGACGAACAGAAACCGCTCGCCGCACTCCGAACGGGCCGACTCAACGGCCTTCACCATCAAGCAATGCAGCACGCACAGCGCAATGTCGGGGGCCATGTAAACCAGCAGCAGGCAACACAGCGAAGGGATGATGGGCAGGAACTCGATGGTTGAAGAAAACGATGTATTAAGGCACCACAAAATCCGCTTCACCTCGTTCACGCCACTCGGAGTGAGCAGTGCCGTGTAATCCGTAATGTCAGACAGCTTGTACACAGAGCTGTGGAACACCTTGGTTGTCGCCTGCCGCACCAACATGGTGTCTCCGGCTGCAGAGGGGAACCTGATATAGCCACTGTCGGTGGAGTTAGGCTCCTTTACATCAGCTTGGAATGTGACTGCGGTAACTCGGTTGTCGTTGATCGGCTGGATATGGCCATCCTCCAGGGTCGTGCGAGTACCATCGCCCGTTGTTGCAGCGGAGAAATTGTCCTGGCCGGACAGTTCACCAGGCAATGGAGGCTCCCCCTCAGGAACTGTATCGCTATTAGAGGTGTTCCAATCAACATAGACGGTCTGTATCCGTCTGCGCCCGCCACAAAGCAGACCCAAACGCGCACAGAAATCCAAAATGCGGCAACGGCGAGGACCAGCAACGTCCGAAGCAGCAAGAACAGGCCGCTGCTCACGTTGGCGCAGGAAACGGATGATCGTGGACGTCCTCGGACATATTTGGGTCACGCTGTCCTTATGCGCGAGGGGTATCTGGTTGTTCACAATTTTTGGGTAGTGCGACGGTGGGTTTGGCAGCGTCAACCCACTGCTCAGCAATGAGGTATCAGAAAATTGCCTAAACATGTTACCACTCCTCCCCACTTCGCTTAAAGACACCTGACGCTCGCGAATCTTCTTCTTGGCCGCTTTCAAAAGCATCATCTGGTTGCTGTTCTCAGCGTGGAGCACGGATAGATAATGGTCGAGAGGGTCGCGGCGATCCACCTCCGGAGCATCCTCACTAACGTCTGGCAGTGGCAATGCACTCAGGTCACGCCATGCGCCGACATCGAAGCGCACATGCGGGGCCGAGTCATCATCGGCATACGCCGCCGAACGATGCGAACGACTGGGCTTGTGCCTATAGTAGTTGTCACGAAGCGAGGCTACGGATAGCTCGCGAGTCAACGGTGATTCTTCATCCGTATCATACGCAGATCCGCCATCTGACTCATGTTGGCTCCGACGATGCCACTGGTACACAGAATCGCTTAGACCGTCTGCGTCAAGCGAGGCTGCGCTGAAGTCTATATCCTTCGCGCGGACCGGAGTGCCGAGGACGTCACTTTGGAGTCCCGATATACCACCTGGCATAGGTTAAACCCGGTGAAATAGACATACCACAAAAGGTAGGGCAGTCCTCTCCCATGACCTCCGGAATATTTTGCCCAAAGGTGGTGGTGAAGGAGTGCTTGTAAAAATTCGGATGCTCGATGTAAAATCTATCCGCGCCATTTGCTTTTATCCAAATGTATTGCTTGATCAAATCGGGCACGCCTCTACATTCAAGTGAAGAGATGCGTAACGCGGATGCATCACAGTTTGATCAGTGGAGGTGGCCGCATATTAAGAAAATGCTCAAAAGCGGTAGATTATGCAAAGTTGCTACGCTTATACGCTAAGTTATATGCACACAGTTCACCGAACTATGCAACTGCAGCACGTAAATGAACACCATAACCGATCCATGCATCAAAAAAAAACAAAAAACACACCCAAATCGCAACTGCGCATTGCCCATTATAAACTCGAAGTATCATAAATGATGGAAAAGTGAAATTCGTGCAACCTCGACACCCACAAAGAAAATCAAGTTGCACGGTACAGCGACGGGCATTACTTTGGCCATTCTCCATAGAATACAAAGGGCGGTACCCACCTTCTTATGGCTGTTTTCAATGATCCATATGACTCGTAGCTCGCCGCTATACCATACTTGAACATATCAGCGCTCCACACGCACAGCTCGAGTTCCTGCAGCGGCATGTGCGACTGGGCACATCGGACGATTTCAAACGTACATTGATCTCAGCCGACCTCCATTGCCTGTAAGTTTCGGTATCCACCAGCTGTGTGACCTCCGTAGCTGCTGGAGTCATCGTGACGTAACGGTGACGACGAGCGCGCGCTCTGCGAATCCTACAGGCACAACGGACCAGCCGTTCCCGCCAGCAGCATCCCGAATGTGGGTTTCCCAGTGGGCGACGCGCGCGGGAAACCGGCGCGGCTGGCAGACTGTCTAAGTGCCGGGATATCGCCCCCGTAGCAGAGTCATCAAAGCCGCCGGGTGCTACACAGTCTATCCATTTATCCTCAAAAACGATGTAATTTGGTGGGAAGCGTTACACGTAATGTTTTTGCAACTGCTTCCCGATTAGCCGCCTCCTTTGCGACCAATCGACGGCACTACACATGTAGGCAAATGCGCTGGCACGACGGGCAGAGACGCAGCAGTTGCTTAGTCGTGAGCCTCAACGCCACAACGTGTTATTTGAATGGCTATGGGACCGGAAGGAGGGCCATGCACATTGAATAGGACCTGGAGAAAACGACGCGTCATAGTCATGCTCTCTGCAAAAGGATGCCGTCGCATCCATGTAACGCACTCTGAATTTGTAGCGATGCGCGGCAATTTAGACATTGCGTCCAGGTGTCACCTAGAGCTGGTTTTACCTGTAGACAACGTCGCAGATCGCGCAGATACACCTACGTTATTGGTTGACCCTCCGACAGGCTTAAGAGCCGCGTCGCCGCCGCCCGTTACCTAAGTGGCATGTAATCGAGACTGGGTGTGACAAACCTCGTTCAGCACTAGTATAGCCAAATCCATTTCAGAGGCCAGCCGCTTCAAGAACGACGATACCTGGAGCAGGTTGCTCCTAGGGTTCTTCCCACTCCTGTGACCATGAGTGACCCATCGAGTTCTACACACAACCAACCCTTTTGAGTGAAATGTGGATCGAAATAGTGGAGCGATAGAGTCAATGACCACGAGCCGTATCTGATAGCAAATGGAAAGTTTCACAGTGCATGCCTGCTGTAGCTAAAGACGTACATTCCTAGAATCGTCCTTTGCTCCATACATGTTAACTAGTTTCATAACCAGCTCCTGCAGGCGGCATGTGACCACAACACTCATGTAGCATACCCCTGGTTCGGTGACCTTGTCGATGCATAAGTTCTTCAGGATGCCCTTGACCATTGCCGGATCCGTCCGTGCTGAAGGATCCACATATTCCATTTTGCCCTCTGTGCAAACCGTTAAACGCTTTGTCATTTTAAAGCACCTATCATCTCGCAAAGACGGGCAATGGGAAATGTCCCGCCCGTGTGGAAGTAGATGAGGACGCCATTCGTTCCCTCTACGTTGGATGTAATCAGCTCCTACAATATAATTATAAGTTAGAAACACGATGTGGGATGCGTGTTGCAGCATATTTGCGCCTCAGTCGAAAATTTGACAGTACCACATGGGTCCTTTAGATGTAACGGCATCAACGAGCTCTTATTCAGTTTAATAACGACACACGTTATATCAAACTAATACTATCCACAAACACACGGGCAAGGCGACACCAAAGCACGAACTTGGCACTGTTTACACAGAGCATTTGGAAGTTTCACATTAACGCAATCGGTCACATACGAGCATCTTTAGGAAACGCATATATTATCTGGCAAAGGCACAGCTTTCACGGTTGCAAATTCATCCAATCATAGTCTTTACCTCAAGATCACCAGCACTTTAAGAAATGCGATGCATGTTGTGGAAGGCAAAGTGCAAAAGTGCATAGCATACGTGCTTCTACGTGGCATCTCAGCAGACATATTCACACTCATAGGTGTCACTAGCCGTTTATTTGTTGCACGTCCGTCAACGGAAAGTTCCTTAAACACAACAAGGCATGCCAGGATGTGTATTCGGTAGAAAATGCAGACCAACGGAATTGTCATACACACCGCCGCTATAACAATACACATCACATACCTGAGCCACGAGAGTTAGCGCAAGCTGCGTTTTGCCGGAGCCCGCAGCGCCATGGATCTCCGTGACCTTCCCGCAGTAAATGCCTCCGCCGAACGCGCTGTCTATGGCGGGGACGCCAAACTCAATACGGTCTGATATAGCTGCTGTCTCAGCTGTTAGCCAAATCTCGTTGATGCTTCGGACGTTGCCAGAAGTAGACATTTCAACTGACTGGCACGCTTATGGACACTAAAATAGGCCCCCGAGGCAAGCGGGCATGGTCTAGTGGTTATGACGTCTGCCTTACACGCAGAAGATCCCGAGTTCGAGCCTCGGTGCCCGTATTTGCAAAAATGTAGCTATAGGCCACATCAACGGCTTTAGTTATGCGCATAGTGTCATCTGCGGTGAAATGGCTGTCGCGACTTTGTAGCCGCCCTCATTTATGCACTCTTTCGACAGGCGATTTCGCACGCTCAGAGCAATAGCTTCGTAATAACTTTCTTTAGCGGGTTCCAGGACAATTTTGCGATGTAAGCAGTCTGTGACGTATGTTACAAAACGTTTTAAACCTACGAAACAACAAGGCGTGGACCTCCGAAGGCAGCGCAACGCCCATGACTGCGGAGTCGCAGTAAACCTGAAAATAGTCACGCGTCGACGCACCCCCTTACCATCAACGCTTCTTCGATCGGATTTTTGTCCACGCACAACATCGATTCGATGCATAGCCGATAAGCATTCGCTGTGAGCTTCATTTGCCTGATGACGATGGGGAAACGCGTGCTACATACTCACCAGTTGGACCGTATCGCCTTGAATACGCGCTTCACACTCATGTACTCTCTTTTTGTTACAAACGCCGCCATGAGACCATAAACTAGATCGATATCCGGTGGTTTGGGCAGCCAATCCCGAGCGCCCTCTAACAACTGAAAAATCATGAAGCGAAAAATGCCTCAGGGGCGAATATGCCAATATAATCAATGATTTGTCAGTAACTATGTACAGCACATGTGTATTGTGGGTACTGGTAGTAGCGGTTATACCTACCTTCAAGGACTCCTCTAGCTCACCGCATCTCATGCCGAAGACGAACAGCTTGTTAACGCCCTCCGGACTCAACTGGCGTCCGAAGTTGTAAAAATGGTTTACAGCGATCAGGCCGCGCTTGTACTCCTCGTGAGTTTTGCAGCTGTATACAGTGTCACAATTCCAACAGATGTTGAGCTCATTCATCATGCAAACAGTGGAGGGGTTGAGAGGAAGTACGGCGAAGCACAAGTTACGAAATCAGATAGAAAATCCATGTTGTAACAACTATTACGAACGTTGACTTACAGACGCGTACAGTTAAAGACATCAAAAATCGTATTTAATATTCACGGTGGGCATGCCCCGGAAAAAATAATAAACTCACAGCTGCCAAATTGAGTAGAGGTGCTTGACATCAACACGGAATAGCAGATTCTTACGCCCGAGATCGGCTACCTTGTCCACGTATTGCGATACCTTTGCGATGTTGCTCAACCTTCAGCCGTTAGACGACACATTCTACACACCTACCTCGCCATGGACCGAAATGGCGCCATTTGGTACGTTAGTACGGCTTATAGAGGTAGACTAAGCCCATTGGTGACCATTTACGGCCTATAGTTGCGACGAACGCACAGACGACCGCGTTCAGACATCATTCATCGGGCGACGCACAGTCTCAGCTTACTGCCAGAATAACGGCAATGTGTAAGAATAAATATTAAAATAATACATTTGCTTCTTTAAAATTTCTCACAGGACCATGCTGCGGTTGGGTCAACTGCCTAGACAGCAACAGCCCCTTCAGGTGATGTACGTCATGGCGCACTGCTCAACACGGTTGTCTCACTGTGACAACAAACAGCCCAAAGCACCTGCATACGAGCCAAACACCGATACGAGGACGTCCATAGGGGTAACTTCGTATGACTCGGCCATCGAAGCTATGGCACGCGCCGCAACGTCAATTGTCATCCGGTAATTCGTGGTGTACGATCCCGTGAAAACTATGCGATCCACCCCGTAGCTCTTTGCCACCAGGAAGGCCAATTGGCCAATATTGTACGATACCATGTCGCTCGTGCTTCGAGCAACGTTTTCTACGCTGCAACATAATCTCGACATCACTCTAGGATTACCTGACGTGGCCATCAGACGCCCCAAAGCTGCACGTGTGTCAAGTGTTACTAACGCGAATCTACCTAGCCTTTAGTCTGTCGGACGAGGCCGTGGGTTCCGTGGATGCTGGGCAGAAGCTGTCCATGCAATTGGTACCTGCTTGTCCATTACCCACAAGTAACACTCAAGCAACCTTTATCATACAAGAGCGGGAAGTCTTCGTATGTTTTCAGACCCAAAAGCGTGTTGGTCAGTCCATGAGCAGTGGCGCCACCTATACTGGTCCCAGTTACCCTTTCGAAGCATCCCTTGGACATGACCTGAGCATTAATGGAGGCCGTACAATCATATATGGGCTAAAGTGAGACACTGGGACTCATGTGAGTAACAATGCACTGCACAGTTTACTGACTTAACATTGGTACCAGTTCGGCCGTGGGTCTGCCAACACGATCGCGTTAAACCCTGGGTTGTGCATGTAACAGTCATGAATGCAAGTCTTCACATAAGGCAGGTTTTATGAGATACGGTGGAAGTAACTCACCTTTAGTATCGAAATGCCAGATCCAATGTTCACAATGAGGTACGGATAACACACGGCCTACGTGCAATATGTCATATAGAACTCGAACTCCCCACCACACTGGTCAACTGTGTGCATCCGCCACGCAAGTTGTACCTTATAAAGCACCGGTTCACGTTGTGCATTGACTCCGTTCCCCCAACCACACAGGGCATTTCGGGTATTTGGCGGAACGTGCACTGAGGCAGACGCTCCTGGAAAAGTTTGGCATACTTGTACGCTCCTCCACCCGTGGCGTTAATTTGGGTATTCTCATCAACCACGTTATGCGCTGCAATGGATGTGCCAAATGTATTGCTGGTAAAACGTACCCAACAAGGAGTCAATCACATCACCCAGTGAGTCTACTTTAAACCGTCGAAATCGAATCACCGAACCGTTGTCCAACCGAATCATTGCGGGCAGCATCCTGCGAAGGTTACGGTCAACCTCGCAGTGTGGAAGTGGGTCAAAGCTGTAGTAACGCTCCAAACAATGAAGCAGATCATGAAGCGCATGCTGGGCGCAATATAGCAGCGAATAGATGTCACAGTCACTGCACGGGCAACAGTAAGCAGCCTTTATCAGCGTTCCACCAATATCCAACGACAGTCGTTTGAGTACTGTGGAGGTGGCATGGTCACTGGAAACGCCTGATAGCGGTAACCGCCCCGCAAAAGAAAATGCTCTTTCCTCCGAGCAGTGATTAGCATCATCTTCCAGTTTTGTCCACCGCTTTAGTACAGTGCATTTGAGCTTGCACGATGTTGTATAGATATCCCGGAGCATCGGTGTTGCCTTTTCTGCGAAAGAGTTGTATACGCCAATTGCTGCATTGTCCGGCAGATGGAAGCCATGACTGACGTCGGAAGCATCGTTGACTTTGTGCTGCAGGAGGGAAATGATACTGTTTGCGAAGTCGTCGTAGTCGCGAGCGACCTTCAGGGCAGATTCTTCAAGGCGCGGATGGTTATGTGTGTCATCGGAAGCGATATCTAGTAACAAGAGAAGGTCGTGCAGAGTACTCTGAAGAACACTCAAAATCTTATCTGGCATTTTATAACAGTATAGTTGGACGGTACAAGCTCGCCAGTGAGCTGCGCGTTGCTGGCGGTGACAACCGGGAGTACACAGCGCCGAATGCCGTGTACACACGTGCTACTAAAGGATTCCGTTGCGAAACATCTCCGGAAGGCATTCGGCCAGAAAACGGCGTAACGTGACTATCATTAATTTATTTCAAAATGAGTTAAGTACACAAAACATCTTGTCACTGCATTCGGAGAGGGACTGAGCAAAGACAAGAACAGATGACATAACCATACAAGCAATACCCCTAGACGGCCAACGTGAAGAAGTTTCAACTGCAGACGCCCGCTATCCGGCGCAGCTAGTTGAATGTGTTTGTGATGTCCTCCACTGCGGCTCCACGTGAATACTTAATGTGAGCGACGCCCACACCAAACCAAGCAAGGCAGCTGAATGCTGGCAGCGCACTTGATAAAGCATCCCTTTATTGTACCGTATCAAACATATTGCATCCAAAAGAAACAATACACGCCGAGAGCTGAAAACGATTGCGTGCGAAGAATGCTTAGATTTGAAACTGCGTTGGAGTCACGCGGTCGCTGGTGCGCCAGAACGGGGGGTACCTGAACCAGATATGGTACTATACACGTATTCAAGATCCCTTTTTGTGCAGATGAAACCTCGTGGGTGTTTTGTCTCTTCTGCTGGGACATATATAACAACAATACGATCCGTTGCCATCGCAGTTGGGGTTGAACCACCTTTATTTGCAACATCCCTCAAGTTATTGTCGGCCAACATGTGGCCTCTATCCGCAAAGAAGAAAGAATATTTACAACCGTCTGCGCTGGCTTCATGGTAGTGAAGCTTCTCATTGAGAGGAGCAGTCCATTCCAAGGGTACCTGCTGCTTATCCTCAACATGCACGCGGCGTACGTCGAACGTCTCTTCTGTAAGGCTCTCTTTTATGCTGTGGTCACTTAATAGCGTTTTCAACCCTTGGTTGCCTTCGTACGCAAGCTTCCAATTGCTTCCGTGCAGATAGTAAACATGTTTATGCGGGGCGGTTTTCGGTAGTGGGTATATCATTATCTTTACGACGTCGTACGTTGGTATATCAACTGTCCTGACAGCACATGTCGGCACATCATTGATGAACTTAGACGATATTTGCCCTATCTTTAGAGTAACTTCTTTGACATTGGCAGTAAACTTAACGTCGCGCACAATCTTCCCACTAGCATCTTCGAAGCGTGTCTTGATGGCGTGCTGCACGTCACCGTATAGCAGGTCATATACGTCTGCCTCCAGATTTATGGGTTCCGAGAGCGCTTGAGGGATCACATATGCCGAACTATCGTACTGCACGTACACTCCGGGATCCTTCGACTGAAAAAATTTTGTGACCGCAACCGCTCCACTGTAAAGATCATACACGTTCACATGTGAAGGAGTCTTGATCGGTTTAGTGGTGTAGTATGAAGCCACAAACCGGTTCTTACAGTGCTTCGAAATCGGAATGACCCCCTCACCAAGCGTGACGTTGCCAATGGAATGGTAAGGATAAAGCGTATTCAGGTAGAAACTCATATGCAAATCATTCTCTTCCTTTGCTTCTAAACGTATTAGGGAAGGTAATGTCTGCTGGTTGAGATTTATGTCAAACGTCTCAATTTGCCGTGTAACACGTAGCCCCGGAAACGGTATGCAGACCACTGCCAACGTTGCCAATATGGTTACACATGCGGCCGCATTGATCAGTAAGAAAGATTTCATTCTACTTACTTCCACGGTTCTCATTTGCGGCAGTTCCGCCGTGGAAGGCTCAGCCTCCCTCGTCGACATCGCTGATGGTACAAGAGCTCGTGGCAATGCATCAATGTGCCATATCCACCAATAATTTCATAGTAGCCGTAACGTTCCTCCAAGACTGAATCTTTAAAATTTGTATTTTACGCCCATATTGCTGTTAAGAAGGCCGCTCCTTTCAATGCGCCAAACCACCGATTCAAGGGACGCCCATCCACCGTCATAAATCACGCTCGAAAAATAGATATGACACATTCCCTGCAGTGAAGAGATTTATTTGACGCGCAAAACTTGAATTACATCAATAAGTTTGCGTTGATCCAAATCTATCGCACGTTCTTATATGCGTGCAATGCGGAATCAACAAGTGCTTACGTTTTAAAGAAGCGGTGCTTTAGAGAAACGACAGAAAATATTATATTCAATTAATTTTTGCACGTATAACGGATATATAACCTTATAGCAACATATCCTACCGATCGTGACCTGACAACGGTGATGTTGCTCGCGGTTCCGTTACGCAATGACACACCGTACCCATTTAAATAAATCGCAAAAGTTATGTCGTTCTGCACACGTATATAATTCACCAAATTATGTAATTCACGACTTATGGTCGCCTAAATATTTTTTGAACATTGGATGGCCTTCTTGACTATCGCCGCCATCAAAAAAAGCGTTAAACACTCTAAAAGTGCACTTCTGATTAGTTTTTGTGCGATGAATTCGACACTTCATCGGTAAGGTAATACGCCGCGGCGGTTTTTGTTTGCTGGAGTGGACGGCATATATGTAAAACATAAACGACAAACTTAAAAATCGACAAAACTGATCGTTCGTAAGAGTATATAGCCTTCTTCATGGATCTTATGTTTGAGTCAAAATCCGATTTTACCACATGAGTCGCTGTGATGTCAGCGCATCTCTGCCTGTGATTAACCAAACCGTCCCTTGGCGCTGCTTCCAACCTTCCGCAACTGCTGAAGACTCTGGTGACTCACAATGCGATTGGCTATTCTGTATATTCAGGCATTTCAGAGGTTTCGTGCGCTGGATTCCGCAGGAACCGACGATCATGGCCGGGAGAATAAGCTCTTTGTAACTATGGTGAGTTCATTTGTCTAAACATGATGTTGTTAATTGGACGTGACCGCTCGAAAAATCGCAACCTCCAACAGAATACCATGGCACAAAAGTTGGCAACGGCGGCCCACACAGGTGCCAAGCTAAAGCTGCTGCAACCACTTAAAGCAAGAGCAAGTATGTGAATCGCGAAAGACGGTGTAGGTCGTGTTCACATTCCTGATCGCGTGACTGCTGTGTTAACGACGAGCACGTTACGCGATTGCCCATGGGCGCTGTAACCTACACTCCGCAGCCCGTGGTAACATTTTAAACTCCAGCACTCACTTAAAATTGTACTAACATATCCAGGCTCATAACATGCGGTTATTTCCTGAAACTTGTGTACGCCAATGACTCGCGTTCTGCGCAGTGCATGTCATCTTAATTGTGTGGAGCTGGCTGTAACACGGCGCCTTGGTCGTCGTCGTGCCTCCAACGTACGCCAGTTTGGTGTGTAGACGGGATTGCAGATTGCGATAGGGCGCAAGTGTATTGGAAGGTAACAGCACTGTTGTGATAGTCTGCCTTTAAGGCACAGCTGTTGAAATACGCGGGCTGTTTTGCAAATTGGCCTATAAATAGACCAAATATTTCTTACACGTATATGAATCGCACGATCTAACGAATCATCACAAAATGGTACACAATTCGTTGAAGGAGGTTCCTCGCAACCTCAAGGAGGCCATCGACTGGTTGATAGCCCTGAAGGGAGATGATTTTCCATATCACATGGAGGCTATGGGCGCCGCCGTTTACGATTTGCTCGAAGACAAGCCTGTAGGATACACTAAGGTGCCAGCTCTCGAGGAAGTTAAACTTATTACCAAGAAGTTCATGGAGCAAGAAGGGCTTAAGGACTGGTGGCCCGTAAAAAGATTACTGGGTAGATTCAGTAAGCGTATGAGTAAAACCGGGGTGTTTGCTAGACGAGGTAAAAATGACGCCCAAAGCGAATTTGAGAACATCGTACAGACCCAGCGTATCGACCCTGAAGCCATGGCAGCGAAGGTGGCAGAAGTTGTCTATTATTCTGAGAAGTTTTTGGACAAAATAAAAACCCCTGACAAGTACATCCCCACTTACAGTTCAGAAGCGACGTGGGATGCGTCATGCGCGGAGGACCCGGAGGCTTGCGCAGCAATCCTCGTTGGGATTGCGCCAATGTTGTACGCAGGTCTATATTCTTTGTGGGATGCAACCGTGACACGGGGTTGGAACGAGTCGAATGACGTGGTCGAGAACCGTGTGAGAGGGGTATTGAAAGCTGTGGGTTTCGAAGAGCCACAATGCCGCGCCAACATGGGTATATTGGATGTCGTAAGGGCGTTCAAAGGTGTGGATGAGAGAATATTTACCATACTCTACGATCTCGCTGGGTTTTGGGCTTTCTATTGAGTGGGGACCACAGGTAGAATTTAAAAGCAGTTTGGGAATAAGCCGTTTTACCTAAGGTTTTCCAGTGCGCTTACAAACGAGTTCTCGCGCAATATTTCTAATCTTGAAATCTGGTGATAAACAGCGTCGTGGACATTATCGGAATCTACTACACTGGCGAAGTCGGATTAGGCGACACACACTTCTAAGTCTCAATGATCGCATCCACGACGAAATTAAGCATGCTCTTGTTTCAACGTCACACGATTTCATTTCGATGCTCCCGGCAGAGGTTGCATGGAGACCGGCAGTTCATAAACCGTGCTGCGCATTTTTCACGCGTCCTTAGGTAGATTGGCAACCAGTGCCGCCTTGGCGAAGTTCGGCGTTCTAACCGTTGCTTAAATGCAGAGTGCCTGCTGAGGTCAAGGCGTATGAACGCACGTACCTCGTATAACTTGATAACTCAATCTTTTATGGTAGTTAGTCTTCTGGGCACGCATGCCATCGTTTCACCCGGAACAAGCACCCATGGGTACCGTATGTTTGTTTATTGTTCAGTTACAGGTCTTACAACTTGTTAAAATGGCAGGTGCGAGGACGCTAAGAATGTGGTCACCTGACAACAAAGTGCCGGAAAATGCTACACGTAGGATATACGAAGAGGCACGACGATACATCCAACAGGATCCACTAATTATTTGGGAGGCAAATAGGGCCATCCTGGAAGAAGATCGACAGAGAAGTGCATGGGAAACATGGATGGATCGCGTACGACAAAACGGTCAAGAGTCAGCGGACCAAAGAATATAACCGACCGAAACAACCTGGTGGAGACGGAGATGATCACGACTTTCTAAATGACCCTCGCGCCCAAACAGGGTTCATGCCGTCATGGATGACAGCAATGAAGCTCAGCAGTAGCGCGACGCGGAACCCGCAGTCTGCCCATAGGATGCGAGGTGAGAAGTGCTTGATAAGCATGAAAGCCGGCCCCAGTCCACACGTAGTCACGTAGCACATTATACAATTTGAAACACAGCTTAATTATGTTGCACCTCAGACCACATATAACTGGCAACCCACTAAGCATTGTAGTTTGCCATGTAACTCTAGTTGCAGTGCCTGTGTCGTAAGGGTCATCGGTGTGGGCCAATAGTAACAGGACCGAAACCGAGTCAGTGTTCACCCGGGTCGCCAGCATGGGAGGGGTGTTGGGTCACCCGCCGGGTGAGTGGGTAACATCACAGTGGTTGAAATGTGGATGTATGCCTATGTGCGACATTCTGTGAATATGCGGTCTTATCTAATTGAATGCCGCAGTTGATTTGCACCTACGGACAACATGGTGGTAAGCCTTGAAATCGTAACCCCGGACTGTACTTCAGCAGCCACTTCGCGGGGCACCCCGCAAACATTGTTACCCTTTTGTAACCCCGAACGTCTCGTAGCGCGCTTGAGCACAGAGTGGCAGCCTGAGGGGTGTATAGACATTTTCTCGCTTCGAATACAGGTGAGAGTAACTTGATTAAAATTGTGCTGGCACACTAGCATATCAACACGCGTGTTAGTAGTGGATGTTAATGCTGTGTCAGGGCTGCGAGATCTCGAACCACCCCTGCTATAGCACACCTGGACGGCAATCTGGGCGTGTAGTTCTATTTGAAGAGGAGTTTATGATATCAAGGCACGTTGCCAATTATTTTGCGAGATGGCTTCTCAAAGGGATGAGCGTGAGATGAAAGCTTCTCCAGGAGGAGATCCGTCAAGCGATCTGGCAAGTCGTGTCTCTGTGGGTGGGGACAAGGATGGTGAAGATGACAGGCGAACGGACAAGCTAGAGCAGGTGAAGGAGTGGAAGAACCGTCTTGATGAGTTTATGTCGTATACTCACACGGTACTTAACGACGTACTTGGCGATACTCGGCCGGATGCGACCTCGGAGTTGAGTAGCCGACCGGTAAATTCTCCGTCAGGTAACGGTGGTAGTTGTTGCAGCCCTCAACAGCACACGCTTGGTGCCGATCCGCCATCAATACAGAGCTCTTCGCAAACCGCCCAGAAAATAGACGGGGGACCAAAATGTGCATGTAAATCGCCTAACATAACGAATGTTGACAAAGCGGCATACCATGCGTTGACCGAGCCTCCCCGAAACGTCAAGGAGTGCATGGACTGGTTGATAGCCCTGAAGGGGAAGGATCCTGAGAAGAACTTGAAGGCCTTGGGTGAGGCAGTCTACAAATTTCTCGCAGACAAGCCGGTTGGCAAGATGCAAGTGCCAGCTCTAGAGAATGTGAAACTTATTTCTAAAGAGTTCCTGCAGCAACCAAAACTCAAGTACCGGTGGCACTCACGAAGGGTTTTGAGGAAATTGAATAAACGTGTGAATACAAAATACTGCTGGTTCGCAAAATTTTTCACTTTCCACAAAAGCAATTATGAGAACATAATACAGACCAAGGGTCTCACTGCTATAGACATCTCAGACAAATTAGGTGACGTTGTGAGTGGTTGTGAGAAGTTCTTGAAATGTATCAAAAACCCCGGTCAGTACAAGTCGGCTTACTGTCCAGAAGCTACGTGGGAATCTTCATGCGCGAAGAACCCTGAAGCTTGCGCAGTCGTCCTCGTGGGTATTGGACCAATGTTATACACAGGCCTATTTTCTTTGATGATAGACTGCGAAACTGCGTTTATTGCGAGGCTAAACTTTTACGTGATTTATCGTATGCGAGAGCTGGTGAAAGCGCTGGGTTTCGTAATGCCGGAATGTCGCGCTAGCCCCAATCTTGTAGATGTAGACAGGGCGTTGACCCGTTTAGATGATGATGAATTGCACACAGTATACGACCTCTCTGGCTTTTGGGCCTTCTACTGATTAGGGATCTCAGGTGACCTGTACAAGCAGTTGGGGACAGAAGATTCTGGCTCCAGTTCACCAGTCAGTAGCCATCGGCGAACTCTCACGAAACACTTGTGACTTGTGAAATGTAATTATAACAAGATTTATATGCAATATACATCTACCAAGTAGCTTTCGTAGAATGCGGTAAAAGGCAATTTTTGCGTATCTTAAGTCGTACTCACGGTGCCAGGTGGCGGGTTGTTCCAACGTTGCAACTTTTAATCTTCGTACACCAGAGATTGTATGTGGACATCGATCAACCAACCTTACGTAGCGCAGGCAGCAAGTTTGTAATATGCGCTAACATCGGCACATACCACGCGTAGTCAGGCACGGCTAATTAGTTACCCATTGACAAAAAACGTAGATTACGTTATAACTCCGTAATGCCGTTGTGCGCCGACCGTAACTCATAGGGCCGCCATTAGAACAACAGCTACCATGATTTGAATAACCGTTCTTCCTACTATCAGATGCCCCGATGACATTTTGCTATCCTTCGTGTCACGTATATTGCCGACATTTCCCTCTGTGGTTTGTGATGTATCCAGTCCAACTGCGGTTTTCCCTCCACCCGTGCCCTGCATACTTGTTGGCTCTAGCTTGGGTGTAGGTTCCTGCTGTTTGCTTGCCTGTGGTGGAGGTGTGGTATCATTCGCCTTGGTTGGGTGTTGTAAGGGTGCGGATTTCTTTGCCTCGGTAGGATAAGTAAAGGGTGTGCTTACTGCCTCCTCTGTTTTGCCCAGCTGTGCTATGGAGGTACTGGTGACTCCATTCGGCTTTGTTCCTGATCTTATGGTTTTGCTCCTCTTGGCCGTTTCTGTTTCGGGCTTGACTTCCTGTGGTGGTGTTGCTGCTTTGGCCTGCGATTCCAGTGTTCGTGATGGTGGCACAGGCTCCTCCGTTTTGCTTTGTTCTGGGTTGGAAGTGGCTGTGTTCCCATTCGTGTTAGTTCTTTCTGGTGCGGGCGCGGATTCCGCTTGATGTGCTATTTCTGCAGTGTTTATGGTTGCTGTTTGAGTGTCAACCATTGGCGTGGTTGTGTCTCCCTTTGGTTCTAGTGCCCCTGTTTTGGGCGCAGTCTCAATCGTATTGGGTGTCCTTGCCGAGGCTGCGTTCACCGTATGTCTAGCTTGGGCTTGATTCCTGTTGCCTCTAACTGGCTTCAACCTAAACAGTATCTGCGACACGTTTCGCTCCAACTCCCCCAGGTATAAGCTATTTACGACATATGCGTACTCATCGAATGCAATCTCCAGTTGCCGTTGCTCGGCTATTAATTCGGATGCTTGAGGAGATGCCGGATCTATCCTTTTCAGTTTATCAGTGATATCGTTGTAATGCCTGTAAATATCCCATGCGCCCCTTATCCGTATGAACTCTTCACAATACGTGTCATAGTGATATTGAATGTCCTCTGGGATTATATCCCGTGCCTCCCTCGTAAGGTCGCGTAATATGTCATCTATTTTCTCTGCATCTGCTTGAACTTTATCTAACCTTGTTAATAAAGAGTTGTCGTTGAGTAATGTCCGCATCGTTTCATTGCCTGAGTCAGAGTCTGGGGTAATTTTGCCTCCACCACTATGGCGCCCTCCTGCACCGCCCGCTAAATCTGGTTCGAGTTCTGCTGCATTCGCCCCTCTATCCGCCGATGACCCTTGATCATGAGAATCAGGCGACGTTGGCGTCTGGGCCTTGTGTTTTCGAAACAGTTCTCTTATACTTCTTGCGGTGTCTCTGTAATACGACAGCCTATTGAATGTCAAGATGTCGGATGCCGCCTTTTGTTTACCTTTGAAGCGCTCTTCTATATCCTTCAAAGCGTTTTTAAGTTCAGCAACCCTTTCTGGCGTTATATGTTTCCTTTGAAGGCCCCTGGTTATTGCGCGGTATTCATCAAGCATCTTTCTCAATTCGGTGTAATTGCCATGTGCAGTGCTCACACTTTGAACATCAAGTATGAGTTGACGACATTCATTTGCATCTGCTTCTTTAACTTCAGGTGGAGCGTTAGACAGCAGTATATCCGGCAATAATAGTTTCAAACAAAGTAAAAACTCCTTACAAGGCCACGAAAGTGATTCCAAAACTGCGACTTTACGATAAAAATCTGCATTATCGGCATAGAATGCAAGCCCTCCTGCCGTGGATGCTCCACTCTCCGAATTACCATCTGTAGGTGGGGCGCCCACAACCAAGCCATGCAAGATTATCACGTAGAGGCAGAAAATTAATGCGGGTACTCGCCGTACACAGGAACGGATAGGCGCCATTTTTTACAGCAACGACAGAACAAGACCCCTGAATTTTAGCAATTAGTATTGGTATTACACCAATGATAGGGTTCGTAATATCGACTATTATCGTCCAGAACACCGGCCAAAAACTTCTAACAAACCAACGAGGATGCCGGCGCGAAATTATTCGGGGCTATGAACTTATCTGTAAATGAAAAGCATCCGAATCCATTAATTTTTTTACAATCTTATATGTTATTTATAAGACTCTAATGAAGTGTGGTGCTTCGAATTTTCTTTCATCAGATCACCTGTGAAACTCTGTGCATCCTAGCTATTTTCGTCTCTACTTGATATTTTCTTGCTGCCCGTAAACAATAATTTAAAGCCACATATGATTTTATTAAGTGATAGAACAAGTAAAGCGGTTTTGGCGTATGACTAACAATCTTCAGAGTACCAAAGATAGTCTCATTGTTTTTATAAAAATTTGCCATACGTTGGACAACCTTTGGGATGGTCACGGTGAGTTCCACTTAAAGCGTCAAGTATATAAAAAATGGCCATATAACAGCCGTGCGTAGACAACCAAGCGGACGAGCGCCCAAATGTTATGTCAGCCGATTAGAGGCCGATGCCGCTGGGCGCTCACCGCATCACGGCACCACCAGGTGTAATCCTACGCATTACACTGTGTGATACATATTTACTGTGAGCAAGGGCCGTAGAAATGTGTTGGTATACGTAAATCCGTGTTAGGGGTGGCGCCAGCCAAAAAAGGGTTATGCCTGCGGCATACTAGGGAGCATCAACTTTTACTCTGCACTTCAATTTCTAGTTAAGTGGCCACTTACTAAAGATGCGTGCCCATTAAATCCCAACTTGTTATTTTACAGTTTCGCGCAATGCCATAACATTTCCACGATCCATGTGAATTTTCGTATGTGGACAAAGGAGCTAGATCTACATCCGCGTATCGACTCGCATGATTGTATCAGTATTTATAACAGCTGTTTAATAACTGCCTAAATTATTGCGCGTGGGAATAGAACGTGACAGATGATGTGGGCGGGCAGATGCTAGCGTTGATAAAGACAGCGCCACGTAGACCATGAGTTCAAACATATTAGCTCCGGGCGCCATAGAGGAGGTTGTTCAACTACTGGGATTGGACTCGGCCGCCGCACCGACGGAATCCGACATTTTAAAGGGAAAGCCCTCAGCAACCGAAACCTTGCACAAGTGGACAGTGGCCATAACTCTAGGGGCGCACTTTCGGTCACACAGATCATTTGTCAGGGACATCAACCCAGCCAAGCTTGATGATGCAAAATTGAGGGTGATTCTAGAGTCGATTGGAGGGGAAACCAAATGTAACACCCATGACGCCCTCAACATACTAACATACACCACACTGGAATGCCTCGGGTATCCTCGATTAACGAAGATCAGTTTGGACGCCTCCCAAGATGCCGGAGAGATGTTCCTAGCCTTTGTGTTTCTACTAAGTGCCCTTAATTGGTTCAACACCACGGAGAAGAAGTGCCCGGAGTACCTCGAATTTCGAAGGTGCCTAGTGAGTGCCGTAGATGACGAGATCGGCATCTCACAAGTGTCTCGACTATTGGAATCATCAGGAACAGATACTAAGTTGGCAGACGTCGGGATATTACTGGATCGCCGCCGTGCAAGTCAGATTGATGCCCGCGCTAAGGAGGGCGTTGCCCGTAGCGGAAAAGCGGCATCCACAAAAGATGAGCATTTACGAGGGGCAGCTATGATCGACGAAGGTGCACGACTGCACTTTTTGAAGGCCTCCGAACCTCGTGGTAGCGGACGTGTCGCACTCAAAATAGATTATACCAGGGAGGAGACAAGTTCCGACCATCTAACACCATTAGGTTCCAAAGGTGGACCCAAACTGATGGATTCATCCGGTGGCAGAAATAGGTTCCCAATACAAAGTAGGATTATAGGGAAGCCGTCCTCGGGGAATTCGCTACCTCACGCGAAACGTGAAAGCGTTGGCAAGGAGCTTCCGCACACCGGCATAGAACCCGTCCTACTTGATGTCGAAAACGCCGTTTCTCGTGTTAAGTCCGACTTCGATGCAAAGTCGCAGCTGTTGTGCCGGAGCAAGAATGCCGAGACTTTTGACTCGGAACTGCTCCGCATTATAATGGGTCAAAGTCAGCAGCAGGTGATTTTCAACAACCTCATGGATAACAACGTGGACGTTGCGGCTCCCAAAGATGACCCAGGGGCGAATAAAGTGATAATTGGGCAGCGTATTCGTCCGGGCATATCTGCGGACAACACACCTAGAAGCGTACCATCAACACAGGATGAAATCAAGTCGCTGCTGGACGAAATTAAAGAGCTAAGCAACGCCGTCATGCAATCGCAACACAGGCTGAAACGCCTATCACACTCGGTGGAGCATGGCGACACGCAGCGACTGAAACAATTTGCTTCGCTGTCCGAAGATCGCAAGACCTACGATAAGCCGTGGGGCGGTAAGAATCAAGAGACGGCTCGCCAAGGTAGTACATACCTAAACGACTCCTACAGCATGCCGAGCCCTGCGGAGTGGCTGCTAATATCTCAAAAGGATCCTTTTGATCGTCACTTGGCTCTACTCAAAATGATCGCCAAGTCGCTGGACAATGAGTCGAAGAGATCCTCAATATTCGGAGCTGCGTTGCAAGTATTGAAGCACAAAAGGCCACAAGCATCGACTAAGCGCGCCAGTAATTCGAGGGTTGACAGTTTAGGTAGGCCGTACGCAGTTGCCTCAATATTTTCTAGAGAAGGGAATCGCCCTCGTTACCATCCCCAACAAGGTCAAGGATATTGTTAATACGTTAAAAAGCTTCATAGTGGAGGGCATACCGGCCGAGAACTTTCGAGAGGAGAGTGCTCAGGGGGCGACGACAGCCAAACAGAAGGCCACAGATTTCTTGAGACATATTAACTCAAGTTTCGCAAATCATCGCAGTGCAACCTTAAACAGTACGTAACCGTCATATAAAGTTTGCTGTCAGTCCATTATCACAGGCGAGAAGGGTAAGAAGGGCGGCTTTCTAAATTATCTGACGAGCACACTCAAGTCGAGCGTCCGGGAGGTAAGGCGGTGTTTCCATTGGGCCGTAAAAGTTTTATTGATGTTGCCGAACTGTAACATGATTTCAGGGAACTGCATATAGTGACGACTACACGGAGACAAAAAGTACGTAAGAGTAGCCTAATTGCGCCATAAAAACCTAAGGTATTGTCGAGAAGAGGCTGCACCTGTTCGAAGAGGCGTGCAAGCACGACCCCATGATAGAGTTTGCTGCCCTGCCCGAGTGGATTCACCACTACAACGAGAACGATGCCCACGAGAAAACCCACGTGGCTACGGCCGATGACGGCAACCAACGTCACGGGGAGTCCACGATCAGCCAGCGTGAAGCGGATGACTTTGAACGGCTGCAACAGCTGGTTAACCACGACGCCGTTACAAGATCTCGTAGCGACCGACACAACGCCCATGGCGACACCGACCCATCGTGTTCCAAAAGCATTCTAGATTTCGAATATTATTTCAGCCTCGCCCGAGAAGCGTACAACACCAGGGAATCGCTGGACGTTATGAATACGGCACCGACGTTCGATACATTCGGCGATGTGTTGAATAAGCATAGTGCGGTAATGGAGAAATCGAAAGCCGCCTCAGTCCTGGAAGCCAAGCACTGCCTCGAGAGGGTTTGCGAACATATTCCAACCGTCACCTTTTTAGACTGAAATTTGAGTTGCGATAACATTTGGCTCTGGCATTCGCTAAATGCGAATGTGTAATTGGCACGTTGCGTTGTCAGCCATGCGGCAGTGAACACTCCGTTATTGGCGCCACTTGTCGAAGCTGTCTATGTGGCTGATTGGGTAGATATGTTTGGGACCACCCTCGTTGCCGGCCATACTGCGTCGAAAATACCGGATCCCATCCGAACTCCGAAGTCAAGCGGCGCTAGGCCGGGTTAGTACTGGGGTGGGGGACCGCCCGGGAACCCCTTTCGGTGCCGGCAACCTATTTAATTAAGAACAACTTTTGCAATTCTTAATACTGGATCATTTTACATAAAACGACGCCTGAGAACGCTCAGCAAACACCCTTTTAATAGCGACAGGACGGATGAAGCAATACCAAAGACAGCTGAACCCCGTGAGGGTGGTGGCCTTGGTGCCCTTACAAATCCCGTTACATGTTCGGTGGAAAACATCACAGGCTAACTGATCACTAGTTTTCTCTTCTTGTATTGCGTGCACACGTCTGCCTTGGGCCGGTTTTCACGTTTACCAGGCAAGCGACTCACGCTGCTGGTGTAGGTTGCGGGGCCCAAGTCGTCCTGTTGGCGGGCGTGTTTCGGATCACTTCCATAGGACCATACGCTTCCGTTCGGCGCCTCTTTACGGGACACGCCAAACAACGATTCATAAGGCTATATACGCATGACCCACCCAAATTAATAGCAGCATCATGCTCGCTCCTTCGTAGTGCAAAAATACCAGATGTCCTCAGTGGACTACCTACGATCAACGGATGCATCGTAAAGTGATGGAAGGTATAGGCGTTATTACGAACTGCAGTCGACATACGCCCTGGATGCAAGCAACCGGTACGCCAACGAGCTGCGCCAAGGGGGCACTAACGTAATTAAAGAGACGCTGCGAACTGTGTTTTGCCCAGTCGGACACACAGTTACCGATGATGAGTGTATACATAAATATTGTTTTAATTACACTTCATAAATTAGAAATGTTTCGTAGGAGTTCGCCGACGGCTGCTGAGTGGGGATCCGGGCAGAGAACCGGTTGATGCTTAGCTCTTTTTACAGCTCACCTGAGAACCCACTCAATAGAAAGCCCAGAAGCCAGAGAGGTCATATACTGTGTACAATTCATTGTCATCCAAACGGCACAACGCCTTGTCGACATCTGAAGTTCTTGGGCTAGCGCGACATTCCGGCTCTACGAAACCCAGAACTTTCACCAGCTCTCGCATACGATTATACGCAATGAACGGTGGACATCTCCAGAATGCGTCCAACCACGCTTCAATCAAAGAACGTGTACCCGCGTATAACATTGGTCCAATTCCCACTAAGATGACAGCGCAAGCCTCTGTGTCATTCGCGAATGATGCATCCCACGTCGCTTCTGGACAGTAAGCCGACTTGTACTGACCGGGGTTTTTGATACATTTCAAGAACTTCTCACAACCACTCACAACATCAGCTAACTCCTCTGCGATGTCTTCAGGTTTGGCACCCATGGTCTGTATGACGTTCTCATAATCGCTTCGCCGGTAACGCAACTGGCGTCTGACCGATCCACCAGGCTTTTCATCCGAAGGCAGGTTTAATCTCCTCAGAACCCTTTGTGAGGGACGCCAGTACTTGAGTTTTGGTTGCTGCAGGAACTCTTTAGAAATAAGTTTCACATTCTCTAGAGCTGGCACTTGCATCTTGCCAACCGGCTTGTCTGCGAGAAATTTGTAGACTGCCTCACCCAAGGCCTTCAAGTTCTTCTCAGGATCCTTCCCCTTCAGGGCTATCAACCAGTCCATGCACTCCTTGACGTTTCGGGGAGGCTCGGTCAACGCATGGTATGCCGCTTTGTCAACATTCGTTATGTTAGGCGATTTACATGCACATTTTGGTCCCCCGTCTATTTTCTGGGCGGTTTGCGAAGAGCTCTGTATTGATGGCGGATCGGCACCAAGCGTGTGCTGTTGAGGGCTGCAACAACTACCACCGTTACCTGACGGAGAATTTACCGGTCGGCTACTCAACTCCGAGGTCGCATCCGGCCGAGTATCGCCAAGTACGTCGTTAAGTACCGTGTGAGTATACGACATAAACTCATCAAGACGGTTCTTCCACTCCTTCACCTGCTCTAGCTTGTCCGTTCGCCTGTCATCTTCACCATCCTTGTCCCCACCCACAGAGACACGACTTGCCAGATCGCTTGACGGATCTCCTCCTGGAGAAGCTTTCATCTCACGCTCATCCCTTTGAGAAGCCATCTCGCAAAATAATTGGCAACGTGCCTTGATATCATAAACTCCTCTTCAAATAGAACTACACGCCCAGATTGCCGTCCAGGTGTGCTATAGCAGGGATGGTTCGAGATCTCGCAGCCCTGATACAGCATTAACATAAACAGCTTACACGTGCATTGGTGTTAGTGTGCCAGCACAATTTTAATCAAGTTACTCTCACCTGTATTCGAAGCGAGAAAATGTCTATACTCCACTCACTGCTACTGTGCACACGCACATTGCACGGCTTTCGGGGTTACAAAAGGGTAACTATCTTTGCGGGGCGCCCCGCGAAGTGGCTGCTGGGGTACAGTCCGGGGTTACGATTTCAAGGCTCACCACCATGTTGTCCGTAAATGGCACCTAACTAGGCCATCACGTCGGAGAGTCCTGGCGGGATTTACTGCCAAGCCACATACTCAATCAGGAACATCCTTCCCCCGGCTATAAGACGGTCCAACGCCTCACCTAACCAGGCATCCACCAGTCGATGGAGGAACATCAAGTAGCAGTAGATGGGCAGCTCTCTCGCCAGTTTTCATGTCATAACAGTCGCATTAGACGAATCACTTCATAGCGTTAATTCACGCTTTTCATCTATTGTTGGGTTAATTGAAGGCCATACTCTCCATTTCTCCTGTGCGTCCCTCTTACAAAACCCAGGGTCGGCATAATTAAAATACATCTCGTGTTTGGGCATAATTGCTCACTACACTGCCCAAGTAAACAAACTCAAAGTTAGTTACACGAATCTTTTGGCCAAAATTGCCACAAAGCATAACACGACATCGATGGCAGCGGGTAGGTGACTACAAGGGCATCAAGAAAAAGTATGCTGTGGCACCATTATCTCGCAGATTATTGTAAAGTTGTTCTACCTACATATATCATAGCCCTCACGATATTGCCTATGAACTAAGATATCGAAATTATATGCTGCTTACTAACTGCATTGATGGCGCCCATACCACAATCCCGGGTGCCATTTCGGAACTTGCGGTGCCATCGGTGTGGCGGAGCGTACGCCGACATTAAAAACTAAGCATCAGGCGGTTGACGACAGATGTGGGATGATCTATCGATTGTCTCGCATTGGCGCATCGTCTTACGTTGTTAGGTCCACGGAATGGTTGTCCCAGAGGCAAGCAATGAGTTCCTTCAAGGAGGCTCGTAAGGATTTTTCAGACAAGATTTCAAGACATTTTCGAAACGGCACACGGCCAACCTGACCAATTGCTTGTGACTTCGTCGGCGACAGTTACCCTTTGCAATTGTGGTGCTTGTAGCAGGCAACCTGGAACCTGTGCCTCCGAATACCCCAGTTGCGAAAGCTCTTGGGGACTTGACCAGGTGCACACAGTGCTATCAAAGAGTTTGAAGTTGGAGCGTGCATTGTGTGATAGTAAAGTTGCACCTGTTGGAGAGTGAATTACTCAACCGCTTGCGAATATAGGAGCTGAAGTTGCAACCATGTCACGCCTTATGCAAACGGCGCCAGACACTGAACTCTCGGAGAGTCGCCGGGAAGGCCGATCACTCCGCGACTTCATGGCGCGTATTAGTAACCTCTACGACAGCCGTTGCGTTCATAGTCTCAACAACGCATGCTTTATGATTAAAGCCTCGCGCCGATCGCTGCAGATTGCGAATTCGATCCGTCCAAGTTACAGTTCCCAGTACTTGTCAGGAACATAACGACTGGAGTAAATTCTGAGTTGAACATTGCTCATGTCTTCGGTGCCGTGGAGTGTGTGGTGTGCACATGCTCACCCACTGTGCACTGCACCCTCAATAGAGCCCCCTAGAAGCATGCTCGATGCTAAACGATGTTACCTAGAAAACCCTGAGGGAAACATACTGTTCTCTGTCTATACTGCGATGTCTCAGCAGGCGCCTCCTACAACGGCCATCTGCACAGCCCACGTACCGTTGTTCATTGCGTTGCATAGTTGTTTCAAATGACTTTGCATCCTTACGAAGAAGAACATTGCCGATGTAAAGCATAACCTCGTTCTACTGGAATTGGTTATTGCTGCCAGAGAAAGGGTTGCAGATCTGGAGAGCGGTGCAGATGATGTTGTTGTACATGCGGCGACCCGCGTAAGGAAACTTGTTGCTGCTTTCCCCGGTGTTGCGACAAATGCGCGCCGGATGAGCAGTGCAGCGAATAGACTACGTCCTTGCTGAATAGAGCTGCGGAGGTGGAGCATACAATTGGAGCGATTGAAAACATGGCTTTAATATTATACGATGCAGTGTAGTCAGTTGCCTTATCCGATGCCAGTAAAGGGTTTATTGCAACGAATGATGCTGTTGAGGCATAATTGACTGTTGCTATGAACTTCGGTTCTTAAAAATTATTCTCGTTGAAAAAATGATTTTGTTGGCCAAGCGTATATTAATGTGGCACGTAGCGCATCGCACACAACGTACGGTGTGTAAAGTGCCTTGAGTAACCACTGCAGTCTGGTTTTCCGTCTCGGCTCACCAGTGATTTCCTTCGTGGCTTATTATTTTGGCTCTGCCGCATTTAGACAGTCACCAACAATTCATATATCGCTTTTTGCAGTGATGGGAGGCAACATTGATTCTTCATTCTGACTAATAGCCGGACGAAAGGTGCGGATCACATCACGGTTCGGTGGAAAATTGCCATACGCTGAGCCACAAACGGGATGTGCAGGGGGCACACTCTGGAGACAAAAATGCGAAACGGCCGATCATGTGTAACATATATGCGCCGGTAACCACCATAGGCGCACATCAATTAAACTTTATACCATCGGATGTTGCTGTTGCGCGCTCATCGCAGCACAGTGTCACACATTGCGTCCGTGTATCTACTTAGTGGGTTACAAGTGAATGGATACGTGATAGTCTTAATTTTTGCATATTCTGGAGACATACGACTCACATCTATCGGTATGGACATTGTGATATGCGCCGTTCTGTTGTCGAACTTCTACGGTGTCATGCATTTCGTTTGGGCGTGGCCGCTGTTGGCAGTCGTAATCGCCTTCCCCCAACGATGTTATAATGCCGGTAATTCCGGTGTACGCAATGATTACGGTATGTTTTCTTCGATACATGACGATTTATAGTGCCCGGTTATGATCAGCGGCTTGCTGAGATGAAGCGCATCGCCGGGTAAGGAGACGGTGCCGTGGTGTCCAGACTTTTGTTATGGTATGCGCAAATATTTTTACAAATATTATAACACAAACCCTTCTATCAAATATGCTTCCTTAATTTTTTTTGTTCCTTTTGCTGAACGGTCCGAAGGAAAATTCTTCGGCAATTTTTCAGGCAGATGAGGCGAAGGAATTTTCGCAGCCGTTGCTCATCACAGTTAGTATTTCTGGAAGATTTGCGATTTCACATATTCGTGAGACTCATGTTGGTCGAAAATGATCCGTAAATAGTGCAGCGCCCATCAATCGTGGCGCAAAATACACCATGGTAAAATTTAGCACAATGACGGCCATGTGGACGTGTTGCGCAATCACGCTCTGCTCGATTGTATGTCTAGACGCATTTGCTTGTAATTTCGGAGATCCAGATGGATTACTTCGCGATAATGCTCTCGTCGTGTGCAAAATGGATGTTGGCAGCGCTAACCTAGCAACCGCGGCATGCCCACGTCGAGTCAACAACACCGAATATGTCTGGCATCCCCGACCGACGGCAGATGTGGAGTTCCATATCAACGCATACCTGAGTCACAATGGCAAATTTCATTCCGCTGCATTTTCGGACGTAATACGTAATGAATCCGGGCGTGACATCGTATGGTTTGAATCCAGTCGATCGCGTACGGAGTTGCATTTCGCGATGCCATCAGATGAATTGATTGCGATGACGAAGCGCCACCTGATATTCATATGCGGTCCCAGTAATATGATATTGAGTGATGCACTGCAGAGTCAGCTGGACCGCCTCCATAGCTCAGCCGAGATGCTATCGCTCCCATGGACTCCAGCCACGCCATTGACCGAAGAAATAGCTAAGCTAGGGAAGGGTATCGGTGTGTTCCTCCTGTACAGGGGGGACACTCATCTACCCCTCCAGGGTTGTGGCAGCCGTCCCTCACCGCTATTCGCTCCGGACAATGAAGTGACGGTGGATCCCGTCACTGGAATCCGTTCATGTGTAGCGGATCCCATGTCCAGATCACCTATCGGATTTGTTTGCGAAGGTAATGTAGAACCTGAAAATTGCATGATATCTCTCTCGGGCAAGAATGGCGATGTTGTGAAGACACCTCGACCACGTCGTTTTTGGAAATTCGAAAACCATGAACCTTGGGTTTTAGTGCGGTATTTTGATGACTTAGCACTGCAGCCGTTCACCGGTGAATGCCGGTGTATAGATCCCGAAACAGGTACAATAAAGGCCAAGATAGAGATCCGTTCGAAAACCGAATACGTTTGTGACATTGCCAGGATGATCGAACGCAACCGTGCAAGTCCGATCAGCGGCCCTTGGTGTTCGGTTGTACTCCACCCAGGCAGCACCTTGACCATAAGGTTTCCAACGACGGATGGCGATTCGGCGTCTTACGATCATTCCTTGCCTGGCCCATCTTCGCGACAGACGTCTGTCTATGAGTACGAAACTGAATTCCTGCCGAGGGATTTGACCACACTGCGGCAACTTAAAACGGCGTATGGCTTTGATGTGTACGAAGAAATCTCGTACAACGAAGCACTTGCAGGCGATGCCCTCGAAATGGATGTTTCCCAAATAGCCCAGGGTGAGGTAAAACTGAAGTACCATGCGGACAAACCTCTCGCGTTAAAGGGGGGTCACAACTCGTTTTTGTATCACTGGAGACTGAAATCCACGAATGAGGATGTTCCAGATAAGATACGCGCCATCGTCAAACTGTCCTTTGCTTTTACTCATCATTACAAGATCGTCGGCTGCGATCGGGGGACACCAAGTCTGTTTGACCCGGAGATGAGCAAGGAATACTGTTCAACCAAATGGATGGGAAACGGGATTGGCACGACCCACGAATGTACATACCCTAGGAAACCGCGCATCGGGTGGGCAGGTATTCACTGCAAACCCGACGAGGAGCTGCTGCCGGACAGCTGTGAGTCCACAGGATACGACCTATCATCTAATAAGGCTGTGCCATTCCCTGAATTTGTGCACAATGTGACGCCTCGCCCCATCCCAGGATTTCAGGTGTTCTACACGGACTTCCAAAACATCCCCCTCAGTCGTGCCTGCATCTGTGTTGACGAACGTGGCTATGAACAATCCAGGCTCATCATAGAGTCCAAGAATCCGAACAATCGTTCGTACGGGGTGCGTCGCGAAAACGACAGCCTTACGTCACATCCATACATATGGCTGCCTTGGAGTGAGGCCGGGCTATTAGGTGAAGGAACCCGGTCAACAATGTCGCTCGTGCTACACCATGAACCACAGCAAGCCATTAAGATACACGTGGGCACAAAGTTGTCCATGACATGCGCTTTTGATCCCGGCGTTAAGCACATTGCAAGTAGTGGAGTATTACGAACGGCGTGGCTTCCAAAGCAATCCGAAGAATTTTATTATACCTTTAACCTCGCATATGGTGGGACAAGACTATTTAGAAGCAGATACAGGGATTCAATTGCTGCTAGCGCTGATGGGTTTCGAGTCATCCACGAAGACGGCCACTCACCAGAGCAGCAACGTTTGATTATCGAATCTCGTCGAAGCGCAGTTCTGATGTCCAAGAATCCCCGGCACAAGAAGTATGTACCGATGACGTTCGTCTGCGGCAAAGCGCCACAACCATCGGATCTGTCCGTCACCGACGGCTCATACGCATCGCCGAGCCCGTATATCACGGGATCCTTGGAACAATACACGTGGCACCTAGTTCAAGTTGCCGTAGAGACCACTGACCCCTACATGCAAGGCTGCGGCGTTACCTACGAATCGGACGAGTTTTTCAAACCTGAGACACCCCGACTCTACGACGGTGACGGCAACCTACAGTTCGGTTGCAAGATAGATTTTCAGACTGCCAAGGAAGCCGCATTCTACTGCCCAGCACCGTACCTCCTGGACCCACCCAACTGCTTCAGCCAAGTATTACTGGACGGCGAAGTCACGAACATAGGTGAACTTAGTAAGTCATTGGTAGTATCTAGCTCCAATCACTTTGTCGTCCTAAGCTTCGATAGCTCACTTGCAGGGCAAGGCAGGACGATTCGCCAGGCGCCGCCATTGGAGTGTCGTTGCGTCACCGTCAAGGGCGTCGTTCTCTCCACTATACAAATAGAGAATTACTACGCCAAGTGACGAGTTGATCAGATGTGGTTATTCATTAATCAATATGTTATTTTGGATTCTGTTTCAACATTCTTGTAGATTCCGTGTTGATGTGTATCCTCGCAGCGTCATGGATATAAGCGCACCGAAGCGTACTGAGAGCAAAGATGATCATTAACCGCTCTCGGCCACTTCTTACCCGTTTGTAGGAAATGTCAACGACACCACACAACACATTATTGCCTTGTTAACCTTCGTGTCTACTTCGCTTGACGGACTCGCGACGGTACACATGGCAAGCTAACGATTGCTGTATATTCGTAGCGGCTTAGCAGTTATCAGGAGCAATGCTCATATGAAACAACAACACATCACATGTATTTGGAAGAGCGATCGGAGGAATGTGCTCATTCCCAGTTGAGCCATGCGTCCCTCGTCGACGAGCAGCTGTACCGGTCGTATGTACCAGGTCCTTTTTGGACAGCAATCGCATCTGTACTACCTCTGTCTATCAGTGGAGCCGTATCGCTCGATTGCCGTCCTCGACCACAGCCTGCGCCCGGTTCGTCGCATAGACGTGAAGGACGTCTTAAGCTTCCACCGCCGTGTTCTTAGCAATGAGCCTGGCCATCAGTCAGCATCAGTTACCCATAGTGATGTGAGTTTCATCTGCAATTGCCTGCAGCTTTTACAGGTTTTCGAATTACAGCTGTCCTCCGACAAAGGCGGGTGGCTGCGATTTGGGCTGCCAACAACAGAGGAGTGCGACCAGTTGTGTAGCAGCGTCCAACTTCATTTTGGCGTCCCTGTGTACAACTATGGCAGTCTCAGCACCAACTTCCGAGCAGCGTTAGGCCCCAAGGCTGCTGCCACCAGCAAGACGGTGGACAATGGCCCCAACTCAGTTTGTAAGAACTACCGTCTTGTCCGTGACGACTTTTATGCATCAACAGCGGGCGACTTTCTAACCCAACTGGTATGATCCGTGTGAGTTGTACAGCATCATAAATGATAGGGAATAACCTGTGGTGACAATGATCAGGGTCAGAGTGACCCTCCTGCCGAGTTCAGTCCCGACTACCCTGTCATAATGGAGGGCCCTCTTGAGTCGGCCAGCTACGTCAGTTTCCGTAGCATGCGTAAGCCTCAAATGCAACCGTTTTCGGTGTATCGTGCTGAATGGTATCTGTCGACGCATCGTGGCGACCCAGGCGAATTTTACCCTGCTGCGTCCTGTAGCAACGACATCTTTTACCTTAGCGACTGGACGGTACGGTTCTTAATTGATTTGCCTTCACGTGGCAACAGATTGGCCGATACGTTCAGTTGCGCGTGTATAAGGCGGTGGGCACGGGAGTTAATCGCAAGTTTGTTTTTACGACTGCCACTCGCGGCCCCGTCCGTTTCAGCAACGTGTTGGCTCACAACATCCTCCTCAACATTTCGAAGGTATGTTCATCGAAGCGTTTCCATTTAATATAATCAGGACAATGAAGCGCACGACGTCCTCATCTGCGCCGAGCAGTTTCGCACGATCGCCGTCCACCTCAACAAGTTGCCTTTCGCTCCCGTGGGTGAGACGCATAGCTTCGATACACGGTTATCTACCAAACTGTCCCTAATGCACATAAAATCGGCTTCACGATCTATTCAACTACCAGGAGACGGCGTCGAGGAACCAGGTAGCGAGAACGTGGATAATAACGGGATGCCAGATTCAGTTTCGGCTTCTATGGAGACCGTGATACGGCCCGCCGTCACGTATGAGAGCACCGGTTCTTTCGGAAGCTATGATGATGACAATTCGGATTTTTTAGGAGAGTTGGAAGGCAATGCAGGCGCTGCTACTTCCGGAAGTGACGCACCGCGTCCCACCGTGGATCCCGAACTGCTCCACACGAAGAGTCTTTTGAGCGCCGATGCGGCAACAGGGCCGTGTGGCAGTGATGGCGCGCACTCCTCAGTTGCGTCAGCGTCACGGGACACTTCAGACGCTGCGCAGGCCACAGCCGAGGAGATCGGCGCCACCACTGCCACAAAGCAACAGCCCATTACAGACGAATCTGAAAAAAGCGACAAATACCCGCCAAAGAAACAGCAACCGCCAGATGAAAGCAAGGTTCCCAAGGTGCCGAAAGCCAAACAGCCGGTAAAGGCGGCGGCGGGAGGCGCCGCAACGCCACCGCCTGAAGCAACTCGCATGGGCAGGATGCGCGGATTTTTCAAGAATCTCTTCGACAAAGGGCGGGCAGCCAAGAACAGAAGCGTGTCGGCCAAAGGCGTTCCGAAAAGTGTCAACCCAGTGGTGGTTAAGAATGCCGTACCACTCGCCAAAGCCAGGCGGCAGGGCCCCGCATCACCGGGTCAGGGTACTGCGCCAGGAGCCGCGGCGCCTACTCCGACCAAACTATATGAGAAGTTCGTCGAAGTGCAGTTACAATGCCGTTGCGGGGTGCGTCAGCTACGTGCATCACGAACTCAAATTGCATATAGGGACTGTATCTCTGGGACGATGAGGTGGAGCTGGAGCTCAAGTGGACGCGGCTTGAGGTACAGGATTGCTACGAACCGCCGCAGCAGCCAGAGCATTTCGAAGACCCCCTCAGCTGCCTTGAACTGACGCTAGTGTATAAGTGGTAAGTGTGCCTACTGTGTCCATCAGATGGCGCAGCAAGGGAGACTCGGAGCAGCGGCTGCTGCCGCTAACCATCAGACTCGCATCACCGCAACAGCGATGTACGCTCTACCATGCGATGCTGTTCAACAAATATCGCGGACCCTTCTATGTGAGTTCTACCAGTCGCTCCGCGGTGACACCTCTGCAGTCCATTGACCAGGGCGAGCGCGATCTACAGCGGGGATTGTATTCCGACGTTAAGGAAGCGTACGCGAAGATTTGTAAGCACGTCGCCCGGCGTCTGACCCGGCTGTCTAGCGCCTCCCCGCCCATGTGCGGCCCCTGACTGAGCGTCGCACGAGGCGCGGACCGTCACAAACAATGGAAGGCGTAGAGGGCAAGAAAGAGGCGCTCAAAAAGCTGGAGAAGGAGCGTCTTAGGCTGCTCGGGCAGCTCGACGACCTATCGCAGGAGTCTGCGGAGCACAAGTAGGTCCCGGGTTAGGGTGTGTGATTCCTCGCAGGTTGGTGTTGCGGACTTTAGAGTCGCTGCCGGATGACCGTCGTTGTTACCGCATCGTCGGCAAAGTCGCGGTGGAGCGGACGGTGGCCGAAGTGCGTCCAGCTCTGACGTCGTATGCGCAGAAGGTTCGTTAGTCGCGTGCACATACGACGCTGTGCAGGTGGACGAGCTTCACAAGACGTACAACGACCAGCTCAACTTCATCAACGAGGAGGTTTCCAAGATCACCAGGTCACTCGGCACACCGGCGGATGCGTCGTAGGCGACGAGTGGATTTGGATGTCTAGCGGCCGGCGTCGCCAGCTGCAGCTCCCATAGGCGCTGAAACACTGCGCATCGACGCCAAACAACCACGTTAAACTTAAATGCCACGTGAGGCTATCGCAAAAATGTCTATTCTACATTTTTCAACAACGGGAATGTCTGCGTTTGCTTGATGCTGCCTGCCCCCGTGAGGGCCATCAGGAGCCGATCGATCCCAATGCCGAGCCCCGCTGTGGGCGGCATTCCGTACGCCATGGCGTTTAGGAACTCCGTATCCCTCGAGTTGCTCAGGCCTTCCTCTCGGCAGCGGTCTAGTTTGCGCAGGAGTTTGACGGGGTCGCATTCCTCGGTGCATCCATGGGCGAACTCCAGGCCGCCGAGGTACGATTCGAACACTCGTCCGTGAACGCCGTCGGAATCAACCGCTGCCAGTGGGGAGGAGTCTGCCGGTAACGCGATTACGTGCGTGGGATCCCGTATTTTGTCTTCAACGGCATGCTTGAAAAGGTCACAAACCAGCCCTCCCCACGTCGTATCATGCAACTCCGACCCATTAACACCCCTCTCCACCAGTGCATTCCTTAGCTGCTCTTTACTACATTCTTCTACCTTGATCCCAACGTGTTCTTCTATGAGTTCGCTCATCGACTTCGTCGTGAATTTGGGAACGGCGACGCGCAACCCAGTCGCGATCGTTGCCACAATCTCCTCTGTCAATCGTATCATATCTCCCACGTCGCCCATCTGCTGGTACAGTTCGAGCATAGTGAACTCCGGGGAGTGATGTGTGCTCGTTCCCTCGTTGCGGAAGCATTTGCCGATCTCGAAGACCCTATCGGCGAGGCCGCCGGTGACCAGGCGCTTCAGGAATAGCTCAGGTGCGATCCTAAGATAAAGCTTCTGGTCTAGGGCTTCAGAACGCGTGACAAACGGCGTTGCTTGCGCGCCGCTGTACCCGTGGTAGAGTATCGGCGTCTCGACCTCGATATAACCGCGGTCGTGGAGAAACTGGCGCAGCAGCCAGACCATTTGAGACCGTTGCAGGAGTATATGCTTGCTGTCCTGGCACGTCATTATATCTAGGTGGCGCAACCTCTGTCTGGTGTCTACGTCCCTCAGACCGTGGAAGCCGTCGGGCATGGGCAGCAGACACTTGGCAAGCACCTCCATGGAGTGCGCCACCAACGTCATCTCGCCTGTCGTCGTTCGCTTCGGGTGCCCTTCTATGAGTATAATGTCGCCGATGTCGAGTATATCTCCAACACGAGTGGCATTGAACGGCGCTCCACCCACTGCGATGTCTTGGTTGCGTCTGAACATGACCTGCAGGCCGTCACCGTTGACATCCTCGATAACCACAAACAAGCCATCAAACCTGATCGACTTGATGCGCCCACGCACACGATATTTTGTCGACTCCAGCTCTTCCCCCTCACGGAGATTGCCGTGAGCAGTTGCAATACGGCCAACATCTACAACGGTACTGGCGCTCTCCTCGCTCACCTCGGGGTACGGATCGACACGAAGGTCATGCTTTACGACATGCATCTTCGTCAAACGACTGCTGATTTGCCGCAGCATCGGAGCACTGGCACCGTGGGTGAAAGCATCGGCCAGCGCCTCCGCATCGTAGTCACCGTCATCATCAGCTGAGCCGTCGGGAGGAGGCACGGCATGTTCAGCAGATGCAGAAGGAGCAGGACTCACAGATGCCGATGCATACAACTGTGTAGAGGAGCTCCGCGCGTGATCCAGCCTTTTTGACGCATCACAAGGCGTGAATGGTCCGCATATTACACTCTTAGCCGTGAATGCTGCCGATACTCCCTTCCGGGAGCTGCGATAACCACAAACCGACAGGCAGGCAACACAGCTGACCAGCTGCAGCGCCAATGCCGCCGCTACCATGTATATAGCGTTTTCTGCGGCAGCTCTCTGTCAAACAGCGTCATCACGGCGACGCCGTCGGCGTGCGTGGAATCCTGTGCAACCGTGCACCAATCGTCCTTTATCAACATTGATGCGTCATTGTACCATAAATCTGGTCTTTGACAATAGAAGCGTGGCAATGTGTGCCCTAATGACCTCTTCTCGTCGCCGCGTGGACAGTCGCTGCCTGCGGCGTCACCCACATAGGGTTAGCGGCGCCAAGCCAACCAACCAGAAGCAATTAATGTAAAAACAATCGCCATATAAATGCTGTAGCATCTTCCTGCGAGTCACGCTGTCCCAATCCTGACGGCCGGTCAAGATGGACAAGGTAGACACGACTTCGCCGAACATCACCTTCAGCATCGAGAACGAGGACCACACCCTGGGCAACACTCTGCGCACGCTCTTGGTCGAGCGCGAGGACGTGGTCTTCGCAGGGTACTCGGTGCCGCATCCGATGCAGCCGGAAGTTAACATCCGTATTCAGACAACTGGTAAGCCAATAACGTCCCCAAACAACGATCTCTAGGTGTTCCTGCCGTGAAGGTGTTCGGCGAGTGCCTGGACGAGCTCGTCGAGATTTGCGACCTGCTCACGGCAGCCTTCGTCGAGGCTGGCGCCGAGTCCTACAGTGACGCCGCCTGAGGCAGCCTTGGCAAGCGGCTACCGCTGCCAGTTGAGCTATGCGTGGCAATTAGACACATGTGCTATATGCCGGTTAGTACGTGACCCATTCCTGCCGGGATGCCGGCGGTCACGTACAAGCCTCGCGGTGGCATGAAGGCGTATGCCATATTACACATAAACTCTAATGTTAATGTAGAAAGTTTTAGATCCCATTTTATGCGCCCAGAGATTACGTCTTCCATATAGACACTGCACATCGACACCCTGTGGATGCAAAGACTTAACTACGGAAAAACAACCGCACACATCCACATGTGACAACTGTTTTATATACACATGGGCGGCATAAAAACGTCTGCTTGATGGATGCGCCACTGGCGTAACGGCTGAGCTCTGGCAGCCCTGCCAACCTATCGCGACTATACCGCCTTAATCATCGTCTCTAGACACGATGGCGGAAACGGCACGTAGCACGGCGGGCGGTGTGCCGTTCGAGCCCAAGCTCCTGGAGGATATGCATGAGCTGACGTACCTGGAGTACCTCCTGCAGCTGGCGTTCCACACCGCAGACCTGCACGTCACCAAGGCGTTCATGCTCGCCACTCCAGATGACGCAGAACGGTTCAGGAGCAACTCGGAGGAGGTGAGGAATCGCTTTATGGCGTTGTAACAGTTTGCAGCACTACCACGGGTCCATCCTCCCGGTCTGGGTGGATATGAACCGCATGGAGCCTCCGCAGTCGTTCGATGACTGCGCCAAGCGCGGCACAATGCCAGTAGACGTGACCCAGCAGCTGTTCGAGACCGGTACCATATCACCGCCGCTAGGCTTCCAGGGTAGGTCGCATTGCTAGACAGTCACTGATCTCAGGCAACCCAACTGGCTCGTACCGCATGCTGCTCTTCCGCATAGCCGTGGGTCGCACGATGTCGCACACTCCAGAGGCTGGGGACCACGATGCGTTCCTGAAGCGCAAGATACCGGCTGGGTACGACTCCCTAGAGCTGTGCACCAACACCGAGCCTGCGTTCTACAACGCCCTTTATCGCATAAGCTCCGAGCGGCAGGCTATGTTGTGCGCTGCCGTGGAGTTCGAATTTACTCCAGTCAAAATCGAGGTGCCAGAGCCCGTCTGCGAGATGTGTGAATCCGCAGCGGCCCAGTGGTACTGCCACTCGGACAAGTAAGTGTTGACTGTCGCGTTGATTTACTGTGCGAAGGGCGCACTTCTGTAACGCCTGCGACGCCAAGCAGCACTCGGTTACGCCCATATTTGCACGCCACGTACGCGTGGCGACTTCCAAGTCGCCAGTGCAATTCGGGCTGTGCGAGTCGCACCCATCCGAGGTCATCGACGTGGTCTGCCTACAGGTAGGAACCCGGGTTGTCACTATACTCGCCACTAACGTTCGTGCAGTGCAACCGCGCCCTCTGCAGCCACTGCATACTCTTCGACACGCACTCTGACCCGTCCTTCTTCGACCACCCGCTGATGTCAACGCTCGACGCTTACGAGTGCGCCATGCACAAGACCTCCGAAAGCGACGTCACCCTGAAGCGGCGCATGGAAACCATCATGGGGCGTATCCGGAACCGCCACGACCTGCTGTCGCAGATCTACGCGAATTTTAATAACATCCGCGAGAAAATCGACAACGCCACCTCGATGCTGCTGGAGCAGCTGGACGGCATGCGCACCCGCAAGCTCCAGTACCTGAAGGCCATCCGGCGCGAGGCCGAGACCGAGCTCCTCGTCATGGATTGGCTGGAGTCGTCAATGGCGCACCTGTTGCTGTCGCTGAACCACGCCGACTTCATCACGAACCGGAAGAAGTACGACCTGCTGGTCGACAAGATGTTCGGCGCCGACTGCAGGGTCAGCGTGGCCAACCTCCCGTTCTGGATGATGCAGCGCCTGGTGCTCGTCGGCGGCACCGAATTGAGGCGCATGCCGCTGCAGCAGGGGATCGGTAGCGGCATGACCGCAAATGCGGATGCGTCCGCCGCCGCCGTTGCGGGCGATTTCACCCGCACCAACCTTTTCGAGGACCTCGGGGAAAGCATAAGCCACGTACAGGGCGAACGCGTCAGTTTGAAAAGCAAGATAGAATCAATTCTCAAAAACGAGCCCATGGAGCTGACCGGGGTGCCTCGAAGCGGGGTTGTGGGCACGTCATCAGACCCAGGGTTCGTTGATGAGGCTACTATGGACGCCGGCAGTTCTCCGACGGCTCCAGTGCCCGAACCACAGCCATCACAACTGGTGCTGGCCGTGCAGGACCACGTCCTGGAGCCGGTGTGGACGTTGCTCTCCGAGGGGGGAATGGCGACGCTGCTGCATTTCATTCGCGCGGTACGCATCCCGGAGAAGAACCACGTAATCCGGCATATCGCAACACTGGCCAACTATTTCGAAGAAATGGACACGCTGGTCACTAACGCGTGCGAGTTCGAGATACAGGACCTCAGCCAAAGCAGCCTCTGCATGCTGATGCGCAGCTCGAGCTGCATCAGTGAGATTCTGAACTTCATATTCCTGCACGAGCGCTACGGCTGCGAGGAATCGATCGAGTGGATAAAGCTATACTGCGACTGTCTCCATGCATTCATTTCAAACAACGCCGACGCGAGACACGCGGCTGAGGAGGCAACGTCCCACATCGTCAACAAGCTCGTGCAGTCGTCCGACGTCGCCACGATGCCGTCAACGCTGCGTTTTATGATTTACTTCTTTGCGGAGTTGGCAGCGGATCGCGCCGCAAGTTTATGTGTCGACATGCTCTTTGGCGTGCTCTTCTCGGCGCACGTGGCACGGAACGTGAGGGGGCTCGACCGCGGAGCGCTGACGGAGGTCTCGTTCCTGATGGGACGCGTCGGCATCGCGTGCTGGGATGCGGTGGAGACGAACTCGCTCGAGTTCTGCCTCGCCGCCCGCCTCAAGGTCTGGATGCAGGGGCTCCTAAGGCGCCCTCGGCTGAAGTCCAGCATCCACACGAGGCCGACCTCAGTCCCAACGGAATCACTGCTCTACGTCCTGACTGCCCTGGACAAGATGGCAATGGAGATAAACTCCGGCACCTGCGACCTGCCCATCGACCAGGTGAACGAGTTGACTGCACGCTACAACTTCATCCCGCTCTTCGAGATTGCCGGGAGGTGGGCACGTACTGCGCGTGACGACAGGACCGGCTGGTAGTGGTCGCATCGGTGTCCCGACATCACGCACTACTAACCAACTGCCGTGTGGACGATACGGCTCCACAGGCGCTCCTCGTCGAAGCCGAAGGCATTCGACCCGAACATCAGGTGCACGTCGTCCAAAGTGATGCGGCGCAGCACTCGCTCGAACTCAGTACAGAATAATGAACTCTTTAGCGGCATCCGACGGCTCTGCGTCCCCAACAGCTCGCCAACCCAGTGGCGGTTTGCAGTCCTGTCCTTGCGCAAACGCGCTATCACCTGGTCCCGTGCTCGCTGCAGATGGTGCTCCGTAACAGGCCGAATTCCAGATCGCAGTTCGGCGACCAGATTGCGCGTTTCCTCGAGGATGGACTCCGACTTGTCGAACGACGAGTGAACTGAGATCACGAAATAGCCTGCGAATTGCACGTCATACAGCACAAAGTCGACATTTGATTCGTACGTCAGGTGCTTCTCCGCACGCAGCTGAATGGTATGACGGCAGCCCTCAAAAAACTTACGACGGTGAATGAGCGGTTGCTGAGAATCTCCTGTAGCAAAGCGCAGGCAGCGCGAGGAAACGCAGGGTGCAACCACAGCTCCTTGGCCGTGCGCACCAGCTTCTCGACATTGTTGTTCACGTCCTTGTCGGTCGCCAAGGCCGCATACAGTTCCGCGTGCATGATGTCGGCCATGTGAGTCCCATCCGGCATGATCCCGCTGGCATTCGGCGCATAGCCGCCGACAAGCACCATGGCACGCTCCTGGTTGTCTGGAACCAGGATGAGCCTGTGCCTGTCTTCGGGGCTTGTTGGTTCATCAGCCGCCTCCGAACCACTTTCGCCAGTTTGGGTCGATCCAGCGGCTTCTTCTTGTAGAGTGGTAAACCGGGCGCCCTTATCCTCCATATTGTCGTTTACCGAGTCGTAATACCTCCAAAGCTGATATCGGTCTGGAGCAGCCGACGATGCCTCAGGCAGCTGTACGGTGCCGATGTACTGCAGCAGCAGTGACTTCGCCGCCTGCAGGTCAAAAGCGCCGGACATCGACAACTCAACGGCGCCGCGTTTGAAGATCCCGTCCAACGTGGCCTGTATGTCCTCCAGCTTAGACTCGCCGATTGCCGCCATGTCCAGGTTGTGGTAGGTCAGCTTGCCCTCGCTCATGGCCGACACGAGGTCCGCAGTGCCGTATGCCTGGAGGTCCTGCGCGTATACGTCACGGTCGCGGCGCAGCTTGTCCTTGGCACGCTCTAGCGCATCCGGTTCTATGCGATGGTTCTGCAGCAGCGAGTGCATTATCTGCAGGGCGCTCTCGAGGTTACCGCCGCGCCGGCCCTGCCGACCGTAGGGGAACGACATCTCGATGGAGAAGTAGTCCTCGTTGGACCCGATCATCACGTCTATCAGGTGCTGGCTGCAGAACATCTCGACCTGCAGCCGGCTCAGGCTGCCCATGGCGCCGCCCTCCATCATAGCGTTGGCCGCCAGGAGCAGATCGCGTTTACGCCGCAACAGCGCCTCCTGATCGCAGTAGTCGTACTCGATGGGTATTATAGCCTTTATGGCCATCTGGTCACCCTCACCAACGCGTAAATTCACGCGGATGCTGTTACCGAGCGTCAGCAGGTGGATCCCGGCCGGACCGGGGCGCTCCCGGTAGAGCACGTCGCTGGGATCCAGCGTCGATGCCAGGGGCTTGCGCAGGTTTGCCAACGCCTGGGTGTACTTCCCGTGCTCTTGCTCATTAACGAGATGCCTCGATCCCTCCACTAGCCGTTCGCCGATCCTAGACAGTTCAGACGGAGTCTCTTTGTTCTCCGTGATATATTCGATGTCGGAATGCAGCTTGAACGAGTCTCGCAAAGCGTCGATGTACCGCTCCGACACGAGTCGGAGGTCGCCACCGACGGCCAGTGACCTCAGAACCTCCTCCCGCGATTGTTCCGGGCGGGCGTACTGTTCCTTCGGCAGCATAGGGTTGGTGACGAACGCGGGCTCCTCGCCGTAAGGACGACGCCCGACTACCTCACGTCGCTCCTCGTCGCTCAGCAGCTGCGACGGCGTGTTGACGTTGGGGTTAAGCGATGCAGCGGAGAGAGGCTCGCGGCACTCGCTGTCAAAGGCGTCTGCGATAAGCTCCTCCGTCACACCATCGTAGCCGATCGATGGGTCGGGAGGAGGGGTGGAGCATATCAGGTGTATTCCCGAGAAACTTTCCCCGGACGACCACGGAAATAGCCTATACGCCATATCGTTCACGTCATCCAGGTGGACACTGTTCAGCATTTCGGTGACGATCTCCTTCTCGGTGTCCGGCAGCATCACCGTCCGGCCGCATGTCGCTGCGTCCATCAGCCCGGTGATAACGTCGCGGTTGTCCGCCTTGGAGGTGTCTAGGCGGGAGCAGTCGAGCAGCATCGAGTCCTTCACAATCGAGAACATCTCGTGGGTTGCCCCCTGCGTGGCGAGGCACTTGGCCTGCGCCACGGCGGCCGTCAGGGCCTCCCGCCACTGGAAGGGCGCGCAGCGCATCTCGAATGAGCGCACACGGCAACCCTCATTGGTGCAGTCGTAGTCGTTCGCCTCCACCGCTTCAAGAGAACCTGTGCCACGCTGAAGAATGTCGAAATTCAGCGACAGGATGCGATACGCCAGCTTCATAAGCAGGCTCTGCCGCATATCACCACGCGTAAGAATCGTCGGGATCGGCATTTTTCTCACGACCTCGAGACTCAAATTCTTTATTTGGCCATTTTGCCAGACGTGTGCGATAGGGCCTGCAGATTTGTCATAAGGCGCTCCTCGCTGCCAACGTACCAGGTTGGTCCCAGATGTGCTTGGCCGGTGGGAGTCCCCATCGTGACTCCTTCACAGTGCCGCTGTAAATGTCCGCGTGGACACGCATGTATTGATCCACCAGCTCCTTGTCCTCCTGCATGCCGGCGAACACACGCTCGATGGCCTGTATCGCTGACTTGGGCGCTATGTCGCCGACGAGGAACAGACGCAGATTCGAGGGCCGGTAGTGTATGCGATGGTAGTCGACCAGGTCCTGCACGCTGTAGCGCTCCAGTTTATCGAGGTCGCCGATGGGGAACCTGCGACTCAGCCTGCAGACGTTTAACCGAGGACGCCGTGCCAGCCCACCTGGTCTCCGAGTGCAGCGCCTCAACGGTGGCGCAGTTCTTGCGATACTCCAGCGTGTTAATGATTCGCGCCTCCGACAGTATCGCCTGGCGCTCCTTCTCCACACGCGAAGTGGTGAACTGTGTGGGCGCCACGACGACGTCTGCCAACGCCTCCAGCGCCCGTTCCAGAGAGCCGTCACGGCCGCCGCAGCCGTCCATCAACGATGGGCACGAGGCGTAAAACACCGTGTGGTGGAAGTCTGTGAACGCGTTCGTGCGCACATCGCGACCGACGAGCGCATCTCGTTTTCTACAGATGGTGAATTCAGGGCACTGCCGCAACGCACCTGCTGCCCATGTAGGTCACGTGCTCGCAGAAGTGCGCAACGCCGCGCTGGTGGTCGAGCTCGTCCGCAGAGCCGCTCATCACCTCCAGGTACGCCTCGAGCCTCTCGCAGTGGTTCGCGTTCGGGAGCAGCGTGTACTCCAGGCCGTTGGGCAGCCGCCCGCGCACCACTTGCGGGTTCTCCGGCAGGGGGTCGGCTGGCTGCAAAGCGGGTCAGTATAGTGCGCAAATAACGGTGTGTATAGCGGGTAACAACGAAAAGTACATAATCACGCAAAGCAGTGGCCGGCAGCAAGTGCTACGATTACATCAGGTTAGAAACCTAGGGCTACGTGCTCCATCCCGTTGGTCTGCATATCCTCCAATAGCCACTGTGCAACATCCCTCGAGAAGCTGGAGATTATGACGTCGGCACCGGCGCGCCTCAGACTACGGATGGCCTCGAGCGCAGCCGCACGCTCGTCGAACACGCCCGCAGCGGCCGCGGCCTTCAGCGCCCGGTATTCACCGGTCGTGTGGACCGCCACTATTGGGCTTCGGAGCCTGTCCTTGAGGTTCCGTATAACGTCCAGGAAGCCGGTGGCGGGCTCCACGGCGACGAAGTCAGCTCCGTCGTCCACATCTGCATGGAGTGTAACGCAATCGGCTGAAAACGCACCTTGGACTCCCTTCATTATGCTCTCCTCGTCCACTGCTACGTCGTGCAGATAGCTCTCCGGGCGCACGTTCTCCGACGGGGTCATTCCGAGCAGCTTGCGCTGCTGTTCCATGAGCACGGAGTTGAACTTGGCGGCGCGACTCATCAGCGAGACGTCGGTGAAGCCCTCGAAGTCAAGCGCGTCGCGCGCCACTCCGACTGTTCCGTCCAGAGTGTCGTTCAGCGACACCACGTCGCAACCAGCGGATGCCAGCGTGGTCACCTGCTTCGCCACCTGGCTCACCGACACGTCGTTGGCGATGAAGTCAGTCTGCGGTTCCACGAGCCCGTCGTGGCCGTCCAGGGAGAAGTGCGCCACACTCGCGTCGGCGAACACCTGCACGTCAGGGAACGCCTCCTTGACGGCGTCGATCGCGCGCGGGAGCAGCCCGTCCGGATTCAACCCCTCATCGGCGAACTGGCTCCTCAAGGCCTTGTCGATATGGGGATGGATCATGAACGACGTCAGGCCCAGGTTACGGGCCTCCTCCACTTCCTTAACGAGGTCTGCAATGGACAGCAGCCTCAATCCAGGGACTTCGGGGACTGACACCGACGATTCCTGCGACATGTCACTGTGCAAGCAGGAAAGCTCACCTTGTCGTGCACCACCAACGGGTAAACCAGGTCGGACAAGTGCACTACGCTGCCCCTAAATAGCTTGTGACGGTTGCGGGACACACGCGTCCTCGACAACCTGGGAAGGTTGGGCAGCATCAGCTCCCCGCGGGCGTTGTACTCGAAGGCGCTGTTGCCCGCCTCCTCGTCGGAGTCGTACTCCGACGTAGATCCATCCTCGTCCTCCTCTTCGCTCTCGAACTCGCTCTCCTCGTCGTAAATTTCGTCGTACCCAACTTCGTCCTCGAACACTTCGGAGTCCACTCCGTCGAGGTCATCATCCATGGAAGCGCGATCCTTTGCTCAATTGAGGGTTCATCCAACACGCGAAATGCAACCCGCCAAGCCGCCGGAACCACTGCCGTTCACGGCCACTGCTACGTACCAACACGCACACGACATGTATTCACAACACGAAACCACTCGTTCACGCAGCGCGCACCTCTTCTTTCTTCTTCGCAAAAGTCCTGCCTAGAGCAGACGCCCTATGGCCGTCCAAGACTGCGCCCGAATCCACCTGAGGGTGATGTCGCCCACGGATCGCAACCTACCTTCCACTTGGCGGATGACGAGCCTACGAACGCGCCGACGCCGCGTGGCGGCCGGGTCGCGTGCCCGGGGCCCAGCACATCGGCGCGACCCTCACAGCTGCGAAGTGCGACTGCAAGCGCCGTGCCGGCTGCGCTGCCGCCGTGTTCCAACACCGAGGTGGCGTGGATTGCGATGGCCAGGGCGCCGAGGACCCGAAGCAGTCCCATCGTGCGAGTCGACTCAGACGGCCGACGGCACCCAGCGGAACATTATTGTGCGCAAACAGGTGGTTGCGTCTCTGCTATCGGCCGGAATCTGGTAGAAGCCTATGGCGCGCGTCCGCCGCGGACGGCTCCCGCAGCAAAGCTGCTGTTTATGGGGTGGAAGGTCGCAAATTTACGCCTGAAAAGCGCGAATCAGCAGACATATGTGCCTGTTAAACTGGTCACGTGCTCTATATGTGAAGGTATACGCGCTTAAAGGTGGAAGGTTGCGGCGGCATATGACCTAACCTCAAGACACCGTATGGACAGCCACACACCTTTGTCTACGTAGATTATCGCCCATCACTAGTCACACATAGTTATCATTAGCCAGATTCGACAGGGAATCCGGCCGAAAGTCGCGTGTACAATCCGATTCGGAAGGCTAACCTGCTGCCTTCCATATAAACACCGACGCATTTTTTCCGTGAGGATAGCTCACGGTCACGTCAAATACAGACTTCCGTACAATAACATGCACGTTCAAACCGTGTAACGCTATGTGTGTGTCCACGTGGTTGCGACATGGCACACCGCACGCGCCAGTAGAGTGTATACACAGGGACGGGAATACGGTTAAGAAAGGACAGTCACAGTGTTTACTCAATACAAAAATTATACACTGCTATTGTTAAGGACGATAGCAGTGTCTCTCATGGTTTTCTAACGGCCGGCAGCTGCCGCCGTGTTTTGTAATATTCCCGCGATCGGCTGAGCTGTGTAGCTGAAACCGACGCTCACGAAAGACACCGCTTTTACCGAAATGTGAATTAAGGGCAGCCTATAGACTGGTGTCGTCTCGCGGTGGCACAACAATGGAATCGCAGGATCCTGTTCCGCCTCAGCCGGAGCAGAAAACAGAGGCCGACATCGCGCAAGAGCCGGTTCAAAATGGCGTGGATCACGAAAGTGACGACAGTGTGACTGAGGATGCGGTTGACTCACCGATGGACCCGCCAATGGCGACCACCAAACAGGATGACGAGGGTGTAGAGGGCGCTGGACCAGTCGAGCCGGAGATCTCCACCGCAGTCGACACCCCTGCAGACAGCTCCAGCGTCGGCGTGTCTGGCGCTGTAACGCTCGACGACGCTGTTGAAAAAACGAGCATCAGCGTCGCAAATGGAGTCGTGGGCGTCAGCCACCCGAAGCATGGTATGACTGCCAGTCCAGCGCTAAATGGCATACATGCCAGCCACCCGGGTGACGTCACTATGGCGAGTGCCGCAGACATCCTGCCGCATGTCAGCGGCGCAGACAATGCCATCAACGGCAGCCCAGCACTGGGCCTGATGAACGGCATCCCGTCAAACAGCACCACGAGGGTCAGCTTCGCAGACAGTGCTGACCTAACTTCATCGGAGAATATCGTCGAGCCGGTAAAAGTCAACGAGCCGCTGTACCCCGCGTTCGAGTACTTTAAAACCGAGCTTCTTGGAGGCAAAGAGGGCGCCATGGAGGCGTTGATGCATGTCGACATCGTGACGCAGCAGCTGGGCCCGGAGCTGTGTGGGACTCTGCTGGTTCCATTCCTCGCAGGTAGGGCTACGTGAGTGAAATCCATGGCGGCAGACCCGCTGTGATAACGCGACTATGTCGCCTATTACGCATGTGGTGTGTTAACGCATTCTCAGAGGCGCAGCGCGAAATGCCCATCCAGCTGATGAAGATGGTGATGGACGTCTGGTGCACGCTCTCCAAGATCAGTTTCGACGAGGCGTACGTGGACGCCATCGTAAAGGGCGTAGCGTCGATCATATCGCAGGAAGACCCCAGCATAAGGAACAGGGTACGTTGGGACCAGCGGAAGTTGACTCGTTTCAGGCCGTAGATCTAATCGTAACCATCATGAGCGATGTGCGTTCGACTGATGCAGGGTACGACGTCGTGGCCACCACCATCATGCCGCTGCTGAAGCGTCTCTCCGAAAGTGGGTTTCTAAAGCAATTGTCGTGCATCATGCGATGCAGGTGAGTGGTTCGCTGATGCGGTATCCGCGTGCAAGCTAATCCCGCTGGTGTACTTGGACGCCTCCGAACAGCAGCAGGAGGAACTCAGGCAGTGCTACAAGCAGCTGTGGGAGAACAACATGCTGATAGTGAGGCTGGAGGTGGCGCGCAACCTCGAAACAATGCTCGCGATCATGCACATGGACCACGCAGTGTCGATGTTCTGGCTCGTGCTCAAAAACATGTCCATCGACCACCAGGATGAGGTGCGCGCATACTGCGTTGGGGCCTGCCTGGCGTTTGCAAAGCGCTGCACTGCGGAGCAGAATGCGTCGTTCAGCTACCCGGTGGTGCAGGCGGCCGCCGCCGACAGCTCGTGGCGGGTGCGCAAGGCGCTGGCCGAGCGGTTCGACAAGATCCACGAGATCTTCGGCGAGGAGGAAATGTCCGCCCACTTCATGGATGCGCATGTGGCGCTGCTCACCGACGACTACGACATCGTCAAGGAGGCTGCGGTGGACTCGTTCCTCAGGTGGTGCCGCAGGCTCTCCCAGCCCATGGCGAACCAGTACATCGCCTTCTTCGAATCGCATCTGGACGACTACGAAAGCAAGATCAGGCAGTCCATATGCCGGATATTTGCAATTTTCGCCTCGCAAATGACACGGGGCAACGTGCATGAGCGCCTATCTCCCGTGCTGCGTCGGCTTTTGCGGGACGACAACATGGACGTCAGGCTAAGGTAGGTTACAGGGACACTGGACACCCTAACATGCCAACGCAGCGCAATCGAGCACATAGAAGCCCTGTGCAGCGGGCGGGAGTTCGAAAGCGGGGTTGGCGCCAGCATCACCGATACTGTGGAGCAGGTGCTGCAGTCTACACGTTGGCGGCACCGGCTGGTCCTCGCGGAGATGATCAACTCCTTCTACCACCACTTCGGGCGCGGGATTTTCGAGCGGTACTTCCTGCGGATGCTGTTCCAACTGCTGACGGACCCCGTCTGGAAGGTCAGGGTCACCGTCGTGGAGAGCATAGAGGCCCTGTGCGCCGAATGCAAGGTGCCCTGGGTCGCGGACACCATCTTGACGGAGATCATCAAGATGTACGTCGAGCCGCGCAGCTCGTGCTACGTGAAGCCCGAGGACGTGCCTCTATCGTACGCCTTCAAGATCGTCATTATACAGGCGCTGGTGGTAGGTGGACGCTGATCCCTGAGGTCAATGCGCGCAGGCGGTGGCGAAGTCGCTAGACCTCCAAACCACGCTGGCACGCGTGCTGCCGATACTAATCAACGCCACAAAGGTAGGATATGTGCATGGGCGCTACAATGTCTGCAGGATCCCACGGCAAACGTAAGGTTCGTCGCCGTCAAGGGGATGCGCAGCCTGTTCGTGATCTATCAAGGAAAAAGCGTCGAGGCGTTTGTTCGCGCCAGATCGTAAGTCACGTGAAAGGCCCTTTCATCGTGCTCAGGCTGCTCGGGAAGCTGCTGCAGGACCCCGATATCGACGTGAAGTACTACGCGCAGATGGCGATCAACACATACGAAGCCTGCTTCCCCAGCCTGCTGCAGAGGGACTCCTTTTAATGCAAATAAAAATTTTATCGCTATTCGCGCGACTAGCACAGCGCCCACTACACATTAATGCCGATGCCACCCGCGGCCTAAGCTCGTTCGGCCGCTATACCGCCATTCCACCCGCGCCTAGGCTGCCTTCCCAATCGCTTACAACCGAAGCATCAGCCATGGCGACGAGGCGGCAGAAGACACAACACAGGGTCGAACCCTATCGCATCTGCGCCGTCGGTAGGTTGCGCTGCCTGAGCTGATCAACGGAAGCAGGGCCCAAGGGAGCGCGCCAGGCGGCATCCATGGCGCAGTCTACCGCTGCAGTGAGCCAGAAGGTGGCTACAGCTGGCGCCTCTGATGCCCGCCAGATGTCCAGCGGCATGGTCTTCAACAAGAAGTTCGGACAGCACATGTTGAAGAACCCTGGGATCCTGGACAAGATCGTGCTTGCCGCCGAAATCAGGAGTTCGGACACGGTGCTGGAGATTGGTCCCGGTGAGTGGAAGGCTGTATGCCGCTAAATCGCGCCTAGGTACCGGTAACCTGACGGTGCGCCTAGTGCCCATAGCCCGAAAGGTAATCGCAATCGACATTGACAACCGTATGGTTGGCGAGGTCAAGAAACGCTGCGTGTCGATGGGGTACAACAACCTAGAGGTCATAGAAGGTGACGCCCTCCGCACCACGCTACCCAAGTTCGACGTTTGCACGGCCAACCTGCCGTACCAGATATCCAGCCCGTTCATCTTCAAGCTGCTCTCGCACCGGCCGCTCTTCAGGTGCGCCGTGCTCATGTTCCAGAAGGAGTTTGCGGAGCGCCTGCTGGCGTCCACCAACGAGGAGAAGTACGGCCGCCTGGCGATAAACACGCGCCTCTTCTGCACGGTGACCCGCGTCTGCAAGGTGGCGCCAGGTGGGCTAACATCATGACTACGCACGTCACAGATACACAGGCAGCTTCAATCCGCCGCCCAAGGTCGACAGCATGATCGTCAAAATCGTGCCCAGGGAGCAGCCACTGGTGGTAGGTTGTTAGGTGGCCGGAGGCATCACGGCCCGCAGGTGGACTTCGTCGAGTGGGACGGGATGATCCGCATCTGCTTCTCGCGCAAACGACGCACGCTGGGCAGCCTCTTCAAGAAGCAATCGGTACTCTCCATCCTCGAGGGCAACTACAAGAACTGGTGCACCATCAACAACCGGGCGCCGGAACCCGTGCCGTTCAAGGTGGGTTTGCAGCACAACGAAAGCCACTGATCGGCAGGAGTACTGCATGAGAGTGCTAAAGGAGTTGAACCTATCGGAAAGGCGCAGCATCACGGTCTCCATCGCCGAGTTCCTGGAGCTCATGCTCAAGTTCAACAACGCCGGGATACACTTCGCGAACGTCGCCAGACCGGCGGATCACAAACCGGATGCAAGTTCGCTCGCCAAGGGTGGGTTATCATACGTGGTTGTGCCAAACGTTACAGCGGGAGGGTTGCAAGTGCCGAACTTCCTGTTCGACGACGACCACATGGAGCTCGACGACTGACACCGCACGTGGACATGGGCGTGATTCTATGTTAACGCCGATCCGAACTACGGCTAATGCTGGCATCCTCACCACAGCACACTATACGCTAAGAACCGATATTTATCACCAATGAGTTAGGTTCAGAGGACGGCCGCAGCCCTGGTCCTTGTGGATCTCGAGGCACCGCGGGCCGCAGACATAGGTGCGCAGCTCGGCTATACGCTTCGACGCGCAGTCCATACACTTGTAGTTGCCGAAGAACCCGCAGATGACGCACATGTGGCGGGCGGGCAGCGCCGAAGCGCCCGCGTGCGACAGCTTCCAGCTGGAGAGGCCCTTCCTGCCGAAAGTCAGAATGAGCGTACGACCACCCACCTCTCACACTCCACCGAGTCGTTCTCGATTGCAGCCCGCAGATCGATGGGATCGCGTCTCTTGCCGATGTCCAGCAGCGGAGCGTGCTCTTGCGGCTTATCCGGGTCCGAACCTTCGGAGTCCGAGTCGCGGCGGGCACGCTTCGACACCGGCTTAGTGGCCAGCGCCGAACACATTTTGCGCGCCGCGCCGCAAAAATCGTAGAAACTTAATTTGGAAAAATCGTACTGTCGTCCATCCTCGGGCGGAGCGAAGGCCGCCGGCAGGCGCCACGCCGACACACCACTACCGATTGGGGCAACACCGCTCTACAAATATCCGGGAGGTACAAATGCCGACGTAAAGTCGCTGCGATGATCTGGCAGTGCAAAGGTGCGCCGCGCCTCAGCTCGGAGGGGCGCTGTCTTTGTCCTTGGCGCCGCCGACATCGTCGTCCTCCGGTACAGAGGCGCTACTTGTCCTCCTGCCACCGCGCATATCTCTGGCGGTGGCAACTGCCGTGGAGGCAGCGCGCAAGGCCCAGTGAGCCCCCTTGAAGCACATACCACGCACCTGCGCCTTTATAGGATCCAGCACCCTGCGGAAACTGTGGCGTAACGTCATCGCACTTACATTTTCGCCGAATCGCCGAACACATATGTTGACCCGTACTGCACGGCCAAAAACACCAGAATGATCATCGGGATGAGCACCTGCACCTTGAAAATGACACGGAGCACGGTGCAGATTTCGTTCCATGCGCATACCAGCAGCAGCACCCAGAAGTACGTAGGGATGTTCCTCCACGAAATGCCGCTGCGCGCGTAGCTCTGGATCTGGTGCGCCCTGTGGTAGAGCTCGTGGAAGCGCAGCTTGCACGCCTTCACGGTGTCAACCAGCATGTCGTCGCTGAGGGACGACTGGGCGCCCACCAGGCCGGACACGCCGGTGCTGAGCTCGCGGTAGAGCACGTGGTTGGGCTTCAGCTCCGACACGTCAAATCTCGGCACCTTAAGCTTCGAAGGACGGCTGTCGCGGATCACGGCCACCACGTTCAGCGCCTCCTTCTTGCAGCGGGCATAGGTCTGCTGCAGCTCGTCCTCGCTGCACGACTCCCACGCGCGGGGAATTGACTCGCCGTCACGCTCCTGATACATGAAAAACTGCTCGAAGCGCTCCACGATTATTTCCGTGATGCGCGACTCGACACGGTCGAGGTTGGCCTTAGTGCGTCCGACCAGTGCCACGAACGTGAAATACTCGAACTCCTGCGGCTGCACAGTCGAAATCAAGCCCTCGTAGCACGACCTGTAAGTATCCAGAGAAGACTGGTACGCCTGCTCGATGTGCGAGTTGACGGCGCCCCAGTACTTCTCGCTGGTGACTCCGTTCTCCAGCAGCACCGCCTCGATCACCTTGAAACCGGTATCGATGAGGTCGGCGATCTGTTCGCGCAGCGCGTGCAGGTGGCGCTTCCTAACCACGTCGACCTCGTTCTTGAAGGTCACGTTGAACATGTCGCTGGCGGCGGTGGTGTCGAAGGAGTAGTCGACTGAAATGCCGCTGTCGTTGCTGTAGTTCACCGAATAGCTCTGCATCTGAAGGCTCAGCGATTCCCATAGCTCCAGCCTGATGGCTTCGCAGGCTTCCGTGAATTGGGGCCACGCTTCCACCGCGGGGCTGCCGCCCACCATCAGCGAACGCCCCTTGCCGCTCAGCGAGAACCTCTCCTCCATCTTAACAGTAGCCTGGAGAGCCATCTCTGAGCATTCCTGCGCCATTAGGGCGTCGAAAGTCGGCTGCATTTTTTGCAGCAGTGCCCGAAGTAGCTCCTTCCCGATCTTCTGGCTGGTCTCCGTTTCGTACCGCGAAGCAGACTCGAGGTACGCCGCAACGGCTTGATCCGCAACCTCGGTTGCGCGTTCTATGAAGTTGCCCACGCTGCCTGATTGGGCATCTGCGAACATATCCGCCACCTTCGGCTCCACATCGGCGAGCACGGCCACCTTGATCTCCTGGCAACGGAAGTTGGCCAGCATCTCGCGCTGCGTCGGGATATCCAGGTGGTTCTGCTCCTTAACGGTGTTAAGAATGTTCCTGGCGTAGTAGAAGAAGCCGTCGGACGGCACCGCGCGGGAGTACGATTCTGGGCGGATGCTGTTCAGCCACTCCGACCTGAACTTGCTGGCGTCCGCGGCGAACTCCTCCTTGTGCGCAAGCGCGTGGTTAAACCCGAAGAGCTCGATGCGGAACACATCCTCCATGGAGGCATTTTGGAACCTGGCGGGCTTGTGGATCTCGTTCCAGATGCCCTGCATGTAGCCGTTGACAATCTTGCCACGGACGGTCTCGAGCGGGGCGAGCTCGGGGAACCAGTCGCGGATGCAGAAGCAAAGGATCGTCTTGCACTCTACTGAACCCCTGAACTGCTGTGATTCGCTAAAACACCAATCAACTCACATCGAATTGTCAGTTCCCTCCATCAGCTCCAGGTTGGCCTCCATCACCGTCTTCAGCAGGCCGTAGTTCGAGCCCGTAAGGTTGCCCAGCGAGTGGTACCAGAGGTTTATCACCACGCAGTCGGATATGGCCAGGCACAGAAGCGAGGAACGGTGCTCGAAGGTGAGGCGGCCTTCGCCGCGCTCCCTGGAGTCGGTGCCCTCGACGTCGATCACGAGGGTCGCATTGTGCTGTTCGTCGTCCTCGGGCAGCACTAACGCGCCCCAGAGGCCCTTGGTGGTCTGGCTGTGGCCCAGCTTGGTGTCCATCACGTCGAAGTTGAGGCCGAAGACGGCGTTGAGCAGCGAGCCTGCGGAAACTGAGACCACGAAGTGACGACACCCACTCTTGCCGCTGCTCTGGCAGCCCAGAATCGACAGCACATTGTAGCGGAAGCCGAATTTGTCGAACTTCTCGTTCCTCAGGTACTCGTTGAAGGAGTCGCTGCACAGCATACACATCTCGCGAAGTCGGCACACCTTATGTCGCAGTTGTAGTCGATGAACTCGACCGGTTTGGTCACGGCCATATTGCCGCCGCTACTCTCCATGCCTTCTGACATCATGCAAGTGAGAAATGAGCACACCTGCCGCCAGAGACGCCCCGTCACCTGGGATCAACACGATCAAGTTAGATGCAGTAAACTGTGGGAGTCAAAGGCATTATACAACGGGTGTTGATATCTTAATAGTAGTGCTGCGAGGTGGGCAGCTGAGCCACGAGTGTGCTCGTGATGTGTTCCGCCAGCTTGACGTTGCCGCGGTTGCAGGAGCCTGTGTTGTGGCGCACGACGGTGGGACGCGATTGGCAGTTGATGTCAGGCATCGTCGAGGTGCTGCTGCGGCAATGGTACGACCTCCGTCGGGGCTCGTGCTTCTGCGCTTCATGTGGAGAGACGAAGTGCATGAAGGGCGCCGTCGGCTGCTGTTGCTGGCATGCTCCAAACTGCGGCGGTGACGCTTCGAAGTATGCCTCGGCCGGTTGGTGATGTTGCACGTGGTGAACGGGGGGGTACGTCATCCCGAGAGGCATGCCAGTCGCAGGACCGTTGAAGTGCTGGGCGTGGTTCGGTACGCTGTTGGTATGCTCAACCACGTAATGCTGCTGCGGATGGTAGTGGTTGTGCGGCGTTACCACATGCATCTGCTGGCGGCGGTGTTGGCACTGAGTCGGGTAGAATCCCTGGCGCGGCTCGAACTCTGGCGACTGTCTTTGTTGCGGGCTTTGGGCCGCAGATACCTTGCCGTACCAGCTGTTGCCTGCATCCATCCTTTGCTGCGGAGGCACGTGTCCCAGCATCACGGTGTTAGTCGGGACGCGTGAAGCGTAGCCGTATTGTGCCTGTTGTTGCTGCAGCAACATCTGGCGCAGGTCCTCCGTCACCATGCGGCTGCCGTTCACCACGGCGCTGCGCATCCGGCCGAACTTCTCGCGTTGCTCAACGGCACGCATACGACCTTCGTTGTGCAGCTGCATCCAAGCCTCCGGGAGCGTCAGGAACGCGCCCAACCCGGCGCTGAGAGCCTTCAAAGGGTTATCCACGGCGATATTGCGGGTCCTGTCAACGAGCACGCGGCCACCCCAAGGTGACAAAAAGAAGTCATCAACAGACGCCAAACCAGCCGGGTGTACGGTAGCCTCACACGCTTGGCTCAGCTTGGGCAAACGCGTAGAACGCAAATACTTGCAGCGGCGCTGAATTCCCGATATGATCTCACGCACAGTGATACCGCCCCTTTTGGACGCACGATCCTTCAGCAGCGTGGTGACTAGGCAGTACGTAAAAACGCCATGACACACAACCTGCTCACATCCCTGATAAATACTCGGCGCAAGTGGAATGCCGCTCAGCGATACCGGGCGGAACAACGCCTCGACAGCAACGTCCTGGAACGGCGCAGCGGCGAGGCACAGCGAATTGGAAGATACGTCGCCGGTATTGGACGAGATAAAACCGTCCAACAACGCTGCGGCGCAGTCCACCTGTAGCATGGGCAGGAACTTTGGCCGTACCAGCTGCTGTTGCATATGAACATCGCGCCACACATCAGCGTCGTAGGATGCGCGCTGCATCTTGCCAGTGGCATCGGTTAGAGGCCATATGCCACGCAACATGGCGCCCTTGATGTAGCGCCATGGGCCGCTGCGGCCGGCAGGGTCGAGTGCCGTCTGCATGCCCACGGTATCCAGGACAATGGTCATCTGGCAACGTTTGTCCACCGACTGAATAACCTGGCGAAGCTGTGCTGCCGGGATGACGCCCCGCGACGGGTCTCCGAAAGACATATAATCACATGGTACAATCGCCTCGTCATAGCCCTCACCTTCCCAGCCGCTCATATCGTCGGTCTGTACGGAGTGCCCCGAGAAGTAAAACACGCCACAGTCACCGGGGCGGGTGCCACTTACTAGCCACCTTAGCGCCTTCAGAATGTTAGCACGCGATGGTCGATTGGAGTCGTCTACAGCAGGACCAGGCGAATCGAGCATCAACATCTCCGGCACATCCAAGTCGCTGTCGGGCACCACGCGCTTGAACACATCGTCGATAAAGCCTCCCAACACCCCTCCAATAACGCCCGTTTTTCGGCGTTCCATGGAGTTGCGGCGCGATGAAAGCGCCGGATTTGGCCTTGACGACATCACAACCAGTTGCCGGGTGTAGATCTCAGCAGGCTCGGTGTCGATCAACAGCAGAACATCATCCGGGTCGTATCCCATGTGGGTGACCAATGTTGATGCAAACAACATGGCATCGTTGCACGGACCACGTAGACACGCTTCAGGGTCGCCGTAGTAGCTGCAGCCGACCACTACGGCCTTTCTGCGGGGACCTACCTTGCGCATATGATTGACACGTTGGGTGCGTTGCCTGGGCATGTGTTGCATAGAGGGGTTGCCCATATGCTGAGGCTGCATGTTTAACGTTGGAACTTGAACGTTTTCTTGACGTAACATGGGATTCCTGGGTTCTTCCACAGGTTTAGTGACATTATGCATAGGTACGTTGAACCTCCGCACAACTTTGCCTTCGACTTTGTCTTCATTGTAGGTATCGTAATTGGGCCGAACAGCTGCTTGTTTCTGCATACTCGCGGCCAGGGCAGACATGGAATCCTCTGAAGAACCCTGCCGCTGCATGGGAAGGCTAGTGTAGTCATGCTGCGAGGGACCTCGAGTGGATTCCACGTTGGGAGTTTCCCTATATGTACACATGGCCGAATTTTGGCACGATGTCACCGCAGAAAAGTCATTCGCTCCCTGGCAAACCTCGTAACACCCCTTCGAAGGCGATCTTGATTCCTCTGCCACGGATTGGGGTGTGACAGGTGACTTCAACACCACAACGGGGGAGTTAGACATGGCTTCAATACGCATCGAAGATTCCTGAGAATTAGCTTTGCTGAGTTCTCCATCGTTGTGTACTCCTGCATTCTTAACGTTAACATCGGGGAAGGACGAATAAGTGTCCACTGTTGTGTGCTGGGCACCGTCGACCTCCAACCTAGCCTCTGGAGTGCTAGGAACCAAATTTACGTTCTTCAGCTGCATTAATAACGATGAAACGCGACCCTTAAGTTCCGAATTCGGATCCACGTTCGCCCCGCTTTGGGGGGTCAACACAGATGATCCGACAGAGCGGTGGACCGGTGTAGTGGGTGACAAGTGCTCCGTCGACCTCACCTCGGTAGCTCGGTACTGCTGTTGAATGAAGGCTGCTGGCTTGTTTCCGTCTTCCGAGTATACTTGCAGCAGTGTCTGAGCAGCTGCCGCGGCAGGAGTGGAAACTGGCTGCAATAGACGGGGGGGTGTAGCGGAAGGGGTGCTAGCCGGTGTAGTTGCATGCTGCGAATATGAGCACGCGGGCGTAGTAGATCCGGGAGTCGGCGATGCAGCTTTAGACTGCTGAAGCTCCTCCAGCGCGCGGTCGAGCTGCTCTGCGATCGCGGACCCCTGCTGAACTTGCTGGACCACCACGCGACAGTTAGGGCCGGATACCGAATTTAGATACTCGCCCAATTTCGCAACATTTACAAATTTTGTCGTCTTTAGAACCTTAACAACATCCTGATGCGAGGATACCGCCGCGCTAACCGGATCCGGCTGCGGCGAATTTTTCACGGGGATGCTCTGCATACTGACACTGACGAGCCGGCGAAATCACAACGAAAGTTACGATGCCGCCAATCTGTGCGACGAACGCATTGAATTTAGCTCGTGTGTAAACCCGGAAAAGATGTGCGCGCGCCTGGAGATGTACCACGCACCTCCAGTATACCTGATGCACTTCCCTAGCAAAAGCGCCGATGCAATTGAGTGTGTAATCCTCCACCGTCAATCTGGTCACATTACATCCTTCAACGACAATGTGTCTGATATTCGCGACGGTAACGGGTACGCTGCGGGCCGCCTTGACGCCGACCCGAGGTCAGACAGATGCGATCGTGGCGCGAAGTCAACTTCCGTCCAGCGGCTCAGTGCACGTTCTTTATTGAGTTACACACATTTATACCGTACCAAATACTGTCGTATAACTAGTTGCAGTCGTGTCTGTAGGCTACACCTCCGAAGTCATCGCATACGGTCTATATAGACAATGTAACAGTACATTCGGTAATGGGTACCATTGTACCAGCAAAATGAGACTGTTATACGCCCATGTGCCTGTTTGTAGCGAGAAAGTGGTTATGTGTACAGCTACGGGTGGGAAAATCTGAATCGCCTTGTGTAGAGGGCGCATGGGTTTAGCATACTGCGTATAAGCCTTGCACATTGTCAAAAAATAGAAAAGGGTTCAATTCAACACACTCTGGTGTCATTTCTAAAGGCCTTCTAATGCTCGAGAGCAGTCGATTTTTCTCTTGACGTAATGCATCCGGATTCGCTGGATCACGTCGTCAATCTCTTTGATCGCGCTCTCCGTCTTCTGTACATTCATTAGCGATACATGTAGTGCATCGCCTTACCTCTATCAGACCGTTGGAGCTTGCGATTAGGGAGTTCCCGATGTCCAGACCCCGTCCCTTGTCTAGCTTACGGCCGTCCTTGCCCAAGCTGTTGTTGCGCAGAGCGTCAAAGTCGCCCAGCAACTTCTACAGCCGATGTTACAGTTCTGATAACGCAAAAACTCACTTTCAGCTGATCCATGAGGTCCTGGTGATTTAGTTCGATCTCCTTCACGAGAGACACTACTTCCTTGCGGTACGACTCCTGTGCTTCTCGCCGCTGAGTTTCTTGCGCCTACGGACGTTTAGCTCGCAGTCAAATGACACATACCGCGCACAGCTTGGCGATTTCAGCTTTTGCCTGGTCGGACTCGTCACGGTATATTCGCTTGAATATTGATAGAAGCTCCTTAGCCTTGACCTCCCGGTAGTGCTCCAGGCTCAACTTCGAATCGTTAGGAGCACGTAGAAGTTGCGTACCATAAGCGGCTCGTCCGTGGTGTGGCCATGCAGTTGCATCGACCTGTGGTTGGAGTCCAGTAGTGGGTCGCCGAAGGGCTTCTCGTAAGACGGAGTGCTGTTAGACACCTGCAATAAGATGTGAATGCTATATTACCGAATATGGTTGCACATCATGTAGCACCTTTCTTACCTCTGTAGAAAGCGATACCGACGCCTGATTATAGCTCAATGTCGAGGGGGATGATGGAACTGCACCATGTGAGTTGACTGCATCAGAGGCTTTCGGCAACCTACAATCCATACGCTTAGAGAGCTTGTCCATGAACTTATAGTCATCTATACTATCTGAATCTTGTAAATCGTGACGTGAGTCCACTTTGCGGCGCCCAGACACCTTATAAGTGAGTGAGCTTGGGAGAAGTTGCACATTATCCTGGACACTCAGTGCGTCCTCCTCCTCCTCGCTGTCAGACACAATCTGATACACAGCAGCCTCATCGTCCTGCACGAACGGTTGCGCAGCGAATAGTTCTTCCTCTTCTTCTTTAACGTTAATCACTTTACCGACGGACCTGTTGCAGTCATGCAGACGGGCAGTATGCAACCTACATAATAGCGGCCGATAGGCGAGGTGATATGGCATCGACAAAGTTCAATTTCATGACAAACAAATCATCAGAATCGATCAGTTGCGATACGCATTCTTGTAGTGGTAAACTCCTGATTTTATATGAGGCAGCGACATGCAGTGAGAGCCCTTACCACAGACCAGCAGTGTTAAAGCGCGAATGTACCATCCTGAAGGCAAACTCCAAACTATCGCCATCGATGTTTATAGTAATCATGTGACAAAATGGCACTTCTAGTTTCAAGCAGGTCTGCTCGACCAGAACCAGGATGTGAACCCTAAGCAGGGCAGGCGTCAGAATGACCTCGGTGAAATCGTGCTCAAAAATTGTTTCATGCGACATTTTTAGTTCCAAACGACCTAAATACACATGATAACGTCCACATATACAACAAAATAGACTTTGATGGTCACAAAAACATTACCCTTTAGTTTGTAGAGGCCGAAGTCCTCGTTTAAGCACCCGGTCTTTTCTAACCATGATATAGCCTCCCTCTACGAAACGTTATAAATAAATGGAAGATTAGTCATACCTCGAAATCTTTCGCACTAAGCAACTTAATGCCCCTGAATGCCACACAAGGCTTCGTGCTCATGGCCTTCGTGGCCTTGGCATTACCAGCCCTGCGGACACCGCGCCACAATAATTCCACCAGCGATATCTTCTCCTCAAAGTCGATGTTAGTGAGCAGCTTGTGGGTTGCTGCCTCCATGAGCGGGGCGCTGCAGCGTGGTTTTAGTAACACAATCCTTGGTACTTACTGTTTGCCGAAGAGGTCATTTTCGGCTTCCTTCCGGTCGCCGCGGGGCATCCGGTTGAGCAGAGTGAATAGCACTGCAGCATTTTATCCAGTATTGTCGTTTGTCAAACCCACCAGAGAATATCAGCCTTCTGAAGATGCATCTTGCGATACCTACTTCATAGTGCTCCCTGGTGGAGTATTGTAGCTCAATCGAGTCCTCCAAAATGAAGTTGAGCGCTTTCTCCAAAAAGTCTGTCACGACTGGAGTTTCAACGGATGCAGACGATTCCTCGATTCCGCCTGCGATGGCCTGTATCTTGTGCAAAGGCAGCTCCGGACACGGTATCCTCTCGTACTGGGCCATGCACGCCTCCAGCAAAGAAACGCCGGCCGCCACATTGGAAGATTGGTCTGTGCTCATATGAGCGTCTATATCGAACGCAGTGCGAATAAGGTGATCGTGTGCAAGTGACAGTCAGCAGGTAAGAGCGTCCATAGACCAACCTTTAGCTTGCAGCACGGCGTCCAGCTTCGAACCCAGAGAGCCACGCTGGGCACGATTCGGCGCGAGGCTGTGATCAACAGATGCCATGTGTACGTGTGTTAAAGAGTGAAGCTAGCTACAGAACTCGAGCTGCGTGTGAGGAAAACTATTTTCCTCATGCCGCGAAGAAACGGCCACAGGCCACAGCAGCGTGGAAGAGGCCATCAGAACAAAAAAAAGGCCGCAACACCAAAACAGACGACTATATGTCCCAGGCACATGTCTTGTGGTCGCAAAATGTAATGCCAACCATCCACAGAAGGGAAATGGATGGCAATAACGAATGACCTTCTACCATTGCTCTCAACGAACCGCAATGTGCGAATCGCACATTCGACATAATTGTGGTCACATCTTATCTACGCACATATAGTAAATAACCTTCTTTCTGATGAGAAAACGTAAAAACGGGGCGAGAATGGCATAAGAGCTTTGAACAGCCGTTAACACCTCGAAGGACTGATATATAACACACCTAACCGTAATATACCCGAATACACCATGACATTAATGTCACAATCTTGGTGTAATCGTCATTGACGTCTACAGCTGAAAAGGGGAGATGGGAGGCTGCCGTGATGGGGACGCGGCGCCAGGGCCACAACAGCACAAAGCGCGCAGGCCGTCGTGCTCCGGGCTGGTAAACTTATCACAAACAAAAGACATCCATTTATATCATTTTGTGTCAAAAAAGGTACGTTTGCGCTGGAATCCCAGTCTACGGTATTATGGTGTTGCGCGTGGTTAGGCCGTTTCCGGAGTAACCTACCGGGGTTTTGCGGGAATTTGCTGCCAGAATTTATTTGGAAGCAATAGTGTTCACTGTTGTTTCGTTCGTGCTTTATTTGGGTGCCCGTGAGTCCGTACGTTTCGCCCGTTGGCTGTGGCCTCCTTGCTCTTACCCACCAACTCACAATACACAGGTCAATATGGTGAACATTCCGAAATCGAGGAGGACGCTCTGCTCCGGCAAGTGCAAGAAGCACCAGCTCCACAAGGTCACCCAGTACAAGAAGGGCAAAGACAGTGTCCACGTGCAGGGTCGTAGGCGTTACGACATGAAACAAGCCGGTTTCGGTGGTCAAACCAAGCCCATCTTCAGGAAGAAGGCCAAGACCACCAAGAAGATCGTGCTTAAGCTGGTAAGTCGGCAACACCAAGTACACTCACACCCCGCAGGAGTGCACCGTCTGCAAGAAGAAGCACTTCGCCAAGCTGAAGCGTTGCAAGACCTTCGAGCTGGGTGGCGACAAAAAGAGCAAGGGCTCTTCCGCCAGCTACTGACCTCTTTAACGTTCACCGTTATTGCTACCATGTGCAATGCGTTTTACATGTTTGCGTATCGCCAGTGGGCGCATTAAGAAATGTGGCATGTTCTGTAAGTTGTGCGATGAGAGTAGCACGTCAGTTCTTCGCCGTTCCCGGTTCTACTGACGTTTTCCTGCGATTGTGACGTAGGCAGTAAGGACTGCGATCCCCTGCCACTGAGAGCCCTCAGCCCGGTTGTCGTGATAGTACGCTCCTATGCAGACCTCAGGGATTCTGGTACAGGTGGCTGTACGGGCTTGTGATCAAGTTCGTGCGATACAGCATCCGCTGGGTCATGTGGCGCAACACGTGCTCGTTGGAGTTGTACAGCTTGTGGAGGCCGGGGACCACCTTAGGGTTGGCGACGAGGGCCACGTAGTAGTACTTCCCGTACCAGAACAGGCCTAGACGGGGCTTCTGTACCCTGTACTCTCATGCGGGCGCAGCGGAGTCACCAACCTGTGCGATGTGTAGCGCAGACCAAGACTCTGCGTCCGCAACACCAAACCGTGGTGGCTGGCGGCAAGCTTGCCGATATGTGCGACCAGAGCCGCAATCTCCTCGTTCGTGATGTGCTTAGAAAAGAGCAGGTATGACTCGTAGAACACCATGATTCAGGGCAACACTGAGTGACGCCCTCGGCAACCAGACTCAGACCGCGGCGCCGCTCACCCTCATAGACCCACAGATATGCAACACATCACCAACTGTGTGCAGGAGTGAGCACGTACGCACTTGAAACTTGCATATGGCAAATGCCGCGATGGCTGGTTGACGCCGTTAAGGGGTCCGACTTCCGCACCCCGAATTCACGGTAACGTCGGAGATATTGTCCAGCACCGTTCAGTACGGTGAAATTTTATCAACTTTAATGTAGTATTACGCTTATTGTCGCGTGTAACAAGGCTGTAGATTTTAAGGTGGCGCTGAAACGGCCACACCGGAGGCATGCCTCGCGACCGCTGGTGACTACACCTGGTAAGCAACTGGAAGGACTGGCAGAAGCCTATATTAACACCCAACACCGCTTGTGTCGCTAACGATGGGATGCTGCGATGTCGTACTGGAGCCAAGGAAAGCTGCTTGTATCGGTTGTCCACGTCCTTCTGTTTCTGATTAGCCTGCTGGGCGTAGAGATATTCCTGCGGGTGCGCCGCAAATGGTCGCTACTTGGACAGGCCCGGATCAGATGTCCCAACGATCAGGATGACCTCATCATCGAAGACATATCATCGCAAATTGAAGAGCATGACCTGCTCTCTCGGAGGAAGATCGGCGCATTCGCATTCGGCCTCAGCTTCCTCGCCTGCTTCGGCTTCGTGCTGATCATCTGCACTAAAGTGTTGCTCTCAGACAGCTCGGACCGCCGCTTCTTCGACGTGCTCTGGGCGGCGGACGTCATAATATGCAAGATCATCATATTCTACGTCGCGCCAGCAGGACTATGCCACAAGTATATCAACATCACGTCGGAGCTGCGCCCCGTGCACCGGCTGTCGCGAGTCGTGGTGTTCCTACTGGTATGGAATTGTATTTCGTGGGTGTTAACCCGGGCCATGCTGAGCGAGCTGTTGTTCCTGAAGACCCAGACTGACACGTCCAGTGTCATATTCGACGCGCTGAGCATGAGCAGCTTCGGCCTCGCATTTATCGCCATTCTCACTGGGTTTACGAGTGTATACGTGCCGTATCGCGTATACGTCACGCGCAAGGATGTTCTGAGCACCACTCAGGTTGACAACCGCATTGCCGATGCCACGATGGCGATACAGCATCTCAGGGACGAAATACTGAAGCAAAATGATCCATTGACGAGCCTTGTAGCGGAATGCAGCGAGCAGGAAAGTGCGGATGAGGAGTTTGAGGCAGAGCCGACAGGATTCTTCCGCACGAGCCACTACATGGACCGCATGGAGCGGAGCAGTTCGGCGGGGGACAGCATAGAGCACGAAATGGAGGAAGTAACAGATGACCAGTCCTGCGCCACGTACATGCCTGAGGAAACTGCAACAGTCGGGGCAGTCGCAAGCGTTTACAGGAACGTTTTCCGACAGGTGAACGGGTACGTGACGAACGTGGTACGAAGCCCATGGACGTGGAACCGGGATCCCAATTTGGTGGTACGGGGGACAACCAAGCAAAAATCTGTTAGCGGTATGATGCGGTTACAGGCGTACATTCGGCAGGAGCGTGCGTACCTGCTGGATATACGGCAACAACGCCAGCTGTGGAAAACGAAGTTCGGCCAGTTTCGCATAATGATGCGTTACTGCGAGGTGCTGTGGGCAATTCGCACCATTCTCGTCGTGTTGTACCGCATCATCAAGGTCAACCAGGTGCCGTACATAGAGAGGGCCGACCGCGAGGGGAGGACCAAGGTGCTGGCGGAGGTGTACTACCTGTACATCCAGGATAACTTCGTCAGGCGGTTCATCAGCGACGTGCTTATGCGCAGCGAGCCGCCGTCGTACCTGGATCTCACCGTCTCGCGGATCAGCGCCCTGCTGCTCATGATCATCACGCTGGCCAACCTCGACCACTTCTTCGACTTCTGCCGCATACTGCTCAACACGCAGTACTTCCAGAAGCGGAAGCTGCTCACGGACAACTCGCTCGCCCTCGCGCTCAGCGCGTTCCTCGTCTGCAGCGTTCCCTCGCAGTTCTGCCTCATGATACCCTTCCTGCCAGACGGTCAGCGGAAGAGCGCGCTGCAGTTCATGTTCGAGGGGGACATACTGGTCTGGCTGGGGCTGCAGCACCGCTTCGACCTGTTCGTGTTCGTCACGATCATATTCATGCTCATAGGCGTCGCCGTCATGCATCATCGGAGACCAAAGTATTACGCATTACGCGATCGAATTGTCTGTAATGTCTGAGTGCTGCAGCACCTCCTCGGCCAGGTCGAGGAGACCGCAGGCCTTCATCTTGGGCATGTTGCGCTCCGTGCACGCGCGGATGTCGCGCTTGACCTTGGCGACGTACTCGCGTGCTGCGGAGTCGCCCACCTCGTGCCCCTGCTGCACGTGGTTGAATACCGTGAACACGCGCTGCAGCGCGTCACGGTCCTCTAGGCTGTCAGCGGCGACGATCAGACGGTCGAACTTGCTGCAGAGCGGCAAGTAGCCGGCCACGCGGACGTCGTTTGTAAGGTGCGCAAGCGCCCTGTAACCAAATGAAGCAATATACTATGTAACATACCCGGCGCTCGCCTTGACGCAGCGCAGGTCGGAAGTGTCGGCCGCAAACATCAACATAACGTTAACGTCATGCACTTGTAGAATGGGAACCTTCTTGAGTGGGTCGCTTTCCGCAGCGTCCCCGGACTTAGTTTCGCCTTTTGGTTCGTCTGCGGCTTCCTCAGGCCTGTCGTCTTCGACCTTGTCGCCATCCTGTTCTTCAGCTTCATCGTTGTCTTCATCTTCTAGATCTTTGATGCCGTCTTCGTTGTCTTCAGCCTGGTCGTCCTTTTCACGATCCTGGTCGCCTTCATCGTGGCTGTCACTCTCGTCGGAGCTGGAGTCAGACTTTTTGATGTTGTTTTCCCTAGATATGCGGCGCTCCTCATCGTCCAGCATGTCGGACAGCTTCCTGTAGATGTGGCTGTTCACAGAGCCGGAGCCGTTGGCGAAGTTGCACCAGCCCTCTAGGCCGGCGGCCTTGAGAAGCGCATTGTCCGAAGACAACAACGCACCCAGAGCGTCCCAGCCACCGACAGTCCATACACGCTGACGGACAGAGTCATCCACGGCGAGCAGGTTAGTTAAACCGAGAGCTGCCTCGTACTGGAGCAGTTCGTTGTCGTCGCGGAGCAGCTTGACCAGCGGGCCAGCAGCATCCAGTGCGTCACGATAGGAGAGGGTCCTCGGGTCGGAGGCCATGCAGAGGTGGGCGACCGACTGCGTGAAGTAGCGTGAGCGCTTAGTCTTCATGTGCGCATCGTTGATAGAAGCGTTCAGGAACACACGCAGTGCACCAACGGTTTGCATCTTGCCACGAGTGGCACGCGGCGCTGTCACGTTGTGGAGCGTCTCCATCATTACCAGGTGCGAGGCGGAATCGTATCGGGACGCAGGGGCGTTCTTGCCGGACTCGGATTCGTCGGTGTTGGCATTGTCAGGAGATGCCTTGCGTGCGAGGTTAATCAGCAGCCTGGGCACGTCTTCGTGCAGGCACAGAAGTGCCTTGCGGCTGCGCTCGGCAAGCTCGTCGCTACCCTCATCGTACTCGCCGTTGGACTTGGGGCGACTGGCGGCGGGCAGCTTCTCGTACGCCTCACGCAGGGCCGAGATTTGCGCCTCGTCAAACATCTGGCCGGTGCTGGGGTCGCGGTTGAAGTTGTCGCGGTGGCTGCGAGACCTGGTCAGGTTGGCCAGGGTCTGGCAGACCATGTAGAAGGTCCTGTCCTTGCACTCGGTACTCGACTCGGCCCAGCGCAGGACGGGGAGGATCATGTCGATGATCACGTCCTCCTTAGCTTCGCCGTGCAGGGTCAAGTACGAGAGGGAGTCGATTAGCAGATCGACGCGGTAGCCGTCGATCAGGTTCGCGACAAGGGCCAGCGGCACCATGCCCATGATTTCGAAGGCTTCGCAGATCTGGCGCATGACTTCGGTGGAATGCACAGCCAGCTTAGAAAGAATCAAAAGCTTGAACTCGTGCATCGAGCGCTCCGAGTCTGATCGCAGTGGGGTCTTGAACTCGTATTTGCCCTTGCGGCAGTACTCCTCGACCTCGGCGTCGCGCTCGATGAGCTTGCTCAGGAACTTGGCAAGGTTCACGTCGTGGCGCAAAAACTCCAAGAGCGTCTTCTCGTTCACCTTGGTGTCGACAATCTGCTGGCGCAGCTCCATGTAGTCCATGCAGAAGACGATCACCTCGCTCATGTACAGGCGCAGCTGCGACATGCTGGGCTCGTCCCAGCCGACGATCATGAAGTTGCCAATCAACGGGGTCACGAGGCCGCCAGTGAGCATGTACTCCTTAAAAAAGGCCTTGTTGGACACGTGCAGGCAGCGCATGGCCATGTACCACTGCGACTGCAGCAGGCAGTTGGAGAGGACTGGATCCGGAGCGAAGGCGATGTAGCCTCCCAAGAGCCTAGTAATAACTCCGTTCAGGGTCTCCTCGGATATCGCGAAACGAGTGGGGGCCATCACAAAGATGGAAACAAGGACACGCTCGATGGTGTCGCGCTTTTCGTTGGGGCAGCCAAGTTCACACTGGCCTAACATAGTCTCCAGAATCCGAGTTAGGACGGTGGTGAAGTGGCCGTCGACAGGGCGTTTCTCGTCGTGACGCGGGCGGGAGAAGTACTGGTACACGCACGAGTAAATGCGTTGCTCCAACTCAGCGTCGCTGCCCTCGACAATGGTGCACAGGGCTTCCAGAGAGGCGGTGGTGCCCATGTGGTAGCAAACGCGGCCAAACTGGAACGCCACGGTGTACAACAATTTCGCAGCCGAACGGTTGTTTTCGATGGCTTTCATCAGGTCTTTTGCGTAGCGCAGGAGGTCTAGGGAATGCTCGGACAAACCTGCCGAGAGCTGCGACAGCAACTCGGCCTCGACACCAGACTCAAGGTCCTGCAGCAGAACGTGGATAGTTCCCCAAGTGTCAGCATGTGTCGTGGCGTGTTTTACCACATCGGTTTTGCCTTTAATGACCTTAATGAGTCGTGGGATCACGCGGTTGCGAGCAGTCTCGCTCCTACTCTGCATGCTCAGCTTCTCAAGGTTGTCACGCACAGACTGGTCAGCCTCGATCGCAGCGAAAATCTCGTCGTTGCCGCTGAAACCCTGCCTCTGGTCGTACTCACGCTCGACAGTTGAGCCAATGCGTTGCATCAGCTCGGCGTGAGGCAGCGACTTGGTGTTGTTCATGCCCTTGGTGAGCGCAATGTTCTGGCAACGTGCCACCAGCTCCAGGGCCTTCTTCATCTCCCTGCGGGCCACACAACACTGCGCCAGGTTGTACACCGCCTTGTAGTTGTAGGCGTCAATCGCCAGGCAGGCATCCCAGAGCTTGGAGGCCTCATCTATGGACTGCTCCTGGTAGTAGCACAGAGCTGCATTGGAAAGCAGGGTAGCCAGCAACTTCGAAATGCCCTCGTCCTTCACAGTTATATCCTTCACAGCAGCCGTCAAAGCAGCAATATTGGCGGACAATGAGTCCTTCTCCAGCATTTCAGCCACAAGTCGTGTGTAGGCCCGTGCAGCATCCTTGAAACGGCGCTCACGGTACAACACATTGGCCTCTTCCTTGGCCTTTTCGAGGCGCGGAAGGGCCTCAATCAGCTTTTCCTCATCCATGGTTAAATGTGCGACGGTGAAGTTACGAATGCAGCAAACGCGACGGCGGCGCATACACGCGCGGTCGGCCAAACATGCCAAAAGCAGCAACACGCAAATAAGGAGTGAATAAATTAGAAAGGGAACTTCATTTAGACCGCTTGATGCACGCCTGCAGAATTGCTAGCAGGTTCGGCTTAAGGGTCTTGAGCTCATACATCAACAGCTTGCGGACGCGAACCGCCAGCTGCACAACGTGGCAGAGCACGCCCAGCGTCATACCCTCAAAGAACTCCAGCTCCAACTTCTGGAACACCTTAGCCGTACCGTAGATGCTACCGGGGAAAACGGGCATCACGTGGTCAGGGTTGTTCACCAACTCGACCAAAAAGTCAAGGAACTTGTCCCACATCTCCTCGGGGTAGACGTCCGTTAAGTCGTTGCGGTCGATCCACTTCGTGAAGTAGCTCGGCGGCTTCACGAAATAGATGTACGTTTGGTTCAGGGCGTCGTTAGTCTCGACGCGGAACACGTCGGGACGACGCTGACAAATGTTCATGATGTGCTCCACTGGAATGTTCTTCGTGTCAAACTCCACGAAGCGACTGCGTACGTTGAAAAAAGTGGGGGGCATCTGGTCGCGGTAAAGCGACTCGACAATCTGCTTTAAAAACTCCATTGCTTCTTGAAAATCGACACCGGTTAACGGTGGAATCGCCCTCTTTTCGAGCGTCTTGAACTTGCTGCGTTTCCTCTTCCAGAGACTCTTGCTCTTGTCCACTACATTGGTTGGCTCAGCCTTGCGACGGCTCTCACGCGGCCCGCCGACTGCGGGACGCTCAGAGATGCTGAGGCCGTCGAACCCACGGAGCGCCTCCATGGCCTCCCAAGAAGGAGACACAGGCTTATCGCCGACACGCGACGCATCCGCGGGAGCAGGAACGTCGACTGCAGAATCCTCGGCGTTGAACAGGGTGATGTACGAGTCGAACAGACGCTCGTACAGCTGCGCCTTCTCGGTGCCGAAGCAGCTGCTTGGTGACGACAAGCTCCACCTGAAGCCCTCGTCACCCTGACACACAGGGTCACACAGCGGAAACGAATCCGCCGGATATAACTCGGCGAAGGGCTCGTTTGACGGCACGGAATCCAGTATCGGCTTTTGTGCGTAGCCTCCAGCGAAATTGCTGTCAGAATACTGGTCGGAATTATTAGTGCCTTCCCTCGCGGAACCTGAGAACGTTTCCAACACCGCGCTCAACAGACTCTGCTCATCCTCATCCACGATCGTGGAGATACTTGACATGAGCTGCGAATATTTCCCGTCGCCGCCATACAGCGCCTTGCGCGACGTCACCTGTCTGTTAAGCATCTGAGACTCGTACCCAGGTTTCCGATACGCCGACATATCCGTCTTCATTGCTGGAACTACTCCGAAGGTTATACTACATTCAAAGCGGCAAACGCCGTAACATCCACGTTGCAAGCAGCGGTGCTGAGCCGGCACACAGCCGGCAGACAAATGCCCCTGCACCTACACCTTGCGGCGCAGAACACAGAAAGCGGCAGCTAACGCACAGCGGGGCTGTCTCCGGACAGGCGCACGCTTACAAAAAACGGCGGTACGTGATTCCCCGTTACGCACCCCAAGGTACGTTGCAAAAGACCCTAGTCGGCACGGCAAGCCTAGGGCAACAAACGAAAACGTTGCGTGAAAAAAACACCCGACCTGCTGCCGCCGACGTTACACACTGTCGGAAACCCACTACCTAGCTACGAACCAGCACCTGCACAACACCGCGCGCGAATGCACCGAACGACGACTAAGCGAATAACTTAGGAGCAACTGAAAATAGTGATTAGTGTCCACTCGGGCGCACGACGTACACCTCCGAATTTTTCGCGGTGCTGTCCGTGCCGCCAGTGTCCGCATCTGCAATCACGGGTACATCGGATACGGCCGGCAACTCCGGCAGCGTCTGCCGCTAAACCCGACCGTTTCACAGCTGCAGGCAGATCATGAGAGGCAAATTTTTTGCCTCGGATGATGCTGGCGAGGCGGATAATTTTGGACGCGAAATTTGCCACGTGCCCCGCGGAGCGGTGGTATAGCCGGGACACAGATACGATATCCTGTCACAACCAAGCGCATCTGACCGCGGAGTTTTCCACTTTTAGATCTCTACGTGGCGCAGCGGTAGATACGACGACACAGAGAGGTCATGTGTGTCCATCTACACACTGTGTAGCACTGCTGTACTTTGTGTGTCTCATTACAGCACGCAACTGAATACAAATTGACTGCATTGTTGGCAAGCTGGCTATTCAAAATTAGCGGTGTGTGACCATTGGAGTTCTCCATGAGGTGATATCGCGTTACATCTTAAACACGATAACGCCCCAGCACTACTCAGTCAATGTTACGCCCAGAGAGTGATGCCAGGTACTCTACGGTGTGTGCGTTAGAGCTCAACACCCCAGAGACTGTAGCCTTGGTCTGCCGCAGCTGGCGGAGCAGCAACAGCAGCATCGTCCGTATGTCGATCTGGCCTACAGGGGCGATTGTCTTCGCGCCTCCCGAACCGTCCAGACCTCCGAGCGTGTGCATGTGGATGCTGAATATCTCCTCTAGCCACAGCAGATGCCACTGTAAATGCACCGTCCCACAGGGGGAGTCGGGGCTCAGCACTGCGCGGATGAAGTTCAGCAGCACGCAGACGAACTCCGGGGCAATAGAAGCCACCACCTGGCCGATGGAGCCCATCGGCACGCTCTCGTAGCAGCGCAGCAGCGTGTTGAAGTCGTTCAGCGCCAGCGCTAGAACGAATGCACGGCTGTATTCACCGGCCTCTAGCGCAGATAGCACGTTTCCAGTGGTCACGTTCTTCGTTAGCAGTTGGGGCTGGAATGATCCCACCGACTTCAGCACCTCGCTAACATAGTTCGGGGTCTTGATGTAGGCGTCGAGTGAGTACACGTACAGCCCGTGCGACGTGGCCGCGGCGAACTGCCTGCCGTCGGGCGCACATGACACGCACCACACGTGGAAGCGGCGCGACTTGCTGCTCAGCTCGCCCTGCTGTACACCCGGAAGTGAGTGGTGGGCCTGGATACGGCGACGCTCGGCGGCGCCCTCCGCAACCTCCTCGTCGTCAGAAAGGTCCCATTCCTGTAACGAACTGCCGTACTCCGTCATGTAACGCGAATTCAGCTCCCGATTTATCCCGGTGAATGAACGGTTCCTGGTCAGCGTCAGAGAGTACAGCAGAGAGTACGATTCCGTGTTGTACACGCACACGTGCGCAGAGTTGCGCGAACCGGCAATCAGCATGCGGCCGCTCGATGCATACGTAATCGAGTTGAAGTGCTGATTACGGTTCAGACCAGCCTGTAAGTCGCCCTTCTGGCCACGGACACCACGGCTGTTGTTTGCAGCGAAGAACTCGGTAGGGTCCCTCCCTGTCTGCAGGTCACGGAGACCGTCGATGCTGCCGATTTGCTGAGGTAAATCTATAAAATGCGACGTGAAAACGCACCTCGCTGTTGTCCAGATCCCAGAACAGAATGTTACCGGATAAAACGGCGGCAGCCAGGACGTTATTGTCACGCGGGTCAAAGGCGATGGCCACCACGCTGGACGAGTTGAGGAGGGGCTCAGTTGCTCCTCCCTTGTCCGCTCGTCCGTAGATGTTCCAGACCTGCACACGCTAAAACAGGTGCTTAGATGCACTCACGTTGATAAATTTGTCCCATGACGCAGACACCAAGAAACCGGAAAAGGCCAGACTGGGGTGGAATGCCACGCTGGTCACCGCAGAGGCATGGCCGTGCAGCTCGTCCAGCAACTTGCCGCTTTGCAGGCTCCAGATGAACACGGAGTTCGCTTCACCTCGTGATCCTGCGCAGACGATACTGCCAGAGGAGTCGCAGGCAACGGAGATGAACTGCACCCTCGACGCCGTGAGGGTGCGGAAGTTCTTGTAACGCAGCAGATCGAACGCACGAACGGTACCGTCCAGTGACGCCGTAATTACGGCGTTGGCCTGGTCAGTTATGAATGGGGTGAATATTTTGGGGGCGTACCTGTGGTGTGAAGCAGACGGCCTCGACAGATGCCGTGTGCTCATCGAATGTCACGAAACAGAGACCGCTGTTGCTGTCCCACAGCTTTACCTTCCCGTCAAAACCGCCGGTTGCGACGACGTAGCGGCTTCCTAGGCCGAGGTTGTTGCCCGAAAAGTTCTGGTCGACATCGGTTCGTAGCTCTTTGTCCACGATGCCACCCAGCTTTATGGCGTCACCACCACCCGTGGAGAAGGCCACGCACCGCACGCCGCTGTGGTGGCCTTGTTGCTTCATCACGAACGTCTCGCTTTTCCACTCCCACACGACGATCTGCACGATGAAAGATCCTGGAAAAGGGGACTTACAGTACCGGTCTCGGAACACGCCAAACCCAGCCAATCACCGTCAGTGGACACGTCAACCGAATCCACCACGGGTAGCTCGTTGCCTATTCTCAGAGTGTATATGGAATCCAGCGATGGGAACTTGTAAAGGCCGAAAAGGCCTCCGGTGAAGCCGATCACCACGAGGTTGGTGTTCTTGTTGAAAGACACGCGGGAGACCTGGAGTGCATTCAGTCGGTGGAATCCACAAATCATCACATACCACCGTATTCTTGGCTTGATTGCAATACGCTTGGGTCTCCTTGACCCACACTGCAGTAGCTATGTCGACATCTGGACCTGCGCACAGTTAGCTCCAACAGACACGAATGCATACCGCTGATGGCGGGGTCCGTGTCGCTCTCCACTGCGATCTTCTGAGCCCTAGCCTTGTTGCGACCTATGTGCTTAGCTGCGTTGACGTTCGCAGCGCTGCCGTCGTCCGCGACCTTCCAGACTATGATCACGCCCTCCTTGGACACGGCGAATATCCTGCCCATGTCACGGGAGAAGAAGGCGCCCTTCACCGACCGCCGGTGGTCGACGAAAGCGCACGGAACAAAGCCCTCGATAGGGTTCACAGACCACAGACGGACAGTCATGTCTGCGGACGCGGTGCAGATGAAACGCGAATCACTGGACCAGTCCAGGCTGGATATGCTTTCCATGTGACCAGTCAACTCGCGGTGCAGCGTCATCCTCCATGACAGATGCTCCTCTGGAGCCCTCCATATGCACAGTTTCCTGCCAACGGCAACCGCGAAGAACTTTGCATCAGGGCTGAAGGCCGCATCACGCACCAGACGTTGCGATTCGTTGGCCGGCAATATTGACGACTTGTTTTTAGCCGTAGCTACGGTGCTGGACGACTTGAACTGCAGCCGGTGAAGTATGCGATCTCTTAATAAATTTAAAATGTACCCATAACCTGCGGCATGTGAATTGTCAGGAAAAAGCAAAATACCATGGGAGTCGATGAGGATTGCCAGAGGCAAGGTCGGGTGGTACGACACAATGGCGATGTCGGACCTTGTTTGCGATGATAAAGTCGTGCTTTTACTCGTTTGCAGATCGTACACGGTGATCCGGTTGCCCACCGGGGCCAAAATGCAGCCGCCTGCACAAATATTAGAAAGCGATGTGGCATAAGTAACAATGAACACGATCGCCTTTCAGACAACATTATCTTCAATGTGAATCATACATATGTTAACATTCGGTGGGAAACATAAAAAACAGTTGTGGAGGCGCAAGATCAGGCATTATAACAAAGCGATACGGAATGGAAATTAATCATGCCGTGACATCACATGAAGTGTCTTAAGCTTATAGAGATGCAGACTTGTGTAAATCGGTCATTATCAGAGAAACTGCCACTGAAACAGAGCATACAACAAGGTCAAATATTATTCCGGTCTTACAGCTGCTACTGGGACTCGGCCATCATTGACATTGATCACAAGTTAACAATGAGCCAAAAAGACTCAGAAGTATAAACGTACCATCAGGGCTGAAGCATATACGGCCTCCGGAGTAGGGCGCGCCGCAGATGTCGGCGAGAGTGTAGGCACTCATTGTTGCGATCGTTGCGTTAACGGCGAAGGATTCGGATAACGATCCCGCAGAAGACACGCTTTGATGTGACGGAACACCATATCACGTTAACAAATAGGAATGACACATCACATCAAACATATAAGGCAAGGCCATACGGCGCAAATACGTGGAATCCAAATAAATAACGCGAAACAATGGTTGCTAAGCTACGTAGACAAGGTGCCGCACACTGAGTGGCCAATTTTCGTCCAAGTGGCACAGGCAATAACTGAAAAAAATAAAACAACGGAATCAGCTTGGTTTGGCAGCTCCGGTGCCGCTTTCAGTGCACGTAATTACGCTAGTTGGGCTCGCGAAATGCGCCTTTTGAACCAAAAATAGGCACTTCTCGCGTCGCCACTTTAGCACAGTGGTAGTGCATCGGTCTTGTAAACCGAAGGTCACGGGTTCGATCCCCGTAGGTGGCTTATGTTTGAAGTAATGCTTCATGTCTATATGTGTGTATTTTGTATTTTACGGGTGGTATTACGCTTGCAAGCGAATGTGTACGAGCTTTCGGAAGGTGTTGCCAGGTGTGTGTGCCCTTGCAACGCTCCGGTGATGGTGCTGCCTGTGATGTCGTTTTCCGAAAATCGACAGGGACACAACACACCTTACACACATCGCAAAACACGGCCATATCTATGGCTGTAACCTTCTTCAGATGGGTGCTGTGCGCCCAGACAGCGCTGCTCATGGCAGCGGCGCTTACACATCATCGACCGCCGATGTCGGCCTCGGAGCAGCAGGCTGCCATGGTTCCGTCGTACGACGTCTTCGTGTTCCCGATACCATCGCAAGCTGAGCCAGGAACTCAGCCTCGGCTTCCTACAAACGAGGAGAACGCCTTAACAGTCGTAGAAGATAGTCAGCACGAGGACGTAGACAACATCGGAGAGGTGGAGCAGCTGATCAGAGGTACTTTGCTACTGATGTCCTGTTTAGCCACGTTGCAGAACCTCTGCCAGAATCTGAAATCGCAGCTGAACGTGAGAGGCTGCAGGAGACTGGTGAACTGCCGCCAGGGGAGCTTTCTGTAGAGGTAGTTAACAAAGATTATATGCTCATGCCAAATACAGCCGCCGTCCGAAGACTCGAATGGAACCTACTACAACGACGGTGTCAAGGAGACTAGCGAGATCCTTGGCGACGCCACCAGCAACGTCGAAAACGACGGTCAAGGGCCGAATGGTAAGTAGCGATACTGATCGACTCTCATTAAACGCTGCGCGCAGAATCGGACGATGAAAAACTGAAGCAAGAGCTGGAAGATCGCTTGGCTGAGCTTGGTGCGTTGTCTAACGAAGGCTAGGAATCCTCTGCGCAAGGCTCTCCCTGAACTATCGCGGCTAATGTTTGCCCTTCTAACGGCATGAAATTGTTAATGGTGACATTCTGTGTATTTTTAAATTGATGTGCAACCTTACATTGCCCTTTACGTCGTCAGTGCTTGCCAAATGAGGCGACGCCCGCGTTGACTGGTTGGAGCGGTAATGTGAGCTGTAGCCGTCGTAATGGCATCGACAATGTCGCCATGTTTGGCAACATATTGCTGCTGAAACTGGGCAGTGTCTGGGGGCGGTAGCGTCTAAAAGGGGAGCGGGATTCCACGCGTTGAACAACCAGGACTTTTCAACCACTTCTATCTGCCAAAACGGCGGAGCGGAGACTCGATGGCTGAAGATGACGCTGTTGTCACCAATGTATGTTCAAACTCCGTCTATGTGTGGCATAATTGCGATGTGTCCGATTCATGTAACGACCTCTCATGCACATGGCAGAGCTGCGCCTACTCGCTGCGCAAGAGGAAGCGACCAGTGAAAGTAGAGCAGGTGGAGTACTACGAAGATGGTGTCAGCGAGCCGGAGTTATTCCGAGTGGAAGACGAGGCTAGGGCCTGGGACATGTTCTACAAGGATGGGCGGCAGTCCGATGAACCGTTCTCGGGAGTCAACGCAAAGGACGCCGTATCGATGATACACACAGCCATCAGACGTATACGCTCTCAGCCCTTAGTCGATAACCGCGACGTCATAATGGAGGTCGGGCACGGCAAACACCCCCTGATCTGGGACCTGCAACGCACATTCAAGAACTTTGGATCCTACACCGGGATAGAGTTCAGCGGAGACAGCATTCTAGAGGCGATCAAGCTGCGACAACGTAACTTTGGGAGCCCGGATGCGTCGGATTTCGCTGACAACATCGAATTCCTCCGCGCAACCAGTGTCAACTACTTCAACCCCGACGGCTCATGTAACGCGGAGGTCATAATTCCGTCGGACAGGAATACGCCAACATTAACAGCAGGAACGGTTACTCTGGTGCTGGCGAAGAGCACGCTGGACTACCTAACGTGCAGGTAAACTAGTGATCAGGCGGAAACATCGTAATGTTAGGCTCACTGGAAGCGTGGCGACGCTGGACTGGGATGAAAACCCGAGGATATCCCCTTCCGTCGTCGAAATGTTCGACAGCTTCTCTACCGCATTGGGTAGCGTTACCGAGGACCGGCGTAAGGCCGTTATTTTTGTTGAACCAGGGTAGGTTCCGCCACTACAACAAAGCACACACGCATGCAGGGATTTTGTCAAGTTCCGCGATCACATTGGGACCATCGCACGCGTCATATACGACGCAACATTCCGCAGAAACTCGCCTGCCAAGTGGCTGCGGCTCACGCATGTACGCAGGAACAAGGCGCACAAGGCGGTCATATACACCTTAGAGAAGACGGAACACGCCTATGACAGTTACCGGGAGATACGTGCCGATATACTACATACAACTGCGAGGCTTTACGAAGTCAGTGAAGTTCAAGACGACGACTGGCTGCTGCCTATCACGGTTCCTCCAAAGTGGAACACCCACAGCCATGGTGACGTCGAGCAGCTCTCGGCTATATAAGCACCGTCAAACCCGAATACGTGATTATTGATAGCCGTTACTAGCTGCGCATTTGCTTGTATAAGGAAATGATTAATGTGCAAGATGAGAGCGCAAGCTCTAAACAAGTGTTGCGGCCTGTCCCCATCTGCGGTGGAAGGTCGGATTCCACGACCTAAAAAGTGTCACTATGTGAATGTTTTGTGCTAAAGTAGCATGAGTATGTGAACCGTACCACTAAGGCGGCTTACCGCTGTGGAATCCAGCTACACATCTCAGCGAGGCGAATGTAACACACTAGCGCCGTGATGCGATGCTGGGCAGCGTTCTGCCTTGCTGCTGTAACTTACAGCGCGCGATGGTGTTGCCATTCGGCTGCAGCCGGCCGCGGCTCGAACTCCGCCTTCCTGTGCGGAGCCGCGGCACAGACCCGGAGGCAAATTCTATTGCGCAATTCATCGCAAGACTATGACATCATGGCGGATCCTCTGGATTCCAGGCCTCAGATTGAGTACGAGACAGTCAAATACCCGCCGTAAGTTGCCGGATGCCGATGTGTCCGATTGCTTAATGACTTCGACCTAACACGGTGCAGGTACCCATACTACGATGCGCCCAGAAACCTCTTCTTTGACGCATCCGGGATAAAGGATGCCAGTGCAGAGGGCGATGCCGATGACATATCTGTGGCGTCGGAGACGCAGAAGTCCTACATGAAAAATGCAGAAATTAGGAGGTAGGCGTCAATGCAACCGTATCTAATAGTGCAGGGACGGGATGGAAGCGGAACCGTTGGACAATACTCCTATCGCAAGTAATAACGATGGCAGTTGTTTATACATGCTAGCGCAGAATTTGACCGCATGGTTGGCAAAGACTACCGTGACTACATTTACGTCGCTGGGACACAGCACCCGGGGGAGCAAATGAAGACAGATATCGCAGAATACGATGCCGTCAGACCGGGAATTGCACCTTGGCCTAGCTATGAGCAGCTCAAAGAAGACGGATTGGCAGTAAACACGTCGTTATTCAATGGCTTCGACACAAGCAACAGGCTGGAAAGGCATCTTGTCGGCAAGCCCATGTTGAGGAATGACATCACCACACTGGGAGAGGCTCGCACGGAGCAAAGACGGTGGTTACAGCGGAGTTACGCAGATGGTATTGTCCCTATTAGTCTAACGTTTGCATGACGTGTCAGAGTGGCCACTTACCTACGAGGAGTTCGCGGCGATGCCTCTGGACATGCGCGAGGCATACTACGCCAACAGATACCAGCTCTGTGATGGTGACGAAAAGTTCGCAATGGTACTCAATTACCGAAGGGCGCTCGGTCGTGCCGGCGACAAGATGCACCCTTCAGAGTTTCCGTACATGGAGGACAGCTATACTTACACGCCCAAGGACAGTCCTGTCGCAGGAGATCTCATGAACTGGGATGATCCGCTTGATGCGCCATGGAGGCTACGCGTGGAGGAGTGTATACGGTATGTCTAAAGGCACGTATTACTAACGAACGTAGGGACTGCGTCACATACAGCTGGCCACCGGAAAGGATAAGATTCCACACATGTTTCGAAGTGTACGACGTTACGTGGTTGGCGGGAGTTGTGAAGGTAGTTATCGAGCAGACCAGGGATGAGGGTGAATTCATCAGCCCCAACGAACTCAAGCTGATGCTCTTGAAGCTAGGTAGGCAACAGTTATCATATATAGACGTTGCACGTAGAGAAACGACTTCAGCAACTGGACGAAGAAGAACACACGCAATCTATCGCCACCCACTCGATCATGCTGATTGCACGCCCCGACCCGAAGCGCATGGCCCCAGAGGAACTCAAAAAGCTTATATGCCGCAGGGACTGGAACTCACATATAGGGCAAGAGGTCATTGTGACGTTTACAAACAAGGAAGCCAGCCAAATTAGAGGAATTATGCGTGGCTCTCGCAGCGTCCTGGCACTGGAGCTCGATATTGAGTGGCAGCGACAGACGCTGCCACTCAACTTCATACGTGAAATAGCACTGGCGTAACGTTGTAAAATAGAATGTGTTTATGTATTTTCATTTAGCGATAAAGTCCTCTTGATACACAGGTTGCAGCTTGAACTCGCTCTCCCGACGCAGCACGGGGATTGGCTTGGCCTCATACGTCACGGTAGGAGGTGCGTAACATACGTCGTTCATAGCTGTGCGTTTCAGATGGCGCTCGGTTAAAGCGACAGCCTGTCAGAATAATTAGTAAAATGCGTAGAGCTATGGCGCCAACCTCTTCGATCTTGACTGGCCTCTTACGCTCTGCGTTCACCGTTAAGGTATAAGTGAAACTCTAACGTACTTTTTGGCGCACGAGCTTCTTGTAATTGGTCTGGGGCGAGTAGCCGCAGAGTCTTGCTTCTGCCTCCGGAAGCTCCACTGGACGACGACTGTTGAGACGGCTCAGCGTTGTCAGGTGAAGTGCCAGCATCGCTACTGCCCTCGGCGTCGTAGTGGTCCCACAGGAATAACGACTCACATTCGATCTGAGCCACAATTTATAGGACGATGCAGTATTGTACCGTTTCGACAACTTCGCCTGTAGACGCCTTAACACGCTCGATACGACTGAAGACAGCCTTGCATTGCGGGCATGTGGTCTCTAGAGCTGACCATTTCTGCAACACGTATACAGTCACAGCAAACTGTAATCATCTCACCTTAATGCAAGTGAAGTGGAATGTATGCGGGCACGTTTCGATGCGACCAAAGTCCTGGGCGTCACGGGAATCAAACCTGATGGGCAGAAGGCAGCAATCTGCATTAATGGATGACACATTGGCGTGGAAGACAGCATAACTCACCACATGTTGTGTTGCGTGACTCTTCATGCTTCTCAGCATCGCCGGTTACGGCGTTGGATTGCCTACCACGAACGACCTTCCGTCGCCGCGTCGTCATAGCTCGGCCGTATGTGGCGGCAATATCGCGTAAAGGCGCGACCTGTTTCGTCGCGCAACACAAATGTAACAGTAACTGTTGTTATCTCACTGCATATGCTGCAGTGGACGCCGCACGCTACCACGCACACCCGCAGCAGAGCGCGCTGCAGAACGTAGCCGGCGATAACGGAAAACGCCGATGTGTCACGAGGTAATCGACCTCGAAACTTTGGATGACGCAGAGGACTACGATCTATTTGATCTTCACGACACCTTTCGGCATTTCAACGAAATATGCTTCGACCAAACGCTCGAGGCAGTATGCGTGTCTTGGAGCAAGAGGCTCACTCTGAGCGCCGGCAGGTGCCAATTTAAGGTGGGAAGGAACTCAGCAACGTATATAAAGTTGAAGGGGCAGCAATACTGCGAAATTAGGCTCAGTGAACCCCTTCTTATGTACCGCTCAGCCAAGGAGTGCAAGGTAAACTTGTCGAGTATTACTGCAATGGACCCTGCAGGAAACGTTGCTGCATGAGATGATCCACGCCCATCTATTTCTCACGAAACAGTACCGAGACATAAAGGCGCATGGAAAGGTAAGAGGCGCGGCCAAAAGCATCCAACACGTTCAGGAATTCTTGTGGCACATGCGGCGGGTGAACGAGATCACCGGCCTCAACGTCACTGTGCATCACAATTTTCACGATGAAGTGGAATACTACAGGCGGCATGTTTGGAGGTGTTCGGTGAGGCCATTATAAGAAGTCACTCACATCAGTCAGGGGCCCTGTAGGCTGAGGCCGCCGTACTTCGGCTACCTGAGACGGGCCCGGAACGTGGCTCCTGGACCGCGGGACAGGTGGTGTAAGTCACCGAATAACTCATGCGGATACACAAAAATGCAGGGAGATATCATCAGGTGCTTTGCGGTGGCGCATTTCACAAGATCGCCGAACCTGTACCGCCACGCCCCCGGCGGGCTCACCAGTCACGATTGCCAAGAGCCCAGGGTGACCGTGATGACCACGGCAATAATAATCGCACGGCAGCTGGTTTGGATGATTCAGGTGGGCATATACCTTGGAAACTGACCCCAAATGTGTCACAGACATCATCGACCTCTGCGACGACGCCGTTATCGAAGTTGATGACAATTGACACAGGAGCGGGCCAAAGCAGCCCGTCGTAGAAATCGCAACTTCGTTGTATTTTAATATTTATGTTATAATGCGTACGACTTGGGCACTAAAACACAATCTGTACAAAAACCACACGCATCCGATCAAACACGGAACCTGGCAGTGCGCCGGTGCCTCACATTCCACACATGCTTTAGCGCAGCGTCGAGTGGCTGCCACACTGACACTTATAGTGACCTGGGATGAAATCGTGTACCTAGATGCGCAAGTCATATTAGGGCATGTATCTGGGAATAATAAGGCTCACTTCCAGACCTTGGCGTCGGCAATGGGCACGCCGTTGATGGAGTCCTCGGCGCAGAAGTAGTCGGTGATCATCCTGCGGTGGGCCTCGTCCTTGACGTTGAGCTTGGTGAAGGTCTGGAACTCGAACGACGGGTGCTCGGTCACGCTGGGAGGGAGCTCAGTGCCCTTGATGAGCCAGACACCCATGATGTCGTAGGAGTTGCCAGAGCCCATTACGTTAATGACACCGAAGGAAATGCGGCGGAAGTCGGGCTCGAAACGCTGCAGGAAGCCGCTAAGCATGTTGGAGGTGGTGATGTCGGACTGGCACTCGTCGTCGAGCTTGTTGTACTTCATGAAGTAGAAGCTCCAGTTCTCGGCATCGTAGTTGCTCCACAGCCACGGCATAACCTCCTTCTCGAGGTCACCCTTGCAGTTGCTGTAGGTCTTCTTCCACGTGTCCAACACGAACGAGCTCTCGGAGGAGGAGCCGCTCTGGAGAGAAGCGAGCTTCTTCTCGTAGTTGACGTAGGCGTCACTGGCCTCAACGGTGCGGATCAGACGAGACAGGTTGCGGAGACCAGCCTTCAAGTAGCCAGCGTCAAGCTTGCCGATCGACACAAGGTGCTTGACAGTCACGGCGCACACGAAGTCAGCGACGGAAAGGCTCTCGCCAACCAAGAAGGTACGGCTAAGAAGGAAGGCATCGGTGGCCCTGAGGCACTTGGCGAGCTCAGAGGTGCTGGAAGCGTCAACCTTGGTAACGGCCTGGCAGCGGCTGCCGACGTCGAAACGGTCGTAGAAGAACTCCATCCAGGAGGTGGCGTCGCTGCGGGCGAACAGCTCAGCGGGGGAGTCACCCTTCTTCTTCTGCTCCATCATGTGGCGGCAGACGGAGATGGAGCCGCAGAAGGCGCCGAGGCCACCGCAGAGCTCAACACTCACACAGGGCTTCACCTCGCTGAACTCGTCCTTCTTGCCCTCAGAGCTGCAGCAAGTGCCCTTGGAGAGCTGGAAGTCGTAGGCCACACCCAAAAATGAGGCGGCAGCGAGGACATTCTTCGTCCCGAGGTCGTTGAAGTCAACGCCGATCACTTTCTGCAGGTGTGTGAGCGACGTCAAGGCGGGAGCCGCGAAGACAGGACATACCATTTTCACAGTAGTAGCTTGTCTGACTGGTGCCGTAGGCGATAAGCAGCTGTGTAGCACCTAAAATCCCAACCCAATGAACAGATTAATGTGGAGTGAGCGCAGGGGGGCCAAACAGACCTCGCCGAGAAGCAGCAACTGCCACACAAATACCACAACTTGCAAGCCAATCTGGGCATTGCTTAAAATCGAAACTGGCGTCTAAATATCTTTGCGATTCGCATGGTAACGTGTCTGCGGCATGTTTATTTCGTTATTGCAGAAACGGCGTGTCAAAGCCACGCCTCCCGGGTTACGCCGCCGTAACGGGCGAAATCACCGTTAATCCAATCGCGCGACGCGCAATTAGTTTAGAATTGATGTGTGCTTATTATAAGTTTTTACAAAAGCGGACGCCACTAGACATGGCCACCGAGAATAACTTCCCTCGTTATGTGATTTGGATGGCAAACACTGTAGATAGCGATCGTATCACCGTCATGCTAACGTGTCAATTTACCGGCTCAGAACCGGTGGCGCCAATATGGAGGTATAGCAGTGTGCCGGGGTGATAGGCCGCAAACATCTGCCACGCCCAAACATTGACGGGTCTTAAACGACCATAATAAGCAAATTGTAACATTTGAGTTGCAAAATATAAAAGCTGGCCCATACAGCGGCTGCTATGATCATCTGCCGTTGTGCCGGACCTCCGGGGCACGCGACGGCCGAATGGGGCATCGACTACACAGGACCGCAGAAAACGCGAAACCACACAGCAATCACACAAGGCACGTCCATATAACATTATCCGCGTTTGGAATAACTCCGAGCGGCACCGTGGGAGCACGAAGTACCGTCGTTCCTCAGATATATCGTAAGGTGGGTGGATCACAGGATTCCGGCACGCGCTCAACGGCATACCGCGGCTAGCAGGCTGGCCGAGGACGACTGCATCGCGACTGTGTATTAATTCCGACAGTTGGCGCGTTTATCGAGCCCAGTGTACGGTACACAGCAGCCAAATGTGGTAGGCGAGGCCATGCCGCACAACGGCCGAGGGTAACCTCACGCCGTGGAGCCCCGGTACCGTCGTTTGATAAGCGTGGTAGTTACGAAATAATTCAGTTGACTGAGTTATCTGTGTGATTCTTTCTCAACACCACTCATAACCTTGCAGGAATCCAGGCGCCCGTCAAGATGACGAACGAAGCCGAAAACCAGAGGCCGCAGATCCGCCTCAATCGCCGTAAGAGGCTGCTCACTGCCGGGCGTCGCATGAAGACTGGGCGCACGCCTGCGAGCCTTCCTAAGATCAGGCCCACCCTCAAACCCGGCGCCGTTCTCATCCTCCTCAGCGGGAGCTACAAGGGGAAGCGCGTCATCCTCCTCAAGGTGTTCAAGGAGAGCGGTCTCCTCTTGGTCACTGGGCCGTTCCTTTTCAACGGTGTGCCGCTCAGGAGGGTCAACCCGCGCTACGTGATTGCGACCTCCACCAACATTTTCGAAATGGAAGAGGTCGGAGGTGCGCGTTGCCAGGCCGCCGTTGAGGAGGCCGTTGCGTCCCTCACCGACAAATCGTTCGGAAAGACCAAGGAAACCAGGATGGCGGAATTCAAGGAACGCAAGAAGCGCAACAAGGGCGCCATGTTCGTCGACAACGCCGACGCCGAAAAGGTAGCTGAGGAAACCAAGTTGATGATAAAGGAAAAGCAAGACAAGGTTGACGGTGTGCTCGCCCCCTTCCTCAAAAACTCACCAATACTCTGCCAGTACCTCAAGACGAGGTTCACGCTCCGCAGCGGCATGTACCCGCACAAGCTGAAGTTCTGAACTTCAAAACTTTCAGAGTAATACTTAGAAATGTCTGAGCACAATGACGAACTGAGCGTGATCGTGTGTGTGCGTTTGGTTGCCATCTTATCGTTGGGTGTATGTGATTGGTGTGCCGCTCAGTTGTGATCCTCACTGCTTCACGAGGTTGACGAACGGCCTTCTGTGATGAAGTGGGTGAAATTATTGCTCCGGCAAAGTGAAAATGTTATTTGGTCAAATTGAGTATGCATTGTAATATGATGTTTTGGTCTTGAATGTGGTATTATGAGCTGCGTCTGACGGGATACGGCGTTGCAAATTACAAGATCTGCCGGTTCGATGTCAGCGCACAGAGATATCGAACACCTTGCCAATACGTGGATTATATGGCTGCAGCAACGTTCTTTTAACACTTCGACGCTGCCGGAGATTATCGTAGTGAATTTTTTTTAATGTTAATGCCATGTTGGAGAACATCATACTGTGGTATTTATAAAATGCCGAATATGAGGAGTGACATGACGTTGGATATTACTACATTAAAATGACACTTACTGCGATAAGAAGGTGCTGTGTGCAATAGTGTGACTAATACGTGCCTTTCGGCGGATTGCGCTCGTAAGGGTCGTAGATGTCTGGGTAACCGTAGATGAGGTCGTGCAATCTTTCAAATGGCCATGTCCGATTGCCGATCATGTGGCATATGCCCATTAGAATGAGGAGGAAACAAGCCACACCTCCACCTAATGCCAGAAGGATCATCAGACCGTTTGTGAAATTCTCCTGACAGCATCGGCATGGACAGCTGAACCCTTTATCGCAATCAGCGCAATTTCTACTGATGCATTTCAAACTGTAGGGGCAGCAGCACTGGTTTGAGGCCACAGCTGACGGCGCCTGCTCCTCTGCCATTTTAACTGAGCCTGAACAGCGATCAACAACTCACCCGGAAGGCGGTGGCAGTTGGGGAATGCGATACATCAATTACCGAACCATGAATGTATATAGAGATATATGTGAGTGTGTATTTTGTGTTATTTGCTCTGTTACATTGTGCAGAATACCTAATGCTTACCAAGAGCCCGTGTCGACGATGCATCACACATTGGGTAGCTTTCGATTTAACATAGGCTCTATTGCCTATAATGTGTAACAGCGTTAGTCACTTCACATTATGTATAATACCACATTACGTTACATCCAAAATACCAAGCTTTGTATACCACGTCGCTTCGTGCTCTGTGTCACGCGAGGTGGAGAAGGTTATGAAAACCGTATTGAGATGGATAATGGTATTTGTATGTTAACCGCAGAGGTCATGGAAATATGAATTTGCGTAGAGATTGGGCAGAGCGGTTACTATGGGTAGAATAAAGCCCAGTGCTCCGTCCCTAAGCCGGTCATCAACAGGCCCGGTGAACGTCAACATTCACAAGTAATTCCAAGGCCTTCTCGTACAGAAAATACTTCGTTATCATTATATAGCACTTTATTCAACACAGCTCCCGTCTTTACGAGGTGGATTCAAACCTTTGGCTGATTTGTTGTCCACATTGTATCGTGCCACTTCATCAACTGGTGTATTCTGCTACAATCGCCTCAAATGCAGCAAGCAATTGCAGTCAAATGCCTTATGAAGCTTCGGACGAGCCAGCAGCATTCTGCTTTGTGTATATTATAAAAATTGATCTTCACATTCGTCGGAACGCTCCCTTTATTCGACATACTACGCTCTTTGTTGTGGCAATCATTCCATTTATCCGCTAATGTATCTCCAGTATCTGTATTGAGACAAGGAGAATGTGGGAGTATTTGTCAATATTTTAAAAAGTAGAAATTGCTTCTCAACACAGGTTTCGTCACGATGACAACCGTAAAGCTTAAAGCAATGCTCGCTAGAGATTATCACATCTACAGTCCTGACGTATATCTAAGTTGCGGGATGGTTACAACTGGACCGTCTGCTGTTAACTGCTACCTTATACCTCACTGTACATTTGTCTGTCAATTGGAAGCTTTCATAACAGTGACTATTTTTCTCGTTGTGTAGTGTGCCACGTGGCTTAGGGCCGATTTTACGCGTTATCTGGTGGAGTATTCCTAGCATGATTTTATTGTTGGCCGTAAGCTACACGCAATCATGTTATCCAGTGTACTGGATGTCAAACATCCGTCCTAGCGTACTGCGGTGCAGCTCCTTCCTACGTGGCACAGTGAACCAGCGATTCATGCCCATAAATGCACAACCCACACCAATAAACAACACCTACTTGTTTTGGACAAAACAATAGCACGTACACTCAGAAGAGTAACTATGATAAAGCAAAATTGAGTTACTAGGTGATACAATCTACCTATGTATACGCCTTGACCTCAGCAGGGGCCCTACATTCAGGCAACGGGTATAACGCCAAAATTTGCCAAGGCAGCACTGAAATCTCATACAAACGGCATGCCCTAAAGGAGCCCACAGTGTAATTTGTCAACTGCGGGTCCCCACGCAACATATGTCGGCCATGCGAAAATGAAAGCCTATGACGTTGTAACAAGAATTCGCCAAACTGCGCCATGAACGTGATTGAAGAGACGTCGAGAAGTGTGTTTAGTCTCGCTCGACGGCAACAGTATCGTAGATGGAGAGTGTATGCATCATACAGGCGATAACTACACTGGAAAATTGGAGTGGTTTCGTGAGAACGCTTACGCCACCCACTGGGATGCCGAACACACTTCATTGTTGTTGACGTGCTTTTACAGCTCCGGAAATACCTTATTAATAGAAAGCCCAGAATCCAGCGAGGTCGTACAGTGTGGTCAATATTTCTTTATTCACACCTCTCAACGCCCAGGAGACCCTTGATGCAGTCATTCCAGCGCGGCATTCCGGCTCTACATAGCCCAGGGGTTCCAACACATTGTCTAAAGTCTTATTCGCGGAAAACGGTGCCAGTTTCCGGGTTTCATCATAGGCTGCCTTGCGCAAAGAACGTAAGCCCGTGTACAACATAGGTGCAATTCCCACGAGGACCACTGCGCAAGCTTCAGGGTTCTTCGCGCATGAAGATTCCCACGTCGCTTTTGAACTGTAAGCAGATTTATACTGCTTAGGGGTTTTGATACGATCCAAGAACATCTCACAACCGCCCACAACTTTACCTAATTTCTCTGCGATTTTTGTAGCGGTGAGACCCTTGTTCTGCACGACATTATTATAGTCGCTGTAAGCCATAAGTTTAAAAATCTTAGCTATTATGCATGGGTTCTTACTTAAAGGAGCTTCGAATTTACCCAGCATCTCATTTGCGGGCCACATGCCCTTAAGCTCCTCTTGCTCAAGGAACTCCTTAGTGATGAGTTTGACCTTCTCGAGAGCCGGCAGCTTCATCCTGCCAACAGGCTTGTCTGCAAGAAACTTGTGAATTGCAGCACCCATAGCAGCCAAATTGTTTGCAGCATCCGCCCCCCTCAGGGCTATCAACCAGTCAATAGCCTCCTTGATGTTGCGAGGAGCCCGGGTCAAGGAATTGTATACCATTTTGTGAACATGAGTTCAATTACGCTAATGATATAAACGCGTAGATGTTTCGTCTATTTGCAGGCCAGTTTACAAAACAGCCCGCGTATTTCAAGAGCTGCGCCTTAAAGGCGAATAAGCACAACAGTGCCGTTGCCGTCCAATACAGACGCACCTTATCGAAAAACAAGAACTACATATACACAGCAAACTGGCAAACGGCGAGGGCTGGGTGATGACTAGCCCGGAGAAGCGCAGCCAGTTCTAGACAATTAGCGTGGCATGCACTATTTAAAGCGCGAGTAGTCGGAGTACACACTTCTAGGGCAAAATCGGCGCATAATGAGCCTGGATGTGTTAGTGAAATTTGTGGCTATGCATAAATATTTGGAATTTCACAATTTGTTGCAAGTGGTGTGTTTACAGAGCCTTCGGCGTCCTGCGTGTCCTGCTCGCCATCACACCGCAATCGCATAATACGGTCCGCGAACATTACTCGTGCCATCTTTGGTTATTATATTGTTTTTTCCAAGCTTATGCTGTCTTTTCGCTCGCCACCGCGTTGACTGCCGTTGATAGCTTTTGTGCCATGGTAATCTGTCAAAGGTTGCGCTTTTCGAGCTCTTCTCGGATCAGAACAACCATATATTGCGATATATTAGCTCGGTATACGTGCAAAGCACCTATTCTTTCAGCTGCCATCGTCGCTTGCCGAGGAATCCAGCTCACAACCCTGTTTGGGACTGCTGTGTGTACGGATGTCCCTAAAATCTGTATATTTTCATCTGATGCTCCGGTTTGACTAATAATGGGTCATCTTTTATCTGGAGGTCTTTCATCCTAAACTTTGTAGCTCCCAGATCGAGTATAAGACGGCCTGAGTGAAATCTGAGATCTGCAGTATGCGTGAACATTGGTGGTGCCTATGTGTAATTGACTTTGTTTTATGATAATGTTTCCTTATCAGTATAAGTTTTCTCCAATTATAGCGGGAGATGGTTTCGCCGACTAATTATATTGCGGATTTGACGTTACCTCTTCATATTGAGAGTATCAAATACGTCCATGACGGTGACCATAGGTTCACATAAGTGTCCCGAATAATGTGTTGTATACCTGCCCTCTGAGATTAGTCAATCTCAATGCTACATTTGGGGGAACCATGGTTTGAACTATCTGTAGCACGCGTCACATGGCTCCATGAAGGGTATGGCGAGAAATGTTGTTCTCTGTTTTGCTGTTATACATTCCATAATCCATCTTACCATGCACTCTAACCATTGTTCCAAGCATGCCAACACGGGTCCACAAAGTCTTGGCGAACAGTGTGAGCTGAGCATTAGCCACGTCCAGACATTTAATCTTTATGCGGTTGTATTAACCGGCGCTTCTAGATCAATCATATCATGTCAATACAGTTGCCTAGGTCATGAAAGTGGCAATGCTCACCGTTACGTTATTGAGACCTTGAGAAGTACACTACGTAGAGATCCGAGGCGAACTCCGTTGCTGGGTGGCTCGAATACATTCACACGCCAAAGTTACTGAGATATTAAGATCTTTAGTGGGTCTACAAGCTGTCCTTGGAGGGGCACGCGGAGCAGGCACCAATGTGCCTGTTTTCTGGGATCCACTGTTCATATGTAGTAAAAACGTGGGTGATAAGCTAGCGTATTACGCATGTTATGGATCGCATTTAGGGCTTTGTCGGGGAACATCGACCAGACAACAAGGATGACTAGTAAAATTCCAACGATAATGCCTACAACAGTGCAGCATAGCACAATTTTATGTTTAGGACATAGTTTACTGCAGTTCTTGTATTTGCCGAGCCGTTTACAGGTGCCCTTGTCGTCCACTTCGAGAAAGCCGTAACCATTCCGAGTACATGTGTTATTACCCCAGCGGCAGCACTTACAAATGTACCTACCACATCCAGTTACAATAACAACATTTACATGGCCCTTTCTTCTCGCATCCCTTTAACTTGCAGCACGTAACACGTATATTAGTACAATATGCGGTTTTACATTCACGCCTCTCCTTAGCCTTAATCCCCGGGTTCATATTAACCAACCCCGCACTGTGCTGAACAACCTAAACAGGAGGTGGCAGCATTTATGGGTAGGATAACGTATGTACCGCAGTACAAATATGTAACTGTATATTTTATGTAAGTTTACGTTTTGTGGCTTTGTGCGGAATATATAAATTATTCCGGGGTGTTTGTTCTGAATATGCGTAGTACAGTGGAGAAGCGTAGACTACCACAATCTCTACCGCGCCCCATATATGTGCGTTCATCAATTCACAATTTTGTGTGATACACAGTTCTATAAAGGCGCTAAACCTTGGCCTCCGCCTCACCACGTCCTACTCTGGATGCGGGACCTGGAAGCAACCATTTGCTGAGTGGCGTGTCAAAAGGCATTAATGTATGTATTGCCGCAATAATGGGCACGTGAATCTGCGGTTCACTCTTTGGGCCCGTTGGTTTTTAATGGAACCGAATCTAGTTCGCCTCCCATGAGCTAGATATTAATGCCGTGCTTCAACGCAACGCTAGCGGCGGTCATCTACGGAAAATGCTCTCAACAGCTTCATCTACATTTCGCAGCGCGTGCTTCACCTGTAGTATGAACATTGCTGAGCCACTCGTTATGTGCCTCTCCACAATCCAATTATTGTGTTGTCCATATCCGGATGAGGCCTATGGGGGCGTGCTCGCTCCGGTCTGAGAGGGGCGCGGTTTCGTAGCGACTAATTTTTTGAATCACCACTGTTCAAAACGTATCTTTCCTGAGTATTACAACTGCTGAACGATGTTCGGCAGAATAACCTAGCCGCACTGCAAATTTGCTACCGTCTATCCACCCGCCCGCTGCAATCAGTATGGCGGCAAGCACGGTAACACGTATTTGCCAATTATAAACTTGCCGTTCACGTGAGGGCTGTAAACGTCATCGAAAGGGTGGAAAACTTGCATTAGTGTTATAGTGCATCCTAATGGTGCGATGGTGGCCCGCTGGACTGTTAAGTCAAAAAGCAGATTAGTGCTGTGGCAGAACACCTAGCTAAACATTAGGCTAGCAGCGCAAATCAACGCTATGAAGAGCGATGTCAAATGTCGCAACAACCGTCATTTTGAACGTAGCGGATTTTCAGTTGCTTGATAGGTGCGTTGTGTGGCTTGTGGGCGTTGTGTGGTCACTGAAACCTACAAGCTGAGTTATGTAGGTGCCATTACACGACATAATCTAGTTGAGGGGTACTGCAACCATGTCATTAAAGCGCTTTATCATCGCATCCATCGTGGCATGTCAATATTGGGAGGAAATTACCCACGCTTCCCTCCTCACTACGTATATCGCAGCCTTCATGTATGGCAATGGGCAATGTGTATATCGTACGTGCACCAAGAGTGCTCGACGGTATTGGTACGTGTTTCGTTTGTTCTCAGTTGTATTTTTGAAAATTCTCTCACCAACAACCAGCCCACATGGCCTCCTTTTGCCGTGTGACATCGAAAGCTATCCTACTAGAGTCCCAAGGCTCTCATATTCTGGCGTACACCTTGGGGAGTTGACTCAAAAACATTTTCTAATTTTCCCATTACCATCGTCCCCCTCTGAACCTCGTCCGTCCACAACCCACATCATCTGGTTCCTGTAAACATTTAAGGCAAGATGCCTCACAGCCCACCAACAATGGGTCCATTATTTCACAAATCCGCATCTTGGCTCACTGCCACCCCCAGCTTTTTGACCACATGTCACGCCACTCCCATCACTGCCGCCGTCATCCATCCCTCAACTGCGACGCCTTTATCAAACACGCTCTCAACAACCTCCGAGACCACATAAACTCACTGATTTGCAAGGATGCTACTTAGTTCCTCGACACTTTGAAGCCTTGGCTGGCAACCTCTTAGCTCAGCTTGAGCAAGTTAGTAAGACGCCGGGCGGCTACGTCATGGAGTTGGCAAAGTGGATGAGTAAGGATGATGACATTATTTCAATACTGCTGACTCTGGTTAAGAAAATGTACGCACAATCTTATGAAACAGGAAATGTTATCATGATCTTGACATCGCAATCACTACCGTTGCAAGCAACTTGGCAGTGTCTTGGTACCTGGAAGCAGTGATGTCACCATAGAGGTTTTATTGCTTTAGTGTCTCTTTGCTCACAATTAATAGTACTTTTGTACCGGTACCCTAGTGCCCATTTGTCAGTGTCTCTGTGCTTAGTGCCTTTGTAACTAAGATGGCGCCGCACGGAGTTGAGCTCAACACTCTCAAGCAGTGTCTCGAGTTCCTGATGTGGTTGAAGAATGATAGTGGTAAGCAACAAGAGGTGGCCCAAAATCTACATGAACGTATCAAACAATATTTTCATGAGAGTAAAGATAATTTCAACCTAGACAACGTTAGAAAGGGCTTGTCGGATTTCCTTGGCCACGTGTCAGCGTTCTACACGAGGTTATGCAAAGACCCAGCGCCCGGCAGTTATACAGGGATAGGTGCTGACAAAGTCGTCAATGCCCTTCTGGAATGCTTGCCCAAGTTCCTCGCTGCCATATATTTTTTGGAATACTGCGTGAATCAGGCATTCAAAGACCTGGGCGGGGGAGGGTGGCAGCAGAACTGGCCTGCGTGGGATGCAGGTACGTCTTCTGGTGGCGATCTCGCTAAATATCTCTACGCGAAAACCGATGACCAAAAGTACAACTCAAGCACCGGCCTCATACCCGGGGGCTTCACTTACGGCGATGTGAGCTATTATGCACTTTTGCGGTCTTACTACCAGGGTTATAATATGGTTGGGGACCTTAATGCCATCATGAGCAAAGGCAACTACAATTTCCTGCGCAGTGTGTTTGTCACTTCGGTGTTCTCCACAGATCGTGGCACCGCTATGCAGAACACTGCGAACGCGGTGTCATTGGTCAGAACCTTTTGCGATATTGTAAAAGATGAAAGACGGGACAACGGCGGAACTCTGAAAATAGCCCTGGAAGCTGGCTTTAGAAAATACGGGTCCCAAAATTCTATATGCTGGGCCGACCTAAAATCCCACTGCGCTGAGCTTAGGGAAAAAATTCGCAAGCTCTTCAATAACCCGAAACGCTTTGACTTCACAGGGCAATCGACGGGCACCGATAACCTTGATAAAGAGGAGCTTGCGAGGGAAACGGCAAATTGGATGAGAGAGAAGCTGAACCAAGTGCGGGGGAAATTGGTGAATATTAAAACAGATGACCCTGCCGTCAGCAATCCCAAGACAGACAACCTTGGCGCATACTCCACTAATAACATTTTCCCCTACGGATTCACGTTAAAAGGCCGCTTCCACATGTCGCACAATGAAGTGAAGGCTTTGATGCAGGATTGGCGTGAGGTAATCGATGACCTTAAGAAAGCGGATGACGGTTTGGATAAGCTTAAACAAATTTTGGATGGCACTTATAGGGTTTCGTGTCCCCCACCTCCACCGAAAAAGCCTGAGGTGCCGCCTGCCAAGAAATCTGAAGGAGCACAGAACCAAGGCAAGAAGGTGGAGGGAGCACAGAACCAGGGCAAGAAAAGTGAGGGAGCGCAGAACCAGGGGAAGAAAGCGGAGGAAGCACAGAACCAGGGGAAGAAGACGGAGGGAACTCCAAATCAGGGTGAGCCGCTTGGCCCTACAACGTCGATGTCAACAAATCAGAACAACGGTCAAGGTGAACAAAAGTTTCCACCTCCACCAGGTGTAACATCTACTGCCTCAGATACGTCTCCCGGTGATCCAGGAGCTCCAGGTCCGGCAGGATCTAAAGGTGATCGAGACCAGCAAGGGCCTCCTGTTACAGTAACTCCGGGGTCTTCTCCGCCCCAAGATACATCAGTTAAACAAGTCGTTCAGACTCAACAACCTGGTCCAGTACAGCCAGTTCGTCCCCTTCCGCCTCCAACTGCTCCCCCCAGTGATTCTGGACTCCCCGGCCCCGCTGGTCAGCCAGGTGTAGGTCCGGGTTCAACGTCCGTTGACACTCAAGGTCTACCGTCTGGTGTCTCTCAAGGCAATGGACCTCCCCAGATTCCGAGTGTTTCAGGTCAAGGCCCTGGGCCAACTGGTGATCAGAGGACTGGGCCACAAGGTGGTGGAGAGGCTGGGAAAGGCGACGACCTAGGCGGTGGTCAACAAAGTAATCGAGACTCCACTCAACCAACAAATAAAGGTACCGACCATAATCCAAGCAACGTCGCTACTCCGTCGAGTGCCCCGGTGCCTGGAGTAGGTGGCGGTGGGAAAGCTGCACCTGCCAAAAAGTGTGTGACCTTTAATCTTACAAATCTTCTGAAACATAGCAATGATGGTGACACGACTGAATTTTGTGACTACGATTATAACCCTCCTGCCCCAAAGCACTATAAAGTTAATGACGCAACCAGCGAACAAATCTGGGAGGAGTATAAGCAGCGTGAAATATTGCCGCCGATTAAAGAAAAATTAGAAGCAAGGAGACGTGAAAAGGAAGAGGAGGAACGCCGAAAAGAAGACGAGCGTCAACGTAAATATCAGTCCATGCTTCCAGACATCCAAGTTGTGTACAAGGCGCGGGATGAGCGTCTATTCGATATTGCAGCAAAGCATAGATCCGACTTTGATCATTTCATGAAGAGCGATTTAGAAGTCAGCGGGGAAGTCATACGAGAATCTCCGGATGTCACAGTAGAGATCACGAAACCTGCTGCAGCTGCCAAAACAAAAGATGATGACATGCCTGATCCCTCAACGCCGCAGAGTTCACAACCGCCTGCATCGCCAGTACTTAATGGAGCGGTCGTCACCTCCGATGCTATTAAGGCTTTTCGTCCCGCTTCACCGCCCAAACCGTTCTCCGCTATGCCCATCACACCTGCTGGTTTCGATGGACAGTCTATAACCAAATCGACACCTAAAAGAGCTCACCCTGGAGCCAGCAAACGCTTAAGACACTACCTACAGAACTACGCTGATGTTGAAACGTCTGTCATAGCACCAGTTAAAGAGACGCATAAACCTACGCACATCATGGCCAGCGGAGAGGCAATGCCAAACGCCAAAGGCATACCGAATTCCACTCCACACGGGTTTTTCGCTGCCATTGGCATACCTGAGGGCCGACCGTTAAAACCAGCGAACTATGTCCGGGCTTTGCCGCCCGTGTCGGACATCACAGGCAAGAGTATACCTGATCGTGATCTAAATGCACGCCTTCTGCCTCTTTCACCAATTGGTAAGCAACCTGTTCCCATAATGCAGCCTGGTAAAAGAGAACAAGATGTGGACCGTTACCAGCCTGCCGTTATTCGCAGAGACCTAATTCGTCCCAAATTCCCGACCATTGTTGAGTATATTGATGATCACCCGGGGCTTATGATCGATCCAGGCATCTGCCCAGCGTCTTATGGAAATTCCGTCCTACCGGTTGGCCGAATGGTACCGCCCACAGATTATTCCAGTCCATCACCTAAGACGGTGCGTGAAATGCTGTGCTGGCTGAGCGATCTGCCTGGTACGCCGGGGTACGCCGGGGTACGCCGCACTGACACAACACATTGCGGGCTTCTTTGAAAGCTCTGAGATCATTGCATGGCCTGCATCGTTCTCAGACAACGATGTTATGGTTACTCTGTCTGACACGTGCGGCCACGCCAGCGCTGTCCTTACGGAATTCATGGGTCCAAGCCTCCGGACCTATCGCAATTCCACTACCAACGCTACGGCATCCCTCTCATGTACTATTCCGATGACCCCTACAGGCTGCTGTGCCAGTTGCTCAACTACGTCTATGCGGCGTGCCATCAGTTATTGTTTCTCCGCACTCAGTGCAGCCGGGACACGCACTCTGGTGGATGGCGTGACTGCAAGTTTGGTAGAGACGTGAAGGTCTCTAAATCATGGCAGTGCTCCAAATCTCCGGTGGATCCTACGAAATTGAAGGGTCACGGCTGCGACGCCTCCCCGCTGCAGGGCTTTCTCACTGACCAGTCCGATCTCTCCACCTACCGGTATCGGCGGGGCGACATATGCCGGCGGAGCCGTGTGAAATTGGGCTTTCTTCCGGACAATTTCCGTGAAGAGTCCAAACATGGATTCTACATTTATCAGATTTTGAAAGGCCTGTGTTACAATGCCGACCCACTGGAGAAGCTTTGCACATACCTCAACTGCCTCACCAGGCGGACGCCGCGCACCACGGGGGAGCTTGTTTCCTTCTTCCACAATATCGGGAATGAGCTTCATGATGCGGCTTCAAAGAGATTGTCTCCACTGGGCTCCGCCCTCTCCAAGCCACATGACCACTGCCCCGACTGGGACCACCTTGCTGCCGACGACCTCAATGCCATCCAGTACATCCGGGGCCCCGCCCCTCCCACCGCCAACCACGACAAAGGCCATTCCAGGACCCTGTCCACACTGGTTGGCTGCGACATAACCAATGCGCAGTGCCCACCTCATATTTCGTCCACCACCTACCGGGCCTACGCCCTGTACTCTTCCAGCTTCGTCCACGACTACCTCAGCTGGACGGTGTATCTACCAGACAGACTGTGGGAGTCACTGCTCAAGATGCAAGATGATCTCGAGAACCTTCACCGCCACGACAACAAGGCCAAGCCTCTCCACCAGTGCCCCGAAGCCCTGCCCCTCCTCTACTCTCACGGGTTCACGCCGCCGGAGGGCATGCCTCAGACATCACTCACATGTTCGGATGCCGTCGCCAAGCTGAAGGAAGTGGTCAACGGAAAGCCCATCGCAAGCCTCGTGACCACCATGGACAATTTCCTATACGGCATCCGTCTACCGTTCCTCTACACCATCATCGCACTCTGGCTCATCGCCACGCTCTACATCCTCCACTCATTCCTCACCGCCTGCAACTTGCTGTCCACGGCTTGGGCGGGGCTGATCTTTGGGTCGGCGCCTTGGTTGGGGTCAGTCGCCTCGTCAAGCTGCTCGTGAAGATCATCCGTTGTCTTTTGGGCGTTATCCAACAGTTCTGCGATGCTTATGCCTTTGGTCCCCTCGCCGAGCAGCACTGACTTCAGCTCCTTGCCTACTTGCCTGGAAGCGGTTGAAAGCGCCGATAGGGTGGCCTCGATGACTTGCGAGATTATGCACTCAGGCTTCTGGCATTTTGTGCAATCTTCTAGTTTTTTGTTATTGCAGTCTCCACACGTGCATTTTTCGGCGGCGTTTTGTAAGGCCTTTTCTAAGGCCTCTTTCCTTGTTGGATGGCGTTCGGCAGCATCACCCTCCAGCGCCTGCTTCAGCTTCTGCTTAACCTCGTTGACTAGGTCAGAGTTTCCACTGGTCCCATTCTTCTTCAGTGCTTCGTCCATCACCTCGGCGAACGTTTGGCAATGCTGATGGACGTATTGGATTTTGTCTTTCATGCCGGTGCCGGAGGGCGTCAATTTTTTCAGAGCTGTTGAAAAATCCGTCTCACCTTCATCAGTGACAATATATTTCATATTGATCTTGGCACTAATTTCATTACCGAGATGGGTGTGGTAGCTTGTAGCAGTATCCAAATCCCCCCACCCGAGCTGTTTCCTCAGCGATACATTAAATGGTAATATGGTCTCCTCCGCCCAGCCCTTAACTATACTCTGAAAGGGATCTCCTTTGAACTTATGATAATACTTTGTCAGTCCCTGCGCGATCCCTGCCAGGCCTGAGGCATCTTTAATTGTCCAACCATTTTCTGTCCCCTCCTGCCCCTTAATCTTCCCAACCTTTGTTTTAATATGCTCGAAAATTCCTTGAATACTTGTAGCCGTCGTGCGATCCTTAAACTTCCCGCCAAGCTCCCCAATCGCCGTGCCAACTTCTTGGACTTTAGTGTTAAGCGGCCCTTGGATCGCAGTTCTAAATTTACCTTCGAGATCACCTTCTGCATCTTGAATATTCTTTACCGCGCCCGTTTCCAGCGCACTCTTTGCCTTTACAAGCTCCTCCAGCGCTATTTTCGCAGCATCATTTTCACCATTTTTACCAACTTCTCCTTTAAGTCCCTCAATCTTCCCCTTCAACTTCCCCAAATCACTCTTCACCAAAGTATCCAAACCCAAAACCCCCAACTCCTGAATCTTACTTTTAATCCCTTCCTTAATCTTATCTTTAACACTCTTCAAATCCTTCTTAAGAGATTTGTCCATTTCCACAACAACCTTCAAAGCCTCAGTGACGTTCAGCTCAACAGCCAATTTGGCATCCTTCGCAGCCTTCAAAAGTGTCTGAGCCTTCTCATTCAATGTTTTAGCCTTCTCATAAATCACACTTCCGGGGGAATTAGTACTAACTTTATCCAGAATTTCTTTACACTTATCCTCCGCCTTTCCAATGACATCCTTGGCGGCCTTACTCCACTTACCTAAATTGGCAACATCAGTTTCAAGGTAGTCCACTGCAATATTAATTAAATTATTGTATGAGATTATTTGATGAATATTATTGCAAATCATTGCCGTCTTATGTCCACCATGTTCCAAGCCAGACCAGGGATAACGGCAGTCGGCTGCTGAGGTGGATGACCAAGGTGGCAAGCAGGGGGCAACTCAGAGCATAGAGTGGATTGAAGCTTAGGTGCTTGGTCAGCCGTTTGGTTATGTGCTAGGTGACACGTTTGGATAGGCAGTGAGTTGGGTGCTAGGCAAGGCACGAGATACGGTCACCATGAGAGACATGAGATGACATGACATGGCAACACAAAGAGAGGAATGTAAATGTAATGTAGCTGCAATAATTACAATCAAGAGTGAAAGTCGTCGTCGAAGTAGTCGACGTCCTTGTAGAGCGACAGCATTCTCCTGCTGCCGGCGAGTAAGGCCTTGACGTCGATGGTGTGGGAGGCCCTGGTGGTGAGGAGGTGATAGCGGATGCGCAGGACGTCCATGCGGTAGAGGAGTGAGTGGAGAATGTAGAGCGCGGCGATGAGCCAGAGTGCGACGAGGCAGAAGAGGAAGGGCGCACGGATGCGGTAGAGGAAATTGTCCATGGCGGTCATGAGGCCTGCGATAGGCTTTCCCTTGACCACTTCCTCCAGCTTGGTGATGAGCTTGGAACACGTGAGTGAAGGCGGCAGTGTCCCGTCTGGCGGGGTGATGCCGTGCTTGTAGAGGAGCGGCAGGGCCTTGTCACACTGGTGGAGGGGCTTGGAGTCGTGACATTGAAGGTCCTCGAGATCATCTTGCATCTTGAGCAGTGACTCCCACAGTCTGTCTGGTAGATACACCGTCCAGCTGAGGTAGTCGTGGACGAAGCTGGAAGAGTACAGGGCGTAGGCCCGGTAGGTGGTGGACGAAATATGAGGTGGGCACTGCGCATTGGTTATGTCGCAGCCAACCAGTGTGGACAGGGTCCTGGAATGGCCTTTGTCGTGGTTGGCGGTGGGAGGGGCGGGGCCCCGGATGTACTGGATGGCATTGAGGTCGTCGGCAGCAAGGTGGTCCCAGTCGGGGCAGTGGTCATGTGGCTTGGAGAGGGCGGAGCCCAGTGGAGACACCTTTGAAGGTGCATTGTGCAGTTCATTCCCGAAATGGTGGAAGAATGAGACAAGCTCCCCGGTGGTGCGCGGCGTCCGCCTGGTGATGCAGGTGAGGTAAGAGGTCAATGTCAGCAAGGGATCCTCGCCGCCGCAGGTGGGAGAGAGGATGGTGTGGAGATGTTTGCCAGTTTGCTGAGTGTCAGGCAAATCCTCCTCTCTGAATCCCATGTTTACACGGCTCTTGCGGCAGATGTTGCGCGGGTCGAAGGGATGTGTCTCGAACTTGGAGTCCGAGGCGTCAGTCAGGAAGGCCTGGAGGGGAGACATCTTGGCATCACGGCCGTATTGACAATCCTGCCAACCGCCGTCCTTGGTGTTCCGAGAACACTGCGACTTAAGGAAATTCAACTGGTGGTAGCAGGCGTAGACGCAGTCCCGCAGCTGGCAGAGGAGGGCGCAGCAATCAGGGTCCTTGGATTGGTCGGAGCCCTTGGGTTTTAATGTCGCAGATAATGCGACGTTGTCTTTCCATTCAGGCGCAACGGCGGATAATACTGACGCTGCGAACACGGCGGCAAGTTTAATGGTGTCGATGACATCTTTGGCGGTAATGCTAGAATCGTTGACTGGGAGTGTGAGTTTGGCAGAGACATCATCGCCGCGCTTGAAAGCTTTCTCAATACACTGTTTCAGAGTGTCACTATGCTTTGGGTTCTGCAGTCCCGCCATCCAAATGAGCATATCCCTGACCGTGCGCGGCGCCTCGGAGGGGAACAGCTCCGTCTCGGGGATATTGGTGGAGTCATGCGTAGGTTTCTGGGTGAGCCAAGGAACAGGGCACGTGTCCACGAATTCGACTGCACTAATCGTTGGCTCATCTCTGGGAGGCACAGAGTGCTGGGGATCTGGAGGTGGAAGATTAAATGAGATTTCAGGTATGTACGGATCCGGAGGTAAGGGCAGCGCATCATGCTTTATGTGCGTCGTTTCATCGTCAAAATCCAAGTCGTACACGGGGTCTTGCACAATGGGCTTGGGGACGTCGATGTAGAGGTCTGTGAATGTGTCTGGATTGTCTCGAAGCACGTATGGCTTCCAGACATCTAACGCAACGGTAGGCGGTGGCTGTGCCGGCTGAATGTGGGCTATTGGCTGGGGGGATAGGTCAGGTTTCAGATTGGGATCGGGAATGGGCGCTCCGCTAGCGAGCGATGGCCACATCGGTGGATCTATATATTGCATTACGGCAGATTTATCCGTTTTTAATCTGCCGCCCATTATAACATCCATGTCTGGCAGCTTGGGGGGAGTGTATGTGGGTACGGTCATTTTGAGATCATCAAACAATGCATCTTGATTTCTTTGGTTTAAGGTGTCATAATGTTTTTTTTCTGCGTCATTCTGGAATTTCTCAATTAACTTTTTTTCTCTATCCATCAGCGCTGCCAGTGAAATATCCTTGGACATCTGTTCACTAAGGTCCTTTTGATCCTTTTGCTGAAACCAAAGTTCCCGTTGGTCTTGCAACCGATTTAGCAACTCATCTTCAAAAGGTGTGCCCGTCAACGAAACATCATCTTGAACACCGATAAGGAATGCTTCTTTTTGTTCTTCTTGCCACTTGGCTTCTGCATCCTTCTCTTTCTGTTGTATTTCTTTTTTGAGTTCATCCTCTTCCTGTTTTAACCGCTGCTCTGCTTTTGCGTGATGAATGGCATGATCGATGCCATGTTGCATCAAACTTATTATTTTACTTCGCTGCCGTGGAGAGTCTTGCATCAGCGCGACGCCACCCACAGGTGAAGAATGCGGATCAATATTAACCAAGGGATACTGGGTCGACTGTTGATTTTCATCAATCGGAGTGCCTTGAATGGCGTTTTTTGACCATTGTCTCATTTTTTCTTGTTCCTGTTCCTCTTGCTGCTTACGTAACTTTATAGCTTCTTTTTTATCCTCAAATCTTTTTAATAAGTCATCCATATCCTTTAGACGCCATGCTTGGGTTTTGTCTCGCGTTTCATAATTTTTATAAACACCGTTGGGGCGCGTTCTAGGATGACAAAAATTCCCCGTGGGATTAGTCATAAGATTGTCAAAAGTCGGCTCCAGGCAAGTGTCAACGGGATCCTTCCCACCCCCTCCTGCTCCACCGCCACCTACTCCAGGCACCGGGGCACTCGACGGAGTAGCGACGTTGCTTGGATTATGGTCGGTACCTTTATTTGTTGGTTGAGTGGAGTCTCGATTACTTTGTTGACCACCGCCTAGGCCGGCGTCTTGCCCAGCCCCTCCACCACCTGGATGACTAGTCCCCTTACCACCAGTTGGCCCAGAGCCTTGACCTGGAACACCCGGAGTCGGAGTATGTGCAGTGACTTGAGATACACCAGGCCGTATACTTGAAGTAACATCGCTCGTTGAACCCTGACCTACACCTGGCTGGCCATCGGAGCCAGCGGCTCCAGGAAGAGGGGGAGGAGCTGGCGGGGGTTGAGGTGGAGCCTGTTGAGTCTGATCAGTATTTTGAACTGGTGAACCTGGAACCTGAGGAAACATCGTAGGCCCTCGCGGGCCTGAAGCTCCTTGATCACCGGAAGGCGGATGTGAGACAGCATCTCCACCTGGTGAAGTTGGAGAACTTCCCTCACTTTGGCCATTATTGGGAGTTGGAGAACTCTCCGCTTTCTTGCCCTGGTTCTGTGCTCCCTCGGGTCTTTTTGGAACGGGAACTTTCTTTTCTGGCACCACCTCCTTGGGGGCTTCAGGAACCTTGGCAGGCGGGGCCTCAGGCTTTTTAGGCGGCGCAACCGGAACTTTCTTCTCCGGCACTACTTCCTTGGGGGGCTCATCTAGTGGACACAATGTTTTATTCTTACCATTTAAAATCTCAACAAGCCTATCCAAATCGCCGTCACTTCTCTTAAACTCGTTGATCACATCACGCCAATCTGTTTTCAATCCGTTTAAGTTGTTGCCCTGCATATGGAACCGACTTTGTCCATTAAACGTGAACCCGTAGGGGAAGAGGTTTTTCGTGAAGTATGCGCCAAGATCTTTTGCGGGTGTTTTCATGATGCTGTCATCTGTATCAATTTCCGTCAATTTCCCCCGCACTTTGTTCAGATACATTCTCATCCATTTCGCAGTTTCCTTCGCAAGCTCCTTTGTCTGAAGCCTATTAAGTCCAATCGACTGTCCGGTGAAATCGAAGCGTTTATTCTGTTCGAAAAATGTATCAAATTTCTTCCTAAGCTGAGCGCAATGATCTTTTAGGTCTTTCCAACAGATGGAATTCTCTGTTGAACTCACTTGCTGCCGTAAACCGTCATTCAATGCATGTATTAACTCTCCGCCTTCTTGACCTTCCTCCCCTAGAACAATATCGCAAAAGGTTCTGACCAATGAGACAGCGTTCGCAGTGTTTTGCATAGCGGTGCCACTATTGTTGGAGAAAACCGAACTCACAAACACGCTGCGGAAGAAATTGTACGGTTGCTTTTTCAGAATCTTTTGAATGTCATCAGCCATGTTATAACCCTGGTAGTAACCTTTCCAAAATTCTCTATATTTCACTTCGCCTTGTATGAACCCACCGGGTATCATGTCGCCGTACTTATCACTGGTACGCTGCGCTCTGAGATACCTATCAAGATCACCGCCCCAATCACCATGCCAAGATCGCTCACCGTACCCGGGCCAGTCCTTCTGCCACCCGCCCCCGCCAAGTGACACGAAACTAGGATCCACGCAATACCACAGATAGTAGATCGCAGCGAGGAATTTAGGGACACAGTCAAGGAGGGCGTCGGCGATTTGGTCCGTGGTTTTGTTTCCATAACTGCCTGCCTCTGCTTTGTGGCACAATCTCGTATAGAACTCTGACACGGCAGTGAGGAATGGGCGCAAGCCCTCTTTAACGTTGTGCTCTGAACCAAATGAAGGTTCAAAATAGTTTTTAATACGCCCATGCAGATACCGGGACACCTCTTCAAGCTTACTCTCATCCGTTTTCAACCACTGCAGGAACATGAGACACTGCTTGAGAGTGTTGAGGTCAACTCCATGCTTCTCCATCTTGCTTACGAAGGCAAAGAGCACAAAGACACTAATAAATGGGCAATAGGCTAGTCGTACAAAAGTATGTGAAAGCGTTTAAATGCTTAACCAGGAGACACTAAAGCGATAAAGCCTCTAAGGCGGTGCTTCTGACAAGTTAGCGTAGCCAAACCGCTAAGTGGGCTGACTGAGCGGGCTACAAAGTGAAACGCTGGGTGACAACTAAGTGAGCCATAGCACTAAGATTAAACGAGCCTCGAAACATGCACAGTAGAGCGATAAAATCATACAAACATCCCACCTACCTGGGTAGGAAGGATGGGGACAAGCCCATGCATCCGCCAACCGCGGACCCCGACTGGCATGAAAGGCTAAGGCACGGCGGGATTACGGCATACCCCACGGGGGTTCTGGATGCCAGCCAAGATGCCTATCCTGGCTCCGTATCGTGATGCGGACAAGCCGTACTCACTAGGTATTCGGGGACTTCTGGGCAATTCTCACCGAACGCATCGCCATGGGTACCACGCCCAGGCAGGTGCATGTAAACGGCGCCGTCAACATACCATCTCTGAGCCGCTTGTGTCAGGGCTGCGGACTCACATCATATTAAACTCCGTATTTTTAGACAATGGTTCTACACGTGGCTATGTATGGCGTGTTCCGATTTTTCGTTCGACGACCTCATACCTCGGACCTTACAGGCATGTACTGCTCTCTTTGCGCCACTGTCGCAATAGGACGTAAGAGGTCTTTATAACCCGGTGAACATCCATATAAACTACCGCCAAACCGCAAAACAGCGACTTAACGCTGCAATTAAGTCCTACCTACCAGGGAAATCTGTCCACCGTATATAACATGAATATTTGCAGCAAAAACATGTAGCAGCCCCACAATCCGCAATATAACCTTATTAAGGTGTTAATTAGGTGCGGTACGAGTGCTGCGGCTCAGGTATAAGGTCCTTGCCGCCATTAGTCTGTGAATAACGCTTCACCTGAGCGCGGAGTTCAACTTGTTGTGCCTGCCGTGCGCTTTCAATCTCCCGCATCTCCCCATGCACGGCGTGGCGAATCTCATCGGCAGTGAGGGTCTCGTACTGTACCAGGGCGTCAGACAGGTTGTGCAGCTGCACTAGGTTGCCGCGGATTACACGGCAAGCGTGTTGGTACCCTCCCTGCACGCAGTCAGACAACCTAATGTAGTACTTACGTCTAGAACCTGTTGAACAGCAGCGTCTACGCGTTTACGGTGGTCCTCACTTAGGTCGGAGTACCCCTTGGAGTCCAAAAACATGGGACCGCTAACGTTCTCCAGACCTACACCAAAGTTTAGAACCTGCGGCAGAGTCAATATAGGGAGCGATATCCATACCATCGTACGCGCGATCTCCGTAGCCTTCTGAAGGTCACTCTGGCAACCAGTAGAAACGTTCTCCTTGCCGTATATAACTTCTTCGGCAGCCATGCCACCCATTAATACGGCGATCTCTGCGCGAAGCTCAGACATGCGGGTGTCAGACTTCTCCTCCGGGATCTTCCATGTCTGACAGAAGTTTGTGCGTTTGTGCGGCATGAACCTACCACGCCTAGTGTCCGGCCTCGGGGGGCTATTGTGGCCTTGTGTACCTGGGTTGCCTCCGGAGTGTGGAGGCTCACCAATGTGTGGCCGCCCTCGTGGTACGCTGTAGCCTTCTTCTCCCTCTCGTTTGTAAGCGGCTTGCCCTTCAGGCCAACCACCACACGATCGAAGGCTTCCTCAATGGCCGCCGACGTCACTGCTGCGAGGCCTTGCAGTGAGCATCGCAGCGCCGCCATGTTGAGGATGTTGAAGATGTCAGCACCCGTCATGCCCACGGTGCGTTTTGCGATGGTGGAAAGGTCCACATCAGGCGCTACTGAAATCTTCTTGCTGTAGAGCTTCAATATATCGTAACGGCCCTTGTAATCCGGTAGAGGAATGTTGATGGTCTTGTCCAGGCGACCCGGGCGAACCAGCGCCGGATCCAGTGACTCCGGGAAGTTGGTGGCGCACAGCACAACAATACCCTCGCGCTTGTCGAAACCGTCGAGTTCAACCAGAAGCTGATTAAGAGTCATGCGTACGCTGTTATGGTCGGTGGCAGAGCGCCGTGAGCCCACCGCATCAAGCTCGTCAATGAACACAATACACGGGGCCACGGACTTCGCCAGCTTGAAGAGCTCACGGATACGACGAGCACCAACACCGACAAACATCTCCTCGAACTCAGAACCAGACGCCTGAATGAAGGGTACTCCTGCCTCACCAGCTATGGCTCGCGCCATAAGAGTCTTGCCGGTGCCCGGCGGGCCGGCCAGCAATACTCCCTTGGGCAGGCGCGCCCCCAGTCGGTCGAAACGCTCAGGGTTCTGCAAGTAAGCAACAACCTCGTCCAATTCGGCTTTGACTTCGTCACAACCCTAGATACGCATGCATCCGTGATTGCATTCGAAAAAAACGAACCTTGACGTCGGCAAAGGTGGTGTCCAGGTCGTCTGGATCCACCACCTTGAAAGCGTGCTTGAGCCCGCGCTGGATGTTCTGGCTGGTGAGTATGTAGAGTGTGCCGAAGCAAAATGCGATAGAGCCGATGGACACAAGTCCTTTTATAAAGCGCGCGAGCACGCTGCTGGCGGCAGGTGAGACCACGACGTGAATCGGGTTCTTAGAGTCGGACTTAAGATACATCTCATTGCGATCGAAAACGTGCCGTAACTGCTCCTATATACACATTAGAGATGAAGGCGAACTATAACGAACGTACCAGCACACGCGGGTCAGGTTCAGAATCTGCGCCGGGAGACGAGGTGCTCCGCGACGACTGTGCACGAACAAGATCCTTCAAACTGCGGGAATCCATAGCGTTGGTCAACGTTAGCGCCTTCAGATACTCGCGCAAGACTCCCTCATCATTAGGGAATCCATTTGAATGTCTCGATTCTACGGCGTTCACTGTGATCCGCGGGTCTACGCGATTAGCCTCGCGCAGCGTATGCTCGTTCAGCCGTCCTCTTGCCAGATCGTCTGCAAGGGCACGGCGCAGGCGGTACATACGGTGAGTTGTAAACCGCTCCACGAATACAAGGGAGAAACACCCGGCCGGCTGCCGCGCAGTGACCGCAGCGCGGACTGAGCGGCAGGCAATATTTGCCGTGCTTCCCAACATAGGAGAGAATGCAATTAATCAGTTATTTTATTGGTGCATAATCGAGTGATGAACTACGAGCCGGGGGCGCACGATCCAGTTGGCGCGCGTACCCCGTCGCCAGACACGACAGCCAGTCTAAGAAACTTCCACGCCAACGGCACCCAGGCCGACGTTATCTTCTACTACACCTTGCGATATTCGTGCCACAGAGGGGTCGTTTTCGGTGCGGGGACTGTACTGGAACAGCGGAAGATCGACGTACTTCCCTGCGCGAAAATAACGACACTCCACAGCTGACGTTAACCAACCGTTGTGGAAGATGGAGCGCTTAGTATCGAATGATACGAGGCTGCGCGGTTCGTCGGCGAACTTCTGGAGCAGTCGCAGCCGTGCGAAGTAGGCGTGCTTGAAGTCAGAGAAACGCAGCACCACCCATTGTGGATCCATGCTGCGATACCGATGAAGGCATACGAATACACAACTAAACACACCTGTCACTCGTAGCGGACTTGTTCTGCAGCTTCTCCAGCATGGAGGAGTCCACGTGATTGTCGAGAGCGGGTTGAGGGCATGCAGGCCACTCGCCGGCTGCGACAGCGCCATTTGCATCCGCGGTCACCACCGGCGATTGGCCTGCTGTACCATGCTTCCTTTTCGAAGATGGTGTTATTCGACATTGACTCGGAACCGTAGTAGCATAAGCTGCGTTGACAGATGACGATTCGAGTTCGGGCTCCGCCTGAGTTTGCTCATCATCGACATTTGCCCCTTCGTTTGCCTCGGTGATCTTGACACCATCACTAGCCAAATTTGAGGTACGCATAGCCCCCAATTCTTCCGTAGGGATGGGTTGCGTAGAAGGATGTCCTATGAGATGATCCGTAAATGCGGATTCGGCACTGGTGGAGACTGGCTGCTCTACCAGCGCATTCGCGATAAACTGCAGTGCGTCAGCCATGCGCCTGAATGGAGGACATATGGCAGTCAACAGACTGTGCTTCCGTTCCGCGAACTCGGGGTACACCACGCGACCACAACATAGCAAGCCGAAAACACGAATGTGTTCGTCGCAAATGTAGTCACGATCCGCCTTGCTCTCGAACTCTGCAGTCACACATATAACACGATTACGCATCACACTTACCCACTAATGCGTATAGTGGCGAGTATTTGTCACGCGGCGGGGGAGCGGAGTTACGCGCAACCGCTGAACGTTTTACAAGCGTGGTCAGGGGCGGAAGCCGATCAGAGAAGATGTCGATGCGCCTCACCTTTGAAAAGCGAGTCAATACCTCATGCAGCGCTGCATTCAATTCTCCGTGTTCGATGAACGGTAGATTGTAAACGAAGGCAAACCGTTCGGGCTCTAATGATGCAGTGGATACCCCGACATCAACCCAGTCGATGTTAGCCTCGTAGACTGCTTTCTGATCACGCCATGAATATTAATAACACTTAACAACTAACCGTGACGTTCTGATCCTTCAGAAAACGGAACTTGTTGATCTTCAGGTGCCGCATCAGAAGGTTGCGCTGCGCGGTGCGACTCTTCAACGCCTTCTCTCCAATAAGCTTGTCTTGTTGCACCTTGCTCGTGCGCACGTTGGAGAACGATTCGAAATTCTCCATGCCAAAAGAGGCACGAAACGTCTCAAACGAGTTGTCGTAGTTCAGGATATGGCGAACCCGCAACATTGAATACAGATCGTCGCACGTTAGCAGATCGATACACCGCAGCAGCCAACGCGCTAGCTGTCGATGATCTTCCAGCGGCTTATGCTTCCGAATGCAGCGCAGAAAACGTTGCACGTATTGACGCCGCTGAGAAGCCTTGCGACGGCGGGGCAGGGTCTGATACGCCGCAAGCACCTGGTTCGTTATTTTCACAACTGTTGCCATGTCGAGCTGATTGTAGGCGTACAATAGGAAATTGCGATGAGAGACCTTGCACAGTTGCTTGTTGTTCCAGTCCAGCGACTCGCCTTCGCTCAGCTCGAACGCAGCATCCAACGCACGTGCCTGAGCTTCTGTGACAGATGGCTCAACCGCACCATTATCCACAACTGAGTCGGATTTCAATTCGGTGTCAGATGTTGAGGACTGTTTCACAACTTTACTTTTAGCACGTTTACCGGCGGATGGTACAGTGTCAACTGTACTAGACTTGCCGGACGCTTTACGACGTTTGGGGGCAGTGTCAGGCTTGGAAGGCACCGATAACACGTCTGAATGTGTGCCATCTACACGTGGTGCAACGCCGTCGCTGCAACCCCCAGAGACAGATTTATCAGGTGCAACCGGGCTTCCGATTGCATCTGCTGTTGTGTCATCTGCGTTCACAATTGTGGGAGATTTCTTTGCCACGCTTGCCGAGTCACTCTTACTGTTATTTCTAATTCCAACAGTGTCTTCTGCAGCTCCAGATGCGCTTTCTTTGGTTGCTGTACCAGAGAAGCTGCGATGTTCACGCCTTCCTCGGGACGCAGAGTCAGCGGATGTTGTCTTTATCGGCGCCTGCAGGCGGAGTGGCAAGTTATATGACGCACAGGCATCCATATTACGGTGCACATGACGTGTAAATGCACCTCCACGTCGGCTAATGGCTTCATTTACCGTCCCAGGCACATACTGCGAAGGTAGAGGCGATCGGATGTTGAATGTAATTCTTCGTTGCAAGACATTACTCACCAACCGCGCACCGCATCCGTGCGCGACGGCTAAGTCATTAAACAGTTGTACCACATACAATCCATGGCCCCTGCGGGTGGAAGGATGCCACATCGCCATCAATGACAGCCGCGGCTACTGCGAGCCCTCCCACAAAAGCAATAACGCCATGTATCATGGCACCTACGATATCCACATGACTTACAACTGACTGACTGTATATTGCCCGTCTGAGTGTGAAAACAACGCGCTTAGCGCCGCGTCATGGCACCACTAAGGCAGAGAAGAGTCACACCTGGCGACCATTAATCCACACACCAGAACGCTCCGGCACGTTTACACGCGCGTACGTATATATAAGGGGCAGGAGCGCTAAAATATCGCACATAACCGAAGGCTCTGCCGCCAATACCGCTACCGGCGTTAATCTGACCCGTATTTGTAGTACAGCCGCTGCAAGATGCCGAAAGCCAAGAAGGCTGGCAAAAAGCCGAAAAAGGGTTCGGATACGTCCGCCAATGACACTACTGATCAAGAGGAATCAACGGTCACGTTCAAGGAGCCGGTAACGTCGCAGCCAGGTCGGTGTCTTCTGGTTGGATTCGCACATTGACACAGATTATGACGATGAATCGTCTTCGGAGGAATCATCAGAGGAAGATGAGGATGGCGTGTTGCTGACGGACAAGGTCGAGCAAAAGATATTCCAGACCCTCCTCAAAATCAAAAACAAGAACCCGGAAATATACGCCCCGGAAGTGAAATACTTCTCCGACTCGGATTTTGAGGATGAAGCCAATGAAGAGGATGGCGAATCTAAAAAGGTACGACCACGAGATTTTCCGAATGAACCATGTGCAGGCCAAGGGGCTCACGTACAAGGACATGGTACGAGAAACCCTGCTCAAGGAAGGCGCGGAGGGATTCGAAAACGAAGAAGATGATGCGGAAGAACCACAAGATGCGCAACATGGCAGGACCTATCAGGAGGAGCAGGAGGATCTGAAGAAGGCGTTCCTGTCGGTCGCCGATGAGCTAGACACAGATGCCGACTTCTTCAAGAAAAGCAGCGCCACGGACGTGCTGCCCGAACCGCGATTTAGCAACAGAAAGGGTGCTGCGAGAAACCTGGGAGCGGATTCAGAGGGTCTGATATCCCAGTATTGGGCACCCGAGCAGCCCATGAACGAGGAGGAAGAGTTCCTCAAGGACTACATCCTCAACCAGCGGTGGCGCGAGGACAAGAAAGAAAATTATGACTACTTAAAACGCCTGAAAGTCGATCAGGAGGACGAAGATCACCTGAACGAAGCTGAGGAGTTCGAGTACAAGTACAACTACAGGTTAGTGGATGTGTCAATGAGTGTTGCAACCCGCTACGTTTTAATGCATACTTCGCTGTTACACCTCCGCCATGCCGCAAAACTACACGTATTATCATGCCAGAACACACCTAACTAATATTACAGGTTCGAAGAGGAGGGTGGCGCAAAGATCGAGGGGCACCCGCGCAACATCGAGGATTCCGTGCGCAAGGTAGACGAGCGGCGGAAGAAGAAGCGCCAGGAAAAGAAGCAGCAGAAAATGGAGGAGAAGATACGGAGAGAGGAGGAGCTGAAACGGCTCAAGAATCTTAAGAAAGCCGAAATCGCAGAACGCATAAGGGAGATAGAGGCCAAAGCTGGCGTGAAGCTCGATGAAGACATCGTGGACCTCAATGCGCCGTTCGACCCCGTGCAGCACGAGAAGGATATGAAGAAGATTCTAGGAAAAGGCTATGACAAAAAGGATGACGACGACTGGAACCCGGCTCACGACTGCGCAGACGAGGATGAAGAGCTGTGGTGGCTCTGTGACCACTGCAACAAGGGCATTCCAGTCGGAGCAAAGCATTTTGACTGCACAGAGTGCGACAACTACACCCTCTGCGAGGCCTGTGTTGTGCTAGCAAACCACGAACACTCGCGCATGGTCGCAAAGGTGGTGCCTCCCACCTGCGCGCCGCCTAAGGATGCCACTAAGGCCATAGCCGAACTAGAGGACGAATACTACAACCTTGACTATGAGGACGTCATTGGTGACTTGAAGGTCAGGTTCAAATACAGGCAGGTGCAGCCATTCAAGTGCGACCTGCAGACCATCCTCGAAAAAAGCGACAAGGAGCTCAATGCCATTATGCCCCTGAGCAAGCTTCTCGCTTATGACGCAGAGCTGCCAGAGAAGGAGATGAAGGTGGCGAAACGCAAGCTGGAGAAGATGAGTAAGAAGTCGGAGACTAGCGACGGCATGGATCGCCGAATGACCAAATACAACGTAAACCGCGACAGGCTGCAGGCCTTCGGTCTGAAGGAAAAGAAGAAGGCGAAGAAAAAGAAGGAGTAAGCTGGAAACAGCACCACCAAATCTCATAAAAATCGAAAGCTATTGTATAACGCTGCTTGGTTCACAAGAGGTGTTCTCACAGAAACTGCGTGAAAAGACATGGTCGCAGCGTACAACCAACGAGCTTGGCATGCGCCGTAATGTGGCCAAAGCAGGCAATTTATAGTACAACATTTACGTAGAATATGGGTTTCCGGTGACCCTGAACTTGCCGTTTAGCATGTTTCGGCGACACTGTGCCAGTGCCCGTTTAAGCAGGAGACACTCCTGGCCGACCTCGTCGGGCCGCCGGTTGCGAAGGCACTCGGCGAAAGGGCGGTTCATTTCACGGCAGCAACGCGACGCCTTGTAGCACTCAATCATATCATTCTGAAGCGCGTCACATGAGTTTGATGCGTGGCGGTGCGGCAGGTCGGGATCTAGCCGGAGCGCCATGTCGATGGCGGCGACTGGATGCGGCACGGAATTGCGATATGACGAGATCAGAGCCCGTCGTTTTGCGATCGTTCGCTCTGCTCCTTTAGCAAAGCCTCTTGTTCCTTCGGTGGCTCCTCGGATTTCACCTCCTCCCCGTTGAGATATATCTGCAAACCGTAGTCAACGGCTGCGCGCGTCTTACCTGTGGCTCCCCGGAGTTAATGTTGGTGATGTCTATATTCGTAATCTTGCTGTCACGGTGGGCGGCGACGGCTGCCTCTTCTGTGGAGCTTTTCGGGTGCAGCAGGTCGTATAACCGCTGCGCCTTGGTTGAGAGATCGGGCAGCTCCGCCGGCCCCGCAGCTACCTCAGGGGCGGCACCCTTGCCCAGTACGGTGTGAGCTGTGTGACAGAACTTGGCCTTCAGCAAGGCGTGCATCCAAAAGCTGAACGAAAATGAGCGCCAAACGGGGTTACAACACGCACTCCCTATGGCTGGTGTCACGAGCGCAGAAAAGGATAGGATCCGACTTGTAGAACATGCGGAAGCCTAAAGCATTTCGAGACAAGGTGTTCTTGACTCACAGTCGCGAGATGATCGCAGGGTCTCCAGCGGGGTCACGATCGCCCCTAGTGAGAAACGCGCAAACAGTTTACCCAATTTCTTGGCATCAGCATTTGTTTTTTTGCGATCTGTAAACAGTAAAACACCAAAACAAAATTCACGTACCAGGGATGTACAAACGTAATTCTGAGGGAGTAATGCTGCCTACGAATTGCTGTGTCTTTAACATGTCCCGCGGCTCAAGGGCTACGTAGATAACGTCATCCTACACAACGTTAGGGTTACAGCCAGACTACCCACCAAAAGCACATCGCATCCACCTCCGTTTTTAGGCAGATAGAAGTCCTCTTGTCTACCCAAATCGAGCATCTCATGGTTCCGAATCTCATCATCCAGGCTATGAACGCCTTGGGATTGCCCTGCAAGCGGCGTGAAATACAAACACAAATAAGTAAATATAACATTTATATTCCATATTATGGTGTATACGCACCACGCTAATCAAATGTGTACGCGATAACGTACCTATCTCAGCCTCCTCAACGTGCTCGACTTCGGTATTCTTTGGCGTGGCAGCCTCCGAGCCTACACATCTATGTAACAACGTAAAATACACTACCTACCAAGCGTAGCGACAGCGTTAGGTCGATTTATGGCAAGGACTCCGGGCGGTAGCCGACCCAAACAAGAGGCGGCCCAGAGGAGCAGCAAAGCCGCGTCTAAGACCGCAAAGATGCAGTTACGCATTATGCTGCACCTCCCAGGCTCGTAAAACTGCTCTTGGACATCGATATATCAATTAGAAACGAACACATCCGCCATTATGAGTGTGTATTGTAAACGACATCACCATGGGGAGGTGTGTACGATGTCGTTAATCGGTGACCTAGAGCTGCCGGGCAGAACACGCGATGTATGGCTTCCCGACCAATTCAATTTAGTATGATTGTAATCTTCGTCAGCGGTGTGTAATAAATATAGAATGGAGCGCGTGACACACCTTTAGACATCCTCCAGCTACACCTTGGAGCTGTGATGCGAAGGCAACTTTGGTAATCGCACAACGACGCCGTCCCAGCGGTCATCCGCTGGGTGCACAAGAACTCGCACAATGCGCCTCGCAGCGGGTGTAATTGCCGCGTTTTGGCTGCTGCTGCAGTTCGTACCCCGCGCGGCCAAGGTAAGCGGTTTATACCACCCCTTTCTCGTCATTATGGTTTCTAAGTTGCGTTATCGAGTGTGTATACGTGCCTTCAACATGCTGAATTCATCACATTCACAGGGGGAGTTCTCGAACGCCATCCTGAGCTTCCTGCAAACGCAGGAGGCGAAGCTCAAGGACAAGCTGCCAGCTCCTGTGGCCGAGGAAGATGAAAGCAAGGCCGAGCCCACTTGGCTCGACGAGCAGGATAGGCTCGCAGAGTATGAATCATCGCAAACAGAACGGGCAAATGATATGACCCTAAAAGCCATTCAAAAAAAGCGCGCGGCAAACATACTGCGCTCTTATGCCGAAGGCATACATGCGGAACTGGTCAAGCTCAGAGGAGAACCGGGAAACCACGCAGACCAGGAACTGAAGCTTACAACCCAACTGGAAGCCAACCTGGCAAGGGTGGCGATGTTGCACAAGCAGGCGGAGCTCATGCAACACCAGGCCGCGAAAGCCAAAGAGGAGCTCAGCAACATCCACTCTTCCACCGACCGATCGAGGGTGCTCGGAGTAGGTAGGTGCCGAGATTCAATGTGACTAATTGCACGAAACGCAGACTGCAACATGCTGAAAATAGCGCCGTTGTTTTACTCCGCCCGCAGCGACGACGTCGAACACAAGGACAAGGTGCCTCTCATGGCGAAGCTGAACGGAAATGCGCTGGTGCTATACCACGAAAAAGTGCCTCAACTCACGTTCTACCTGGTAGACGTAGAGCTGCCGACGAGACCTGTGGAGAGCGCACCGAGCTGCTTTTCCTTCACCTACCGGGGAGCTGAGCAGGCACTTTGCGCCGGATCCGAGATGTCCTGCCACACGTGGATGAATGGTACGAAACGACTAGTTAGAACATGATAATCGATATGCAGCGCTGACTGAAGCGTGGTTCTGCAAGAACCAGGGCATCAGGGGGGTAATGGCCAACACGAGGCATCAGAAAAAGGAAGAGCCGAGCAAAAAGGACAGCAAGAAGAAAAAAGAGAAGGAAAAGGCAGATGACAACACCATTATGAAGCATGCCGTTAAGGAGGACCCCAATAAGGTACGCCACAACGTAGTTTAACGTCAATGTTAACTCAGGCACTCGTCAACATGGAGGTGTACGTCGACGACAAAAACAAAACCCACATGATCGTCAACGGGAAGGAAAAGCCCGTGACAGCCGTTGCGGATCTCATAAACATAAGAGAGATTATGCAGCAGGTGAAGGACGAGAAGAAGTGACAGCGCGCTTATCGTCGGCATTATTCAGTACGCACCAGTTGAGGAATAATGGTTACGGATCTGACGGCATATGAACCAGATCGCACATAACACGCCCTATCCGGCCTAAATATACACTACAGTCTCCATATGAGTGGTACATGCCAAACTAGTGAGGCCATTAACAGATGTCAGACAGCTGTTGCGCAATCCGAGATCGGTGGACCTGGCATGGCTGTCTAACGAATACAAAAGTGATATGTACACATTCTTAAGAACGGCCTGAATTAATACTCAGCCATTTACTTGCTATTAGTTTGCGGCGGTACCAAAAGGCGTGGACCGCACATGGCTAACGACATGGGCTGCACACCACCCGGTGACACGGCTGGTTGCCGTACATTTGGTGCGCTTGTACCATTGCTCAACGCGCAGTTGGTGCTACAACAGCGCAGGCAGCAGTTTCAATCGGCCTTCCACGGCTAGATCGGCTTGCCTGGGCGAAGTCGGTAGCGACCGACTACTGGCGCGCGGTGAGTCGACGTTGGCTGTTCGCGCAAAATCCGGCCGGTACAATGCCGTGATGGAATCCCATGAGATGCAGCACAGTCATGATTAAGCATCAATAGCGGTTGCACTTCGAGAATGGCCATCATGGAGCAGTTCAGGGACGGAGCCATCGATTCCATTACCATGGAAAATTGGATGGCATACACCGGACCTGTTAGACTGAAGGCGATGCCCGGTGTAAACATCATCGCTGCGGCCAATGGATGCGGGAAAAGCGCCATAGTCTGTGCTATCGCAATCGGACTAGGCTTCGAGCCAAATGTCTTGGCTAGGGGCGACAACATTCACTTGTTCATCAAGCGTGGTTTCAAGCAAGCTAAGTTACGCATTGGGCTAGTAGACCGCCAGGCAAAAGGAGGAATCACGCTGGTAGACCGCACAATGACAATCACTTCATCGTCAAACGCATCCCAACCCATAGATCCGGATAGTGATGAAGAGGAATTCGCAGAAGAATACGGACAAGAGGAAGATGGGGATGATCCACTGAAGTCAGTGAAAAGGAGGCGAACACCAAAGGCAGCGCCAGACGATGATTATGAAGGCGAGGCAACTGAAAGGAAGGATAGGCTGGAGGCCAAAAAGCGAAGAGCCGCCAGGCAGAAGGCAGCCAAGAAAAAGGCGGAGGCTGATAGTAAAGCTGCAGCTGCTAAACCTAAACGCACCAGCAGGAAGAGTAACACCCCCAAAGTCACGGTAAGGAACGAGTGGGCGATCAATGGCAAGTCAGCGACGCTGGAAATGGTGAAGCAGCTTCAAAAACGCCTGAATATACAAGTGAACAACCTTATCACCTTCCTTGCACAGGCCAAAGTTGGCAGGTTCGCGGCAATGACGCCGCAACAGCTGTTCCGGGCCACTCTAAACGCCATCGAGCCCTCGCTGTGCGACGACCTAGACGAGATAACGGAGAAGTCGAAAGAGCTCACGGTGATGCGCTCCAAAACTCAGATGCTTGTGGATGATCTGAATGCTACCGGCGTCAAAATTGCGCAGCTCAAGGTCATCAGCGACACGCTTAGCAAAATGAAGGATGCCACTCTTTACGCCAACCTAGTCAAGCAAAGACTGTACCGCATAAAAGTTGCCAACCTGGAGAAGGGCCTCAAGGCCACGAGGACAAGGTTGAATTCCACCGCCAATGAGTACAGGGCGGCCGAGGAGGAGAAGACTGCAATGGAACAGAAGCTCAAGGGTCTCAATTCTGAAACTAACCGCGTCTTACGTAAAGCGAAATTAAAGCTCGTAAAGGCTAAAGCGATAACCCTAATGAACGTCGTAAAACCCACCAAGCAGAGCAGTGTTGGCATGTTGCCCCTAAGCGACGATAATGCATTCGACAAGGTCTACTTTAAAGTGATTACCGATATGCGCACTTTCGCCGCAAAGCATGCTCCGAATAACACAATGGGACAAACGACGATCGTGAACAAGGACGTTCTGGAAAAAAGGCTTGATTCCGTTAACAAGGAGATCGAGCTTCTTAAAATGCAAATAACGGGCGAAAACGAGCTCACCATGGAGATCGCTGACTGCAGGATGAACGAGGAAACACTGAAAAGCACTCTACGCAGGTTGCAGGGAACAGCAATTCGCAAATACGGGGACATACAAGTAGAAAACCTGCTCAAGAACCTGAACGCCATCAAACGCGACGGGTACCGCCAGTTCATCCGGTGGAGGCGCGAACAAATCAGGGAGCACGAACGGGCAATTGCAAATATGCCTGAATCGAAGACTGATGATGCCGAGCAGTCGAGCAAAACCGAGTCCAAAGGTGATGAGCAGAATGCAAATGAGAACGGCGAAAAACAGAGCGCTGGCAACGACGCAAATGTGACGGGTGGGGATGCCATCAACAACGAGAATGCCGCAGATAAACAAGCTTCACAGCAAAGCAAGGCTCCGAAATTGCCGAAACTGCTAATATCGGACATGAAGATTCGTGGACGGGTAAATTGTTGCATAATCGAGGAGGCGGCAAGCCGGTACTTGGACTGTTTAATGCTTCCAAAGGACTCATCCATTACAGTAACAACGGTGCTTACCAAATTCAAAATCCCGTCGGTGACCGCCCCGGAAGATACCCCGGTGCTGTGCGAAGTCACTGAAGTTATGCGAAGCTTCGGCGTGAAGCATTTCCTGCACGAGCTAGTGGAATGCACCGATGTGGATACTAAATATACTCTGGCCTCGGTTGCAAATTTGGGAACAGCATTCGTGGTAGATGAGGACTTTCTGCTAGCTAAGATGGAGAAGGAGATGAACTCTGACCCATCGGCGCCTGCTGTGTCGGGAGCCCCTCCTGAGGACTGTACGGATCCTACTTCACCAGCAACATCACCTGTAAAGGCTGATAAATCAGCTTCCGATCAAGTTGCACACAACTTACCCGATAACCTAACACAGGAAGAAGGCGCTGAAGTTGCCACGGATCCAGTTGATAGTCAAAGTCAAACTGCGCCGATGCATGAAGAAACACCATCGGGGTCCGCCAACGAATGCGAGAATTCTTCTCCTTTAGTAAAAACGGAGGATAAAGCTGGTGGAAACTCTAACAATGCAAGCTCAGGTGAAACACCGGAAAGGGTTGTGGCCAAAGCGCCAGTGAGGCGACTGATCACTAGGGAAACCAAATACTCTAGGTTTAGAAGCGCGGAAACTTCCCGTTCAGCAGATGAGAGTAGCCAGTCCCCTAACCAACCAATAAAGTCAAGGTCGCAAACTTTACCTCCCAACACCTGCATTTCACCAGCTCCCGACGCCAGAACGGCAAACACGATGGGTGTAACGAAACGTGAATCCAAAAAGTCGGCTGATGATAAACACTACAAAACTGACGTTCAAAACAAGATGGCACAGCAGGATAGAGCAAATGACAATCCGCATCACGACCGCCAGGCCAAAGAGGAGCGATTCTTCCGCAAGTTTTACGATTGTATGGTGAAGGAGATTGGAAAGCAGGTTGGACAACATGTCCGCATTCTGAGGTACTACGTTGGCACGAAAAGGCACATTTACAGGTCGTTCAAGGATGCAGACGATGTCTACAGTGACTACGCGGTGGAAATACCCACCGCACCGACGATGCTCCACGACAGCAGCATGCTAGTTCAGTCCGACAGCGCCCAGATGATAGATACCGTAGAGCGCGAACTAAAAGAAGTTCTGGAACGAATCTCGGTGCTAGGAGGTATGCTGTATGGTCGCAAACAGGATAACAAAGCCGTTGGCGGCAGGCTGTACGCTCTGAGCCGGGAGCAGAAATCCTTGGAGAAAACGCTGCAAGGCATAGACGGAACCTTCGGCACCGGCAAGTCGAAAGACAAGCGCAAGGAGGAGATCGAAAAAATGGAAGATGCCCAAAGGGAGGAACTAAAAGAGGCCATCAAAGAAAGGACTGACGCTATCGAGAGGTGGATCGAGAAGACCAAACTGCGAAGGACGACGCTGCAAGAGGCACACGATCTATACACTCAATATAAAACATTGAATAGGCGGAAGACACGACTAGAAGACCTGTTCAAAATATCTTTAACCACTTACGAAGAGGTAAAAACGGAGTTCAAAAGGCTCGAAGGCACGCTGTCCGAGCAGGAAACCAAACACAAGCAGTACGTGAAGGATATCAGCGAGCTGAACATCCTCATTAAAGCCATCAGCGGGGAAATAGTCAACGCGAATGCCGGGGAAGAGCAGTCGGAGCAGGTCCGGGAACGCGAAGCTTTGAAAATCCGGCAGGAGAAGGCGAGCAAGCTGGACAATATGACGGAAGCTGATCTCGAACGCGAGCTGCAAATCGCTGAACTGAAAGTCAAGCAGTTGGAGCGTGACGACTGCGAAGAAGCCCAGAATGCAAAGGACATGAGGGACTCAATGATACACGAGGAAAAGCTGTCAACCGAGATCGCAATGGCGGAGGCCAAGGCGAAGGAACTTAACGACGAAAAAGACCTCCTCTACGATACGTGGATTAAGCGCGTGACAGCCTTGGTCGCCCGGATAGACGCCAACTTCGGCAAGTACATGCTGGAAATCGGAGAGGGCGCGGGTGGCCAAATCAGGCTGGAGGCGAAGCTGGATGACATCAAGGATGCCCAAATAAAGGTGTTGGTGAAGTTCCACGGAGACAGGGACATGCTGCCTCTCGCCTCGTCGTACCAGTCGGGCGGCGAACGCGGCGTGACAACGATGGTCTACATATTGGCGGTGCAGCACCTCACCAGCAACGCCTTCTTCGTCATCGACGAAATCAACCAGGGGCTGGACTCCAACTACGAAACGCGCATCATGACGCTGCTGCTAAACACACACATCTCCAACAACGAGCCACCGTTGGGCGAAACTGGCAGCGAGTCGAGCGAAACGAACGAAGTCGTAGTGGCCAAGGCGCCGCCACAGTACTTCGTTCTGACTCCTCAGCTGATCTCCGGAATCGACCTACGGAACGCTACCATGCACTTCCCCCTCAACGGACCCGGTGTTATCAACGGGATGGTGCTTTGAATAGGACGCCGAGTAGCCGCTCCATCAGGGTCGGCATCGCAAGGCGGGTTGGGATGCCGAACACCACGGCCATCGCACCGCCGTGATCACACCGTGTTCAGCGGCACACACATACACACATCGTTGTTTTAATGTTTTACACGGCTGAGTTTCTTGCGCGAGCAGAATAAAGTCGTGAGATCGTTGTCTAACGAAGTCACACACAGCCGATATTGCCGGTCGCCGTAACGGAGAAAGACGAGCTGATCGCGTGTGTGTATCGTAATATTGATGTGTAATTGTTCTATTGTAGTTACGGGATAGACACGATTGTCACCCGGAACTGTAATTGTGTGTGTTGTGCCGCAACTCGACCGCCGAACCGTAATACAAGCGCCGTATGCCGCTACGTATAGTCAGGTAAGGTAGTTTGCGCGAGCTTCAGGGTGTGATTGAGCGATACGTAAACGAAGAATAGGGTGGTTGAGCCGAGGTGTCACGTTGAACCGAGTCACGCAACCATGGATATCAGCATGCTCTTGGCGAGCACGCGAAGCCACTCCGATGGCGTGACTTACACCAGGCTAAGGAAGGCCTCTGGCGGTAACGACCGTGAGCTCCCGCTAGTTAACATGGAACAGCGTGAAGGCTCTCTGCAGTCCGGCGAGATGGCGCCCAAACACACGCGTATCAGGGGCAGTAGCCGGACGCGTGAAAACAACGAGGAACAAATGTTGGGAAAAGTCATCACGCGGCGTGCCGGATTGCGCAACGCTAGCAGTGCCGCCAACACGCGGAAGAGGCGCAGCCCCAGGACAGCCAGCGTTCCTCCGGATTCGCCTACTCGTACTCCATCCGAGATTAAAAATCACAAGAGCCTTCTGGAGACCACCAAACCGATGAACAAAATGAGCGATGACACCGAGGGCGAAATGACACTCTCCCAGCACCCCAACATATTTGGAAAGACCAACAACCCGCTTTCGGAGATCGACATAGAGGCGCTGTTCAGCGGTATGTACGAGGGCTTGCACAATGTAATGAGCTCGCAAATGAAAGCCGCGCTTGGTATAGGCCAAGAGACTAATGTGGAGCCTGCTTTTGATGAGGAACCCGTGCCCGAAGATTCCATGGCTGACATGCCAGAGGACGCAGGGGACACGCTGTTCAAGCCGACCCAGGCGTGCGAAAAGTTAAGCGAATCGCCGGAACCGGATGAGAAGGCGGCTGGATATGCGCGGAATGACCGGGAAGCAATGATAAGTTCCATGAACAATTACGGCACGCCGGAATTTGGGCCCAAGGAGTTGGGTAAAAGGACAAATGCCGTGGATTCCAACGGCAATGCAGATGAGAACTCGTTACCCATATTCCACCCGCAACGTGTTTTGAATACGAGCCTTAACGGCATTATCCCGTCAACCGCTGGCGATGTAGTCAGTGCCAGCAAGGCGACGAACAACCACGATGATTACGCTATCGACATACCCGACGGGCTGTTCACACCAGATGTTCCGGACAGGCCACAGAAAGTAGTATCAGGGGATAAGTCAAACGTTTCCAACAAAGAACGAGTCAATTTGCCCGATACGGTCATATCACATATGGAGTCACTGTTCACTCAAGAGCCTGCAGTCGCTTACGTCGCATCAAAACAGATGCCCAACATAACCCTGCCGCTGCCAGGCGACACCCTTGTCAACAGTGCAGCAGTAGTTGAGTGCGATGACAACGCAGCGAACGAGTCCAAACTCAAACTTAAGGCCGCCAACCTCGGAAATAAGCACGTCATAGACGGTTGCCTTGATGTCGAAGTACTCCAGGGAATCGAATCTAGCACGCATATGGGGAGCAGTTCGGTCACTAAAACCGTTGTAGACGATATGCAAATAGAGATGGACTCGGCCATTGTTATCGAGGATGACGTTGATCGAGCAACGGAGTATGATTCAAAGCAGTGCGGTGATGATACACTCAAAAGCCATGCGTCGTCCATAACTGTTGTGGATCTCGAAGTTGCTGATGATGCGGCTGAAGACGAAACGCATGCAACGGTCGCCTCCGCATCGCTGATGGATGTCGACCAAGAAATTCGTGAACATGGCATCAGCGCATCAAGCGGGAAGATAGACGAGGATGCCTCCAAGCCGACGCCCCCAAAATGGTCGATTGGATCGACCACGGAGTCATTCTATGCGGCGGATGGCGTGCAGTCAGCCGCGGACTCCAGGAGGCAATCGGTGTCCACCCCGTCATCATTAGAATCGAAAGCTTCGCATTCGCCAAAAATTCAAACACCCGATGAATCTCAATCGCGGTCACGGTTAAGCAGGCGGTCAATAAGCTCAAATGACTACAAGTCTGACACCTCCGCTATCACGGAAGCCGTCAGCTTCTTCGCGGTGAAGCATTTGGTGGCCCTGCTCAGGGAGGTAGCTGAATGCCTCTCCGCGGGGGAGAATGCCGAGGAACGCTGGCAACATGTCTTGGGAATGCAGTCCAGAGCTCAGAGATTTATTAACGAAGCGGTCAGAGTGAACTTCGAGTACGACGATCTCTCGCAGTACCAGCTGGTGCTTCCGAAGAAGCTAAACATTAGCTGTGTGGCGCCGAAGACTTACACGCCACCAAACGAGCTGCTATCACAGCAGAGCAAACCCAAACCCCCTGTGGTTAGGCGTAGCAGCCAGCCAGAGACCAGGATAGTCTCCACAACGGAACGCAGCGATAAGCCGTTGAGCACCACACCGGTGCTTTCGAATACGGAGTCTACGAAGGTGCTGGCGGTGGAAGAGACAGACGATAGCATCCCAATAGACGTTGACATTGATGCGGAGATTGAGAGGTTCATCACACAGCAAACCCAGAAGAACACGCAGCAGAAGGAGGACCCCGTGAACGCAGCAACGCCGGTTGAATCGGATACCGAGGCTTTCGGGCTCCCGAAGATTCGCACCATGAACGACCTTAAGCAGTCTAAGGAATTGGAACGCAGCGCTAAACGCACCCAAACCAACAATGTAGAGTCGCAAAGCAATAAGAAAACTAAAAGGAACGAAGATCTTTTCGAAGATGACGAGGAAGACATCTACGGCACCGAGGACTTCGAGCAGGACGCAGCGGGCGACATATCCCACCTGTCCGACCCTCTCGCCGAAGCCCGCAAAATATACATGGAAAAAGTTAACTCGTTCGAAATCGATGGCATGGACCTCAGGGTCCCCAAGGAGGTCTTGCAGTCAAATATACAGCTTTTCCGCGAGCAGTTCGAATTCAGTCAGAAGGTTAACGAAGTAAACACAACGGTGTTCGGGTACAGCTCGTTCAGAGGCGTGCAATTGGCGGCGATAAACGCCGTACTTCTCGGCAGGGACTGCTTCCTCATGATGGCCACCGGAGGCGGGAAGAGCCACTGCTACCAACTGCCATCGCTGTTGCTGGGCGGTGTCGTGGTAGTATTCTCGCCATTAATATCACTGATGGAGGATCAAATGCGCGTGCTTAGGTCGTATGGTATCACCGCGGATACCATCAACGCCAGCACAACCGCCGCTGCCACCCGGCAGATCGCGAAGAGGTACCTCGACAAACAGCAAAACTTCGAGAATGGGTCCATCCTGTTCATCACGCCCGAGAAGTTTGAGAAATCGTCCATTCTGCTCAAGTTGCTCGACGATCTTTGCGAATCCGAGAGGCTTAAGCTCTTCGTGATTGACGAAGCGCACTGCGTCTCGCAGTGGGGACTCTCATTCAGAAAGGACTACCGCCAGCTCTGCAACCTCAAGGAAAAGTACCCTCATGTGCCTATACTGGCCATGACCGCGACGGCCACGGAGGATGTTGCCACAGACATCATGCGCGTGCTCCAAATTCCCAGATGTGTCAAGCTGAGGACGACGATCAACAGACCCAACCTGTGGATAGAGTGCCGAGAAAAGAGCAAGGATTATCTCAAGGAAATGATAGATATACTCAAAACCACGACGGGATGCGGTATCGTGTACACTCTGACGGTCGGCGACAGCGAGAAGGTGGCGGAGTCCCTGCAGAAGTCAGGAATCTCAGCAGGGGTGTACCACGCGAGGTTGGACATCAACGACCGCAAAGAAATTCAACAAAAGTGGACCAGTGGTGTGGTGCGCGTTATGGTTGCAACCATAGCTTTCGGAATGGGCATAGACAAACCCGACGTCAGATTCGTGTTCCACACATCAGCTCCAGTGTCTATACTGGGCTACTACCAGGAAATCGGGCGCGCTGGGCGCGACGGTAAATATTCCACTACTATACTGTGGTATAACATGCGCGACTTTGAACGCCACAAGAACCTCGGCCACAAGACGCCGAAGACGAAGGGCGTACCAGGGGATGAAATCGCCGAGTACCCATCACTTTCAAACATGCGCGAGTTCTGCCAAAACAAATCTACCTGCAGGAGGTTGATGCTCTTCAGGGCCTTTGGTGAAGACCCGACAGGCGTTCTGCCGCCGAACTGCAACGGTTGTGACAACTGCTGCCTCAACTGCATGACTGAGCGTGTTGATGCAACAGACGACGCCATCACCATCTGCGAATTCGTGAATGAAACAATGTCTCGCCGTACCAAGGGGATATTGACGATCAATATCCTCTGCGACGCCCTCAGAGGGTCGAACAGGTCGACGCTGATCAAATACAGGCTACACCAGAACTCCAGCCACGGGGTTCTCAAAACTCGCAAGCCGAAGTACATCTTCCAGGTCATACAGGAAATGGTGAACCTACGCATCCTGCGCGAATGCAGGCGTAGTTCCAACCGATTCGGGCGCACTGTTCTGCTATTGGGGCCGGCCGCCACGAAACTCAGAAGACGGCAGATCAGCGTCCACATCATCAACTATCAGTTCGCCCAGAACCATGTACCCGAGCCAGTTGGCGCGACCCCTCCCGACGCCGCTTGTCAAGCCGAGCAACCGGTCTCGGCGGGGGCAAAGAGGTCGCAAGTATCCCAGAGGAGCGCCACGCAAGAACCAGCAGAGTCCAGGGCGACATCACAGGCTTTGAAGGGAGTCGGGGTGGCCAAAATAGTTGAGGCGCTAAAAGCCGCCTCTGCTGCGGGCAGGCACGATGGCGAACGGGCGGATGCCCATGACAGGAAGCTAGGCGTACAAGGGGTGTCACTGATAAGAGAAAACCAGCTCAGCCTGGTTTCACAGGGGATGAGGGCACCCGATGATGTCAGACGTGGCAGCCCCACCGCTGCCGGCGCCACAAAGGCGGCAACGGATTCGACGGTGCCTGCCAAGCCCAGGAGAGGAAGGCCCCCAGGTTCTACGAAGCAAAAGAGTAAGAATGCGAAACAGGCTGCATCATCTTCGATTAACGAGTCAAGTGTGAGTCAGCAGAAGGCGGGGACGAGCAACACGCCTCCCAACCCATCGACTAGTGATGCGAATGCAGCCGCATGGCGCAATGCGAACGCGAGGGCACTCAAGCTCACGCCACCAGGCGGTACCAACCCAAGCGTTGACATACAGGCGGCGCTCCACAACAACATACGCAGGAAGGTCCCGCCAGACCTGGTTAGCTCGCTCAGCTGACGAGCACCTTGGCACGCGAGAACGGGTACACCGTCGCTAACACGCAGCCGCGCAGAAGTCCCAGTGGGATCTGCAAAACGATCGTAAACATACAAAATCGATGTTGCTAACGCAAAGTACACCACTAAATCTGTTGCACTAAAGTGCTCACTAATGCATGACATAGACGGCGCGGGTAAATGCTCACCGCATTGAACGTGAAACACTCACCGCCCCGAACTCGTTGCTGTCCGGCTCGTCCGAACGGGGGTTGTCGTTCTCAACCCTGAGAAGCATTGGATGGGAGCAGGCACGTACGCATACCAGCAGTGGCCGGACGGCACCCGCCGTTTCACGTGGTTGGGGTTCTCGCTGGCGTTTATTTCCACCAGGCGGCCGAAGAGCTCGGTGCCTTCGTTAGGGTGTTGGTACAGGACGACGTCGTTGCGATAGAAGCGGGAGGCGCGGATCACGACCGCCAGGTCTGAGCATGGTCAAAAGCTCGGACATTAGCGCCCACCCCTGGAGTCGTCGAGCGCAAACAGCACTGGCGACATGCTATCATTGCGAACCTAGCAACAGTCATAGTGGAAGGCCGGCAGAAGGGCACTCACCCAGCGCAGGGTCACAACGTTATGAGACACCACCGCAGCTGCGGCGGCGCTCACGGAACCGGCCACAATGAAACGTTTGCACGCGCGTAAATTAAAAATACGTGACATTATGGTGACATCCTCTGCAATTGGTCCTGAAAGCAAGTCAACACATGTACGACACACACTCACCCGTAGCGCCGGGTAGTTGACCGAACCCTTGTACGCCCAAGGGATCGAAACCACCCGGATTTCGTCAGGCACGGGGCAACTCGTGAACAGACCGGCGGATTCTGAAACGCGTTAATGACAACGTAGGAGGCAACGTACTGCAGACGTTCAAAAAGGTCGACATAATGTCTTCCGCAATCTCGCCACGCAGGGCAGTGATAAGCTCCACGGCGCAAACGATCTTGGTGCCGCCCCTGGGCTGAGGCATCAACATCGTTTCGACGCGTACCACGGGCTCGGTCAGGTCGTACCGCTCGCATATCGCCTGCTGCATCAGGTGGTTCAGGGACAGCAGGTCGAAGTAAGGGTAGGCCACTCCGCGGGGAATGGAGTGGTCCACCTTGTGCGACCAGTAGAAGTGTCGAGAGCCGAACATGTCCACGTAGAACCCGACGTCGCCCAGGCCCAGATAAGTGCCGTCCTCCATGATAGTGCCATGCAACTCCCGGGGGAGCAGCAGCTTGGTGTAGTCGCCTTCGCGGCAAACGAAATAGCCGGGCTCGTACGGCACGCAAGGAATCTGTTAGCGCGTGAAACAGTGGCATCAGAGAAATACTCACCATAAAATTTAGGTCCACACTGTCCACAGACCTCACCACAGCAAAACCCCGATCAGCATCCACGGCAGTACCGATGTAATGCCCAAGCACATGCTTGTCCCTGAATTTGTTGTTCAAACCGATATTGTACAATTCCATCAGGCGACGCTGGTCCAAAGTCGGCGATATTAGCGTCAGCTGCGCATTGATGAGGATGTCGGAAAACCACACGTACCGTTGGGGAGATCTCGCTGCAACCGTACTTCATAATGGGCGTTTTGCCCCCTGTGAGGCACGCAAATAGGCGGCCTGACGACAAATTGATACGATTCAAAATGCCCAAACTTACACAAATCGTAGTTGGCATGAGTGCCAGATAGCAGGAACAGGACGTTCTTGTCGCAGAGCACGTTGCGCAGTTCGCTGAACTTCAGGTGTAACTTGGGGATGTAGAGGCTCACAGGGCGTGGCTTATCGCTGCCATTCGCCCCGTCACAATCGTCGCTTGAGTTGCGTTTAGTTATGCGGGGGCCTTCGCCAACGTCCTCATCGGCGCCAGAAGCGGCCTCGCCGCCACTGTTGGCGTTGTCGCCCTCCGTGCTCGAAGGATCCAACTTCGACGAAGTGCGCTTGCCAAAGATGTACTTCGATACCTTGCCGATACTGGACCGCGCGACGGCTATTGCGCCTGAGCCGTATGACAAAAGCGGATGCCCGGGGTCAGAGGGAGTCGCGGATTTGGGCGATGTGGGATACGGCTGATCAGCGTTCTCCGAAACAGCAGTATGCGGCTTTGCAAAAGCAGCCGTGGGCAAATCTTGGAATTCGTCCGATCCCGCCCGTTCCAAGCTGCCGGAGGCTCCGGACATAAGTGGCGAACCAGGCCCGGCATTTCCGGCAGCAAACAACTTGCATTCTTGCGCAACTTCATCAAGCGTCAACAGCGCTTCCAGTTGACGGGGGAACAAGAAGCTAAGAATCTGCGGTGGCGTGAAACGGAGCAGAAAAACACCGACCTTGTAGCTCTTGCCCAGCTGGGTGAACACGTTCTTGGCGTGTTCGTTCGACTCCCACAATATCTTCCAATACGTGGACATGTAGCGCTGCAGGAAGTATACATACACGTTCCCGCGGCTCATACAGTAGTAGAGCACTATGTTCGTGAAGAAGTCGTACGTAGGGTTGGTCATAAACACTACCAACACGTCCGACGGACGCCAGGCGCCCATAGCCTCCAGCGACTTGAAGTGCCCAGCCATCTCGCCGTACGTCACCCTACGCGCACGAGGGATCCCAGATATACCGCTGTTGCTGAACGTGATCATCATCACAGCGTTCGGGTCCACAGCCCCGACGTGCTTCGACTGGTCACAAAGCATCTCCTGCATACGGTGGCCAGATCCATCCTTACTCGAGGACTCAACGAGCGACAGGTAGTTGCGCAACGTGAGGCTCTTCTTGTAAATAGATTCGGCGTATACGTCGGACATGCGCAGGTACTTTACATCGGGGATCATGCTCTCCGTCTCGATCTCGTCGTCGACGATGACCAGACGGCAGTTGGTGGAACGCAGCTTGTACAGTAGCGTATACTCATTGTCAGCGTGCCAGTTCGTGTGCAACAGCGTGTAGCCGTAGATTAGGCACGCGGCAATGATGTAAAAGTCATGCACCTTCGAGTGCTTCAGATGGGCGCAAATGACCATGCCTACAGTACACATAAAATGGCGTGCTTAGGAACGTACCCTTCGTCTCCTCATCCTTGAAGATATGCTCTATGCGCCGGTTAAGTGTGGCGGCCCCGTACAGGATGCTCAGGCGACTCAGCCTAATCTCGTCGATGCGGTGCTTCTGCACATACATGAATGCGTAGTCGCGCACAAACACACTTACATCGCTCGCTCGATAGTACTTGATGAAGTCATCCTGCAGGTTCTGGAAACGGAACCACTGCACGTGGTCCGACATCGGCGCGACGCTACGGGAGAGAAGCGGCCGAAAGCCCGGCGCCTTTGCGCAATGCAGGAAACAGGCCGCGTTCAAATAGTGGCGGCCAACAAACAACAAAATTCACAGCGATCTGCGCCTACGCGGCGGCACTGTCACTACCCTCCGGGAGCATCTGCGTTCGGAGGAGGCAGCACGTGTCAGATGCAACACTCGATATCAACTACAACGCACGGGAGGAAGTAAACATTTAGGGCAATAATTAACACGCGTTTATGTGTTCTTCATAGCGGCCTGCAGCATCGCCTTGTTCCTTATCTTAGCACGCAGCAGGCGCTTGCTGCTGGGCTTCGCAGATTCGCGCGCCGCCGGAGGTGCGCTCTGCATCATCCGTTCTAGGGACGATACCTCACCCTTCAGGCCGGAAAGGTTGGCCAGCGCGGGTCCGTGCTTGTCCTCGTCGTGGAATGCGGTGACGAGCCGCTTGGCCTCGTTGGAGAAGTCGTACTTTCGACGCCACATCTCCTTGCGGGCTTCACGCTTGCGCTTTCCTCGTGAATCGCTCTTGATGACCCTGGTGCTGGGCGCTGCGGCCTTAGCCTTGGTCTTCGTGGCCTGCTTCGCGCCACCGGCCGATTTTTTAACGGGGAGTGGAGCGTCGGAATCCGAGTCGGCGGCCTCGGCTGGCGCAGGTAGAACCGCTTTGGAGGATGCGCCAGCGTTCTTCACCTTGGGACGCACGACAGTAGTTTTGAACTTAGAAGCGGTAGTGCGCTCCTTTGCGATACCCGAGCCCTTACGGCTCACCTTCACCAAAGACTTCGCCTTAGCGCGCATCTGCAACTCGTGGTCGTCTATGATCGGCAAGTTGCTGAAGTCGACAGTTGGCTGCGCCAAGCCGCGGGTGGCGAGGGATTCGACCGAAGGCGGAGGCGCTGGCTCTGGTCGGCGAGCGTCACGCTCGGGGGCGTCCTTCAGTAGGATCTTCTTCACGATCCTAGTCAGCTTGGCCATTTTGCGATAGTATGTGCTAGAAAAGACCAGCTGAATAGAGGCGCGCCGCAACTAAGCCGAGTATTGCCACACACCTCACAAATGGATTGGCGCTGCCATCGCATCCTATCAGCATTCTTCGTTTCCACACAAACTGATTTTGCGTGACCTGTACAATAGGTTTGGCCTAATTACGCGGAGAATCTTCGCTCTTATCACATTGGCGAGATTCCTGCCAGTGGATCCCGGGCTTCTTTGCCTCTCCGACGTATGGATACCGAATATTCATTATCCACGATCAAAAGGTGTTAATCAACGTTTTTATGTGGTCTGGATAAGGCCCACAGCATAGCTTTGTGGCGAGAATACAGATAGAATTTACGTTATTACTGCTGCTGTTAACGGTACTACTTTTGAGGATTCCCTGAACTTCTGACCGTATCTAGGCTATTGTGGCATCATTAAAGCACACAGAACCGTTATAGCGCAATTCTAGTGAGCCTTCCAGCACGCCGGTAACCCTAATGAGACGAGGTACCTCGATAGGCGATCGTCATGCAGCCAAGCATGAGAACAAAATGGTATCATGAATATTATAAATGAAGTCACAAGCTGCGTTTATTTCACAACTAGCAAACAAATGGCGCCCTTTTGGCCGTCAAAGCCGCTCAGGCGGCCATGGCCATCTTTATGGCGGGGTGAGATACGTAGTTCTCAACCATGATGTCCTCCAGGGTGAAGTCCTCAATGGACTTGATCTCGGGGTTGAGCATCAGCTGAGGGAACGGGTATGGCACACGAGAGATCTGCTCCGTGACGGCGTCCACGTGGTTAACGTAGATGTGCGCATCAGCGAGGTTGTGCACGAATTCGCCCAGCTTCAAGCCACACACCTGGGCGACCATTGCCGTAAGAATCGAGTACGAAGCGATGTTGAATGGCACGCCCAGACCCAGGTCACAAGAACGCTGGTGCATCATACAAGATAGCTTCCCATCGCGGACGTAAAACTGGAAGAGGCAGTGGCATGGAGGCAATGCCATCTTGGAAAGGTCTGAAGCAAAATGACACGTCGCAAAAGAAAACATTACCCGAGACGTTCCAGGAGCATACAATCATACGGCGGTCGTTGGGATTTGTCTTGATCCTTTCGATCACAGTCTTAAGCTGGTCAATACCTTGGCCACTGACAAGCGTTAACACAACAAAGTGATGGGACAAACCTGTAGTCGGCGTGCATGTCCAGATATTTGGCACCGAAGTGGCGCCACTGGAAACCGTAAATGGGTCCCAAATCGTGCTCCTCACGGTCGGTGAATCCCAAGTTGTCCAAGAAACTGCGCTCGCCGTTCAGCTCCCAAATGCGCACGTTCTTCGCGAGCAGGTCGTTGCCGTTGGTGCTGCCTTTGATGAACCACAACAGCTCCTCGATAATGCTGCGCAGCGCGACCTTTTTAGTGGTCAGGAGCGGGAACGACCTGGACAGGTCGAAGCGCATCTGGTACCCGAACTTCGAGTAAGCGTCGACGCCAGTACGGTTCGGCTTCAGGGTACCGGTGCTCAGCACGTCGGCCAGAATGTCCAGGTATTGGAACTCCTCATGGTAGCGCACCTTAACAGCAGGGCAGGCGACATACTTGGGTTTTGGTACATTCAACTCCTGGCCCGTCAGAATCAGCTCATCCAACGTCGGATGGCGAACGGCCTTGGGCGCCGAAACCTTCTCGTAGGTGACGAAGTCGTACGTCACGAAGTCGGTAGAGAACGTGGGGCTTATGCCTGTTATATGGAAACTGTTGGGGATCGGAGGGAAGAACCGGTCGCCTTCGTACTCCTTGTTCAAACGGGTCAGGTAAATCTTGTCGCAAAGGTCATTCTCTAGCACCTCACGGTACAAGTCGGAACCGCCTACAAACGTGGTCAGAGAAGCAAACGTTTAAGAGTGGATACAGCCAAATAATGTCATCTACGATGTATCCTGTACCCGGTGGGAACACAGCGCTACGACACAAGAACATCGACGACGAAAGTCGTATGAATGGGCAGAATCGCAACGTGAAACCATCACGCGCTTTAGAATACACGCATGTACACGTAGTGCTGTAAGACAGGACTACTCACCCAAAATGAAGATCTTATTGTGAGGAACGCTGGCACGTAGGCTCCGGACGGCCTCGCACAACGACGAGTACACCAAAATTCCAGGAATCTCCTTCCTAGGCCAAGTTTGCACTTATAAGCGTCAAACATACACTGAGCGACTCAGGACGACGTTGATGCGATTTTTCAGAGGCAGCGCGGTCTGCGGGATGCTCTCGTACGTCCTACGACCGAAAATCACAACGTTCTGCAGAGAAGGATTGACGGCGCTAACTTCCGGCTCAACGTAAGACGTTCCGCGGCACAAAAATCGGAAATCCTGGCGGATGTGTGGCCATGGAATGTCGTTCTTGAAGCCGATCGCGCCGTTCAGAGCAACAGCGACGAAAATCTCAAGACCGCCGCAGCCCGAGTAGTCGCGCGACATCTTTACTGAGGTGTGTACAGTAAGATTTATCCTGGATAACAAAAGAAGGTAGGGACCTTCCAAAACGCGGCCTTCGAATAGACCGAAGCCGAGGAAGACAATGAAAATAGCACACTAGCTTATGGAAGCCTGTGCTATATGACGTGCTAAATGAAAACGTGTTTATCTGATGTAATAAAAATGCGTTCGTCTGCTTATAGACGTACACCGCGCGCCCCATCACACACAAGACGGCACAGTGGAAGGCGGCGTGACTCATGACCCGGAGCCGGCCACATCGACCGTTTCCCCGTACTCGATGTAGTGCTCTTTCTCCTCCTCGTAGTCGCGCAATGCTTGCTCTACGCGGTTCTGCTCCGTTACTTTCCGGCTGCGAATTATATGAACAAGACAGTGTAACTCACATGTAGTTGTATAGCATAGTACCCAAGAGGTAGAACCCAAAAACTAGAATGGCGCCGATGAGGCTCTTCTGGGGGTCTATCTTGGCGTAGGGATTGCCGGCAGGGAACTCAACAGAAGCCCGGCCGCGCATAAAATCTTCCGCCATAACATCACGCGCCTCCTCAATCTTGTCTGCTTCCTTTGAGTCGTTCCGTGAGTCTGCTGAAGGTGGCGTCATAGACAGCTTAGCCTGATGCCTAGCTTCAGACACGGTGTTGGGTTTGACATAAGCCTGCTGAGAGATTTAGAGCTCACAAAAAATGCTCGTAGAAGCGATAAGGTACAGCATGAATCGGAAACATACAGGCGCATTGCAGCGCCTATGATGCATAGAGGCGTTAAGTGTACATAGGATCAATAAAATGTTCTAAATTCACCGAATGCGACGCCCAATGCAAGCGAACAAACAGAGTAATCAGTCTTTGACTCAATACCAAAACCAACTAACCTTCTGTCTGTGATTGCCGGGCAATGCGACTTCTAGTCTGTGCGCCGTGTTGCGATGGAGATGCTTAGCTGCCGAGTTCTCGGCAAACAGCAGAACGGCGGCGAAAACGGCCAGACGCCGCAATATCGCCATCGTTCAAGCGCGCCTTAGGGATTCCACGGACGGCTGCGTCTATGCCTACTAACTGACCGTCAATACGTAGATCAACATTTAAAATAATTACGAATCCGCCCCTCAATCGTGCTGTCCACGGTCATTTGATCATATTTGGTGAACATGCCACCGGTGGGTCGTCGCGCTAGCCCAAGATGCATAGCGCCGAGAGAATAGCGGCAAGAATACAGATTAGCGTCGCGGTATATGTTCAATTAAATCTCCAGGTGGCTCCGTCCATAGTATCGGGAGGGGAAGTATCCCGTAAGCATTGCTTGAGGCATGCCGGTGTGTATACACACATACGTTTAAAGACGCCAGCTCAGCGCCGAGCCACCGCGACTGACGGCGTGTATGTAAATAATGCGTATATAAAAGGCAGTTGGATTAGGCAATTATATTCGTGGCCGGGCAGAGTTATTAGAAGGATCGTTGCCGAAGGTACGGTAGACAACCCTGGCTTTTAACAGCCTAGGACTCTACATGAAACCACAAATGTAAGGCCCTCGCCACTCACCTGCTGTTAATTAAGTTGAGCGTCTCTGGTGACCGCATACTTGGTGAGAACGGCAGGATGGTGGACGCAGGAGGGAGTTATGTTAAAAAATTTGTCAGAGCTGACGATTCCGTGGAAGCTTTCGAAACGCTTGTTTTGCTCAAGAAGGAGGTCATCGCTGCGTTGCAGAATGAATATGAGCACGCCCAGAGGGAGTGCAGTGCCATCAACCGGTACAACGCACCGTACCCGCTCGGTAAGCCGGAGGGGATAACGAGTGGCAACTCGGCGCTTTACGGCGATGCGGATACTTTCCATGGAAACGGCCGATCGCGCAGCCTGGAAACGGATCCGGGTGGCTGTCACAACGATGCCTTGCTGAAGTGGCAGTCGCCTGAATTCCAAAGCGTGGAGAGGCGGTGGAACGCACAACTCCAAGAATGCATCCAATGCGTGAAAATGGACATGTCGTACTCCAATCCCAACTCGGTGTCGGCTGAAGAAATAGAGGCTATACAACAGTCGATAGAGAAGCTGAAGAGTGCCTACTTCAGGGCTGTGAAGGAACGTGAGGATAGCAACAAGCTGTGGCTCAGACTTAAAATGTACAGTAACACTCGAAAGGAGGCACTCGAAGACATATGTAAGCCTTACTGCGCGGCCAAGGAGACACCCGAACCGGTGGAACCCAAACGGGTGTTCTCGGGGGGACCTATGGGACATCCTTATCGCACCATAGAGACCCTCAAAAGCAGCAGTGATGTACAAACCCCGTTCATCCAAGGGGTCATGTCGCGTGATAACGAGGACACCACCACGCCAGGGTCCTCGCAAGCGCCCTCAATTGAAAAAATGGCGCAACGCAAAATGCAGCAAACGAACACTGCGGGTTACGAAATGGTCTGCACGTCGGCAATAGATGAATTCTTAAACCAAACCGACTCAACCGAGCTCTTCCTCAAGACCGCGGAGAACATATACATCCAGTACGGAGATGGGTGCATGTCGCTCAAAACGTTCAACAACATCGCGGACTTCCTCGTCCACTCCCTCAACATACCAGCCATCGACGGAGCACCGGTTACAAGGTTGCTGAGACTCTACGGTATCGGAAACGGGGCTATTATCGACAGGGAAACGTTCGTCATGATGTATTGGGAAGTTGCGCATATTGTGAGACGGGCCCTTGACGTGATGCAGTGCGTTAACCTCATCGGGTTGCACGTGCAAAGTCACCTGGAACCAGAGCAGGACGGCGCGTTTGTCAAGATATCCACCATATTCGAGTTCCGCAAAAAGCTCTACAGCGGCTACTCATGCGCCAAGTTCCTCGCGACGGAGATCGCAACAGGCGAAATGCGTGTCATCGACATCCTCACCAAAACCGACAAGGTGCCGCCGTTCGAGCTGATCGCGCTTGAGGTGGCGCGGTTGGCCCAACTGCAGCGGCAACACCTGGCGCTCTATCTGGATGCCTTCCAGGACGAGAACAGCATCTACATAGTGTCAGAGTTTTGCCGAGGCGGGTCGCTACTGCATCACATCAGCAACAAGGGCGAGAGGGAGTACACGACGGGGTTCGTTCAGGTCGTAATGTCCCAGGTCATCGAGGCGTTGCTGTATCTGCACTGCAACAACCTCGTGCACGGGTCGATAACAATCGACAAGATCATGATGCAAGACAACGAATACAACCAGGTCAGAATCCGGGACACGGGCCTCAAGGGGTTGCTCGACACCGTGGTGGGAGGATCGGCGCTCACAATGATCCATGTCGCTCCCGAGGCCAGGGATGGCCAAGTCACCCACAAAAGCGACGTGTGGTCGGTGGGGGCAATACTGGCATTCCTCGTCACAGGCGTAGCGCCGGACGAGCACATGGATTACGTGCAGTACGCTAGGGCGGTGGAGAAGCAACTGTATAGAGGAGTGATATTCAGGAGGGACGATAATCTGACCGACCTCGTGCGCAAGATGATCTGCGTCGACCCCAACGGCCGACCCACCGCGTTTGAGATCATATCCCATCCGTGGTACACCAACACCGGACGCGCGGCCAACGTGCCTGGGTACTTCAGGTCACTGATAAGGCCTATAAACAGGCTAAACGCGCTCAAACGGATGTATCTCGATATCATCAGCGTCCTGGAGTCACAGAGTTCGTTATTCGTCTGCCGAATACACAAGCTCGTGGACACGGTACAGCTGGGAAAGCGGCTGCGGCGGGGGAAAGCGGCGATTAAGGACCTCAAAATGGCGCTAAGAGTGGAGGGCCTCCCACGCCAGACAATCGACAACATCATGGTGCTGATGTTATCAGAGAGCGAGGGAAATGCCGTCCAGCACTTCATGAACGCGCTTGCGCGCTGGAAAAATGGCGAGATAGCGCTCGCATGGTCCGAATTCGACAGCACCCTGCACGGTGACCGTGCCTCCATGGACATTGCGCAGTTCACCAGGTTCCTGGCCAACACGCCAGGCAGACTGATACCGCTAGAGGAAAGCAAGCGCGTTATCAACGCACTCGCGGTGGACGAACGTATCAGATGGTCGGATTTCGTGAGCTACCTGAGATGATGCGATCGGGACGTTGTAACACACTCCACTCGAATTCGTGGAACTGCCCTTGAATGAACACTGCCGCGACGTGTAAGGTGTACTGTTCCATCGGGCACATAGCAACACGTAGGAACTGTACACATGTATTGAAATTGTAATTACATATTATTGTCATTTTAACGTCTGTCTAAGCCGTATTGTATCGTGGTGACGCGAGGCGGGATATGGCGATGATACCTATGTTGAAAGGAGATGCGCGGTGAAGCGGCGGTATTTGGCGCGCCTCGCAAAATGATGTATTAGATTGGGTATTTGGTGGAGCGCCGCGTCCCCGTTGATCTAGAGGCTGGCCCCGTGACGAAGCATCTGCCCAGTTAACAGGAGCATACTCGGACAACAGCTCGCCGTAAATGCCAATATTATCCACATCGGATTCATACTGAAGGAATAGGATCGCGGAGTCGCGTGCTTAATCCCGCTCTGCTTACTCAAACCGCAGAACGGTGAAGCGTGGAGGATAAGATCGCAAAATCAGTGTTACGACAGGCCTCCACACGCATAGATCGAGACTATTGAACCGCACTATGGTTCATAAATGCATTAAGAGGGTAGGTGATATGTCGGAAAGGCGTATAGGTGCGCGATGCATTAGGATACGGTAACAATTAGTGTCGACGCGGTGCGTGAACGTACGTAAAAACGTTTGGAAATTGCCTGAATCGGGGTTATGAATACAAAATTTGTATTTCATAGCATGGAAACTTGAAATTGGTATTTTAAAGAATTTATACCTATGGATCCAAGGGATATGCCGCGGGGCACTCCAGCTTCGCTGGAGTCCATGTCGCCCTCACTCTCACTCCTGAGACTGATGTCCGGCATAAACCATCGCGCCCATGAATTATTCATGAGCAGGATATCGCAAAGAAGTGCAGAGAAGTCGATCGGTAGCCCCACGTCACAGGGAAATAATGGCAGGGAACAGCAAAGTCCATATTCGAGTGGCAACACTTTAATGGCACCCAGCCCGAGAGCTGCGCCACACATGGCAGACGATGCAGCCGTCAGCCCGTTGCCAAGAGGGATGCACACACCTGAAGGCTCGCCAAAGATAGCGTCGGGCGGAGCTGGCAGCCAAGGCTTTACTGGCATGGAGCAGATTGGAGGCACAACGACGCCGACTAAAAAACAAGAAGGCTTCTCGCTTTTAAGCCATTGCCGATCTGCGTCTTCGGCCCTTATGTTCAATCCGGCATCACTCGTTTCGTTGCCATTCGGGTATTGCAACAATACGTTTGTCAAAATCAGGGCAGATGATGTCGTTGACCCTAGGGTAGGGCGTAGGAGGACGAAGCGTGATCAATCATCAGCAAAAAGAGCTTCAACTCAGCAACAGCCTGCTAAGCGTGGATCGAGGCAGCCGGCGGTGCAGGATGCAGACCCCGTGCAGGTGACCGACGACGAAAACCTGCTCACGCACTATGAGTACTCCAACAACCCGTACAAACGGCGCTACTGTAGCAGTGTGAAATACAAAAGGCGGGCTGGACGTGCTGATACCGAAGGCGGTGAGGACGGGGTGCAAGCCGTACATGCACAACGGCACCCTCAGCAGAGGCAGTATACCCGTAAGACGTCGGAGCACACCGATGTTGATGCAGAAGAACAACTTTCAGATGTATCGTATACTGACAGTGCTTCCGAAACGGAGGATAGCCTATCCGTAAGCTCACCAACGGCGAAGGCGCCACTGCCCTTGCATGATGAAGACCGAGGCCACATTAAAAACTTGGAGAGTGTCGCTAAAAGGGTGAAAAAGGAGATGGTAGACCAGATGATGGATGTTGTACAGGCAGTCAGCATATTGAAGAAACGTCTAATAGGGAAGGACGGTGAGGAGGATGCATGTCCCGAGCAAGCAGGACTAAGTATGGACTCCGAAACACTCGCACAGTTGGAGGATACTTTGAAATCTCTCGTTAGAGAGACTCGGCACAACATAGTAGCGTTGCAATACTCGAAGCTTCTCTTGAATTGGCATCACAACCCAGAAGATGGTGACAGTGTGAAACAAACACGAGAAAATACACCTATTAGGTCTGTGGATATTGCCGATGAAGCTGAAAACGCTAACTCTGAACTAAACGAATCCTCCTCTCAATACCGCGGAGTACTCGCAGCATCGCCGTGCATTACGTTGAGCGATGGACTGACTTGCGCCCAAGGATTGTGTAGCACCAGCAGGCAATCATTCGAGGCGCAGGCGCTGACGGACTGTTACTCAGCTGCTGGATGTTATGTGTGGGAGTCTCAAAACGAGAATGAACCGGAAGCAAAGCTGCCGAACGAAGAGAGGCCTTGTATAGGTCATTCAGAGGCAAAAACCGATGAGGCGGAATATGCGGACGCAACTCACCCCATTGATGGCAGTGATGTGACCCCTCATATACAACGCAGTGATGACGTTCAGGGTGCAGAGAATGGTGAAATCCTGGAGGAATCCGACGGAGAGGAAGGCCTCGGCAAGACGGGCCCGTGGACTTCCGACCCTGAATTCGCTAAGTCCATCTTAGATTCAAATCTGAAACTGCAATTTGACGCTTATGCCGAGTTCCTTAAAGATGTTTGCCACAGTGCCATCGCTGAAGTGCGCATCCCAAAGCCCGAATGGGTAGGATCAAGCGAACACTCCTGCAATAATGACATCTGCTGTATAAGGTGCTGCACCTGCAGGGATACGCCAGCTACTGATTATACGCGTACCATATATACGGGATCGAGCAACACAGATGTGAAGAAAGGTCAACGCTTCGAAAGGGAGACCGCTCTCGCTAGAACTGACATGCTAGCATCGATGCTGGGGCAATGCGTATGTATGTGCAACTGCCTGTCCGATCGAAGGCTGGTCGACAGGGTGATTCGTGATAACTCCAAGGTTCGTCGTGAGGGCAATTGTGGAATTGTGTGGCACGACATGGAATGCCCAGAGAACATGCTGGATGCAGAGTATCCGGACCTGCCGCAAGAAGGTGTTCTACAGGAGAGGTTCATTTTGCGAGTTAAAGCTGAGTGCATACCACTTGCATGGAAACAACGCAGCCCCTTCGCATGCAAACTGGATATTATAACAGATACGGCCAACGATGATGTTTACAGCGGCGAGTCACCCAACCATACCGACGGCGGGAGAGCTACGCCAAGGGAACAGCAAAGAAACGAGACTGCGGACAATGGTGTATTACACAATACTCCACTTTCTACTTCCCCCACGAGCCAATCCCCAAGTCGCCATGGCAGCAACGTGTCAGGTGGTAACAGCCCGTCAATCTTACATGGGCCTTCGGATACGCCCAATCGCAATGCCGACCCAGAAGGTTGCGCAAACGTGCAGGAGTTGCCTGTGTTAAAACTCGAGGAATCTAAGGATCTTAGTAGTTTCACGCTATGGGATGCCGTGGAAGCACTTGCGGAAGAGCAACGGGAACTCCATCGTATCCTGCGTAACAATGAGTTCACGGATTGCTTTGATGCAATGGAGATCGACGTTTCGCAATTAACACGGGAAAAACTTGTGTTGAATAGCGATTGCATCATTGATGACCCGAATTCTGAAGATTACGTAGAAATAGCGTTGTACCTGCCGTACGCGCCAAGCTGCATCATGCCCTGGCGGTTCGAGTCAATCGATGCAGTAGAGATCATGTCACAGCTGCCCAAATTTGTGCCTATAGTTGAAGTGGAACGTCGCTATGGCGTATTGGAGGATGTCGACAGTATCTGTCCACCTGACTCAGAGGAGACGATACAAAGCGATGACGTTATGCCGGATGAATGCTTTATAGCCAGGGACATAGGTACATTGGAACATCTGGATGAGCTAGTCAGTAACACTCCGACCAATATCAGGGCGTACGAGGATCTGTCCAGCAACAGCGGCTCCGGAACCCTGGTCGAAAGCTCCACTACCCCGTACGCAGATGATGCCTCGACACTCGGCACTGATACCAGCTCGCCGACGATAATCAAGGATTTGTTGTACGATTACACGGATGGTGAGTCGGAGACGTTGGCCTATTCCGAAGTGCTGAGGGATATGATGGTAGTGCCGCTCTGCGTTAAAAGGGTGCTTCAAGTCATGCGCGAGCATATCCTCGTGCGCAACGAAGTCCTGAACGAGGAAGCGCATGCGTGCAAGCTGTACAGACGCCAGTGGCACCAGCACCTGAAACGTATGAAGGCCGCGGCGCCGAAGGTAGATGATTTCGCGTGGGGTGTGCTTCCCGTAAGAGCACTAAATGAGCCCGACAATTTTGTACCGCTGCCGGCAGGGTATAAACAAAATGACATCAATTGGCCCTACAAAACCAACAATGTCTTGTCGCCATTCGAAGTTGACGGCTACGGCATTGGGGATATCCGCAACAAACAGCAACGATTCAGCACGCTGGCGCAAAGCGCGCCTCCTGATAAGGAAGTCGAAATGTCGAACTATCAGCAGTTCCACACAACTAGAAAGCCAAGCGCTGTCCGCAGGCGTATGGCTCCAGAGGCTACAGTCACCGATAGCAATGAGGATGAGGGGAACAAAACAACTGTGTGGCTAGCACCAAACTACAGCAATCTCACAGGCCCTGGATTACGATGGACATATTCGTGCATGGACACTTTGAGCGACCCGCTGCAACGTATGCCAAACTTCAAAACACTGCCAATATATCAAATCATGACGTCGCCAGATTACAACTACTATAAGCTCGACCATTGCATACAGTATGATAGGTGCAATGCACTCCCGTACGAGGCCATGCTAGCAGAAGAAATTAACGATCGCATAAGCAACGTATGGACGCGCAACGAGTGCCGTATATTCGTTGAGAAGTATCTCATGTATCCCAAGAACTTCGGGAAGATTGCGCAGTTCATCGAAAACAAAACGTGCAGCGATTGCATTACGTTCTACTACAAATACAAGTATAGACTCAGGCTGAAGGAGCGGATCAACGATATGAAGGCTAAACCGAAAAACAAATACGATGTGTCACGATTCGTCAGACGCGATACGCATGTTATGCAGGCCATTGACAGCATACTAGACGATTGCTACTCGGATAGTGTGAAAAGTCTGTGTGAGCAGAACAGTTTTGCGTTCGCAGCAGTCAACGATCATCTGATCGGCACCGCGATAGTGGACACTCTCAAACCGTGTGATGTGGCGTTAACCGAGCACCGTGGAAACTGGTCACCGATGGAGGACACCAGCCAATCCTTGCTGGAAAACTTGAACGAGGGGTACTTCGTTCCGACGAAGTTCAGGTGCCTCACAACGCACAAGAACATGCAATTGCCGTTGAAAACAATGCCGAGCGACGCTGAAACTACGCTAAGACGCGGTTGTCTCGTAATGAATGGCTGCCGCGACTTCGGTGATCCGCAGCAGCTGTCGTCTGTGATTAGCGCTGCAAAAACGGATCATTTCATGTCACTGAGGTCAGCTGGTTCCAAAAAGGTTGCTGGGCGGTCTGTGCTGGAATCGGTCATGCAGGACTCTCTGGCTGAACGGCAGCGGCAAGCGCCAAGAAGACGAGCGCATGTTAAGCAATTTAAGCGCACCTATTCGGAAACTCGGATGGATGTGGCGTTGGAGGAGGTGTCTACGGAAAACAACGACGTGAACGATGCAAACGTTTCTGAGTCTTACGGCCTACCATTACTCAATTGGAACCGTAGGGACAATATGCAAGAGTACTCCGTCGAGGAGGAAGAGGTGGAAGATTCAACGTCTGAACCTGCAACACCGCAGGACGAGATTCTGAGCGACGAAGACGATGCACAAGATCCCGTGAGTTATGAAGCATATAAGCACAATGTCAAAGGGTCAAAGCGAGCAATGGATGGCTCGTACAACAGCAGCGATTACCCCATTGATACGCATGCTTTGGCGGCGCGTAAAGTAGGTCACGTGTCGCGCATCGTGGGAAACCCCAGGCGTACGGAAGGAGCACAGGTGCAGGACGTAAATGCGGAAGGTTACGATGACAGTGAAAGTGCTGAAGAAGATGAACCATGCGTTGCTCCGCAACCTGCACAAGGGACAGTTCTGGATTGGTCTGAGGAGGAGGTTGCGGATTTCGTACGACTCTACCACATATATGGCGAAAACTGGGATGAAATGGCGCGACAAATGTCGCGTTACGGCAGAAATAAGGAAGACATAATTAACTACTACATTGCTCGACTCACCGCGAACACTATGCAACGAGGCAATAATCGTTCGCAGGAATCATACGAGTACGACAAGGAAGAAGAGGGAGGGTCATGTGGGTGGTAGTGATCCAATCACCTTGTTTATCGGCGCAATCGCGCATTACGAGTTCACCACTGCAGAAGTGAACGGGGCAACTGGATACTCGCGTTTACCACCTAGCCCACCGATACTAATACTAAAACCACGCGGCAACCTCCGTAATATAATGTATCTGTAATATGGGTATCAAGCGACATACATTAGGTATAGGTTTTGCGTCTACGCCTGTTCCCGCGTTTGACCGGAGGTACTACATTAATATTGCGACGTTACAACCTAACGTGTGTTATATGAAGCTACATCAACCCCTTTAATGTTAACGTGGAATATCGATCGACGTCAATCTCCTCCGGAGTCCTTCCACAGGAGACATCCGTGGCTGCACCGAAAGTATGTGTCGACCTAGCAAATGTAAAACCTATTCCATAGAAAACCTTGAGAAATGGATCAGGGTGCATACGCCAGGCAAGGATGATGACCACTGCAAATAGAAGGATGCTGCCTACAACAGTGCAACGTAGCACAATTTTATGTTTAGGACATACTTTACCGCAGTTCTTGCATTTGCCGAGTCGTTTACAGGTGCACTTGTCGTCCACTTCGCCAAAGCCGTAACCATTCCGAGTACATGTGTTATTACCCCAGCGGCAGCACTTACAAAATGTACCTACCACATCCACAGTTACAATAACAACATTTACATGGCCCTTTCTTTTCGCATCCCTTTAGCTTGCAGCACATAACACCTATATCAGTACAATATGCGGTTTTACATTTGCGCTTCTTCTTAGCCTTAATCCCCGGGTTCATATTAACTAACCCCGCACTGTGCTGAAAAACCTAAATAGGAGGTGGCCGCATTTATGGGTGAGATGACCCACATACCGCAGTACAAATACGTAACTGTGTGTTTTCTGTAAGTTTACGTTTTGTGGCTTTGTGCAGAATATATAAATTATTCCGGGGTGTTTGTTCTGAATATGCGTAGTACAGTGGATAACCGCGTACCACCACAATCTCTACTGCGCCCAATACATGTGCGTTCATCAATTCACAATTTTGTGTGCTACACAGTTCTATAAAGGCGCTAAACCTTGGCCTCCGCCTCACCACGTCCTACTCTGGATGCGGGACCTGGAAGCAACCATTTGCTGAGTGGCGTGTCGAAAGGCATTAATGTATGTATTGCCGCAATAATGACCGCATTAAGCTGCGGTTCACTCTTTGGGTCCTGTTGGTTTTTAATGGAACCGAATCTAGTTTGCCTCCCATGAGCTGGATATTAATGCCGTGCTTCAACGCAACGCTAGCGGCGGTAATCTACGGAAAATGCTCTCAACAGCTTCATCTACATTTCGCAGCGCGTGCTTCACCTGTAGTATGAACATTGCTGAGCCACTCGTTATGTGCCTCTCCACAATCCAATTATTGTGTTGTCCATATCCGGATGAGGCCTATGGGGGCGTGCTCGCTCCGGTCTGAGAGGGGCGCGGTTTCGTAGCGACTAATTTTTTGAATCACCACTGTTCAAAACGTATCTTTCCTGAGTATTACAACTGCTGAACGATGTTCGGCAGAATAACCTAGCCGCACTGCAAATTTGCTACCGTCTATCCACCCGCCCGCTGCAATCAGTATGGCGGCAAGCACGGTAACACGTATTTGCCAATTATAAACTTGCCGTTCACGTGAGGGCTGTAAACGTCATCGAAAGGGTGGAAAACTTCCATTAGTGTTATAGTGCATCCTAATGGTGCGATGGTCGCCCACTGGACTGTTAAGTCGAAAAGCAGATTAGTGCTGTGGCAGAACACCTAGCTAAACATTAGGCTAGCAGCGCAAATCAACGCTATGAAGAGCGATGTCAAATGTCGCAACAACCGTCATTTTGAACGTAGTGGATTTCTTTAGTTGCTTGATAGGTGCGTTGTGTGGCTTGTGGGCGGTGTGTGGTCACTGAAACCTACAAGCTGAGTTATGTTGGTGCCATTACACGATGTAATCTAGTTGAGGGGTACTGTAACCATGTCAGTAACGCGCTTTATCATCGCATCCATCGTGGCATGTCAATATTGGGAGGGAATTACCCACGCTTCCCTCCTCACTACGTACATCGCAACCTTCATATATGGCAACGGGCAATGTATATGGTCAATATGCCAAGGGTCTCTCAGGATTAGGGTATTATGTTCATTGGTTTGGAGGTTGTTTCATAGAACATAACTTCTTACCAACACCCAGCCCACATGGCATCACGTGGCCGCGTCACATCCAAAGTCATCTTACTAGGGTCCATCGGCTCCTCATATTTTGACGTACACCTTGGGGAGTTGACTCAAAAACATTTTCTAATTTTCCTATTACCATCGTCCCCCTCTGAACCTCGTCCGTCCACAACCCACATCATCTGGTTCCTGTGAACATTAAAAGCAAAACGCCTAAAAACCAGTCCCCCAGCTCATCAATTCGTAGCGCAGCTAACTTCCCCTCTCAGCTTTTTGAGCACACGTTAAGCCACTCCCATCACTGCCGGCGCCAGCAATCCCTCACCTGCGACGCCATTATTAAGGTTATCAAGCACGCTCTCATCAACCTTAGAGGCGACATCAACTCACTGATTTGCAAGGCAGTTACATAGTTCCTCGACACTTTGAAGCCTTGCTTGGTAACGTCTTAGCTCAGCTTGAGCAAGTTAGTAAGACGCTGGACAGCCATGTTATGGAGTTGGCAAAGTGGATCGGTGAGGATGATGACATTGTTGCAATACCGATGAACTTGGTTAAGGAAATCTACGCACAACTTTATGAAACAGGAAAACTACGCACAACCTCATAAAACACGAAGCGTTAGCATAATCTAGACATCTCAATTAAAAGCGTTGCCAGCAGCTTGGGAGTGTCTTGGTTGTCTGGAAGCAGTGACTTCACCTTAGACGTGTTATTGCTTTAGTGTCTCCTAGTTAGCCATTTAAAAGCTTTCACTTGTACTGTTGTAACATTAGCCTAGTGCCCATTTGTTAGTGTCTCTGTGCTGAGTGGCTTTGTAAGCAAGATGACGAAGCACGGAGTTCCGCTCAACACCCTTAAGGACTGTCTCCAGTTCCTGGAGTGGTTGAAAAATAATGATGGTAAGCAAGGGGAGGTGGCCAACAATTTGTGCGAACGGATTAAACACTATTATCAGAAGGAGGCTAACACTCTTGCTGTAGACGTTAAAGAGGGCTTGTCCCCGTTCCTCAACAAGGTCTCGACGTTCTATAATAAGCTGGCCACAAATGCTGTTGCCGGCAACCATGATGGTAAAGGCGCAACGGAAGTCACCGATGCGCTTCTGGAGTGTATCCCAAAATTTCTTGCTGCCATTTACTTCTTGCAGTATTGCATAAATATCACCTTCTCAGAACTTGGCGGTGGTGGATGGAAGTACGATTATCCGGGATACGATGAGGGATGGACGTACGTGTGGTGGCGGGCCAAGTCTGTGAGTGGCGGTGACCTTGCTAAATATCTCTACGCGAAAACCGACGACGCAAAGTATGGCAAAATCCCCGGGTTGATACCCGGAGGCTTCAGTAAAAACGAGGTGAAATATAAGCAATTTGCGGGGTACTATGCCTATTCCCAAGGTACTGAAATGTATCTGGACCTAGAAGCCATTGTAAAAAAGAACCCCTACAATTTCTTTCGTAGCGTCTTTGTCAGCTCCGCCATTGGCAATTCAGCGCATCGTAACGAGAGCACCGCTAACGCTCTCTCGCTGGTGAGAACCTTTTGCGATATAGTGGAAAAAGAGACAGACAAAGAGAAGGGCGGTACATTATTAACGAAATTGGAAGAAGGCCTTAGAAAGTTGGGGATCCAAAATTCTATATGTTGGCAAGACCTAAAAGAACATTGTGCTAAACTTATGGAGAAACTCCGCACACTTTTCAACACGCCGAAACGCTTCGACTTCACCGGCCAGGCGACGGGACTTAAAGAACTTAAGACAGAGGATCTTGCAGGGAAAGCAGCGGATTGGTTAAGAGAGAATCTGACCAAAGTGCGGGGTAAATTGGATCAAATTGATACAAGTGACCCTGTCATCTCCAAGCCCGACAAGAAAGATCTTGGCGCATACTTCACCAAAAACTTCTTCCCCTACGGATTCACGTTTGATGGCAAATATCGCTACATAAAGTCACAAAGGGATCTGAAGGATTTGATGAGGGATTGGAGTAGTGTGATCGGTGACCTTAAGCAACGGACTGGCAGCGATTTGGAGAAGCTTAAAGAAATCTTGGAAGGTAAAATAAGAACATCGTGTCCCGATACCCCCAAGGAAGTTGTGCCACCCAAAAAGCCTGAGGTCCCGCCTGCCAAGAATCATGAAGGGAATCAAAATCAAGGCAAGAAAGGTGAGGGAGCACAGGACCAGGGCAAGAAGGCGGAGGGAGCACAGAACCAAGGCAAGAAGGTGAGGGAGCACAGGACCAGGGCAAGAAGGCGGAGGGAGCACAGAACCAAGGCAAGAAGGTGGATGCAATTCCTCCAACTCCACAAGTTACAGGCTCTGCTCCACCTCCTTCTTCCGGTGCTCCAGGAGATGCAGGCCCAAAAGGAGCTCCAGGCCCGCAAGGGCCTCCTGGTCCAGGGGGTCCGGGGTCTACAAGTCAAACGGTCCCAGGACATTCTCAGCCTACAATTACACCAGTTCAACAACCTCAGCCTCCCCCTCCGCCGCCTGCTCCCAGTCCCGCTGCAGCCCCTGGCCACCCTGGTCAGCCAGGTGGCGCGGTTCCATCTTCAACGTCCGTTGACACTCCAGGTTCACAGCCTGGTTCCCCTCAAGTCACTGTGCTTAATCAGACTACAGGTGTTTCAGGTTCAGGCACTGGGCCAAGTGGTGGGCAAGATGTTGGTGGAATGGCTGGCCCACCAAGTGGTCAAGTTGTTAGTCAAGGCACCGATCACAGTTCAAGCAGCGTCACTACTGTTTCGGGTGCCCCGGCGGCTGGTGGAGGTGGGAGTGGAGATAGAGGGGGTGGGGGGCTAGGGAGTTCGGGAACGACAAAAGATCGGTCTTTTCCGGCTGCGCCTCCAGCTAAGCCTACTACAATATGCGATGCTAATTATCTTCTGAACCTAGATGCCGGTAAAAATCCATTCTGTGTAGTAAAACCTCAGAAGTCAAAGCCGGACCCCATACGTTTTAGCAGATCGGATGAGCAACTGTGGGAAGTTATACAGAAAAAAAAAATTTCAAGCCGACATCAAAACAGGCCCTAAATCTCATTCAGCCAGTAATCTACCCGGCAATTTAAATAACCTTGATCACAGCGCTTCCGAACACTCTCCCCTGCCTACTGCCATCCGTCCAGGTCATAGGCGTCCATACTTTGTTCCACAGGAGAGGGATGCCAGGCAGGTAGAAAGGGACGCTTCAATTGAAACATTTGCAGATGGTAGAGAAGTAGAGGAGAAAGATGCTTATCCAATGATTATGAATGACGCATATAGTGGCGCCATCAGTCTCGACGGTAATGCAAAATTCGACAATGCTAACGATTATCGTCAACTGCTTGACGAGCAGAAGCGTCAAGAGGCGCATAACCAATTGGAGCAACATTACGCTGAGCAACACAAACGTACAAAACAGGATGATGAACGTAGATGGAAGGACGCTTATGTTGATTTTGTTTCATCCGTCAGCGGCGACCCGATTGACTATACCTACCAGGCCGGCGCGTTGGAAGGGAACGTTATGCCCGAGTTCTCAGGTCTTATACCGCAGCCAGATACCTTACATGATCAGATTTTGGCGGATTATGACAATCGTATGGCTCAACGAAACCAGAAGTTGAAAGAACTGACCGCTGCGAATGAACATGAAAATCGTATCATCACCGCCATGCAAGACGATCACAAACGAATCGTCTCCGATGCTCTTGCAGCCGCAGCAGAATCAAAAGTAAAGGAAGAAGAATATTATGAAGCATTTTCTAATCCCCTTATGGGAACTCCTGTCTCGGATCAATCCCTGATGTCTCTGAAGTCCGGCAATTACGGTGTTCAACCGCCTATGGGGGACTTTACCGGGATGCCCATATTAGACCCCGAGCTGGCATCTTCTTCAATGCCCAAGGTTGAATTGGAACCTGCCTTGCCAACACCTCCGATAGACATCGAAGTTAGGAACTTCAATTCGCAAGATAATGTTTTAAAGTCTGAAATCACCCGGACACGCCCACCACCTATAATCCATCCCATTGATCCGGCCTCGCCGTATGATACGTATCCCGGCCTGCCTCCGGTGTCCCCACCGCCAGACCCCAACTCTGATACCGAGGCAGACTACAATCATCCGAGTAATTGGGGAAAATTTAAGAATCACGGTTTATATATGTTTCCTAACCCGGATATGTGTAATGATCCTTGGAATTACGTCCCCGATTCCTCCACCACTACCATAACTCCAACCCCCTCCCCTCCCCCGGGCTCCGACCATCTGCCCCAGCCAAACACCGTCAGGGAAATGCTTTGCTGGTTGGTCGGCTTGAATAAAAATGGGTACATTCCGTTCATCGAAGAGCATCTTAAGAACCTTCTGAGGGAGCGTGACAATGATGTCTCACAGTCTCCAGATGCCCTCGAGGTCACCGGGATGCCCTCTCAGCTGACCGCTTCCCATGTCTCCAACACTCTGACCGAGGCGTGTCACTACGCGGCCAACGTTCTCCACAAGATGAAGTATAAGGACTCCAAGGATGCTCCAACAACTCTAAACTTCAAATCAGTATATTGTCATCTTCGTTATTCCGACGACCCCGCTCGCCTCCTCTGCCAGCTCCGGGACTATGCCTACGCCTGCTGCCACCAGTTGGCGTTCCTAAAGTCGCAGTGTTCTCGGAATAAAATAAACGGTGGCTGGCAGGATTGTGAGTATGGCAATAATATCCCCGACTCCCCCCTCCAGGCCTTTCTGATTGACGCCCATGACTCCAAGTTCAAGACTCATCCCTTCGACCCGTGTGACATCTGCCTCAAAAGCCGTGTCAGGATGGGATTCAGGGAGGAGGATTTGCCTGCAACTCACGAAACCGGCAAGCGTATTTCCACCATCCTCTCTCCCACCTGCGGCGGCGCGGATCCCCTGCTGACGTTGTCCTCTTATCTCAGCTGCCTCACCAGGCGGACGCCGCGCACCACGGGGGAGCTTGTCTCGTTCTTCCACAATTTCGGAAATGCACTGCAACAATCATCTACACAGTTGTCTAAACTGGGCTCTGCCCTCACCACTCGACATGACGACTGCCCCAGGTGGGACCGTCTTGCTGCCGACGACCTCCAAGTCATCAAGTACGCCCGAGGCTCCGACCCTCCCAACTCCAACCACGACAAGGTCCATGCCAAGACCCTGTCCACGCTGCTTGGCTGTGGCATCGATAATGCCGACTGCCAACAACTCATGAAGCCCATCACCTACCGGGCCTACGCCCTGTACTCTTCCAGCTTCGTCCACGACTACCTCAGCTGGACGGTGTATCTACCAGACAGACTGTGGGAGTCACTGCTCAAGTTGCACTGCGATCTCGAGGAGCTTCAATGTCACGACTCCAGGGCCAAGCCCCTCCACCAGTGTGACAAGGCCATGCCACTCCTCTACTCTCACGGGTTCACTCCGCCGGACGGGGCACTGCAGCCGTCACTCACGTGTTCGAAGGTCATCGCCAAGCTGGAGGCAGTGGTCAACGGACAGCCTATCGCAAGCCTCATGACCGCCATGGACCTTTTCCTCTACCACATCCGTGCCCCCTTCCTCTTCACCATCACAGCACTCTGGCTCACCGCCACGCTCTACATCGCCCACTCACTCCTCTACCGCATGGACGTCCTCCGCATCCGCTCGCACCTCCTCACCACCAGGGCCTCCAACCTCATCGACGTCAAGGCGCTGCTCGCCGGCAGCCGCAGGATGCTCTCACTCTACAAGGACGTCGACTACTTCGAGGACGACTTTCACTCGTGACAGTAATTATCGTAGCTATATTACACTTACATCCCTCTATTTGTGTTGTCATGTCACGTCTCTCATGGTGACTGTACCTCGTGCCTTGCCTATCACCTAACTCACTGACTAACCTGATGTCCAACCTAAAACCTAACCCATAATTTAGTAGACGAGTTGGAATATTCGTTGTTACATACGCCACTAGTGAACGTGTCCACGCCGTTGCCTAATGTCAAAGCACCGTGAAGATGATGGCTGCTGGACCATCACTGCTGTGCTAGGTCAGTGTCTCACGTCAGTTACCATGTGCGTTCGCAGGCAGTGAAGTCGTTGTGACGGCCATTGTACAGCCTAGTCAAGCGGCATCTATGACCACATTGTGGCGGCCGGTAATACAGTAGTCACTGCCCTCACAGCTACACTCTTCATTTGCCTCGTCACCTATCTCCTCAAATGGTGAACATTAATACACTGCATCATTACTTCAGCCAACATTCAATATCAATTAAATTATGATTCCGTACAACATGGTTACATACAATTCTAATATTGCACTGATTACGTGGCGTCATTGTACCCGCATCCTTCACCTCCATATCATCCTTTTACTCCCGGACTCCACAAATACCGCGCAGGTTGCTCTCCGCAGTTCCCGGCCACCTCCACAACGTGACACCTGTAGCATCATCTAGTCCACTATGAGATGTCACATTCGACGTGGACCTATCACTGGCGCCACCCTCAATTTCAAGGTTTAGGTTTAGGTTATGATTTACGTCAGCAACACTCACCAAACTCGCCGTTTAACCAAACGTCTCACCTAATATGTAATCTAGCATTTGACCAAATACCTAGCCAAATTGCTTACCTATCACGTAACCAAACGTCCCACCTAGCACCTAACCTATGATGTAACCTACTCGCTGCTTTGCCTTGTCCCTCCTCCCTTTGTCGGCTTGCCGTCACTCCCAAAATAGCCTCCATCCCACCTGTCGGTGGACTGAGGCTGCGGACGCCTCTCACCACGCCCCTCTTGCGACTCTAAAATGTCTCACCAATCGCCACTAACACATTCACTGAGCCACCTACTAACATCGCAATTACTACCGTTGCAAACATCTTGGCACAGTCTTGGTTAACTGGAAGCAGTGACGTCTCCTTAGAGGTTTTATTACTTTAGTGTTTCCTAGTTCACCCATTTCAACGCTTTCACTTGTACTTTTGTGACATTAGCCTAGCACCCATTTATTATTGTTTCTGTGCTTAGTGCTTTCGTAAGCAAGATGACGAAGCACGGCATTCCTCTCAACACTCTCAAGGAGTGTCTCCAGTTCCTGCTGTGGTTGAATAGTAGGAAAGATGTGCAAAAACAGGTGGCCGATGTGCTGGTTAATCGTTATGGAAATTCTTATAACCATATTTCGTTTACGGGCAAGCTGCCAGCTGATGTCTCCAAATTCCTCGAACACGTGTCCACGTTTTATGAGAAATTAGTAGCTACACCAATTAAGGAAAGATATATCGATCCACAAGCAAAAGATGTCACCGAAGCCCTCCTCGACTGCATTCCCAAGTTCCTCGCCGCTTTGTATTTTTTGCTCTACAACGTGGATTATAGATTCGATGCAGTGGGAGGAGGGAAGTGGAAGTACAATTATCCTGGGTGGGAGCCTACTTGGTCGAGACACTTTTGGCAGAAAGAGTATGGAGGTGGGCTGCAGGATTATCTCAGGGTGTCACTGAGCGATAAGTACGGTGACCTCATACCTGGTGGATTCGGCCCAGAAGAGGTGACGTATGGTTATGACTATAATTCTATCTATGGTTACTGGTACGGTGAGAGCATGGTAAATGACCTTAAAGCGATTCTGGACAAACACAATCATAAGTACAACGATTTCCGGGACGTATTTTTTACAACAGTCATTTCTAAAAGTGGTGCCGGCACTCATAAAGTGAACACTGCGAATGTTCTTGCATTGGTGAAAACGTTTTGCGAGATTGTCGCTGCGGAGGAAAAGAAACTAAATGGTGAAAAGTTTAAAACGCATTTGGAAAAAGGCACGCAGAACAAACGCATTTGTTGGAATAATTTAGTAGCCCATTGCAAAAATCTTGAGCAGCAACTTGGCAAGTTGTTCAATGAGAAAGCCTTTTCCTTCACCGGCCAGGCGCGGACTGTCGACCAGCTTAACACTGAGAGATTTGCGGGGGAGACAGCGGTATGGTTTAGAAATAATTTGCACGAAGTTCAACATAATGTACAACGAATAAATAAAGATTTCCCAGTCGACAACACTCGACATTTAAATGTTCTTCAGCAATTTGCAACCACAAACATATTCCCCTACGGTTTTATATTTGGTAAAGCACGATATGGAACAATGAGCGAGGCGTGGAAGACGTTGTCAAATCATTGGGACAGTACAATGATTATGCTGGGCAAAAATGGTGACGGTTTGGATAAGTTGAAAACGCTTTTGGATGGTGAGCGGTGCCATCATACGGCTCCTCCAAAACCACGACCAAGGCCGGCGCCCAGGCCCCCGAGGCCTGCAAGACCTGTGCCACCACCCCGGCCTGCCAGAGCTTCGGGTGGAAGGACAACCGGTACAAGAGGCGGTGGAGGTTGGTCGTCTGTTGGGAGTCGGGCTTCTGGTGCTAGAGGAGGAAATACAGGAGGGGGAGCGCATAAACGTAGAGGCGAAACACAAAACAGGGTAATGGGATCGGGGGCTCAGAGAGACAGAGGAGGCCCGGGGCCTGGAGGGGCTCGAGCAGCTAAGGGCAGACAGGGGAGCAGAAGTCCAAGGCGTACGATGTCTACTCAGTCTCCACACTTACATCGTCAATCTACTTCCCAGTCCCATCCTCAACAACCTTCCCACAGTGCTCCTAGAGTCCCTATTCCACTGGCTGAAATACTTCCGACTCCACCGCACTCTGTGTCTCAAACCTCTGTGCGTGGCCCCTCAAGTGCGTCCAGCTCAAGATCTTCGTCACCTAGTGTCACTAATGCCGGTGGTACGGGACTGGGTCCCCAGGTGCCTATTTCTGGACATAGTCAACAGAGTAGCCAAGACTCAGCTCCCAATCAGGACTCCAATCCACGCACACCCGGTCAGCATTCTGATTCAGGTGGCGGCGGAGGAGGACCTGGAGGGGCTGCAGGTTCGTCGCGGGGTATGGACGAGAATTCAACGGGCAGTGTTTTGACAGCTTCAAAACCTGTTGTCTCTCTAAGCATTGATCTTTCTCAGGCTCAAAGTGCTCCAAGAGATGTTCAGTCTGCTGGGCATGATAGTGATCCGGGCCGTCCAGGGTCTTCGTTGCCACAGGCTAATTCAAACCATGATGGTTCCCCGGGACCCATCGGTACGCCTGCTCACCAGGATCCGGGTACAGACGGCAAGGTGTCTTCGGGAATAAATCCGGTTGTCTCTTCAAATGCTATGAACAGTCAGACTTCAAGGGTTCAAACCCCAGATTCCCTGTCATCTGTTGCCCTTCCTGTTGGTGCCCAGGATCTGAAAGACCAGGCGCATTCTTCTACTCAAGATATTTCTCATCAATCTTCAGAAATACAAAGCACCCATCAAGGCACCCCCGGCGTCGATAATCTGCCATCCGCTGCAAATCGTGCCGGTCCAGGTGGCGATGAAGCCAATGGAGGGGGTGGAGTCTCGGCAGGTGGTACGGATGGCGATTCCCAGGTCGACTCTCATTCTGGTAAATCTTCTAATGCCCCTCAACCTTCTGTTCGACTTCACACCCCAGCTCTTTCAGCCGCAGGTCCTCCATCTGATATCTCTGGTTCACCGGGCGATTTGGGCCTTACTCTCCCATCGCCTTCTAAGGTAAATCCTCAGGGCCACACGGATGATGCAGGCAGACATAGCCCGACAGCTATTCCACAGGCTCCTGGCCAAGCTCCTCTCGGCAATTCTGATGCTGCAGTTACAAGAGCTCAACAACATGTTGGAACTCAGGATAATGGATCTCCAGGTCAGCTAGGCCCGCCACCTCCTGTTCCTCCCCCTCCGCCTTCCGCTCCTCCCCCCAGTCCTCCTGCAGCCCCTGTCTCACCTGCTAAGCCGGGTGGCGGGGGCGCTGTTTTACAGAGCAATGCTTCTTCAGGTTCACAGCCTGGTTCCCCTCAAGTCAAGGGGCCTCCTCAGCCTCCGAGTGTTACAGGTCCAGGCCCTGGGTCAACTGGTGGTGGAGGGGCTGATCCACATGGTAGTGGAGGGGCTGGGCAAGATGTTGGTCAAGCCTCCGGTAAAACTCCAAGCAGCGTCGCTACTCCGTCGGATGCCATGGCGGCTGGTGCAGGTGGAGGGGGCAGAGATCCGCAGTCTCAAGTTATTGATAAAAAGGATTCACAAAACTGTCCTGCGGGTGCTACAGAAGTTACCGCAGTTAATTCTCAAGGTTACATTTGCTGGCCGCCGCCACCGTCCATGAAAACTCCTGCCAGAATCATACCTTATGACCAGAGGCCTTCGTCTTTGATCTTGAAAAAACTGAATGACCAAGAGTCAAACGCCCTAAAAGAAGAAGAAAAGGAGAAGCACAAACAGCATGCCATAAATGTCGCTTTTGCCAACTCTTTCAACGGGTCGAAAATAACTCCTCCGGACCCAATTGAATACTACTACGGCGGGCTGACAGGGAATGTTGTGAGAGATGACTCAGGCGTTATACGGCAAAAATCATTTCTTGAAAAGTCTTTAGATGCCAGTAAACAAATATTCGAGGAGAGCAAATCAAAACTTCAGGCGCTGGATAATGATAGAAAGCGTTCGATGTATTTTGGCGGCGGTGGTGTCGACATTAGGATTCCAAATAAACCGCTTAATGTGTCCTTTGAAATCACAAAGCCTCTAGACCGTAATGCAGACAAATTTCCGGATCCATTACTGACCGCTCTTCACGATCCAGAAGAATTCGGCCTTGGAGGGGAAGAAGTGTACGCTGAGGATTATCCACTTGTGTCTGGTGTTGGAGGGGAACCAGTAGTGGGAGACCCTAATATCTCGCAAAAGAGAACCACATCGCAGGAATTCAGGATCTCCGCCAAAAATTATACGAAAAACAAAAGGTGGAGGTTGAAAAGCTTAATAGGGTGCTAGAAGAGGGAGAAGAGAAGAGAAAGGAAGCTGAAGCACAATATGCATTCGACCAGTTTAAAGGTAAAAATGATTTTCTTAAAGATCTTTGGAAAGTTGAAGATTTCAGAATCTCTGGTCCGCCGTCGCCCCAAACTGATGAACAAAAAATTGATCTCCGCATCGACGTCCCCAAGCCCATTCTTCAAGACCCTGTCCACGACTTTGACTTCGATGAAGACTCGACGCATATAAATGATGATGCACTGTCCAACAGTGTCGCTCCATACAAACCTGCCATCTCATTAAATGTTCTACCTCCAAAGGCCAAGCAGTTACCGCCGCCAACAACAGACTTCGACAGAAGTAAAATAAATCGACAAACTCTACCAATGTGTATACCGGATTGGTCTACTAAGACGCCAACACATGACGCCACCGACATCCCGAGACGGAGCTGTTCCCTCCGAGGCGCCGCGTACAGTCAGGGAGATGCTTGTTTGGATGGCCGGACTGCGACACCCGAGGCACCAAGAGACTCTGAAACTGTGTATTACTAACGCTTTCAAGCGCGGCGATGATGACCCTTCAGATCTCCGACTCTCAGTCAACAATTCTGAAATTACCCCTCAACAAGTTTTTCAGATCTTAAAACTTGCCGCCGTGTTCGCGTCTTCAGTGCTCAATTCCATCGCGCCTAAGTGGAGGATGGCGGTGCCGTCTGTAACTTCAGCGTCTAAGGACCCTGATTGCTGCGCCCTCCTCTGCCAGCTGCGGGACTACGTCTACGCCTGCTGCCACCAGTTGGCGTTCTTAAAATTGCAGTGTTCTCGGGAGCAGTCACAGGGTGGTTGGCAGGATTGTCATTATGGCAGGAATGTATCATCCCCCAACTCCCCTATCCAGGCCTTCCTGACTGACGCCTCCACATCCAAGTTCGAGACACATCCCTTCGACCCGCGCAACATCTGCCGCAAGAGCCGTGTCAACATGGGATTCACAAAGGAGGATTTGCCTGCAACTCACGAAACTGGCAAGCATATTTCCACCATCCTCTCTCCCACCTGCGGCGGGGAGGATCCCCTGCTGACTTTGTCCTCCTACCTCAACTGCCTCACCAGGCGGACGCCGCGCACCACCGGGGAGCTTGTCTCATTCTTCCACAATTTCGGGAATTCACTGCACAAGCCTCCATCAGAGTTGTCTCCACTGGGCTCCGCCCTCTCCAAACGACATGACGACTGCCCTGACTGGGATTGTCTCAAGGACGCCGACCTCCAAGTCATCAAGTACGTCCGGGGCTCCGACACTCTCAACTCCAACCACGACAAGGACCATCCCAACACCCTGTCCACGCTGCTTGGCTGCAACATCACCAATGCCAACTGCACACAACTCATGAAGCCCATCACCTACCGGGCCTACGCCCTGTACTCTTCCAGCTTCGTCCACGACTACCTCAGCTGGACGGTGTATCTACCAGACAGACTGTGGGAGTCACTGCTCAAGTTGCACTGCGATCTCGAGAAGCTTCAATGTCACGACTCCAAGGCCAAGCCTCTCCACCAGTGTGACAAGGCCCTGCCGCTCCTCTACAAGCACGGCATCACCCCGCCGGACGGGACACTACAATCACGAATCTCCTGTTCCAAGGTCATCACCAAGCTTGAGGCAGTGGTTGCAGGTGGGCCTATCGCAAGGCTTATGACCGCCATGGACACATTCCTCTACGGCATCCGTGCCCCCTTCCTCTTCACCCTCGTCGCACTCTGGCTCACCGCCACGCTCTACATCGCCCACTCACTCCTCTACCGCCTGGACGTTCTGCACATCCGCTCGCACCTCCTCACCACCAGGGCCTCACACCTCATCGACGTCAAGGCGCTGCTCGCCGGCAGCCGCAAGATGCTCTCGCTCTACAAGGACGTCGACTACTTCGACGATGACTTTCACTCATGACAGTAATTATCTTAGCTACATTACATTTACACTCCCTGTGTTGCCGTGTCATGTCACGTCTTTCATCGTGACTGTAAGCCGTGCCTTGCCTACCACCTAACGCACTGCCTAACCAAATGCGTAACCTAGCACCTAACCGAGACGCTGACCAAACGGCTAACCAAATGGCTGACCTACCACCCAACCAAACATTTAACCTACTCGCTGCTTTGTCATCTCCATCCCCTCCCCCAGACTCCGACAATCTGCCCCTTCTCAAGACCGTCAGGGAAATGCTCCACTGGATGGTCGGGTTTAATCAATATGGGCTCATTGGGGAGATCAGGGAGTATGTTGGAGATATTTTAATGAAGCTTAACAAGGACGTCTCGCAGTCTCCAGATGCCCTCGAGGTCACCGGGATGCCCTCTCAGCTGACCGCTTCCCATGTCTCCAACACTCTGACCGAGGCGTGTCACTACGCGGCCAACGTTCTCCACAAGATGAAGTATAAGGACTCCAAGGATGCTCCAACAACTCTAAACTTCAAATCAGTATATTGTCATCTTCGTTATTCCGACGACCCCGCTCGCCTCCTCTGCCAGCTCCGGGACTATGCCTACGCCTGCTGCCACCAGTTGGCGTTCCTAAAGTCGCAGTGTTCTCGGAATAAAATAAACGGTGGCTGGCAGGATTGTGAGTATGGCAATAATATCCCCGACTCCCCCCTCCAGGCCTTTCTGATTGACGCCCATGACTCCAAGTTCAAGACTCATCCCTTCGACCCGTGTGACATCTGCCTCAAAAGCCGTGTCAGGATGGGATTCAGGGAGGAGGATTTGCCTGCAACTCACGAAACCGGCAAGCATATTTCCACCATCCTCTCTCCCACCTGCGGCGGGGAGGATCCCCTGCTGACTTTGTCCTCCTACCTCAACTGCCTCACCAGGCGGACGCCGCGTACCACAGGGGAACTTGTGTCGTTCTTCCACAATTTCGGGAATTCGCTGCACAGTCATCCTTCAGCGTTGTCTTTACTGGGCTCCGCCCTCTCCCAGCCACATGAAAACTGCCCCGACTGGGACATCCTTGGTGACGCCGACCTCCAAGCTATCAGGGACGCACGGGGCTCCGCCCCTGCCACCTCCACCTCCAACCACAACCACGACAAGGTCCATGCCAAGACACTGTCCACGCTGCTTGGCTGCGACATCAAAAGTGCCAACTGCCCACAGCATATGAAGCCCATCACCTACCGGGCCTACGCCCTGTACTCTTCCAGCTTCGTACACCACTACCTCAGCTGGACGGTACATCTCCCCGACAGACTGTGGGAGTCACTGGTCAAGCTTCACTGTGATCTCAAGGACCTTCAGTGCCACGACTCTAACTCCAAGTCCCTCCACCAGTGTCCCAAGGCCCCGCCCCTCCTCTACTCTCACGGGTTCACGCCGCCGGACGGGACATTGCAGTCGTCGCTCACGTGTTCGAAGGTCATCGATAAGCTGAAGGAAGTGGTCGCCGGACAGCCTATCGCAGCCCTCATGACCGCCATGGACAATTTCCTCTACGGCATCCGTGCCCCCTTCCTCTTCACCATCGTCACGCTCTGGCTAATCGCCGCGCTCTACATCGCCCACTCACTCCTCTACCGCATGGACGTCCTCCGCATACGCTCCCACCTCCTCACCACCAGGGCCTCACACCTCATCGACGTCAAGGCGCTGCTCGCCGGCAGCCGCAGGATGCTCTCACTCTACAAGGACGTCGACTACTTCGACGATGACTTTCACTCATGACAGTAATTATCGTAGCTACATTCACATTTACATCCCTCTATTTGTGTTGTCATGTCACGTCTCTCATGGTGACTGTACCTCGTGCCTTGCCTATCACCTAACTCACTGACTAACCTGATGTCCAACCTAAAACCTAACCCATAATTTAGTAGACGAGTTGGAATATTCGTTGTTACATACGCCACTAGTGAACGTGTCCACGCCGTTGCCTAATGTCAAAGCACCGTGAAGATGATGGCTGCTGGACCATCACTGCTGTGCTAGGTCAGTGTCTCACGTCAGTTACCATGTGCGTTCGCAGGCAGTGAAGTCGTTGTGACGGCCATTGTACAGCCTAGTCAAGCGGCATCTATGACCACATTGTGGCGGCCGGTAATACAGTAGTCACTGCCCTCACAGCTACACTCTTCATTTGCCTCGTCACCTATCTCCTCAAATGGTGAACATTAATACACTGCATCATTACTTCAGCCAACATTCAATATCAATTAAATTATGATTCCGTACAACATGGTTACATACAATTCTAATATTGCACTGATTACGTGGCGTCATTGTACCCGCATCCTTCACCTCCATATCATCCTTTTACTCCCGGACTCCACAAATACCGCGCAGGTTGCTCTCCGCAGTTCCCGGCCACCTCCACAACGTGACACCTGTAGCATCATCTAGTCCACTATGAGATGTCACATTCGACGTGGACCTATCACTGGCGCCACCCTCAATTTCAAGGTTTAGGTTTAGGTTATGATTTACGTCAGCAACACTCACCAAACTCGCCGTTTAACCAAACGTCTCACCTAATATGTAATCTAGCATTTGACCAAATACCTAGCCAAATGGCTCACCTAGCACATAACCAAACGGCTCACCTATCACATAACTTAAGATGTAACCTACTCGCTGCTTTGTCATCTCCCTTGTCCGTTTGTTTACTCGCCATCACTCCCAAAGCAGCCTCCTTCATCCCACCTTGTCGGTGGATTGCAACTGCGGACGCCTCCCACCATGTCCCTCTTGCACCTCTAAAATAGGCCACTTATCGCCACTAACAGCTTCACTGAGTCACCTACTAACATCGCAATCACTACCGCTGCAAGCAACTTGGGAGTGTCTTGGTAACCTGGCAGCAGTGACGTCACCTTGCAACTTTTATCGCTTTAGTGTCTCCTGGTTCACCAGTAAAACGCTTTCACTTGTACTTTTGTGACATTAGCCTAGCACCCATTTATTATTGTTTCTGTGCTTAGTGCTTTCGTAAGCAAGATGACGAAGCACGGCATTCCTCTCAACACTCTCAAGGAGTGTCTCCAGTTCCTGCTGTGGTTGAATAGTAGGAAAGATGTGCAAAAACAGGTGGCCGATGTGCTGGTTAATCGTTATGGAAATTCTTATAACCATATTTCGTTTACGGGCAAGCTGCCAGCTGATGTCTCCAAATTCCTCGAACACGTGTCCACGTTTTATGAGAAATTAGTAGCTACACCAATTAAGGAAAGATATATCGATCCACAAGCAAAAGATGTCACCGAAGCCCTCCTCGACTGCATTCCCAAGTTCCTCGCCGCTTTGTATTTTTTGCTCTACAACGTGGATTATAGATTCGATGCAGTGGGAGGAGGGAAGTGGAAGTACAATTATCCTGGGTGGGAGCCTACTTGGTCGAGACACTTTTGGCAGAAAGAGTATGGAGGTGGGCTGCAGGATTATCTCAGGGTGTCACTGAGCGATAAGTACGGTGACCTCATACCTGGTGGATTCGGCCCAGAAGAGGTGACGTATGGTTATGACTATGGTTCTCGCTATGGCTATCCATACGGTGAGGATATGACTAAGGACATCGAAAAAATGCTGGGCAAAAATACCGACAACAATTATTTCCGGGACGTATTTTTTACAACAGTCATTTCTAAATCCGGCTTACAGAAATCGAACACTGCGAACGTGCTTGCATTGGTGAAAACGTTTTGCGAGATTGTCGCTGCGGAGGAAAAGAAACTAAATGGTGAAAAGTTTAAGACGCATTTGGAAAAAGGCATGCAGAACAAACGCATTTGTTGGCCTAATTTAGTAGCCCATTGCTCCAAACTTCAATCACAACTTGGCAAGTTGTTCAATGAGAAAGCCTTTTCCTTCACTGGCCAGGCGCGGACTGTCGACCAGCTTAACACTGAGAGATTTGCGGGGGAGACAGCGGTATGGTTGCGAAGAAATTTGCGCAATGTTAAACAGAATGTACAACAAATAAATAAAAGGTTCCCAGTCGACAACACTCGACATTTGAATTATCTTCAGCAATTTGCAACCAAAAACATATTCCCCTACGGTTTTATATTTGGTAAAGACAGATATGGAACGCTGGGAGACGCGTGGAAGACGTTGTCAGATCATTGGCCCGGTGTCATAGATATGCTTGGCAAAAATGGTGGCGGCTTAGCGGAGTTAAAAAGAATTCTGGATGGTGGACGGTGCCGTCCGCCGGCTCCCCCTCCAAAACCACGACCTAGGCCGGCGCCTGCGCCCAGGCCTTCGAGGACTGCACTACCACCAGGGATCCCCAGAACTTCGGGTGTAAGGACAACCGGTCCAAGAAATGTTGGAGGTTGGTTGTCTAGTGGGAGTCAGGGTTCTGGTGCTAGAGGAGGGGGAGGGTCTAACCATAGAAGAGGGGGCCCAAATAGGGGAGGAAGATCGGGGGCTCAGAGAGGCAGAGGACAAGGTCCGGGACCTGGAGGGGCTCGAGGTGCCAGGGGCACACAGAGGAGCAGTAGTCCAGGGCATACGATGTCTGCTCAGTCTCCACACTTACAATCTCAAGATGATCTCCAGTCTGGTCCTCCCCCGCCTCCTCCCCCCAGTGCTCCTGGAGGCCTTGGCCACACTGGTCAGTCGAATGGCACGGTTCAGGGTTCACCGGGCGGTGACGGTCAAGGTGCTCAGCCTGGTGGATCTCCAGTTACAAGTCCTACTCAGCCTACAAGTGCTTCAGATTCACAACCTGGACCAACTGGTGGCCAGGGGTCTGGTCGACATGATAGTGGAGTGGCTGGGCAAGATGTTGGTCAAGCCTCCGGTAAAACTCCAAGCAGCGTCGCTACTCCGTCGGATGCCATGGCGGCTGGTGCAGGTGGAGGGGGCAGAGATCCGCAGTCTCAAGTTATTGATAAAAAGGATTCACAAAACTGTCCTGCGGGTGCTACAGAAGTTACCGCAGTTAATTCTCAAGGTTACATTTGCTGGCCGCCGCCACCGTCCATGAAAACTCCTGCCAGAATCATACCTTATGACCAGAGGCCTTCGTCTTTGATCTTGAAAAAACTGAATGACCAAGAGTCAAACGCCCTAAAAGAAGAAGAAAAGGAGAAGCACAAACAGCATGCCATAAATGTCGCTTTTGCCAACTCTTTCAACGGGTCGAAAATAACTCCTCCGGACCCAATTGAATACTACTACGGCGGGCTGACAGGGAATGTTGTGAGAGATGACTCAGGCGTTATACGGCAAAAATCATTTCTTGAAAAGTCTTTAGATGCCAGTAAACAAATATTCGAGGAGAGCAAATCAAAACTTCAGGCGCTGGATAATGATAGAAAGCGTTCGATGTATTTTGGCGGCGGTGGTGTCGACATTAGGATTCCAAATAAACCGCTTAATGTGTCCTTTGAAATCACAAAGCCTCTAGACCGTAATGCAGACAAATTTCCGGATCCATTACTGACCGCTCTTCACGATCCAGAAGAATTCGGCCTTGGAGGGGAAGAAGTGTACGCTGAGGATTATCCACTTGTGTCTGGTGTTGAGGGGAACCAGTAGTGGGAGACCCTAATATCTCGCAAAAAGAGAACCACATCGCAGGAATTCAGGATCTCCGCCAAAAATTATACGAAAAACAAAAGGTGGAGGTTGAAAAGCTTAATAGGGTGCTAGAAGAGGGAGAAGAGAAGAGAAAGGAAGCTGAAGCACAATATGCATTCGACCAGTTTAAAGGTAAAAATGATTTTCTTAAAGATCTTTGGAAAGTTGAAGATTTCAGAATCTCTGGTCCGCCGTCGCCCCAAACTGATGAACAAAAAATTGATCTCCGCATCGACGTCCCCAAGCCCATTCTTCAAGACCCTGTCCACGACTTTGACTTCGATGAAGACTCGACGCATATAAATGATGATGCACTGTCCAACAGTGTCGCTCCATACAAACCTGCCATCTCATTAAATGTTCTACCTCCAAAGGCCAAGCAGTTACCGCCGCCAACAACAGACTTCGACAGAAGTAAAATAAATCGACAAACTCTACCAATGTGTATACCGGATTGGTCTACTAAGACGCCAACACATGACGCCACCGACATCCCCGAGACGGAGCTGTTCCCCTCCGAGGCGCCGCGTACAGTCAGGGAGATGCTTGTTTGGATGGCCGGACTGCGACACCCGAGGCACCAAGAGACTCTGAAACTGTGTATTACTAACGCTTTCAAGCGCGGCGATGATGACCCTTCAGATCTCCGACTCTCAGTCAACAATTCTGAAATTACCCCCTCAACAAGTTTTTCAGATCTTAAAACTTGCCGCCGTGTTCGCGTCTTCAGTGCTCAATTCCATCGCGCCTAAGTGGAGGATGGCGGTGCCGTCTGTAACTTCAGCGTCTAAGGACCCTGATTGCTGCGCCCTCCTCTGCCAGCTGCGGGACTACGTCTACGCCTGCTGCCACCAGTTGGCGTTCTTAAAATTGCAGTGTTCTCGGGAGCAGTCACAGGGTGGTTGGCAGGATTGTCATTATGGCAGGAATGTATCATCCCCCAACTCCCCTATCCAGGCCTTCCTGACTGACGCCTCCACATCCAAGTTCGAGACACATCCCTTCGACCCGCGCAACATCTGCCGCAAGAGCCGTGTCAACATGGGATTCACAAAGGAGGATTTGCCTGCAACTCACGAAACTGGCAAGCATATTTCCACCATCCTCTCTCCCACCTGCGGCGGGGAGGATCCCCTGCTGACTTTGTCCTCCTACCTCAACTGCCTCACCAGGCGGACGCCGCGCACCACCGGGGAGCTTGTTTCTTTCTTCCACAATTTCGGGAATGAGATGCATTCCTCATCTTCACAGTTGTCTCCACTGGGCTCCGCCCTCTCCGAGCCACATGGCCACTGCCCCAAGTGGGACCGTCTAGAGGACGCCGACTTCAATGCCGTCAAGGGCGTACGGGGCTCCGCCACTCCCAGCTCCATCCACTCCAAGGACCATCCCAAGACCCTGTCCACGCTGCTTGGATGCGGCATCACCAATGTGCAGTGCCCACAACTGATGACGCCCATCACCTACCGGGCCTACGCCCTCTACTCCCCGAGCTTCGCCCACGACTACCTCAGCTGGGTGGTATACCTACCCGACAGACTTTGGGAGTCGTTGGACAGACTGAGCAGAGACATGAAGAAGCATGATAGCGTAAAGTGTGCATCCCTTCATAACTGCGCCGACGCTCTGCCCCTCCTCTACTCTCACGGGTTCGCGCCACCTTACGGGACTCTGCAGCCGTCACTCACGTGTTCCAAGGTCATCGCCAAGCTGGGGGAAGTGGTCTCCGGACAGCCTATCGCAAGCCTCATGACCGCCATGGACACATTTCTCTACGGCATCCGCATGCCATTCCTCTTCTGCCTCGTCACACTCTGGCTCACCGCCACGGTCTACATCCTCCACTCACTCCTCTACCGCATGGACGTCCTCCGCATCCGCTCCCACCTCCTCACCACCAGGGCCTCACACCTCATCGACGTTAAGGCGCTGCTCGCCGGCAGCCGCAGGATGCTCTCACTCTACAAGGACGTCGACTACTTCGACGACGACTTCCACTCGTGACAGTAATTATCGTAGCTACATTACGTTTACATTGGTCGTGTCGTCATCTCACGTCTTTCATGGTGACTGTATCTCGTGCCTTGCCCAGCACCTAACCCACCACCTAACCAAGAGGCTTACCTATCACGTAACCAAACGTCCCACCTAGCACATGACCAAATTGCTTACCTATCACGTAACCAAACGTCCCACCTAGCACCTGACCAACGATGTAACCTACTCGCTGCTTTGCCTTGTCCCTCCTCCCTTTGTCGGCTTGCCGTCACTCCCAAAATAGCCTCCATCCCACCTGTCGGTGGACTGAGGCTGCGGACGCCTCCCACCACGCCCCTCCTGCACCTCTAAAATGTCTCACCAATCTTGACTTACATCTTCACTGAGTCACCTACATACACCGCAATCACTACTGTTGCAAGCATCTTGGGAGTGTCTTGGTAACCTTGAAGCAGTGTCGTCACCTAGGAGGTTTTATCGCCTCAGTGTCTCCTAGTTAACCATTTAAATCTACTCTTGTAACATTAGCCTAACGTCCATTTATTAGTGTCACTGTGCTAACTGCTTTGGTAAGCAAGATGACGAAGCATAACATTCAGCTTGACACCCTTAAGCAGTGTCTCATGTTCCTGCAGTGGCTGCATAGCGGGGGAGGAAAAAAGATGCAAACCCAGGTGGCTTTAGATTTATATGGGCGTATCAAGCAATATTTTAAAGAGGATCAGAATAATTTTTCCCTAGTCAACGTTGAAAAGGGCTTGTCCGCTTTCCTCACCACCGTGTCGGCGTTCTACACGAGGTTATGCAAAGACCCAGCGCCTGGCAAAATGTTAATAAACAACCGAAAGAGATTGTGGACGCTCTCCTGGAGTGTCTGCCCAAGTTCCTCGCTGCCATATATTTTTTGGAGTACTGCGTGAATCTGGCTTTCAAAACGCTGGGCGGCGGGTGGTGGGAACAGAACTGGCCTGCGTGGAATGATAGTTCTGGCGGCGATCTCGCTAAATATCTCTACGCGACAACTACTGACCGAAAGTACAGCCAAATCCCCGGGTTGATACCCGGAGGCTTCGGTAAAGACGATCAGGTGATATACTATACACTTGGGAGTGGATACTACCAGGGTGCCCAAATGTCTGGGGACCTACAAAAGATTGTGGACAAACAGTTCTACAATTTTTTCCGCAGCGTGTTTGTGAGCTCCGTTATTGGAGAATCGGCCAAGCGTCCAGAGAACGCCGCGAATTCTCTTGTGTTGGCGAGAACCTTTGATATTGTTCTTGGGGAGACTGATAAAGAGACAGGTGGAAAATTAATAGAAGCATTGAATGCAGGTTTACGCCAACAAGTAGGATCAAGAGATAAATCCATATGCTGGAAAGAGTTACATTCCCATTGCACTAAGCTTCGAAAAAAATTTTACAGATTGTTCGGTGAAAAACACTTCGACTTCACCGGACTGTCGACGGACACCGGAAACCTTAATAAGACAGAGTTGGCGAAGGAAACGGCGAATTGGATTAGACAGAATGTGGTCAATGTGCGGGGTCATTTGAATGATATTGATACCAGTGATCGTGTCAAACATCTTGGAGAGTATTTCACGAAAATCTCTTCCCGTACGGTTTTACCATTTTAATGGGACTCGCTTTAAAATGAATCCAAGTGATCTTCAGACATTGAAAAAAGATTGGCGTGAGGTGATCGAAGAGTTTAAGAAAAGCAACGGCGATTTGAATACGCTCAGAGAAATTTTGAGTGGAACGTATAATGTTTCATGTAAAATCAAGACCTCCGCCTGAAAAGAAAGCTGAGGGAGCGCAGAACCAGGGGAAGAAAGCTGAGGCGGCGAAGCCGACTGCCACTAAGGTTAATGAGGGAGCGCAGAACCAGGGGAAAGTGAGGGAACTTCAAATCAAAGTGGAGATACGTCTTCAGGTTCAGCAAGTGGAAAGCCTGCTCCAGGTCCGCCTTCCGGTGGTCACGGAGCCACAAGTCCGCAAGGGCCTAGTGGTGATAGAGGACAGCAAAGGCCTACTGATCCAGTTCCTACGGTGTCTTCTTCGACTCCAGTTCGAACAGATCAACAAGTTGTTCAAGTTCAACACTCTGCTCCAGGCCCGCAAGGCCTCTCCTCCGCCGCCTCCTCCCTCTTCCTGGACCGCCTGCCCTCTCTGGTCAGCCAGGTGTCCCGGGTTCAACGTCCGATGATGCTACAACTATACGGACTGGTCCCTCAAGATCCTGCACGTCCTCAGACTACGGGTGTTTGGGCTGGCGCTGGGCCAACTGGTGATAAGGGGGCTGGTACACAAGGTGGTGGAGGGGCTGGTCAACAAGGTAATCGAGATGTTACTCAACCAACAAGTCAAAGCACCGATCACGATTCAAGCGGCGACGCTAATACGTCGGATGCCCCGGCGTCTGGTGGAGGTGGGGGTAGGAGGGTCAGGAGATAAGGTTGTTCCTCAATCCGTTCCAAATGTTAGTAAAAAACAGTGCAAATCAGATGAATATTTAGTGAAAGATTCCGGTGGCAATGAAATGTGTTTTCGAAATCCTCAGAATCCCGCCCCAACCAAATCATACGGCCCCAACCTTTCCCCGATTTTCTAAAGAAACTTAGAGAAAAGAAGCAGACGTCCTTAAAAGGCGGAAGAGGAGGAGGAACGGAGACGTCAGCAATATTTACAGTATTACTATCCTAAAACATTTCATCAGATCCCTACTGCTGTTGAGTCTTCAGCCACTATGGGCCTTGATGGCGTCGACGTCTCCAATGAATCTTTGTATGATCCCGGCCTATGGTGGGAACAAAGGTATAGAAATGATTGGAATTATCCGAAGCAATTAGTAGAGTGGACTGCAAAAAAGGAGCAAGAGAAATTCGAGAGAAATCTTGAAGAAGCTAAGCAAAATGTATCGAAACAACTTAAGGACACCTGGATACTTCAGGAATTACGGGACGACGACCTTGGCCACGTCGTCGTACCTACATACATACGTCGATGCCACTTCCGGATCCGGAGTATCCGGACCCGTTAGCACCCAAAGCTTTGTCACTGTCAGGATCAGTCATTGATTCGCCGCCTCCTGAGACAGATGACCCAGTGCCGCCGCCAACTGGTGACCAATACGACTGGGACATCGAAGTTGTACAACCGCATCCAGACGCAGTGGAGAGCGCACTTATAGGCATAGATCCGTATTCTGACGTGAAAGACGATGGACTGGTATTCGAAAAAATTGATCGCCAATCTGATGCCAAACAAGATTATGTCGACCTCCACATCGACGTCGCCAAGCCCATTGTTCAAGACCTTGTCGATAATCCTGATGAATACCTTTACTCCAACGCGGAGGATATCCTGCGGGACGAGTTGAAAAATGCGGAGTCCTGGCATGGTGAAGACAAAGGATTTTCTGCCCTGCCCAAGAGTAATTTCAACATTGAATTTACTCCATCATTTTTAGAATCCGATGGGGATCATGATGCTGGTATTACCCGCGGTACTCCAAGGAAGCCATATGACCAGCACATTCCAGTGTTCCCTGACTCTGGAGTATGCCAAAACCCGTGGTACGTCCCCGATGCCTCCTCCACTACCGTCACTCCACCCCTCTCCCCGCCCCCAGACACGGACCATCTGCCCCCGCCAGACACCGTCAGGGAAATGCTCTGCTGGCTGGTTGGAATGGCTGAGTTGGGGTATATTCCTTTCATCGAGGACCATCTTAAGAGCATTTTGACGGAATATAACAAGGATGTCTCCCAGCCTCCAGATGCCCTCGAGGTCACCAGAGATCCTTACACTCTGGACGCTGCCCGTGTCGCCAACACCCTGACTGAGGCGTCCTCTACGGGGCCAGCGTTCTCCACAGGATTAAACACAAGGACAATTCGAAAGCTGTTTCAGTCCCTGATTTCAGCTCAGAATATTCCAAACTTTGTTACTCCACCGACCCCGCCTGCCTCCTCTGCCAGCTGCGGGACTACGTCTACGCCTGCTGCCACCAGTTGGAGTTCCTGAGGTCGCAGTGTTCTCGGAAGCAGTCATATGGTGGTTGGCAGGATTGTGAGTACGGCCGTGACATCAAGATACCGTCCCTCCAGGCCTTCCTGACCGACGCCTCCACCTCCAAGTTCGAGACTCACCGCTTCGACCTGTGTGACATCTGCCTCAAGAGCCGTATCAACATGGGATTCCAAAAGGACGATTTTTCTAAGGACTCCAACGATGGCAAGCATCTTCACACCATCCTCTCTCCCAGCTGCGGCGGCGAGGATCCCCTGCTGACATTGTCCTCTTACCTCAACTGCCTCACCAGGCGGACGCCGCGTACCACCGGGGAGCTCGTCTCGTTCTTCCACAATTTCGGGAATTCACTGCACAAGCCTCCATCAGAGTTGTCTCCACTGGGCTCCGCCCTCTCCAAACGACATGACGACTGCCCTGACTGGGATTGTCTCAAGGACGCCGACCTCCAAGTCATCAAGTACGTCCGGGGCTCCGACACTCTCAACTCCAACCACCAAGATCATCCCGATACCCTGTCCACGCTGCTTGGTTGCGGCATCAATAATTTAAAGTGCTCACAACTTATGAAGCCCATCACCTACCGGGCCTACACCCTGTACTCTTCCAGCTTCGTACACCACTACCTCAGCTGGGCGGTGTACCTACCCGACAGACTTTGGGAGTCGTTGGACAGACTGAGCAGAGACATGAAGAAGCATGATAGCGTAAAGTGTGCATCCCTTCATAACTGCGCCGACGCTCTGCCCCTCCTCTACTCTCACGGGTTCGCGCCACCTTACGGGACTCTGCAGCCGTCACTCACGTGTTCCAAGGTCATCGCCAAGCTGGGGGAAGTGGTCTCCGGACAGCCTATCGCAAGCCTCATGACCGCCATGGACACATTTCTCTACGGCATCCGCATGCCATTCCTCTTCTGCCTCGTCACACTCTGGCTCACCGCCACGGTCTACATCCTCCACTCACTCCTCTACCGCATGGACGTCCTCCGCATCCGCTCCCACCTCCTCACCACCAGGGCCTCACACCTCATCGACGTTAAGGCGCTGCTCGCCGGCAGCCGCAGGATGCTCTCACTCTACAAGGACGTCGACTACTTCGACGACGACTTCCACTCGTGACAGTAATTATCGTAGCTACATTACGTTTACATTGGTCGTGTCGTCATCTCACGTCTTTCATGGTGACTGTATCTCGTGCCTTGCCCAGCACCTAACCCACCACCTAACCAAGAGGCTTACCTATCACGTAACCAAACGTCCCACCTAGCACATGACCAAATTGCTTACCTATCACGTAACCAAACGTCCCACCTAGCACCTGACCAACGATGTAACCTACTCGCTGCTTTGCCTTGTCCCTCCTCCCTTTGTCGGCTTGCCGTCACTCCCAAAATAGCCTCCATCCCACCTGTCGGTGGACTGAGGCTGCGGACGCCTCCCACCACGCCCCTCCTGCACCTCTAAAATGTCTCACCAATCTTGACTTACATCTTCACTGAGTCACCTACATACACCGCAATCACTACTGTTGCAAGCATCTTGGGAGTGTCTTGGTAACCTTGAAGCAGTGTCGTCACCTAGGAGGTTTTATCGCCTCAGTGTCTCCTAGTTAACCATTTAAATCTACTCTTGTAACATTAGCCTAACGTCCATTTATTAGTGTCACTGTGCTAACTGCTTTGGTAAGCAAGATGACGAAGCATAACATTCAGCTTGACACCCTTAAGCAGTGTCTCATGTTCCTGCAGTGGCTGCATAGCGGGGGAGGAAAAAAGATGCAAACCCAGGTGGCTTTAGATTTATATGGGCGTATCAAGCAATATTTTAAAGAGGATCAGAATAATTTTTCCCTAGTCAACGTTGAAAAGGGCTTGTCCGCTTTCCTCACCACCGTGTCGGCGTTCTACACGAGGTTATGCAAAGACCCAGCGCCTGGCAAAAATGTTAATAAACAACCGAAAGAGATTGTGGACGCTCTCCTGGAGTGTCTGCCCAAGTTCCTCGCTGCCATATATTTTTTGGAGTACTGCGTGAATCCGGCTTTCAAAACGCTGGGCGGCGGGTGGTGGGAACAGAACTGGCCTGCGTGGAATGATAGTTCTGGCGGCGATCTCGCTAAATATCTCTACGCGACAACTACCGACCGAAAGTACAGCCAAATCCCCGGGTTGATACCCGGAGGCTTCGGTAAAGACGATCAGGTGATATACTATACACTTGGGAGTGGATACTACCAGGGTGCCCAAATGTCTGGGGACCTACAAAAGATTGTGGACAAACAGTTCTACAATTTTTTCCGCAGCGTGTTTGTGAGCTCCGTTATTGGAGAATCGGCCAAGCGTCCAGAGAACGCCGCGAATTCTCTTGTGTTGGCGAGAACCTTTTGCGATATTGTTCTTGGGGAGACAGATAAAGAGACAGGTGGAAAATTAATAGAAGCATTGAATGCAGGTTTACGCCAACAAGTAGGATCAAGAGATAAATCCATATGCTGGAAAGAGTTACATTCCCATTGCACTAAGCTTCGAAAAAAATTTTACAGATTGTTCGGTGAAAAACACTTCGACTTCACCGGACTGTCGACGGACACCGGAAACCTTAATAAGACAGAGTTGGCGAAGGAAACGGCGAATTGGATTAGACAGAATGTGGTCAATGTGCGGGGTCATTTGAATGATATTGATACCAGTGATCGTGTCAAACATCTTGGAGAGTATTTCACGAAAAATCTCTTCCCGTACGGTTTTACCATTTTTAATGGGACTCGCTTTAAAATGAATCCAAGTGATCTTCAGACATTGAAAAAAGATTGGCGTGAGGTGATCGAAGAGTTTAAGAAAAGCAACGGCGATTTGAATACGCTCAGAGAAATTTTGAGTGGAACGTATAATGTTTCATGTAAAAATCAAGACCCTCCGCCTGAAAAGAAAGCTGAGGGAGCGCAGAACCAGGGGAAGAAAGCTGAGGCGGCGAAGCCGACTGCCACTAAGGTTAATGAGGGAGCGCAGAACCAGGGGGGGGGGAAAGTGAGGGAACTTCAAATCAAAGTGGAGATACGTCTTCAGGTTCAGCAAGTGGAAAGCCTGCTCCAGGTCCGCCTTCCGGTGGTCACGGAGCTACAAGTCCGCAAGGGCCTAGTGGTGATAGAGGACAGCAAAGGCCTACTGATCCAGTTCCTACGGTGTCTTCTTCGACTCCAGTTCGAACAGATCAACAAGTTGTTCAAGTTCAACACTCTGCTCCAGGCCCGCAAGGGCCTCTCCCTCCGCCGCCTCCTCCCCCTCTTCCTGGACCGCCTGCCCTCTCTGGTCAGCCAGGTGTCCCGGGTTCAACGTCCGATGATGCTACAACTATACGGACTGGTCCCCCTCAAGATCCTGCACGTCCTCAGACTACGGGTGTTTCAGGGGCTGGCGCTGGGCCAACTGGTGATAAGGGGGCTGGTACACAAGGTGGTGGAGGGGCTGGTCAACAAGGTAATCGAGATGTTACTCAACCAACAAGTCAAAGCACCGATCACGATTCAAGCGGCGACGCTAATACGTCGGATGCCCCGGCGTCTGGTGGAGGTGGGGGTAGGAGTGGGTCAGGAGATAAGGTTGTTCCTCAATCCGTTCCAAATGTTAGTAAAAAACAGTGCAAATCAGATGAATATTTAGTGAAAGATTCCGGTGGCAATGAAATGTGTTTTCGAAATCCTCAGAATCCCGCCCCAACCAAATCATACGGCCCCAACCTTTCCCCCGATTTTCTAAAGAAACTTAGAGAAAAAGAAGCAGACGTCCTTAAAAAGGCGGAAGAGGAGGAGGAACGGAGACGTCAGCAATATTTACAGTATTACTATCCTAAAACATTTCATCAGATCCCTACTGCTGTTGAGTCTTCAGCCACTATGGGCCTTGATGGCGTCGACGTCTCCAATGAATCTTTGTATGATCCCGGCCTATGGTGGGAACAAAGGTATAGAAATGATTGGAATTATCCGAAGCAATTAGTAGAGTGGACTGCAAAAAAGGAGCAAGAGAAATTCGAGAGAAATCTTGAAGAAGCTAAGCAAAATGTATCGAAACAACTTAAGGACACCTGGATACTTCAGGAATTACGGGACGACGACCTTGGCCACGTCGTCGTACCTTACATACATACGTCGATGCCACTTCCGGATCCGGAGTATCCGGACCCGTTAGCACCCAAAGCTTTGTCACTGTCAGGATCAGTCATTGATTCGCCGCCTCCTGAGACAGATGACCCAGTGCCGCCGCCAACTGGTGACCAATACGACTGGGACATCGAAGTTGTACAACCGCATCCAGACGCAGTGGAGAGCGCACTTATAGGCATAGATCCGTATTCTGACGTGAAAGACGATGGACTGGTATTCGAAAAAATTGATCGCCAATCTGATGCCAAACAAGATTATGTCGACCTCCACATCGACGTCGCCAAGCCCATTGTTCAAGACCTTGTCGATAATCCTGATGAATACCTTTACTCCAACGCGGAGGATATCCTGCGGGACGAGTTGAAAAATGCGGAGTCCTGGCATGGTGAAGACAAAGGATTTTCTGCCCTGCCCAAGAGTAATTTCAACATTGAATTTACTCCATCATTTTTAGAATCCGATGGGGATCATGATGCTGGTATTACCCGCGGTACTCCAAGGAAGCCATATGACCAGCACATTCCAGTGTTCCCTGACTCTGGAGTATGCCAAAACCCGTGGTACGTCCCCGATGCCTCCTCCACTACCGTCACTCCACCCCTCTCCCCGCCCCCAGACACGGACCATCTGCCCCCGCCAGACACCGTCAGGGAAATGCTCTGCTGGCTGGTTGGAATGGCTGAGTTGGGGTATATTCCTTTCATCGAGGACCATCTTAAGAGCATTTTGACGGAATATAACAAGGATGTCTCCCAGCCTCCAGATGCCCTCGAGGTCACCAGAGATCCTTACACTCTGGACGCTGCCCGTGTCGCCAACACCCTGACTGAGGCGTCCCTCTACGGGGCCAGCGTTCTCCACAGGATTAAACACAAGGACAATTCGAAAGCTGTTTCAGTCCCTGATTTCAGCTCAGAATATTCCAAACTTTGTTACTCCACCGACCCCGCCCGCCTCCTCTGCCAGCTGCGGGACTACGTCTACGCCTGCTGCCACCAGTTGGAGTTCCTGAGGTCGCAGTGTTCTCGGAAGCAGTCATATGGTGGTTGGCAGGATTGTGAGTACGGCCGTGACATCAAGATACCGTCCCCCCTCCAGGCCTTCCTGACCGACGCCTCCACCTCCAAGTTCGAGACTCACCGCTTCGACCCGTGTGACATCTGCCTCAAGAGCCGTATCAACATGGGATTCCAAAAGGACGATTTTTCTAAGGACTCCAACGATGGCAAGCATCTTCACACCATCCTCTCTCCAGCTGCGGCGGCGAGGATCCCCTGCTGACATTGTCCTCTTACCTCAACTGCCTCACCAGGCGGACGCCGCGTACCACCGGGGAGCTCGTCTCGTTCTTCCACAATTTCGGGAATTCACTGCACAAGCCTCCATCAGAGTTGTCTCCACTGGGCTCCGCCCTCTCCAAACGACATGACGACTGCCCTGACTGGGATTGTCTCAAGGACGCCGACCTCCAAGTCATCAAGTACGTCCGGGGCTCCGACACTCTCAACTCCAACCACCAAGATCATCCCGATACCCTGTCCACGCTGCTTGGTTGCGGCATCAATAATTTAAAGTGCTCACAACTTATGAAGCCCATCACCTACCGGGCCTACACCCTGTACTCTTCCAGCTTCGTACACCACTACCTCAGCTGGGCGGTGTACCTACCCGACAGACTTTGGGAGTCGTTGGACAGACTGAGCAGAGACATGAAGAAGCATGATAGCGTAAAGTGTGCATCCCTTCATAACTGCGCCGACGCTCTGCCCTCCTCTACTCTCACGGGTTCGCGCCACCTTACGGGACTCTGCAGCCGTCACTCACGTGTTCCAAGGTCATCGCCAAGCTGGGGGAAGTGGTCTCCGGACAGCCTATCGCAAGCCTCATGACCGCCATGGACACATTTCTCTACGGCATCCGCATGCCATTCCTCTTCTGCCTCGTCACACTCTGGCTCACCGCCACGGTCTACATCCTCCACTCACTCCTCTACCGCATGGACGTCCTCCGCATCCGCTCCCACCTCCTCACCACCAGGGCCTCACACCTCATCGACGTTAAGGCGCTGCTCGCCGGCAGCCGCAGGATGCTCTCACTCTACAAGGACGTCGACTACTTCGACGACGACTTCCACTCGTGACAGTAATTATCGTAGCTACATTACGTTTACATTGGTCGTGTCGTCATCTCACGTCTTTCATGGTGACTGTATCTCGTGCCTTGCCCAGCACCTAACCCACCACCTAACCAAGAGGCTTACCTATCACGTAACCAAACGTCCCACCTAGCACATGACCAACGATGTAACCTACTCGCTGCTTTGCCATCTCCCTCCTCCCTTTGTCGCCTTGCCGTCACTCCCAAAACAGACGCCTTCATCCCACCTGTCGGTGGACTGAGGCGGCGGACGCCTCTCACCACGCCCCTCTTGCGACTCTAAAATGTCTCTCCAATCGCCACTAACACATTCACTGAGCCACCTAATAACATCGCAATTACTACAGTTGCAAGCAACTTGGCAGTGTCTTGGTTATCCGGAAGCAGTGACGTCACCTCAGAGGCTTTATTACTTCAGTGTCTCTTAGTTAAACATTTAAACGCTTTCACTTGTACTTTTGTACCATTAGCCTAACGCATATTTATTAGTGCCTTTGTGCTAACTGCGTTTGTAAGCAAGATGGAGGGGCATGACATTCCTCTTGGCACTCTCAAGCAGTGTCTCCAGTTTTTGACGGGGTTTTATGAGCGGCGGGGAAAGCTCAAGTTAGACGGAGTACTAGGTGAACTAGAGGGGCGTATTGGAGACAAATATGCTAATTTTAACAAACAAAATTTTGAACGAGAATTCAAAGCATGGATAGACCACGTATCAATCTTTTATATAAAATTGACAACTTCCCGTGTCAGAATTGCGGGCTCAATTGATCTTTCTAGGTATTCAGCAAAACAGCTTCTCGATGCGCTCCTGGAATGCATTCCCAAGTTCCTCGCCGCGATGTACCATTTATGGTACCGCGTGGATAAATGGTTCGAAGCAGTGGGCGGGGGGGATTGGAGGGATAATTGGCCTGGGGTAGATGGGTACGTATACTGGTGGTCGTACTCTAGAGGTGATTCTTGGGGAGGTGAGCTTCAGCGTTATCTCACGACGAAGCCAGGCGATAAGCTGCGCGGTGATCCCAACGGTGTCGTGCCGGGAGGCTTCGATGCAAATGATCTGAAAGTGGGGTGGTACTACTATTCTGACGAGAGTTATACCCGGGGCAGAGATATGGTAGAGGACATTACACGAATCATAAACAAGCGTTCTAAGAACTATAATTTTTTCCGCGACGTCTTCGTCACTTCAGTGTTTCACAACACTGCAGGCACACAGCCCGTGAACATAGCTAACGCTGTTGGTTTAGTGGGAGTATTTTGCGAGATTGTGGCTGAGGAGGCAAAGAAAGATAAAGAAGGCGGACAGTTAATACAAGCATTGAATGAAGATTTAAAAAAGCAATCAGGATTTCAAGGGAGATCCATAAATTGGGGTGAATTGAAAAAGCATTGCGCCAGACTTAAAAATTCCCTAATAGACAAATTGTTCAACGATCGATACTTTAACCACACTGGCCAATCTCCGGATATTAACAATCTCAATCAGACGGAATTCGCAAAAAAGACGGCGCAGTGGTTTAGGGACAGATTGTTGACAGTGCGGCAGAACTTGAGGAAAAGTTACCGTTTTGATTACACTTCCAGAGCGGTTCCGCTTAACTTTTTTGCCTCCAAATTTCTTTTCCCTCACGGATTCATATTTGGTAAGCATGGCTATGGAACGCTGGGGGACGATCGGCATACTTTGAAGAAGGATTGGCCTATTGTCATAGATATGCTGGGCAGAAATGGTGACGGCTTGGCGGAGTTGAAAAGGATTTTGGAGGGTGAGAAGTGTCCTCCCCCGGCTCCGCCTCCAAAACCACGACCTAGGCCGGCGCCTGCGCCAAGGCCTTCGAGGCCTGGCAGACCTGCACCACCAGGGACTTCCAGAACTTCGACCACGAGGCAGTCCGGTCCAAGGCCTTTTGGAAGTCGGTCGTCTGTTGGGAGCCATGTTTCTGGTGCTAGAGGAGGAGGCGCAAGAGGGACGGGGACTAACCATAGAGGAGGGGGATCGGGGGCTCAGGGAAGTAGAGGACGAGGCGCAGGGCCTGGAGGTACTTCAGGTGCTAAGAGCACACAGAAGACAAGAGCTCCAGGGCGTCCGATGTCTAGTAACCCCCAACCCTCACAATCTCAAAATGATCCCCAGCATCATTCCCAACAACCTCCTCTTGCCTCCAGTGCTCCTGGAGGCGATGGCCCCCCGGATAAGTCAGGGGGCCCGGGTCCAATTTCAACAGACAGTGTTACTCCAGGTACACGGACTACTTCATCTCCACAAGATGTTCTTACTCAGACTCCGAGTGTCTCAGGTTCAAACACTGGGTCAGATGGTGGTGGAGGGGCCAAGCAAGGCGGTGGTCAAGAGACAACTCAAGATGTAAGCGGTGTCACTACAACGTCGGGTGACACGGCGGCTGGTGGAGGTGGAGGGGGTAGAGATCCGCAGTCTCAAGTTATTGATAAAAAGGATTCACAAAACTGTCCTGCGGGTGCTACAGAAGTTACCGCAGTTAATTCTCAAGGTTACATTTGCTGGCCGCCGCCACCGTCCATGAAAACTCCTGCCAGAATCATACCTTATGACCAGAGGCCTTCGTCTTTGATCTTGAAAAAACTGAATGACCAAGAGTCAAACGCCCTAAAAGAAGAAGAAAAGGAGAAGCACAAACAGCATGCCATAAATGTCGCTTTTGCCAACTCTTTCAACGGGTCGAAAATAACTCCTCCGGACCCAATTGAATACTACTACGGCGGGCTGACAGGGAATGTTGTGAGAGATGACTCAGGCGTTATACGGCAAAAATCATTTCTTGAAAAGTCTTTAGATGCCAGTAAACAAATATTCGAGGAGAGCAAATCAAAACTTCAGGCGCTGGATAATGATAGAAAGCGTTCGATGTATTTTGGCGGCGGTGGTGTCGACATTAGGATTCCAAATAAACCGCTTAATGTGTCCTTTGAAATCACAAAGCCTCTAGACCGTAATGCAGACAAATTTCCGGATCCATTACTGACCGCTCTTCACGATCCAGAAGAATTCGGCCTTGGAGGGGAAGAAGTGTACGCTGAGGATTATCCACTTGTGTCTGGTGTTGGAGGGGAACCAGTAGTGGGAGACCCTAATATCTCGCAAAAAGAGAACCACATCGCAGGAATTCAGGATCTCCGCCAAAAATTATACGAAAAACAAAAGGTGGAGGTTGAAAAGCTTAATAGGGTGCTAGAAGAGGGAGAAGAGAAGAGAAAGGAAGCTGAAGCACAATATGCATTCGACCAGTTTAAAGGTAAAAATGATTTTCTTAAAGATCTTTGGAAAGTTGAAGATTTCAGAATCTCTGGTCCGCCGTCGCCCCAAACTGATGAACAAAAAATTGATCTCCGCATCGACGTCCCCAAGCCCATTCTTCAAGACCCTGTCCACGACTTTGACTTCGATGAAGACTCGACGCATATAAATGATGATGCACTGTCCAACAGTGTCGCTCCATACAAACCTGCCATCTCATTAAATGTTCTACCTCCAAAGGCCAAGCAGTTACCGCCGCCAACAACAGACTTCGACAGAAGTAAAATAAATCGACAAACTCTACCAATGTGTATACCGGATTGGTCTACTAAGACGCCAACACATGACGCCACCGACATCCCCGAGACGGAGCTGTTCCCCTCCGAGGCGCCGCGTACAGTCAGGGAGATGCTTGTTTGGATGGCCGGACTGCGACACCCGAGGCACCAAGAGACTCTGAAACTGTGTATTACTAACGCTTTCAAGCGCGGCGATGATGACCCTTCAGATCTCCGACTCTCAGTCAACAATTCTGAAATTACCCCTCAACAAGTTTTTCAGATCTTAAAACTTGCCGCCGTGTTCGCGTCTTCAGTGCTCAATTCCATCGCGCCTAAGTGGAGGATGGCGGTGCCGTCTGTAACTTCAGCGTCTAAGGACCCTGATTGCTGCGCCCTCCTCTGCCAGCTGCGGGACTACGTCTACGCCTGCTGCCACCAGTTGGCGTTCTTAAAGTCGCAGTGTTCTCGGGATCAACTCAATGGTGGCTGGCAGGATTGTCGTTATGGCAGCAATGTATCATCTCCCAAGTCCCCTCTCCAGGTCTTCCTAACTGACGCCCCTGCCTCCAAGTTCAAGACAGATCCCTTCGACCCGTGTGACATCTGCCTCAAGAGCCGCGTCAACATGGGATTCACAAAGGAGGATCTGCCTGAGAAATTGGAAACTGGCAAGCATATTTCCACCATCCTCAGTCCCACCTGCGGCGGCGAGGACCCTTTGTTGACGCTGTCCTCCTACCTCAACTGCCTCACCAGGCGGACGCCGCGCACCACCGGGGAGCTTGTCTCATTCTTCCACAATTTCGGGAATTCACTGCACAAGCCTCCATCAGAGTTGTCTCCACTGGGCTCCGCCCTCTCCAAACGACATGACGACTGCCCTGACTGGGATTGTCTCAAGGACGCCGACCTCCAAGTCATCAAGTACGTCCGGGGCTCCGACACTCTCAACTCCAACCACGACAAGGACCATCCCAACACCCTGTCCACGCTGCTTGGCTGCAACATCACCAATGCCAACTGCACACAACTCATGAAGCCCATCACCTACCGGGCCTACGCCCTGTACTCTTCCAGCTTCGTCCACGACTACCTCAGCTGGACGGTGTATCTACCAGACAGACTGTGGGAGTCACTGCTCAAGTTGCACTGCGATCTCGAGAAGCTTCAATGTCACGACTCCAAGGCCAAGCCTCTCCACCAGTGTGACAAGGCCCTGCCGCTCCTCTACAAGCACGGCATCACCCCGCCGGACGGGACACTACAATCACGAATCTCCTGTTCCAAGGTCATCACCAAGCTTGAGGCAGTGGTTGCAGGTGGGCCTATCGCAAGGCTTATGACCGCCATGGACACATTCCTCTACGGCATCCGAGCACCGTTCCTCTACACCATCACAGCACTCTGGCTCATCGCCACGCTCTACATCGCCCACTCGCTACTCTACCGCATGGACGTCCTGCGCATCCGCTCCCACCTCCTCACCACCAGGGCCTCCCACCTCATCGACGTCAAGGCTTTGCTCGCAGGCAGCCGCAGGATGCTCTCGCTCTACAAGGACGTCGACTACTTCGACGATGACTTTCACTCATGACAGTAATTATCTTAGCTACATTACATTTACACTCCCTGTGTTGCCGTGTCATGTCACGTCTTTCATGGTGACTGTATCTCGTGCCTTGCCTAGCACCTAACTCACTGACTAACCAAGACGCTCACCTATCACGTAACCAAACGTCCCACCTAGCACCTGACCTATGATGTAACCTACTCGCTGCTTTGTCATCTCCATCCCCTCCCCCAGACTCCGACCATCTGCCCCCTCCCAAGACCGTCAGGGAGATGCTCCACTGGCTGGTTGGAATGACTCAATATGGACTCATTGGGGAAATCGGAGAGTATGTTAGAGATATTGTAATGGAGCTTAACCAGGATGTCTCTCAGACTAATAATTCAATCTATGTAACAAAGGAACCGTACAGCCTGACCGCTGCCCTTGTCGCCAACACTATGACACAGGCGTGTCACTACGCAGCCAACTTTCTGTATAAGGTAAAGCATACAGACATCTCAGATGCGTATGAAACCTTTTTCAAGGATAAAGAGAAATATGCCTTTTATTATTCCATCGACCCCGCCCGCCTCCTCTGCCATCTGCGAGACTACGTCTACGCCTGCTGCCACCAGTTGGCGTTCTTAAAGTCGCAGTGTTCTCGGGATCAACTCAATGGTGGCTGGCAGGATTGTCGTTATGGCAGCAATGTATCATCTCCCAAGTCCCCTCTCCAGGTCTTCCTAACTGACGCCCCTGCCTCCAAGTTCAAGACAGATCCCTTCGACCCGTGTGACATCTGCCTCAAGAGCCGCGTCAACATGGGATTCACAAAGGAGGATCTGCCTGAGAAATTGGAAACTGGCAAGCATATTTCCACCATCCTCAGTCCCACCTGCGGCGGCGAGGACCCTTTGTTGACGCTGTGCTCTTACCTCACCTGCCTCACCAGGCGGACGCCGCGTACCACGGGGGAGCTTGTATCCTTCTTCCACAATTTCGGGAATGAGCTTCATGATGTGTCTCTCAAGTTGTCTCCACTGGGCTCCGCCCTCTCCAGTCCACATTACGGCTGCCCCGAGTGGGACCGCCTTGGTGCCGAAGACCTACAAGCCGTCAAGGACATCCGAGGCTCCGACCCTCCCAACTCCAACCACGACAAGGTCCATGCCAAGACCCTGTCCACGCTGCTTGGCTGTGGCATCGATAATGTGCAGTGCCCGCAACTCATGAAGCCCATCACCTATCGGGCCTACGCCCTGTACTCTTCCAGCTTCGTACACCACTACCTCAGCTGGGTGGTCCACCTTCCCGACAGACTGTGGGATTCACTGGTCAAGCTTCACTGTGATCTCAAGGACCTTCAGTGCCACGACTCTAACTCCAAGTCCCTCCACCAGTGTGCCGACGCCCTGCCTCTACTCTACTCTCACGGCATCACCCCTCCGGACGGAGCACTGCAGTCCTCACTCTCCTGTTCCGAGATCATCTCCAAGCTGGAACAGGTGGTCAACGGAAAGCCTATCGCAGACCTCATGACCGCCATGGACACATTCCTCTATCGCATCCGTGCGCCCTTCCTCTACACCATCGTAGCGCTCTGGCTCACCGCCACGCTCTACATCCTCCACTTACTCCTCTACCGCATGGACGTCCTCCGCATCCGCTCCCACCTCCTCACCACCAGGGCATCCCACCTCATCGACGTCAAGGCTTTACTCGCCGGCAGCCGCAGGATGCTCTCACTCTACAAGGACGTCGACTACTTCGACGACGACTTCCACTCGTGACAGTAATTATCGTAGCTACATTACGTTTACATTGGTCGTGTCGTCATCTCACGTCTTTCATGGTGACTGTGTCTCGTGCCTTGCCTAGCACCTAACTCACTGCCTAACCAAACGTCTAACCTAACATGTAACCAAACGTCTCACCTAGCAACTAACCAAGAGGCTGACCTATCGCCTCCACCACTACGATAACTCCACCCCCCTCCCCTCCCCCAGACTCCTCCCATCTGCCCCCGCCAAACACCGTCCGCGGAATGCTCTACTGGATGGTCGGTTTGAATGAATCGGGGTATATTGGCACGATCGAGAAGCATGTTCACAGCATTCTAAAGGACACTAACAAAGATCTCTCTCATCCTCATGATGCCCTCGAGGTCACCAGAGATCCTTACACTCTGGACGCTTCCCATGTCTCCAACACTCTGACACAGGCATGCCTCTACGCGGCCACGGTTCTCCACAGGCTCAAGCACAAAGACATTTCGAAAGCTGTTTTGGTCCCCGACTTCAGCTCAGAATATTCCAAGCTTTGTTATTCCCTCGACCCCGCCGCCCTCCTCTGCCAGCTGCGGGACTACGTCTACGCCTGCTGCCACCAGCTGGCGTTCCTAAAGTCGCACTGTTCTCGAGTCTCCCAGCACGGAGGTTGGAAGAATCATGACTATGGCCATGGTGTGTCTCCCCAAAAGTCCCCCCTGCAGGCTTTCCTGACTGACGCCTCCGACTCCAATTTCGAGACTCATCCCTTCGACCCGTGTGACATCTGCCTCAAGAGCCGTGTCAACATGGGATTCAGGGAGAAGGATTATTCTGAGAACCCCAAAGATGGCAAGTATATCGTCACTATCCTCTCTCCCACCTGCGGCGGCGCGGATCCCCTGCTGACGTTGTCCTCTTACCTCAGCTGCCTCACCAGGCGGACGCCGCGTACCACAGGGGAACTTGTGTCGTTCTTCCACAATTTCGGGAATTCGCTGCACAGTCATCCTTCAGCGTTGTCTTTACTGGGCTCCGCCCTCTCCCAGCCACATGAAAACTGCCCCGACTGGGACATCCTTGGTGCCGCCGACCTACAAGCCATCAATGGCGCCCGGGGCTCCGCCACTCCCAACTCCAACCACGACAAGGTCCATGCCAAGACCCTGTCCACGCTGCTTGGCTGTGGCATCGATAATGTGTAGTGCTCACAACTTATGAAGCCCATCACCTACCGGGCCTACACCCTGTACTCTTCCAGCTTCGTACACCACTACCTCAGCTGGGCGGTGTACCTACCCGACAGACTTTGGGAGTCGTTGGACAGACTGAGCAGAGACATGAAGAAGCATGATAGCGTAAAGTGTGCATCCCTTCATAACTGCGCCGACGCTCTGCCCCTCCTCTACTCTCACGGGTTCGCGCCACCTTACGGGACTCTGCAGCCGTCACTCACGTGTTCCAAGGTCATCGCCAAGCTGGGGGAAGTGGTCTCCGGACAGCCTATCGCAAGCCTCATGACCGCCATGGACACATTTCTCTACGGCATCCGCATGCCATTCCTCTTCTGCCTCGTCACACTCTGGCTCACCGCCACGGTCTACATCCTCCACTCACTCCTCTACCGCATGGACGTCCTCCGCATCCGCTCCCACCTCCTCACCACCAGGGCATCCCACCTCATCGACGTCAAGGCTTTGCTCGCCGGCAGCCGCAAGATGCTCTCACTCTACAAGGACGTCGACTACTTCGACGACGACTTCCACTCGTGACAGTAATTATCGTAGCTACATTACGTTTACATTGGTCGTGTCGTCATCTCATGTCTTTCATCTTGACTGTATCTCGTGCCTTGCCTAGCACCCAACTCACTGCTTAGCCAAAAGTCTGACCTATGATGTAACCTAAAACCTAACCCATAATTTAGTGGATGCGTTGTCATGTTCGTTGCTTAGGACGTTGTTTCACACGTCTCTCGTTTACGTGTCCACGCCGTTGCCTAATGTCAAAGCACCGTGAAGATGATGGCTGCTGGACCATCACTGCTGTGCTAGGTCAGTGTCTCACGTCAGTTATGATGTGCGTTGCCAGGCAGTGGACGTCGTTGTGACGGCCATTGTACAGCCCAGTTAAGCGGCATTTAGTTACCACATTGTTGCGGTCGGTAATACAGTAGTCACTGCTTTCACAGCTACCCTCATCATTTGCCTCGTCACCTATCTCCTCAAATGGCGAACATTAACACACTGCGTCATTACATCAACCAACATTCAATATTAATTGAAGTATTATTCCCTACAAAACGGTTACATACAATTCTCATATTGCTGTAATTACGCGGCGTCATCGTAGCCGCATCCTTCATCTCCATATCATCCTTTTACTCCCCGACTCCAGAAATACCGCACAGCTTGCTCTCCGCAGTTGTGCGCCCACCTCCACGACATGACTCCAGCAGCGTCACTTAGTCCACGTAGCCATGTCACATTCGACGTGAACGTATCAGCGGCGTCACCTTCAATTTCAAGGTTTAGGTTTAGGTTATATTTTACGTCAGCAACACCAAACTCGCCGCGTAACCAAACGGCTTACCTAGCACATAACCAAATAGCTCACCTAGCACTTAACCAATCGACTGACCTAACGCTTGACCAAATGGCTTACCTAGCAGATAACTCAGTACTTAACCTACACTGTACTCAATCCTCTGCTTTGCCCCTTGCTTGCCGCCTTGGTCATTCACCTCGGCAGCTGACTGCCGTCATTCCAGGTCTGGCGGTGGAACATTATCAACATAAGGTGGCGGTGATTGGGAGCAACATTGGTGCAATTGACACGGCTAAATACACTCTTCTCCAACAAGTTACCAAGCTAGGTACCTGGATCACCACCGCTGAGGAGATCCGCAAGGCCGCCGAGGATAAGGCCAAGGAAGCCTACGACAAGTTGAAGGTTAATGAGACTTTGGACAAAAATGTTAAGTTAATTGTGGCAGCCAAGGATGAAATTGAAAAGGTTCATGGGAAGATTAGCGGACATGTTGGTGATTTAGGTAAGTGGAAGCAGGAGGCTGGGAAGGTGCTTGGCGGGGCGATTGACAGGGCCAATGAGGTATATGAGAAGTTGGAAGATAAGAATGGTGACGCAGTAAAATATCCTGTTGGTCATCAAATTGAAGCTATCAACAAAGCTAGCAAGGAAATTCAGACTGCAAATACACAGCTTGGCACCGAAGTTCAGCATTTAAGTAGTTGGAACACCGCCGCCCAGAGTGTTATTGAGAAGGCGGAGCAGAAGTGTGGTGAAATCTTGGAGAAAGTTAAACAAAGTGGGCCTGAAGGTGTGATTTTCACGCAAGCTCAAACTTTAAAAGAGAAGGGTACAAGACTTTTGCAGGCTGCGAAGTTGGCCAAGGAGCAAGTTGGAGAGTATGTCACTGCGGCCTTGGAGGCTGTTGTGGCAATGGACGGAGATCTCAAGAAGGATTTAAAAAATGTTAAAGAGAAGATTAAAGGAGGGATAAATCAAGTGATTAATCAGTTTGGACTTTTGACATTGGATAATTTGGTGAAGGATGATTTGAAGGCGTTGAAGGGGAAGATTGAGAGGCTTAAAAGTCAGGTTACTAATGAAGCTGGCGATGGAAATGGTAATATAGTTGGCAAGCAGTTGGAAGAGCTTACAAAGGCGAAGATTAAGCTTGAAGAAGTTACTGGCGAGAAGAATGGTTCCATTCATAAGGCTATGAGTGAGCTTGACAGTAAGTTTAGAGAAAATATCCAACAGCCGCTTAGCGAGGCGGTCAGTGCAGTTAACGAGGCTATTGAGAAGCTTGGCGGGAAGTTTAAAACATCTGGCGGGCTGAATAGTATGCAGCAGATGTTCGAGCATATTAAAGGAAAGGTTGGGGAGATTAAGGGGGAGGCGGGAACTAAAAATGGTTGGCAACTTCAAGGTGGCAGTGGTCTGCTCGGCATTGAGAGTGCGATAAATCACTATTTTGAAGCGTTCAGCGGGAGTGATAAGTTTGAAAGTATAGTCACCGGCTGGCTGGATGGTATTCTTGGTCACAACGGCCTGGTTAAAAGCCTACTTGGGTGGCAGAGTAAGCGGAGGGAGGAAGATATTAAGGAGGTGCTTAATCAGAGTGGTCTCGGAGGCTTAATTAGGGAACCGCTCAAAGAACAAGTCACTAATGCTGTTCACGTGTTCACTATTGGCCAATCCACTGCTACCGACAGCATTATAGACAAAATCACACAGGTCAAAGATGCCTGCGAACTGTTTGCTCGGAGGCTTGAGGAGAAACTAGAGAAGGATGTGAACAGCGGTGTCCTTGAGATAACGAAGAAGGCTAAGGATGCGTTGAACAGTGATAAATCAGGAAACAAAAAAAGGAACTTACAAGCCGCCTTAGCAAAGGCAAAATGCACATGCTCGTATGGAAACTGCAGCAGCGGTAATTGCCTAGAGTGCACAGACCAAAAATGCATCCTCACTCAAGCCATCGCCACCACCGTTGTTGTCGTGTCCTCGGTGGCCCGCCAGGTGGGCAACGAACTGAATTCTGTGCTGCTCGAGCCAACAGACACAAACATCGCAAAAATCTTGGACCAAATAACACCTATTGCTCGGACACTTCACGGTCAGCTTACCGCGGCGACAAACAATTCCCTTCCTCCGCCCAACCAAGAAAGCCCCGCCCAAGCCGTGGACAGTAGATTGGGTGATTTGAAGAAAGAGATTAATGCAACAATTACGCAGAAATTCCAAAACGAAGTCACAAAAGATCTTAAGAAAGAAGTTAAAAGCCTTGAACCCGCTCTTAAGGCTTTCGACGATAAAGCTAAAGAGCAGATCAGGGCTGCAGCCAGGACGGCGATTGAGAGGGCGGCCCAAGTGATAAGTAATGGAAAGAGTCCAATTGTGCTTGGCGGTAAAGATGATCTCATGAAGCAGTTCATAACTGCGCATGATGGCATCACTCATGGGACAACTGGTCTCCAACCAAGACTTAAAGGTCTGCTTGATCGGCACATTGGGAGGGATTATGGGACAGGTGTTGCACCATTTGTTATATTTGACAAAATCATCATTACTAAAGAAAATTTCGGAAAATACACTAGCCATGTTAATCAAGAAGAGGTATTGGACGGTAAGCTTGAAGGCGTTAAAAAGGAAGGCTCCCTTCCACTGGCGATTGGGAAGATTAGAGATGAGGGTCTGAAAGCGCTTGAAAGTACTATCGGGAAGAGTGCCGGTCCAAATAAAGTTGACAATAAAACCTTCGACGTTCCTTTCAAAGCAATTGAGGGAGAGCTTCAAGCCATCGCCGGGTTGGTTGATAAGAACAGCGGAACTCCGCAAAACGTCCCGGACGGCGACAGTGATGGTATACAGCAGAAGTTGGCTGAGCTTCGAAATGGACTTGAGTCAACACAATTAGGCAACTCAGAGAAAGGCCTTGACGCAATAAAAACGGCGATTGAAGCTCTGCAAAATAACACGTACTCCCCGAGTGCCGACGCAGTCGACAAAGCCGTCAAAGCAATTAAGACGCAGCTTAAGAGTCTTAGAGAGAAGCTGCATGCTAAATACGGTAGAACTGATGACGTCTTAAACGCTTTGAGGGATTTTAAAATCTTTGGGATTACAAAAGGTAAGTGGGAAAATGATAAATATGCTTGGAAGAAGCTTAGTGACGGCAAAGAAGTCTATGGCCTTGGGAAAATCCAGGAGGACCTTAAAAAACAGAATGCTGAACTTCCCACACAGACGAAAAAGATCGATGAGGCCGTATTACAGATTAACGGTGAGCTTGGGAAAATTGGAATTCGGTTGCAAAACATCTTTCATAAAGATGACATCATAGATCTGTTGAAGGCGTTGGGACAGAAGATAGATAGAGGTGGAGGGGGAGGACTCCAGAAAATTCATGACGTGATTAGTGAGCTGCAAAAAGGACAATTTGCTGATAACCCAAACAAAATCGGCGCCGCCATGAGCCCTATTAAAACAGAACTTACTGCCCTTCAAAAGGCGTTGAAAGGTGCGAACGGAAATAAAGATGATGTCATTACAACACTGAACGATTTGAAGGGCGATGGCCTAAGTGGACAGGAGTGGACACCAAAAAACAGTAAAAATGAAAAAGGCCTCGGAAAAATAAATGGTGAACTTCACACTCAACAAAATACGCTTTCCACTCAGCCCACTGCAATCGGCGGTGGCGTCACCGAAATCACAGGTGAGCTTACAAGGCTTCAGACGCAGTTGAACAATGAGGTCACCGATAAGTTAAAGAAGCTTAAAGAACATGGCCTTGGAACTGGTGAACAACCATGGACATCCGACAGTAAAACCTTAAATGGCATTCAAAAAATCACCACAGACATCATTGCCATAAAGGACAAAGACGTTAAGGATGTGAGGGACAAACTCAAGGAGCTGTGCACGGCGATTAGGCACATTGCAAAGGACGCCGCGTTCACCTTGAAGGAAGTGAAAGAGAAGAGCCTTAATGAGTTGACTGGAATAAAGAATGATTTGCACAACCTGCAGATCCGTCTGGTGAGTGGGCCAATCAAGGCCTGCAAGGACTTCATTAACAAGGACGCCGACAAGTTCGGAAAGGAATGCATTGCGTCCCTCACAGCGTTCGTCGACGGCCAAGTGACCACTGCAATCGCCGACATAACAGCCTTCGCCAAGCAGCAGTATGTCTCCAACATCAAGGAGGCGCTGACGGCCTTCGCCCAGAAGGTGGAGGAGGAATTAACTCCCTTGCCTCCGTTAATAAACGAGGATCTGCAGATAGGGTATAAAGGGTTAATGAGGCAGGTTGAAGGGAAGCCGGAGACTCAAGTTGCAGGTGCACAAGGGGAATTTGAGAAGTTCGAAGAGTTTGTGAGGACTCTGCCATCTGAGCCGAAGGAGAGAGTGTTCAAAAAATTGGCCGCAGTGTTCATGCACTTTTACGGCGAGATTAAAGCGTACGTCCACAAAGATATCACGAGAGAGCACAAGGAGGAAGGCAAGAAGAAAAATCCTGTGTCCCAAGAACCGGAAACGCTCTACACTGACAAACTTGTAAGAGTCACATTGTCATTTAATGCGTTGCTTGAATACATTAGAACTGAGGATACCTTCGACCACCGACTCCAAGCCCTGCTCCGCAGCCTCACCGACGCGCTGAGTAACCTGCGACCTGAGAGCTTCGCCAAGCCCTCTACCCCCGTGCTGGACGGCCTGGTGGAGGGGCTCACAAAGTTCGCCGCCGAGTTCACATCTGCGTACGTCTCCGCCTACGCCGGGCAGACGTTCACCGATGAAGAAGGTGAGAAGTGCGCCAAGGTCTTTCTCACCACGCTGCCCACACTGTGCGACGCCTTCACCAGGCTGGCGGAGCAGTGCGGCAAAGACGGCAAGTGGAGGGATCTGAGCATTAATTCAAGCAATCAACTCGGCACGTTCCTCCAACGCTGCGGCTACAAGGTCTCCACCTCCGCCACCCTGCAGGACGGCGAGCTGCGCGACGACTGCAACGGCCGCGACGTGTTTGTCCTCGTCACCCAGAACATTAGGAATACCGAAGACAACGAACACCTCAAAAAATGCCTGTCCCTCACACACGCCTGTAATCTCTTACAGCTCCTCAAATGCCTCTGCACGCACCTCCACCAGTACTATAAGACGTGCCACCTCAAGGTGCATCCCTCACCCCGGCCGCCGTGTTCCATCTACGAGATGCTCACATGGTGCTGCGGGCTCCCGCACAATCCCGTGTATCTGACCGTCACCCATGATGCCATGCCCTCGCTGTTCGAGGCGGAGGAGCCGGACGCCGGGGAATCCGAAGTGTCCCTCACTGACCTCGGCAGCCTGGCGCTTAAGGCCCACCCGCAGCACATAACACCGGCGTCCCTATCCGACGCACTCACGGAGGTGTGCCACCAGTCGCATTCAGTGCTCACCACGTTACTCGGCTTCGGCCACGCAGGTGGCATCTACGCCTGCGACTTCAACACCAACCCGGGAGGCCTGCTCTACCCCGGCGACGCGGACGCTTTGCTCTGCCTGCTGTACGATGTGCTCAAACGCCTCCACCACCAGCTGTATCTCCTCTACCGCCGGTGCCTCTACAACACCCGGTACGGCGGGTGGCTCGACTGCTGGTACGGCCGCGGCGTCGGAGGCTCAGCGTGGAGGTGCAACACCATGCAGTGTGCCAACCAAATATGTGACCAACAGTGCAACCAAACACACAACCAAATATGTAACCAACGCTGTGACCAACACCCTAAGTGCGGCCTTAAGTCGCCGCTCCAGTCGTTCCTCGAGGACGGGCTGGTGGGCTTCCTGCCGCATGACGTGTCGCCCAAGGACACCTGTGTCAGGTGCTCCGGCTGCGACACTGAGTCACCCGGCCTGCCGTGCAAGACGCCCATGGGCCTCTCCAACATTACCAGGCTGGCCTCCCGTGCCTCCCAAGGCCGAAGCATCATGGACGTCCTCGGCGCCTTCTGCGGCGGCGCATCGTCGCCCCTCACCAGGCTGTGCGGCTACCTGGAATGCCTCCTCACCCGCCCGCCACGGACGCCAGACGACCTGTTCGCCTTTTACTACCAGTTCATATGTGACTGGACTCAGAGCGTTGAGCACCGTAAGGCGGCCTTCGAGGACGCCGTCGGCGACGCGTGCTTCTGGCAGCGGGGCGTGACACTGGACGTCAGTACAGTCTTCGGCACCAGTGACCATGGCACACTGCCAAATATGCCTCACCTCACCGGGGACCTCTTCTCTCTCGTCGAGTGCAACGGCACTCCAAACTCCGCTCCGTCACACCCCTGCGGCCCCTACCTCAAGCCACTCGGCCACGACGTACGCGCCACCTTCGCCAAGGAGCACGCCCACCTCTACCTCTCCTGGGTGGTGTACCTCACGGAGACTTTCTACGACTTCCTCAGGGAACTGCTCCAGGACTGCGAGCGCAACTGCGCCGACGCCACGTCCGTCTGCCACGCCAGGAGCTGCGACAACCAATGCCCAGCCAAGCAGCGTCCACTGGCTCATGGCTCCGGGCACCTTGATTCATGCCCCTCCATCGCGGACTGCGACTCCACCACGCCCACACTCTTCCAGTACGGCTTCGTGCACAGGGACGCCCACAGCCTCGCCGGCTCCACGCACGGCCACGCAGCCAAGCGGACATGCCAGGATCTCTGCACAGCACTGCAAGTCGTCGTCAAGCAGATGAATCCTCTCCACAGGCTAGCGCACGAGACCATTCCCGAGTTCCTCTATCGCATCCGTGCCCCCTTCCTCTTCACCATCATCACACTCTGGCTCATCGCCACGATCTACATCCTCCACTCACTCCTCTACCGCATCGACGTAATGCGCATCCGCTCGCACCTACTCACCACCAAGGCCTCCCACCTCATCGACGTCAAGGCGCTGCTCGCCGGAAGCCGCAGGATGCTCTCACTCTACAAGGACGTCGACTACTTCGACGATGACTTTCACTCTTGATTGTAATTATCTGAGCTACATTTACGTTTACACTCCTGTGTGTGTTGCCGTGTCATGTCACGTCTTTCATCGTGACTGTAAGCCGTGCCTTGCCTACCACCTAACGCACTGCCTAACCAAATGCGTAACCTAGCACCTAACCGAGACGCTGACCAAACGGCTAACCTAGCACATGACCAAGTGGCTCACCTAGCACCTAACCTATGATGCAACCTACTCGCTGCTTTGTCGTCTCCCTTGCCGTTTGTCGCCTTGCCGTCACTCCCAAAATAGCCTCCTTCATCCCACCTTGTCGGTGGATTCAGGCTGCGGACGCCTCCTACCACGCCCCTCTTCCATCTCTAAAATGTCTCACTAACCGCCACTGACACCTTCACTGTGTCACCCATTAACATCGCAATTATACCTCTGCAAGCAACTTGGGAGTGTCATGGTTATTTGGAAGCAGTGTCGTCACCTCAGAGGTTATATAACTTTAGTGTCTCCTGGTTAACCATTTAAATGTACTTTTGTACCACTAGCCTTGTGCCCATTTATTAGTGTCCTTGTAAGCAAGATGGAGAAGCATGACATTCCGCTTAACACCCTCAAGGAGTGTCTCATGTTCCTGGAGTGGTTGCATGATGAGGAAGGAAAAAAGATGCAAACCCAGGTGGCTTTAGATTTATATGGGCGTATCAAGCAATATTTTAAAGAGGATCAGAATAATTTTTCCCTAGTCAACGTTGAAAAGGGCTTGTCCGCTTTCCTCACCACCGTGTCGGCGTTCTACACGAGGTTATGCAAAGACCCAGCGCCTGGCAAAAATGTTAATAAACAACCGAAAGAGATTGTGGACGCTCTCCTGGAGTGTCTGCCCAAGTTCCTCGCTGCCATATATTTTTTGGAGTACTGCGTGAATCCGGCTTTCAAAACGCTGGGCGGCGGGTGGTGGGAACAGAACTGGCCTGCGTGGAATGATAGTTCTGGCGGCGATCTCGCTAAATATCTCTACGCGACAACTACCGACCGAAAGTACAGCCAAATCCCCGGGTTGATACCCGGAGGCTTCGGTAAAGACGATCAGGTGATATACTATACACTTGGGAGTGGATACTACCAGGGTGCCCAAATGTCTGGGGACCTACAAAAGATTGTGGACAAACAGTTCTACAATTTTTTCCGCAGCGTGTTTGTGAGCTCCGTTATTGGAGAATCGGCCAAGCGTCCAGAGAACGCCGCGAATTCTCTTGTGTTGGCGAGAACCTTTTGCGATATTGTTCTTGGGGAAGAAGACCATGAGAAAGGTGGAAGCTTGATAACAGCATTAAATGAAGGCTTACGCCAACAAGTGAGGTCAACAGATAAATCCATCTGCTGGGCAGATCTCAAAACCCACTGCGCTAAGCTTCGAGGACAATTTAACAGATTGTTCGCCAAAAAACGCTTTGACTTCACAGGACAGTCGACGGATACCGGAAACTTAAAAAAGGCGGACTTTGCAAACAGAACAGCGGATTGGTTGAGAACCTATCTGAACACAGTGCGGGGAAAATTGAATCAAATTAAAACAGATAACATTCTCAACGGCCATCTTGGAAAATATTTTACCGATAATCTTTTCCCCTACGGATTCACATTTGATGGAGAAAGCCGCTTCCATATGTCGCCAGAGGAAGTGCAGGATTTGATGACGGATTGGCGTGAGGTGATCGATGTGCTCAGGAAAGGGAATGACGGTTTGGATAAGCTTAAACAAATTTTGGAAGGTAAAGAAAGAAAATCATGTCCACCGGATCCTCCTAAAATGCCGGAGCCCCCGCCACCAGCGGTCCCCGAAGCCCCCAAGGAGGTTGTGCCGGAGAAGAAAGTTCCGGTTGTGCCACCCAAAAAGCCTGAGGTCCCGCCTGCCAAGAATCATGAAGGGAATCAAAATCAAGGCAAGAAAGCGGAGGGAGCACAGAACCAGGGGAAGAAATCTGAGGGAGCACAGAACCAAGGCAAGAAGGCGGAGGGAGCACAGAACCAAGGCAAGAAAGCGGAGGGAGCACAGAACCAGGGGAAGAAATCTGAGGGAGCACAGAACCAAGGCAAGAAGGCGGAGGGAGCACAGAACCAAGGCAAGAAAGCGGAGGGAGCACAGAACCAGGGCAAGAAAAGTGAGGAAAATTCACCTTCACCAGAGGTCAAGTCTGTTAAACTTTCGCCTTCCGGTGATACAGGAGCTCCAGGTCCGCACGGGCCTCATGGTCCAGATCCTCCGGCGTCCCCTAGGCCTATAACTTCACCAGTTGGACAGCCTTCAGCTCCACCTCCAGCTCAGCCTGCCGGTGATATAGGAGATGCAGGCCCGCCAGGGCCTCCTGGTTCAGTGACTCTGGCTTCTTCTTCGACTCATGATACATCAAGGAGCCAAGTGGTACAAGTTCAACAAGCTGATACAGTACAGCCAATTAGTCCCCCTCCAAGCGCTCCCTCCAGTGCTCCTGCTGCAGCCACAGGCCCCACTGCTAAGCCAGGTCCCCCGGGTCAGGGTTCACAGGGCGATGATGCTCCAGGTTCAAAGCCTGTTTCCCCTAAAGTCACAGTTCCTGTTCAGAGTACGAGTGTTTCAGGTCCAAGCGCTGGGTCAACTGATGATCAGGGGGCTGGGCAACATGGTAGTGGAGGGGCTGATCAAGGCGGTGGTCAAACTGCAAGCAGCGGTGCTACTACGTCGGCTGGTAAAGGTGGGAGTGGAGGGGGGCAAAATCAGACTCCGTCTAATAATGTTAATAAGTGTAGTGATGGTTATACATTTATAGAAAAAGCTTTGAATGAACATGGTTACTGTCTTCCCGTTAATAAGGTGACACGTCGTCCTACCTTTAAGCTCAATAATCCCGACCTCCAAAATAAAATTGACAATATAGTTCCGCATAACGATTTACTTGAGAAAAGTAAAAATCATCAAACTACACGAAACAGAAATATTCCTGGTCCTCAACCTCCCGTTCCTCCCCCTCAGCCGACCGGTGGCCGTACTGGTCATCACAGTCCGCCCGTTGATCCACGGGGGAGGGATGCAGGTCAGCGGGGTGGAGTTGTTCCGACTTACATATTTCCAGGTGGCGCAGTGGTAGAAGAAAAGCCGCCGGAACCCAAACCGTTGACTCAATATGATATCAACGCATTAACGGGTGTCACGGGTAAGGTTGCCCCGGGATTAATTATGCAGTCCATTCATGATGGTCAAAAAATTAATGAGGCCCGCAACGCAGTTGACAGGCGTCGTGCACGCATAGCAGATGAGGAGAGAAATTTTCGAAGTAGAATTCAGCAACAGAACAACGATGCCCATACGGCAGAGAGAGGTCGAATTCCATCGCACGTTGTGGATTTAGATTTCATAAGAGTCCCAAGACGACATCGAGACGGTTTTAATCCTGACGTTCCTTTCCTTAACGAGCTAGATGCGCATTACAACATGCCGCTACTCATAGACAGAGGGCCAACCGACACAGTCATACAACGTGAAAATATGCGTCCGCTTCCGGAGGGAGTTAAACCGGGCGATGACTTGGAAAATAAGCTGGCGTTAGAAGCTGAAAGCAAAAGTGCCGTTTACGGGGACGTTCACATATCCGTTCAGAAGCCGTCGTATAATGAGTCACATGATGATTCCGACCAATTTGATCTCCACATCGACGTCCCCAAGCCCACTGTGCAAGACCCCGTCTACGACTGGGATTTCGATGTTGACTCGACGCATATAAAAAATGCGATACCAAATGACCCAATCGTTCCATCTACCACCGCTGCCGATCTGAATTTTGAGTTTATAGAATATCTACCGCGTTTGCCACCCACAGACTTCGACAGAAGTAAAATCAAGCAACCAAAAGTAGAAATGTGTATGCCAGATTGGTCTACCCAGAAACCTACGCATGACTCTGCCGATATCCCCGACACCGAACTGTTCCCCGCCGAGGCGCCGCGCACGGTCAGGGATATGCTTGTTTGGATGGCAGGACTGCATAACCCAAAACACCAAGAGACTCTGAAACTGTGTATTACTAACGCTTTCAAGCGCGGCGATGATGACCCTTCAGATCTCCGACTCTCAGTCAACAATTCTGAAATTACCCCTCAACAAGTTTTTCAGATCTTAAAACTTGCCGCCGTGTTCGCGTCTTCAGTGCTCAATTCCATCGCGCCTAAGTGGAGGATGGCAGTGTCGTCTGTAACTTCAACGCCTAAGGACTCGGACCAATCCAAGGACCCTGATTGCTGCGCCCTCCTCTGCCAGCTGCGGGACTACTCCTACGCCTGCTGCCACCAGTTGACTTTCTTAAAGTTACAGTGTTCTCGGGAGCAGTCACAGGGTGGTTGGCAGCATTGTGATTATGGCCATGGTGTATCATCTCCCAACTCCCCCCTCCAGGCCTTTTTGACCGACGCGTCTCCCTTCAAGACTCACCCCTTCGACTCGTGCAACATCTGCCGCAAGAGCCGTGTCAACATGGGATTCAAGCACAGTGATTTGCCTGTATCTCAGCAAACTGGCAACATACTCAACGACATCCTCTCTCCCATCTGTGGCGGTAATGACCCCCTGCTGACATTGTCCTCTTACCTCAACTGCCTCACCAGGCGGACGCCGCGCACTACCGGGGAGCTTGCCTCGTTCTTCCACAATTTTGGGAATGAGCTGCACAAGTCTACTTCACAGTTGTCTCCACTGGGTTCCGCCCTCTCCAGTCAGCATGACGACTGCCCCGACTGGGACTGTCTTGGGGAGGAAGATCTACAAGCCGTCCGGGGCATCCGGGGCTCCGCCCCTCCCAACTCCATCCACGACCACAACGACAACCAAGACCATCCCAAGACCCTGTCGTCTCTTCTTGGCTGCGACATCGATAATGCCAACTGCCCACAACATCTCTCGCCCATCACCTACCGGGCCTACGCCCTGTACTCCACGGCCTTCGCCCACCACTACCTCAGCTGGGCGGTGTACCTGGCAGACAGACTGTGGGAGTCCCTGCTCAAGATGCACTATGATCTCGAGAAGCTTCAATGTCACGACTCCAAGTCCAAGCCTCTCCACCAGTGTGACAAGGCCCTGCCCCTCCTCTACCGTCATGGCATCTCCCCGCCAGACGGGGTAACGCAGTCGTCACTCACGTGCTCGGACGTCGTCACCAAGTTGGAAGAAGTGGTCGCCGGACAGCCTATCGCAAGCCTCATGACCTGTATGGACACATTCCTCTACAATATCAGGATGCCCTTCCTCTACACTGTGTTCACACTCTGGCTCATCGCCACGCTCTACATCCTCCACTCGCTCCTCTACCGCATGGACGTGCTGCGCATACGCTCCCACCTCCTCACCACCAGGACCTCCCACCTCATCGACGTCAAGGCGCTGCTCGCCGGCAGCCGCAGGATGCTCTCACTCTACAAGGACGTCGACTACTTCGACGACGACTTTCGCTCATGACAGTAATTATCTCAGCTACATTACATTCCTCTCTTTGTGTTGCCGTGTCATGTCACGTCTTTCCTTGTGACTGTACGTCGTGCCTTGCCTAGCACCTAAGTCACTGACTAACCTGATGTCCAACCTAAAACCTAACCCATAATTTAGTAGACGCGTTGGAATATTCGTTGCTTCACGCGCCACTCGTGAACGTTTCCACACCGTTGCCTAATGTCAAAGCACCGTGAAAATGATGGCTGCTGGACCATCACTGCTGTGCGAGGTCAGTGTCTCACACCTCAGTTACCATGTGCGTTCGCAGGCAGTGAAGTCGTTGTGACGGCCATTGTACAGCCTAGTCAAGCGGCATCTATGACCACATTGTGGCGGCCGGTAATACAGTAGTCACTGCCCTCACAGCTACACTCTTCATTTGCCTCGTCACCTATCTCCTCAAATGGTGAACATTAATACACTGCATCATTACTTCAGCCAACATTCAATATCAATTATATTATGATTCCGTACAACATGGTTACATACAATTCTAATATTGCACTGATTACGTGGCGTCATTGTACCCGCATCCTTCACCTCCATATCATCCTTTTACTCCCGGACTCCACAAATACCGCGCAGGTTGCTCTCCGCAGTTCCCGGCCACCTCCACAACGTGACACCTGTAGCATCATCTAGTCCACTATGAGATGTCACATTCGACGTGGACCTATCACTGGCGCCACCCTCAATTTCAAGGTTTAGGTTTAGGTTATGATTTACGTCAGCAACACTCACCAAACTCGCCGTTTAACCAAACGTCTCACCTAATATGTAATCTAGCATTTGACCAAATACCTAGCCAAATGGCTCACCTAGCACATAACCAAATGGCTCACCTAGCACCTAACCTATGATGTAATCTACCCGCTGCTTTGTCATCTCCCTTGCCGTTTGTCGCCTTGCCGTCACTCCCAAAATAGCCTCCTTCATCCCACCTTGTCGGTGGATTCAGGCTGCGGACGCCTCCTACCACGCCCCTATTGCAACTCTAAAATAGCTCACCAATCGCCACTAACACATTCACTGAGCCACCTACTAACATCGCAATTACTACCGTTGCAAACATCTTGGCACAGTCTTGGTTAACTGGAAGCAGTGACGTCTCCTTAGAGGTTTTATTACTTTAGTGTTTCCTAGTTCACCCATTTCAACGCTTTCACTTGTCTTTTTATAGCAGTATCCTAGTGCCAATTTATTAGTGTCATTGTGCTTAGTGCCTTTGTAAGCAAGATGGCGGCGCACGGAGTTCCGCTGAACACTCTCAGGGACTGTCTCCGGTTCCTGGCGTGGTTGAATAGCGGGAATGGGGAAAGTATGCGTGTTGAAGTCTCACATCAACTGGTTAAGCGTTACGATCAATATTATAGTTTTGAGCGATTTAAGACGCAATTGCCAGATTCCTTAAATGGTTTCCTCCGCAACGCTTCATCGCTTTATGACCAAATAAGCACATCCGCAACATTGAGCGATTATAATAACAAAAAATCCTGATGACATTGTCAAAGCGTTTTCCGACTGCCTCCCCAAGGTACACGCTGCGTTTTCTCTGTTACTCTTTCACGTTGACACCACGTACGGTGATGTGGGTGGTGGGAGTTGGGGGGATTTTGAGTCGTTGCAGGAAAATGCGTTTAAAAGTTATCTAACTGCGTCTGCATCCGACTCTTACGTGTTCAACAACATTATACCCGGAGGATTTGAGAGTTCTGATTTGGAAAATGTAAAGGGTCATTATTTGGCCGAGAGTCTAAAATCTGCGCTGAAAAGAACTGGCAGCGTTCCGGACGTTTTCACCAGTGTTCTTTTCAACGACATATTTGAAAATAAATGGCACGATGAGGATACTGGCAACGTTCTGCTACTGACATGGGCCTTTTGTGAAGCCGTGGAGATGCAGGGACGTGATGGCGGTGGGTTCAAAATTGCTTTGGAAGGGGAACTTAAAAAGAAAGGACGCTGTTCCATTGATTGGAACGCTTTAGTGCAACATTGCAAAACACTTAAACAATCCCTTGACAAGTTGTTTGCCGTTCGTGTGCGTGATTTCAATCCTGGACCCTTCACCACCACCGGTAGGTCGTTTACCTCCACTGCGATTAGACCGGAGGCTTTCGCTACGGGATTCACCAATTGGTTTAAAGACCATTGGGGAGAGATTGGTGGCGCATTAGAAAAAATTAACGAGGGCGTTGCGAATTTAGAGGATGGAGATCTTAAGGACTTCTCCCCCGAATACATATATCCTTATGGTATTGTGTTCAATAAGGATCAACAGAACAAGTGGGCAGAGGGATTGAAAAATCTGCACGGTGTTTTGGATGTGCTTGGTGATTCAAATAACGGTGAGTTGAAGGATCTTAAAGAAATTTTGGAAGGTACGCAGTGTCCACCGGAGCCTCCCCAGGAGGTTGTGCCGGAGAAGAAAGTTCCGGTTGTGCCACCCAAAAAGCCTGAGGTCCCGCCTGCCAAGAATCATGAAGGGAATCAAAATCAAGGCAAGAAAGCGGAGGGAGCGCAGAACCAGGGGAAGAAAGCTGAGGGAGCGCAGAACCAAGGCAAGAAAGCGGAGGGAGCACAGAACCAGGGGAAGAAATCTGAGGGAGCACAGAACCAAGGCAAGAAGGCGGAGGGAGCACAGAACCAAGGCAAGAAAGCGGAGGGAGCACAGAACCAGGGCAAGAAAGCGGAGGGAGCACAGAACCAGGGCAAGAAAAGTGAGGGAGCACAGAACCAGGGGAAGAAAGTGGAGGGAAGTCCTCCAACTCCTCAAGTTACAGGCTCTGCTCCACCTCCTTCTTCCGGTGCTCCAGGAGATGCAGGCCCAAAAGGAGCTCCAGGCCCGCAAGGGCCTCCTGGTCCAGGGGGTCCGGGGTCTACAAGTCAAACGGTCCCAGGACATTCTCAGCCTACAATTACACCAGTTCAACAACCTCAGCCTCCCCCTCCGCCGCCTGCTCCCAGTCCCGCTGCAGCCCCTGGCCACCCTGGTCAGCCAGGTGGCAAGGCTCAGAGTGCAGTGACTGCTGAGCCTTCAAGTTCAGTGACTGTTGGCAGTCAAGATGCTGGGACTGCTAAGGCTCAGAGTGTTTCAGGTCAGCGGGCTGGGCAAAGTGGTGGGCAAGGTGATGGTCGCATTGCCAAGCAAACTCCCACTCAACATATTGATCAAGATGCTGAGCAACGCCAAAAGCAGCTGGAGGCTGCTTACAAAGCCAAGCAAAAACAGAAGATTGATCTTATGTTGGACTATCTCAAGACTGGTGAAAAGAGAGTAATCGAGAAGGCGGAGCGGCAGAAAAAATTGGCTGCGGAACGAGAACGGCAAGAATGGAGAGCGCAGCAGGAAGAAGCGGAAGAGCGTCGGAGACAAGAGGAAGCAGAAGAACGGAAAAGAGTGGATGCCTTCAGATCGCAGCATCCGCTCATGGCGGCGCCTGAGTACTATGACGAATACGGGCATAAACGCCCTGAGAGCCGGACGCACAAGAGGACAGCGCTTCCCACGGCCTACGACTACAAGGTGCCTCACTTGGAAGGGTATGACGTTGTGTCTCCGGAGTCGAAGGATGCGTCGTTGGGGGACAAATATATGGAGTCTATGTTTCAGCGAAAGGAACTAGACGACCTTAATGCACAGGTTGAGAGAGAAAGGGCTCTGACTAAATTACAAGACAGAGAAAATGAATTAATTAAAAAATTCCATAATGATGCCGAAAAAGAGCATTATGACACCGTTAACAGAAGCAACCAAGATGCATTGTTTGATGATCTTAAAATGACCGTTCCCAAATACTCTCCCAAGCTGCCGGACATCGGCGCAACCACCGGAGGCAAGTTAAAATCAGGGACGCAACCCGCGCAGATTCCAAGCCTAGAAATACCAGCGGACATCACCGACTTGAATCCATCCTTATTTGAACCCATAGCATCCAACGCAGTCCAGCAGCGTGGTAACGCTGCGACAAAGCCGCCAGCCACCGTCACATTTGCCGACCCGATCACGGCGCAGATGACGGGGTTAACTTGTGAGACAATCCAAAACGAAGCAGGTAAGCTTTCAGCGGCAGAAATGCCGGACGCTATGAACGCTAAAATGTATGCATCGGAACTCACAGGCCAACGTATCGGTGGTCCGCACGACGAGCGGGAGGAAAATGTCCGCAGGTTTCAACGTGAAAAGGCGTATAACGATTTCCGAGATCATTATGACCGTAGAACAAGACTCCTAGAAAGGGAAGCGGAAGAGTTGCGGAATGAAGCTGCCGAAAAAGACAGGGAATCGGCAGCGGTAGCGAAATATAAGGCCATCCCACAAGTCTTTACGGAGCGTGCGCAGAGACGCCCGTCTCCTGTGTCATACGAGTTGCCAGACTTCGACGTCTACTTCCCCAAGCCCATTGTTCAAGACCCCGTGTACGATTGGGATTTTGATGATTACTCGACGAATATACAGGATGATGCACAGGCCAACACTGTCGCTCCATACAAATCTGCCGTCTCATTAAATATTCCACCCCCAGATCCCCAGCACTCTCTGCCTCCCAGAGAAGATCCGAAATATACAACAGTCACATTGGAAGACACATGCCCTGTTCCCTGGATCACCCAGAAACCTACGCATGACCCTACTGATATCCCCGAGACAGAGCTGTTCCCCTCCGAGGCGCCGCGCACGGTCAGGGAGATGCTCACTTGGATCGCCGGACTGCAACACCCGAAGCACCAAGACACTCTGCAAAAGTGTATTAACAATGCTTTCAAGCGCGACGATCATGACTCTTCAGATCTCACACTCCCAGTCAACGGTGCTGACATCAGCCCCGAAAATGTAATCGACACCATTAAGCTTGCCGCCGTTTTCGCATCTTCAGTGCTCAATTCCATCGCGCCTAAGTGGAGGATGGCGGTGCCATCTGCAAGGTCGACGCCCAGGGAGCCCGATTGGTGCGCCCTCCCCTGCCAGCTACGGGACTACGTCTACGCCTGCTGCCACCAGTTGGAGTTCCTGAGGTCGCAGTGTTCTCGGAAGCAGTCATATGGTGGTTGGCAGGATTGTGAGTACGGCCGTGCTCTCTCCTCCAACTCCCCCCTCCAGGCCTTCCTGACTGACGCCCCCGACTCCAAGTTCGAGACTCACCCCTTCGACCCGCGCGACATCTGCCTCAAGAGCCGCGTCAAGATGGGATTCAACACAGAGGATTTGTCTGCATCTCAGCAAACTGGCAATACACTCCACACCATCCTCTCTCCCACCTGTGGCGGTAATGATCCCTTGGTGACATTGTCCTCTTACCTCAACTGCCTCACCAGGCGGACGCCGCGCACCACCGGGGAGCTTGTCTCATTCTTCCACAATTTTGGGAATGAGCTGCACAAGTCTACTTCACAGTTGTCTCCACTGGGTTCCGCCCTCTCCAGTCAGCATGACGACTGCCCCGACTGGGACTGTCTTGGGGAGGAAGATCTACAAGCCGTCCGGGGCATCCGGGGCTCCGCCCCTCCCAACTCCATCCACGACCACAACGACAACCAAGACCATCCCAAGACCCTGTCGTCTCTTCTTGGCTGCGACATCGATAATGCCAACTGCCCACAACATCTCTCGCCCATCACCTACCGGGCCTACGCCCTGTACTCCACGGCCTTCGCCCACCACTACCTCAGCTGGGCGGTCTATCTGGCCGACAGACTGTGGGAGTCACTGGAAAAGCTGCACTATGATCTCGAGAAGCTTCAATGTCACGACTCCAAGTCCAAGCCTCTCCACCAGTGTGACAAGGCCCTGCCCCTCCTCTACTCTCACGGGTTCACTCCACCAGAAGGGACACTACAATTACGAATCTCCTGTTCCAAGGTCATCGCCAAGTTGGAAGAAGTGGCCAACGGACAGCCTATCGCAAGCCTCATGACCGCCATGGACACATTCCTCTATCGCATCCGTGCGCCCTTCCTCTACACCATCGTCACACTCTGGCTCACCGCCACGCTCTACATCGCCCACTCACTCCTCTACCGCATCGACGTAATGCGCATCCGCTCGCACCTACTCACCACCAAGGCCTCCCACCTCATCGACGTCAAGGCGCTGCTCTCCACCAGCAGAATGCTCTCGCTCTACAAGGACGTCGACTACTTCGACGACGACTTTCACTCGTGACAGTAATTATCTCAGCTACATTACATTCACATTCCTCTCTTTGTGTTGTGTTGCCATGTCTCATCTTTCATGGTGACTGTATCCAGTGCCTTGCCTACCACCTAACTCACTGCCTAACCAAAAGACTCACCTAGCACCTGACCAAATGGCTGACCTAGCACCTAACCAAATGGCTTACCTAGCACATAGCCTATAGTCTCAGCTAGCACCTAACCTATGATGTAACCTACTCGCTGCTTTGTCATCTCCCTTGTCCCTTTGTCGCCTTGCAGTCACTCCCAAAACAGCCTGCTTCATCCCACCTTGTCGGTGGACTGAGGCTGCGGACGCCTCTCACCACGTTCTCTTGCACCTCTAAAATGCCTCACTAACCGCCACTGACACCTTCACTGTCACCCATTAACATCGCAATTATACCTCTGCAAGCAACTTGGGAGTGTCATGGTTATTTGGAAGCAGTGTCGTCACCTCAGAGGTTATATAACTTTAGTGTCTCCTGGTTAACCATTTAAATGTACTTTTGTACCACTAGCCTTGTGCCCATTTATTAGTGTCCTTGTAAGCAAGATGGAGAAGCATGACATTCCGCTTAACACCCTCAAGGAGTGTCTCATGTTCCTGCAGTGGTTGCATAAGGGAGGTGGGAAGCATAGGCTTCAAGAAGTGTCCCAGACTTTATATGATCGTATTAAAACCCATTTTGATTCCAAATTTGTTTCAGTGGAAAACGTTGAAAAGGGCTTGCGCCCATTCCTCTCCGCCGTGTCAAAGTTTTATGAGAGATTGTGCTACAAAGCAGAGGCAGGCAAATATGTTACTAAAAGCGCAGAGGACATATCCAACGCCCTTCTCGACTGCCACCCTAAATTCTTCGCCGCTATGTACTTTCTGCAGTACTGTGTGAATAACACTTTCGGGACGCTGGGCGGTGGTGGATGGGAAAAGAATTACCCAGGGTGGGAAGAGGACTGGCGGACTTGGTACGGTACGTACCCTAAGTCTGGCGGTGACCTGCAGAAGTATCTCAGAGCCACTGTAGGCGACGAAAAGTATAGCAAAATCCCCGGTTTGCTACCTGGTGGCTTCAGCGAAGGCGAGGTGATATATTATACACTTGGGAGTGGCTACTACCAGGGTTATAACATGGCTGGGAACCTTGAAAAGATTGTGAGCAAAGGAAATTACAACTATTTTCGCAGCGTGTTTGTCAGTTCCGCGGTTGCAGACACTGGCGCCGCTATTCCCAACACCGCCAACGCCCTCTCACTAGTCAGAACCTTTTGCGATATCGTGGGAGAAGCAGACCAGAAAGATAGTGGCGCGGAATTAAAACCGAAATTGGAAGAAGGCCTTAAAAGGTTAACCACCCCAAAATCCATATGCTGGAAAGACTTACAATCCCACTGCGCTCAGCTTAGAGATAAATTGTCCAAGCTTTTCAACAAGTCAAAACGCTTCGACTTCACGGGCCAGGCGACGGGACTTGCAAACTTAGCAGGGACGGACCTTGCAGGGAGAACGGCGGATTGGCTGAGAGGGAATTTGACCACAGTGCGGGGAAAATTGGATAAAATCGATACAAGTGACAGTGTCGTGACTCTCCGCCAAGACCAGCGTGGAGGCTATTTCACCAACAATTTCTTCCCCTTCGGGTTCACATTTCGAGACCACATGAATATGCAGGAAGGGGAAGTGAAGAGATTGCTGGAGGATTGGCGCACTGTAATCGATGACCTGAAGAAAAAGACTGGCAGCGACTTGGAAAGGCTTAGAGAGATTTTGAGTGGTGAGAATCCAATAGGATGTACAAAGCCACCGCCTCCACCTCCAAATGTTGACGCATCTGCAAATCAAGGCAAGAAAGCGGAGGGGACTTCAAATCAAAGTAGAGATGTATCTTCAGGTCCACCAACTGGAAAGTCTGATGCTCCAGCTCCGGCTCTCGGTAAGGATGGAGGGTCAGGCTCGGTAGGGTCTACTGGTCCAGTGACCCCGGCGTCTTCTGGATCCGCGGACGCATCAAGTAATCAAGGTGTTCAACGACAACAGGTTGTTACTCAAACCGCTCCAGATCCTCCCCCTGCAATCTCTCCCCCCAGTGCTGCTGGAGGCGATGGCCCCCCGGATAAGTCAGGTCCCCCGGATCAGGGTTCACTGGGCGGTGCTACTCCAGGTCAACAGCCTGGCACCTCTCAAGATCCTGCACGTACTCAGACTCTGAGTGCTTCAGGTTCAGGCTCTGGGCCAACTGGTGCTCAGGGGACTGGGAAAGTTGGCAGTGGAGGGGCTGGTCCACCAGGTGGTCAAATAAGTGGGAACGATGTGAGCAGCGTCACTACTACGTCGGTTTCCCCGGCGGCTGGTGGAGGTGGGAGTAATGGAGGGGGTGGAGGTGGAGCAAGAGGGGGAGAAAAGAAGGGGGGAACCACATTATCTCCAGAACAACAAAAGCGTTTAAATGATTATGGAGCGGAACTACAAGCAAAAAGAAAGCGAGATGAGGGGAACATGACAAGCATAATTGATAAAGTAAATGAAAATTTAGAAAAAATCCAACAAAACAAAATAGAAGGAAATGTGCAAACAAATGTACGAAAACAGTTACTTGCCAGTTTGCAAAACCAAAATATCGCTCGTTCTCGCGGTGGCCGTCGCCTTAATTGGCGTCAGCCATACGATCCGAAAATTATTACTAGGCGCACTAAAGATGTTGATCCATTCTACAGTTCTGCCCTTGACGGCAGCGAGGTTTGGAATAAATCTTCGCGTGATTTATATATCGAAAAGCGGCGTGAAGCATTGGAGCGTTATCATGAAGAGGAAAAAACGAAGAGGGAACAAGAGTATAAGGACAGAATATCGCGTCTGCAAAATAGGCAGGAAGCTGATACAATTCGTGCAATAACATCACGAGAGCAACATGAACAGACTGTGATAGACGCCCTCCAATCTTTGAAACACATAAAAGAAGAAGAGGAAAAATTACAACCAGCGTTTGTAGGATCAGCAGTGTCCGATTCCCAAAATCCAGTAGTGTCCAGTTTCGACGGCGCAGCAGTGCCGGATATATCTGGAGCTTCCCGACAGCAACAAGACGTCGCGAATATTAACGATGCCTACGCAAAATTATACGTAAAGCAAGCACGTAATCTTCAGGTCCCTCCTCCCACCATTGAAGTTGCGTACAAACCGCAGGAGTCTGCTGATAATATCAGTGATACATATCCAACTTCCCTACAGAATCAAATGAGATATGCGACCCCCAACGTGCTCTTCGATATAATCAGGCCACCTGGACCAACTTATGATGACAAGGACTTTCAGTCAAGGGGACAGATGGCCTCCGTACCCATTGGGGCGAATCCATCTTACGACGCTTTAGACGATGGTTTAGAAATCACTAAAGTTGCGCGTTACGATAATGAAACTCGTGACGAGAAGGGCTTTAGGCCTAAGGACTTGTCTTTTGGTGTCAAGCAAAACGACCCGCATTATTCTTATGGTATTACACCAATAAAACCTAAGTTTTTCATTGATCGCGCTGATTTTGAAATCTCTCAAGATTTAGAAGACCCTAAAATTGACCTCCACATCGACGCCTCCAAGCCCATTGTTCAAGACCCTGTCGATAATCCTGATGAATACCTTTACGCCAATGACGACGATGTCCTGATAAACAAATTAAAAAATGCGGAGTCCTGGCATGGCGAAGACGAAGGCTTTTCTGTCCTGCCCAAGAGTAATTTTAACCTTGAATTCACTCCATCCTTTTTAAAATCCGATGGGGATCATGATCCTGGTATTCCCCGGGATACTCCAAGGAAGCCATATGACCAGAAGATTCCAGTGTTCCCTAACGTCGACATGTGCCAAAACCCCTGGTACGTCCCCGATGCCTCCTCCACTACCGTCACCCCAACCCCCTCCCCTCCCCCATCCTCCGACCATCTGCCCCCGCCTAACACCATCCGGGAAATGCTCCACTGGCTGATCGGCTTGACACAGTATGAGTATGTTGGGATGATTAAGGAGCGTGTTGAAGACCTTTTGAGGGAGCTTAACGAGGATGCCTCACAGCTCTCAGATGCCCTCGAGGTCACTGGGGATCCCACTCAGCTGACCGCTTCCCATATCTCCAACACTCTGACCGAGGCGTGTCTCTACTCGGCCAACTTTCTCTACAGGATCAAGTACAAAGACATATCCGATGACTTCAAAACCTTTTTCGAGGATAAAGAGAAATATGCTTTTTATTATTCCTCCAACCCCGCCTGCCTCCTCTGCCAGCTGCGGGACTACGCCTACGTCTGTTACCACCAGCTGGAGTTCCTGAAGTCGCAGTGTAATCGGGGCGCCAGGCACGGTGGTTGGCAGGATTATGAGTACGGCAGTGGTCTATCGTCTCCCAAGTCCCCCCTCCAGGCCTTCTTGACTGATGCCTCGGACTCCAAGTTCAAGACTCACCCCTTCGACCCGCGCGATATCTGTCTCAAGAGTCGTGTTAAGATGGGATTCAAGGAGGAGCATCTGCCTAAAACTCAACAAACTGGCAACGTCATTCTCACCATCCTCTCTCCCAGCTGCGGCGGCGAGGATCCCCTGCTGACGCTGTGCTCTTACCTCACCTGCCTCACCAGCCGGACGCCGCGCACCACCGGGGAGCTTTTATCGTTCTTCCACCATTTCGGAAATGAGCTTCATGATGTGTCTTCAGACTTGTCCAAGCTGGGCTCCGCCCTCTCCAAGCCACATCGTCACTGCCCCGACTGGGACCGTCTTGCTGCCGACGACCTCCAAGCCATCAATGGCGCACGGGGCTCCGCCCTTCCCAACTCCATCCACAACCACGACAAGGACCATCCCAAGACCCTGTCGTCTCTTCTTGGCTGCGACATCGATAATGCCAACTGCCCACAACATCTCTCGCCCATCACCTACCGGGCCTACGCCCTGTACTCCACGGCCTTCGCCCACCACTACCTCAGCTGGGCGGTCTACCTACCAGACAGACTGTGGGAGTCACTGCTCAAGTTGCAAGATGATCTCAATAAGCTTCAATGTCACGACTCCAAGTCCAAGCCTCTCCACCAGTGTGACAAGGCCCTGCCCCTCCTCTACTCTCACGGGTTCACTCCACCAGAAGGGACACTACAATTACGAATCTCCTGTTCCAAGGTCATCGCCAAGTTGGAAGAAGTGGCCAACGGACAGCCTATCGCAAGCCTCATGACCGCCATGGACGAGTTCCTCCACAGAATCCGTGCCCCCTTCCTCTACACTGTGTTAGCGCTCTGGCTCACCGCCACGCTCTACATCGCCCACTCCCTCCTCTACCGCATGGACGTCCTGCGCATCCGCTCCCACCTCCTCACCACCAGGGCCTCCCACCTCATCGACGTCAAGGCTTTGCTCGCAGGCAGCCGCAGGATGCTCTCACTCTACAAGGACGTCGACTACTTCGACGATGACCTTCACTCTTGACAGTAATTATCTCAGCTACATTACCTTTACATTCCTCTCTTCGTGTTGCCACGTCATGTCACGTCTCTCATCGTGAGTATCTCGTGCCTTGCCTAGCACCCAACTCACTGACTAACCAAGTGGCTGACCTAGCACCTAACCAAACGGCTCACCTAGCACCTGACCAAACGGCTTACCTAGCATCTGACCTATGACGTAACCTACTCGCTGCTTTGTCATCTCCTTGTCCGTTTGTTTACTCGCCATCACTCCCAAAGCAGCCTCCTTCATCCCACCTTGTCGGTGGACTGAGGCTGCGGACGCCTCTCACCACGCCCCTCTTGCACCTCTAAAATACCACACCAATCGCCACTAACAGCGCCACTGACTCACCTATTAACACCGCAATCACTACCGTTGCAAGCAACGTGTGAGTGTCTTGGTAAACTGGAAGCAGTGTCGTCATCTTGGAGGTATTATCGCTTTAGTGTTTCCTTGTTCACCTTTTAAAAGCATTCACTTGTATTCTTGTACCACCAGCCTAGTGCCCATTTATTAGTGTCATTGTGCTGACTGCCTTTGTAAGCAAGATGACGGGTCACGGAGTTCCGCTTGACACTCTCAAGCAGTGTCTCCAATTCTTGATGTGGTTGAAGAATAATGGTGTTAAGCAAGGGGAGGTGGCCGAATATTTACATGGGCGTATCAAAAACCATTTTAATTCCCCATTTCTTTCAGTGGAAAACGTTGAAAAGGGCTTGTCCCCATTCCTCACTGCCGTGTCAAACTTTTATGAGAGATTGTGCTACAAAGCAGAGGCAGGCAGTTATGGCGGTAGAGACGCAGAGGACATAGCCAACGCCCTCCTTGACTGTGTCCCTAAATTCCTCGCTGCGATCTACTATCTGTGGTATTGCGTGGATCCTAGTTTCGTGTCACTTGGCGGGGCGGGTGGCAGAAGGACTGGCCCGGGTACGGTGAGCGATCTTGGCATGGTGATTGGGGCGGTGATCTTGATAGGTATCTCAGAGCGCAGCGTACCAGTGATAAGTACGGCGACATGATACCCGGTGGGTTCATACAAGGCGAAGTGAAATATAGAGAATTTTGGAAAGGTTACTACCAGGGTTATAACATGGCTGATGACATTCAAAAGATCGTGGACAAAAAAAATTATAATTATTTCCGCAGCGTCTTTGTGAGCTCCGTTATTGGAGAATCGGCCAAGCGTCCAGAGAACGCCGCGAATTCTCTTGTGTTGGCGAGAACCTTTTGCGATATTGTTCTTGGGGAGACAGATAAAGAGACAGGTGGAAAATTAATAGAAGCATTGAATGCAGGTTTACGCCAACAAGTAGGATCAAGAGATAAATCCATATGCTGGAAAGAGTTACATTCCCATTGCACTAAGCTTCGAAAAAAATTTTACAGATTGTTCGGTGAAAAACACTTCGACTTCACCGGACTGTCGACGGACACCGGAAACCTTAATAAGACAGAGTTGGCGAAGGAAACGGCGAATTGGATTAGACAGAATGTGGTCAATGTGCGGGGTCATTTGAATGATATTGATACCAGTGATCGTGTCAAACATCTTGGAGAGTATTTCACGAAAAACCTTTTCCCCTACGGTTTTACACCTCATTATAGGAGTCGCTTGCAAATGGGGGATAAAGAACGGCAGACATTAAGAACGTATTGGCGCGATGTAATTAATGAGTTTAGGAAAGCGGGTGGGGGATTGGAAAGGCTTAGCGAAATTTTGAGTGGAACGTATAATGTTTCATGTAAAAAGCCTGAGGTCCCGCCCGCAAAGGTTCCTGAAGCCCCCAAGGAAGTTGTGCCGGAGAAGAAAGTTCCTGTTACTCCACCTAAAAAGCCTGAGGTGCCGCCTGCAAAGAAGCCTGAAGGGAATCAAGATCAAGGCAAGAAAGCGGAGGGAGCGCAGAACCAGGGGAAGAAGGCGGAGGGAGCGCAGAACCAAGGCAAGAAATCTGAGGGGGCACAGAACCAGGGCAAGAAAGGTGAGGGAGCACAGAACCAGGGGAAGAAAGTGGAGGGAAGTCCTCCAACTCCTCAAGTTGTGAAGTCTGCTCTACCTCCGCCTCCCGGTGCTGAAGGAGCTCCAGGCCCAGGAGGGCCTAAAGGTGGTAAAGGAACTCCGGCGTCCCCTAGGCCTACAACTTCACCAGGTGGAAAGCCTGCTACACCTTCGACTCCCGGTGATGCTGGCCCAGCAGGACCTACTGGTCCAGTGGATTCGGTGTCTCCTAAGTCTACAGTTCGAATAGATTCACAAACTGTTCAACCCCCACCTCAGGACCCGCCAGTTACTCCAGCTCAACATCCTGCTGCTTCTCCAACTGCTGTGCGAACGCAGTCTCCGGATGTTGCAGGCTCAGTCTCTGGGCTAGCTGGTGTCCAGGGGACTGGCCAACATGGTGGTCATGTTGTTAGTCAAGTCTCCGATCCAACTTCAAGCAGCGTCGTCACTGTGCCGGTTGTCACGGCGGCTGTTGGAGGTGGGAGTGGGAGTGAAGCTGGAGGGGGTGGTGGGAAGGGGCCTCCGCCGGCTATGCCTACAAGTAAGCCCTATGAGCCACAACTCAACCAGACGTATTATGATAATCTAGAGCAAAGAAAAACGCATGATCAGAATAGGATTTTAAAGGCGATAGAAAGAGGCCAAAAAATCCTAGATGAAAAAGCGGAAGAGGAACGGAGACATCAAGAAGATTTAAAACGGAGACGTCACAATGCAAATATTGCTTTTGCCAACTCTTTCGACGGATTTAAAATTGGCAGTTCGCTGGAGGGCAACGCTTTGCCGGACGTCTCCGCCCTTGTAGCGCAGAAACAAAAGGAGGCGGAGGAGAGATCTATAAGGCGTAATATTCAATTTCTGTAAACAATTCAAGATGATATTAACAATAATCCTAATAGTAAGAATGCCGATTCGGTGTTCATGTCAGGCACTCCAATCTCAGAGCCTGCCGATCTGGCAGGAAAAGTCGTGAAACAGACTCCAAACTACAGCCAGGCGGAAACAGATGCGCACAGACAGCTACAGCCGAATTCAATTATAGTCGCGGGTGATCAGGTTTCGCCAACCCGCAAGCGTGCCAAGCCCCTTCCGCCGGTCCCCCCTGTTGGTGTCCCCATGGGTCACGCAATAGTGCCGCGCAAAACTCCGAGAGCTCCAAAAAACACGTTGCCGGCTAATGATATTCTGGAAGTCACAGGCCAGGCCGTCAGACACACAGCATTAGAAGATCCGTTGCCACCGCCCCCAGCTCCCAAGCCGCCTGAGCCTGTGGAGCAGTATCCCCCTAACCCTGTCAAAGTTGACACGGAAGACATGACAAAATATTTAGGGGTCTCTGACATAATCCTGACAAAGTCCACTGGAAGTGACATCGCAGTCCCCGCACCTGACAAGGTGGACACTCACGTGCCGCCATCTGCGATCGACGCATGGACCATCCCCAACCCCAAAAGAAACCGTCCCGTGTCACCTCCCCCAGCCTTCAATTTTCCTAAGACGCCTCCTGTCCGTGACGTCAAAATTCCGAGCATCGAAATATCACCAGACTCACGTATTATGACGGAGTCAATGCTTGATGTCATGGGTTCTCCCACCACTGCTACTAACACAGCCCATCCCTTGCCACCGCTCTCAGCCTTGAACCTGCCCTGGCAGCGTGATGACACTGTTAGTAAATTGCCTCTCGCAGTAACGCTTAAGGACCATGATATTGCAGACTTGACACACGTCGCTAGCGAAGTAATAAAAATTCCAATAGCTCAACTTACTGGAGATAGTAATTTGGCGGTATCTGTTAAACAGGAACTCACAGGGCAGCCTGTTGCGGACACTATGTTATTAAATCCCGCTCACCCTCCAATCGATTTAGAAATCGAACGGCGGCATGAAACTGAAACGGCGCCTAACGCACAAATTCAGTCGCCGCCCACAGCAACACAAGGTTTCACGAAACAACTGTCTCGGACTACCGTACCACCTACAGAGTGGATCGAGCCTGCCGTTCCCATTATGCCTATACCTGTGGTACACCCGGACGCGTTCGGTGCCAGCGTGGGTACGGATGACAATGTAAAACATTCGAGCGCTGCGGAATTTCTTACGCAAATTGATCTCAATACATCGCCTGACGCCGACATGTGCCGAAACCCCTGGTACGTCCCCGATGCCTCCTCCACTACCGTCACCCCAACCCCCTCCCCTCCCCATCCTCCGACCATCTGCCCCGCCTAACACCATCCGGGAAATGCTCCACTGGCTGATCGGCTTGACACAGTATGAGTATGTTGGGATGATTAAGGAGCGTGTTGAAGACCTTTTGAGGGAGCTTAACGAGGATGCCTCACAGCTCTCAGATGCCCTCGAGGTCACTGGGGATCCCACTCAGCTGACCGCTTCCCATATCTCCAACACTCTGACCGAGGCGTGTCTCTACTCGGCCAACTTTCTCTACAGGATCAAGTACAAAGACATATCCGATGACTTCAAAACCTTTTTCGAGGATAAAGAGAAATATGCTTTTTATTATTCCTCCAACCCCGCCTGCCTCCTCTGCCAGCTGCGGGACTACGCCTACGTCTGTTACCACCAGCTGGAGTTCCTGAAGTCGCAGTGTAATCGGGGCGCCAGGCACGGTGGTTGGCAGGATTATGAGTACGGCAGTGGTCTATCGTCTCCCAAGTCCCCCCTCAGGCCTTCTTGACTGATGCCTCGGACTCCAAGTTCAAGACTCACCCCTTCGACCCGCGCGATATCTGTCTCAAGAGTCGTGTTAAGATGGGATTCAAGGAGGAGCATCTGCCTAAAACTCAACAAACTGGCAACGTCATTCTCACCATCCTCTCTCCCACCTGCGGCGGCGAGGATCCCCTGCTGACGCTGTGCTCTTACCTCACCTGCCTCACCAGCCGGACGCCGCGCACCACCGGGGAGCTTTTATCGTTCTTCCACCATTTCGGAAATGAGCTTCATGATGTGTCTTCAGACTTGTCCAGCTGGGCTCCGCCCTCTCAAGCCACATCGTCACTGCCCCGACTGGGACCGTCTTGCTGCCGACGACCTCCAAGCCATCAATGGCGCACGGGGCTCCGCCCTTCCCAACTCCATCCACAACCACGACAAGGACCATCCCAAGACCCTGTCGTCTCTTCTTGGCTGCGACATCGATAATGCCAACTGCCCACAACATCTCTCGCCCATCACCTACCGGGCCTACGCCCTGTACTCCACGGCCTTCGCCCACCACTACCTCAGCTGGGCGGTCTACCTACCAGACAGACTGTGGGAGTCACTGCTCAAGTTGCAAGATGATCTCAATAAGCTTCAATGTCACGACTCCAAGTCCAAGCCTCTCCACCAGTGTGACAAGGCCCTGCCCCTCCTCTACTCTCACGGGTTCACTCCACCAGAAGGGACACTACAATGAATCTCCTGTTCCAAGGTCATCGCCAAGTTGGAAGAAGTGGCCAACGGACAGCCTATCGCAAGCCTCATGACCGCCATGGACGAGTTCCTCCACAGAATCCGTGCCCCCTTCCTCTACACTGTGTTAGCGCTCTGGCTCACCGCCACGCTCTACATCGCCCACTCCCTCCTCTACCGCATGGACGTCCTGCGCATCCGCTCCCACCTCCTCACCACCAGGGCCTCCCACCTCATCGACGTCAAGGCTTTGCTCGCAGGCAGCCGCAGGATGCTCTCACTCTACAAGGACGTCGACTACTTCGACGATGACCTTCACTCTTGACAGTAATTATCTCAGCTACATTACCTTTACATTCCTCTCTTCGTGTTGCCACGTCATGTCACGTCTCATCGTGAGTATCTCGTGCCTTGCCTAGCACCCAACTCACTGACTAACCAAGTGGCTGACCTAGCACCTAACCAAACGGCTCACCTAGCACCTGACCAAACGGCTTACCTAGCATCTGACCTATGACGTAACCTACTCGCTGCTTTGTCATCTCCCTTGTCCGTTTGTTTACTCGCCATCACTCCCAAAGCAGCCTCCTTCATCCCACCTTGTCGGTGGACTGAGGCTGCGGACGCCTCTCACCACGCCCCTCTTGCACCTCTAAAATACCACACCAATCGCCACTAACAGCGCCACTGACTCACCTATTAACACCGCAATCACTACCGTTGCAAGCAACGTGTGAGTGTCTTGGTAAACTGGAAGCAGTGTCGTCATCTTGGAGGTATTATCGCTTTAGTGTTTCCTTGTTCACCTTTTAAAAGCATTCACTTGTATTCTTGTACCACCAGCCTAGTGCCCATTTATTAGTGTCATTGTGCTGACTGCCTTTGTAAGCAAGATGACGGGTCACGGAGTTCCGCTTGACACTCTCAAGCAGTGTCTCCAATTCTTGATGTGGTTGAAGAATAATGGTGTTAAGCAAGGGGAGGTGGCCGAATATTTACATGGGCGTATCAAAAACCATTTTAATTCCCCATTTCTTTCAGTGGAAAACGTTGAAAAGGGCTTGTCCCCATTCCTCACTGCCGTGTCAAACTTTTATGAGAGATTGTGCTACAAAGCAGAGGCAGGCAGTTATGGCGGTAGAGACGCAGAGGACATAGCCAACGCCCTCCTTGACTGTGTCCCTAAATTCCTCGCTGCGATCTACTATCTGTGGTATTGCGTGGATCCTAGTTTCGTGTCACTTGGCGGGGGCGGGTGGCAGAAGGACTGGCCCGGGTACGGTGAGCGATCTTGGCATGGTGATTGGGGCGGTGATCTTGATAGGTATCTCAGAGCGCAGCGTACCAGTGATAAGTACGGCGACATGATACCCGGTGGGTTCATACAAGGCGAAGTGAAATATAGAGAATTTTGGAAAGGTTACTACCAGGGTTATAACATGGCTGATGACATTCAAAAGATCGTGGACAAAAAAATTATAATTATTTCCGCAGCGTCTTTGTGAGCTCCGTTATTGGAGAATCGGCCAAGCGTCCAGAGAACGCCGCGAATTCTCTTGTGTTGGCGAGAACCTTTTGCGATATTGTTCTTGGGGAGACAGATAAAGAGACAGGTGGAAAATTAATAGAAGCATTGAATGCAGGTTTACGCCAACAAGTAGGATCAAGAGATAAATCCATATGCTGGAAAGAGTTACATTCCCATTGCACTAAGCTTCGAAAAAAATTTTACAGATTGTTCGGTGAAAAACACTTCGACTTCACCGGACTGTCGACGGACACCGGAAACCTTAATAAGACAGAGTTGGCGAAGGAAACGGCGAATTGGATTAGACAGAATGTGGTCAATGTGCGGGGTCATTTGAATGATATTGATACCAGTGATCGTGTCAAACATCTTGGAGAGTATTTCACGAAAAACCTTTTCCCCTACGGTTTTACCATTTTTAATGGGACTCGCTTTAAAATGAATCCAAGTGATCTTCAGACATTGAAAAAAGATTGGCGTGAGGTGATCGAAGAGTTTAAGAAAAGCAACGGCGATTTGAATACGCTCAGAGAAATTTTGAGTGGAACGTATACAGCTTCGTGTCCCCCACCTCCGCCTAAAAAGCCTGAGGTGCCGCCTGCAAAGAAGCCTGAAGGGAATCAAGATCAAGGCAAGAAAGCGGAGGGAGCGCAGAACCAGGGGAAGAAGGCGGAGGGAGCGCAGAACCAAGGCAAGAAATCTGAGGGGGCACAGAACCAGGGCAAGAAAGGTGAGGGAGCACAGAACCAGGGGAAGAAAGTGGAGGGAAGTCCTCCAACTCCTCAAGTTGTGAAGTCTGCTCTACCTCCGCCTCCCGGTGCTGAAGGAGCTCCAGGCCCAGGAGGGCCTAAAGGTGGTAAAGGAACTCCGGCGTCCCCTAGGCCTACAACTTCACCAGGTGGAAAGCCTGCTACACCTTCGACTCCCGGTGATGCTGGCCCAGCAGGACCTACTGGTCCAGTGGATTCGGTGTCTCCTAAGTCTACAGTTCGAATAGATTCACAAACTGTTCAACCCCCACCTCAGGACCCGCCAGTTACTCCAGCTCAACATCCTGCTGCTTCTCCAACTGCTGTGCGAACGCAGTCTCCGGATGTTGCAGGCTCAGTCTCTGGGCTAGCTGGTGTCCAGGGGACTGGCCAACATGGTGGTCATGTTGTTAGTCAAGTCTCCGATCCAACTTCAAGCAGCGTCGTCACTGTGCCGGTTGTCACGGCGGCTGTTGGAGGTGGGAGTGGGAGTGAAGCTGGAGGGGGTGGTGGGAAGGGGCCTCCGCCGGCTATGCCTACAAGTAAGCCCTATGAGCCACAACTCAACCAGACGTATTATGATAATCTAGAGCAAAGAAAAACGCATGATCAGAATAGGATTTTAAAGGCGATAGAAAGAGGCCAAAAAATCCTAGATGAAAAAGCGGAAGAGGAACGGAGACATCAAGAAGATTTAAAACGGAGACGTCACAATGCAAATATTGCTTTTGCCAACTCTTTCGACGGATTTAAAATTGGCAGTTCGCTGGAGGGCAACGCTTTGCCGGACGTCTCCGCCCTTGTAGCGCAGAAACAAAAGGAGGCGGAGGAGAGATCTATAAGGCGTAATATTCAATTTCTGTAAACAATTCAAGATGATATTAACAATAATCCTAATAGTAAGAATGCCGATTCGGTGTTCATGTCAGGCACTCCAATCTCAGAGCCTGCCGATCTGGCAGGAAAAGTCGTGAAACAGACTCCAAACTACAGCCAGGCGGAAACAGATGCGCACAGACAGCTACAGCCGAATTCAATTATAGTCGCGGGTGATCAGGTTTCGCCAACCCGCAAGCGTGCCAAGCCCCTTCCGCCGGTCCCCCCTGTTGGTGTCCCCATGGGTCACGCAATAGTGCCGCGCAAAACTCCGAGAGCTCCAAAAAACACGTTGCCGGCTAATGATATTCTGGAAGTCACAGGCCAGGCCGTCAGACACACAGCATTAGAAGATCCGTTGCCACCGCCCCCAGCTCCCAAGCCGCCTGAGCCTGTGGAGCAGTATCCCCCTAACCCTGTCAAAGTTGACACGGAAGACATGACAAAATATTTAGGGGTCTCTGACATAATCCTGACAAAGTCCACTGGAAGTGACATCGCAGTCCCCGCACCTGACAAGGTGGACACTCACGTGCCGCCATCTGCGATCGACGCATGGACCATCCCCAACCCCAAAAGAAACCGTCCCGTGTCACCTCCCCCAGCCTTCAATTTTCCTAAGACGCCTCCTGTCCGTGACGTCAAAATTCCGAGCATCGAAATATCACCAGACTCACGTATTATGACGGAGTCAATGCTTGATGTCATGGGTTCTCCCACCACTGCTACTAACACAGCCCATCCCTTGCCACCGCTCTCAGCCTTGAACCTGCCCTGGCAGCGTGATGACACTGTTAGTAAATTGCCTCTCGCAGTAACGCTTAAGGACCATGATATTGCAGACTTGACACACGTCGCTAGCGAAGTAATAAAAATTCCAATAGCTCAACTTACTGGAGATAGTAATTTGGCGGTATCTGTTAAACAGGAACTCACAGGGCAGCCTGTTGCGGACACTATGTTATTAAATCCCGCTCACCCTCCAATCGATTTAGAAATCGAACGGCGGCATGAAACTGAAACGGCGCCTAACGCACAAATTCAGTCGCCGCCCACAGCAACACAAGGTTTCACGAAACAACTGTCTCGGACTACCGTACCACCTACAGAGTGGATCGAGCCTGCCGTTCCCATTATGCCTATACCTGTGGTACACCCGGACGCGTTCGGTGCCAGCGTGGGTACGGATGACAATGTAAAACATTCGAGCGCTGCGGAATTTCTTACGCAAATTGATCTCAATACATCGCCTGACGCCGACATGTGCCGAAACCCCTGGTACGTCCCTGATACCGCGGATGCTCCCGACCAACCATCCCACTCCCCTCCCCCAGCCTCGGATCACCTGCCGCGGCCGACAGACGTCCACGGGATGCTCTACTGGCTGGCCGGCCTGAACCAAAAGGGGTATATTCCTTTCATTGAGAAGCATCTTAAGAGCATTTTGAAAGACATCAACAAGGATGTCTCACAGCTCTCAGATGCCCTCGAGGTCACCGGGGATCCTTACAACCTGGACGCTACCCGTGTCTCCAACACTCTGACCCAGGCTTGCCACTACGCGGCGAACGTTCTCCACAAGATAAAACACAAAGACAATTCGAAGGCTGTTTCAGTCCCTGATTTCAGCTTAGAATATTCCAAGCTTTGTTACTCCTCCGACCCCGCCTGCTCCTCCGCCGAGTACTGCTGCAGCTCCTAGCATCCCCCGTCAGCCAAGTATTAGTAGACGGCGAAGTCAAGAACACGGACGACCTCAGTAAATCGTTGGTGGCATCTAGGTCCAACCACTTTGTCATACTGAGCTTCGACAGCTCACTCGTAGCGCGCGGGGAGACGTTGCACCAGACGCCGCCGTTGGAGTGCCGCTGCGTCACCGTCAAGGGCGTCGTTCTCTCCACCATACAGATCGAGAACTACTACTCAAAGTGATGAGTATCTCAGATGTGACAATTAGCTGGTCAATGAGACAATTGTTGTCATTATTCATGTTGGTACAAGTGTTAATTTGAGTATATCTGGCAGGCTACCCTTAGCCTATAAAGTGTTAAATTGGGAAGTACAACTCAGCGACTTGGTGTAGCGATATAATACTTGTTCATGGATGGTGTAAGTGGCAATGAATCCATGTAGTAAGGCGATGTGGAATGAGATACCATCGTGCCATTATGCAGAACTTTTTAATATCCATATTAAGGAAGGCGTCATATAGCAATTTGCATTTATACTTCCGCATTAAAAGATCAGCAATGTCCTTTACACATGACAACGAACAGTAAGTAAAATATAGTAGCAGAGTTCAGCAGATAAACTAATGTTAGTAGGCGACTACCGTGTAAGTGCCTGGCCACGCTAGACCACCGTTGGGAATTAAAACATGAATGGTTCCATCTCCTCACTATATGTTTACAGCGCACTAAATCTGCTGCTTTGCAAAGCCACACTGAATCCGATTGGTAATTGTGATTTTCAAGGTGCCACCGGGCTCCTACCACATAGTCTACAACATCGTGGGAAGGGGACGAGGAAACAAGTGGGTTATTCTGTAGGAATTCGAGCTCTACAGAAGATGTTTAGATGCTGGAAAAGAAACCAATGCTGGAAATGGATGAACAACGTTCGTCAACCCTTTGCTCAATGGGGGGTCTAATCTAGTTAGGGATAGGATGTTAGACCCCGCACCTGAACACGTCGAACCGCATCAAAATCATGAATAAACAGAAAATAAGGGTTAGCGATGTGATCATGTCCGCCAATCGAACGCGTTAGCTAGTCAACAGAACTGATGAGTCTTGTTGGTTAGATAACCCAAGGTGTCTACTGGGTGGGTGGCGAGTAACGTGTGCTGGGGTCACGGATATATAGAGACTTTCAGATCAGGCCGCATATTTATGCCGACAAACCCAAACACCGTGCATATGTTAGTGCTTATGTTGAGGTCCTGCAAGACATTCCCCGCAAAAGCCTTGGGGCATGACAGCAGTTCCCAATATAAACGTGACCTGATTGGACAATTAAATTGAAGTGCTGATAAGTTCCTAATATGGCCTTTCACACATGCGTTTGTGGTGGTATGACTAAAATAGGAACCATATTAGTCACCTATGCCGTAAATGGCCAATACTGCATTGCGATTGTACGCTAAATACAACGTGTCTCGACTCAAATAAGGCATAGAGAAAAAGTTCAAAATATATTGGCGGCGTAACACTGAAATTCCGAATCTCCAATCCCCAACGCAAGGGTAAACTGTTCAGGGTTAAGTGAGTTGAAGGGAAGGTGGGCAAGCAAAACTGTAGATTACGACATGATGATTGTGTAAGAAAGCAGGGTTGATGGTTCACAAATTACGCTTCAGGCGCAGTCATATTCCTCTCGTCTTCATCTTTTTCTATCCTGGTATGCGAGAGGTGCCCTCACAAAATCCCGTGCTTACTGGACTTATAATACACCCACCATCAGTTCATACACTGCCACCAACCCCAATAATGTCTTACATAAACCAGACAACGTGCGCGTTGCCATGGTGCTCTAAATGCGTTCAAGAACAAAGGTTGTGTAGACAGTTGACAGTAAATAACCAGCATCCAGCATGAACGCTTTTGCCGTACTTGCTTCGTCCACTGCATTCACAGAAACAACAAATGAAAAACATTAAAACAAAGTTGGCCACACTATGCCAGACAATAGAAGCTGCGGCCCAAATCTTAACCCACTCAGCAACCACACGGGACGCGCTGACTGCTGTTAATGATTGTTTACCTGCAGACTTCGTAACAAATCCCAGCGATAAGCTGGTTCCGTGAATCCTACGTTATAAACCCCAGCGACCTCACCTGCGGGGTGGCCTGAACAGGTGATGCCACCTTGCGACTTGCATTTGAATGTGTCTTCACCTATTCCAAATTCTTTGGAGGAGTGAACTCCATCACTCCGTACACGTTTACTCCGGGGAACTCCTTTTGGAGGTTTTCCCTGCCGTTCAGAAAGGGGAGATCGACGATGACATCGCATTCCAGAACTTTGGCGCCGCCCATCTGCAAAAGCCTGCAGGCAGCCGCCAGGGTACCGCCGTAATATATAAGGTCATCCACGAGGATAACCCTTGCACCCTCTGGAAATGCGCCCTTCTGAATGTGGAGATCGGTTTCGTCGTACACTTTTACCGAGTGCGTGGTGTAAACTGGCCCAGGCAACTTGCCCGGTTTGCGGATGATAACCAATCCGCAACCGAGCTCGTAGGCCAGCGGAGCTCCGAAGGGTACGCCTAGAAGTTCCATGGCTGCTATGTAGTCGACACCTTCCGGGTGTCTCTCCCTGATGCCGGCAGCCATGGACTTGACGGTCTCACGGAGCTTGTGGGCATCACCTATAACCGGCATCATGTCGATGAACCTCATCCCGGGCTTGAAGTCATAGTAGCACTTGAAGTCCTCTTCGACGAGCTTGAAGGTGTTCGACGCCATGGCGGTAAACGTATGTGAAGACAACAAAAACCTGTGCCACCATGACGAAGGATTCGAAAATGATAACACATTATATACCGATATACGTAATACACTACAACCAAACGGTTCGTGAATATGCACGGATAGCCCACCTTCGCAGAAATGTGTCTCTAAAGATTCCTTCCCGTAAATCCAGGAAGGTCAGTGCAATAATAAACGCGATACTTTTGGCTGGCGTATTGCTAATAGCGATGTGTATTTAATTACAATATTCAGCGACCTGTAGACGCCTGTTTTCAATTAATGTGTCCTTGCAGCTTAGCACGCGTGCTGCGGTTGGCAACGTGCATATATCCGGTGGATTGCATAGGTGTACGCGGAAGGCCACATTAAGTTAACTTTGGCATATATATTATGCAGCTGCGATCAATGGCGTTACGTTTTACTGCGTGCCTGCGTGAATGTTTCTTGTCTACACATGGCGACTGCGGTTAACTCAACTTCACAATCTAAACTATCAAACCAACCGGTTAACTGTTAGGGGTGTAAGACCAAAGAAGGGGATAATAATACGTCAATCGGGTGAAACGGACGAAATGTGACACAGTTTGGAAACATGCCAGACCAACATAACCAGACACGCCCATACTTATATAACCGTTACCAACAAACGTGAGACTCTGATAACTGCTACAATCTAAGACCTCCCATAATTCACCAAACGTTATCTACCATTTGACACCCACGGGTTACAGATCGCCATACACGCAATATCGCTTCGTACTCAAGATTAGAGATTCTTACAATTTTTAGATAAATGCGAATAGGCCACATAACCAAGTGACCTTTTTCACCAGTGGGTTTATTAGGGGTATATCACATGGTACTGCTTGGAGTCCCTTATCGGTTTTCTGCAGATGGGGCATTCTCGTCTTTTCTTGACCCCGTCCATACACTCGAAGCAATACATATGCCCACACTTCGTTGAGTATATGATTCTGTCGTTTTCGTTCGGCATTTTCCCGGACTTGAACCTTGCGATGGTTGAGTAGCATATGGGACATCTGAAAAGGAATTCGATGTCTTCCAATAATGAATTGGGGTCAGTATTGCGCGTATCATTCTCCACGAAGCTGTATGCGCTAACCATGGCTTTTGAATTTGCGTGGTAATGCCTTGGATACTGTGTTGCCGCAGGTGGCCCCCAAAATATCGGCCCAACGATGAGGTCGTCATCTTGCGCGTTTTGGTTTTGATGTGTCGCGTTCACCTGGGATCCCATATGAGCGTCATATACATGCGATATACGCCTGTTATCATCGCCCTGCAATTGCGGAATGGGCCGATTTTCGTTAGAGGCATACGTCTGACGTACGTGCGACGATGCCCCCCGTGCTTCAACCATCGTGTCTAGCACGTATATTCCGGCATCTACAGTTGTTTGGTCATTGTGAGGTCTTGCTGTATGAGTTTGGTTGGCCGGCTGTTGGTATGCACCTGTGGTGAAGGCGCCCATGCCATTGCGTCGCTGCCCTATTTGCGATCCTCGCATCGTGGGTACGACCCGATGATTCATCACCACGCCGTGTCGGTTTGGCACTATCCCTATGATTTCGCAATCACTTTCGCTGCCCTGTGGATCGACCCCCTCAGTGCTCTGTTCTGCGGCATTTCCATGCCCATACTCCTCGGTCCCGCTTGTGTTTCCATCATCTGCGATATGTCCAGTTGCGTTATTATTCTCGTAACTATCCCCACTTTGATCTTGACCCTGCTGTATGTCGGAAGATTGCTCAACCTGCCTGGTCAAGTCTTGGCCTGGCCAATTTGCCATGATTATGACATCGTCATCGCTGGATGCCTGCCGTGCTGATGCATCATGCTGGCGGATGACATCATTGCGATATGTAGCGCACGCACCGTCTGGATCAGCATCACTAACCCGATTGCCGGAGGCGCCTGGTGGCGACGCGCCACACCCGCTGTCGCCGCCAGCCGATTGTTGGTAAGAAGATTCCTCCTGATCGCCACCCCTAGCTACCAATGCAACGACTTCAGCGAAGAACTCATCCCCATCATAAAGCTGCGAAGCGCTTGAAGCCCGTCGCTGACGGTCACTGGAAGGGCCGCCCAGCAAGTCGAGGTCCTCTCCCCTAATCGTGAACGTAGCTGCAACAGATGGCTGCGACGGAGAGTTATCAGCGCTGATGTAGGGCGCTAGGTACGTGTCCTCTGATGATATGCGCCTGGCTATCCATCTCGGTCGCAGCCGTTTCACTGGGACGTCGTCTACATCACCTCCAGGCCCGTCTCCCCCTAGAATCTATGACAAACGCGTAACCAGTAGTTCTACTCACCTCGTTTCCCGTCGTCTGCGGCGCCCGTTTTGCGTTTTACCATGTTATAGGTTAACTTCAGAGTTTCCTTGAGTTGTACATGTTGGCCACTGCGCGGGTGCGACTGCGCACACCCTTTATCTGCACATTTTGCATAGACACATAGGCCTCGCAGTTAAGTTTCCTGCGTGCTATTGTAACTCGCTTGCCGCCCGGTATGCCGCTACCGAAGGCACCACACGTGTTGCAGCTCTGAGTCTAAATAATCTCGATCACGCGTTCTGGCTGCAACCTGTTGCGATTTAATGCTACTATGGAGGATTTTTAGAAATTCATCTGACACATTTAAGGATTGCGTAGAAGTTTTCCGTTGCTTTTCCTACCACTGGAAGTCCTTCTTGAAACGTGCTTTGCACGGCAGTTTTTATCATTACATTCAACACATACAGTGCCAAACTACCACTTCACTGCTAACAATCATACTACGAAAAATATTTTTGTGCTTTAGCCGCCTATACATGTCTCGTGTCTACACATCTCGCGCATCAGATCGGAAGGCCGACACGTGGTCACGATATGATCATGGAAAACCTAGCCAGCATTTTAAATTAAGGCACAAGAAACATTCTGTCTTCAATTCGCGTGTAGATGATACGGAGGATCTTCTAAGCATAACATTGATTTCGAATCCTGTATTTGCCGCGCTTAACGCGGTCTAACGGAATTACCGCGCGACATGTTCATCAAAACCGATTTGTTTATTGATAATGTCACCGCGTTACCGTTTGATATACATGTTTTCGCGTCAGGGGGCGGCAGAATTGGAGAAGTGGCTTACTGATTCGTTGCTGGTAAGTTAATATCGGCAACGACGGTTTCATTCCGTTGCAGAGGAGCGTTACGTTTCGACGCGCGTCACTGTTTATCCACAACACGTTGCAACGTATGCGTAGATAGGCTTGGAAGTATCCGACGTGAACTTGCAGACAGTCCTTTGGAGGAGACCTTTGACATTTTTGTTTCACTCTGTAGCTACATCATTATCACCGGATGATCGATTGTCGATGTCGTTTGTTGTCAGATTGGGGACTTGTTCGTTATGGCGTTGCGTTGGTTGTTCGCCTGCTGTACGGCTTCCAGCAGGCGCATATACCGGCAGGGCATGGTTACATATAAGACGCCTGGCTACCACAAAAAGTGAAGCACCGAGTAACAATGCGCCCTTGGATTCCGGCGCACGCCCCCGCGACCTGGAGCAGAAGCCCGCTGCGGGCGAATCGGGGCTGACACTGCCTCGCGATGGCTCTCCCCTGCGCTGCACCGAGGACCAGTGGCTTTATCGACCCACTTCATCGGAGGTAGACCTGTTCCGCAACTCTACGTTGTTGCCTCCAAGGCCCATAGATGTGGAGGGCAGTGTGGTGGTTCGCCTTGTTGACCTTCATGAGGGCGTGACGTCGCCCGTAGGCCAGTCTGTGTTTTACAGCGAATATGGAGTTAGGCGAGGAGAACTACTGCGTTTCATGTTGCTGGGATCATTTTTTATATCTGTCTTTTGTTCGCTGGGCTATTGGCAGTTGCGGAGGCGTAAGTGGAAGGTCGATATCCTAAACCGCCGCCGTGAGGCTCTATCGCAACCCGTGGTTAAAGTGGATTCGTTTTCACAGCTAGTGAAGGCTCTGGGCGCGTCTGATGACGCTTGTTCGTCAATCGAGTACCGATGCGTTGAATGCACGGGCGTTTTGGACACCAGCTGTTGTATGCTGGTGGGCCCGCGCCCGTCGTTGTATGAATCGTATGGAGGTTCTTCTGGCTACTGCGTGGTGCTTCCGCTGCGCTTTCGTGACGGATCATGCGTGCTGGTGAACCTAGGTTGGCTGGACAGCGAGAGTGCGCTGAACGGAGTGGGCTGTCCCGAGTTGGTAACACTGCGAGGCGTCCTGGTGGGCGGCGAGATTAATGATTCACTGGTGGCATCTGCGAAGCAGCGCATCATAGATACATACCAAGGCGTTCTATCCGCATTGTTGGGTTGGTCATTTCCGTCTGCTTCGGCGTATGTGAACCGTCCCCGTCGTTTGTCACGGAACGACTCGCGTAACGTGTACCGTTACCTGGATCCGTCTAACATGTCTAGCGAGGTATATTCTTCACCACTGGATACGACTAGTCGTTACGCTTTGAACGCTTACGACGTGTTATATCACGACGATGTCACGGCGCCCTCTGGCGACGACAGCACATCGAACCCGGAAACTTCTGCGACTGAGGAACCTGCGTTTTTGCCCAAGTCGCGTATCGGCCGTGAAGTTCGATCGACACGGCCTCCCTACCAGCGCCGCCAAAAGTCCGACTACCTGCTGTTTTATGCAGACCCCGATACGCATACAAACTATGCGTATCAGTGGTTTCTGATGGCCGGCTCGATCGCCGGAATGTGTGCGTACAAGGTGTTTCGCGTGCGCCGAACGCTTCGCAGTGTAATGTAGATCTACAGTAATTTAATGTGCATCACGTTCTGTTTCGCCGATGCATGTTGACACATGGCGGGGCTTAGATGGTAGATACGTTACACGCTACTGTACGTGTTGTGCCCCTGTCCACTGATGTTCCTTGCGATTAGCGCCCTCTTGAGCTGGTTTCTGGGAAGGAATACATTTTTTGATCTATTCACTGCATTTGTGGGCACGGTTTGGGTGTTAGGCGTGCTCGTGTTGACTTCGACGCTCTTCGATTGCGACTTGATTCTCCTTGAGAAAACGTGTGGTCGTCGTTCGCTACATATGGAAGGCTCCCTTGGGACCGCCCGCTGATATGTCAGGGCAGTGTTGGCATTTAGTAGGCTGAGGTCTATCGGCGCCACCCCGCGCTCCACCATGCCGCCGCCACTGATCCCATCCAAACCTTTCTCCAACGCCGCAAATGACTCCACCAGCGTGCTGTTTGAGGCACAGAACTCTTGTTGCCCCCAGCACTGGTTGTAGGCGGTGTGTTTTCCCCTCCAGAAGTCTCCGTTACACTCCGAGTCTTCGTCCAGTGAGTCGTCATAATCGCTGTCACCTCCGCCTTCTAAAGATATGGCAATGTACGTGTTGAGCACCATTTCGCCCGCCAAAGGCGCAGCATTTGCTGTTCGATCTGTTGCGATAGTGACCCACCAGGTTTCAGCCGCATCCTTGTGCATCGCATGCGCGCACCTGTGTGACATCTTCACAGCCAGTGATAGGACTCGGTCCACCGGCACCACGTCGGTGGTACGCCTGTTGCGGTGCAGCAGCAGCGTGCAGTTAGTCAGCCGTTGTCCAAAGTCAGACATGGGACGTTTTGTGATGTCCCTCGCCATCTTTAGATCGGCGCCTCTTGGCACAATTTCCTGGAAGCCGTCTGCGCTGGTGATCTGGAAGAGGTTCGCCAGGTAAAGAATAACACTGGCCAGGGGGTTGTTTGCGTGCCTTGCGAAAGTAGAGGGATGCCATATGATCCCGTTGAGCTTGATTGCCCCGTTTGAGCCGAAAGTTACATATCCGAGGCTTTTGATTGCCACTCGTACTACGTATCGCATGCATGCGACTTTCTTTTTCGGCTTATGGTGTTCCTTTCCGTCGGTCGATCTTGCCGATCGCCGCGAATTCCTCCTGAACAAACCAATCCTTGACGTTACTTCGTGCTTTATCCTGCCAGACAAATCGCTGAAAGTGTCATCGATGGCTGCAACGACGTTTTGAATGGCAATCTTGGGTCCCTGGTCCTTTCCCATGGGCATCCAGTCCATAATCTTCTTAAAGAAGGGTATATTGATTTTTGCCGGAACGGGCAGTTTTTTCCACTTTAGAAGCGCCTTATACCCGCCTTTCAGAATCGCTACACCGGTGCACGTTCTCGACAACATCCAGTAAAGGGCAATGCCTCTGTTGAGCGACTCCGTTGACGCCGAGTCACTCGGGTTTTCAAACCCGTCATCCGTGACTATGAGCCACACTGTGAACGTCTGTGTGTGGTTGACCCCTCTGGCGAAATCGTTGAGTTGCGAGTCCGTCAGGTATGTGACGTTGATGTCGCCAAAGAAGAACTGTAACGCCTCTCCGTAGGTGAGGTACTGGCTCCTGACGTCGATTATATGGTATGTGAAAGTAGCCTTTCGTGCGATAGCGCCTTCAAACCTGGATGGGAATATGAACGACTTCTTGAGTACATTTGCATACAGGTTTTTCAGGTATACATTAAGCAGCTCGTTGTTGAGCCTGTCGCTGATTTTGGAGTGTTGCCTCGCTTCTGCCACTCTCTTAAGAAGCTCCCTTGCAACTACTTGCGATTGCCTGGTCGGAGCCTCGGCCGGTCTTTGCGTTTCGTTTTCCTTAAATATATCCGAAATGCCTATTTGCACTACATTTTTTGGTTGCAGGTCATGGTTTTTGTATAGGATAAGCGGACTTCTATTGTACAAGAAGTTCGACATTTTGAGTATCGGTAGTATGGGGAATTCGGCCATTTCACACTCTTTGTCGTTAAGTGTGTCGTATAGATTCCGGGATACGTTAATGAGCTCTTCCGGCGTGAGTAGTATCATTTTCGAGTTGGTCACCGCCCGCGATATAGTTTCCTCGCCAATCTCCTCTTCAAACAAGTTCGCATTTGGATGCGATATCTGCTGGTTCTTCTGCAGGCGGTACGTCATGTACCCCCTGATCCCAAGGTAGCCCAACTCGTGGTACATGAACGCCGTCATGCACCCTGCGCTACACAGTATGGCCGTGTAGGCGTAGGCGAGCGCGATGTAAGCACACCCAAACCTGTAGAACCCCAGCGTGAGAAACCAGTTGATGTTCCACGAGTTCGAGTCCGATACCCTCTCGAGGTCGGTTGCAGCCCTGGGGAAGAAGAATAGGAACATGAGCCTCCACTTTGCCGCCATTTTGCTGGCATCTGTGACGATGTTTTCATCCGTTGTTCGCATGAGTATTGCGGCGAACCTCCATATTAGCTTCTCCAGAATTGCCGCCAACTCTCCTACACTCGGCTTCGGCTTTAGACGCACCAGCGCAGCTGCCACGTCATGCAGCCCCTGCCAGTATCCCACATTGTTGACGAGGCAGAACACCAGCAGCGCCTGCCTTACTCGGCACAGGTCTTCGTGATCGGAGATCCACTGCTGCCGCGAAATATCTAGCTCTATGGTATCCAGGTCGAGGTTGTCACTGGCCAGGGCATGTAACCCGTTCTGCTGTATCGCAGCGCTTACGCGTTCCAGCTCCGCCGGGCGACGCCTCTCCACTTTGAGACTATCCATCCACCTCTGCTTGGATGCGAAGAAGCGCTGCAGCAGCAGCGAGAGGCGGCGCTTGATGTGTCTATCGCAACCACAGTCGCAGTTGCCAGCATCATTTGCCGGCTCCGACACATCTCCGTCATCCACAATGCGTCTTTTCAGCACCCTCCTCTTGCGTACAGATCTTATTACATCCTTTTTGCTCAATCCGCGATCGTGTGTTTGGCTTTTGTGCGCTCTGCCACTCGGCTCCGGCCGGAAGCCGTGAGTACCCGCGCGGCGTCGCAGCATTGCATCTATGGCGGCGCGTACACCTTCGCATAAGTGTTTAAGTTCATTGTCTCGCTCCGGCTAAGGATGTGTACGCGCCCGGAGCCGAATGCGCTACACATCCAGCCCCCACCGCTGCGTGCCACCTGCGTTGTACTGTCTACAGTGCGTTGCGGTTTCGCATTTCATAGTACACTAATTAAAACTCATGTGCCGAAAGTGTTGGTAGTGCGCTTATTGCGCGCTTCTGACGATTGCGTTCGCTGCTGGTCGAGCGAGTATTGTTACACGTTGCGTCTTGATATGCCTGCGTTTCGCGCAGGCACTGTCGGTCAGAGGTACCTCTTCCTGAGGAGCGCGGTCTGCCTGGCCGAGAGCCGCCGCTCCTCTCCGTAGTAGTCATTTGTATTGTTGTCTACGGAGTACCTCTGTATGTCATCCGCGAAGTCCCTGAGTTCCGCTGCGGAGGCGCTGAGGACCGCCGCGTCGCTTTGGTAGTGCGACCACGTGGACGCGCCGTAGTTCCGCCTGTTCGACGTGCACAGGCTGCGCTGCACGAGTCGGTTGCCGTGTTGCCTGAGTGCCTCGTACATGACGTCGTTGGGTAGGTCTGCGATAGGTACGAGCTGCGAGAAGCTCGCGGTGGCGCAGAACTGCGTATCTGCATTTTGGTTCTCGTATTTTTGCTGTTCCGGTTGCGGCTGCTGCTTGTTGGCCTCTATCGCCTCTATCCTTTTCTTCTTGATCTGCTCCATCACGGAATCCTCGTCCGATTCGTCCACCACAGCGCAGCAGCATTCACACAGCCACGTAAATTGCCGATCCATTTGCGTCAGCTCCTCATCGTTGTCGAAGTCCGCCTTGAATATGCCGAGCGCTTCGATGTCGAAGTCCTCCTGTTCGAGCCTCGAGAGGGTTTGCGAGCGCATGATCTTGGTGAACGATTCGGGTTCTGCAGATGCATTAGTGTGCGCCATGATCAGGAATTACAAAAGGTATGCTCTATGCAAGCACGCCCAGCGGGGGTATGGCCGATGGCCATCAAGACTATCACTCAGTCATGATAGCACGTATAATCATACAACCGGAGATAGTCATGCAATGACACGTAATCATACGACCATACACAGCCATATACGTCTCATACAAGAGCCATAAAGGCGATATACACGGGCTAAGGCACTCGTTCTTTCCCCCGCTACATCACAGAACCTCATGCATGTCGACCTACCCATCTTGGTATGTGCCGCAATGATCTCGTAGGTGAGTATGGTGTTTTCGTTGACGGTATGCAGTACAACGTACGCATGCATCATGTACTCCGGCAGCGACAATTTGTCTGGGTGCTTGGCTTTGAACCTTCCGAGGGCGTTTAGCAGCACGCTCTTCCTCTTGACCAGCTGGTCGTCTGCGCACTTTGGAGCATTATGGCTACACACGTACCGAATCCGCGCATAGGGTCGTCATCCTCTTCGTCGTCGGGGTAATTGAGTCGGCGCCGAACCATGATATTGGCGCCGTCTGAGGGCGTGTCGGTGTGTGCCGTCGTGAGCGAGTTCAGCCTGGTGGCCGACTGCTCTTGCGGCACGTCATCTTCCGACAGATAGAATGACTCCGGCTGGAATAGTGTGTCCGAGTGGTCAGCAATGTGCGGGATTATTGCGGACATTTTCTCCACGCGTATACAGGGTGGACCTTCCGCCTATTACACGCACACCGGCTTCGCGCTCCCGCGAAACTCTGCGACCACCGCTGATATGCTGCCGCGATCCGATATGCCGCAGCACTATGCGTTATGTCTGTGGCTATTCCCGCGCGTATGCATACAGGGAATCCCCGGCGCGCGCGGATTTGTGCTGCAACACTCACACACGTGCGATGTGTGGTCAGATTCGCGACGCTGCTCGAGCGCGTACGCCTACTGTCGAGGTATATTGACCGGCTGTACTGTATTGCGTGACAAATTTTGCATAGTTTATGGGGGCTTGTCCGCGCCATAGTGCGCTGTTGTATGGTCCCCGAGGGCGTCAAGACGGTATAATGTCCTGTAATTAACCTCTTCTATGCTTTGGCGCCGCCTGCGCGCGTGACGCGCTTGCTATCGGCTTATTCCGTCCTTCTCTCGAGTGATTCCATACGCTTCATGAAGCGCTTCCGTACTTCTTCTGCTTCAAGGGCGTCCTTTTCACCCTTCTTCTGGTTCTTTTTGTGTGCCTGATACACAGTAAGATGCCCTTTAAGCGCGCGTGGCACTTTGAGTCGCCGCTCTAGACTCAGTGTGCTCGTGTCTTACCTTGCTGTCCAAATGCTTCTTCACCGCGTCCTCGTTGAGCATGGTCTTCCCCTTGCACACTTTGCACTTTGCGACCTTCCCTCCAGGCATATATACTATCACATCGTCCTCTGCGCGCTATTGACTTTTTTGCGCGGCGTGGCTCACCCTTTTGCGATTGTTCAGCCGATTCATCGCTTTCTACTGTTTTGACAGTTCTGCGTTTGTTTGGCTTCTGTATACGATCGGATTGCAGATGTGCTGCTATTTCCGTGAGTACTGCGTAGTCCGTTTCCTCCGCTGCATCGGCTTCCGGCAAGGGCGCCGTGCAGGCGTAGACATATGCGCGCTTAAACATGTAATCGACTATTCGGTTAATTGTTTTGTGTCATCGGTGCGGGCCCGTGTGGGAATCCACGTTTGGAACGCCTGCTCCCACGTGCTGTTGTTCGCCCTCATTATCAGTATTTCGAAAACTGCGCATACGTTGAGCACCCTTTTCTTGCAATGTGGGAAGTATTTCTGCGATGTATTAAGGCATCTTTCGCTTTGCTTACCTTGATCGGCAAGGCCAACGCCGTGACCCCGCGTTCCTTCGCCTGTGTGAGGGTCGTCTTCTTTTTGACGTTGACGTCAACCAATCCCCCTATGATGTACACCTTATCGCTTTCTACTTCCTCGATGTATTCTTCCGCATCCGGGGTCAGTACTACCACATTTCGCGTGTCGAACAGCTCCCAGTAGTTCTGGCTGTGGATGTGCACCTGCTGCTATTGTCGGTAAGCAGCCCTAGAAACCAACCTTCCACGCATCAACGTTGAAGAACTGCAGGTGCTTGTACAGTGCAGTGTCCTTGCTCATTCCCGTGATGATCAGTTTGACCTGCTTTCTGTCATCACTGCAAGTCGCTACCTACCTTCGCCTCGTTCTTTTTTATTTTGCTGTACATGCCTGCGATTTGCCTGGCAAGGCTCTTGGATTCCTACATACTGATGCCGAACATTGCCAAGTTGCAATACCTTTTCGTTCATAAACTCATGGAAGGTGCAGTTGATGCATATGGGCATGCCGTTGTCGTGGGCGTCCTGTATGAACGCCTCCTGCTGCAGCTTCCTTTCCTCCGCCAGTTTTCTTTCTTGTAAGAAGAACGCGCTCCGCTCCTCTGCAAGAAGTCATCGATGTTTACATTGAGAAGGCGTAATAACGTTTCATACGTGTACGACTACTTGACATGGTTGCACGCAGCAAATCATCCACCGTTATGCAAACGTACCATCTGTCATCCCACTGAGTAATTCACTTCGCGCTTGCTGTTCTCGTTTCCTCATTTCTCTGCGGTTTCTGTGTCGTTTTTGTCTGCGCCATTCTCTATAGCGCTCTTTGGCCAACGCCTTCTTCTGGCTTTTGGACAACCGCGCCGGCTTGGCTTCCTGTGCCTCTCCTTCTGCATCAACATCCTCTACGTCACTCCAATCAACATCGTATGTGGCGTCCATATCTTCATGCGTTCCATCGTCGTGATCGGAAGCGCCAAGACTGGCGTCAGACTCACTCTCCGCACGGGTCGTCATTTGTGTACTATTTTGAGCGATAAGTAAGAGGTATCTTCCACTGGTTTGAAGAGTTTAACAAACTCCTCTTTGTTGATATTCCTTTTGAACTTTATGTTTTCGTGTTTCAGTAGCACCTCAAGAACCTTTTGGTCGAACTCTCCGTTGTTTGGCGCAGCCAGGAAGTGCTTCAGGTCAGAGGTGGTGAGCTTGTCCTGCTTTTGCCAGTCTAACACGTCGTACAGCTCCTCAAGCTTCGGCACAATAAGCTGGTTAGGTGTGGTTGCCGGTTCGTGTTCGATGTCAACGTGGTCCTGTGCAATTTTGTTGTTGACGAGTTGTACGAATTGGTCGACGTTGATGTATTCTATTTTGTGTTTCGCCAGCTGGCGCCTGATCGCTCTAACCTCTGCTGCCGTGAACACACATCCCAACTGCCTCGCCACGTTTACGAAATCCTGTGCCTTGATAGTTCCTATAGACTGCGATTGCGATTCGTCGGCTTGCCAGGGCTTGATGCAGTTGAGAGCGAATACGTCAGCGATCTCGTGCAGTATCTGCCTAGTGAGTGTGTCTAGTTCGACCTTTGCGCCCTTGTGATCGTGTTTTGGTGTGCGATCGCCCATCGATGCTGGGTGTGTAGGATATTATGTTTCCGGCGCTAAGAGCGGCACTATAAGACCGGAATAACAGCTACCTTCCTCCCGCAGATATTTTATGGTTTTCAAAGCACGACGGTTGCGATGTGTGGATACCACGCCGCATTTCGACGATATTTGTGGGTAGTGTCTAATCGATCCTTGCGTTAATATAAGGTCACACATTCACATCGCTAAGATATTTAACACTCAGTTTTCATATAATAAAGAGTCACACATAACACCACATCACTAGCAGTCGTTTATATGGGCATTATATGGTCGTATCCGCTGGATTCCTTAGGCGCGTTGAACCTTGTCTCAACTGTACGCCTCTAGCACAAACTACGCTTTTATCTACGACAAAACGACTTATAATAAATGTTGTGTGAGGTGTATAACGATGAGTCGCCTCCACAGCCGTTCCGTGGTCCGAATCAAACCTATCGAATAACGTTAGTCAGGCAGTCGTACTTCTACTTACCATTCGCTCGTTTACCACAATATTAACGCACATTTTCTCGCAAAAATTGTACATTTGTACACTTGCTCTATTTCTAACGTCGGTTATCATCTCAATCCGCAAAGATGTCGAGGGATTCCACTGCGGCCCCGGCGGAGGTTAACGCCGCGCTGAACTTGCTGGTTCTCACAATGCTCAACGACGTGAGTTGAACTGCCTACACGCTTACACTGTGCTAGCAAGTGAAGAAGGTTTGCTTTGGAAAATGCTTCGGCAACAAATTCGGCGACCTGATGACAAAGAGCGAGCAGATCTGCCTTGCCAAGTGCATGGACCGTATGTAGGTGCCCATTCGACATGCGTCGCATCAACTGCAGGTACGAAGCACACACCATCCTCTCGCAAGCCGCTGCTGAAGCTGCGAACAACATCGCGAAGAATGAGTAGCGCCGTTGTGTGAAAGTTTGTCCGTAATTTGCTTGTGGTCCATTCAGCCGCCGATGGCACGCTCCTCTAACGTGCCGTATTGCGTCTGATTGTTGTTCGTTTTCTTAAGGCATTGGTTTGGTTCCCTTTTGTGTATTTGGCTTCTACGATGGGTATTAAGGGGCTCTGGGATGCAGTTGCCGCGGCCGGCGTCTCCTCGCGTGTGGAGATGCTGCGTGGCAAGAAGGTCGCCATCGATGCCAGCTTTTGGATAGGCTACTGCATCGCGTCTGAGATGGCTGAACGCCGTGGCCATGACGTCTACGGCGTGTTCTTTTTGCGCATCTGCTATTTGCTGGAGAAACGGATCTATCCTATATTCGTGTTTGATGGCCGCACCCCCGGTGCAAAGCGTCGCACTCTGCTGTTACGCAACATGTCTCGCGCGCATCGCACTCGCAATCTGAGACTACTGGCGTTTAAGGCACTAGCCGTTCAGATGAAGCACCTTGCCAAGTCTGGCAGCGACCGTCTGTTTAAACCCGCCAGCTTCATGAAGCGCAAGAAAGCGTTTGCGTCGAAAGAGCTGCGTACTATAGCGGCCGATTTGGATGTGGTGGCTGAATGCAATGCCCCCGAGCCCGGCCCGGCGCTCGCCATTGAGGACGTTGGACCTGCATCGTCAACCAAGGATGATCGACTCTTCTCTTCAGATGATGAATTTGAGGATATGCCTGCGCTCGATGCTGCCCCGGCCGCTGATACACCCGCTGACGGAGTTCCTCGTCGCATCGACATCCTCACAATGCCACAATCCTACAAGTCGCTTAAAATGCGGGCGAGGTCAGGTGCCAACGTCGACTTGAGCTCAGCCTCAGCTGGCAGCGAGCTCGACAGTTCATATTTTGACGTCAACGCGGGACACCGCAGCCATGGCTATGGCCATGGTTACGGCCGCTCTAAGCGTACGGTCGAGCTCCCTCTCGACTGCTCGATAAACCCCGATAGCTACGAGCAGTTACCGAGTGACGTGCGTTACCAGATAATGAACCAGATAAAGGACGCGTGGATGTACGACGACCGTGTGAATTTGCTTCGTCACAAATCCGCGCTGAACGAGTTTTCGAACTTGCAGGTCGAGAGTTACCTGCGTGACGTGGAGATTAACCGTGAGATCGAGAAGATCAAACGATCTCTCATCCGCGAAACAATGCCTAGCGGTGTTCTGAAGAGCGAATGCGACGTGAACTTCGACCAGGTAAAGGCAGAGGCTCTGGAGGATGAGATCCACGACTACAATGTTGCAGAGGGCAAGACTCGCCGCAAACGCCGCTTTTTGAACGACCTGAGTGAAAATATGCAACCCGACCTTTACAACTTCGCCGTAGCTGATAATGTTAAACAGGAACCAGTGGAAATAGACGATTCATTGTTTCTGCGCGATTCCGAGATTTTCGGCGACCTGGTAAAGTCCGAGTCAGACGACGAGTTCGAGGTGACGGATGAACGATTTCCTACAAAGCCAGTCGACGACTTTGAAGTGTTGTATGAAACACCGGCCGTGATATGGTCACCTAAATCAGTTGCCGGAGCAATTCGGGACAAGTCTGCAGATGTATCCGGCGGAACAACTGGCATAATGGAATCCTGTGGTGTTGCCTCCGAGTCGTCTGAAACACCCTCTGCATACCCAACAAAAGGGGGCATATTTCATAAAGATACGAAGAGGACATCATCTGTTGCCGATAGAGAGGCTCGTAGGCTCGGTGACAATGACCGTCAAGGTACCTCGATGGGCGCTGGCGCATCCACCCCGGATAGCGACGAAGAACAGCATGATTTGTCCAGTCATTCGTCAGATGACATATCTGAGGCCTCATCAGATTCTGATGCGGATAGTGACAGAGCGTCCGATTTTGGCGTGCACGTGTCTGAGTCGGATGCAGATGAAGCACTTGAAATAAGCTCATCTTCGGAATCTTCTGATAAGTCAGTATCAAGCAGCCATAAAAAGCCTCTTGGGTCGCCCGCAGGTGATTATGAGGACTGGGACGTCGAAGATGATGAGGATAGTCTGTCGGATGCCGCTGAAGGGGAGACCGTGGTATCACCTGATGGCGGCGACGACACATCGCCCGCCAACGCAGGCTTAGGCTCACAGGTTGTCCCCGCCCCAACGAAACAGTCAAATCTAGCATCTGAAGAGCCCTCTCAGAGTGGAATATCGGCGGAATCTTCGCATGCCGCCACTGCCTATGTTGCTACTGCAGCCAGCGAGGCTATCGCCACCTCCGGCTCGCCTGCCATGTACAACAATGAATGGCAGTATCGCGACTTTTTACGGATGGAAAAGCTGTTCAGCCACGCGGAGCGCAGCACATATCGTATGGATGAGTGGGATAAAGTCCCCGAGCTGCTGGACCTGTTCGGCCTCCCATTCCTGGTAGCTCCGTCCGAGGCTGAGGCGCAGTGTGCGCATTTGAACAAGTTAGGTTTATGTTTCGGGGTGATTTCCGACGACTCCGATACTCTGGCATTCGGAGCCAAGCGCGTTTTCAAGAATTTCTACAGTGGTCAGGTCTTCGAGTCGTACGCATCAGACCGAGTGGTGCGTGAGTTGGGCCTTGGCCGAGAGCAGATCGCCCTTTTGGCTATAATTTGCGGGTGCGACTACACCCCTGGAGTACGTGGAATAGGTGTGGTGAACGCCCTCGAGGTGATTAAGGCTTTTCCGACGTTCGATGAGCTGTACGAGTTCCGCAGGTGGGCGACGAGCGATGTCGACCTGGCCACGGTAACCGATGACCCATGCCCAGTAAAGCGCGCTTACAAGGAGTCGCACGTGAACTACCGCCTGCACTGGTCGTTCAGCAGCGATTTCCCGAACCGTGAGGCGTACAACCTGTTCCTCTCGCCGGTGGTGTCTAGCACGTTCGATCCGCGGTGGCGCACCCCGCGTTTCGAGGAGGTGATGCGTTTCATGGCACAGCATTCGTCGCTGCCTGAGTCCGAGGTGGCTACGTGTCTGTCTAAGGTGCGCGTGAAGGACAACTTCGACGACTACATTTTGGAGGACTTCGTACCGGAGATCCACGCTACCTCGCGGCACGAAGGGCGTCGTAGCCTAAAATCAAACAGAAAGATTTTGCAGGATCGTATGGCCTCCTTCCGCGAGTTTCTGTCTGAACGCGAGCGCCGCAAGTCGAAGAAGGCTCGCGCCCGTCAGCGCCCGTTGCGCGCCGCTAGGAGCTCGCCCCCTCGCGTGGCCTTCATTCGGTCGAAACGTATGCTGGCATCGATCGAATCGCTGAAGCAGCGTGCGCAGGAAGAGCGCGTGGCGTCGCCTTAGTGTACTAGGTGTGTTAGCACGGCTGTGTTATTATGGCGTTGTTTTGTCCTCTGTGTCACAGCATTCTATACTTTACGTCTAAATCGCAAGATTCTTCGTGCTTCGCTTGCTTGCGCTGCAGCTACGAGCTGCCTGTGTCCCGGCGTTTCCACAAGTCGACTGTCTACACGCAGTTCGAGAAGGAGGTTCCGCGCAGCCCGCACAGCGCAAACGAGTTCGAGCATGCGCCGAAGATCATCGGTAAGACCATTATGTGCGTATACTGATGCCTATGTAGCTGTTTGCCCGTCCTGCCACAACAAAGAGGCGTACTTCATGAGCATACAAACCCGTTCGGCCGACGAGCCGATGACGCAGTTTTTTGTTTGCACGGCATGTCGTCATCGTTGGAAGGAGTAGCATAGGGAACGTTTATCAAGGAAGGTTACGTTATTTCGTACGAGAATTTCTACCCTGTCGAACTCCGGCAGTATTATGAGCATGCGCCCAGTGGTGTCACCGCTGCGCTGTTCACACCCCCCTATCGGCACTCGCGAGACATATGAGCGTCTTAAAACCGATGCTAATTCGTTTATAGCATTTACTGTTTGTTTTTCACGTTTTTGAATGATTATGATGCTGTAATCCAAACCCACGGCACCCAACTTGACGCCAATCGCTCGTTCGCTGCAGCTCCCGCTACAGAGTTTTCTGTGCATTATCACGTCTATTGCCTGCTGTCGAACCCACTTATACACCGTGGTGTTCCACACGGCTACGTACTACGGTGTTGCCTCTCGTAGCGCTCCTATACATGATCATGCATGGTTGCGTTTACCGTTCGATGGGTTACATCATTCACTACGCGCTTCAAACAGATTGCAGTTTCAAGGATTCAATAATTAAGTTGGCGTGTTATTTACGTAGGACGCCCCACACAACTTGGCGGCGCGCCGTGTCTAGTTGGCTTGTCCTACCCCCGTTGTGTTATGCGATATCGTTGAGGCCCTATTTTACATAGACCGCATTAATTATATGCTTTGCCATACGGGCGACTCTGTTTGGTGACGGCTGCCAGCAGTTGTCTTTATGTGGTTTTATGCATTGGTGATTTGTAATTGTGTTGCGACACTCTGTGATAGTTCATCTGTGACTGTTTGCTCGCTAGCACTCTCAGATGAATCTACCACCGTGGGAGCATCTTCCGTGGCTACACCCACTGGTGAGGTTTGAGAACTAACATTGGCGGCAACATCCTGCACCGTTTGGATTTCCCCCTCTGGCACTTCCTTTTCTTCGGCGTGAACTTCTGCCTTTGCTCCCGCATCTGCCACGGCTTGAACTCCCGCAATTGGTCTCTCCACTGCCACCGTTGGAGTGCTGACATTCTCATCTGCTTCCACTGCCCCCATTGGCGTGCTAACATTCTCGGCTTCAACTACGGCCTTTGGAATGTTAACATTCTCAGCTGCATTTACTAGCGGTTGAGAGTCAACATTCTCCGCTACGTCTACAACTGGTTGAGTGTTCACTTTCTCCCCTTCATTATCGGCGTTTTGAGAACCAACGATTTCACTGTCACCTGGCACCAATTGAGAGATAACTATAGCAGCTTTATCCGCTACGGTTTGGGAGATAACATTGGCAGTGCCATTCGGCACCGCTTGAAAGCCACCTTCCTCCGCTCCTACTCCTGCAGCTTGGGATGGACTCTTTGCCACTTCCACTGGAGCTTCTTGAGCATTTATCCTTGCCATATCGGTTGTTGGTTGGGCCTGTTTCCTGGCTGCTTCTGCTTGAATCTCCCTCATCGCCGATTCAGCTGCCACCATATGAGCATGTCTCATTGCTGTTTCTTCTGCTACGGCTTGAGATTGTCTCCTGGCAGCCTCGGCTGCTACCGCTTGCACGTGTTTTCTTGCAGTCTCTTCCGCCACTTTCTGAGCGTTACTCCTCGCTTCATCTGCTGACTCTTTAGCTTGTATCCTTGCAGCCTCTTCTGCTGCCTTCTGAGCTCTTCTCCTGGCGATTTCCTCTTCGACCGTTTGAGCGCATTTCCTTGCTGCATCTCTCTTCGGTTTCGTGCTTACCCCCATATCACAATCGGTGTTATTCTCCCGCGGAGTATGAAACTCTGGCTCCACTTCGACTTTTTTAGCGAAATCCAGAATGTTAGGTTGCGAGGGCGTTTTTGTTTTCGCATTAGCGCTTGTACTGGGTTTCTGCTGTGTTGCTGATTTGTTAGCCTTTTCCTCCCGTTTTAATCCACCTGCCGCCTCCTTGGCGATTTGCACCGCTTTTTTCTTGCCTTCAGATCCTGTTTTGCTGCCTGCAGATGCGTTTTGCGCGCGTTGCGTTGCGTTTATTTTGGGTGCCGGAATGGGCTCAATTGATACTCGTGAGGTGTTTCTTATTCCTCCCAAGTGGTACATCATGCCGTCGAGCAGCACGCTTCGGTGCCCCGTCTGCATTTTCATTAGTGTTATATTTGGGCAGAGAATGATTCCACACTTGAATAGACAGCACTGGTGCAGCGTATGACGACACTGCCCTTTAGAAGTATCGCCACACGTTTTAAACAACACGTGAACTCACCAGCGGCAATGCCTCTTTGGTGTACTGAAACTCCCTTGCGTTTATGTGGTACATCAGGCATTGGTGTACCGATGGCGTTTTAATGGTAAAGTCCTCTCCACCAGTCACCAAAATTTGGCCGTCGTGGTATGCCATCGCTGCGACGTGATGTTTAATTACCGCAGCTGTAACTTACAGTGGAACGCCCTCTTCTCATGTGGCGCAGTCACCATCACTGGCAAGATGCTCTGCATCACATATTACCGCTTAATCCCAACGCTTACTAACCCATCTCAGGTTACCAGATTGATCGTTTTTCAAAGCGTAGGCTCGCGCCGAATCGTCGGCGGTAACTCCTCCGTATATAATCTGCGTTCGTGTGAATCAGTTTTGAAGTGTCAACTCACAATCGGGTTCGACGTCTGTATTCCAATTTTGACGGAGGCATGGAAACATCGTGGCGCTGGTGTGGGCCCGGCGATTTCTACTCGGATCCACTCATTCGAGATATTCCTGTTGTTCTCATCTACCGTTCCTTGGTGCAGGTTGAGTACCCATAGGTCGTTCAGGATTTCATATCCGTTCGTGCCCCCGAATACGGTAATGTATTCATGAACCTGTCCCATGGTGTGGCCGTACCGTGGCGTTGGCATCTTGCCCGCCGCCGTGAGCGCGATCCATACCGGGTGTTCGTTTTTCTGCACAAGCGGCATCATGTGCAGTGTCATGTCCATGATTCTCCTGTTTTGTCCGAAACCTCCCGTGACGCACAAAATAGGTGTTGCGAAGTCCGTGTACATAATTGTGGAGGCGTGGAAAGCCCTCGCCGAGGGGCAACCCTTTGACGCTATCGGCTTCCACTGCGGATCAGCACTCCTGACCGATACGGTGAAGAGTTCGTTGTTGACCTTGAGGTCTTCAGCAACTGCAACAGATGAGCGTTTGACGCCGCTTGAACGAACCATCGAGGATGCTGAGCAGGCTGAGGTTGCCTTTACAGGCTCTAAGTTGCTTCTCCGACGGGCTGGCTCCTCCGAATATGATCACCATCTGGGCGTTTTCATTAGGCACCACCCGGTTCGTGCTTTGGGGCACGTTTCGGCCCTTCTCGGTTACCTCGGCCTTAAACACTACCTTGTCTATGAGTTCCTTGAAGTGCGCCGCTTTGATTACTGGCGCTTGCGTGCAGGTTCCGACGACGCAGTGGTCGGTAGTGGCTGGGTTGAGGTCGTGGAAGGCAAAATCGACCTCCTGCTCCTTGTTCAGCGTGTTCCAGAGCTTATCGCTGATTTCCGAACTCCAGATCCCGTGTATCACCTGCCTGCTCTCCTCCGTATTGATCGTCTGTTCGTGCGACACCGTCATATTCGAGTACTCCGGCATTGAGTTCAGAGTCTCCGCCAGCTTGACCTTGAGCTTCGTTTTTTCCTCGTAATACAGGACATTCGGCTCAAATGATTCGGAATCGCTTTCATCTTGCGACTTTGCGGGTCGCTTGGCTTTTTCCTCTCCGTCCTGTCCGTCGGCCGCGGGCTTCTTGCCGAGTATGATGTATGTGTCGGCCGAATGGCCGACCCGGCCTCTGATTGCGTTGTACATTTTATAGAGTTGACATAGTGTGTTGCGATTAGTTTGACAAGCGCTATTTGGCGTGTGCTTTATATCACACCGATGGTGAGATCGTGCCCCGACTCGAGGTTGACGACGGTGTCTACTTCCAGAACCGTGAGATCTGCGTGGAAGATGACGCTTCCCTCGTAGTTGTCGGAATATATGAGGAATCCTGAGCGTTGTGTGTGGCGCGCCGTTCAAAACTAACCGCTGGCAGAGGGCAGCTGCTTGAGTATTGCTTTGGTGTTGAGCTGCTGCCCGTCGAATGTGACGAGTTTGAGCGTGTCCGTATCTTGGTACTGTACGGTTGCGACGGTATCCACCATTGGGGAATACATCAGCGCAAGCGCCATGCCGAGGGAATATTTCTTCGTTCCAACGTCTATGCACTGCGATAGCTCCCCATGCTCGATGTTGAATCTGCACAGGAGGTAGTCCCTTTCCGGCTCCTGGCTTTCCTTCTTGCTATTGAGCAGGTACACCGAGTCCGGTCCCGCCGCGATGCGCTGCAGCATCGGGTTTCCGCAGAACGTGCCCTTTACATACGGCTCTGAAATCCATGCAGGCGCTTTCTGCGTGTTCTAAGCTCACCTTTTAATTCAATTTGCTCTGTTTGCGCAGCATCTCGCGCCGTGTCGAGTATAGTTTGCAGCGAATCCGACTGCAGCACTACCACGCAGTAGGAGCTGTCGTACGCAGCGTGCTTTTCGCTGTTCTGGCAGGTCCAGGAGTAGTACGAATGTCTGCATACCGACAGCGGCATGCGCAGAATGCCCGTAAACATCTCCCCTTCTTTCTCCATGTGCGTGTATATGCTCGTTAGCCCGTACAAGGTGTTCGAGGGCGACAGGTTGAGCGCGTTTTCCGCATCCCTTTCCCAACGCAGCGTGGTTTGCTTTTCGATGCCGAGTATCCTCGATGGTTCCACGTTGATCTTGTCTGCCATGCCCGCTAACTGGAAGCTGGTCCTGGGCAGCGTGAGCGCCGGGTGGACGTATATCTTGAGGGAGGTCACGGACATGTCGTTAAACTTCACGGCCGGTGTTTGGCGCACCTGAGTAGTTCGTGAGCTCTGAGATTCACCGCACCTCTATTGCCGGCGTGCTATCCGGCAAATCTAGGGAGAAGTGGTATACGATCACGGCGAGGCTCATGAAGAAAAGGACGCATACCCTGGCAAACGCCCGGACATCGGGCTGCTGATCCACAGGATGTTCGTGCCCTAGGTTGAATGCGTCCATCTTAATTGTGTAGCTCCCATGCTGTAAACCGCGACTGTCGTGAGCTCGAGGGCGAGCCCGGCCGCTCAATCGCCCCTCACGCATACGGATCGCAGAACTAATTAACGGTGGTGTGTGTACTATCGTGTATTAATGCTTCGCGGGTTTATTGGATTCACGACGCTTGTCCGTGCTGATGCGTTGCCTCTCGAGGAACTTGACGCATTTGGCAATCAGCGCGTCTTCTACATCTGAATGATTCTCCACTTTGCTTTGCGTAGTGAAGGGCGATGGCCCGGCTGCGTTCGGTGTACTTGATGAGTCTCCGCCGGAATTAAGTAGTATTTGCTCTGCGAGAAAATGAGTGGGCGTGTCTACATTTGCGTGAGCCCCAAAAAACTTTCTTGTACTCTATTTCCACATATAGCACGATTTATCATTCCGCAAAATGTCACATAAACCCACAAATACGCACGAAAGGTATCACCACGATCACGTTATTACACTGCGCAGTCTTCAGGCAGCGCCACGGGACCAGTTCACCTCACAAACATTCTCCTCAAAGTAACGTCACATCGTAACAAAATGCAGCATTCCAACGCATTGCGATATGCCGATCGTTACTTCACCCACTATCGGCCACGCAATTGAACAGAAGCTGAGCACACACCGCCAGAGATACACCGTTAGATCTAACATGTATCACATCCAATTGCACACCACAATTTACTCCTTAGCAAGCTCACGTAAACTCAGAGAGAAGATTAGCTGTTTATCCTCACTGATCAGTGAATACAAAAAGTCCTCATCACGGTTGTTGAGTGGAGCCGATGGCCACAAACGCAGTTGCAAGAAAGTTGCAGCAGATAACACGCAAAACGCGAAAATGCACGTAAACAGTAAGAAAGATTCATACAATAACAGGAGTTGTGGATACACGACAAAGAAAACCAAGCACGGACGAAGGTGTTAGTATTCAAGACGTCTGCTTACCTGTTAAGCTGAATACGTCCATGTTGTCTACGACTTGAGTTGATTGTCTGTTGGATTTGTTACCCGGCAGTGCGTTTGGTAGGTATCCCTGCAATTTCGATGGTGTTATACAAGCCCAGCTGTGCTTTTTGTTCAAGGGGTCTTTCCCTAATTTTGCAATTTCCTGAGCCTCGCGGGCTGCGTTTTTTCTGCGAGTGATCCTGTGTTTGAAATGACAGAAGTTACAATCTGCGCCGTTTTTGCATGAGTTGATCGCCTTATTTGCGAACACGCATGGCTTGCAATATCCATTGGAGTGGGTAATGGATCCAAAGCTGGGAATATCATCCGTAAGGGTGGTGGTGTATTTTTCCCTAATCGCCTCGAATATGTGAACGACGTTCACTTCCGTGTTGTTTGTGAGGCACTTCCTAAGCACGGCGAAGATGCGCGTGCGTAACGAATCAACGTCGAGGTGAATTTTCTCTGTGTCCTTTTGTACAATCATAGTTTTAATATCCTTCTTGACCAACTCGTCGATGTATTTGCGGAATACGTCGACTATGCCTTGCGTAAACAGTGTTTTGATAACCTTAAGGAGCCTAGCGTCCTGGTCCTCCGTTTGTGACGAGAGCGCGAGCTGACGCGGCGTGGTGACCTCATCGGATTCCGGCCATATGAAGCTGAATCCATTGTCGATATGTGTGGTCGCCACCGAGTCCATGCTTGAGAAGGCGGACCTCGCACTGTTTGTCATGGAGGCAGACTCATCGTTGGGGTCGGTCGGGTTATCGAACATACTCTGCGTCTTTGGGTAGCAGTAATGGCTCGACACACGGGCGTAAGGAGACATTTTGTTTGCGACAAATGCTCGGGTGATGAGGTCTGAGCAGGTGTCGGCCGGAATGGAGTTGTTGTTATCCTCCATCTTCACAATGTGTGATCAATTGTATACACGTATCCTGATGATAGTCGCCTTTTTTCGGCTCTGCGCCGCCTGCTTACTGTTGCAGCGATACAGACAAGGGTGTTATTCCAGTGACGCCACGGTCGCGTACTCGGGAGGTATTCCGGCGGTTGTTAGCGTGTACAGGGTCGAGACGTGAATTGTTTAGCCGTGTATTTTCATCGGCAACGATTGTCGCGTTGTTGGTGAGTTAGCCTTGGCGATGCGCTGCTTCAACCTGTTGGCAATCTCGCGTGCGGCGTCAGACCGATCCTTGTGCGTGTGTCAGTGTCGCGGAGCGGTATGCGAATTTTACCGTCACCTGTGGCCTACCGCTGAAAAACCTTCCACTGAGGGGTTCGCTTGCTAGCCGCTGGTGGTTGTCGTTGTAGTGATCAGGTCAGTCAGGCCGTGAGCATGCGCCCGTGTGCGTATCACACCATATGCTGTTGAAAACGGCGCTAGTAAGCCCTTGGACGTCACGTTGGATAGTGTCTGATGCTGGCCGTAGGTAAGTGGTAGGGCGCGCCGGTGTTGTCGGAAGATCGTAGCCGTCTCCGCGTGTGTGTCTACATTGTCGGGTCCAGCGCCCGGGCCCTTCTTCTTGCCTGTTTTCGCCTTGCAGGTCCTGCGGTGACGTGTCTCGGTACTGGGAGGCGTCCGAAGGCCATCTCGTTACGTGATAGGTGTGTATGGCGACTTCCGCTGCGCGGCTGTCACACGCAGGGTAGAGGACACAGCCGCTATCCGGTTTGTCTTCATGCTCTATATTAACAAAACTTGTTACTACAACACCCTCTGAATTGCAACATTGGGTAACATACTTCCGTTAATAGACTTTGGCGACTGGGTGCCCGGTGGCATCCCGGAGCACCTCTCCCGAGTCACGCCCATACTAGCGTTTTCCGCGGTTGCGTTAGGGCGTTGGTGCAAAGAAGTGGCTTTCTAGCGCACAAAATTTTCGTAAATACCGCATTTTAATACGTGTGCACGACTATTTTAGAGTCGCTGCTTGTGTGTAGGTTGCGGGGTACCGCTCGGATTCCAGTTCAATTAGGACGATGGATGATGCCCTGCGCAAATTACTCACTGGGCCGGAGTCCAACCCTTTCGGCCAGATTCTTGTCGGCATTCTCTCATGCCGTTGGTTGGTTTACATCTTGGCCGTGGTACTCCGCATTGGACTCATCGGCTACAGCTGGTACCATGACTGGGTCTGTAAGTCGTACTTTTGACTAATGTAATGGTCTAGTCGAGGTAAAATTCACGGATGTGGACTACCGCGTCTTCACTGACGCCGCTCGTCTGCTGCTGAACGGCCAGTCGCCTTACCTTCGTCACACCTACCGCTACACGCCGCTGTTGTAAGTGCATATTCGCTAAGTCCGCATTCATCGCTCACAGGGCACTCTTCATGCTCCCCAATGTGTTCTTCTGCAGTTTGTGCGGGAAGCTGTTTTTCGCCATCTTCGACATACTGACTGCCTACATGTTGGAGAAATGCGCGACCGCCGGAAACTCCCTAGTGCCGTCCATTTGGCTGTTCAACCCGTTCGTGGTTGTCATATCCTCTCGCGGCAATGCTGACTGCGTGATCTGCTTCCTGGTTGTTGCCGCCCTTTACTACATGAAACAGGAGTCGATCATTAAGAGTGCGGTATTGTAAGTTACGCGCTGAATCGTATTATAATATGCATGCAGCTTTGGTCTCGCAGTCCACTTCAAGCTCTACCCGATCATCTACTTGATGCCGTTCATCTTGCACTTGTCGCACTCCAGCGCGGTACGTATGCTGCATTGTGTTGTGTAATGCCTTTGCAGGCCCGCCCATCTTTGACCGGAAACTGGCTCAGCAAATCGTTCCGCGCAGTGAAGAATGGTTTGAACTTAAACCAACTGAAGTTCGCGGCTGTGAGCTTCGCAGTGTTCCTCTCGACCAGCCTTGTGTGCTACTACTTGTAAGTTTTGGAAGCCTGAATTTCCATTCCATTTTTACACGTGCTTAATGCCATGTTTCGTGTTACTCGTGGGGTGAACGATACCAATTTGTCTGATTACTGTTTCTGCTCTCTGTGCCGTGTATAATTATTTTGCCAATGCTAGTGTGTTCGTTGCATTCCGAAGTGAAATTTCGCGCCTGCCTTGTCTTATACACGCAGAAGTCCTCACATTGTCTGTATGAAAAGTTCTCAATCGTTTTCAGCTGCGGCTTCGATTTCGTGTACGAGACTTACCTGTACCACTACATCCGCAAGGACCATCGTCACAACTTCTCCGTTTACTTCAACTACATGTACCACATGGTCGACTCCGGCAGCGAGGTATGCGCACGTCCACCATCCGCCTTAACACTTTTTACAGCTGAACCCGGTTCTGTCGTTTATACCTCAGATGGTGTGCGTATTTGTGTACGGCCTTTTGGGTTTCTGGGACCTCGAGTTGTCAATGTTCTTACAGGTGAGTTGTCGTTAAGTCCCCAATCATGGTGTGATCGCAGACCGTGTCGTTTGTGGCCCTGAACAAGGTCGTCACGTGCCAGTACTACCTGTGGTGGATGTGCCTGCTGCCTTTGGTGTTGTCCAAGCTGTCGTTCGAGCGGAAGGCGGTCATGGTCCAGGGCGCCGCCGTCGCTAGTTTCGTAGGCTCCAACATTCTGTGGCTCTTCTTCGCGTACTCCTTGGAGATGCTTGGCTACAACACCTATGCTATGGTAGGCCTTTTGCGCTAGAGCGCAATATGTTTGCAGCTGCTGTTTTCGTCCGTCTTCTTCGTTGGATCTCAGATGGCCATTGGCTGGGCGTTTTTGGAGACCAAGGCTCCTGAGGGCGTTAAGAAGGAGGAGGCTTGATGGCATTTTGATGACGCAATGTCGGCTCACTAGGCTGCTACATGCAGCCTAAGATGGCCATACTAACACCACTAATTGAACAACAGTGCAGTTTAATTTAGTTTATGCAGTGACCGAATAGGGTTCCATTGGCAGTTATCTATAGTTCGTGTCAACTGTTACCGCATGATATTGCCGTCCGGTACATGACAACGCCCACATTCCACGTGCAGGTACCACCTCCCACGCTAACTTGTTGCTATCCTCAATGACCTCATGCCCTATATCAATGGCCTAATATTTAAGTTGGATTTGACAAATCAGGGAGTGTGCTGGAGTGCGTAAGCGGTAGATGCCGCATTGTCAGCAACTCCGCGGCGTTGCCGGCGCATAAATTACGGTTTTACAAGAATATTGCTATGTTATTGCGCGGTTTCGCCGTGTGGGAATTGCAGGAGCAACCTCTTGACACAGCCACCGGCTTAATGTCCTCGTTCAACTGAGGTCTATTATGCGATTGCGAATGCTCTGAATTCTGGCAAAGGTCTTCTCCATTGTTTCGATGTTGGAGTTGAGGGTTTCCGCCAGCCACTGATCGATGACTCGTTTGACGCATTCCTTGTAATTATAGAGCTTGTCGTCCTGGTTGACCCTGTATGCGATCTGCTTGCACATGTTCTGGGAGCACTTGATGTATACGTGGGTTATAAGATCGGCAAGCTGCTGCACCGAAGCCTCATTGAGTCCCGATTGGCGCAACTCTAGCTTCATCAAGGCAATCCTCTGTTGGCGTTCCACCATATCCTCATTGTTGCGTTTTATGCGCTGTGCCCGTGCTTTCAGGTCCTGCACCCTTTGGTGGAATGCGGGAAGGTCGGCAAAGACCTTTTCGGCGTCGGCGTGCAGTTTGTTGTACACCTCTATCGATTCCGCCAGTGAATCCTCGAAGACCTTGCGCCCCTTGAGGTAGAACATGGTTCTGGAGTCAACTTCCGATAGCAGTTTGACCATCGCAACGGCTTTCTGTAAGGATTGATTGAAAACTGATAGTACGAACTAACCGTTTTGAATTCGCCTTCTTTCTTAACCAGCTCTCTGGCATTCTTGAAAGCCTGTTTGGAAAATGCCTCCGCCTCAGCTGCGCGTTGTACAAGCTTCTGCATGGAGCTGTTGACGGGCTGGCTTATACTGGGCATAGTTTCCACTGCCGGTGGTAATGCAATCGCCGCCCTCACCATCGGAACCAGGGGAAACTCGACACTTTTATGCGGTTGCTCGGCAATTTCGCGCTCTGACGAACGATAGAAGCATGAAGTTTGCCCCACGGTAGTGGCAAGGTGCTTCAATTCTTGCTGGGATACAATGTAGCAGTATTTGGCCTGGAACATGTACACGTTGCGACTCCGGTCGCACCACTTGCCTTCAAATGCATGATGCGTGTGCTTTTCACCTGAGTCTGCAACTATGAGTGGCTGCGAGTGGTAGTAGACGTGATCACCGGCGAATCTCGTCTTGACGATGTTCTTAACGTCGATATCTCCGCCATTTATGGTGAGTACATCCGTCCCCATTGCTGAGTGCGCGAGGCATGTATTTTCCGAGATGCGAATCAGCCTTACACGCGAATCGCATTTAGCGCTATGATTGCGATCTTCGTCGACCCGCAAGAACGCTAGCACCGTCCTCGCCCCTGGCCTGTAGAAGTGAGTAGTACGGGGCACAACGGGCACCTTCGACTTATACAGCGCTACGTCGCCGTTCGATGCTGACGCCACAACGGCTATCTCAGGCTCCGTATTAATAACTACCATGGCATCGAACATAGGCCTGACTACATGTTCCGTTTCCAACCTGTAGACCGAGGGTAAAATAACCACCTCGTCTTCGTCAGTTTTGACCTCTTTTGATTGCGATATGTTTGCCAGACTTCCCATGAGCAGCGTGACGTCTTCGTGGCCGGTGAATCGGTCCATATGCGGCACCGCCTTCATGCGATAGCCCTTCTTCATGAGATCCAATGACAGATTCATTATTGCTCGTTTCCTGCTAAAAGTGTTAATGCACGCCGGGAGCAAGATGGGGCAGTAGGCGAATATCAGGCCGTAGTTCGACATCACGAGCAGCGTCATCGCCCGCCAGGTGAACTCCCCCTCGGCGACCCATGCGAAATCCACCGCAGCCCCCTGAGGTGTTGCATCCGCATCGAATTTCGCGTTTGCATCACCCGTTCGGCACATCCCCTCAGTGAGTTTTAGCGTCATGTACGGAGAGTCGATACTCTGATCGACGTTGAATATGCGAACCACTCCCTGCATTTCCACATTCAAGGGTGTAGGCGTCCACGATGCCCGCATCTGCGCATCTCCATCGTTGTGATAGCTTCCAGCTGACTCTGAACCATTCCCTATTAATATTCCATCTGAGCGTCTTGTGCTGGCATCTTCCTTGTCAAAACCTTCGGCACTTTGTGTAGCATCGCTCTTCTGTTCCATGGTCAGCAGGCATATGGTGTTGGCGTACTGCTGATGGAATTTAGCCTTGACGACTTTCAGTGGTGCATGGCGGCGCCAACCAGTGCACCTGCTGAGTACCCGTTCTGCACGGATGATGCTGCTGTAAAGGAGCGCCTGCGTAGCGGCGTCAGCCACCACGTTGTCGTCGTCCATCTCCGTTGGTATGCGCACCACATACACCGCCGAGGCTGCTGTGAGTAGCAAAAGGGACCCATTTTGGTTAACCTGTATGTTGTGGAAATATCCGTGGTTGCAGACATCGTGGTCTGCGAGTACCTGGAAGAGGTACTTCGTGATCCCGTCCCGTATGTTGACGAATTCGCACTTCAGCGTTACAAGCACGGAATACGCCTGCGTAAGCCCCTGCCTCTTTTTGACAGGCTTCTGCTCGAGCATGGTGAACACGGCACATGAGTTAAGACATCCCACAAGCCCGTTGTCGCTGGTGGGCGCCAGGAGCGTGTACTCCGAACATGCGTCTATAGTCTGTAAATCGTGGCCCTGCCTGTCGATTTCCCGCCTTTTGAAGCGCGCAACCGTAGGCGCATGTTGCACCAGCACGCGATTCTGCAGCTGCTTGATATGCGCCCCGATTACATCAGAGGTGTCCATCATCCTGTATCAGGCAACTTAACTGCCAGGGTAGAGCCCTAAAACTGGATTTGCAGAAATTCTCTTATTGTCTTAGGAGCATCGAAAATCCATTTATTTGGTGTCTATATGCTCTGAATAGCTGCTCCGTCGCATGCCACGGGTCAATTTAACATTTTCGCAAATTCCACCTGGCGCATTAAAATCATCAACGCTCCGCCTTTCTAACACCATCCACAGCCAATGTTACGTCAGGAGTTCCAGATTCGCCCTTTTCAATTTACTACCGGTTCTTTTGTACGCGATATTCCTTGCTGCCTCGTTGAGTCCTTCAAGATCCACGACTCAAAGAGGACTCAATGCCGACTAACCATCGCACATCGCCGAATCAGCTCACCTAGGTACATCAAATGGTACCAACAAAACCTATACCCGTATTGTTATCCGTTTTTACAGGTGCTAACAAGCGGCTCCTGTCTCAGCAGACGGTCGGGAAACTCCGGGCAAAAGATTCCCAGTTAAACCGTATTTATATAATATAGAGCTACGGTGAACCTCTTCGCGGCTGTTTTCGTCTGAATCGATGCTTTTTGCCGACTCGCGCCTGTTGCGATTCCTGGACAGAATGGGGAGGGCAGGTGTCGAGGTTTCGCGCTCTCCTCAGTTGTAACTCCACTTTTTCTTTTCCGCGGATGTCCCCGTTGGCCTTTCCGCAACCGCGCTATATTTCCCGCGCGGCTGTATTTCGATACGTGATGGAAGGCCGTAGTCGCTGTTTTGTCACCTCCATTTGAATTACGGGGCTTCGCTAGGGCAAATTGCCCGTCCTATTTATCTATATTTCGCGACATTCTGATGAGAATAGTGTGTTAGCGCGACCATTTCTCTCGTCTACGTGTGTTTCGAGCGGCGGTTTGTCTACTTTGAGTGTAGCTGTTGCCCGTCTCGGTAACTTCTCACGCTTAACGAGCGCATCTTCTCCCGCTGCAGCCGAACAGACACCGTATTCAAGATGACGTCGTTGTTCAAGCAGCTTGAAGCTCTTTCTGTTAAGCCTAACAAGGCTTACAGCCGCTTCCGCAGGTCGTATGCAAGCAAGGAACACTATACCCGCGTCTTGGTCTGCGAGAGTTGGGAGTTCATGTTGGCACAAGATGCGACCATTGTGGAGTGCGAGGTTCTATTCCGCAGCTGTCTATCGGATCCCAGCCAGGCGGCCGTGGCAGCGATGGCCGCCCGGTCTGCAATGGCTGCCGCAGAGTCTTCAGATTCCGCGGAGGTTGAAATGGCGGACACAACCACAGGACCCAGTTGGCAGGATAAGGAGATCGAATTCATGGTTGAATCTGAATTCCTGGAATGCCAGCGTATGTTGCAGCTATTTCTAGACCTAAGCACGCCGTGGCTCCTGCACGAGCAATGCCAAAACCTGATCGACTTTTTGATATACCAGTACGAGCTGGCGAGTAGGTTCGGAGAGATGTTACTGCTGGCAATACTGCCGATTCACGAGAGCGCTTACTTCGTCAAGGTTGCGGAAATGGTGACCTTGCCTGACGGGAGTGAGTTCTCGTACTACATCCCGGCGAAGGCACCTGCGGCTAAATCTGCTGAGATCGGTAACGCTGAAGCGCCCAAAGTGCGCGTAGGCGTATCTCGTGACACGATCGTGGCGGGAACAGTGCGTTCATTCAGCAACTATCGGCGCATCAGCGAGACCGTGGAGCGGCTGGCTTTGGTACGTCAGCGTGCCGGGACCTATGTACCCCTCTACACGGTGTTGAGCGTTGCATTTATCGAGCAAAACCGCGGGAAAATAGGCGACAGTGAGATCCGTCTGCTTCTTAACAACGTGTTTTCTGGTTTGAAGCGCCCCGATGCCTCCGCGTATTACTCGGCGCAGCTGTGCACCTTAACTGTGCTTTTCTGCACGGTGACGGTTACCATATCGGTACAGCGCACCGTGGTCACCTGCATGCTTAACCCGCTTCTGTCTGAGCTGCGCGACTCGGACTCGCCGCCTTTTGATATACGAATGAAGTTGAAAGATGCTATTCTGGTGCTGCTTGGGATGCTGCACCAACAGAAGGAACGGTTGGACTCGCTTCCGATAAACACAACACAGTTGTTGCTGGCAGTGCTCCACAAATTCCCCGCCTTGGTCAACGTGTTTCGTGGCATCGGCGGTTCCGGTGAGGCCTTGGATTTTTCACGCTTATGCAAGGTGCTGACAGTGTCTGTGGTGAAAGCTTCCAAGCCGTCCGCTAAAGCCGCGCAGTCTGCCGAATCGGCTAACGATGTAGACCTCATCAAGTGCGCGATCGACTTCTTCATGCGCCTGGACTACTCTATTTTGTACGTAAGGGTAATGATGTACACTCTGATTGACGACCTGGTGATGTTTTCACTGTCTACCTGTCGTCAGGGTGAGGCTCTTTTCCAGTGGGATCCCGCCACCATGAAGGGCTCATTGAACACGCACCACAGCGACACGTTATCAGTCTACGGTCGTTTCTTCAGCGAGCTGCATGCAGCATCTCCCGCTGTGTTTGACGATGTTTTGCAGCGCACGCTGCAGTCCACGAATCGATCGCCCGAGATGCTATCGGTATTCCTGCTGATCTGCCATAGCGTGAGTGGCGGGTGCCCATTGCACTTTACCGTTTTGGTCCACAAGTGCTCGGGCAAGAAGTTGCCGACAGGTCCATCTGAGCTGCCAAAATCGGTTGCTGCGCACAATCTGGGATCAACGGTAGTCTTGTACACGGACCCCAATCTGCCGTCGAAGTCACGTGCACAGCTTTATGGGATGTTGTCGGCCATTGTGAATGCAGATGTGCTCTCCACGGTGGACCACGGTGCCCTATGCGAGTTTATCCGCGTGAGCGTATCAGATCCGCAATGCATTCCGCTCTTATACAGGGATACAAGGCTTTTGTCATTGCTGCCTTCGTCTGCGGTTACGAGAGTACTCATATCGCAAATCGGATGCTTGCTCACAGGTTCCGGCTTGTCATTCAGCGCGCCTGCCTCTTTAAAGGTGAAGCCCAAGAGTCACATGCCCGCAATGGAGCCATTTTACAGTAAGTGTTTCGAGGTGTTGAGCCGCGATTCTCCTGCTTCTAGGCAGCTCTTGTTTGCGCTGTCCCTGTTCACCGATTTCTACGGCCGTGCTGCCATTGATGAGCGAGAGAATATGCAACAGGCATCGTACCACTTCATGCGCCTTATGCACGTCATATCCAGAAACGCTAAGCATGCTAAATCGGCGAAAAAGAGCGGTAAGAATTCTGACGCGAGTGACTCTGCTGCAAGCGAGCATTCGGAGGATGCGACGTCGACTTCAGGATCCTCTGATGCCCATAATGCCGGATCTAGTGACACAGTCAGTGATACAAACGATTCGGCTGCGATTCCGGCACCTTCGTTGAAAACTATTTGTGACCATTACTTCGGCGACTCCCATTCTCACGAAGGCCGAGACTACTGTTCAACGATGTCTCTGTTGTTGGGCATTTTGGATTCTATGGTGCAGCTTTCCACCGCGACTACGTATGTAAACACTTCTTCGGGTGAAGATACGTCTACCATCGGTGCAACGCCAATCTCCTTCGGCAATGACACAGTTTGGTTTAACGAGTGGCTCGTATGCTATGGGCTGTATGAGTCGTCCGAGTTGCTCAGTTCGGCATTGAAACCATCTTCATCGTCGAGTGGCAATTCAAAGGCTGAAAACAATGCCGAAGAGGCGTCGGAAACCGACGCTTCATCTAAAAGCAACAAAGGGTCGCACCCGGATATCACCCTATCAGCCGAAGAGTTGCGACAGCTATTTTCGTTGAGTGAGGTTGTTTTATGCTACGCCATAAAACTGCACCGAGGTTCAGTGCTGTTGGGAGAGTTGACGAACTTCTTTGCGCAGTGCCACTTCAAGATGCTCACACTGTGTTCCATCTCTGTGCCACGTTCGGTTGATGTTCGCGGAGAGTCTAACCCTGCAGAATGCAACGATTTCCCCGATGCGGCCTTCGACCGTGATGCTCTGCTACTTCACACGATGCTAACGTTGTCCAGTGAGGAATTCACTGCCCATTTCAAGGAAGCTTTATCAACAGCCCCCAAGAGCGTCTTGTCGCGTGTTCACTTGTGGCTGAAGCACTACTTCGAATTCAGCCATCTGGCACGCAGCATGGAGCATCGCCCAGGCCTTCATCTAGATCTTTACGGCAGCATCCTGGAGAGCCAGGTGGAGGTGAACCGGTCGAAAATGACGGTTGCCTTCCGTGGAGTTATCGGCGACGTATTTGCATTGGGACCCTCCATGGTGGCGGAGATGCTGGACGGCAAAACCGATTTGATCTGGCCTCCGCAGGAAACTTCTGAACCTCAGGAAGATGATGTCGGTACTCTGCACATCCCGTACGTGTCCCTGTCGGAGTTGGACGGGATCATGAAGATGTATGGTCGGTGCATGGATGTCCTGTCGCATGTGGTTTGCGAGTCGTTGCGTGTAAAGGCCTTTAACAACTCGTGCTTGATGATCGACGTTCTGGTTAACTCTCTAGCATTTCTGGTTGACAAGGAGCACCTAGTCCGCAGACCTGCAGTCCTGATGCTTTCACGTGTCATGCAATGCTACGTGGACACCCCAAGCAAGTCACACGCTCGTTTCGTCACTGTCTGTGGATATCACCTATGCCCTGAGTTCAACATCGCTATTGCCGGTTTGGAGTACCCCTTCAAAGGTTTTGACAAAACTCTAAGGAAGCTCTGCAGCGGGCTCCTCGAGAACAACGCGCCGTTCCCGAACGTCATGTTCGTCAACCAGCTGTTCAGCCACTGCTCAGGTGAACCCGTGATACTCTCGCTGCTGCTATACGGCTGCGTTTTCAGTGGCACATCGTTGCAGTTCAATGTCGATGTATTGCGGCGGATTGGCGCCAACTTGTCATCAGATCACGGAGCTGACGTTTTCTGCACAGCGCTTGCGGGACTTCTGCAATTCGTAAAAGATTACAAGATCAGTTCACCGACTGATCTTAGCGTGTTGCGACGTTTCCTGCTTTGCTTCGCATCTTCCGCTTCCAGCGTTGCAGTATCTGGCTTGCATGGAAAGGCAGGATGCTTCGCCTCGACAGTTTGCCCAGCCGTCCTGGATAACTTAACCACAATGATGCAAGGCCTATCTGGTATGGGCGAGCCATTGCAAACGGATATTGACATAATACGCAAGGTTTGCAGTTTCTGCGCAGGTGTATGCATGTCCACTTTATCCGAAGGCGCATTCTGGTCAGTCAAGGGTGAAGTGCAGACCAGGTTATTGGAGTCGTTTGATCGTGCCTTCGGCACTATGGAAGCATCCGCTCGACTCTTGTGTCTGCGTTATTTAACATCGGATTACAACAAGAGCAAGAACGCTGTGAAGTCCGTGGTGTCTATCATCCCGCGCCTGCAGTCATGCAGCAACCATTTACAGGAGCTATTCGTGATGGGCATAGTCGACAATTCCCCCGCAGACCTGTTGCCGGAAGTGTTCAATGCAGTGTTGCAGCAGGAGAAATCATCGAAAGGGTGGTTTAACGTGTCATTTTTGCTGCTCCAGCGCTACCTGACCCGCGCCGACCTGAAATCCGACGCGGCGGTTTCGCTGATTACCAAGGGCAGCTCATCATTGCTAGATGGCATTGCAAAGGCACACAAGTCTGGATCACCCCAAACTGCTGCGGGAAGTACCGAAGAATCGTCATTGAGTGAGCTCGGACATGTCGCTGTTTTCATTAACCAGCTGTACTTGCGCCTCCAACAAAAGTCGGGTTCTTTGGACGTCAAGTCAATGCACAAATTGCATGCTGACGTGTGCCGTTGTTTACGTGCGTTATGTAAGCGCTGTGGCGCGGCGACTTTCGAATTTGTTCGTCCATTCCTTTGCAAGATGTGCATTATTGAGTATACTCTATCTTCGTCAAGCGGTGACGAGGCCGATAAGGGCGACAATACGACCGACACCGAGTCACAACCATTGAAGCCGTCGGTTACAGCTAAAGCCGTTACCAAGAGCTGCGCTGCAGTTTGCCACTTGCTGATGCAAGTATTCGAGTCAGACAGGAGCGCGACGGCCACTTTACAATTTGCAGAATTGTGTACGGTCTTCCCCTCTAGCACCAGCGCCGCATACAATCAAGGACTTGGCGATATGTCGAGAAATGCTACACGTGGCAGCTCTGGACCTGATATGTCGTTCGCTTATGATGAGTGGCTTTGCTACGCCCTCTACAGCTGCATCTGCATATGTCGTCTGGATGCGTCATCACCTGCGGTTGCACGCTGTGTTGAGTTGTTGAAGTCGTCAAGCGACCCCGTTGGCGTGCTTTCAACGCTGGTGCTCACTGCAGTGTCAGCTAGCGCTGAAGAAGAGCCACGCTTCCCAAGTTGGATTCCCCATTTGGACGTGCGAAGTCTCGGCATGGGCAAGCATCTGGACAGCTCTTCTAAGCTTGGATTGGCGTGTGATATGCAAAGTTTCGTGCATCAGATCGTGGTGCAGTCCGCGGATCTATTCGAGGTAGCCATCGATGCATTGAGCTTCAATGACCTCAAGTCACCGGAGCATCGGAGATACCAGTCGGTGTCTCTGCTGTTGCAATCCCTCAGCATCTCCATGGTATGCTTCAAAGACGTGGGATCGGATGCAACGTTATCCGGTGTGAATAAGAAGAAAAAGGGCCTCATGGGTGTATGTGCTCCATCTACCGATGCATCAGACAGTGCCGACCCCTCATCAACGTCTATTCTGAAGAAGTCTGGTGAAATCATGCGGCTGGTGTATGCGGCCAATCCGGAAGAGAACTATCCACGTTTGGCCCTGGGCGCCTTGTCGTTTTTCTGGTGCAAGGATCGTATGTCGTCGCCGTCCGATAATTTCTGGAACGCTGCGTGCGGCATCGATTTCATGAAGCAACCATGGGTATGCGACTACGTATCAGTCGCTCTAGGGTATATAAGCAAAAGCATCGGCAATAAGTTCGGATTATCCACGAAGCCTCCCATGTCATCGGCAGCTGCTGCATACAGCAAAGAATTATCCATTGTGCTGGCCAGGTTGGCTAGGGTCCTTTCCGACTTCTTGATGGCTACTGATGCGTGCATTCTGTCCAAGAAACACGATGATGCGCTGCAGTTGCTCATTGGCCGATCCCGCAAGAGTGCCTGGAGAACGCTTATCGGTTTGTGCTATGGCCTGTCAGGAGACTGGGTATTGCACGGATTCGCTTTGGCTCGGTCTCGTGTCGAGCTGCTGCTGCAGCTGAAATCGTTCAACCACTACGTGGTATTGGATTTCGTGAACGCTGTGAAGCTCTGTGTCCGTTTGGTTGCGTGCGGTGAGGTGAAAGATGAAAGCTTCGACATTCAGCTAGTGCACAGTTTGTCGTCTTCGCTGGCTAAATTGACAGCGCAGCTGGTAGAACGCTATCTTGACAACGCGTCACTGTCCGCCTGCGTATTGGGCCTTATGTTGCTTCTCAGGCGCAGGTTTGGAAAAGCCACGGGCGACGAACTGCTTGAGGCTATCATGAACCTGTTGGTGTTCTTCAGCAGCCCTACCCCGGTGGAAGAGCGCTTTGCGCTCCCCGCTGAAGAGGAGTTGCTTACCGACCGCAAGCTGGCCAGCGTGTGCTCTGACATTTTTGAGGACCTGCTCCAATGCAACTCTGACAAGGTCTCCAAGGCCATTGTGGCCGCTTCTGACAAGGTCATCCTAAGCAAGGCCACGCCGGTACGCATGGCAACCTTACTCTCGTTCTACGCAAGCGTGAGCTGCAAATACTACGACATGCTACGCCTGGTGCTGGGTCTCGACTTCACGCAGGTCCTATCTGCGATGCGCGACGGCAGCCGCCTGATGAGTCTCGTGTCAATAAGCCTGCATTACAATCGCATAAAATCAAGATACGTGGGCGACCTCGATCGGCTTTACTTTTTGAACGTGAACCTACTGTCCGAATTCGAAAGCGCGTCTGCTAGTGTATCGAATCGCAAGGCCCGTAAGGCCGCCAAGAACAGCGCTCCAGCGGAATCGGACGTTGCGGCTGGAAGAGAGTCGCTTTCCGGTGATGTCATCGCTACACCCTCCGAAGAGAAGGAAGCAAACAACAGTGACTCGTCTGCTTTGGACCCCACCTCCGCATCCGGTTTGATGTCGGCATACTTGGATGACGCTACCGGACCGCCGCGCTTGGAGCTTTCGTGTCGCCTGTTTAGCGAACCCAAGTTAGAGTTTGGCAGCGAGACAGGCGTTAAATCCTTCGAGGATTGCGCCATAGTTTTCGCCCTACAGTACTTTTCCAAGATAAGGTCCAGCGACCTTGTGGAGGTGCTGGCTAAGCACATCGGGTATGTTTTTTGCCATAATATCTTTCAATTTGTACAGCGCTCTGAAGAAATCCGACACATCGGCCGATGGCGCAGCGTCACCGTTGCCTAAGGACGGCACGCGTCTACTGCTGCGCATGATCGTGGCGGCGCTGAGTGAGTACGGCAGCCTGGGCGCTACACAATTCGTGCTACCCCGCGTCTACCAGCACCTGAACACGGTGCTCGATAGCACTATAGAAGAACTTTGCGCCCCGACCAGCAAAGCTGGGAAGCCGAAGAGCTCGAAGTCTCACGCCAATTCGGGTGCCAGCTGGAAGGTATTCGTGAACGGCGTGCTTGCGCTTCGTGCCATTCGTACATGTGTGGAGACATGGGATTCGAAGCAGGCATCAGTGCCTGACATGTGCCTCAACGTCTGGCTGCCGACTCTCGGCAAGGCGCTGGGCGTGTTCGACTTCCTGTCCGGCACTTGGGAGATGCAGGAATGGGAGCGCGCTCTGGAGGGCACTTTCTTGCACCTGCTGTTTGCCTGCTCCGGCGACGCCGAACGCATCGAGCAGGTGCTGTCCGGAGACCTGGTATCACGGTCCGAGGTTTGCAAGTGCCGCGTGCTCAACATTTTGCTTTCACTATGGGGCAAGGCCAACTTCCACCTCGGGGGCAGCGTGGTGAACATAATGCCAGTACTGGGCGAGCTCGCGGACGACCAGAGCGAGGAGGTACAGCGCCTCAGCGAACTGCTGAACGAGCGCATCCAGTCATTTTTGAACATGTAGTGGCACGTGTGCTGCGTTGCCTAATTCAAAAATTTATCAATACCTTATTGCTTTGCGTGTTTTTAGTGTGCTTAAAGACTTAACCGCATTGCAGCGGGACCTTACGTTGTCCACGCCGGGTTGAGTGGCGCATTGCTGCCAGCGGAGCTACGACCACAGCCGTCTGCAGAACGCATTCGCACATCACGTTAGCTACCATTAAATTGCGATGGATCTGTGCATTGCTTTAAAAAGCAAATACGGATTGGCAAGCGACAATATGTCGCCACCCTCAGCCTAATGCGCCGTGAGCTGCTTGATGGCGGCCTTTATGCGCTCGCGCACAGCCTTAGCCGCTGTGTTTAGCTGATCGTGCTGCTTCTTGTGCCAGTTGTTGCCGATATTGACTTGCTTGATTTTTGCCGCGGCCTTGCTGAGCGCCTGTTGCAGCATCTGATTGTGCCGCTCCTGCACGGCCGCCGCTTGCTGGGATACCCGCTGCTGCACCTGCGGCGAGTTGGGGCTAGGCATCCTTAGAACAATGAGGTCATCCTCATCAGACTGCACGCTCCAGTCGTCGCGCAGAAGCGTCAGTTCCCGGACTATCTTGCTTTTGACCTTGACATCGAATACATGCAGGTTGGCGACGATGGGCGACTTAAACACGACCTGGGCTAGATCGGCCAGCTTGTCCTTGTTAATTCGGATGTCCTCGAGATCTTCCGCGGTAACTGCCACTGGTTTGAGATCTGCCAGCGCCGACAGCGCATTTGCCTCTATTTCCTTGATCCGGTCAAGGTGCTCCTCAATGTCGAAGTATTCCTCGTCCTCGCCATCGTCACTTTCCCCATCCTCTTCATCGGAGTCCGATCGAGCCATCTGCTTCGTTTTAGTCCGTTTTTGCTGTTTTGCCTTCGACGCAAAATGGTCTCGGTGGATAAGAGCATACGTAGGCGGCGAACATACTGAGGTCGGCCCAACTACCCGCATCACCGGTGTCCAATGTGCCATTGGAGCCGCCAGTCTCCTGCTGGCGGCGCACAAATGCAGCCTTCTCAGCAACATTGGGCTAAAGTTTAAACGTCGGCTCGTAATCCGGCACCTGCCCGTGGTACACCGAGGCCGGCTGCGAGTCCCTGCCGCTGAACACAGGGTAGCGATACGACTTCTTCTCCACCCGATACGCTCCGTTCTCGTCTATCAACAGCCGGCGGGCCTGTTGAGTGCTCTTCTGCGCCACCGGCCTAGGCACGGTGAACAGCTTAGGGTTGTGTATCGGCCCCTTGAAAGATACGAGAATGTTGTCCACTCGGGCGGCGTGCTGCAGCGACCCGCGAACTCGCCAGGCACACAGGCAGCGGTATGGCGACTTGGAGCAGTGGAAGCTACAGCGGGCCCCGCAAGGTCCCTCCTGCTGGAAGCGTAAGCTCTGCGGATGGCGGAGGATACGCCTATCCTCGAGCCTCGCCAGGGCGGCTGTAAGCAGGAATCTACCGGCGTTCCTCCAGTCGAGCGGGAATCGGGGTACGAGCGCAGCCGGTACCTAAAGTCGTGAATGAGTCGCGATCCATGATGATTTACCTTTGTGGTTGGATATACTGGGTCGTTGAGGTCCTTCTTGTGTTGGTGGTTGCCTGGAACTGCTACAACCGCTTCAATATGACCTACCTCTATAGCCTGTAGGCTTTCTGCCCAATGGAGCTGCTGGCAGAGGTGCTAACTGGTCCTTCGTAGGTCTGGTTGCGATGCTTCTCCTAATCACGAGCCAGCTGCGTATAGGCATCTTGGCGGTTCCCAGACACACCGGCTCTCATTAAAACCTACGCTTAACCATTGTAAGACTCTAATTGCGCCTGGGTGGCACGCGTCAGACAGCTGCCGCGACCGAATCCGCCCACGATGTGTAGCCTTCCGTCGTGCCGCAGAGCGTGGAACGCGCTCCGAACAAATTAGAACAGTAACTATCTATTAAAGCGCATCTGTGACTCGTCAATGTGTGGCACCTTTGTCACCGGGTCGCCTCCTTTTGGGCGTTGATGATTTCGTGCGCCAGCTTTCCTTGGCAGAAGTTGTTGGCGACGCTAGCCAACCGCGTGCGCGACAACACCACGGGTCCGTACACGCTGTAGTGTAGGTCCTTGTTTCCGAATTTGTCGGAGTACAGAGTCTGCGCCGTGCAGTGCCGTCGCTCGTCGACGAAGAGCAGGAAGCAGTTGTACGGCGAGATGAACACGCACTGCCCTCCGCCACAAGTGTTGGTGTGCGTAAGCACCTCGTCGTTGTAGATGTGGGTCAGGTCCGTAGGGCGGAACGTGATTTGGTTGCGCTCCAGCAAGGTGAGCATGCGCAGCACCCGCACTCCCTTGTTTCGGTCGCAGCACATGCTCTGGTGGCACACCACCGAGCCGCACAGCAAGCACACTAGCGGGTTTGGCGGTGTCACGCCGCAGGTGGGACACGCCCTAAATGTGGTTTCCCGCAACAGGTCCCAGGCGCCCCCGGGCAGGCTGTGCTCCATGTCGATGTAATCGTATCCGGTAACGAGCGGCGCTGCAGACTCGTGCCCCGTCGCTCGCACGTATTCCAGCTTATTCCGTGTGTATGGGTGGAACATGTAGTCGCAGGTTTGGCGCATGGCTCCGAGGTGGTTGTTGATGTTGGTAACCTCAGCCAGCAGCTCGAACCTTACGTCGTGCGGATGTAGGTGGGCATACGACACCTTCGTCAGAATATCATCTTCGACGTCGAAAACGCTGAATATTGTCCAAAATGCCATGTCCAACAGCCGGTTCAGGTGTGTGAGGAGGTCGGTGACAAAAGCGTCGATGTCAGGCTCGAAATCGCGGTGGAGGTACCCTTGCTCACGCACGTGAGCATATATCCGTTGCGCCATGTTTCTAGCGACACTCAGAACATCGTTTGCGGAGGACACCTCGGCCAGCTGTTTTTGCATGTCCGCACCTACGAAGTCCAGCAAATGGTACTCTGCGGGCACCAGGTGCCGCAACACCTCGAAAAACGCGAAGTTGCAGTGCGCACGATATGTTTCCTCGTTCACCCGTCGGAGGAAGTCCATACCCAGGTATTGGCGTTCGGGCTCTACCGCACTGTCTGTGGGTGACTTGCGTGTGGCGTTCTCTGCAAATAGCCTTTCCGCAATGTCACCTTCTCCCCTAGGTGACACTTCTTCGTCATTGGAATCGGGGCGAAGCGCTTCTAAAAGCAACTCAAATTCGGCGGTGTCCACCCCGCTGTCAACAAAGGAGTGAACCCGGCGCACCTTCAGGAGGTTGACTATTAATTCGTGCAAGTATTTCCTAACTTGTGCCCCAATGTCACCATCCGGTTGTTCTGGGAGTGGGTGAGTAAACATGCCTACTGTGTGACGATGTATACTCTGCAGTTGTCGTGCAAGCTCCGTTTGAGCATCGATGCCCTTCACAACACCGGTTGCACTGGCGCTGGGGGATATTCTGCCAGCGTTATCTACGACCATATCGTCATCTTTGTCTACAGCCGACTGGCTTGTAACGTCCTTCGCTTCCCAATCGACGGCCATAAGATCTCGTTTTGCAGAACTAAAGTGCTCCGCATCTTCGGTTTTGTCCCGTTCTGTGCCAGCCGCAACATTGCCCGAAGTATCCATATTAGTAGACACGCCGAGCTCACCAGTGCGATTGTAACGTCTGAACTCCATTTCGTGCTCCTTAAACCCTAACCACTGTACCCGCCCTATTAAGTCCGCAGGGATCTCCGCAATTTCTACGTATTCCTTTACATAGGTCTCATACAATGTCTTGATGAATTCCCGTTTGAATCGGAGCTTGTTGTATTCCGCGGTGGTATCGGTGGAATGCCCTTCGGTTGCCGTGTTGTCTGCCATTGGTACGTCAGACGAGCTATCACTACTCCTTACATCAGATGACTTATTACCAAGACCGGCTGAGATATCCACGAAACTTGCAAATGAACGTTTGATGTCCTCCAATACAAAACGCTCCAACACCTGCAGCGACAGCATGCCCACGCAGTGCGCAAGATGCTTCAAACTGTGCTGTAGCGTAGGGGCCCTATGCGTGAAGAACATAAGGAAATCCCTAAACACGTCCTTCGACCACTGCGACGTGACGTTCAAACTTAGTTTGCTCCTGTTAGTCTCGACGTTGAAATTGTCCAGGTTGGTCATCTCCTCCTTGACAACTTCGAAATCCAGTGCAGCAGCAAGTTGGCGTACCTGCTCATCAGTAAGGGACTCCACAAGCGTCGTTAGCACCGTCACAGATTCCGTAGTTCGCCGTGTTGGGAATGGTACAGCCAAATCCTCAATTGCCATGTCGAAGTAGTTGCTATCCAGCTGGCAGGGGGCGCCAGAATCATCAACGGGATATTCTTTCAATTCGATGCCATAAAAGTTGCGCACCAGATGCTGCAGTAGTGATGGCCTTACCGTCAGCTGGTTGCGACGGCAAGTGCACGTGGCCAGGATGTGGTTATACAGCACCCAGAATTTCGGATCCACTAGCATTCCGGCGTCGACGTGTCGCCAATTCTGCACACCATAGACGCAACGCTGGCCTGAAAATATGGCTCGACAGTATTCTGCTGTCATTTCACGCGGGTAGGTGTAGTCGAGGTCAATGTTTAAAAGCCTCCCCAACTGCCGCCTCTTGGAGGGTCTGCATGACAGCCACTGCTCCAGTTGGCGCACGATAGTTGAACGGTCAAACCCCGGTGGCTCCAATTTTTTGCGATAGAACAGAGCGTTGCATTTGTCGCGGTATTCCATGGAAAGATCAGCCTCCAGGCACTTGGCGCACGACAATTCGCAGCCCTGCGTGTCCGTCACTCCCAGATCCTCCAGGAAGCTGCGACCCTGGGCAGGTGCAGCTTGTATGTCGTTGTGCGGCAGCACCACGTTGAATGTGTACATCACGTGCGGGTTGATGTTGAACCGCGCGTGGATAGGCGAGGGCAGCCAATTGGCGCAGAAGGCATAACGCCAGCTGGCCAGACATAGCATGTCTATTCTGTCCTCATCATCCAGCTTGCACGTGCGCAGCTTCTTACTTTCCGGCACGTATTCGAGAATGTAATTGCACAGCGACTTGCATATTGGACAGAAGAACTCGTTGGATGAACGTTGGACGCCATAAAGCAATAGGAGGTGGCCAGACGGCTCCTTCTTGCGTTGCTCGTTGATGCACTGCGTGTGGGCCATGTGACCGCAGCAGCTTATCATCGACGAACGCAAGGGGAGAGATGCGCGAGCGTGCACCGAGGGGCCGGTGGCCGATTGGCTGCATCGGCGCAGCACGCTGTTGTTTGATATCAGGCACATAAAGCTCATGGGATGGTCGTCGTCCATACCTTGCTTGCACAAGATGCAAGTCTCTTCTTCTGTCCGTCCCACGCTGCCGGCAGTTTTGGAAGTTGATGAGGCGGTGGATTCCTCAGAAGGCATCTCCACGTTTCCAGCTGCGCCAGACAGTGGCACCTTCTTCTGCTGCGCAACCATCCTTGCCATGAACTTCATCTGTAATTTCTTCACTGCTTCAGCACGGTCCTCCTTCGGTTCAGCAATAGGCTCATTCGTGTGAACGTTAAATGTATCACGCAGCCTCTGGATCACATGATTCAGCGCAGCCTGGATGATCTGGTCGTCGCCTACACGCACCGATACCGCCCCGATAATTTCTACGATCTTGGGAGCGTTCTGCTCATTAATGTGCTGCGATGTATCCATCAGCAGGCAGATGGTTTTCAGCGCAGACAGGATGGCCTCGTTCCACTTGGTGCCTACGGGCCCCGACCAGTTTATGCCGTCGTGGAAGTAGTGGCGCGGTTCACTGACCGCATCGAGGTAGCACTCATCGTCTTCGGAGGCGTCATAGAACGCCGCTTCCCCATCAACCTCGATTTCCTTCCCTCCCGATTGGGGTGACAGATTAGCCAGCGCCTCCATAAACTGCCAGACCACGTTAAAGCACTCCTCGGAGCCCAAACTGCACAGAATCGCGTCCTGACTCTCGTAATACTCGGGCTGCATGAAGGCGGAGCTGCGCGGAGGCCCCAGCATACCGACGGTGCGGCGTTTTAGTACCTCTTGCGGAATCGAGATATCGGAGAAGTTGCTGTACGGGTTCCAAATGACGTCAACCAAGCGGTATGTTTCGCTCTTGGGGCGCATGTACGCCTTGTCGGCTATCTGCGAATAGTTGACGGTGGCCACGCTCTCCACCGCCTCGACGATCTGGGGGTGGCGGCGCCAGTATGAGCCGACCATGCCCGTGACGTCTCCGAACTCGAGTCGCCCCATGGAGAGCGCCGATACGACGTCCATGACCACCAGCGGGTAGCCTCTTCGTATGTAATCGGGGTCCGTGTTGTTACGGCGCACCGAGAGCTTCTCCAGATGCTTCATGTCGTGGAGCACCACGTTCATCAGGTGCATAAAGAAGGTGGCCCGGAATATGCCGTCACCTGGCGTTGACTGTATCCGGCCGACGTTGCCCTTCCTACAAATCATGTCGGTACTGAACGCTTCTTTGTGCAGCACCAGCAGCGGCTCAACATCCGTGAGGCCTGCCCGGCGCCGCAAACCCAGCAGTGCCACTGCAGCCTGTATCGCCACCAGGTCCAGCTGCACTAATATAACCTGGCGGTAGTGTTCATTTTGGTCGTGCATAGACTCTCCGTTGTATACCCACAGGTTGTTCTTGATCTCCTGGGAGAAGCGCAGCGTGGCCACTGTGGTCTTGATCACGTAAAGCAACACCTCGTCGTCAAACGCCGTAACCAAAGGATCCTCTCTGATGACTTCAGCAGTTAGTGATGAAGCGTGCAACTGGCGAATGCGGTTGAAGTTTATGATGCTGGCGAAGAACCTGACGAAGGGAATATGGAAGGTCCGACAGAGCTTCAAGCTACTGAAGGTCCAAGATTTCAAGTTCTCCTTCATGTACTCGTTAACCGCCTTGTAAAACGGGATGGCAGCCGTTGGGTCCGATTTGCAGTTCTCCGAGAAATGGCGCAACGCCGTGTGGAGGGTGTGCTCGCTGCTGAAGGCTATGACGTACCCGGTGTTCTCAAATGGCACGTGCTGACCCCTTGCCAGCTGTATCGTGTTCATCATTTGCAGGCAGCTCAGCAGTTTGAACAACGTGCCGTAAAGGCTGGGCGTCTTTAGCACCAGCTCCACCACGGCATCGTGATCCATCAGATATGTTAAGTCGCTTAAGAGGAGCAAGTAGAAGCTGCAAACCATGTACGCAGCAAATGATACCAACATACCTAAATTGGCGTCGGTCGAATCTCGGAAACTGCAGCGTGTTCAGACGCCCATCACGCAAATGGTGGTCAAGCAGGCACTGCACGCAGACGTCCAGGAATCCATTCGCAACCTCTCGGGTTGCGATGTACGAGTAGGTAAACAGCTGCACGGAAAGGTGGCTGAGGTGCCATTCTGAGGTGTATTGGCATTCGTGAATAGGTGGCACCCACCTTCCGGGTCCCTGAACGGCTCGACAATGTCCGGGTATTGTTGCACCTGCGACACGATGCCAGCCGATGTTACGTGAACGTACGTATACTTTCGACAAAAGCAGCTTGAACGCCATTGACGTGACCATGGTCAGGTAGAGCGAATTAAAGGTTTTGCGCACATCCGTGGAAAGCATCTGGTGCTTCTTGACCCAGAGCGTGAGGTCGTCCTCCACCATCACCTCGAAGAACGCGTATCTGAACGCAGGAGTTACCTTAAGCATGTCGTCGAGAAACAGCAGCAGTACGAGGAAGAACGACTCCTCAATAGGGTCCAGGCTCCGCATGTACGAGGTGATCGCCGCACAGATCTGCCGCAGCGTGTCTCTCAGCCGCGCCAGAAAGTCGGCGCTGAAAATGTCGAGCAGCTTGCATTCGTCCGATGGAGTGAGTGGCGAATTGTGCTTTGAGCAGGATCCGCTGGGCTCCCACGAACCGTTATCGCCGCAGTCGCAGCAGCCTCCTGACGTCCTCGTTAGCCTGTACGTGTGCCCATCATGATTCGACCTGAAGAAGCACTGGACGCATATTGCGCACGTGCTGTCCGACTCGCAATCGTAACACTTGAAAGCGACAGTCTCCTCAAGCCACTTGGTGGTGCAGAGCCCAGTGTTACCTGCATGAATCTGTAAAAACGCAAAACTGCGTGTACAACATGGATGCAATGCGCATCATGGAGATGTCTGCGCCAGACTGACCCATAGGCGCAAATAGCGCCTCGGTAAACAGTTGCGCCTGCATTTGCAGTCGTGTCTGATTCTGCGCTTTCAGACACCAAAGCACTTATACCCTAACGGCAAGCAAAATGCGTACCCAAGCGGTATAATGTACACCGTAACACGCATACTAACCTGTATACTCGATGATCAGCTGGTTGACCTTGTGCGGGTTGCAGTTGGCGTAGAGGTATGCATATATATCCTGGTACACTTGATCCCGGTCGTGGGAATCAAAATACTTATCACCGATGGCTTGAATGTCCAGCGAAGTGTTGGAGGAGCTGGCGCGATGGCGCTTTATCCCCGACGGAGCCGGCATCGCGACGGTTCTTTAGACAGCAGACCGTCAGCGGAAGCGCATCAGTGCAGCAATGCAGTAAACTGCTGACTACTTGGGCACGCAATTGGCCAGGCACCACCCTATTCTACGGTAGCATCGCCTAGTTCCCGCTTTTTTGAAGACGAGCGTCAACTAGGGTTTATTAGCCGTGACCCTAGACGTGCAGCCACTAACGAGCTTGGCATATGCTACGTGGAGCCTATATGGCACATAAATACCAGAGGTGTGCCACAAGTGCTAGCCTGCTCGGAGCAACGTTTGTATATACGATGTCTACGCTCGGTAGATATGAGACAGAACGGCATTTGCAGGTTTCCCCAAAACATGCCGTAAAACCGCAATGCGATTGTTGTAAGCATAATAATGCCGTATCAGAGCGGAATGCTATATGATTAAGGTGTGGGTGCGATACCACCAAAAATTCCATTCGTTGGTGAAACACAAGCTAGTGGCGGCTAAATCGCTGCACCGGTAATAACTAACGCCGTAATTCGAATCTACAGGTGAATTGGTACCAGATAAGAGCGTATAGTACATAGATCGCGCTGATCATTCGTTTGATACGCGCGAGGTAACAGTCGCGCTAATGCACAGCCAAAACCCACAAAGCAACCATCTACACACTACCTTCTACACGGTTATAGACACAAAAGATTGCTCTAGCGCTGAGCAGAGTCGAATGTGTGGTTGCAGACATCGTTTGTGCCGCCAAGCCGCGCCCAGGCATACGCGACGAGCCGTCGGGCCACAACTTTACCCTGCATTCCGCCAAGTCAACATCATATGTGAAAAAAGCGTTTGTAATACCATTTTAAAGATCACAAGTTTTTCTGTACTTTATGTCCGTTGCGCAGAGTCGTTGACAGGGTATTTGTAAAGTTGTTACGCTTCCTTGCATCTCAGGAGGCGGACCATCATTTGTATGGTAGCAAAAAGCTACCGTTGTCGTTGCGTACTGTGAGGAGTGCGCTAATTGTGTCTCAATGAAGCAGCTTGTTAAGTTTAGCCGCTCACGCGCAGACTGGCGCCATATCAGCAGGGCTAACGCATAAAAACCGTCGTTTTGTCGATTTTTTGAAGCTTTGTGTCTCCTAAAATTGTTATATGGGGGATAAAGGTTACACCTATGCGATTTACCGAGGGATTTCCGTCAATCACCGGAGAGAATCAGCAGCGCTGGTATCCCGTCTCTTTTGCACGCCAGTTTGCGGTGTATAGTTTGTAACTTCCAGGGGAGAGGATAGCTAACTAGGCTTTGGGAGTACCCAGGCTGAGAAGGCAATATCACCGGGAGCAAGTCGCGATGTGGTTCCCACTCCTGAAGAATGGCAACAGCGACAAGGAACGCCTGCAGGTCTGCTCACGACGCTTCGACAGCAGTGAGTTAGAGGTGCTGCACAAGCTCTATAAGGAACTGGCCAGCCGGTCGCAGACCAACGGGATCGACAAGGAGACGTTCCTGCAGTACTTCGACCTTCCTGGGCTATGGGGAGAGCGGTTATTCCGGCATTTCGATACTAACGATTCGGGAGATGTGGAACTAGGTGAATTCCTCTCTGGGGTCGCCGCCTGCTGCAGGGGCACCCATACGGAGAAGATATCGGTGCTGTTCCGTATGTTCGACCTCAATGAAGATGGCTGCGTGCAGAAGTCCGAGCTGTTGGCGATGCTGTCGAACTTCCCGGTTATGACGAACCACATGACCAAGTGCGCGCAGCGGCAGACATCGAACCACAGCACGGCCATCCCGTCGAATGTGCCTTCGGCGCCACGGCCAGTCGAGACCACCAAGCGTTCGACGGGTGTGGACAAGATGGATTCGTACGGGAGCATACTCACCGAATCCAAGTGCATTGTACCCGGGTTCGACGAGCCGATGCTTGTGAAAAGGACCGAATCGAACCCAATGGGTTGGAAGGACGTCGCATCCTCTATCAGCAGGATATCGCTGCAGTCGAGGGTCTCCATCGACTTCCAGTCTAATGTGGATGTATCGGCTACTGACTCCACCGACTCTCCGAAACAAGACGATGCTTCGGCGAATGACCAATCCGGAGAGACAAACGCAGGTGACAAGGATGACAACACTAAACCGCCGTCTGAGGCGGATACCTTGGAAACTACGGGTCACGTCGATCAGCTGCCCAGTGTTATGTCGCTTAGCGACAATAAAGCTGAAATGGATGTTTCGCGTGGAAGCAGCACTTCGGAATCTGGTCACAGTTCACCTTCCAGACGACGACGACGCAGCAGCAACGATTGCACCGGCCAAGAACAAAGTGACTCGTGCCCTGCCGGCGACGACGGCAAGTCGGTAAGCGACAATGTCTCAGGCCTCAAAGGCGGGGTGAAGGACGTCTGCCGAGCCTCAGGAGAAACGGGTGAGGTAGATGCTCCGATCCAATCGCAGAGTATCCGTGTATCGGACCTACAGGATACCGACGAATCCATTATCGCAGCGAATGCCATCATCGAGCAGGAACGACTCGCCACCGGCGATGGCACATCCTTGGACGTTTTGGTCGAGGATATTCTGGAGGACTGCCAGTTCAGCTCGAATGGCAGCTTCGATTTCTCAGGGTTCAAGGCGTGGTTATGCAAGAACACGTCCGTGCTGTCAATGTTTTCCGAATATTTACACGAAGAGGTCTGGGGATTACGGGGAAATGCGTTCATGATGTCGCGCGAAAATAACTCGCTGACGAGCGTAGATGCAAATATGAGCCGCCGACCCTCTGTTCAGTATGACCAGACTGAAGGCCATCAGAGCAGTCGCACCGATCCAGAGCGCCCAGACAAGGTGGTACAGCGCATGGTGTACCAGATGTTCCTGACCAACGGCAATCAGTCGAGGGCGTTCGAGGACAGCATGTCATGCCTGGATAATATTGTCAGTGATGACCTTCTCAACTACCTCCAGCAGGCCTCCACTAGCACGCCGACCGCAGCTGGCGTGAAACCGCACCATGCCGACACTGAATCAGTTAACCAGAAAGACAGTGCAGAACTCAACGAGCCTCCCGTGGCGGTATCGTTCAGCAACCAGTTGCTGTCGTGCCCCAACTGCGCGACTGCGCTGTTCATGTGCCCGGTGTGCTTCAAGAGGCACGATGTACTCACGCTACATGTCGGCACTGCCGTCCACGTGGAGTGCAAGAATTGTGCCAAACAGGGCACGATATCGGTGTTCACCCGGTGCTGGATCTGCAACTGGGATTTCTCCGAAGCGTTGACATTGGCGCTCTCGGAACATCAAAAGGGTACGCCGGACGCCGATCAGAACAAAGACTTGACTGCCCCGGTGGTCAAGGCTGCGACCGCGCCGTGCTCCGGTATTCTGCGAGAAAAGGGGAGGTCGCTGATTCGGCCAACCATTAGCGTGTCGTGCAGCAGCAGCACCTCCGACTCCAGGAGCGAGGCCAACAGCATCGATGAGACGGCTGAAGCGCCTCGTAGCATAGCCGAGTGGCCGAGACCTGTCGTCAAGGTGCCGCAAAAGGCTGGCTACATGTACAAACGGGGGAGACATTTTTACACCTGGGAAAAGCGGTACTATTTGCTCATTGACAACGTGCTGTACTACTATGTTAGTGAGGACAGCACCACGCCCAGAGGCTGCATTTTTTTGGAGGGGTGCTACCTCGACTCACTGGCAGACACCGATGCATCGAACATGTTCGGCTTCTGCATTTGCCACAAGGGGCAAAAGAACGCTAGACGCAAGCTGTACGCGCCAACTCATGAGGAATTTTTGCAATGGGTGGACGCGCTATCGGCTGCCATGAAGCAGCAGAGCCTCATGCAGATGTACACCGTCTGTGAGCAGCTTGGCCACGGCAAGTTCAGTGTGGTCTATCGCGCCATCAACAACACCTCCGGTGAGGAATTCGCCGTGAAGATCGTGGACAAGACCAGAATCAGCCAGCAAGAACGTGAGCTGCTACGTAGCGAGATTGCTATCCTGCGCTTGCTGAGGCACCAGCACGTCATCTACCTCAAGGATGTGAGCGACATGCGCGACTCGCTATACATCGTCATGGAGCTTGTTCGCGGCGGCGAACTGTATGACCTGATAACCCAGCGTCACCGTCTTACGGAAGCGCACACCCACAAGATCATCTGCCAGCTGCTGCAGATCGTTGCCTACCTCCACAAGTGCGGCATTATCCACCGCGACATCAAGCCGGAGAATATTCTACTCACCGACAAAAGCGAGGCAGCGACGATCAAGCTGACGGACTTCGGCCTCTCGACGCTGTGCGGCCCTAACGAGCTGCTGACGCAGCCCTGTGGAACACTGGCATACGTTGCCCCGGAGGTCCTCACGCTGCAGGGATACAACCAGAAGGCTGACGTCTGGTCTATTGGTGTTATTATGTATCTGCTATTGCGAGGAAGGCTGCCCTTCTCCATAAAGCAGCCACTAACCCTCGACCTGAGTGGGCACTACCGCGTTCATTTCGACGGGCACCAGTGGGATACGGTGTCCACTTGCGCCAAGGACCTGATTATGAAGATGCTTCAGCCGAACCCGGCAGCGCGCATAAGCGTGTTCGAGGCGCTGGAGCACATCTGGGTGAGCAACTTCGTCGCGGTGAACCACGACGAGGTGTACACCGGCGTGGGGGATATCGAGACGACCAAGGAGCTCATCAGGTCTTTGCGCTACGCCACAGACACCACTTTGGTGATTCCGTACAGCGACAGCTGCGCCCACAACCTCCATGCGCTGGAGGCGGAGGAAGCCGAGGCTGGGCTGACCACCGTCCATGAGTGATGGCGAAGCGGTCCCGCGGCCCAGGGCTCCTGGACCTTCCGCGGGGGCCGCTGCGGCACATTGTGTCGATGGATCCCGCGGGATTCGCGCCTGTCTGCCGCGAACTCTACTCGCTGGCGGTGCTGGAGCGGCCGGAGGTCTGCGTGCCGCGCGGTATCCAGCTCGGCGTCCGCTCTGAGCGGCTGCTGAACACCGTTTTCAAGTATGTAATGCCTGATTCTTTTCATGTGTCGTAGATGTGTATGCGTGCGGCTGCTGGATGTGTCTGGTTGGGAGCGGTGGAACGACCGTCTGGTTCAGCGTCTCGCGCTGTGCCACCGTATGGGCCAGTTCCGGTGTCTACGAGCTCTGCTGATGCGTGGCTGCAACGAAATCTCCAACAATGCCGTCAGTGGGCTTTTGGATGCTCTGGGCGGCGAGTTGCATTACCTAGACCTTAGCGACTGCGCCAAGCTGGGTTCTGCATGCCTTCCACCCACTCTAAACAACCTAAAGGTAGGCTATCGTAACTTTGTGGTTCATATACTGATTGATGTTGTCTGTATAATAACATTTCCTCACTATCCGGTTCAAATTAGTGCCCTCGTTTCGGCGATAGGTTGCTTGCTGGCGAAAACGTTGATGTTGAGATTGCATACACCAGCACTCTTGCAGGTAGTAGATAGGTGATAGCACATCCATGTATGTGCCTTAGTGTCAGCATGGTGCACATTATGGCGTGTGAAAGTGTCATTTCATATGTACAGGTACTGCTCATTGGGTTTCAACGCAAACGCGGAAACCTCGCAGATGGAGACTTAATGGCCCACATCGTTGGAGGGAAGCGCGTATTTACGCCCCGTCTGGAGTGGCTCTCGCTGCAGCACAGACTTGAAGTCAAATCGCTGAGAGGGATCGGACGCCTTGCTCCCACCCTAAGGGTGCTGGATTTACGCGGGTGCAGCGAAATACCACCAGAGGAGTACACGCATTGCGCATCTTTGGCACGACTAGAGGAATTATACGCTGGAACCGCGCTCACCAGCGAGGTGTTATGCAATATCGCAAAGGGCTGCCGTGCACTCAGGGTGCTTGACGTGTCGGGGTCGGATGTTTCCCCGGATTGCGTCAATGCCATCTGTAGCCATCTGAAGGCTCTCGAAAAGTTAAAGCTTGCGAAGTGCACGGCGCTCACCAACCAAGACATCTGCCGACTGCTAGAATCACTGCCGATGCTGAGCCTGCTGGACGTATCGCACTGCTGGAAACTCTCGGACTCCCTAGCAAACACACTGCCGCCAATCGCATCTAAAGGTATAAGCTATCTTATTTACTTATATTATGCCTACAGGTGAATTAAATTTGGGGGTTTACAACTGCTCGATCGACCACACACGCCTGGCAATGGCGATAGAGGACCGGCGTGCCCCTACATCTGGCCCGGTTCGCATTTTGCGGCACCAGGAATTAAACGTCCTCCCATCAGCGAAGTACGTGAGGGAGTAACACAACAGCTGCCAAAAAAAGGAGCATCTTGGAACAAAAAACCGCGAGGTTGTAAGTTGGCCCCGCTCTGCAACGGCGTGGCGCCACCATATATCGTGAACCTACTGTAATTGTAGAACACAGCTATCTCCGGCGTGTACAAATATCTCTGTCACTTCAAGCAGACGCGTGAGCGGTTCTGTAAGGCGTTGAGTCCCAGCCGAGCCACGTGTAATACATGCAACGACCACCTACCGCGCATGGTGTACCAACGCCACTTCTTATCGCTGCTCGCGACCACGAGCCGCGCGTAGAACATTGAGGCATTCTCCACCTCCTCGGATGTGGGATCTTCGCCCACAACCATAATATTTGAGAAGTTTGACGCGAAAAGATGCTGCGCCTCGGCACTGCAGTCCTGCAACTGTCGTCGCGCTACGATCGTGCATATGTGCAGCAGCTGGCAGCACAAGCAATAACGGTCCAGATCCGTCAGATCTTTTCCAGCCAGTTCCTTGGCTGCCGTGAATTCTGGCACCAGCGATTCGCGGGCAACTGACTTCTGCGCGATCGCATGCTGTAGACGGCCCAGAGCCGCGGATTCATTTTGCTCTTGGGAATCAGGGAAGATAAAGTCGTCCCTCACGATGCGGTACTGGGAAGTGCACCAACCGTGTCCGCTGCTTATCGCCGGGCCCACCGATTCCACGCGCTCAACGCCACTTGCATGTACCGTGAACGGCATGTGGTTGTCCTCAGCGCTGTTGCCCAACTCAGTATCTCTAAGCTTGGCCAGCGTGCCGAATTGCCTCTTTTTAGTATCGTTGCATAGCAGGAGCAGCATACCTCCTCGACCCTGCGAGTGTTTTGCATCGTAAGATATGCTGCACCCACTATGGCAAACTGCAGCATCTGGGTCACGTCCGCCTTCCTCATTGTGAAGGACGTTCGCTCTCCGCAGAACACCTGAGTGTAACTGATGGTTCGAAATAGGACGACTTACAGGCGGGTCCCCCCGGTCGCAATAGACCACGGGCAGCTGCCCCTCGTCGTCAAAGCGCTGTTCGCCGCAACGACGACGGTAGCGTTCCTCATCCGCCTGCGCATTGGCGAGCAACTCGGTCTCACGTTCGCGCACTTCGTTTGCGAACATCTCGCCAATTACTTGCATCAGCAGCGTGTTGGTGGCGTACCCCATGGACAGCGGCGCACGGCATAGTGGGCATTTTGCACTGTACGCTGTGACCTGTAAAACCATAGGCACAAGTTGATATGACCTGTATGTGGAAATGCTGTCCATTTAAACCACCGGCTGTTCTGCATGTAAACTCACCTGATCCACGCAAGCCTTGCAAAAATTGTGGCCACATACTGTCGTCACCGGGCGGAAGAGCAGCTTAAAACAAATCTGCAACGAATAAAAACCAGATTGCGATGGCGTGCATATTAACTACATACAATGGATAGGGTTGTGAACCAACAATGTGTGAAGTTCATGTAGATGTACCACTAGGCCAAAGGCTGCAATTCCTGTAGTTGGATGCAACGAATATACCTGAATGAGGCCGGAACAAACACCCATATGGCGGCCCACCAGTCATACTACAACGCATCAAACACCCTAGCAAGTAACATTTAGACATGACATTCTAACAAGCATACGCAGCAGGGTTACAGAGGCCACCCGTTGATACATTTATGGTTGGTAAAATCATCGTTACGAAACTGCTGTTAACAAAACAGACCGAACTGAACACTGTCACCAAGGGTAAAGATAGGTTTACGACTGCTATACCATGAGAGTCTACGCAACATGCCGAAGCATAAGACAACACTGCATTGACTTCCACCGGCGTAACGGAATTTGCATCCCAGATCGCAAGCAAAGGGACGACACTAGAGCACACATTTGGCAAAAATAACGCACGTTGCTACGAAATAGGCAATGTGTAACATTCTTACCGGGCATTCGAAGTCCTGCGGGATAGTCATCTTTACCAGATTCGCCTCGACGCGCTGGCGGAGGGAGCGACCTCAGGAGGCGCCGCGGAGGCATTGACTTCCACGAAACACACTTACTATTGCTGCAGCGTCAAGTGAGATTATTGAGCGAGGGTTATCACTACCATTCTCCAATGAGCCCCCGGCATCCCAACGCCGCCGCCCAGTCGCCACGTGACCAGTAGACAGAAAGTCTTCAGTATTAAATACAGCCACAAGAACGTTGCTTTTGTTAGGTAAGTTTTATGTGAGTTTGTTTTGGTGGAGTTTTAACCGTATATGTGCCGCAACAGCTGAGTCTGACGGCCACGGCACCGGTGGCGCGACGCGCTTTCGAATATCCAACTGCCTTTGGTCCGGGTTTTGTAGGGGATTTTTGTGGTTTCGTACGGGCTGATTTGGGCACATATACTTCCCAGACGGACCCTGTCTACTGGGACGTGGTGACTTGTGAGCGCTTGTATCATCCGAATCGATGTTCGCGCCGTTGCCGTTGTGTCATGGATATTGGTATCGGGTACCGTATATGAATGTTTATGCAAACGGCCCGCGAAAATGCCCGTGTCTAACGCATCCACAGCATGGCCCGTAGCCGGCTTATGCGCCTCGTAGCGTCAGTGATCTCTCCTTTTATGGCCCATCTACATAATGTCAATGAGCTTATGCATATAATCGTGGTTTAATTGAACGCAGATTGTTAGCAAGCTCTCAAGATGGCTGACGGTGGAATTAACCATACCTCCAAGTCGAGCTTCACCTTCAATGTCAATGCCGCGGAATTCACGCCCAGCGGCTCCTGGTACAACTACGACCAGCAGGAGGAGAAGGAGGTGACGGAGAAGCTAGAGGCTCTCGATGTAAACGAAGGGGAGTCAGCGCCAGAGGAAACGGAGCCCGTAATCGCAGAAGTGCCAGAGGAGAAGCCAGCACCACCTACCGAAGTGAAGGAGTTGTCGACTAAGAGGAAGGGGGGCTCCGGTGACTCAGGAATACCTCCACCAGATCCAAGGCAGCACCTCAATATCGTCTTCATCGGCCATATCGACGCCGGGAAGTCGACGACGTGTGGTAACATCCTATACCTCTGCGGATACGTGGACGAGCGCACCATCGAGAAGTATGAGCGTGAGGCCAAGGACAGGAACCGTGAAAGCTGGTTCCTCGCATTCATCATGGACACCAACGAAGAGGAGCGCCAGAAAGGCAAAACCGTGGAGGTGGGGCAGGCCCGTATCGAAACCGCAAACAAGAGGTTCACGATACTGGACGCTCCTGGCCACAAGAACTACGTGCCCAACATGATCTCGGGCGCTACCCAGGCGGACTGCGGTGTGCTCATCCTGTCCGCCCGTAAGGGTGAGTTCGAGACCGGGTTCGACCGTGGGGGTCAGACTCGCGAACACACGTTGCTGGCCAAGACTTTGGGGGTGAGCCACCTTATTGTGGCGGTTAATAAGATGGACGACCACACCTGCGACTGGTCCGAGGCTAGGTACAATGAAGTAGTCCAGAAGCTACGTCCTTTCCTCAAAACGTGTGGTTTTGTCGAGGGTCGTAACCTCAACTTCCTGCCGATATCGGGTCTCGTAGGTCAGAATCTCATGCACCACGTCTCAGACCCCTCCTACAAAGGATACTGCCCTAAGGCCGCCTGGTATCCACAGACAATGCCGACACTCTTCCAGCTTCTTGACGGTATAGACACGGCCGTTTTCGACGACAAGGCCGCGCTACGTATCCCCGTCACCGGCGCCTACAGGGACAACGGTGTCATTTGCATGGGTAAGGTGGAATCCGGTACCGTAACGTCAGGTCAAACGTGCATTGTCATGCCGCAAAAGGTCAAGGTGAAGGTGCAAAATGTACTGTTCGATGAGGAGGAGTTCGCCTACGCGAAACCCGGTGAAAACATCAGGCTGCGCATCGTGGGACTTGATGAGGACCAGATCAGCAAGGGAGCCATCATCTGTGACGTCGACAGGCCGTGCCCCGTGGTCACCGAGTTCATTGCCATGGTACAGGTCATCGACCTGCTCGAGCACAGGCCGCTCATCACCTCGGGTTACTTCTGCGTCATGCACGCCCATAGTGTGGTCGTTGAGATGCAGTTCCACAAGCTGCTCGAGACCACCGACAAGGCCACCAAGAAGAAGAAGCTCAACCCCACCTTCGTGAAGAACAACACCCTCGTCACCGCCCACCTCAAGGTCTCGTCGCCCATCTGCCTGGAGGTGTTCGACACGTGCCAGCAGCTGGGAAGGTTCACCGTGCGCGACGAGGACAAGACTATCGCTGTGGGCAAGGTGCTCAAAATCGTCAACACGGAATGAGCGTCAACCAGTCATGCTAATTCACTACTAGAATAACTACATTATGCGGCACCAGTGCCATTAGGTTGCGATACTGACCCATGTAACGCGATTTGGACAGTACATGGACGAAGCGTGTTCAGTTATCCCACAGGTGGCCCTTGATCTGGAACTTGCGCGCCTTCTGCAGGCGGATGTTGTTCAGCTTTATGAGGTGGCGATTGTGCAGCCGCCGGAAACGGTTGTAGTCGCGCATCTGCGCATCCTCGATGCCCTTGCCGTAGACGAACATCTGCAGGAGCTCTCCGTAGGTCTTGTCCGGCTTGTCCAACTGCCACAGCCAGGATGGGTACGCCTCGTCCGGCAGCATCACGTGATCCTCCGGAATTCCGGCGTAAATGTTGAACAGGTGCTCATCGCCTGCGCTATCTGCAGCAGCAGCGGTCACGCGCTGCGTGTCTGCGGCGCCCTTCTTCCCCTTTTGCTTAGGCGCGTAGCAGATGCATCCCGTGTGGAGTTGCCGCTGCAGCACCGGCATCTGCCGCGCCAGGCCCGCAACGTGGCGTAAGAAGGACATTACGAGACCAGGCAGAGATGTTCCCGCAGCGCCGATGCCTTCGCCTCGTCACCTTGCAATTGACGCCACCACCGATAGGGGATGTGTAGCAGACGGAAGCCCATGCCCGCAATCAGTTCATGGCGCCTATGGCATAGTTAGAGATTATGCACACATTGGCTTCGAAAAGGCGTAAGTGGATCCAAGAAGACGTATAATTTTAGGAAGGAAAACACGACGGAGGAATCCAGACATGACCCGCCGCGCTCACCGCACACTACGGTTTTTGCCAAAAATAGCGCTTCATTTGAGACACATGCACTTTACACGTGAAACCAGAACTTACCTGCGAGCCATAGCAGTGAGATGTGTGGTACCGTGGTAGTATTGGTGCTCGGTGTTGATCTCGATGACGGTGTTAGACTTGGGTTCATAAACATCCAGAATGAAGGGACCTGAATGACACGTGATACAGATACGTTAGCAGTAACCCACCAGCCCTCATGTAGTTGCGATGTGGTACGCCTAGGAGCGTCAACACCCTGCTCACGTCCTCGTGGTATGGGCAGCGTACAGCCCTGGCAGCAGTACTACTACCACCAGCAGCCGAGCCAGACATTTGGGACGCATCGTGATCCAAGCGGTCATCATCTTCGTCATCCGATACGGCTGAATTGCACTCATCAGTCACCATAGATGTCGAAGTGGCATCGGCCAGCTTCTTGGCCAACGTCTGCTGCCGGACGTCGATGAGGAATTGCTTGGTTGCGTCATCAAGACGGCCGTACACTTCCGCTTTGAATAGCCGTATATATAACTCAATGACCTCCAAGTGGCGCGTGTAGTGGCGAAAGTGTTGACGGTGATACTCGCATTTTTCCAGGAATGAGGGTATCATGTCATCAGCAAACATTTCAAGTATCGTGATGGCCTTCAGCCGCGTACAATCGGTTGCTGAATGTTTATAACGTAAAAAAGGGGGGACTGTCGTACCTGAGAAAAAATCGATGCGCTTCGCCAGTACATCACGCAAAGGTTGCAACAGTAACGAATCGCAGACCCCAAGCTTCGCCAGCGAATTAGCTGCCTGAATTGTCATTTAATGTTTATCAATATACAGAAGGGTAAACTATGTCGGAAGTCAGAATAGGACCTCTGCCGGAGGGCACGATGCAGTCAACGCAAATTGTTCTGCTCGACAACAGTCTAAATAGGCCCCCAATTGGGGTACAAATAGTCATGCCATGGCACTCATGCCTATGTAGAACAGTAGATGGTTTCACGTCGGCGAAAACTGTATAACCTACCTTCACCAAGAAATTGTTACGCAGCACCGGCCAACACAGCACCATCTCGTAGAGATCGTCGTACAGGCGCTGATCACGCAACCGCAGCCTTCCCAGCGCCTACACCGATTTAATACAGAATTTAAACGAAAGTGTGAAAGGACTGTCGTAAATATGGATTACGCGCGAAATGAGCAGACCATCGATCACAATTACAACTTGAAGGCATCGGTGAGGACCATCCGACACGAGATGTTGGTTCATTAAAAACTCATACACATGTCGCACATAGATCGTAACATACCTGGAAAAGAAAGACGTAATGCTTAGGTTTCATCTCTGCTCGGCGGCGATGGATGTGGTCGACCAAAGCACGCACGTGGTCCGTCGGTGTAAGCTGGACCTTCGAGACAATTTGGAGAAAGCGCAACAGAGACCGGATGCAGACGTTAGGAGCAATGGTATTAACTCTCATCAAAAATGCGTCCCAAATCTTATCATCGATATTGCATGTGGCAATCGATTTGCGGGCTTCATTCATCATGACAAAACGAAGATCAAGTGAATTCAAGGCAGCCACCTCTTCCGGGGTGGGAGACACGTAACCAGCTTTCAGCCTGTTGACATGTATATGCCATTGTGGAGATTGTGCTGACATACCAATATGCCTTTGGCGCAATTCGGGTCTTCGGGGAGGAGCGCAAAGCTTCCTGCTGCTCCTTGAGCAACTGCGATTCAAGGTTCCGGAGTTTGCTGCCCATGCCATCGAATTTCCTCTCGCGGTCGCGAAAAAACGAGCTGTAGAATTCTTCCTCCGTCATGTCATAGATGGACTGCGCAACCATATAGTATACTTTCCGAAAGTGCCGGTTGGACAAAGGCGTTGCATAAGACGCTCACGTAACAATGGCTTTACCGTACACTTTACAGAATGTCACAAAAAGATATGCATGGCATCAGTGCCTTTAAATGGAAAGTACCTTGGACTCACCTTGTTCAAAAAATGGAATTGTTCCACCTTCGGCCTGCGCTCAATGTCGACGTCGTCCATGCTAAATTCCTTGATGTGAGATTCCGCTACAATGTCGCGTGGGTTCCACGATGCTTTGCCGTGTTCGGTCAGCATTTGACGCTTTATCATTTTTTTCGCCCGCTTCTTTCCGTATTTCGCCTCCAGGTCGGCAGGCTTAATGGTAGCCTTCACATGATTTCGCACCTGAGAAAAAGTTAATCTGGCCAAAATGAACGTGGTTAACATACTTCATGGGGTTTTAATTTATCATACTCCTCTTTTGTGACAAAACGCGTTCGTTTGGCCTCCAAAAATTCCTTCTGACTTAGAACCCGGCCGCTGACGTCAGAGTTCTCGTCCGTTATGTCCACCACCGACTGGGTACGTGTTACCTTGACGCCATCATCCGTACTTTGGAGCTTGATATACTTATCATCACTCTGGGATGTCGGAGCAGGCTGTGACGTCTTGAAGGCAGCAGTGGTAAGCCGTCGACGAGGTGCCAAAGTGCCGACAGTCATGGCGGGGAAAGCCACACTTTGCCATCTCCACGGACGGCACGCCTCTGCAACCAGGAGCGGTATCTGTCTTTCGAGGAAAAACGTGAACGCCATGTCAGATGTGTACGAAATCGCGAATGAGGGTCATCAAAGAAAGATAGCAGTAAGAACGATTAACCAGTAGCTGCTATAAGTGATGACACTATCATATGTACGCGCATTTTTGCCCTTCCTTTCCACATAGTTCAGATAATGAAGGAATCCTCCCTCCAAAGTACCTTCCGTCAAGAGAATGCTACACACCACGTACACATTTTATAACTAGAGTGCCAAGATTATAGCAACATGTTGTTGAATTCATACCATGAATTCAGCGCAACAGTAATGAAGTTTGCGCCGTGTCTAGTGAACGCAGCGCATACAATAGCGGAATAAAGGCGATCACTGCCTTCCACTCAAACAATGGAACGCCGTCTCAGTTGGCGTATTTAAAGAGGCTTTGAATGATGAAGTCAGCCTTTTCATCAACAGGCAGGTGCAAACCAAGAGATGAAAGAGCGGTCACCAAGGCGCGTCGTAGTCGGAATCGTAATTAACCTCTGGCTTTACTTCGGCAACAGTCGCCACGTTAGGCAATCCCAGTCTTTCTAGCAGAATCTTCTCGAAAAAGTTATACATTTCCATGGATACAATGCCGTTGCCCATCTTGAAGTCGTTTGGTAACCCGGCCAACCCCTGCTGTCGGCCAAACAGATCAAGCAGGGCGCCGATGTCCTCAAACAGACCCTCACGTTCCACCAGCTGGTCCTGGCCGCTATAGGCTCCTACCTTGTATCCATGCAAACCAAATTCACCAATCCATATCGCGGATACGGCGTCGAAGATGGATACATGATCCCTGAACATTAGACGAGCGTGCGCCTGCGACAGACGGAGCAGACTCTCCACAGTACGGATCGTCGGTCCGCCACGTGAGCCGCTGTCCAAAGCCTGCTGACGCGACACCATATAGTAGGCGTGGATTACCTTCCTAGCGGCCACAGTCAAGGTGGGAAACAGGTTGGCCCTAATGTACTCAATGTATTCCTTCATCGCACCATTCGCATTCCAATTAAAGGATCTTTCTCCTTCAGACTGCTCTAATTTCACGTTTTTTAGAAGCTTGTGCTGAGACCCGGCCCGTTGTGACTGGCTCCCATCGTTGGCAAATTCGGTCTCATCATCTTCCTCTTCCGACGTATCTTCCTCATCTAAATCGTCATCGATTTCACAATCATACTCATCGCATGTCGATGAGTCGCCTGAGACGTCCATAGACCCCTTTAAACTACGAAGCGCCCTCGACTTAGCGTCGCGGAGCGGGGCCTCACAAGTGTCCAACAAAAAGTCAACCAATTCCGAATCGTTCAATGGATTCTCCGTAAAAATCATTACCAGATCAAACCTGGATAACAGCGGAATAGGTACATCTACAGAGAGCAAAGGATGATTAGAATGCGTTCCACCCGATGAGTCATCTCTGTTAACGTACCTCCGAATCATCTGCATTTTAAAATTTGAAGCAGCAATGACACTGCATCGACAGTTGAGAGAACACTTTATACCAACTTTGGCCACAGATATCACCTGCTGTTCCATGGCTTCGTGCAGACACGCCTTGTCGTCGGGGTGGATGAGCGAAAACTCGTCGATGCAACACAATCCACCATCCGCCAGTGCCAACGCACCAGCGGCAAGCATCGTGTGGCCGCAGTCCCGTACCACAGTGCAAGTGAGACCCGCTGATGTGCAGTGCGTACCAGAAACGGAAACGTGCCGATCGACAAGACTCTTTGCAAATCTCAAAAATTGCGACTTACCGGTACCAGGATGGCCCAAGAACAAGATGTGGCACTGAGTGCGAGTTAGCCGTGTTGCTTTAGAATCGCAGGATGGGGAAGCAGCCGGAGATGCCATTCGGGGAGACGTATCGGTAAAGGAACGGTCTCCAGAAAACTTGGCCCAACGATTTACTTGTGTTTCCTCCTCAAATGGCGTCGTGTGAACGGGGAATCCTCCTAATACGAGATGGATTTGGGGGAGTTTATATAACGTACCTATCACGGTGAGCAAAAGGCCCAACTTCGCATTATCCACCCCCGCCATGGTCGTGCATATTGGCTTAAGCAGGATGTTCCTGCCAGCAACTTCGTCATTACGATACTTTGCCCAGAAAGGCGAATATATGTTGTCCTCAATTTTCGTGATAGGGTTCAGTGGTGGAGGCTTGTGCAAATTGATGACGTTTAGGTTGAGGGCATCCAAAAATATCTGAGATACACACCTGAGGAAATGTTAGGTTGCCGAATACGATTTGAACACGAATTTTAAAACAGGGACGACCAGCAAACACAAACGAGGTAAAACAAATACGGAAAACATAATGATAAATGAACAGTTGGCATGCAATCCAAGTCAATGGCCATTGGGGGTAATGAATCGCGCTCAACGCATAGCAATGTGACCACATATTGAGTCATGACTCGAGCATTTACGCATCATTCGAGTGCAAAAATTACCTCTTCCCGCTGCGAAGGGTCCTCCAGCGCCGCTTAACCATGCCTATCAAATGAATTGTGTCGCCGGGCACGCATGTTCCGGTTATATCGCGCCGTAATACCACCGGTATAGCAACACCAATGGAGTTTAGTCTCGAATCCTCTGATATGGATTGGCATCGTATTTCCTGCAGATCCGTCCTCTTGACGGCAACGCCCTGAACAAAAGTGTCCCCGAAACACCTCGGCCGAAATGTGCCTTTTGTTGTTTCCAAATAATGCGGGCATTTGGATGGAGCCACAATGAAATAGTGTAACTCAGGAACCGATCGAGCCAATACGCTTTGGTGGCAACGGACGCATCGGTACTCTCGTTCCTCATCCAGGACGGAAATAATTCCAACCCTGGTCACAGTGCACACCAAGCTTACCAGACCTCCCACATCCTCCTCCCTTATATGGTCGACCCTGTTCTTCCACACGGGCGATATTGGCGGAATGTTACGCAACCGAGTTGTGAACTGGAGATTCTTGGAAACACGTTTTGTCTCGGGTACTTCGAGAGTGTTTTTGCAGTGCAAGTCATTCAAAGTGCGGTCCAAATACTTCGAGACGGATTGTGAGTCAGTACATAAGGAGTCTATATCGTATTTTTCATGGAAGGTCTCCACAATAGCAACTGGATTGGGACTGCAACCATCCTCAATCAACTTTTCTAGCAATTCGTAAAGCAGCGGTAGCACCCGCAAGTCCAACAAACGTAGCAGCACATCAGGCGCCGTCATCAGGTCCGAACCCAACGCAGGGGCGTCAATGATCAGTTTCATCACGTCGATAAAAACACTGCGATAATGCTTCGTTATCGTATAGCGCGAATCATCGGTAGAACTACCCACGGGCGTACGCGAGTTTGTACCCTGCGAATAGCCAGCGGACGGGGGAATCCTCTTCGGTGTACAAGTCTCAGAATTCGGATCCACACGACCTTCGGTAATGGCTTCATACATGGGTTCCGTCTTAATGCCGCCATTGGTCACTAACTCGCTGGCGTATCCAGAGTCCCGATACGGTGAAGCTTCAGGTGTGGAAGCATTGTTGATGCCCCCAGGTGAATTCCCCCGTACGTATGAAGTGCGAGGGGTGCTGGCTTCCGAGTCACACCGAGACGGTGACTCCGAGGACAAGAATTGCGACGACGTAATATCCTTCCCATCGTTATAAAAGCTCGTCGATGACTGCAAATCGTAGTGATGAGTAGGCACTGCGTAGTCGGTGCAAGTAGATACTTTTTTCAACAGCGAACAATCCTCATATTGATTTATGCATAGCATATCGAGATATTGCGATAGCAAATCTTCATCGCTTACAATGTATTGGATGAACCCATTCACATAATAAGAAACTGGAGATGCCACTATGTCACATATACGCCCCCCCTTCTTGGATGCTGTGTCTTCCCTGTATCCCAGCGGTGGTAAAAGCAGCCCTGGGAAGAAAAGCTGCTCGACCACCGCATTAACAGCGGATTGCTGCCTGCCGGACGCATCACGTCGGTACGTATTCTGCTTCGGAAATGATTCACGTGGCGTAGTATTTTTGCTCATGACAGCAAGGCGTGAGCTCCCCTTCAGAATAGCACAATTTTACTCACTACACCAGGTCAATTAGACCAAACATGTATCCTCAAAGTATATATATCGAATTTCACAGAGGACGAGAAGATTGAAGCCGCAACAATTGTAGCATGAGAATGTCGCGTTAAACGACTACATAGAATTAATTAAAACGGTCCAAACTACTTCACGGGCTGCTTTAAGAGGTCACACATCATAATGGGTTAGATGTGTAGCATGGCTGGATTATCTTGACCGGTCTACACACCTAACTAGCTGCTGGCTAGCCACGCTCCCCAACGAAATCAGTGTGTAAACTTCAAACGTCTTCGCGTAGGATATTGGCACACTGTTTTTATTTTGTCCATACTTGTTACAAAATCGATAATTTTAGCGCTTGGTTGCAAACTCCGATAGCGAAACCGCTTTTTTTTTATCAGCGCTTGATTACATCACTGTGTATCACATTGCTCTATACAACGGTTAAACGGACGCACATACACGTCTAAAGTTCAGGTTCAGCAGTAAACACGCTTAATTGTGGAATATTTGGCCGATGAAGACGAAGCCCATTAATATTGTGGATTGGATGTAGCGTCAACGCCTTACCACCTTACATATAAAGCTATGATGTTCTCTTTAAATCCCGAATAGCTAATTTCGGTTACTAATTGGGTCATGGTACTGGATTTGTGAACTTGCGGCAACACATTCAATCCATTGTTGCTGCATTCCAGTGTTGTGTTGGCTACACATAGGGGTACAGAATGTGATAGTTTAGAAGATCAGTTATAGGATAAATTGCATTGTCATTTTTAGCCTTTTTATGTATTTGTGAACTCGTATCGCGTTGTTAGCGGGCATTCTACACACAACTGTGGCATCAAATGTAGGCGGTGACTTCATTGCGCTTATTATTACTGATGTGCGTGCCGAGTGACAGACACCACAAAAATATGCAACAGCTACCTTGTTGTCCAAATCCAGAGCGCGATTTGTTCCTACCTCAAATCAAATCTGTCGTAACAATGCTAAGATGGAATCCACACTGTCTACATGTATTGTGTTCAAAGTGAGCAGGGAACAACTAGACTGTGGCATGAAATGCACTCGTTTCCGATATAGCACAGAAGTTCTGGATCATCACATCAGTCCGCCGACGATTCCCTAAGACACCCTTCAATAACTAACAGATATCAAGGTCAGATCAACAGCGGATTTGTAATGCAGTAGTTTTAGCGAACGCCACAAAAACTTGAATCCTCAATACACCCGTGTTACTAATGCAACAGCCGCATATACAACTTAGGTTGCTCTTGTTCGGTAAACGGAGACGCCCGACGCGCCCCTGTTTCTTGCCCACAGGATTCTACTACATTGAGGTTAAACGGTCGTTGCGATAAAACGATGGTGAGTAGGCTACGTGAAACCATTGCAAGTTTTATGACGTTTTTCGATAGTAAAGGTCGTATGTGTCTCGCAGACTCCTGGTGTTGTCCATAACTCTCTCGAATGGCCATTTCCTATAGATGATCATGTAACATACAACGTTAACACCAATGACAATAAGGAGCAAACAAAGTACAACGACGCCGGGTACCCATTCGTCCCCCATCTTCCCCTCAGCTGATAAACAACCCTGCGCAGCAATGAGCAACGTACCTGGCCGGCCTAGTGGCAGCTGGCAGCGGGATTCCCAGCCGCTTCAGGCGTTATGCTGAATGGTATCTCTCTAATTAATTTTATTAATTAAATATATGTGCATCATACGGTTCGGATTGCGAGAAAGTGTTGAGAACGCGCTGCGTAGTGGGCAAACGGATCGATTACGCATTCTGCTCATCGCGAAGCGCCGCGGGCCTGCAATACCTCATGACACATTATTTATGTGTTGTATTAAAATATAAACAGTAATTGCTGAGCCTCGCACATCTACGTCGTTGCGCAGATCTGCGTGTTGCAGAGTGTAAACGTTAAAGGCTCCATAATCTACGTTACGTAAGGGAATACCGAAACATTTGCCACTGTTTTATATTTAACGTCGTTGCGACAACATCGTCCTGTGATTCTAACATTGGTCAATGTTCTGGCATCACCCAGAGCCACGCCACTTCGCATCCCTCGGCCGCGAACACAATAATTCATATGGCATACACCCACATAGCATTGCACTGGTTATCATCTGGCCTGTATGGCCAATGGGTCGCTGCCGCATTCCATTGCTACCATTTGATGACGCCGTTGGCTTGTGTCACTCGGCTGGCACTCATCGCCCGGAACACCAATGAACCCGTCTGCTACATTACGTTGTGGGTTGTTAAGCGGGCTAGATTGACACCTTATGCCTGGATTCCGGTGTATTCGAAGCTAGTTGAAGGCCATTTTCGAGAGCCTCCATTACACCATGCCGCCGGACATGCTTCACCAAAACCGCAAATCGCCACTAACCCCTTCGCTGAGTCACCTATCAATGCCCCAATCCACCTCCACTCCTAGCTTTTTGACTACATGTTACGCCACTCCCCTCACTCATGCCGTCATCAGCCATCCCTCACCTGCGACGCCTTTATCAAGCACGCTCTCAGCAACCTTAGAGACGACATCAACTCGCAGATTCGCGACAAAATTACTTCCTTCGTCGACGCATTGAAGCGTTGGTTGGTCACCTCTTATCTCAGCTTGAGCAAGTTAGTAAGACGCTGGACAGCCATGTTGTGGAGTTGAAAAAGTGGATCAGTGAGGATGATGACAATATTGCAATACCGATTATATTGGCTAAGGAAAACTACGCACAACTTTATGAAACAGTAAAACTACGCACAACCTCATAAAACACGAAGCGTTAGCATAATCTAGACATCTCAATTAAAAGCGTTGCCAGCAGCTTGGGAGTGTCTTGGTTGTCTGGAAGCAGTGACTTCACCTTAGACGTGTTATTGCTTTAGTGTCTCTTAGTTAACCATTAAAACGCTTCCACTTGTATTCTGGTACAATTATCTTAGCGCCTATTTGTTAGTGTCTTTGTGCTTAGTGCCTTCGTAACTAAGATGGCGAAGCACGGAGTCAAGTTAATCACCCTCAGGGACTGCTTTGAGTTTCTGCATTGGCTGCATAAAAATAGTGGTGTGCGAGACCAAGTGGCCAGAGAACTGATGACGCGTTATGAAAATTCTTATAACCATATTTCGTTTACGGGCCAACTGCCACGTGCTGTCTCCGAATTCCTCGGGTACGTGTCCACGTTTTATAAGAAATTAGTAGCTACACCAATTAAGGAAAGTTATATCGATCCAAAAGCGAAAGATGTCACCGAAGCCATCCTCGACTGCATTCCCAAGTTCCTCGCCGCTTTGTATTTTTTGCTCTACAATGTGGATTATAGATTTGAAGCAGTGGGAGGAGCGAAGTGGCAGGACGATTATCCTGGGTGGGAATTGGATCGACGAGATTTTTGGGGTAGGACTGGTTGGGGTGGTGAACTGCAGAGATATCTCAGGATGTCACTGAGCGTTAAATACGGTGACCTCATAGCTGGTGGGTTCAGTGAAAACGAGGTGACGTATGGTTATGAATATGATTCTCGCTATGGCTATCAATATGGTAAGGATATGATTCCTGACCTCAAAAATATTTTGGACAAACATAGTCATAAGTACAATGATTTCCGGGACGTGTTTTTTACAACAGTCATTTCTAAATCCGGCTTACAGAAATCGAACACTGCGAACGTTCTTGCATTGGTGAAAACGTTTTGTGAGATTGTGCAGCAAAACCCTGATGGTGGAAGTTTGAAAGCAGTTTTGGAAAAGGAGTTAGAAGGAAAGTGTGTTAATTGGTCTAATTTAGTAGCCCATTGCAAAACTCTTGAGCAGCAACTTGGCAAGTTGTTCAATATCGAAGGCTTTTCCTTCACCGGCCAGGCGCGGCGTGTGGATGAGCTTAACACTGAGAGATTTGCGGGGGAGACGGCAATATGGTTTAGACAACATTTGCACGAAGTTCAAAAGAATGTGGAACAAATAGATACAAATTTCCCAGTCGACGACACTCTACATTTGAATGTTCTTCAGCAATTTGCAACAGAAAACCTATTCCCCTACGGTTTTATATTTGGTGACCAAAGCTATGGAACGCTGGGAGACGCGTGGAAGAAGTTGTCGGATCATTGGCCCAGTGTCATAGGTATGCTTGGCAGAGACGGTGACGGTTTGGATAAGTTAAAAAGAATTCTGGATGGTGAGGAGTGCCGTACGCCGGCTCCGCCTCCAAAACCACGATCAAGGCCGGCGCCTGCTCCCAGACCTCCGAGGCCTGCCAGACCTGCGACACCACCCGTGACAATTCACTCAGCCCCCAAGGAAGTTGTGCCGGAGAAGAAAGTTCCTGTTGTGCCACCTAAAAAGCCGGAGCCCCCGCCACAAAAATCTGAAGGAACTCCCAACCAAGGCAAGAAAAGTGAGGGAGCACAGAACCAGGGGAAGAAAAGTGAGGGAGCACAGAACCAAGGCAAGAAAAGTGAGGGAGCGCAGAACCAGGGGAAGAAAAGTGAGGGAGCACAGAACCAGGGGAAGAAAAGTGAGGGAGCACAGAACCAGGGGAAGAAAAGTGAGGGAGCACAGAACCAGGGTAAGAAAAGTGAGGGAGCACAGAACCAAGGGAAAACATCTCATGGAACTCCAAATCATAATAATGGTCAAAGTGGAGATACGTCTGCAACTTCACCAGTCGTCAAGTCTGTTGTTTCAGCTCCGGCTCCCGGTGGTCACGGAGCTTCAGGCCCGCCAGGGCCTAAAGGTGATAAGGGTAATACAGGCCCGCAAGGGCCTCTCGCTGCAGTGACTCCGGGGTCTTCTTCGACTGCAGTTCGAACAGATCAACAACCTGTTCAAATTCCTAATCAACCTCTACCTCACGCCCCGCCAGTTCCTCCCCCTCTTCCTGGAGGCCCCGGCCCCGCTGCCCCTCAAGCCCCTACACTTACGCAGCCTCCGAGTGTTCCAGGACCAGGCACTGGGTCATCTGTCTCAGGAGGCGGCGAATCAATGACTGATCCTGACAGTGACAAAGCTTTGGGTGCTAACGGGTCCGGATACTCCGGATACGGAAGTGGCATCGACGTATGTATGTAAGGTACGACGACGTGCCCAAGGTCGTCGTCCCGTAATTCCTGAAGTATCCAGGTGTCCTTAAGTTGTTTCGATACATTTTGCTTAGCTTCTTCAAGATTTCTCTCGAATTTCTCTTGCTCCTTTTTTGCAGTCCACTCTACTAATTGCTTCGGATAATTCCAATCATTTCTATACCTTTGTTCCCACCATAGGCCGGGATCATACAAAGATTCATTGGAGACGTCGACGCCATCAAGGCCCATAGTGGCTGAAGACTCAACAGCAGTAGGGATCTGATGAAATGTTTTAGGATAGTAATACTGTAAATATTGCTGACGTCTCCGTTCCTCCTCCTCTTCCGCCTTTTTAAGGACGTCTGCTTCTTGTTTTCTGAGTTTCTTTAGAAAATCGGGGGAAAGGTTGGGGCCGTATGATTTGGTTGGGGCGGGATTCTGAGGATTTCGAAAACACATTTCATTGCCACCGGAATCTTTCACTAAATATTCATCTGATTTGCACTGTTTTTTACTAACATTTGGAACGGATTGAGGAACAACCTTATCTCCTGACCCACTCCCACCGCTACCTCCACCAGACGCCGTGCCATCCGACGTAGTACGGACGCTACTTAAACCGTGATCGGAGCCTGCACCTGTTGGTTGACCAACATTTTGACCACCCGATCTACCAGTCCCCTGACCACCAGTTGACCCAGTGCCCGACCCTGAAACACTCGGAGTCTGAGTAGACACAGTGACTCGAGAGACAACAGGTTGTAAACTTGGAGTAACACCGGCCGGTGAACCCTGAACCGTGCCACCCGGCTGACCAGCGGGAGCAGGTACACTGGGGGGAGCAGCCGGTGGAGGGGAAAACTTTGGCGATACTACAGAGCCTTGAGTTGGAGTTAAAACCGACGTAGTAACTGGTGAACTTGTGTCCTGAGAAGACGCCAGATCCACGGTAACAGCGGGCTCTTGCCGGCCTGTATCACCTTTAGCCCCTTGCGTCCCTTTCTCTGTTGTAGGCTCCGGCTGGTCTGCAGCTCTCGTATCACCGGGAGGCTGAGTTGTAGCAGGAGCCTTTAGAACTGTTGGACCTGAAGACGTATCTCCACCTTGACCGCTACCCTGGTTTGGAGTTCCATGAGATGTTTTCCCTTGGTTCTGTGCTCCCTCACTTTTCTTCCCCTGGTTCTGTGCTCCCTCACTTTTCTTACCCTGGTTCTGTGCTCCCTCAGATTTCTTGCCTTGGTTCTGTGCTCCCTCAGATTTCTTGCCCTGGTTCTGTGCTCCCTCCGCTTTCTTGCCTTGGTTCTGTGCTCCCTCACTTTTCTTGCCCTGGTTGGGAGTACCATCAGCTTTCTTGCCTTGGTTCTGTGCTTCAGTATCCTCAGTGGCAGGCGGCACTTCAGGCTTTTTAGGTGGCGTGACCGGAACTTTCTTCTCCGGCACTACTTCCTTGGGGTCTTCGGGACATGATTCTCTATTCTTACCATGCAAAATATCATTAAGCTTATCCAAATCGCCGTCACGGTCTCTCCTAAGCTCTTCGATTACAGTGCGCCAATCTTGTTTTAATCTGTCTACCTCCCTGGTTGAGCCCATAAAGCGGTCTTTGAATATGAATCCGTAAGGGAAGAGATTGTTCGTGAAGTATTCTCCAAGATCCGTTTGTTGGAGTCCCAAGACACCTTCATCTGTTCTAATCTGACTCAAATTGCCCCGCACTTTGGTCAGATGAGTCCTCATCCAATGCGCTGCTCTGGTAGCAAGCTCCTCTTTGTGAAGGTTTTTAAGATCCGTAGACTGACCGATGGAATCGAAGCGTTTATTCTGTTCGAAAAATGTATCAAATTTCTTCCTAAGCTGAGCGCAATGATCTTTTAGGTCTTTCCAACAGATGGAATTCTCTGTTGAACTCACTTGCTGCCGTAAACCGTCATTCAATGCATGTATTAACTCTCCGCCTTCTTGACCTTCCTCCCCTAGAACAATATCGCAAAAGGTTCTGACCAATGAGACAGCGTTCGCAGTGCTCTCGTTACGATTGGCTGAATCTCCAATGGCGGAGCTGACAAAGACGCTGCGGAAGAAATTGTACTTTTCTACTTTGCTCACAATCTTTTCAAGGTCCACATACATTCTAGTACCCTGGGCATAGCCATTAAGATCAGTGTGACCATATCTCACCTCTTCGTAGCCGAAGCCTCCCGGAATTATACCACCGTAGTCCTTAGGGTCTTTGGATCTGAGATATTCTTGCAAGTCACCGCCCCAATCATTCCTGCCCAGCCATGGTTTATTTTCATACCCTGGGTAATTCTTTTCCCATCCACCACCGCCCAGCGTCCCGAAAGTGTTATTCACACAGTACTGCAGAAAGTACATAGCGGCGAAGAATTTAGGGTGGCAGTCGAGAAGGGCGTTGGATATGTCCTCTGCGCTTTTAGTAACATATTTGCCTGCCTCTGCTTTGTAGCACAATCTCTCATAAAACTTTGACACGGCGGAGAGGAATGGGCGCAAGCCCTTTTCAACGTTTTCCACTGAAACAAATTTGGAATCAAAATGGGTTTTAATACGATCATATAAAGTCTGGGACACTTCTTGAAGCCTATGCTTCCCACCTCCCTTATGCAACCACTGCAGGAACTCGAGACACTGCTTTAGTGTGTTGAGCGGAATGCCGTGCGGCGCCATCTTGCTTACAAAGGCAAAGAGCACAAAGACACTAATAAATGGGCACTAGGATACTAGTACAAGAATACACGTGAAATCGTTTAAATGCTTAACTTGGAGACACTAAAGCGATAATACCTCCAAGGTTACATCACTGCTTCCAGGTTACCAAGATACTGCCAAGCTGCTGGCAACAGTAGTGATTGCGGTGTTAATGGGTGACACAGTAAAGGTGTTAGTGGCGATTGGAGAGACATTTTAGAGTCGCAAGAGGGGCGTGGTGAGAGGCGTCCGCCGCCTCAGTCCACCGACAAGGTGGGATGAAGGAGGCTGCTTTGGGAGTGATGGCGAGTAAACAAACGGACAAGGGAGATGACAAAGCAGCGAGTAGGTTACGTCATAGGTCAGATGCTAGGTGAAGTTTTTGGTTACATGTTATATAAGGCGTTTGGTTAGGCAGTGAGTTTGGTGCTAGGCAAGGCACGAGATACAGTCACGATGAGAGACATGAGATGACACGGCAACACAAGGAATGTAAGCGTAATGTAGCTACGGTAATTACTGTCATGAGTGAAAGTCATCGTCAAAGTAGTCGACGTCCTTGTAGAGTGAGAGCATTCTCCTGCTGGTGGAGAGCAAAGCCTTGACGTCGATGAGGTGGGAGGCCCTGGTGGTGAGTAGGTGGGAGCGAATGCGCAGGACGTCCATGCGGTAGAGGAATGAGTGGGCGATGTAGAGCGTGGCGATAGACCAGAGTGCTGTGATGGTGTAGAGGAAGGGCGCACGGATGCCGTAGAGGAAATTGTCCATGGCGGTCATGAGGTCTGCGATAGGCTGTCCGGCGACCACTTCTTCCAGCTTGGCGACGAGCTTGGAACAGGAGAGCGACGACTGCAGTGTCCCGTCCGGCGGCGTGATGCCGTGCTTGTAGAGGAGGGGCAGGGCCTTGTCACACTGGTGGAGGGGCTTGGAGTCGTGACATTGAAGGTTCTCGAGATCATAGTGCAGCTTGAGCAATGACTCCCACAGTCTGTCTGCTAGGTAGGCCGCCCAGCTGAGGTAGGTGTGGGCGAAGCTTGGTGAGTACAGGGCGTAGGCCCGGTAGGTGATGGGCATCATCAGTTGTGGGCACTTGGCATTATCGATGCCGCAGCCAAGCAACGTGGACAGGGTCTTGGGATGGCCTTGGTCCTTGTCGTGGTTAACGGTGGAAGCGTCGGAGCCCCGTGCGTCCTTGATGGCTCGGAGATCTTCCTCCCCAAGACGGTCCCAACCGGGGCAGTCGTCATGTGCAGTGGAGAGGGCGGATCCCAGTGGAGACAATCTTGAAGGCGCATCATGAAGCTCATTCCCGAAATTGTAGAAGAAGGAAACAAGCTCCCCGGTGGTGCGCGGCGTCCGCCTGGTGATGCAGTTGAGGTATGTGCAAAGCTTCTCCAGTGGGTCGGCATTGTAACACAGGCCTTTCAGAATCTGATAAATGTAGAACCCATGCTTGGACTCTCGACGTAAATGGTCCGGACGAAAGCCCATTCTTACACGGCTCCGACGGCAGATGTCGCCCCTGTGATACCAGTAGGTGGGGAGCACGGACTGGTCGGTGAGAAAGCCTTGCAGGGGGGAGGCGTCGCAGCCGTGGTCCTGTCCTTGCATAGGGTCTACTGGATCTTTGCGGCATTGCCAGGCTTCGGACGCTTTCACAGCTATACCAAACTGGCAGTCGCGCCATCCACCAGAATGCGTGTCCCGCACGCACATGGTGCGCAGGAACAATAACTGATGTAACGCAGCATAGACGTAGTTGAGCAACTGGCACAGCAGCGTGCAGGGGTCGTCGGAGTAGTGCATCAGGGGGACGCCGTAGCGCTGGTAGTGGGATTTGTTAGGGGCAGCGGGCTTAGGCCCCTCCACGGCAGCGAGCACAGAGCTGGCGTGGCCACAGGTTTGGGATAAAGCCTCGGTAACATCCCCAGCTGAGAAAGGTTCGGGGAAGGCAATGATCTCCGAGTTGTCAAAGAAGCTCGCAATCTGTTGCGTCAGAGCGGCATAACCTAGTGCATACGTCAAATCACTGATCCAGCACAGCATCTCACGCACGGTTCGTGGCGGAGGTATGGAGGAATCCGTGGGCGGCACCTTTTCGGTGACTGATACGCGAGAATGCAACGGACATATAGGCTCATCAATCATAATACCTGGATGATCGTCGATTTCTACCGGCGTTAGGGATTTCCGTGAAGGCTTTGTCTTGGTATAGAGAATGGGAACTCCCGTGGGTTCCGGCGGCACAAACGTCTCGAACGTACTATCCTGTGGAATATACGCCGTTGGAATTTGATATGGTTTATTTTTAATCGGAGCGCCTTCGACGTCTGGTATGCTTGAGGAAAATTGGTCGTCTAATTGCCCAATCGCCGGTGGATATATCTTTGTCGGAGGCGAAGGAGCAGCACTCCTGGAGGTTGGTGTATTTGACATTTGACCACGATGCAAAACAGATTCGCCCGTGGGCTCCAATACGGATGGATTTAAGTCGCGAAGGTCCGATGATACCCGGATGCTTGGAATCCTTGAAAGGTTTTTACTCCCACTAACGGAGATGCCTTGCATAATTAACGCATGTTCACGCTGTGTGAGTGCAGGGGGATACGGTTCTGCAGGCTTTGGAGAGGGAAGGAGCTTAAGGATTGGGAGAGCAGGTAAGCGTGGATGCTTTGCACTGGGGTCTACAATATATTGACCATCTATCGCTAAGAACTTGTGTAAGGGCGGGGTTGTGATTTGACGTCCTGGAGCCGTTATAGGATGACCTATTAAGAGTTCATTATTGGCGAGAGTTTGTGGAGGCATAGAATTCAGTATGCCTTTGGAGTCAATCGTAGGTATTCCGGCGAGCGAAACTTTACGAAGCTGTTGCTCGTATAGATTTTGTTGCGCTTCCAATGCCTCCTTTGCTTCTTGCTGATGCATTAATAGCTCGTAATTATTCTGCACTTTTGTGCCGTCCAGCCGAGATTCATCCCTATATTCATGACCGCTTACGGGTGCGCCGTCGTAATTGTACAGTAGTGCGCCCCCATCGGCATCGAACATATCTCGCTTGTAAAATTCGGAGGCTACTGATTCGTCAACATCAACTACCGGTGGTTTGGCAACATTAATCATCACGATTTCCTCAATATCTATCGGTTCACCGCCTGTTACCCTACCCCCTCCACCTCCACCAGGCCCCGTGGCACCCGGCGCAGTAGCGACGCCGCTTACATCTTGCACAGCCCCTCCACTACCAGTTGACCCAGCCCCCTGACCACCAGTTGGCCCAGGGCCTTGACCTGAAGCACTCAAAATCTGGGGAGGTCCCTTGTATTGAGGGACGCCAGGCTTTATGCTTGGAGTAACATCGCCATGTGAACCCTGACCCCGGTCACCTGGCTGACCAGCGGGGCCAGTGCTTCCAGGAAGAGGGGCAGCAGGCGGGGGAGGGGGAGTCGCAGGCGGGAGCATAGCAGGTTGTTGAGGATGAACAACTTGCTTACTTGATGCGTCCGGGGATTGAGAAGGCCCCGGAGTCACTGTGCCACCAGGAAACCCTTGCGAGCCTTGAACTCCTGGATCACCAGACTTTGCAACTGGTGAAGGTGGATGCTTTGCTTCACTTCGACCATTATTCTGACTTGCGGGATCCGCAGGCCCGTTTTGGGGTCCCTGGTTCTGTGCTCCCTCCAATTTCTTGCCCTCATCTCCTGGACACTTCTGACCTTCCAAGATTTCTTTAAGTTTGGCCAAGCCGTTATTTGCTTTATTAAACTCATTAATTACATTAGCCCAACTCTCTTGCAAAACATCATACGGGTTTTTATGTCTTGCGAAGTTATATTTGTCAAATGTGAAACCATATGGGAAGAGATTGTTGGTAAAATAGTCTGTAAGCTCAGCGGCTGATTTCTTTCCGAGGGCCTTGTTCGTAGTATCAATATTCCCCAAATTAGTCTTCACCGTCGCCAAATTCTCTCTCAACCACTGTGCCGTGTACTTTGCAAATTCTTCTTTCTTAAGGTTTTTCACCTCCCTACCGAAGCCAGTGAATGAAGAATGGTTCTTGGTAAAAATCTTCCGAAATTGGTTGCCGAGTTTGTCGCAATGTGTTTTTAAATTATTCCAACAAATACATTTTTTTAACAGTATCACCATTTAAACTATCATCCAATTTCTGTTTTAGCTCACCGCCGCCGGCCTGTGTCTCCTTTTCTACAATCTCGCAAAACGTTCTCACCAACGCCAGGGCGTTGGCTGTATTTGAGTCCTGGGTGCCGGAATTTTCGCGCAACACTGAGGTGGCAAAAACGTCGAGGAAATAATTTTGTATATTCCTATCGGCATGCTTTTCACAAATAGTTGCAAGGTAACCGGTCATAAAAGAACCCCTCCGGTAATAAGACTTCAACTCTAGTCTACCGAATCCTCCAGGAACAACACCATACGTTTTAGAGCTGGATGGTGCAGTGAAATATGCCTGCAGTTCACCGCCAAAAATTGCACTTCCAACTGGTTTGTCCGCCCACCCCCCGCCGCCCAGTGCTTTGAAACCTTCATCCACCTGGTACCTCAAAAAGTACATCACGGCTAAGAACTTGGGAATGCATTCTAAAATAGCATTTAGTGCGTCATTAGGGTTACTGCTTATATGTTTCTGATTTGCCTTGTTGCATAATTTATTATGAAACTTGGACACAGCGATGAGGAATTCGGACAGTGCGGATTTAATGTGCTGTTGATTAGGATTAAGATATCTGCCACTAAGACGATCATGCAGTTCTCTGGCCACCTCCCCTTGCTTATCATCACTTTGATGCAGCCACATCAAGAACTGCAGACAGTCCTTAAGGGTGTCTAACTTGACTCCGTGAGCCGTCATCTTGCTTACGAAGGCAAAGAGCACAGAGACGCTAACAAATGGGCGCTAGGCTACTCGTACAAAAGTGCAAGTGACAGCATTTAAATGGTTAACCACGAGACAATAAGGCGATAAAAGCTCTAAGGTGACATCACTGCTTCCAGATAACCAAGGCACTGCCAAGATGGTTGCGATGGATTCAATTGCGATGTATATAGTTGACCCAGTGAAGGTGTTAGTGGCGATTAGTGGTCTATTTTAGAGATTCAAGAGGGGCGTAGTAGTAGGCGTCCGCAGCCTCAGTCCACCGACAAGGTGGGATGAAGCAGGCTCCTTTGGGAGTGAGGGCAAGGCAACAAAGGGAGGAGGGACAAGGCAAAGCAGCGAGTGGGTTACATCTTAGGTTAGGTGCTAGGTAAGACGTTTGGTTAGGTGCTAGGTGAGCCGTTTGGCTAGGTATTTGGTCAAATGCTAGATTACATATTAGGTGAGACGTTTGGTTAAACGGCGAGTTTGGTGAGTGTTGCTGACGTAAATCATAACCTAAACCTAAACCTTGAAATTGAGGGTGGCGCCAGTGATAGGTCCACGTCGAATGTGACATCTCATAGTGGACTAGATGATGCTACAGGTGTCACGTTGTGGAGGTGGCCGGGAACTGCGGAGAGCAACCTGCGCGGTATTTGTGGAGTCCGGGAGTAAAAGGATGATATGGAGATGAAGGATGTGGGTACAATGACGCCACGTAATTACAGCAACATTACAAATGTATGCAACCATGTTGTAAGGAATAGTAATTCAATCAATATCCAATGCTAATTGAAGTAATCACGCAGCGTATTAATGTTCGCCATTTGAGGAGATAGGTGACGAGGCAAACGATGAGTGCAGCTATGAGGGCAGTGACTACTGTATTACCGGCCGCCACAATGTGGTCATAGATGCCGCTTGACTAGGCTGTACAATGGCCGTCACAACGACTTCACTGCCTGCGAACGCACATGGTAACGGACGTGTGAGACACTCGCCCGGCACAGCGGTGGGGAGATAGCAAGCAGTCATCTTCACGGTGTTTTGAAATTAGGCAACAGTGTGGACACGTTCACGGGTGGCGTGTGAAACAACGAATATACCAACGCGTCTACTAAATTATGGGTTAGGTTTTAGGTTGGACATCAGGTTAGTCAGTGAGTTGGGTGCTAGGCAAGGCACGAGATACAGTCACCATGAGAGACGTGACATGACACGGCAACACAAAGAGAGGGATGTAAATGTAATGTAGCTATCATAATTACTGTCATGAGTGAAAGTCGTCGTCGAAGTAGTCGACGTCCTTGTAGAGTGAGAGCATCCTGCGGCTGCCGGCGAGTAAAGCCTTGACGTCGATGAGGTGTGAGGCCCTGGTGGTGAGGAGGTGCGAGCGGATGCGCAGAACGTCGATGCGGTAGAGCATCGTGTGAAAGAGGAGGAGGAACGCGACAGACCAGAGTGAGATGATGGTGAAGAGGAAGGGCTCCCGGACTCTGTAGAGGAATGTGTCCATGGCGGTCATGAGGTTTGCGATAGGATGACCGGATACAACTTCCTCCAGCTTGTTAATGACCTCTGAACAGGAGAGTGACGGCGGCAGTGTCCCGTCCGGCGGGGTGAACCCGTGAGTGTAGAGGAGCGGCAGTGCCTTGGTACTCTGATGGAGGGATTTATCGTCGGAACATTGAAGGTCCTCGAGATCATCTTGCAGCCTGAGCAGTGACTCCCACAGTCTGTCTGCCAGGTAGACCGTCCAGCTGAGGTAGGTGTGGGCGAAGCTTGGTGAGTACAGGGCGTAGGCCCGGTAGGTGATGGGCATCATCAGTTGTGGGCACTTGGCATTATCGATGCCGCAGCTAAGCAGTGTGGACAGGGTCTTGGGATGGCCTTGGTCCTTGTCGTGGTTAACGGTGGAAGCGTCGGAGCCCCGGGCGTCCTTGATGACTTTGAGGTCGTCGGCCTCAAGATGGTCCCAGTCGGGGCAGTGAGGATGTGGCTTGGAGAGGGCGGAGCCCAGCCTGGACAACTGTGAAGGAGACCTGTGAAGAGCACTTCCGAAATTGTGGAAGAAAGAGACAAGCTCCCCGGTGGTGCGCGGCGTCCGCCTGGTGAGGCAGTTGAGGTAAGAGGACAGTGTCAGCAGGGGATCGTCGCCGCCGCAGCTGGGAGAGAGGATGGTGGAAATATGCTTGCCAGTTTCGTGAGATGCAGGCAAATCCTCATCCTTGAATCCCATTTTGACACGGCTCTTGAAGCAGATGCTGCACGGGTCGAAGGGATGTGTCTTAAAGATGGAGTCGGGGGCGTCGGTCAGGAAAGCCTGGAGGGGGGAGTTGGGAGACGATACATTACTGCCGTACTGACAATCCTGCCAACCACCTTGTGACTTATTCCGAGAACATTGCGACCTTAAGAACTGCAACTGGTGGTAGCAGGCGTAGGCGTAGTCCCGCAGCTGGCAGAGGAGAGCGCAGCAATCAGCGTCCTTGGATTGATCCGAGTCCTTACTTTTTAGTGTTGCAAACAATGCGACGTTACCTTTCCAGGCAGGCTCAATGGTGGATAGCACTGAAGCTGCAAACATGGCGGTAAGTTTTAAGACGTCAAGTACCTGTTTGGCTGTGATGTGAGAACCGTTGACAGAGAGCTTAAGATCTCCGAGTGTAGCGTCAGGCATGCTGCCGAATGCCTTTTTAATACACTTCTCCATGTCCACATGATACTTCGGGTTCTGAAGTCCAACCAGCCAAATGAGCATCTCCCTGACTGCAAGCGGCGCCTCGGAGGGGAACAACTCGGTGTCAGGGACATCTGCGAAGCTGTATTTAGGCGTCTGAGTGATCCAGGTAGGAACGCACTTGTCCTCGAATTCGGCTGCGGTAATTTTTGGATCTTCTCTGGAAGGTAGAGGCTTCTTGGTAGCTGGAGGTAGAAGGTTAAACGAGACTGCAGGTATAGACGGTCCTACTCGGTCGGGCAGTATGGAGGTCTCGACAGGTGGTTCCTCACCGACGTCATAATCGAAGACGGGCTCAGTAACTATACGCATGGGGACGTATATCTCGAGGCTGTGGCATGGGTCGTCAATGTTTGGTGAAGGAAGGTCGCCTGATGATGGGGATCCTGAAATAGAAACACTTGATGACTGAGTGAGCACAGCGCCGTGAATGTCATCAGGCTGTGAAATCGCAGCCTTACCTGACGTTGAAGCCGGAGCCCCGCTTGTTGACTTACCAGGGGGATCATGTGACACAGTAGGACTGGAGGAAACCTGTTTATTTAGAGGTTCCGTAGAGTCTATATCGTCTTTCGAGATGGGATCCACAGGCTGCATAGCTCGTTGACCATGAACGCCTTGGGCCCCCACGGGTCCATGTAGACTGTTCTGCGGAGTTGAAAGGTCTGCAGCTGTGGTTAGGGGAGGAGCAGAAGGTGGGGATGGAGGAACAGACAGTGCCGGGCCTAGCTGACCTAGAGGTCCATTATCCTGAGTTCCAACAAGTTGTTGAGCTCTTGTAACTGCATGATCAGAATCACTGAGAGAATCTGGGCCGGGAGGCTGAGGAATGGATGTCAGGCTATGGTCGCCTGTATCGCCCGTGTGGCCATGAGCAATTAGTTGAGGCGATTGGAGAGCAAGGCCCACATCACCCGGTGGACCAGGGATATCAGATGGAGGGTCTTGGTCTGAATGAGTTGGAGTGGGATGCTGCATAGAAGGTTGAGAGGCGTTAGAAGATTTACCAGAGTGATTGTCTACCAGGGAATCGCCATCCGTACCACCTGCCGCCATCCCACCCCCTCCATTGGCTTCATCGTCACCTGTACCAGCACGACTTACAGCAGCTGTTGTAGTCGCACCCGAAGTCAAATGTTGTTGCGAGCCTTGAGGATGCTGTTGAGTAAGGTCAGAAGAAGGCGCCTGTCCATCTAGGCCGTGGCCACCACCGGGAGGAGGGACAACAGATGGCAGGGAATCTGGGCTTTGAACCCTTGAAGTCTGAGTGTCGCTTACATTTGAAGAGACAACCGGATTTATTCCCGAAGACACCTTGCTGTCTGAATCCGGAACAGGACCAACCGGCGTATCAACGGGCCCCGGGGCTCCATTGTGGCTTGACCCAGCCTGTGGCAACGAATACCCTGGACGGCCCGGATCACTATTATGCCCAGCAGACTGAACATCTCTTGGAGCACTTTGAGCTTGGGAAAGATCAATGCTTGGAGAGGCAACAGGTTCAGCGGCTTTGGAAACAGTGTCCTTTGAATGCCCACCGGTGCTTGGCACCCCACCAGCTCCTGCACCGCCACCTAAATCAGAATGCTGACCAGGTATGCCTGGATTGGAGCCTCGATTGAGAGCTGAGTCTTGACTACTCTGTTGAATATGTCCAGAAGCGGCCGCCTGTGGACTCCGTTCCTGACCACCGGCGTCAGTGACACTAGATGACGAAGAGCTGGAGCGGGACGCACTTGAGTGAGCATGCGTAGGAGCTGGGGAAACAAGGGGCTCTGAAGTCGGATGTATTTTAGCCGGTGGACTAGGCACTCTATGAGCACTGGGGGCAGGAGGTGGAGGTTGTTGGGAATGAGGCCGAGAATCATTTTGCGATTGTAAGGGTTGGGGCTTAATAGACACCGAAGACCCTGGACTTCTGCTTGCCCGTGCGCCATTAGCACCTGGAGCACCTCGAGGCCCCGGTCCACTTCCTTTGTTTTGCCCCCCTCTTCTACTGTGAGCCCCCGATCCCCCTCCTCTATTGTTAGGCCCTCTCGCTCCTGTATTTCCTCCTCTAGCACCAGAAGCCTGGCTCTCACTTGACGACCAATCTCCAAGAAGCCTTGGACCGGATGTCCTACCAGGAGTCCTGGCACGCCCGGGTTGGGGTACAGGCCTCGGGGGCCTGGGCGCAGGCGCCGGCCTGGGGCGCGGCTTTGGAGGTGGAAGCGGTGCTCGACACCCCTTGCCATCCAGAATTCTTTTTAACTCCGCCAAGCCGCTACCGTCTCTCTTAAGCTCATAGATTACACTATCCCAATCCGCCCTAAAATCCTCAAAAGGCGCATTTGTCTTAATGTGTTCTTTCTCACCATAAAAAGTGAAACCGTAAGGAAAAAGATTTTTAGTGAAATGTGGGCCAAGCTCGGCGTAATATTCCTGGAGCATGGTGTGATGTTTATGGAGCCTGGCGAATTCATGTGCATGACCTTCGTGTTCACTTACAAAAGGCTTAATATGCTCCAAATTCTTCCGCACCTTTTCCAAGTTGCTTCTCAACCAATTTGCCGTTTTCTTTGCAAACCTTTCCTTGTTAAGCTCTTCATATTTCCGGCCGTAGCCGGTGAAGGAAAAGCGTTGACCGGTGTAAAGTTTGCTAAATTGTGATTGGAGAGATTTACAATGCCTTACTAATTCTTCCCACTCAATGCAATTTCCCTTAGATTGCACGTAATCTCTGAATTCTCTCTCCTTAGTTTCGTCCCCGAATATCCCACAAAAGTCTTGCGCCAAACGCAGTGCGTTGGCTATATTCGGAATATCTGTGCCATGTTCTCCGAGTACTGAAGTGACGAAAACATCGCGAAAATACTGGGCATCATGCTTTTCACAAATCGCTGTAAGGTCAGTGGCCATGTCACTACCTTGGCGGTAGCCACTGGAACCACGACCACGTTTCAACTCGCCGTGACTACCGAATCCTCCAGGAATGACACCGTATCTAGAGCCTGATCTATCAGTGAGATATGCCTGCAGATCACGGCCAAGTATTCTACCTTCACCAGGCCGGTCACCCTTCCACTTGCCCCCACCCAGTGCAGCAAAGTTCGCATCCACATTATACCTCAAAAAGTACATCACGGCTAAGAACTTGGGAATGCATTCTAAAAGAGCATCGGTGATTTGTTGTTCGTTTCCCCCTTTATAACTGCCTGCCTCTGCTTTGTAGCACAATCTCCCATAAAAGTAGGACACGTGGCCGAGGAATGCGGACAGTGCATTTGCAATTTGTGGTTGATCAACATTCTTATACTTGCCACTAAGACGGTTAGATAGTTGAGTGACCACTTTGGTTTTCATACTACTCTGCTTCTTATTATTCAACCACTCCAGGAACTCAAGACATTGCTTGAGAGTGTTGAGCTTAATTTTAGCCGTCATCTTGCTTACGAAAACAAAGAGCACAAAGACAGTAATGAATGGGCACTAGGCTAGTAGCAAGAAGATACACGTGAAAGCGTTTTACAGGTTAACAAGGAGACACTAAGGCGATAAAGCCTCTGAGGTGACGTCACTGCTTCCAGGTTACCAAGATACTGCCAAGCTGCTGGCAACAGTAGTGATTGCGGTGTTAATGGGTGACACAGTAAAGGTGTTAGTGGCGATTGGAGAGACATTTTAGAGTCGCAAGAGGGGCGTGGTGAGAGGCGTCCGCCGCCTCAGTCCACCGACAGGTGGGATGAAGGCGTCTGTTTTGGGAGTGACGGCGAGTAAACAAACGGACAAGGGAGATGACAAAGCAGCGAGTGGGTTACATCTTAGGTTAGGTGCTAGGTAAGACGTTTGGTCAGCCGTTTGGTTAGGTGCTAGGTCAGCATTTTGGTTAGGTGCTTGGTCAGCCACTTGGTTAGGTGCTAGGTAAGACGTTTGGTCAGCCGTTTGGTTAGGTGCTAGGTCAGCCACTTGGTTAGTCAGTGAGTTGGGTGCTAGGCAAGGCACGAGATGCAGTCACCATGAGAGACGTGACATGACACGGCAACACAAAGAGAGGAATGTGGATGTAGCTGCAATAATTAATGTCACGAGTGAAAGTCATCGTCGAAGTAGTCGACGTCCTTGTAGAGTGAGAGCATTCTCCTGCTGCCGGCGAGTAAAGCCTTGACGTCGATGAGGTGTGAGGCCCTGGTGGTGAGGAGGTGCGAGCGGATGTGCAGGACGTCCATGCGGTAGAGGAGTGAGTGGAGGATGTAGAGTGTTGCGATGAGCCAAAGTGCTGTGATGGTGTAGAGGAAGGGCGCACGGATGCCGTAGAGGAATGTGTCCATGGCGGTCATGAGGCTTGCGATAGGCTCTCCGGCGACCACTGCTTCCAGCTTGGCGATGACCTGTGCACACGTGAGTGAGGACTGCAGTGCCCCGTCCGGCGGCGTGATGCCGTGACGGTAGAGAAGTGGCAGGGCGTCGGCACACTGGTGGAGAGCCTTGGACATGGAGTCATGACATTGAAGCTTCTCGAGATCATAGTGCAGCTTTTCCAGTGACTCCCACAGTCTGTCTGCCAGGTAGGCCGTCCAGCCGAGGTAGTGGTGGGTGAAGGCCTTGGAGTAGAGGGCGTAGGCCCGGTGGGTGATGGGCTTCATATGCTGTGGGCAGTTGGCATTATCGATGCCGCAGCCAAGAAGAGACGACAGGGTATTGGGATGGTCCTTGTCGTGGATGGAGTTGGAGCTGGCAGGGGCGGAGCCCCGGACGTACTTGATGACTTGGAGGTCGGCGTCCTCAAGACAGTCCCAGTCGGGGCAGTGGTCATGCTGACTGGAGAGGGCGGAGCCCAGCTTGGACAATCCTGAAGGAGGCTTGTAGAGTGAATTCCCGAAATTGTGGAAGAACGAGACAAGCTCCCCGGTGGTGCGCGGCGTCCGCCTGGTGAGGCAGTTGAGGTAAGAGGACAGTGTCAGCAGGGGATCGTCGCCGCCGCAGCTGGGAGAGAGGATGGTGGAAATATGCTTGCCAGTTTCGTGAGATGCAGGCAAATCCTCATCCTTGAATCCCATGTTGACACGGGTCTTGCGGCAGATGTTGCGCGGGTCGAAGGGATGTGTCTCGAACTTGGAGTCTGGCGCGTCAGTCAGGAAGGCCTGGAGGGGGGACGGAATATTGGCACCATTTCCATATTGACAATCCTTCCAACCACCATGTGACTGCTCCCGATTACACTGCACTTTGAGGAACGTCAACTGGTGGTAGCAGGCGTAGACGCAGTCCCGCAGCTGGCAGAGGAGGCAGGCGGGGTCGATGGAATAACAAAGCTTGGAATATTCTGAACTGAAATCGGGAATTGAAGTAGCTTGCGAAATATCTTTGTGCTTGATCCTGTGGAGAACGTTGGCAGCGTAGTGGCATGCCTCGGTCAGAGTATTGGAGACATGGGCAGCGGTCAGCTGAGAGGGCAGCCCGGTGACCTCGAGCGCATCTGGAGATTGTGAGACATCCTCGTTAAGCTCCTTTAAAATGCCTTCAACATGCTTTTTAATAATCGCAACATACCCATATTGATTCAATCCAACCAGCCAGTGGAGCATTTCCCTGACGGTGTTGGGCGGGGGCAGATGGTCGGAGTCTGGGAGGGGGGAGAGGGGTGGAGTGACGGTAGTGGAGGAGGCAGGAGCAACGTACCAGGGGTTACGGCATGTTGGAGTAAAACCTTTTTTAGCAAGGCCTTCGTAGGGAGAAAAACTGAAGTCGAGAGGTTCAAACGGCTTGTTGGTAACATGGTCTCCTAACGAGTTTGACAAAATTTCTGACGATTTCACAAATTTATTAAAGTGTGAATCAATCTTAGATTGGGAATCTGCTCTATCAAATATCTTGGAATCATCCAAATGTCCTTTAAAAACGTCATCGTGACTAGGTGTTGCTGGCGGCAATGCCTCAGTAGGAATTGGTAAGTCTTTGGGCGTCCTGAGATCTAGTTTTCGTGGAGGCTTTTCAATCATTACACCGAACGAATCAGATTTTCTTTTCAAGTTGCCTTTGCTGTCGTACGTATTCTCTTCTGGAGCCATTTGTTGAAAAGGTTCCCAGTAAAATGGAGACGGATATGGGAAATTATTTAGAGGAATAGGCTTCTCCCTGGGACTGACTATTCGTCCTCCAATGGGTCCATTAGTTGGTTGGGTTTTACGACCCGGTGTCATTGGCAGGGCTTTTGGCAGAACTGGATCCGGGGGCTCGAAAACAAATCCATCAAGCGGCATGTCCGTCTTTCGTTGTTCATCATCGATCCGTGACTGCACAATAGCAACACCAGAATAATTAGGTTGAGGAGGAGAATATGTGACAGCTTTCGTCTGAAGTTCATCTAACAGTTTAAGCTGATCCGCTGTATTTTTCGCATATGCCAACATTTCCTTCCTTTCTGCATTCAGTTTCTCTGATGCAAGCCGACGCTCTTCATTTTTTGCATCCCAGTTCCACTCATCCACCGTCTGCTTGTTTAGAGACATTCTATCAACTTTTCTCTGTATTTTTTTCTTCCTCAAAAAAGGGATCATCGATGACTTTGCCATCTGCAAATGTGATAGGCGTGGCCCCCTGCCTTGTTCGCTCCTCTCCCAGTTCATAATACTGCTTCACAAGGCGACGACGGCCATCGGTAGGATGAGGGGGAGTTCCCGGAGGAGGGTGGCTGGGCTGAGGTGGGTGATTGGGATGATCTCTGGACAAATTAAAAGCCTGGAGGTTTTTACCATTTCTAGGAGTTTTGGGGGGGTTTTGTCCCAATCCTTTTTTATCCTGGGCAAATGATTTTTTCTGTGCACTCCAGATTTCTTCCTCCGCATTCTGCATTATGTTCTGCAGATCTTTCTCACGCTTCTTTTTAATTTCCTCTTGCTTCCTATAATTGTCCAATACGTGTTGCGGCGGATCTTTTTTAACGGTAACTTGAGGTGTAGCATGAACCCCCGTCCCACCCTGATGGCCGATCCCAGAACCCCCACCCCCTCCTGCACTCCCACCTCCACCAGGCGCCGGGACACCCGGTGTATTAGCGCCGCTGCTTAAAGTGTTATCGGAGCCTGCACCTGTTGGTTGACCAACATCTTGACCACCATCTTGCCCAGCCCCCTTACCACCAGCTGGCCCAGAGTCTGGACCTCCAACACTCGGAGACTGAGTAGGACTTGTAACTGGAGGGGGAATAGGCTGTTGACTTGAAGTAACAACAGACGATGATCCCGGACCCCCGAGACCTGGCTTACCAGGGGATCCAGGAAGAGGGGGAGGAGGCGGTGGAAGGGGAGGTTGCTGAGGCTGTGGTTGGAGTGGTTGTTGAGGTTGAACAGGTTGTTGATCTGTTCGAACTGCAGTCGAAGAAGACCCCGGAGTCACTGCAGCGAGAGGCCCTTGCGGGCCTGTATTACCCTTATCACCTTTAGGCCCTGGCGGGCCTGAAGCTCCGTGACCACCGGGAGCCGGAGCTGAAACAACAGACTTGACGACTGGTGAAGTTGCAGACGTATCTCCACTTTGACCATTATTATGATTTGGAGTTCCATGAGATGTTTTCCCTTGGTTCTGTGCTCCCTCACTTTTCTTGCCTTGGTTGGGAGTTCCTTCAGTTTTAGTGGCAGTCGGCTTCGCCGCCTCGGCCTTGGTGACCACAGGTTTTGTTGCCTCAGTTTTAGTGGCGACAGGCGGAGGCTCCGCCGGACACCCCTTACCTTCCAGAATTGTTTTAAGCTCCTTCAGCCCTTTCCTCGAACCAACAAGCGTTTCCAAAACACTGGGCAAAATTTTCAATCCCTGTTCCCATGCATTACGTTTATGCTGGTTCAACACGATGCCGTATGGATATATGATTTCGGGGGAGAAGTCAGTGGGATCACTTTCTAAATCCGCAACGTTCTCCTGAATGGTTCCCAATGCGCTGCCGATATCCCCCCAGTGCTTTTCAAACCACTTCTCGAATGCCCCGGCAAACGCTTCGGGCTTAAGGGCAGTTGGATCAAATGCCCTGCCGGTAGTTGAAAAGCCTCCGGGAGAATCATCACTGCCGAACAATTCGTCGAGTGATGTTTTAAGCTTTCTGCAGTGCTTTACCAAATCGTCCCATTTGAAACACATGCCTCTACTTCTAAGTTCCGCTTCCAATGTTTCTTTGAGGTCACCGCCCCCTTCATGCGTCTTCACATAATCACAAAAGGCCCACAGCAACAGCAAGACGTTCCCAGCGTCCAAGTTATGCCAATCGTCCTTCACTAAATTGTCGAAAAGAACGCTGGTGAAAAGGTCAGGGGTTATGGTAGTTCTTTTAAGCGCATTGTTTAGATTTTCGGCCAGTGTTTTTCCTTGCACATTTTGCAACTCATCAGAGCTGAAGCCACCGTCAATAACACCGTTGAAGCCAGTGAAGAACATCTTAAGACCATTACCCAGTGACACATTACCCTGCGTCTCAAAATCCTTCCACTTCCCACCGCCCACATGAGTATATGAATAATCAACGTGGAAGAGTAACAGGGAAAACGCAGCGTGTACCTTGGGGAGGCAGTCGGAAAAGGCTTTGACTATCTCATTAGCGTTTCTGTCTTCATAATAACCCAGATCTGGGCTTTTGCTTATTTGTTTATAAAGCGATGAAGCGTTGCGGAGGAAACCATTTAAGGAATCTGGCAATTCGTTTCTAAATTGCGGAAAGCTATAATATTTATCGTAACGCTCAAACAGTTGACGTGAAATTTCATCACGGACACTCATCCGTTGCCCACTATTAAGCCAGCCCAGGAACCGGAGGCAGTCCTTTAGGGTGTCTAACTTGACTCCGTGAGCCGCCACCTTACCAGCGGGGCCGGGGCCTCCAGGAGCACTGGAGACGGCAGGTGAAAGTTGCTGATGAGATTGGGAATCATTTTGAGATTGTAAGGGTGGAGGATGAGTAGGTGCCCTATGCCCTGTATTTCTAGTCCTCTGTGTGCCCTTAGCACCTGGACGACCTCGAGCTCCCGGTACCCCTCCTCTACCTTTCTGAGCCCCCGACCCCGCTCCTCTACCTTTTATCCCGCCTCTAAGGTTAGGCCCTCTCGCTCCTATATTTCCTCCTCTAGCACCAGAACCCTGACTCCCAACAGACGACCAACCTCCAACATTTCTTGGGCCGGTTGTCCTTACAACCGAAGTTCTGGGGATCCCTGGTGGCGGAAGTCTGACAGGCCTCGGGGGCCTGGGCGCAGGCGCCGGCCTGGGTCGTGATTTTGGAGGCGGAGCCGGCGTACGGCACTCCTCACCATCCAAAAGCGTTTTCAACTTATCCAAACCGTCACCATCGCTGCCAAGCATATCTATGACACTGGGCCAATGATCTGACAACTTCTTCCACGCGTCGCCCATCGTTCCATATCTGTCTTTACCAAATATAAAACCGTAGGGGAATATGTTCTTGGTTGCAAAAGGCCGAAGAGCAGTCAAATATAGAGTGTCGTCAACTGGGAAACTTTTATTTATTTGTTTCACATTATGTTGAACTTCGTGCAAATTATTTCTAAACCATACCGCTGTCTCCCCCGCAAATGTATCAGTGTTAAGCTCATTAACACTCCGCGCCTGGCCTGTGTAGGAAAAGCCCTCGATCTTGAACAACTTTTCCAATTCCGAGTTCAATCTAGAACAATGGGATTTTAATTTATTCCAATTTATGCATTTTTTGCTACTTTTAAACTCCCTTTCCAAAGCTTTTATCAACTTACCGCCGTCAGTACCCCTCTTTGCCTCAGCAGCCACAATCTCACAAAACGTTTTCACCAATGCAAGAACGTTCGCAGTGTTCACTTTATGAGTGCCGGCACCAGTTTTAGAAATGACTGTTGTAAAAAATACGTCCCGGAAATCGTTGTACTTATGATTGTGTTTGTCCAGAATCGCTTTAAGGTCATTTACCATGCTCTCACCGTACCAGTAACCATAGATAGAATTATAGTCATAACCATACGTCACCTCACCTTCGCCGAACCCACCAGCTATGAGGTCACCGTATTTAACGCTCAGTGACGCCCTGAGATAATTCTGCAGCCTCCCTCCATACTCTCTATGCCACACATATCTCACCCAAGTAGTCTCCCACCCAGGATAATTGTACTTCCACTTAGCTCCTCCCACTGCTTCGAACCATCTATCCACATTGTAGAGCAAAAAATACAAAGCGGCGAGGAACTTGGGAATGCAGTCTAGGAGGGCTTCGGTGACATCTTTCGCTTTTGGATCGATATAGCTTTTCTCAATTGGTGTAGTTACTAATTTCTTATAAAACTTGGACACGTGTTCGAGGAATTCGGAGACAGCACGTGGCAGTTGGCCCGTAAACGAAATATGGTTATAAGAATTTTCATAACGCGTCATCAGTTCTCTGGCCACTTGGTCTCGCACACCACTATTTTTATGCAGCCAATGCAGAAACTCAAAGCAGTCCCTGAGGGTGATTAACTTGACTCCGTGCGGCGCCATCTTAGTTACAAAGGCACTAAGCACAAAGACACTAATAAATGGGCACTAGGCTAGTGGTACAACAGTACTATTAATTGTGAACTACGAGACACTAAAGCGATAAAGCCTCTGAGGTGACATCGCTGCTTGCAGATAACCAAGACACTGCCAAGATGGTTGCAACAGTAGTGATTGCGGTGTATGTAGGTGACTCAGTGAATGTGTTAGTGGCGATTAGTGGGCTATTTTAGAGGTGCAAGAGAGCGTTGCAGGAGGCGTCCGCAGCCTCAGTCCACCGACAAGGTGGGATGAAGCAGGCTGTTTCGGGAGTGATGGCAAGGCGACAAAGGGACAGGGGAGATGACAAAGCAGCGAGTAGGTTACATCATAGGTTAGATGCTAGGTGAGCCTTTTGGTCAGCTGCTAGGTCAGTCACTTGGTTAGTCAGTGAGTTAGGTGCTAGGTAAGGCACGAGATACAGTCACCATGAAAGACGTGACACGGCAACACAAAGAGAGGGATGTAAATGTAATGTAGCTATCATAATTACTGTCATGAGTGAAAGTCGTCGTCGAAGTAGTCGACGTCCTTGTAGAGTGAGAGCATTCTCCTGCTGCCGGCGAGCAGTGCCTCGACGTCGATGAGGTGTGAGGCCCTGGTGGTGAGTAGGTGCGAGCGGATGCGGAGGACGTCCATGCGGTAGAGGAGGGAGTGGGCGATGTAGAGCGCGGCGGTGAGCCAGAGTGCGATGATGACGAAGAGGAAGGGGGCACGAATACAGTAGAGGAAATTGTCCATGGCAGTCATGAGGTCTGCGATAGGTGCACCGTTGACCACTTCTTCCAACTTGGTGACGACGTCCGAGCACGTGAGTGACGGCTTTGATGTGCCCTCTGGCGGGGAGATGCCATGACGGTAGAGGAGGGGCAGGGCCTTGTCACACTGGTGTAGGGGCTTGGCCTTGGAGTCATGACATTGAAGCTTCTCGAGATCATAGTGCAGCTTTTCCAGTGACTCCCACAGTCTGTCTGCCAGGTAGGCCGTCCAGCCGAGGTAGTGGTGGGTGAAGGCCTTGGAGTAGAGGGCGTAGGCCCGGTGGGTGATGGGCTTCATATGCTGTGGGCAGTTGGCATTATCGATGCCGCAGCCAAGAAGAGACGACAGGGTATTGGGATGGTCCTTGTCGTGGATGGAGTTGGGAGTGGCGGAGCCCCGTACGCCCTTGACGGCATTGAAGTCGGCGTCCTTGAGACGGTCCCAGTCGGGGCAGTGGTCATGCTGACTGGAGAGGGCGGAGCCCAGCTTGGACAATCCTGAAGGAGGCTTGTAGAGTGAATTCCCGAAATTGTGGAAGAACGAGACAAGCTCCCCGGTGGTGCGCGGCGTCCGCCTGGTGAGGCAGTTGAGGTAAGAGGACAGTGTCAGCAGGGGATCGTCGCCGCCGCAGCTGGGAGAGAGGATGGTGGAAATATGCTTGCCAGTTTCGTGAGATGCAGGCAAATCCTCATCCTTGAATCCCATCTTGACACGGGTCTTGCGGCAGATGTTGCGCGGGTCGAAGGGATGTGTCTCGAACTTGGAGTCGGGGCCGTCAGTCAGGAAGTCCTGGAGGGGGGACTTGGGGACATTATTGCCATATTGACAATCCTTCCAACCACCATGTGACTGCTCCCGATTACACTGCACTTTGAGGAACGTCAACTGGTGGTAGCAGGCGTAGACGCAGTCCCGCAGCTGGCAGAGGAGGCAGGCGGGGTCGATGGAATAACAAAGCTTGGAATATTCTGAACTGAAATCGGGAATTGAAGTAGCTTGCGAAATATCTTTGTGCTTGATCCTGTGGAGAACGTTGGCAGCGTAGTGGCATGCCTCGGTCAGTTTGGCGGTGACATGGGCAGCGGTCAGATTGGTGGGATGCCCAGTGACCTCGAGGGCATCTGGAGGCTGTGAGACATCCTCGTTAAGTGCACTTAAAATGCCTTTAACATGCTCCTTAATAATCCCAACATACCCCTTTTGGTTCAACCCAACCAGCCAGTGGAGCATTTCCCTGACGGTGTTGGGCGGGGGCAGATGGTCGGAGTCTGGGAGGGGGGAGGGAGTTGGAGTTATGGTAGTGAGTTAGGTGCTAGGTCAGCCATTTGGTCAGGTGCTTGGTCAGCCATTTGGTTAAGCAGTGAGTTAGGTGCTAGGCAAGGCACGAGATACAGCCACCATGAGAGACGTGACATGACACGGCAACACTAGGAGAGGAATGTAAACATAATATAGCTGAGATAATTAGTGTTATGAGTGAAAGTCATCGTCGAAGTAGTCGACGTCCTTGTAGAGCGAGAGCATCTTGCGGCTGCCGGCGAGCAGCGCCTTGACGTCGATGAGGTGTGAGATCCTGAACGTGAGGAGGTGTGAGCGGATGCGGAGGACGTCCATCCGGTACAGGAGTGAGTGGAGGATGTAGAGCGTGGCGGTGAGCCAGAGTGTGAGTGCAGTGTAGAGGAAGGGGGCACGGATGCAGTAGAGGAATGTGTCCATGGCGGTAATGAGGCTTGCGATAGGCTTTCCGGCGACCACCTGCTCCAGCTTGTAGATGAGCCCGGAGCACGTGAGTGATGACTGCAGTGTCCCTTCCGGCGGGGTGAGGCCGTGAGAGTAGAGGAGGGGCATGGCCTTGTCACATTGATGGAGAGGCTTGGACTTGGAGTCATGACATTGAAGCTTCTCGAGATCATAGTGCAGCTTTTCCAGTGACTCCCACAGTCTGTCTGCCAGGTAGGCCGTCCAGCCGAGGTAGTGGTGGGTGAAGGCCTTGGAGTAGAGGGCGTAGGCCCGGTGGGTGATGGGCTTCATATGCTGTGGGCAGTTGGCATTATCGATGCCGCAGCCAAGAAGAGACGACAGGGTATTGGGATGGTCCTTGTCGTGGATGGAGTTGGGAGTGGCGGAGCCCCGTACGCCCTTGACGGCATTGAAGTCGGCGTCCTTGAGACGGTCCCAGTCGGGGCAGTGGTCATGCTGACTGGAGAGGGCGGAGCCCAGCTTGGACAATCCTGAAGGAGGCTTGTAGAGTGAATTCCCGAAATTGTGGAAGAAGGAGACAAGCTCCCCGGTGGTGCGCGGCGTCCGCCTGGTGATGCAGGTGAGGTAAGAGGTCAATGTCAGCAAGGGATCCTCGCCGCCGCAAGTGGGAGAGAGGATGGTGGAAATGTCCTTCCCCGTTTGTTGAGTTTTAGGCAGATGCTCCTCTCTGAATCCCATCTTGACACGGCTCTTGAGGCAGATGTTGCAGGGGTCGAAGGGGTGAGTCTCGAACTTGGAGTCGGGGGCGTCAGTCAGGAAGTCCTGAAGTGGTGACTTTTGGGGAGACACAGCATGACCATACTGGCAATCCTGCCAACCACCTTCGGATTCGTTCCGAGAACACTGCGACTTCAGGAACGTTAACTGGTGGCAGCAGGCGTAGACGTAGTCCCGCAGCTGGCAGAGGAGGGCGCAGCAATCAGGGTCCTTAGACGCTGAAGTCACAGACGACACTGCCATCCTCCACTTGGGCGCGATGGAATTGAGCACTGAAGCTGCGAACGTGGCGGCAAGCTGGAGGATGTCGATGACATCTTTGGCGGTGATGTCAGCACCGTTGACTGGAAGTGTGAGATCTGAATACACATCATCGCTGCGCTTGAAAGCGTTAGTAATGCACTGTGTCAAAGTGTCTTGGTGTTTTGGGTTCTGCAGTCCCGCCATCCAAATGAGCATATCCCTGACTGTACGCGGCGCCTCGGAGGGGAACAGCTCCGTCTCGGGGATGTCGGTGGCGTCATGTGTTGGCGTCTTAGTAGACCAATCTGGTATACACATTTGTATATTCTGGCGTATGATATTATCCGGATTGAAGTCCGTTGTTGGCGGCGGTAACTGCTTGGCCTCTGGAGGTAGAACATTTAATGAGACGGCAGATTTGTATGGAGCGACAGTGTTGGACAGTGTGTCATCCTGTATATACGTCGAGTCATCATCGAAGTCGAAGTCGTGGACAAGGTCTTGAAGAATGGGCTTGGAGACGTCGATGTAGAGGTCAATTTCAGGGTCTTCAGTTTTGGGTGGCGGAGTTGGGATTTTAATTTCGAATTCATCTTCAAAAACATCTAGAAAAGGATCAATACCTATAACTGCGGTCTGAACTGCGTCTGCAGTTTCAGTAGGATCTGTGCCCTGAGCCTCTCTGTCGTCGTTATCGTACAAATCTTGCATTGGTGGCTTCGTAATTTCAAGAGACACTAAGGGCGCTGCCGGTTCGGAAATATAGCGAGCGTTACTACTCGCATCCTGCATCTGTTGTTTTGTGTGATCTACTGAATCCACTACGCTGAAGTCAAAGATATCAACCGGCTCACTAGGCGGAGGAGTATAGATGTCGAAATCTCCAACTTGCCATAAATCACTAAGCAAATTTTTTCGACTTGCATCATGCATATCTGCATCCTTTTGGTGCTCGATTCTTCTTTCCATATCTTTTTGCAGTTCCTTGAATATTTTCTTTCGATCCGCTTGCCATTTATGAGCGTTACGCTTGACCGTGGCACTATATTCTTTCTCATGTTCAGTTTGGTCCGGAATCGGCTCATCTGGCATGGTGGTGCCATGTAAAACTTGGACATCCGTACTTTTCCGCCCTTGCTTGGTCCCATGTAAATCAATGGGATGTCGCCAATTAAGGCGACGGCCGTTGGAAGATACAGCAACATTTATGCCCGGCTGATTATGAGGCGCGGAAGGGCCATGATTTTGATGTCTGTTACGTAACCTTCGTTGTAATTTTTGCTGCTGTTGTTTTTTGTAGTTTTCCTCCTCCAACGCAATAATTTTTGCTTCCCAGTAATCAGCATCCTTCTTTCTCTTTGCCTCTTGGTTTTTAAATATGTGTTCATTGTTGTCCAATATTTTTTTCAACTCTGCCGAATGCTTTTCTTCTGGAGACAATTTTCGCACCCCTCCAACTCCACTCTGTCCACTCCCACCTCCACCAGCCGCAGTGGTATCCGACGCAGTCGCGAGGCTGCTTGAACTGTGATCGGCGTCTTGACTTGTTGGTTGACCAACACCTTTACCACCATCTTGCCCAGCCCCCTTACCACCAGCTGGCCCAGAGTCTGGACCTCCAACACTCGGAGACTGAGTAGGACTTGTAACTGGAGGGGGAATAGGCTGTTGACTTGAAGTAACAACAGACGATGATCCCGGACCCCCGAGACCTGGCTTACCAGGGGATCCAGGAAGAGGGGGAGGAGGCGGTGGAAGGGGAGGTTGCTGAGGCTGTGGTTGGAGTGGTTGTTGAGGTTGAACAGGTTGTTGAACTTGTGAAGTTGTAAGCTTAGGAGACGCCGGAGCTGCGGGACCACTAGGCCCTGGCTTCCCTGGAGCTCCATCCTTACCGGAAGGCGAAGCTGGAGCAGCAGAGTCTCCACTTGCTGAATCTGAAGAACTTATGTCACTTTGATCTTTACTCTGATTTGGAGTTCCCTCACTTTTCTTGCCCTGGTTCTGTGCTCCCTCAGATTTCTTGCCCTGGTTCTGTGCTCCCTCCGCTTTCTTGCCCTGGTTGGGAGTACCATCAGCTTTCTTGCCTTGGTTCTGTGCTTCAGTATCCTCAGTGGCAGTCGGCTTCGCCGCCTCCGCCTTGGTGACCTCAGGCTTTTTGGGTGGTGGTTGGGCTGGACACGTATAACCATTCAAAATGTCCTTAAGCGTTTTCAGGTCTCCTTCATCGGAATTTCCAAGCACATCCAAAACACCGTGCAGATTTTTCAATCCCTCTGGCCACTTGTCCCGTTGGTCCTTATTCAACACGATGCCGTAGGGGTAGAGAGATTCGGGGGTGAACTCAGCATGATTTTCAGCAAAATCCTCTACGCTACCCCTAATCTTTTCCAACGCTCCAGTCATCTCCGTCCAATGCCTCGTGAACCACCTCTCGAATGCTCCGGCAAACGCATCAGGCTTAAGGGCGGTTGGATCAAACGCCCTTCCGGTGGTGGAGAAGGCTCCCTGATTTTCATCACTGCCGAACAATTTTGACAACTCTTTTTCAAGTAGTTTGCAATGCCTTACCAAAGCTTGCCACCTGAAACACATATTTTTACGTCTAAGCTCCTCTTGCAATTTTTCTTTGAGACCATGATTGTCTTTTTCATGGCTTTGCACATACCCGCAAAACGCCCACAGCAACAGCAAGACGTTGCCAGCGTCTAGGTCATGCCAATCGTCCTTCACTAAATTATTGAAAAGAACGCTAGTGAAAAGGTCAGGGGTTATGGTAGTTCTTTTAAGCGCATTGTTTAGATTTTCGGCCAGTGTTTTTCCTTGCACATTTTGCAACTCATCAGGTTTGAATCCACCGTCAATAACACCGTTGAAGCCAGTGAAGAACATCTTAAGACCATTACCCAGTGACACATTACCCTGCGTCTCAAACTCCTTCCACGTCCCGCCGCCCACACCACCGTAGGTATAATCAACGTGAAACAGTAACAGGGAAAGCGCAGCGTGCACCTTGGGGAGGCAGTCGGAAAAGGCTTTGACAATGTCATCTGCCGAATGCTTTTTATAGTCGCCTAGATCCGTATTCTTGCTTATTTGGTCATGAAGCTCCGACACATGGCGGAGGAAATCATTTAGGGAATCCGGCAATAGAACTTTAAACCCCGGATTATTATAATATGTGGCAATACGTTTAAACAGAGCGTCAGTCACCTGGCCTTGCTTATCACCATTATTTTTCAACCACTGCAGGAACTTAAAGCAGTCCTTAAGAGTGTCTAACTTGACTCCGTGAGCCGTCATCTTGCTTACGAAGGCAAAGAGCACAGAGACGCTAACAAATGGGCGCTAGGCTACTCGTACAAAAGTACAAGTGAAAGCGTTTAAATGCTTAACTACGAGACACTAAAGCGATAAAAGCTCTAAGGTGACATCACTGCTTCCAGATAACCAAGGCACTGCCAAGATGCTTGCAACAGTAGTGATTGCGGTGTTAATAGGTGACCCAGTGAAGGTGTTAGTGGCGATTAGTGGTCTATTTTAGAGATTCAAGAGGGGCGTAGTAGTAGGCGTCCGCAGCCTCAGTCCACCGACAAGGTGGGATGAAGCAGGCTCCTTTGGGAGTGAGGGCAAGGCAACAAAGGGAGGAGGGACAAGGCAAAGCAGCGAGTGGGTTACATCTTAGGTTAGGTGCTAGGTAAGACGTTTGGTCAGCCGTTTGGTTAGGTGCTAGGTCAGCATTTTGGTTAGGTGCTTGGTCAGCCACTTGGTTAGGTGCTAGGTAAGACGTTTGGTCAGCCGTTTGGTTAGGTGCTAGGTCAGCATTTTGGTTAGGTGCTTGGTCAGCCACTTGGTTAGGTGCTAGGTAAGACGTTTGGTCAGCCGTTTGGTTAGGTGCTAGGTCAGCCACTTGGTTAGTCAGTGAGTTGGGTGCTAGGCAAGGCACGAGATGCAGTCACCATGAGAGACGTGACATGACACGGCAACACAACACGACGAATGTGAATGTAAATGTAATGTAGCTGAGATAATTACTGTCACGTGCCAAAGTCATCGTCGAAGTAGTCGACGTCCTTGTAGAGTGAGAGCATTCTCCTGCTGGTGGAGAGCAAAGCCTTGACGTCGATGAGGTGGGAGGCCCTGGTGGTGAGTAGGTGGGAGCGAATGCGCAGGACGTCCATGCGGTAGAGGAATGAGTGGGCGATGTAGAGCGTGGCGGTGAGCCAGAGCGTGAACACAGTGTAGAGGAAGGGCGCACGGATGCCGTAGAGGAATGTGTCCATGGCGGTCATGAGGCTTGCGATAGGCTCTCCGGCGACCACTGCTTCCAGCTTGGCGATGACCTGTGCACACGTGAGTGAGGACTGCAGTGCCCCGTCCGGCGGCGTGATGCCGTGACGGTAGAGAAGTGGCAGGGCGTCGGCACACTGGTGGAGAGCCTTGGACATGGAGTCATGACATTGAAGCTTCTCGAGATCATAGTGCAGCTTTTCCAGTGACTCCCACAGTCTGTCTGCCAGGTAGGCCGTCCAGCCGAGGTAGTGGTGGGTGAAGGCCTTGGAGTAGAGGGCGTAGGCCCGGTGGGTGATGGGCTTCATATGCTGTGGGCAGTTGGCATTATCGATGCCGCAGCCAAGAAGAGACGACAGGGTATTGGGATGGTCCTTGTCGTGGATGGAGTTGGAGCTGGCAGGGGCGGAGCCCCGGACGTACTTGATGACTTGGAGGTCGGCGTCCTCAAGACAGTCCCAGTCGGGGCAGTGGTCATGCTGACTGGAGAGGGCGGAGCCCAGCTTGGACAATCCTGAAGGAGGCTTGTAGAGTGAATTCCCGAAATTGTGGAAGAACGAGACAAGCTCCCCGGTGGTGCGCGGCGTCCGCCTGGTGAGGCAGTTGAGGTAAGAGGACAGTGTCAGCAGGGGATCGTCGCCGCCGCAGCTGGGAGAGAGGATGGTGGAAATATGCTTGCCAGTTTCGTGAGATGCAGGCAAATCCTCATCCTTGAATCCCATCTTGACACGGGTCTTGCGGCAGATGTTGCGCGGGTCGAAGGGATGTGTCTCGAACTTGGAGTCGGGGCCGTCAGTCAGGAAGTCCTGGAGGGGGGACTTGGGGACATTATTGCCATATTGACAATCCTTCCAACCACCATGTGACTGCTCCCGATTACACTGCACTTTGAGGAACGTCAACTGGTGGTAGCAGGCGTAGACGCAGTCCCGCAGCTGGCAGAGGAGGCAGGCGGGGTCGATGGAATAACAAAGCTTGGAATATTCTGAACTGAAATCGGGAATTGAAGTAGCTTGCGAAATATCTTTGTGCTTGATCCTGTGGAGAACGTTGGCAGCGTAGTGGCATGCCTCGGTCAGTTTGGCGGTGACATGGGCAGCGGTCAGATTGGTGGGATGCCCAGTGACCTCGAGGGCATCTGGAGGCTGTGAGACATCCTCGTTAAGTGCACTTAAAATGCCTTTAACATGCTCCTTAATAATCCCAACATACCCCTTTTGGTTCAACCCAACCAGCCAGTGGAGCATTTCCCTGACGGTGTTGGGCGGGGGCAGATGGTCGGAGTCTGGGAGGGGGGAGGGAGTTGGAGTTATGGTAGTGGTAAAGGAATCGGAAACGTACCAGGGGTTGCGGCATACTCCGGAGTCAGGGAACACAGGAATGTTGTGGTCATATGGCTTCCTTGGAGTATCGCGGGGAATACCAGGATCATGATCCCCATCGGATTTTAAAAATGATGGAGTAAATTCGAGGTTTAAATTACTCTTGGGCAGTCCAGAAAAGCCTTTGTCTCCACCATATTGCTGTGCCGAAGTTTTCAACTCGTCTCGCACGATATCCTCCATATTGGCATAAGGGTCATCATACGGGTTGTCGACAGGGTCTTGAACAATGGGCTTTGTAACACAGATATCGATGTCGAAGGGATCGTTAACATTGCGTGAAGGGGGGCCAACGATGTCGATGTTTTCAACGCCATACTTATTTACACTCTTCGCGTATTGTCTTAAACTACGCAAAAAGGCATCATATTTCTCTTGTTTCTTTGTCTGATCTTCAAAAAGTTGTTGGTGGGCATTGTCAATATCCGCAGAAACCTGTAGTTCTCTCTCAATATCAGAATCATGCTTTACAGCGTGACCGTCAAATTCAATCTCTTCTGAGTCGTTAAATTCCGGCACAGTTTCCCCTCCGATATCTATTACCTCATCTCCGTCAAAACCCATCGCAACTGACATCTGTTGTAACTCTCGTTCTTCTTTTTCATAATCGCGTAATCTTTGCTGAAGTTTTCGCTCGTCTTCTTCGAGTTTTCTCTGTACATCTTTCAGAGTTTGTCTGAATTTCTCCCGCTCCTTTTGCTCAGTCTCCTTTCGGAATTGTTCCGCCAATTTCCTTTTATCCCAATGCTGGCGATACCACTCCTGCGCGGGGTCAGTCGAAGATTCATTTGACATGTCCATACCATCAAGCACAAGCGTGTCAGAAGAATAGGTATCGTTAGGACGTCTAGTAATAAGTTGTGGATCGAATGGCTCACGCCAATTAAGGCGACGGCCACCGCGAGAACGAGAGGTATTTTGGTTTCGCAAATTGGCAAGTAACTGTTTTCGTAAATTTGTTTGCGCATTTTCTTCTATTTTGTTTTGTTGGATTTTTTCTAAATTTTCATTTACTTTATCAATTATGCTTGTCATGTTCCCCTCATCTCGCTTTCTTTTTGCTTGTAGTTCCGCTCCATAATCATTTAAACGCTTTTGTTGTTCTGGAGATAATGTGGTTCCCCCCTTCTTTTCTCCCCCTCTTGCTCCACCTCCACCCCCTCCATTACTCCCACCTCCACCAGGCGCCGTGGTAACCGACGGAGTAGCGCCGCTGCTTGTATTTTGAGTAGTGACTTGACTTGTTGGATGACCACCACCTTGACTACCTTGTGTACCAACCTCCTGATCACCAGTTGGCCCAGAGCCTTGACCTGGAACACTCGAAGGCTGAGCAAGCTCAGTGACTTGAGAGACAGCAGGCTGTTTACCTGGAGACGTATCGGACGGTGAATCCTGATCCGTGGGACCTGGCTGACTAGTGGAGCCAGGGTCTGCAGAAGCAATGGTGGGAGGGGGAGGAGCTGGCGGTCTTGGAGTAGCAACTTGATGAGGATGAACAGTTTGTTGACTCGTCTGAATTTGAGTCGGAGAATGATCCGTGGTCCCTGGACCAGGAGGACCTTGCTGTCCTCGATCACCATTAGGCCCTGGCTTGCCTTGACTACCACTATGCCCTTTCGGTCCTGACCCTCCATCCATACCGGAAGGCGGAGCTGGAGCTGAAGGCTGTCCAACTGGTGAAAGTGGAGAACTTCCGTCACTTTGGCCATTATTCTGACTTGAAGTTCTATCCGCTTTCTTCCCCTGGTTCTGTGCTCCCTCCGCTTTCTTCCCCTGGTTCTGTGCTCCCTCCGCTTTCTTCCCCTGGTCCTGTGCTCCCTCCGCCTTCTTGCCCTGGTTCTGCGCTCCCTCACCACCCTTAGTTTCAGTCGGCTTCGCCGCCTCAGGCCTTGCGGCCACAGGCTTTGGGGCTGCTGGTTTGGGAATTTCAGCCGTCTTTCCATCCTCCTTTAACTCTACATCCGGAGGCTCCTCCTCTTCCTCTTCATCTATTTCTTCATCTGGTTCATTTTCAGTTTGTTGTTCACCATCTTGATTTTGATTTCCATTTCGCCTCTGTTGCCTTTGTTGCTTTTTTTCCTCTTGTGCTATACATTCCGCACCATTCAGAATGTCAACAAGTCTCTGCAATCCTTCACCGGTTTTCCCAAGCTCACTGATTGCACTGTCCCACTCCGTTTGTAAAAGACCATACGGAGCATTATTGTTGGTGTAATGGTTGCCATAAAACGTGAATCCGTAGGGAATAAAGTTTTGCGTGAAATAAGTATGAAGGGCTTTGGACTGAGACGAAGACAGGGCTCTACTTCCCCTCTTCGGCTTCGTGAACTTCATGCTACTAAAAGCCTTAATCTTTTTCACACTATCTTTCACTTTACCCAAATTCTTCTTAAACCAACTCGCCATCTTCTTGGCGATATTTTGGTCGTTAAGGAAATTGTATTCCCGCGCATATCCGGTAAAGGAAAATGGTCCTTGGTGAAAATTGTGCCAAGAGACGTCTTAAGTGTGACACAGTGTTTTTTTAATTCGTCCAAATTAATGCATCTATCTTTCATGTATAAATGGCTTCTTAACTCTTCAACGCTCTTTAAGCCTCCAAATATCCTACAAAAATCTTGCACCAAACGCAGAGAGTTGGCGATATTCGGAGTCTCGGCGCCGGAGTCTGGAATTACTGTTGTGGAATACACGTCGAGGAAATAATTTTGTACTTTATCTTGCTTGTTCAGAATACTTTGAATGTCTTTGACCATGGCAGAAGCAGGAGAGTAACCACTCTGGTAACCTGGCTTCAGGTCCCCTGGATCGAAGCCACCAGGTATCACGCCACCGTAGTCAGTGCCGGATTCAGCAGTGAGGTACTTGTCCACTGGGCCGGTCAAAGCCGCAGCACGTTCACCAAGTGCAGCGTACAGTGCAATCACCCCAACTGGTTTGTCCTTCCACCCCCCTCCTCCCAGCGCAGCAAAGCCCGGGTCCACCTGGTACCGCAGAAAGTACATCACGGCTAAGAACTTGGGGATGCATTCTAGAAGGGCGTCGGTAACGTTTTGTGCATCTACAGTGCTATAGCTTCCGGGCGTTGTTTTGTAGCACAATTTCGTATGAAACTTGGACACGCTGCTAAGGAAATTGGTGAGTGCTTGTTGAATTTGTGACGGATTAACACTTTTATACTTGCCACTAAGACGCTCATGCAGAGCCTTGATCACCTGGGTTTGCATCTTTTTTCCCAGCCTGTCATTATGTAACCATTGCAAGAATTGGAGACACTCCTTGAGTGTGCCAAGCGGAATATTATGCTTCTCCATCTTGCTTACAAACGCAGTTAGCACAAAGGCACTAATAAATATGCGTTAGGCTAATTGTACAAAAGGACAAGTGAAAGCTTTTAAATGGTTAACCAGGAGACACTAAGGCGATAAAACCTCCAAGGTGAGGTCACTGCCTCCAGATAACCAAGGCACTGCCAAGATGCTTGCGATGATTGTAATTGCGATGTTATTAGGTAACTCAGTGAAGCTGTTAGTAGCGATTAGTGAGATATTTTAGAGGTGCAAGAGGGGTGTGGTAGAAGGCGTCCGCAGCCTCAGTCCACCGACAAGGTGGGATGAAGGAGGCTGTTAGGGAGTGACGGCAAGGCGACAAACGGCAAGGGAGACGACAAAGCAGCGAGTAGGTTGCATCATAGGTTAGGTGCTAGGTGAGCCATTTGGTTAGGTGCTAGGTAAGCCATTTGGTTACATGTTAGGTAAGCCGTTTGGTTAGTGAGTTAGGTGGTAGGCAAGGCACGAGATAGTCACGATGAAAGACATGAGATGACACGGCAACACTGAGAGAGGGATGCAATGCGAATGTAGCTACAATGATTACAGTCACGAGTGAACGTCGTCGTCGAAGTAATCCACGTCTTTGTACAGTGACAGCATTTTCCGGCCTTTAGTGAGTAAGGCCTTGACGTCGATGAGGTGGGAGGCCCTGGTGGTGAAAAGATGGGAGCGGATGTGCAGCACGTCCATGCGGTAGAGCAGTGAGTGGGCGATGTAGAGCGTGGCGATGAGCCACACTGTGAACACAGTGTAGAGGAAGGGCTCCCGGACTCTGTGGAGGAACTCGTCCATGGCGGTCATGAGGCTTGCGATAGGCTTTCCGGCGACCACATCTCCCAGCTTGGTGACGGCAGCCGAACACGTGAGTGAGGACTGCACTGTCCCGTCTGGCGGCGTGATGCCGTGAGAGTAGAGCAGCGGCAGGGCCTTGGTACACTGGTGGAGGGACTTGGACTTGGCGTCGTGACATTGAAGGTTCTCGAGATCAGAGTGCAGCCTGAGCAGGGAGTACCACAGTCTGTCTGGCAGGTACACCGCCCAGCTGAGGTAGTGGTGGACGAAGCTGGAAGAGTACAGGGCGTAGGCCCGGTAGGTGATGGTCTTCATGAGTTGTGGGCTGTCGACATTATCGATGCCGCAGCCAATTATTGCGGACAGGGTCTTGGGATGGTCCTTGTCGTGGTTGGAGGTGGGAGGGGCGGGGCCCCGGATGTACTGGATGGCATTGAGGTCGTCGGCAGCAAGAGCGTCCCAGTCGGGGCAGTGAGGATGTGGCTCGGAGAGGGCGGAGCCCAGTGGAGACAGCTGTGAAGGAGACCTGTGAAGAGCACTTCCGAAATTGTGGAAGAAAGAGACAAGCTCCCCGGTTGTGCGCGGCGTCCGCCTGGTGAGGCAGTTGAGGTAAGAGGACAATGTCAGCAGGGGATCCTCGCCGCCGCAGCTGGGAGAGAGGATGGTGGAAATATGTTTGCCGGTTTGCTGAGATGCAGGCAAATCCTCCTCTCTGAATCCCATGTTGACACGGCTCTTGCGGCAGATGTTGCACGGGTCGAAGGGTTGCGTCTTGAACTTGGAGTCGGGGGCGTCAGTCAGGAAGGCCTGGAGGGGGGACGGCATCTTGACATCACTGCCATATTGACAATCCTGCCAACCACCATGTGATTGATCCCGAGAACACTGCGACTTTAGGAACGCCAGCTGGTGGCAGCAGGCGTAGACGTAGTCCCGCAGCTGGCAGAGGAGGCAGGCGGGGTCCGAGGCATAATAAAGCTTGGAATATTCTGAGCTGAAATCAGGGACTGAAACAGCCTTCGAATTGTCCTTGTGTTTAATCTTGTGGAGAACGTTGGCCGAGTAGAGACACGCCTCAGTCAGGGTACCGGCGACATGGGAAGCTTCCAGAGTGTATGGTTTCCCAGTGATGTCAAGGGCATCTGGTGATTGTGAGAGGTCTTTGTTGATGTCTTCTAAAATGCCTTTAACATGCTCCTTAATAATCGCAACATACCCATATTGATTCAATCCAACCAGCCAGTGGAGCATTTCCCTGACGGTCTTAGGAGGGGGCAGGTGGTCAGAGGCTGGGGGAGGGGGAGGGGATGGAGTTGGAGTGACGGAAATGGTGGAGGAGTCAGGAACGTACCAGGGGTTGCGGCATTGATAGGGGTTAGAAAATATTGCAATATCTTGTATCCTTGCCAACCGGGGTGGGTCGTGGGAGATCCCAGGATGGGTATCCGCCGGCACAGCTGGAGGAATCGCAACTGACGGAGGGGGCATGCTTTTCCGTTCTTCATTTTCGTATATTTTGCCGGGGTAGAATGGCTTCTCAATTTCTATGTCAATCGTAGGATGGGGGGGTGGAGGTTCTAACTCAACAGGGTGGATAGGGGATAAAGGAGAATATGGATCTTCGATAGGCACTCCATCGAGAACATATGGCGGCACTGGTGTGTCTATCCCCTGGAGTACGGGCACGTAGGCATGTATTTTGCTAGAATTCGTCAGGCTGGCACCGGAGATATTTAAAAATTGATCCATGGCTTGGTCGTCAAATTGCGCAGCTGCGATAGGAGCTGCCGGCACTAGAGGAGGATGTTTATATGCAGGCATACCAACGCCTGTTGGACGCATAGTAATTGGCTGCGGCAGCGATTGTGGTGGTGGAGGCGGAGGAAATTTGGGAGGTGTATTCGGAATCTTTGGCGGCTTTATAGGGTGACCTGTTGGCATAGCATCCAATGGTGAGATTCGTGGTGTGGCTGTTGGAATAGGGGCGGGGATTATAGCACCATGGACTTCAGGATGTTTCGTAAAATTTTGTTTGTATGCGTCGTGTTGCCACTTGGAGGTAGGGCTTAAATCAGTTTTCAGAAGGCTCCCTTCCAAGTGGGCGGGTTGTGGAAGTTTAATTGCATTACCTGACATGAATAATGCATCATCATTCGAATTCTTATGCTGATTTTGAATATCTTCTTGAATAACCTTCATAAATTGAATTTGCCGCTTATTATGCCACCTGTTGTCCGCCTCTTCTTTACTTTTTAAGAATGCGTCAGAGGCATCCGGCAAGGCGTGGCCTGTCACCGCATCGATGGCCACGCTGCGTCCTGGCTTGGGAGTGGGAATCTGAGAGCCATCGACGGACAACATTAAATTATGAAAGTTTTTCATTTGTTCGTTGTGCCGCTGTAATGCATTACTATGCTCCATTTCGGCTCGTTTTTCCCTTTCTCCAAGGTCTTTCAAAATTAAAGACGAAGGCCTCTGGTCATAAGGTATGATTCTGGGAGGAGTTTTCATGGACGGTGGCGGCCAACAAATGTAACCTTTGGCATTATGTACCGGAGTATATTTGCTACTAGGAGGACATACATTTTGACGATCAATAGACGTCCCACCATGCTGGCCAATGCCCTTCCCACCAGACCCTGCACCGAAACTCCCACTACTTAATGATCCACTCCCACCTCCACCAGGCGCCGTGGTAACCGACGGAGTAGCGCCGCTGCTTGTATTTTGAGTAGTGACTTGACTTGTTGGATGACCACCACCTTGACTACCTTGTGTACCAACCTCCTGATCACCAGTTGGCCCAGAGCCTTGACCTGGAACACTCGAAGGCTGAGCAAGCTCAGTGACTTGAGAGACAGCAGGCTGTTTACCTGGAGACGTATCGGACGGTGAATCCTGATCCGTGGGACCTGGCTGACTAGTGGAGCCAGGGTCTGCAGAAGCAATGGTGGGAGGGGGAGGAGCTGGCGGTCTTGGAGTAGCAACTTGATGAGGATGAACAGTTTGTTGACTCGTCTGAATTTGAGTCGGAGAATGATCCGTGGTCCCTGGACCAGGAGGACCTTGCTGTCCTCGATCACCATTAGGCCCTGGCTTGCCTTGACTACCACTATGCCCTTTCGGTCCTGACCCTCCATCCATACCGGAAGGCGGAGCTGGAGCTGAAGGCTGTCCAACTGGTGAAAGTGGAGAACTTCCGTCACTTTGGCCATTATTCTGACTTGAAGTTCTATCCGCTTTCTTCCCTGGTTCTGTGCTCCCTCCGCTTTCTTCCCCTGGTTCTGTGCTCCCTCCGCTTTCTTCCCCTGGTTCTGTGCTCCCTCCGCTTTCTTCCCCTGGTCCTGTGCTCCCTCCGCCTTCTTGCCCTGGTTCTGCGCTCCCTCACCACCCTTAGTTTCAGTCGGCTTCGCCGCCTCAGGCCTTGCGGCCACAGGCTTTGGGGCTGCTGGTTTGGGAATTTCAGCCGTCTTTCCATCCTCCTTTAACTCTACATCCGGAGGCTCCTCCTCTTCCTCTTCATCTATTTCTTCATCTGGTTCATTTTCAGTTTGTTGTTCACCATCTTGATTTTGATTTCCATTTCGCCTCTGTTGCCTTTGTTGCTTTTTTTCCTCTTGTGCTATACATTCCGCACCATTCAGAATGTCAACAAGTCTCTGCAATCCTTCACCGGTTTTCCCAAGCTCACTGATTGCACTGTCCCACTCCGTTTGTAAAAGACCATACGGAGCATTATTGTTGGTGTAATGGTTGCCATAAAACGTGAATCCGTAGGGAATAAAGTTTTGCGTGAAATAAGTATGAAGGGCTTTGGACTGAGACGAAGACAGGGCTCTACTTCCCCTCTTCGGCTTCGTGAACTTCATGCTACTAAAAGCCTTAATCTTTTTCACACTATCTTTCACTTTACCCAAATTCTTCTTAAACCAACTCGCCATCTTCTTGGCGATATTTTGGTCGTTAAGGAAATTGTATTCCCGCGCATATCCGGTAAAGGAAAATGGTCCTTGGTGAAAATTGTGCCAAGAGACGTCTTAAGTGTGACACAGTGTTTTTTTAATTCGTCCAAATTAATGCATCTATCTTTCATGTATAAATGGCTTCTTAACTCTTCAACGCTCTTTAAGCCTCCAAATATCCTACAAAAATCTTGCACCAAACGCAGAGAGTTGGCGATATTCGGAGTCTCGGCGCCGGAGTCTGGAATTACTGTTGTGGAATACACGTCGAGGAAATAATTTTGTACTTTATCTTGCTTGTTCAGAATACTTTGAATGTCTTTGACCATGGCAGAAGCAGGAGAGTAACCACTCTGGTAACCTGGCTTCAGGTCCCCTGGATCGAAGCCACCAGGTATCACGCCACCGTAGTCAGTGCCGGATTCAGCAGTGAGGTACTTGTCCACTGGGCCGGTCAAAGCCGCAGCACGTTCACCAAGTGCAGCGTACAGTGCAATCACCCCAACTGGTTTGTCCTTCCACCCCCCTCCCAGCGCAGCAAAGCCCGGGTCCACCTGGTACCGCAGAAAGTACATCACGGCTAAGAACTTGGGGATGCATTCTAGAAGGGCGTCGGTAACGTTTTGTGCATCTACAGTGCTATAGCTTCCGGGCGTTGTTTTGTAGCACAATTTCGTATGAAACTTGGACACGCTGCTAAGGAAATTGGTGAGTGCTTGTTGAATTTGTGACGGATTAACACTTTTATACTTGCCACTAAGACGCTCATGCAGAGCCTTGATCACCTGGGTTTGCATCTTTTTTCCCAGCCTGTCATTATGTAACCATTGCAAGAATTGGAGACACTCCTTGAGTGTGCCAAGCGGAATATTATGCTTCTCCATCTTGCTTACAAACGCAGTTAGCACAAAGGCACTAATAAATATGCGTTAGGCTAATTGTACAAAAGGACAAGTGAAAGCTTTTAAATGGTTAACCAGGAGACACTAAGGCGATAAAACCTCCAAGGTGAGGTCACTGCCTCCAGATAACCAAGGCACTGCCAAGATGCTTGCGATGATTGTAATTGCGATGTTATTAGGTAACTCAGTGAAGCTGTTAGTAGCGATTAGTGAGATATTTTAGAGGTGCAAGAGGGGTGTGGTAGAAGGCGTCCGCAGCCTCAGTCCACCGACAAGGTGGGATGAAGGAGGCTGTTAGGGAGTGACGGCAAGGCGACAAACGGCAAGGGAGACGACAAAGCAGCGAGTAGGTTGCATCATAGGTTAGGTGCTAGGTGAGCCATTTGGTTAGGTGCTAGGTAAGCCATTTGGTTACATGTTAGGTAAGCCGTTTGGTTAGTGAGTTAGGTGGTAGGCAAGGCACGAGATAGTCACGATGAAAGACATGAGATGACACGGCAACACTGAGAGAGGGATGCAATGCGAATGTAGCTACAATGATTACAGTCACGAGTGAACGTCGTCGTCGAAGTAATCCACGTCTTTGTACAGTGACAGCATTTTCCGGCCTTTAGTGAGTAAGGCCTTGACGTCGATGAGGTGGGAGGCCCTGGTGGTGAAAAGATGGGAGCGGATGTGCAGCACGTCCATGCGGTAGAGCAGTGAGTGGGCGATGTAGAGCGTGGCGATGAGCCACACTGTGAACACAGTGTAGAGGAAGGGCTCCCGGACTCTGTGGAGGAACTCGTCCATGGCGGTCATGAGGCTTGCGATAGGCTTTCCGGCGACCACATCTCCCAGCTTGGTGACGGCAGCCGAACACGTGAGTGAGGACTGCACTGTCCCGTCTGGCGGCGTGATGCCGTGAGAGTAGAGCAGCGGCAGGGCCTTGGTACACTGGTGGAGGGGCTTGGACTTGGAGTCGTGACATTGAAGGTTCTCGAGATCATAGTGAAGCTTGAGCAGTGAGTCCCACAGTCTGTCTGCCAGGTACACCGCCCAGCTGAGGTAGGTATGGGCGAAGGTCGGAGAGTACAGGGCGTAGGCCCGGTAGGTGATGGTCTTCATGAGTTGTGGGCAGTCGACATTATCGATGCCGCAGCCAATTATTGCGGACAGGGTCTTGGGATGGTCCTTGTCGTGGTTGGAGGTGGGAGGGGCGGGGCCCCGGATGTACTGGATGGCATTGAGGTCGTCGGCAGCAAGGTGGTCCCAGTCGGGGCAGTGTCGATGTGGCTCGGAGAGGGCGGAGCCTAGTTGGGACAAGTGTGGATGAGGCTTGTATAGTGAATTGCCGAAATTGTGGAAGAAAGACACAAGCTCCCCGGTGGTGCGCGGCGTCCGGCTGGTGAGACAGGTGAGGTGGGAGGACAGTGTCAGCAGGGGATCCTCGCCGCCGCAGCTGGGAGTGAGGATGTTGTAAAGATGGTTGCCAGTCTGTGATTTCTCAGGCGAATCCTTTTCCTCAAATCCCATCATGACACGGCTCTTGCGGCAGATGTCGCACGGGTCGAAGGGATGTGTCTCGAACTTGGAGCTTGGGTCGTCGGTCAGAAAGGCCTGCAGGGGGGAGTTGGAAACACTTACATGAAGGCCATATTCACATGCCTGCCAACCACCATGTGATTGATCCCGAGAACACTGCGACTTAAGGAACGCCAACTGGTGGCAGCAGGCGTAGACGTAGTCCCGCAGCTGGCAGAGGAGGCAGGCGGGGTCCGAGGCATAATAAAGCTTGGAATATTCTGAGCTGAAATCAGGGACTGAAACAGCCTTCGAATTGTCCTTGTGTTTAATCTTGTGGAGAACGTTGGCCGAGTAGAGACACGCCTCAGTCAGGGTACCGGCGACATGGGAAGCTTCCAGAGTGTATGGTTTCCCAGTGATGTCAAGGGCATCTAAAGTGCGGGATACATCCTTGCTATACTCCCTCAAAAGGTCTTCAATATGCTCCTTAATAATCCCAACATACCCCTTTTGGTTCAACCCAACCATCCAGTGGAGCATCTCCCTGACGGTCTTGGGAGGGGGCAGCTGGTCGGTGTTTGGGGGAGGGGAGGCAGGTGAAGGGGTTAGATCGGTGGAGGAATCGGGGACGTACCAGGGGTTGCGGCATTGATAGGGATCAGCAAAAACTGCAATGTCCTGGATAGTTGGCAAGTGTGGTCCATCAGGTGGGACACCAAGATACATATCATCCGGCATGGCTGGAGGAAGCGCAACCGATGGTAGGGGCACACTTCTCCGCTCATCATTCTGGTAAAGTAGTTCGGGATAGTATGTTTTTTTAATGTCTAATTCAATGGGTAGAGGCGGCGGTGCGGGTTCTAACTCCACTGGGGGCATAGAGACAGATTGTGCATTGCGGTCTGCAATAGGCTCCCCTTCGAGCGGAACAGTTGGAAACCTTTTTAGCCTAGGGTCTTCTGGTACCTCCGCAGCTGGGATGCTTATGGGTGAGCTTGTTACTTCGTCACCAGCAACTTCCAACATTTTGGAAAGGTAATTGTCGTCAATGTGCGCTGTTGGAATGGATCGGGTAGTGACGGGATGACTCTTCAGAGGATGCTTGTATTTAGGTAAAACAATATTTTTCGGTGTATCATGAAATGTTGGACGTATTTTCTTGGGTTGCGGCTTTGGAAGAGGCTGAGCGGGTTTCGTCGGCTCTATTGGGTGGCCCATCGGGACACCAACAGGGGGGACTGGCAGAAGGGGCTTGGCACGCTTGCGGGTTGGCAAAACCTTATCACCCACGACTATACTTGAATTCGGCTGTAGCTGTTTGTGAGCATCTGTTTCCGCCTGGCCGTGGTTTGGAGTCTGTTTCACGGGTCTCCCTACCAGGGCGGCAGGCTCTGAGATTGGAGTGCCTGACATGAACACCGAATCGGCATCATTACTATTAGGATTATTGTTAATATCATCTTGAATTGTTTGCAGAAATTGAATATTACGCCTTATAGATCTCTCCTCCGCCTCCTTTTGTTTCTGCGCTACAAGGGCGGAGACGTCCGGCAAAGCGTTCCCATCCATCGCATCGCTAACATTAAAGCCCTCAACGGACAACAATTGCGCCTGCTGCATTTGACGCATTTCACTGTCATATTGATCATACATCTGCTGACGCCTGCGTTCCCAAGCCTCTTCCGCCTGGCGTCTGTCCTCTTCCTCCTTTTTGCGATACGCTACATCCGCTTTTTTAATCTTCTCCTCAACATCGGACGGAAGGTAAAGGGTGGATGGCCTAGTTGGCTTAGGAATCGTAGGCTGCCTATAACACACTGACTTTCCATTCATAGACATGGATACACCATCACACTTTTTAACATTATTAGACGGAGTCTGTGTTTGACCAACACTGTGCCCACCACCTGGTGGCCCGGCTCCTCCACCACCATGTTGGCCAGTCCCCTGGACACCATCTGACCCAGTGTTTGAACCTGAGACACTCGGAGTCTGAGTAAGAACATCTTGTGGAGATGAAGTAGTCCGTGTACCTGGAGTAACACTGTCTGTTGAAATTGGACCCGGGCCCCCTGGCTGAATAGGGATGGCAGGGTCTCCAGGAGCACTGGAGGCAACAAGTGGAGGTTGTTGGGAATGACGCTGGGAATCATTTTGAGATTGTAAGGGTTGGGGCTTAGTAGATCCCGTATGCCCTGGAACACTGCTTCTCTGTGCGCCCCTGGCTCCTGAAGCACCTCGAGGCCCTGAGTGGTGTCTTCCATTTCTTGTGGTCCCCCGTGCCTTTCCACTGTTTTGCCCCCCTCCTCTAACTTGGATCATGCTTCTACGGTTATGCCCTCCCACTCCTCTAGCACCAGAACCCTGACTCCCAACAGACGACCAACCTCCAACATTTCTTGGACCGGTTGTCCTTCCAGCCGGAGTCCTGGAAGGCTGGTGTGGTGGCACAGGTCTTGCAGGCCTCGGAGGTCTGGGAGCAGGCGCCGGCCTTGATCGTGGTTTTGGAGGGGGAGCCGGCGGACGGCACCGTCCACCATCCAGAATTCTTTTTAACTCCGCTAAGCCGCCACCATTTTTGCCAAGCATATCTATGACACTGGGCCAATGATCCGACAACTTCTTCCACGCGTCTCCCAGCGTTCCATAGCTTTGGTCACCAAATATAAAACCGTAGGGGAATAGGTTTTCTGTTGCAAATTGCTGAAGAACATTCAAATGTAGAGTGTCGTCGACTGGGAAATTTGTATCTATTTGTTCCACATTCTTTTGAACTTCGTGCAAATGTTGTCTAAACCATATTGCCGTCTCCCCCGCAAATCTCTCAGTGTTAAGCTCATCCACACGCCGCGCCTGGCCGGTGAAGGAAAAGCCTTCGATATTGAACAACTTGCCAAGTTGCTGCTCAAGAGTTTTGCAATGGGCTACTAAATTAGACCAATTAACACACTTTCCTTCTAACTCCTTTTCCAAAACTGCTTTCAAACTTCCACCATCAGGGTTTTGCTGCACAATCTCACAAAACGTTTTCACCAATGCAAGAACGTTCGCAGTGTTCGATTTCTGTAAGCCGGATTTAGAAATGACTGTTGTAAAAAACACGTCCCGGAAATCATTGTACTTATGACTATGTTTGTCCAAAATATTTTTGAGGTCAGGAATCATATCCTTACCATATTGATAGCCATAGCGAGAATCATATTCATAACCATACGTCACCTCGTTTTCACTGAACCCACCAGCTATGAGGTCACCGTATTTAACGCTCAGTGACATCCTGAGATATCTCTGCAGTTCACCACCCCAACCAGTCCTACCCCAAAAATCTCGTCGATCCAATTCCCACCCAGGATAATCGTCCTGCCACTTCGCTCCTCCCACTGCTTCAAATCTATAATCCACATTGTAGAGCAAAAAATACAAAGCGGCGAGGAACTTGGGAATGCAGTCGAGGATGGCTTCGGTGACATCTTTCGCTTTTGGATCGATATAACTTTCCTTAATTGGTGTAGCTACTAATTTCTTATAAAACGTGGACACGTACCCGAGGAATTCGGAGACAGCACGTGGCAGTTGGCCCGTAAACGAAATATGGTTATAAGAATTTTCATAACGCGTCATCAGTTCTCTGGCCACTTGGTCTCGCACACCACTATTTTTATGCAGCCAATGCAGAAACTCAAAGCAGTCCCTGAGGGTGATTAACTTGACTCCGTGCTTCGCCATCTTAGTTACGAAGGCACTAAGCACAAAGACACTAACAAATAGGCGCTAAGATAATTGTACCAGAATACAAGTGGAAGCGTTTTAATGGTTAACTAAGAGACACTAAAGCAATAACACGTCTAAGGTGAAGTCACTGCTTCCAGACAACCAAGACACTCCCAAGCTGCTGGCAACGCTTTTAATTGAGATGTCTAGATTATGCTAACGCTTCGTGTTTTATGAGGTTGTGCGTAGTTTTCCTGTTTCATAAAGTTGTGCGTAGTTTTCCTTAGCCAATATAATCGGTATTGCAATATTGTCATCATCCTCACTGATCCACTTTTTCAACTCCACAACATGGCTGTCCAGCGTCTTACTAACTTGCTCAAGCTGAGCTAAGACGTTCCCAACCAAGGCTTCAAGTTGTTGACGAACTCTATACTTTCCTCGCGAATTAGTGAGTTGATGTGGTCTCGGACAGTGTTGAAAGCGTGGTTGATAAAGGCGTCGCAGGTGAGGGATGAGTGACGACGGCAGTGAGCAGCGTGGCGTGACATGTGGTCAAAAAGCTAGTGGTGGAAGTGGATTGCGCTATTAATAGATGACTCAGTGAAGGGGTTAGTGGCGATTAGTATGTTATTTTAGAGGGGTGCGGTAGAAGGTGTCCGCAGCCTCAGTCCACCGACAAGGTGGGATGAAGGACGTTATTTTGGGAGTGGCGGCAAGGCAACAAACGGCAGGGAACAAGACAAAGCAGCGAGTAGGTCACATGCTTGGTTAGGTGCTAGGTGAGACGTTTGGTTAGGTGCTAGGTAAGCCATTTGGTTACATGTTAGGTAAGCCGTTTGGTTAGTGAGTTAGGTGGTAGGCAAGGCACGAGATAGTCACGATGAAAGACATGAGATGACACGGCAACACTGAGAGAGGGATGTGAATGTGAATGTAATGTAGCTACGATAATTACTGTCACGAGTGAAAGTCGTCGTCGAAGTAATCGACGTCCTTGTAGAGCGAGAGCATCCTGCGGCTGCCGGCGAGTAAAGCCTTGACGTCGATGTTGTGTGAGGCCCTGGTGGTGAGGAGGTGCGAGCGGATGTGCATCACGTCCATGCGGTAGAGGAGTGAGTGGGCGATGCAGAGCGTGGCGGTGAGCCAGAGTGCGATGATGGTGTAGAGGAAGGGCGCACGGATGCGATAGAGGAAAAGGTCCATGGCGGTCATGAGCCTGGCGATAGGCTTTCCGTTGACCACATCCTTAAGCTTGGTGACGGCAGCCGAACACGTGAGTGAGGACTGCACTGTCCCGTCTGGCGGCGTGATGCCGTGAGAGTAGAGCAGCGGCAGGGCCTTGGTACACTGGTGGAGGGGCTTGGACTTGGAGTCGTGACATTGAAGGTTCTCGAGATCATAGTGCAGCTTGAGCAATGACTCCCACAGTCTGTCTGCCAGGTAGACCGCCCAGCTGAGGTAGGCGTGCGCGAAGCTGGAAGAGTACAGGGCGTAGGCCCGGTAGGTGGTGGACGAAATATGAGGTGGGCACTGCGCATTGGTTATGTCGCAGCCAACCAGTGTGGACAGGGTCCTGGAATGGCCTTTGTCGTGGTTGGCGGTGGGAGGGGCGGGGCCCCGGATGTACTGGATGGCATTGAGGTCGTCGGCAGCAAGGTGGTCCCAGTCGGGGCAGTGGTCATGTGGCTTGGAGAGGGCGGAGCCTAGTTGGGACAAGTGTGGATGAGGCTTGTATAGTGAATTGCCGAAATTGTGGAAGAAAGACACAAGCTCCCCGGTGGTGCGCGGCGTCCGGCTGGTGATGCAGGTGAGGTAAGAGGTCAATGTCAGCAAGGGATCTTCGCCGCCGCAGCTGGGAGTGAGGATGGTGGAAATATGCTTGCCAGTTTCGTGAGTTGCAGGCAGATGCTCCTGCTTGAATCCCATGTTTACACGGCTCTTGAGGCAGATGTCGCACGGGTCGAAGGGATGTGTCTCGAACTTGGAGTCGGGGGCGTCAGTCAGGAAGGCCTGGAGGGGGGACATCTTGGCATCACGGCCGTACGGACAATCCTGCCAACCACCTTCAGATTCCTTCCGATTACACTGCGCCTTTAGGAACTCCAACTGGTGGCAGCAGGCGTAGACGTAGTCCCGCAGCTGGCAGAGGAGGCAGGCGGGGTCGATGGAATAACAAAGCTTGGAATATTCTGAGGTGAAGTCAGGCACTGAAATGTCTGTCGAAATGTCTTTATGCTTGATCCTGTGGAGAACGTTGGCAGCGTAGTGGCATGCCTCGGTCAGTTTGGCGGTGACATGGGCAGCGGTCAGATTGGTGGGATGCCCAGTGACCTCGAGGGCATCTGGAGGCTGTGAGACATCCTCGTTAAGTGCACTTAAAATGCCTTTAACATGCTCCTTAATAATCCCAACATACCCCTTTTGGTTCAACCCAACCAGCCAGTGGAGCATTTCCCTGACGGTGTTGGGCGGGGGCAGATGGTCGGAGCCTGGGGGAGGGGAGGGAGCTGGAGTGACGGTAGTGGAGGAGGAGGAAGGGGGAGCGTACCAGGGGTTTTGGCAGACGTTAAGGTCGGCCATTGTGTTCAACGTAATCGTTGTCGAATGCTTTTCTGGATTTGATTTATCAAAGTACACCATGGTTTGAAGGTTTTCGGCGTCATTGCGATATGTCTTCCGCGCCGATGGCATTGGCGGTCGGGGTTGATCAATGAGCTCCACTGGAGGAACGCCCATTGTACGGTATGCTTTTGATTTATTTGGGGAAGCAGGAGGGCGGACAATTTCTACATCTACGGGAGGCGGCCTCGCTGGGTGCAACTCACCTACAGGATACGAGGAAGTGAGAGAATCGATGTTATTATCGTCAATCGACTTGCCGGTGACATATGGAGTTGGTGGCGCTGGGAGCGAAACTGTGTCCTTCGTTTTCATCTTTGGTGACTGCGTTAAAACGGTGCCAGTGACATCCGTAAATTTCGCCATGGAGTAGTCGTCTAGTTTTACAGTGGGAAGGGAATGATTTTTAGATATGATAAAAGTCGGTTGAGGTTTTGTAGATTTAGAGGTCGGAACCACAATATGATCTCTTTCAATTGCAGTTCCAGAAATCGTACCAGATTTTGCTAATGAATTGACTGCTTCAAGCCTCAACTGCTCCTTATGATCGTGCACCGTTCTCGCATGTTGTAACTCTTTGATTTTTGCCTGCCTTAGTTCCATATCATGTTTCATTCTATCCAGTCGATTTACCAGTTCTTGGTCACCATAATATTTTTTCCATTGATCGTCTAATTCTTGACCTCGTTGCTCCTCGTCCAGTTGACGATAATCCCTAGAATTGTCGAATTTTGCATTACCTTCGAGACTGATGGCATCGCTATATTCGTCATTCATAATCATTGGATAAGCCTCATTCTCTTCTACTTCACTTCCACTAAGAACGGAAGGCTTTTCTTGGGGTGGAGGAGTCGGAAGCCTATCACCAGGACGAAGCCTAGTAGGTTTCAGGGAATGGCCAAACGTAAGATGCCCGGAATTGTTTTGATTTTGCAGAATATCTGGTGTATTGAGATTCTGAGATGCTGAGTGTGACTCATTTTTGACTTTCTCGTGGATTTTATTAAGAGCGTCAGGATCACTAAACTTGTAGGGAACTTGATTAGGCGGCTTATATGTTGAAGGACACCAATTGTTGCCACCTGCCAAAAGATTTTGCAGCGTAACATTCCGGCATGGTATCGGCTTCGGCGGATCCTGCTGCCCCTTCCCACCCCCTCCACCAGCCGCCGGGGCACCCGACGGAGTAGCGCCGCTGCTTGGAGTTTTACCGGAGGCTTGACCAACATCTTGCCCAGCCACTCCACTATCATGTCGACCAGACCCCTGGCCACCAGTTGGTCCAGGTTGTGAATCTGAAGCACTTGTAGGCTGAGTAGGACTTGTAACTGGAGATCCACCAGGCTGAGCACCTTGACCGTCACCGCCCGGTGAACCCGCACCCGGGTCACCTGGCTGAGCAGTGTGGCCAGGGTCTTTAGGAAGAGGGGGAGCAGGCGGCGGAGGTGGAGGGGAAACTGCCGATACTGTATCATCAGTTCGTTGAGTCTGAACAGCTTGTATAACTGGTAAACCTGGAGCTGGAGAAGACACCGGAGGCCCTGAACCAGGAGGCCCTTGCTGTCCTCGATCATTCTTAGGCCCTGCCGGGCCTGCAGCTCCTGGAGCACCGGGAGACGCAGCTGGAGCAGAAGAGTCTCCACTTGCTGAATCTGCAGACGCATCTCGACTTTGACCATTATTCTGATTTGGAGACGCTTCCGCTTTCTTCCCCTGGTCCTGTGCTCCCTCAGATTTCTTCCCCTGGTTCTGTGCTCCCTCCGCTTTCTTCCCCTGGTCCTGTGCTCCCTCCTCTTGCTTCTCCGGTGGACACACTTCACCTTCCAAAATCTGTTTAAGCTTATCCAATCCGTCATCCCCTCTCTTAAGGTCATTGATTACGCCGGACAAAACATCATGCGGATTCATACCGCTACCGAAATTATTTTTGTCAAATGTAAAGCCATATGGGAAGAGATATTTGTTGAAATAGTCTGTAAGCTCAGCGGGTGATTTCTTTCCGAGGGCCTTGTTCGTAGTATCAATATTCCCCAAATTAGTCTTCACTTTGTCCAAATTATCTCTCAACCAATCCGCAGCCTCCTTTGCAAATTCTTCTTTCTTAAGGTGTTCAGGCTCCCTACCGAAGCCTGTGAAGGAAAAACGTTCACCCTTGAAAATTTTGCTAAATTGTTCTTGAAGCTTCTCACAATGTGCTTTTAAATTATTCCAACAAATGTGTTTGTCGGATGATGCCCGATGTGCATTCAGTTTTGATATTAACTCTCCTCCCTTATCGTTTACCACTATCTCGCAAAAAGTCCTCACCAACGCCAGGGCGTTGGCTGTATTCGGAAGATCTGTGCCATGTTGTCCGAGCACTGAGGTGGAGAAAACGTCGAGGAAATAATTTTGTATATTTGGCTTATTGGAATGCTTTTCACAAATCGCTGTAAGGTCACTTGCCATGTCACTACCTTGGCGGTAGCCATTCCGACCACTACCACGTTTAACGTCGCCATGTCTACCGAATCCTCCAGGGATTACGCCATATTTAGAGCCTGATGATGTAGTGAGATACGCCTGCAGTTCACGGCCAAGTATACCTTGACCAACCATGTGGTCCTTCCACTTCCCACCATCCAGTTTCGAGAAACTCGCATCCACCTGGTACCTCAAAAAATACATCACTGCTAAGAACTTGGGAATGCATTCTGAAAGGGCATCTAGTACGGCAGTAGGGTTACTGCTTATATGTTTCTGACTCGCCTTGTTGCATAATTTATTATGAAACGTTGATACATTGCCAAGGAAAGTGGTGAGTGCTTGCTGAATTTGCTGTTGATTAGGATTAAGATATCTGCCACTAAGACGATCATGCAGTTCTTTGGCCACCTGGTCCCGCATATGCTTACTATGATTCAACCACTCCAGGAACATGAGACACTCCTTAAGGGTGCCAAGCGGAATACCGTGCTTCGCCATCTTAGTTACAAACGCAGTTAGCACAAAGGCACTAATAAATATGCGTTAGGCTAATTGTACAAAAGGACAAGTGAAAGCTTTTAAATGGTTTACCAGGAGACACTAAAGCGATGAAGCCTATAAGGTGACGTCACTGCTTCCAGATAACCAAGGCACTGCCAAGATGCTTGCGATGATTGTAATTGCGATGTTATTAGGTAACTCAGTGAAGCTGTTAGTAGCGATTAGTGAGATATTTTAGAGGTGCAAGAGGGGTGTGGTAGAAGGCGTCCGCAGCCTCAGTCCACCGACAAGGTGGGATGAAGGAGGCTGTTAGGGAGTGACGGCAAGGCGACAAACGGCAAGGGAGACGACAAAGCAGCGAGTAGGTTACATCGTTGGTCAGGTGCTAGGTGGGACGTTTGGTTACGTGATAGGTAAGCCTCTTGGTTAGGTGGTGAGTTGGGTGCTAGGCAAGGCACGAGATACAGTCACCATGAGAGACGTGAGATGACATGGCAACACAAAGAGAGTAATGCAATGCGAATGTAGCTACGATAATTACCGTCATGAGTGAAAGTCATCGTCGAAGTAGTCGACGTCCTTGTAGAGTGAGAGCATCCTGCGGCTGCCGGCGAGCAGCGCCTTGACGTCGATGAGGTGGGAGGCCCTGGTGGTGAGTAGGTGGGAGCGGATGCGCAGCACGTCCATGCGGTAGAGTAGTGAGTGGAGGATGTAGAGCGTGGCGATGAGCCAGAGCGTGACGAGGCAGAAGAGGAAGGGCGCACGGATGCGATAGAGGAATGTGTCCATGGCGGTCATGAGGCCTGCGATAGGCTCTCCGGCGACCACTTCTTCCAGCTTGGTGATGAGCTCAGAACACGTGAGTGAGGAATGCAGTGTCCCGTCTGGCGGCGTGAACCCGTGAGAGTAGAGGAGGGGCAGGGCCTTGTCACACTGGTGGAGGGGCTTGGACTTGGAGTCGTGACATTGAAGGTTCTCGAGATCATCTTGCAGCTTGAGCAGTGACTCGTGAAGTCTGTCTGCCAGGTAGGCCGTCCAGCTGAGGTAGTGGTGGGCGAAGGCCTTGGAGTACAGGGCGTAGGCCCGGTAGGTGATGGGCTTCATATGCTGTGGGCAGTTGACGTTATCGATGCCGCATCCAAGCAGCGTGGACAGGGTCATGGGATGGTCCTCGTCGTGGTTGTGGTTGGAGTTGGGAGGGGCGGAGCCCCGGGCTTCCCTGATGGCTTGGAGGTCGGCGTCTTTGAGACGGTCCCAGTCGGGGTAATGAGGATGTGGCTCGGAGAGGGCGGATCCTAGCGTGGACAACTGTGAAGATGATGAATGCAGCTCATTCCCGAAGTTGTGGAAGAACGAGACAAGCTCCCCGGTGGTGCGCGGCGTCCGCCTGGTGAGGCAGGTGAGGTAGGAGGCCAATCTCAGCAGGGGATCATCGCCGCCGCAGGTGGGAGTGAGGATGTCGTTGAGTATGTTGCCAGTTTGCTGAGATGCAGGCAAATCCTCCCTCTTGAATCCCATGTTGACGCGGGTCTTGCGGCAGATGTCGCACGGGTCGAAGGGATGTGTCTCGAACTTGGAGTCGGGGGCGTCAGTCAGGAAGGCCTGGAGGGGGGACATCTTGGCATCACGGCCGTACGGACAATCCTGCCAACCACCTTCAGATTCCTTCCGATTACACTGCGCCTTTAGGAACGCCAACTGGTGGTAGCAGGCGTACACGTAGTCCCGCAGCTGGCAGAGGAGGCGGGCGGGGTCGGCGGAATAATAAAGCTTGGAATATTCTGAGCTGAAGTCAAGGGTTGAAACAGCTGTCGAAATGTCTTTATACCTAATCCTGTGGAGAACGCTGGCAGAGTAGAGACACGCCTGTGTCAGAGTGTTGGAGATATGGGAAGCGGTCAGCTGAGTGGGATCCCCAGTGACCTCGAGGGCATCTGAGAGCTGTGAGGCATCCTCGTTAAGCTCCCTCAAAAGGTCTTCAATATGCTTTTTAATAATCCCAACATACCCCTTTTGGTTCAACCCAACCAGCCAGTGGAGCATTTCCCTGACGGTGTTGGGCGGGGGCAGATGGTCGGAGTCTGGGAGGGGGGAGGGAGTTGGAGTTATGGTAGTGAGTTAGGTGCTAGGTCAGCCATTTGGTCAGGTGCTTGGTCAGCCATTTGGTTAAGCAGTGAGTTAGGTGCTAGGCAAGGCACGAGATACAGCCACCATGAGAGACGTGACATGACACGGCAACACAAAGAGAGGAATGTAAATGTAATGTAGCTGCAATAATTACAATCAAGAGTGAAAGTCGTCGTCGAAGTAGTCGACGTCCTTGTAGAGCGAGAGCATCCTGCGGCTTCCGGCGAGCAGCGCCTTGACGTCGATGAGGTGAGAGGCCCTGGTGGTGAGAAGGTGGGAGCGGATGCGCAGGACGTCCATGCGGTAGAGTAGTGAGTGGGCGATGTAGAGCGTGGCGGTGAGCCAGAGTGCGACGATGGTGAAGAGGAAGGGCTCCCGGATGCCGTAAAGGAAAAGGTCCATGGCGGTCATGAGGCTTGCGATAGGCTGTCCGGCGACCACTGCCTCCAACTTGGCGATGAACTGTGAACACGTGAGTGAAGGCTGCAGTGTCCCGTCCGGCGGGGTGAGGCCGTGAGTGTAGAGGAGGGGCAGCGCCTTGTCACACTGGTGGAGGGGCTTGGGCTTGGCGGCGTGACATTGAAGTTCCTCGAGATCACAGTGCAGCTTGGTCAGTGACTCCCACAGTCTGTCGGTTAGGTGGACCACCCAGCTGAGGTAGTGGTGGACGAACGCCGTGGAGTACAGGGCGTAGGCCCGGTAGGTGATGGGCGACAAGTGTTGTGGGCAAGAACCATGCTTAGTGCTGCAGCCAACCAGTGCGGACAGGGTCTTGGCATGGTCGTGGTTGGAGGTGGGAGGGTCGGAGCCTCGGATGTCCTTGATGACTCGAAGGTGGGAGTTACCAAGGCGGTCCCAGTCGGGGCAGTGAGGATGTGGCTTGTGGAGGGCGGAGCCCAGTGGAGACAACTTGAGAGACGCATCGTGCAGCTCGTTCCCGAAATGGTGGAAGAAAGACACAAGCTCCCCGGTGGTGCGCGGCGTCCGCTGGGTGAGGCAGTTGAGGTAAGAGGACAGCGTCAGCAGGGGACCCTCGCCGCCGCAGGTGGGAGAGAGGATGGTGGAAATATGCTTGCCAGTTTCGTGAGGTTTAGGCAAATCTTCCTTTGTGAATCCCATGTTGACACGGCTCTTGAGGCAGATGTTGCGCGGGTCGAAGGGATGCGTCTTGAGCTTGGAGTTGGGGGCGTCAGTCAGGAAGGCCTGGAGGGGGGACGGAGTCTTGGCATCTTGGCCATATTCACAATCCTGCCATCCACCCTCAGATGCCTTCCTAGAACACTGCGCCTTTAGGAACTCCAACTGGTGGCAGCAGGCGTAGACGTAGTCCCGCAGCTGGCAGAGGAGGCGGGCGGGGTCCGAGGAATAACAAAGCTTGGAATATTCTGAGCTGAAGTCAGGCATTGTATCGGCTGTCGAAATGTCTTTGTGCTTGAGCCTGTGGAGAACGTTTGCCGAGTAGAGGGACGCCTCGGTCAGGGTGTTGGATACATGGGAAGCGGTCAGCTGAGTGGGATCCCCGGTGACCTCGAGGGCATCTGGAGGCTGTGAGACATCCTCGTTAAGTGCACTTAAAATGCCTTTAACATGCTCCTTAATAATCCCAACATACCCCTTTGGTTCAACCCAACCAGCCAGTGGAGCATTTCCCTGACGTCTGTCGGCCGGGGCAGATGGTCCGAGGCTGGGGGCGGGAGGAGTTGGAGTTATGGTAGTGAGTTAGGTGCTAGGTCAGCCATTTGGTCAGGTGCTTGGTCAGCCATTTGGTTAAGCAGTGAGTTAGGTGCTAGGCAAGGCACGAGATACAGCCACCATGAGAGACGTGACATGACACGGCAACACTAGGAGAGGAATGTAAACATAATATAGCTGAGATAATTAGTGTTATGAGTGAAAGTCATCGTCGAAGTAGTCGACGTCCTTGTAGAGCGAGAGCATCTTGCGGCTGCCGGCGAGCAGCGCCTTGACGTCGATGAGGTGAGATCCTGAACGTGAGGAGGTGTGAGCGGATGCGGAGGACGTCCATCCGGTACAGGAGTGAGTGGAGGATGTAGAGCGTGGCGGTGAGCCAGAGTGTGAGTGCAGTGTAGAGGAAGGGGCACGGATGCAGTAGAGGAATGTGTCCATGGCGGTAATGAGGCTTGCGATAGGCTTTCCGGCGACCACATCCTTAAGCTTGGTGACGGCAGCCGAACACGTGAGTGAGGACTGCACTGTCCCGTCTGGCGGCGTGATGCCGTGAGAGTAGAGCAGCGGCAGGGCCTTGGTACACTGGTGGAGGGGCTTGGACTTGGAGTCGTGACATTGAAGGTTCTCGAGATCATAGTGAAGCTTGAGCAGTGAGTCCCACAGTCTGTCTGCCAGGTACACCGCCCAGCTGAGGTAGTGGTGGGCGAAGCTCGGGGAGTATACGGCGTAGGCCCGGTAGGTGATGGGCTTCATGAGTTGTGAGCACTTGGAATCATCGATGCCGCAGCCAAGCAGCGTGGACAGGGTATTGGGATGATCATTGTCGCGGTGGATGGAGTTGGGAGTGGCGGAGCCTCGGGCGTACTTGATGGTTTGCAGATCGTCGGCGTCTTTGAGACGGTCCCAGTCGGGGTAATGAGGATGTGGCTCGGAGAGGGCGGATCCTAGCGTGGACAACTGTGAAGATGATGAATGCAGCTCATTCCCGAAGTTGTGGAAGAACGAGACAAGCTCCCCGGTGGTGCGCGGCGTCCGCCTGGTGAGGCAGGTGAGGTAGGAGGCCAATCTCAGCAGGGGATCATCGCCGCCGCAGGTGGGAGTGAGGATGTCGTTGAGTATGTTGCCAGTTTGCTGAGATGCAGGCAAATCCTCCCTCTTGAATCCCATGTTGACACGGCTCTTGAGGCAGATGTTGCGGGGGTCGAAGGGATGAGTCTTGAACTTGGAATCCGAGGCGTCAGTCAGGAAGGCCTGGAGGGGGGACGGAGTCTTGGCATCTTGGCCATATTCACAATCCTGCCATCCACCCTCAGATGCCTTCCTAGAACACTGCGCCTTTAGGAACTCCAACTGGTGGCAGCAGGCGTAGACGTAGTCCCGCAGCTGGCAGAGGAGGCGGGCGGGGTCCGAGGAATAACAAAGCTTGGAATATTCTGAGCTGAAGTCAGGCATTGTATCGGCTGTCGAAATGTCTTTGTGCTTGAGCCTGTGGAGAACGTTTGCCGAGTAGAGGGACGCCTCGGTCAGGGTGTTGGATACATGGGAAGCGGTCAGCTGAGTGGGATCCCCGGTGACCTCGAGGGCATCTGGAGGCTGTGAGACATCCTCGTTAAGTGCACTTAAAATGCCTTTAACATGCTCCTTAATAATCCCAACATACCCCTTTTGGTTCAACCCAACCAGCCAGTGGAGCATTTCCCTGACGTCTGTCGGCCGGGGCAGATGGTCCGAGGCTGGGGGCGGGGAGGGAGTTGGAGTTATGGTAGTGAGTTAGGTGCTAGGTCAGCCATTTGGTCAGGTGCTTGGTCAGCCATTTGGTTAAGCAGTGAGTTAGGTGCTAGGCAAGGCACGAGATACAGCCACCATGAGAGACGTGACATGACACGGCAACACTAGGAGAGGAATGTAAACATAATATAGCTGAGATAATTAGTGTTATGAGTGAAAGTCATCGTCGAAGTAGTCGACGTCCTTGTAGAGCGAGAGCATCTTGCGGCTGCCGGCGAGCAGCGCCTTGACGTCGATGAGGTGTGAGATCCTGAACGTGAGGAGGTGTGAGCGGATGCGGAGGACGTCCATCCGGTACAGGAGTGAGTGGAGGATGTAGAGCGTGGCGGTGAGCCAGAGTGTGAGTGCAGTGTAGAGGAAGGGGGCACGGATGCAGTAGAGGAATGTGTCCATGGCGGTAATGAGGCTTGCGATAGGCTTTCCGGCGACCACATCCTTAAGCTTGGTGACGGCAGCCGAACACGTGAGTGAGGACTGCACTGTCCCGTCTGGCGGCGTGATGCCGTGAGAGTAGAGCAGCGGCAGGGCCTTGGTACACTGGTGGAGGGGCTTGGACTTGGAGTCGTGACATTGAAGGTTCTCGAGATCATAGTGAAGCTTGAGCAGTGAGTCCCACAGTCTGTCTGCCAGGTACACCGCCCAGCTGAGGTAGTGGTGGGCGAAGCTCGGGGAGTATACGGCGTAGGCCCGGTAGGTGATGGGCTTCATGAGTTGTGAGCACTTGGAATCATCGATGCCGCAGCCAAGCAGCGTGGACAGGGTATTGGGATGATCATTGTCGCGGTGGATGGAGTTGGGAGTGGCGGAGCCTCGGGCGTACTTGATGGTTTGCAGATCGTCGGCGTCTTTGAGACGGTCCCAGTCGGGGTAATGAGGATGTGGCTCGGAGAGGGCGGATCCTAGCGTGGACAACTGTGAAGATGATGAATGCAGCTCATTCCCGAAGTTGTGGAAGAACGAGACAAGCTCCCCGGTGGTGCGCGGCGTCCGCCTGGTGAGGCAGGTGAGGTAGGAGGCCAATCTCAGCAGGGGATCATCGCCGCCGCAGGTGGGAGTGAGGATGTCGTTGAGTATGTTGCCAGTTTGCTGAGATGCAGGCAAATCCTCCCTCTTGAATCCCATGTTGATACGGCTCTTGAGGCAGATGTCACACGGGTTGAAGGGATGAGTCTCGAACTTGGAGTCGGGGGCGTCGGTCAGGAATGCCTGGAGGGGGGAGTTGAGAGAAGTTACATTAACACCATACTCATAATCCTGCCAACCACCATGTGACTGCTCCCGAGAACACTGCACCTTGAGGAACGTCAACTGGTGGTAGCAGGCGTACACGTAGTCCCGCAGCTGGCAGAGGAGGCGGGCGGGGTCGGCGGAATAGTAAAAAGCATATTTCTCTTGATCCTCGAAAAAGGTTTTGAAGTCATCGGATATGTCTTTGTGCTTGAGCCTGTATAGAACGTTCGCCGCGTAGTGGCACGCCTCCGTCAGTTTGGCGGTGACAAGGGCAGCGGTAAGAGTGTATGGTTTCTCAGTGACCTCGAGGGCATCTGGTGATTGTGAGAGGTCTTTGTTGATGTCTTCTAAAATGCCTTCAACAGACTCCTTGATAATCGCAGTGTACCCCGATTCATTCAACCCAACCATCCAGTGGAGCATTTCCCTGACGGTCTTGGGAGGGGGCAAAAGGTCCGAGGCTGGGAGGGGGGAGGGAGTTTGGGTGACGGTAGTGAGTTAGGTGCTAGGTCAGCCATTTGGTTAGGTGTTAGGTAAGCCATTTGGTTAGTTGCTAGGTCAGTCGATTGGTTAGGCAGTGAGTTAGGTGCTAGGCAAGGCACGAGATACACCTCACCACGAAACACATGGCACGGCAACACAATGAATGTAAATGTGAGTGTAGCTACGATAATTACTGTCACGAGTGAAAGTCATCGTCGAAGTAGTCGACGTCCTTGTAGAGCGAGAGCATCCTGCGGCTTCCGGCGAGCAGCGCCTTGACGTCGATGAGGTGAGAGGCCCTGGTGGTGAGAAGGTGGGAGCGGATGCGCAGGACGTCCATGCGGTAGAGTAGTGAGTGGGCGATGTAGAGCGTGGCGGTGAGCCAGAGTGCGACGATGGTGAAGAGGAAGGGCTCCCGGATGCCGTAAAGGAAAAGGTCCATGGCGGTCATGAGGCTTGCGATAGGCTGTCCGGCGACCACTGCCTCCAACTTGGCGATGAACTGTGAACACGTGAGTGAAGGCTGCAGTGTCCCGTCCGGCGGGGTGAGGCCGTGAGTGTAGAGCAGCGGCAGGGCCTTGTCACACTGGTGGAGGGGCTTGGGCTTGGCGGCGTGACATTGAAGTTCCTCGAGATCACAGTGCAGCTTGGTCAGTGACTCCCACAGTCTGTCGGTTAGGTGGACCACCCAGCTGAGGTAGTGGTGGACGAACGCCGTGGAGTACAGGGCGTAGGCCCGATAGGTGATGGGCTTCATATGCTGTGGGCAGTTGGCATTATAGATGCCACAACCAACCAGCGTGGACAGGGTCTTTGCATGGTCGTGGTTGGAGGTGGGAGGGTCGGAGCCTCGGATGTCCTTGATGACTCGAAGGTGGGAGTTACCAAGGCGGTCCCAGTCGGGGCAGTGAGGATGTGGCTTGTGGAGGGCGGAGCCCAGTGGAGACAACTTGAGAGACGCATCGTGCAGCTCGTTCCCGAAATGGTGGAAGAAAGACACAAGCTCCCCGGTGGTGCGCGGCGTCCGCTGGGTGAGGCAGTTGAGGTAAGAGGACAGCGTCAGCAGGGGACCCTCGCCGCCGCAGGTGGGAGAGAGGATGGTGGAAATATGCTTGCCAGTTTCGTGAGGTTTAGGCAAATCTTCCTTTGTGAATCCCATGTTGACACGGCTCTTGAGGCAGATGTTGCGCGGGTCGAAGGGATGCGTCTTGAGCTTGGAGTTGGGGGCGTCAGTCAGGAAGGCCTGGAGGGGGGACGGAGTCTTGGCATCTTGGCCATATTCACAATCCTGCCATCCACCCTCAGATGCCTTCCTAGAACACTGCGCCTTTAGGAACTCCAACTGGTGGCAGCAGGCGTAGACGTAGTCCCGCAGCTGGCAGAGGAGGCGGGCGGGGTCCGAGGAATAACAAAGCTTGGAATATTCTGAGCTGAAGTCAGGCATTGTATCGGCTGTCGAAATGTCTTTGTGCTTGAGCCTGTGGAGAACGTTTGCCGAGTAGAGGGACGCCTCGGTCAGGGTGTTGGATACATGGGAAGCGGTCAGCTGAGTGGGATCCCCGGTGACATCTAGGGCGTCTGAAGGATGGGAGGCATCCTCGTTAAGCTCCCTCAAAAGGCTCTTAACATGATTCTCGATCGCGCCAATATACCCATATTGAGTCAACCCGACCAGCCAGTGGAGCATTTCCCTGACGGTGTTTGGCGGGGGCAGATGGTCCGAGGCTGGGGGCGGGGAGAGAGTTAGTTGGTCGGTGGAATGTGAGGCATCATGGGCGTACCAGGGAGCTTGGCATTCTCCGGAGTCAGGGAACACTGGAATGTGCTGGTCATATGGCTTCCTTGGAGTACCGCGGGTAATACCAGCATCATGCTTCCCATCAGATTCTAAAAATGATGGAGTAAATTCAATGTTGAAATTACTCTTGGGCAGGGCAGAAAATCCTTTGTCTTCACCATGCCAGGACTCCGCATTTTTCAACTCGTCCCGCAGGATATCCTCCGCGTTGGAGTAAAGGTATTCATCAGGATTATCGACAAGGTCTTGAACAATGGGCTTGCGGACATCAATGTGGAGGTCGACATAATCTTGTTTGGCATCAGATTGGCGATCAATTTTTTCGAATACCAGTCCATCGTCTTTCACGTCAGAATACGGATCTATGCCTATAAGTGCGCTCTCCACTGCGTCTGGATGCGGTTGTACAACTTCGATGTCCCAGTCGTATTGGTCACCAGTTGGCGGCGGCACTGGGTCATCTGTCTCAGGAGGCGGCGAATCAATGACTGATCCTGACAGTGACAAAGCTTTGGGTGCTAACGGGTCCGGATACTCCGGATCCGGAAGTGGCATCGACGTATGTATGTAAGGTACGACGACGTGGCCAAGGTCGTCGTCCCGTAATTCCTGAAGTATCCAGGTGTCCTTAAGTTGTTTCGATACATTTTGCTTAGCTTCTTCAAGATTTCTCTCGAATTTCTCTTGCTCCTTTTTTGCAGTCCACTCTACTAATTGCTTCGGATAATTCCAATCATTTCTATACCTTTGTTCCCACCATAGGCCGGGATCATACAAAGATTCATTGGAGACGTCGACGCCATCAAGGCCCATAGTGGCTGAAGACTCAACAGCAGTAGGGATCTGATGAAATGTTTTAGGATAGTAATACTGTAAATATTGCTGACGTCTCCGTTCCTCCTCCTCTTCCGCCTTTTTAAGGACGTCTGCTTCTTTTTCTCTAAGTTTCTTTAGAAAATCGGGGGAAAGGTTGGGGCCGTATGATTTGGTTGGGGCGGGATTCTGAGGATTTCGAAAACACATTTCATTGCCACCGGAATCTTTCACTAAATATTCATCTGATTTGCACTGTTTTTTACTAACATTTGGAACGGATTGAGGAACAACCTTATCTCCTGACCCACTCCTACCCCCACCTCCACCAGACGCCGTGGCACCCGACGTAGTAGTGACGCTGCTTGGGGTTTGACCGGAGCCTTGACTTGTTGGCTGACTAACATCTTTACTACCATTTTGATCACCCTGTTGCCCAGTCCCCCTGCCACCAGTTGACCCAGGGCTTGAACTTGAAGCACTTGGAGACTGAGTAAGCACAGAATCTTGAGGGGAACCAGGGAGTGGTCCTGGAGAACCATCGCCTGGCAAACCCTGACCTGGCTGACTAGGGGAGCCAGGGGCTCCAGAAGTACTGGGAGGAGCCGGTGGAGGGGGAGGAATTGACGGGCTTGGAACAGGTTGTTGATGTTGCACAGTGTTTTGAACTGGTGAAATTGTGTCCTGAGACGTCGGAGACACTGTAACAGTAGGCACCGGAGTCACTGTAACAGGAGACCCTTGCGGGCCTTGATCTCCTTTTGGGCCTGCATCTCCTGGAGCACCGGGAGTCGGAGATGGAGCAGCCGAGTCTGTAACTTGTGGAGTTGGAAATCCCTCACCTTTCTTGCCCTGGTTCTGTGCTCCCTCACTTTTCTTGCCCTGGTTCTGTGCTCCCTCCGCCTTCTTGCCCTGGTTCTGTGCTCCCTCCGCCTTCTTCCCCTGGTTCTGTGCTCCCTCACTTTTCTTGCCTTGGTTTGAAGTTCCTTCAACTTTACTGGCAGTCGGCTTCGCCGCCTCGGCCTTGGTGACCACAGGCTTTGGGGGTTTTGGTTTGGGAATTTTAACAGTCTTTCCACTGTCCAGCAACTCTTCATCCTCCGGCTCCTCATCTTCCTCTTCATCTTGGTCATCCACATTTTCTTGATTTTTATCTTGCCTCTGTTGCCTTTCTTGCTCTTCTGCTTTACACTTCTCACCATTCAGAATATCCACAAGCTTTTCCAATCCTCCACCGCTGCTTTTAAGCTCACGGATTGCAGTGTCCCACTCATTTTTCAAAAGATCATACGGAGCATTTTTGTTGTACTGGTGACCATAAAACGTGAACCCGTAGCGAATGAAGTTGTTGATGAAATAATTTTGAAGGGCCGTTATATCAGCTTGCTTCAGGGCACTTCCCTTCTTAAGCTTCTTAAGCTCTCTTACATCACTAAAAGCCTGAATATTTTCCACACTATCTTTCACTTTATGCAAATTCTGTTTAAACCAGTTGGCCATCTTCTTGGCGATATCTTGGTGTTTAAGGAATTCATCTTGCCGCGCATAGCCAGTGAAGGAAAATTTATTCTCCTTGAAAATTTTGCTGAGTGAATCCTTCAGTTTGTTGCAATGATCTCTTAATTCATTCCACTGGATGCATCTATTCTTCCTATACAAATGACTCTTAAAGTCCTCCTCGCTCTTTAAGCCTCCAAATATCCTGCAGAAATCCTCCACCAAACGCAGAGCGTTGGCAACGTTCGCGGTGTCAGCGCCGGAGTCTGGAATTACTGTTGTGGAATACACGTCGAGGAAATAATTTTGTACTTTATCTTGCTTGTTCAGAATACTTTGAATGTCTTTGACCATGGCAGAAGCAGGAGAGTAACCACTCAGATGACCACTTTTCAGGTCACTTGCATCGAAGCCTCCAGGCATTACGCCGTACGTTGTATCGCCGGATTTAGCAATGAGGTACCTATCGATTTCTTTGGCTAAAGACATATGCAGTGCAACCCCTCCAACCATATCACCAGCCCACCCTCCTCCACCCATTGCTTTGAAACGTTCATCCACCTGGTACCTCAGAAAGTACACGGCGGCAAGCAGTTTGGGTATGCAGTTGAGTACAGCGTTGAGGGCAGGTTTTGTGGTTTTTGGATTATTTTTGCTCTGACCTGCTTTATTGCATAGCCTCGTATGAAACCTAGACACATTAGTGAGGAATTGAGAGAGTGCGGATGCAATGTGCTGTTGATCAACAGTATTGTATTTGCCATCAAGAAGCCTTTTCAGTCGGTAGGCCAGCTGTTCTTGCACGCATTTATTGCCATTGAGCCACTGCAGGAACATGAGACATTCCTTGAGGGTGCCAAGCGGAATGCCGTGCCCCGTCATCTTGCTTACAACGGCACTAAGCACAAAGACACTAATAAATGGGCACTAAGCTACTCGTACAAAAGTGCAAGTGACAGCATTTAAATGGTTAACCACGAGACAATAAGGCGATAACACGTCTAAGGTGATGTCACTGCTTCCAGATAACCAAGACACTCCCAAGATGGTTGCGATGGATTCAATTGCGGTGTTATTAGGTGACACAGTGACCATGTTAGTGGTGATTGGTAACCTATTTTAGAGCTGCAAGAGGGGCGTGGTGAGAGGCGTCCGCAGCCTGAATCCACCGACAAGGTGGGATGAAGGAGGCTGTTAGGGAGTGACGGCAAGGCGACAAACGGCAAGGGAGACGACAAAGCAGCGAGTAGGTTGCATCATAGGTTAGGTGCTAGGTGAGCCATTTGGTTAGGTGCTAGGTAAGCCATTTGGTTAGGTGCTAGGTGAAGTTTTTGGTTACATGTTATATAAGGCGTTTGGTTAGCTGTTAGGTTAGCCGTTTGGTTAGCCAGTGAGTCAGGTGCTAGGCAAGGCACGAGATACAGTCACCATGAGAGACGTGAGATGACATGGCAACACAAAGAGAGTAATGCAATGCGAATGTAGCTACGATAATTACCGTCATGAGTGAAAGTCATCGTCGAAGTAGTCGACGTCCTTGTAGAGTGAGAGCATCCTGCTGCTGCCGGCGAGTAAGGCCTTGACGTCGATGGTGTGGGAGGCCCTGGTGGTGAGGAGGTGATAGCGGATGCGCAGGACGTCCATGCGGTAGAGGAATGAGTGGAGGATGTAGAGCGTGGCGATGAGCCAGAGTGCGATGATGGTGTAGAGGAACGGTAGACGGATGCCGTATAGGAACTCGTCCATGGCGGTCATGAGGCTTGCGATAGGCTTTCCGGCGACCACATCTCCCAGCTTGGTGACGGCAGCCGAACACGTGAGTGAGGACTGCACTGTCCCGTCTGGCGGCGTGATGCCGTGAGAGTAGAGCAGCGGCAGGGCCTTGGTACACTGGTGGAGGGGCTTGGACTTGGAGTCGTGACATTGAAGGTTCTCGAGATCATAGTGAAGCTTGAGCAGTGAGTCCCACAGTCTGTCTGCCAGGTACACCGCCCAGCTGAGGTAGTGGTGGGCGAAGCTAGAAGAGTACAGGGCGTAGGCCCGGTAGGTGATGGTCTTCATGAGTTGTGGGCAGTCGACATTATCGATGCCGCAGCGAAGAAGAGACGACAGGGTATTGGGATGGTCCTTGTCGTGGATGGAGTTGGAGCTGGCAGGGGCGGAGCCCCGGATGTACTGGATGGCATTGAGGTCGTCGGCAGCAAGGTGGTCCCAGTCGGGGCAGTGAGGATGTGGCTTGTGGAGGGCGGAGCCCAGTGGAGACAACTTGAGAGACGCATCGTGCAGCTCGTTCCCGAAATTGTGGAAGAAAGAGACAAGCTCCCCGGTTGTGCGCGGCGTCCGCCTGGTGAGGCAGTTGAGGTAAGAGGACAATGTCAGCAGGGGATCCTCGCCGCCGCAGCTGGGAGTGAGGATGGTGGAAATATGCTTGCCAGTTTCGTGAGTTGCAGGCAGATGCTCCTGCTTGAATCCCATGTTTACACGGCTCTTGAGGCAGATGTCGCACGGGTCGAAGGGATGTGTCTCGAACTTGGAGTCGGGGGCGTCAGTCAGGAAGGCCTGGAGGGGGGACATCTTGGCATCACGGCCGTACGGACAATCCTGCCAACCACCTTCAGATTCCTTCCGATTACACTGCGCCTTTAGGAACTCCAACTGGTGGCAGCAGGCGTAGACGTAGTCCCGCAGCTGGCAGAGGAGGCAGGCGGGGTCGATGGAATAACAAAGCTTGGAATATTCTGAGGTGAAGTCAGGCACTGAAATGTCTGTCGAAATGTCTTTATGCTTGATCCTGTGGAGAACGTTGGCAGCGTAGTGGCATGCCTCGGTCAGTTTGGCGGTGACATGGGCAGCGGTCAGATTGGTGGGATGCCCAGTGACCTCGAGGGCATCTGGAGGCTGTGAGACATCCTCGTTAAGTGCACTTAAAATGCCTTTAACATGCTCAGTAATGATACCAACATACCCATATTGATTAAACCCGACCATCCAGTGGAGCATTTCCCTGACTGTGTTGGGCACGGGCAGGTGGTCGGAGTCTGGGAGGGGGGAGGGAGTTGGAGTGACGGTAGTGGAGGAGGCAGGAGCAACGTACCAGGGGTTTTGGCAGATTCCGGCGTCAGGAAACACTGGAATGCTCCGGGCGGACACCACCCTGTCAGGCTCACGCGGCATCCCGGGATCATGATCCCCATCGGATTTTAAAAATGATGGAGTAAATTCGAGGTTTAAATTACTCTTGGGCAGTACAGAAAAGCCTTTGTCTCCACCATATTGCTGTGCCGAAGTTTTCAACTCGTCTCGCACGATATCCTCCATATTGGCATAAGGGTCATCATACGGGTTGTCGACAGGGTCTTGAACGATGGGCTTGGCGACTTGGATATCGAAATCCGGCAACTCGTATAACTCAGGAGGCGGGCGTCTCGGCGCACGCTCTGTAAAAACTTGTGGTATGCCCTTGCTTTTTTCTGCCTCTATGGCATCCTTATTTTTCTTAGTGACTTCATCTTGAAACTGTTGAATTTCATTTGCTAAGTTTTTTCTTCGGTGTTCATAATAATTTTTAAAGTCATCGTTAGCATTTTGAAGCTGCAGCTTACGAATCTCATCATCCTTTATGTGGCGTGGATCCACAATATTGGTGCCTTCGACGAGAGTTAATGCTTGGTGTTTTAGTGGAGCGGATTTCGACGGCTGAACTGTGTTACCCCAGACATGCCCTGTTTGGTTAGCTATATTCGTGTCGTTAATGTGATCCAGGAATTTTTGTAATTCCATGGCATTTGCCTCCTTAATGTTTTGAATTGTCTCCAAGTTACCTGCAAGTTGCATCTGCTTTCTTTCGTGGATTTCATAAAATGCGTCATCACTTCTACGCTTCCGTTCATTTTCCATCCACTCCTTGTGCGGATCGGGAATGACGCCACCATCGACGGAACACATCGATGACACGTAGTCTGGAAGATTGCTAACGAGATGTGGATATTGATATGCAGGTTGAAATCCATCCAGAGTTGTGGATGGAGCGTCCTGTAGTTTCTTGAGTTCCTCCTCTTGGACCCTTCTAGCGTCGTCCAGTTTCTTCTGCAACGACTCTGCGGCTTTCTTTCTCCTCTCATTCTGACTTCCTAGGGTTTTACTAAATTGATCATATCGCTGTTGGCGCTTACCCTCGTCCACTTGTGTTTTCCACTTTTCGTCTGCTTCTTTTTTTTGTTCCGCGTTGGACTTGTCTTCATTTTGTTTAAGCTGATCCACTTCCTCTTGCTGAGCTTGCCGTTCTAACAGTTTCAGATGTTTTATGGCTTCGACCTTTTTCTTTATTTTCTCTTGTAGGTGTTTAGAAGACGTATCCGGGATTACTTCACCACTGACCTCCAGAGACGGAACATCCTGCATAGCCGTAACATTCGCATCCCCCTGTCGTGTATTTCTATCCTGTGGATTGTAGTAGGGACGCTGTTTAAAACGTCGGGCATCAGTAGGATGATGGGAAGGTCCGGGAGCAGGGTGGCTGGGCTGCCTAAGACGGCTAGGCGGTATTTGGGATTGAGGTGGGGGAATATGATTTAGGATAATTTGACGATTTGGATGTTTCTTATTATGTTCATCTTGTATGCTTTGGACAATCTGTATTTTTTGGAGATCCCAGAGCTTCTTATCTTTTTCATCAAAGGAATTTAATTCAGTTGTCTGAGGCGTTGAAGGGCACAACGGTACGCCGCCAATAAACAGTGGTTTACCATTTGAACAAGCACTACTGGGCCCCTTACCTGCCGCCCCTCTACTCCCACCAGCCGACGGAGTAGTACCGCTGCTTGGAGTTTGATTGGAGACTTGATTTGTTGGTTGAGGAACATGTTGACTACCTTGTGTACCAGCCCCCTTACCACCAGCTGACCCAGTGCCTGGACTTGAAGCACTCGGAGACTGAGTAGGACTTGTAACTGGAGGGGGAATAGGCTGTTGACTTGAAGTAACAACAGACGATGATCCCGGACCCCCGAGACCTGGCTTACCAGCGGGGCCAGGGTCTGCAGAAGCACTGGGGGGAGTTGATAGAGGAGGAACTGGTGGGGGTTGAGGTGGTTGTTGAACATGTACAACTTGCGACTTAGGAGATCCTTGAGCTGTGGTCCCTTTAGGCCCTTGCGGGCCTTGACCATTAGGTCCTTGCTGCCCTCTATCACCTTTAGGCCCTTGCTTGCCTTGATCACCAGTAGGCTCTTTCGGGCCTGCATCACCCTTATCACTTTTAGGCCCTGGCAGGCCTGCAGCTCCTGGAGTACCAGGAGTCTGAGCAGAGTCTCCACTTGCCGAACCTGAAGACGTATCTCCACTTTGATTTGAAGTTCCCTCCGCCTTCTTGCCTTGGTTCTGTGCTCCTTCAGATTTCTTGCCTTGGTTCTGTGCTCCCTCAGATTTCTTGCCTTGGTTCTGTGCTCCCTCAGATTTCTTCCCCTGGTTTGGAGACCCTTCGGATTTCTTACCCTGGTTGGGACTCCCTTCAGATTTCTTGTCAGACTCTTCTGGACACTGCTGACCATCCAAAATTGTTTTAAGCCTATCCAATCCTTCACTGGGTTTACGAAGCTCATTAATTACATCAGCCCAATTCTCTTGCAGAATTGTATGCGGATCTTTTCCCGTCCCAATGTTGGTGCCATAAAATGTGAAACCATATGGGAAGAGATTGTTGGTAAAATAGTCTGTAAGCTCAGCGGCTGATTTCTTTCCGAGGGCCTTGTTCGTAGTATCAATATTCCCCAAATTAGTCTTCACCGTCGCCAAATTCTCTCTCAACCACTGTGCCGTGTACTTTGCAAATTCTTCTTTCTTAAGGTTTTTCACCTCCCTACCGAAGCCAGTGAATGAAGAATGGTTCTTGGTAAAAATCTTCCGAAATTGGTTGCCGAGTTTGTCGCAATGTGTTTTTAAATTATTCCAACAAATACATTTTTTTAACAGTATCACCATTTAAACTATCATCCAATTTCTGTTTTAGCTCACCGCCGCCGGCCTGTGTCTCCTTTTCTACAATCTCGCAAAACGTTCTCACCAAACGCAGAGCGTTGGCGACGTTAGGAGTCTCGGCGCCGGAGTCTGGAATTACTGTTGTGGAGTACACGTCGAGGAAATAATTTTGTACTTTATCTTGCTTGTTCAGAATACTTTGAATGTCTTTGACCATGGCAGAAGCAGGAGAGTAACCCTGGCGATGACCTTGCCTCAACTCACCTGCAGCAAAGCCTCCAGGGATGACGCCATATTTGCTGTCGTTGGATTCAGCAATGAGATATTTATCAATATTAGTAGCACGTTTCATGTATACATCCAACCCTCTGCCAAGTGCAGCGTACAGTGCAATCAACCCAACGGAGTCATCCGCCCACCCCCCGCCGCCCAGTGCAGCGAAGTTCGGGTCCACCTGGTACCTCAAAAAGTACATCACGGCTAAAAACTTGGGAATGCAGTCAAGCAGAGTGTTGAGGACATTTTTAGTTGTATTTGGATTATTTGTGCTCTGCTTTGCAGATTTGCATAATGTAGTGTGAAATTTGTTCACGTTAGTGAGGAATTGGGACAGCGCGGATTCAATTGGAGGTTGACTAACATTCTTATACCTCTTCTCGAGGAGCCTAGCAAGGCGACTGGCGATCAAACCTTTCATAATGATACCCTGTTTGTCACTATGCAACCACTCCAGGAACATGAGACACTCCTTAAGGGTGTCTAACTTGACTCCGTGAGCCGCCATCTTACCTACAAAGGCACTCAGCACAGAGACGCTAACAAATAAGCACTAGGCTAGTCGTACAAAAGTACAAGTGAATGAATTTGAATAGTTAACAAGGAGACACTAAAGCGATGAAGCCTATAAGGTGACGTCACTGCTTCCAGATAACCAAGATACTGCCAAGCTGCTTGCAACGGTAGTGATTGCGGTGTCAATAGGTGACTCAGTGAAGGTGTAAGTGGCGATTAGTGAGATATTTTAGAGGTGCAAGAGGGGTGTGGTAGAAGGCGTCCGCAGCCTCAGTCCACCGACAAGGTGGGATGAAGGAGGCTGTTAGGGAGTGACGGCAAGGCGACAAACGGCAAGGGAGACGACAAAGCAGCGAGTAGGTTGCATCATAGGTTAGGTGCTAGGTGAGCCATTTGGTTAGGTGCTAGGTAAGCCATTTGGTTACGTGCTAGGTCAGCCTTTTGGTTAAGCAGTTAGTTAGGTGCTGGGCAAGGCACGAGATACAGTCACCATGAAAGACGTGACATAAGATGGCAACACAATGAGAGGAATGTAAATGTGAATGTAGCTACGATAATTACAATCATGAGTGAAAGTCGTCGTCGAAGTAATCGACGTCCTTGTAGAGCGAGAGCATCCTGCGGCTGCCGGCGAGCAGCGCCTTGACGTCGATGAGGTGGGAGGCCCTGGTGGTGAGGAGGTGCGAGCGGATGCGTAGGACGTCGATGCGGTAGAGGAGTGAGTGGAGGATGTAGAGCGTGGCGGTGAGCCAGAGTGCGACGATGGTGAAGAGGAAGGGCTCCCGGATGCCGTAAAGGAAAAGGTCCATGGCGGTCATGAGGCTTGCGATAGGCTGTCCGGCGACCACTGCCTCCAACTTGGCGATGAACTGTGAACACGTGAGTGAAGGCTGCAGTGTCCCGTCCGGCGGGGTGAGGCCGTGAGTGTAGAGGAGGGGCAGCGCCTTGTCACACTGGTGGAGGGGCTTGGGCTTGGCGGCGTGACATTGAAGTTCCTCGAGATCACAGTGCAGCTTGGTCAGTGACTCCCACAGTCTGTCGGGCAGATAGACAGTCCAGCTGAGGTAGTGGTGGGCGAAGCTGGAAGAGTACAGGGCGTAGGCCCGGTAGGTGATGGGCGAGAGACGTGGAGGGCAGTTGGCATTATCGATGCCGCAGCCAAGCAGCGTGGACAGTGTGTTGGGATGTCCCTTGTCGTGGTCAGGGTTGGAGCTGGCAGGGGCGGAGCCCCGTGCGTCCCTGATGACTTCTAGGTCGGCGTCGCCAAGGATGTCCCAGTCGGGGCAGTGTCGATGTGGCTCGGAGAGGGCGGAGCCCAGTGGAGACAACTTGAGAGACACATCATGAAGCTCATTCCCGATATTGTGGAAGAAGGAAACAAGCTCCCCCGTGGTGCGCGGCGTCCGCCTGGTGAGGCAGTTGAGGTATGTGCAAAGCTTCTCCAGTGGGTCGGCATTGTAACACAGGCCTTTCAAAATCTGATAAATGTAGAATCCATGTTTGGACTCTTCACGGAAATTGTCCGGAAGAAAGCCCAATTTCACACGGCTCCGCCGGCATATGTCGCCCCGCCGATACCGGTAGGTGGAGAGATCGGACTGGTCAGTGAGAAAGCCCTGCAGCGGGGAGGCGTCGCAGCCGTGACCCTTCAATTTCGTAGGATCCACCGGAGATTTGGAGCACTGCCATGATTTAGAGACCTTCACGTCTCTACCAAACTTGCAGTCACGCCATCCACCAGAGTGCGTGTCCCGGCTGCACTGAGTGCGGAGAAACAATAACTGATGGCACGCCGCATAGACGTAGTTGAGCAACTGGCACAGCAGCCTGTAGGGGTCATCGGAATAGTACATGAGAGGGATGCCGTAGCGTTGGTAGTGGAATTGCGATAGGTCCGGAGGCTTGGACCCATGAATTCCCGTAAGGACAGCGCTGGCGTGGCCGCACGTGTCAGACAGAGTAACCATAACATCGTTGTCTGAGAACGATGCAGGCCATGCAATGATCTCAGAGCTTTCAAAGAAGCCCGCAATGTGTTGTGTCAGTGCGGCGTACCCCGGCGTACCAGGCAGATCGCTCAGCCAGCACAGCATTTCACGCACCGTCTTAGGTGATGGACTGGAATAATCTGTGGGCGGTACCATTCGGCCAACCGGTAGGACGGAATTTCCATAAGACGCTGGGCAGATGCCTGGATCGATCATAAGCCCCGGGTGATCATCAATATACTCAACAATGGTCGGGAATTTGGGACGAATTAGGTCTCTGCGAATAACGGCAGGCTGGTAACGGTCCACATCTTGTTCTCTTTTACCAGGCTGCATTATGGGAACAGGTTGCTTACCAATTGGTGAAAGAGGCAGAAGGCGTGCATTTAGATCACGATCAGGTATACTCTTGCCTGTGATGTCCGACACGGGCGGCAAAGCCCGGACATAGTTCGCTGGTTTTAACGGTCGGCCCTCAGGTATGCCAATGGCAGCGAAAAACCCGTGTGGAGTGGAATTCGGTATGCCTTTGGCGTTTGGAGTTGCCTGGCCCGTAAACTCTACGTTAAGTGGCATTGCGTTAGGTGTATCTAGTTTATATAACGCATTACCACTAAACGTCCCAATGGGATGGGCACCTGGCCGAGGTTTAAACGCACTTATACCTTGGTAGTTATCGGTGGTTGTTCCAGTTAAGGCATTACCTTGCTGCGCGAGCATTTCCTGTTTCTCAGCCTCCTGTGGATTCTGCAACACAGGTACATGGTCCTCCAGCGCATCTTGCCCGTCTAGAATAGCCACCGCTGGATTGTCAAACCCATCTGCCTCACTTCTCCCCTTAACCCCTAACGCCACTGACTTGTAAAGATCAGAGGCTACGGGTTTTTTCTCTTCCAACAGGTCTGGCTTGACAATATCCAAAACAACGTACTTGCTAAGGTCTAAGGGATCCGGTTTGGCAATGTCGAACGCCAACGGTTCATCTACATCGGCCGTTACTCCATCGTCATGATTGTTTGCATAAGCGCCTGTACGCCGAGTGATCTCGAGAGACACATTCGGCGCTGCATCTTTCATTTTATTCTGCACAGCCGTACGATACGCCTCCTCCAGGTTCTGCGAGGACTCTCGTGGTTTGTATAGTACTCCAATCTCTGGAAGCATGGACTGATATTTAAGTTGACGCTCGTCTTCTTTTCGGCGTTCCTCCTCTTCCTTTTCACGTCTCCTTGCTTCTAATTTTTCTTTAATCGGCGGCAATATTTCACGCTGCTTATACTCCTCCCAGATTTGTTCGCTGGTTGCGTCATTAACTTTATAGTGCTTTGGGGCAGGAGGGTTATAATCGTAGTCACAAAATTCAGTCGTGTCACCATCATTGCTATGTTTCAGAAGATTTGTAAGATTAAAGGTCACACACTTTTTGGCAGGTGCAGCTTTCCCACCGCCACCTACTCCAGGCACCGGGGCACTCGACGGAGTAGCGACGTTGCTTGGATTATGGTCGGTACCTTTATTTGTTGGTTGAGTGGAGTCTCGATTACTTTGTTGACCACCGCCTAGGTCGTCGCCTTTCCCAGCCTCTCCACCACCTTGTGGCCCAGTCCTCTGATCACCAGTTGGCCCAGGGCCTTGACCTGAAACACTCGGAATCTGGGGAGGTCCATTGCCTTGAGAGACACCAGACGGTAGACCTTGAGTGTCAACGGACGTTGAACCCGGACCTACACCTGGCTGACCAGCGGGGCCGGGGAGTCCAGAATCACTGGGGGGAGCAGTTGGAGGCGGAAGGGGACGAACTGGCTGTACTGGACCAGGTTGTTGAGTCTGAACGACTTGTTTAACTGATGTATCTTGGGGCGGAGAAGACCCCGGAGTTACTGTAACAGGAGGCCCTTGCTGGTCTCGATCACCTTTAGATCCTGCCGGACCTGGAGCTCCTGGATCACCGGGAGACGTATCTGAGGCAGTAGATGTTACACCTGGTGGAGGTGGAAACTTTTGTTCACCTTGACCGTTGTTCTGATTTGTTGACATCGACGTTGTAGGGCCAAGCGGCTCACCCTGATTTGGAGTTCCCTCCGTCTTCTTCCCCTGGTTCTGCGCTCCCTCACTTTTCTTGCCTTGGTTCTGTGCTCCCTCACTTTTCTTGCCCTGGTTCTGTGCTCCCTCCACCTTCTTGCCTTGGTTCTGTGCTCCTTCAGATTTCTTGGCAGGCGGCACCTCAGGCTTTTTCGGTGGAGGTGGGGGACACGAAACCCTATAAGTGCCATCCAAAATTTGTTTAAGCTTATCCAAACCGTCATCCGCTTTCTTAAGGTCATCGATTACCTCACGCCAATCCTGCATCAAAGCCTTCACTTCATTGTGCGACATGTGGAAGCGGCCTTTTAACGTGAATCCGTAGGGGAAAAGATTATCGGTAAAATATTTTCCAAGATGGCCGTTGAGAATGTTATCTGTTTTAATTTGATTCAATTTTCCCCGCACTGTGTTCAGATAGGTTCTCAACCAATCCGCTGTTCTGTTTGCAAAGTCCGCCTTTTTTAAGTTTCCGGTATCCGTCGACTGTCCTGTGAAGTCAAAGCGTTTTTCGGCAAACAATCTGCCAAATTGTTTTTCGAGCTTAGCGCATTGGTCTTTTAGGTCCTTCCAACATATGGATCTATCTCTTGAACTCCATTGTTGTTGTAAACCTTCATTCAATTTCTTTATCAACTGTCCGCCGTCATCATTTGCCTCATCTCCAACAATGTGGCAAAAGGTTCTCACCAACGAGAGAGCGTTCGCGGTTCTCTCTTTCCGTTTGGCTGCATCTCCGATAGTGGAACTGACGAACACACTGCGGAGGAAATTGTATGGTGATTTTCTCAAAATGTTTGCAAGGTCCGGAGCCATTTGAGCACCCTGAGGGTAACCACGGTGCAACACATTTGGGTTACATCTCACCTCATCTTTACCGAAGCCACCGGGTATAAGGCCACCGTATTCACCGCCTGTTTGCGCTCTGAGATATTTCTGCAGGTCACCGCCGCTATTACGGTTCCACCACCAACTAGCACCCTTTAACGCCCCGGGCCAGTTCTGTTTCCAACCCCCTCCATCAAGTTTCTCGAAACCCGGATCCACATTGTACCACAAAAAGTACATAACGGATAAGAATTTTGGCATGCACTCTAGAAGGGCGTAAGCTATTTTATCTGCGCTTTCCGCTCTGTATTCCCAAGGCTGCGGATTGTAGCATAACCTCGTATAAAACCCAGAAGCGTTCTCAAGGAATTTGGAGAGTGCGGCTTTAACGTTAGGTAATGTGAATTTGGGAGGGTTAAAATACCTATCAATACGATTATACAGCTCTTCAGCCACCTGGGTCTGCACATTCTGATTTTGATTTAACCACAGCAGGAACCGGAGACACTCCTTGAGGGTGCCAAGCGGAATGCCGTGCCCCGTCATCTTGCTTACAACGGCACTAAGCACAAAGACACTAATAAATGGGCACTAAGCTACTCGTACAAAAGTGCAAGTGACAGCATTTAAATGGTTAACCACGAGACAATAAGGCGATAACACGTCTAAGGTGATGTCACTGCTTCCAGATAACCAAGACACTCCCAAGATGGTTGCGATGGATTCAATTGCGGTGTTATTAGGTGACACAGTGACCATGTTAGTGGTGATTGGTAACCTATTTTAGAGCTGCAAGAGGGGCGTGGTAGAAGGCGTCCGCAGCCTCAGTCCACCGACAAGGTGGGATGAAGGAGGCTCCTTTGGGAGTGAGGGCAAGGCAACAAAGGGAGGAGGGACAAGGCAAAGCAGCGAGTGGGTTACATCTTAGGTTAGGTGCTAGGTGAGCCATTTGGTTAGGTGCTAGGTAAGCCTCTTGGTTAGGTGGTGAGTTGGGTGCTAGGCAAGGCACGAGATACAGTCACCATGAGAGACGTGAGATGACATGGCAACACAAAGAGAGTAATGCAATGCGAATGTAGCTACGATAATTACTGTCACGAGTGAAACTCATCGTCGAAGTAGTCGACGTCCTTGTAGAGTGAGAGCATCCTGCGGCTGCCGGCGAGCAGCGCCTTGACGTCGATGAGGTGGGAGGCCCTGGTGGTGAGTAGGTGGGAGCGGATGCGCAGCACGTCCATGCGGTAGAGTAGTGAGTGGAGGATGTAGAGCGTGGCGATGAGCCAGAGCGTGACGAGGCAGAAGAGGAAGGGCGCACGGATGCGATAGAGGAATGTGTCCATGGCGGTCATGAGGCCTGCGATAGGCTCTCCGGCGACCACTTCTTCCAGCTTGGTGATGAGCTCAGAACACGTGAGTGAGGAATGCAGTGTCCCGTCTGGCGGCGTGAACCCGTGAGAGTAGAGGAGGGGCAGGGCCTTGTCACACTGGTGGAGAGCCTTGGACATGGAGTCATGACATTGAAGCTTCTCGAGATCATAGTGCAGCTTTTCCAGTGACTCCCACAGTCTGTCTGCCAGGTAGGCCGTCCAGCCGAGGTAGTGGTGGGTGAAGGCCTTGGAGTAGAGGGCGTAGGCCCGGTGGGTGATGGGCTTCATATGCTGTGGGCAGTTGGCATTATCGATGCCGCAGCCAAGCAGTGTGGACAGGGTCCTGGAATGGCCTTTGTCGTGGTTGGCGGTGGGAGGGGCGGAGCCCCGGATGCCCTGGACGGCATTGAGGTCGGCGTCGCCAAGGATGTCCCAGTCGGGGCAGTTTTCGTGTGGAGTGGAGAGGGCGGAGCCCAGTGGAGACAGCTGTGAAGGAGACTTGTGAAGAGCATTCCCGAAATTGTGGAAGAAGGAGACAAGCTCCCCGGTGGTGCGCGGCGTCCGCCTGGTGATGCAGCTGAGGTAGGAGGCCAATGTCAGCAGGGGATCCTCGCCGCCGCAGCTGGGAGAGAGGATGGTGGAAATATGTTTGCCGGTTTCGTGAGGTGTAGGCAAATGATCCTCCTTGAATCCCATGTTGACACGGCTCTTGAGGCAGATATCACACGGGTCGAAGGGGTGAGTCTTGAACATGGAGGCAGAGGCGTCAGTCAGAAAGGCCTGGAGGGGTGACTTGGGAGATGATACATCACGGCCGTACTCATAATCCTGCCAACCACCCTGCTGGGAAACTCGAGAACACTGCGACCTTAAGAACGCCAACTGGTGGTAGCAGGCGTAGGCGTAGTCGCGCAGATGGCAGAGGAGAGCGCAGCAATCAGGGTCCTTCGGTTCATCGTGATCCTTACGCTCCACAGTTGCCGCAGACGCCCGCCGTTTCCAGTTAGGTGCAACTGAAGATAGCACTGAAGCTGCGAACACGGCGGCAAGGTGGATGGTCTGAAGGACATCTCTGGCGGCGATGCTAGAATCGTTGACTGGGAGTCGGAGATCTGAAGGCACATCATCGCCGCGCTTGAAAGCGTTGTTAATACACTTTTCCAGAGTCTCTTGATGCTTTTGATGCTGCAGTCCCGCCAGCCATGTTAGCATGTCTTTGACTGTACGCGGCGCCTCGGAGGGTAACAACTCCGTCTCGGGGATGTCGGTAGAGCCATGCGTAGGCGTCTGAGTGATCCAGGTAGGAGTGCAAAAGTTTATGTCTGCAAGTTTGAGAGCATCTGAATTAAAATCCTTAGGAGGTGGCGGGGGCGGCCGATATTCTAAAGGTTCCAAATTGAGTGCGACGGCGGGAATAGATGGGCCAATTGGCTCAAGTGGCTCGGCGGCTGGAAGAGGTGGAGGGTCGTGATCAATGTCCAAGTCAAAGTCGTTGACACTGCGGTCTTCATGATGCACTCGTTGGATTTGGAAATCCAATGGATCTTGTTTGGCATCACCAGGAGGCTCGGGACGAGATATGTATACTTCGCCACCTAGCGTATTTAGACGTTCGAAATGATCTCTGAGGTCATTCTCAATTTTTTGCTTTCCCTCACCGTCACTTTTCTGGTTTTCGTACAATGTTCGATACGCATCTTGTACATTTTTGTTATACTCATCGTCCATTTTTTGCGCAGCATCCGGAACTGCGTTGCCGAATAGGGAAGGCAATTTGGTAGGCTCGTTCATCGTTGGTAAAGAACCTGGCTGATTAGTAGTTGGATTGCCGGAGACCATTCCTGTATCAGGCAGCTGCGCATAGAGATAATTCTCGAATTCACTTTTTGCTCGTTCCAGCATCATTTCATGATGTTTCTCCGGAACCGATGTACGTGAAACTTCTGTCTGTGTTTTCGACTGGACCAACGTAGTTGCATGCTGGCGTAGTTGCTCGAGTAGTTTTTTGTCTTCCTTGTCACGAGGATCTACGATGATCTGGCCCATGACGTCCAGAGGCGGTTGGAATGGCGTGGATTTTACTTTAGGGCTCGGCACTTTTGGCGGCTTTATAGGGTGGCCCACGGGAACACCAATAGATGCCAACACTTGTGGAATGTTGGTGGGAGTATCGCGCAATACTGTTAATTCGGGAATATTTTGTTGAAGCGTTTTTATGAATTCTATTTCCTTCGCTTCTTTTTCTGCGTCAGCCAATATTTTCTGACGCTCTGCATTCAGTTTCTCTGATTCAAGCCGACGTTCTACATTTTTTGTATCCCAGTTCCATGCTTCCACTTTCTGTTTGTCTATGGATGCTTTATCAACTTTGTCCCTGTGCTTTCTTACTTGATCATAATACGGATCCGGCATTTCACGTCCACCTAAAAATGTAACATCCACACCCCCATCCCCGGCGTCCCTCCCCCGTGGATCAACGGGCGGACTGTGATGACCAGTACGGCCACCGGTCGGCTGAGGGGGAGGAACGGGAGGTTGAGGACCAGGAATATTTCTGTTTCGTGTAGTTTGATGATTTTTACTTTTCTCAAGTAAATCGTTATGCGGAACTATATTGTCAATTTTATTTTGGAGGTCGGGATTATTGAGCTTAAAGGTAGGACGACGTGTCACCTTATTAACGGGAAGACAGTAACCATGTTCATTCAAAGCTTTTTCTATAAATGTATAACCATCACTACACTTATAAACATTATTAGACGGAGTCTGCGTTTGAGTCCCTCCACCAGCCGCCGTAGTGGCGACGCTGCTTACATTTTGAGTAACTTGCTGAGTAGCATCTTGAACAACATCTTGCCCAGTCCCCTGTGCAACAGTTGTCCCAGACTCTGAAGCTGAAACACCCGGAGGCTGAGCAGGCCCCTTGCCTTGGGAGACACCAGGCTGTTGACCTGGAGTGTCAACGGACGGTGAACCCTGACCCGGGGGACCCACCTTACCAGCGGGGCCAGGGTCTGCAGAAGCACTGGGGGGAGTTGATAGAAGGGGAGTCGCAGGCGGGGGGTTGAGATGTTGCTGTGGTTGTACAACTTGCGACTTAGGAGATCCTTGAGCTGTGGTCCCTTTAGGCCCTTGCGGGCCTTGACCATTAGGTCCTTGCTGCCCTCTATCACCTTTAGGCCCTGGCGAACCTGGAGCACCAGTAGACCCTGGCGGGCCTGCATCACCCTTATTACCTTTAGGCCCTTGCGGGCCTGGAGCTCCATCACCGGGAGTCGGAGCTGCAGCAGTAGATGTTACAACTGATGGACCTGAATTCTTTCCTTCACTTTGAACATTATTCTGATTTGGAGACGCTTCCGATTTCTTGCCTTGGTTCTGTGCTCCCTCCGCTTTCTTGCCTTGGTTCTGTGCTCCCTCCGCTTTCTTCCCCTGGTTCTGTGCTCCCTCACTCTTCTTCCCCTGGTTCTGTGCTCCCTCCACTTTCTTGCCTTGGTTCTGCGCTCCCTCAGATTTCTCCCCCTGGTTCTGTGCTCCCTCACTCTTCTTCCCCTGGTTCTGTGCTCCCTCCACTTTCTTGCCTTGGTTCTGCGCTCCCTCCACTTTCTTGCCTTGGTTCTGCGCTCCCTCAGATTTCTCCCCCTGGTTCTGTGCTCCCTCCACTTTCTTGCCTTGGTTCTGCGCTCCCTCAGATTTCTCCCCCTGGTTCTGTGCTCCCTCACTCTTCTTCCCCTGGTTCTGTGCTCCTTCAGTATCCTTAGTGGCAGTAGGATTTGTCGCCTCGGCCTTAGTGGCCACAGGCTTTGTGGCCTCTGTTTTAGTGGCAACGGGCCTTGCGGTGTCAACTTTAGGAGATGTTACAGGCGGGGCCTCAGGCTTTTTAGGTGGGAGAATGGGACACGAATCTCTAAACCTTCCATCCAAAATTCTTACCAGTTTATCCAAATCACCGCTGGTATTCTTAAACTCATTAATTACATCACACCAATCTTTTTTCAATGTCTGCAGATCACTTTCCCTCATGTCAAAGCGAGTCCCATTATAAATCGTAAAACCGTATGGGAAGAGATTTTTTGTGAAGTATTCTCCAAGATGCTGACCGGTCTTGTATTCCTCAATTTTCACGAAATGTCCTTGCACTTTTGTTATATTCGTTCTCAACCAATTCGCCGTTTCCTTCGCCAACTCTGTCTTATTAAGGTTTCCGGTATTCGTCGACAGCCCGGTGAAGTCGAAGTGTTTATTGCCGAACAACATGTCAAATTTTTTTCGAAGCTTAGCGCAATGTGCTCTTAAGTCTTTCCAGCAAATAGAATTGCCGGATGAGTACACGTGACTTTTAAAGCCGTCATTCAATGCGGCTATTAACTTACCACCGTTATCTTTGTCATCCTCCCCAAGAACAATGTCGCAAAAGGTTCTCGCCAACACAAGAGAATTCGCGGCGTTCTCTGGACGCTTGGCCGATTCTCCAATAACGGAGCTCACAAAGACGCTGCGGAAATAATTATAATTTTTTTTGTCCACGATCTTTTGTAGGTCCCCAGCCATGCTATAACCTTGGGGATAGCCTCTGTCCAACAAAGTTGCGTTATATATAACCTTATCTTCAGACGTGAACCCACCTGGGATGACATCGTGCTTTGAGTCGCCGGATTTCGCGTAGAGATACTTGTCGAGATCACCGCCACTAGTACTGTACAACCAACTTCCCGTTAACGCCCCAGTCCAGTTCTGTTTCCAACCACCGCCATGAAGCTTCTCGAAACCCGGATCCACATTGTACCACAAAAAGTACATAACGGCTAGGAACTTGGGCGTACACTCTAGTAGGGCGTTGCATATTTGTTCTGCGCTTTCCCTTCCATGTGCCCAAGGCTGCGGATTGTTGCATAGCCTCGTGTAGAAATGTGACGCGTGGCCGAGAAATGTAGACAGTGCGGATTCAATGGTATGTTCTCTAAGAAAGTCGGCAGTGTAATTCTGCTTAATACGTTTTCCCAGCTCTTTTGCCACCTCTCGTTGCATACTCTTATCACCATTCAACCACTCCAGGAACTGGAGACAGTCCTTGAGTGTGTTGAGCTGAATGTTGTGCTTCGTCATCTTGCTTACCAAAGCAGTAAGCACAAAAACACTAATAAATGGGCACTAGGCTACTCGCACAAAAGTATATTTAAATGGTTAACCAGGAGACACTAAAGCGATAATACCTCCAAGATGACGACACTGCTTCCAGATAACCAAGACACTCACAAGTTGCTTGCAACTATATAATTGCGATGTAAGTAGGTGACTCATTGAAGATCTTAGTGGCGGTTAGTGAGACATTTTAGAGTCGCAAGGGGGGTGTAGTAGTAGGCGTCCGCAGCCTCAGTCCGCCGACAGGTGGGATGAAGGAGGCAGCTTTGGGAGTGACGGCAAGGCAACAAAGGCAGGAGGGAGATGACAAAGCAGCGAGTAGGTTACATCATAGGTTAAGTGCTAGGTCAGCCTTTTGGTCAGGCAGTGAGTTGGGTGGTAGGTGAGCCTTTTGGTTACGTGCTAGGTGAGGCGTTAGGTTACGTGCTAGGTGCCAACACAGGTCAACGAGGAACAGGCCACATCACAACACAAGACGAAGGAAATGAGGACACAACACAGGGAGTGTAAATGTAATGTAGCTATCATAATTACTGTCATGAGTGAAAGTCGTCGTCGAAGTAGTCGACGTCACGGTAGAGTGAGAGCATCCTGCGGCTTCCTGCGAGCAGCGCCTTGACGTCGATGAGGTGTGAGGCCCTGGTGGTGAGGAGGTGCGAGCGGATGTGCATCACGTCCATGCGGTAGAGTAGTGAGTGGGCGATGTAGAGCGTGGCGGTGAGCCAGAGTGTGACGATGGTGAAGAGGAAGGGCTCCCGGATGCCGTAAAGGAAAAGGTCCATGGCGGTCATGAGGCTTGCGATAGGCTGTCCGGCGACCACTGCCTCCAACTTGGCGATGAACTGTGAACACGTGAGTGAAGGCTGCAGTGTCCCGTCCGGCGGGGTGAGGCCGTGAGTGTAGAGGAGGGGCAGCGCCTTGTCACACTGGTGGAGGGGCTTGGGCTTGGCGGCGTGACATTGAAGTTCCTCGAGATCACAGTGCAGCTTGGTCAGCGACTCCCACAGTCTGTCTGCCAGGTGGACCGCCCAGCTGAGGTAGGCGTGGACGAAGCTCGGGGAGTATACGGCGTAGGCCCGGTAGGTGATGGGCTTCATGAGTTGTGAGCACTTGGAATCATCGATGCCGCAGCCAAGCAGCGTGGACAGGGTATTGGGATGATCATTGTCGCGGTGGATGGAGTTGGGAGTGGCGGAGCCTCGGGCGTACTTGATGGTTTGCAGATCGTCGGCAGCAAGAGAGTCCCAGTCGGGGCAGTGGCGATGTGGCTTGGAGAGGGCGGAGCCCAGCTTGGACAAGTCTGAAGGCGCATCATGAAGCGAATTCCCGAAATTGTGGAAGAACGAGACAAGCTCCCCGGTGGTGCGCGGCGTCCGCCTGGTGAGGCAGTTGAGGTAGGAGGACAATGTAAGCAGAGGATCCTCGCCGCCGCAGGTGGGAGTGAGGATGGTGGAAATATGCTTGCCAGTTTGCTGAGATGCAGGCAAATCCTCTGCCTCAAATCCCATGTTGACGCGGCTCTTGAGGCAGATGTCACACGGGTCGAAGGGATGCGTCTTGAACTTGGAGTCCGAGGCGTCAGTCAGGAAGGCCTGGAGGGGGGACTTGGGAGATGATACATCACTGCCGTAATGACGATCCTGCCAACCGCCATCCTTGGTGTTACGATTACACTGTGACCTTAGGAAATTCAACTGGTGGCAGCAGGCGTAGACGTAGTCCCGCAGCTGGCAGAGGAGGGCGCAGCAATCAGGGTCCTTGGATTGGTCAGAGACCTTAGACGCTAAAGTTACAGACGGCACCGCCATCCTCCACTTAGGCGCGATGGAATTGAGCACTGAAGCTGCGAACGTGGCGGCAAGCTGGATGGTGTCGATGACATCTTTGGCGGTAATGCTAGAATCGTTGACTGGGAGTGTGAGTTTGGCAGAGACATCATCGCCGCGCTTGAAAGCTTTCTCAATACATGGTTTCAGAGTGTCATGATGCTTTTCATTTCGCAGCCCAGCCAGCCAAATAAGCATATCCCTGACTGTATGCGGCGCCTCGGAGGGGAACAGCTCTGTCTCGGGGATATCGGCAAGGTCATGCGTAGGTTTCTGGGTGATCCAGGGAACGGGGCATTTGTCTTCGAATTCGACTGTCGTAAATTTTGGATCTTCTCTGGGAGGCACAGAGTGCTGGGGATCTGGAGGCGGAAGATTAAATGAGATTTTAGGTATGTACGGAGCCGCAGGCAGGGGCACTATGTCATTCCTAATATGGGTCGAATCGTCGTCAATGTCCAAGTGGTCCATGTGGTCTTGAAAAGTAGGCTTGGCGATGTCGATGTGGAGGTCAATTTCTTCCTCAATTTGGGGAGGCCTTTCTGGGATATCGGTTTTTAAACCGATGGTTGGGTGTGGCACAGGAAGGAACATAGCTGTGGGATTTAGTGAAGACTTAAGGTTGGAATCGGGGATGGGCGATCCATTAAAATCTGGCAACTGTGGCACGGGCTGCGGTAAGTCCTGAAATGCGGTGGCATTGACGTCTTTTGCAGGAAATTTCGTCAGATCGGTCCCGGAGACGTGCTGCGTAAAAGCGATTGGATAGTCATCCAACTCCTGCACTTCGAGGGGTTTGTGCGACTGTTTAAATTTGTGTCGAGGAACGTTCATTTTGGTCGGCAAATTCTGCGGTAACGCCATGCCGTCGGCAACATCGGGAACAGCGACATTATGATGTTTATGCCTGGCAGCAGGGAGCGGCTTCGAGCGTTTGGGGGATCTTAAAAGCCGGGCAGCATAAGGCTGCTTTGTGAAAGGCTTAATTGCAGAGGCATGAACAAAATCACCATCCCTCATAATATGTATTTGCTCACGCATTTTCGATCTCTCCTCCGCCTCCTCTTGTTTCTGTGATAGAAGGGCGGAGACATCCGGCAACGTCTTACCCTCCACCGCAGCGCTGACATTAAAGCCCTCGACGGACAACATATCTTTCTGCAGCTGCTCCTGCTGGCGGTGTTTCTCCCGCAGCGCTTCCGTCTGCTTAAGTTCCTCTGCTTCCCTCTCTCGCTGTTCCTGTCGCTGCTTCTGCTTCTCTTGCGCTATCTTCCACAGATCTGCAGGACTCTTCTGGTTACCGACCAGGAACCGCGGCTTTGCTTCTCTAACACAGAATTTGCCGCCAGGTATGCCAAGACTCATCATCTTGCCACCAGGACAGGTATCTGGTTGAGCAACCTTTTGTACGGTATCCTGTCGAGGCCCTCCTCCAGACGCCGTGGTAACCGAAGTAGTAGCTGCGCTGCTTGAATCGTGAGCGCCGTTTTGACTTGTTTGTAGAGTAGCGCCTTGAGCAACATTTTGACTATCACGTCGACCAGCAGCCTGATCACCAGTCGACCCAGAGCTTGGACCTACAACACTAGGAGACTGAGTACGGACGGAGTTTTGAGAAACAACATGCTGTTGACCAGAAACATCAGTGCCAGTTGAAGGTGGATCCTGTACACCTGGCTGACCGGGGATGGCAGGGGCTGCAGGAAGAGGGGGAGGAGGCGGGGCAGGTGGAGGGTGTTGGGGTTGAAATACAGTTTGTGTAGGTTGGACATCATTTCTAACTGACGCACCTGGAACCTGAGGAGACACCGGAGGCACTGGAACTTTAAGCCCTACCGGGCCTGTAGCTCCTTCAGCATTGTGAGTTGGAGCTGCAACAGAAGGCTGTCCAACTGGTGGATCCGAAGACTTACTCTGATCATTATTTTGGTTTGAAGACACCGGCGTTGTACTGCCAATAGGCCCACCCTGGTTCTGTGCTCCCTCAGATTTCTGTTGTCCCTCAGGAACCTTAGCAGGCGGGGCCTCTGGCTTTATAGGCGGAGTAACATTGGGACATAATTTATTATACGTTCCACTCAAAATTTCTCTGAGCGTATTCAAATCGCCGTTGCTTTTCTTAAACTCTTCGATCACCTCACGCCAATCTTTTTTCAATGCCTCTACATCATTTGGGAACATGTCAAAGCGAGTCCCATTAAAAATGGTAAAACCGTACGGGAAGAGATTTTTCGTGAAGTATTCTCCAAGATGGCCTTCGAGACTTTTATCCGTTTTAATTTGATTCAAATGTCCTTGCACTTTTGTTATATTCGTTCTCAACCAATCCGCCGTTTTCTTTGCAAGCTTTTCTTTCTGAAGGTTTCCGGTATTCGTCGACAGCCCGGTGAAGTCGAAGTGTTTATTGCCGAACAACATGTCAAATTTTTTTCGAAGCTTAGTGCAATGGGAATGTAACTCTTTCCAGCATATGGATTTATCTCTTGATCCTACTTGTTGGCGTAAACCTGCATTCAATGCTTCTATTAATTTTCCACCTGTCTCTTTATCATCCTCCCCAAGAACAATATCGCAAAAGGTTCTCGCCAACACAAGAGAATTCGCGGCGTTCTCTGGACGCTTGGCCGATTCTCCAATAACGGAGCTCACAAACACGCTGCGGAAATAATTATATTTTCCTTTGTCCACGATCTTTTGTAGGTCCCCAGCCATGCTATAACCTTGGGGATAGCCTCTGTCCAACAAAGTTGCGTTATATATAACCTTATCTTCAGACGTGAAGCCTCCGGGTATGACGCCGGTGCGTGAGTTGTACTTTGCGTCGCCGGGTATCGCATAGAGATACTTGTCGAGATCACCGCCCCAATCACCATGCCAAGATCGCTCACCGTACCCAGGCCAGTCCTTCTTCCAACCACCGCCATGAAGCTTCTCGAAACCCGGATCCACATTGTACCACAAAAAGTACATAACGGATAAGAATTTTGGCATGCACTCTAGAAGGGCGTAAGCTATTTTATCTGCGCTTTCCCTTCCATGTGCCCAAGGCTGCGGATTGTTGCATAGCCTCGTGTAGAAATGTGACGCGTGGCCGAGAAATGTAGACAGTGCGGATTCAATGGTATGTTCTCTAAGAAAGTCGGCAGTGTAATTCTGCTTAATACGTTTTCCCAGCTCTTTTGCCACCTCTCGTTGCATACTCTTATCACCATTCAACCACTCCAGGAACTGGAGACAGTCCTTGAGTGTGTTGAGCTGAATGTTGTGCTTCGTCATCTTGCTTACCAAAGCAGTAAGCACAAAAACACTAATAAATGGGCACTAGGCTACTCGCACAAAAGTATATTTAAATGGTTAACCAGGAGACACTAAAGCGATAATACCTCCAAGATGACGACACTGCTTCCAGATAACCAAGACACTCACAAGTTGCTTGCAACTATATAATTGCGATGTAAGTAGGTGACTCATTGAAGATCTTAGTGGCGGTTAGTGAGACATTTTAGAGTCGCAAGGGGTGTAGTAGTAGGCGTCCGCAGCCTCAGTCCGCCGACAGGTGGGATGAAGGAGGCAGCTTTGGGAGTGACGGCAAGGCAACAAAGGCAGGAGGGAGATGACAAAGCAGCGAGTAGGTTACATCATAGGTTAAGTGCTAGGTCAGCCTTTTGGTCAGGCAGTGAGTTGGGTGGTAGGTGAGCCTTTTGGTTACGTGCTAGGTGAGGCGTTAGGTTACGTGCTAGGTGCCAACACAGGTCAACGAGGAACAGGCCACATCACAACACAAGACGAAGGAAATGAGGACACAACACAGGGGAGTGTAAATGTAATGTAGCTATCATAATTACTGTCATGAGTGAAAGTCGTCGTCGAAGTAGTCGACGTCACGGTAGAGTGAGAGCATCCTGCGGCTTCCTGCGAGCAGCGCCTTGACGTCGATGAGGTGTGAGGCCCTGGTGGTGAGGAGGTGCGAGCGGAGGCGCAGGACGTCCATGCGGTAGAGTAGTGAGTGGGCGATGTAGAGCGTGGCGGTGAGCCAGAGTGTGAACAGGGTGAAGAGGAAGGGGGCACGGATGCGGTAGAGGAATGTGTCCATGGCGGTCATGAGGCTTGCGATAGGCTTTCCGGAGACCACTGCCTCCAACTTGGCGATGAACTGTGAACACGTGAGTGAAGGCTGCAGTGTCCCGTCCGGCGGGGTGAGGCCGTGAGTGTAGAGGAGGGGCAGCGCCTTGTCACACTGGTGGAGGGGCTTGGGCTTGGCGGCGTGACATTGAAGATCCTCGAGATCTTGATGCAACCGATGCAGTGACTCCCACAGCCTGTCGGTCAGATGCACCACCCAGCTGAGGTAGTGGTGTACGAAGCTGGAAGAGTACAGGGCGTAGGCCCGGTAGGTGATGGGCTTCATCAGTTGTGGGCAGTTGACGTTATCGATGCCACAGCCAAGCAGTGTGGACAGTGTCTTGGGATGGCATTGGTCGTGGATGGAGATGGGAGGGGCGGAGCCTCGGAGGTCCTCGATGACTTGTAGATCTTCCTCAGCAAGGCAGTCCCAGTTGGGGCAGTGGCCATGTGACTTGGAGAGGGCGGAGCCCAGTGGAGATGATTGATGCAGCTCATTCCCGAAATTGTGGAAGAAGGAGACAAGCTCCCCGGTGGTGCGCGGCGTCCGCCTGGTGATGCAGGTGAGGTAAGAGGTCAATGTCAGCAAGGGATCCTCGCCGCCGCAAGTGGGAGTGAGGATGTCGTTGAGTATGTTGCCAGTTTGCTGAGATACAGGCAAATCACCGTGCTTGAATCCCATGTTGATACGGCTCTTGAGGCAGATGTCACACGGGTCGAAGCGGTGAGTCTCGAACTTGGAGTCGGGGGCATCGGTCAGGAAGGCCTGGAGAGGGGAGTTGGGGGATGATACATTCCTGCCAAAATTACAATCCTGCCAACCGCCGTCCTTGGTGTTCCGAGAACACTGCGACTTCAGGAACGCCAACTGGTGGTGGCAGGCGTAGACGCAGTCCCGCAGCTGGCAGAGGAGGCGGGCGGGGTCGACGGAATAATGAAGCTTCGAATATTCTGAGCTGAAATCAGGGACTGAAACAGTTTTTGAATTGCCATTGTGTTTAATCTTGTAGAGAAAGTTTGCAGCGTAGTGACATGCCTCGGTCAGGGTGTTGGAGACATGGGTAGCGTCCAGGTTGTATGGTTTCTCAGTGACCTGGAGGGCATCTGAAGGCTGTGAGACATCCTTGTTATATTCCGTCAAAATGCTCTTAAGATGGTCCTCGATGAAAGGAATATACCCCGATTCATTCAGGCCGACCAGCCAGTGGAGCATCTCCCTGACGGTCTTGGGAGGGGGCAAAAGGTCCGAGGCTGGGAGGGGGGAGGGAGTTTGGGTGACGGTAGTGGAGGAGGCATCGGGGACGTACCAGCGGTTGCTGCAGAAGTTACTATTGAGATCATCCGGAGATTGGCCAGGGAATACGGCGAGGGTAACCGGAGTTGCGACGTGCGGGGCCTTGGATGGCGGAACTGAATAAGGATCGTCGACTGTAACATCGACAATTTTATGCTTAATCTCCAAAGGTATTTCATCGCCTACATTATCAAAATTCTGGGCGTGTTCGGGATCAAGGGGGTCCGACAGGGCCGGGGACTGCGAAACCTTCCAGGTGGAGATGCGGAGGTCGGTGAGATCAGTGAGGTCGTCCACTGGATCAGGCGGAGTAGGCTGTGGACGAGAGATATATACGTCGCCGCCTCTAAAAGTGTCTTTAAGTAGAGCCTTTTGTGAAACTGCTCTTAATGTTGATTCTTGTTTATCCTGTTTCTTTTTTGCCTCTTTAAATCGCCTATTGACTTCATTTCGGCCGTCTACATACAACTTCTCATAGGACGAACTGTTTCGGGACGTATCTATGACTACACTGCCGTCGAACGCAGACGGCTCCCGCTTCACAAAAGGTATACGCGCTTTATATTGTATATCATCACCATGCAGATTATCAAACCGCATCTCATTTAGTAATAATTTCCGTTGTCGTTCTTTCAATTGTTCATCCGACTTTTGTTCCCAATCGTCATTACTCGCTGAGTCACCTTTCACAGCTCTCCCATCCACAGGAAATGGAGATGGAATTGGAGTGCCTGACATAAATGCTGCAACCGCACTGTTACTTCTAGCTTGATTTTCAATATCCTCTTGAATACCTCGCAGAAATTGTATTTTCTGCTTTTCCTGCCATTCTGCCGCCGCATTTTGCGTATGTTGATCGTTCAATTCCGTTTCCAGTTTGTTCTTCTCCGCCGCTGTGCGTTGTTTAATTGCGCTATAATATTTAGCTAGGTCTTTCGCATGCTTCTTACGGTATTCCATTTTGTATCTCTCCCTCGGAGATTCATGCCGCAGCGGCACGCCGTCCACAGGTGAAGCATACGGATCATAATAGAACCATGGAAACTGACTGGGTTGTCGGCTTTCATCAATACTTAAACCGTTAAGAGATGATGCGGACCATTCCTTTACCTTTTTGAGTTCCGCTTCCTCCAGTTTCTGACGTTCGTCTGCATCCTTCCGTTTTTGCTCTTCTGCTTGATCCCATTTGTTTTTCCACTTCTCCGCATCTTTATATCTTATTTCCTTTTTCGAGACATACTCTGTTTCAAGCTTATTTATTATTTCCTTGCATTCCGCTCTTAACTGTCTATTGCAATCTGCTTCCGCATCCGTCCCTCCTGACCCCCCACCCCCTCCACCTCCACCAGCCGCCGTGCCATCCGACGTATTAGCGACGCCGCTTGAAGTTTGATCGGTACTTTGTCTGGCATCTTGATCGGCATTTTGCACAGCCCCTCCACCACCAGGCGGTGCGGAGCTTGAAGTGGAAACACTCGTAGGCAGAGTAAGCACAGTGACTGGAGGGAGAATAGGCTGTTGAACTGGAGGATGACCGGATGTTGAGCCCGGATCCTGGACACCCGGCGGACTAGGGGAGCCAGGGCGGCCAGGAAGAGGGGGAGGAGCTGGCGGGGGTTGAGGTGGAGCCTGTTGAGTCTGATCAGTATTTTGAACTGGTGAACCTGGAACCTGAGGAAACATCGTAGGCCCTCGCGGGCCTGAAGCTCCTTGATCACCGGAAGGCGGATGTGAGACAGCATCTCCACCTGGTGAAGTTGGAGAACTTCCCTCACTTTGGCCATTATTGGGAGTTGGAGAACTCTCCGCTTTCTTGCCCTGGTTCTGTGCTCCCTCGGGTCTTTTTGGAACGGGAACTTTCTTCTCCGGCACAACTTCCTTGGGGGCTTCGGGCACCTTGGTAGGCGGAGGCTCTTTACACTGTTCTTTTTTGTCACCATTCAAAATCTCTCTAAGTCTCTCCAAATCGCTGCCAGTCCGTTGCTTAAGCTCACCGATTACAGTGCTCCAATCCCTCATCAAATCCTTCAGATCCTTTTGCCTAATACTATGCCTTTCTTTCCCAAATGTGAATCCGTAGGGGAAGAAGTTTTTGGTGAAATATTCACCAAGGTTTTTATCATTGGGGTTGGTGACGGCAATGTCATCTGTCTTAATTTTATCCAATTTCCCCCGCACTAGAGTGAGATTTTGTCTAAGCCAATCCGCTGCCTTCCCTGCAAGCGCCTCTTTATTAAGGTCGCTAAGTCCCGTCGCCTGGCCTGTGAAGTCAAATCGTTTCGGCTCGTTGAAAAGCGTGTGGAGTTTTTTCTTAAGCTGAGCGCAGTGGGCTTTTAAGTCTTTCCAGCAGATGGTTTTTTTTGTGACTATCTTATTAAGGCCTTCTTCCAATTTCGTTATTAATGTGCCGCCATCTGTACCTGTCTCCCCAAGAACAATATCGCAAAAGGTTCTCGCCAACACAAGAGAATTCGCGGCGTTCTCTGGACGCTTGGCCGATTCTCCAATAACGGAGCTCACAAACACGCTGCGGAAATAATTATATTTTCCTTTGTCCACGATCTTTTGTAGGTCCCCAGCCATGCTATAACCTTGGGGATAGCCTCTGTCCAACAAAGTTGCGTTATATATAACCTTATCTTCAGACGTGAAGCCTCCGGGTATGACGCCGGTGCGTGAGTTGTACTTTGCGTCGCCGGGTATCGCATAGAGATACTTGTCGAGATCACCGCCCCAATCACCATGCCAAGATCGCTCACCGTACCCAGGCCAGTCCTTCTTCCAACCACCGCCATGAAGCTTCTCGAAACCCGGATCCACATTGTACCACAAAAAGTACATAACGGCTAGGAACTTGGGCGTACACTCTAGTAGGGCGTTGCATATTTGTTCTGCGCTTTCCCTTCCATGTGCCCAAGGCTGCGGATTGTTGCATAGCCTCGTATAAAACCCAAACGCGTTCTCAAGGAATTTGGACAGTGCGGATTTAACGTTATTTAATGTGAATTTGGGCGGTTTAAAATACTTATCAATACGTTTTTCCAGATTTTGGGCCACCTTATCCTGCATACCACTATCACTATTTAACCACATCAAGAACTGCAGACACTCCTTAAGAGTGCCAAGCGGAATACCGTGCCCCTCCATCTTGCTTACGAAGGCAGTAAGCACAATGACACTAACAAATGGGCACTAGGCTGGTGGTACAAAAGTACAAGTGAAAGCGTTTTAATGGTTAACCAGGAGACACTGAAGTGATAACACGTCTAAGGTGAAGTCACTGCTTCCAGGTTACCAAGATACTGCCAAGAGGCTTGCAACGTTTTAATTGCGATGCCAAGATTATGATAACTCTTCCTGTTTCATAAGGTTATCCGTATGTTTCCTTAACCAACTTCATGGGTATTGCAACAATGTCCTCAGCCTCCCTGATCCACTTATGCAACTCCACAACGTAGCCTGCCGGCGTCTTACTAACTTGCTCATGCTGAGTTAAGAGGTTACCAACCAAGCCTTCAAGTTGTTGACGAACTCTATACTTTCCTCGCGAATTAGTGAGTTGATGTGGTCTCGGACAGTGTTGAAAGCGTGGTTGATAAAGGCGTCGCAGGTGAGGGATGAGTGACGACGGCAGTGAGCAGCGTGGCGTGACATGTGGTCAAAAAGCTAGTGGTGGAAGTGGATTGCGCTATTAATAGATGACTCAGTGAAGGTGTAAGTGGCGATTGGTGAGCCATTTTAGAGGTGCAATAGGGGCGTGGTGAGAGGCGTCCGCGTCCTCAATCCACCGACAGGTGGGATGAGGGATGCTGTTTTGGGAGTGACAGCAAGGCGACAAACGGCAAGGGAGACGACAAAGCAGCGAGTAGGTTGCATCATAGGTTAGGTGCTAGGTGAGCCATTTGGTTAGGTGCTAGGTAAGCCATTTGGTTACATGTTAGGTAAGCCGTTTGGTTAGTGAGTTGGGTGCTAGGCAAGGCACGAGATACAATCACCATGAAAGACGTGACGTGACATGGCAACACAAGGAATGTAAACGTAATGTAACTGCGATAATTACAATCAAGAGTGAAAGTCGTCGTCGAAGTAGTGGACGTCCTTGTAGAGCGAGAGCATCCTGCGGCTGCCGGCGAGCAAAGCCTTGACGTCGATGAGGTGTGAGGCCCTGGTGGTGAAGAGATGCGAGCGGATGCACAAAATGTCCATGCGGTAGAGGAGTGAGTGGAGGATGTAGAGCGTGGTGGTGAGCCAGAGTGTGATGATGGTGTAGATGAAGGGGGCACGGATGCGATAGAGGAAAGCTTCCATGGCGGTCATGAGGTCTGCGATAGGCTGTCCGGCGACCACTTCCCACAGCTTGGCGATGAACTGTGAACACGTGAGTGAAGGCTGCAACGTCCCGTCCGGCGGAGTGAACCCGTGAGTGTAGAGGAGGGGCAGGGCCTTGTCACACTGGTGGAGGGGATTGGATTTGGAGTCGTGACATTGAAGCTTCTCGAGATCACAGTGAAGCTTGACCAGTGACTCCCACAGTCTGTTTGCCAGGTACACCGCCCAGCTGAGGTAGGTGTGGGCGAAGCTCGGTGAGTAGAGTGCGTAGGCCCGGTAGGTTATGGGCGTCATCAGTTGTTGGCAGTTGGCGTTAGTGATGCCGCAGCCAAGCAGCGTGGACAGGGTATTGGGATGGGCACTGTCGTGGTGGTTGGAGTTGGGAGGGGCGGAGCCTCGGATGTCCTTGATGACTCGGAGGTCGGCCTCCTTGAGTGTGTCCCAGTCGGGGCAGTGGCCATGTGGAGTGGAGAGGGCGGAGCCCAGCGTGGACAACGTTGAAGGATGCCTGTGCAGCAAATTCCCGAAAAGGTGGATGAATGAGACGAGCTCCCCGGTGGTGCGCGGCGTCCGTCTGGTGAGGCAGTTGAGGTAAGAGGACAATGTCAGCAGGGGATCCTCGCCGCCGCAGCTGGGAGAGAGGATGGTGGAAATATGTTTGCCGGTTTGCTGAGATGCAGGCAAATCCTCCTCTCTGAATCCCATCTTGACACGGCTCTTGAGGCAGATGTTGCACGGGTCGAAGGGATGTGTCTCGAACTTGGAGTCGGGGGCGTCAGTCAGGAAGGCTTGGAGGGGGGACTTGGGATAAGATAGACCACTGCCATATTGACAATTCTGCCAACCACCTTCAGATTCCTTCCGATTACACTGCGCCTTTAGGAACTCCAACTGGTGGCAGCAGGCGTAGACGTAGTCCCGCAGCTGGCAGAGGAGGGCGCAGCAATCAGGGTCCTTGGACGCTGAAGTTACAGACGGCACCGCCATCCTCCACTTGGGCTCAATGGCGGAGAGCACTGAGGCTGCAAACATGGCGGCAAACTTAATGGTGTCGATGACATCTTTGGCGGTAATGCTAGAATTGTTGACTGGGAGTGTGAGGCTGGCAGAGACATCATCGCCGCGCTTGAAAGCGTTGTTAATACACTGTTTCAGAGTCTCTTGGTGCTTCGGGTTCTGCAGCCCGGCCATCCAAATGAGCATATCCCTGACCGTGCGCGGCGCCTCGGAGGGGAACAGCTCCGTCTCGGGGATATCCGTAGAGTCGTACGTAGGTTTCTGGGTGAGCCAAGGAACAGGGCATGTGTCTTCGAATTCGACTGTATTTATCTTTGGCTTCTCTATGGGAGGCACAGACTGCTTCGCTTCTGGAGGCGGAAGATTTAATGAGATTTTAGGTATGTACGTATCCGCAGGTACGGGCAGTGCATCATGCTTAATATGCGTCGAGTCATCATCGAAATCCCAATCGTACACGGGGTCATGAACAATGCGCTTGGTGACGTCGATGTGGAGGTCAATTTCTTGTTTCTCAGTTTTGGGAGACGGCGGCATGCGATAGGTTTTAATTTCAGAGATGGGATAAGGTGCCACGGGGTCTACAATTTCGAAAGCCTTCCTTGTCATATGCGATACCTTGCGCGTATCGTTGATTGGTTGGCCACAAAAATCCGGTTTAGGTGGCAGGGGTGGATCAATGTACTGTATAAGCGGCAGAGAAGATGCATCATCTGACAAAATAGGATTTCCTACCATTGTGTTGTATATGTCTCTGTTTATCTTGTCCTTATATTTCTGTTCATTCTGTCGCTGTTTGTCTTTTTGTGCTTCAGCCTCCAATTGCTTTTGAGATAGATTGAAATTATTTTCCATGATTCGCATCATTTTTTGAAGGTCTTCCTTTTCTTTTTGTTTCTGAATAAATTCTTCATACGTTTTCTTTCCAACTTCCTGCCTTTGTTCTTCCTGCATATCGTCTTTCATTTGAGGCCAGGATGCGACCTCCTTACCTTCTAATGCTACCGCTTCCCGCGGCATCGGCTCCGGCACGGGTTCTCCACCGAGGTAATCCGCAGTATCTGGCTGAGGAGTCGGAAGCCCTGCGCCAGGATGCCGACCGGCAGGTTGAGGGGAGTGAGTGGGAGACCTACTTAGGTCTTGGGAGGGAGCTATATGGTTATCTTGTGGATCAACATTGTGAGGTGTTGGCTGTGAATAATTCTTGGTCTGCTCATGGATTATATCGAGAGCTTTAGGATTCTTGAACTTGAAGGGATGCGGCTTACGGAATGTACGTTTTGGGACGCAGTAATCCGTGGGACTTGTCCACAGCGTACTAAAGTTACTATCTTTACACTTTTTAGCCGGCGGACTCCCTCCACCTGAACCAGGCCCCGTGGCACCCGGAGCAGTACCGCCGCCGCTTGAACCGTGATCGGAGCTTTGACTTGTTGGTTGAGTAGGGCCGTTACCAACATTTTGACCAGCATTTTTCGCAGTCCCCTGACCACCAGTTGTCTCAGTGTTTGAACCTGTAACGCTCGGAATCCGAGGAGGCACAGCGGCTTGAGGGGAACCAGGGTTTAGACTTGGAGCAGCACCGGCCGGTGGACCCGCACCCGGACCACCTGGCTTAGGAGGGATGGCAGGGTCTCCAGGAGCACTGGAGGCAACAAGTGGAGGTTGTTGAGGATGACACTGGAGATCATTTTGAGATTGTAAGGGTTGGGGCTTAGTAGATCCCGTATGCCCTGGAACACTGCTCTTCTGTGCGCCCTTAGCACCTGGAGCACCTCGAGGCCCTGGGCCTCGTCCTCTGTCTCTCTGAGCCCCCGATCCCCTTACCCTGTTTTGCCCCCCTCTTCTATGGTTATGCCCTCCCCCTCCAGTATTTCCTCCTCTAGCACCAGAAACAGGACTCCCACGAGACAACGAACCCCCAAGATGCCTTGCACCGGTTGTCATTCCAGCCGAAGTTCTGGAAGCCCCTTGTGTAGGCGCAGGTCTGGCAGGCCTCGGGGGCCTGGGCGCAGGCGCCGGCCTAGGTCGGGGTTTGGGAGGGGGAGCCGGCGGACGGCACCGTCCACCATCCAGAATTCTTTTTAACTCCGCTAAGCCGCCACCATTTTTGCCAAGCATATCTATGACACCGGGCCAATGATCTGACAACGTCTTCCACGCGTCTCCCAGCGTTCCATATCTGTCTTTACCAAATATAAAACCGTAGGGGAATATGTTTTTGGTTGCAAATTGCTGAAGATAATTCAAATGTCGAGTGTTGTCGACTGGGAATTTTGTATCTATTTGTTTCACATTATGTTGAACTTCGTGCAAATTATTTCTAAACCATTCCGCTGTCTCCCCCGCAAATGTATCAGTGTTAAGCTCATCAACACGCCGCGCCTGGCCGGTGAAGGAAAAGCCTTCGATATTGAACAACTTGCCAAGTTGCTGCTCAAGAGTTTTGCAATGCTGTTTTAATTCTTCCCAATCTATGCATTTTTTGCTACTTTTAAGCTCCTTTTCCAAAGCTGCTTTCAAGCTTCCACCATCAGGGTTCTTTTCCGCAATTACGATTTGGCAAAACGTTTTCACCAATGCAAGAACGTTCGCAGTGTTCGATTTCTGTAAGCCGGATTTAGAAATGACTGTTGTAAAAAATACGTCCCGGAAATAATTGTACTTATCATTATGTTTGTACAAAATCTTCTGTAGGTCATCTACCATGCTCTCACCGTACCAGTAACCATAGCGAGAACCATAGTCATAACCATACGTCACCTCTCCGGGGCCGAATCCACCTGGAATAACGTCGAACTGATAAGATCCGGACGCCCTGAGATAATTCTGCAGTTCACCACCCCACTCTCTATCCCACAGATATCTCACCCAAGTAGTCTCCCACCCAGGATAATTATACCTCCACTTCCCTCCTCCCACTGCTTCGAACCATCTATCCACATTGTAGAGCAAAAAATACAAAGCGGCGAGGAACTTGGGCATACACTCTAGAAGCGCATCGGTGACATCGTTTGCTCTCGGATTGACATAACTTTTCTCAATTGGTGTAGCTACTAATTTCTTATAGAACGTGGACGCGCGTTCGAGGAATTCGGAGACATCAGCTGGCAGCTTGCCCGTAAACAAAATACGATTATAAGAATTTCCATAACGTCTAACCAGTTCTGTGGCCACCCGGTGTTGCATACGACTATCATCATGCAGCCAATGCAGAAACTCAAAGCAGTCCCTGAGGGTGATTAACTTGACTCCGTGCTTCGCCATCTTAGTTACGAAGGCACTAAGCACAAAGACACTAATAAATGGGTGCTAGTCTAATGGTACAAAAGTACAAGTGAAAGCGTTGAAATGGGTGAACTAGGAAACACTAAAGTAATAAAACCTCTAAGGAGACGTCACTGCTTCCAGTTAACCAAGACTGTGCCAAGATGTTTGCAACGGTAGTAATTGCGATGTTAGTAGGTGGCTCAGTGAATGTGTTAGTGGCGATTGGTGAGACATTTTAGAGTCGCAAGAGGGGCGTGGTGAGAGGCGTCCGCAGCCTCAGTCCACCGACAGGTGGGATGAAGGAGGCTATTTTGGGAGTGACGGCAAGGCGACAAACGGCAAGGGAGACGACAAAGCAGCGAGTAGGTTGCATCATAGGTTAGGTGCTAGGTGAGCCATTTGGTTAGGTGCTAGGTAAGCCATTTGGTTACATGTTAGGTAAGCCGTTTGGTTAGTGAGTTAGGTGGTAGGCAAGGCACGAGATAGTCACGATGAAAGACATGAGATGACACGGCAACACTGAGAGAGGGATGTGAATGTAATGTAGCTGAGATAATTACTATGATGAGTGAAAGTCGTCGTCGAAGTAATCGACGTCCTTGTAGAGTGAGAGCATCCTGCGGCTGCCGGCGAGCAGCGCCTTGACGTCGATGAGGTGGGAGGCCCTGGTGGTGAGGAGGTGCGAGCGGATGCGTAGGACGTCGATGCGGTAGAGGAGTGAGTGGAGGATGTAGAGCGTGGCGGTGAGCCAGAGTGCGACGATGGTGAAGAGGAAGGGCTCCCGGATGCGGTAGAGGAAATTGTCCATGGCGGTCATGAGGCCTGCGATAGGCTTTCCCTTGACCACTTCCTCCAGCTTGGTGATGAGCTTGGAACACGTGAGTGAAGGCGGCAGTGTCCCGTCTGGCGGGGTGATGCCGTGCTTGTAGAGGAGCGGCAGGGCCTTGTCACACTGGTGGAGGGGCTTGGAGTCGTGACATTGAAGGTCCTCGAGATCATCTTGCATCTTGAGCAGTGACTCCCACAGTCTGTCTGGTAGATACACCGTCCAGCTGAGGTAGTCGTGGACGAAGCTGGAAGAGTACAGGGCGTAGGCCCGGTAGGTGGTGGACGAAATATGAGGTGGGCACTGCGCATTGGTTATGTCGCAGCCAACCAGTGTGGACAGGGTCCTGGAATGGCCTTTGTCGTGGTTGGCGGTGGGAGGGGCGGGGCCCCGGATGTACTGGATGGCATTGAGGTCGTCGGCAGCAAGAGCGTCCCAGCCGGGGCAGTGAGGATGTGGCTCGGAGAGGGCGGAGCCCAGTGGAGATGATTGTTGCAGTGCATTTCCGAAATGGTGGAAGAACGAGACAAGCTCCCCGGTGGTGCGCGGCGTCCGCCTGGTGAGGCAGGTGAGGTAGGAGGCCAATCTCAGCAGGGGATCATCGCCGCCGCAGGTGGGAGTGAGGATGTCGTTGAGTATGTTGCCAGTTTGCTGAGATGCAGGCAAATCCTCCCTCTTGAATCCCATGTTGACGCGGGTCTTGCGGCAGATGTCGCACGGGTCGAAGGGATGTGTCTCGAACTTGGAGTCGGGGGCGTCAGTCAGGAAGGCCTGGAGGGGGGACTTTTGGGGAGACACACCATGGCCATAGTCATGATTCTTCCAACCTCCGTGCTGGGAGACTCGAGAACACTGCGATTTCAGGAACGCCAACTGGTGGTGGGCGGCATAGACGTAATCCCGCAGCTGGCAGAGGAGGCGGGCGGGGTCGGAGGTATAACGCAACTTGGAATATTCTGAGCTGAAGTCGGGGGTTGACGAGCCATTTTTGGAATCCTTATACCTAATATTGTGGAGAAAGTTGGCTGCGTAGTGACACGCCTGTGTCAGAGTGTTGGAGACATGGGAAGCGGTCAGGCTGTACGGTTCCTTTGTTACATAGATTGAATTATTAGTCTGAGAGCAATCCTGGTTAAGCTCCTTTAAAATGCCTGCAACACGCTCCTTAATCTTCTCAACATACCTATATTGAGTCATCCCAACCATCCAGTGGAGCATTTCCCTGACGGTCTTGGGAAGGGGCAGATGGTCGGAGGATGGGGGCGGGGAGGGAGTTGACAAAGCAGCGAGTAGGTCACATGCTTGGTTAAGTGGTAGGTAAGCCTTTTGGTTACGTGCTAGGTAAGCCATTTGGTTAGGTGCTAGGTCAGTCGATTGGTTACGTGCTAGGTGAGCAGTTTGGTTAGTCAGTGAGTTATGTGCTAGGCAAGGCGGGACATACAGTCACGATTAGAGACATGACACGGCAACACAAAGAATGTAAATGCGAATATAGCTACGATAATTACAATCATGAGTGAAAGTCATCGTCGAAGTAGTCGATGTCCTTGTAGAGCGAGAGCATCCTGCGGCTGCCGGCGAGCAGCGCCTTGACGTCGATGAGGTGGGAGGCCCTGGTGGTGAGAAGGTGGGAGCGGATGCGCAGGACGTCCATGCGGTAGAGTAGTGAGTGGGCGATGTAGAGCGTGGCGGTGAGCCACAATGAGAACACAGTGTAGAGGAAAGGCGTCCTGATATTGTAGAGGAATGTGTCCATGGCGGTAATGAGGCTTGCGATAGGCTTTCCGGCGACCACCTGCTCCAGCTTGGCGATGACCTTCGAACACGTGATTGACGGCTGCAGTGCCCCGTCCGGCGGGGTGATGCCGTGAGTGTAGAGGAGGGGCAGGGCCTTGGTACACTGGTGGAGGGACTTGGACTTGGAGTCATGACATTGAAGCTTCTCGAGATCATAGTGCAACTTGAGCAATGACTTCCACAGTCTGTCTGGTAGATAAACCGTCCAGCTGAAGTAGTGGTGGGCGAAGCTGGAAGAGTACAGGGCGTAGGCCCGGTAGGTGATGGGCGTCATCAGTTGTGGGCAGTTGACATTATCGATGCCGCAGCCAAGCATTGTTGACAGGGTCTCGGGATGGTCCTCGGAGTGGTTGTGGTTGGAGGTGGAGGTGGGAGGGGCGGAGCCCCGTGCGCCCTTGAAGGCTCGGAGGTCGGCGTCCTTGAGACGGTCCCAGTCGGGGCAGTCGTCATGTGGCTGTGAGAGGGCGGAGCCCAGCTTGGACAACTGTGAAGATGCACCGTGCAGCTCACCTCCGAAATTGTGGAAGAAGGAGACAAGCTCCCCGGTGGTGCGAGGCGTCCGCCTGGTGATGCACGTGAGGTAAGAGCACAGCGTCAGCAGGGGATCCTCGCCGCCGCAGGTGGGAGTGAGGATAGTGGAAAGGGTATCACCAGTTTGCAGATTCTTAGGCAAATACTCCTCCCTGAATCCCATGTTGACACGGCTCTTGCGGCAGATGTCACACGGGTCGAAGGGATGAGTCTTGAAGTCGGAGTCTGGTCCGTCGGTCAAAAAGGCCTGGAGGGGGGACGGAGTCTTGGTATCTTGGCCGTACGGACAATTCTGCCAACCACCTTCAGATTCCTTCCGATTACACTGCGCCTTTAGGAACTCCAACTGGTGGCAGCAGGCGTAGACGCAGTCCCGCAGCTGGCAGAGGAGGCAGGCGGCGTCGGTGGAATAACAAAGCTTGGAATATTCTGAGTCGAACTTAAAATCTTTGAAAGCATCCTTGGAGTCCTTGTACTTAATCTTGTGGAGAATGTTTGCCGAGTAGAGGCACGCCTCTGTCAGTTTGGCGGCGACATGGGAAGCGGTCAGGTTGTAAGGATCCCGGGTTACATAGATGGCATCTGGAGATTGTGAAACATCATTCTTGTACTCCCTTAAAATTCCTTCAACATGCTCCTCGATAAACCGAATGTACCCCTCTTGGTTCAACCCTACCAGCCAGCAGAGCATTTCCCTGACGGTCTTGGGAGGGGGCAGCTGGTCGGAGTCTGGGGGCGGGGAGAGGGGTGGAGTGACGGTAGTGAGTTAGGTGCTAGGTCAGCCGTTTGATCACGTGCTAGGTTAGACGTTTGGTTGGGTGGTAGGTCAGCCTCTTGGTCAGGTTGTAGGTTAGCCACTTGGTTATGTGCTAGGTAAGCCGTTTGGTTAGGCAGTGAGTTGGGTGCTAGGCAAGGCACGAGATACAGTCACCATGAGAGACGTGACATGGAAACACAGGGAGAGGAATGCGAATGCGAATGTAGCTACGATAATTACTGTCATGAGTGAAAGTCGTCGTCGAAGTAATCGACGTCGTGGTAGAGTGAGAGCATCCTGCGGCTTCCGGCGAGCAGCGCCTTGACGTCGATGAGGTGTGAGGCCCTGGTGGTGAGGAGGTGGGAGCGGATGCGCAGGACGTCCATGCGGTACAACATCGTGTGGGTGATGTAGAGCGTGGCGGTGAGCCAGAGTGTGAACACAGTGTAGAGGAAGGGGGCACGGATGCCGTAAAGGAAAAGGTCCATAGAGGTAATGAGGCTTGAGATAGGCTTTCCGGCGACCACTTCCTCCAATTTGGTGATGACGTCCGAACACGTGAGTGATGGTTGCAATACACCGTCCGGCGGGGTGATGCCGTGAGTGTAGAGCAGCGGCAGGGCCTTGGTACACTGGTGGAGGGGCTTGGACTTGGAGTCGTGACATTGAAGGTTCTCGAGATCATAGTGAAGCTTGAGCAGTGAGTCCCACAGTCTGTCTGCCAGGTACACCGCCCAGCTGAGGTAGGTATGGGCGAAGGTCGGAGAGTACAGGGCGTAGGCCCGGTAGGTGATGGTCTTCATGAGTTGTGGGCAGTCGACATTATCGATGCCGCAGCCAATTATTGCGGACAGGGTCTTGGGATGGTCCTTGTCGTGGTTGGAGGTGGGAGGGGCGGGGCCCCGGATGTACTGGATGGCATTGAGGTCGTCGGCAGCAAGAGCGTCCCAGCCGGGGCAGTGAGGATGTGGCTGGGAGAGGGCGGAGCCCAGTGGAGATGATTGTTGCAGTGCATTTCCGAAATGGTGGAAGAACGAGACAAGCTCTCCGGTGGTGCGCGGCGTCCGTCTGGTGAGGACGTTGAGGTAGGAGGCCAGTGTCATCAAGGGATCGTCGCCGCCGCAGGTGGGAGTGAGGATGGTGAGAAGAATGTTGCCAGTTTGCTGAGATACAGGCAAATCACTGTGCTTGAATCCCATGCTGACACGGCTCTTGCGGCAGATGTCACATGGGTCGAAGGGGTGAGTCTTGAACTTGGAATCCGGGGCGTCAGTCAGGAAGGCCTGGAGGGGGGAGTTGGGAGATGATACATCACGGCCATAATAACAATCCTGCCAGCCACCTTGTTTGGTATCCCGAGAACACTGCGACTTCAGGAACTCCAACTGGTGGCAGCAGGCGTAGACGTAGTCCCGCAGCTGGCAGAGGAGAGCGCAGCAATCAGGGTCCTTCGGTTCATCGTGATCCTTACGCTCCACAGTTGCCGCAGACGCCCGCCGTTTCCAGTTAGGTGCAACTGAAGATAGCACTGAAGCTGCGAACACGGCGGCAAGGTGGATGGTCTGAAGGACATCTCTGGCGGCGATGCTAGAATCGTTGACTGGGAGTCGGAGATCTGAAGGCACATCATCGCCGCGCTTGAAAGCGTTGTTAATACACTTTTCCAGAGTCTCTTGATGCTTTTGATGCTGCAGTCCCGCCAGCCATGTTAGCATGTCTTTGACTGTACGCGGCGCCTCGGAGGGTAACAACTCCGTCTCGGGGATGTCGGTAGAGCCATGCGTAGGTTTCTGGGTGAGCCAAGGAACAGGGCACGTGTCCACGAATTCGACTGCACTAATCGTTGGCTCATCTCTGGGAGGCACAGAGTGCTGGGGATCTGGAGGTGGAAGATTAAATGAGATTTCAGGTATGTACGGATCCGGAGGTAAGGGCAGCGCATCATGCTTTATGTGCGTCGTTTCATCGTCAAAATCCAAGTCGTACACGGGGTCTTGCACAATGGGCTTGGGGACGTCGATGTAGAGGTCTGTGAATGTGTCTGGATTGTCTCGAAGCACGTATGGCTTCCAGACATCTAACGCAACGGTAGGCGGTGGCTGTGCCGGCTGAATGTGGGCTATTGGCTGGGGGGATAGGTCAGGTTTCAGATTGGGATCGGGAATGGGCGCTCCGCTAGCGAGCGATGGCCACATCGGTGGATCTATATATTGCATTACGGCAGATTTATCCGTTTTTAATCTGCCGCCCATTATAACATCCATGTCTGGCAGCTTGGGGAGTGTATGTGGGTACGGTCATTTTGAGATCATCAAACAATGCATCTTGATTTCTTTGGTTTAAGGTGTCATAATGTTTTTTTTCTGCGTCATTCTGGAATTTCTCAATTAACTTTTTTTCTCTATCCATCAGCGCTGCCAGTGAAATATCCTTGGACATCTGTTCACTAAGGTCCTTTTGATCCTTTTGCTGAAACCAAAGTTCCCGTTGGTCTTGCAACCGATTTAGCAACTCATCTTCAAAAGGTGTGCCCGTCAACGAAACATCATCTTGAACACCGATAAGGAATGCTTCTTTTTGTTCTTCTTGCCACTTGGCTTCTGCATCCTTCTCTTTCTGTTGTATTTCTTTTTTGAGTTCATCCTCTTCCTGTTTTAACCGCTGCTCTGCTTTTGCGTGATGAATGGCATGATCGATGCCATGTTGCATCAAACTTATTATTTTACTTCGCTGCCGTGGAGAGTCTTGCATCAGCGCGACGCCACCCACAGGTGAAGAATGCGGATCAATATTAACCAAGGGATACTGGGTCGACTGTTGATTTTCATCAATCGGAGTGCCTTGAATGGCGTTTTTTGACCATTGTCTCATTTTTTCTTGTTCCTGTTCCTCTTGCTGCTTACGTAACTTTATAGCTTCTTTTTTTATCCTCAAATCTTTTTAATAAGTCATCCATATCCTTTAGACGCCATGCTTGGGTTTTGTCTCGCGTTTCATAATTTTTATAAACACCGTTGGGGCGCGTTCTAGGATGACAAAAATTCCCCGTGGGATTAGTCATAAGATTGTCAAAAGTCGGCTCCAGGCAAGTGTCAACGGGATCCTTCCCACCCCCCTCCTGCTCCACCGCCACCTACTCCAGGCACCGGGGCACTCGACGGAGTAGCGACGTTGCTTGGATTATGGTCGGTACCTTTATTTGTTGGTTGAGTGGAGTCTCGATTACTTTGTTGACCACCGCCTAGGCCGGCGTCTTGCCCAGCCCCTCCACCACCTGGATGACTAGTCCCCTTACCACCAGTTGGCCCAGAGCCTTGACCTGGAACACCCGGAGTCGGAGTATGTGCAGTGACTTGAGATACACCAGGCCGTATACTTGAAGTAACATCGCTCGTTGAACCCTGACCTACACCTGGCTGGCCATCGGAGCCAGCGGCTCCAGGAAGAGGGGGAGGAGCTGGCGGGGGTTGAGGTGGAGCCTGTTGAGTCTGATCAGTATTTTGAACTGGTGAACCTGGAACCTGAGGAAACATCGTAGGCCCTCGCGGGCCTGAAGCTCCTTGATCACCGGAAGGCGGATGTGAGACAGCATCTCCACCTGGTGAAGTTGGAGAACTTCCCTCACTTTGGCCATTATTGGGAGTTGGAGAACTCTCCGCTTTCTTGCCCTGGTTCTGTGCTCCCTCGGGTCTTTTTGGAACGGGAACTTTCTTTTCTGGCACCACCTCCTTGGGGGCTTCGGGGACCTTGGCAGGCGGCACCTCAGGCTTTTTGGGTGGTGGTTGGGCTGGACACGTATAACCATTCAAAATGTCCTTAAGCGTTTTCAAGTCACCGTCATCAGAGTTACCTAGCGTTTCCAAAACACCGAACAGATTTGTCAATCCCCCTGCCCACTTGTTCTTGTGATCCTTATTCAACACGATGCCGTAGGGATAGATGTTTTCTGGGGTGAAGCTTTCGGGGCTTTCAGCAAAATCCTCTACGCTCCCCTTAATTGTTTCCAACGCTCCTGTCATCTGCTGCCAGTGAGTTTTAAACCACCTCTCGAATGTCTCGGCAAATGCGTCGGGCTTAAGTGCAGTTGGATCAAATGCCCTACCAGTGGTGGTGAAGGGTTTAACACCAGATTCTGCGTTTGAACTATCTCCAAATAATTTTGATAATTTCATTCTAAGTTTGGTGCAATGTTCCACTAATCTGTTCCAATCGAAACACATCGTTCTCCTTCTAAGTTCCTCTTGCAATTTTGTTCTAAGACTACTGTCACCTTTGTGGGTCTCCACATATTCACAAAATGCCCACAGTAATAGCAAAACGTTTCCAGTGTCTAAATTACTCCAACTGCTGTCAACTAAATTGTCGAAAAGAACGCTCGTAAAAAGGTCCGGGGTTAGCGTATTTCTTTTAAGCGCAGCGTTTAAATTTTCGGCCAATTTTTGACCCGTCACATTTTGCAACTCATCAGGTTTGAATCCACCGTCAATAACACCGTTGAAGCCAGTGAAGAACGTTTGAATCGCATTACCCAGTGATCCACCAGTTGTGGTGTCCAGCAAAGCCCACTTCCCGCCGCCCACAGGAGTATATGTATAATCAACGTGAAACAGTAACAGGGAAAACGCAGCGTGTACCTTGGGGAGGCACTCGGAAAATGCTTCGGTAATTATATTTTTATCGTAACTTGAGAAATTCCCTGGGTTTTTATCCTTGCTTATTTGGCCATAATGCTCTGATACGTTGCGGAGGAAAGATTCTAAGGAAAATTTAAACTGCAACTTGAAAGTGGAATTGTTATAATATTTCTCGATACGGGCAGCCAGTTCATCAATCACCTGGCCCTGCATCCCTCTGTCACCATGCAACCACGCCAGGAACCGGAGGCAGTCCTTTAGGGTGTCTAACTTGACTCCGTGAGCTGTCATCTTACCAGCGGGGCCCGGGCCTCCAGGATCACTGGCGGCAGTAGGTGGAAGTGCTTGTTGAGGATGAGACTGGAGATCATTTTGAGGTTGTAAGGGTTGAGACTGAATAAGCACCGAAGTCCCTGTACTTGTGCTCCCCTGTGCGCCCTTAGCACCTGGAGCACCTCGAGGCCCTGGGCCTCGTCCTCTGTCTCTCTGAGCCCCCGATCCCCTTCCCCTGTTTTGCCCCCCTCCTCTACGGTTATTCCCTCCCACTCCTCTGGCACCAGAAGCCTGACTCCCACGAGACAACGAACCCCCAAGATGCCTTGCACCGGTTGTCATTCCAGCCGAAGTTCTGGAAGCCCCTTGTGTAGGCACAGGTCTTGCAGGCCTCGGGGGCCTGGGCGCAGGCTCCGGCTGTGGCCGGGGATTTGGGGGCGGATCCGGCGGACGGCACGGCTCACCATCCAGAATTCTTTTTAACTTATCCAAACCGTCATCTTCTCTGCCAAGCATGTCTATGACACTGTCCCAATGATCTGACAACGTCTTCCACGCCTCACCCATCGTTCCATATTGTCCTTTACCAAATATAAAACCGTAGGGGAATATGTTCTTGGTTGCAAAAGGCCGAAGAGCAGTCAAATATAGAGTGTCGTCAACTGGGAAACTTTTATTTATTTGTTTCACATTATGTTGAACTATGCGCAAATTATTTCTAAACCATTCCGCTGTCTCCCCCGCAAATGTCTCTGTGTTAAGCTCATCAACACGCCGCGCCTGGCCGGTGAAGGAAAAGCCTTCGATCTTGAACAACTTGCCAAGTTGCTGCTCAAGAGTTTTGCAATGCTGTTTTAATTCTTCCCAATCTAGACATGTATTTTTTTTCTGCACTGCAGTTTTTAGCACACCATCGCGGCTCTTTACCGAAATTACGATTTCGCAAAACGTTTTCACCAAAGCAAGAACGTTCGCAGTGTTCGATTTCTGTAAGCCGGATTTAGAAATGACTGTTGTAAAAAATACGTCCCGGAAATAATTGTGGTCGGTATTTTTGCCCAGCATTTTTTCGATGTCCTTAGTCATATCCTCACCGTATGGATAGCCATAGCGAGAACCATAGTCATAACCATACGTCACCTCTCCGGGGCCGAATCCACCTGGAATAACGTCGAGCTGATAAGATCCGGACGCCCTGAGATAATCCTGCAGCCCACCTCCATACTCTTTCTGCCACGGATATCTCACCCAAGTAGTCTCCCACCCAGGGTTATCATACCTCCACTTCCCTCCTCCCACTTCTTCGAACTTATAATCCACATTGTAGAGCAAAAAATACAAAGCGGCTAGGAATTTGGGAACGCACTCCAGAAGCGCATCGGTGACATCGTTTGCTCTCGGATTGACATAACTTTTCTCAATTGGTGTAGCTACTAATTTCTTATAGAACGTGGACACGTGTTCGAGGAATTCGGAGACAGCAGGTGGCAGCTTGCCCGTAAACAAAATACGATTATAAGAATTTCCATAACGCGTCACCAGTTCTCTGGCCACCTTGTCTTGCATCTTTTTTCCTCCCCCGCTATGCAACCACTGCAGGAACTCAAAGCAGTCCCTGAGGGTGCTTAACCTGACTCCATGCTTCTCCATCTTGCTTACCAAAGCACTAAGCACAGAGGCACTAATAAATTGGCACTAGGATACTGCTATAAAAAGACAAGTGAAAGCGTTGAAATGGGTGAACTAGGAGACACTGAAGTAATAACACCTCTGAGGTGACGTCACTGCTTCCAGTTAACCAAGATACTGCCAAGATGGTTGCGATGGATTCAATTGCGGTGTTATTAGGTGACACAGTGACCATGTTAGTGGTGATTGGTAACCTATTTTAGAGCTGCAAGAGGGGCGTGGTGAGAGGCGTCCGCAGCCTGAATCCACCGACAAGGTGGGATGAAGGAGGCTATTTTGGGAGTGACGGCAAGGCGACAAACGGCAAGGGAGACGACAAAGCAGCGAGTAGGTTGCATCATAGGTTAGGTGCTAGGTGAGCCATTTGGTTAGGTGCTAGGTAAGCCATTTGGTTACATGTTAGGTAAGCCGTTTGGTTAGTGAGTTAGGTGGTAGGCAAGGCACGAGATAGTCACGATGAAAGACATGAGATGACACGGCAACACTAAGAGAGGAACGTAAACATAAATGTAGCTACGATAATTACTGTCATGAGTGAAAGTCATCGTCGAAGTAGTCGACGTCCTTGTAGAGCGAGAGCATTCTCCTGCTGCCGGCGAGTAAAGCCTTGACGTCGATGTTGTGGGAGGCCTTGGTGGTGAGGAGGTGAGATCGTATGCGCAATACGTCCAGGCGGTAGAAAAGTATGACGAGGATGTAGAGCGTGGCGATGAGCCAGAGTGCGACGAGGGTGAAGAGGAAGGGGCACGGATTCTGTGGAGGAACTCGTCCATGGCGGTCATGAGGCTTGCGATAGGCTGTCCGGCGACCACTTCCCACAGCTTGGCGATGAGCTGTGAACACTTGAGTGACGGCTGCAACGTCCCGTCCGGCGGAGTGAACCCGTGAGTGTAGAGGAGGGGCAGGGCCTTGTCACACTGGTGGAGGGGATTGGATTTGGAGTCGTGACATTGAAGCTTCTCGAGATCACAGTGAAGCTTGACCAGTGACTCCCACAGTCTGTTTGCCAGGTACACCGCCCAGCTGAGGTAGGTGTGGGCGAAGCTCGGTGAGTAGAGTGCGTAAGCCTGGTAGGTGATTGGAAATAGGTGTTGTGGGCAGTCGACATTATCGATGCCGCAGCCAATTATTGCGGACAGGGTCTTGGGATGGTCCTTGTCGTGGTTGGAGGTGGGAGGGGCGGGGCCCCGGATGTACTGGATGGCATTGAGGTCGTCGGCAGCAAGGTGGTCCCAGTCGGGGCAGTGTCGATGTGGCTCGGAGAGGGCGGAGCCCAGTGGAGACAACTTGAGAGACACATCATGAAGCTCATTCCCGAAGTTGTGGAAGAACGAGACAAGCTCCCCGGTGGTTCGTGGCGTCCGCCGGGTGAGGCAGTTGAGGTAAGAGCACAGCGTCGGCAAGGGATCATTACCGCCGCAGGACGAAGTGAAGATGATGGAAATGCACTTTCCAGTTTCGTGAGATCTAGGCAAATCATTCTCCCCGAATCCCATCCTAACACGACTCTTAAGCCACAAGTTGCAGGGGTCGAAGAAGTGAGTCTCGAAGTCGGAAATATCAGTTAGGAATGCTTGCAGGGGGGACTCGGCAGAGACGCCGTGCCCATACGCACAATCCTGCCACCCACCTTGTTCGGTGACTTGAGAACACTGCGACTTTAAGAACGCCAACTGGTGGTAGCAGGCGTAGGCGTAGTCGCGCAGATGGCAGAGGAGGGCGCAGCAATCAGCGTCCTTGGACGTCGACGTTGCAGACGGCACTGCCATTCTCCACTCAGGCGCAACGGCGGTGAGCACTGAGGCTGCGAACAAGGAGACAAGTTTAATGGTGTCGATGACATGTTGAGGGCGGATGTCAGCACCGTTGACTGGGAGTGTGAGATCTGAAGGGTCACCATCGTCGCGCTTGAATGCGTTGGTAATACACTTTTGCAGAGTCTCTTGATGCTTCTTGTGCTGCAGTCCGGCCATCCAAACAAGCATCTCCCTGACTGTACGCGGCGCCTCGGAGGGGAACAGCTCCGTCTCGGGGATATCCGTAGAGTCGTACGTAGGTTTCTGGGTGAGCCAAGGAACAGGGCATTTGTCCACGAATTCGACTCTGGTAAAAGTTGGATCTTCTCTGGGAGGGAGATACTGCTGGGGATCTGGAGGTAGAACATTTAATGAGACGGCAGATTTGTATGGAGCGACAGTGTTGGCCTGTGCATCATCCTGTATATGCGTAGAATCTTCATAGAAGTCAAAGTCGTGGACAGGGTCTTGGAAAATGGGCTTGGGGACGTCAATACGGAGGTCAATTTCTTCTTTCTCAGTTTTGGGAGACGGGGGCCCAGAGATGTATACTTCACCACCTCTTAAATTCTTGATAAGCTTGTTCTTGTTTTTCACTGCGTCCGCGTAATGCAGCTTTTGACCGCTCTCTTTTTTCTGTTTGAAAATATTCTCAGCACTTTCTTTCTCCTTTTCACGCTCACTCTCTATTTTCTTTGCCTCCTCTTCTCTACGCTTATTTTGTTCTTCCTTGAAATGTTCCCAGAGCTCATTTGCCTCTCTGACCTTTTGCGAGTGTTGTTGCGCAGATTGCAGAGATGTTGAGACAGGGTTGCCTTGTAGTTGCGAGGCCACGGACATCTCCATTTTCTGATAGTCCGTCACTTCTGCCGTTGGGAACTGATTTGGTTCGGTTTCAATTACTTCGCCGGTGACATGTGATATGTCTGCAACGTCATGGTAGTCAAGCATCATTGTGGCCGGTGGTTTATTCCGATTATGAGAAAGCTGCGCCGCTTTTGAATTAGGAAGCGGTGGCATGCGACGTCCTACGTTGGGGTCCGAAATGGGCTGACCCTTAGCTTCCGACACCAACGGATTCAAAACGCCAAGGTCTGGTAAGATATTAACGCTCGGAATCGGTCTTGGGGGATCTTTAATTGGTGTGCCGGAAACATCGGGCAATGTATGTGTAGGTGGAACCTTAACCTGCCCAGTCAGCGGGGCGATATCATTGTAAGTGATCACGGGCGGAGGTTTGGTGGCACCATGCTGTTTTGTTAAATCGATTCCCTTTGGCTCAGTAGGGACGGGAGAGCCGAATATTTTTTGTGGCAACGTTGACTTGGACAGTGGATGTGTCTCCCCTATGGGTTGACCGTCGGGGACACCCGTAAATCTAAAGGATTGGACAGGCGTCTTTCCCGGTTGTCCTTGAGACCCAACGGCATTGTGTCCTGTCAATATACTATAATCATTATGCATATAACTTATAAATTTGCTTTGCTCCTGCTGTTTTTGATAAACAGGGTCAGAGCCATCCTGCAATACCTGGCCTCTCACCGCATCGATGACCACGCTGCGTCCCGGTTTTGGAGTGGGAATCTGAGAGCCATCAATGGACAACAATTGCTCCTGCTGTATTTGACGCAATTCACTCTCATATTGATCATACATCTGCTGACGCCTCCTATCCCTCTCCTCTTTCATTTTGCGCTGTTCCTCTTCTTCCTTTTTGCGATACGCTTCTTCCGCCTGTTTTAACCTCTCCGCTTCTTGTATCCTTGAGGGGTCTAGTAACCACGCCGTCTTTTTCTGTGCTGCTCTCTGCCTCTGTTCTTCCTGCGCTTTTAGACGTTCGGTGATGTTCTGTGTCCTCGCTTTCATTTGTTTCTTGCGTTCTGCCTCTTCCACCTTTTTCGTATCAACGAGGGATTTATCCCATTGGTCGTGGACCTCACGCAATCCTTGATTATGCTGCTCTCGCAACTTTGAAGCTACAAGATTTTGATTTAATTCTAATGCTTTATCCCTCTCCTTCTGTCGTTGTGTTTCGAAAAACGGATCCGAAATTTCATGTCCATCTGCAAATAAATTATACGCCCTCACTTGCCGGGGTTGCCCATCTCCTGGAACGTAGTACGGACGCGTTGCACCGGGGCGTGCGCCGAGACCAAGAGCGGGAATTTGCTTAATTGGGGGATCATAGGCTCCAGTATTCAAACGTAATTGTTTTTGCATATTGTTTTTCGTCTGTCGCTGTATTGCTTGTCCAATGTTCTCAAAATTCTTCTTAAATTGTTCCTCTATGATTTTCATATTTGCATTGTCTTTGTCCCTTTTTTCTTGCTGTCGCTTTAAGACATCTGTGTCTACAGCCCCTCCACCACCACGACCAGACCCCTGGCCACCAGTTGTCCCAGAGCCTGAACTTGTAACACTCGGAGGCTGAGTAAGCGTAGGGCTTGGAGTGGCAGCAGGCTGTGAACCTGGAGAACCATCTTCCGATGAACCCTGACCCGGAGGACCTGGCTTAGCAGGGATGTCAGGGCCTGCTGGAGCACTGGGGGGAGCAGCCGGTGGAGGGGGCACTGGCGGTGGAGGCTCCGGCGGATCTTGAGGTGAAGTCTGTTGAGACACTGCAATATTTTGAGGTTGTGAAGCCGGGGTCGAAGAATACCCCAGATCCACTGTACCAGAAGGCCCTTGCGGGTGTTGAACTCCGGTAGGCCCTGCCGGACCTGTAACACCTTGATCAACGGAAGGCGGATCTGGAGCAGAGCCTGTAACTGGTGATACTTGAAGAGTTCCTCCACCTTGATCTTTACCCTGGTTCTGTGCTCCCTCCACTTTCTTGCCTTGGTTCTGCGCTCCCTCAGATTTCTCCCCCTGGTTCTGTGCTCCCTCACTCTTCTTCCCCTGGTTCTGTGCTCCCTCCACTTTCTTGCCTTGGTTCTGCGCTCCCTCACTTTTCTTCCCCTGGTTCTGCGCTCCCTCCGCTTTCTTGCCTTGATTTGCAGTTGAGTCACTTTTACTGGCAGTCGGCTTCGCCACCTCCGCCTTGGTGAGCACAGGCCTTGCGGCTCCTGGTTTGGGATGGGTAACAGTCTTTCCACTGTCCAGCAACTCTTCATCCGCAGGCTCCTCCAGAGCTTCTTCATCTATTTCTTCAGGTTGATCATCATCTTGCCGTTCATTTCGCCTTTGTTTTCTTTGTTCCTCTTGTGCTTGACACTGTTGACCATTCAAAATTTCCACAAGCCTCTGTAAACCGCCGTCACTGCTCTTAAGCTCACGGATTGCAGTGTCCCACTGCCTTTGCAAAAGATCATACGGAGCACTCCTCGTGTCATATTTGTTGGCATAAAACGTGAATCCGTAGGGGATAAATTGCTTGGTGAAATAATTTTGAAGGGCTGTGGACTGAGACGAAGACGGGGACTTAATGCCCTTCCTAAGTTGCCTAAGATTACTTACATCACTAAAAGCCTCAATTTTCTCCAACTTCTCTTTCACTTTACCCAAATTCATCTTCAGCCAACTGGCCATCTTCTTGGCGATATCTTGTTGTTTAAGCTTGTCATATTCCCGCGCATAGCCAGTGAAGGAAAAGGCTTCCTTCTTGAAAATTTTGCCAAATTGGTCTTGAAGTTGCTTGCAATGCTCTTGTAATTCTTTCCATTGGATGCATTTGTCCTTCGAGTATAAGTGCATTTTAAAATCCTCCTCATTCTTCACGTTTCCAAATATCCTACAAAAATCTTGCACCAAACGCAGAGAGTTGGCGATATTCGGAGTCTCGGCGCCTGAAGTGGGCAACACCGTAGTGGAATAGACGTCGAGGAAATAGTTTTGTACTTTATCTTGCTTGTTCAGAATACTTTGAATGTCTTTGACCATGGCAGAAGCAGGAGAGTAACCACTCTGGTAACCTGGCTTCAGGTCCCCTGGATCGAAGCCACCAGGTATCACGCCACCGTAGTCAGTGCCGGATTCAGCAGTGAGGTACTTGTCCACTGGGCCGGTCAAAGCCGCAGCACGTTCACCAAGTGCAGCGAACCGTGAAATCAACCCAACGGAGTCATTCGCCCACCCCCCTCCACCCAGCGCACTGAACTTATCGTCCACCTGATACCTCAAAAAGTACATCACTGCTAAGAACTTGGGAATGCAGTCAAGCAGAGTGTTGAGGACATTTTTAGTTGTATTTGGATTATTTGTGCTCTGCTTTGCAGATTTGCATAATGTAGTGTGAAATTTGTTCACGTTAGTGAGGAATTGGGACAGCGCGGATTCAATTGGAGGTTGACTAACATTCTTATACCTCTTCTCGAGGAGCCTAGCAAGGCGACTGGCGATCAAACCTTTCATAATGATACCCTGTTTGTCACTATGCAACCACTCCAGGAACATGAGACACTCCTTAAGGGTGTCTAACTTGACACCGTGCCCCTCCATCTTGCTTACCAAATCAAAGAGCACAGAGACGCTAACAAATGGGCGCTAGACTAATGGCACAGAAATACACGCGGAAGCGTTTTGATGGTTAACAAGGAGACACTAAAGCGATAACACCTCCAAGGTGATGTCACTGCTGCCAGTTTACCAAGACACTACCAAGATGCTTGCAACGGTAGTGATTGCGGTGTTAATGGGTGACACAGTAAAGGTGTTAGTGGCGATTGGAGAGACATTTTAGAGTCGCAAGAGGGGCGTGGTGAGAGGCGTCCGCCGCCTCAGTCCACCGACAAGGTGGGATGAAGGAGGCTGCTTTGGGAGTGATGGCGAGTAAACAAACGGACAAGGGAGATGACAAAGCAGCGAGTAGGTTACGTCATAGGTCAGATGCTAGGTGAAGTTTTGGTTACATGTTATATAAGGCGTTTGGTTAGGCAGTGAGTTTGGTGCTAGGCAAGGCACGAGATACAGTCACGATGAGAGACATGAGATGACACGGCAACACAAGGAATGTAAGCGTAATGTAGCTACGGTAATTACTGTCATGAGTGAAAGTCATCGTCAAAGTAGTCGACGTCCTTGTAGAGTGAGAGCATTCTCCTGCTGGTGGAGAGCAAAGCCTTGACGTCGATGAGGTGGGAGGCCCTGGTGGTGAGTAGGTGGGAGCGAATGCGCAGGACGTCCATGCGGTAGAGGAGTGAGTGGAGGATGTAGAGTGTTGCGATGAGCCAAAGTGCTGTGATGGTGTAGAGGAAGGGCGCACGGATGCCGTAGAGGAATGTGTCCATGGCGGTCATGAGGCTTGCGATAGGCTTTCCGGCGACCACATCTCCCAGCTTGGTGACGGCAGCCGAACACGTGAGTGAGGACTGCACTGTCCCGTCTGGCGGCGTGATGCCGTGAGAGTAGAGCAGCGGCAGGGCCTTGGTACACTGGTGGAGGGGCTTGGACTTGGAGTCGTGACATTGAAGGTTCTCGAGATCATAGTGAAGCTTGAGCAGTGAGTCCCACAGTCTGTCTGCCAGGTACACCGCCCAGCTGAGGTAGTGGTGGGCGAAGCTCGGGGAGTATACGGCGTAGGCCCGGTAGGTGATGGGCTTCATGAGTTGTGAGCACTTGGAATCATCGATGCCGCAGCCAAGCAGCGTGGACAGGGTATTGGGATGATCATTGTCGCGGTGGATGGAGTTGGGAGTGGCGGAGCCCCGTACGCCCTTGACGGCATTGAGGTCGGCGTCGCCAAGGATGTCCCAGTCGGGGCAGTCGTCATGTGGCTTGGAGAGGCGGAGCCCAGTGGAGACATCTGTGAAGATGGTAAGTACAGCGAATTCCCGAAATTGTGGAAGAAGGAAACAATCTCCCCGGTAGTGCGCGGCGTCCGCCTGGTGAGGCAGTTGAGGTAAGAGGACAATGTCAGCAGGGGATCGTCGCCGCCGCAGCTGGGAGTGAGGATGGTGTGAATATGGCTGCCAGTTTCGTTAGGTGTAGGCAAATCATCCTTTGTGAATCCCATCATGACACGGCTCTTGAGGCAGATGTTGCAGGGGTCGAAGGGATGAGTGTCGAACTTGGAGTCGGGGGCGTCAGTCAGGAAGGCCTGAAGTGGGGACTTGGGAGATGATACATTAACACCATATTGACAATGCTGCCAACCGCCATCAGATGCCTTCCGAGAACACTGTGACTTAAGGAATGTCAACTGGTGATAGCAGGCGTAGGCGTAGGCGTAGGCCCGCAGCTGGCAGAGGAGGCAGGCGGGGTCGATGGAATAATAAAGCTTGGAATATTCTGAGCTGAAGTCAAGGGTTGAAACAGCTGTCGAAATGTCTTTATACCTAATCCTGTGGAGAACGCTGGCAGAGTAGAGACACGCCTGTGTCAGAGTGTTGGAGATATGGGAAGCGGTCAGCTGAGTGGGATCCCCAGTGACCTCGAGGGCATCTGAGAGCTGTGAGGCATCCTCGTTAAGCTCCCTCAAAAGGTCTTCAATATGCTTTTTAATAATCGCAACATACCCATATTGATTCAATCCAACCATCCAGTGGAGCATTTCCCTGACGGTGTCTGGCGGGGCAGATGGTCCGTGTCTGGGGCGGGGAGAGGGGTGGAGTGACGGTAGTGGTGGAGGAATCGGGGACGTACCAGGGGTTTTGGCATTGATAGACATCCGGCGTTGTGTTGAGATCAAACTTCTTCAGAAATTCCGCAGCGCCTGGATTTATCACATTATCATGTTCATCCACGCTGACAGTGAATGCGTCCGCAGCTTTACCTGGCAACGACATCATGGAAATGGCAGGCTCAATCCACTCCATAGGTGGTACGGTAGTCCGAGACGGTGGTTTCGTGAAGCCTTGTGTTGCTGTGGGTGGCGCTTCAATTTGCGCGTCGAACGCAATCTCAGTTTTGTGCCGCTTTTCGATTTCTAATTCGATTGGAGGGTGAGCGGGATTTAATAACATAGTGTCCGCAACAGGCTGCCCTGTGAGTTCCTGTTTAACAGATACCGCCAAATTACTATCTCCAGTAAGTTGAGCTATTGGAATTTTTATTACTTCGCTAGCGACGTGTGTCAAGTCTGCAATATCATGGTCCTTAAGCGTTACTGCGAGAGGCAATTTACTAACAGTGTCATCACGCTGCCAGGGCAGGTTCAAGGCTGAGAGCGGTGGCAAGGGATGGGCTGTGTTAGTAGCAGTGGTGGGAGAACCCATGACATCAAGCATTGACTCCGTCATAATACGTGAGTCTGGTGATATTTCGATGCTTGGAATTTTGACGTCAGCGGTCGGCGGCGTCTTAGGCGATTTGAAGGCTGGGGAGGTGACACGGGACGGTTTCTTTTGGGGTTGGGGATGGTCCATGCGTCTATCAGAGATGGCGGCGGATGAGTGTCCACCTTGTGAGGTGGGGGAACTGCTATATCACTGCCAGTGGACTTTGTCAGGATTACTTCAGAGACCCCTAGATATTTTGTCATGTCTTCCGTGTCAACTTTGACAGGCTTAGGGGGATACTGCTCCACAGGCTCAGGCGGCTTGAGAGCTGGGGGCGGTGGCAACGGATCTTCTAATGCTGTGTGGGTGATAGGCTGGCCTGTGACGTCCAGCATATCTTTTGGTGCCGACAGAGTTTTTGGAGCTCTCGGCAATTTCGGCGGCTCTATTGCGTGGCCCATCGGGACACCAACAGGGGGGACTGGCAGAAGGGGCTTGGCACGCTTGCGGGTTGGCAAAACCTTATCACCCACGACTATACTTGAATTCGGCTGTAGCTGTTTGTGAGCATCTGTTTCCGCCTGGCCGTGGTTTGGAGTCTGTTTCACGGGTCTCCCTACCAGGGCGGCAGGCTCTGAGATTGGAGTGCCTGACATGAACACCGAATCGGCATCATTACTATTAGGATTATTGTTAATATCATCTTGAATTGTTTGCAGAAATTGAATATTACGCCTTATAGATCTCTCCTCCGCCTCCTTTTGTTTCTGCGCTACAAGGGCGGAGACGTCCGGCAAAGCGTTCCCATCCATCGCATCGCTAACATTAAAGCCCTCAACGGACAACAATTGCGCCTGCTGCATTTGACGCATTTCACTGTCATATTGATCATACATCTGCTGACGCCTGCGTTCCCAAGCCTCTTCCGCCTGGCGTCTGTCCTCTTCCTCCTTTTTGCGATACGCTACATCCGCTTTTTTAATCTTCTCCTCAACATCGGACGGAAGGTAAAGGGTGGATGGCCTAGTTGGCTTAGGAATCGTAGGCTGCCTATAACACACTGACTTTCCATTCATAGACATGGATACACCATCACACTTTTTAACATTATTAGACGGAGTCTGTGTTTGACCAACACTGTGCCCACCACCTGGTGGCCCGGCTCCTCCACCACCATGTTGGCCAGTCCCCTGGACACCATCTGACCCAGTGTTTGAACCTGAGACACTCGGAGTCTGAGTAAGAACATCTTGTGGAGATGAAGTAGTCCGTGTACCTGGAGTAACACTGTCTGTTGAAATTGGACCCGGGCCCCCTGGCTGAATAGGGATGGCAGGGTCTCCAGGAGCACTGGAGGCAACAAGTGGAGGTTGTTGGGAATGACGCTGGGAATCATTTTGAGATTGTAAGGGTTGGGGCTTAGTAGATCCCGTATGCCCTGGAACACTGCTTCTCTGTGCGCCCCTGGCTCCTGAAGCACCTCGAGGCCCTGAGTGGTGTCTTCCATTTCTTGTGGTCCCCGTGCCTTTCCACTGTTTTGCCCCCCTCCTCTAACTTGGATCATGCTTCTACGGTTATGCCCTCCCACTCCTCTAGCACCAGAACCCTGACTCCCACGAGACAACGAACCCCCAAGATGCCTTGCACCGGTTGTCATTCCAGCCGAAGTTCTGGAAGCCCCTTGTGTAGGCGCAGGTCTGGCAGGCCTCGGGGGCCTGGGCGCAGGCGCCGGCCTAGGTCGGGGTTTGGGAGGGGGAGCCGGCGGACGGCACCGTCCACCATCCAGAATTCTTTTTAACTCCGCTAAGCCGCCACCATTTTTGCCAAGCATATCTATGACACCGGGCCAATGATCTGACAACGTCTTCCACGCGTCTCCCAGCGTTCCATATCTGTCTTTACCAAATATAAAACCGTAGGGGAATATGTTTTTGGTTGCAAATTGCTGAAGATAATTCAAATGTCGAGTGTTGTCGACTGGGAATTTTGTATCTATTTGTTTCACATTATGTTGAACTTCGTGCAAATTATTTCTAAACCATTCCGCTGTCTCCCCCGCAAATGTATCAGTGTTAAGCTCATCAACACGCCGCGCCTGGCCGGTGAAGGAAAAGCCTTCGATATTGAACAACTTGCCAAGTTGCTGCTCAAGAGTTTTGCAATGCTGTTTTAATTCTTCCCAATCTATACATGTATTTTTTTTCTGCACTGCAGTTTTTAGCACACCATCAGGGCTCTTTACAGAAATTACGATTTCGCAAAACACTTTCACCAATGCAAGAACGTTCGCAGTGTTCGATTTCTGTAAGCCGGATTTAGAAATGACTGTTGTAAAAAATACGTCCCGGAAATAATTGTACTTATCATTATGTTTGTACAAAATCTTCTGTAGGTCATCTACCATGCTCTCACCGTACCAGTAACCATAGCGAGAACCATAGTCATAACCATACGTCACCTCTCCGGGGCCGAATCCACCTGGAATAACGTCGAACTGATAAGATCCGGACGCCCTGAGATAATTCTGCAGTTCACCACCCCACTCTCTATCCCACAGATATCTCACCCAAGTAGTCTCCCACCCAGGATAATTATACCTCCACTTCCCTCCTCCCACTGCTTCGAACCATCTATCCACATTGTAGAGCAAAAAATACAAAGCGGCGAGGAACTTGGGCATACACTCTAGAAGCGCATCGGTGACATCGTTTGCTCTCGGATTGACATAACTTTTCTCAATTGGTGTAGCTACTAATTTCTTATAGAACGTGGACGCGCGTTCGAGGAATTCGGAGACATCAGCTGGCAGCTTGCCCGTAAACAAAATACGATTATAAGAATTTCCATAACGTCTAACCAGTTCTGTGGCCACCCGGTGTTGCATACGACTATCATCATGCAGCCAATGCAGAAACTCAAAGCAGTCCCTGAGGGTGATTAACTTGACTCCGTGCTTCGCCATCTTAGTTACGAAGGCACTAAGCACAAAGACACTAACAAATAGGCGCTAAGATAATTGTACCAGAATACAAGTGGAAGCGTTTTAATGGTTAACTAAGAGACACTAAAGCAATAACACGTCTAAGGTGAAGTCACTGCTTCCAGACAACCAAGACACTCCCAAGCTGCTGGCAACGCTTTTAATTGAGATGTCTAGATTATGCTAACGCTTCGTGTTTTATGAGGTTGTGCGTAGTTTTCCTGTTTCATAAAGTTGTGCGTAGTTTTCCTTAGCCAATATAATCGGTATTGCAATATTGTCATCATCCTCACTGATCCACTTTTTCAACTCCACAACATGGCTGTCCAGCGTCTTACTAACTTGCTCAAGCTGAGCTAAGACGTTCCCAACCAAGGCTTCAAGTTGTTGACGAACTCTATACTTTCCTCGCGAATTAGTGAGTTGATGTGGTCTCGGACAGTGTTGAAAGCGTGGTTGATAAAGGCGTCGCAGGTGAGGGATGAGTGACGACGGCAGTGAGCAGCGTGGCGTGACATGTGGTCAAAAAGCTAGTGGTGGAAGTGGATTGCGCTATTAATAGATGACTCAGTGAAGGGGTTAGTGGCGATTAGTATGTTATTTTAGAGGGGTGCGGTAGAAGGTGTCCGCAGCCTCAGTCCACCGACAAGGTGGGATGAAGGACGTTATTTTGGGAGTGGCGGCAAGGCAACAAACGGCAGGGAACAAGACAAAGCAGCGAGTAGGTCACATGCTTGGTTAGGTGCTAGGTGAGACGTTTGGTTAGGTGCTAGGTAAGCCATTTGGTTACATGTTAGGTAAGCCGTTTGGTTAGTGAGTTAGGTGGTAGGCAAGGCACGAGATACAGTCACCATGAGAGAGATGACATGGCAACACAACACAGGGAATGTAAATGTAAATTTAGCTACAATAATTACTATCATGAGTGAAGGTCATCGTCGAAGTAGTCGACGTCTTTGTAGAGTGAGAGCATCCTGCGGCTGCCGGCGAGCAGCGCCTTGACGTCGATGAGGTGTGAGGCCCTGGTGGTGAGGAGGTGGGAGCGGATGCGCAGGACGTCCATGCGGTAGAGGAGTGAGTGGAGGATGTAGAGCGTGGCGATGAGCCAGAGTGCTGTGATGGTGTAGAGGAAGGGCGCACGGATGCGGTATAGGAACTCGTCCATGGCGGTCATGAGGCTTGCGATAGGCTTTCCGGCGACCACATCTCCCAGCTTGGTGACGGCAGCCGAACACGTGAGTGAGGACTGCACTGTCCCGTCTGGCGGCGTGATGCCGTGAGAGTAGAGCAGCGGCAGGGCCTTGGTACACTGGTGGAGGGGCTTGGACTTGGAGTCGTGACATTGAAGGTTCTCGAGATCATAGTGCAGCTTGAGCAATGACTCCCACAGTCTGTCTGCCAGGTAGACCGCCCAGCTGAGGTAGGCGTGCGCGAAGCTGGAAGAGTACAGGGCGTAGGCCCGGTAGGTGGTGGACGAAATATGAGGTGGGCACTGCGCATTGGTTATGTCGCAGCCAACCAGTGTGGACAGGGTCCTGGAATGGCCTTTGTCGTGGTTGGCGGTGGGAGGGGCGGGGCCCCGGATGTACTGGATGGCATTGAGGTCGTCGGCAGCAAGGTGGTCCCAGTCGGGGCAGTGGTCATGTGGCTTGGAGAGGGCGGAGCCTAGTTGGGACAAGTGTGGATGAGGCTTGTATAGTGAATTGCCGAAATTGTGGAAGAAAGACACAAGCTCCCCGGTGGTGCGCGGCGTCCGGCTGGTGATGCAGGTGAGGTAAGAGGTCAATGTCAGCAAGGGATCGTCGCCGCCGCAGCTGGGAGTGAGGATGGTGTGAATATGGCTGCCAGTTTCGTTAGGTGTAGGCAAATCATCCTTTGTGAATCCCATGTTGACACGGCTCTTGAGGCAGATGTTGCAGGGGTCGAAGGGATGCGTCTCGAACTTGGAGTCGGGGGCGTCCGTCAGGAAGGCCTGGAGGGGAGACATCTTGGCATCACGGCCGTACGGACAATCCTGCCAACCACCCTGCTGGCAGACTCGAGAACACTGTGACCTTAGGAACGCCAACTGGTGGCAGCAGGCGTAGACGTAGTCCCGCAGCTGGCAGAGGAGAGCGCAGCAATCAGGTTCCTTAGACGCTGAAGTTGCGGACGACGCTGACTGTCTCCACTTATGTGCAATGCCAGAGAGCACTGAGCCTGCAAAGACGGCGGCAAGCTTAATGGTGTCGATGACATTTTCGGGTCTGATGTCAGCACCGTTGACTGAGAGTCGGAGATCTGAAGCGTCATAATCTCCGCGCTTGAATGCGTTATTAATACACTTTTGCAGAGTCTCTTGATGCTTTTGATGCCGCAGTCCCGCCAGCCAAGTGAGCATCTCCCTGACTGTGCGCGGCGCCTCGGCGGGGAACAGCTCCGTCTCGGGGATATTGGTAGAGTCATGCGTAGGTTTCTGGGTAGACCAATCTGGTATACACATTGGTACAGTTTGTCGATTTATGTTATTGGTGTCGAAGTCTTTGGGGGCAGAGTACGGCGCAACTTCAAACGGTGTTAAATTGAGAGCAATGGCGGCGGTGGATGGTCCTACTGGGTCACGTGGCTGGACGCCTGGCAGAGGCGGAGGGTCGTGATCTATGTCGAAGTCATATGAGGGGTCCGCAACTGTGCGCTTGGGGACGTCGATGTGGAGATCCGTGAAAGACCTTTCATCCTCCGTAGGCTCCAATTTGAGATCGTCAGCTTCATTCGAAGTCTTATAATCCTTACGCTCGATTAGAATTTCAGGAGGAATCGGCGGCAAGCCCAGCGAATAATATGGGTCCTTTTGCTGAAAATCGAAAGACAAATCTGCAAGCTTGAAGTCGGCACTGCTGTTATCGTTGGATTCCGGAGACCATTTGTCTGCGACTTCAATGTCCACTTGAGGCTTTGGGTGGTCGTTAATATACTGGGTAATATCAGGATCCGGACGTTCGGGAATGGTATGGCTATGCGGTGGGGCATAGATATCGATGTCCAAATGGTCGACAGTTTTGGTAGAGGGAGGACCCGATATTCCGAAATCTTCGACTTTCCAAAGATCCTTTAAAAATTTTTTTTCACCCATTTCCTTATGTTGCTTGATTTCCTTTTTCTGCCTCTCTTCGATTTTTTTCATTTCAATTTGCCTATCAATATCTGCAGTGATGTCGTCGTGTATTTTTTTATAATAAGCATCTTCCATCTTCTTCTCCTCAGGGTCCACACTGTGGTCATTGGCTACCTCCACACCGTCGATGCCTCCTACTGTTACTCCGTCGAATCCAGTCTGCACTGAATTATTAAACTTGGACAGTGGTACACCGTCAACTTCCAAAGCTTCCTCAAGTAATTTGCGCTTCTGCGCCTCTTGATGGCCAGCTTGCCATTTTAGGAAGTTGCGTTTAAGTGTGGCTTTGTATATTTGATCCCCTTCGGTTTGGTCCGGTAATGGGTCATCTGGCATCTCTCTGCCATATAAAGCCGGGATAAACGTTGGCTCCCCCTGCCTGGGCCTCCCCTCCACCTGATCGTAGTAATCGCTCCTAAGAATAGGGCGGCCACCGGGAGGCCGAGGGGAAGGCCCGGGAGTAGGACGTCTAGGCTGAGTTGAAAGGGTGGGAGGAATTTGGGCTCTTTGTTTAACTTGTGATCTTTGTTGGATTTTCTCCTGTAATTTTCTATATCCTTCTCCCAGGATTTCTTTCTTTTGTAAATCCCAAATTTCGTCATCGGACATCTTAGGTACAAAGGCAGTTGGCTTAAGCGCCGTGGGCTTAGGAACACATATTTCACTTCCACCAATCAATACAGATGACATGCCACTTGAACACTGTGCCGGAGGTGCAGCCGGCAAGGGCTGAGAACCCCCAACCTGCTGCCCCTTCCCTCCCCCTCCAGCTCCACCTCCACTCCCACCTCCACTAGACGCAGGGGCACCCGACAGAGTAGCGCCGCTGCTTGTATTTTGACCGGTGCCTTGACTTGTTGGTTGAGTAACATCTTGACTACCTTGTTGCCCAGGCCCCTGGCCACCAGTTGTCCCAGCGCTTGACCCTGTAACACTCGGAGGGTTAGTAAGCGTAGGGGCTTGAGGGGCAGCGGGGCCGGGGCCTCCAGGAGCACTGGGGGTAGCTGGCGGAGGGGGAGGAACTGGCGGACCTTGAGGTGCAGGTTGATGAGGTTGTACAGTTTGCTTAGCTGATGTATCTTGAGTCGAAGAAGACGCCGGAGCTACGGGACCAGGAGGCCCTTGCTGGTCTCGATCACCTTTAGATCCTGCCGGACCTGGAGCTCCTGGATCACCGGGAGACGTATCTGAGGCAGTAGATGTTACACCTGGTGGAGGTGGAAACTTTTGTTCACCTTGACCGTTGTTCTGATTTGTTGACATCGACGTTGTAGGGCCAAGCGGCTCACCCTGATTTGGAGTTCCCTCCGTCTTCTTCCCCTGGTTCTGCGCTCCCTCACTTTTCTTGCCTTGGTTCTGTGCTCCCTCACTTTTCTTGCCCTGGTTCTGTGCTCCCTCCACCTTCTTGCCTTGGTTCTGCGCTCCCTCCGCTTTCTTCCCCTGGTTCTGTGCTCCCTCACTTTTCTTGCCTTGATCTTGATCCTCTTCAGGAACCTTGGCAGGCGGGGCCTCTGGCTTTTTAGGCGGCAGGGGATCGGGACACGATTTTCTGTAAGTTCCTTCCAAAATTTCTTTAAGCCTCTCCAAATCGCCGCCACTTCTCTGAAGCTCAGTGATTACGGTGTACAGACCCTTTGCCAAACTGTTTGCAACTCTGTCCGTTATTCCAAAGCGGGTTTGTCCACTAAATGTGAATCCGTAGGGGAAAAGATTTTTAGTGAAGTACGTACCAAGATGCTTTTCCGTATTTGCCTTAATATCTTTCAAATTCCCGCGCACGGTGGTCAAATAAGTTCTCAACCAATCCGCTGTTTTCTTAGCTAACTCCTCTTTATTAAGGTCGCTAACTTTTGTCACCTGGCCTGTGAAGTCAAAGCGTTTCTCGGCGAGCAATTTGTCAAATTGTTTTCTAAGCCTATTGCAATGTGCTCTTAAGTCTTTCCAGCAAATAGAATTGCCGGATGAGTACACGTGACTTTTAAAGCCGTCATTCAATGCGGCTATTAACTTACCACCGTTATCTTTGTCATCCTCCTCAAGAACAATGTCGCAAAAGGTTCTGACCAATACAAGAGAATTCGCGGCGTTCTCTTTACGATTGGCCGATTCTCCAATGACGGAAGTGACAAAGACGCTGCGGAAGAAATTGTAGTATCTTCTTTTGTCCACAATCTTTGCAAGGTCACTTGCCATTTCAGCGCCCTGGGGGTAGCCTCTGTGAAACACAGTTGGGTTATATCTAACCTCTCTGTACCGGAACCCCCCGGGTATCGTGCCGCCGTAGTTATCACTACTTTGAGCATGGAGGTAGTTAGCAAGATCACCTCCCCATGAATCACCCGCATTGTATCCCAGCCAATTCTTTTCCCAAGTCCCGCCGCCCAGCGTTCGGAAGGTGTTATTTACGCAGTACTCCAAATAGTACATAGCGGCGAGGAATTTAGGGACACACTCTAGAAGGGCGTCGGCAACTGTTTTTGCATCCGTAATGTTATAATTCACCGGCGTTGGGTCGTAGCATAACCTACCATAAAAGTACGACACGTGGCCGAGGAATGGGGACAGTTGGGATTGAATGTCACGCACTGGACGAAATGAGGAACTAAAATAGTTGCCAATACGGCTTTCTAGTTCTTTGGCCACCTGCTGTTGCATACCTTTACCAGGACCGTTATGCAGCCACTGCAGGAACTGGAGACACTCTTTCAGGGTGTTAAGCTGAATGTTGTGCTTCGTCATCTTGCTTACCAAGGCACTCAGCACTAAGACACTAACAAATGGGCACTAGGCTGGTGGTACAAAAGTACAAGTGAAAGCGTTTTAATGGTTAACCAGGAGACACTGAAGTGATAACACGTCTAAGGTGAAGTCACTGCTTCCAGGTTACCAAGATACTGCCAAGATGCTTGCAACGGTAGTGATTGCGGTGTTAATGGGTGACACAGTAAAGGTGTTAGTGGCGATTGGAGAGACATTTTAGAGTCGCAAGAGGGGCGTGGTGAGAGGCGTCCGCCGCCTCAGTCCACCGACAAGGTGGGATGAAGGAGGCTGCTTTGGGAGTGATGGCGAGTAAACAAACGGACAAGGGAGATGACAAAGCAGCGAGTAGGTTACGTCATAGGTCAGATGCTAGGTGAAGTTTTTGGTTACATGTTATATAAGGCGTTTGGTTAGGCAGTGAGTTTGGTGCTAGGCAAGGCACGAGATACAGTCACTATGAGAGATGTGAGATGACATGGCAACACAACACAGGGAATGTAAATGTAAATTTAGCTACAATAATTACTATCATGAGTGAAGGTCATCGTCGAAGTAGTCGACGTCTTTGTAGAGTGAGAGCATCCTGCGGCTGCCGGCGAGCAGCGCCTTGACGTCGATGAGGTGTGAGGCCCTGGTGGTGAGGAGGTGGGAGCGGATGCGCAGGACGTCCATGCGGTAGAGGAGTGAGTGGAGGATGTAGAGCGTGGCGATGAGCCAGAGTGCTGTGATGGTGTAGAGGAAGGGCGCACGGATGCGGTATAGGAACTCGTCCATGGCGGTCATGAGGCTTGCGATAGGCTTTCCGGCGACCACATCTCCCAGCTTGGTGACGGCAGCCGAACACGTGAGTGAGGACTGCACTGTCCCGTCTGGCGGCGTGATGCCGTGCTGGTAGAGCAGCGGCAGGGCCTTGGTACACTGGTGGAGGGGCTTGGACTTGGAGTCGTGACATTGAAGGTTCTCGAGATCATAGTGCAGCTTGAGCAATGACTCCCACAGTCTGTCTGCCAGGTAGACCGCCCAGCTGAGGTAGGCGTGCGCGAAGCTGGAAGAGTACAGGGCGTAGGCCCGGTAGGTGGTGGACGAAATATGAGGGGCACTGCGCATTGGTTATGTCGCAGCCAACCAGTGTGGACAGGGTCCTGGAATGGCCTTTCGTGGTTGGCGGTGGAGGGCGGGGCCCCGGATGTACTGGATGGCATTGAGGTCGTCGGCAGGTGGTCCCAGTCGGGGCAGTGGTCATGTGGCTTGGAGGGGCCTGGGGTGGGACAAGTGTGGATGAGGCTTGTATAGTGAATTGCCGAAATGTGGAAGAAAGACACAAGCCCCCGGTGCGCGTCCGGCTGGTGATGTCAGGTGAGGTAAGAGGTCAATGTCAGCAAGACGTCGCCGCCGCAGACTGGGACAAGGACTTAACGTAATACTCATCTGGCTCTTCGTATGCTTTAATGGGATCAATTATCTCCTCTGTTATAGAAACATCGTCTGCATCCATAGTCAAAGCGTCTAACGGCAAAAGAGTATCATCCTTTTGTGGTGCGGTCACAATATCAATATCGGTCGTTGGTTTATACTGCATAAGCGCATGAACGTCGGGGTCTATAGTGGGCCTCCCATCGAAACTATTAGATCCTATTGGCACTAGTTTATCTTTTTTGTGCGGCAGATCATGTATCGGAATGCCATGAATTGCAGATTCGCCTTGTAAGTCACTCACCATTCTACTTCGCAGTTTGTCAATATAGGCGTATGGAGGCCTGCTACGATGCTGGTTAAGGGGTTTTGTGTCAATTCCAATTTCCCGGTGTAATTTGCGATAATATTGATCATAGGCCTCCTGCTGTTTGCGTTGCTCATCTTGATGTTGCCGATACGCTTCTTCCGCCTTTTTAATTTCCTCCTCAACATCGGACGGAAGGTAATATTCGGACGACTTATTTGGCTTATGAATCGTAGGCTGTGTATAACACACCGACTTTCCATTCATAGACATGGATACACCATCGCACCTTTTAACATTATTAGGCGGAATCTGTGTTTGACCAACATCTTGACCACCTTGTGACCCACTCCCCTGGCCACTAGCTGACCCAGAGCTTGACCCTGAAACACTCGGAGACTGAGCAAGCACAGGGGCTCGAGGGGGAGTAGGCTGTATAGTTGGAACAACACCGCCCGGTGAACCCTGACCCCCGACACCTGGCTGACCAGGGGAGCCAGGGGGACCAGGGGATGCAGGGAGAGTAGGAGTACTCGGGGGAGTGGGAGGAATTGGCGGAGGTTGAGGTTGTACTGATTGACCTTGATCCGGCGTCAGTGGACCAGGAGGCCCTTGCTGCCCTCGATCACCTTTGGGCCCTTGCGGACTTTGACCACCAGGAGGCCCCGGCGGCCCTTTCTCTCCGGCAGCCTCCGGCTGGCCTGTAGCTCCTGGATCACCGGATGACTGAGTGTGAACAACAGACTTCACAGTTGGCAGAACTCCAAGACTAGTTCCACTTTGATTTTGATTCCCCTCAGCTTTCTTCCCCTGGTTCTGTGCTCCCTCACTTTTCTTACCCTGGTTCTGTGCTCCCTCAGATTTCTTGCCTTGGTTCTGTGCTCCCCCACTTTTCTTGCCCTGGTTCTCTGCTCCCTCCACTTTCTTGCCTTGGTTGGGAGTCCCATCAGCTTTTGGTGACACCTTGGGAACTTTCTTCTCCGGCACAACTTCCCTGGGAGATTCGGAGACCTCAGGTTCTGGAGGAGGCTCCGGTGGACACACTTCACCATCCAAAATTGTTTTAAGCCTTTCCAATCCGTCACCCTTCTGACGAAGCACATTAATTACATTGGCCCAATTCTCTTGCAAAACATTTTGCTGAGCCTTCTGTCTTTCGAAGTTATATTTGTCAAATGTGAAACCATATGGGAAGAGATATTTGTTGAAATAGTCTGTAGTATTTTTCATCGTGTTATCTGTTTTAATCTTCTCCAAATTAGCCTTCACCGTCGCCAAATTCTCTCTCAACCATTTTGCAGTTTCTTTAGCGAACTCTTTTTCGCTAAGCCTATCACGGTCCCTTTTAAAGCCTGTAAAAGAGAAGACATTCGTCTTATACATTGTGCCAAATTGTGATTGAAGCGTTTGACAATGACTTTTTAAGTCACTCCAACAAATACATTTTTTAACAGTATCACCATTTAAACTCTCATCCAATTTACTTTTTATCTGTCCGCCGCCAGTACCTTCCTTGTCCTCTGCAGCCACTATCTCGCAAAACGTTCTCACCAACGCCAGGGCGTTGGCTGTATTCGGAATATCTGTGCCGGATGTTGAGCGCAACACTGAGGTGGAGAAAACGTCGAAGAAATAATTATGTTGGCTAAAATGTTTTTGACAAATTTGTTCAAGGTCATTGGCCATAAAAGAACCCTGGCGGTAGAGACGTTTCAACTCGTTGTAACTGAATCCTCCGGGAATTACGCCATAATCTTTAGAACCTGATGAAGCAGTGAGATATTTCTGTATCTCAGTGGCCGCATATTGGCTATAAACAACCATCTGGTCCTTCCACTTCCCTCCACCCAGCGCACTGAACTTATCGTCCACCTGATACCTCAAAAAGTACATCACTGCTAAGAACTTGGGAATGCAGTCAAGCAGAGTGTTGAGGACATTTTTAGTTGTATTTGGATTATTTGTGCTCTGCTTTGCAGATTTGCATAATGTAGTGTGAAATTTGTTCACGTTAGTGAGGAATTGGGACAGCGCGGATTCAATTGGAGGTTGACTAACATTCTTATACCTCTTCTCGAGGAGCCTAGCAAGGCGACTGGCGATCAAACCTTTCATAATGATACCCTGTTTGTCACTATGCAACCACTCCAGGAACATGAGACACTCCTTAAGGGTGTCTAACTTGACACCGTGCCCCTCCATCTTGCTTACCAAATCAAAGAGCACAGAGACGCTAACAAATGGGCGCTAGACTAATGGCACAGAAATACACGCGGAAGCGTTTTGATGGTTAACAAGGAGACACTAAAGCGATAACACCTCCAAGGTGATGTCACTGCTGCCAGTTTACCAAGACACTACCAAGATGCTTGCAACGGTAGTGATTGCGGTGTTAATGGGTGACACAGTAAAGGTGTTAGTGGCGATTGGAGAGACATTTTAGAGTCGCAAGAGGGGCGTGGTGAGAGGCGTCCGCCGCCTCAGTCCACCGACAAGGTGGGATGAAGGAGGCTGCTTTGGGAGTGATGGCGAGTAAACAAACGGACAAGGGAGATGACAAAGCAGCGAGTAGGTTACGTCATAGGTCAGATGCTAGGTGAAGTTTTTGGTTACATGTTATATAAGGCGTTTGGTTAGGCAGTGAGTTTGGTGCTAGGCAAGGCACGAGATACAGTCACGATGAGAGACATGAGATGACACGGCAACACAAGGAATGTAAGCGTAATGTAGCTACGGTAATTACTGTCATGAGTGAAAGTCATCGTCAAAGTAGTCGACGTCCTTGTAGAGTGAGAGCATTCTCCTGCTGGTGGAGAGCAAAGCCTTGACGTCGATGAGGTGGGAGGCCCTGGTGGTGAGTAGGTGGGAGCGAATGCGCAGGACGTCCATGCGGTAGAGGAGTGAGTGGAGGATGTAGAGTGTTGCGATGAGCCAAAGTGCTGTGATGGTGTAGAGGAAGGGCGCACGGATGCCGTAGAGGAATGTGTCCATGGCGGTCATGAGGCTTGCGATAGGCTTTCCGGCGACCACATCTCCCAGCTTGGTGACGGCAGCCGAACACGTGAGTGAGGACTGCACTGTCCCGTCTGGCGGCGTGATGCCGTGAGAGTAGAGCAGCGGCAGGGCCTTGGTACACTGGTGGAGGGGCTTGGACTTGGAGTCGTGACATTGAAGGTTCTCGAGATCATAGTGAAGCTTGAGCAGTGAGTCCCACAGTCTGTCTGCCAGGTACACCGCCCAGCTGAGGTAGTGGTGGGCGAAGCTCGGGGAGTATACGGCGTAGGCCCGGTAGGTGATGGGCTTCATGAGTTGTGAGCACTTGGAATCATCGATGCCGCAGCCAAGCAGCGTGGACAGGGTATTGGGATGATCATTGTCGCGGTGGATGGAGTTGGGAGTGGCGGAGCCCCGTACGCCCTTGACGGCATTGAAGTCGGCGTCGCCAAGGATGTCCCAGTCGGGGCAGTCGTCATGTGGCTTGGAGAGGGCGGAGCCCAGTGGAGACATCTGTGAAGATGGTAAGTACAGCGAATTCCCGAAATTGTGGAAGAAGGAAACAATCTCCCCGGTAGTGCGCGGCGTCCGCCTGGTGAGGCAGTTGAGGTAAGAGGACAATGTCAGCAGGGGATCGTCGCCGCCGCAGCTGGGAGTGAGGATGGTGTGAATATGGCTGCCAGTTTCGTTAGGTGTAGGCAAATCATCCTTTGTGAATCCCATCATGACACGGCTCTTGAGGCAGATGTTGCAGGGGTCGAAGGGATGAGTGTCGAACTTGGAGTCGGGGGCGTCAGTCAGGAAGGCCTGAAGTGGGGACTTGGGAGATGATACATTAACACCATATTGACAATGCTGCCAACCGCCATCAGATGCCTTCCGAGAACACTGTGACTTAAGGAATGTCAACTGGTGATAGCAGGCGTAGGCGTAGGCGTAGGCCCGCAGCTGGCAGAGGAGGCAGGCGGGGTCGATGGAATAATAAAGCTTGGAATATTCTGAGCTGAAGTCAAGGGTTGAAACAGCTGTCGAAATGTCTTTATACCTAATCCTGTGGAGAACGCTGGCAGAGTAGAGACACGCCTGTGTCAGAGTGTTGGAGATATGGGAAGCGGTCAGCTGAGTGGGATCCCCAGTGACCTCGAGGGCATCTGAGAGCTGTGAGGCATCCTCGTTAAGCTCCCTCAAAAGGTCTTCAATATGCTTTTTAATAATCGCAACATACCCATATTGATTCAATCCAACCATCCAGTGGAGCATTTCCCTGACGGTGTCTGGCGGGGGCAGATGGTCCGTGTCTGGGGGCGGGGAGAGGGGTGGAGTGACGGTAGTGGTGGAGGAATCGGGGACGTACCAGGGGTTTTGGCATTGATAGACATCCGGCGTTGTGTTGAGATCAAACTTCTTCAGAAATTCCGCAGCGCCTGGATTTATCACATTATCATGTTCATCCACGCTGACAGTGAATGCGTCCGCAGCTTTACCTGGCAACGACATCATGGAAATGGCAGGCTCAATCCACTCCATAGGTGGTACGGTAGTCCGAGACGGTGGTTTCGTGAAGCCTTGTGTTGCTGTGGGTGGCGCTTCAATTTGCGCGTCGAACGCAATCTCAGTTTTGTGCCGCTTTTCGATTTCTAATTCGATTGGAGGGTGAGCGGGATTTAATAACATAGTGTCCGCAACAGGCTGCCCTGTGAGTTCCTGTTTAACAGATACCGCCAAATTACTATCTCCAGTAAGTTGAGCTATTGGAATTTTTATTACTTCGCTAGCGACGTGTGTCAAGTCTGCAATATCATGGTCCTTAAGCGTTACTGCGAGAGGCAATTTACTAACAGTGTCATCACGCTGCCAGGGCAGGTTCAAGGCTGAGAGCGGTGGCAAGGGATGGGCTGTGTTAGTAGCAGTGGTGGGAGAACCCATGACATCAAGCATTGACTCCGTCATAATACGTGAGTCTGGTGATATTTCGATGCTTGGAATTTTGACGTCAGCGGTCGGCGGCGTCTTAGGCGATTTGAAGGCTGGGGAGGTGACACGGGACGGTTTCTTTTGGGGTTGGGGATGGTCCATGCGTCTATCAGAGATGGCGGCGGATGAGTGTCCACCTTGTGAGGTGGGGAACTGCTATATCACTGCCAGTGGACTTTGTCAGGATTACTTCAGAGACCCTAGATATTTTGTCATGTCTTCCGTGTCAACTTTGACAGGCTTAGGGGATACTGCTCCACAGGCTCAGGCGGCTTGAGAGCTGGGGGCGGTGGCAACGGATCTTCTAATGCTGTGTGGGTGATAGGCTGGCCTGTGACGTCCAGCATATCTTTTGGTGCCGACAGAGTTTTTGGAGCTCTCGGCAATTTCGGCGGCTCTATTGCGTGGCCCATCGGGACACCAACAGGGGGGACTGGCAGAAGGGGCTTGGCACGCTTGCGGGTTGGCAAAACCTTATCACCCACGACTATACTTGAATTCGGCTGTAGCTGTTTGTGAGCATCTGTTTCCGCCTGGCCGTGGTTTGGAGTCTGTTTCACGGGTCTCCCTACCAGGGCGGCAGGCTCTGAGATTGGAGTGCCTGACATGAACACCGAATCGGCATCATTACTATTAGGATTATTGTTAATATCATCTTGAATTGTTTGCAGAAATTGAATATTACGCCTTATAGATCTCTCCTCCGCCTCCTTTTGTTTCTGCGCTACAAGGGCGGAGACGTCCGGCAAAGCGTTCCCATCCATCGCATCGCTAACATTAAAGCCCTCAACGGACAACAATTGCGCCTGCTGCATTTGACGCATTTCACTGTCATATTGATCATACATCTGCTGACGCCTGCGTTCCCAAGCCTCTTCCGCCTGGCGTCTGTCCTCTTCCTCCTTTTTGCGATACGCTACATCCGCTTTTTTAATCTTCTCCTCAACATCGGACGGAAGGTAAAGGGTGGATGGCCTAGTTGGCTTAGGAATCGTAGGCTGCCTATAACACACTGACTTTCCATTCATAGACATGGATACACCATCACACTTTTTAACATTATTAGACGGAGTCTGTGTTTGACCAACACTGTGCCCACCACCTGGTGGCCCGGCTCCTCCACCACCATGTTGGCCAGTCCCCTGGACACCATCTGACCCAGTGTTTGAACCTGAGACACTCGGAGTCTGAGTAAGAACATCTTGTGGAGATGAAGTAGTCCGTGTACCTGGAGTAACACTGTCTGTTGAAATTGGACCCGGGCCCCCTGGCTGAATAGGGATGGCAGGGTCTCCAGGAGCACTGGAGGCAACAAGTGGAGGTTGTTGGGAATGACGCTGGGAATCATTTTGAGATTGTGCGTGTTGAGACTGAGTAGACACCGTATGCCCTGGAACACTGCTTCTCTGTGCGCCCCTGGCTCCTGAAGCACCTCGAGGCCCTGAGTGGTGTCTTCCATTTCTTGTGGTCCCCCGTGCCTTTCCACTGTTTTGCCCCCCTCCTCTACTGTGAGCCCCCGATCCCCCTCCTCTATTATTATTCCCCCTCCCTCTTGTATTTCCTCCTCTAGCACCAGAACCATGACTCCCACGAGACAACGAACCCCCAAGATGCCTTGCACCGGTTGTCATTCCAGCCGAAGTTCTGGAAGCCCCTGGTGGTGCAGGTCTTGCAGGCCTCGGGGGCCTGGGCGCAGGCGCCGGCCTGGGGCGCGGTTTTGGGGGCGGAGCCGGCGTACGGCACTCCTCACCATCCAAAAGCGTTTTCAACATGTCCAAACCATCACCATTTTTGCCCAGCATACCTATGACACTGTCCCAATGATCTGACAACTTCTTCCACGCGTCTCCCAGCGTTCCATATCGTCCTTTACCAAATATAAAACCGTAGGGGAATATGTTTTTGGTTGCAAATGGCCGAAGAGCAGTCAAATATAGAGTGTCGTCGACTGGGAAATTTGTATTTATTTGTTTCACATTCTGTTGAACTTCGTGCAAATGTTGTCTAAACCATTTTGCTGTCTCCTCTGCAAATTTCTCAGTGTTAAGCTCCTTAACACGCCGCGCCTGGCCGGTGAAGGAAAAGCCTTCGATATTGAACAACTTGCCAAGTTGCTGCTCAAGAGTTTTGCAATGCTGTTTTAATTCTTCCCAATCTATGCATTTTTTGCTACTTTTAAGCTCCTTTTCCAAAGCTGCTTTCAAGCTTCCACCATCAGGGTTCTTTTCCGCAATTACGATTTGGCAAAACGTTTTCACCAATGCAAGAACGTTCGCAGTGTTCGATTTCTGTAAGCCGGATTTAGAAATGACTGTTGTAAAAAATACGTCCCGGAAATAATTGTACTTATCATTATGTTTGTACAAAATCTTCTGTAGGTCATCTACCATGCTCTCACCGTACCAGTAACCATAGCGAGAACCATAGTCATAACCATACGTCACCTCTCCGGGGCCGAATCCACCTGGAATAACGTCGAACTGATAAGATCCGGACGCCCTGAGATAATTCTGCAGTTCACCACCCCACTCTCTATCCCACAGATATCTCACCCAAGTAGTCTCCCACCCAGGATAATTATACCTCCACTTCCCTCCTCCCACTGCTTCGAACCATCTATCCACATTGTAGAGCAAAAAATACAAAGCGGCGAGGAACTTGGGCATACACTCTAGAAGGGCGTGGACGATTTGTTCTGCGTTTATTGTGCCATATTGTCCGGCAGCTGGAACTTTGCATAATCTCGTATAGAACGTGGACACGTTCCAGAGGAATTCGGAGACAGCATGTGGCAGTTGGCCCGTAAACAAAATACGATTATAAGAATTTCCATAACGCGTCACCAGTTCTCTGGCCACCTTGTCTTGCATCTTTTTTCCTCCCCCCGCTATGCAACCACTGCAGGAACTCAAAGCAGTCCCTGAGGGTGCTTAACCTGACTCCATGCTTCTCCATCTTGCTTACCAAAGCACTAAGCACAGAGGCACTAATAAATTGGCACTAGGATACTGCTATAAAAAGACAAGTGAAAGCGTTGAAATGGGTGAACTAGGAGACACTGAAGTAATAACACCTCTGAGGTGACGTCACTGCTTCCAGTTAACCAAGATACTGCCAAGATGGTTGCGATGGATTCAATTGCGGTGTTATTAGGTGACACAGTGACCATGTTAGTGGTGATTGGTAACCTATTTTAGAGCTGCAAGAGGGGCGTGGTGAGAGGCGTCCGCAGCCTGAATCCACCGACAAGGTGGGATGAAGGAGGCTATTTTGGGAGTGACGGCAAGGCGACAAACGGCAAGGGAGACGACAAAGCAGCGAGTAGGTTGCATCATAGGTTAGGTGCTAGGTGAGCCATTTGGTTAGGTGCTAGGTAAGCCATTTGGTTACATGTTAGGTAAGCCGTTTGGTTAGTGAGTAAGGTGGTAGGCAAGGCACGAGATAGTCACGATGAAAGACATGAGATGACACGGCAACACTGAGAGAGGGATGTGAATGTAATGTAGCTGAGATAATTACTATGATGAGTGAAAGTCGTCGTCGAAGTAATCGACGTCCTTGTAGAGTGATAGCATCCTGCGGCTGCCGGCGAGCAGCGCCTTGACGTCGATGAGGTGGGAGGCCCTGGTGGTGAGGAGGTGCGAGCGGATGCGTAGGACGTCGATGCGGTAGAGGAGTGAGTGGAGGATGTAGAGCGTGGCGGTGAGCCAGAGTGCGACGATGGTGAAGAGGAAGGGCTCCCGGATGCCGTAAAGGAAAAGGTCCATGGCGGTCATGAGGCTTGCGATAGGCTGTCCGGCGACCACTGCCTCCAACTTGGCGATGAACTGTGAACACGTGAGTGAAGGCTGCAGTGTCCCGTCCGGCGGGGTGAGGCCGTGAATGTAGAGGAGGGGCAGCGCCTTGTCACACTGGTGGAGGGGCTTGGGCTTGGCGGCGTGACATTGAAGTTCCTCGAGATCACAGTGCAGCTTGGTCAGTGACTCCCACAGTCTGTCGGGCAGATAGACAGTCCAGCTGAGGTAGGTATGGGCGAAGGTCGGAGAGTACAGGGCGTAGGCCCGGTAGGTGATGGTCTTCATGAGTTGTGGGCAGTCGACATTATCGATGCCGCAGCCAATTATTGCGGACAGGGTCTTGGGATGGTCCTTGTCGTGGTTGGAGGTGGGAGGGGCGGGGCCCCGGATGTACTGGATGGCATTGAGGTCGTCGGCAGCAAGGTGGTCCCAGTCGGGGCAGTGGTCATGTGGCTTGGAGAGGGCGGAGCCCAGTGGAGACACCTTTGAAGGTGCATTGTGCAGTTCATTCCCGAAATGGTGGAAGAATGAGACAAGCTCCCCGGTGGTGCGCGGCGTCTGCCTGGTGAGACAGTTGAGGTAAGAGGTCAATGTCAGCAAGGGATCGTCGCCGCCGCAGCTGGGAGTGAGGATGGTGTGAATATGGCTGCCAGTTTCGTTAGGTGTAGGCAAATCACTGTGCTTGAATCCCATGTTGACACGGCTCTTGCGGCAGATGTTGCACGAGTCGAAGGGATGAGTCTGGAACTTGGAGTCGGGGCCGTCAGTCAGGAAGGCCTGGAGGGGGGACGGAATTTTGGCACCATTTCCATACTTATAATCCTGCCAGCCACCATCAGATTCCCCTCGAGAACACTGTGACCTCAGGAACGCCAGCTGGTGATAGCAGGCGTAGACGTAGTCCCGCAGCTGGCAGAGGAGGCAGGCGGGGTCCGAGGCATAATAAAGCTTGGAATATTCTGAGCTGAAATCAGGGACTGAAACAGCCTTCGAATTGTCCTTGTGTTTAATCTTGTGGAGAACGTTGGCCGAGTAGAGACACGCCTCAGTCAGGGTACCGGCGACATGGGAAGCGGTCAGCTGAGTGGGATCCCCAGTGACCTCGAGGGCATCTGAGAGCTGTGAGGCATCCTCGTTAAGCTCCCTCAAAAGGTCTTCAATATGCTTTTTAATAATCGCAACATACCCATATTGATTCAATCCAACCATCCAGTGGAGCATTTCCCTGACGGTGTCTGGCGGGGGCAGATGGTCCGTGTCTGGGGGCGGGGAGAGGGGTGGAGTGACGGTAGTGGTAAAGGAATCGGAAACGTACCAGGGGTTTTGGCATTGATAGACATCCGGCGTTGTGTTGAGATCAAACTTCTTCAGAAATTCCGCAGCGCCTGGATTTATCACATTATCATGTTCATCCACGCTGACAGTGAATGCGTCCGCAGCTTTACCTGGCAACGACATCATGGAAATGGCAGGCTCAATCCACTCCATAGGTGGTACGGTAGTCCGAGACGGTGGTTTCGTGAAGCCTTGTGTTGCTGTGGGTGGCGCTTCAATTTGCGCGTCGAACGCAATCTCAGTTTTGTGCCGCTTTTCGATTTCTAATTCGATTGGAGGGTGAGCGGGATTTAATAACATAGTGTCCGCAACAGGCTGCCCTGTGAGTTCCTGTTTAACAGATACCGCCAAATTACTATCTCCAGTAAGTTGAGCTATTGGAATTTTTATTACTTCGCTAGCGACGTGTGTCAAGTCTGCAATATCATGGTCCTTAAGCGTTACTGCGAGAGGCAATTTACTAACAGTGTCATCACGCTGCCAGGGCAGGTTCAAGGCTGAGAGCGGTGGCAAGGGATGGGCTGTGTTAGTAGCAGTGGTGGGAGAACCCATGACATCAAGCATTGACTCCGTCATAATACGTGAGTCTGGTGATATTTCGATGCTTGGAATTTTGACGTCAGCGGTCGGCGGCGTCTTAGGCGATTTGAAGGCTGGGGGAGGTGACACGGGACGGTTTCTTTTGGGGTTGGGGATGGTCCATGCGTCTATCAGAGATGGCGGCGGATGAGTGTCCACCTTGTGAGGTGGGGGAACTGCTATATCACTGCCAGTGGACTTTGTCAGGATTACTTCAGAGACCCCTAGATATTTTGTCATGTCTTCCGTGTCAACTTTGACAGGCTTAGGGGATACTGCTCCACAGGCTCAGGCGGCTTGAGAGCTGGGGGCGGCAACGGATCTTCTAATGCTGTGTGGGTGATAGGCTGGCCTGTGACGTCCAGCATATCTTTTGGTGCCGACAGAGTTTTTGGAGCTCTCGGCAATTTCGGCGGCTCTATTGCGTGGCCCATCGGGACACCAACAGGGGGGACTGGCAGAAGGGGCTTGGCACGCTTGCGGGTTGGCAAAACCTTATCACCCACGACTATACTTGAATTCGGCTGTAGCTGTTTGTGAGCATCTGTTTCCGCCTGGCCGTGGTTTGGAGTCTGTTTCACGGGTCTCCCTACCAGGGCGGCAGGCTCTGAGATTGGAGTGCCTGACATGAACACCGAATCGGCATCATTACTATTAGGATTATTGTTAATATCATCTTGAATTGTTTGCAGAAATTGAATATTACGCCTTATAGATCTCTCCTCCGCCTCCTTTTGTTTCTGCGCTACAAGGGCGGAGACGTCCGGCAAAGCGTTCCCATCCATCGCATCGCTAACATTAAAGCCCTCAACGGACAACAATTGCGCCTGCTGCATTTGACGCATTTCACTGTCATATTGATCATACATCTGCTGACGCCTGCGTTCCCAAGCCTCTTCCGCCTGGCGTCTGTCCTCTTCCTCCTTTTTGCGATACGCTACATCCGCTTTTTTAATCTTCTCCTCAACATCGGACGGAAGGTAAAGGGTGGATGGCCTAGTTGGCTTAGGAATCGTAGGCTGCCTATAACACACTGACTTTCCATTCATAGACATGGATACACCATCACACTTTTTAACATTATTAGACGGAGTCTGTGTTTGACCAACACTGTGCCCACCACCTGGTGGCCCGGCTCCTCCACCACCATGTTGGCCAGTCCCCTGGACACCATCTGACCCAGTGTTTGAACCTGAGACACTCGGAGTCTGAGTAAGAACATCTTGTGGAGATGAAGTAGTCCGTGTACCTGGAGTAACACTGTCTGTTGAAATTGGACCCGGGCCCCCTGGCTGAATAGGGATGGCAGGGTCTCCAGGAGCACTGGAGGCAACAAGTGGAGGTTGTTGGGAATGACGCTGGGAATCATTTTGAGATTGTAAGGGTTGGGGCTTAGTAGATCCCGTATGCCCTGGAACACTGCTTCTCTGTGCGCCCCTGGCTCCTGAAGCACCTCGAGGCCCTGAGTGGTGTCTTCCATTTCTTGTGGTCCCCGTGCCTTTCCACTGTTTTGCCCCCCTCCTCTAACTTGGATCATGCTTCTACGGTTATGCCCTCCCACTCCTCTAGCACCAGAACCCTGACTCCCACGAGACAACGAACCCCAAGATGCCTTGCACCGGTTGTCATTCCAGCCGAAGTTCTGGAAGCCCCTTGTGTAGGCGCAGGTCTGGCAGGCCTCGGGGCCTGGGCGCAGGCGCCGGCCTAGGTCGGGGTTTGGGAGGGGGAGCCGGCGGACGGCACCGTCCACCATCCAGAATTCTTTTTAACTCCGCTAAGCCGCCACCATTTTTGCCAAGCATATCTATGACACCGGGCCAATGATCTGACAACGTCTTCCACGCGTCTCCCAGCGTTCCATATCTGTCTTTACCAAATATAAAACCGTAGGGGAATATGTTTTTGGTTGCAAATTGCTGAAGATAATTCAAATGTCGAGTGTTGTCGACTGGGAATTTTGTATCTATTTGTTTCACATTATGTTGAACTTCGTGCAAATTATTTCTAAACCATTCCGCTGTCTCCCCCGCAAATGTATCAGTGTTAAGCTCATCAACACGCCGCGCCTGGCCGGTGAAGGAAAAGCCTTCGATATTGAACAACTTGCCAAGTTGCTGCTCAAGAGTTTTGCAATGCTGTTTTAATTCTTCCCAATCTATGCATTTTTTGCTACTTTTAAGCTCCTTTTCCAAAGCTGCTTTCAAGCTTCCACCATCAGGGTTCTTTTCCGCAATTACGATTTGGCAAAACGTTTTCACCAATGCAAGAACGTTCGCAGTGTTCGATTTCTGTAAGCCGGATTTAGAAATGACTGTTGTAAAAAATACGTCCGGAAATAATTGTACTTATCATTATGTTTGTACAAAATCTTCTGTAGGTCATCTACCATGCTCTCACCGTACCAGTAACCATAGCGAGAACCATAGTCATAACCATACGTCACCTCTCCGGGGCCGAATCCACCTGGAATAACGTCGAACTGATAAGATCCGGACGCCCTGAGATAATTCTGCAGTTCACCACCCCACTCTCTATCCCACAGATATCTCACCCAAGTAGTCTCCCACCCAGGATAATTATACCTCCACTTCCCTCCTCCCACTGCTTCGAACCATCTATCCACATTGTAGAGCAAAAAATACAAAGCGGCGAGGAACTTGGGCATACACTCTAGAAGGGCGTGGACGATTTGTTCTGCGTTTATTGTGCCATATTGTCCGGCAGCTGGAACTTTGCATAATCTCGTATAGAACGTGGACACGTTCCAGAGGAATTCGGAGACAGCATGTGGCAGTTGGCCCGTAAACAAAATACGATTATAAGAATTTCCATAACGCGTCACCAGTTCTCTGGCCACCTTGTCTTGCATCTTTTTTCCTCCCCCGCTATGCAACCACTGCAGGAACTCAAAGCAGTCCCTGAGGGTGCTTAACCTGACTCCATGCTTCTCCATCTTGCTTACCAAAGCACTAAGCACAGAGGCACTAATAAATTGGCACTAGGATACTGCTATAAAAGACAAGTGAAAGCGTTGAAATGGGTGAACTAGGAGACACTGAAGTAATAACACCTCTGAGGTGAGGTCACTGCTTCCAGTTAACCAAGATACTGCCAAGATGGTTGCGATGGATTCAATTGCGGTGTTATTAGGTGACACAGTGACCATGTTAGTGGTGATTGGTAACCTATTTTAGAGCTGCAAGAGGGGCGTGGTGAGAGGCGTCCGCAGCCTGAATCCACCGACAAGGTGGGATGAAGGAGGCTATTTTGGGAGTGACGGCAAGGCGACAAACGGCAAGGGAGACGACAAAGCAGCGAGTAGGTTGCATCATAGGTTAGGTGCTAGGTGAGCCATTTGGTTAGGTGCTAGGTAAGCCATTTGGTTACATGTTAGGTAAGCCGTTTGGTTAGTGAGTAAGGTGGTAGGCAAGGCACGAGATAGTCACGATGAAAGACATGAGATGACACGGCAACACTGAGAGAGGGATGTGAATGTAATGTAGCTGAGATAATTACTATGATGAGTGAAAGTCGTCGTCGAAGTAATCGACGTCCTTGTAGAGTGATAGCATCCTGCGGCTGCCGGCGAGCAGCGCCTTGACGTCGATGAGGTGGGAGGCCCTGGTGGTGAGGAGGTGCGAGCGGATGCGTAGGACGTCGATGCGGTAGAGGAGTGAGTGGAGGATGTAGAGCGTGGCGGTGAGCCAGAGTGCGACGATGGTGAAGAGGAAGGGCTCCCGGATGCCGTAAAGGAAAAGGTCCATGGCGGTCATGAGGCTTGCGATAGGCTGTCCGGCGACCACTGCCTCCAACTTGGCGATGAACTGTGAACACGTGAGTGAAGGCTGCAGTGTCCCGTCCGGCGGGGTGAGGCCGTGAGTGTAGAGGAGGGGCAGCGCCTTGTCACACTGGTGGAGGGGCTTGGGCTTGGCGGCGTGACATTGAAGTTCCTCGAGATCACAGTGCAGCTTGGTCAGTGACTCCCACAGTCTGTCGGGCAGATAGACAGTCCAGCTGAGGTAGGTATGGGCGAAGGTCGGAGAGTACAGGGCGTAGGCCCGGTAGGTGATGGTCTTCATGAGTTGTGGGCAGTCGACATTATCGATGCCGCAGCCAATTATTGCGGACAGGGTCTTGGGATGGTCCTTGTCGTGGTTGGAGGTGGGAGGGGCGGGGCCCCGGATGTACTGGATGGCATTGAGGTCGTCGGCAGCAAGGTGGTCCCAGTCGGGGCAGTGTCGATGTGGCTCGGAGAGGGCGGAGCCCAGTGGAGACAACTTGAGAGACACATCATGAAGCTCATTCCCGAAATTGTGGAAGAACGAGGCAAGCTCCCCGGCGGTGCGCGGCGTCCGCCTGGTGATGCAGTTGAGGTAAGAGCACAGCGTCAGCAGGGATCCTCGCCGCCGCAGGTGGGAGTGAGGATGGTGAGAAGAATGTTGCCAGTTTGCTGAGATACAGGCAAATCACTGTGCTTGAATCCCATGTTGACACGGCTCTTGCGGCAGATGTTGCACGAGTCGAAGGGATGAGTCTGGAACTTGGAGTCGGGGCCGTCAGTCAGGAAGGCCTGGAGGGGACGGAATTTTGGCACCATTTCCATACTTATAATCCTGCCAGCCACCATCAGATTCCCCTCGAGAACACTGTGACCTCAGGAACGCCAGCTGGTGATAGCAGGCGTAGACGTAGTCCCGCAGCTGGCAGAGGAGGCAGGCGGGGTCCGAGGCATAATAAAGCTTGGAATATTCTGAGCTGAAGTCAAGGGTTGAAACAGCTGTCGAAATGTCTTTATACCTAATCCTGTGGAGAACGCTGGCAGAGTAGAGACACGCCTGTGTCAGAGTGTTGGAGATATGGGAAGCGGTCAGCTGAGTGGGATCCCCAGTGACCTCGAGGGCATCTGAGAGCTGTGAGGCATCCTCGTTAAGCTCCCTCAAAAGGTCTTCAATATGCTTTTTAATAATCGCAACATACCCATATTGATTCAATCCAACCATCCAGTGGAGCATTTCCCTGACTGTGTTGGGCACGGGCAGGTGGTCGGAGTTTGGGGGCGGGGAGGGGGGTGGAGTGACGGTAGTGGAGGAGGAATCGGAAACGTACCAGGGGTTGCGGCATTGATAGGGATCAGCAAAAACTGCAATGTCCTGGATAGTTGGCAAGTGTGGTCCATCAGGTGGGACACCAAGATACATATCATCCGGCATGGCTGGAGGAAGCGCAACCGATGGTAGGGGCACACTTCTCCGCTCATCATTCTGGTAAAGTAGTTCGGGATAGTATGTTTTTTTAATGTCTAATTCAATGGGTAGAGGCGGCGGTGCGGGTTCTAACTCCACTGGGGGCATAGAGACAGATTGTGCATTGCGGTCTGCAATAGGCTCCCCTTCGAGCGGAACAGTTGGAAACCTTTTTAGCCTAGGGTCTTCTGGTACCTCCGCAGCTGGGATGCTTATGGGTGAGCTTGTTACTTCGTCACCAGCAACTTCCAACATTTTGGAAAGGTAATTGTCGTCAATGTGCGCTGTTGGAATGGATCGGGTAGTGACGGGATGACTCTTCAGAGGATGCTTGTATTTAGGTAAAACAATATTTTTCGGTGTATCATGAAATGTTGGACGTATTTTCTTGGGTTGCGGCTTTGGAAGAGGCTGAGCGGGTTTCGTCGGCTCTATTGGGTGGCCCATCGGGACACCAACAGGGGGGACTGGCAGAAGGGGCTTGGCACGCTTGCGGGTTGGCAAAACCTTATCACCCACGACTATACTTGAATTCGGCTGTAGCTGTTTGTGAGCATCTGTTTCCGCCTGGCCGTGGTTTGGAGTCTGTTTCACGGGTCTCCCTACCAGGGCGGCAGGCTCTGAGATTGGAGTGCCTGACATGAACACCGAATCGGCATCATTACTATTAGGATTATTGTTAATATCATCTTGAATTGTTTGCAGAAATTGAATATTACGCCTTATAGATCTCTCCTCCGCCTCCTTTTGTTTCTGCGCTACAAGGGCGGAGACGTCCGGCAAAGCGTTCCCATCCATCGCATCGCTAACATTAAAGCCCTCAACGGACAACAATTGCGCCTGCTGTATTTGACGCAATTCACTCTCATATTGATCATACATCTGCTGACGCCTCCTATCCCTCTCCTCTTTCATTTTGCGCTGTTCCTCTTCTTCCTTTTTGCGATACGCTACATCCGCTTTTTTAATCTTCTCCTCAACATCGGACGGAAGGTAAAGGGTGGATGGCCTAGTTGGCTTAGGAATCGTAGGCTGCCTATAACACACTGACTTTCCATTCATAGACATGGATACACCATCACACTTTTTAACATTATTAGACGGAGTCTGTGTTTGACCAACACTGTGCCCACCACCTGGTGGCCCGGCTCCTCCACCACCATGTTGGCCAGTCCCCTGGACACCATCTGACCCAGTGTTTGAACCTGAGACACTCGGAGTCTGAGTAAGAACATCTTGTGGAGATGAAGTAGTCCGTGTACCTGGAGTAACACTGTCTGTTGAAATTGGACCCGGGCCCCCTGGCTGAATAGGGATGGCAGGGTCTCCAGGAGCACTGGAGGCAACAAGTGGAGGTTGTTGGGAATGACGCTGGGAATCATTTTGAGATTGTAAGGGTTGGGGCTTAGTAGATCCCGTATGCCCTGGAACACTGCTTCTCTGTGCGCCCCTGGCTCCTGAAGCACCTCGAGGCCCTGAGTGGTGTCTTCCATTTCTTGTGGTCCCCCGTGCCTTTCCACTGTTTTGCCCCCCTCCTCTAACTTGGATCATGCTTCTACGGTTATGCCCTCCCACTCCTCTAGCACCAGAACCCTGACTCCCACGAGACAACGAACCCCCAAGATGCCTTGCACCGGTTGTCATTCCAGCCGAAGTTCTGGAAGCCCCTTGTGTAGGCGCAGGTCTGGCAGGCCTCGGGGGCCTGGGCGCAGGCGCCGGCCTAGGTCGGGGTTTGGGAGGGGGAGCCGGCGGACGGCACCGTCCACCATCCAGAATTCTTTTTAACTCCGCTAAGCCGCCACCATTTTTGCCAAGCATATCTATGACACCGGGCCAATGATCTGACAACGTCTTCCACGCGTCTCCCAGCGTTCCATATCTGTCTTTACCAAATATAAAACCGTAGGGGAATATGTTTTTGGTTGCAAATTGCTGAAGATAATTCAAATGTCGAGTGTTGTCGACTGGGAATTTTGTATCTATTTGTTTCACATTATGTTGAACTTCGTGCAAATTATTTCTAAACCATTCCGCTGTCTCCCCCGCAAATGTATCAGTGTTAAGCTCATCAACACGCCGCGCCTGGCCGGTGAAGGAAAAGCCTTCGATATTGAACAACTTGCCAAGTTGCTGCTCAAGAGTTTTGCAATGCTGTTTTAATTCTTCCCAATCTATGCATTTTTTGCTACTTTTAAGCTCCTTTTCCAAAGCTGCTTTCAAGCTTCCACCATCAGGGTTCTTTTCCGCAATTACGATTTGGCAAAACGTTTTCACCAATGCAAGAACGTTCGCAGTGTTCGATTTCTGTAAGCCGGATTTAGAAATGACTGTTGTAAAAAATACGTCCCGGAAATAATTGTACTTATCATTATGTTTGTACAAAATCTTCTGTAGGTCATCTACCATGCTCTCACCGTACCAGTAACCATAGCGAGAACCATAGTCATAACCATACGTCACCTCTCCGGGGCCGAATCCACCTGGAATAACGTCGAACTGATAAGATCCGGACGCCCTGAGATAATTCTGCAGTTCACCACCCCACTCTCTATCCCACAGATATCTCACCCAAGTAGTCTCCCACCCAGGATAATTATACCTCCACTTCCCTCCTCCCACTGCTTCGAACCATCTATCCACATTGTAGAGCAAAAAATACAAAGCGGCGAGGAACTTGGGCATACACTCTAGAAGGGCGTGGACGATTTGTTCTGCGTTTATTGTGCCATATTGTCCGGCAGCTGGAACTTTGCATAATCTCGTATAGAACGTGGACACGTTCCAGAGGAATTCGGAGACAGCATGTGGCAGTTGGCCCGTAAACAAAATACGATTATAAGAATTTCCATAACGCGTCACCAGTTCTCTGGCCACCTTGTCTTGCATCTTTTTTCCTCCCCCGCTATGCAACCACTGCAGGAACTCAAAGCAGTCCCTGAGGGTGCTTAACCTGACTCCATGCTTCTCCATCTTGCTTACCAAAGCACTAAGCACAGAGGCACTAATAAATTGGCACTAGGATACTGCTATAAAAGACAAGTGAAAGCGTTGAAATGGGTGAACTAGGAGACACTGAAGTAATAACACCTCTGAGGTGACGTCACTGCTTCCAGTTAACCAAGATACTGCCAAGATGGTTGCGATGGATTCAATTGCGGTGTTATTAGGTGACACAGTGACCATGTTAGTGGTGATTGGTAACCTATTTTAGAGCTGCAAGAGGGGCGTGGTGAGAGGCGTCCGCAGCCTGAATCCACCGACAAGGTGGGATGAAGGAGGCTATTTTGGGAGTGACGGCAAGGCGACAAACGGCAAGGGAGACGACAAAGCAGCGAGTAGGTTGCATCATAGGTTAGGTGCTAGGTGAGCCATTTGGTTAGGTGCTAGGTAAGCCATTTGGTTACATGTTAGGTAAGCCGTTTGGTTAGTGAGTAAGGTGGTAGGCAAGGCACGAGATAGTCACGATGAAAGACATGAGATGACACGGCAACACTGAGAGAGGGATGTGAATGTAATGTAGCTGAGATAATTACTATGATGAGTGAAAGTCGTCGTCGAAGTAATCGACGTCCTTGTAGAGTGATAGCATCCTGCGGCTGCCGGCGAGCAGCGCCTTGACGTCGATGAGGTGGGAGGCCCTGGTGGTGAGGAGGTGCGAGCGGATGCGTAGGACGTCGATGCGGTAGAGGAGTGAGTGGAGGATGTAGAGCGTGGCGGTGAGCCAGAGTGCGACGATGGTGAAGAGGAAGGGCTCCCGGATGCCGTAAAGGAAAAGGTCCATGGCGGTCATGAGGCTTGCGATAGGCTGTCCGGCGACCACTGCCTCCAACTTGGCGATGAACTGTGAACACGTGAGTGAAGGCTGCAGTGTCCCGTCCGGCGGGGTGAGGCCGTGAGTGTAGAGAGGAGGCAGCGCCTTGTCACACTGGTGGAGGGCTTGGGCTTGGCGGCGTGACATTGAAGTTCCTCGAGATCACAGTGCAGCTTGGTCAGTGACTCCCACAGTCTGTCGGGCAGATAGACAGTCCAGCTGAGGTAGGTATGGGCGAAGGTCGGAGAGTACAGGGCGTAGGCCCGGTAGGTGATGGTCTTCATGAGTTGTGGGCAGTCGACATTATCGATGCCGCAGCCAATTATTGCGGACAGGGTCTTGGGATGGTCCTTGTCGTGGTTGGAGGTGGGAGGGGCGGGGCCCCGGATGTACTGGATGGCATTGAGGTCGTCGGCAGCAAGGTGGTCCCAGTCGGGGCAGTGTCGATGTGGCTCGGAGAGGGCGGAGCCCAGTGGAGACAACTTGAGAGACATCATGAAGCTCATTCCCGAAATTGTGGAAGAACGAGGCAAGCTCCCCGGCGGTGCGCGGCGTCCGCCTGGTGATGCAGTTGAGGTAAGAGCACAGCGTCAGCAGGGGATCCTCGCCGCCGCAGGTGGGAGTGAGGATGGTGAGAAGAATGTTGCCAGTTTGCTGAGATACAGGCAAATCACTGTGCTTGAATCCCATGTTGACACGGCTCTTGCGGCAGATGTTGCACGAGTCGAAGGGATGAGTCTGGAACTTGGAGTCGGGGCCGTCAGTCAGGAAGGCCTGGAGGGGGGACGGAATTTTGGCACCATTTCCATACTTATAATCCTGCCAGCCACCATCAGATTCCCCTCGAGAACACTGTGACCTCAGGAACGCCAGCTGGTGATAGCAGGCGTAGACGTAGTCCCGCAGCTGGCAGAGGAGGCGGGCGGGGTCCGAGGCATAATAAAGCTTGGAATATTCTGAGCTGAAGTCAAGGGTTGAAACAGCTGTCGAAATGTCTTTATACCTAATCCTGTGGAGAACGCTGGCAGAGTAGAGACACGCCTGTGTCAGAGTGTTGGAGATATGGGAAGCGGTCAGCTGAGTGGGATCCCCAGTGACCTCGAGGGCATCTGAGAGCTGTGAGGCATCCTCGTTAAGCTCCCTCAAAAGGTCTTCAATATGCTTTTTAATAATCGCAACATACCCATATTGATTCAATCCAACCATCCAGTGGAGCATTTCCCTGACGGTGTCTGGCGGGGGCAGATGGTCCGTGTCTGGGGGCGGGGAGGGTGGAGTTATGGTAGTGGTAAAGGAATCGGAAACGTACCAGGGGTTGCGGCATACTCCGGAGTCAGGGAACACAGGAATGTTGTGGTCATATGGCTTCCTTGGAGTATCGCGGGGAATACCAGGATCATGATCCCCATCGGATTTTAAAAATGATGGAGTAAATTCGAGGTTTAAATTACTCTTGGGCAGGGCAGAAAATCCTTTGTCTTCACCATATTGCTGTGCCGAAGTTTTCAACTCGTCTCGCACGATATCCTCCATATTGGCATAAGGGTCATCATACGGGTTGTCGACAGGGTCTTGAACAATGGGCTTGCGGACATCAATGTGGAGGTCGACATAATCTTGTTTGGCATCAGATTGGCGATCAATTTTTTCGAATACCAGTCCATCGTCTTTCACGTCAGAATACGGATCTATGCCTATAAGTGCGCTCTCCACTGCGTCTGGATGCGGTTGTACAACTTCGATGTCCCAGTCGTATTGGTCACCAGTTGGCGGCGGCACTGGGTCATCTGTCTCAGGAGGCGGCGAATCAATGACTGATCCTGACAGTGACAAAGCTTTGGGTGCTAACGGGTCCGGATACTCCGGATCCGGAAGTGGCATCGACGTATGTATGTAAGGTACGACGACGTGCCCAAGGTCGTCGTCCTGAAACTCCTGGTGTATCCAGTCATCCTTAAGTTGATTCCATACTTTATGCTGCGTATCTCTTAAGTTCCTTTGAAATTTCGCTTGCTCTTTTTTTGCAGTCTCCTTCACCCATTGTTCCGCCAATTTCCATTCATTTCTATGCTTTAGCTCCCATTCAATTCCGGGGTCACGCAATGCTTCATTGGAAACGTCCTTGCCATCGAGGACAAGCACGTCAGAGGAATCCGCATCATAATGCGGCCGTCCATTCAAATCTTTCGGAATGTAATACTGTCGGCGTCCTATATTTGAACGCTGGGCATTTTGTTTTCTTTCTCTCTCTTGCTGCTTTTGCTCAGCGTTCTGCAGCGCACGGTCCAAGGATACCCGTAAACCTTCAATATCCCTATTCTTCTTCTCTAGTTGCCGTCTACCATACTCATCCAACTGATTTTTGAGTTTAACCGTAGCAGGATCCAGCTGATCACTCCCACCTCCACCAGGCTGCGAGGCACCCGACGTAGTAGTGTTGCCGCTTGGCGTTTGACCAGAGTCGTGACTTGTTCGTTGAGTAATTTGTTGACCAGCCCCTCCACTGCCAACTTTCCCAGCCCCCTGACCACCAGTTGGCCCAGTGCCTGAACTTGTAACACTCGGAGGCTGAGGAGGCCCCTTGACTTGAGGGGAACCAGGCTGTGAACCTGAAGAAGCATCTTCCGGCGAACCCTGAACCGGGGGACCTGGCTGACTAGTGGACTCAGGGATGCCAGGGCCTCCAGGAAGAGGGGGAGGAGGCGGGGGAGGACCAGACTGGAGATCATTTTGAGATTGTGTGTGTTGGGGCTTAGTAGATGCCGTACGCCCTGCACTTCTGCCTCTATGTGTTCCCCTGGCACCTGGAGCGCCTACAGCACCTCGAGGCCCCGGGCCTCCTCTGTCTCTCTGAGCCCCCGGTCCCGCTCCCCTGTTTTGCCCCCTTCCTCTAACTTGGATCATGCTTCTACGGTTATGCCCTCCCACTCCTCTCGCACCAGAACCATAATTCCCACTAGACAACGAACCTCCAAGACTGCTTGGGCCGGTTGTCCTTACAACCGAAGTTCTGGAAGCCCCTTGTGTAGGCACAGGTCTGCCAGTCCTCGAAGGCCTGGGCGCAGGCGCCGGCCTGGGTCGTGATTTTGGAGGCGGAGCCGACGGACGGCACGGCTCACCATCTAGAATTCTTTTTAACTTATCCAAGCCGTCGCGATCTTTGCCAAGCATATCTATGACACTGTCCCAATGATCTGACAGCGTCTTCCACGCGTCGCCCATCGTTCCATAGCCTTGGTCACCAAATATAAAACCGTAGGGGAATATGTTTTCTGTTGCAAATGGCTGAAGATAATACAAATGTAGAGTGTCGTCGACTGGGAACCTTGTTTTTATGTGTTTCACATTCTTTTGAACTTCGTGCAAATTATTTCTAAACCATACCGCTGTCTCCCCCGCAAATGTATCAGTGTTAAGCTCATTAACACTCCGCGCCTGGCCGGTGAAGGAAAAGCCTTCGATATTGAACAACTTTCCAAGTTGCTGCTCGAGAGTTTTGCAATGCTGTTTTAATTCTTGCCAATCTATACATTTGTCTTTTAACTCCCTTTCCAAAGCTTTTGTCAACTTACCGACGTCAGAGTTCTTTACCGAAATTACGATTTGGCAAAACGTTCTCACCAATGCAAGAACGTTCGCAGTGTTCGATTTCTGTAAGCCGGATTTAGAAATGACTGTTGTAAAAAATACGTCCCGGAAATAATTGTACTTATCATTATGTTTGTACAAAATCTTCTGTAGGTCATCTACCATGCTCTCACCGTACCAGTAACCATAGCGAGAACCATAGTCATAACCATACGTCACCTCTCCGGGGCCGAATCCACCTGGTATGATGTCACCGTATTTAACGCTCTGTGACACCCTGAGATAATTCTGCAGTTCACCACCCCACTCTCTATCCCACAGATATCTCACCCAAGTAGTCTCCCACCCAGGATAATTATACCTCCACTTCCCTCCTCCCACTGCTTCGAACCATCTATCCACATTGTAGAGCAAAAAATACAAAGCGGCGAGGAACTTGGGCATACACTCTAGAAGCGCATCGGTGACATCGTTTGCTCTCGGATTGACATAACTTTTCTCAATTGGTGTAGCTACTAATTTCTTATAGAACGTGGACGCGCGTTCGAGGAATTCGGAGACATCAGCTGGCAGCTTGCCCGTAAACAAAATACGATTATAAGAATTTCCATAACGTCTAACCAGTTCTGTGGCCACCCGGTGTTGCATACGACTATCATCATGCAACCACTGCAGGAACTCAAAGCAGTCCCTGAGTGTGCCAAGCGGAACTCCGTGCTTATCCATCTTAGTTACAAAGGCACTCAGCACAGAGACACTAATAAATGGGAACTCGGCTAATGGCACAAAAGTACAAGTGAAAGCGTTTTAATGGTTAACCAGGAGACACTAAGGCAATAAAGCCTCTGAGGTGACATCACTGCTTCCAGGTACCAAGACACTGCAAAGATGCTTGCAACGCTTTTAATTGAGATGTCTAGATTATGCTAACGCTTCGTGTTTTATGAGGTTGTGCGTAGTTTTCCTGTTTCATAAAGTTGTGCGTAGTTTTCCTTAGCCAATATAATCGGTATTGCAATATTGTCATCATCCTCACTGATCCACTTTTTCAACTCCACAACATGGCTGTCCAGCGTCTTACTAACTTGCTCAAGCTGAGCTAAGACGTTCCCAACCAAGGCTTCAAGTTGTTGACGAACTCTATACTTTCCTCGCGAATTAGTGAGTTGATGTGGTCTCGGACAGTGTTGAAAGCGTGGTTGATAAAGGCGTCGCAGGTGAGGGATGAGTGACGACGGCAGTGAGCAGCGTGGCGTGACATGTGGTCAAAAAGCTAGTGGTGGAAGTGGATTGCGCTATTAATAGATGACTCAGTGAAGGGGTTAGTGGCGATTAGTATGTTATTTTAGAGGGGTGCGGTAGAAGGTGTCCGCAGCCTCAGTCCACCGACAAGGTGGGATGAAGGACGTTATTTTGGGAGTGGCGGCAAGGCAACAAACGGCAGGGAACAAGACAAAGCAGCGAGTAGGTCACATGCTTGGTTAGGTGCTAGGTGAGACGTTTGGTTAGGTGCTAGGTAAGCCATTTGGTTACATGTTAGGTAAGCCGTTTGGTTAGTGAGTTAGGTGGTAGGCAAGGCACGAGATACAGTCACCATGAGAGATGACATGGCAACACAACACAGGGAATGTAAATGTAAATTTAGCTACAATAATTACTATCATGAGTGAAGGTCATCGTCGAAGTAGTCGACGTCTTTGTAGAGTGAGAGCATCCTGCGGCTGCCGGCGAGCAGCGCCTTGACGTCGATGAGGTGTGAGGCCCTGGTGGTGAGGAGGTGGGAGCGGATGCGCAGGACGTCCATGCGGTAGAGGAGTGAGTGGAGGATGTAGAGCGTGGCGATGAGCCAGAGTGCTGTGATGGTGTAGAGGAAGGGCGCACGGATGCGGTATAGGAACTCGTCCATGGCGGTCATGAGGCTTGCGATAGGCTTTCCGGCGACCACATCTCCCAGCTTGGTGACGGCAGCCGAACACGTGAGTGAGGACTGCACTGTCCCGTCTGGCGGCGTGATGCCGTGAGAGTAGAGCAGCGGCAGGGCCTTGGTACACTGGTGGAGGGGCTTGGACTTGGAGTCGTGACATTGAAGGTTCTCGAGATCATAGTGCAGCTTGAGCAATGACTCCCACAGTCTGTCTGCCAGGTAGACCGCCCAGCTGAGGTAGGCGTGCGCGAAGCTGGAAGAGTACAGGGCGTAGGCCCGGTAGGTGGTGGACGAAACATGCGGTGGGCACTGTGCATTGGTGATGCCACAGCCAAGTAGCGTGGACAGGGTCTTGGGATGGTCCTTGTCGTGGATGTGGTTGGAGGTGGGAGTGGCGGAGCCCCGTGCGTCCCTGATAGCTTGGAGGTCGTCGGCAGCAAGGTGGTCCCAGTCGGGGCAGTGAGGATGTGGCTTGGAGAGGGCGGAGCCTAGTTGGGACAAGTGTGGATGAGGCTTGTATAGTGAATTGCCGAAATTGTGGAAGAAAGACACAAGCTCCCCGGTGGTGCGCGGCGTCCGGCTGGTGATGCAGGTGAGGTAAGAGGTCAATGTCAGCAAGGGATCGTCGCCGCCGCAGCTGGGAGTGAGGATGGTGTGAATATGGCTGCCAGTTTCGTTAGGTGTAGGCAAATCATCCTTTGTGAATCCCATGTTGACACGGCTCTTGAGGCAGATGTTGCAGGGGTCGAAGGGATGCGTCTCGAACTTGGAGTCCGAGGCGTCAGTCAGGAAGTCCTGGAGGGGGGACTTGGGAGATGATACATCACTGCCGTAATGACGATCCTGCCAACCGCCATCCTTGGTGTTACGATTACACTGTGACCTTAGGAACGCCAACTGGTGGCAGCAGGCGTAGACGTAGTCCCGCAGCTGGCAGAGGAGGCAGGCGGGGTCGATGGAATAATAAAGCTTGGAATATTCTGAGCTGAAGTCAAGGGTTGAAACAGCTGTCGAAATGTCTTTATACCTAATCCTGTGGAGAACGCTGGCAGAGTAGAGACACGCCTGTGTCAGAGTGTTGGAGATATGGGAAGCGGTCAGCTGAGTGGGATCCCCAGTGACCTCGAGGGCATCTGAGAGCTGTGAGGCATCCTCGTTAAGCTCCCTCAAAAGGTCTTCAATATGCTTTTTAATAATCGCAACATACCCATATTGATTCAATCCAACCATCCAGTGGAGCATTTCCCTGACGGTGTCTGGCGGGGGCAGATGGTCCGTGTCTGGGGGCGGGGAGGGAGTTGGAGTGAGTTACGTGCTAGGTCAGCCATTTGGTCAGGTGCTTGGTCAGCCATTTGGTCATGTACTAGGTTAGCCTCTTGGTTAAGCAGTGAGTTAGGTGGTAGGCAAGGCACTGGATACAGTCACCATGAAAGACGTGAGATGACACGGCAACACAAAGAGAGGAATGTGAATGTGAGTGTAGCTGCAATACTTACTGTCACGAGTGAAAGTCGTCGTCGAAGTAGTCGACGTCCTTGTAGAGTGAGAGCATCCTGCGGCTGCCGGCGAGCAGCGCCTTGACGTCGATGAGGTGTGAGGCCCTGGTGGTGAGGTGGGAGCGGATGCGCAGAACGTCGATGCGGTAGAGGAGTGAGTGGGCGATGTAGAGCGTGGCGATGAGCCAGAGCGTTGTGATGGCAAAGAGGAAGGGAGCACGGATGCCGATGAGGAAATTGTCCATGCAGGTAATAAGGTCTGCGATAGGCTTTCCGGAGACCACTGCCTCCAACTTAGCGCTGACCTTGGAACAGGAGATTCGTGATTGTAGTGTCCCTTCTGGTGCAGTGAACCCGTGAGTGTAGAGGAGGGGCAGGGCTTCGGGGCACTGGTGGAGTGATAAACACTTGGTACCATAATGCTTCTTCATGTCTATACTCAGCTTTTCCAGCGACTCCCAGAGTCTGTCAGATAGGTAGGCCACCCAGCTGAGGTAGTGGTGGACGAACGCCGTGGAGTACAGGGCGTAGGCCCGATAGGTGATGGGCTTCATATGCTGTGGGCAGTTCACATTAGTGATGCCGCAGCCAAGCAATGTGGACAGTGTCTTGGGATGGCCATTGTTGTGGTTGGAGTTGGGAGTACCGGAGCCCCGGACGTCCTTGATTGCATTGAGGTCGGCGTCACCAAGGCGGTCCCAGTCGGGGCAGTCGTCATGTGACTTGGAGAGGGCAGAGCCCAGCCTGGATAACTGTGAAGATGCTTGCAGCTCATTCCCGAAATTGTGGAAGAAGGAGACAAGCTCCCCGGTGGTGCGCGGCGTCCGCCTGGTGAGGCAGTTGAGATAAGAACATAATATAAGCAAAGGGTCGTCGCCGCCGCAGCTGGGAGTGAGGATGGTGTGAATATGGCTGCCAGTTTCGTTAGGTGTAGGCAAATCATCCTTTGTGAATCCCATGTTGACACGGCTCTTGAGGCAGATGTTGCAGGGGTCGAAGGGATGCGTCTCGAACTTGGAGTCGGGGGCGTCCGTCAGGAAGGCCTGGAGGGGAGACATCTTGGCATCACGGCCGTACGGACAATCCTGCCAACCACCCTGCTGGCAGACTCGAGAACACTGTGACCTTAGGAACGCCAACTGGTGGTAGCAGGCGTAGACGTAGTCCCGCAGATGGCAGAGGAGGCAGGCGGGGTCGGTGGAATAACGAAACTTGGAATATTCTGAGCTGAAGTCAGGCATTGGGACAACTTTCGAATTGTCCTTGTGTTTAATCCTGTATAGAACGTTCGCCGCGTAGTGACACGCCTCAGTCAGGGTACCGGCGACATGGGAAGCTTCCAGAGTGTATGGTTTCTCAGTGATGTCAAGGGCAGCTGAAGTCTGTGAGACATCCTTGTTAAACTCCTTCAAAATGCTCTTAACGTACTCAATAATGATCCCAATATATCCCAGTTCAGTCAAGCCCACAAGCCAGTGGAGCATTTCCCTGACGGTCTTGGGAGGGGGCAGATGGGCAGAGGCAGGGAGAGGGGAGGGGGGTGGAGTGACGGTAGTGAGTTAGGTGCTACGTCAGCCATTTGGTCACGTGCTAGGTGAGGCGTTTGGCTAGGCAGTGAGTTAGGTGGTATGCAAGGCACGAGGCACAGTGACGATGAGAGACGCGACATGACACGGCAACACAACACAAGGAATGTGGATGTAGCTACGATAAATACAATCATGAGTGAGAGTCATCGTCGAAGTAATCGACGTCACGGTAGAGTGAGAGCATCCTGCGGCTGCCGGCGAGCAGCGCCTTGACGTCGATGAGGTGTGAGGCCCTGGTGGTGAGGAGGTGGGAGCGGATGCGCAGGACGTCCATGCGGTACAGTAGTGAGTGGGCGATGTAGAGAGTGGCGATGAGCCAGAGTGTGCCGACGGTGTAGAGGAAGGGCATCCGTATGCCGTGGAGGAAATCGTCCATGGCAGTCATGAGGCTTGCGATAGGCTTTCCTGAGACCACTTCCTCCAGATTGGTGATGACCTTGGAACACTTGAGTGACGGCTGCAGTGTCCCTTCTGGTGGAGTGAACCCGTGAGAGTAGAGGAGGGGCAGGGCCTTAGGACACTGTTGGAGAGATAAGCACTTGGAGTCGTGACATTGAAGGTTCTCGAGATCACAGCGCAACTTGAGCAGCGAGTCCCAGAGTCTGTCAGGTAGGTGGACCACCCAGCTGAGGTAGTGGTGGGCGAAGCTGGAAGAGTACAGGGCGTAGGCCCGGTAGTTGATGGGCTTCATATGCTGTGGGCACTGGGCATTGGTGATGTCGCAGCCAAGTAGAGAGGATAGTGTGTTGGGATGGTCCTTGTCGTGGTTGTGGTTGGAGTTGGGAGGGGCGGAGCCCCTGGCGTCCTTGATGACTTGGAGGTCGGAGTCCTTGAGACGGTCCCAGTCGGGGCAGTGGCCATGCTGACTGGAGAGGACGGAACCCAGCTTGGACAAGTCTGAAGATCCATTGTGCAGCTCATTCCCGAAATTGTGGAAGAACGAGACAAGCTCCCCGGCGGTGCGCGGCGTTCGCCTGGTGAGGCAGTTGAGGTAAGAGCACAGCGTCAGCAGGGGATCCTCGCCGCCGCAGGTGGGAGTGAGGATGGTGAGAAGAATGTTGCCAGTTTGCTGAGATACAGGCAAATCACTGTGCTTGAATCCCATGTTGACACGGCTCTTGCGGCAGATGTTGCACGAGTCGAAGGGATGAGTCTGGAACTTGGAGTCGGGGCCGTCAGTCAGGAAGGCCTGGAGGGGGGACGGAATTTTGGCACCATTTCCATACTTATAATCCTGCCAGCCACCATCAGATTCCCCTCGAGAACACTGTGACCTCAGGAACGCCAGCTGGTGATAGCAGGCGTAGACGTAGTCCCGCAGCTGGCAGAGGAGGCGGGCGGGGTCCGAGGCATAATAAAGCTTGGAATATTCTGAGCTGAAGTCAAGGGTTGAAACAGCTGTCGAAATGTCTTTATACCTAATCCTGTGGAGAACGCTGGCAGAGTAGAGACACGCCTGTGTCAGAGTGTTGGAGATATGGGAAGCGGTCAGCTGAGTGGGATCCCCAGTGACCTCGAGGGCATCTGAGAGCTGTGAGGCATCCTCGTTAAGCTCCCTCAAAAGGTCTTCAATATGCTTTTTAATAATCGCAACATACCCATATTGATTCAATCCAACCATCCAGTGGAGCATTTCCCTGACGGTGTCTGGCGGGGGCAGATGGTCCGTGTCTGGGGGCGGGGAGGGGGGTGGAGTTATGGTAGTGGTAAAGGAATCGGAAACGTACCAGGGGTTGCGGCATACTCCGGAGTCAGGGAACACAGGAATGTTGTGGTCATATGGCTTCCTTGGAGTATCGCGGGGAATACCAGGATCATGATCCCCATCGGATTTTAAAAATGATGGAGTAAATTCGAGGTTTAAATTACTCTTGGGCAGGGCAGAAAATCCTTTGTCTTCACCATATTGCTGTGCCGAAGTTTTCAACTCGTCTCGCACGATATCCTCCATATTGGCATAAGGGTCATCATACGGGTTGTCGACAGGGTCTTGAACAATGGGCTTGCGGACATCAATGTGGAGGTCGACATAATCTTGTTTGGCATCAGATTGGCGATCAATTTTTTCGAATACCAGTCCATCGTCTTTCACGTCAGAATACGGATCTATGCCTATAAGTGCGCTCTCCACTGCGTCTGGATGCGGTTGTACAACTTCGATGTCCCAGTCGTATTGGTCACCAGTTGGCGGCGGCACTGGGTCATCTGTCTCAGGAGGCGGCGAATCAATGACTGATCCTGACAGTGACAAAGCTTTGGGTGCTAACGGGTCCGGATACTCCGGATCCGGAAGTGGCATCGACGTATGTATGTAAGGTACGACGACGTGCCCAAGGTCGTCGTCCTGAAACTCCTGGTGTATCCAGTCATCCTTAAGTTGATTCCATACTTTATGCTGCGTATCTCTTAAGTTCCTTTGAAATTTCGCTTGCTCTTTTTTTTGCAGTCTCCTTCACCCATTGTTCCGCCAATTTCCATTCATTTCTATGCTTTAGCTCCCATTCAATTCCGGGTCACGCAATGCTTCATTGGAAACGTCCTTGCCATCGAGGACAAGCACGTCAGAGGAATCCGCATCATAATGCGGCCGTCCATTCAAATCTTTCGGAATGTAATACTGTCGGCGTCCTATATTTGAACGCTGGGCATTTTGTTTTCTTTCTCTCTCTTGCTGCTTTTGCTCAGCGTTCTGCAGCGCACGGTCCAAGGATACCCGTAAACCTTCAATATCCCTATTCTTCTTCTCTAGTTGCCGTCTACCATACTCATCCAACTGATTTTTGAGTTTAACCGTAGCAGGATCCAGCTGATCACTCCCACCTCCACCAGGCTGCGAGGCACCCGACGTAGTAGTGTTGCCGCTTGGCGTTTGACCAGAGTCGTGACTTGTTCGTTGAGTAATTTGTTGACCAGCCCCTCCACTGCCAACTTTCCCAGCCCCCTGACCACCAGTTGGCCCAGTGCCTGAACTTGTAACACTCGGAGGCTGAGGAGGCCCCTTGACTTGAGGGGAACCAGGCTGTGAACCTGAAGAAGCATCTTCCGGCGAACCCTGAACCGGGGGACCTGGCTGACTAGTGGACTCAGGGATGCCAGGGCCTCCAGGAAGAGGGGGAGGAGGCGGGGGAGGACCAGACTGGAGATCATTTTGAGATTGTGTGTGTTGGGGCTTAGTAGATGCCGTACGCCCTGCACTTCTGCCTCTATGTGTTCCCCTGGCACCTGGAGCGCCTACAGCACCTCGAGGCCCCGGGCCTCCTCTGTCTCTCTGAGCCCCCGGTCCCGCTCCCCTGTTTGCCCCTTCCTCTAACTTGGATCATGCTTCTACGGTTATGCCCTCCCACTCCTCTCACCAGAACCATAATTCCCACTAGACAACGAACCTCCAAGACTGCTTGGGCCGGTTGTCCTTACAACCGAAGTTCTGGAAGCCCCTTGTGTAGGCACAGGTCTGCCAGTCCTCGAAGGCCTGGGCGCAGGCGCCGGCCTGGGTCGTGATTTTGGAGGCGGAGCCGACGGACGGCACGGCTCACCATCTAGAATTCTTTTAACTTATCCAAGCCGTCGCGATCTTTGCCAAGCATATCTATGACACTGTCCCAATGATCTGACAGCGTCTTCCACGCGTCGCCCATCGTTCCATAGCCTTGGTCACCAAATATAAAACCGTAGGGGAATATGTTTTCTGTTGCAAATGGCTGAAGATAATACAAATGTAGAGTGTCGTCGACTGGGAACCTTGTTTTTATGTGTTTCACATTCTTTTGAACTTCGTGCAAATTATTTCTAAACCATACCGCTGTCTCCCCCGCAAATGTATCAGTGTTAAGCTCATTAACACTCCGCGCCTGGCCGGTGAAGGAAAAGCCTTCGATATTGAACAACTTTCCAAGTTGCTGCTCGAGTTTTGCAATGCTGTTTTAATTCTTGCCAATCTATACATTTGTCTTTTAACTCCCTTTCCAAAGCTTTTGTCAACTTACCGACGTCAGAGTTCTTTACCGAAATTACGATTTGGCAAAACGTTCTCACCAATGCAAGAACGTTCGCAGTGTTCGATTTCTGTAAGCCGGTTTAGAAATGACTGTTGTAAAAAATACGTCCCGGAAATAATTGTACTTATCATTATGTTTGTACAAAATCTTCTGTAGGTCATCTACCATGCTCTCACCGTACCAGTAACCATAGCGAGAACCATAGTCATAACCATACGTCACCTCTCCGGGGCCGAATCCACCTGGTATGATGTCACCGTATTTAACGCTCTGTGACACCCTGAGATAATTCTGCAGTTCACCACCACTCTCTATCCCACAGATATCTCACCCAAGTAGTCTCCCACCCAGGATAATTATACCTCCACTTCCCTCCTCCCACTGCTTCGAACCATCTATCCACATTGTAGAGCAAAAAATACAAAGCGGCGAGGAACTTGGGCATACACTCTAGAAGCGCATCGGTGACATCGTTTGCTCTCAGTTGACATAACTTTTCTCAATTGGTGTAGCTACTAATTTCTTATAGAACGTGGACGCGCGTTCGAGGAATTCGGAGACATCAGCTGGCAGCTTGCCCGTAAACAAAATACGATTATAAGAATTTCCATAACGTCTAACCAGTTCTGTGGCCACCCGGTGTTGCATACGACTATCATCATGCAACCACTGCAGGAACTCAAAGCAGTCCCTGAGTGTGCCAAGCGGAACTCCGTGCTTATCCATCTTAGTTACAAAGGCACTCAGCACAGAGACACTAATAAATGGGAACTCGGCTAATGGCACAAAAGTACAAGTGAAAGCGTTTTAATGGTTAACCAGGAGACACTAAGGCAATAAAGCCTCTGAGGTGACATCACTGCTTCCAGGTACCAAGACACTGCAAAGATGCTTGCAACGCTTTTAATTGAGATGTCTAGATTATGCTAACGCTTCGTGTTTTATGAGGTTGTGCGTAGTTTCCTGTTTCATAAAGTTGTGCGTAGTTTTCCTTAGCCAATATAATCGGTATTGCAATATTGTCATCATCCTCACTGATCCACTTTTCAACTCCACAACATGGCTGTCCAGCGTCTTACTAACTTGCTCAAGCTGAGCTAAGACGTTCCCAACCAAGGCTTCAAGTTGTTGACGAACTCTATACTTTCCTCGCGAATTAGTGAGTTGATGTGGTCTCGGACAGTGTTGAAAGCGTGGTTGATAAAGGCGTCGCAGGTGAGGATGAGTGACGACGGCAGTGAGCAGCGTGGCGTGACATGTGGTCAAAAGCTAGTGGTGGAAGTGGATTGCGCTATTAATAGATGACTCAGTGAAGGGTTAGTGGCGATTAGTATGTTATTTTAGAGGGTGCGGTAGAAGGTGTCCACAGCCTCAGTCCACCGACAAGGTGGGATGAAGGACGTTATTTTGGGAGTGGCAGCAAGGCAACAAACGGCAGGAACAAGACAAAGCGAGTAGGTCACATGCTTGGTTAGGTGCTAGGTGAGACGTTTGGTTAGGTGCTAGGTAAGCCATTTGGTTACATGTTAGGTAAGCCGTTTGGTTAGTGAGTTAGGTGGTAGGCAAGGCACGAGATACAGTCACCATGAGAAGATGACATGGCAACACAACACAGGGAATGTAAATGTAGCTACAATAGTTACTATCATGAGTGAAGGTCATCGTCGAAGTAGTCGACGTCTTTGTAGAGTGAGAGCATCCTGCGGCTGCCGGCGAGCAGCGCCTTGACGTCGATGAGGTGTGAGGCCCTGGTGGTGAGGTGGGAGCGGATGCGCAGGACGTCCATGCGGTAGAGGAGTGAGTGGAGGATGTAGAGCGTGGCGATGAGCCAGAGTGCTGTGATGGTGTAGAGGAAGGGCGCACGGATGCGGTATAGGAACTCGTCCATGGCGGTCATGAGGTCTTGCGATAGGCTTTCCGGCGACCACATCTCCCAGCCTGACGGCAGACCGAACACGTGAGTGAGACTGCACTGTCCCGTCTGGCGGCGTGATGCCGTGAGAGTAGAGCAGGGCAGGGCCTTGGTACACTGGTGGAGGGATTGGACTTGGAGTCGTGACATTGAAGGTTCTCGAGATCATAGTGCAGCTTGAGCAGCTCCCACAGTCTGTCTGCCAGGTAGACCGCCCAGCTGAGGTAGTGCGCGAAGCTGGAAGAGTACAGGGCGTAGGCCCGGTAGGTGATGTGCGAAACATGCGGTGGGCACTGTGCATTGGTGATGCCACAGCCAAGTAGCGTGGACAGTGTCTTGGGATGGTCCTTGTCGTGGATGTGGTTGGAGGTGGGAGTGGCGGAGCCCCGTGCGTCCCTGATTGCTTGGAGGTCGTCGGCAGCAAGGTGGTCCCAGTCGGGGCAGTGAGGATGTGGCTTGGAGAGGGGAGCCCAGTTGGACAAGTGTGGATGAGGCTTGTATAGTGAATTGCCGAAATTGTGGAAGAAAGACACAAGCTCCCCGGTGGTGCGCGGCGTCCGGCTGGTGATGCAGGTGAGGTAAGAGGTCAATGTCAGCAAGGGATCGTCGCCGCCGCAGCTGGGAGTGAGGATGGTGTGAATATGGCTGCCAGTTTCGTTAGGTGTAGGCAAATCATCCTTTGTGAATCCCATGTTGACACGGCTCTTGAGGCAGATGTTGCAGGGGTCGAAGGGATGCGTCTCGAACTTGGAGTCGGGCGTCAGTCAGGAAGGCCTGGAGGGACTTGGGAGATGATACATCACTGCCGTAATGACGATCCTGCCAACCGCCATCCTTGGTGTTACGATTACACTGTGACCTTAGGAACGCCAACTGGTGGTAGCAGGCGTAGACGTAGTCCCGCAGATGGCAGAGGAGGCAGGCGGGGTCGGTGGAATAACGAAACTTGGAATATTCTGAGCTGAAGTCAGGCATTGGGACAACTTTCGAATTGTCCTTGTGTTTAATCCTGTATAGAACGTTCGCCGCGTAGTGACACGCCTGTGTCAGAGTGTTGGAGATATGGGAAGCGGTCAGCTGAGTGTGGGTTCCCCAGTGACCTCGAGGGCATCTGAGTCTGTGAGGCATCCTCGTTAAGCTCCCTCAAAATGTCTTCAATATACTCAATAATAATCGCAATATACCCATATTGATTCAATCCCACCATCCAGTGGAGCATTTCCCTGACGGTGTCTGGCGGGGGCAGATGGTCAGTGTCTGGGGGAGGGGAGGGAGTTGGAGTGACGTGCTAGGTCAGCCATTTGGTCAGGTGCTACGTCAGCCATTTGGTCATGTACTAGGTTAGCCTCTTGGTTAAGCAGTGAGTTAGGTGGTAGGCAAGGCACTGGATACAGTGACCATGAGAGACGTGAGATGACACGGCAACACAACAGAAGGAATGTGTGATGTAGCTGCATAAATACACGAGTGAAAGTCGTCGTCGAAGTAGTCGACGTCACGGTAGAGTGAGAGCATCCTGCGGCTGCCGGCGAGCAGCGCCTTGACGTCGATGAGGTGTGAGGCCCTGGTGGTGAGGTGGGAGCGGATGCGCAGGACGTCCATGCGGTACAGTAGTGAGTGGGCGATGTAGAGCGTGGCGATGAGCCAGAGCGTGTGATGACAAAGAGAGGGAAGGGCACGGTATGCCGTGGAGGAAATCGTCCATGGCAGTCATGAGGCTTGCGATAGGCTTTCCTGAGACCACTTCCTCCAGATTGGTGATGACCTTGGAACACTTGAGTGACGGCTGCAGTGTCCCTTCTGGTGGAGTGAACCCGTGAGAGTAGAGGAGGGGCAGGGCCTTAGGACACTGTTGGAGAGATAAGCACTTGGAGTCGTGACATTGAAGGTTCTCGAGATCACAGCGCAACTTGAGCAGCGAGTCCCAGAGTCTGTCAGGTAGGTGGACCACCCAGCTGAGGTAGTGGTGGGCGAAGCTGGAAGAGTACAGGGCGTAGGCCCGGTAGTTGATGGGCTTCATATGCTGTGGGCACTGGGCATTGGTGATGTCGCAGCCAAGTAGAGAGGATAGTGTGTTGGGATGGTCCTTGTCGTGGTTGTGGTTGGAGTTGGGAGGGGCGGAGCCCCTGGCGTCCTTGATGACTTGGAGGTCGGAGTCCTTGAGACGGTCCCAGTCGGGGCAGTGGCCATGCTGACTGGAGAGGACGGAACCCAGCTTGGACAAGTCTGAAGATCCATTGTGCAGCTCATTCCCGAAATTGTGGAAGAACGAGACAAGCTCCCCGGTGGTGCGCGGCGTTCGCCTGGTGAGGCAGTTGAGGTACTTGCAAACCTTCTCCAGTGGGTCGGCATTTTGATAACACACCCCGACCAGCACGCTGTGGATGTAGAAGCCATGCTTGGACTCTTCACGAAAATTGTCTGGAAGAAAGCCCATTTTCACGTGGCTACGCCGGCAGATGTCGCCACGCTGATACCAGTAGGTGGAGAGATCGGACTGGTCGGTGAGAAAGCCTTGCAGCGGGGAGGCGTTGCAGCCGTGGCCCTGCACTTGCATAGGATCTACCGGACGTTGGGAGCACTGCCATGATTTTGACGCCTCCACAGCTCTACCAAACTGGCAGTCACGCCATCCACCCTGGTCGGAGTCCCGCCCGCACATAGTGCGCAAAAACGATAACTGATGTAACGTCGCATAGACGTAGTTGACCAACTGGCACAGCAGCGTGCAGGGGTCGTCGGAGTAGTGCATCAGGGGGACGCCGTAGCGCTGGTAGTGGGATTTGTTAGGGGCAGCGGGCTTAGGCCCCTCCACGGCAGCGAGCACAGAGCTGGCGTGGCCACAGGTTTGGGACAAAGCTTCGGTAACATTTTCGGCTGTGAAAGGTTCGGGTGATGCAATGATTTCAGAGCCTTCAAATAAGCCCGCAATGTGTCGCGTCAGATCGGCGTAGCCTAGTGAATTCGGCAGATCCCCGAGCCAGCACAGCATGTCACGCACCGTTAGGGGCGGGGGGTTGGAGGTGTCGGTGGGCGGGAGCTTTTCAGTGGTGGCACTGGTATACTTTGCCGGGCATATTTGCTCATCGATCATGACGCCCGGGGGGGATCGATATACTGAAATTGGGGCTGGTATGTGCGATGCCTTGGTTGTGTGTGAGAGATGGGAGGCTCGTATGGCTTTTTCATCTCCGATTCAATTTTAGGTTTCAACCTGGGGATTGGTGGATGCATCGGCAGACGGGTATTTAAATTAGGATCTGGAATATGCTCACCTGTAACGTCAGGCATGGGAGGAAACATTTTTGGCGCCTTTATAGGCTCACCCCTAGGAACTCCGAGGTAGGCGGATTTGTCGATAATCGCCGCATTAGGCACGCCTTTGGCGTCTGGCTCAACAATACCAGTGAACACGTCGCCAGCATCCTGCTGGCCTTCAATGTATTTGTGTTCCTCATACGTTTTATAACGCCCCGCCGCTTCCTTTTGAAGTTTATGCTTTTCTTCGATTTTTCGTAGTGTTTCCACACGGAGTGAATTCATATATCGCTCATTACGCAGATCAAACACGTCCCTTTTCCCCTGCAGTTCCGTGTCACTGTCATAATAAACTACGTTGCCGTCAACGCTAAAATCAATCGGCTCCGGAATAGTAATAGGGGTGGGTGCAGTGTAACGGCTTTTATGCTGCTGGAAACGGCGCAAATGCTGCTGCAATCTTCTTTGCTGTTCAAGATCTTTCTGTTCTTGCGTTTTCAGCCACTCATCCTCTTGTTGCTTCCGTATCCATTTTCCTTTCACATCCTCTTTATAAATCCACTCATTTTCCCCCCACCAACTATCATCCTTGCCTGCCTGCCCTCCAGCTCCGAAATTATCTCTAGTCCTAACACTAGTGGAATGCCTGTGTGCAGATGCTGGTGTGCTTTGCGTGCTGCGTTGCATGACGACAGGAGAAGACAATGAATCTGCACGTGCAACACCCGTATCTCGAAGTTGCATAGTGCCTTGGGCAGCAAGACGCTGTTGAGCTGAATGATCACCGACCGGTGAAGCCGGATCATGGACACCTGGCTGACCAGGGGAGCCAGGGGGACCAGGGGATGCAGGGAGAGTAGGAGTACTCGGGGGAGTGGGAGGAATTGGCGGAGGTTGAGGTTGTACTGATTGACCTTGATCCGGCGTCAGTGGACCAGGAGGCCCTTGCTGCCCTCGATCACCTTTGGGCCCTTGCGGACTTTGACCACCAGGAGGCCCCGGCGGGCCTGCATCACCCTTATTACCTTTAGGCCCTTGCAGGCCTGACCCTCCATCCTTACCGTCAGGCGTAGCTGGAGCAACAGACTTTCCACTTGCTGAACCTGAAGACTTACTCTGATCGTTATTCTGATTTTGATTCCCCTCCGCTTTCTTGCCCTGGTTCTGTGCTCCCTCACCCTTCTTGCCCTGGTTCTGTGCTCCCTCCACTTTCTTGCCTTGGTTCTGCGCTCCCTCAGATTTCTCCCCCTGGTTCTGTGCTCCCTCACTCTTCTTCCCCTGGTTCTCTGCTCCCTCCACTTTCTTGCCCTGGTTCTGTGCTCCCTCAGCTTTCTTGCCTTGGTTGGGAGTTCCTTCATGATCCTTGGCAGGCGGGGCCTCAGGCTTTGTAGGTGGAGGCTCTTTACACTGTTCTTTTTTGTCACCACTTAAAATCTCTCTAAGCCTATCCAAATCGCTGCCAGTCCGTTTCTTAAGGTCATTGATTACAGTGCGCCAATCTCTCATCAAAAGCTTTACTTCTCTGTCCAACTTTACAAAGCGGGTTTGGTCTTTAAATATGAATCCGTAGGGGAAGAAATGTTTCGTGAAGTATTCTCCAAGATCCGTTTGTTGGAGTCCCAAGACACCTTCATCTGTTCTAATCTGCTGCAATTTCCCCCGCACTGTGGTTAGACTTCGTCTAAGCCAATCTGCTGCTTTCCCTGCAAGCTCCTCTTTATTAAGGTCTAAGAGTTTTGTCGCCTGACCCGTGAAGTCGAAGCGTTTTTCTTTGTTGAAAAGTTTACGGAGTTTCTCCATAAGTTTAGCGCAGTGGTCTTTTAAGTCTTTCCAGCATATGGATTTTCTTGTTGGTGAATGCACTTGTCTGTTTAAGCCTTCATTTAATTGCCGTATTAACTCACCGCCGTTATCTTGGTCACTTTCTCCTGCCACAATATCGCAAAAGGTTCTGACCAGTGAGAGAGCGTTCGCGGTGTTCTCCTTATTAACGCCGGAGTACGCAACAGCGGAACTGACAAAGACGCTGCGGAAGAAATTGTAGTATGTTGTTTTGCTCACAATGTCTTCAAGGTCCACATACATTCTAGTACCCTGGGCATAGCCTTTAGTATCAGAGTAACCATATCTCACCTCGCCTTTTCCGAAGCCTCCAGGAATTATGCCACCGTAGTCCTTAGGGTCTTTGGATCTGAGATATTCTTGCAAGTCACCGCCCCAATCATTCCTGCCCAGCCATGGTTTATTTTCATACCCTGGGTAATTCTTTTCCCATCCACCACCGCCCAGCGTCCCGAAAGTGTTATTCACACAGTACTGCAGAAAGTACATAGCGGCGAAGAATTTAGGGTGGCAGTCGAGAAGGGCGTTGGATATGTCCTCTGCGCTTTTAGTAACATATTTGCCTGCCTCTGCTTTGTAGCACAATCTCTCATAAAACTTTGACACGGCGGAGAGGAATGGGCGCAAGCCCTTTTCAACGTTTTCCACTGAAACAAATTTGGAATCAAAATGGGTTTTAATACGATCATATAAAGTCTGGGACACTTCTTGAAGCCTATGCTTCCCACCTCCCTTATGCAACCACTGCAGGAACTCGAGACACTGCTTTAGTGTGTTGAGCGGAATACCGTGCTTCGTCATCTTGCTTACCAAATCAAAGAGCACAGAGACGCTAACAAATGGGCGCTAGACTAATGGCACAGAAATACACGCGGAAGCGTTTTGATGGTTAACAAGGAGACACTAAAGCGATAACACCTCCAAGGTGATGTCACTGCTGCCAGTTTACCAAGACACTACCAAGATGCTTGCAACGGTAGTGATTGCGGTGTTAATGGGTGACACAGTAAAGGTGTTAGTGGCGATTGGAGAGACATTTTAGAGTCGCAAGAGGGGCGTGGTGAGAGGCGTCCGCAGCCTGAATCCACCGACAAGGTGGGATGAAGGAGGCTATTTTGGGAGTGACGGCAAGGCGACAAACGGCAAGGGAGACGACAAAGCAGCGAGTAGGTTGCATCATAGGTTAGGTGCTAGGTGAGCCATTTGGTTAGGTGCTAGGTAAGCCATTTGGTTACATGGTACGTGAGCCTCTTGGTTAGGCAGTGAGTTAGGTGCTAGGCAAGGCACGAGATACAGTCACCATGAGAGACGTGAGATGACATGGCACGGCAACACAGGAATGCAATTGTAAATGTGAAAGTAGCTACGATAATTACTGTCATGAGTGAAAGTCATCGTCGAAGTAGTCGACGTCCTTGTAGAGTGAGAGCATCCTGCGGCTGCCGGCGAGCAGCGCCTTGACGTCGATGAGGTGGGAGGCCCTGGTGGTGAGGAGGTGCGAGCGGATGCGCAGCACGTCCATGCGGTAGAGTAGCGAGTGGGCGATGTAGAGCGTGGCGATGAGCCAGAGCGTGACGAGGCAGAAGAGGAAGGGCGCACGGATGCGATAGAGGAATGTGTCCATGCAGCTCATGAGGCTTGCGATAGGCTGTCCGTTGACCACATCTCCCAGCTTGGCGACGAGCTTCGAACACGTGAGTGACGACTGAAGTGTCCCTTCCGGCGGGGTGAAGCTGTGCAGGTAGAGGAGTGGTAGGGCCTTGTCACACTGGTGGAGGGACTTGGACTTGGAGTCAGAGTCATGACATTGAGAGTCCTCGAGATCACAGTGAAGCTTGATCAGTGAGTCCCACAGTCTGTCGGGTAGGTAGACCGCCCAGCTGACGTAGGTGTGGGCGAAGGCCATGGAGTACAGGGCGTAGGCCCGGTAGGTGATGGGCTTCATAAGTTGTGAGCAGTTAACATTATCGATGTCGCAGCCAAGCAGCGTTGACAGGGTATTGGGATGGTCCTTGTCGTGGATGGAGTTGGCGATGGGAGGGGCAGAGCCCCGGGCTTGCCTGATGACTCGGAGGTCATCGGCAGCAAGGATGTCCCAGTCGGGGCAGTGAGGATGTGGCTTGGAGAGGGCGGAGCCCAGCTTGGACAACTGTGAAGATGCCTTATGAAGCTCATTCCCGAAAAGGTGGAAGAACGAGACAAGCTCCCCGGTGGTGCGCGGCGTCCGCCTGGTGAGGCAGTTGAGGTAGGAGGCCAATGTGAGCAGGGGGTCCTCGCCGCCGCAGACGGGAGAGAGGATGGTGAGAAGGATGTTGCCAGTTTCCAATTTCTCAGGCAGATCCTCCTCTCTGAATCCCATGTTGACACGGCTTTTGCGGCAGATGTTGCACGAGTCGAAGGGATGAGTCTGGAACTTGGAGTCGGGGCCGTCAGTCAGGAAGGCCTGGAGGGGGGACGGAATTTTGGCACCATTTCCATACTTATAATCCTGCCAGCCACCATCAGATTCCCCTCGAGAACACTGTGACCTCAGGAACGCCAGCTGGTGATAGCAGGCGTAGACGTAGTCCCGCAGCTGGCAGAGGAGGCAGGCGGGGTCGATGGAATAACAAAGCTTGGAATATTCTAAGCTGAAGTCAGGCATTGAAATAGCCTTAGAAGTATCTTTATGCTTAATCCTGAAAAGCACGTTGGCCGAGTAGAGACACGCCTCGGTCAGAGTGTTGGAGATATGGGAAGCGGTCAGCTGAGTGGGATCCCCAGTGACCTCGAGGGCATCTGAGAGCTGTGAGGCATCCTTGTTAAACTCCCTCAGAAGGTTCTTAAGATGCTCTTCGATGAACGGAATGTACCCATTTTTATTCAAGCCGACCAACCAGCAAAGCATTTCCCTGACGGTGTTTGGCTGGGGCAGATGGTCGGAGCCCGGGGGAGGGGAGGGGGTTGGAGTTATGGTAGTGGTGGAGGAATCGGGGACGTACCAGGGGTTACGGCAGACTCCGGCGTCAGGGAACACCGGAATGATCTGGTCATATGGCTTCCTTGGAGTATCCCGGGGAATACCAGGATCATGATCCCCATCGGATTGTAAAAAGGATGGAGTAAATTCAAGGTTAAAATTACTCTTGGGCAGGGCAGAAAATCCTTTGTCTTCACCATATTGCTGTGCCGAAGTTTTCAACTCGTCTCGCACGATATCCTCCATATTGGCATAAGGGTCATCATACGGGTTGTCGACAGGGTCTTGAACAATGGGCTTTGTAACACAGATATCGATGTCGAAGGGATCGTTAACATTGCGTGAAGGGGGGCCAACGATGTCGATGTTTTCAACGCCATACTTATTTACACTCTTCGCGTATTGTCTTAAACTACGCAAAAAGGCATCATATTTCTCTTGTTTCTTTGTCTGATCTTCAAAAAGTTGTTGGTGGGCATTGTCAATATCCGCAGAAACCTGTAGTTCTCTCTCAATATCAGAATCATGCTTTACAGCGTGACCGTCAAATTCAATCTCTTCTGAGTCGTTAAATTCCGGCACAGTTTCCCCTCCGATATCTATTACCTCATCTCCGTCAAAACCCATCGCAACTGACATCTGTTGTAACTCTCGTTCTTCTTTTTCATAATCGCGTAATCTTTGCTGAAGTTTTCGCTCGTCTTCTTCGAGTTTTCTCTGTACATCTTTCAGAGTTTGTCTGAATTTCTCCCGCTCCCTTTGCTCAGTCTCCTTCACCAATTGCGCCGGCAAATCCCACGCATCCCTGTGCCGCCGCTCCCAGTCCAGGGCGGGGTCACTCGAAGATTCATTTGACATGTCCATGCCATCCAGGACAAGCGTGTCGGGGGAAACAACATTTTTCGTGCGCCTAGTAATAATTTTCGGATCGTATGGATGACGCCAATTAACGCGACGGCCACCGGGAGAAAGAGCAATATTTTGGTTTCGCAGATTTGCAAGTTGTTGTTTTTGCATATTATGTTGCCTCTGCCGTTGTATTGCCTGTTCAATGTTATCAAAATTTATATTAAATTGGTCCTGTATGGTTTTCATATTTGCCTTGTCTTTGTCCCTTTTTTCTTGCTGTCGCTTCAAGACATCTGTGTCTACAGCTCCTCCACCTCCACCAGCCGCCGTGGCATCCGACGCAGTAGCGCCGCTGCTTGGAGTTTGACCGGTGCCTTGACTTGTAGTTTGAGTAACATCTTGACCACCATGTGGATCAGACCCCCGGCCACCAGTTGGCCTAGGGCTTGAACCTGAAGCACTCGGAGTCTGAGGAGGCACAGTGACTTGAGGGGTGCCAGGCCGTATACTTCGAGTAACACTGCCCGCTGAACCCGGGCCCTGGACACCTGGCTTAGCAGGTAGGCCAGGGGTTACGGTACCACTGGCGGTAGCCGGTGGAGGGGGAGGAGGAGGTTGCTGAGGTTGAGGTGGCGTCTTAGGTTGAAGAGTTCGTTGAACTTGTGTATTTGTAGGCGAGGAAGACGCCGGAGGCCCTGTACCAATAGACCCTTGCGGGCCTGGATCACCTTTAGATCCTGCCGGACCTGGAGCTCCTGGATCACCGGGAGACGTATCTGAGGCAGTAGATGTTACACCTGGTGGAGGTGGAAACTTTTGTTCACCTTGACCGTTGTTCTGATTTGTTGACATCGACGTTGTAGGGCCAAGCGGCTCACCCTGATTTGGAGTTCCCTCCGTCTTCTTCCCCTGGTTCTGTGCTTCCTCCGCTTTCTTGCCCTGGTTCTGTGCTCCCTCCGCTTTCTTCCCCTGGTTCTGTGCTCCCTCACTTTTCTTACCCTGGTTTGAAGTTTCCTCTACTACTGGAGGTGGCGGCTCAGGCTCTTTACACGATTTTTCTCCTTCACCACTTAAAATCTCTCTAAGCCTATCCAAATCGCTGCCAGTCCGTTTCTTAAGGTCATTGATTACACTACTCCAATCCCTCATCAAATCCTTCAGATCACTTTGCCTAATTTTATGCCTTTCTCTCCCAAATGTGAATCCGTAGGGGAAGAAGTTTTTCGTGAAATAGTCTCCAAGGTTGTCCTTATGTGGATTGTTGATGACATCGGAATTTGTATCAATTTTATCCAATTTACCCCGCACTTTGGTCAGATTCTCTCTTAACCAATCCGCTGCCTTCCCTGCAAGCGCCTCTTTATTAAGGTCGCTAAGTCCCGTCGCCTGGCCTGTGAAGTCGAAGCGTTTCGGCTCGTTGAAAAGTGTGTGGAGTTTTGTCTTAAGCTGAGCGCAGTGGGATTGTAAGTCTTTCCAGCATATGGATTTTGGGGTGGTTAACCTTTTAAGGCCTTCTTCCAATTTCGGTTTTAATTCCGCGCCACTATCTTTCTGGTCTGCTTCTCCCACGATATCGCAAAAGGTTCTGACTAGTGAGAGGGCGTTGGCGGTGTTGGGAATAGCGGCGCCAGTGTCTGCAACCGCGGAACTGACAAACACGCTGCGAAAATAGTTGTAATTTCCTTTGCTCACAATCTTTTCAAGGTTCCCAGCCATGTTATAACCCTGGTAGTAGCCACTCCCAAGTGTATAATATATCACCTCGCCTTCGCTGAAGCCACCAGGTAGCAAACCGGGGATTTTGCTATACTTTTCGTCGCCTACAGTGGCTCTGAGATACTTCTGCAGGTCACCGCCAGACTTAGGGTACGTACCGTACCAAGTCCGCCAGTCCTCTTCCCACCCTGGGTAATTCTTTTCCCATCCACCACCGCCCAGCGTCCCGAAAGTGTTATTCACACAGTACTGCAGAAAGTACATAGCGGCGAAGAATTTAGGGTGGCAGTCGAGAAGGGCGTTGGATATGTCCTCTGCGCTTTTAGTAACATATTTGCCTGCCTCTGCTTTGTAGCACAATCTCTCATAAAACTTTGACACGGCGGAGAGGAATGGGCGCAAGCCCTTTTCAACGTTTTCCACTGAAACAAATTTGGAATCAAAATGGGTTTTAATACGATCATATAAAGTCTGGGACACTTCTTGAAGCCTATGCTTCCCACCTCCCTTATGCAACCACTGCAGGAACTCGAGACACTGCTTTAGTGTGTTGAGCGGAATACCGTGCTTCGTCATCTTGCTTACGAAGGCGAAGAACACAGAGACGCTAATAAATTGGCACTAGGCTAGTCGTACAAAAGTACAAGTGAATGAATTTGAATAGTTAACAAGGAGACACTAAGGCGATAAAACCTCTGAGGTGACGTCACTGCTTGCAGATAACCAAGACACTGCCAAGGTGCTTGCGATGATTGTAATTGCGATGTTATTAGGTAACTCAGTGAAGCTGTTAGTAGCGATTAGTGAGATATTTTAGAGGTGCAAGAGGGGTGTGGTAGAAGGCGTCCGCAGCCTCAGTCCACCGACAAGGTGGGATGAAGGAGGCTGTTAGGGAGTGACGGCAAGGCGACAAACGGCAAGGGAGACGACAAAGCAGCGAGTAGGTTACGTCATAGGTTAGGTGCTAGGTGGGCCGTTTGGTTTGTCAGTGAGTTGGGTGCTAGGTTACATGGTACGTGAGCCTCTTGGTTAGGCAGTGAGTTAGGTGCTAGGCAAGGCACGAGATACAGTCACCATGAGAGACGTGAGATGACATGGCACGGCAACACAGGAATGCAATTGTAAATGTGAAAGTAGCTACGATAATTACTGTCATGAGTGAAAGTCATCGTCGAAGTAGTCGACGTCCTTGTAGAGTGAGAGCATCCTGCGGCTGCCGGCGAGCAGCGCCTTGACGTCGATGAGGTGGGAGGCCCTGGTGGTGAGGAGGTGCGAGCGGATGCGCAGCACGTCCATGCGGTAGAGTAGCGAGTGGGCGATGTAGAGCGTGGCGATGAGCCAGAGCGTGACGAGGCAGAAGAGGAAGGGCGCACGGATGCGATAGAGGAATGTGTCCATGCAGCTCATGAGGCTTGCGATAGGCTGTCCGTTGACCACATCTCCCAGCTTGGCGACGAGCTTCGAACACGTGAGTGACGACTGAAGTGTCCCTTCCGGCGGGGTGAAGCTGTGCAGGTAGAGGAGTGGTAGGGCCTTGTCACACTGGTGGAGGGACTTGGACTTGGAGTCAGAGTCATGACATTGAGAGTCCTCGAGATCACAGTGAAGCTTGATCAGTGAGTCCCACAGTCTGTCGGGTAGGTACACCGCCCAGCTGAGGTAGGCGTGGGCGAAGCTGGAAGAGTACAGGGCGTAGGCCCGGTAGGTGATGGGCGAGAGACGTGGAGGGCAGTTGGCATTATCGATGCCGCAGCCAAGCAGCGTGGACAGTGTGTTGGGATGTCCCTTGTCGTGGTCAGGGTTGGAGGTGGGAGGGGCGGAACCCCGCGCGTCCTCGATGGCTCGGAGGTCTTCCTCCCCAAGACGGTCCCAGCCGGGGCAGTCGTCATGCTGACTGGAGAGGGCGGAGCCTAGTTGGGACAAGTTTGGATGAGGCTTGTAGATAGAATTGCCGAGGTGGTGAAAGAAAGACACTAGCTCCCCGGTGGTGCGCGGCGTCCGCTGGGTGAGGCAGTTGAGGTAAGAGGTCAATGTCAGCAGGGGATCCTCGCCGCCGCAGCTGGGAGTGAGGATGGTGAGAATATGCTTGCCAGTTTCGTGATGTGTAGGCAAATCCTCCTTTGTGAATCCCATCTTGACGCGGCTCTTGAGGCAGATGTCACACGGGTCGAAGGGATGAGTCTCGAACTTGCAGTCAGGGGCGTCAGTCAGGAAGGCCTGCAGGGGGGACGGAGTCTTGACATCACGGCCATAATCACAATCCTGCCATCCTCCCTGTGACTGCTCCCGAGAACACTGCGACCTTAGGAACGCCAGCTGGTGGCAGCAGGCGTAGGCGTAGTCCCGCAGCTGGCAGAGGAGGCAAGCGGAGTCGGCGGAGTAATGAAGCTTGGAATATTCTGAACTGAAATCGGGAATTGAAACAGCCTTCGAATTGTCTTTGTACTTGAGCCTGTATAGAACGTTGGCGGAGTAGAGACACACCTGGGTCAGAGTGTTGGAGACATGGGAAGCGGTCAGATTGGTGGGATGTTTAGTGACCTCGAGGGCATCTGGTGATTGTGAGAGATCTTTGTTGATGTCTGCCAAAATGCCTTCAACAAGCTCCTTAATAATCTCAACATACCCATATTGGTTCAACCCGACCAGCCAGTGAAGCATTTCCCTGACGGTCTTGGGAGGGGGCATATGGTCGGAGCCTGGGGGAGGGGAGGGAGATGACAAAGCAGCGAGTAGGTCACATGCTTGGTTAAGTGCTAGGTGAGCCTTTTGGTTAGTCAGTGAGTTAGGTGGTAGGCAAGGCACGAGATACGGTCGCCATGAGAGACGTGAGATGACATGGCAACACAACACAAAGAGAGGAATGTAAACGTAATGTAGCTGAGATAATTACAATCACGAGTGAAAGTCATCGTCGAAGTAGTCGACGTCCTTGTAGAGCGAGAGCATTCTCCTGCTGCCGGCGAGCAGCGCCTTGACGTCGATGAGGTGTGAGGCCGTGGTGGTGAGGAGGTGGGAACGTATACGCAGGACGTCCATGCGGTAGAGGAGTGAGTGGAGGATGTAGAGTGTTGCGATGAGCCAAAGTGCTGTGATGGTGTAGAGGAAGGGGGCACGGATGCCGTAGAGGAATGTGTCCATGGCGGTCATGAGGTCTGCGATAGGCTGTCCGTTGGCCACTTCCACGAGCTTGGTGATGACCTCGTAACACGTGAGTGACGGTTGTCCCGTGCCCTCCGGCGGCGTGAACCCGTGAGAGTAGAGGAGGGGCAGGGCCTTGTCACACTGGTGGAGGGGCTTGGACTTGGAGTCGTGACATTGAAGGTTCTCGAGATCATCTTGCAGCTTGAGCAGTGACTCGTGAAGTCTGTCGGGCAGATAGACAGTCCAGCTGAGGTAGGTATGGGCGAAGGTCGGAGAGTACAGGGCGTAGGCCCGGTAGTTGATGGGCTTCATATGCTGTGGGCACTGGGCATTGGTGATGTCGCAGCCAAGTAGAGAGGATAGTGTGTTGGGATGGTCCTTGTCGTGGTTGTGGTTGGAGTTGGGAGGGGCGGAGCCCCTGGCGTCCTTGATGACTTGGAGGTCGGAGTCCTTGAGACGGTCCCAGTCGGGGCAGTGGCCATGCTGACTGGAGAGGACGGAACCCAGCTTGGACAAGTCTGAAGATCCATTGTGCAGCTCATTCCCGAAATTGTGGAAGAACGAGACAAGCTCCCCGGTGGTGCGCGGCGTCCGCCTGGTGATGCAGGTGAGGTAAGAGGTCAATGTCAGCAGGGGATCTTCGCCGCCGCAGCTGGGAGTGAGGATGGTGGAAATATGCTTGCCAGTTTCCAATTTGTCAGGCAAATCATGCTTTTGAAATCCCATGTTTACACGGCTCTTGAGGCAGATGTCGCACGGGTCGAAGGGATGTGTCTCGAACTTGGAGCTTGGGTCGTCGGTCAGAAAGGCCTGCAGGGGGGAGTTGGAAACACTTACATGAAGGCCATATTCACAAGCCTGCCAACCACCGTGCTGGGAGACTCGAGAACACTGCGACTTCAGGAACGCCAGCTGGTGATAGCAGGCGTAGACGTAGTCCCGCAGCTGGCAGAGGAGGCAGGCGGGGTCGGAGGAATAACGAAGCTTGGAATATTCTGAGGTGAAGTCAGGCATTGAAACAGCTGTCGAAATGTCTTTATGCTTAATCCTGTGGAGAACGGTGGCCGCGTAGTGACATGTCTGTGTCAGAACGTCGGCGACATGGGAAGCGGTCAGCTGAGTGGGATCCCCAGTGACCTCGAGGGCATCTGAGAGCTGTGAGGCATCCTCGTTAAGCTCCCTCAAAAGGTCTTCAATATGCTTTTTAATAATCGCAACATACCCATATTGATTCAATCCAACCATCCAGTGGAGCATTTCCCTGACGGTGTCTGGCGGGGGCAGATGGTCCGTGTCTGGGGGCGGGGAGGGAGTTGGAGTGAGTTACGTGCTAGGTCAGCCATTTGGTCAGGTGCTTGGTCAGCCATTTGGTCATGTACTAGGTTAGCCTCTTGGTTAAGCAGTGAGTTAGGTGGTAGGCAAGGCACTGGATACAGTCACCATGAAAGACGTGAGATGACACGGCAACACAAAGAGAGGAATGTGAATGTGAGTGTAGCTGCAATACTTACTGTCACGAGTGAAAGTCGTCGTCGAAGTAGTCGACGTCCTTGTAGAGTGAGAGCATCCTGCGGCTGCCGGCGAGCAGCGCCTTGACGTCGATGAGGTGTGAGGCCCTGGTGGTGAGGTGGGAGCGGATGCGCAGAACGTCGATGCGGTAGAGGAGTGAGTGGGCGATGTAGAGCGTGGCGATGAGCCAGAGCGTTGTGATGGCAAAGAGGAAGGGAGCACGGATGCCGATGAGGAAATTGTCCATGCAGGTAATAAGGTCTGCGATAGGCTTTCCGGAGACCACTGCCTCCAACTTAGCGCTGACCTTGGAACAGGAGATTCGTGATTGTAGTGTCCCTTCTGGTGCAGTGAACCCGTGAGTGTAGAGGAGGGGCAGGGCTTCGGGGCACTGGTGGAGTGATAAACACTTGGTACCATAATGCTTCTTCATGTCTATACTCAGCTTTTCCAGCGACTCCCAGAGTCTGTCAGATAGGTAGGCCACCCAGCTGAGGTAGTGGTGGACGAACGCCGTGGAGTACAGGGCGTAGGCCCGATAGGTGATGGGCTTCATATGCTGTGGGCAGTTCACATTAGTGATGCCGCAGCCAAGCAATGTGGACAGTGTCTTGGGATGGCCATTGTTGTGGTTGGAGTTGGGAGTACCGGAGCCCCGGACGTCCTTGATTGCATTGAGGTCGGCGTCACCAAGGCGGTCCCAGTCGGGGCAGTCGTCATGTGACTTGGAGAGGGCAGAGCCCAGCCTGGATAACTGTGAAGATGCTTGCAGCTCATTCCCGAAATTGTGGAAGAAGGAGACAAGCTCCCCGGTGGTGCGCGGCGTCCGCCTGGTGAGGCAGTTGAGATAAGAACATAATATAAGCAAAGGGTCGTCGCCGCCGCAGCTGGGAGTGAGGATGGTGGAAATATGCTTGCCAGTTTCCAATTTGTCAGGCAAATCATGCTTTTGAAATCCCATGTTTACACGGCTCTTGAGGCAGATGTCGCACGGGTCGAAGGGATGTGTCTCGAACTTGGAGCTTGGGTCGTCGGTCAGAAAGGCCTGCAGGGGGGAGTTGGAAACACTTACATGAAGGCCATATTCACAAGCCTGCCAACCACCGTGCTGGGAGACTCGAGAACACTGCGACTTCAGGAACGCCAGCTGGTGATAGCAGGCGTAGACGTAGTCCCGCAGCTGGCAGAGGAGGCAGGCGGGGTCGGAGGAATAACGAAGCTTGGAATATTCTGAGGTGAAGTCAGGCATTGAAACAGCTGTCGAAATGTCTTTATGCTTAATCCTGTGGAGAACGGTGGCCGCGTAGTGACATGTCTGTGTCAGAACGTCGGCGACATGGGAAGCGGTCAGCTGAGTGGGATCCCCAGTGACCTCGAGGGCATCTGAGAGCTGTGAGACGTCTTTGTTATAACCCCTCAAAAGACCTTCAACGTGATCCTTAATTTTCGCAACATACCCATATTGGTTCAACCCGACCAGCCAGTGGAGCATCTCCCTGACGGTCTTGGGAGGGGGCAAAAGGTCCGAGGCTGGGGGAGGGGAGGGAGTTGGGGTGACGGTAGTGGAGGAGGAATCGGGGACGTACCAGGGGTTAGTACACTGATCCGGAGTGATGAACGCGGGAATGTCACGCCCCGACATCTGCCTGTCAGGGTCACGCGGCATCCCGGGATCATGATCCCCATCGGATTTTAAAAATGATGGAGTAAATTCGAGGTTTAAATTACTCTTGGGCAGTACAGAAAAGCCTTTGTCTCCACCATATTGCTGTGCCGAAGTTTTCAACTCGTCTCGCACGATATCCTCCATATTGGCATAAGGGTCATCATACGGGTTGTCGACAGGGTCTTGAACGATGGGCTTGGCGACGTCGATGTGGAGGTCGACATAATCTTGTTTGGTGTCAGATTGGCGATAAATTTTTTCGAATACCAGTCCGTCGTCTTTCACGTCAGAATACGGGTCGATGCCTATAAGTGCGCTCTCCACTGCATCTGGATGCGCTTGAATATCTTGGATATCCCAGTCGTTTATGGCGCCACTTGGCGATGGCACTGGGTCATCTGTCTCAGGAGGCGGTGAATCGATGACTGATCCTGATAGGTGGGAAGGTTTGGGCGCTAACTGATCCGGATACACAGGGTCCTGAAATGGCATCGACGTATGTATGTAAGGTATGACTTCACCAACGTCATCGTCCTGAAACTCCTGGTGTATCCAGTCATCCTTAAGTTGATTCCATACTTTATGCTGCGTATCTCTTAAGTTCCTTTGAAATTTCGCTTGCTCTTTTTTTGCAGTCTCCTTCACCCATTGTTCCGCCAATTTCCATTCATTTCTATGCTTTAGCTCCCATTCAATTCCGGGGTCACGCAATGCTTCATTGGAAACGTCCTTGCCATCGAGGACAAGCACGTCAGAGGACTCCGCATCATAATGCGGCCGACTATTCAAATCTTTCGGAATGTAATACTGTCGGCGTCCTATATTTGAACGCTGGGCATTTTGTTTTCTTTCTCTCTCTTGCTGCTTTTGCTCAGCGTTCTGCAGCGCACGGTCCAAGGATACCCGTAAACCTTCAATATCCCTATTCTTCTTCTCTAGTTGCCGTCTACCATACTCATCCAACTGATTTTTGAGTTTAACCGTAGCAGGATCCAGCTGATCACTCCCACCTCCACCAGGCGCCGTGCCAGCCGACGTAGTAGTGTCGCTGCTTGAATTCTGATCGGTGCTCTGACTTGTTGGTTGAGGAACATGTTGACCAGCAATTTGACCAGGCCCCTGACCACCAGGTGGCCCAGTGTTTGAACCTGAAGCACCCGGAGTCTGACTAGGCGCAGTGACTTGATTGGCACCAGGCTTTGAACTTGCAGCGTCATCGGACGTTGAACCCGCACCTCCGCTACCGGGCTGACCAGCGGGGCCAGGGGATGCACGAAGAGGGGGAGGAGGCGGGGCAGGGAGAGGCTGTTGTTGAACTTGTACAACATGTTTAATTGGTGAACCTGGAGTCAGCGAGGACACCGTAGTCACTGAACCACTAGGCCCTGCCGGGCCTGTAGCTCCTGTAGTCCCTGGCTGTCTTCGATCACCTTTAGACCCTTTTGAGCCTACATCACCCTTGGGCCCTGCCGGGTTTGAAGCTCCTCCACCAACGGAAGGCGTAGCTGGAGCAAGAGACTTTACACCTGGTGAAGGTGGAGTTCCATCCACTTTCTTGCCTTGGTTCTGTGCTCCCTCCGCTTTCTTGCCTTGGTTCTGTGCTCCCTCACTTTTCTTGCCTTGGTTCTGTGCTCCCTCCACCTTCTTCCCCTGGTTCTGTGCACCCTCCGCTTTCTTCCCCTGGTTCTGTGCTCCCTCACTTTTCTTGCCTTGGTTCTGTGCTCCCTCACTTTTCTTGCCCTGGTTCTGTGCTCCCTCACCTTTCTTGCCCTGGTTCTGTGCTCCCTCCACTTTCTTGCCCTGGTTCTGTGCACCCTCAGATTTCTTGCCCTGGTTCTGTGCTCCCTCCGCTTTCTTACCCTGGTTGGGAGTACCATCAGCTTTCTTGCCTTGGTTCTGTGCTTCAGTATCCTCAGTGGCAGGCGGCACTTCAGGCTTTTTAGGTGGCACAACGGGAACTTTCTTCTCCGGCACAACTTCCTGGGGAGGCGTCGATGGACACGTTTCACCTCCTAAAATGTCTTTGAGCGTTTTCAGGTCTCCCTCATCGGAATTTCCAAGCGTTTCCAAAACACCGTGCAGATTTGTCAATCCCTCTGGCCACTTGTCCCTTTGATTCTTGTTTAACACTATACCGTAGGGATATATAAATTCGGGGGAAAAACCACTGGGATCACTTTCTAAATCCGCAACGTTCTCCTGAATGGTTCCCAATGCGCTGCCGATATCCCCCCAGTGCTTTTCAAACCACTTCTCGAATGCCCCGGCAAACGCTTCGGGCTTAAGGGCAGTTGGATCAAATGCCCTGCCGGTAGTTGAAAAGCCTCCGGGAGAATCATCACTGCCGAACAATTCGTCGAGTGATGTTTTAAGCTTTCTGCAGTGCTTTACCAAATCGTCCCATTTGAAACACATGCCTCTACTTCTAAGCTCCGCTTCCAATTTTGTTCTTAGACCAGTGATGTCTTTTTCATGCGTCTTCACATAGTCACAAAAGGCCCACAGCAACAGCAAGACGTTCCCAGCGTCCAAGTTATGCCACTCGTCCTTAAGTAAATTGTCGAAAAGGACGCTGGTGAAAAGGTCAGGGGTTATGGTAGTTCTTTTAAGCGCATTGTTTAGATTTTCGGCTAAACTTTGACCCGTGAAAACTTGCAGATCATCGGGGCGGAAGCCACCGGTAATGATGCCATTGATGCCCGTGAAAAATGCTTGAAGCCCATTATCACCTGACCTGGTGGTCTGCGTAGCCAATTTCCCACCGCCCACATGAGTATATGAATAATCAACGTGGAAGAGTAACAGGGAAAACGCAGCGTGTACCTTAGAGAGACATTCGCAAAAGGCTTTGACAATCTCATCAGGATTTGTGTCTTCATAATCACCCAGATCTGGACTTTTGCTTATTTTACTATGAAGCTCTGACACGTTGCGGAGGAAACCATTTAAGGAATCTGGCAATTCGTTTCTAAATTGCGGAAAGCTATAATATTTATCGTAACGCTTAACCAGTTGATGTGAGACTTCATGACGGACACTCATCCGTTGCCCACTATTAAGCCAGCCCAGGAACCGGAGACAGTCCTTTAGGGTGTCTAACTTGACTCCGTGAGCCGCCACCTTACCACCGGGGCCAAGGCCTCCAGGAGCACTGGCGGCAGTAGGTGGAAGTGCTTGTTGAGGATGAGACTGGAGATCATTTTGAGGTTGTAAGGGTTGGGGCTTAGTAGATCCCGTATGCCCTGGAACACTGCTTCTCTGTGCGCCCCTGGCTCCTGAAGCACCTCGAGGCCCTGAGTGGTGTCTTCCATTTCTTGTGGTCCCCCGTGCCTTTCCACTGTTTTGCCCCCCTCCTCTAACTTGGATCATGCTTCTACGGTTATGCCCTCCCACTCCTCTAGCACCAGAACCCTGACTCCCACGAGACAACGAACCCCCAAGATGCCTTGCACCGGTTGTCATTCCAGCCGAAGTTCTGGAAGCCCCTTGTGTAGGCGCAGGTCTGGCAGGCCTCGGGGGCCTGGGCGCAGGCGCCGGCCTAGGTCGGGGTTTGGGAGGGGGAGCCGGCGGACGGCACCGTCCACCATCCAGAATTCTTTTTAACTCCGCTAAGCCGCCACCATTTTTGCCAAGCATATCTATGACACCGGGCCAATGATCTGACAACGTCTTCCACGCGTCTCCCAGCGTTCCATATCTGTCTTTACCAAATATAAAACCGTAGGGGAATATGTTTTTGGTTGCAAATTGCTGAAGATAATTCAAATGTCGAGTGTTGTCGACTGGGAAACTTTTATCTATTCGTTTCACATTCTTTTGAACTTCGTGCAAATTTCTTCGCAACCATACCGCTGTCTCCCCCGCAAATCTCTCAGTGTTAAGCTGGTCGACAGTCCGCGCCTGGCCTGTGTAGGAAAAGCCTTCGTTCTTGAACAACTTTCCAAGTTGCTGCTCGAGAGTTTTGCAATGCTGTTTTAATTCTTGCCAATCTATACATTTGTCTTTTAACTCCCTTTCCAAAGCTTTTGTCAACTTACCGACGTCAGAGTTCTTTACCGAAATTACGATTTGGCAAAACGTTCTCACCAATGCAAGAACGTTCGCAGTGTTCGATTTCTGTAAGCCGGATTTAGAAATGACTGTTGTAAAAAATACGTCCCGGAAATAATTGTACTTATCATTATGTTTGTACAAAATCTTCTGTAGGTCATCTACCATGCTCTCACCGTACCAGTAACCATAGCGAGAATTATAGTCATAACCATACGTCACCTCGTTTTCACTGAACCCACCAGCTATGAGGCCACCGTATTTAACGCTCAGTGACGCCCTGAGATAATTCTGCAGCCTCCCTCCATACTCTCTATGCCACACATATCTCACCCAAGTAGTCTCCCACCCAGGATAATTGTACTTCCACTTCGCTCCTCCCACCGCATCGAATCTATAATCCACATTGTACCACAAAAAATACAAAGCGGCGAGGAACTTGGGAATGCAGTCGAGCAGCGCGTGGACGATTTGGTCAGCGTTTATCGCTGTATAACTGCCAGGATCTGGTTTGTGGCATAATTTATTATAAAACGTGGACACGTTCCAGAGGAATTCGGAGACAGCAGGTGGCAGTTGGCCCGTAAACGAAATATGATTATAAGATTCTCCATAACGCTTAACCAGTTCACTAATCACCTGGTTTTGCATACCACTGTGACCCTTTAACCACAGCAGGAACTGTAGACAGTCCTTGAGAGTGCGAAGCTGAATGCCGTGCCCCTCCATCTTGCTTACGAGGGCACTAAGCACTAAGACACTAATAGATGGGCACTAAGCTACTGGTACAAAAGTACATGTGAAAGCGTTTAAATGCTTAAATAGGAGAGACTAAGGTGATAAAACCTCTGAGGTGACGACACTGCTTACAGGTCACCAAGGCACTTCCAAGTTGCTTGCAACAGTAGTGATTGCGATGTTAGTAGGTGACTCAGTGAAGCTGTTAGTGGCGATAAGTGGCCTATTTTAGAGGTGCAGGAGGGGCGTGGTAGGAGGCGTCTGCAGCCTCAGTCCACCGACAAGGTGGGATGAAGGAGGCTATTTTGGGAGTGACGGCAAGGCGACAAACGGCAAGGGAGACGACAAAGCAGCGAGTAGGTTGCATCATAGGTTAGGTGCTAGGTGAGCCATTTGGTTAGGTGCTAGGTAAGCCATTTGGTTACATGTTAGGTAAGCCGTTTGGTTAGTGAGTAAGGTGGTAGGCAAGGCACGAGATAGTCACGATGAAAGACATGAGATGACACGGCAACACTGAGAGAGGGATGTGAATGTAATGTAGCTGAGATAATTACTATGATGAGTGAAAGTCGTCGTCGAAGTAATCGACGTCCTTGTAGAGTGATAGCATCCTGCGGCTGCCGGCGAGCAGCGCCTTGACGTCGATGAGGTGGGAGGCCCTGGTGGTGAGGAGGTGCGAGCGGATGCGTAGGACGTCGATGCGGTAGAGGAGTGAGTGGAGGATGTAGAGCGTGGCGGTGAGCCAGAGTGCGACGATGGTGAAGAGGAAGGGCTCCCGGATGCCGTAAAGGAAAAGGTCCATGGCGGTCATGAGGCTTGCGATAGGCTGTCCGGCGACCACTGCCTCCAACTTGGCGATGAACTGTGAACACGTGAGTGAAGGCTGCAGTGTCCCGTCCGGCGGGGTGAGGCCGTGAGTGTAGAGGAGGGGCAGCGCCTTGTCACACTGGTGGAGGGGCTTGGGCTTGGCGGCGTGACATTGAAGTTCCTCGAGATCACAGTGCAGCTTGGTCAGTGACTCCCACAGTCTGTCGGGCAGATAGACAGTCCAGCTGAGGTAGGTATGGGCGAAGGTCGGAGAGTACAGGGCGTAGGCCCGGTAGGTGATGGTCTTCATGAGTTGTGGGCAGTCGACATTATCGATGCCGCAGCCAATTATTGCGGACAGGGTCTTGGGATGGTCCTTGTCGTGGTTGGAGGTGGGAGGGGCGGGGCCCCGGATGTACTGGATGGCATTGAGGTCGTCGGCAGCAAGGTGGTCCCAGTCGGGGCAGTGTCGATGTGGCTCGGAGAGGGCGGAGCCCAGTGGAGACAACTTGAGAGACACATCATGAAGCTCATTCCCGAAATTGTGGAAGAACGAGGCAAGCTCCCCGGCGGTGCGCGGCGTCCGCCTGGTGATGCAGTTGAGGTAAGAGCACAGCGTCAGCAGGGGATCCTCGCCGCCGCAGGTGGGAGTGAGGATGGTGAGAAGAATGTTGCCAGTTTGCTGAGATACAGGCAAATCACTGTGCTTGAATCCCATGTTGACACGGCTCTTGCGGCAGATGTTGCACGAGTCGAAGGGATGAGTCTGGAACTTGGAGTCGGGGCCGTCAGTCAGGAAGGCCTGGAGGGGGGACGGAGTCTTGGTATCTTGGCCGTACGGACAATTCTGCCAACCACCTTCAGATTCCTTCCGATTACACTGCGCCTTTAGGAACTCCAACTGGTGGCAGCAGGCGTAGACGTAGTCCCGCAGCTGGCAGAGGAGGCAGGCGGGGTCGATGGAATAACAAAGCTTGGAATATTCCGATTTGAAATCAAGGGTTGAAACAGTTTTTGAATTGCCATTGTGTTTAATCTTGTAGAGAAAGTTTGCAGCGTAGTGACATGCCTCGGTCAGGGTGTTGGAGACATGGGTAGCGTCCAGGTTGTATGGTTTCTCAGTGATGTCAAGGGCATCATGAGGCTGAGATACATCCTTGTTAATATCCTCCAAAAGACCTGCAACATGCTCAGTAATGATACCAACATACCCATATTGATTCAATCCAACCATCCAGTGGAGCATTTCCCTGACGGTGTCTGGCGGGGGCAGATGGTCCGTGTCTGGGGGCGGGGAGAGGGGTGGAGTGACGGTAGTGGTGGAGGAATCGGGGACGTACCAGGGGTTTTGGCATTGATAGACATCCGGCGTTGTGTTGAGATCAAACTTCTTCAGAAATTCCGCAGCGCCTGGATTTATCACATTATCATGTTCATCCACGCTGACAGTGAATGCGTCCGCAGCTTTACCTGGCAACGACATCATGGAAATGGCAGGCTCAATCCACTCCATAGGTGGTACGGTAGTCCGAGACGGTGGTTTCGTGAAGCCTTGTGTTGCTGTGGGTGGCGCTTCAATTTGCGCGTCGAACGCAATCTCAGTTTTGTGCCGCTTTTCGATTTCTAATTCGATTGGAGGGTGAGCGGGATTTAATAACATAGTGTCCGCAACAGGCTGCCCTGTGAGTTCCTGTTTAACAGATACCGCCAAATTACTATCTCCAGTAAGTTGAGCTATTGGAATTTTTATTACTTCGCTAGCGACGTGTGTCAAGTCTGCAATATCATGGTCCTTAAGCGTTACTGCGAGAGGCAATTTACTAACAGTGTCATCACGCTGCCAGGGCAGGTTCAAGGCTGAGAGCGGTGGCAAGGGATGGGCTGTGTTAGTAGCAGTGGTGGGAGAACCCATGACATCAAGCATTGACTCCGTCATAATACGTGAGTCTGGTGATATTTCGATGCTTGGAATTTTGACGTCAGCGGTCGGCGGCGTCTTAGGCGATTTGAAGGCTGGGGGAGGTGACACGGGACGGTTTCTTTTGGGGTTGGGGATGGTCCATGCGTCTATCAGAGATGGCGGCGGATGAGTGTCCACCTTGTGAGGTGGGGGAACTGCTATATCACTGCCAGTGGACTTTGTCAGGATTACTTCAGAGACCCCTAGATATTTTGTCATGTCTTCCGTGTCAACTTTGACAGGCTTAGGGGGATACTGCTCCACAGGCTCAGGCGGCTTGAGAGCTGGGGGCGGTGGCAACGGATCTTCTAATGCTGTGTGGGTGATAGGCTGGCCTGTGACGTCCAGCATATCTTTTGGTGCCGACAGAGTTTTTGGAGCTCTCGGCAATTTCGGCGGCTCTATTGCGTGACCCATGGGGACACCAACAGGGGGGACTGGCAGAAGGGGCTTGGCACGCTTGCGGGTTGGCAAAACCTTATCACCCACGACTATACTTGAATTCGGCTGTAGCTGTTTGTGAGTATCTGTTTCCGCCTGGCCGTGGTTTGGAGTCTGTTTCACGGGTCTCCCTACCAGGGCGGCAGGCTCTGAGATTGGAGTGCCTGACATGAACACCGAATCGGCATTCTTACTATTAGGATTATTGTTAATATCATCTTGAATTGTTTGCAGAAATTGAATATTACGCCTTATAGATCTCTCCTCCGCCTCCTTTTGTTTCTGCGCTACAAGGGCGGAGACGTCCGGCAAAGCGTTCCCATCCATCGCATCGCTAACATTAAAGCCCTCAACGGACAACAATTGCGCCTGCTGCATTTGACGCATTTCACTGTCATATTGATCATACATCTGCTGACGCCTGCGTTCCCAAGCCTCTTCCGCCTGGCGTCTGTCCTCTTCCTCCTTTTTGCGATACGCTACATCCGCTTTTTTAATCTTCTCCTCAACATCGGACGGAAGGTAAAGGGTGGATGGCCTAGTTGGCTTAGGAATCGTAGGCTGCCTATAACACACTGACTTTCCATTCATAGACATGGATACACCATCACACTTTTTAACATTATTAGACGGAGTCTGTGTTTGACCAACACTGTGCCCACCACCTGGTGGCCCGGCTCCTCCACCACCATGTTGGCCAGTCCCCTGGACACCATCTGACCCAGTGTTTGAACCTGAGACACTCGGAGTCTGAGTAAGAACATCTTGTGGAGATGAAGTAGTCCGTGTACCTGGAGTAACACTGTCTGTTGAAATTGGACCCGGGCCCCCTGGCTGAATAGGGATGGCAGGGTCTCCAGGAGCACTGGCGGCAGTAGGTGGAAGTGCTTGTTGAGGATGAGACTGGAGATCATTTTGAGGTTGTAAGGGTTGGGGCTTAGTAGATCCCGTATGCCCTGGAACACTGCTTCTCTGTGCGCCCCTGGCTCCTGAAGCACCTCGAGGCCCTGAGTGGTGTCTTCCATTTCTTGTGGTCCCCCGTGCCTTTCCACTGTTTTGCCCCCCTCCTCTACTGTGAGCCCCCGATCCCCCTCCTCTATTATTATTCCCCCTCCCTCCTATATTTCCTCCTCTAACACCAGAAACAGGACTCCCACTAGACAACCAACCTTCAAGATGCCTTGCACCGGTTGTCCTTACACCCGGAGTCCTGGAAGGCTGGTGTGGTGGCACAGGTCTTGCAGGCCTCGGGGGCCTGGGCGCAGGCGCCGGCCTGGGGCGCGGTTTTGGGGGCGGAGCCGGCGTACGGCACTCCTCACCATCCAGAATTCTTTTTAACTTATCCAAACCGTCACCGTCTCTGCCAAGCATACCTATGACACTGTCCCAATGATCTGACAACGTCTTCCACGCCTCACCCAGCGTTCCATATCGTCCTTTACCAAATATAAAACCGTAGGGGAATATGTTTTCTGTTGCAAATTGCTGAAGAACATTCAAATATCGAGTGTCGTCGACTGGGAAACTTTTATCTATTCGTTTCACATTCTTTTGAACTTCGTGCAAATGTTGTCTAAACCATTTTGCTGTCTCCCCCGCAAATGTATCAGTGTTAAGCTCATTAACATTCCGCGCCTGGCCTGTGTAGGAAAAGCCCTCGATCTTGAACAACTTTTCCAATTCTGAGTTCAATCTAGAACAATGGGATTTTAATTTATTCCAATTTATGCATTTTTTGCTACTTTTAAACTCCCTTTCCAAAGCTTTTATCAACTTACCGCCGTCAGTACCCCTCTTTGCCTCAGCAGCCACAATCTCACAAAACGTTTTCACCAATGCAAGAACGTTCGCAGTGTTCACTTTATGAGTGCCGGCACCAGTTTTAGAAATGACTGTTGTAAAAAATACGTCCCGGAAATAATTGTGGAGCTTATTGTCCAGAATCGCTTTAAGGTCATTTACCATGCTCTCACCGTACCAGTAACCATAGCGAGAATTATAGTCATAACCATACGTCACCTCGTTTTCACTGAACCCACCAGCTATGAGGCCACCGTATTTAACGCTCAGTGACGCCCTGAGATAATCCTGCAGCCCACCTCCATACTCTTTCTGCCACGGATATCTCACCCAAGTAGTCTCCCACCCAGGGTTATCATACCTCCACTTCCCTCCTCCCACTTCTTCGAACTTATAATCCACATTGTAGAGCAAAAAATACAAAGCGGCTAGGAATTTGGGAACGCACTCCAGAAGCGCATCGGTGACATCGTTTGCTCTCGGATTGACATAACTTTTCTCAATTGGTGTAGCTACTAATTTCTTATAGAACGTGGACACGTGTTCGAGGAATTCGGAGACAGCAGGTGGCAGCTTGCCCGTAAACAAAATACGATTATAAGAATTTCCATAACGCGTCACCAGTTCTCTGGCCACCTTGTCTTGCATCTTTTTTCCTCCCCCGCTATGCAACCACTGCAGGAACTCAAAGCAGTCCCTGAGGGTGCTTAACCTGACTCCATGCTTCTCCATCTTGCTTACCAAAGCACTAAGCACAGAGGCACTAATAAATTGGCACTAGGATACTGCTATAAAAAGACAAGTGAAAGCGTTGAAATGGGTGAACTAGGAGACACTGAAGTAATAACACCTCTGAGGTGACGTCACTGCTTCCAGTTAACCAAGATACTGCCAAGATGGTTGCGATGGATTCAATTGCGGTGTTATTAGGTGACACAGTGACCATGTTAGTGGTGATTGGTAACCTATTTTAGAGCTGCAAGAGGGGCGTGGTGAGAGGCGTCCGCAGCCTGAATCCACCGACAAGGTGGGATGAAGGAGGCTATTTTGGGAGTGACGGCAAGGCGACAAACGGCAAGGGAGACGACAAAGCAGCGAGTAGGTTGCATCATAGGTTAGGTGCTAGGTGAGCCATTTGGTTAGGTGCTAGGTAAGCCATTTGGTTACATGTTAGGTAAGCCGTTTGGTTAGTGAGTTAGGTGGTAGGCAAGGCACGAGATAGTCACGATGAAAGACATGAGATGACACGGCAACACTAAGAGAGGAACGTAAACATAAATGTAGCTACGATAATTACTGTCATGAGTGAAAGTCATCGTCGAAGTAGTCGACGTCCTTGTAGAGCGAGAGCATTCTCCTGCTGCCGGCGAGTAAAGCCTTGACGTCGATGTTGTGGGAGGCCTTGGTGGTGAGGAGGTGAGATCGTATGCGCAATACGTCCAGGCGGTAGAAAAGTATGACGAGGATGTAGAGCGTGGCGATGAGCCAGAGTGCGACGAGGGTGAAGAGGAAGGGGGCACGGATTCTGTGGAGGAACTCGTCCATGGCGGTCATGAGGCTTGCGATAGGCTGTCCGGCGACCACTTCCCACAGCTTGGCGATGAGCTGTGAACACTTGAGTGACGGCTGCAACGTCCCGTCCGGCGGAGTGAACCCGTGAGTGTAGAGGAGGGGCAGGGCCTTGTCACACTGGTGGAGGGGATTGGATTTGGAGTCGTGACATTGAAGCTTCTCGAGATCACAGTGAAGCTTGACCAGTGACTCCCACAGTCTGTTTGCCAGGTACACCGCCCAGCTGAGGTAGGTGTGGGCGAAGCTCGGTGAGTAGAGTGCGTAAGCCTGGTAGGTGATTGGAAATAGGTGTTGTGGGCAGTCGACATTATCGATGCCGCAGCCAATTATTGCGGACAGGGTCTTGGGATGGTCCTTGTCGTGGTTGGAGGTGGGAGGGGCGGGGCCCCGGATGTACTGGATGGCATTGAGGTCGTCGGCAGCAAGGTGGTCCCAGTCGGGGCAGTGTCGATGTGGCTCGGAGAGGGCGGAGCCCAGTGGAGACAACTTGAGAGACACATCATGAAGCTCATTCCCGAAGTTGTGGAAGAACGAGACAAGCTCCCCGGTGGTTCGTGGCGTCCGCCGGGTGAGGCAGTTGAGGTAAGAGCACAGCGTCGGCAAGGGATCATTACCGCCGCAGGACGAAGTGAAGATGATGGAAATGCACTTTCCAGTTTCGTGAGATCTAGGCAAATCATTCTCCCCGAATCCCATCCTAACACGACTCTTAAGCCACAAGTTGCAGGGGTCGAAGAAGTGAGTCTCGAAGTCGGAAATATCAGTTAGGAATGCTTGCAGGGGGGACTCGGCAGAGACGCCGTGCCCATACGCACAATCCTGCCACCCACCTTGTTCGGTGACTTGAGAACACTGCGACTTTAAGAACGCCAACTGGTGGTAGCAGGCGTAGGCGTAGTCGCGCAGATGGCAGAGGAGGGCGCAGCAATCAGCGTCCTTGGACGTCGACGTTGCAGACGGCACTGCCATTCTCCACTCAGGCGCAACGGCGGTGAGCACTGAGGCTGCGAACAAGGAGACAAGTTTAATGGTGTCGATGACATGTTGAGGGCGGATGTCAGCACCGTTGACTGGGAGTGTGAGATCTGAAGGGTCACCATCGTCGCGCTTGAATGCGTTGGTAATACACTTTTGCAGAGTCTCTTGATGCTTCTTGTGCTGCAGTCCGGCCATCCAAACAAGCATCTCCCTGACTGTACGCGGCGCCTCGGAGGGGAACAGCTCCGTCTCGGGGATATCCGTAGAGTCGTACGTAGGTTTCTGGGTGAGCCAAGGAACAGGGCATTTGTCCACGAATTCGACTCTGGTAAAAGTTGGATCTTCTCTGGGAGGGAGATACTGCTGGGGATCTGGAGGTAGAACATTTAATGAGACGGCAGATTTGTATGGAGCGACAGTGTTGGCCTGTGCATCATCCTGTATATGCGTAGAATCTTCATAGAAGTCAAAGTCGTGGACAGGGTCTTGGAAAATGGGCTTGGGGACGTCAATACGGAGGTCAATTTCTTCTTTCTCAGTTTTGGGAGACGGGGGCCCAGAGATGTATACTTCACCACCTCTTAAATTCTTGATAAGCTTGTTCTTGTTTTCACTGCGTCCGCGTAATGCAGCTTTTGACCGCTCTCTTTTTTCTGTTTGAAAATATTCTCAGCACTTTCTTTCTCTTTTCACGCTCACTCTCTATTTTCTTTGCCTCCCTCTTCTCTACGCTTATTTTGTTCTTCCTTGAAATGTTCCCAGAGCTCATTTGCCTCTCTGACCTTTTGCGAGTGTTGTTGCGCAGATTGCAGAGATGTTGAGACAGGGTTGCCTTGTAGTTGCGAGGCCACGG